CTTGCTGCTTGTATCAGACCGTCTTCCAGATGGTGCCGTCTGCCTGCCAGATGGAAATTGCCAGGAGATTCAAAATGAATACAACGCGTCTCTAGTTTTGAAGCTGACCGTCTTCCCACCAATTCAGACTTCTGATTTGAAATTTCAAATGGACCGTCTTGCCAGGCTTCCAATGCGCCAACACCGTTCAACCGGTGACATGAAACCCTAACCCTAGGGTACAGCTACTCCCTAATCAACTGATGCTTTGTTGGTGATGGGACTGTCTGTGGGGTTAGGGTGAACTCTGAGTACTTTTCAGTGCCTGATTTATTTGGCAACTTTTCTATTCAATCTACGCCCGAGCATGTGTCAATTTGCAACAGTTGGACTCACAGCTGATGCGCTACGCATACGCAGACAGACATGGTTGACAGAGAATGATGTCCTCGCACAGGGATGAATCGAAACTAGCAAAATACAGGGAGGGAAAACGGTGACAGAGGCATCGATAGAAAGTATACAGAAGATGGTATCAATACGAGACGGAACGAGCAGGTGACTAGGCGACCATTGCAGCAGGGCCGGCGCCGGTCAGGCCAGCCATTCCGGTGCGGCCAGCTCCGAACGTCTTGGTGATCGATCGATCTGCGGCATTGAAAGTGTAGCCGTTGGCGTGGAAAAGCTTGGACCCAAGGTAGGGTCGAATGTCGAACACATCGACCTCCTTGGCACGCGTCTCGAGCTCCGAGACGGGCACTGTGACGACCGTGCTCGACTGAGCATTACCCCCGCGACGAGCGCCGTTCTGCAGCTGCACAAAACGCATTCGGTCCTTGACGATCGAGCCCAAGATGAACGAAAGAAGCTCGTCGTGGTCGCGGCTCTGGTGCAGGTACTTGCGGAAGCCTCGCTCGAGTGTCTTCTTGACGCTCATCTTCTGTGCCGAGACAAACGACTCGACCGTCGCACGGATGGCCACGTCAATGTCGTCGGTGCGCACGTAGTCGCGCAGGTGCATCTTGGCCGACGCCTCGGCCATGCGGATCATGCTCTCCAAGTGACGCACCGTGATGGGGAAGCTGCCCGTCGAGATCGACTCGCGACGCAAATCAGCGTAGAGACGCGAGATGCGGTCCTGATCCAGCGCATTCAGCGACGGGCGAACGTGGTCTCGTGCGTACATGATGTACTTCTTGAGCATGTCCTGGGGCAAGATGTCGGCGTCGAGCGAGGTAGCCACCAGCTGCTCGTCGTTCTCGTCGTCAAACTTGGGGTGTGATCGCAGATGCGAGCCCACCACGAAACGAGCCAGCATGTCATCCTTGACGGGGTCCACGGTGTCCTTGACCACGCACAGCGCATCGAAACGCGACAGAATGGGCTCGGTCAGCTCAACATTCTGGTTGAAGGGGATGGTGGGGTTGTATCGGCCGCGAATAGGGTTGGCCGCGGCGACGATGGCACAGCGAGCTTGCAATGTGGTGACGATACCAGCCTTGGAGATGCTGATTTGCTGCTGCTCCATGGCCTCGTGGATCGAAGTTCGATCGGCGTCGTTCATCTTGTCGAATTCGTCGATCAGGCAGACGCCCTTGTCGGCAAGTACCAGCGCGCCTCCCTCGAGCGTCCACTCGCGAGTGACAGGATCCTTGCGCACCGACGCGGTGAGACCGACCGCTGATGCACCCTGACCGGTGGTGAAGACGGCTCGCGACGCTGTCTTCTCGACGTACTTGAGGAATTGCGACTTGGCGGTACCAGGGTCACCGAGCAGCAGGACGTTGATATCGCCACGAATGCGGTGCTTGCCACCAATGTCTTTGGGCACACCACCGAACAAGCTGAGCGCGATGGCGGTCTTGATGTCTTCGTGACCGTAGATCGAAGGGGCGATACTCTTGATGATGCGCTTGCCGATGCGCTCGTCCTTGGCCAGCGCCTTGATCTGTCGCTCGTCCTCCTCGGTGAGACGGAAAGCCGAATAGGCGTCGTCGCGCTTGGCAATGTGATTGGCTTCCAGGACCGTGGCAAAGACTGGGAAGCCGTTTTTGGTGTTGAGCGAGGCGTCAAAGTTGTTGCGGTAGACACCGGTGATTTCGACCTCCTCGCCGGGCTTGGCAGAGTCGATGAGATCCCAGAGCAAGATTACCTCGCGGTGACGAGGCAAACGTCCAGGCGGCACGCTACCGGGCGACTCTTGCAGCGTCATCTTTTGATAGTTGCGGTAGACGGTCTGCTCCGAGTTGATGCGGAAGGGGCCACGCTGCTCGCAATTGGAGCAGTAGCTGAGCTTGATCTCCTGGTTGGCATCTTGCCAGAAAGGACCGAGGACAGCACCGCAGCGCAGGCAGTCAAACTTGACGTACTTGAGCTGCGGGAACACACCGCTACGGCGGGTCACGACCCCACTGACACGGACGAGCGAGTTGAGGTGACCTTGACGCAGGTCTCGCAGGGTCGACGAGGTGGGCAGATCTGCGATGCGGACGTGCACTTCGGAGTGAATGCGGTCGTAGGACGGGTAGTAGAGCATGATGACATCGAAAGCGACTTCGTCAAAGATGGGAAGCATGCTGGCGGGCGAGTTGGCGAGGAAGTAGGCCAGGATGGCCTTTGAGTCGACAAGATGGAGGAAAGAGACTTCTAGCGACTCGGCGTTGGTCTCACCAAGGGTCTTGATGCGCTGACCGTAGACACTGACACCGTTCTCGTCAACGTAGGTGACGAGGAAGTTGCGGAACTCGCGCACGATGGCTCGGCGGACGTTTTCGGTAGCGACCCAGCTGGCGATACTGTCGGTCTTGACGTCGCCCAGCTGTTCGAGCGGCAAGTCATCGGCAAAGCCGGCACCGTCGGCACCAGCCGCCGCCTCGTCGTAGTGGCGGCGTCTGCGGCGGTTGAGGATAGCGACACCATCATCGGCATCGCTGGCGCCATCGTCGCTGTGGAGGAACTCGGGAGCACGCGAGCGGCTGCCACGGTTGGCAGCCTCTGTGCGATCACGGCGACCCATGCGGAGTTCAGCAAGACGACGTGCATTGGCGTCCATCTGATCGAATTGATTGTCGTCGTCGATGCCCAGCGCGCTGTCGTATCGGTCTAGTGCTGCGTTTTCGGTATAGTCGTTGTCCATGTTCTCGCCAAAGAGGTCCTCGCCTTCGTCGTCAGAATCAGCGTTGGCTTGGAAGTGGTCGCCGAGCTGCCTCGCCTCCTGTTCCTCGTCGACGACGTCGGCATCATCGAGTTCGCCATCCGTGAAGTCCGAGAAAGCGGCAGGAGGGCTCGACGGTGGGAGCGAAGAAGGCGGCGGTGAAGATCGACCGGCCGGTGTGGTGGCTGTGGAAGGGCCGGGCAAGGGCGACGAGGCGTCGAAAGGGTCATCTCGCTGCTGAAGCTGCTGCGAGCGACGACGCTTGCGGTTTGCGTTGTTCTGTGAGTCGGCCTAGTAGTCAGATGATGTATTGTACTTAGGTCAGTGTCGCCGTCCCTAAAAGCGTCGAGAGGATTGCAGGATAGATCACTCACCATGATAGAAGAGTATGGGGTCTTGCACGAAGCGGTGGTGGGGAAAGTGCAGAGGAAAGATCGACGAGAGGAAGCGAAAGTAGAAGGAAGAGGCAAGCGCTGCAGATCCTTCTCCTGGGTCGGACGTTCTTTGCCTGGCGGCTGCACGGGCGAGTCGAGGTGTTGGTTTGATTGACCTCTTAGAAGTGTTGGCTCTGCGCTGCCTCAATCCAGACTTGACTGCTCGACTGCCTTTTCCTGTTGGGCGCAAGCTCTGTCGAAGTTGACGCGCAGTCTTGCAGACCCAAACCCCTTTCTTTTCCCGTGGTCAACACACTCGCACGCAGAGCTCTGCGCGCACGACAAGCAGCTTTTGCTACGCGCACCTCATTTACACGATAGTCCTTCTGCTCGACGCGTAAATGAACTCGATAGAGACGCGAAGTCGAAGACGCGTCTCTGATACGCACGAGACGAAAAATTGAAGATCGTCTCGGATTTCGGGGGCTGCGCTGCTGAACCCTTGCGCTCGCTCAAAGAAGAAGCTTCAACCGCTCCTTGCCTCACACTTAGCGAAGAATCTGCGCACGACAACAACAAGACCGCATCGCAGGAAGATCTGGCGCGGAAGGAGCGTCGTCAGCAGGCTTCCTGCTCGTTGTGGATCGAGGCGGTTGCAGACGAATGGCGCTGTCGGTAAGGTCCACCACAACGACAAAGTAGACCCGCCGCCATCATTTAATCGCATCAGCAGTTCGTTGCAGCAGCATTCATGGAATACTATCTGTGCGACTCCTAAGAGATCTCGTGATTGCGTCTGCGTGGCGTGTCATTGAGATGTCGACTTCGAAGGGAGACACTGTTCGTTGGTAGGCACACACGGGTTGTGCGGTTCGTCTACTGATTCTGATTTGTTTTCAAATTGAGATGTAGCACGTCAAGCAATCACTTGGATCGCTTGTAGACCTTGTCGAGGAACGAGTGGAACACCTCGCGACGCAGGCCTTGCGACTCAGGGAGGTTGTTGATGAGGGTGGTGATCTGCTCGTACGACTCGGCCTCGTACTTTTCAAAGCGGCCTCGGAGGTCAATGTTGGGCTGGTTGTAGACGTCCTTGACGCGCTTCTCGCATTCCGAGTCCTTCTTGCCGTAGTTTTGGTCGAGGACCTGACGCTGCTCGGGTGTGGCGTTCTGGAGAGCGACGTTGATGTTCCAGGAGCACTTGTTGTCAAAGATGTCGGTGCCGATCTTGCCAATCTGCTCGGGAGTGCCGTAGCAGTCGAGGAAGTCATCCTGGACCTGGAAGTACTCGCCCATGGGCAGCAAGATGTCGAGCGCCTGCTTGTAGAGAGCCTCGTCGGTGACGCCCGCCATGCGCATGGCAAGAGCAACGGGAAGGTAGAACGAGTAGAAGGCGGTCTTATAGACAACGATGAGGTGGTGCTTCTGCAGCGAGAACTTGGACAGGTCGACGGAATCTTCTGGGGCAGTGATGAGGTCGATGAGCTGACCAAGCTCGGTCTGGAAGGTGACGTCGTGGAAGAGTTCGAGGAGCATGCCGTAGTAGGGGTCGTTGCGGAAGTGCTTCTTGAGCAAAAAGTAGATGGCGGCTTCGAGCATGAAGGCATCGTTGATAGCGATGTTGCCGACACCCTCGACTCGGTACCAGCAAGGGTGACCTCGACGAGTGACGCTTGCATCCATCATGTCATCGGCAACGAGAAAGTAGGCCTGAAGGAGCTCGATGCACCATCCGAGGATAGCAGCCTTGAGATATTCGGGTTCAGTGAGCTGGCGGCTAAGCTTGCCGGTGGTGGCATCTGTGCAGAGAAGGATCTCGACCGTGTCGACGACCGAAAGACCACGGTTGAGCTTGCCTCCTGGAGTGTTGTAGTCGAGGTTGCGACGGAACCACTCGATGGCCTCAGCGGGCATGTTCTCCGAGGCGAGGTAGTCCGTGAGCTCCTGGACCAGGAGAGGGAAGACGTCCTCGAAGCGCTTTCGCTTCTGGATCTTGAGCTGAGCTTTGTCGGCCGTGGCTTGAGGAGCAGACATGTTGATAAAGATGCGTGTCTATGGATGGTGATGAGAAAGAAAGACCGGTTGCTAGGCGCGAGGCTCGGGAAGAAATGTTTGAATGCGTGTTGCACTTTGCCTTGTTCCCACGTCGTGGAAAGTGGTCTGATCTCGCTCTCGCAGTCTTCTTCTGCTGTTATGGCCCAGACAAAAGCTTCGATTCGCGCGTTGGCGAGACGCGGCATGAAATTCTTAAGCTTGTTACACCTTCACGTTTCGCCGCAAGAAAAGAATAGGAGTCGCAGCTGTTCAAGGGTTCGCTTCCAAATGTACACGGCTCGAGACCAACACTCTTTCAGCGCAGACCAACACCTTGTCCTCTCGCCATCTTGTCCGCTACCTTCAAGTGCCAGTCTGACCTGGCAAAAGCACGTCGTCAGCTTGCTGTCGCTCAGGTGCGGCCACGGAGGACCATGGCGTCGTCTCACGTCCTCTACTATTGCCCTTGCGACCAGGCATCGGCAAGCACCGCCTCCACCTCTCGATCTTCTTCCTCTTCGTCCTCCTCTTCGCTCATATCGCCGCCTCCAGGCTTGCCAGCTTACTCTCCTGCCTCGCGGTACAGCTTCCATCCTCTCGACTCGCTCTACTTTTGTGACGAGTGCGATCGAATCCGGTGCAATCGCTGCGTCACACTAGACATCTCGAGCTACTACTGTCCCAATTGTCTCTTCGAGGTCCCCGGGGCTAGCGTCAAGGCCGAAAAGAATCGCTGTGCAAGGAACTGCTTCGAGTGTCCATGCTGTCAACACACGCTCTCCGTGCTCGCTTCTGATCTGGCTTCCGAGACGGCACGCAGGGTAGATCCGACGGACCCGGCAGCAAGCCAGGGTGAGCCCCCTTACTACCTCGGGTGTTCCTTCTGTCGCTGGGACTCCAAATCGGTTGGTCTCGTCTTTGAAAAGCCGACGGGACTCAGCTTGCAGCTGCAACGTTCCGAGGACAATGCTGCCGACGTGCTCGAATTCGATCGACTCAAGGACCACTTCGACCCTTATCTCAAGGCGCAGACCCAAGCGGCCATCATCTCGGCTGCCGTTGGGTCGTCCAATTCTTCTGCCGCTCGCTTGCCATCTAGTTCCTCCGCGGCCGCAGCATCGACAGCATCGTCCAGCAGTGCATCTTCTTCCAGCCGTAATGCAAGGGTCGCAGCCGCCCGAAACGCTGCCACTGCAGCACTTCAATCGTCCAAGCTGGTGCGCGATCTACCGCACTTGGCACATTCCAAACATCTTGGCGTCAGCGGGTCACGCTCAGCGCCCATCGAACCAGACGAACTGAAGCGCTACCGTGCACTCAACCCATGGCAACCCTCGTCAGATGGTCGTGGCGCCGCCCCCGCCATGGGTGTCGTTGCAAAACGCGAAAAGCATCGAAGAGACTACGTGTCGCGCCTTCACTCGACCCCAGGTCAGCCTTTCGCGTCGCTGGACGACAAGATCTCCTCGCTCGAACAACGCTGGTCTGCCATCTCGATAGCAGATCAGCCCGTCCGCGCTGCAGAGCTGCGCCCAACTCGTGTGCCACTCAAATCGAAGTTGTCGAAACGATGCCCTGCTTGTCGACACATTGTCATCAAACCCGACATCAAGGCTGCCTCGAATCGCTTCAAGATCAAGCTCGTGGCCCTCAACTTTTTGCCCGAGATTCAAGTCAGCCTCGCTCCCCACCAGCCGTTCCTGGACCCGCACAAATACCGATCAGCAACCGGTTCGAGCCTGATGGGAGCAGGCACAGCAACCAGCACCCTGAGACGCCGACCGCCTTCCGTCCTCGTCTCGGGAACAGACTCCCTCAGTGGATCCTCGTCGCTCATGGTCACATCTCAAGACGTCGATGCGGACAGACTGGAAGTCGGACACACGTACAGCTTTCAAATCGCTGTGAGCAATCCGCTGGACGACGCCATCCAGGTCGAAATGAGCTTCGTCCGCTTCGCCCTGCCATCTCACCTCCGCACGTCGACAGACGGCGGCAGCTCGGCGGTGCAGCCATTCCCACAAGCGAAGTACATCTTTTCGGCCAAGACCGACACCGGCGTCTCATCGCCGGTCGATGATCAAGTACACGCAAGCGAGCAGTCGGCTGGTCCGTCCAAGCGGTCTCGACTAGGGTGGCAGGTATACCCATCGGCCACCAGCGTGCCCCTCAACGCCTTCAACGAGGTATGGGACCTCGAGGACGCAGAAGACCTGTACGGATCCAAGGCTGAGGCTGACGCAACTCGTCAGGAGAGCGGCGGTGCAGCGCAGAGTCGTGCTGTCAGAACCGCCATCGCGCGTGGGACGGATGAGTCGTCGTGGGTGATCGAAGAGGAGGACGATGGCGAGGACGATGCAGAAAGCGAAGACAGGGGCATCTCAGACATTGACGAGGAGCAGGAAGATGCTGCACGATCCAAACGTTCGAAAAGACTCACTCGACAGCCGCAGCTTTTTGCCAGCTCCGGCATGCAACGCAAACCTTTCATCCAGCGAGGTCACACCACAACGCTCTACCTCGACCTGGCCATCTCGGACCAAAATCCACCGAGGCCAGGGCCGCTGGAGTTGGGCATGCACGTCACGTACAGATACACAACCGCTGCAACCGTGCCGGATGAGCAGGCGGCCAGACCGCCAGGCAAGGACTTCTCCTTCTGGACGTCGATTCGGCTCGGAAGCGTCGCGGCTGCGGGCGATGCGCGACCATGAACAGCAATCTTGTTTGCCTGCCCACGCAGCAACAGGCCATTTATAAACCGTCATTCGCGCGACCTGCATGCAAGACATCTCTCAATGATTGGAATTCGACACTGCCTGAGCCCTTCGACTTCTCAATGAGCCTTGTTACGGACCGCTCACGATCACGCTCAGACGAGAAGGCTGCTTCTACAAAGTGCGAGAATAAGATTTGCGACCACGAACAATCCCCAAAACCTTCCTGCTTGACCACATCACTGGGCCCCGGCCGAAGGCGTGCGGAAGCGCGTCGACCGCTTGCGGCGCGCCTGAAAGCTGACAGCCTGATCGTCGCTGTCGTCGTCATCATGCTCCGGTGTCAGACCGAGGTGTGTCTGCTTTGCGGCGACTTCGGCTTGTGCGGCTGTGTCCTCCTCTGCGTCAGCGAACTGCGACTCTTCCGTCGCAGGCACTGCGGTCACTGCGGGACTAGCGATGGCTTTGCCGTTGGTCTCTTCCACGACACCGCCGTCGATGTCGGATCGTGTCGTTTGCGTGCCGGCGGCCGAGGGAGCGCGTGACGACTCGTCCGAGCCGTGCTGGCGATGCGAGGCGGATCTCGACACGCTGCCCGAGCTGGTGGGTGTCGATTGGTCCGCCAATGCCTCCGCTGGAACCGCACTCCTTGCCTCCGTATGGCTACCGTCAAGCTCCGTCATCTCCGCCTTTCGAAGCGCATTCGCCTCTGGTGAGAGTGTGGCGTCCATGGCAAATGTTTGGCATGCTGGTGCCGCCACTTCAGCAGCCGCATGGGGAGGGCTGCGTTCCCGAGCAACTCCTAGAGCCCTGGTCTCCGGCAACGCAGACGAACCGGCAGGAGCCAAGATATGCTGGTAGGGCGGCTTGAAGACGTTGTAGCCGCCTTCGACGGATGGTGTGAGAATGTCGCTGGAACTCACGCTACCGCTCGAGCCTTTGCGACCGAAAGTCTCTGGAAGGTAGACAGCGCCCGTCCCAGCCTCATCGTCTTGATTGCCTCCGCGCACCTCCCATCCACGGCCAGAGTTGACAAGCATCGGATCGCGATTGCCGCTGTGAAGATCATCAGACAGATCATCATCATCGGAAAACTCGAGCTCCAAATCGACATCGTCGTTATCGAACTCGTGCTCCTCCAAGGGCGCAGCAACATGACGACGACGTCCGAGCTGATCAAAGGCGAAAGCTGCAGCGCCGTCAGAGCCGGTCAACGGCGAAGAGGGTTGGCTGAGCGCGCTGAAGGCAGTGCGTGTCATGCTAGGCCTTTCCAAGGTTTCTGTCAGCAATTCCGTGGACAGGCTCGGAGCGCCAGAGATGCCGCTGCCGCTAGTGCTGCTCAGGACAGGCGCGCTGAAAGGCGTGCCCGACTCTGGTCGAGCCCCCGTCTGCTGGATCGCACCTTGTGTGTCGACAGAGAGGGGTCCCAGTGCGCCCAGAGTGGGCGCAGCTGGCTGGGCGCTGCTCGCTGTGCTACGAATACTGCCGCTTCGTTGCGTGCGGCCAGCGCTAGCGAAGCTCGAGGAGAGCGGCGGAGCATCGCGGGATGCTCGTGTGCCAGACCTAGACAGGCTCCTGTTGCGCTCGTCGCCGCCACTCATGAGCCAGCTCCCTCGCAGGAAGTCGCCCAGACGATGTCGCCCCGAGACGCGCGAGGTTTGCGAAATACTCAGCGTCGAGGACTTGCCCTCCGAGTCGACAGAGCGCCTTGATGAAAGTGCTCGCTGCGGATACAAGTCCGAATTCTGTCGACTGGGTATGCGATGAACCGTCGGCAGTTGAGGCGAGGAGCCGTGAAGCGAAGGCGATGCTGATGCGCCACTCACACGACGAGCCGCACCATGGGTGTCAGAGGACGTGCGCTGCGGGATCTCGGGACCACCTTCAGGACGCAAGCCGGCACTGCTAGAAGATTGCGCTGACGCTCTTCTTTGCATCAGTGTTTCGGGTGGCCTCATCATGTCGTCTTCTGCACCGTCCACGAATACCGGAGGGGGCAGTGCGGGCGATAACGTCGTGGCTCGATCCTGCTCTCTGGCGAAGCTGTCCTGGCGAGAAGGAGGCGTGCGGGTCGCAGCAGCAGCAGGGCCTTGAGCCAGGTTTCCCTTGCTAGTCGAGTCCAGGTCCTTGTTGCGAGGCGAGGCCGAAGCCACTGATTCGGACTCGTCGTTTTGTTGGACTGATGACAAGGCGCGAAGAGCAGTATTACCATCGCGACGACCCACCGAGTTCCCGCTCTTCTGCCGCGAAAAGAACATGTGCCCCTTGAGAGGGGTTCGCGGTGTTCGTACGGACGACGAGGTGGACGGACCTGATTGGCTCGAAAAGTCGAAGGGTGTGGCCGACGATGAGCTGCCATTGTCCATGCCGCCTAGGCGGCTGTGGTGCGGTGTGCTGCTGCCCGAGTCGGTCAGCGCATCAGCGTGGAAGGATGAGGTTGCCGACGACTGGTTGATGGATTTGCTGCGCTTCCGACCTCCGCCAAACGAGTCGAGCAGCTTGGACTGCCATCGCTTGACGCGCTGCTTGAGTTTCGAGAAGCCAGTGAGGGCATCTTCGACGTCGGCATGCGAGATCTCGACGAATGGCAAGTGTTGTGGATCGGTCTCTGAGAGCCAAGCCGGAGCGTCTTGCAAGCCTCGAGTGACCCACGGATGCTTTTTGACGTCTTCCAAGGTGATGCGTTTGGCGGGGTCCTTTTCGAGCAAACGATCCAGCAAATCGCGCAACTGCTTGGCATCCTCGGTCAGGCTTTCCACGTTGGCATCCGGGCAGAGCTCCGATGGGCTCACTGGCTGAGCGTCGGCTTCTTCGTCCATCCATTGCGACCGAGACTGCCATCTTGGCTTGCGTGGCCCCACGCGGACGCGGTCTGCGCCCATAAACTTGGGTATCGAGTAGTCGGTGCTGGGGATGACAGCGAAGAGAGCGTATTCGGACTCTGCTGTGAAAGGTGTGGTGCCAAAGAGAAGACAGTAGAGGGTCACGCCTAGCGCCCATACGTCGATCGCTTTGGTGACCTTGGGTCGAGCCGGCGACGTTGCCGCTTTGCCTCGTGCGGCGTCGGCCAAAGAGCCCACATGAGAACCCTTGATCGGATCGATGGAAGGAGAAGCTGCTGAGAACGAAGACATACACAGCTCTGGCGCGAAGAAAGCGGGACTGCCAGCGGTTTTGGCGAGCTCACGATCGTCGACGAGACTCGGATCAGACGTGGAGCCAGACTGGGAGTCGAGCTTGTTGTTGGCCACAGCTGCAGCCGTCTCCTGGTCGTTGGCGATCATCATGGCGTAGCTGAAATGCGAAACGCCAAAATCAGAGATCTTGACCCTGTGCTCCTTGTCGTAGAGCAGGTTGGCGGGTTTGATGTCGCGGTGGATGATGCCCTGGTAGTGGAGATACTCGAGACCGCACACGACATCACGGAGGATGCGGCGCGCCTCGTCTACGGTGAGGGTCGGTTGTCCTTCGTTGTCTTTCCATACCACTTCGCCTCCTTCCATGTATTCCAGCACCATGAAAATCTTTTTGCTCTGTGGATCATCGATGACCTCTTTGAGCTCGACGACATTGTCGTGGCTGCACTTTTTCATGATGGCGATTTCGCGGCGGACTTTTTGATCCGTCGTCCAGAGCAGCGCTTTTCGTGCTTTTTCTCGCTCCTTTTCGCGACGACGCTCGGCGTCTTTGTCCGATTGTCCCCAGCGGGGCAAACCGAGACCGGACGTGGAAGGCGATCGAGGGACGCTGGGCAGTGGTGCAAATTGCGTCGATGGCGCAGATGAGACGCCCTTGACGGTGGTCGTTGCGGAGCTGCTAGCTTCGTTCTGCGGTGTGTCGGATTCATCCTGTTCTAGTGCAGACTGCTGGTCTTCTCTCGCATCTTGCTTTGTCGCTTTGCTGGAGGATGCCGACGGGTCGAGATCGAGTGGGTCTTTGTTGCGATGGTTGCGGTTGAGCAGGCCAAGGCCGGCGCCGAGACGCTTACGGGCTTCCCTCTCGACAATCTTGACCGCGACCCGTTCTCCGGTCTCTAGATCCGTGGCGAGACGGACCTTGCCATGCACACCTCGACCGAGTTCACCCTCGATAAGGTACTGGTTGACCATACGGCGACCGCTTGTGTGCGTTTGAATGTCGAGGCGATTCGTCTCTAGGACATGTGGTGCGCGTGGTGAGCGGTTCAATCCATGTGGATTGGGAGAAGATCGGCCTGAGTCTGGAGGGGAGTTGAAGGCGCTCGGGGTAGCGGAAGCGAGCTGGGCTCGTCTTGGCGAACGAGAAGGAGGAGAGCCCGCGGGCCCATTGGAACGGCTAGCTTGGAGTTGTTGATGCATATGCTGGGTGAGAAGCTGGTGTTGAATCTGCTGAGCGTAAATCTGAAGCTCGTTGACAGCCGAGAGGGCAGGTGTAGAGGATCCTGATACGACGGAAGGTGAGGCAGAGGCCGAACGACCGCTGGACGGATCATCGACGCCGAGAGAGGCTGGAGATGAGCCAAGTTGTGGTGACTGGCGCGTATTCGCGCCGCGGCCAGGAGAGCTGAGGATGGGGTGAGCGAGATCCTTGGAGTCGGATGGTGGTGCTGGTGAGCTGTAGAGCTGCGCAGGGGAGAGCGTAGCATTGGTATCACTAGAAGGTATAGAAGGCTTGGCAGTAGCAGTAGGGGGGTCTTCGCCAGCACCCAGTACCTGACCAGCCATGGCTAAGCTGAGCGAGGTGTAGGCAGGATTCGATGTCGGAGAGACGATGCCCACCGCATCCCCACGCATGATGGCAGCATCTGCCGACGCGGAGGAGGGAACCTCGAGCGGCATCTCGGTTGCCGACTGGGCGGCGGCCGGAGTGTCAGCTGCAAGAGGCTCGATCGGCCTCTCGTCGGTGCTGTGGGAGATCATGTTTGCGAGTCAGACCTGTCTGCGACGCAAATGAAGAGCTAGTCTGGACCGGTCCAGATCGAAGAAGGTGTGGTGCTGCAGAGCAAACGAAACTGCAAGCGTTTCAGCGTGAGAGAAGCATTGTTGTTACAGGGCAGCAAACGACGGTTCGATGCTGTGCTCCGGAAGAAGAGAAGGGCGGCGCTGGTCTGAACCGGGTGAGTGAGCGTGTTTCGAATGCGCGCTGATTCCTCGACTGAGTAGAGTCTAGAGGACGAGACGGTGGAGGTCGACGGCGAGAAAGAAAGCGATTGTGATGTTTGCGGTGCGTTGTCCGTGTAGGCGATTGCAATAAGGAAGGAGTAGGTAGGGCGTGGTGGTGATGGTGGCCAAGCAAGCGAGCGAGCGAGTGAGTGAGTGAGTGTCAAAGCAGAGTCGATCGATGCACGTCCTGGTCTCGACTTTTTGAGAAGGGAGTGTGCGTCGAGCAGCAGGGGTTCAACAGCTGCAGTTGCACCCTCTGAGAAGCGAATCGCGAGGGCAGCTGGCCACGCTATTTCGACCATCGCCTTAGCCTGGGAAATTGACCGCCGAGGCACCGACTCACACTCGCTTGCTTGTCTGACTGAGCACCGGGCGAGCGGGCGAGCGATTTTTCCAGAGCGCGTGGGGACCGAAAAGCCACAAGCACAGACGAGATTTTTTGGCTCGAGGCGAGGCGAGGCGAGGCGAGGCGTGCAGCGTTTGGGCCCTGCGCCTGCATTGTTACAATCGAGGTGCATGAACCATGGCTTGTCCAGCCCGCATCTCCGTTGTCCTCTCTTGCTCTCGGTCGGGGCTGGCCGAAGTGGGATATGCTCCGTAGGCTCGAGCTCGAGCGTGAATGACGCTTTGGCAGCAACGTTGACAAAATGCTTATCACCGCAACACCCTTGTTCAGAGACTTGATCATGAGTCAACCGAAATGGCGGTGTATCGCTCGCATCCGACCGGCTGACACAGGAGCATACTCACTTGCTTATTACATGCAGGCTGTCCTTCGACACGCTTCCAGACGACGCGGGAGCATCGCATCGGCTAGGACCGAGTAGAGAAGCTTCGCTCGGATGTACCGAACAAAAGCGTTCCCTTAGATCTTACACTCAATAATGAGATGAAAAAGAAACTCGACACTGCAAAGCCTCGCCAAGTGAAACCGAAGTGTAGTCATGCAAACAGGCTCGTGAGTGGCCATCCGATCTCAACGTGCAGCCCAGTTGCTATTCCGCGGCTATCGCCGCTCGAGAGGCTATGCGAACCGATATCACATGCACTGGCTGTTCTTGGCTTTCACCTGCTGAGCCGCTAAGCGGAGTCTACAAGCCTCGTCGGTCAGGATCTCGAGATCGCTATTCCGATCTGACGTTTTCAATCTGCCCTGCAAGTACACACTGAATCACTGCGCGCTGCGCCTCGCTCAGGCCCCAGGCTTTGGAGGCTATACACGAGCACGAAGCTTCTATTGTCACATCGTCGGTCGCCCTCACGTACGACCCACTGTGATGCCTCGAGCCGCCATGTCTCGCTCGCAACAGCTGTGAGAGTCAAGGGCTGATTTGTCAGACTGCACTCGAGGAACGACTCGGAAGTCGGCCTTTCCTTGGCATGGCCCTGAGCTGCGAAAATTTCACGGAACGAGCCTCGGGTGGCTGTCAGGAGGGCAAATTTCAAATCATTCCTCCACCCTGAGGGATAGAGAGCAACACACCCTTCTCCAACCGCAACCCTTCCTTCGTCCATCCATCTTCCCCTCCGCACCTAGATCGTCGTCTCCTCAATCTCGGTCATCGAGCCCACATCGAATTCGCGATGAACCCATCCGATGTCGTGCGCGCTATCCGCGCCCAAGCCGCTTCCACCCAGGATGCCACTGCCAACAACCAGCAAGCCGTCGCTGGGCTCATGGCGTACAAGCTCCACCAACATCGCGACGAGATCCTTCGATCCATAAACGCAAATCCATCTGCACCGTCATCATCATCGTCGACACCGCCGCCCGGATGCCCCATGCATGCTAGTGGCAGCACATCAGCACCGCCACCGCCTTCCAAGCCCTCACCACCCAAGATGGTCGCCTCGTCCGGCGGCCAATGTCCCATCCCCCATGAAGACCGAGACAAGTATCTCGCCTCCAAATCCGGTCAACAGATTCCCACTGGATCCATGGCGCCATCGTCATCGTCATCGCCCGCAGCATCCTCCTCCTCCAAACCATGGTCGTCCACGCTCAACCCGCTCAACATGATGCCCAGCCTGGGCCAATCCGCCGCACCGGAGCAAAAGACGGACCTCTCCACCGAGCGAGTCGTCTCATCCATCCCGCGTTCGCGCTCATCCGCCGCACCCGGCGCCTCTCCCTACGACGCACCCTCCGCCTGCCCGGTCAAGCACGACGCCAGCAAACCCACCGAAGACCAGACCGAAAAGTGGGAGTACCCCTCCCCGCAGCAGTTCTACAACGCTCTCGTTCGCAAAGGCTGGGAAACGCCCGAGGAGCACGTAGAGACCATGGTGCTGGTGCACAACTTTCTCAACGAGCAGGCGTGGCTCGAGGTGCTCGAGTGGGAGAAGATGGCCGGTGCCGATTCGTCCCGGGCCGAATTGGCGCGGTTCCAGGGCAAACCAGGCACACTCACGCCTAAAGCGAGGGTGTTCGGTTGGTTGTCGACGCTCATGCCCAACACTTTCAGCTCCGAGCCGCCGTTCGACCGTCATGACTGGATCGTAAGAAGACCCGACCAGCAGGGCAAGGAGGTGCGTTACGTCATTGACTACTACAGCGTCCCCGATGACCCGGACAAGGACGAGCCCGAGTTTGTGCTGGATGTTCGACCAGCATTGGATTCCGTAGAGTCGCTCAGCGTGAGGTTGCAGAAGGGCTTTCAGGAGTGGAAAGAGGGACCTGGGTTCTTCAGCGCTTTCGCTGCGGAGAATCAGTCAAAGCCAGCTTCAGCGACGCCGAGTGCATAGATTGTTACGCTCCCCTGTAATATCAGTGTACTTCTGCGTTCTTCACCCCTCACTCGTCCATAAGCGTGTGCGTGAATGCCGTTTATCGTGTTGTGTCTATTGCTGGAGTGTAGAGGTGCAGAGAGGATCACTGTTGAGCCTGAGCGTCGGCTGACTTATCGTGCTGACCGTCTAGATACAGCCACGCCGCATAGTCGGCGATCAAACCGGAGACGACGATCCAGCCGAAGGTGGTGTTGGAGCAGAACTTGCGCCAACAGTCCCAGCGGTCGTCGAGCTGCACTGTTCGAATTTGCCAGGCCAGATGACTGGCAGCGCCAGCAAGAGCCACGCAGAAGAACGGGTGGTGGTGCGCCAACGTTTCCAAGATCGGGTACGACGAGGACAGTGTGTCCAGCATTGACGGCGAAAAGACGAGGTCGCCGACGGTGGAGCCTGGGGCGCGTTCCAGAAGTGCCTCTGCCGACGGTGCGATGGCAGGCGGGATGGCCTTCGAAGCGCTGTAGCCGAACAGCCCGATCGTACCCGCTGAAAAGGCCGACAGCACGGGCTTGGTCTTATCGCCAAACAGCAGCGCCGTCGACTTGACCCCGGCGTGGACGTCGTCCGTCTTATCTTGGTGCGCATAGATCGTGTCATACACCAGCGTCCAGAAGATCGATCCGGCGTAGAGGGGCAGCACCACAGCCCAATCGACCGCCCCTGCGACAGCAGACCATCCCAGCATGGCGCCCCAGTTGAATGCGAATCCGAGCACCAGTTGCGGCCAGTAGGTCACCCTCTTCATAAGCGGATACAGCACCACCACGCCCAACGAGCCCGCGCCGAGCACGATGCTGTACAGGTTGAGATTGACCAGCACGGCCAGTCCTGCACTGAGTTGGACGCCAAGGAAGCACAGAGCTTGGAACTGGGTGACATCGCCAGCCGCCAGCGGTCGCGTCTTGGTACGCTCCACCATGCGGTCCATCTTGACATCCCACATGTCGTTGATGGTGCATCCGGCGCCGCGCATGACGATGGCGCCGACACCAAAGAGCATCGTGTAGAAGAGCGGGGTGGTGTAGCTGAGTCCGAGGGTGTGCGAGGCGAGGACGATGGACCAGGCGCAGGGCCAGTAGAGCAACCAGGTTCCGATGGGCTTGTCGATGCGGCTCAGGGCGAGGTATGGCTGAATGCTGAATGGCTTTTTTGCTGTAGTCGTGCCCGCTGGTGCGGTGGTCGTCGAGTCGGTGGCAAGCTGAGAAGCCACGCTTTTGAGCGATTCGACCCCCTTTGTCGCCGACGAGTCGACATTGCTGCGACGCCTGGTGCTGCTGTAGTATCTGACGTTGGGGACGTTGTTTCGGCCCCCTCGGGAAACACTCGAGCGTGCCGATGTCGAGTAGTGACGACGTGGCTCACTTCCGTTGGCGTTCTTCTTCTTCGGCTTGAGCTTCGAATGGTCGTCCTGCACATTGTCTGGCTGTCCGTCTCCGTCCTTGTCCTCTGCCTCATGCGAGGCGCTCGCCTCACCCTGTCCTTTCCCGTCCGCATCTCCGTCCTCTTGCTCTTCGGCATCGCCCTTCTTGGAGCGGAAGCTGGCGGCCTCGTGCTTGCGTATGATCTTGAGCGCCTTCTTGTTCTGCTTTCCTGCTTTGGTCTCACCCTGGTCCCATTCCAGATCATAGTCCTCAGCGACCTTCTTGATGGTCTTGCGCAGATCCTTGACTTCCTCGATGAGCTCCTGGTATCGCTCGACGTTGAAACCCTTTTCGATGTAGAGCTTCTGCTGCCGCCTGGAGGTGGTCTCGTTGAGCACAGCACGATACGAGACCTCGCGGTTGTGGATGAGGAACCAAATGTAACCGCCCAGAATGGTGCCTAGACCAGTGAGGTAGGTGACAGGTTCCATGACGTCCCAGCCCAGCTCGGTGCAGAAGGTGAGGAAAGCGACGGATCCCCACCAAGCACTCAGAATGGCGACACCGGCAAAGGAGAGACGCTTTGTGCCCGAGTGCGCGATCTGGTCGCATTCTGCCTTGAGGTGAACGAGGTGTTCAATTTGTTCGGTCTTTGCGTAGAGACTGGCTCGCAGAAAGCGTGTGCGGTCTTCGAAGGATGGCACGGTGACGTAGACGTTGCGCTCGCCGATGCGGATGACAAAGGAGCCGATACGGGCGGCATCTCGGAGGAAGTCGCCGATGCCGGTAGCAGGTGACCAACGCTTACCATCAGCAGCGCGAGTGTGGAAGGAGATGGGTGGGTCACCAAGCGGGTCGAGAAAACCTTGACGAAGGAGCATGTCCCTCATTTCGATTTGCTCATCGGTGAGGTGTACGCGTTTGTCCTTGCGCTCCGGTGACGACCGTGGCCCCACTGGGATACTGACGGTGTCCTTGTCCTTGTCGTTAGAGTCTGAGGATTTTGGCTGCAATCGCTCCTTCTTTTCCAGATCCTTCTGATGCTGACTTGGCTCGGGACTTGGGCCCTCTGCACGGATGAGATTGGCAATGTAGCTGAGCGGCTGAGCGCTGTGGAGGAGAAAGACGACGCTGTGTGCTGGAGCATCTGCATCGTACTCGTCCGCCTCGATGTCTGAGGGCTCGCCATTCTCTGGACCGTGAAGATTGGCGTGAGATCGGTGGTTCACTTGTGACACAGGTGGACCTGGTGTCTCTGCGGCTTGCTCCCATGGAGCATCTGAGATGGCTTTGCGTTCGATCTCTTCGACCTGAGATCGCTGCTTGTCATTGTTACGTTCCGCTCTGGCTCTGGCCGATGAATGCTTGGATGACGGAGAGGATGGATCCGAGCTTGGTGGCTGCAGAGGCAGGGTGAGCTTGAAGAGGCTTGACTTTGTGAACGCGAGGTAGCCCTGGTCTTGCTCCTTTCCTAGCTTGATGGTGCTGTTATGCTGGCTGTTCTCATCCGCTGGTTCCGCCGAGCTCGGATAGGTGGTCTTGACTCCCGAGGGCGTGGTGGCATAGCCTCGAAAGCTTGATGGTGGGATGACGGCTCGTATTGACGACGGTTGCCGTGGGCTGAGGCTGCTGCGCAGTGAGAATGTTCTCGAAGCGACCCTGCAAGGCTGTGGTACCGAAGCAAGTTCCCTTGCACTGCCCGCAGCTCCAATGCAGCATATCGCATGATGACTGCGCGAGCTCGAGCCTGGTCGGATCAGCCGCACTGGAAAGGCCGACATTGTCGGGGATCAGCCGACCGCTCGGACCACAGCAGCGAGCCTTGTTCGGCGGGATGCGCACGGTCAGCGCTCAAGGGAGGATGCTGATCGTGGTCAACATGATAGCGGTGCTTGACTTGTCTGCACGAGTGACATTCGTAAGAGAAAGAGGAACAAAGCCATCATCGTCATCATCCTGCACAATAAGCAAGTCAGCTCGCCTGGTCCTAGCGTGAAACACACACTCAAAATCGGTGCTCGTCTGCGGTTTGGCTTTAACCAAGCGTCGGTGTAACAGACTGTCAAAATTCGGGCTGTCAACAGAGCTCAGGGTCCAAGCTCGGCAAAGCAACAGGTCACCCAGCTGCGAGAGTGACAAATGCGCAAGGCTGAATCATCCTCTCCTCCTCCCCTTCGCATCCTCGAGCTGCCTAATGTGATTGTGGCTGAATCATCTTGCTCGATGCTCGAGCGGTTTGGTGAAGCTTGAGGACCTCAATCAGCTGTCTCGGTCCGTGCGGGCTGCGCAATGCAGAACCCATCGCGGTGATGAGCATCGAGGCCTCGTCATATCGGACCGGAAGATCTTCGTCGCTGCAGTCTACCTCTGAGCCTCCCTGCACATCTATATAAGTGTCGGCGACTGAGTCTTGTGTTCATCCTCCATCAACACCGTCTCGAACCATCTCGCTCTCATCACGCACTCACCACCTACTCAAGACAATGTCAAACCAGGGCGGTACTCAATCTCCTCCTCTTCAGGGTCGCGAGAACGACCCTATGGGTCAGGTAAGCAGCAGCACGCAGTGTCGCAAATGACCCGAATTGTACTCTGACCTTCCACCGCATCGTTTCGATTCCCCTTACTAAGTCGGCGCCGGGCAAGTCTTCCAAAGCAGTGCCTGATGAGGAGCAGCGTGGAGGTGTCTTCGGCAGCGGCGAGAACAAGGGTGCCGAGAGCGGTGAGGCAGGCGACTCGAACAACAGCGGCAGTGGCAATCTCAGCGAGGTAAGTTTCAGCCATCTCCGTCATGCTCGCGCGTTGACGGCCGACTGACCGATCTGCCTTTCCTTTCGGCGCATCTACAGGCTGTCAGCAACGCAAAGCACGCCGACAAGAGCCAGCCTGGCAAGTAAATCGAGCGGCCAAAGCAAATTCTCTCTCAAATCGCCGTCCTAGCACCGCACAAAGTGATCATCAATCGCATCTCCATTGCATCAGCGACAGCTCAAGTGTCTTGGCGTGTCCGTCTGCGCGACGGTGTGGAAGGTGGGAGCTGCTGCCACGCCGGGTAGCCGTAGTGAGGAGCCGGTGCATAGCTCGGATGCTGGAGGTGAGACTGATAATACGGAGCGACACCGCTTGCGTGACCAGCCTCATGCGATGGTCCTCCAGCTGATGTGTGAGGGGGTGCGGAGGTGTGCGGTGGCCCTGAGTAATGCGCTTGTTGCGTGCCGTGGTCTACGGCCTGAGTTCGAGATCGCGACTTGATACGAAAGAAGGAGAGGAACGAGTTGGTCGCCCCCACCACGATCGAGAAGCAAATGAGCGTGAACAGCATGGTCTTCCAGCTGACCGAGTCGACAAACCCATTGAGAATGTCGGCAAAGGTTTCGGCTGTGACACGTGCTGTGCCGACCACTGCTGGGTCGCGTGCTGAACAACGCTCCCAGTTCCTGCATGCGTTAGCCAGAGCTGGTGCTTGCATGTCGGTGCCGCATCGGTTGGCCGTGTACGCCGCAGCGCAGGCTGTGATCTCGGACAGTGTATCTGCGCATTCAGAACATGATGAGCAAAGTCAGTATTCTGTATAAATTTGAAAGTGAGCCTTGAGGACCAAGACCTACCCATTTCGTACGATCGCACCTTCTCAGCGACATCCTTCTGCACCGTTCGAACAACATGATAGAGAAGATAGAGGAAAGTCGAGAGGATGCTGGCGTTAAAGATGAGCTGTGCATAGCCGAGCAAGAGCTCTGGCTTGTCCATATGATGCACCGACGAAGAAGAGGCAGCGAGTTCTTGTGGTACAGGAGACACTGCATTGGGAAGGATGTAGTTGACGGCGTACTTGGTGATGGACCCGATCCGACTTGGTGTACCTTTGCGTCGACTCGCCACGTCAACCTCGTCACCGTCATCTTCTCCCTCGGTGCTGTAGCTGCTCCCCTGGTCATCGTCATCGTCGGCGATATGGTTCGTGTAAGAGCCTCTGGAAGCGGGGACGAGGTCGCGACTCTGCAGATGTGCCAGACGCTTGCCCTTTCTACTGAGAATGCTGCGCTTGCGACGAACATGCTGCGTTGCTGCCTTGGCGGAATTGCTGCTCGCGAGGCCGTCAGCATTGCCCATCGAGTCGTCTGCCAGATCGTCGCTTTGATCGGTCACATGGTATCGAAGTCCGGACGCTTTATGCGATGGTGGTGTGAGGCTTGACATTTCGACGTCGGCCATGTCGATGTCTGCCGGTAGATGCGATGTGGACGCTTGTGCAGACCATGCTTGCGAATCGTCTCGGTCGAAGATGCTGGGCTGAGGTGGACCAGCTGGCGAGGTGTCCATCGGAGCCTCTGTGCCGCGTTGCCAAAGCATGGTCATGGCGTGCAACTTGGACTGCCCTGATGGTGTTGGTGATGCTCGAACGAGGAAGAAGGGGAGCAAACCTTGTTTGTGGCTTGATGAAGAGTGTTTCTTTCCGCCCAAAGTCGCGTTCAAAAGTGTTGGTCTCGCTGTCAATTCGGTCTAACAATATTGGAAATTCTCCACATGGCTCCGAGGCTCAGTTGGACCCTTGACGACCACCTTCTCGGACATCGTTCAAGCCATCAGCATCCTTGCACGTCACAATCTCGTGTACCGGATCCAATCGTTGGCTCAGCAGTGATGGCGTCGAGGTAGTCTTGAACAGCTCGAAGTCATCACGACGTCACAATCGGACGCTCCTCGCGGTCCTCGCCGCCGCTATGTCGCTCAAGCCGCTCACTCCCCCGCTGCGCTTCTCAACGGTTGCATTCGCATGCACAGACGAGCCGCAGCCATGGCAGACCATCGTTTCAGCTGACAGTGCGGACCCTCGCTCGCATCCGCACCATCACGAATCCGTCTACAGAGGAGCATATCCGAAGACGCGGAACCTCTACTTCCTCTCCCGCCTGCATCTTCGAACCGTCCTCAGTCTCACGCCTAGACCGCTCGACAACGATGAAGCTCTTCTGGCCTGGTCAACATCGTCTACGGGTTCAACCACCTCCTCTTCGGTAAGCTTGGCCGACAAAGTATCGAATGCCGGGATACAGCTGCTCCACGTGCGCTGCGAGAAGCCCAAGGACGAAAGTGGCGGTCTCACTCGCGAAGGTGCAGCTCGAGCGCTTTCGATACTGCTCGACCGGCGCAACCACCCGATATACGTCCACTGTCTAGATGGCGTCGAGGTCACAAGCACCCTCGTAGCCTGCATGCGCAAAGTGCAAGCCTGGTCCAATCCTGCCATCCTCGCCGAGCTCGGGCGGGCTCTGCGCGACTCGAACTCGTCCGAATGGGTAGAGGTCCCCTCGCACCTGTCGTCTTTCCTCAACAAGTTTGGTCAGCCAGATGGCATCCGACTGCCTCCGCGCAATCACATTCCAAGCTGGCTCTGGCCTTCGCCGAATCCTTTATCTGTGCTAGCAGATCCGTATGCGTGGGCAGGTCCTCCCAGTGCTAACGGTCACGAGCAAAACGGCGCCAGCTCGGGCGGATCTTCGACAGCCCCTTCGCATCCGACCCACCATTCACGGCGGGACAGACAGCTACCCATCCACCATCCGACCCTCAAGCTTCACTTCGACGTCGATCCGGATCTTCCGCCCGAGCCTGCTGCTGCCCCACCACCCATCTTGGCAGCCTCAACCGCCGCCTTGTCGGCACAACGCCCGTCAACGCCGTCCCGCTCACTACAACACTCGCGCACGTCTTCGTACAACAGCATCGCCAATGTGCGCTCGCCGCCGCACTCGCGTCCGGCCAGTCGCGCCGGTCGGCCGTCCCAACTTGCCTCCAGCAGATCAGCGTCTCAGGCGTCGGAGGACGACAGGGCGGGTTCCAGCTCAGCGAGGCGGTCGGAGAGCACAGCAAGGGACTTCTCATTACTAGGGCAAGGCGGAGATATGGCGACAAGCGCGGTCCCGTCGATCGCAGCATTCCTCGAGGACCAGCTGCAGGACCATTCCAGCGCACCCTTCTTCCACCACGGCGTCCACGAGTCGCCGACACGCCGGTCGCGGTTGATCATCGAGACTCTTCCTTCCTCACTCCCTGATCGTTCGAGTCCAACAAAAGCGCACGCTCCTCATGCGCCATCCGATGCCGACGAGGAGATCGACGTGAGCACGCCACGCGCGCGCCCCACCACCTCGAGCACCATCGGCATCACCGGCACCATCTTTCATCACGACGACGAGATCACCGATAGTGAGGATGCCTCGCCCGCGCGCAACCTGGGGTCTTCGCGCATCGTGGTGCCTCTAGAACAGCGAAGGCGGTTGCTGGACGAGGCGGATGGTGAGGCGACGCCGACTAGGACGAGCGCGATGCACAACGCCGTTCAGAGGATATCGCGGGACGAGAGGGAGTTGCAGGGACGTAGGCAGGAGAGCACGGTTAGCGTGGACAGCTTCGAGAGCTCCGAGGGCGCCGATCGAGGGCAAGACATGGTGCAGTCGCCCACGGCGTATGCTGACGACGAAGATTACGTCACGCAACGCCGGAAGGGTGGCTCGCAAAACGACTCAGATCAGGACGCAGACGAATCGCAAACAGATGGATCGCAATCGGAAGAGGAGGCGGAGGAAGAGGAAGAGGAAGAGGAAGAGGAAGAAGACGAGGACGAGGAAGAGGAGGAAGAAGAGGAGGACGACGAGGACGAGGATGAAGATGACCTCGCACTGGAAGCTTTGGATCTGGAAGGTTACTAACAGGCTGCGTTCACAGGCTGCACTCACTGACAAATCTCATATCACAATCACAATCACTATCACATGCAGGCCAAAGGGAACGTGCTTCATCGTCCTCGATTGACTGATCTACGACGTGCTTTCCTCCTCAGCACCCTCATTCGCACCGCCAGCCACGCCCTTTTTCTTACCCAAAATCAACTTCTTCGGCTTGGCCTCACTCCCACTGCTCCCACTCGGGGCCATCGGCACGCCTCCGGGTCCTCCGCCGCCAAACATAGCTTTCCACGTCGCATGGTCCCTCCTCTGCCTAACGCGCTCAGCCTCAAGCACGCCGCCAGTCTTGCGGAGCACCTTCTTGTCGACAAACCCGGCGAGCTCTTCGCTGAAGTCGTCATTCGTCTTGCTTGCAGCTAGGTCCTTTTGGCGCTGTCGTTCGACGGCTTGCAGTGCGCGCAGACGCTTCTCGTGGTTCACTGCTTGAGATTTGACCTCCATCATGACGGTCGACAGTCCTTCGTGACCCTCTTCGGGAAGTGGAGGGATGTATTTCCCTCCCTTTCCAGAGCCACCACGCAGCTTGACCACCTGCTGGATGTTGCTGAACACCTCCTTGAGGGCGGACAGATCGTCGCGCAGATCCGAGAGAAGCCCCTCTTCGTGGTTGAGGAACTCTTGCTCGTCGACGATGTTCTGCAGCTCCGACTCCCACGTCTTTTTCCAGCTCGGCTTGACCGTCTGCACGTACCCCTCAAGCTCGAGCAGGCCGTTGGTGGCGCGGTCGACGTCTTCGACGATCTGCTTAACCAGGATCGGGCGCGGCTTGACTCCGCGCTGAATCACGTCCACACGAAGGTCATCCACAGTATCCTGCAGGTCTTCGATGAGCGTCAGCAGGTCTTGCGATTGCGTGTCGAGGCGTGCTTTGCCCGCGACGATAAAGTTACGCTCGGCGGCCACCTTTGTCGAGGCAATTGCGCGGACTGCACCAGCCTGCTCGCGGACCGTCGAGAGGATCGACTTGACGTCGCCCTCGAAGTCGGTCTGCAGCTGACGAGTAACAGCAAACTCGCGGCGAAGGTTTTGCAATTCGTCGAACTGCACTTTGAGCTCGCGGGCGATGCGCGATCCTGCCAATGCGGACGATGTCGACGACAGGCCGGCTGCTGCTTGCGCTGAGTCTCCATCCTGTGCCAAAGACCCTTCGCCTGCGCCTCTCGAAAGGCGAGCGCTATTACGATTGATCTCTGCCACACGCTGACCGGCCGCTTGAAATTGTGAATCGCTGATCCTGGTCGGCGTTGTGTGGGGCGGCAAGAGCGTGTCGGTCTGCACCGTCGACATGCGACGGGCATCGCGGTCGCGCTCGGCAAGCGCCGCTTTGAGCTCGCGCAATTCTCGTGAAATATTTCCGAGTGACAGGTCGAGATGCTGCTTGACCTGGTCGAGCGGTTCAATGTTGAGCGTGAGCAAGCTTCCTTCTTGAACGTCGCTGAGATCCTCGAGCTCGTAGGTAACACCACTGGCAGGGTCCTTGACGTAGATGGTGGGAAAGTCTTCCATGCCAGGCGAGTAAGCGAATCGATCGATGAACAGCATGCGCAGTCTCGCAACGCTGATGCCGCGGGTCATCAGATTGGAAGCGTCCAGTTCTATGGCAGCTTTGCGAGTCTGACGACCGAGTTGCAGAAAAATATTGATTGAGTCGGTCGCGGAGCTCGAGCGGGCACGCGGCGTGGCGAGGAGGGCAGTGTCGTTGCTAGAGCCGGGGGCGGCCTGGGGACTGCTGTCGCTTGCGTGCACTGCATCCCCCGACTCGGATGGTGGGCTCTGCACATCGACAAAAGGGAGTGAGTCGGTGGAACTCGCTGCCTGCGAGGTGACGCGCTTGCCAGATGAGGCGGGTGCAAGTCGGTCTGTCGCTTCCTTTGAAGCTGGACTCGCAGCCGTAGCAGATGGTGACTCCTGCGAAGCTTCCCTCCTCTTCTCTGGCGAAGGTGTGCGGATATCGGGAGGGAAAGTAGAAGTGACAGGCGTGTTCACTTCTTGAATCGATTCGAATTTGCTGTCGACCGTGGCGGCACTCCTGGAGCGAGGCAGCGGCCGCGATCCGCTCAAACTGCCGCTGCTGCTAGAAGAACCAAAGTAGTCGGCGGTTCTCGCAAATGTCGAAGGACTCGTGAGACCCTCCAACGCTGGACTGGAATCTGGTAGCGGGGGTCGAACAACGCGACGTGCTCCGCTGCCCCTTCGTTCGGCAGGCTTGCGCTCAGCAAGAGGACTTCCAGCCGCGCTACCGCCGGACGAAAAGATGCCCATTCCCATGCCTTGGCCATAGCCCTGCCCAACACCCATCTTGTTGAACGTGTAGGCGCTGAAGCGCTTGCTTGCGCGTCGCTCCAAAGCATCTCGATTCTTGAGCGCCTTCATGCTCGGGTCGTGCTCCGAAATGTCGGGCCTGTCGATGGAGGACTTTGGCGTATGTCGAGGTGAACGCACACTCATGCGCTGCGGTGTCAAGGCGGTGAGCGGACCAGGCTGGCCGGTGTTGCGCTCCTCTTCTTCTTCATCGTCTTCTTCCTTTGATGCTGCCACGCCGGGGTCGACGAGGGAGTACTGCTCAACATTGGCCAGGCGAGGCGTCGCTTGAGCCGTCTCGTCTTGCTCGGTTTCGGAAGACTCGAATGGAATCTGAGGCAGAGCGGGCGACGGGGACTCGCTGACTCCTCTTCCTGTCGAGGGGCCGCTTACCGCGCGTGTGATGCGGCTGGGTGGGCGTGAAATGCTAGTTCGGCCGACAGCAGCATTCGCTGCCGCCACGGCTTGTGAATCGGAATCGTCGCTGGCTGTCTGCGTGGGCAGAGCGGTGTTCGCCGAGCTAGCACGCTTGAGAGCATCAGGTCGCTGCGATGGCGAGGCATGTCCAGTTTGCTGCTCGCTGGGAGCTTGAGCTGCACCCTCGCTGAAGCCTTGACGGGAAGCGCGTGGGCCGAGCACACGATGTGATTGGATTTGCTGCTGCTGCTGAGACGTTGGAGTCGATGGTGCGGGCGGCTCGGGCAATATGCTGGACCGTCTCTTCTCTTTCGCGGCACGTTGCTGAACAAGGAATTGCTTGTATTCTGCTTGCTTCATCTTGAGCCCCTGCAAGAGGTTGATGATGATCTCGCGGATCCGAGGCAGATGCACTTCGAGAACAGCGGGTGCAGCATCTTCCGATAGGCAGCGCTCGAGACAGTCTCGCAGGTCGTCTGGCACCGAGTTGAGATCACTCATGTCGATACCGTACGAGCTGAAGGCAAGTTTGGCCGAGTTGAAGTCGTTGCCAAGCCGGACATAGATGTCCGAGACGTCTTCTTCGCTACGCTGGCCTACAGACCACTTTGTGAGCGATTCAAGCAGCATCTTTGTCGCTACCAGTAGCCGCGTCACGGAAGACTCCATGTGGCTCGACGAGTACTTTGCTGGTGAGTCTGGCGCAATGCTGGAGGCTGCAGCTGGTGCTGGAGTGGAAACTGCTGAAGACTGGCTAGTCTGACGCTCTCTACGGTCTCTGTCCCGCTCGACCTGCCTCTGCCTTTCTCGTGCACGCATCTCCTCGGGAAGCTGGGCTGGTGTTCGTGAGTACTGACTGCCGCCTCCAGGACTGTTGTAGCCCGGCCCCGACGTCGAGCCTCCACTGTCCTGACGTGTCATGTAAGAACTGCTATGCCCGCTCGATTCGTTGGATGGAGATATGGAGCCCTCCTGCGCATATACATGTTGAGGATGGCGAATGCGCTCTGCTGTGACGTGCTGAGTCGAATTGGAAAGGCGGTGATTGCTGCGCTCGCTGGAGGCCTTCCGGCTGTTCATGAGGTTGGAGAACATGACGACGACGACGTTGTTGACCAGACCGGATCGCGCGACGGGTCGAGGGTGGTGTCGTTTTCGCCGCCTTGCTCGGGGTTTGCGCCGCGATCGACGGATCAAGCTGATGCTTGACTGCGCTTCTCGGCGAGAATCGATGGTTGATTCAGGCTGAGTCGCTTATAAGCTGTCGGAGGCATTGGCCTCTTTGTGATGCTGGTCGAGATGTGCTTTCGTGGTCCAAGCCCAGCCTGTCTCGGTTGCGTCACCCCGATCCACCCGATCTGACCATTTCCTGGTCAATTTAAGGGTTCGCATTTTTGGAGTGAATTTAGAGCTGCGAAATGACGCTTTTTTCCATGATTTTCGAGGCAAAGGCTGGCTCAGCCGGCGTTATTCGCGGTCTTGAAACTTTTATAGTCCCAAGAAGAAAGTTGTTGCTCGCCATATCCTCACCATCAAACCATCACTCATACCTGATCGCCATCATGCCAGCAACAATAACACCACCGCCAGAGCTCGAGGTGCTCACATTTCTCTCAGATTCCAATGCCCAGGTGCGACAAGTAGCGCTCAGCAACATCGTCGGCTTCAGTTCAAAGGACAGTCCCCAACGCTCCCTCCTCATATCCAAGCACAAGAACCGAGATGGGTCCCCACTGCTTGGCCGCGATGGCAAGGAAGTCGACACCGTCGAAGACCTCAAGAGGCTGTGCCAAGATCAGCCTATCACTGCTCATGACGCCTTCAGCGCACTCATCAACATCTCCGACAGTCTCGTCCTAGCACGCAAGATCGGCGACAAGACCTTCCTCGAGTTCCTCGTCCGGTACATTGCCGACCCCGTCTCGCTGCTTGCCGACCTCGCATGCATGCTATTGTCTAATCTCACAAAGCTTGAATCAATCTGCGCCATCCTGCTCGACCTCCAAGTGCAGGCTCGTCCCTTCTACAGCTTCATGGCCTCAGAGGAGATGGAGGGAGCCCTGAATGGCATGGACGTCGAGCCGAACGATCCAGAGTACGCGGCCAAGAAGGCAAAGGCGGACGAGTATGCCAAGAAAGTAGCGGAACAGGCTAAGAAGATGGACGAGAAGGTGCCAGCCATGGCTAGGTTGCTGGATGCTTTCGAGGAGGGTGCGACAGTTGCATCACAGGGAAGCGACCTCGAAGCGATGAAGCAGCGCGCTAAGGACGCTGCCACCAAAGCAGAAGCGGACAAGGACAAGGACAAGGAACCAGAAAAGGTGGAGCGAGGACTTGACGGTCGACCACGCATCAAGCGCAAGACCAACTGCAACTTCCTCGCCAGCGTCTTTGCCAACGCCACGGTTCTGCCAAGAGGCAGGGACTGGTTCGTCACGCCTCTGTCTGCATCTTCTTCAGCAACTTCAGCGACAGCACAAGCAGCCCTCGCCCGCGGTGTCGATGCACAAGGCTCGATCCCGGCAGCGACAGAATACCCGGTCGCCCGTGTCATGGCCTTTACCGAGCATCCCAACCTCATTCGCAGGGGAGGCGTCATCAGCACACTCAAGAACGTTCTTTTCGTCAAGTCGGCACATAAGCTTCTCGTCGCGCCACCACCGCCTCGTGACGGCGAAGACGAGATGCTCGCAGGCGCTCTTCGTGCCACCACCCGCCCGCCATCCTCCGTCGACATCCTGCCATACCTCTTGCTGCCGCTGTGCGATGGCAAGGAGCTCGCCGATGTGGATCTCGAGGACCAGGAGGACCTGCCAGAAGAATGTCAGATGCTGCCAGAGGACAAGAAGCGCGAACGGGATCCAGCACTTCGACTCATGCTCGTCGAATCTCTTCTCCTGCTTTGTACCAACCTCTACGGACGTCAGTGCTTGCGTGCACGAGGCGCCTACGTCGTTGTCAGGTCAGCGCACCTGGTCGAGTCGGACGAGAAGATCGCAGAGTCGGTGCTCAGGCTGGTCAATATTCTCAAGCGAGACGAGTCGGCGGCCACAGCCAAGGACCTCGAGGCCGAAGGAGGTGCGAACGAGGAGGACGTCGGCGCCGAAGTACCGGAGGAAGGGGACAGCGACGACGAAGATATGCAGATTGAGGAGCTATGAGTAAATTACATGATGCTTGAGAAAATGCTATGACGATTGAAAGCGTTCGATGAGTCTGAGACATTTGCCGTTAGGAGCGACACCTTGCTCGTACCAGATGTAGTTGACGACGTCCCATTGCTGATGGCGGATGGCGAGCTCGAGCCAGGACTGGTCCAGCTTGAGCAGCTCGGGATCAGAAATCCAATAACCTGGTAGCGGGATCTCTGTGACGGCCAGGGCACGTCGAAGCTCATCATCGGGCCGTGCTCCGCTTACGAGCAGATCCAAGAAATCGCGGGATCCGTTGCGGATGGCTATTCTGGCGGCGAACCCATCTTTGCGATTTACATCCGCTTTGAAGACGAGCAGAAGACTTGCGAGAGCAAAAGCGCGACGTTGCGCCGCCATGGCCATACCAAATCCATCGTGCGACGATGCATCTGCGCCGTGAACGTGAAGCAAGAAAAGGAGCGTGTGGAGATCCTCTGCGCTCGGCACAGGTCCTACCTTGGCTTTGAGGTGCTCGCCCTGCGGCTCAGTGTCGAGCCTCCAGTATGCGTTAGCCAACATCCTTATCAGCTTCGACATCCAGATTGGGAATCTTGCGTCCTCCTCCGCCTGATCCCTTGCGATAGACGAAGATTGATCGCAGCGCTTCCTTTTCTTGCTCGGTCGAGACCCGCTCGCCGACTCTGCTGTGTCGTTGGCTACGTCCATGAAGTCGTCTTTGTAGCCAAAGTGGTCGATGTGGCGGAAGATCCTCTTGGGCAATTGGGGTCTGATCGCCAGCACTTCGGCTACAGCATGTTTGTAATCGAATCCCGCTCTGATGGGATCGTCCGTCTCCGATCGATTCAGTGGAGGGAAGCGTGGGAGATTGTCACGCGACGGTAGTGCCAAGTCGAGATCAGTGATCTGCGTCAGCCATCCCTCGGCGCGATCCACCACTTGCTCCAACATCGGCACGGTGGCGATGCCAAACTCGGCAGCAAAGGTGAGCACATCCAGATGGTGCGTACTGATCAGAGACAGATTGCAATCTGTCGGCTTGAACGGAGTGCCGTCGCGGTCGAATGTGGCCAGGCGACTGGCGAGGCTAGCACAATCTCTGTGCTTGCGTTGGCGGCATGGTTCTGATGCCGCGACGGCAATAAAGTGGTCAATCCAGCGTCCGAGAATGTAGTCGGCTTTGTCAATGGTGGCTGCGCTGCTGCAGACTTGGCGAAAGAACCGACTGGTGACTGGGAATGCGGAAGAGCGGGAATAGACCAAGATCCGGTGAATGATCTCGATGGGAAGATTTTTGATCCCAACAGGCCTTCGCTCTTCCGAACTGATGAGAAGCGGTTGCGCCCCACCTCGGCCTGCACTCATACGGGATGAATGCTGGCAGACCGAGTTGCTGCTTGAGGTGGTTGGTAGAAGACTAGCCTCAGAACGGCGTTGGTCAAAGTTTGCTGTTCCTGGTCAACCTTGACGTGCAGGCCAGGGTCTTCCAAAAATTTAAGGCTCAGCCTCCACATCTCTCGTAGATCTGGCAAGATCGCCCGATCTTTTCAAAAGAAAAAGAAAAAGAAAAGAAATCCGCGAAAAAATCGAATGAATTTATTCACGATCACGGATTCACCATCCATCCAGATCCATCCGGGAGGCTTATACACCATCTCTGGATGCAAAAACATAGTTGCTTTCCGTAGAAAGCGTCTCTTCTGAGCGTTGTAGAGCCATCCATCTGCTGGGGCACTGCTAATCTTCTCTGTATCGTTTATTTTTAGATCATATGTCAAGCCCCTTTCGGGGCCGACAAACGATGGTTCCGGTCGAAGAGGATGTCAAGCAAGTTTGGGTGTGCGCGGTTTAGCAAGGTGCCGTGAAGATAATTGGGCGAAAAGGATCATGTCGAACGAGCCGGAGAGCAAGCGGCAGCACGGCGGAGTATGGTGAAGAGCCTAACATACTTGTGCTGCCTTCTCGATGTCGCTCTGACGACTTTGCTGGTCTTGGGCAAGACCATTAGTGCCTCGCTCTAACAAGACTTCAGCGGTGAAGAATTTGCTGGCGTTGAAACATGGCGTTGGTGATCCGGGAACTTTGATTTGCATACCATGCCAGTCGACCTCGCTTGCTTGCTTGCGTGCACCCGCAGCCACAAACAAGACTGTCTGATATTCATGTCGGCATCATGTTCAGCTGACAGGATCTGCGCTAATGCACACAGGGGATCAGATGAGGTTCAAGCGTCCCAGCATTCGAAGACACAGCACAGCTTGACGGCAGCGCTTGACTCGAAGGGCAAGAATCTTGTACGACCCTACGGCTCTCGGCAACCGAGCAGATCCGGTCACCGTGTGAAATTGTGTGACTGGCAGCCTGCAGAATTTCAAACTGTGCAGCGCGGCGGTGAGTTGGTTAGTCGCCCTTTTCACGTTCAGCCCAGTCACATCCGCGCGGGCCGTCGAGACCAACACGCTTCCTTCCCTCTCTCCGCTCCGCTAGCATTGTTCGCTCGCCCTCCTTCTCCGCACTCAGCACCCTCTCTCTCCGCAGTTCGCTTGTCGCTAGCCGGTACAGTGCCGTCCCCCCCCCGCATCCCCGTTTGGTCCTCCGCCCTTCTTCCAAACAGGTCACAGCTAGCCCACACACCAACCGACCACCACTTTCGCAACCAATACAACGCTCTCTCGCCCTCGAGCTTCTTCGGGACGATCGTATTGATGTTGTTGAGCAGACAACGAAAGGGTCTCGAGGTAAGTCAGCCGCTATACTGTGTTTCCGCGACTGTTCATCGCTGACACCTTCTCAACCATCCTCGCCTCCAGCTTCTTTCCCGCGCTTCGTCCTCGCAAACCATCCTGCAACGCGTCGCTGCTCCTCGATCCTTGCACACATCCTCACCAGCCATGTTCGCTCTCACTCCTTGGCGCGGCACGCCAGGCACACAGCCAAAAACTTTCAGTCAGCAGAGGAATCTTCCCCGTCTGCCTGTACCCACTCTCGAGCAGACCTTCGACAAGTACCTCAAGTCGCTCTCGCCTTTCCTTCACCAGCTCGAAGAGCAGGGCAAGCTCGAGGGCAGCACAGCCGAAAAGGAGATCGCGAAACGCAAGCAGTGGGTGCAGGACTTCCTCGCAAAGGGCGCTCTCGGTCCAAAACTCCAGCAAAGGTTGGTCGACGTCGACCGCACCACCGATAACAACTGGCTCGATGACCGATGGTGGCTTCAGAAGGCCTACCACGAGTGGCGCGTGCCCCTCATGATCAACAGCAACTGGTGGCTCATGTTCACCCACGACCAGAACATGCCCACCGAGACTGGCCAGCACAAAGGTCACGACGCTTACCCCATCACTGGTCTCGGCTCCCAGAACTGGAACGACGCTGCCTGGGGCATTCGACGTGCCGCTTGGCTCGCATCGCGCTTCCTGCAGTTCAAGGTTCGACTGGACAAGTGAGTAATGCAGCCCGTGCAATCTAGGATGTCGTTTACCAGACGAACCGCTGACAGCCTCTCCTACTTCTCTGTCCCCTTTCTGACCTTTCTCTTTTCCTTGCACCGGGATAGCGAGGACATCATGCCTGACTCTTCCCGTGCCGGTCCGTTCTGCATGCACCAGTACACTCGGTGAGTTACCGAGCAGCGCGCTGACCTCGTCCCCTTTCCCTTTCCTCTTTACTCTCGAACACGCTCACTGACCATCAGCTCGCTGGTTCAATCGTCCCGCCCGCAGACTGTTCGGCATCACACGCATCCCTGCGCTTCCCCACGACTGGAACACTGCGACACCACACCCGGCCACCGCACGACACATCACCGTGATTGTGCGCGACAACTACTACGAGCTCGAGGTCATGCGAAAGGACGGCACCTTGCTCGGCGTTGATTCGATCGAGAAGGCCTTCTGGGACATTGTCGCTGACGCACAGAAGGGCGATGGTGCTGGCGTCGGTGTGCTCAGCTCCGACAACCGCGACACGTGGACCAAGGTAAGTCCTTCTCCTTGCAGAATGGCAATCGTCTCTATGACGCCCTACTGACCACTACTCGAATCCCTCATGCCTCTCCTCACAGACCCGCGAGCACCTCCTCAGCGTGTCACCCGTCAATCGCAAGAGCATCAACTCGGTCGAAGACAGTCTCCTCTGCGTTTCGCTCGACTCCAGCGTCTTGGCTCTCTCGGCGGATCACCCTGCGGTTGCTCACGCGTGCACCCCGCAATGGGTCGATGCGCTGGCACGCAACGTCAGCGGTGCTGGACGAGGCGGACACAATCGATGGTTCGACAAGGCGCTCACCATCGTTGTGGAGCCCAACGGACGTGCAGGTATCATGGGCGAGCACTCGCCCTGTGACGCGCTCATTCCCAGTATCCTCTGCGACTATGCCGCTGCCGAGCCATGCCCTCCTCCTGGGTCTAGCGTGCCCGCCGAGGTGAGCTCGCCCAACGAGTCGGCCGGCTGGAAGAAGCTCGAGTGGGCCATTGACGACTCGACCAAGCAGTCGATCCAGCAGTCCGAGGCAGCCGCTCTGCAGGCGGCTCAGGAGTCGGACATCCGCACGCTCTGGTACGACGAGTATGGAGCTGATTGGATCAAGAAGGTGGGCAAGCACAGTCCCGATGCGTACCTGCAGATGGCGCTTCAGCTGGCCTATGCCAAGTCGCACGGTTACCAGGTGTCGACCTACGAGACGGCTTCAACTCGACTCTTCAAGCACGGTCGCACGGATGTGATCCGCTCGTTCAGCGACGAGGCGTACCAATTCGTCCGCGGTGTGCGCGAAGGCAAGGACGCCAAGACGCTCTACGCCCTGCTCACTGCCGCCACCAAATCGCACAACACCCAGACCCGCGAGAGCTCGACCGGCAAGGGTATCGACCGCCACATGACCGGTCTCCGCCTCCTTCTTCGCGCAGAAGACGGTGAGACACCCGCCATCTTCAGCGACCCACTCTTTGGCGAATCCCAGTCGTGGCGTCTCAGCACGAGCGGTCTCAGCGCTGGCGACCGCTTCGCAGGCACAGGCTTCGGTACTGGCTATCCCACCGAGTCGTACGGCATCAACTATCTCGCCGGCGCCCAATTGCTCAAGTTCGGCATCGAGTCCAAGAACGGCGCTACGACCGGATTCGCAAAGTCGCTGGTAGAGGCGCTGCGTGACATGCGCAAGATCTGCGAGCAAGGTGGACCCCCGCCTGGCGCTACGGAGGCTCCCAAGCTTTGATGCAAGTATGTCAACAGCCTTCGAGTAATAGAATGAAAATGTGACATTGAGCTTCTGACGAATTCGAGAGCGATGGCTGTGTGAGGCTGAATGCGCGACGCTACTGGATGCTGAGACGACGACGCACCGAGTTACCCGATGAAGAGGCCACTTGCGGTCGACAAGCATCCTCCTCTAGGCGTTGACAAAAATACAAAGATGTGAGATTTTCGTGTGTATTGCCGGGATTGCCGATTGGCGTCATAGAATGCCCGCGGTGATTGTGAATCATCGACCGTGCACTTTGTTCTTATCGAACCACCATCGCATCGGACCGTCATCCTCGTCTTGATCCATCTTGTCCATCACCATGGCTAATCTCATGACCGTCTTCGCCCCTCGGGATGGCCTCGAGGCTACACAGACCGCTATCATCCTCCCGCCTTCGTCTCCGACGCCGTTCACCTTCACCTATGCTCGTCTTCACGAGCTCGTTCTTGACCTTCAGGCACAGCTGGCGTCGTTCAACCTAGCCCCCGGAACCTCGGTCAGCTCTTCGCTCATCAACGGTATCGAGTTCACCCTCGCTTTCCTGGCAACGGGCGCTGAGAGGCTCGTAGCTGCCCCTCTCAACCCAAACTATTCGCAGGGAGAGGTTGAGTTCTACCTGCAGGACACCAAGTCACAGCTGCTGCTCCTTCCCAAGGGTGCGCTCAAGGCGGGTCACCCAGCTCTAGAAGCAGCCAAGAAGAGCGGCGGTGTCGATGCCGTCGAGATCATCTTTGACCCGAGAGGCGTCGGAAGCGTGTCGCTGGTGCGTGCCGATGGCAGCAAGGTCGGCAAGAACTCGCAGATCCGCAAGCCGCAGGACGAAGATGTTGCTCTGGTGCTGCACACGAGCGGTACCACCGGCAGACCCAAGGGCGTACCTCTGACGCACAAAAATCTCTACACGACTATGGGCAACATCATCGGCACCTACAATCTCACGCCCGTCGACCGCACCTACCTCGTCATGCCGCTCTTCCACGTCCACGGTCTGCTGTGTGGTCTGCTGGCCACCCTTCTGTCCGGCGGTAGCGCCGTCATCCCTCCCAAATTCTCGGCAAGTGTGTTCTGGAACGAGCTGTCTAGCAACAATTGCAACTGGTATACCGCTGTGCCGACGATTCACCAGATGCTACTCAACTCTCCGCTCCCCGACCCAGTGCCCAAGCTGCGCTTCATCCGATCGTGCTCGTCCGCGCTGTCGCCTTCGACCTTCCACTCGATCGAGAAGACGTTCAAGGCACCCGTGCTCGAGGCGTACGCCATGACCGAGGCGGCACATCAGATGACGTCGAACCCGCTGCCGCCGGCCAAGCGCAAGCCTGGCACTGTCGGTATTGGCCACGGTGTTGAGATCCGCATCCTCGACGAGCAGGGACGCGAAGTGCCGCAGGGCACCATTGGTGAGGTCTGCGTTCGCGGAGCCAACGTCACTAAAGGCTACCTAAACAACCCCAAGGCCAACGAGGAGTCGTTCGTGACGCTGGCTGAGAACAAGGGCTTCTTCCGAACCGGCGACCAGGGCCGCAAGGACGCCGACGGCTACGTCGAGCTCGTGGGCCGCATCAAGGAGCTCATCAACCGATCTGGCGAAAAGATCAGCCCACTCGAAGTCGACGCTGCGCTGCTCGCTGTCGAGGGCGTGAAGGAAGCCGTCTCGTTTGCCATGCCCGACAAGCTCTATGGTGAAAAGGTCGGCGCCGTCGTCATCCTCCACAAGGGCAAGGAGAGTCTAGGTGAGAAGGAGATCCAGCAGGCCATGCAGGGCAAGCTCACCAAGTTCAAGATCCCAGAACGCATCTGGATCACCGACGCCATTCCTAAGACGGCGACCGGCAAGATCCAGAGGAAGAATGTCGCTGCCACCTTCCTCAGGAAGGACGGCGCCAAGTTGTAAAAGATACAAAAGGCATTCGATATGACTTGGCCGTCTTGCTCTTCTTCTCTGTCCCTTTCGAAATCTTACATGTTGGAAAAATCGAGTGTTGGTCTCGCGCGGTGAGAGTTGTCTGTGTGCTCTTGGGATGCAGCTCACGCGTCGCGCAAAGTGAGAGACTGTCGAAGCTGAGCCTGGAATCGAGCTGGTCAGGACCCTGAGACCGAAGCGCAGAAGAATTAATCGAATGGCTAAGCTGAGCTCTTGACGTCGGTTCCTCCCTCCGACGACCATCTCGGCTGCCACCTCCATCATCGGTACTCTGCCGAACATTCTCTCACGATGGCCCCTGTATCGACCTCAACCATCAGTCATCCCTCGGCAGGCCCGTCGTCGAGCAAGCGCAGAATCGATGAGCCACATCAATCGGCATTCACCGATACACTGAAACGACTCAAGGAAGAAGCCGACTCGAATCAAGAGGTGGATGACCAAGCACTGTGGCCACGTCCCTATCTCGAGCCTCTGGATGTCGACAATGACGCTGTCACCTTCCAGCAGATCGACATTGAAGAGCACCAAGCAGTTGGTCAGCCACCCGCCATTCGCATGTATGGCGTCACTGCCGAGGGCCATTCAGTCTGCGCGCACATCCATGGCTTTCTTCCTTACTTCTACATTCACGCACCGCGCGGCTTCACTGCCAACACCTGCAATGACTTCATCAACCATCTCAACGTCCTCTTCGGCGGGCGCACTGTCCACAAAGCGGAGATCGTCAGCAAGAAGAGTCTTATGGGCTACGCCGGCCAGGAGAACGTTGCCTTTATCAAGCTCACCATCTCCGACCTTCGCAGCGTCCCAAGGATCCGTGGCTCATTCGAACGCGGCGAGATTGGCTTCCGAGACCTCTTCACACCAGGCGATGCATGCCTCACCTACGAGAACATCGCATACACCCTGCGCTTCATGATCGACCTCAAGATCGTCGGCATGAACTGGATCCGCGTCCAGGCTGCCAACTACAAGCTGCGTCCAGATAGCCAAAAGATCTCTCACTGCCAGATAGAGCTCGACTGTAGCTGTGACGCCATCGTCTCCCATGCACCCGACGATGACTGGTCGAAGATCGCTCCTCTCCGCATCCTTAGTTTCGATATCGAGTGTGCCGGTCGCAAAGGTGTCTTTCCAGAACCCTCGGTCGACCCCGTCATCCAGATCGCCAACATGGTAACACGGCAGGGCGAATCGACACCCTTCGTCAAAAACGTCTTCACTCTCAACACGTGCTCTCACATCGTTGGCAGTCAGGTGCTCTCGTTCAACAAGGAGATCGACATGCTCGAGGCCTGGACCAAGTTTGTCCAAGAGGTCGATCCGGACGTGGTCATCGGCTACAACATTGCCAACTTCGATTTTCCCTACTTGCTCGATCGAGCGAAAGCGCTCAAGTCGACCAAGTTCGCATACCTCGGCCGTGAGCGAGGCGTTCGCACAGAAGCCAAGGACACCCACTTCTCCTCCAAAGCCTACGGCACGCGCGACTCGAAGAACACCGAACTGCAAGGTCGTCTTCAGCTCGATATGCTTCAAGTCATGCAGCGTGACTACAAGCTGCGGTCCTACTCGCTCAACTCGGTCTCGTTCGAGTTCCTCGGCGAGCAGAAGGAAGACGTGCACCACTCGCTCATCACCGAACTCCAAAATGCAGGCCCAGAATCGCGACGACGTCTCGCAGTCTACTGTCTCAAGGATGCCTACCTCCCTCAGCGTCTCATGGATAAGCTCATGTGTTTCATCAACTATATCGAGATGGCCAGAGTGACGGGTGTTCCCTTCAACTACCTCCTCTCGCGCGGTCAGCAGATCAAGGTCGTGTCCCAGCTCTTCCGAAAGGCCAACGAGGACAACTACCTCGTCCCCGCTTACAAGGGCGAGGGAACCGAAGACCAGTACGAAGGCGCTACCGTTTTGGAGCCGAAGGCAGGATACTATGATCGACCTATCACCACGCTCGATTTCGCCTCGCTGTACCCTTCCGTCATGATGGCGCACAACCTCTGCTACACCACATTGCTCGACAAGAAGACGATCGACCGACTCGAGCTCAAGCAGGACGACGACTACGTAATCACGCCCAACAACAACTACTTTGCCACCAAGAAGCTTCGCAAGGGACTTCTTCCCACTGTCCTGGAGAACCTTCTCGCAGCTAGGAAGCGCGCCAAGGCCGATCTCAAGAAGGAGACAGACCCTTTCAAACGCGCTGTGCTCGACGGTCGTCAACTTGCACTCAAGATCAGTGCCAACTCGGTCTACGGTTTCACTGGTGCCACCATCGGCAAGCTGCCCTGTCTCGAGATCTCGATGAGTACCACTGCCTACGGACGACAGATGATCGACCAGACCAAGGCGTACGTCGAAAGGCACTATACCATCGCCAACGGCTACGACCATGACGCCGAGGTCGTTTACGGTGACACGGATTCGGTCATGATCAAGTTCGGCACGCCCGACCTCGCCAAGGCGATGGAGCTGGGCGCCGAAGCAGCAGGTCTCGTCTCTAAGACCTTTGTCGACCCCATCAAGCTCGAGTTCGAGAAGGTCTACTTCCCTTACCTTCTCATCAGCAAGAAACGCTACGCTGGTCTCTACTGGACCAAGACGGAAAAGTACGACAAGATGGACACCAAGGGAATCGAGACGGTGCGACGAGACAACTGTCGGCTGGTGCAGACCGTCATCGATACGTGCCTACGAAAGATGCTCATCGACCGCGACGTCAAGGGTGCTGAAGAGTATGCCAAGAACATCATCTCGGATCTGCTGCAGAACAAGGTCGACATGTCGCAGCTCGTCATTACGAAAGCGCTCGCCAAGGCAGACTACGCGGCCAAGCAGGCACACGTTGAGCTGGCGGAACGGATGCGCAAGCGTGATGCTGGTTCAGCGCCTGCGTTGGGAGATCGTGTCGCCTATGTCATTGTCAAAGCCGCCAAGGGCGCTGCAGCGTACGAGCGGTCCGAGGACCCGATCTACGTGCTGGACCACAACATCCCCATCGACACACGATACTACCTCGAGAACCAGCTCTCCAAGCCGCTGCTGCGCATCTTCGAGCCCATCATGGGTCCCAAGGCCAACACGATGCTCACGGGCGAGCATACCCGTGTCGTCCAGGTGGCAACCTCCAACGTCGGTGCGCTCATGAAGTTTGCCGTCAAGACCGTCCAGTGTTTGGGATGCCGCACGCCGCTCAAGGACCAGAACATGCCTGTGTGCAAGAACTGCAGGCCCAAAGTCGCGCAGCTCTACCACGAGAAGCTGGCGCGCGCCTCGGCACTCGAAGTCGAGTTCGCTAGACTGTGGACGTGCTGCCAACGATGTCAGGGGTCCTTGTCGCAGGACGTGCTGTGCACAAACAAGGACTGCCCCATCTTCTTCAAGAGGAAGCGCGCGCAGAAGGATGTCGAGGACGCGGTCCACGTAGTGCAGCGCTTCGATACGGCGTGGTGAATGCAACTTTGTCATTTCCGCGGATCAAGTGTGTGAACTCGACCGCCCGGCGCGCCCAGCGGGCGCCAAGATGAGCTTACGAAGTCGTTCCTCCCCAGTGGCAGCCCAACCAAAGACTTGAAGTTGTGCATGAAGGCTTTGCGACGCCTAAACTCTCGCGGACCGGATAGTAACAGTCTGGTAGAGCGGGCCTCTGCCGTGCCATGCAAAGTGTCACCCTCGAGCCACGGTCCGGAAAAGTCAGCATGCTTTTGCGGAAGCGTGCAGATGGCCGCGGAGCCTAATTTTACGGTCGTCATGCATTGCTACTGGTACGCCACACCTTCATTTCAGAGCCAAACCCCCTCTCGGAAATGACCGCGAACGCTCGACCTATGTCCAACATCGAACCATCCCTCCAGGGTCGGCCTTGGGCTACGCTTCGTTCGCTCTAAGCGCTCTGGAGCTGTCAAAACCAGAAAGCCGACGGAAGCCAAGACTTTTTCCTATGGCTGGCGCCACATGCGTGCGAGCGCAAGCTCGTCGGACAAAGGCGAAGACGGTGTTGTCTCGGTCTTTGTGCAACTTCATTTGGCAAGATTGCCGACTCGCTTGTTGGCAGACTGTCCACCGGCGCTGGACAAAAGGACAAAGGGACAAGGGACGGACGGGATCTCGTCTTTCGTCGTGTAACGGTGTGCAGCACGCAGGTGACGCACAAAAGGTTGGATGCGCCCGAAGCGCTCACCCCGAACAATGGGTCGGCTGCAGAGCATGTTCCGCGACCCGTCTACCGAGCCGCGCACAATAGGCTCATCGCTGAGGCTAATGAAGCGACGAGGTTCCAACCCAGCGGTACCGCTGACAGGCGTCTTCATGCGCGCGCACTGTTAGCCTCTACTCTGCGGTACGGGCGCTAGGAAGTTTGAATAGGCTTAGATTCGGTCCGGTGGCAGAGACGTCCGCCTCACTTCAGCCGGCTGGGGTGACTCTTGACGCTCGACTCTTCTTGGCAAGCTGAGACTCTCCGTGAGAAAGCCACGGAGGTGAGGGAAGGGCAACGAGTGCGCCTCATTTGGGGCCGGCTGGCTGGCTGGGTTCTTTGTTCGTGTGGTCTACTGAGCGCGCCTCGTGTACGTGTATAAAGAGCGAAGGTTCGATGCTCGTCCTGACAGGTCCTTGCCTTGACAGACTCCCGTTTGACGTCCCTCCGCCATACCGCACCACTCTGAACCCGCACGCAACTCGGAGCACCATGTGCTTCCCTACCGTCTCCGACCACACCCCTTCGGCCGAGAGCAGCGCCTCCTCCGCTTCCCAGTCCTTCCCCTCCTTGACACCACACTCCTCCAGCACGTCCTCCCAGCAAGTCTACTCGGAAGGCTCCATCCGCAAGCGTACTCAACGCGCATGCGAAGTCTGTCGTCGCAAAAAGGTCAAGTGCAACGGCCAGAAGCCGTGCAACCAGTGCATCGCCTTTGCCGAAGAATGCAACTATGTCGACGTCAAGGACCGTTCGGCGTACAGTAGGAGGTATGTCGAGTCTCTCGAGGCGCGCATTGTCGATCTGGAGAGCAACCAGGTGCAGCTGCAGAGGAATCAGGACGTACTCTACCAGATGGTGACGGGTGGGACACCGATCACGGGTGGATCGCTGCCCACGCAGGTCGTGCCTGGTCAGCAGGCGCAATTCGGAGTGCTGAGGCGGGCGAGTGATCCCGGGACTAGCGGTTCGGGTGGCTGGACGGACGGGCGAGTTCAACGCACCTCGCAGCTGCAGCTCACTCCGATCGACGATGGCGCTCGATTCCAGCCTCAACAGCCGATGGATTTGACCTCGCTGTCCGCCATGACCCTCGCGTCGGGTGCATCTGGATCCAGCGTCGGCTCTGTCCAGGACAACCATTCTACAGCGTCATCGGCAGCCTTGGCGCCGGTCTACAAGTCCGAGCCTGAGCCGATGATGGAGCGGCAATCACAGCGAGTGTCAACCATGGCTACGCACGGTGCATCAGCCCGTATGATGTCTAACAAGAGGTTCCGCGCTGCCACCATAACGCACAATCCCTCGCCGTATGCTGTTTCTTCAAGATCGAGACCAGAGACTGCGCCTTCGACAGTGGCACATGCTGCTCATGCCACGTTCGCATTTGGCGCGGCAGCTGGCACGCCGGAGCAGTGGACAAGGCCAAGCGCTTCTAGCATCTCTCCCGAACTCGCACTTTTCGCATCGCCGTCGAACCAGCAGCAGCAACCGCCCACTCAAACAGGCCAGATGCAGCCGCAACAGCAGCTCGACCTCAACCTCCAACAGCAGAATCTCACGGCAGGCCTCATCGACCAGATTATCCACGATCAACCCGCACGGCAGGCTCCGTGAACTTTTCATATGCAATACAAGCTTCCGTCATCACTCAAGCTCAAACAGGTCTGAATGTTGCATTGCAAGCCACGTGAAACTAGGACGGCGGACCGGAGGTGGAAGGCGAGGTGCGGTGCGTGACACGAGCCACTTTGGCCTTGAGCGAGCTGAGCTGGTTGGCTTTCCAGCTGCGGAGTGTTTGGTGTAGGCCCGCTTGGGTGGTTGTTGGTTGCGAGGGGGGTTGTACCGGCTCGATGGGAGCGATTGTGGACGGTGCTGGCTGAGACAGTGGCTCTTGAGTAGGGTCGATGTTGGGATCGTCCGCCTCGGCGTGTGTCTGTGAGCCAGACGCTATCGGCGCTGAGAGCGGAAGCAACGCGGTGCCATCGTGTGTGTGTGAGCCACATTCACCCTGGATGCCGGGCTGCAAGGGATGCATCATCTGCATCAGCAGCTGGTCGAGCGCACGTCTCTGTCGCGTCTCCTCATCGACCTCCCCACCCTGTCCGCTGATCGCGCCCTGGCCGACCAGCTGACCGTCGAAATCATACACGTTACCCTGCACCTGACCTGCTTCATTGGGGTCAGAAAGCGCTACAAAGGCCGAATTGGACGCGTTGATATCGTAGTACGGTGCCGGCGGAGCGTCTGTGTAGCTCGTCGAGGAATCGATGGCGGAGAAAGAATTACCAGGCTGAGCGTATGCAGCGTCGTAGCCTGCCGCAGTCGCGTGTTGAGGCTGGGCGTAGTCGAGCCAGCAAGGTTCAGGCGGGACCCAGTCACCAAGTCCCCCATAAGCCTGAGCAACGGCTGGGCCCATGTGCAGGTTGACGCTGTGTCCGGGCTGCTCCGGGCACGGCTGACCTTGGTATATGGGGTAGAGGTCGGGGTACGTCTGAGCTTGATGTGACGGGTACTGGTCTGGATATGTCTGATCTTGATGATGTGTGGGGTATTGATCTGGATACGTCTGAGTTTCATGGGTTGCTTGATGTGTTGGGTTTTGGTCGGAGGAGACGTTGCTCTTCTGCGAGCTGGAAGGGGCGGTCGTGTAGGAGGTCTGACTGGAAATGCCGCTTGCAGGGTCCTGGGTGTACGGCTCGTATGTCGAGCTGGCTGTCGAGCTCCAGAGATCAGGCTGCTCGAGCTTCAAAGCAGGTTGACTTGATGACGGATGATCGGATGCGAGGTCTTCCTTGATCAATGAAGAGGGAAGCTCCGGGTCCAGCACGGGTGCGAGACCCCTCATGACCAGTGAGGCTTGCAGGAACGCGCGTCTCTCGGGCGGCAGCGCGCCCTTGACCGCTTCGAAGAGGCTGCACTTCGGCTTGGTGTAGCCCGGTCCGGTTGGAGTGGCTGGCTCGTCGGTGGTAATGGCCTGACCGATGGGAATCGGCGGTGCTGGAAGAGGAGCGAGAAAGACTTGCGGTGCACGGAGATGCTGTGGAACGAGCGTGTCGAACGAGTTGTGCGTCGAGGCGGCATATGCCAAGTGTCCATCGAGCGACCTACGCGCAGGCGAGGTTGCAGTGCGCATCGAAGAAGTCGGGATCTGACCCGTGGGGCCATAGGATAAAGACTCTGAGAGGAAACTGGCCTGTGGATCGTCCGGCGTGTAGAGGAGGACCGGCGCATGATCTTGAGACATTCGATGAGCGTGATGCGCAGTGGGAGAGACTGGAGCTGTTGATGATGCGCGGCGATGGCGAGTAGTCGAGTAGGGAGACGCTTTAGACCGCGCTCCATCGAGCGAAGCTCTCTTCCGGCCACTTCCAGAGCCAGAGCCCGACAAGGGACCGCTGATGTCGCCGGGCGAAAAGTCGGTGTTCTCTCGCTTCTCGGGTGTGTGATCCGCGGTCGAAGGCCCGACATCCTGGCTTAGGCACTTTTTGACGTTCGCAGGCTTGAAGCGGTACTCGGGGTATCTCTCTGCGTGTTCTCTTGCTGCTTGATGCGCCTTTTCGTAGAAGGTGGCCTTGACGTCGGCTGCCTCGTTGCGCCACAGCTCGCCAATAACTTTGCTCAGACGGCGCTGGTGATCGAGCTTGTCGAGACCAGTATCTGTCGCAGCCGAATTGTTCTTCTGGCCTTTGAGCTCGCGCATCTTGTGGGATCGATAGAGAATGAAAGCGTTTGGCGGGCGAGGGATCTTGCGTAACACAGTGGGAGGAGCCGAAGGAGGTGGTGGAGGAGGAATCTCGGCTGGCAGCTCAGCGAGGCTCTTGGAGCGAGCACGAGCTTTGCCGCGAGGCTTCGAAGGGCTTGCCTTGCCGGTGCCATGGTGGGTCTGAAGGTTGGCGTCCATCTCGAAAGAAGTGAAGATGTCGAAAGTGCAGCTTTTTTGGCGAGCAAAGAGGCGCTGGGGTATAAGTGTGCGAAGGTGAGGACGAAGAGAAGACGGAGACGAGGCGATGCGTGACCAGAGATTAGAGTTGGAGTGATCGTGACGAGTCAGGACGTGTCAGGCGTGGGAACTGGCGATGTGTGGGGCCAATGACTTTTCTCGTTCAGCGCGATGAGGCTGGCTGTCCATGAAGGAAAGAAGGACCAGGTCGAGGGGCGGACAGCTGCAAGGGCTTCAGTTCCGCACCTGACAGCTGAACCGTGCTCTCTCTGAGGCGGTCGCGGACCATTGAGACTTGCGGGAATGCAAAAAGCAGATTGTGCGGGAAAGATGCTGAGTCGAAGCGAAAGAATGCGAAATGGGGTGGGCGCTGCGATTATGCTCTGGACGGCACGCAAATGAAGTCGTCCGCAGATCCAGCTGAGCCCACCTTTTTGTTGCAGCGAGGCTGCGCCGAGCGTTCAGCGCTGCAATTGATCGGCAGGATACCTAATGCTAATGTCGACCCCACTACGACAAAGCAGATCTGCATTTGAACGCTGAGCTTGACTGCCTGTATGCCGATGCTACCTGGTTCGTAAGAGTTGGTCAATGGAAGAAGTGAGACGACAAGCACATCAACAAACAACAAATGACTGCCCAAACCATTGACGGACAAGCTTAAATTGTGACGAACAAAGGGAGCCAAAGGGTCCAGATGCCAATGTCACACTGCATGCAGCACCTGCATGAGACGGTGGGGCATTCCATTGTGCGTTGACGCCCAAGAACAAAGGGGCATCCTCAGACTCCGATGTCAGCCAAAGACATCCATCCGGCTTGATGACGGTGAGAAGTCGTCTACGACATCATGACCCACATCTTGAAGTGCTCTCCGCATATGACTCTCTCGCAACGACGTCAAGTAGATGTCGTTTTGGTGTCGCCATGGCGACACAATCTCAAAAAACCATGCCAGACGGGACGAACCTGACCGAGTCAGGTTGAGCATACTGCACGCTGATGAACCAAACCTTGAAATCGCATCCGCCGACTAGTCTTGAGTGAGCTGCGCAGCGCAGAAAAAGGACAAGTAGACATCCTTTCTGTGTGTATCTTTCTTTCCCCTCCTCATCATCTTCTACACATTTTTGCCCGTCATGAGCACTCTTCGCCTTGATTGGGACGCCCTTCGGGGCATGTCGCACTTTGACGATGCCTCGGCCATCATCGACTTTGCCGAGTCACATCGGGACGCGGGCACGGGGCGGCTGACACCGTCTGCTCCGGTCGAGGGGCGGCTGCTTGAGCGTCTGTTTTCTTCGGCGCCGACGAAGCAGCATTTGTTGGCGGAGCTTACAGGCGACGAGGTGTACTACTGGTCCAGTGCCACGCTCGCTGTGGTCTCGGCGGGGACGTACTCAACGTTCATGCCCAAGCTGTCGGGGCCAGCGCGGTCGCCGCGAGGGCGCACATACGTGCCTTGGTCCGCCGAGCAGTGGAAGGCGCTGGTGAACGACCGTGGGCTGAAGTCGTGCAAGCCTCAGAAGGTGACGCCGGCGCTGTTCCCGAACTTGGCCCTCTCGCCCTCGGCCGTCTTTGATCCCTCCCGCTCCGTCGGCATGGACAACCCCGGCGCGGTCTACCCGGCGATCGTGAGCTGCCTCAAGTCGCACGTCTCGGTCGTCGTCAGAGGAGCCACGCTCTTCATCACGTGGCCCAAGACCCAGAAAAACCTCGAGGCGGTGCAGGACTGGCAGATGCTCGACACGCCCACTTGGCCTGCTCTTCTCCATCTCGTGCGCCACGAGCTCGAAGACCCTCGGTTCAATTATCTGACCGAGGGCGAGGCGATCTACAAGGCGCCTGGACAGACGCACATGACGCTCAGTCCGAAGGAGGCCGCAGTGTACTGCATCGACGCAGTGAATCCGAGTCCCGCAGAGTGGAAGGACACTTTGTCTGCCTACGAATGGAGCTTGGACCACTACAAAAAACTTTCGAGGGAGAAGGAGCAGGAGGCCAGACAGGATGCGATCGTGGAGCTGGAGACCGCGTTGAGGCTGTGGCAACAAGTCAAGGGGCTGCCGAAGAAGAGGACGAAGGACACGACTTCTGAGCGGGAGTTGAACAAGTCCATCGACAGGCAGAAGGAGGGTCTTCGGCAGATGCGCGCAAAGCCACGACGACGCGCAGCGCCAACTCAGGCGGCCCCTTCCTCAAGCAAGCGCACCAGACGCAGCAAATAGCAAACGACTCTGTGTTCTTCCTTTTCCTTCATCAGAACTACTAATGACGACGAACATTAAAGAACTCGTCCGGGTGCTGAAGTGCTGCCACCGCTCTGCGCTGGTGGGTGGTGAGGAACGTGAGTCCGACTTGGAAGCTCGAGTTCATCCAACCGAATCCTTCCCTAGGCACGCACTTGAAGTCGATGCCCTGATTGCCGTACTCGGCGTCCACCATGTGGGACAGGTTGACGGCGTCGAACTTCTCCGGCACGGTGCCGTTGAAGTCGACGAAGGCGAGCGTCATCATGTACAGCCACCTGTACGCGAGACGTCTTGCCTCCTCAAGATAGCCGTATCGCTCGAGTCCGACCCAGGCGAGCACGTTGTGCGGGGGCCAGGCGTATGGCCAGTCCCACTGTCGGTTGGGTCGGTCGATCGAGATCTTTCCCCTCGAGTCTTCCGTGCCGGAAACGAGACCGCCCTGCTCCTCGAAGCGCCGGAGCGACTTGCTGACCAGCTTGGCGGCTTGGTCTTCGGACGCCATACCAGCCCACATGGCCCAGAAGGACGTGACACTCTCATAGACGATGTTCTCCTCGAGGCGAGTGTCGTAGTCAAAGTAGAGGCCCATGCCGTCGTTCCACATGTACTTGTCCACCTGCGCCTTGCGGTGGGCGGCACGAGCGAACCATTCGGCGCTTGTCTGCGGCGTCTCGATGGAGCGAGAGGGCTGTGATGGGCCCTGGCCGTCTTTGAGCAGCGATGGCGGGAGAGGGCCGTGCAACGGAAAGTCGTCCTCGAGCACCAGGTGGTCGTCGAAGACCTCGCGGATGGCGGTGGCAATGTCGATCTCGTACTTGTAGAGCAAGGCGTTGAGGTCGATGGTGGCGAGGTCGGCACACTTGCGCTCGAAGCGGTACGTGGTGTCGTGACCCGACTCGCGAACGGCGCGATCGTGCATAAAGTAGGTGTCGAGCTCAGGCTCCTTGATCTCGCCGTGGTTGTACTTGCGCGTGAACTCGTTGACGCTGCAGCCGTGCTTCTCAGCGTAAGGGCGGAGGATGTGGGTGAAATGCGAAGCCTCCGTCTCGGGCGGGACCCCGAGACCCTCGGGTCGGTAGCGCGAGAGCCAGGTCTTGTCGTCGAAGCGTGGCTTGCTCATCCAGACGGTGTGGTACTCCTTGATGGCAGCCTGGATGGCTTTGCGCAGCCACTCCTTGTTGTCAGCCTCGTTGGCGGGGTCGAGTCGAGAGTAGACCTGGAGGGCCATGTCGGTGAGGAAGGGAGGCTGAGCTCGCATGAGGTAGTAGGTGCGGTTGCCGTTGAGGATCTTGCCGTAGTGCTTGATCTCAAAGATGAAATGGTCGACGGTGCCCTTGGCAAGATCGATCATGTTGTCGACGACGAGACCGAGCGAGATGAAGTAGCTGTCCCAGTTGTAGAGTTCGTTGAAGCGGGCGCCAGGCACGACGAACGGAACGCCTTTGAGACCCTTCTTCTCGCCGGTGGTGGGATCGATGTCGTCGCGCATGGCGAGGGCAAGCAGACCGGGTTTATCGTTGAGATCGCGGGTGTATTCGGCGGTGATGTTCTGTGGTAGCGATTCTACGGTGAGGTTGAGGGCAGGACGCTCTTCGGCTACCTTTTGATAGTACTGAAGCATCTCGGTCTCGGAAGCAGGAACGTAGATGCGTGGATTCTGGGACTTGCTGCGATTCTTGGGGTCCGACAGGATGGCGTCGAGGCCGTCGCCGTCGATACGACGGGTGAGGTTGTGCCAGAAGGTCTGGGTGATCATACGAGAGAGACGGTCGACGGGGTTCTCGGTGAGACGCGATTCGTCGAGCACGATACGCTTGCGGCCGTGCTCACGGGCGAGAGCGAGTTCTTGGAGGAGATTGGAAAGCATATAGGTACCACGGATGTCGAAGCCTTTGTAGCCGTTGGAAGTAGCAGTGCCGAGAGTGAGTACCTTGGGACCACTGTCGGTGATGCAGATCTGAAAGTTGCCGTCGGTGTCCTCTTGCTCGAGCACAAGGCGCATGGTCTCTTCGACATCGACGATGAAGCGGCGAGGGGCGTGCTGAACAGCGTCATGGCTCATACGTCGCGAGAGAATGACGGGATCGTCGTTCATGCGCTGGGGGCGACGCTTCTGCTGACCCATGGAGTAGGTGCGAACGATGCCACGGGCGCGCTGCATGACGCGTTGCTTGTCGTCGTCCGTGTCGTGGTGGGCGCTTTGGCCAAAGGTGTTGTTGAAGCTGGAAGAGCTCCTGCTGAGGCTGCCTGACAGGAGAGTGGCTTTGTCTTGATCTTCGCCGTACGCTTGATCGGCGTCGGGGAGATCGCCATTGTGAGGAGTGTACTTGGCACCACCGGCGGGGGTGAGAGCGCCAGGGATGGCAGTGGCCGTTGCTGAGCCAGACTGGCCGTTGGAACGAGGACCTGCTTCAGCTCGAGGGGTGATGGCCCCGTTACTTGCACTGCCAGACTGGACACTGTTCTTACGGAACGAAGGAAGTTCGGTGGTGCTGTCGTCGGAGAGCGCGCTGTTGCTCATGCTGAGCTTTCGCATGTGCTGAGCAAGCGAACGAAGCTGGGCGCGTTGATCCGCTGAGACATGTTCGTCGTAGTAGCCAGGCGTATCCTGGTTCTTTGTGAATGGATTTGAGGGGCGACGAGCCGACATGTTGGCTTGGATGATGCAAATGCGACGCGGTGTGTGAGAGAGGGAGAAGGAGCAAAGAGGCTGCCTACAGAAAGGGAAATGGCTGAGCCGTGCAGTACCGCGATAAGGTGACCGTGCGCAATCAATCCTGCCAGGATGACTCTATTTTTTCTCGCTTTTCCATAGCCGCTCAGCTGGTTTTAGTGTGGGGTGGCGCTGCACAGCGCACTAACCCTTTTCGTCAAAAAGGCCCTTTTTCGGTGGGGCATCTCTGTTTGCTCACAGTGCAGCCCTAAGTAGTCACCGTACAGCTCAGGTGCAGAGACAGGCCGAGTTGCCCGACAAGCCACAATCCCACCTTGTCCCTCTCCTTTTGACTCACACTTGATCTTCAGACTGACAGCACTATGTAGAGAGCGGCTCTCGATGCGCTTCCGTCTCCAAGTGTGACTCGGAATCCTTCTTTGCGATGGATGCTGAAGCTTGCCAGCTGCCAGCAGCTCCTTTCCGCTGCATCACCTCAAAAGATCGACCGAGCTTCCACCGAGACAGAGCAACACCGACAGACGTGCATCTCTGCGACGCCGCTCGCCCTCTCGAGAGCTTCGAGAATTATCATTTACCCAGAAGAAATCATCCGTCCGATCTCACAAATTGAATCTTTTACAAAAAGCTGATGTTGAGACGGCCGGTAGGAAGAAATTTGCGGGCTGGTTGGGAATCATCACGTGAAGCAGCCTCGAGCTGAGTCTTGTGGCTCTGGTCCAAGTCACAGGCAGATGCGCAAATTTGGAAGATGCTGCGCCTTGGCTCTGATCTCGACAGGGCCCTTTGTCTTGCTGTCGACCACCTCTCCATTCGTCTTCGCATCCTCTCGCCGTCTCTCACCACGAATAAGATTCCGCGCTCGTCTCCAACATTTGTCGATACAGTCAGCATCTCGATTTATCCGACCAGCACTCGAACCGGTCCCACAGCATATCTTTACATTTGATTCCACCCGAACTATAGCCAACATGCGTTTCTACAAAAAGGAGCTCCCAGACGTCGACGAGGTGGTCATGTGCCAGGTACAGCAAATCGCCGAGATGGGCGCCTACGTCAAGCTGCTCGAATACGACGGTGCCGAAGGAATGATCTTGCTCTCCGAGCTCTCAAGACGTCGTATTCGTTCGATTCAGAAGCTTATCCGAGTAGGCAGGAACGAGGTGGTCGTCGTGCTGCGTGTCGACAAAGAGAAGGGATACATCGATCTCTCCAAGCGTCGTGTTTCGCCCGAAGACGTCGTCAAGTGCGAAGATCAGTTTACAAAGTCGAAAGCCGTCCACAGCATCATGGCGCACGTTGCCGGCAAGCTCAACCGCGAGGTCGAGGAGCTCTACGACGCCATCGTCTTCCCATTGCACGACAAGTACGGTCACGCCTTTGACGCTTTCAAGCTGGCCATTCTCGACATGGACAAGACCTTTGAGGGCATTCAGATGGACGACGAGGTGCGCAAGGAGCTCCAGGCCAACATTGCACGACGAATGACACCGCAACCCGTCAAGATCCGTGCTGACGTCGAGGTCACCTGCTTCGGCTACGAAGGTATCGATGCCGTCAAGAAGGCGCTCCGAGCGGGCGAGGCTGTTTCCACCCAGGAGATCCCCATCAAGATCAAGCTCGTCGCACCACCACTCTACGTTCTCATCACCAACTCGACCGACAAGGTGGGCGGTATCGCGCTTATGGAGCAGGCACTTGAAAAGATCACCGAGAGCATTCGTGCCAACGGCGGTGAGGTCAACATCAAGATGAGGCCCAAGACAGTCTCCGAGGTGGAGGACCAGGAGCTGGAGCAACTCATGGCTCGTGTCGAGAAGGAGAACGCCGAGGTCGAGGGAGACGAGGACTCGGAAGGCGACGAGTAAGCAAACGGGCTGCCAATGACATATGTATCAGTATCTTTTCCTCATCATCCTGTCAATCACCTTCATGGCGTACTAAACCGACGGCTCAGCAGCATCGGCCATCGACCATCGGTCGGCGTGTGTGATCTCTTGCAAAGTGTGCCGATCGGCTGGCGTCGGGCAATTTTAGCAGCAGGGCGGTTAAATACGTCAAAGCGCTGCGTGAGGCGAGAGGAAAAGTGTGACTGAACCCTGTCTCTTTATAGACGTGCCTCGGTCTTTGCGGCTGCTCCGTCATCCTCCTCCACCATCTCTGGCAGCAGCCGCACTCCCATTGCTGCCGAGTCTGATGAGTCAAATAGGCTCACCAGAGCAGCACGATGCAGCTGCAAGCGCGGCGACGCCTGCCATTGCGGCTTCCGGACCCCAGCAAGGAGAGGTCAACAATGCCAACCTCATCTTGATCGCGCTCACCGCCGGCTTGGGGCTGGCGTTGCTCACTATTGGACTTTGGAACGCCATCCTCGTCGTCGCCTTTTCTCTACTCCTCGTATGCAATCCGTGGGTGCGCACATTGCTCGAGCTTCCCAGCACCGACGGCAAGCGCGGTCTCAGCACCTTTGACCCAGCTCGCTACCTTCTCTCGTACACCGCATCTTCTACCGACCAAGTGGACGATGACGGCCAGCAAATCGCGGAGAAGTCCAGCGACGATTCCTTCACGCGTGATGACCAGCTTCAGGAGCTCACTGTCATGCCGGATGCGCTTCGGCAGAGCAGTCACACCATGATCCGCTTCGCCGTTCGCGATTTCGTTCAAAGCTGGTATGACAACATCAGCTTTGCCCATCCCAACTTTCCCATCTCTGCCGAGGCCAACATTTCACATGTCGCAGCCAACGTCTACCTTCGACTGCGTCAACTCAAACAGACCAACACAGCCGCCGAGATCTTGCTCACGGCCCAAAGTGTATTGCTCTCCTCGTTGCGGCGTCGGCGTTCTTCCACGCCGTATTCTTCGAATGCTGCTCCTTCGGCGAGGTCAACGTGGCCAAGCACCGCCGCGCGCATCGACGCGCTCCGCAAGGCAGTCCGAAAGTTCCTCTCTCGCAACCTGTCCCATGCAGAGCGCTCCAGTCCGGTATTGATGCTTCTGCTCACCGAAATCGTGGCAAAGCAAGCGTGGGAGGTCGCCCAGACCATCGGTGACCCAGACTTTATCAACCAGAAGATCGTCGAGTGGGCCGACCCGGCGTCAGAGACGAGCCTCGAGGGGCAAGCTATCTCGCCTGAAGAGCTCAATCGACTCCAAAGCCTCGACACCGCGGCTCTCGACGCCCAAGCGGTCGAGGCACTGCAGGCTCATCCACCTTCACACAAGTCCGCCATGCCAGCTAGCGCCGCCGCATCATCGGCAAATCCACATCTTCCACCAAGGTCAATATCGTCATCACAGAATCCATCATCGACGCCTAGTCGTGCCGAGGCGCCTCGAGGGTCTCGTCAGCAGAGTCCGGAAGCCTACGCCAGAAGCCGTCCAGCGCCTCTGCAAACTCCAGCAGGCAGCCATCGCACCGCAGACTCTTCAAAGTCTGTTGGGTCTTCTCAGCAGTTTCGTCCGCGGGTGACACCGCCCAAGAAGTCCAACAGCTCGGGCCCATTTTCGGCCATCGGCGGCTTCGCCACGGGTGCGCTGGGTGCTTTGGCGGACGCAGCCGAAAGAGCGGTTGACGTGGTCGGCGGCACCGTAGACGAGTTTGGCAACCTGCTTGTAGCTCCTGCTGAGCCGTCTCGTCGCGAACACAACAGCTTCGCCAGGCGTGACAGCTCCGGGGCCGGCGCTTCTCCACGCACTCGACAAGCTCCCCTTCCCGACACAAACGAGGACCGATGGGATTCGAACAGAGCACGTCAGAGACAGAGCGGAGGTGAGGGTCGTCTTTTCAGTAATGCGGCTCAAGCGTACCATCTGGACATGCCTTCTGGACTTGAAGAGCCACCTCTGCCCGAATCACTTCGACAGAGCATGCGAAACGCTCGTCCGCAATCTGGTGATTACACACAATCTGCCAGCACTGCAACACCCTCGAAAGGCGACAGCGTCGCGCATGCCTTTGACATCCCAGATACGCCCGAGAGGTCGGTCACGGGTTCGCCTTCTCTCGTCGCTCCAGCGCCCGTCTCTGCTGCTCTCAATTTTGCTCCTCGCGACAGCTTCTCGATGGACGAGCCCAAGCATGACGAGGAAGCATCGTGGGCAGCCATGTACTCGTTGCTCTCGGATCGCAGCTCATCCGCCTATGACGCCTTCGAAAGCTTCCTAGAACAGCCGAACAACCGCTTTTGTGCGCCCAACGAAGGCGAGTCGCTGCTTCGCCTTCACACTCAGCTCGACACGCTCGCCAGCATCATGGAATTCGCGACGCTCGATGAGCAGACCTTCCGTGCAGACGCGAGCACCATTCTCAGCAAGGCGCTCGAGACGCTGCCTGGCACGCTGCCTGCCACACATGACGGACAGCGCCCCGTGCTTGTCCGCAGAAGCGCGCAGCAGGTGTTGACCAACTTGGAGTGGTGCGCCAACATGGATGTGGTCGAACCGTTGAGAGAGACCATCATCGCTCGATTGGTGCAGCTTCACAGCGCTTTTCTTGTCAGTGGTACACAGCAAGCTGCGCGTCAGACGGAGAGCGCGCAGTCGAGTCCAATCACATCCAGATTCTCTGCCACCATGCCAAGGACAGACTCTCCGGAGCCGCATCAGCTCGGCATGCTCAGCAACAACAAGGAGAATCGGCTCAACTACTCGAGCACCGACTCGGATCTGGCGCCGTACCGCTACGAACCACGCAGAAAGACGCCGGCGCTCAGCCCGAAGCCCACGCTGCCGCAGTCTGGGACGCAGACTCCTCCGCGTGCTCCATCTGTCCCGCCTGTCTCGGCGGGTGGTGCGGTCATGGGACCGCCGTCGGGGCTGTCGAGACCCATGTCGGTGCCGCCTCGAACGCCGTCTGCGCAACCGAAGGCGCCGCAGATGGTGGTGCCAGGGCATTCTGCCGACCAGCCTCCAGGCACGATGCAGAGGAGCAGCACCGACTTGCAAACAGCTCACACCGGCACAGACAGTCCTCAGCCCTCGGCCGCGACCAGCACCGTCATCAGCATCACCGACATCAGCGCCAACGCTGACAGTGGAAGGTCGATGGACCTGCGGACGTTTGAAGTGATGATCTCGGTGGAAGGCATGGCCGATACGAGCGATGCAGCGTCCGCGATCAGCCCGGACGGCTTTGTGCTCGTGCGCCGATGGCACGAGTTCGAACAGATGGATGTCGAGATCCAGCGTCAGCCGCGGTCGAGCCACCCGCTGCCGCGTCTACCGGCGGTCAAAGGCAGAAGGAGCGCAGATGCGTGCCGCTTGCTGGAAGCGTATCTGTTCGATCTGCTGCAGCCAAGCAACCGGGCGCAGATGGCGAGCATCAGCGGGGCCAAGAGCTTCTTCGATCGGACACGCGCAGGAGCCTCGGCGGAGGATCTTCGGCGCAAGGGTGGGCCAGGCGCTTTCCTGGGCGGCATAGGCAAAGGCATTGTCAGCGGCGTCAACAGTGTTGGAAAGCAAGCGGCTCGAACCAGCTCGACTGGCGTCCAGGCTATTTCGACGGCAACAGGCTTCTCGGATGGGCTGCCTGCGCCGCGTCGACCGAGTTCCACAGCTCACTCTCCCATGCTGGGTTCTGGCCGCTCGCCTGATGGCGCCTCGCGCTTCGTCGTCAGCTCGCCCAACATCGACACGGCCTCGTCCACCACTTCGGCGTTCGTTTCGCGCACCAATTCGCCTTCGCCCTCGCCATCGCGCCGCACGCAGCCTGCACCGGAGATGAGCGCGCGCCAACTGGACATGCTTCTCTCCTCCGTGTTCGCCGTTGCGGACGAGGCATTCAACCTGCAAGGCGGGTGGACGTTACGACGTGGCATGCTGCGTGTGCTGGAGCAGGTCGTTCGGACCACCTATGCCTCATCGATAGTAGCTGGCTTCAACAATGCGGCTGCCTCGTTGAACGTGGGTAACTTCGCACGGTGGATCGAGGATCTGACGAACAGTCTTTGGCCCAACGGCAGACGGTGGGGAAGCGAGATCGGCACGGCGGACGAGAAACCACCGCGGACGGAGAAGGAAAAGCTGGCGACAAGGGAGAAGGCCAGGGAGATCGTGGTGAGCTATGCACCCGCCCAGGCAGGGTATCTGCTCGGACCAGGCGGGAAAGTTGCGTGTGTCAAGGCGCTAGCGGAGGTACATGCGACGTTGATGGATCCCATCACGGCGAGCGATTTGGGATTGACGGTCGTGCTCAAGGCGCTCGACATGGCCAGTCGATAGATTGAATGGGAACAACATGAATCATACACGATGATGCTGACATTGCTGTGAGGTGTGTGCATCTTGCACGTGTGAGACCTAGATGAAGTGGGATCTGCGCTGGTGCTTGCCGTCGATCAGCCATCATCGGCGATCTACCATCCGCGTCAAGCCTAAGGCTGAAGCATCCGCGGTGTGTGGCAAACCTTGCAGCGTGTGGGCAACCTTTCGCCAGCAAGGCAATGCTAGCGAGGGACGCGCGGGGAAAGCACAAAGCTGCCGGGGGGAAACAGACGTGCATCTCGCTTGGCGTCTAGCATGGTGCGCTGTCTCTCTCCCCGAGCGGGAAGGATTCTTCAACCTCGTGTGGGGACCCCGCACCGTTGTCGCTGCTGTAGAAGTCCGCTCGGTATGCGCTCTGCAGATGCGCTGTCCCAGACAAAGTCTGCGCGCTTGTTTCACTGGGTGTGCCGCCCTCTCTCTCTCTCTCTCTGCCTGGCTGCGCACAGCTTGCCTTCGCCATCTCGTGTCTCCAAATCGCGCCCAAGTCGGGAAAGTCTTGCAGAGCGGCTCCTGAGGGAATGTCAAGTCTCAGCTGAGTGTGCGGTCGAAGATGTGCCTTTTCGCACGCCACTCGGACGAGTCGAGTTGGCAAGGGGGTTACGCGCTTCGCTTGCATACCGGGAGGCGTGCATTTCACGCGCAAAGTCGTCGTGCCAAAAGGGGCAGCGGAGCTCGGGCTTATGCATGATTCTCTACGCGCGCGCAAGGCCAGCACCGCTCGGTCGCAGTCGCCCTACAGCTGCGGTACCCGCTTCACTCGCGTCGAATGGCCACCTAGAATCTTGATCGGTGCCAGTCAAGGAAAGACATAACTTTCTGGTCAGGTCTGGAAAGTGAGACAGAGCAAATGACCTTGTCACCGAAGCGACTTTGAAGTCAGAGAGGAATTGCCAGAAAGAAGGTTTGGCACAGGGTCCGCCCAGCTGCCCTCAGGGTCCGACTGGTGTGGCTTCTACGAGATCGACAGCGTGAAAAAACAGGATTGGAAAAAGGGCTCAGTCGGATTACCAATTCGGCTGCTTCCTATTCGTGCGCGCGCGTGAGCCTGAGCGCTTGCCGAGCGCCCGGTTTGAAGCACAAATACCGGTTCGACTGAATGCCGTTCTTCCGACTTGGCTGTGTTGCCTTGGTGGCAGGTCGTACAGCATACATTTCACTGTGTATAGAGTAAGGAGATTGAGCAGCAGCTTGCTCGATGCAGATGAGATGCTTCACGAGTCGATCAGCGATAGGTCAGCAAGCAGAAACCACGGGAGCGGCGGCTGGCGTGGCTGACTGGTGGGCTCGTGGGCTGGCGGTTGAATGCGCCAAATGAAGAAAAGCGCCTCTCGGTTCAAGACTGTGCAAGTGCATGCTTTGCTTACCCCGCATCCGCGTCGACGAGCAATCCTAAGCCTGTTTTTCCCTTCCTCTTCGCTTGCATACACGCTGCTAGCAGAGCCTCGGTTGCACAGGCCCGGACTCTCTCTCTTCCTCTGCTCCTTCCCGCTCCTTTGACCTAATCAGCGCTTCCGGATTGGACAAGCGCCACCACACCATCACCCCTCTTTCTTCCTTCTCGACCACATCCTTCTCTTTCCCCTACCATCCCCCAAGAGAACCTTTTCCGCCTTCACAAAATGTCCGCTCAACAGAAGCAGGCTCCTACGCAGCCTCAGCGCAAGGAGTACACGCGCGAGGAGATCGCCCAGCACAACAAGGCCGGCGATCTCTGGGTCGTCATCGACGCCGAGGTCTACAACGTCTCCAAGTTCGCCGAGCTCCACCCGGGAGGAGAGAACGTCTTCCACGACGAGGAGGTCGCTGGTCAGGACGCCACCGAGACCTTCTTCGGTCTGCACCGACGCGAGATCCTCGCCAAGCCGCAGTACCAGCGTCTCATCATCGGCAATGTCAAGGGCGAGCAGTCCAAGCTCAAGCCCGATCCTCTGGGCTCGCCTTCCCGCGTGCCTTACGCAGAGCCCACCTGGTTGGCTACCGCCTACCACTCGCCCTACTTCAACGACTCGCACCGTCACCTCCAGCGCGAGTGGCGCAAGTTTGTCGACGAGGAGGTCGTCGAGATCGCCCAGCGTTGCGAGGACAATGGCAAGCGACCCGATGTCGAGCTCGTCAAGAAGATGGGTGCTAACGGCATCAACGCGATGCGCATGGGCCCCGGTAAGCACCTTCACGGCCGCAAGCTCTTCGCTGGCATCAAGGGTGAAGAGTTTGACTACTTCCACGAGTTGATCCTCACCCAGGAGCTGGTTCGTATCGGCGCCCGTGGCTTCGGTGACGGTCTCCAGGGCGGTATGGTCATTGGTCTTCCCCCCGTCATGAACTTCGGTTCCGACGAGCTCAAGAAGGAGATCGTCGAACCCGTTCTCGCCGGTGACAAGTTCATCTGCCTTGCCATCTCCGAGGCTTTCGCTGGTTCGGACGTCATGGGTCTCCGCACCACCGCTACGCTCACCGAGGACGGCGAGCACTACATTGTCAACGGCACCAAGAAGTGGATCACCAACGGTACCTTTGCCGACTACTTCTCCACCGCTGTCAAGACCGACCAGGGTTTCGCGATGATCTGCGTGCCCCGTTCGTGCGGTAACGTCGAGACCAAGCAGATCAAGACGTCGTACTCCACCACGGCCGGAACCGCCTATGTGACGTTTGACAACGTCAAGGTGCCCAAGAAGTACCTCATCGGCGAGGACGGCATGGGCATCTACTACATCTTGTCCAACTTTAACCACGAGCGATGGGTCATGTGCTGTTCGACGATCCGAGCGGCGCGTGCGGTGTGCGAGGAGTGCATGCTGTGGATCCACCAGCGCAAGGTCTTCGGCAAACCTTTGACCAGTCAGCCGGTCATCCGTCAGAAGATGGCCCAGATGATCTCGCTCGTCGAGGCGGCTCAGAACTGGCTGGAGAACGTGACGTATCAGATGTGCAAGATGTCGTACGCCCAACAGTCCAAGTTCCTCGCCGGCCAGGTGGGTCTGCTCAAGAGCTGGTCCACTCGTGTCTCGCACGAGGTCGCCGACGGTGCCGTCCAGATCTTCGGCGGTCGTGGTCTCACCAAGACCGGCATGGGCAAGTTCACCGAGATGTTCCACAGGACGTACAAGTTCGATGCCGTCCTCGGTGGAAGTGAGGAGGTGCTCGCCGATTTGGGTATCCGACAGGCACTCAGGATGATGCCTGAGAACGCGCGTCTGTAATTGAACCCAAGTGTTATGCGCTACGAATGAATCGATTCCTTAACCCATCTTCGGCTTCTCATGGTGTCTGTGTGTCAGTGTGTGGAAACAATTGTGAGTCAAGGTCGAGCGTGAAGGTCGGGTGTGGCCGAGCTCGGACGGGCTGATCGAGAAACCATGCAAGGGGACCGCGATCAAATTGCACAAAATGAATTATTTCAGAAAAAAAGAATGATTTTATTCACGATCACGGATTCGCCATCCATCCAGATCCATCCTCGAGGGCTCTGCTCATACACCATCTCTGGATGCACAAAAACATAGTTGCTTTCCGTAGAAAGCGTCTCTTCTGAGCGTTGTATTGTCATCCATCTGCTGGGACATGCTAATCTTCTCTGTATCGTTTAGTTTTAGATCATATGTCAAGCCCCTCTCGGGGCCGACAAACGATGGTTCCACTTCAGAGATGATGTATGAGGCAAAGCTCGGGTGGATGCGATTAAGCGATTGCAGGAAACTAACGACGAGACTTGGCCTTCTTGAGCGACTTCTGCATGAGTTTTTGGTCCTCTGGGTTGTCCAATGACACCAACCCATCCTGTCCTTGCTCCACCTCCTCGTCGTCACCATCAACGGTCGTTGTGGTGTCCACCTTGTCGTTCTTGCTATGCGCGTTGTTGGAAGGGGGGCTGACCTTCAACTTGCACACAAAGAACCCATCCAGATTGTGCACGTGCGGGAAGATTCGTCTCGCATACACCATGCGCTCATCGAATTTGCTCCTCCCGAAACTCTTGAACCCATCGCGACCGAATTGGATGCCGGTGTCGACGATCTTGACGTTGCTCCTCTTGCGCAGGGCGTACTGGACCACCTCCTCGTTCTCCTCTGTCATGACAGAGCATGTCGAGTAGACGACGTAGCCACCGGTGCTCGAGCGCGGGTTGACACTGTCGATGGCACACAGCAGCAGTTGCTTCTGCAGATGCGTCAGCAGCGCAAAATCCCGTTCGGACTTGTTGACCTTGACACTCTGGTCTTTGTGAATCACCCCGGTTCCGGAACACGGCGAGTCCAACAAAACGCGATCAAATCCACCGATCACCTTGGGGAACTGGCGTCCGTCGTAGTTGCACACCACCACGTTCTTGCACCCAAGCCGATGGATGTTGGCGACGAGCGACTTGATGCGGTTCTTGTTCGAGTCGTTGGCGAACACGGTGCCGGTGTTCTGCATGAGCGCTGAGAGGTAGGTGGACTTGCCACCGGGTGCCGAGGCCATGTCGAGCACGCGTTCGTTGGGTTGCGGCGCCAGCGCGATGCACGGCAAAAACGAGGAAGCCGCTTGGAGCATGTAGTGCCCCGCCAGATACTCAGGCGTCGCACCGATGGGGACGGAGGACTCGAACACTTGAAGGCCCACCTTGGACCACCCACCGATGGGCTCGAGGTTGACGCCGCGGTTGATGAGTGCTTGGGCGAGGTCGCGACGTCGGGTGCGAAGCGTGTTGGCTCGGATGGTGACGGGACGGGGCGTCTCGTTGGCTTCAAAGAACTCGATCGCTTCGGCGGGTGTGAAGAGCTCGAACAGCTTCTCGGCCAGGAAGGCGTTGTAGCCGTAGTAGGTGCAGATGTCGGCGAGCAGCTGCTCGACGTATTCGGAGCGAGATCGACCGTCGATGGCGAGCTTCTTGAAGTTGGAGAGGACGGTGACGACTTCCTGGATGCGCATGTGGACGAGCTGGAGGTCGGCGCCGCGCACCTTTTCGGCTTCGCGCTCTTCGAGCGTGGGGAGCATGAATTCGGCGCCTTCGCCTGCGGAGTCGTCCTCGTCATCTTCGGCCTCTTCGTCGTCCGAATCGAGCTCCACCTCGTCGCCCTCCTCGCCTTCGAGATCCTCGTCGCCGAGATCGAATTCGTCGCCAAGCTCTGGCTCCGAGCCTTCCTCCGCGTCCTCGTCATCTTCCTCAAGGACATCAGATCCCCCTTCCGCCTCCTCCTCGTCGTCGTCGTCGGAGTCGAGCGACAGACCCTGGCTCTTGAGCAGCTCCTCGAGTCGTTCTGCTTCTGCGAGCGCCTTCTTGCGTTGCCTGTCTGTGAGCTTGCCGTTCTTGGGCAGGCCCAGTGCTGCTAGTGGATCTTCCTCTTCCTCCACTTCGATCTCTTCCTCTTCTTCCTCGTCGTCCTCTACATCCTCGTCATCTTCTCCTTCGAGCTCCTCCTCGTCCTCCTCTTCGTCCTCCTCCTCCTCAACAGGTGCGACCTTCGCATTCGACTTGCCGTTCGTAGCAGCTCGTGAGCTTGTTGCCTTTGCCCCCCTCGTCGCTGTCACAGGTGCACTCGCAATCCTCGCCTTCTTGACCGGCGCCGCGGAGTCTGCCGCCTTCCTCTTGCCCTTGTTGTTGCTGACCGCGCGCTCCTCACGCAACGGCTGAGGTGGTGCCTGCTTGTTCTTTGATCTGCGACCCATTGTGTTTGTTCTGTGTGATGTGGGTGGTGAGTGGAGTGAGGACGAGGTGCGGTGGCAGTTCTTCTCGAACAAAAAGAGGGTCTGGAAATTTTTGGTCGTGCAGCCATGGTGAAAAATTTAAGGATAGTGCAAAATTCTGGAATTGCCTTGGATGAAGCGGTCTAACAAACGGATAGATTTGGATCGGGGCCGATCGCCGCTCTTCGCTGCGTCTACGGACTTCGTTTTATGCACTCACATGGTAGCTTCGGCTGGTCGTGCAGCCTATCAAGGGCGGTGTTTGGGTCCAGAGCGCGGTGGCAAGACTCCTCGCCCAAGGGCGCACACTGTCAATGTCTGGGTGAGGAAAGGGTAGCAGCAAGGTTGAACCGGGAGACAGCCTCGCTCGCGGGTGCTGCAGGTTCGGATTTATGCTCAGCCCCGACCGGTCATAAAGGCGCGGTCATACGGAGAAGGCACGGACCCAGGCCGAAACTCCACTTGCCTCCAGGCTGACAAGCTGACACATATATCCCCTCCCGCCCGTCTTCCATCCCTGCCAACCGTCAACCATCAGAACCCTCTGTCGTCAGCGTCATCGCTCACGGAGAACAGCCAACATTCTAGCAACAACGGTCTTCCGCACGGCCATCTCACGCCAGGCCATCCGCAGCTACACCGTCGCCGCACGTTCTCTCCCACCCGCCCGCGTCTTATCGACTTCAACTTCGCGCTCCATCTCAACGACCGCTCGCGCCATGTCGGACAACTCCAAGAAGGACGGTTCTTCGGACTGGTCGAACAAGGACGGTCATTTCCGTCGTCAAGAATCCTCTTTCCGTACATCTATCGAGCCGAATGGCAAGCACGCGCCCGAGATCGGGCGGTACCATCTTGTCGTAGCGCTGGCGTGTCCCTGGGCGCACCGCGCGCTGATCGTTCGTCAGCTCAAAGGCATGGACAAGGTGCCGGACTTGCTGCCTGTTCACGTCGTCGACTCGCTGCTCGGTCCGGAGGGGTGGAGCTTCGTCCCCTACGAGGGCGAGCTCAAAGGTCTCGGTGTGCCAGGAACAGGCATCAAGATCCCCGGCCATGAGGACAAGAAGAGGATCCGAGAGCTCTACATGGCGGCCGATCCAAAGTACGAACAGCGCTGCACAGTGCCCATCATCTGGGACAACAAACTGGGGACTATTGTCAACAACGAATCGAGCGAGGTGATTCGCAACCTCAACTACGCCTTTGACGAATTCCTGCCAGAGGAACACAAGGGCGTGACGTACTACCCCGAGGAGCTGCGCAACGAGATCGACGCCATGAACGAGTGGGTCTATCCGACCATCAACAACGGTGTCTACAAGTGCGGGTTTGCCACTCTTCAAGATGCGTACGAATCCAACGTCGGTCCTCTATTCGAATCGCTCGATCGAGTCGAGAAACAGCTCTCGGACGGCCGCAAATTCTTGTTCGGCGGCAAACTCACCGAAGCTGACATCCGACTCTTTACCACCATCGTCCGCTTCGACTGCGTCTACTTTACGCACTTCAAGTGCAACTACCGCACCATCCGAGATGGATATCCGCACATCAACCGGTGGTTGTTGGGACTGTACTGGAACGATCCGGCGTTCAAGGATACGACCGACTTCGACAGTATCAAGGCGCACTACTTCCAGAGCCACCCCAACATCAATCCGCACCGCATCGTGCCTCAGGGTCCCGTACCGCACATTCTTCCGCTCAACAAGTAAACCCCTCCCTTCCCCTCGCATGTATACTCTTTTCGCACTCGTTGGAAGGAATCGTAGAGCAAATGTATTCATTCGTTGAGACCAAGTTCGACCGTCAGATCGGCCACATGTCGCTCCCGTCTCCCCAAAATGTCGGCGTATCGGATGCTCGCCTTCAACTCCGTACACGCCAAATGAACCAGCCTGTCCGTACTAAACAATCGACTGGTCACCGAATGAGCCAGGGCATAGAAGCTCGACGCGCTCGTCGTGGCCAACAGCTCGGACTCGTACAGCTTGAGGATCGCCATCGCGACTCGGAAGAGGATCACCATGCCTTCGACGAACATGACGTCCCACACCCGGAACAGCGTTTCGACCGGTAGACAGTCGGTGTAGAGCGAGAGGAACCAGGCGAATGTGATGGCGGGCAGATCGACTCCCAGTTCGGCGATGTGCGCGTGCAACCGGGGCATGTGTTCCTCCACCAGATCGATGAGCACGCGCTGATCGGCTTGCGAGACCAACAGGTGCGACGTGTAGTACTCGCTCGGGAGGATTTTTTCGATCAGACAGACGAGCACCCAGAACGCCTCCTCTTCGGTAGCGTGCGTCAGCAGCAGCGTCGCAGCGAGATTGTTCATCCCCTGACAGTAACCCGTGTTGGGGTTGTACCAGCTAAACGCAACCAACAGTCGGCGCAGCTTGGCAACCCCCTGTCCATCGCCGCCAAAGAAGATGTTGGTCGGCATGGTGCGGTGCACATCCAAATCGATTTGGGTCAGACAGTCGTTCGTCTCGCCCTGGTGGTCCGATAGCAGCTCCTGGTAGCGTCCTGGCTCGGCAATGTCGTTGGCCCCACTGCACTCGGCCCAGATGCGAGCACGATAGCAGAGCGGAATGCCCGTTTGGCAGAGAGCGAGGAACTCGCGCCAGTCTTCCTTGCCCGTCTTGGAATCGCCCATGCGGTTGACGCCGACCATGCCGGACGACCAGTCTTCTTCGGGCGCCTTTTCGGCCGAGCTGAGCGCTTTGGCGCCGTCGGCGGGCGCACCGCCGAACAGTCCTCCTGCCAGAAGCGCTTTCGTCTTGCTGGAAGCTGAGCTCGCGATGGACGTCTTGGCGGCGCTGCTGTGGGTTTGCGCTGCAGCGGAGCCACTGCTCGTGCCGTTCGTGTCGGCTGCATGGAGTTGCGCTCGCCTGCGTTCTAGGAACGCATCCCATCGCTGCTTCTGCTCCATCTGCTGTGTGTCGTGCATGTCTTTGAGCTGCGTGAGCAGTCGACGGACGGTGTTCGAGATGGATGGGAGCCCAAGGTTCGCCTGACCTCCTCCCTTGACAGGACTCGCGGATCGAGAAGACGTATTGGAGCGGGTTCCGCGTCGATTTTTGGTGGGACTGCTGCGCGTGGGAGAGGGCGACGGCCTAGATACGGCACTGACTGGCAACAATTCCGCTTGTACAGGCTTGCTGTCCGGGACCGTCAACAGGTTGCTCCGACGCTTTGCGCGTTTGTCTTTGCTGCCGGTGCCGTCTGCTGCTGCGCCGCCATCGTCGGAAGCGGCGCCTTCCATGCCTGAGGCTGCACCCGTCGAGGGAGCCGGTGAGGTGGAGCGAGAGCCAGCCAGAAGCTGGACGTCGTTGTGATCCACCTGCGAGGGCAAGACAGATCGATTGACCTTGACAGCGCGCGACAGATCCATCTCGTCTTCGGACGAGTCGGCAGTGTCAAGGTCAGGATCGTTCTTGTCGTCGTCGCTCTGGCTGTCGGTGCCGCCACGCGCTCGAATGCCGACCTTGATGCCAGTGAGCGTGGCGGGTGCTGGTGCGGATGCTTTCCTCGCCTGTCGCAGCAGCCGAATGTCGGCATCCGTCGGATTGTAGATGAAGCCGTAGCGGTCGGTGAGCACTTCCAAATCCTCTTCGAGATCGCTGTCGGTGTCCGAGTCGTCGACGGGACGAAGGACGATGGAGGAGTCGGCGACCATGGTGCCGGTTGGCATCAGCGTTGCCGCTCCTGCTGTTGTGTCCGTGAGGTTTGTGAAGCCGGGTACGGGTGCCTTGCCACCGTACACTTCAAACTCGTCGCCAGAGCTCTCTTCCTCGTCCAGCGTGCTCAATCGAGCGGCACGTCTCTGTCTGGCGACGACGGACGCGTCTGCGCTCGGCGATGAAGAGCCGGCTTGGCCATCGCTTGTCTGACTGCCTAGGCCAGAATGGCTCTGGTCCGTCTTGACTTTGGCCGCACCGCTGCCTGTACCAGCATCGACACCCGAGCCACTCTTGCGACCCTTCTTCTTGCGTCGAAGGAGTGTCGGCGGCGCTGCATCGGTGGGCAAGATGGGCTCCAGTTCGACAGCAGCGCTGGGTGGTCGTGGCGAAGGAAGACCCAGCATCGACGCACTGTCCAGTGTCGAAAGCGAATTGCTTGGGTCCAGACCCTGGCGATCAAATTGATAGGTATCGGGCAGACGCGTGACGTTGGGCTGCGGTGCTGGAGGAGGCGTCTCGGGTGCGGGTGACGAGCGCGTGTAGCGACCAAACGCTCGTGCAAAGGTCGATGCCGAAGCCACCTTAGACGATTTGCCTGCACTCACGGACCGCTTACCTGCAGTATCGAGGGCGGCGGCGGACTCGGCCATCTCGCGTCGACCGGGGCTGGTGGCTTTGACCATGCTCGGCGCAGTGCTTGGCGCTGCTTTGCGTAATGCGCCGCCACCGGACCATGGCAGCAAGCCGCTAGCCCAGTCGCCGAGCACTCCACCTGCGGATGTACTTGAGGAGGCGTTTCTGGCGCGAGGCGATGCAATGCTCGGAGACTTGGCTTTGTGAATCGATTGGGGAGAGGCCGGCGGGTTCGGAGACGATTTGAGCACAGCGGTGCGATGATTTGAAGAAGGGCTGGTGCTGATCGTGTCAGTGATGGACGCTGATGACGACTTGAGACTGCGCGTGTCGGTGTCTTTGCCATTGGTAGACGCGATCGAGATGGAAAGCGACTTGCCGCGCTGACGATGCGACGAGGTGGTGACGCTCTCCGATGCTGATGTCTTGTGAGAGCGTACAGATGGGCTGCGATCGCGTTGAGATGCGTCGGTCGCGCTGTGAACGCTCGACGGCTTCAGCGACGGGGAACGGGCGACAATGGAAGTGTTGGTGACATCGAGGTCATCGAGCATGGCTTCTTGCAACGAGTCCGGAAGGGCTCGCTCTGTCGGATCCGCAGGCGGCTCAATGCCTGCCTTCTCCTGGGCAAGACTTTGCTGATGCTCGGCGATGCGTTTCCGTTTGAGCGCCTCTGCGTCGAGGATGGGCGCTCGGAGGAGGCTGCGATGGATTTGACCCTGTTTGATGCCATTCTCGAGGCAGAGCGCGGTGAGGGCAGCTTCTCTGGACTCGGTGCGCTGCTGCAGGTGTTCCATTTCTTGTGCGTGCTGCAAACGATCTTGGTCTGTCGCTGCGCGAAGCTTGTCGAGTTCCGTGTGCGCTTCTGCAAGTGCTCTGGAGAGTGCTTTCGTGAGCTGGATGGAATACGACGGCGGTTTGCTGTCCTTGCGTGCAACAGCAGAGGTGGATGACTTGACGGGCGTCGACTCGCGTGGCTGCTGGGGGGTGTGAACGGGACGATGCGAGAGCGGTCCCGACAGTGCCAAATCAAGGTCGACATCACCAAGTCGATGCAGCTGTTGCAGCCAATCTAGCGGAAACTCCACTTCTCGAGCCAGGTCATGGACTCTGTTGCTGTTGCTGGTCGTGGAACTGTGTGGATGTGCGCCGTTGATGGCTGGGCTGCGCCGTCTGCGCCCTTCTGAAGGCGAAGCAGCGCCATCTCGGGAGCTGGAGCGAGAACGGGGACGGAGGAGGTGCTGTTGCTTGGGCATGGGTGTTTGGTCAGGAGAGCCGACGAAAGCAGTAGCATGAGAGGCTCGGATCTGGGAAGAACGAGTGGGTCTGGGTGCTGCCAGCTCGCGGTCGAAGAGTCGCGAGGAAGAAGGGCCAGGCGCACCAAAGAGCGACTCGTGCTCTATCGAAGCCTCTTCAGCGTCATCGAACTGGAGGTCATAGCTGCTGACGCGACCAGTACGTGGGATGTAGGATGTCGAGTGATCATGGTCGCCATAATCGGCTGCAGCAGCGCGCGAAGTGAAGACATCGTCGTCAGCGTGAGCGGGAGGGTGACCAGATGTGGAAGAGGATGCCGAAGATGGCTCTGCACCGGAGCCGTCACGATAGGAAGTGGAACGACTGACGGAGCGTCGCTGTCGAGTAGAAGGGGATTCGACGCTGTAATCGACCTTGGCTGCATTGCGCTGTCCCCAGATGGGACGGTTGACGAGCGAAGAGGGCGCAGGCGACTTTGTGGGCGAGTCTCCGGCAAAGAGCGGGTGAGCTTGCCCTGAGCTCGACGGTCGAGCGGGCGAGGACATGACGGCTGAGTCGAGAGGCTGAGCAAGGCGCGATGTGCCGTGCAGATGCGCTGCTGTCGCTCCAACGGCAAGACGCGCCTCGACAGCTCCTACAAGCGCATGTGACAAAGCAGGGTCGGCATCGATCCGCTTGTCGACGGATGGCGTGGGATCGTGACCGAGTTGTGCTCCGAGTGAGCCGTTGATGATGAGACAGTCGCGAGCCGGACGCACCAAAGCGATGACTGGCTTGTTGGTGAGCGTGGGAAAGGAGGAGGGGTGTTGGTCTGAGCTGTCTCTATTCAATCAAGCCTGTCGGTCTGTGCAGCGCGTTCTGCCGCTTCTCAAGGGCGTCGGCGCCAAAAATGTGGAGCTAAGCCTGGCTCAAATCGGGCAGAACCGATGTGGCCAGGGCTTGGAGCTTCTTCTGCGAGTTGGACCCTCTTTTTGGGCGCCGTTTCTTCCTGGACAGTCACATCCCTCGTTCCTCTCTTCTCCCTGTTGCCATCTGTACAGCCATCTTCTTGTTCACGACAAGTATCGATACGAAATGGCACCTGCCGTCGTCCCGCAGTCCTCGGCGGGCGGTGCCGCTCTCCAGGCCTCTGCTGCCGACGATCAGCTCACCATCGAGATGCTCGGCGCCGGTCAAGAAGTCGGTCGCTCTTGCTGCGTCCTCAACTACAAGGGCAAGACCATCGTCTGCGATACCGGCGTTCATCCTGCTTTCACTGGCATCGCCGCGCTTCCCTTCATCGACGAGCTTGACTGGTCCACCGTCGACGCCATTCTCATCACCCACTTCCATCTCGACCATGCCGCCGCTCTCACTTACATTATGGAAAAGACCAACTTCAAAGATGGTCACGGCAAAGTCTACATGACCCATCCTACAAAGGCCGTCTATCGCTTCCTCATGTCCGACTTTGTTCGTATCAGTAATGCCGGCAATGACGACAATCTCTTCGACGAGAATGAGATGCTCGCGTCGTGGCGCCAGATCGAAGCCGTCGATTTCCACCAGGACGTCTCAATTGCAGGTGGTCTGCGCTTCACCGCCTACCATGCAGGTCATGTGCTCGGCGCTTGCATGTTCCTCATCGAGATCGCTGGCCTTCGTATTCTCTACACGGGAGACTTCAGTCGCGAGGAGGACCGTCATCTCGTCCAGGCCGAGATTCCGCCCGTCAAGCCAGATGTGCTCATCTGCGAGTCGACCTACGGCACACAGACCCACGAACCACGCCTCGACAAGGAGCACCGCTTCACTTCACAAATTCATCACGTCATCAAGCGAGGCGGTCGCGTTCTGCTGCCTGTTTTTGTGTTGGGTCGAGCACAAGAGTTGCTGCTCCTCTTGGACGAATACTGGGCTGCCCATCCGGAGCTCCACAGCGTGCCCATCTACTACGCCTCTGCGCTCGCCAAAAAGTGCATCTCAGTCTACCAGACTTATATTCACACCATGAACGATCACATCCGCACGCGCTTCAATCGCCGCGACAATCCGTTCGTCTTCAAGCACATCTCCAATCTTCGTTCGCTCGAAAAGTTTGAGGATCGCGGCCCTTGCGTCATGATGGCTTCTCCTGGTTTCATGCAGTCGGGAGTCTCGCGCGAGCTTCTCGAGCGATGGGCGCCCGACAAGCGCAACGGTCTCATCGTCTCCGGCTACTCGGTGGAAGGCACCATGGCGCGCAACATTCTCAACGAGCCCGACGAGATCATTGGCATGAACGGTCAGAAGATCCCGCGTCGCATCTCGGTCGACTACATTTCCTTCTCAGCGCACGTCGATTTTGCTCAGAATTCACGCTTTATCGACGAGATCAAAGCGCAACACATCGTGCTCGTTCATGGCGAACAGAACAACATGTCCAAGCTGCGAGCTGCCTTGCAAGCGCGCTTCACAGCCAGGGGATCGGATGTCAAGATTCATACCCCACGCAACTGCGAACCGCTTACGCTTCAGTTCCGAGCGCAGCGCACTGCAAAGGCGATTGGTGCCATCGCTGCCAAGCCACCCGCGCAGGGCGACGTCGTCGACGGCTTGCTCATCAGCAAAGATTTTGCGTATACCATCCTCGACCCGAAGGACCTGACCGACTTTACTGGTCTCTCGACGAGCACCATCATCCAGCGTCAACGAGTGGCGTTGGCGGTGAGCTGGGAGATGGTGCGCTGGCATCTTCAGGGCATGTACGGTCGACTGCAGGAGGGTGTGGACGCGGAGGAGGGGCTGCGAACACTGCGTATTATGGGCGCGGTCGATGTGAGGCAAAGCGCGAAACACGAGTTGCTCGTCGAGTGGGTCAGCAGCATCGCCAACGATATGGTCGCGGACAGCATTGTTGCATTGCTTCTCGGCATCGACAGCGCACCTTCCAGCGTCAAGATGACCATGCACAGTCACAAGCATCATCACCATCACGGCGAGACAAAGGCAGAAGGCTCGGACGAGGATGCGGAAGATGAAGAAGCGCTGACACCGCCCGAGGTCGGCCCGCTTCATCCATTCTCAGAAACAGCATTGCTGGCGGAGAGCGAGACGAAAGCCAAAGCGGCGAGCGACGAGTCGATCCGTCACGATGCATATCAGCTGGCCAAGATCGAGCACATGGCTGCGTTTCTCGAGGCGCACTTTGGTCAGGTGGAAGAGCTCACCATCCCAGAGGCACCGCCGAGCAGCGAGGATATCGAAGAGACCGAGACCAAGCCTTCCGCTTCTGCTCAAACCGAAGACAAAGCGTCAGGTGCTGCGGAAGAGAACGCTGATGCGGGGGTCTCCGACGTGGACATGCCCACCATCAAGCCAGATCCCGACTCAACCGACGTCGAGAACGCCACGCCGGAAGAGCCGACCGCTTCGTCGCCCCCCATCCCGATCGCCTCGCTGTTCGACGGAGCCCCGCGCCCCGCCCTGCGCGTGTTCCTCGACGAAGCCGAAGCCGTCATCGACGTGGAGAACCTCGTGATCCTCGCCTCCTCGCCGTCCTTCCGTGCGCGCGTCGAGCATCTGTGCACACTGGCACTGCGCTCCTTCACCTCGCTCTCGGACGCCTTCCGGTTGCCACAGCAGATGGGAACCGCCTTGTTCGCGGGCAAGCACAGCCAGCTGGCGAGCATTCCAGAGTTTGGCGACCAGAGACCGAGCAAGATGATCCGGTCAGAGTGAGAGGAATGGCGAATATATTTGTATCGTCTTTCGGGAATCTTTTTCACTGGATGTGGGTTGTGAGTGTCGAGCGATGAGATGAGGAGTATGTGCTTGAATGAAGTGGCGACAGGTACAAATACAGATTATTTCTTGGGATGCAGAGCTATGGGTTGATGGCTTTAGAGACCCTCTTCTTTGAGACGAAGTGCTCTTGCAGGTTCCTCGATCTGCGATTCGACAAAGAGCAAACATAATGTCAGTAAGTGACGCTCCTCATTGAGGGCAACCGGCGCTATTCGGCAACATACCTTCTTGACCAAGTCGCTCAACCGCGCCTCGCTCGCTTGCGAGTCGAGCACGAGCTTCTGCTTGTTCTTGTAGGTCACCTCGATGCGCTGCAGCGCGTCTGTGGATACGGTCCTGGTCTTGATATCGGGTAGGTCCATGCCGGGGACGGGCGGCTTGGTGGGCAGCTGCGCGAGGAGGATGCGCATCGAGCGCGAGGCTTGCGAGGCGCTCAATGGCGCGAATTCGAAGGTCATCGCTGTGATGTGCTTGAGGGAGGCGGTTGCGATTGACATGATGGGCGAGAGACGGGTGAGAGGATGTGCTTGTGGGTCGAGTGGGTGTTGAAGGGAGAGTTGGAAAGCGAGTTGAAGGAGGAGGAGCGAGAAGATGGGAAGAAAAAGCCAGCTTTTTCGTCGGAAGTCGGGAAATGCAAAGCGCTTTTAGAAGGTTTGGGTCCAGGGTCCTCCTCCTCCTCCTCTTCTTACTTGTTCTCAAGCTCCAAGGGCAGCTCGCACCATCGGATCTCTCTGCAGACACCATGGTCGAGCTTCCAAGACCATCTCTATCCGCCAGCTCGACCGGCATCGACGTTCTTTCTCGGGCACACCGAGCCCAGCCCCTCCCAGCTCCCGCCTCCACACCATGCTGCTATCGCTTCGGCCTGTCCACACTTCCTCACGAGTCGTCTCTCCAGCTGGACCTGCACGACACCCTTAATCGACTCCTCTCGCTCTCCCGTCAGCTAGCCATCCCCACACAATTCAGCCGGGGCGATGGTCAAGCATGGACGCATTCGGCAGAGCACTACCCCTCACTGTTGCGTTGGAAGGAGCAGCAGGTGCCCACGCTTCTCGAGCAGGTCGGGGAAGCGTTGCGCGAGCTGAGCGGGCACAGTCTCGCAGACAAGCCACAGTCTCACGCTGAGCCAATCCATCTGGTTGTCGGCCATGTCGTCTGCGCAGTCGCTCGGTACATCCCGCCCCCACTCACCGGCATCGCTCCCCCACCCACCGACTCTCTGCCTCACCACGGTTGGATCGGCGACTCTTCCCGACTTCAAGCGCAGCGCATCCTCGTCGACTTGCAAGAGTATCGCGAAATACCTTCGCAGGCTACAGTAGTAAAAGCGCTCCTCGCGGACTACATCAAGCCCATCATCCAAGAAGCAGGCCTCTCCTCCTCTGGCCCGCAGAGCAGCATCGACCCCATCACGGGGCGTCGCAAGCCGCCCGCGTCCCAGGCCAACTTTGTTTCTCACCTGGACGCCAACCTTGGTCGTCACCGTCACTCAGCTGATGAGGATGAGGGTGCATCCAACCTCGCTCCCTCGCGCTTCGCCCTCACGCTCCCATCCGAAAGTCGGGCCTTGGAGGAGCGCAATGAAGCCCTGGGGTGCACCAACGTCCTCTCCTTGATCCTCACCCACCTCTCCCTAACCAACGAGTCGGACTGGACGGCGGTCTGGCCCCTGCTGATCCCACCACTGCTAACGCTAGCCGAGCACCCGCAACCGCGCTTTCGACTGCGCGGTAGCGCGCTGGTATACACCCTTCTCGAGCGCGGTGGTGAAGCGCTGGCCAAGCTTCTCCTCCGAACTGGCATCGGTAGCCTCCTGGAAAAAGCGCTGCATGTCAACCTCACCTACATCCACGACGAGACGTATGCAGCGGGGTTGTTGTCGTGCAGCATCGGGGCGCTGCGGTTGCTCATTCTGCTAAGCACTTCTCCCATTGCATACCGGCTACCTCTGTCTGGCCCGGGTGGGGTGGGTGAGGGCCGATTGTCCTCTGCGGTGGGTGACTGTGGCGAGAAGCGACAGGAGTCGCTCACGCGCTTGGTGAGCGAAGGCATCCTCTCCACGTGGTCGTACCTTCCCCTTCCGCCCGCCGGCACGCACCTCGGCCGATCGCTCGTGCACACCACCGTCACCGCCTACCTCGTGCTGATCGACGACCTCTCCCCTCCCGCACTCGACCCTTCCTCTACACGGAAAGGTCTCGGGTCGATCTCGCGCTTTGTCGACGTATCCCTCGACTGGATCGCGCGGAACTGGTTGTCCACCGTCCCCTTTCTGCACTTGGACGAAATCCCACTCACAGAGGTGGTACTTTCGCTCGCAACACGGCTCACAGCGGACGGCGCGGGAAGGTGGGTCGGTCCCCTCCTGGCGGCCGTAGCCAAGTGTTGGATCTCATCCCTCGAATCGCCCCTCCGGCAGGAGAGCGAGGGGGACGAGAGGTGGGCGCGGTTGGAGGAGGGTTTGCGGATGTTTTTGGGGAGATTGGCGCAGGTGGATGCGTCGGTGGGGGGAAGATGGGGAGCGCTGAGGGAGGTGGATGGGCGATTGGGGGTGCTGGAGCCGATATGATGGCTCGCAGGCCGGCGATCGAGTGAGTGGGTAAGTTGTTGCTTCAGGTAGGTGACTACGCGCGCTCGAGCTGGGTTCACTCGCGTCCCTCAATCACACCCTCATGCAACGGTGGCGGCATGCTAGGCGGGAATCGCGGGCGCGCACACAGCCTATCAGATCTGGTCCCACTCAATTCACACACCCACTCACTCACACATGCTGAGCAGCACTCCAAACCTAATCGTCATTGGCAACACCTTCTCTTACATCCTGTCAAGCGGCGTGATGGTCAACAGTCGCAGTGCACTCCCGAGCACGTCCTTGCAGCACCTGAACACGAACAGCCTGGCGAGCGCCAAATCCTTCTCCTGCCCTTTCACCAGCAAGAATTCCCAGCAGCTCGAGATCAGATGCGTCAACCTGAAGGCGTACGTCACGATGGTCGAAGGCTGGTGGTCCTTCATGGCGGCTTTGACGGTGTCGGGCCATTGGGCGAGGAGCATCACGAGATCCCTTGCCTTGGGCTCGGCAATGAGATCCAGGTTGATACTCGACAGGTCGAGGTCGGAGGTGGGCAGTTCGAGGTTGTCCGACTCCTTCGCTTTGCGTTCCACCGAACACAATCGCACATGGTTGTACTGAAGGTAGGGACCGGTGTCGCCTTCGAACGAGAGCATGCGCGACCAGTCAAAGTTGTAGTTGTTGATGCGCTTGCTTGCCATGTCCTGGATCTTGACCGCCGTCATCCCGACAATATCGGCGGTGCGCTCCGGATTCTCCACCTGGGCATACTTGGCCTCGTTCGCTCGCATCACCTCGTGCATCTTGTCGCGCGTCTCATCGAGGATGTTGTCGAGGAAAACCACGGTTCCCTTTCGAGTCGACATGCCGAGGATCATACCGAAGTTGATGTGTTGCAGTCGGCTGGTCTCTTTCTGCGCCCACTCGTAGCCCATCAGCTCGAGCACCTTGAAGAACTGCGCCAGGTGCAGATCCTGTTGCGACGCAACGACGTAGATCATCTTGTCGAACCCATTGCCGTCGAAGCTCTTGTCGAATCGCTGCGCGGCCTCGGCAATGTCTCGGGTGATGTAGAGCGGTGTTCCGTCTCGTCGCTCGATGACGGCCTTTTCGAGCTTGTACTTGGACAGATCGGCCAAGAGCGCTCCGTTGTCCTCTCGCGTGACGAAGTCGTGCGTCTTGAGCTGGTCGAGCGACTTGACAATGTTCTCCTTGGTCACCTGCGACTCGCCCGAGTAGACATCGAATTGGACGTTGAGTCGGTCGTACACCTCAATGTACTTTTTGATGGAGAGATCGCGGAACTTTTGCCAGAGAGCGAGCGCCTCCTTGTCGCCATCCTCCATCTTCTTGAAGAACTGCCGGGCCTCGTCGTGGATCTTCTCGCCCTTGCCATCCTCCTCCTCGCTGGCGAGCTTGTTGATGCGGACATAAACATCGAAGAGGGTGTTGACAGCATCCTCTTGAAGCTTTTGCTCGTCACCAAAGAGCTTCCAACCGACAGCGAGCAGACCGAATTGCTTACCCCAGTCACCGAGGTAGTTGTACTTGGCGACGTTCCATGCGTTGGCCTTGTACAAGTTGGAGAGGAAGGCGCCGATGATGGTGGATCGCAGGTGACCGGCGTGGAAGGGTTTTGCGATGTTGGGCGAAGAGAACTCGACAATGATGTTCTTGCCCTCGCCGTCACGGTTGGTACCGTAGCTTGGCTGGGTGTTGCCTTGCTCGTCTCGAGGAGCACCATACCCGTGGGTCATGACGTGGACAGTCTGGAGAGTGAGCTTGATGAGCGTCTTGCTGTTCAAGAAGTAGTGGAGGAAGGGACCCTTTGCTTCGACCTTCGAGAGGAACTCGTTGGGCTGGAACGCGGCTGCCGCCTTTTCCGAGATCTCGTTGGGCTTGCCAGGGAGCTTGAATCGAGGTACGGCGACAGTGTAGTCGCCGATCTTGCCGGTACCCACAGCGACGAGGGCAGCGTTCAGGTCGACGCCGAGGGAGGAAGAGACGTGCTGTGCGATGGCGATACGGAAGCTATCGAGAGGAGCACGCTTGATGTCGGTGCCAGGCAGATCGGTAGGCATGGCAGGCAGCTCCGAGAGGTAAGGAGCGCCGTTGAATGAGGCCGGCGAAGGCACGAGGGCGATAGTGGAAGAAGCCATGGCGGAGGTGGAAAAGTGGTGGTGCGCGGGTGGTAGCGATGCTGGTGTTGCTGGCTTGATGGATGCGGTGATTCGTTGAGCTCGTGTTGCACCCGAGAACGAGGCCAGGATCGAGGGGGACGAGCGGACGAGGGTGGAAGCCAAGCGTCGAGTCGTCAATGCGGAAAGAGTGCCTAGGGGCGGCGAGGACAGTGTGTATCGGGCCTTTGGTGAGCGCGTCAAGCTAGGTGACTCGAGTCTATGGACGATATGATGGTGTCTTAGTCGATGATGTTGGTGAATTGTGCCGGGTTCAGAGAGCTTTTTTTCGTTCTTCTTGACAGGTTTCGGCCAAATTTTAGTCTTTGGAGGCGAAGGCACATCGAAGCGCCACTCGGACTGACTCGACCCGATCCGGATCTGAGCCCGATCTAGCTGCTTGGGAAGCACGTGACCACCGCTTTGTCGTACGCGTTCGGTGCTCGTCTCAAAGCTGAAATTGACACTGAAAAGAAAAGAAAAGGAGAAAATAGTGTCACAAAATTGGACCATCAAAAAGGCAGTCCAGGCGCAGTCAGCAGCAGCAGCAGCAGCAGCAGCAGCGTCGACAGGTCGTGCATGTGCAACTCATCGCCATCACCATCGCGTCGACATCTCCTCTTGTACCACCATATCACCCGAGTCCAATCCATTGCCATTCACCACCACCCTTCGATACCCGGCGGATACCCAAGACTCTCGTCTGACATCACGCAACATCCTTGGCGCGTCTGCATCATCACGGCTATCATCGTCGCGTCTCATCCCATCCAACCTTGTGGAGAGGAACAACACGCTTACGACTATCTCATCGCACACAATGGTGGTCCAACGTACCCCACCACCCGTCCGCAGATCGCCGCGAAAGGAAGCTGCCGCCGTCACACAGGCTCCCTTCTCTTCACAACCTCCCCTCTCATCGCAAGCGCAAAAGATCGCAAACACCATCGCCTCGACACCGTCAGCCTCGTCGCGCGCCGAACCATTCACCCCTGTCCCACACAATGCAGCCTCCGACTTTCCCAGCTTGGATCAGATGGCAGCCGTATCCAAAGAGCAGCGCTCCGTCACTCGTCCTACCGCCAATCGCGCTGCCTTTGCCGCCTCCTTCCCGGCTTCCAGCTCCAACACAGTGCCCAGCTCGCTTCCACGTCCCACCGCTCAGTTGCGCAGTACCCAGCTCATCAATGATGAAAACAATCACGACCAGCGATCACGCGCAGCACGCTCTTCCCTCACCAACGGTGCCATCCAGCGCGTACGTCAACAGGCCGGCGATGTGACTCCTCTCGGCGTCTCCCAGGCAAGGGCCGCCCGTCAAGCGCAGGCTTCATCCCAAGCGAATCAATCTCTGATCGCAGACGATAGCGGCGACAGCACCGCGCAGCTCGTTCCTGGCCGTCGCGACATCAACCCTGTCCTCGCCGACATCGATGTCGAGAACCCTCAGATGCCCGGTCTTGCCTCGACTGCCGCTCCGACTGCCTCAACACCGGCCGTCAACAACACTGCAGCCTTCACGACCGATGCGGCTGCTGATGCCTCTACCGCGTCTCAGACGTCCGTATTTGGCACTGCAATCCGTCGGAACGGTGTCGACCAACCTATCGGCGGTGCAAAGGCAGGCACGGCCTACGACTTTAGCAAGTATCTCGACGGCGAGCTCGATCCTTTCAACCGTGCTTCGCGCGCCAACGTCCGTCGAGAGTCGCGTCCCTTACCAGCAGCTCAGCAGCAGAACGTAGGCGCCAGCGATGAAGACGCCGACTCGTCCGGAGACACGACCGCACGCGGAGCTCTCGCTGCCGCGGCGACGACCGCGACAGTCGCTCCCATCGAGTCCACCCCCTTCTTCAACCGCGTCAAAGCAGCAGCGGCGCCGACACCTCGCATGAGTCCGCACGCCAGTCCTAGCGTCTCGAGCCGCAAGCTCGCACATCTCTCTTCGCTCACAAACGGCCACAGCACGCCTTCTGCAGTCAATGCCGGCCCCTCTGCACTCGGCGACGCGTCCACCGTCTCGCTCGCATCGCACAACCGCTTCGACCCGTCCGCACGCGCAGACCGTCTCCAGACCATGGAGCTCGGCGAGCTGCGCAAGAAGGCCACCGCCCTCTCGCGCGATCTCACCGCCGCCCACGACGCCCTCGCCTCGGCCAAAGAAGAGTCGGAAGGCTGGGCATCCGAATGCACCGGCTTGCAGGAGCAGCTGTCGACACTTAAAGCATCCCACCAGACTGCCATCGCCCGCGAGACCCGCGCTCGCACCGAGCTGCAGGTGCGCCTCAGCCAATACAAGATCGAAGCCGACGACCGCGCATGGAAGCTGCTCTCCCAGCGTCGACAGGCTTGCCTCGTCGAAGTGGCCCTGCAGCACGCCAAGAACGAAGTCACGTACCACGAGGGCAGGTACCACGCTACGGAATCCGAGCTCGAGGGTCAGAAGGACGAGTTGCGCATCCGCCTCATGCTCGAACGAAAGCGCGCCGACCTGCTGTCCTTGCACGTCAAAGCGGCGCTGCGCGATTCGGCCCGTATGAAAAAGAGGCTCGGAGTCAAGTCGGCGGCCCTGCTCGAACTGCAAGCGGAGAACGAGTCGTTGGCGGAACAGCTGGAGGAGGCGCGCCAGTCTCGAGGCACGGCAGGTCGCTCGGGCGACAGCAATGCAGCAGCGAAACTCAAGCAGCAGCTGAAGGACGCTCAGGCCGAGATCGAAACGCTCAACGAACGCGACGCTATGATGGCCGAGACGCGCAAGACGTGGAAGGCCGAGCGCAAGCAGCTGCTCGCCCAGGTGGAACAGCTCTCGTCGTCCTCAGCACCAGCTCCTGCTCCCGTCGCCGCAAAAGTCTCCGCGCTCAAAGCCGCCAAGTCTCTCGTGGCGACGCAGATGCTACCTCCGTCATCGCCCGTCTACGCCAAACAGAAGAGCCGTCAACCCATGCAGGGCGCATCGGAGCTTGAGCCGCCCTCGGAAGACGAGATGGATCGACGCGCTCCTCCTGCCGCTCGCAAGCCGCTTGCTGCCAAGTCCTCAGCGCCGCTCGTTCCCTTCGCTCAGCTTCCCTCCAAGAACGCTACCGCAGCGGTCAAGAAGACGACCAAGCCGACCGTGGCAGCGCCCAAACCCAAATCGAGCAAGAACTGGCGCGACGAGGTGGCCATCACCGACTCGTCCGAAGAGGATTCTGACTCTGACGCCGGTGCCAGACGCAGATCCAAGCCTGCCAAGACCGGTCTCAAGAAATCCGTCCCGAAACCCACCGTCGGTGGGAAGAAGACGAAACCTTCGATGCCGATCGAGTACGACGACCAAACGGCCGATCCGTCGGCGACGCCCATCATCCGCACCAAGCGAGCCGCTGCGCCTGCTGAGAGCGACGACGACTCCGCCGGCCCCCCGGACTCCTCTTTGCTCGCGACAAAGTTCGGGCGGGATCGCACGAATACCCTGCCCACCAAACCGAAGCCTTCGACGTTGAAAGCGAACCTCGCGCTGGCCAGCCAGAACGCGGCGGCGGCAGCAGGAGGAAAGAAGAAGAAACGCAAGCTGCTCGGTGGCGGCGCAGGGGCGATGCAGTGGGGCGCAAGTGATGCAGCAGGGTTGGCGCCCAACTTTGATATCCCCCTGGAATTGAGTCCGATCAAGGGCGGCGGGAAGACGGCTGGGAACGGGGGTCCGGCGGCGTTCATGGCTGGGTTCGGGAGGAATCCGTTCGCTTGAATTTGATGATGTGATGGAAGGGATCGGGTCTGGAGCAATACAGTGTATCACACATGGAACCGATGAGGGGTGAGAAGCGTTTGACATTTGACATCGGCACTGAGAGCTTTCTTTGAGAGAATTGTTAGGTTTGATGCTATATGAGCAAGAGGCGGAGGTTTGAACGTCACTCGTGATACGTGTGGCGATCGAACCGGCCTAAAGGTGCTCATTCTGGCTGCACCCTCACCCATCGGCCCTCCTCATCCTCTTCAGGGTCAAAAAAGACCTTGTGTCTACCACCGTCTTGGGTCTCGCAGTAGGACGAGTGGAGCCAGCTTCTTGGAAGTCTGCTGCCCAAGAACCCGCCGAGCCTCTCCACCTCCCGTAGCACCGGGTGCATGAAGCCTTCCACGACCTCGTAGTGGACAGTGAGGTAGACTGTACCGGTAGAGGGGTCGGGTCGAAACCATGCCTTTTTCACGACGCCCAAGCGCCTGGCGACGTCCAGGAGCCTGACGATGGCGTTGAGGTCCTTCCGACGAGTCTCATCGAACTTGTGATATGTGCGCAGCAGGAACTCCTTGCTGTCAGCTGGCGGGGAGATGGCCGGGTGAAGAGGCGGGATCGCATCGACACAGACGGACCTAGGAATGGGCTGTACGGGGAAAGCAGAGGGATCGAAAGGGCGAAGCTCGCAGATGAACGCCTGGTGAAGCGCGTCGTTAGGGATCCAGGTGCCCTCGGGAATGTGTTGATACGGCATTGGGCGCGACACGGTTGTGGGGGTAGGTGAGGACGGGAAGCATGGTGAAGCAGAATCAATGCACTTTTTGTGCCCTTTCCGAGCCCTTTGCGCTTCGGACGTCTGAACAAAGCGTTTTAAACGATGCAGCGCAGCAGATTCACACCGCGTCGTCACACACGACGCGGTGGCGCTTGCCGACGCTCGATGCAGGCTTCATGCGCAATCTCACCGCGCATTCCGCTCCGAACAGACTAAAAGCAAAGAACGTCTGGCATTTAACTGACTATACGACCAGGGACTTGGTTTGTGAGCACGAAGAACACAGAAGACATCTACTCGGCATTCGTGACCAAGACCCGTCCGCCCGCGAGCTCGTTGAGATCGATGAGGATGCGGTGCGGACTGTCCGGCTGTGCCTTGTAGAAAGGCGACTTGCTCCACTCGGGCGGCAGCCTGGAGCCCAAGAAACCCTCGAGCTTCTCCACCTCGTTGAGCACGCGGTGCATGTCCGACTCGACAACGTTGAACTTGATCATGATGTGGTTGACCTCGTTCTCATCCTCCTTGCTCACCTCTCCCTCTGGAGGCAATTTGCCCATGAGAACGGCATCGGTGGCGCCTAGCTTGGCGAGCGGGCCCTTGGAGCCGAGTCGACCCACGAATGCGCCAGCCCGTGCATGGGGCAGCTTGTGAAATGTCTTGAGCAAGTACGTCTTGTCCTTGGCGGTGGATTCTTTGGTTGGGGTAACGCGCGCATGAACAAGTATGTCCATTCTGAACGCCTGGATGTGCGGGAATGCGGGCGGGTCGAAAGGCGCCATCTCCTGCTCCATCTCCTCCTCCATTTGCTCCGACGTGTCGCTGATGCTCGGCGGCAAATCCTCCATCTTGTGAAACAGAATCAGATGCTCACCCTCGCGTCTCTTCTCGAAATAGGCCGACTGAAGCCACTCAAGCTGCACACGGCTGCCAAGAAAGCCATCGAGCCCTTCGACCTCCTCAAGCACCGAGTGCATGGCGCTCTCGCGTACCGCGTACCAGAGAACGAGATAGTCGGGCGCTTCCGGATCGGTCTTGTGACGTACATTGAAGACTCGTTGCGCATTGTAGACGCCGAGGTGGGCGAGAGGGCCGGTCTTGCACACCAGCTTGGCAAGCGCCTCGGGTCGCTTGCCCGTCAGCTTGTGGAATGTCTTGAGCCCGTAAGCTTTGTCGGTGGTGGGGGACGTCGGATGGGCAGGGTTAGGTGCTGCACGAGCACCAACGATCATGTTGCGCGCCTCATAGCCAGGGCCAGCGTGCCAGAAGTTGCGGTCGAAGTGATAGAGCTTGATGTTGAGCTCGGTGGTCGCTTCCATGGTGCCTTGGTGCACAAATTTGGGCGCGTCCGGCTCGTCGCTAGGCCACAGGCAGATCAGCTGAGGATCGGTGCTGGCAGATGGCGTAGCCATGATGATGCTGGAGGGGCGGAAGTTGTGGCAAAGAGACGACCGCGAAGGTATCGAATGCTGGAGGAAGGGAAGGAATGTTTCGCTCGAGAGGCAGGTGCTTATATCCGTCAAGGCTTCCTCATGAATTGGCTGCGCAGCAAATGCGACCTGCACCTCATTGGGTCTGTCTATCAATGCTTTCGTCTTGGCGGCACTCTGCTTCTGTTACTCGTCCGTCGTCCGAGACACGCAGATACAAGTTGAGACACACACATCCAAGTTGAGCACGTCTTGGGACGAAACCCTAATCCATTGATCGAGCGGAAAGTTGTGTAATCACGCGTAGTCTTCCCACGCTCCGTTTACGCACGGGTTTCGGTCCTGCACAGCTACAGTGTAGTTTCGTGATTCATCGCCTCTTGTCGAGGACCCGCAGAAAATCAAGCTCGAAGGGAGCGCAGTGAGAGGGTGCCGACATTGATCAGCTTTGTGATAGCGTCGTTCCGTCGGCCGATGGAAGCCGGACTCGCACGCTGCTCCGCTTGCGGACGGTGCTCCATTTTGCTCGACTGTCCGTCAGACCAAAACTTGAAATTTAACTTCACGGCGAGCGCGGTGCAGCTCTTTGACCATGACGAGCTCTATGACACGTCCGTCGCTCGACGAAGCACAAAACGGCCTGATGCAGAGCTTAAGCTTTCGCAGCAAAAGCACCTGTCGCCGTGTGAGCGTTCCGTCGCCATTCCCACGCTCGTTCCCGTCGCTGTTGAAGCCGTCATTTCATTTGTCAAGCTCGACCTCAGAACCACCCAGAAACCGCGCAATCTCTCGACTTCATCTCATGCAGATCCTTTCCGTGAATCATTGCAGGTGCATAATGAACAATAGACAAATCTTCTGGATCCACACGCGTCACTTCATTAAGCCGCATAGCCGGCAGCAACAATGTTAGCCTGGACAGCGTTCTCGGTCTGGTCGGAGGGGTAGCCGGTCGTCATCACGCCCTCGTAGAAGGTTCCTTGTCCACTGTTGCTGTTGTCTCCACCGATGCCCAGGATGATTGCGCCCTCCTTCTTCATAGGATAGTAGCCACTTGGCCTTTGACCGCTGTAGTACGTGCTCAAGCCACCGCTTTGCGAATTTCCGCCGCGCAACGCCCACAGGTTGGACGAGTCACCCTTGACGATGCCCGTGACAAACCTCGATGTCTGGCTTGGATCGGCGGTGTTCTGCTTGGGATTGTAGCCGCTGAAGAGGCCGTTCTCTTGATCTGACATGAGCCAAGGCCCTGATCCCTGGCCTGACCCCCAATAGCTGTTCGTTCCGAAGTAGATGGCTTCCATATGAGCATTGCCGGTGTCGGTGTTGCTCGTCTCGGCGTTACCGTAGTCGAAGCAGCAGCCGCCGTTGTAGTGCGTGCCGTCGAGAACGGCGTAGATCCCTTCGGGGTTGTTGCCGGTGGCAATGCCGTTGGTGTTGTCGTTGCGGTAGCCGACGCCAGGGTGGACGTAGACACCGTAGACCTTGTGGCCGTTCAAGGTGACCGGTGCCGCGGTGGCAGAGGCCAGGACGTCACCCGAGGCGGCACCGCCATTGGGAGCGAGCGTAAGGTGATTGGCGCGGCCAGACTGGTCGTAGATCGTCTTGATCTGGCACGATGTGTTGGCGCAGAAGTTGTCCTGGGTAGCAGCATTGGCGACCGAGCCGGCGGAGAGGGGCGAGATGTTGGTCATGTGGCCGTCGGATGCGCGAACGACTTGGTAAAGCGGACCGGTGTACGAGGAGTAGAGGGAACGAGTGGTACTGTGCGCAGCAACACAGGGCGTGCCTCCGTTGGCGTAGATGTCGCAAGGCAGACCAGACGAGCCAGTTGCGGCGGGGACGGCAGAGACCGTGGAGGCCAGGCTGAGAGCCGTGAGGAGGAGAGCTTTGTTGAACGCCATGGTGGGGGAGGGCGGGAGCTTTGACCGGGATGGAGAGGCTTGAGGCGGATCAAGGTGTTGAGGAGGAGGATGAGGCTAGGTAGCGTCAGAAAGCAGTTGAGGGATGAGGAGAAGATTGAGCGAATCCAACCATGACGAGGCAGCCTTTTATGGTCGACCCACCGACCAAACAAACGAGAGTGCTGCACTTTCTCGAGCTCGTCTGGGAGAATAAAGAGAGTATGCGAGGCTTTGTGACCGGCCCGCTTGCTGCCCTCCGCAACGCAGCATCACCTGGTTGGTCACGACAATCGTGCGTCGCGGCAGCACCCTGAGCAGCACCCTTGCTTCTGCATCCTTCGCGCCGATCTCTCTGGTGGAAGAACTGCATTGCCGAACAGATTTCCGATGAAGAGATGTCCGGCGGTCATCTGTCAACCGCCGCCTTGCATTCCATGCAGCTGTCAACCTGCGGCGAAGTCAAGCCCCGCGTTGCCACACGTTCGGACATTTGGCCCCGCAAATCTGCGCCTTTCATGCAGATTGCCGCGCCCCACCCGCTGCGTCGAACTCCGACTCCCTCCTGTCCACTTACTTCACCACATGTGGGTTGGCACCTGATGTGAAGCGATCCCGAAGAGAGGTGCAAGATGGCCGAACTAGCCCTTTGCGCTTCGAGGCGGCAAGCGAAGTTAGCGCCGGCAATCTGCATCCCCGCAAAACTCGGCTGGACCCTTCCTTGCATGGTTGGCCGCGGTTCGGCGAATTTGCATGCGTCTGCCCCGACACAACGTGCCGGAACGGACCATGCGGTGATGGTGGGCGTTCGGACGGGGATCTGTGGGGAAGCACGAGCCGGCGGCCATTGCGTCCCCGGCGATGTTGATGTCTGCTCAGTCGAGGTGAGGTCAGGACGCAGGATCGACGCCGCCACCTGGTACGTTTCCCGACCTGCGTCGAGGGGGGTCACAAGATCTCATACGTCGGACATCACGCTTCCGTTTTGCTAGAACGGCAATCTATCGTTGGCATGCTACGCGATGGGCACCGGACAGTCTGGCCAGGGATCGCAGTGCTGGACCAACCCCACCAGATGGGTTGGGTTGGCGTGCTGACTCGGGGGGAAGAACATGGACCAATCCGACAGCTGACGTTCTTTCCTCACCTTTGCCTCTTCTGCCTCTTCTACTTGCCCTTCCGTCCTTTCGCCTGCTCCTGCTGCCCTCTGGTGTGACTCCTGATGATGATTACCCTGCAGAACCCTTGCCCACCACCCTTCCAACGTAACATTGATCGCCTTCCTACTGATCGGACTAACCTCACTTTCCCCCGTCTGAACAACCAGCTCCCCCTCACCAACCCGATTGTTAACCAACATGACCCGTACTCTTTCATCCCCAATGCGATCCACCGCCCCTGCGATGGTCTTTGTCCGTTCGAACCGACGCATTCTGCTCCCCGCACTGGCCGCGTCGAACACGATCCGGATCAGCAGCGTCTCCAATCGCGGGCATTCGTTCGGGGAGAGAATGCGCCGAAGCGTATGTTCCAGCTTGTCATCGTCCAGCAGGTGACCTGGGTAGAAGGTGAGGGTGATGAGTCGAAGCGAGCGGATGGAGGACAGGAGGGGGTTGATAAAGGGTTCCAGGGTGGCTAGTGTCAGGTGGTAGGCGTAGATCTCTCGTCTTTGCCGCAGAGGAGGGTGTATTGGTGGGTGAGAGATGGTGTCTGGTGGATTAGAGGTGGTAGAGATGTCGAGATGCGGCGAGAGCTGTGTGTCTGCTGAGTCGAAAGAGGAGGGAGTGGGATCGGCGGCGAGAGCAGCGAGTCGTTCCTGCGCATCCATCATGTCCCACGGGTCCAAGTCGCCCTCTGCCGGTCCCGCTTGACTACCTACGATCGACGTTGTTGGCACGCCGTTCGACGGTTGACCTCTTACGCTGGTCGGTGAAGACCTGCGTCTGCGCGAGTAGAGTGTTTGCCAGGCCGCTTGCTCTTCTGGCTGGTGAGGTGCTCTTGATGGTCCTGCCACCTCTCCTTGCGCATTTCGCGGCGGTGGCGATGTCCCAGTAGCGTCGTCGTCGCTCTCGCCACTGGAGCGCTGTGAATCGCTCACCTCCTCCATCAGTTGCTCTTCCGCCCAGTAGACACTCACACTCCTAAACCTCCTCTCCCGTTCTCCCACCCTCCTTTTCCTCCTCACCTTGGACCTGGACGCGTACGCATGGCCGACCACAAAGCCCCCACTACCCTCTTCGTACCATCCTGCTTCTTGTAATCTCAACGTGAGAGGATCGACGCCGTTCAGGTGGGCCACGTTGCCCAACCATGCGCGCTGCACCATCCCCCACTCCGGAACTGTTGCCAAAAACGCTCTTGCCGCGGTGGGGGAGCCGAGCGTGAGCGTCCGCAACAGTATCGGTCGAGCGACCCTGAAAAAGAAGCGCGAGACGTAGAGCAGTGAAGCTGTCCACGAGTGGGACGAGGCAAAGGTCGCGCGGAGTGGCGTGGTGAATGGCGAACCCGGCGAATGGGTCGAGTTGGAAGAGGCGCGCCGAGGGGAGGGCGTCGAGGTGAGAATGGACAGCTCGATGATGTACGCCAACAGCTCCGCGGGTAGCCGCGATGCTGCGGAGGAAGCTGGTGCTGACATCACTGCATCGCAGCGTGATGAATGGGGTCGGTGGTGGTGTGAGGATGGTTCGTGCGTGTGGAGGAAATTTAGGACAAAGGTGCATAGCCGTCAATGAGGCGCGTTATCTTATCCGCCCCCTTACCGCGGGGCGACCCTTCCCGCTCAATAGTCGACTTGAGTCCCACACAGCATCGTGTGCGACGATCAGAAACATAATTGTCAGTCTACAGCTCGTATTCCAGGCGTAAGAAGGTGATGCTCTACAAATTGGAGCTCTGGAATCGATACGCAAGGGGCAGCGCCGCCGGGTTGTCCGTCGTACTCAGCAGGTTCACCACATCCTTATACGTCTTGGCGTACTTCTCCCAGTGTCTCTCGAACTTGGCCAGATGTTCCCGCGTCGCGTCCTGCAACTGGGGCACCGGCGTGCCCTCCTTCCTCCATCGCTCCGTTTCCAGCAGCACCTGGTCCTGGAACCTCGTCCGATTCTCCACAAAGATGTGGATCACCTCCGTCAGCTTGGCGTGCAACTCCAGATAGCGCAGGTCGGTGAACATGAGCTCCTTGCGCGTCGTGTTGAGGAACGCGAAATGGTCCTTCATCAGCTGGTCGACCGTCTTGACATTGCGCAGACGACGCTCGAGGTCAAGGTAGTTCGGCTCGAGCACTTCCATCAGCTGGAAGGCCAGGAGCTGTTGCACGAAGAACGTCATCCGTGAGCGCAGGAGGAAGAGCTTCTGCTTCCACTTTTCGAGTGCCGGATGTGTGCGTTGCTTCCACAACAGGTTCGACGAATGGTCCAGCCACAACTCGGATAGCGATCGCTCGAGCGTCTTGAGGTGGAACAGACCGCGACTGACGAATTGGTAGCGAAGGATGTTTTTGCGGCTGATGACGAGCGAAACGGGGAACTTGACCGCGATGTCGAACTGGAGGAGCGTGACCGCCGAGACAAAGTCTTTGCCGGAAGACCCGGCGGTGGCGGCAGCAGCGGTGGCGGCGGCGTTGGCTTGAGCGAGCTTGGTCGCCTCGATACCGCCTTTGGTCTCGGCGATGCGCTTGAGCTGGTCGTAGGCGCCTTCGGAGGCGAGGACGATGCGCACATCTTCCCGATAAGGATCTTCGAAGCCGACGGTGCTGCTCGAGCCCAGGACTGCGCCGAGATGCGTCTGCAGCCGCTGCTGCACCGTCTCTCGCGTCTTGGTCGGTGACACCTTCTTGGCCAGCTCGTGGGCCGACTGCTCGAGGAAAGAGGAGAGGAAATCCGACTCGGAGAAGAAGAAAAAGTGCTTGAGAGAACGGAGACGCTCGAGGATGTGCTGGTCCTCGAGAAGAAGCTTGAGCAACGCCGAATTGGCTCGTTGGTAAGCACCCTCGATGCGTCGGAAGAAGGACTCGTCGTTCATGACCACCATCGTCGCCGCACCTTTCCCGGGTTTGCTGCCGAGACCGCTGTTTTCCGCTCCCTTATCGGGATCCGACGGCACCTCGAGACCGCACTCGCGGATGACGTTGAGGTACTTGCCCGCCAGCAGGATTTTGTGCTTCCATGGCTCCAGGAAGGACGGGATCTTGGCACCACCGGTCAGAATGCCTCTTGGGTTCTCCTCCTCGTCCTCCAGCTCGGCGTCCAGATCCAACCCAAGCTGACGCTGACGCTCCCGCTTGGCGATGGTGGTCTCGTCGCGCAGCGTGTACCGTGTCTCCCAGTACTCGTCCGTGGGGTCCGACTCGAGAGCAGCACGCGTGACCTTGGCATCCTCCATGACCATGAACTCTTCGTACGTGTCGGACAAGTCGCCAGTGGTGATCCACTTGACCATGGTCTGGGCATACGGTTGGGACGCGCGTTGGAAGAGCGTCGTAAAGAGCGTGCGTGCTTTTGGATCGCCGCTCATGCGTGTGATGCGGTCCCAGAGCATCGAAAGCACTTCACCTCCTTTGGCAATGCCACCCTCGACACCTTCGTCATCCGGGTCATCGAGGCCGAGCAAAGCACGTCGCTCGCGCTCCAGAGCCGATGTCCCACTGATATCGGAAGCTCCATCTCCGTCCGATGAGTCGTCATCATCTTCATCGTCAAAGAGGTCGGCGTGGGAGATGCCGACGATCTCGTCGGTCAGAGCGCGGACCATGGCGAGCGTGCGCGCAGTCTCCTGAATCCACATGAAGAGCTTCTGCAGGCTGAATGAGGTCGAAGAAGCCATCTGATGTTCGAGCTGGACGACGAGCAGCTCGTAGTCGTGGAGCAGGTCGCGGATGGCAGAGCAGAGTGCGTGGTTGACGGTGCCGTACTCGAGACCAGAGTCGGTCTCGATGAAAGCGTAGATGGCGGTGTAGTCGGTAGCGAGCGGAAGGATGCGGTCGACGAGGTCGCGCAGAGGAGCGTCGAGGGCCGAATCGATGGTGAAGTGAGCGCCACGCAGACGATGTGCGACGTCTTCTGGATCGTAGGTGGAGGCGTAGGTGATGTACTGACCCTCGATACCCAAGAGCACGTAGAGCAGATCCTCGAGAATGAGCGCTTCCTGCAAGTCCCTGTCGACGAGGGCGAGCGGAACGAGTGCTGGATCATCCGAGTCGGCTGTCGGAGTCGAGTCAGGCCGGGCCGACACCTCGCGTGACATTGGCTCGGAAGCAGCGACCTGAGCCTGGCTGGAAGGACCGGCTTGATTGAGATGTGCTGGATACCTTTGCGAAGGCGGACGCGGTTCTGGCGCAGCGCCGACCGTCGCTGATGGTATTGATGGTCCCGATGTGGCGCGCAAGGATGCAGCATTGTTTGCAGACGAAGCGGTGCGTGCCTTGGCCTTGCGTGGACTCTGTTGCGGTACGCGTCTGTTGAGCGGGTTGAAGACGAAGCTGCCCTCGTTGAGGAACGAATCAATGGGAGCCACGCCCTTCCCTTTCAGAGACTTGGCAGCAGCAGCAGCGAGAGCGGCGCCATCTGGTCCCTTGCCTGCTCCCTGAGTCAAGCCTCTTGAAACGGGCGCTTTGCCGAATCGACGAAGGTGATACTCTGTTGTGGACTTGACATCGGGCGCGCCAGCAGCGTTGTCATCTCCTTCAGCAATGACGTAGGATGCGGTGGTGCGATGTCCGCCTTCTCCTAGCTCCGGAATGCCCTCGATGCGATGTGATGCAGTCGCCAATTGCTGGTTTGATTCTGAGTTGGCCCAGGATGCCATGGCCGACTGTCCAGTCGACTTTTCGACGGAAAGCAGACGCTTGGACATCTTGTCGAACGCCTTTGCACTGAGATTGAGATGATTCTTCTTGCGCATGGATCGACCGACCGGCGTGGCCGGCACGACGGGCGGCCTGGAGCCGCTGGACGTGCGAGCGCTCGACATGATGGGATCGCGACCTGGCGTCTATCGTTCGGTTCCGATTAGTTCGCTGTCCAGGATGTAGGAGATGTGTCGGATGCGCGTGGGCGGGCTGATGGAGGTGTAGGGTCGGAAGGCTGACCGGGACGATGCCGAGTCTTTTGCGAGTTCCGTGCAGGAAATGTGATGAGTCTGGGCGAGGCGGGATGGAAGTGATAACGATGAGATGGTTTCGTCGTCGTGGCGCGGGGCGCGGCAAGTGTTGGTCTTGAGGCGGCGCTGCGAAGTCGATCCAAAAATTCGACTCAAAATGTTAACACGTAGAACTGAAAGCGCGACGCGACTCGATTCCACCCAAATTCTTCTCAGGCTGACAGCAGCACATCCAGATTTCGAGGCAGAGCAGCAGGCAGTCGTGTTGATTAGGCTCAGCCGTCTGCCATCAGGGGGACAGCGTGGGAACCAACTTGACGACCTTCCGACAGCTGACGGAGCCCTGTCGCTGCACTGTCTACGCCTAACCTTGGCTTAAGCTACCGAGAAGGCTGAGCACTCAGCCCGAATGTGATTCGAAACGGCTGTGAGCGTGGGAATGTGACAGTCAGACTTCGAATGCAGCTGAGTCGCTGCAAAGTGAACTGTGTGCGAGAGTCGAGGCTTTCGCTGTGGGAACCTTGTGTGTGAGGAGTGTATGCTCAGCCAGGCAGGTGTTGGTCTTGGAGTGGCCTGCGTTTTTGGCGTGTTGGACCCTGTTCGGCAATTTGGTTCTTCTCTTCCTGTCACCTTGAAGGCTGAGTCTGATGCACCACCCTTAGCCACCGCCTCGACTCGAGCCCTCCGTCTATATAATCTTGTCCTTCCATCGCCCAACCCAGCCCCCTGCTGTCCCTCAGCGCCCCGTCCGCAGGTGACTTCTCCTCCCATCAAGCCACTCCCTCAGCAGATCGTAGCAACCATGTCGATCGTCCCGAGCGACGAAGCGCTCACCGAGCAAATCAAACTCATCCTCACCAAGGCTCATGAAAACGATACGATCGGCGACCACACCAAGCGTAAAGTCCGCGAGATGCTCACGGACTACTTTGACGCCTGTCTCGAAAGTCCCAAGACCAAGAAGAAGGTCAATGCCATGGTGATGGAACAGAATGATCTCATCGCGAAAGCCCGTCAGCAACAAGGAAAGGGTTCAGCTTCGACTTCCAAGGCTGCATCGACCTCCAAGTTTGCCTCGCCTGTCAAGGCTGCAGCGACCTCTAGGCCTGCATCGCCTGTCAAGGCTGCTTCCAAGAGCGCCAAGGCCAAGACTCCGAAGCGCAAGCGTGCCTCTGCCGCTGCAGACAGTGACAGCGACAACGACGCCGAAGCTGCACACAAGGCGCCCACCGGCCCCGTCGGCGTCTCGAGCGACACCGAGCCAGCCTCGGACGACTTCAGCGAGCTCGAGGAAGACACGTCCACCTCTCGCGTCAAAAAGAGCAGAACAACAACTAGCAAAAAGTCCGCCTCTTCCTCCGCTCCCAAACGTAAGTCCACCGCCAAACCGTCCGGCAGCGAAGCAGAACAGCGCCTCACGCGCCTCAAGAAGCTCGTCTCGGAATGCGGCGTGCACAAGCAGTGGAAGCGGCTCTACGAGGCGGCCAACGTCGACGCCACCGACTTTGACGGTCAGAGCAAGATCGTCCAGGGCGTTCTGCGAGAGCTGGGCATGACGGGCAAAGGGTCGCTCGAGCAGGCAAGGAAGATCCGCGAGGAGCGCGAATTCAACGAAGAGCTAGCGGCGTTGCAGGAGAACGAGGTGGTGGGAAAGACCAGAGGCTCGAGGCAGACGAGAGCCTCCCTCGGCGAGAGTGCTAAGAGGTCCAAGACGATCGAGATCAGCGACACCGAGGAAAGCGGGAGCGAGTTCGACGAGGCTCCTCCCAAGAAGAGCGCGAGGAAGGCCGTGTCCGACTCGGACGAGGACGAAGACGAGGACGATGGGCCCGCCCCAAAGAAGAGCTTCAACAAGTCGCTCGCGAGCTTTGTCGCCGATATCAACTCTGATTCCGACTGATGTATTCACCACCAGCAAACGTATCTTTCCGCATCGTATCAAGCGAATCGTGTCTTTTGCAAATGAGAAGCGATGCCGAGGGGATGAATGCCTAGAATACAATTTGTCAATGAGCGCCTGTTCGTCATGCGCTTTCCACGTCGGACGTGCCCAGCTTGGTGGGATTACGGTCCTGGCTCGACTGTCCTACTGCGCCCTTGCTCTTCTTGCCATCATTCGACGAGATCGGACTGAGATCGGTGGGGTTGGTGCTCATATCATCGTCCATGACCCTGCTCTGATCGACCAGCAGCCTCTCCTGGTTGGTCAACCAGCTCGTCCACTTCCTCGTCGGCACCTTGGCCTCCAACATCTCATTGATCTCCTCCAACGACCGACCGAAGGTCTCGGGGATGTAGAAGTAGACGAACGTCATGGCGATCAGCGTGCCAACGCCGTAGATCCAGCCGATCTGCGCACCCAGTCCTGCATTGTAGAACAGATACGGCAGAGTGAAGGTGACGGCCCAAGCGACGATCCAGAAGCAAGCGGTGCCGACCGACATGATCTTGCTCCTGTTTTTGCCGACTGCCAGCTCGCTCGCCACCACCCACGCCAGCGGTCCCCAGGCGAGGTTGAAGAAGAAGACGTAGATGCAGATCATCGCCGCGATGGTGCGACCTTCGGTGACGGAGATGACGCCTGGGTAGGGCAAGGACTCGCCTCGAGGAGGGAGACCCTTGGTGCCGATGCCGGCGACGACGAAGAGCGCGATGAACATGGGCACGGAGGTCCAAAGTATCAAAGGTCGACGACCGAATCGGTTGACCAGCAGGAACGAGCATAGCACGCCTACCACCTCGATGACGTCGACAATGATCGTGATGATGAACGCATCCTTGAGGCCAACGGCGGTCATGAACGTCACGGTGTACGAAAAGATGAACTGAACACCCCCGATCTGCTGTCCGATCAAGATGCCCAACACGCAGGCAAACTTCCGCAGCTCGACACCGTGCAGCAACGACTTCCAGCCGCCCTCACCCGAGAGCTCGAGCTCGTCCTGTCTCGCCTGTCGGAAAGCGTTGTACTCGAGCGCGATGACCTTCTCGCGCACTTCGTCGTGCTGACCCTTGTTCACCCGCTTGAGCGCCGCCAGGGCCTTCTCATCGCGGTTCTTCTGAATGAGCCATCGGGGCGATTCCGGAATGATGAATTGCGCCGTGACGAGGATGGCGACGAAGAAGAGGTTGAAGATGATGGGGATGCGGTAGGACCAAGTCGAATCGATGTCTTTGGTGCCCTGAGCGATGCACGCGCCGATCACCTGGCCGATGGCGAGCATCAGCTGCCACGACGAGACGATCGCACCTCGAATCGCGGTCGGTGCGATCTCCGAAAGATACAACGGTGTGCAGTTGGAGATGACACCGACACCGGCACCGAGCACGCCTCGACCGAGAGTCAACAGCGCCTTGGAGCCGATGGTGACGAGCTGCAGCACGACACCGATGGTGACCAGCGTACAGGCACCGAAGAACCCACCTCGACGACCGACGTAGTCGCCCAGTGGGGCGGCGAGGAGCGAACCGACCACCTCACCGGCTTGCACGATCGAGGCGTAGAGCGATTGATCGTTGGACGGAATCTCGTATTGACCGTTGGCAGGGTTGATGACGCCAAAATCGCGCTTGAAGCGGTCCATCTCGAGGATGCCGGTGAAGTAGGTGCCATCGTAGCCGTAGAGGATGGCGCCGATGACGGCGAGCGAGCAGAAGAGGATGGGACGGACGTTGGCCTTGGACAGGAGCTTGGTCTCGCCGATGGTGACGCCGTTGGGCGATGAGGAGGGAACCGCGCCGCCCATGGTGGATGAGACGCAGTTCTAGATGGAGCAAGGATGATCGCGGGCCGAGATGGAGGAGACAACCGTGCTGTGCCCGAGCAATGCGGAAATGGTGGCGGGTAGGATCCGACAGGTATCGGATCGTAAAGGGTGATTGGTTGGTGACGAGGACGAGAGACCAAGCAAGAGGATTTCTGCGCCCAGTACTTATACGAGGGACCGGCGAACGGTAGGGCACTTGACCGCCAGGGTCGGGAAAAGCGGCGGTTGATAAGGGCGCGGAGGGACGTTGCAGCTGGCCAACGAGGGGGCAAGCAACACCGGAGGGGCGCAGAGAGAGAGAGAGAGAGAGTCAAGCCGAGTTTCAATTGGTGGGTGACTGCAGCACAATGCGGCTCGATGATGCTGCTGCTGCACGGAAACGAGAGGTCGATCATGCAGCAGCGTGGGGAGAGGCAGACAGACGGTCGAGATGCTGTCATGGACAGGCGGAGTCTCGGTCGGTGGTTGGCAGCAACACAACGACTCTCTTTGCCCACTCCCTTCCCACCTCACTGCACGCTGCCCGGTTTGAGTGACAAAAGGAGCAAGTTCGGCTCGGCCCTACCGGTACGATGCAAAGGGCAAAAGCGAGCATCGGTAGAATTGCTTCTCTCTCTGCGCTCCTGCAATCCGGCGACTCGGCCCCCACCTTTGTTCTTCCTACCAAAGACTACGAACAGGCTCTATACGCAGAACATAGTGCGAGGCAGATCCACCGGCGAGCTGCTGTCAAGGTCACGAGGTTGAGTCAAATGCGATACCTCATTTAAGCCGAACGGAATAGGAGGAACTTGTTTTGCCAGCTAGGAAACCTCTTTGCGCGCTGACCCACCCAATCATACAAATGCAGCTGCGCAAGGTGACGACAAGAACTTCATCTCATCCCCGCAAAGCTGCATTCAATCAAGGTGTGGGCCGTGGCAGAACTTTTGGGCGGGCGGATGCAGAGCTGCGCGCAATACCTTTAGCGTTTTCGGCAAGGATCAAGCGAGGATGGTCTATCTCTCCGAAAATCCTCCGGGGCTGCAGCTTCGGTTCGAACCAGCTTGGGCCTCTGCTCGCCACTCGCCTTGCGTGACTGCCGGCAGCGTGCTGCCATCCTCACGGCAATGCTCGATCCAGCGACCTTGAACCGGCTGAAAGTCAAATGAGCCCATTCAAAGGGCCGAGATCGTTCATCATCGAGCGGACAATTGAAGCGGGCGCAAAAGGATATTTTCGACGGCAGCAGCACGACGTCAACGCGCCGCTGTCGAGCTGCTGAGGTTGAAATTCTGCCACGGAGAATTTTTCGCCAACGGTCAATTTTCGTCTGTCTTCTCGAGCAGCGGCGGCGGGAGAGCAGGGTCAATCGGCGGAAGGTGCGGCATGTGTCACTCCCAGCTGCTGCGCTGCAAGAGTTGCTCCGAAATTTCACCTTCGCTTAGCGGGTCAGATGCGAGACCCACACGATCGCATGGCAGACGAGGGGGAGCAGCATCGTCAGTGCAAGCGGCCCGGCACGTCACATGTCGGCCGTCGACGGTATCCTCTGATCGACTCTCCCCTGGCAACTAAGGCGGACACCGTCGTCACCAAAGGGGCGCATCCGGTCATGTTGAGATCGCGAATGCTAGACACTACAACAGAGACGAGGCTCCTGATGGCAGCTCTTGGAAAAGACTGATGCTCGGCAGGAGGCGGGCGAAGGTCGGCGAGACTCGACCTCGCTAGCAGCCGAACCTCGAGTCGACTCGTTTTCCCCCACACCTCCGCTGTCGCCTTCTCCGCACAGTCACGGGGTCGACGTTCGTTTCCTTGCGCAGCAGTGTGTGGGGTTGTTGCATGTCGAGAGGCGCAAAGAAACAACAACGGGGAGATTACAGCAAGGCGGAGGCCCCGCACAGACTCAGCTGCGCCGGCGAAAAGACGCAACGGCGAGATGGCAACAAAGGAGGAGCCCCGCCTGCGCAGCGTGCGCAAAGATAAGCTACCGAGCGGTGTCGGACCGGCAAATTCCTCAACGGCGACAACCACCCGACGACTCGGGCTGCTGCAAAGACACGCTGCGCTGCGCTCACTTCTCGCTGTGAGCCCCACAGTTGCTGCTTTCGGTGCTCTCTAAGGCATGCTGACATTGCACATGTACCTTATGCCGACGGCGGCGTGCTCCAGATCTTGACCGTGCCATCTGCGCCTGCGCTGACCATCTGTTGCGAGTCGTGCGGATTGCATTCGACCCAGAGCACCGCTTTTCCGCGCACTTTGCCCCCGCTTGCCGCATCTCCAACAGCAACATTCTCGCCAGTAACAACGTCCCACCCGACCAATCTGCCCTCTTCGTCGCCGATCACAATCCCGTCTTCCTCATTGGCGAACACGGCTTTGCATCTGTACTCGTCGTGTGTGTGACCCTTGTACGCGTGCAGCAGTGTGCCGTCCTTCTGGTCCAGTAGACGTACCGTTGAGTCGAGAGTGGCGACCAGCACGCTACTCCCGAGTCGGGACGGAGCAACGCTTGTGATCGGTGCTGGCAACGTATCGGCTCGCAGCTGACCAGCGCGCAAATCGTAACAGCGGAGAACACCGTCAACCGCACCCGTGTAGATCTTGTCCTGCCGCACACTGATCGACGTCACCGCATCCTTAGCTTCTTTGAGCTCCATGATCGGTCTCCAGGCTCCCTGAGCACGCAGGTCGAACACGCGGACAACACCGTCAAATCCACCCGTCACGACCACACTTCCATCTCCATCCCTCCCTCCAAACCTCACATCGTTGATCTTGCCCATAAATCCACTGAAACGACGCACCACACTACCGCTCCCCACATCCCACACGAGCACCGACTTGTCCCCTCCTCCGGACACAAACCGCGCATTATCCTGGCTCACATCTAGCGCCAACACCTCTTGATTGTGTTCGGCGTACGTCTGGATCGCGTCGCCCTCCGAGTGGGCGTTCCACAGCTTGATCGTCCGATCCGACGAGCCCGTAAGAATGTATCGACCCGTAGAATTATATCGCGCTACGTTGACGGGTGCCTTGTGTGCGACGAGGGTCTGTTCGAGGCAAGTGGGCAGGAGGACTGAGCTCGAGAGGGATACTACGTGACGAGGCTCGCGAGATGATGGATGCTTACCTCGAGACGATTCTCCGTGCAGGGCGCGCGTGAACCACTTGCCCAGCGTCGAGCCTTTCGGTTCTTGATCCATCTGCGAAGAGGATGAAGCGGGGAGGGGCTTGGAGATGCTCGATGGGTCCAAACTATTTGCACGTTGGTTTCGCTCCCAATCGCTGTCCATCTCCCACTTTGCCAGTGCGTTTTGCAGGATCGCATCGAAACGATGTCTTCGTGCCGTGTCCAGTTGCGCCTCTCTCATCTCTTGATCTTCGGTTCCTTTCGCATCCTTCCCCTTCGCAGCGTCGTCGTCGTAGGAGCTTGGCAGACCATCGCCATCATACCCTTCACCAAAGTCGACCCACCTCACTTCGTCCTCCGCCAACCCCACATACGCCCTCGCCGCCTTTTCGTCCGCCTGCGTCTCCCCCACCCCCACGCCTCTCGCCAGGGTCGCGCGGAATTTCGCCTCTGCCGTCCTTCTCGCCGCTGTCGTCTTCTCCTGCGCACTCTTCTGCGGTGGCCCGGCGAGACTCGACAGGAGCTGCGGATCGCGCGAGAGCTGCGCCTCCACCGCCGACGAGGGGATGAGGATGAACGATCGGGTGTGCAGCAGGTGCGGTGAGGTGGAGAGCACTGCCCGCGGGAGGGCGTTCAGCAAGCACAGCTCGTTGGACGAGACGTTGAAGCGGATGGCGATGGATTGGAGCGTGTCGGTCTTGCGGAGGTAGTATTGGCGGGTTTCGCCGGTTGTGGGTCGGGATGAGGAGGCTTCTGCCGATGAGGTTGGGGCGGAGTGGGGGTCTACGAGTCGTCGAAAGGCTGTCAACCCCGTGCTACAATCTCCGTCTTCGGTTGTGGAGCTGACAGTGTCGGCTGTGTGAGGGGCAACGTCGACCTCTGCCGAAGCAGCACCCTTCGATTGCCGCGTCAACAGCGATGGTCTCGTCGCCGACTTCGCCTTGGCCCCTTCATCGTCACTCGCCTCGTCGTCGACAACGAACGTGCTCTCCCCCTTGGCCTCGTACGGGGGTGGCGGCACCTCTTCCTGCAACTGGTCGTCCTTCAACGCAGCGGCTGCGTCGAACACCACCTCACCAACGCGCGTCACATCGCTCCGAGGTCCCTTGCGGAACGCCGCCTGCGCATCCTCGCAGATCGGACAGAAGGTGCGCAGTCTCGGATTCTGGTCCAGGCAGACAGGACAGATAGGCCGAGAGCAGCAGCCGTGCACGTAGATCGCCGCCGGCTTGGTGTTCGGTGCGATCGTCGACGAGCATGCTAGACAGAGTTGTTGCGTCTGCATTGTCGCCCAAGAAAGATGGCAGTGTGGCTTCTCGTCGATTGCTGGCCTCCTATGATATCTAATCGAGCCCCAAAGAAGCTGTATCCCTCGGTGTGATCGAGAGGCTTTTCTGTGGTGTGTGCTGTTGGTGTCGGCAGGGGCTGATGGTGGTGGCGGCAATAGAATCAGGGTCCAAGCTGCATCAGCCTCTTGCGCGCATCAACGCAAAAAAAGCCCGGCTGCTGACTGCATCTCGGGTGGAGGCCACACGCTTTTGCTACACAGACCTTTGAGCCATTGCAGCCTGTAACGTGATCAATCAAGACGAACACACCTCAGCGTCGAGCACAAGTCAGATCACGATCAAGGCCAACGTCTAGGATCCCATAGAGCTGCATGTTCCTCCTACCTCAACCGCGGATGAACGTAGCATCAATCTGCTTCAACTGCGGCAGTAGCAGCTTGACCTTCCTCCTGTACGCCGGGCCCTCTTTCTTCTGTGCCGGGTTTCCTTCCAGATACACCGTCTCGAGCGCTGGCATCCGATTCGGTCCCAGCTCCTTATCCAGCTCGTTGAGATCCGCAATCCTGTTGTCGTTGGCCCAAAACTCCTCGAGCCGACTCAAATGCCCCACATTCTCCACCTTCTCGATCATGTTGGCGCCCACATCGAGCGTTGTGAGCTTCGTATTGTGCTCCAGGCCTTCGAGCTTCGTCAGCCCGTTATGCGAGATGTAAAGCTCCTCGAGATTGACCAGCGTCTCGAGCCCTTCGAGCTTGGTGATCCGATTCGACTGGATCGAGAGCACGCGCAGGTTCGTGAGACTCTCCATCCCGCTCAGAGTGGTGATCTTGTTCTTGCCCAACCAGAGCTGGGTCAAGTTCGTCAGATGACCAATGTTTTCGATCGACCGCAACCTGTTTCCGCCCAGCTCGAGGCTTTCTAGCGCTCCCGCAATGGGTCCCTGCAGATCGTCTGCCCGCACCCGCGAGATCTTGTTCTGCACAAAGTAGATCGTCTTGCACGCCCCCAGATGCGAGACGTTCGAAATGTGGTGGATGTTGTTGAACGACAGATCGAGCGACTCGAGCTGGGTGAGCGAATCGAGGTGGGTGATCTTTTCAATGCTGTTGTCGTACAGGTCGAGATCTTCGAGTTCGGTCAGCTGGCCAATGTCGGAGCGGATCTTGGTGAGCAAGTTCTGACGGAGGCAGAGACGTTTGAGCGAGGGAGCGAAGCGGGCGAGACCGAGTCGCTTGGTGGTCGTAAGACGGAGGTGACCGAGATCGAGGATTTGTTCGGTGTCGGGGTAGTGTTGAAGCAGCTCGGCGTCGTCCGGGATCTCTTCGGCGGGTGCTTCGGTGATTTGGCCGTTCGAAGCGCTGTTATCGACGCGGACAGAGCCGTACTGGACAATGCCGCGTGTGATACCGTTGTTGGCGGGCTCCGGCTCGTCGACCGCGCTGGAAGGACCGGCTTCGTCTTCGGTTTGCGGATCCTCGTCCTCGTCTGCGCCAGCGTGGGTGCGGTCATCGTCTGAATCCGTGTCGTTCCCGTTCACCGGGCGGTCTTTAGAAGACATGGTCGGTGCAGGCGGAAGTTCACCGACGATCTGCACCTTGGGTTGGGACTGAGAGCTCGATGACCCGGCAACTGTAGCGTCGGCCATCTTGAGTACGGTCACGATTAGAACGTGTGGTGTGCTTGCAAGTGCTGATGGTGTCCAAGAAGGAAGCAAGGCGCTGAGAACGAATCGAAAGTGGTCAAAGCTCGGATCGAAAAGCTCAGTTCAAATTTGCGCCGCGGAGAAACCGTCGCGTGGGTCGGATCGTGAATATGGCTGAGCAACACGCTTAGGCCTGCGTGAAGGCGAGACCACCACGGCACCACTTGTCACTCGGTCAGCATCACAATTCGCACACACTGACGCAGATCCTGGGCAAACACGAATGGCATGCTTCATGACCAAGATAAGGGTACAAAGAGTCTTTCGTGAAAGGCTCCAAAGGGTATACGGTTGTATTACATGGCAATGTGGAAACATCAATAGTGGTCGGAGTGGTGCAGATCAAAGCATGAGTGGAGTGATCCGTCCATCTTGAGTCGCTACTCGGCGGTGGAAGAACCAGCCTTGGCAGCATACGACTGCTTGTCGTTCGTGACGAAAGGCTCCTTGCTCTTCTCGACAATCTCGGCTGGTGTCACATCCTTGCCGCTGAGCTGGGGTGTCCCGGTGCTCTTGCTCGCCTTCTCAGACGCCCTCTTTTGCTCAGCGAGCTTCTTCATCTTTTGAAACTTCTCCGTCGAGATGCGTGTGCCGAAGAGCACATCGAAATGAACAAAGAAAGGCTGCGAGTAGTTGTACCGCAACCCGGTCATCTGGTGGTGCACGTCGTGGTACTCGGCGCAGTTGGGGAACACGAGATGCAGAGGGTCGAGGTACCACGGGAAAGCATAGCCGCCGTGGTCGGCCACCGTCTTGAGCGTGGAGAAGGTGAAGAGGACGATACCCTGACGGACGGTCATGAAGGCGGCTGCGTGCGAGATGCATGCGCCCGCCGAGTCGAGCAAGAGCCCCTCGACGGGATGGTTGTAGAGCGCGCCGAAGGCGTAGGGCACGTAAAGGCGGTGGTGATGCGAGTGAAAGTGGCGATAGAGGAAGCGGCTTTCGTGGAAAAGTCGATGCAATGTGTACTGCCACGCGTCCATGACGAAGAAGGCAAACCAGAATTGAGCGAAGGGGATGCCCCACCAGTACAACCACCATGCTGACGAGATGGCGTCCTGGCTGCCAAAGACGAGCTTGGTGAAGGTAGGCTGAAGGGCTGGTCCGAGCAGCTTGGTTGTTGATGAGCGAAGGAAAGCAGCGATGTTGAGGATCTTTGCTGGATGATCCGCAAAGGTCTGTTTGAGCCCCACAGAGTCATCATCGAGCAATGCAAGTCCAAGGATGGTCTGGATGACCTGCTGCACCACGACCATGACCACCACCCTTGTCACGCTGACGCGGTTGCGCTTTGTGACCTCTTCCGGCTCATGGAGACGATATCGCTCTGTGAACGGTAGCTGCATTGTGTCGAGAGCATGATAGAAAAGCGATGCCACCCAATAGATGGCGATGGGAAGCGCTAATGAGAGGTACTTGTCCGAGATGCCGGGAAGCACTGTTGGCTGCGCCTGAAAGTAGAAGGGTGTCTGATTGAGCTTGGCGAGGCCGGCCGCGGCTGTTGTGGCGTTGGCGAATGCATTCATACTGGAGCTGGGGATGCGTTGATGGTGCCTCGACTTGTGGTCTGCGCAAGTCCTTGATCGATCGCAGGGTGCTTTTATGGCCAACAGGCTCCTGCTGGGAAACCAATCGACTGCGGGCGACAGACGGAATTAAGACAAACTCTTGTGATCGTGAGAAAGGCGTAAGCTCGAGTGCTGGCCCAGTAGATAGTTGCGTGGCTGGATGAGAGTCGACGTCGGTCTGATGGAATGATGATAGCGGAGCGAGAGGAAGCTGTCCGATCCCTGAATCCGAAGTCAATGTTTTTCCCTTTAGGCGAGGCGAGGAGGGTCAAGGACAGGGTTCAAAACCAACGAGAAACACAGTTTTAGGCGCTCCTCACGTAAGAAGTTTGGCGCTGCGACGGTGCGAAACGCCGCGTGCAGTCAGGCAAATTTGGCCGGCTGCGGCCAGCCGATGCAGCATCACGCATGCAACTCGTCGATTCGTGCAGGTCGCGCCTCGTCCGTCATTGCTCATGATCTGGTCACTGTCGCACACACCAAGTTCTTCAAATGCAAGTGCAATAGCGAAAGACGACCATCGTTGTATCTCGAGTGAGTCATTGTAGCCATCAATGACCGCGACAAAGCAAAGCTTAATTCACGACGATTCCTACCGGCACCACTAAGCGTGCTGCAGAGTGTCATAGCCGGTGGCAAAGTCCGTGTCGCGCGGATTTGTACTGTTAGACCACAAAAAAATATTCAGCTAGGCGTTTTCCTCCTTTCGTGCGGGTCACTTAGAGGCCAAAAGCTTCGGACAGGAACGGTTCCGTGATCAGCAGCAGAGCGCTTTGCCATTTCAAATTTCGACCTGTGTTGCGGCCACGGAATACAAGACCGATGCTGCTCAATTCAGTTCGCAGGTGCTTTGAAATCACGCTCTGTTCTGTGGAAGAAGAAATTGGGGCCAGCACAACACAGTCCCATTTCTGAGAGAGGTCAGCAGCTCGTATCGGTCGAGTTGAGGGAGAGCAAGCCAGCCAAGGTTCAAGCAATCTTCCAATCTCGTTCGCTCACGGACGGCCAGGCAACAGTAGCAAAGCTCTTTCGTCGCGATCCACCTTTTCAATCTTCTTCTACCTTTCTCGTCACCTACACCTTCACCTTTTTCAGCACGCCTCTTTGGTCGCCTGCATTCGACATGTCGCTCGCTCGTTCCGCCGCGCCCGTGCGAAGCGCACTTCGAACCGCCGCTGCCGCTCAGCGACGCACCTTCACCACCGCCAACGCATCCGGCGTCTCGACCGCTGCTGCCGACGACGGAGCGCTCACCTCGACCGTCACCGTTGCCATCAAGGCTGGTTCCCGCTACGAGTCTGCCCCCGGTGTCGCCCACGTGCTCAAGAACTACCTTTTCAAGTCCAACCAGAAGCGCTCTGCTCTCCGCCTCGTCCGTGAAGCCGAGTTCTACGGTGGTGTCCTCTCCACTGCTCTCACCAAGGAGCACCTCTTGCTCACTGCCGAGTTCCTGCGTGGTGATGAGGACTTCTTTGTCGAGGTTCTCGGTGATGTTCTGACCAAGTCCAAGTTTGCTGCTCACGAGTTCAACGAGGAGGTGCTTCCGCAGGTGCAGTCGGAGTACGCCCAGGCGCTCGCCAACCCCGCCGTTCTTGGGTACGACAACCTTCTGCAGACTGCCTACCGCCAACGCGCCCTCGGTCACTCGCTCTTCGCCTCGCCCTCCAGCCCCGTCTCGCACCGTCAGGTCGTCGACTTTGCCCACGCCGCTTTCGCCAAGAACAACATCGCCGTTCTCGGTACCGGTATTGACAGTGGAAAGCTCTCGCAGCTCGTCTCGTCGCACTTTGGCGAGCTTTCCGCCTCGGCTTCCGTCTCGAGCCCCGCCTCCAAGTACTTTGGTGGTGAACAGCGGGTTGCCTTCTCTGCGCCCCACGGTGCTGAGAACACGCGTGCTGCCCACGGTCACTTCTTCATCGCCTTCGAGGGTGCGGGTCACAAGGACGCTTCTGCTTCCGCCAACCTTGCCGTGCTCCGCTCGCTGCTCGGAGGTGAATCGTCCGTCAAGTGGAGCAACGGTGTTTCGCCTCTTTCGCAGATCGCCGAGTCCGTTGCTGGTGCTCAGGCCAATGCGTTCAACCTGACCTTCTCCGACTCGGGTGTGTTCGGTGCACACGTCTCGGCGCCAAACGCCTCGGTGCAGCAGGCGGCTGCCAAAGTGGCCCAAGCCCTCAAAAACGTCGCGGGCGGTCTCAAGGAGGAGACCATCCAGGCAGCCGTTGCCAAGGCCAAGTTTGAACGCGCCACCGTGCTGGAGAACCGTACCGCATCCCACGAGTTGGTCAGCGCCCAGCTCCTCGAGGCCGGCAAAGTCGCCACGCTCGAAGAGAGCTTCGCCGCGCTTGAGGGCGTCAAGGCCAACTCGTTGGCCAAGATCGCTGAGAAGCTCCTCAAGAGCAAGCCCACCACCGTCGCCGTCGGTGACGTTCACGTTCTGCCTTACGCCGACGAGGTTCTTTAAAGTAGTCGAGGCTCATCCGATCCCAATACACAGTTTTTCTTGATTCATACACAGCCCAGTTTGCATCTGCGCACGGTCAGAGATCGCATCACGCACGCACACACCATGAGAGACATGAAATGCGACGACAGAGTCGTTCGCGAGGTATCATTGAGCATTGCGTCTTCGTACCGACATGAGAAGGCCTTGTTGCGTCCGACTCACGACCGTCAATCGGCCAGCTTGTCGGCGAAGACAGGCCAGTCGGAGCCGTGCACCCTGACCCTATGCACGCAGATGGGCGGGTTCTTGGCCGATCCATCGATGAACTGCCACCTGACCGCGTGCACTCCGAACGGGTACACCTGCGCCTCTTCCGTCAAATTGAACGTCTGCAGTGTCGATCCGTCGGCTTTGAACTCGAAGTGTGCGAGGAGCAGCGGTGCGTCGTCCTTGTACTCCTGCGGGATGGCTCTGAAGTGGGTTTCCGGCAGGACGCTGCGCAGGTACTCCTCCTGGCTCCCCGCTTTGGATCGGCGGTACTGCTGATAGAACTGTCGATCGCCCTCATCCACCATTCCCCAGACGAGGATCCTTCGGGGTGCGGTACGCGCCATCCCCGGCAACGCATGCTCCACCACCACCTCCTCAATCACCTTTGGCTCGGCCAGATTCACCTGCAACAAACTCCCCCACCCCGTCATCCAGCAGTTTCCCCCGTCCAATCCTGCACCCGGAGTGATCGCCTTGACCGGCTCACCGATCGGCACCCGTCTCCCCTCGGCCAAAAACCGCCCCACGTTCCAAACGCTGTTCAACCTCCACCCCCTATGCTCCGTACCCACCTCGCTTACCCAGGCACCACTCGTCGTCGCCATCCAATCCACCTTCCCCGTTCGATCCCTCGCAAACCTCTCGAGCTTACTATCGATCATCTCGCCCAAAAATGTCGAATCAAACGCTTGACCCAACCGCGTGTTCACCTCGTCATTCGCGTAGCGGGTGATCTTGGACACCTCGCGCTCGAGTCGCGCAAGGAATTTCCCCTCCGTATCGTCTGCCCGCGACGCCAGTTGGGTGTGCACTTTTTTGTCAAGATCGCGCAGCATGAGCTCCACCGAGGAGGAGACGGATTCTTGGATGGACTTGAGCTCTTCCTGTGCGAGCCGGGCGATGGAGCGTTTGGTGGAGGCGGTGAGACGCGAAAGCTCGGACGTGTGCCGCGCCTCGGCTTCCGATCGGATGGACGAGGCAACCGACGAGAGCGAGGTGGAGATGTGAGAGTCGATCGAGGCGGAGAGCGAGTCGAGTCGCGAGGTGAGGCGAGCGAGGTCCGAGCGAAGACGTGCGTTTTCTGCGCCGAGAGAGGGATGACCGGGGAGGTCGTCGGATGAAAGGTAGGGGCGGGACACGCCATGATTGAGCAGCTGACTGACGAGGTAGACTGCAAGGAGGCCGAGCCCCCACTTGAGCAGGCTGGAGAGGCCCGTCAAGCCGCGGACGCCGTTCCAGACCCCGACGGCGAGGTTGTAGAAGATCGATGCGAGTGCGGAGAAGAGTCGGGTGAGGGCGGACGGTCCCTCTGGATGCTGGGCCTGCTTGGTGGAGAGGATATGATTCCCGAGCGCAACCTCCTGGATGTCGTCCTGGTCGTCGACCGGTTCCGAGTCCGAGACGCCATCGAAGCGGGTTTCCTTGCCGCTGGCCGCCTCTGCGTCCTCATCCTCGTTGGTCTCGCGGCTGTCATCATCGTCGAGCTCGCCGGGCATGCCGTTGACGCTCTTCCTGCGACCCTTCCTCTTGACGCCCGTCATCCAGGTTTGGTTGTCGATCTTGCCCTGCAATCTCGCTGAGATGGAGTTGGAGTTGCGGCCCTTCCTCCTCGCTCGTGATGGCGATCCAACATCATCATCATCGTCCTCCTCTTCATCGCCGTTCGGTCTGTACGGCAGATTGTCCGCCGAGGTTCGACCCTTGCGCTGACCGGACACCCTCCTCGTCACAGTGGCCCTCGAAACAGGTCTCTGCTGTTGCTCGGCGTCGATGCGCGCTGCCTCCCGCTCCTCCTGCTGATAATTATCCGTCAGATCGCCCTCGCTGGAGAATATGGACATGGAAACGCTGTGCGAGCCATTAGCCTCGCGGCTGTCGTTGAAGCTGCGCTGGTCGCCACGAAGAAGAGCGGACCGGTATGATGGCTCGGACTCTTCGCGGAGGTAGTAGCTGGCCGGAGCGTCTTCCTGCTTGATGCTGATGATGTTGGAGCTGCTTGCGAGGGAGGGGACAGCGAGCGTTCGGCGGCCTCGTCTCGGTGTCATTTGCTCGTTGAGTTCGGGCGAGAGAGGTCGGCTGCCGGGCGTTTCGGATCGACCGCTGATGCGTGGGGAGCGACGCGGCGTGCCACCGCGCGGCCCGTTGCGAGTCGACATGGCGGAGGACGTGGCTTGCGATCACTCCAATACAACGTGCGATTTGCCTTGATGATGCTGGCTTGAAGACGACGATGCGGAAGTCGTGATGGGTGCGGATGCCTTTTGGTTGTGCGGGGTGGTCTGGAATGTGGGCGCCTCTGGGTATATGTATTACTTTTGGGATAGAGGGACCAGCAGTCGCGTTGATGGATCTGATGGTTTTGTTATGCTCTGAAGCTGTTCGCGGTGGGTTGCAGAGACGGTGGAAGGGGCGGGAGGGACAGAGTGGGAGGATGACAGCGAGGCTCGAGCGTGTCGTGGGTGCATGCATGCGTGTCAGTTGTTCAAGAAAGGGTCTTCGGTTGTCTTCCAACTTTTTGGTTCCGCTGCGCGGTCAAACAAAGGAAGCTTCAATCGAAGCTTCAAAGGGGTACGGGCGCATTTTGCAAAGATGTTAGCAGATTATCATTCACATTATTCCAAAAATTGCTCCACTTGCCGCTATGGTTTTTTTCTTTTGTTTCTTCTCGAAAGGCGACTTTTTTGGGCTCCGTGTTCCGTGGTCTGGCCGGCTGCGTAGTTGCGAACAAGCCTCCATCTTTTCATGGTCGCTGACCATCATCTCCATCAGAGACAATAGCAGCAAGATGGCATCGACATCAGCATCAGCGTCCAGCAGTGTCCCCGCGCCAACGAGCGCATCGACGCATCTCGGACTGCTTCCCGAGATCCCCAGAGCGAGCTCCATCATCGTGATTGGAATGGCTGGCTCGGGCAAGTCCACCTTCACAGCCAGCCTTCACGATCATCTTCACGAAAAGGCGAAAGAGCAGCAGGAGGAACAGGAGCAGCAGCAGAGCGGGCCATCAAGCTCGCCGCAGACAACTGCGCCTTACATGGTCAACCTCGACCCTGCTGTCGGAACGCTCGGCTACGAACCCAACGTCGACATCCGCGATACCGTCGATTACTCCCGCGTCATGGAGCAGTACAACCTCGGGCCGAACGGTGGCATCTTGACTGCACTCAATCTCTTCACCACCAAATTCGACCAGGTGCTCAACATCCTCGAGAAGCGCGCCAAGGAAGTCGACCATATCGTGCTGGATACGCCCGGACAGATCGAGATCTTCACCTGGTCGGCATCCGGATCCATCGTAACGGACGCGCTGGCGAGCTCCATGCCCACCGCCATCGCTTATATCATCGATACCCCGAGGACGACCGCGCCAGCTACTTTCATGAGCAACATGCTCTACGCATGCAGCATCCTCTACAAGACCAAGCTGCCCTTCATCCTCGTCTTCAACAAGACCGATGCGCAGTCGCATCATTTTGCGCTAGAGTGGATGCAAGACTTCGAAAAGTTCCAGGAAGCCTTGGCAGCAGGCAATGCAACTGATCCGTCGTCGACTGTAACGCAGCAGGGCCTCAACCCACGAGCCCGCAACCACGACTCGGAGGGAGGCCAGGGCTACATGAACAGCCTCATGAACAGCATGAGCCTGGTGTTGGACGAATTCTACAAGAATCTGAGGGTGAGTTCGCCAAGCTACCGCTTCCGTGCTCCAAAAGAGATAGAGATACTGACCTCCTTTTCCATTCGCTGTTATTGATTTGCATCAGGCCGTCGGTGTGTCCTCCGTCACGGGCGAAGGCATGGATGACTTCCTCGCAGCGGTGCAGGAAGCGCGTCAAGAGTACCTCGACGACTACCGTCCGGAGCTCGAGCGACTCGCCAAGCAACGAGATGCGAAACGCGAGACGAGCAAGAAGGAGCAGCTGGCCCGTCTGATGAAGGACATGAAGGTCGGGTCCAAAAAGACGTCGACACAGGACAACAAAGCGGCGAAAAGAGCGAACAGATCGACCGAAGACGTCTCCAGACCGATGGACGAGGAGTACGAAGGTGACGGTCAGATCATTGAACCCGTAAGTACTGACGCCACGCCGAAGCTCTGTCGGAGAAGAAAGGTCGTGACAGGTTTTCTCGCTGAGTTTCGGCTCCACCGTAGCGGCAGCGCACCTTGTTGAGTGATGGTCTTTACTCCGCCCGTAGTGGTCGCGTGCTTCTCCGCTAACCCACGCAGGCCCTGCCTCGGAACAAAACCCCGCGCTGAGCCCCTTGGCTGACTTTCCTTGACCTTCTTCTGCCCGCCGATGATCATTTGCTTTGCCTGTGCAGGACTCGGACGAGGAGAAGCCACATTACGAATACCCTGGCCCAGAGTACGATCGAGGAGATGGTACCGTCTGGCCTCGTCCCGGATAGCTCGCAAATCTTCTGCGGCCCAATTCATTCTGTGTCAATCGATTGTGTCAATCGAGAGTGAGCCAATGTGCTCGTCCGCATATGCCGTAGCGTGCGTGAATATCGTGTCTGCGTCTGGTTCATGCCAAGCTCGCATGAGCTTTTCAAAGAGCTGCGCATTCGCGGACCGATTGATCCTCCCAGACGCAGCGTTGGAAGCCGACTTGCGGGGAAAGCGCCTTCCAACGCTGCGGAGACGTTGCTAAAGTATCGTCCTGCTGGCCATGGTGAGGTTAAAGGTTGTCTAGCATGGGCACATGAGCGGGACGACTACCACCTTTTCGGCCCTCTCATTGTGCTGCAACCAGACTCGACGCCTCCTTGCAGGGAAAAGGGCAGCCTTGCAGCGGAATGACTATCGGGTGCTGTCTCGGTGAAGCAAGCTTGGCTCGTCGACAACCTGTTCGCTCGAGTCCATGGTCTGCCTGAGCTGCTTCAATCGATGCATCGCACTGCCTCGACTAGGCGCTCTCTGCTTGTCAGGATCAAGCATCGGTTGGTATGTCCTTTCGTGTACCTGAAGTGAGCCGAAGTTCCGCGGATTGTGGTCTGCTACGTACGCGTGAGTGCCTCAGGGACAGTCTCGAAGATCCCTTCGAATCAATAGAAAAGCTAATTATTCAAGCGGAGCTGGTTACGTGCGAAGCAAGAAAGCCGACCGCTGGCTGCTGACCAGTACCTGCTGACGCGAGTGTCGCCTGACCCGCCGCCATGACTTCCACGCTGGTGATGCCTCGATCAAACAAACAGTCGATCGAGGCGGTTCTGCGGTGCTTGCCAAAGTGGCGTTCTTGAACAGCGCGGCGGAAAGTGGCAGAGGACGTGTGCAAATCAACCCATGATTTGAAATGTGGTTCGAGTGTGCCTTTCTGCAGCCGGCGAACGCATAAGAAACGCGGGACCTTTCTTTCTTTTTGAGCGCCAGCCGAGATAGTCCCTGGCCACACTGACGTCGTGCCTCGGCGATACGTGGATAAAGCGAAGCTAACTTTGAGCTTTCAGATCCCGCCCTGGAACGTCTGGAAGCGAGCAGCTCGGCTAGAAGAGCTGCCACGCACAAGACGGTAATCTTTGTGCAAATGAAAGAGAAGCTGATCGTCCACAGGCAGCCGAGGTTGCAGTCGAGTCCGTATGTTTTCCAACTTTGCTTCAGCCGTCATCGTCATGGTGCTGACACGGAAATCAGAAGAAGCCGATAGGATGATGGGAGTGCCATGCTGTCGTCAGCGCGCCGGTGAACGACGGAGCTGCAATGATGCCGGGACGGCCCGCGTCGCCAACCGCTGCGTTGGCTCGATGCAGGCACGGCAACAAGAAGCGTGAACGTTGATAAGGAGTGTCAACAGGGAGTGAGCTGCAGCCCTAGCCTACGTGTGCGAAGCTGGCAGCCGTTTCCAAAGTGTGTCCTTTTACAGCAATGGTGGGAAGACAAGGTCGAATCGTCTTTAGCTGAGCCAAGTTCAGTCGTCCATCTGGCGTTTGAATGTGACTTGTGTGATGTCAGAGAGTGGATTGCGGTGGACTCGGACTGTCCCCGTTCCTCGTTCGGTGCATCGGAAGGGCCAATTTGCCGTGGCTCAGCTCGACGACACCGGTCGGCATCGGAGCGATAGACTCGGTTGCTCCCATCGGAGTCGGATATGAGCTGCTGAGTGTGACACAATGAGCAAGGCGTTGCTTCGTATGGAAGACCACCGAGTCATTCTTATAATACAGGCATCTTCGGGGTTGAAGAGACCGCTTCTCTGTGTCTTTGACGGCGGCGGCAGCGGTAAGTGAAAGGGTCTTTCCCCCCCCCCCTTTTTAGTATTTGAAATTAAACTTGCAGACCCTGAAGATGACCCTGACCCGTGCAGCACTACGGCTCTCCTGTCTCGCGGCGCGGGAAATCTAAATGAAAAAAAGAATGCCGCCTCGTGGTGGGAGGCGGTCACACTTTCCCACAGCGGGCAGGATCCGCTGGAGAGCAAGGCTGTGGGCGCGCCATGTGTGTTGAAGGGTCGCGTTGGCTGGACTGCTTCTGAGCCACTATATAATAAGTCACTCGCCCCTCTTCCGACGGCTCTGCCGATCCAATTCGTTCACTGATGAGAGGCCAACAAGGCGCTTCCGAGAAAAGCTGGCTTCTGCTGTGGAAATCGCATCTGGTCCCGTCCCTTGCCGTCTCTTCCTTGAGAGCATCTCTCCGAACTTCGAGAAGCAGCGGCGAAATACAAACAACCAAGCTTCCTTGGATCGGCCAAGTCGGTGAGTCAGGCTTCCTCCGCTTGGTCGCGCTACCCGTGATTCAGCTCGGTCGCTTTCATTCGTATTCTCAGCCAAGTCTCTCCTCCTGACTTATCACTTTGTCACTACTGCATCACTCGTCCCAGCTACGCCTTGGCACATCTTCGAGAGGGCAACAAGACGAAAGCGACAGTGATTAGGTCCTTCATTGATTCTACCGGTCTCTGCTGTTGTTTTTGGTCCACAACTTTTTAAATATTATAGAAAGAAGAAAAAAAGAAAGAAAAAAACATCACGACTCCGCCTGACCCCTCTGCTCTTACGCCTCTTGCAGCCTTGTTCTTGGGAGAGCCTCTTCATTATTATCTGTCGCAAGCGGCTCGTTGCGCTTTTTTGAAGGACCCTCGCTTGCCTCTGCTCATGCTGCTCTTTGTTGCGAGCTCAGACTTGGCGGTACTTTCCGTTCCTTCCTCGTGCCTTACTGAGCCGCAAGGTGATCTGCTCTGCCTCCGTTGTCTTCTCTCGTCCTCAGCAGCGACATCTATGCTTCGCTTTCCTATCACGTAGGCGCCTCTCACGCTTCCCATCGCCGCTTCTCGTCCCGGCATTCACAACTCGGCTCGCCAACCAAGCCGGCATTTTGTTTTCGCACCAACCCATCGGGGGATCGATCACCACAGCGCCGCATCGCACGCACACGGCCTGTATTGTATCATCCTTCATCTTCGCAGATCTGCCGGTCGTCTCATTACCCATCACGACATTCACTTCTCACAGTCAGAGCACCGGCGCTCGCATCACGACACGCTTTCATCATCTACAACCACACGGCAGCCAAACAGGCAGGGTGTCAACACGCCCAAGGCGCTTCTCATCGCGCGAGCAGCTGCCGAGCGGCTACAGATTGACCGTCAACAGGCCCTGACATGCCAGAAGCCATGAGCGGCATGGCAGAAGAGACCATCGCCGAGTCCTCCATGGACGCCGCCGGCAAACGCAAAAGGATCTGGGCCGCTTGTGAACCATGTCGCAAACGCAAGTCCAAATGCGACGGTCAAAACCCTTGCGCAGGATGCGTCACCACCATCAAGACCGCCATGCTGCCCATCAACGCAACAGCCCTTCAGAATGGCACCGTCGATGAGACGCTCGTCCAAGCAAAAGCACAAGAGCTCTGCGTCTTTGACTGGAATCGCAAGCCGCGTGGGCCCAAGGGCAAGAAGGCCGCCTTTGCCGCTGCGTTTGGTGTCGAGACATCCGGCAGCCAAGGCGCGCCTCGAACCCACGTCAGCGCTGGCCCGGCCTACATGGAAGCGCAGAAGCGCGTCCTGGACGAGTCGCATCACGGCACCCGACCCATGATCAGTCCTGATTCCGCCTTCACCTTTACCCCGCCGGATGAAGTCGCCCATGCCGCACCTTGGCCAGATCTCGCAGCACCAGCACCAGCCCCTCCTGTCAACGGTGCCAATGGCGCCCACGGAACACCTCACTATGAGCATTATGCGTCTACCTCGGCCATGCCCCCCGCGAGTTCCAGCTTCAGCACTGCATCGTACGCTCCCCACCATTCCAACGGTCGGCCCGCCTTGTACAATCGCGACTCGAATGGCAGTGGCAGCGTTAGTTCCTCCGACCACAGTACATACACCCTCGGCGCTCGACAATCCGAATCCAACACATCCATATCCCACTTCTCGCCACCCCTCTTTTCGGCACCACCTTCTAGACCCATGGGAACCGAAGAGCGTCCCTTGAAACGCCCCGCCTACGAGTCTTCCGGTATCGGCGATCGCATCAGCAAGGCATCACTCAGCGCGTGGGATGCACTCGCCGAAAGCGGAAGCCATCCACGTTCCAACAGCGTCTCCAGCTTGCTCCGCTCACAAAACTCGGCCGGCACATCGCCCACCGAGATCCATCGTCACGGAGCCTCGCCATCCCAATCACAAGGCTCTGGCGGCGGCGGTGGCTTCCCCGCCGCTTCGCCTCAGTCGGACGGAAGCGCCAACTACTTCAACGCGGCTACCAAGCTTTCGCCCATGGGCGGCGACAATGGCGACTCGCGCTACCACGACCAGTCGATGCTCATCAACCGCCTCAAGCCATACTATTCCGACAAGGATCGGCCGTTTGTGGCGCTAGCCATCTCCCAATTCGAAGCGCTCGACTCGTTTGAGAAGATGATCCCATCACGGTACATCTTTGGTTCGGCGCCCGGCTCGGCTGGACGCGAGCCGCCGGCGCACGTGCTCCTCGCCCTGCTCGCACTCCTGGCGCATCGTGCGCTGCTACTGCCAGACAGCATGAACATCGAAGATCTGGATCTGCAAGCCGGCGATATCGTCATGCGCTGCGCCAACAACTACGGCCGACTCGAGGGCGATGACCGTAAGCAGATGCTCTCGTTTGCTCGTCGCAGCTGGTCGCTCGCCAACGATCTCATGCTCCAAAAGATTCGAAGCGGTGATGTCGACCCTCGAATGGTCATGACGGGCATGCTCCTGCAGATCGCCGCCGGCGAGGACGGTCTTGGCAGCAAAAGCCTCATGCAGCGCAAAATGTGGCTGTTCCGCATGGCTTACTGCTGGCGACTGCACCACTTGGACGCCAAACCCGATTCGGAAACTTGGTCGACGCCGTGGGACGGGCCCGAAGTGCTCCAAAAGGCGCTCGAGATCTCTGGTGGATCCTCTGCAGATGACCCGCAAGCACCGCTACCCCGCGCCGCCGACACCCGCAACATGATCAAGGATCCCATCGAGCTCGAGGCCATCCGCAGACACGTCAACACCATCATCACAGCAGCCTACTGGCTGCACACCGCTGAGATGCAGGTACCCAAGTTCGACATCTATACCATGGAGATCGACGCTGCTGCCGCTGACGACTTTATCCATCACGGCTCGAATTGGACGCCCAAACTTCACCCGGCCTCGAACGGGTTCCTGGCGCAGACGCGCGATTTGGTTTTCCGCACCTACGGCCGTTTCACACGTCTCTTGCACACGCCTTTGGCCGACATCTGTACCGGTCACTCGCCTGAGCCCGATCTGCAGCGACTCATCACCGAGACGGAGACCACCATGGACTGGCTTGTGGAGCGCATCGGTCCCGTGACCTACGATGGTCCCGAGATGCCGTTGCGTGTCGCCGCTTTCATGCATTCGCGCATCATCCTGCTGCTCATGTATCGACTCTTCACGTCGATCCAGGCATTTTTCTTCCTCTTTCCCGAGCGCACCACGGCCAGGACGGATAAGTCGCTTCGGATCGCATCGACGCTCATACCCAAGAACGAACAGCGATCTAACTTTGAGATGATCGCCGGAGGCTGCACGGCCCCCGAGTCCGAAAGCGACGACGATAATGGCGCTGGCCGCGATTTCCAGGGCCGCAAATTGCTGCCTCGACCGCAGTTTTCGCGGAACCCGTTGAAGGCGTCGATGGCCGTGCTGTGGGAGACAGGTGCGCTGGCCAAGCGTCTTCTTTCGTTGCACCGAGCGCGCGATGCTGCGCTCGAACCCATCGAGGGTGGCGCCAGCGAGGCGTGGAAGAACGGCGAAGGCGAAAGGACGGGCAATGAGGTGGGCAAGACCATGGACGCGTCTCTGCGTGCTGTGCGATGGCCCCGTCACCTCCGACTGTTTGCACAGCACGCGTACGCCATGGCCGCCGAAGCGCACGTCGCAGGCGCCTCGTGGCTGGACTCGCATGTCGACGAGAACTCTGGATGGAAGAACCCAGCCTCGTTCGACCTGCTGCCCGAGCTGTCAGACACCAAGAGCATCGAAAGCGGACTGTGGGACACGGGCGATGCCTTCCTAGAGCTGCTCGAGGCCATGGCCAAGATGGGCAGCACACATGCGCGCGGTAATGAGGAGTCGACGCTGCGATACCGACAGGAACGATGGAACTGGGCAAAGAGATACCAGCAGCCGCCGAGCGGGCTCACCAGCATGCCGAACCCAAACTAGGCTGGCGGTGGCTTCACCCACATAAGCCAGCTGCAGATAGACCCCCCTAGCATTTTTCATCTTCAATCCATATACCAGATTCAAGGGATCCATCGAGCGTGAGCAAGGCCGTGCTTCGCTCCTGTGCTTGGCCAGAAGGTGTTCACGTGAGCAGACCCAGCTGGCAAAGGCGTCTCATGTGAGATCAAACTTGACCTATGGACTGCTTTCTATCGAGCGTCTGGACAGCTCGTAGGTGAGTTGAGCTGTGTCATGGCATCTTCTGCGAACACAGCTTTCAACTTGTGCGGGCGATCGGAACGGGCGCAACCCAGAACATATTGGACGGGGCGATCGGTTGCTGCGGTGCTAATGTACAGAGAACGAAATGGGCGCTTAGAGGCCGAGGCGGCGCTCCATGACCGTGTGCATGTCAGGGAGGGTCGACGAGATCTCGGCTGCAAGAGTACGAAGCAAGGTAGGATAAGCCCGTCAGCGGCATGTCTCCAATGAGCGTGTGCTGACCTGGTATGGACGAAACACTTACAAGGCAGGAAATCTCGTGGCTCGATGCGCTCGTCGTCACCGTTGAGAATGTCGAGGTGAAGCTTGGAGATCGAGTTGGAGCTCCTTGTTGGGTCAAATGCCGGGTTCTATTTGGACCGCATGTATCAGTATCAAATCACCACATCCGTCAGCGCTCTTCCTTGGTCATCGCGCTTCTCCTCGATCCGCTACTCACGTATGAAACGATCTTCCTCTCCATCAGCGTATGCGCTGGTGCACCCAATCCGTGCACGTTGCGCTGCATGGTGAGCTTGATGTTGTCCTGCGTCGCCTCCCATTTCTCGAGCCTGTTCTGCACGGGGTGATGCGAGGCGGTCGACACCTCGTGCAGCACGTTCTTGATGCCGTGGCGCATGGTATCGTGCACACCGGCGTAGACCGGATGAGACGTGGCCGAGCTGGAAGATGTCGAGGTGTGCGAGGCGTGATTGGCTGGCACGAGCACGTAGCTCGGCTCCATCTGCTCCTGCTTCTGCGCGTTCATCTTGGTAGCGGCTATATGGTGGATGATCGAAGATGATGAAGGTATAGATGGGAGCAGCGTCGACGTGAGAAAGTGGAGAAGAGCGGGTCCGTGTGTTGCGCGGTGTTGCTGTAGCAGCCCAGCGCTTGAATGCGTGGCCAGAATTGCCGCTTGCTAGGCTCAGTCGATCACGGCGCCCGGCTTCGGACTGTTAAGCCAGCCTGCTTGCCGGCGTACATAAGCGTGACAGAGCTAAGAGTGGAGCTGCAGCCTCGAGAATTTTGGCCGAGAAATTTGACTTTTTTGGTCCAAAAGGGACCAAGCTGAGCCTTCTCAGAGGTGAGGTTGCAGGGCAGTCAATCAGGGCAAATACTTCTCGAAACACTCGAAGACTTTCAGCTTGGACCTGCCATCACCTCTCCTCGACGACAACCATCCCGCATACACCAACATCATGGATCCAGACGGTCTCTTCGACTTTCTCGCTCCGGCGGAGGCCGCTTCCAGCCCAGCTGCTTCGCCAGCCTCGTCGCCCTCCAAGAAGCAAAGGAAACGCACGAAAGCGGCAGCTTCTGCTGCTGCCTCCTCATCATCCAATGCTGCCGCGAGCTCCTCCAAAGCCGATTCGCAGGCAAAGGAGACATCGGTGTCACGCTCGCAGAACGGCGACGGAACGTCGTCGGAAGCAGCTAAAAGCAATGGCGATGGTGCAGCCGAGAAGGCCTCTGACGATGATGAAGCAGCACCAGGCCCTTCCAAGCGCCAGAAGCTCAGCGTCGTCGCTGACAAGGCAGCGCCCGTTCCCACTGTCGTGACAGACGAGTTCACCGACCAGGCTACTCAAGCTATCCCACTCAAAGGCGGTCTCGCACCCTCTGACGCTGCAGATGCCGATGCCAGCGCAAGCGCTGATGGCGATGCGGCTAACGGCACTTCCACTGCAGACGCCAATGCTGCCGAGAAGAAGATGCACGTCACTCATTCGGTGCGTCACCAGGTCGCGCTCCCTCCCGATTACCCATACGTCCCGCTCTCTCAGCACGTCCCCAATGATCCGCCAGCAAAAGAGTACAAATTCACACTCGACCCCTTCCAGCGCAACTCGGTCTCCTGCATCGAGCGCAACGAATCGGTCCTCGTCTCGGCACACACGTCGGCGGGTAAGACCGTCGTCGCCGAGTACGCCATCGCACAGTGTCTCAAGAACGGCCAGCGTGTCGTCTACACCTCGCCCATCAAGGCGCTTTCGAATCAAAAGTTCCGTGAACTCACCGCCGAGTTCGGCGATGTCGGCCTCATGACCGGCGATGTTACCATCAACCCCTCGGCGTCGTGTCTCGTCATGACCACCGAGATTCTCCGTTCCATGCTCTATCGCGGCTCCGAGATCATGCGCGAGGTGGCCTGGGTCGTGTTCGACGAGATCCACTACATGCGCGACAAGGAGCGTGGTGTGGTCTGGGAGGAGACGATCATCCTGCTCCCACGCAAAGTGCGATACGTTTTCCTCTCGGCTACCATCCCGAACGCGATGCAGTTCGCCGAATGGATTGCACACACCCACGCTCAGCCTTGCCACGTCGTCTACACCGACTTTAGACCCACTCCTCTCCAGCACTACCTGTTCCCTCAAGGTGGCGAGGGCATCCACCTCGTAGTGGACGAGCGCGGAACGTTCCGCGAGGACAACTTCCAGAAAGCCATGGGTGCGCTGGCCGACTCGAAAGGCGAAGATGTGGCCGACCCCAACGCCGGCGGGGGCAAGCGTCGCGGTCAGGTCAAGAAGGGCGGCAATGGCGGCAAAAAGGGCCCCTCCGACATTTACAAGATCGTCAAGATGATCATGGTCAAGAACTACAACCCCGTCATCGTGTTCGCCTTCTCCAAGCGTGAATGTGAGGCACTCGCGCTGCAGATGAGCAAGCTCGAGTTCAACACGGACGACGAAAAGGAGATGGTCTCGACGGTCTTCACGAACGCCATCAACGCTCTGTCGGAAGAAGACAGAGGTCTGCCGCAGATCGAGCACATCCTACCTCTCTTGCGTCGCGGCATCGGTATCCACCATGGCGGTCTTCTGCCCATCCTCAAGGAGGTTATCGAAATTTTGTTCCAAGAGGGACTCATCAAGGTGCTCTTTGCCACCGAAACCTTCTCCATCGGTCTCAACATGCCTGCCAAAACAGTCGTCTTCACCGCCGTCAACAAGTGGGACGGAAAGGAGTTCCGCAATCTCACTTCGGGTGAATTCATTCAGATGTCCGGTCGTGCCGGTCGACGTGGTCTCGACGACCGCGGCATCGTCATCATGATGTTCGACGAGAAGCTCGAGCCCTCTGCGGCCAAGACGATGGTCAAGGGCGAAGCCGATCGCCTCAACTCGGCCTTCCACCTCGGCTACAACATGATCTTGAACCTCATGCGTGTTGAAGGCATCTCGCCAGAGTACATGCTCGAACGCTGCTTCTTCCAGTTCCAGAACGCGGCGTCCGTGCCGGCGCTGGAAGCGGAGCAGAAGGCGGCGGAGGAGCAGCGCGATGCGATCAAGGTCGAGCGCGAGGAGGAGGTGGCCGAGTACTATGATGTCAAGCACCAGCTCGAGGTGTTGCGCAAGGATGTGCAGACGGTGGTGACGCATCCCTCGTACGTCCTGCCATTCCTGCAGCCGGGACGGTTGGTCAAGGTGAAGCATGAGGTGCTCGACTTCGGCTGGGGTGCAGTGGTGTCGTATGAGAAGCGCTTGCCGAACACACCCGGCAAGCGCGGACCGGCGATCGACCCAAACGCCCCGCCGCAGAACCACTACGTCGTGGACGTGCTGCTGCACTGCGCCCCCGGATCGTCGAGCTCTTCGGACAAGAAGAAGCCCGAGGGCGGCGTGGGTAACTTCGCCCCCTGCCCCGAAGGCAAGAAGGGCGAGATGATCATCGTGCCCGTTCTCCTCTCCACCATCGAATCGCTCTCCGGTATCCGCATCTTCCTGGCCAAAGACCTACGACCCACCGAACCGCGCGAGGTGGTCCGCAAGAATCTCCTCGAGGTGCGTCGTCGTTTCCCCAAAGGTGTACCCCTTCTGGACCCCATCAAGGACATGAAGATCAAGGACGAGTCGTTTGCCCACCTTGTCGAAAAGATCAAGATTCTCGATGACAAACTGTCCTCCTCTCCGCTGCTCAAAGATTCTGATCTTCCGCGACTCTATGAGGCCTACTCCAAAAAGCAACAGGCGCAGGAGGTGGTTTCCGCGGTGGCGCAAAAGATTGCGGCGGCGCACTCGGTTCTCCAACTGGACGAGCTCAAGTGTCGCAAGCGCGTGCTTCGTCGTTTGGGGTTCACAACATCCGACGATGTGGTCGAAAAGAAAGGTCGAGTGGCCTGCGAGATCAGTACGGGCGACGAGCTGTTGTTGACGGAAATGATCTTCAACGGTGTCTTCAACGACTTGACTCCGCCACAGTGTGCGGCGCTGCTATCGTGCTTTGTCTTTGGCGAGAAGAGCACTACGCAGACCCGGCTGTCCGAGACACTCGCCGCCCCGCTCCGCGTCATGCAAGAGACCGCGAGGAGAATTGCAAAGGTCTCCATCGAAAGCAAGCTGCCTTTGGTCGAGGAGGAATACGTTGCAGGGTTCAAGGTCGAACTCATGGACCTGGTGCTTCAGTGGTGCAACGGCGCCAAGTTCGCAGAAATCTGCAAGCTGACGGATGTGTTTGAAGGCAGTATCATTAGGTGCATGAGGAGATTGCAGGAGCTGATCAGACAGCTGGTGAGCGCTGCCAAAGCAATTGGGAACGAGGGGCTTGCCGAGAAGTTCGAAAGGACTCTGGGGATGCTGGAGAGGGAAGGGAGCATTATTTTCAGCCCGAGTCTGTATTTGTAAGAGGGAATGCTATTCCAGATGGCGAGCGAAAGATATTCGGAGGTGTGTCTATGTGTGTGCGTGAGCAAGATCGTGAGGGAGTATGAGTGAGACGCCTGAAGAGCGAGGATCAGGCCTTCTGACGAGCCACATCGACCAAGCGCCCGTCGACCAGCGGCGAAACAAAGGCCAGATTCGACGTATCATCCTCGGCCTCGTCCTTCTTCCCGCTACTACCATTGTGCTTCTCTTTGCCGTTCGCCCTCTCCCCCGGTCCATTGGAAGTGGAAGCCTTAATATCGTCCCTCAGCTGATCCATCTGCTCCTGATCCAGATGGAAACTCGTGCTCGCCACAGCGCCGTGTTTGAAATTCGTACTCGCCACCTTGCCCTCCTTGCCACCAAATCCTCCTCCCCCTTCACCAACAACTCCTCGACCTGCCTCACCCTTGTTCAGCACCGCCAACCCCTCATTCTGGCGCGCGATGAACCCCTCCAGCGTGCCCAACAGCCTCTGCTGCTCCCGGAGACCCATATCCATCCCACCTGGCAGGTCACGCGCTGCGGCCTCGAGCGTGGCGAACGTTGCGCGGAGCTGGGTCGCTTGTCGAACGATGTCCTGAGAGAGCTGGGTGGGCGTTCCCTTGCCCCGTTGAGGGGCACCGGCAGCGGTGAGGAAGGCCAGGGTGGCATCCGCATCGCCTTCATCCACGGCCATGCTGCCTAGAGCGATGTTGGCGCCCCCGGTGGCGTGATCTTCCTCCTCGACGCTTTGAACGGAAGTGTCAGGAGCGGTGGAGGGAGTGTACAGCTTCCCATCCTGCTCAGCAGCACGCATGACCAACGCTAACAACTCCTTGATCTGCTCCAGCAAACTCGACGCTAGCGACGCATCAAAGAGCGCATTCTCGATCCGAGGCTCCTCTTCGACACGCGAACGTTTGGCTGAAGGAACACCCGTCTCGCTCGCATCTGCGTCGAACGACCGCGTCGCCGCATGCGACGACGTTGCCGCGAGATCATTTGTCCCTCCAGGGCCCAGAGGCTCGTTGAATCGCTTCGAGACCGAATCGAATTGGGAATGGTGTTCCGAACCGCCGACGTGGAGGGCATCGCGGAAGCCGCCGGGGGATTGATCGACGACCATACGCCACAGCTCGCCGTCGGCCGAGCCGTGCGAGCCGGCGCGGGCGCGCGAGGGCTGTTTGACAGGTGTTGAAGGCGCGGTGTCGCTGTTCGGGTTGTACTTCATGGCGCGCTTGAGGAGGTTGAGCGACCGAGCGCGGGAGATGGCGATGCGTGTGCGTTTGGAAAGCGTGTCGATGTCGCGGTCTGCCTGCGCATCGGGTGTATGGGTCTTGCTAGCGAGCGGGCTCTCGGTGTCGGTCGCGGGATCGGTGGAGTAAGAGGCGTTCTCGGCTTGCAACCGCCGGATCTGCTTCATGCGCCACAGATAGCTCGCGCCGAGCAGGAACTTGCGCACGATGGCGGACATGAGTTGGCCGTTCTCGTGGTCGACGACGAACTCGCCCCGCTTGAGCGCGTCGAAGCCGTCGTAGCCTTCGGCGAGGTATTCTCTGGTCACGACGCGGTAGGTTTTGTCCATCTCGAGCGGGCCTCTGCTGACCAGGGCGGGGCGGTGAACTTCAACGTCGTAGCCTCCGCCCGGCAGCTTGGTGACCGAAAAGCGACGCAGCTTACCCACATTGGCGTCGGTGTCCTCTTCTTTGTCGACGTCCATAGCGTCGTCCTCTGCCGCCGGTGATGGCGTGTCCAACGGATTGTCCAGCAGCTCGACGCTCACCAATCGCTTCCCAGGCGGCTTCCTCGAATCCCACTTGACCATCATCCCGGCAACCTGCGGAAACCTCCCCTCCTGCTTCGGATACATCGAAAGCCCGTTCTCCAACGCATCCCAGATATCTTGACCCTTCAACTCCTTGCACACCACCGCATCCTCAAACGGCAGGATCTCCAGCACGTCCGAAAGCGCCACCTTGCCCGGACCGTACATCTGGTCCCCGCGCAAACTGCCGCCGCAGATGAGCGCGCAGTCGACCTCGCGCACGTTGGGCGGTCGTCGTTCGCTCAGCTCGCCGCGGTTGTCGCGCTCGCGCAGCACCTCTTCGTACGAGTTCATCAGCACGTCGGCGACAAAGTTGCCAAAGGCGGATTCGTCGGTGCGCACCTTTTCCGAGCGACAGTCCCAAGGCGTGAGGGTGTAAGCGACGCTCTGGGAGGTGGATTGGGAGATCTTGGCGAGCAGGTCGTCGAGCATCGACTTGAGGTGGGGGGAGGTCGGATCAGAAGGGCTGGTGCGGTATCGTTGGACGGCGAGGGATTTGATGATTCGTTTGCGGACGGCCGAATCGTCGCGGTCGGTGAGCTCGAGCTTGAGTTCGGAAAGGTCGCGGAAGTCGGTGCCTGATTTGACGACCATGGCGTTCTTGTCCTTTTCAGTGCCTGGCTCGCCACGCGGGAAATCGTCGCCTTGGAAGCTCGAGGCGCCGTTGCCGACGTAGTAGATGTGGTCGTGGCCGCCGAGGACGAGATCGACGCCGTGAGAGGAAGGATCCGGATTGGAGACTGCACCCACCGCATTTGCAAAGTCGATGTCGTTGGGCAATCGACTGTGGGTGATGGCAATGACGAGTTCGCACGCCTCGCCCGAGGGATCTCTGAGCGTCTGACTGAGCTTGTTGGCCGTCTTGACCATGTTCCTATACACAAAGCCTTCCGGGAAACTCGGTACGGTGGCGATCCATTCCTTCTCGACGATGCCAATGCACCCGACCTTGACGCCTTGCACCACCGTGGTCCAGGAGCGCAACGTGCCATTGACCTGAGCATCGTCATCCTGAAAGTCTTCGTCCCAGTTGCTGCAGTCCTTGTTCTCCTCTTCGCTCTTGCCAGATCGATCGACGACATTAGAGAAGAGCCAAGGGAAGTTGTTCTGCGTCATCAAGGTTTGAAGATGAGGATAGCCAAAGTCCCAGTCGTGGTTGCCCAGACAGGCACAGTCGAGGTTCATAGCGTTGATGACGGGTATCAAGTGCGTTCCTCGAGTGACGCTGCTTTCGACAGAGGGTGAGTAGAGGTCGCCACTGAAGAGGACGAGACCCTTCCTCTCGCGTGATGTGGCATGCTTGGACCAGTCGCGGGATGATGATGCAGATGCCTCTGGCGGTGAGAGGTTCGACAGATCTGATGGCTCGCCCCACGATTCTCGTATCGCTTGGATCTTGGCAGCGAACTGGTCTGCTCCAATGGTGCCGCCAGACTTTTTGTCCTTTTGACGGACACGGTAGACATCGTTGAAGTGGATGATGGGAAGAGTGACCGGCATGTTGGTCGATGTCTATGCGATCGGATGGCTTCAGAGAGCGAGTGCTATGTCGGCGGCCATGCGAGCCGCGAGGGTCGAACGTTGGTGGCAGTGCCGATGATGATGACAAAGGGCGTGAAGGTGAGTGATAAAGGCGAGGCGTGGGAAAGTGACACAGAAGAGAGAAGGGTCCAACACGTTCAGAAGCTTCGCTCAGCACGGCTTTCGGCAAAGCCTTCCGACGATCCTCAGTCAGGGTCCGTGCTTTGCTTTTGTTCACACGCTCAGGCAGCCCCGATTCACACGCTTCTCGTCCGCTTTCTTTCTTCGGGCCGTCCTTCTTCTCTGGACAATCACCTGGACGACCAACCACACGGCGACCAGCCTTGCTCCCATCGGCAGCTGCATCAGCGCACATCGACTCAACATTAGTCCCACAGAGACTGTCACCGACTGAGCAGCACCGACAATGTCGCGCGATCCATATCACGACTTTGCATCCGACCTCAAGTCTTCGCTCTCCTCGGCACGCTCCCTCTCGGAATCCTATCGTCAGCTCATCGCACGTACAACATCACAATCACAAGCATCGTCGTCCTCGAACAGTCAAGCTGAGGTCGAGTCAGCGCATGATCGTCTCTCCGATGCCATCGAAGGATTGCGGCAGGATGTCGAGGATGTCAAGCAGAGCGTGCTCGTCGTCGAACGCAGCGGTCCAGAGCGTTTTGGGGTAACACCAGAGGAGCTCAACAACAGAAAAGCGTTCGTAGCAGAATGTGAGGCAGAAGTCAAGGTAGGTCCGCTTGCTCGTCGATCTGTTGACAGCGCAGGAGCTCGTTGACTGACTCAGAGCTTCCCTTTGGCACGCTAATGCTGGTCAACCGATGAACAGGCACTATCAAAAGTCGCGCAAGCGTCTCCGCCAGGCGGCAGAAATGGCGGAGGATTCAGCGCAGTCCAAATGGACGATGAGGACGAGGATGCCACGGAAGCATTCGAGCGCGAGCAACAGCAGGTAAGTCCACTCACTTCTCGCTCGGCTCTCAGCCTCATGATCGCACTGACGCATTCTCTGATCCTCCATTGGCCGCTCCGAATCGCACCTGCGACTGCACAGATCCTCATGTCACGCCAAGACACGACACTAGACAAGATCGGTTCCACGCTCAGCTCGCTGCGCAATCAAGCCGGCATGATGGGCCAAGAGATCGGCGAGCAGATCGAGATCATCGATGCATTCGACACAGAGGTAGAATCGAGTCAAGGGAGACTCAGCAAGGCCATGACCAAGATGGACGAGGTGATACGCATCAGTGACGAGAGGTTGGGTGGTTGGTGTGTATGGATCCTGATTGTGGTCCTGTTTCTCTTGCTCTTGGTTGTCTTCCTAATATGATGCTGAAGTCACTTGAAGGCACAGCAAATATACCCATCACACCTCATCATAGCACAGACAGCAGTGCCTTGGGGACGATCTCGGCGCAAATTGTGATGAACAGTGTGTGGGCTGTGTACGATCTCAGATGGTGAGGACGAGCTCTGCTGCTAAATTTGGCCTTGTTCCTTCCCCGCTGCCTCCACCGGGTGCTGCAGCCGAGACACGGCAGTTGCATGATCGCGCTTGCAATTTCAACTCACACGATGTTTGCCCACCTTCGCCCCTTCCACCACCACCGTCTTCGCTATCACCACTATCCTCACCATTCTTACTGGTTCGATACGATCCGCCGGGTCTCTCACATCATGCTATCGTATCGTTGCTGAATTCACTCGCTCTCCGACCCGATCGGGTCCCATCCATTGGCAAACACTGGTGGAACAAAGGGCTCGTCATCATGGCGGCCAATAAGGTCGACGATGGCTCTGAGCCCATCAACTTTCGAGCGGCTCTCGCCGCCTTTCAAAAAAAGAGCGCTACCTCTGATGCTCCGTCTGCATCCAACTTGCACTCGCCCAGACCGCGTCCACTGCAGCCAGCTAGTGGCAGACAGCCTCCTCAAACACCTGCTCGTCCTTCTTCCGGCCTCGATCCTGTATCCCGATCTTCATCCACTCCACGGATTCGCAACAACTCAGACGGCCTCATTTCGCCCTCAAGCAACAATCCTTTTGCATCCAAATCGTCACTTCATCCTTCCTCGGCCGTACCGTCTACATCAGCCTCAGGCATGCAAAGTGGCCCCTCTTCCGCTGGGCAACCCTCCATCTGGCCGACGCTGCGGAGAACGGGGAGTGGCGTTAGCCTGAACGAGCTCACAGAAAGAAGCGTACCTCTCCAGCGCGTCAACGGCTATTTGGCGCACACCCTGCCTCGATCCAGAAGCAGATCCATCATAGGCAACGAGCCACTAGATCCGCATTCCAACGGCGGCTCTGCCTCTTCTTCAGGGCGGTCCAGCCCCTATGTCCCTTCTCGGGCTATCCATGGTCTTTTTCCCGATGATGCCGACTCGCACTTCAGTCAAACAGTCGGTCCACCCACCACGCAGCACATGCTCGACACCAGCGCAGACGATGCCATGTTTGCGCACGCCGTCATGGAGCGCTCTGCTCCTCTTGCTTCGCCACGCACACGAGATCTAGCAGAGTCCGACTCGTACCTCCTTCCACCCCAGGTGCCATCGCGTAAAGGAAGCGCCTCGTCAGGTCACTCCACAGCTGCTTCCATACCGTCGCCCAGACTCCCACCTCGGCCCGCGGCTGCGAATGCCCTAGCTCCAAGCCCGACCATTTCCGAGTTTGGCCAGTTTCCGGCTTCTTCCTCTGGCAGCGCTACAGCTCCATCCAGAGCAAAGACGGGTCTGGCGTATGCAACGTATACGCCTGGTGCCAAGCGCAACGCTCAAGGTCAGGACACAGGTGCAACACCGCCCGCACTGCCACCTCGTAGCGCGACTCTCGGTCAAGCAGACAGGACGCCCCTCCGGACAGAACACGGCAGCCCTGTTGCGAGACGTGCTCCCACTATCCCCAGGAAGCCGGTCGCTACTCCGACGAGCGCAATGAGCAAACCGATGCCGCCTCCGCGACCAGCAAAGGTGGGCGAAGGAACTGCACCTGAAAAGCCAGCCTCGGCGTCCCAGCCACCCCCACCACCTCGTCAGCGCACGATCTCGGTCCAAAGCCATCGCGGTTTCACCAACGCCCCTACTCCTGGCGTCAGAACGCACCGCAAGAGCGGCAGCAACGTCTTCACCAGCATCAGCCTCTCGGACGACGCCAGCGTCGAGCTCAAGCGCAGTCTCGAAAGCGACATTCACGACGCTCCCTCGCAGCAGCTACCGCCGCCGACCCGCGGCAAGCCGGGAACCTTTGCGGCGCTCCCAGCATCCGCTCGGGCTTCGTTCAGCAGCACCGCTTCGGGCAACTCAGGTGCCGGTGGCGTGGTGAGCTCTCTCATCGGCAGTGCAGCTTCGGCGATACCGCTGTTCAAGTCGTCGAGCCCATTCAGCGGGACGAGATCGTTGGCGGACGGAGCGCCGTCGAAGCAGCCCTACTTTTCGGGCGGAGTGGCGGTGAGTCGGAGTGCAAGTGCGCATTCGGAGCTGTCGGGCGAGGGGGAGGCCGCGCTGTGGGGCGCAGGGAGGACGGTCCAGCTGGCCGACGAGACGAGTGTCGTCAGCAAGACGCAGGGCGGAGGACTGCTGAGGGAGCCCAAGGATGGGAGTGCGAGGAGGCGGTACGAGGCGCTATTCGACGAGCTGCTTGTGCGGCAGAGATCAAAGAAGAGGGTGGCGAAGGACTCGGGCCCGAGTTCGAACGCTTCCACCATCCGCGATGCCTCGACGGGTGCAATGGAGCGCAAGCCCAGCGGCGGCGTCCAGGCGCTGCGAGGATGGTTCGAGTCGGACCCAGCTACCAACACCGGCTCCTCCACCACCGCGCCATCCCTGCAGCCAGCCCCAGTCGTCACGGACACACTCTCAGACTCGCCCACCACGCTGTCGCGCAAAACCGTACACCGCATATGGTCGCGCTCCCGCCTGCCTGCTTCCCTCCTGGGTCGCGTGTGGGACCAAGCCGCTTCGTCTGCTCCGGGTTTGGAAAAGGAACCCTTCACCCGCGCCATGGCCGCCATCGATGCGGAGCTGGAACGCAAAAAGCATCGTCGCGAAACAAGACGTGCACGGCAGAGCAAGCCCAGGAACAGAGAGTCGACGACAGGCTCGGCGAGAAGGATGCCCCCTCCGCCGCCGGCTGCTGCAGCATCCTAGTCACGCTTTATGGCAATGATGATTGGACGGAACGTGTTGACATGTGCGCGTGTGATTGAGAAAAGTTGCAAAGTGGCGTATGTTACAGAGTTGAGAAAGATGGGTCGGAATCGAAATGGTATATGGGTGAATGGTGGGGAGGATCAGGCGTCGTTGGGCGTTGATGCGCCGGCGGGTGCTAGCGTGCCATGAATGAGATCTGCAGATCAGAGCCATGAATGACAGATGTCGTCAGCATGAGCCTTCTCCTATCCCTGCTGCACCACTGGATGCGACCACTTACCCTGTATTGAGCTCTCGAGCGCATCGATGCGGCTGCTCATCTCGTTCACTGTAGCGTGGTTTGTCGGAAAGGTCAGAATCATCGTCAGCTTCTCTTTTTTCATAGCACCATAGACCAGGTCAATGCGGTGATTCTCACTCCTCGCGGTGACCTGTCCATTCATGTCGTCGAACCGCGTCTCGAGCTGGCCGAGCACCGTGTCGACCCAATCGATCAGCTGATGCGGAGAGGAAATGTCGGGTGCCTGCAGACCCTCCTTCTCCGTCGTTGCGCCTGCGTTGTCGATGTGAGATGAGGCGCTTGCAGCGGACGATGTCGAGGGCTGCGACGCGGGTGTTGGCGCGAGTGTGGCTGCGGACATTGTGACGGTGATGGTGGTTGGAGGCAAAGTGTTGATCTCGGAAAATACGTTTAGGGAAAAATAAAGTTGGGAGGATAAAACGCATTGACCCTGAAAGAACGCTTCCCTTTGTGCATACCTTCCTTTGTTCGCCATCGCTCCCATACGAGCACAAAGGGCACGGCGCAAACTTTCGCCGGCAGAGCACCGTCAAGGTATATAAGAGTAGACGTGGACTAGGTGGTCTTCGAAGCAAACTCCATCATCCAATCGACCCCGCAAAGATGACCGCAGCAACCGCCTCCTCGACGACGCTGGACGACCTGTGCTCTGCTTACCTCCCGTTCGACGCCTCCTCCTCAGCATGGTCGGATCTCACTCCCACGCCTCAACTCGAATCCTCCTCGCCAATGTGCCCCATCCTCTTTGCACCCGAATACTCCTCCGCGATGGACCTCTATCGAACCCTCACCGTCTCCAACACCGCCCCGCTCTCGGCGATCGAGCTCTCTCCGCGCGCCCTCGCCCTCACATCGCACCTGATCCAACTCAACCCCTCGCACTTCAGCGTCTGGCAGTATCGCGCCAACATCATCCTCCACTCCCCCACGCTCGGCTCCAACCGCGACGAGCTGCTCCGTGCAGAGCTCGGGTGGCTCGACGAGCTAGCGCACAAGAATATGAAATCCTACCAGGTGTGGCAGCATCGACGGCTTGTAGTCTCCGCTCTTGGAGATCCGGGGAGGGAACTGGAGTTTGTCAAGGAGAACCTGGCGAGGGATGCAAAGAACTATCATACCTGGGGTTATCGCCAGTGGGTGCTGGCGCATTTTGGCGGTCTCTCCCTTCCCTCTTCCGCTGTGGTGGTTGGCAGTCGAGGTGCGGGGGAGTTCCCCCAGTTATGGGATGGAGAGGCGGACTATGTGGACCAGCTGCTCAGCGAGGATGTACGAAACAATTCCGCCTGGAACCATCGCTGGTACATCCATTTCGCTCGCTTCGGCCTCACCGGGTCCACCAACCCCGTCAACCTCGACCCGACAACGATGGAGAAGATCCAAAAGACGATCAAGTACGAAAAGGCCTATGCGAAAGCCTCCCTCGCCGGATGTCCCAACAATGCCAGTGCATGGACGTACCTCCGTGCGCTGCACACGGCCTTGCCCGCAAGCCTGCAGACGAGGTTGGTCGGCGAGTTGGGCTGGGTCAAGACGATGGTTTCGACGAATGCCGAGGCGGAGAAGGATGCGAGTGTGGATGTGATGGGCCGAGGACCGGTGGGCGCGTTGGAGTGGTGGTTCGACTGCCTTGCGGAGGACGCCCGGTCCGGAAACGTGGCGATCGAGGAGGCAGAGATGCTCGTGAAGCGCCTCATCGTGGCCGACTCAGTCAGAAAGAGGTTTTGGGCATACAGACTCAAATCTCTCCGTCGCACCCTTCAACCACAGCAACACTAAACCGCTGAATGTCACCTTCTCGCCGCAACAAATGTGTGTGTAAATGCATTGAGCTTGTGTGTGTCTAGAAGAGTTTCGGCGCTCCCTCTTCGCCCCACACGACGCGTCTCAGACCAGTAAAGCAGTTCTCTACGCCCTCGGGCTGCCCGAAATCGGCGAAGAACACCATGTATCCTGCACACGCGGTGGCCAGCACCCCGCCGAGCACGTTGAGCAGGTTCTGTCGCGGACTGGGCTCGAGCGCATCATCCTTGGTGGCGCGGCGGAAGAACTTTTCCCGCTGCTGAGGCGAGACGGAGCGGCGAGGGACGGGGATGGTCGGGTTGGAAGGTGGACGTGTGTAGAACGCGGATAGGATGTCGTTGGTGTTGTCCGTCGTGGTGGTGGAAGGAGGGGAGGGAGCGAGAGGTGAGGTCGGGTGAAGGGTCGATTGCGGGGCTTGCCAGAGGGAGCCTGATGAGGTGTCTTCGGTGGGACAGGTGGTCGGGTCGTCAATCTGCAGGAGTGGCGCAAGAAAGGGCAGAAGGAAACCAAACAGGCGTCAGCGCAAAGTTCATTCGGCTCTTGTGGTTCTCGACCCGACCATGCGCAACACACACCTCGAAGCTAAGATACACCCCCTCTAGATTTAGATCGGCGTGCGTGGGTAAAATACATGTCTGGTCTGCGCATGGTCGTGAATCGGGGGTCAAATGCTCACAGTGCTTTCTTGCTGCGTCTCGTTGGTCGGTGCAACCTTGCCCTCTTCGGCCCACGTCTTTGTTCGAAGACTCAACGCATGCAGACCCCGGTCGAACTCGCCCTGCAGCAGCGCGTTGACGGCGCGATGGCGTTTGATCTGCGTCATGCCCTGGAACTTGTCCGAGACAACGTGCACGTAAAAGTGCGTCTCGCCGTTGCCGCCGCCTTGGGCTGCCATGGCGGCGTGGTGCGCGTGCTTGCTCGAGTCGTTGCGGATGTTGACCTCGACCGAAGGGCCGAACTCGGCTTCGAGCTTGGTGCGCATCGACGACTCCATGCTGGTAGGTCTGGCTGATGTCGCGTAGCCGCGGGTTTGACCGGACATGCTCGACGAGGCGGAAGGCGCGGATGCGATGGGTGTGGAGGCGGATGCGGAGGAAGGGACGGGACGGACAATGACGGGGATACGGGCTCGGGTGTTCGAGGCAAAGATGTGGGCCACGAGCACGAATCGGCCGGTCTTCTTGATGCGGCCGAGCTTATCGATCGAGTCGCTAGACCCTTGTGCAGCGTTGTCGAGCGTGAATTCGCAAGCAGAGTTGATCTGGGTCAAAGTGAGCCTGTTGAGCTGAACCGGCTTGCCCTCGTTGCTGTAATCGGTCTCGAGATCAAATGCGCCGTTCTCTCTCAAGAACTGAACAACGTCGCTCGTCGAGATGCTCCCCTGAATCCCAATTGCTGGTTTCGGAAGCTCAACTTCTCCAGTCGTCGCGACCGTCGATGTATACCTGGTCGTAGTCTGTCGGGTAAAGACAACAGGAGGCGCAGCTTCGAGCTTCCTTCGCAAACTCAACAGCTGAAGCGGACCGAGCTCCTTTGCGACAGCTTCGCGTTCCTTTTGTACTTCGAGAAAATCGTGCGCCGAGGCGAGCTGTGATTCGACGAGAGCGTCGTGGAGCTTCTGGTTGGAGAGCTGGAAAGGGGTGGGTAGAGGTTGGTAGATGGCTTTGCGAGTGGGCAGCAGCTGGTTGCGCATGCGCCCGGGCTGGACAAGGACGATACTGCCGGCGGCGCCGAGACCTTCGATGTCTTGCTTGAGCTGGACACGTACGAGCCTCCTTTGCGAAAGTGTGCGTGCCTGTAGAGCGAGCAGGAGTGACATCACATTTGATCAGCCCGTTGGTCCGTGGCGGTGTGAGAGCCCAACGAAGGGTAGACTTACGGTATGAGCAAGATTGGAGATGGCAGTGGATCTCATCTCGTTTCTGTGAGGTATTCCTTGCACGAGCTGGTGATCGCCAGGAGAATGGTGCGAGCAGGGGAGGTGAACGATGATGATGATGAGGAATAGAAATCGTTGCAGTCTTCTTCTTGAAAGGGCGAGCTTGACACCCTTTTTTTGCGGAAGCGCAACCCGAATTTCGCCCGAGAAGTCTGCAGCAGAAATTTGCCATGCTTGTGAGATTGGCAGAGTCGATGCTGGCGAGAAAATGGCCGCGTCAAGCTGACTAAAATGGGAAAAAGCGGAACGGACAGAGGGCTGAGGGAAGAATCGAGGCAGCAGACGGCGACTTCTGACTTCCGATCGGTTATCGCAGGCGGTACCACCAAAAAAATCCCAGAGCCGAAAGCAGCCAACACCGAATAATGAGTTCTTCTCGAGAGCCGTTTCCGAGGTTACTAGCTATCTTCTTGCCCCCTGCATCCATTCAATCACCTCTCCATCGGCATCAAATCCCAGTCATATCGCACCATCGAGCTTCGAGGTCCTCTGGCATCATCTTTACAAGCCTTGATCGCCGCAAAACTCGCCGACTCAAGCCTCTTCGGTCAACGAGCACGGACCCAAGAAGATTTTGTAGCGACGCCATCGATAGCGAGGCCCTCAGCATCGAACAGCCGCACAGCTCGTGTCTGCCCTAATGCCGTCAAGATTGCCAAGGTCAGCGCTTGCGAGCGTGGCTCGGGCAAGACCATGCTCTTCCGCCGTACCAAGGCTCGCTCCGGCTGCATCAGCCACCCGCACTCAATCTAGCTGGGCGTCAGCGCTAGACCAGGCAAAGAATCTCGTTCAAGATCAGCTCGGCCACTTTCCTCCTTCATCTTCGTCTGCTTCATCCTCCTCCTCGAGGTCATCCTCAGGCTCCACTGCCTCGTCCGCAGCTTCTTTCTTCGGCGCCTCCGACCCTGCTTCATCTGCATCAGCTGCTCCATCTGCACCCATCATTCAAGACCCACTTTCGCTCGTCTCGTCCGAGCTCTCTTCTCTGCGCTCCAACGTCTCCTCGCTCCTCGGCTCTGGGCATCCTAGCCTGGACACAATAGCAAAGTACTACTTTCAGGCCGAGGGCAAGCACGTTCGACCTCTCATCGTGCTCCTCATGAGCAAGGCGGTCAACGGACTCTCGCCACTCTACCCAGAGCTGCTTGCGCAGGCACAGAACACCGCGTCGCGAAGCGATACGGGAAAGTCGATCGAGCGGGACATGGGCATCAACGAGCCGCTCTCACCAGGGAGTGTACTGAACGATTTTAACCCACACATGGAGAGCATCGAGGGGTCGCTCCCCACATCCGCATCCCAACAAGACGGCAATGCAGCAGCAGCACTAGCCTCGACGTCCGGTGCCATCCTGCCAACGCAGCGCAGACTGGCCGAGATTACAGAGATGATCCACGTCGCCTCGCTCCTGCACGACGATGTGATCGATGCATCGCCACTCCGTCGTGGTGCGCCCTCGGCACCTTCTGCGTTCGGCAACAAGCTCAGCATCCTCGGCGGCGACTTTTTGCTCGGGCGCGCTTCCGTTGCGCTCGCCCGACTTCGTGATGCCGAGGTCGTCGAACTGCTCGCAACGGTCATTGCCAACTTGGTCGAAGGGGAGGTGATGCAGCTCAAGTCGCAGGCTGCCGCTGAATCGGGTGAGGCAGCTTCGACCAATAGTCACGCCAACATTTGGGAGTCGGAAGGACTGTTCGCGCACACCATGGGGATGAATGAGTCGCAAGCCAAGCAGGCTGTCGATGCGGCAATGTCGGCGCAGAACCAGCCTACGCCGGCTCACTTTTCGTTGTATCTGCAGAAGACGTACCTCAAGACGGCGGCGCTGATTGCAAAGTCGACGAGGGCCTCGGTGATTCTTGCTGGATGTGGCGCCGATGCGGTGGCTAACGCGGGACTTTCAAGCTCGGTAGCGGAGGAGATGAGACGCATCCGAGACGCAGCTTATGGCTACGGTAGGAATCTGGGAATCGCCTTCCAGCTGGTAGACGACTTGCTCGATTTCCAGTCCACCTCGGCGGCGTTCGGCAAGCCTTCAGGTGGTGCTGATCTGCGATTGGGTTTGGCGACTGCACCGGTGCTCTACGCTTGGCAGGAGCTGCCTGGGGAGGGAATTCACGAACTGGTCGCGCGGCGGTTCGACGGGCAAGGAGATGTGGAGAAGATGCTGAAGCTGGTCGACAGGAGTAGAGGGCTGGAGAGGACCGCTGAGCTGGCCAAGGAGCACGCGAGGAGGGCGAGGGACCACCTCGAGGTGCTACCGGAGAGCGAGGCCAAGCAGGCACTGGTTAAGTTGAACGAGCAGGTGATCAAGCGGGTCAAGTAACAGGCTCGGTGATAGAATGCGTATCTGATAGAGTGCTCCATCACAATCGTGTATCATCCAGCATATCCATCAACCCATCACCATTCGTGACATCTCCCATTAAAAGTGTTGACTGAGATCAAAACACAATTCCGCCCTCTTCCACTTGCCCGTTTGCTTTCCTTCCGGATCCTTGATTTCGCGTTGGAATCGCTCCATCAGCGTCTCCCACTTCTCGACGTCCGCATTGCCGCCGTCGCTAGCCGCCTTCTTGTCGAACGAAAAGTCGTCTTCCACGTCCATTATCATGACCAGCCGGTCGGCGAAATGGAAGATGCGCATGTTGAGGACGCCAGAGCCAGGGTAGCGGATGGACTCGAGGATGGGCCGAGGCACGTTGCCGGGCGCATGGTGGTCGATGTACTGCGCAACGAGGGTGGGGTCGGAGGCGATGTCTAGGAGAAGGACCTCTTGACGCACCATGGTTGAGAGTTCGGATGCGATGACTAGGATATTGGTCTTGCAAGCGCACTGGAGCCGAGAAGATTTGATCAGCACATGTAGTGTGGGAGATATGGACCGGCGATGAGAAGGTCTTGTCGAAGGATGGACCGGTGTTGTTCGACAGGATCAGACTTCTTGAAAGTGGGGAAGAGTTGCCCACTTCGATCCGTGCGCAGAATGTTGAAATGTTAGACCGACTTTATAATGGCAGCGAACTGTTCTGGGACATGAACTTGGCTTTGCCCGTCCAAGCCTGACTTCAGCACGGCTGAAGTCGGCTGCCGTGGCACACTGAACGCTTTGTTGGTCAAGTGCCAGCGATTGCTTTCGAGTTCAACCTCCCGCAAGAGGCGAAATAGAAACGAGCTTGGCTGGAGGCAAGGACTGGCGCTCCACCTCGAATTCTGCGTCATGCCGCCACGCTTTGCTTCGCACCGCCATTCGAAGCAACATGAGGCCATTCCACGCCCAAGCCGCCAACCGTGTGGCTTGGAAAACCTTAATGCAAGGGAAGGCGGTCCGATCGCGTGGTCAGACCGTTTCTTCGTGTGCTTACAGAGACGAAGGAACGAATGCTTCAGGTCGCTTCCTTGCGAACGCAGATCAAGGCTTTACCCCACAAAAAGCGATCTCGCTTTCGGCTGTAGCTACACGATAGGCTATCCTCTGTCGTGCAAGGTCAGCCCGAGAAGCGGAGCCGCACGCCGGTCAAAAGTTGTGCGACTCGGTCAAGAGGCTAAGCGAAAGGAGGCCAAGCTGCCTTTGAGAACTCCGCCTGGCTTTGGTCGTGCTCGGCTAGTGGTGATCAGAGAGAAGCAAGTCGAAATGGCTGAGCCTGCCACTCTGCCGACGCATTGCATGAATGTGACAAGCGAGCCTGTGTGAACGCGACGACAGAGCGAGCCGTTCTGTGAGGCGGTCCTCTTGCTACCGAAGCACCAAAAGGGTCTCCGGCTTGCTGAGTTTCAAAATCCGACCTTCTGCATGTCTCTCGTGCATGTAGCGCTGATGCGCCGCTCCGACTGGGAAAGCCAAGACAGCGCGCATTCGTCCATGCTGTGGCAGCACCGTCCACTGATCGCTTTTGACACCTCGAATCGATATGTGCTCTTGCGATTTTGTATCACTCCGATGCGAGTGGCTGATGTCATGGTGGGTGGGTGGGTGCGCTAGGTGGATTGGTGGTGGGTTGGGTTTTCGCGGTGCTAAAGGCGTTAGCGCAGCCCAAATTAGGACTCGGCTGCGTTGCAAATTCGTACCTCGTGCATGGAGACGATGCAAGGCTTCCACGGGCGACAGATGAGGTGAGCCCTCTTCTCGCCTGCGAAATCCAGTTCTTTGGACCCTCCCGCACAGAGTGAGAGTGGCCAGAGTGGTGAGGTTGTCACTCCGTCGCCTGTCACTTGGCCAATCTCCGCCCCGCACCGGACTGTTTTCTCGAGATTGGCCAAATCCCGCATCTTCGTGGTCGCAATCGTTGATGGTGACGCCCTCCCTTCTCCTTTCGTCCACTACTCCACCGTCCCTATCGCTATCGCATCGTTGCATACTTCTTTTCGTTTCGTCGCGCGTATTCGCATTTCCTCGGTGCCGACACATCTCACGCAGTCGACTTGCATCTCTCGCGTCTCTCGCCTTCTTGACCGTCGTCGCATCGACCAAGCCGTCTTGCAAACACATCGCCAGGACGTCATTCACCCGCATCTGCACGCGATCATTGGCCCGGCAGCAAGGTTCTTGACATCCGCATCACCGTTTCCGTCGCCATCGCTTGTATGCTGCTGCTTTAGATCGAGCTTTCGGCGTGCTGCTAAGCCAGGCCATCAGGGCTGCGCAGCAACCGGCGCGTAAATCTCGACCACCATGTCTTCGTTCAGCTCTGCACCAGGCGACGACGGCGCTGATCGAGATCAAGCCAGCCGCAATGCCTCGCTATCTGCCAGCTCTCAGGCATCCTCGGCGGACAAGCGAAGGACATCGCGTCTCTCCAGCACAGCTGGTATCTTTGATCTTGACGACGACGGCAGCATCGATGCAAGTTACAGCAACGTCAGCGGTCGAAGAGCCAGCAATCCGCGCGTCTCTTCGCTCGGCAGCAGTGGCTCAAACCGCGGGTCGTTGAACGAACGAGGCAGCCGGGATCTCTTTGATGTGCAGGAAGAAGATGCCAATCCGACTGGATCTTCCCCGCCAGCACCTTCCTCCTCGATGCCCAGCTCGTCCAGCAAAGCTGGTGGCAGAAGTCAGCTGAGCGTAGACACCTTCGGTAAGTGATCATCGCTTTGGTCTTTGTCGGTGCAGTGACCGGGTTCGCCGCACCAGCGTCGTAGCTGTGTGTCAGAGCTGTGGTGCAATGACCTTCAACCCTGCCTGGTGCTGGCAAGGACCATGCCAAAGATGACAGAGCACTGACCAGGTTCGAATCCTTCTATTCTTCTCTTCCTTTCCCCGATCGCGCTTCCATTTCCGCTTCTCCTCGCCGTCGGCTCACCCACATCGCTGACTCCGTCTCGCATCGACTTATTCGCATCATCCGACGCCGGCTGTTCCGTACCTCTACCTCATGCTTTGGCACTGGCTCTGGGTCGACACGCGAAACCTGCACGGATGCTACTGTCATCGCTTCTGTATCTGGCCTCGTCCGTCGGCTTCTGTCGACCTCGGTACGGCTTCTCGGTTCTCAATATCGACTTGACTCCGACATTTGACATGCACCCTTGCATTCCACGATCGCCTGCTCACTCGCCGCGACGGTTCTGGTCCCCGCCATTGATCTGCACTTCTTCTGCCAAACACGACCTTTCGGCCGCCGTGATCCAACACACACTATGCAACGACCATCTCGGCATTGTCGCATTGTATCACACATTGTGATGTGCACTTGCATTGTCACTTTACCTCGACGGGCTTGGCTCGTATTGACACTCCGTCACTTTCGGCTTGACCCTCCTGCGCGGCGCTTTTTGTTTGCGACATGGCGGCGCTGCAAATTGGCTTTTGTGGTTGTGGTGCGTGGGAAATTTGGTTGGTCAAATGACTTTATGCGCCACGACGGGCCCGTTTCCGACATGGCTCTTGCCTCTGCCTCCGTCTACGCCTCTCCGCCTCTTCCCCCGACTCTATCTCTCCGCGCTCGCTCGCTTGCTATCACTCGCTACCACTTCTATTTGTGGCTGGCGGCTGACTACACGCCATCTCGCCTTGGTCGGTCGCCCGACAAACGACAACGCTGCACTTTCATCGATCCCTCGCCTCTCACAATGCCGCCGACCCTTCCATCTCGCCGCCTGACCTGATCGCTTCGCATTTGCCTATCGTCCTCGCCCTTCTTCCGTTGTTGCGATGGGCCTCGCCGCGACTCTTCCATCACCGACTCGGCACGACTCCGAATTTCTTTTGGCTGGCGTACCACGTTTTCCGAATATCGGCAACACACTCCGCTCCCCTCAACGCGTTTCTGCTGCCTCTGCCGCTGAACCCTGCTTCTCGCCTGTTCACATTTCACGAACCCTGAAATGCGTTTCCTCTGCTCTTCCGCCTCTCCCGACTTTTGGATGGTCTCGACCCTTCCACCTCGCTTAATCACGTTCATCAACCACACCTCCTCTTCTCCCTCACCTTCCGACGTCCCTTCGCCCGCCCTTGTACGCTGTCACTCGACTGATCCTTTCCACGCATTTCATCACCTTCAACGGGACGACCGCCTTCTCCATCTTCACCATCACCAGTCTCAGCGACGCAGTTCACCGACCCTTTTAGCCCTGCCAACCGCAATCGAATCAGCCCTGGCAGCAGTGATCACAGTCGAAGAAGCGGTCCCCCCTCCTCCTTCCTAGGCGACGACGACGCTTGCGACCCCAAATCTTCGCCGTCCCCTTCCAATCTCAGCCCTTCCGCTTCGTCTCCACTCAGCGCAGCCGCAAGGTCCACCTCAGAACGCAGCAACAGTCTTCATAGCATCATCGAGCTCGGCCCTCATTCGCCTTCCTCCTCGACTGCCTCGGCGCAAGGCAAGCACCCTCGCTCCGATCCGTCCTCTTCGCCCACTCGCTCCTTCAAGCATCTGCGCGGCGCATCCGGTGATTCCCGATCCTCGCCTGCACCGCCGTCTTCAGCGCCTAGATCGATCGATACCAGCTCGCGCAGTTCGGCAGCGAGGCGCGCGTCTCCGTCGTCACCAACATCATCCGCGCTCAGCTTCTCTGCAGGATCCACCAAGAGCTCCTCTTCTCCTTCTCAATCTGCGTCTCAATCTCAGAACGCACCACAGTCTTTGACCTCTGCCACCGTCGCCCATGTCAGCGCTTCGCCTCCGACAACTTCGTCCTTGAGCAGTGCTGCGCCGCCTGGCTTCCCTCTCAGTCCACCTTCAGCCGCGATCAAGGCCCTCGGCCGCAGCTCTTCCAAGAGAATGTCGTTCGACACTGCTCCCTCCTTCTCCAGTCCGCTCGCCTTTGCCTCAATCTTACCCAACGACGATGACGTTGTCGACGATGAGGCGCTCAACGACGAGGCCACGCCGGCCGCATCTTCGTCCACATGGTCAAATCCCAACGAATCGGCCCTTGGCACCACAGACTCGGCAACCAGGCATCGCGCCCACGGCTCGACGTCTTCTTCGCAAGGCAGCTACACACAGCCCTTGTCCCCGACATCGCCGTCTTCTGTCTCGTCCACCGCCTCCTCTCAGCCAAGCCGGCACCAGCGCAGGAACACTGGACCCGAATCAGCCGCTTCCGACACCATCGACGACGCTTTCAGCCGCACTAGAGAGGGCCCTTCCAATAGCGCCATCTCCACCGCCGATCTTGCGGCTGTTTCGCCTCTTGCTCGGTCCTCACTGCGTTTGGACCGCGAAAGGTCGACGTCGAACCCACTCCAAAGGGTCGTCGCTGGAGGCACCAAGCTGAACCAGCCTCGCTCACGGCACTCGCTTTTCCAAAGCAGCCACTTGGCTGCCGACGACGACGCATCATCCATCGCCTCGGATGATGTCGCAACCACCAGTTCCAATTTGACGCGCAAATCGTCCGTCACCAGCTCCACCGGCTCCATGGGACCACCGGCCTTGCCTCGCCGCATCGGTGGTGGCTCTGTGGGCTCGCCAGCTCTCGAGCCCTTCGACCGGGCCGTCTCCACCATCTCCATGGGCAAACGCAAGGAGGAGTCGTCGTTGGGACACGGCATGCCTTCCAACCCCTCTCCGCTCTCGTCGGGCTCTTCAGCAGGTCTGCCAGCCTCGAACTCGTTCCATTCGGGCTCTCCGACCATCAGCTGGGACACACGCGGCAATCGCAGCAATTCGGGTGCCTTTGCCCCTTCGAGCTTCAGCGGCTCCGTCAACAACACTCCAACCACCGTGACGGGCGGAGGTAGCGCCATCTTGCATTCGACACGACGCAGACGCATGACCTCTTCGTCGCTCAGCTCCAGCATGCATCGTCGCGCCCGATCTCTGGGCGGAGTGCTGCTGGGAGACGGCGCCATGTCGCCTGTGGGCGGCCCAGACGGTGTCGACCCTAACTTGGTCGCCGCCATCGAGTCGGGCAGTCCTAGCATTCCACTGCCGGTCCCCATTCCGACCTCTTCCACTTCGCATCGTTCCAGCAGCGTCAGCTCGTCAGGGACTCATGGTGGTGCTGGCTCTTCTCTGTCCAGCTCGGGCGTCGCCTCGTCTTCGGTTCCATTCAGCTCGTCGCTCGCTGCACGATCATCGTCGCACCGACGCAGGAATTCGTCTGTTGCGGAGGATGACGAAATGGCAAGGATGGATGCGTCTGGATCGACTCTTTCTCCTGGCTACACGCGAGCCCGCGTTCGCAGTCAGACGTTGGGCGTGCCCCTCGGATCCGACCCAGCCCTTTCTCCACAGGCGCTCAATGACGGCACACCAAGCTCCATGGGACCGAGTCCGTCCGCAAAAAGTGGCGGATCGGCTGGGCTGGCGGATGCGATCCGTCTGCAGCGTGTGCCAACCGCCGTGCGCTTGGCTGGCGATCTGTTCGTACCGCCGTCGCCTTCGCCTCGCCACATGTCGAAAAGCGCATCAACAACGTCCATCGAGTCACCTCTCAGCAAGTGGGCAGCATCGAGCTCCAATGCTCAGCCTCTGGTGATGGACGGTGCCACTCAAGGTCACGGACTTGGTCTGGGGCTCAGCTCGGACACCACTTCATCGCCCACGCCCACCAGCCGCCTCAACGTACCACCGACACCCAGCTCGATCCGAAGTCATTCCCCTTTGGTGCACGAGTATTCGTCTGGCGCCGAAGACTCGGGTCGCACCTCGCCTGCTATGGAGCATCTGAGATCCGACGACATGGCTTTGCCTGGCCACGACAGCCGTGGTCATCCATTGTCGGTATCGATCCCCATCGGTCGAGATTATCGCCCGCCCGCTAGTCTTCCCGGCTCTGCCATTCTGGGTTCCCGTTCTCCCACGCTCGTTCCGCCAAAATCCGATCTTCTGGCCGTGCCCACCAGTGCACCGCGCCACGCTGGTTTGCCGGCAAGCACAAGCGCCTATTCGCCTTTGCACGCCCTCAGCGCATCGTCTGCTCGGACCAGTCCCACAGCCGAGCGTCGGCCTCGACTGTCGCCCAGTCGATCCAGCTCGCATCGCATGTCGTGGGGTGCCCAGGAGCTCTTTGACAGCTTGCAAGAGTCCATGGACGACGCCGACAATGACGCCGACGCAGCGGTGGCGACAGAGGGCAAGCCAGCCCCCTGGATCGCTTCCACGCAAGATGCACCTGTCAGAACCTCCCTCGCACCCGCTGCTGCGACGCCTCTGAGTCAACGCAGAATGACGCAAGGCAATCTATCCAGCTCCATAGGACCCGACACGTTGCTCGCGGTCCCGCCGGCCTCTCGCCGCGTGCATCGACCGAACGACGCGGCGCTGTTCGCGTCTGCCCGTCTTTCGTCCTCAGCTGCGCAGCATCCCCTGTCCGGCACGGACGAGTACGCGCGCATCATCATTCAAAGTCGCAACGCCAAGATGCAAAAGTGGAGGGCACAGAACCCTTCCCGACTTGGTCCGCAGCAACCAGTGCGTCGCAACGATGCTGACACGATCGAATCGGCATGGCTCTCGCGCAATCGAACCGAACAGACCCAGGAGGAGGACGCGATGCCTTCTGGTCCGACAAGTCTCGCCCGCAGAGGAACGACCATCGGGCTACAGAGAGATGCAAGCCACACCGGTGCGCCTATGCCGACCCGTCGTGGGTCCGCCGTGGACTCCAACGACAGCATCGAGTCGCAGCTCGACGAGGAGGAAGACCAGCAGCGAGGTCTCGAATCGTCCGCCTTTGCCGAATTCGAATGGGTCGACTGGCTCGACGAGTATCGCAAGATGAAGGAGGCCAAGTTGCAGTCGGAGCGCGAAGAGGCAGAAGCGCAGGCCGCAGCCGAGGCGGACACGAGCGTCGCTGTCCGCAAGGCTTCCGCTGCGGACGATGCAGACATTGTGGCAGCACGGGCTACGGACAAGACGGCATCGTCTCCTTCCAGCAGAACAGGAAGCGAAGCTGTCGATGCGGGCCGGGTCTCTACCCTGCAAAAGCAGCAGGCGGACGGCCATCGCTCTGTTTTTGATCCGCTCTCGCGTCAAAGATGGCAGATCGCCGAGTCTGCCGATCAGCAACAAGACGCCATCGACGCGCAGGAGGTGGAAGAAGCCCTTGCCGCCCTCAGTCTCAACGAGGAAGGCAGCCAAGCACCTTCCAGCGAGACGCGAGCGCCCAAACCCGCGCAGCTTGGTCCGGTTCGCAGACCAGAGGATCCTCCCCGACAATCGACGCGTCCAGGCGGGAACCAGCAGCGCAGCTTCTCGCTCGCCAGCGCTGAGCTGTCTCGACGTGAATCCGGAGTCGGCTCCAGCTCGACCGCCATGTCCACCATGGCCTCTTCTCCCGGTCACGTCAAGGCTGGATTCTCGCCCGTCAAGCGGTTAGGCACCGACAAGGCCAAGAACCTCTCGCTCTCGCCCATCACGAGCCGTGTTGCACCCGCAGCGACGTACAGGAGTGCAGCGGGATCCGACACGGCGCACTCCCAGGCGCAGGCGGCTGGACGTGGACGTCGCAAACAGCTCGGTGGCAAGATCGAGGCTTGGTGGAGTGCCGTCAAGTCCGGCTTCACGGCTCCCGCTGGGGACAGCTGGTCGAAACCGCCAACGAATACCGCTTCTCCCCGAGCCAATGTTGCCTCTCCGCACGCCGGCTCGTCAGCTGTGCTGTCTCATTCCTTGCATCATCGCAGTCCCTTGACCGCATCGGCCCGTCCAGCCGGGACCATCAGCAGTCGTCGTGATGCCCCACGCCTCGCCCCCTTGTCTTCGTCGTCGAACATGAAGCCAGTGATCGCAACGCCGTCTCCAACGCTCGTCACACAGGTACAGAGCGGCTTCGGTCGTCATGTTCGCTCGCAGACCGGCGGCACAGCCTTGAGCGGCTCCGACTCGGTGAGGACCCTCCGTCCCAGCACCTCGGCGCAGAACCTCAAGAAGTTGATGGACGATGGCAGAGTGGAGCAGCACGACGGCGACGGTGAGGCTGGCGACCTCAGCGACCGCAGATCCGTCTCGCCCGGACCGGACGCCAGCTTTGTGACGGTACAAGAGGAGCCCGCCAGTTTGGAAGCGCCCAAATCTGCATCCTCTCAGCTCAGCCAGGAAACGCATCTTACGGTCAGCAGCAGCGGCGGCGGCCGAGAAGCAGGCAAGCGGCGAAACCAGCCGAACTTGTCCCTCCAGCTCGAAAATGGCCTCAGTACGTTCGACTCTGCCGAATTTGACAAAATTGGCAAGGGCAAATCGCCATCGAACTCGACGCAGAGCAGCCCAACCAAGCAACCTCTCTCGTCGCGATCACAGCAGAGCACTGCCGACGCTACCGCAAGCGCCACATCACCTGCAGTCGTTACTGCTCGCGAGTCCTCGGCGCGGTTGTCGAACGCTTGGACTCCCAGTCCACGCGAGCCAAAGACGTCCGCCGCAGGGGAGGCAGCTGATCAGGACGCCGCCCTTGACTCCGACAACGAGGGTCGTGCAACAGCCAGAGCCAAAGCCGTCTCGAAAGCAATCACGATCAACTCGATCCGCCAGCACATTCGTCACCGTCTCCTTGCTTCCAAGGAGAGCTGCGACCGGGAGCTGCGTCGCATCATCGGCGCCATTAACAACTACGTCGAGATGGAGCTGGATAAGCAAGAGGAGGATCGACACAGCGTCATGGAGGACGATCGCGACGTCGAGGAGCTGAAAGAGGCCTTTGCCAACGACGTGAACGACGCATTGAAACACGCTCAAGATGACGTTGCCCTCGGCAGCGACACTGAGATGCCACCTCCGACGACGATCACGTCGAGGTCCGTGTCCATGTCCCGCGGAGGCAGCGACTCTTCGTCCTTCTCTGCTGGTGCCGCAGCAGCAGCCGCTGCGGTTGCGGGTGGACATGTCGCAGGACAGCGTCAAGAGGGCCAAGATTCAGGCGTCGGCGCCGACGGGGCGATCACAGAGTCGCACACACGTTCCCCGTCGGGCTCCATCTTCACCTCGCCGTCGTTGGGCGGACTCCGCGAGACAGCAGCAGTGCGATCGGCGCGCGAGTACAAGCTGCCCGCTCCACCACCGGTCAACCTGGCAGGTGCCACAGCGACCTCGCAGCGCACCGTCAGCACGACGCTGGCGAACCCATCCAAGCCTTCCCATCTCAACCCGCTCAGCCGCGCTCAGTCACTGAGTCGTTCGACGGCACGTTCGGTGTCTCACTCGCGCTCTACCTCGCGCTCCCATTCGCCGATGCCTGGAGCTGGCACAATGACCTCGGGCGTCTCGGCCTCCTCCGGGTCGCCTCGTTTGTCTCCGTCGCGCCGAACGCGGGCGCTGCCAACGGAAGACATCGGGCCCCAGCCGTGGATGCAGCCGCTGGAAGAGCTTGTGGCTGTGGCGATGGAGGTGCTCGACGCGTCGATCAATGCGCTCATCTCGCGTCCCGGTTCCTGCTCGGTCCTCATCTCTCGCGTCCAGACCATCGGCCGCTTCTGGGACGAGCACCCAGAATGGGCGGGCCGAGGCTGGTTTATTCAGATCTTGCTCGCTGTTGCCGGACTGAGTCGTGTCGTCGAGTGGTGGGAAGCCGAGAAAGGCTTCTGGAACTTCAACGATGAGGAAGAGCAGGACGCCGAGCCGATCCGGTTCAGTCTTGGCGCGCAACAGGGCGACGTGGCCGGAGAAGCAGTAGACCTAGAAGCTGCCAAGTCTTCGGGCGTGTTGCTCGCCGCCACAGCCAAAAGCCCGATCCAAGCGCGTGCCCTCTCGACGGCGCGATCCGATGCCAACATGATTACACGCGGCTCGACCAGCGGTACCAACTCGCCCGCTTCTGGCGTCCTTCAACGCGATCTCGAGCCGAGTCCAGACGTGGTGCGACGAGCTGCCTCGCCTTCCAAGGATCTTCTCCGAGCTGCGGTTCAAGGTGACCGGAGTGGTGAAGACCTGGATGAAGATGGCGACACGACCATTGTCGACCGTGCCCGCCAGCGTCACCACCGCCACTCCAGCAGCACAGCCAGCAAGCTGGACGCGATCGAGGTTGTCGGATCCGAGCAGGATGAGCACGCCGACGATCAAGACATCGTTTCGGCCCCTGAAGGCGTCAAGCGAGCGTCGCAAGAGGGGGTGCCGCAGAACTTCCGCTCTGCAGGCGTCAATGTCCTTATGGAGCTCAGCATGGACGACCAGCGTTTCCTGTACCTGAGCCCTGCCTGGAAGACGGTGCTCGGTTCGGATCCCGCCGAGCTCTATGAGACGCCGATCGAAGACTTGCTTGCCCCTGGCGATGGCGACGTCTTTGCAGAAGCCTCCAGGCAGCTCGAGGCCAACCAGTCGCACACCGTGGAGGCCGTCTTCCGTCTCCGTGTCGAGAAGTCTCTGGCGCGCTCGTCGTCGTCTTCCTCCGTCTCTTCGGCGGATGATCAGAGTGATGGCAGCGACGCAGTCTACTTCCAGGAGATGGAAGGAAAAGGCATGCTCATGATGGATCGACAGAGCGGCAACCCATCGCACTCGATGTGGGTGTTCAAAGCAACAGGACCACCCGAGCGCGAGGACCGACTGCCCGAGGCTGCTCTCACCAAGGGCGGTCGTGCTATGGGCGTCGTGCTGGACGAGCCGACGGCAGCACTAGCCCACGTAGCGTCCATCTCGGTCGAGCCCGTCCTGTGTCGCATCTGCGAGCGAGACATTCCGGCGTGGTTCTTTGAGAAGCACAGCGAGATCTGCAACGAGACGCATCGTCTGGACATGGAGATCGGCGAGTGCAACGAAGGTCTTCGCGAGCTGCGCAAGGCCATCCAGGATCTGCTCAATCGCCTGGAAAGCTTCAGTGGGCAGAATGCAGAGCAGCCACTCGAGTATCGTGGCGTCGCCATTAGCACGCCTGCTGCCTCGACGCAGCCACCTTCGGCACTCGAGGGTCTCAATCGCTCCGTGTCGCAACGCCAGCCCGCACCTGCGTCTGTACGCAAACAGCACCTCCGCGCTCTCGACGCAGCCATCGAAGTCCTGCAGACCGCCTGCGAGATTTCCACACCCGCCATCAAGGACGAGTTTGCCAACGAGCCCATCGAGAAGCAGCGGCTGCTGTCGCCCACTTCGGAGAACAAGGTGGTGACCGTCCAGCAATGGAGACGCCCGGCACTCGACGACACTGCGCTTGATCTTCTCTTAGTGGACGTCGAGAATGCTATGCGAAGCAAGCTCAGCGCCGTCAATCGCATGCTCAACACGATTGTCTACGTCGAGACCGTGCGACAAGAATGGGAAGAGCGCGTCGAGGCTGCGCTTACGGCTCTCTCAGAAGCCGACGAGGGTTCCGGCAGCTCTCGGGGATCCTCCGCATCTGCATCAGGGTCCGAGTCAGGCTCTGAGGAGGTTGGCGATGAAGGTCTTGAGGGAGGTCAAGGACTTGGCTTGCGGATGGCGCAGGCGCAACAGCGCGACGCTGTCTCTCCGCAGGCATCTTTGGAGGCAGCCGCGGCCACCTCTGCTGCAATGCAAAGGGGATCGAGCTCTTCCAGAGGCCGGTCCTCCGAAGTGGTCAGTGCATCCCTTCGTACAGAGGACCCACAGCAACCTCTCAGACCCTCGCTTAGCCGACTCACGTCTACACTGTCGTCCAGCGCTGGCGACGACGAGGCGGAGAAGCGGCAAGAGAACGATGACGCTGAGGAGGACGGCCTGTTATCGGGATCGATGCTCCTGGATCAAGACGACCGAGACCTGCCGGCTCCCTCCTCTGCTTTGTTCTCGGCCATGGGCGGTGCCACCCCAGACGAGGACGACATCCCTGCTGTCGACGACAAGATGGGCGGCTCGACCCATCTTGCACCTATCCCGATCCCGCGCGGTTCTGCAGCGTTGACTCCGCCTTCAAACGAGCTGCTCGCACCTCGATCCGTCAGCGGCGCAGCGCTTCATGCAGGTTCGACAGGTGGCCCTCCGCAGCGACGGTCTGTCAGCCGGCCTCGTCGAGCCTCTCATCTGCCTCCCGTCAGCGACACTCTTGGCGTCACACCTCCGCTCTCGCCGCGCCTTGGCTTTGGTGAATCGCTGGGCGTGTCGCATCGCCACAATCGCAAGTTCAGCGTGTCGCACAAGAGCCCCATGGTAGGCTCGATGCCGCTTTCGCCGCGCATTCCACCAGCAGCACCCTCGTCGCGAGCGACGGCCTCCTCCATCAAGGACTTTGACATCATCAAGCCCATCAGCAAAGGTGCCTTTGGAAGCGTCTTCCTCGCCAAGAAGCGTACCACGGGCGACTACTACGCCATCAAGGTGCTCAAGAAGTCGGACATGATTGCCAAGAACCAGATCACCAACGTCAAGGCCGAACGCATGATCCTCATGACGCAGAACCAGTCTCCGTTCGTGGTCAAGCTCTTCTTCACCTTCCAGAGCTCGGAGTTCCTGTACCTCGTCACGGAGTACCTGCCAGGAGGAGATTGCGCTTCGCTCTGCAAGGTGCTCGGAGGCTTGTCGGAGGAGTGGGCTCAGCAGTACATTGCTGAAGTCGTCATCGGACTGCAGCATCTGCATGACAAGGGGGTCGTGCATCGAGATCTCAAGCCGGACAACCTGCTCATCGACGAAAAGGGTCATCTCAAGCTCACGGACTTCGGTCTGTCCAAGATCGGATTGCTGGGTCGTCAGACGCGTCAAGCTACCGCAGCTGCTTCCTCCGCCAGTGGTTTCCCCGCGCAGACATCCAGGACCGACTCGAACAGTGGGTCGCAGCCCAGCTCCGCCAACTCGTTCACATCCGATGCGCGTCACCAGGCTGTCTCCACGCCTGCAGGCACCACTGCCGGTGACACGGCCGCTTCCTTCTCGCCGATGACGCCGGGATTCGGTGGCATGATGCGGAACCAGTCCTTCTTTGCGGCTCCACAGCGAGGCCGCATCGCCAGCTCGTCTACCGATGCCAGCGACTCGGGCGAGTCCGATTCGCAGCGCAGTGCTCCCAAGCCGCTGCCTTCTGCGCATCTGGACAGTCCCAGCAACCTCTTTGGCGCTCATCCTCTGATCAGCGACAATCTTGGCCCTTCTTCGGGAGGTGACGGCAACTCGAACGCGCCCAAACGCTTCGTCGGCACGCCCGACTATCTCGCGCCCGAGAGCATTCTCGGTATCGGTATGGACGACTTTGCCGTCGATTGGTGGGCCCTCGGAGTGATCTTGTACGAGTTCCTCTACGGCACTCCGCCTTTCCACGCCGAGACGCCCGAGAAGGTGTTTGACAACATCTTGTCGCGTCGCATCGACTGGGAGGAGGACTCGGTGGAGGTATCGCCGGAGGCACGCGATCTCATGGAGCGTCTCATGTGCACGGATCCCAAGCAGCGCCTCGGTTCGGGCGGACCAGAGGAGATCAAGAACCACCCCTTCTTCCAAGGCCTTGATTGGGACAATGTCACCGCCGAGCCCGGTCCGTTCGTTCCGCAGGTCACCGACCCCGAGTCGACCGACTACTTTGATCTGCGCGGTGCGAGCCACCAGGACTTCGACGACGAGCCTTCTCACGGCACGCGCGAATTTGCTCGAGCCATCGAGGGCAACAAGTTTGTGTCCACCGGTCTGCCCCCTTCAAGAATGCGATCGCGTCTGGAGAAGGCGTTTGGATCGCAGAGCGGCGCGCAGAACGAGGACTTTGGCAACTTCAGCTACAAGAATCTGCCCGTGCTCAAGCAGGCCAACGACGAGGTGATCCGCAAGATGAGGGAGGAGCAGATGCCAGCGTTGGCCAAGGCGCTCGAGCAATCGGCCATCTATGCGCGCCACCGCAGCTTCTCAGCCAAAGGCAGGCCCGCTCAGCGCGTTCACTCTCAAACGCTGGCGGGTCCGCCTTCGCCTGCGCAGAGCGCATCCTCACAGGGATCGACGCCGTCACGCTCGACAGCGCCGACGTCGCCAGCAGGACCCTTCAACACGTCGGCGCATCGTCGACGCATCTCGGAAGCTCCCGTGTCGTCTTCGGTGCCTGTCAGAACACCGGATGCTGATGTTGCGAGCGGCATTGCGGCTCGGTCGCCGTCCGCGGCGATGCCGATGGGTGCCGTTGACAAACGCCGCCAGCAGCTGGTCGACGCTTCCAACACCGGCGAGCGTCGCAATTCGATGCCGACGCGCCTGCGCACTACGTCGGGCAGTCTTGCAGAGCGTCCCGTCATCCCGGCTCAGTGGCAGTCGCAACCGCAAGCATCGACGCAGCAGCCGCAGCAGCAGCCGGAGACGTCCAAACGACCTTCACGCTCCAACACGCGCGATGCAGCGATCACAGCGGCGGCATCGCCGACCGATTCGATCTCGCCCAGCAACCTTCTTTCACCTCTGCCTCCAGCTCCAGTCAACAGCTCCGCCAGCTCGGACGAGATTGCGTGTTTGATCGCTGAGGACAATCCGATCGCACTGCGCATGCTCGAGACCATCCTGGTCAAGCTCGGCTGTCGATGCACGGCTGTGCGCGATGGAGCCGAGGCGGTGCGATTGGCGATGGGTGATCACAAGTTCGCCGTCATGTTCATAGACGTGACGCTCCCGATTGTTGGAGGGCAGGATGTCACGAGGATGGTCAAATCGACTCGAAACGTCAACTCGACGACGCCGATTGTAGCGCTTGCTTCTTTTGACCGTGGCGAACCGGTGGACGCTGCAGGCTCGCTCTTCGATGCTGTGCTGGCCAAGCCACTGGAGAAGATGGACGTGTGCGCCACGCTTTCGCAGCTCGGGTTCACGCCTATGCAGGCAAGCGCGGCCGAGTCGGCGGCGGGCACCACGCAGATTGCCGGAGACAATGCGGGCGGGTCGGGCACTGGATCGGGCACCACGAGCGCGCCGGCCGACTCACGTCCACTCTCGAGAAAGTCGACGGTGGCTCACAAGACTCATGCGCAGCCGATTGCAGCTGCGAGCAGCACTGCTCGAGCCAGCACGCCGCCGCTAGGAGGCGCGACTGGATTCGGCAACGCAGGCTCGCCGCATCATACGCCATACTCGTCTTCGCCGTTGGGCAACTCGGTGCTGACCTCCCGTCACTTTGAGGCTCCTCAGCAGCAGTCGAAGATGGCACCGGCAGCGACGGGACCGCATCCGCTCACGCACTCGGACGAGCTCAGTGGTCGCGATCGCGAGCAACAAGACCAGGAGACGGCCGAGACGCTCAGCAAGGTGGCGGAGAGGCTGTCGCTCGCGTGATCGACCGTCTCCTCGCGCACCGTCTTTGCTCTACACGCAACCCGATGACTTCCATTGCCGGCTGCTTGCTACTCTATCTTTACAATGTTTCATATCTGCTTGTTTCGCATGTTTTGCAATCTTCGCATTTGGTTCCTATCATTCGCATGCTTGTCTGAGTGCGTCGAGGTGGTAGCGTGACAGCATGCAACAGGCAAGTTGGCGACAGGGCTTTCCGCGGAATTGCCGTTCTGACATGAATTGAAGCGGTGAGCGCGACCCTTCATGAGCTTGGTTGGTACACTGTGACACGGACAATCAGTAAGAGTGACGGAGCTAGATGGTGACAGGCGGCGGTGAGTGGGGTCAGGAACGAGCGAGCGAGCGACCATGGCAGGGTTGACAAGATGACGTCTGCGAAGTAAGGCTCAACATGACCGGTGGCCGATGAGTCGGGGCGAGGCCGGCCTGCTGAGAATCAAAAACTGCTCGCGATCTGTGCCATTTCGGATCGGAAGCTTGCCCCCGATTTCTAACAGGGCAAGAACGACAAAGCAGGTGGCTTGGCACTGCTTCGGGCCGGCGTGTGCAAAAGACGTGCACAAGACCCCTGCGTTCTGCAAGACCCTAGCACCCTTCATTAGGTGGGCTGGCACGGCGTACGAAGGGGTTAGACGCGCGGGGCGGCATACGACTCCCGAGGGAGTTTGCGGACCGGAAAGAGCTAGGCCGCGGACCTCGACGATGCAGACTCGCTTCGACGCTCACGGACTGCTTGCTCGCAGACCCCACGGCTTCAGAGAGATCACGCTGACAAGCTGCTCAACAGAAACATCGTGGATGGTCAAAGCGAAAGCCAACGGCATGAAATGGCCCATGACGATGCGGGGCTTTGCTGTTGTAAGGCACAACCGTGGCTGGCTGGCTAACCACGCTCTGCTCGAGAGGCTTGGCGACGGGTGCTTTGAGAAGAGGAGCGGAGAGCCAAAGGGCCCAAAGGCACAAGCGAGCCGCGAGGTCGCTGCCTTGTGCTCTTGGCTGTGTGTGGCCCAGCTGGCTTCCAAATTGAAAACGTCAGAAATCAGAGCTGGGTTGCAATCGTTTGAGCCACACACACACGCGCAAAAAAGCACTCTCTGCGGCTGGTGCAGGGATCGACTTTGTTTTTTTTTTGGATTTGTTTTTAGATTTGAGGCTGCAGCTCGGTGCAAAGTGCGTGTGTCTGTCGGTGTGGTGCCGCGCTTTTTGGTTTCTCTCGAGTTGTTTGGGTGCGCGGGTGTGCCCAGGGCCAGAGTAAAGGCGCAAAAGGGCGTGTGCATGTGTGTGTGTGTGTTTTTTCCGCAAGGCTGGAGCTGTGTCGAGATCAAAAGATTCCCCCCACCTGCCGCGCTTTCATTCTCTCACAAGCGTGTCTCGAGAAAGAGCTTCTCTTCGTCTCATCGCCATCGCCATCGTCACCAACTTCGTCCTGTAGCCACCACTATCTGGCACACGAGCCAACAGATCACGTCTCAAGCTTCGCTACGCGCTTCATTCCGCTTCCTACTTCCACCACACATCCTGCGCTCTAGCTCAGAGTCGAGATACGACGGCCAAGGCGAGACCTCGGCAGGACCTCATCATTCCTTTCGGCGCAATTCACGTTGACGAGAACGTCATAGAGACAGACTCATCCATCGGACTCAGCCGCTTCGCTGGATCGACAACGGACATCACCTTCATTGTCGGGATCACCGTATCTCTGAATTCAGTGCTCAGTCACGCTTCACACTGCTCTTTCACCTCATCGATGTCTTTAAGCTGCTGAGCAGACCAATCGCCTATCGCTGCACTCAACGACAACCTCATTGCGCACCGCTCGTCTTACCATCGTAACGTGCATTGCTGTCGCCCAACATCGCAGCTCCCTGACTAGTCTCAGAGACCCATCTCGGTCTCGCTCAGGCCTCCGGGCCATCACCTTCCGCACACCATGGCCTCCCTCCTCTCCAGGCGCGCCTCGCATATCCTCCTCATCCTACTCGGTCTCTTCCTCGCAGGTACCATCGTCGTCCTCACCACCGCCAATGCCTACTTTTCCATCGACACCTCTGCATACGTCTTGCCAGAAGAGCTAGGCACCTGGGAGGAGATCCAATCAGGCGCATCGCCAGATGGCCCAGATGGCTTCCTCGCGCGCTTCCCGTGGCTCCACAAGGTCACTCACTCAGCTGCTTCCAAGTCGATGGCCAACGCATCCCATCCAGCTTCCAATATCGACCCCAACGATATGGTCGCACGGCCACAGCCATGGCGCGACAACACCCCCAAGAAGTGGGACCCCAGCAACCCGACCGAGAAGATCCCACGCATCATTCACCAAACATGGAAGGACGCACATCTGCCAGCAAGGTGGCAGGCCATCCGCGACGAGTGCGCCGCCATGCATCCAGACTACGAGTACATGCTCTGGACTGACGACGACTCGCGCAAGTTCATCGCAGAACACTACGACTGGTTCTTGCCCGTCTTTGACGGGTATCCTTACCCCATCCAGCGTGCCGATGCCATCCGATACTTTGTCTTGCACCACTACGGCGGCATCTACATGGACCTAGACATTGGTTGTCTTCGTCGCTTCGACCCATTGCTGCGCTTCGAGGTGATCCTGCCCAAGACCATTCCCGTCGGTGTCTCTAACGACGTGATGCTCTCAGCCAAGGGCCACCCCTTCATGGACCAGCTCATCCACAACCTCGTCAACTTCAACCACCAGTACTTGACCAACTATCCCACCGTCATGTTCTCCACCGGTCCTATGTTCGTTTCAGCATCGTATGGTCTCTACGTCGACGTGCACGGTCCTGCCTTCCCAAGCACACCCAAGCAGCCAGAAGCAGGCTTCAAAGGCATCCGTGTCCTTCCCAAGAGCCTCTACGGCAAGAACGTCAAGCCCATTGATGCGCCCGACGCCTTCTTCTCCCACTTCTACGGCTCGAGTTGGCACGCAAATGACGCAGGCTTCCTCATCTTCTTGAGGAAATATGGCAGGCTCTTGATCTTTGTTGGCGTCTGCGTGGTTCTGTATGGGTTGTTCAGGACTCTGCTCCCCACGTTCCTGTTCAAGTTCGGTGGTTACCGAGGTGGATTCGGACGCGGTTCGACGCGCGCGCAGCGCCAGACAGGGCGATGGATCAGTCTGCCCATTGGCACATCGTCCATCTCCAGGCGGCGATCCAAACGACGTTCCGGTTCAACCGCGGATGAAGACGCTAGCGTCCCGCTCAACTCGATGGGACGTCACGAGACCATCGGCAGCACCTCGGCTGCCAACCCGAGCAGGCTATCGATGCCCGCGCCGCGACCGACACGGCTCAGCCTGCCGCTGTTTCAACTGCAAGATTCCGAGCCGATGAGCAGCGATCCTGCGCCGCAGTCGGTGTTGGCGTGGATGGGGCAGACGCTTTCGCGTCCTTCATCACGCAGCGATGCGATTAGCGAGATGGAGGCCAACGGGCGCACCGAGAGTCCGAGCAAGAAGAAAGGCGTTCTCTACCTCCCGGCCTACTTTGTGCGAGGGGACGACGGGAGTAGTTCTTCATCGCAACAGCTGAGTCCGTCGAGCAGTGCCTCGTCGCAGCAACTCCAGGGGACCGGGTTGAGCCCGCTGTCGCATACGAGCTTCGCCGCTGCATCGGGTCTGAGCCTGGGCCAGTGGGCGTCCTCCCTCCTGCCGGCCAATTGGAGAGGTCCGAGTCCCGCACCAAGTCACGGTTCCAGACGCTCGCGGTTGAGTCAGGATCACGATCTGGAATCGCTCGGTTCCCAACAGGATGAGGAGGAGGACGAGGCGGGCTGGGATGCCGGGAGGAAGGACGCGGAACATCAACCCTTGATGGCCGACGGGAGGAGCAAGCTGAGGTCGGCTTGGGAGGCTCAACAAGCTGCTCCGCCGCCGTACGAGGATGGTAGTGGACAAGGGTCGGGCGAGAAGTCGCAGGCATAGGGCTCAGTGGATCACACGAACAGTTACCAATGATAGGAGTCAGGCTTGCCTTCACGGGTTAAGCTGATTTTCGGAACACATCCTGTTTGCGTGTGTGGTGTGTCTCGAAGACTCCGCTGAACAGAGAAGAGCAGAAGCGCGCATCTCTTTCCGTTCGAGGGGTCACCTGATCACGTTCGGTGCGCAGCCTTGTGTCATGCTGAAAAGACTGATATTCCCCGCTGCGTGCTCTAAGAATCTATGAATCGTCCTCGTTGGCCCTTGCGGCGTCAACCTGGCTCAGATGCTGCATGATGAGTTCGTACGTCAGAATCGTCAGTGCCGAGCTAGGCACGGTCCTGACCAGGTTGACCGTCATGCCCTTGTAGAAGCCTCGGATGCCTTCCTCGCGTGCGATGGTTCTGCAGGCCTGGAGGACGCCTGTGTATCTGCCTGCGCCGACCTTTTCTGCTAATGTTGCTGCGGCGTCTGCTGCTGCGGCGGGAGCAGGGGCTGTTGGGGTGGGCGGTTTGGCTCGCGGCTGCATCTGCAGTCGTGTTCGCAGCACTTCGTGCGGATAGGTTGTTACGGACGCAATCATCTTGGCTGTGCTACTGCAGAGTAGGATGGTGGATGCTTCCAGCTCGCCCTCCTCCCCATCCACCCCTCGTCTTCGCGCTAGGCCCTTGAACGATTCATACAGCGGAAATTGCACTGCGACGTGGGACACGCCAAACAGACTCGGTAACAACCCCTTGTAGAAGCCTCTCAACCCTTCGCTCCGGTAGATCTGCAGGAAGGCATCGCCGGTATGCCTATACGCCCGCGCCCCATCGCGGGGGCTCTGAAGCATGAAACGCGTCTTGACGACCCACAGTGGAGACGTGCACACCGTACTCGCCGCCCCCGCCGTCATCGCCGCCACGATATGGTTGAGAAAATCCTCACTTGCCGTGAGATTATTCCGCGCAAGCGCAGACTTGCAATTGTCATAGACGGTAAAATAGATCGCCCATGTGGGGAGGTAGCCGAAGATGGTGGGGCCAAGACCACGGTAGAAGCCGCGAAAGCCGTCGTCGGTCCAGATCTTGCGCAGCGTGCCCGTGAGGCCGAGGTACCGTGGTGGTTCGCCTGCGGCTGGTATTGATGGAGGAGAGGTGTTCGGTCGCCGCCGCCCTTCTTGCGCTTGTAAGCGGGTTTTTACTACGTCCAATGGACAGGTGACGACAGACGAGACCAGGCCCGCGCACGCCCCGGCTATCGCTGATGAGTGCAGCATGGTGTACGGACGGCAAGGCTGGCGAAAGATGCGCCGCTGCGATTGGATGAGAGGAATGCGCTGTGGGTCTACGTGGAATGCGATGCGATGCGATGTGGGTTCGAGCCAAGGTGAAAAGACGCGGGCTGAGCCGCCGCTCGTTGCGGTGCCAGGCTTGGGGATGCTTCTCGAAGCTGGCTGTACTGGGTGCTGCCGCACCTGTCGACTGTCGGGGGTCGAACGGCTTGGAAGACGGTGCTGCGGACTATCGCGATGACATGAGACTTGATGCTGAAGAGGATCGCGGTGAAGAAAGCTCTTGTCGAAGTGAGAGTGCGGCGTTCGGAGCGACTTTTGCGCCTATGCGATCGGCGACAATCTCTCAGCGTATTAGCTGGCTTGAGACTGGATGGCTCAAAGTTGAGAGCTGTTCCGAGGGTGCTATATCTATGCGAGCGGTGCGCACCTGCGTGTGTGTCAGATGGCGATCAATGTGAGGTATCGCAAGTGTCGAGGCGTGCAGAGCTGTGCCGACGGTTCGCTTTTCAGTCGTTATCGGGTTCGTACGAGAATGACAAAGTATGCGTGATGCTATCCAGCGCGATCACGGTATGCCTGTCGAATGTAGACAAGGAAGGCGAAGCCGTCGGAGCTGCAGATGGACGATCGAGGAGGTGGTTGTGGGACATCGACAACGAGAAGAGATGTGAGCGATAAGTCGCCAGTGGAGGTGCTTCTCTCTTACACACACTCTCTCTCCGCTCATGCCGCATTACGCGCGATTTCAGCACGGACACCTCTGCTATCTGCAGACACATTTTTTGCGAAGCTGTTAGACCGATTTTGGCCCGGTCTGCGAGCTCCGAGACTTGGGTGAAGTTGCGGACCCACCGTAGACACATCGACTTCAGCGGTCCAGCATGATGACGCTCGCTCTTCTCAGGCCACAGTGTCACTGCTTCACAATCAGGCGAGGAGCAGGCTCTCGAGGGCGCTCGGCCCAGTTCTCCTGGCAGATGCTCGTATTTCCATTTGTATAGTCCACTTTCTGATTCGCCAAAGCAAAGGCGACTGGAACACCAAAGACCCTCGAAAGCACGCTTCGGATCGTGGCGGGCCACACTTGCGACTGGTTCAGCGATCTTGACTTCGGCCTGCTCAGGCTGCTCAATCGAGACGTCGCTCAGTGCAGGGTTGCTCCGGCATCGCGAATGACCTTTGCTAGACCGAGCAGCTCCTCGTCCTGCAGCCGCTTGCCGACCACCTGCAAGTTGATCGGCATGCCCGCCCAGTCCTCGGGTTCGTACCTGTCCCAGTAGCCGAAAAAAAAAAAGAGACACGGACGGTCCAGCAGGGCGCGGCGTCACGCATCACTTGAGTCGACTCAGCTTTTCTTCTTCCTTCCCTATCCTAATCTCACGCACTGACCCCTTCTTCTTCAGCTTTGTAGCAGCGGATGATTCATTCGGCACAGTCTTCGGGATCATTGCGATCGTCGTGGATGCGGCCGACGTTGCCAGGCGTTGCGGTGCATGATTTGTTGCGGTGAGTCGTTGAGTACTTTTGCACTTCGAAGAAACGGGCAAGAACTTCGAAGCGACGGCGATGCAACGGATCTTAGCGAGTCATGTCGCTCACGGGATCGTCTGAGTCATGCTTGCGACTATCCCGACTGCTTGTTGCTGCAACCGTCCCGTCGCATGACCTGCCCGTGCCCGGCAGCTGCTTTGTGTCTGGCCACTGGTCTGTTCACTCTTCCTCGTCTTGGCTTTTTTCTCAACTTCCCAGTCGCGAGTTGAACGTCGACAGGTGCTTGGGCTCGTTGCCGTCGGCCACGAGGCTAAGTATGACCGACTCGCCCCCTTTGTCGCAACTGCGCTTAATTTCCTCGCCACAGTCGGCGCTGTTGACGCGTCCAATGATGTCGCAGCAGCGGGGGCGGTCGTTGGGGACCCAATCGATGGCATTTCGACCTGCGGTAAGGGGTCTTTCTTTGACTTCGCGCAGCTCGCGCGCAATGGGCGGGTGTGGGTGGACGATGCTGTCGTCCCATTCGATGGCGAAGCAGAGCTTGCCGTCGGACGCCTCGGCGGGCTCGACGCTGCCTGCTTTGAGCTGAAGGTTCTCGAGGGCGCAAGCAGTTTCGTTGAAAGACATGCTGACTACAATCGATTTCGTCTCCCGTGACCTCTCAGCCCGGACGATTCGCATGAAAGTGGCGACTACTTCGAGCAAGTGCCCGGGGGTCCCGATGACAGACGCGACAGTCTCTTGGCCGGGGAAGCGTTACTCAGCCCTCTCGTAGGGCACTCGGTACATTCAGGGTCGCATACCCCACAAGTCGATGAAGGCCAAGGGCACTCGAACGGAACTGCCGATGTCGGAATCAAGGCTGAGCAGACTGCTGCGCATACCCACGAGAGTGCCTTTGCCACCCCTGCTGCCACCAGGCGTTCAGGAAAGATAAAAAGGACTCCCTTTGCGACTATCGACTCCCTCTTTCTGCTCCTCATCGCTCTGACACCATAGGATCATCTTTGACAATGACGAACAGCACCTCGCGCCTCAGAACGACTCCTCCGCCCTGGCCATCTGCCTTTCAGCCGTCTGGTGCTTTGTGGGGACAGCTGCCCATCACTGTTCCTCGCCTAGTCAAAAGCTCGCCCAAGATTGTCGTGACAACCAGAGTAAACGGCATTACGTCCTACGAGGTGCATAAGGCTAAAGGCGATCCATACCAGTGCCTGATCGATACCGACAACGAATGGATGCTCACGATGGGTCTCAGTCTCAATGGAGGTCGTTGCACTGTTGCTCGCACCCCTCTGGCTCGACTTGTCGCCGGGCAAACTCCTACGCCATATCCTGATCGAATCTACGTAGATCACGCAAACAGAAACACCCTCGATAACACCCGTGCAAACCTGCACTGGGTAACGCCCGCCTTCAATCGCTGGAACATGGAAAGAAAGGAAGGCAAACAAAAGTACTTTGGTGTCCGGTCCCAGGCTGGTTCGTTTCATGTCAGAGCTCACGGTCAATCTCACGGGACGTACAAGAGCGAGGCAACCGCTGCTCGAGTATACAACCTGGTCTGCAAGCTGGAGTATGGCGATCAGCTTATCAAAACACCGCATTTACTCAATGATCCCGATCAAAAGCGACATGTGGTAGAGGTAGGGGTGCCCCCCGGTGGCGTCCAGATCTTTCGCGTGGACGATGTCTTCGTTGTCACATACGAGGCCCGGGTTCGAAGCACACACAAGGACGTTGATCGAGCCGAGGCAGCAGCATACTCTATCATTGCAAAGCTACGAGTAGAGCAAGCTCGCATCGAGCGGGCTCGACAAATCTTGCGCAGGAGATTGCACATTCGCCGCAACAAGGATGGCGTTGCATATGTCCCTATCGACGTTGGTTCCGGAAAGACTGTTGACGTTCTACTCAGCGATGATGGCTGGCTCGACATACATGCTGCATCGGCAAGGCTCAAATTGAGCATGGGTCGGCCCTGTATCTATACCGATCAGCACGAGGTGGATTTGGCGCGGTGGTTGTGCAGGAACAGTGGGCTGCGATCAGTTGATGTTGTGGATCATATCAACTGGGATCCCTTTGACGATCGAATGACGAATCTTCGCATCAAGGACCGGGCTGCAAACGCTCAGAATTGGAGGCGGAAGAGCAACGGCTTTACCGGTGTCTATCCTATGCGGGGAAAGTGGCAAATCGAGGTCAAGATCAAAGGTGGCACCGATCGTGCACGCCGCCTTGTCAACAACCTCGACGACGCTATCGAGCTATATGATCTTGCGACTTTGTCTCAACACGGGGTCGGATGCCATCTTAACCGCCGCGAATCATTGGGCGAGTACCTTCTCAAGCTCGACAAAAAGGAGACTAAGGCGGTTCTGGAGGAGTTCTTGGCTGGGAAGGGGGAGAAGAGCTGTAAGTACATCGGCGTGAGGAGGAAAGTCTTGGAGGTGAAGAGGAGAAAGACAACCAAAGTGATATATTGGTCAGAGCCCGAGGGGAAAGGTTATGGAATGACGACTCTGGACGAAGCACTCGGCAGCGCCATTCGCTGCGCTATATCTTGGGACTTGTGGCGGGTAAAGGTGCGCGGCCACTACAAGATCAACTTCGAGCAGCTTCGGCCATGCTATCAACACTGGGCTCCGCAGGTCGAGAAGACGACTCAAGCTGCTTTCATCGAGAAGGCCTACGAGCTCCTCGGCGGTGACGACTTCGCTATAGCAGAAGGCTCCGCGGATGGCGAAATTCCCTCTTCTTCGGTATTGGGCAAGCGCAAGTCTCCTTGATTATGTATTTTCAGACCGCCGTTTCAAACGCGACATGAACGAGTCAAGCTGCACGTTGCACATCGGGTGATTTTTGCGTGTTTGTGTCAGTTTTTTGTGTTTCTTCTCGTCAGCTTTCGCTCGGAGCAGGCTGCCGCTGCCGGTGCATGTCGCGTTCGATGGAGATCCGCCTTTGTTTGGATGCCCGCCGGTGCACGACGTCGATCTTCTTGTCCGCTTCATCCATCAACACCACTACCACCATCTCGGACAAGCGAGCGAACGTCGACCTATCCCTCGACTTCGTATTTTTCCAACATGGCCGACTCAGCTGGTCTTCGCACCAGGAGAGCAACCGCAAAGGCGGCGGCTGCTACTCCCAACGGCAAGAGCAAGGCTCCTACCGCTGCCCAGAAGCGCGCCGCTGTCAAAGACGAAGACGACTTTGAGGAGAAGAAGAACTACAAGCCCAACCACTCGTACATGCATGTCGATCTCAACGATGATCAGATCATGGGCGGCGGCAAGCAGCAGACCCTCGTCAAGTACTCGCCTGGCATCGTCATCTCGGAGCAGGGTCGCGAGACCGACAAGAAGCTCGACGAGCACTCGGATTGGGAGTTTGGCGGCCCCTGGGGTGTCACTGCCATGATGACGCTCTTCCCTTTGCTCATGTACTACCTTTGGATCTGCCTCTGGTTCTACGATGGCAAGCTCGTCATCCCCAACTCGGTCAGCGACATCTGGCCCTTCTTCCAACGCATGGGCGCTCACGTACGCGACGACGCCTTCCCTACCAAGCGCGCTTTCGCTGGCTACGGTGGTCTGATGGTCTTCCAGTTCCTCTTGGCTGTCGTCATGCCCGGCTACATGCAGGAGGGCCTTCCCGTGCCATCGCTCGGATACAAGACGCTCATGTACAAGTGCAACGCCCTCTCGTCGTTCTACGTCACCCTCGTCACCTGCGCGGTGCTGCACACCACGGGTCTCTACCGTCTCACCACCATCATCGAGCACTTTGGCGAGTACATGACCGTCTCCATGATTGCCGGATACGCCGTGTCGGCTGCCACCTACTACCACGCCGTGTTCACCAACACCACCCACCGCATGTCGGGCAATTTCGCCTACGACTTTTTCATGGGTGCCGCGCTCAACCCTCGCATCGGCGTGGTTGACCTCAAGATGTGGGCTGAAGTGCGCATCCCGTGGGTGCTGCTCTTCCTCATCAGCGTCAGCGGTGCCTGCAAGCAGTACGAGGTGTATGGATACGTGACGCCCAACATGGCCTTCATGGTGCTGGCCACGGGACTCTACATCAACGCGTGCGGCAAGGGCGAGGAGTGCATCCCGCAGACGTGGGACATGTTCCACGAGAAGTGGGGGTTCATGGTCATCTTCTGGAACTTTGCCGGTGTGCCCTTCACGTACTGCTACAGCATCGTCTACATGGCCGCACACCCGCCTTCGTACTACAAGTTCAGCACGCCCACGTACGTCTTCATGTTCTCGCTGCTGATCTTTGCGCACTACGTCTTTGACTCGTCGATGGCGCAAAAGTCGCGCTTCCGCATGCAGCTGCAGGGGACGTACAAGTACCGCTACACTTTCCCGCAGTGGCCGTGGTCGACGCTCAAGGACCCTCGCTACCTGCAGACCGAACACGGCAACGCGCTGCTGATCGACGGCTGGTGGCAGTTCCTCCGCAAGCCCAACTACACGGCCGACTGGACCCAGGCGTTCCTTTGGGGCGCCATCGCCGGCACCCGCTCCATCATCCCCTACTACTACTCGGTCTTTTTCCTGGCGGTGCTGACGCACAGGTGCGGACGAGACTTTGAGAGATGCGGCAAGAAGTACGGCAAGGACTGGGACAAGTACTGCACCATTGTCAAGTACGCCTTCATTCCTTTCGTCTACTAGGTGTGCAGCCTCGGTATCAACGGAACAAAATCAAAGCCTTGCGGCGCATGCCATCGAGCATCCCGTGCTCGTGGCCCGCTCCGCACTCAGTAAGGACGGTATCATTCGCAGTCTTGTCAAAGGACGCTTCAGTCAATATACCTTTCATCCAGACTCACGGTCCAGTATTGGCACGAAATTGGCGCTGCCTGACAGCAAGAGAGCGAACAGACATGAAACGTGGGTTAGCTGAGATGAGGCTCTGAGACGCGCCCACGCCAGTGAATAGAGCAATGTGGGAGGTAGGCAACAATGCATCGGTGAGATGAAGCCTTTCGTCATCAGCTCATCGGGCGATGGAGGCGTCGGTGACAAAACGTCTGTGCAAATCTGGGAAAACACCGAGAGTGTGACTGAAGGAAGCCAAGGATTCGGGAGCTTTGCGATGCGTGTGACGTTGACCGTCTTGGCAGGGATGCGAGAGGCGCTTGGCAAGCCTCGTTTTCCCACCATCACGGCACTCCCGTTTCGGCATGACCGGCATGCCAAATGCCAAACCGCAACGCAGCGCCAAGCTATGCTCACTTGAGCTTTCAGCGTGGCACCGGCGCGCGCGTGTTCCACCTCCACTCTCTGAGCCCTGTTGTTGGCGTCCCCATTGTTTTGGCCCTGACAGAACACAGGCGCGTAGCCGGAACTGCCTTGCCGTGGAGAAAGAAAGACGTCGGAACGAGATCCGATGCTCTGCCGAGGTGCCGTGAACCCTGGATTTACGTGGGAAAAAAAGTCGATTTAGAACCGCGAGATCTCCACGGCATCACAGAGTCGCCGTAAGCATCGCCCTTGCTGTTTCAGCAGCCATAACGTTGGCAGACCCCACTGCATTTGATCGGAACGACCCACATCACGATGATGACTTCTCTGAAGATGTGCGAAGGCTGTGCTCGTGATACAGCCGTAAGCCGCGTGTGTGTGACTGTATCAAAGAGGGTCTTGCGTACATGGTCCTGCATGAGAATACACAAGAAGGGTCGAGGGTTCAGCCAAACAGGTCACAATAATGGACTTACAGAATATGCTTTCCATCGAAGCTGCTCTCCTTGCCGTGCCTCACCCTCATCATCTCCTCTCCACGGCCCGTTCCCAGCCTTGAATCGCACGGTCAGCCTCGACATCCAAAACCGGCATTGCCGCCGGACAGACGGAGCCCCTTCTCTCCGCTCCACCAACGTCGGCCTACCCTGCTCCTCATATAAGCCAACCACACCTACGCGACTCGACTTTCAGACCTGCAAGCGGCTCGAGCGTATCAATCGACCCGACTCGCAGCGCCTATACACGAGCTTCGCCAAGCCTTACTCTCAAGCCTCCTAGTCGTCTCGCGGCGTCTTCTCAGAAGAGACGTGCATCGCCGGTCCCGCAGCCTCCTGGACTGCAACATCTGAGAGGCGTACCCTCTTGGTCCGATCCACCTCACCCGCTCCCTTGCACCTGTCAACGCGCCCTCATCGAGCTGCGACTCACGACCATCCTCAGTTCCAAGGGTAGCTTCTCACACCTCAACGAAAGCTTTACACACCGGCCGCAACGCTTTCGCACACGTCACCGCTTCTCACTGGATCGACCCATCGATGCCTGTAGCCGCCGTCGGCCTGCTGGTCACGCTCTCCGTCGAGAGCTTCAAGGCCTCTTCGCGCTTTCTCAACAAGCGCAAGTCGAAGAAGCACGGCTATGCGTCTCTTCGCACCGACTCGTTAGGCAGGCCTCTGTCGACCGAAGGCAAGGTGCTGTCCAAGAACGAGGCGAGGGCGCTCGCAGCGCACAACCAGGAGATTGAGCGTATCCGCACCGCCGAGCGCGAATGGCGGGCCAAGGGAGAGAGGTTGCCGGCCTACGGAGAGACCGATAACGAGGCCATCATCCAGTCCTTGCGTCGGCCCAGCACCGCACCTGCTTCGGGCCGAAGCTCCACCTCCGGTCTCCTCGAACTCAACGAGGTCTCTTCATCACGGCTCGACGCTGTTGCAGCCGTTGCGCCAACGGCAGCGTCAGAGACCACGCCGTCCAGACCAAGGGCGGTCAGCACAGCGTCCGCTCCGCTCTTGAACACCGCTCGAGCACAGAGGGAGGCGAGGAACGACGACCTAGCAGTGTCGAGCTTCGAAGCGCTCGACAATGGCGCTTTCGCCATCCGCAGACGCACACATACGCTCGTGCTGCCGTCAATACCAAGCACTAGCGAGACAGCTGATATCGAAGACATCTTCCAACACGACGGATTGGATTGGAGGAGGTTGACGTTTGAAGCGCCTCCTCTGTACAATCAGGAGCTGGCAGCTCCCGCCGCACAGCTGTGATCCCAACTTTACCTTACCCTTCTCTGAAGAATTCTCCGTCTCCGCCTCAAAAGTACCGCACCGCCGGCTATCACCTCTCTGAGCCCCTGTCCATCCGCTAACCCGGCCACGTTCCTTCGCATATCGTCCCACCTTTGCGTTGTACTGTTATTCTCATGCTTGTTGTGCCTGGTCTAGTTCTATTCTGTCTTTCACGTCGTTCGCAATGTTCAGCAATCAGCTTGTGCTCAGCGTGCTCAGCGAAAGCATGTGCAACATCGATCTCACTCGACGTCAACTCCAACGTTGCGACATGCGACTCAAGAGGTGGGGAAACCTCGAGCCTTTGCTGCTGGCCGTGAAATCGCGAGGCAGGGGTTGAGCGGTATCAGGGCGGAGCCTGCGACCGGGTAAATCGCTTTGAAGCCGGACGAGTCGAAAGCCCTGGAGTATGTTCCAGCCAGGGCTAGTCCTGGTCTAGCGGCGCAGCGCGCTTCTGTCGCTGCCCAAGCACTCCTGCAATGTCGCCCCCATGCGGTGCTCCTCTTCTGTCTGCAGTCCTGCAACTCCTCGATCTTGGGCCAACACGCCGAGTGTCGGTGCACATGCGTTACGAAAGGGATCTGGGCATGGAATGCATTGAAGATGACGTGGATTTTTGGGTGTGATGAAGTTTGATCCGATCGTGGCATCACGAGGTCATGCCTCGCTGCCGCGGTGTCGAAACGTGCGCGTCCAGGCGCCGCCCTACGATAGGCTGATCATCCGGATGCGCAATGTAATGTGTGTCGATGATGGTACAGTTGACATGTGCGGAAGGGAAACCCGCTTATGCCTCGGCACGAGCAGCCTTGAGGGCCTTCTCGGTACCGTGCTTGGCGTAGCGCTGGTTGCGGACGAACTTGGGGTCAACACCGCGCAGCGAGGGGTACTTGTTGGTCTTGGGCTTCTTGATACCGTTGCGGTGAGCCTTGCGCACCTGGTTGTGCTGGGACGAGTTCTTTGACTTGGCCCTGTTGGTCGGTAGAAGTCGATGCGATGCAATGTAGAGGTGGCGGTGTGGGTGGGTTGTGAGAGTCGAGGGCGATTGTTGCGGTGGAAAGTCGAGAGAATGCGATGCAATGGTGAGGTCGGATATGGTGCGAGATTGGTCGAGGATGGGTGGAATCGTCATATGATATACATGGGTCAAGGGTCAGCATTACCATTCCAAGTCTGTCCTGATCTCGCCATCCTTCGATCAATCAGCACTTCGGCACGACAGCTGATCCAGCATCACAGATGCAGTCTTCCTCCGTGATTGATGCCACTGCACCAAGCAAGGGGTCCAGTGTTTATGCGATGCCGGTTGGACGAAGACCTGCTGCGATGGGCCGAATTGTCGTAGGCTATCGTTCGTGACGAGTGCTGGCTGGTGCATGCTGTTGCAACTTACATCTTGACGGAGTATGTATGTGGTGAGGTACAGAGACTTGGTAGTCAGGAAGGCGAATCCGCAGTAGTGACAACGATCTTGGGCCAGCCTGCCGGCTCACACGCTCACTTCTCGCCAGTCTCTGCGGCTCCGCTGTGTCTTGACTCGAGTTTGAACTGGACCTTCTCAGCTCACTCACTGTGTTCCGCCGCCTTGAAATTTCTCAGCGCCTGCAACCGGAATCTTGACTGGCTGGGCGAGGAACCGAACTTGCTGCGGCAATTCCAGCTCGTACGTGCTAGAATAAGAATTTGTCATCACGCGAGAAAACACCTTTTTCGTGAGTTGTAAGACTCTTTATACGAACAGCTTTACTCTAAAGCTCGGCATGCAGTCGATGCCCTCATCGCGCAGATTGACTTAGTTCGCCGGTTCGCAGATCTCTTCTCAAACGCCGCTCATTCCGCAAATCCCCCGCACTGATCTCGTTTAGAAGGTTGCAGACCGAAGCTTGACAGAGCGAGCTGCCCAGTCGCCATCCGACCATGCCGAGCCTCCTCTCCTCGTCTCGCTTGCAAAGGTTTCTGCGCTACCCGAACCTCGACAACTGACCGGCGTGCAGCAAAGGAGCGTCGGTGAGTTTCGTCGCCGACATCACCCCTGACAGGATTCGGCGCCGGTCTGAGGCCAGATCGCGTCGCCATCAGCATCTGGTACAACGCAAATCTTTCTCGAGCCCCGCCCTTTTAGCTCTTCTCCTGCTCACGCCGGTCAACTGGAGCACAGCACAAGTCTCGGCGCAGTAGACCCGCTCTTGGCACATGTGGCAATTGTATCGCTGAAACGTCAAGCAGTGCCGCAAACTCGCCGACCGACGTCAACGCCATCACCGATCTTCTGGTACAAGTAAGGCCCCCACGCTGCCGACACATCCCATCGGTCCGACTCGGCCCTTTACCGTCAGCGCTTGCCCCGTCGTACACGGCGTCCAGACACATAAATAGACGGCTAGACTTTGTTCGTTCGGCACCTGGTCGTTTCCCATACTGCAAATCGGAGGCAAGATGAAGCTCAGCACATTCCTGCCCTTCACCGCCCTTGCTCTAGGCTTGGCCGCGGTCGACCACGGCGTCGTTGCTTCTCCCACGTCGCAGCGAGCCTTTGTCTCGCGCAACGCCGACGGTCGAGCCACCGAAGACGCCTACGGCGATCCCGAGTACAAGTGGCCCGAACCGAACCCATCTCTCCCACTCGATAGCCTGCCCGATGCTCGGCCTCAAGCCTCTTCTCGTCGCTTCCGTTCTCGTCTCGTCGAAGCCGAGATCCGCAGGATCAATTCCAAGATCTCTGACCCTGCCGTCAAGCGTATCTTCACCAATGCGTACCCGAACACGCTCGACACCACCGTCGGATGGACGGATCTGCAGCTCAACAACCCGGACTCGTCCACGACTTTCCCTCGGGCATTCATCATCACGGGTGACATCCTCGCCGCTTGGCTGCGCGATTCATCCAACCAGATCTTCACCTACCTGCCGCTGCTCCAGTCTCCACCCGAGCCGTACCAGGTCGGCGACAAGGACTGGGTCAAGCTGTACCGGCTTGCGCTCGGACTGCTCTACCAGCAGGCGCAGCAGGTCATCACCTACCCACTGGCAAATTCGTTCGGTCCGCCCAAGAGCGCTACCATCACCAACAAGAAGAACCCCGCTGTGGGCAATGGTGATGATGCGGACTGGGTGCAGCCCCCTGTGCCCTACTCCAAGGCGCACTTCCTGCCCCAGCCGCCCAGCAACTACACCGACGTGGAGGGCACCGACGGCGTCTACCTCTGGGAGACCAAGTGGGAGGTCGATTCGCTCGCTGCGCACCTCCGTCTGCCCTCGCTGATCGCCGAATACGCAAACCGCACCGACTTCCTTGGCAACCCGACGTGGCAGCGTGGCGTGCGCATGGCCATCGACGCCCTGCGCTCGCAGCAGCGCGGCAGTCGGGAAGAGCACATCGCCTACGAGTCATCCAACGACACGACCATCCTGCCCGCCAACCTGACGTCGCGAGACAGCGAGTGGGCGCAGCGCTTCGGCACGCTCCAGGGCGGAGTCTACCGATTCGAGCGTCTCGACCGCTCTGCAACTGAAACGAAAGCGGATCTGGGCTGGGGCGAGCCAGCGGCGTACAACGGGTTGGTCAAGTCCGGCTTCCGTCCCTCGGACGATGCGACCACGTTCCCACACCTCATCCCCGCCAACGCGCAGCTCGCTGTGGCGCTCGAAAAGCTCTACCCTATCCTGGAGAAGAGCGCCAACATGACCGACGTGGCTGCTAACGCCAAGGCGTTTGCTGCCGAGATCCGGGCTGCCATCACCGAGTACGCCATTCGACCCAACCATCTTTCCCCCAACGGCGGCATCTATGCGTACGAGATCGACGGCTACGGCAGCACGTACTTTATGGACGATGCCAACGTTCCCTCTCTTCTCTCTCTCCCGTACCTCGGCTATCTCAATGCGAGCGATGAGGTGTATCAACGAACCCGTTCGTTCGTACTGAACGAAAAGACGAGCAAGTGGTTCTACTCCGGCAAGGATTTCTCCGGCATCGGCGGACCGCACGTTGGAACGGGCTACGCATGGCCCATGTCGCGCATCATGCAGATCCTCACCTCAACGGACGCACAGGAACAGCTCGATGCGTTGAGTCTCTTGCGTAACACCACCGCGGGCACAGGTCTGATCCACGAATCGATCAATGTCAACAACGCCACCGACTTCACACGGCCTTGGTTCGGCTGGGCAAACGGACTCTTCGGTGAGGCTGTGAGACATATCGAACAGACCAACCCAGATGTTTTGCAGCACACCTACTGAAATGCACCAGCGCATCACGCGTTATACAGTTCCGGCTTTCCTGTTGCAATGCAAGTTTTGATTCTCCTTGTGCGCTTACATCTTCTCATCATCGTCGTCGTTGGGACTGAGCAAGAACTCCATCAACCTCGCCACACCTTTCACGCGCATCAACTCTCTCACCGCGCGTAGCTGTTCCATCTCCCTGCGCTCCTCCGCATGCTGTCCGGCCAAATGGTGGGCTGTCCGCAACGCCACTTGACTCTCGGAGAGGGTGGGTTTGAGCGTGATCTTCTTGCCTCCTCCGGTTGGTCGGACTTCGACCGCTACGGGGACAGGAGTAGGCGAGGCGGAGCGCGCTTTCTTCGCGGGCGAGCCCGAGATGGCGCTCTCAGCAGCGACCGCGGCTTTCCGTTTGGACAGGCGGGGAGGCTCGCCGCTGCTCACCGCCGAGGCTGCTGCGGCGGTGAGACGCTTGATCTGCTCTTCTTCGGATAGCGCCGTCGTCGTTGAAGGAGCGAGGGGCGTAGGGGCGGGCTCGTCGCTGTCGGAGAGGCTCGAGAGGGGCGATTCGCTCGAGTCCAGGTCGGTCAGCGAGGCACGAATGGACGACTCGGGAATGTCGTCCGATGACAGGTTGATGCCTAGCGCTGTGTGGATCAGGTGCCGCGTTCGGGAAGGTTGAACGAAAGCGCCGGTGTTGAGCGGCAGGTCTTCGGTTTTGAGCCGCGACGAGGCGATGTCTGCTAGCGCGTCCAGACCGCTCAGCGCATAGTCGCGCTTGCCAAAGGGACGATACCGCAATTCGTCGCCCGGTGTGACTCCGTCCTCGAGAGCAATGAGCCTGGTTGGTACCAGCCCCGCTTCCTCTGCTGCAACATAGAACACATCGCCAATCTTGCTCGCCTGATCGCCTCGTACCTTGCTCCAAAAGTCAGTGCGGATGACCTTCTCCGGGAAGCGGAAGCGAATCTTGGACGCCAGCTTTGAACCTCCCGCTGTCAAGGCAGGCGAGTCGACTACACCCGGCACAACAGGCACATCCTTAACACCGCTCTGCAAGCTGCCAGTGATGCCGTTGCCGCCCATCAGCAGCTCCATCGGATCGGGGATGATGTCGATGTCGCCATTGTTGAGCACGCGCGTGCGGAAGTGCTTGCCTGGCCCGATCGTTTTAGCGGAAGGGATGGGCAGATCGAGTGTCTTGGGTACGGAAGCGCCGACACGGGCGATCCGGCGACGGTCGTTGACATGATCGCTGTGTGCTGGGCACATCCATCTGCGCAGGTTGCTTGGCATGCCCAGCATCAGTGGATCGACACAGTCAATATGCCAGTGGAGAGGGCAGAAATCACAGCTGACGATCTTGCGCCAGCCTGTGCCTTCGCGGACTGTGTGTTCGGCCGGTGTCGATGCCGCTACGTGTTGCGGATCAGCAGTCGACTCGGCCGGAAGCGCTGTCCCGCCGCAGCGATAGCAGAGGACCACATCGCCATTTTTGTCCTTAAGCCTGTAGGGATCCCTCGCCTCAATCAGTCCATGCTTGTTCGGCTTGACCTGTCGGAGCATGCCTGCGTTGACATAGTCGCCGTCATTCGCTGTAGCTACATCCTTGAAGTAGGTCCGCACGTCAGCGGGAAGCTGGAAGCTCTTGGGGTTCTGGAGCGACAGAAGCGGTAGGAGCTGACCGAAAGGCCCTAGACCCTTCGGCTTCTGCACCGCTTTCGGCTTGCGCTCTGCCACGCAGACGTTGCAGAACCACATCTCGTCCGTGTTGATCTCGGACGATGGGCCTGGCGTGCCAGCCTTCGACTTGGCCTTCTGCACTAGGCCTGACTTCGCGGGTCCCAAGACCTCGGCAGCATTCGAAGCGGGCATCTCGTCAATGTCGAGCGGTGGGCTCATGCAATGGAAGTGGAAGCTGCGTGGGCAGCCATCGCAGCAGACGAAGCGACCGTGACCACCACAGGTTTCGCAAAAGTCGTTGTTGACGCTGCCCTTGTCCTCGAGGCGGGGGCTGAGGTTGGTGTCGGTCGAAGTAGAGCTTGGTCCGGGAGGGATGATGGCACCTGCGATGCCGGGGATGGTACGGAGTTTGCCATCGGCCATGTGCATCATGCCAGGAGGCGGCTCCACAAGTGGAGGCGGAACGATGGTGCGAGCAGCGCCGGTACTCTTCTTTGGGACTGCTGACGTTGATGCATTTTGTGCAGGTCCTGTGCCGGCGCTGCTCGCTGAAGGTGACCTGCGCGCACGTGCCTCTTCCTGCAATTGCAACTCGCGATGCTTTTTGAGGCCCAGTGGATCGGCATAAGCGCTGGTGATCGACTGCGATGCGAGCAGCGAGGCGCCTCTGTTGCTAGGATTTCGACGCATTCCTGTCATCGATGTCAATGTTGAGTCGCCGGCCTCAACGGCAGAAAGCATCGAGGCAGCTGGTATCGAGTCGAGCGATTCGCTGACGACAGGCACGGGTAGCGATGCTGCTGCGTCATTCGTCGCAGGAGATTGCGATGTTCCTGTCTCTATTGCCCCGACTTCGGTCGCGGTTGCGCTTAGTGGTACGGTCGCCGTCGCGGTCGCGGCGTCAGGACTTGTTTCGCGGGTTGCCGTCGCTGTGGCGACAGAGTCAGCGTCTGTCAAAACGTCAGCGACGGGAGGGTCTACGGCGCTGCTCTCTGCCGTTGCTGTTACCTCTGACGAAACACCACAGTCTTTCGACACGATTCCGGCATCGCTAGGTGTCGACTCGCTGAAATGTCGAACAAGGGACGATTGAGAGGACAAATTCGAGGAGATAGCCAGAAGTGGCCAAAATGCGGAAGGGTGGCCAAGAAAGCGTTGTCAGTGATCGGCTCCGAAGCAAACGCAAAAAAGGTTGGATGATAGTCGGGCGATGAGATCGACGACCGAGAAAGCTGTGCTGCGTCAAGCCTGCCTTCCTGCGGACTGCGCAAGGAGCACAAGGCAAAACGCGTCGGCCCGTTCGCCTATCGCCTGTGGCCAAATTTCGATTTTTCTGTAGCCATCCACCGACCGAGCTTGGTGAAGCTGAGTTTTACGTGCAGATCGGCTGCAGAGGCCCCCTCTTCCTCGTTGTCCTGCTTGGAGCATTGTACTTTGCTGATCGCTAGCGCATTCCAGTGTCACCTGTGGACCGGCTGTACGGGCTAGCCCACTTCATCTCGCCATCCTTTGCACAGAATCCAGGCCGGCCCACAGAGAACTCCGACTTCATCCGCTTCTGCCTCGTCCTGCCCACAATGGTCGAGCATGCGTGCTTCGTATGCGAAACAATGAGAGAGCTTATACGTACCTGTGTGATCGCTCTGCGCCTACGGCAGTCTCCGTCGAAGCCTTACCGGACACTGGAGATGTCCTCTTGATGGTCTGAAACAGAGCATACGGCATCTTGCCGTTGATGTTGGTCGGGGCAACATAGTCGACCGGTGCTTGCAGCGCGGACGATTTGCGCTGGGTGCCATTGACTCCAGTAGTCCCCTTTCGCTTGTGATTGGTTGGAGCGATTACTGGTGCGTCCGAAATGACCGGATTGAGAGGCGGATAGGCGGGATCGGCTGGCAGAGAAGGAGGAGGTCCCATGATCTCTGTCCGCAATGCGTCAGCGCCCTCGGACGGTGGGCTGCGACTTGCGCTGGTGTTTGCCAATGCCGAAATTATTGGTTGCGTCACGGACGATGTGGAAGCGACGGCAGCAGGTGCTGCTGATTCGGGCGCGGCCGAGCTCGATTCGCCGACGAGTCCGCCAGCCAATGGCTGATTCGATAGTGACGCTTCCGCTGTTGGTTGACGCAATGTGTCTGGCTGCAATAGGGGCTCCACGATGGGCTCCATCTTGACCTCTGGCGTCGATTCTGGTACATCGATCGGCGCATCTGCGCATTGAATCGCTGCAGGTTGAGGCGCTGCAGCATCTTGATCTCTCGACGTCGTATCTACCTGAGCTTCTGACGCTGTGTCTGATGGTATCGACGCTGGGGCGGACATGTTGCGCTGCGAGTCGCGCAGAGCCGCAGTCCTCGCCTTGATGGCGAGTTCGTACCAGTTCGACGGAAGAGACGGAGCCGGCGTCGAAACAAGGCCTGTCGGCGTCATGAGAACGCGATTGCTCTCGAACAGTATTCCTCTTCTGCTTTTTGACGGAGCCACCTGGCTGTCCGAAGGGCTACCGAACTTTGGTGATGAAGACGAGGTGGGTACGCCTCTGTTTTCGCAATCCTCCGTCAAAGCGTCCGTTCCGTTTGACTCGTGCGATGCGTGACCGACGCGGTCAACCAGTCCAGACTGTCCTGAAGGATCGATTCCACCGAAGAATGGCCTGTCCTGGGATGTGTCTATGCTGTGCGGGAGTGGGACCTTACGAGGAAGCATCACCCTCGGATCGGATGTGCCTTTCGAATGACTGATCTTGCCGCAATGCTCCCGAGTGGGCGAGATGAGCGGCGCTTCCGTGAATGAGACACCGACGAGGCTCGAAATCCGTTCCTTGAGTCCTGTGACTCTCGTGACTCCCGTGAGTCGATGCGAATGATGTTGGGTGATCCGCGATCAGATGGATGGAGGTGAACAGGAGGAAGCGCGCTCGCAATAATCACGAAAGGGTCCCTTCGGCGCGACTTGAATTTCTGTTGGTCCCGATTGGGATTTGCCTGGACCTTTCAAAGAGCGCGACGAGACGCGCTGTGCTGGTCTATCGGGTAGAGAGGCACACAAGGCCTTGGTCGCCATGCTCGTCCTCGCCCTATCACTCGCTCAGTCGTACACGACGTCAGGTTGTCGCTAGAGAGGAAGCTTTCATGCAGGAGTGGCTGCTCCTTGTACTCAACATAGCCCGACGTGGCTGGAAAGGAGAAAGCAACTCGCCAATAGCGCTTGCCGTTTGGTGCGGTGAAAGCTCCGGTGGGAGAAAACAAAAGTTGCATTGCACAGGAGCCGAATTGCAAGTCGCATGATTCAGCGCACCGGCAGCGGGCTGAAACGCTCGACTTGGCGACGTGAGAGTGCGATGATCGGCTGGACGTTGTGTGTTGTTGTGACTGGTTCTGCTGGTGAGATGACTTGAGTGGCCGAGCCGGCTGCGGTGAGTGAGAGCGCAAGGAGAAGGGGTGTGAGAGCTAGGCGGACACGATGCAGTCCAGCATCGGCCGAGATGTGCGTGCTCAGGCCGGATGCGTCGCACGAAAGCAGAGCTGACAAGGCTGCAGCGTCTGGCTTTGAGACGGCACTGCTGGTCGTGAGGCTGGTCAAGATGGTGCGGACGAGCTGGGCAAGCTCGAGTCCAGCCATAGCGGGGCCTAGTTGGACGATCGATTCTGCCAACATGGCTAACGCGGAGAGCATCGACTCTGACACCGCATCGCTCGGGCTTTCAGCAGAAGCGGGCGCGCTGAGCATCTGCGAAAGACGACGCTCGACGGACGGCCGCCAGCATTTCTCCAACGCCGCCAGCACGGAAGGCCGCGGCCGCTGGGGCGCATTCGGCCCTGCCAGGACGGCGATCACCCGCATGACGAGCAAATTAGCCCGTTCGTCCGGCTGATCGAGCATTGCGTCCAGCCCACGCTCGATGTCCCCGCGCGAAGCTGCGGTGATGCCCTCGAACTTGTCTCGAATCGAACTCGCCGCAGAGACGAACCGCTCTCCCAATTCGGCCATATACACCTCCAGATCCGCGGTCAGCGTCGCCAGTGGGTCCTCGTAGAGACGCGCAAGGTTGTCTACCTGGTTTGAGCGGCCGGTGACGTGGGCCTGCAGAGTGTTGTTGGAGGCCAATTCCGCGTCGATCGGCTTGAAAAGGTCATCTAGCGGGCTGGCCACCTGCACTGCAGCAATGGCAACCACACTCTCCTTCGTCCGACGCAACAGCTCTTGGACCGCAACGGACAGCTTGCCCTCCGCCAGCTCCAACAGACGCTCCTGCAATATCGCATCGATCGCTTCTTCGAGCCGCTGCAGCTCCGTGTGGATGTGTGTCACGGCCTGTTCGGCGGAAGGCGATAACGTGAGCTTGCGCGAGATCGTACGCCGGGCACGCTGCGATGCGATGCGGAGCGAGCGCCGGACAAGGGCCAGGTCGGATACGTCTGACAGGTCAGAGTTGATCGTGCGTAGGGTCACACTTTTGCTGTCTGTGCCGAGAACTATGCTCTCCCGCGCCTTTGCGGCCCAGTTGGACAGGTCGGCGAGGTCTTCTTGCGAGTGAGAGGTGGTTGAACCGAGATTGAGGCTCGGTGTGAAGGACCAGAAGGAGGCCGGAAGGAGGCGAGAGAGGATCTTGCCGCTCGGCAGAGCGTCCACCACAGACACCGTGGACACGCGCAGCTGCCTTTGTGTGATCGGCGTGCGGTCGGCCGTCGCTGCAGAGTCTGGTTGGGCTGACTCTTCTGCAATCGGCAGACCGTGGTTGGACCGCCGGCGGAGGGCGCGCAGAGCAGCTGCGCTTTGTCTGACGTCGCCATTCGAGGCGGAGTGTGGGAACAGCAATGTGCGTTCAGCGGCTGGCGATGCTGCAGGCTGTCCTGAGACGAGGTTGTCGGGGTCTGTGATGGTGCGGACCAAGTCGAGTAAGAGCGGTTTGGTGGACGTTGAGGAGTCTGCTTTCGGAGGCAGGGTGAAAGCTTGTACCGCGTGCTGAAGCGTTCGAGCGAAGAGGGTGACAAGCTGAGCTATCGTCTGCGAGATCTGCGCTGCTCGATCGTCCTTAATTGGTGCTGCGCTTTCGTTGCGAAGATGTGAATCCGGCTTTGTTCGTCGTCGCTGTATCATCCGGTGCATCCCAGTGAGTCTCTGCGAGAGCAAAAGCTGTTTTGCTTGGTCTAGCCTGGACCCGTCGATGAGCATGAGAGCTGCGAGCTGGTCCACCACCGCCATCGATTCGATCTCTGTATCTGAGAGAAGCGATACAGCCCTCGCTACGATCTGCTTTCGCATCGGCAGCATCGTCTGCCACTGCTTCTCAATGAACGGGAACGCCTTCTTGACGTTAACCTTGAGCAGCGAGACGGCCTGGGCGACCGAGCTGATGCCAGCCTCGCCATCCTTTGCGAGCGCCGACTGCGATCTCGACTCGATGAGGTCCAGCCACGTCGCTCGTGTGAGCAAGAAAGCCCAAGCAGCTTGCAGTGTCTTGCCCTTCTCGATCGACTTCCAGACGTACTCTGGTGCGTCCATGATGAGTCGCAACGAGGCTCCAAGTACGTAGATGGCTTCGCGATGCAGCGAGGAAGCATCCGAGTCTGGTGCTGTGGTACTCTTCTGTGCTGGAAGGTAGCTTTTTCGACGGCTGGCTTTCGGTGATGAAGGACCTTGTTCCTCGGTGACGGCAGCCGACGTGACTCCTTCAGCGAGCTTCTGCAACCTTTCTGAGAGTTGTTCCGAGCTGCCAGCCATGTCGATGACTGTGGTGGCTGTGCCGAGCAGGTCCTCGTAACGTTGACCGACAAGACTTCTGAGCTCCTCTTGCTTCCCAAGTGCGGTGCTCCTGACGGCTCGTTCATACGCATCAACCTCCTTGACCGTCAATAAGCGGAAAAGGGTGTCTGGCTCAGTGCTGAACGGATCGAAGCCTGTCGCTTGAAAGATGCGGGTGGCCTCATTTGGAGCGGAAGTACGCCTTGGAAAGGTAGGAGAGGTGATGCCGACGGATCCAGAACTGGATGTCAGGGATGCGTTTGTCCGGGCATGCCTGGCACGGCCGTGCCTCCCAAGTGTGGTGGGGGCCGAGTCGGCATCTGGATGAGCAGTGCTGCTACTGCTGGCACGCTGCTGCTGAGCCGTCGTCGACATCTTGCTCCTCCAGCAGTCGCCAGCGCGTGACGACTAAGTTGCTGAATCGAGAAAGGAAGAGCTGCGGAGAGGTAGGTTGGTGGTGGCGAGAAGAAGGGGAGGTTGTCTACGTGGTGTTGCACTTTCCGCAATTTGGCGGAGAGAGTGTGTCTGTGCGGGTCCGACAAAGATCTGGACCCTGGAAGAACGCGTTTCTGCAGCCAACCTCTCCTCCCTTCATCACTTGTCTCCTCCATGGCAATCCGTCATTATCTCAGCCTCGGCAAGCAGCGGTGAAGGAGGAACATGTCGGTACCGGGCAAGGACAGCGGTGCGGTGGTGCTTGACACTTCGATGGGCCGCATCGTCTTCGAGCTGTACTGGAAGCATGCGCCCAAGACCTGCGCCAACTTCTACCAGCTGGCCAAGCAAGGCTTCTACGACGGCATCGTCTTTCACCGCGTTATCAGCGACTTCATGGTCCAGGGAGGCGATCCGACAGGCACTGGATCTGGAGGAGCCTCGATCTATGGCGGTGCTTTCGAGGACGAGCTGCATCCCGAGCTTCGGTTTGTAGGAGCTGGCATTCTTGCGTCGGCCAACGCCGGGCCCAACACGAATCGCAGCCAGTTCTTCGTGACACTAGCACCAACTCCTTTTCTCGACGGGAAGCATACCATCTTTGGCCGTGTATCGGATGGCATGCAAGCAGTGCGCGAGATCGGAGTCGCCGAGACCAAGGATGACAGGTAAGTTGGCCCCGTAACAAGTCTTCTGGATGTGCTGTTCACTGACAGTGACGCACGACACACCATCTTTGCTCCGCTTCTTTCCAACAGGCCTGTGGAAGAGATCAAGATCGTCAAAGGCTCAGTCGTCTAGGGACGTTCATCGTCTAAGCATTCGGGTAACAGAGCGTAATCATTTCGCAACCTCAATTTAGGCTCAGCTTAGCGTCTGTCATATTTCTCGAGTGACAAGTCCGATTTCCTGTCCGCCATCAAGTTGTCTCAAGCGAGACATGCCCGCGCGGGAATCCAACAGCCTCGAAGACCATTCGGTATCAATCATTGGACGGGTTTGGCACTGGTGATACTGTACCGACAACCGCCAGCGATACTCTCAACATGGAATCTCACACAAACGCGACACGCAAAGAGGGGAGACAGGAGGTATGATGCCTGGTGTTGCGAAGCTGGCGGAGCCCTGTTCTGACCGCCGAGCCCATGGTGTGGTAGTAGTAGTACAAGGATGAACAACAAAGAAGAGAAAAGACAAGAAAACGAGACGAGGATAGGAGGTGCGCAGATAGCAGAGACAGACGGAGCTGCCCGTTCTATCGATACAGTCTCTTGACGCGCGTCAAATCATCGTGATCCGATGAGCGACAAGAGATGTGGAAGGAGTAGTAGTACAGTGGAGGAGGCGGAACACGGAAAGCACAACGACTAGCAAAGTCGAAACGCTTAGATGTCCTGCGAGGCACCACCCTTCTTGACCTTGCCCGACTTGGCGGGGAGGAGCTCCGACTGGATGAAGGGGAGGACACCACCCTGGGAGATGGTGACACCGCCAAGGAGCTTGTTGAGCTCCTCGTCGTTGCGGATGGCGAGCTGAAGGTGACGGGGAATGATACGCGACTTCTTGTTGTCACGAGCGGCGTTACCAGCGAGCTCGAGGATCTCGGCAGCCAAGTACTCGAGGACGGCAGCGAGGTAGACTGTAAGGATAAGAAGAACATGGAGTGAAACGTTAGTCGATGCGTACCAATGACCAAGACGATAGCAATGGAGTTTAATACATACCGGGAGCACCGGCACCGACACGCTGAGCGTAGTTGCCCTTTCGCAAGAGACGGTGGATACGACCGACGGGGAACTGAAGACCAGCCTTGGCCGATCGGGACTGGGCCTTGGAAGAGGCGTCACCAGCCTTGCCACCAGACTTGCCACCGGAAGACATTGTTAATAGATTGTTTGAGGGGGGGTGTTGAAGGGTTGGACGTTGGGATGGAGCTTGAGGAGCGAATAGACGATGGGAAGGAGAAAGGAAAGGGGCAGCGGTGATGCAGCCGAATTCAGAGGCAGGGTCTTATAGTCCAAGGGGCCGACGTGGAGTGAAGCACCGAAGACTGGCTGCGCAGTACAGCGGAACAGCAGTGTCTGCGCACAGGCGCTAACTCGGTGCGGGCGAGTGTTGCTTGCCTTCAAGGCGCGACGCGACAGCAGCGCTGCACCTTTCGAAAAGGCAGAGGAAATTCGGGTTGCAGCAAGCCAAAAAATAATGTGACGAAATGCGTTGATCCAGCGTCGCTTGGAATCCAGGCCGTGATTTCTTGGAAAGTGGAACTGTAGGGAAGCAAGACTACAAACGCAGCCAGGTGGGTTTAATTAGGGGATTTGGCCCTTCGATACATTTCGAAGCCCTAGTTTAGCTGATCAGTCAGCCTTGCCGTAGATCTCCTTCCGGGTCCTCACAGGCCACCCTGCAGTCCCATCACCAGCGAGTGGCTTGAAAAGCGCCAGATTAGCATTCAAGAAGGGAGGATAAAACAAAAGATGGCCTACGCCTGGAGAGAAACATGGAAGGAATCTTCGATTGTAAGCAGTGTGCAGTAGTAGGCTTCGTTTCTGGTTCAGGTAGAAGATGGGAAAGGCGACGAACTCACGAAGCCCCTAATTGGCAGGGTTGGACGAGGTTCACCTGCGATAGCCCCTTTGAGCCTCCGAATTGGCTCGAAAGTCAGGAAAAAGGGGGTGTCGTTGGCTACGCCCGCCTTTTTTTTGGACGGCTCGGACACGTCTTTTTAGTGAAATTGGGCGACACGTTGAACGCGAAATTGTCACACTGCAGCTGGGCAGAAGCAACGCGTTGTTCTAACGCAGCAGCAGAGCAACAGGCCTCAGCGCCTCTCTCTCTCCACGCTGGCTGAGCAGTGTGTCTGTGTTGCGTGCCGCGCAGGGTCCCTCGTATTGTTTAAAACCAAGCACCCGTCGCGGTGCTTCCTTCGCCTCGCCTCCCTTCTTTCTTCCTCCATCCGTCAAGTCTTTCCAACACTCTACCCAACCAACACCAACCCCCTCTTACTTTATTCAACATGCCCCCCAAGGTCGCCGAGAAGAAGCCCTCCTCCACCGCCGGCAAGGCCCCTGCCTCGTCCGCTGGCAAGGCCCCCGCTGAGGCCGCCAAGAAGACCTCCAAGGCCCCCGCCAAGTCTGGTGACAAGAAGAAGGCCACCAAGGTCCGCAAGGAGACCTACTCGACCTACATCTACCGTGTGCTCAAGCAGGTTCACCCCGACACTGGTATCTCGAACAAGGCCATGGCCATTCTCAACTCCTTCGTTCAGGACATCTTCGAGCGCATCGCCACTGAGGCCTCCAAGCTCGCTTCGTACAACAAGAAGTCGACCATCTCGTCGCGAGAGATCCAGACCGCTGTCCGCCTCATCCTCCCCGGTGAGCTCTCCAAGCACGCCATCTCGGAGGGTACCAAGTCGGTCACCAAGTTCTCCTCGTCCAAGTAAACGTTGCGCGCGTTTGCAGCCTCGTTTGTCTTCAACATCATGTCCTTGTAACCTCTCATCGTCAGTCGTACTTTCTTCGGCCCGACGCGTTCGGTGCAGCGCGTCGTGGTGTCCTCCGCGGCTTGCCGCCTAGCCCACCCACTCCCCCTTTTCTCTTGGTCGCTTTGTATCTTTTTTTCTGTACTTTTACCGCCAGCGCTAGCATCTCTACCCCTCAGATATATCCAGCAGCAATCTGAGCATATCGGTCTCAAACATCCTCTTTTCGTGTGTGCTCGTGTGTGTCTGGCGTATTTGAATGCGCGTTCTGTTAGTCGGGCTCGATCGTGTATGCGTCGTCTCCGAGGCAAGCTGCAGGATTGTCGTCGCGTTGACAATCGCGTATCGGGTGTAGATCAGGGGCTTTTGTGCTGACGAAGGAAGCGGATCTCACAGGCGAACGATGTTCTGCACACAGGATTGGTTGAGTGTCTGTCTTCGAGACGCTGCGAAGGGTACAAATACAATTGCGATTGGATCGAGTGATGAGGATGGCAGATCAACCACGAAGAAGACCATCTAATGCGGCCTGCATGCGTTGCATGTCTTGCTGCTCCTCCTCCTCGTTGACCTTTGGATCTTCGATTGCGAGATCCGGTAGGTGGTCTGTGGTACTGGCCTGGCCGAGTTTGCCGTCAGTGAGCTGGTACAGCACCTTGTCGACTTCGGCTTGTGCTTCCTCCTCCATTTCGTCCTCGTCTTCGCCTAGAACGCCCGAGTCGAGCGTGTCGTCCATGAGCTCTTCCATGATGCCTGCCTGATGTTGTTGTAGCAATGAAGGAGAAAAGGTGTGGTGAGTACGGGCGTGGTTTGAGTCGGATGTGGATCGAGGACGGGGGCGCTTACCTTGGTCATCTCGGCGCTCATCTGTCGCATTGCCGCCGACACCTCTGGCAACTTGACGAGCTGATTCGACAGCTTCATGATCTCGGTCGACTTTGCCATGCTGCCCGTCACCTTGTACATCGCTGTTCATCCACAAGCCAACGACTCACTGTGTAAGTACCTCGTCTATCTTCATTCTCTCCCGAATCGGGTTGGCACTTACCCAGTTGATGCTGGAGCTGCATGTGTATACTGTTGAGTCTCGCCTTGCTCACCGAGAGCCTGTTCTTCTGCTTCTGTGCGCGCACCACCTCTCTCGCCAGGATCTTGGCGTTCTTGACATCGCCCTTCTTGGCGAGCTTCTTGATCTCTGCTTTGGTTTTGGATGAGCCCTGGTCGATCTGGCGCATCTCGCGGTCCAGCGATCGTTGCTCGGATCGCAGCTGCGATTGCACCTTCTTCACCCTCTCTACGGCCGTCACATGGGAGGAGATACGTCAGTGGTCTGGTGATGTTGAAGATGATGCCTGGTTGGAGGCTACTTACCCTCCTGTGTCGGCCCGAATATGAGCTTCGATACCGCCTGCATTGTGTGTCTCGGTCGCTCTGTGGATGAGCTCGCTTCGATCCGTCCTTGGCTTGTTGGTGTGACTGCGTGACTTGAGGCAAATACTCCTCAGAGCCGCTGTACGAGCCTGCTGTCGTTGACGCTGTGTAGGAAGAAGTTCGAGCAGTGGACCAGTGGGGGCTGGTTCGAGATATGGATGGAGTTGCTCACTGCCGAGGTGGAGCTGAAGTCCGCGTGTCAAGGGTGCGCATGCAAAGCTGCGTAGCCGTGCGAGCCGGATTCGGATTTCGGATGTGATTCGCGCCGCTGAGGTTTTCGGGCGAGAGCAGCATTCAGCCGTGGATCTCTCCTGGCATGCATTGAATCGATTTTGGCTCCTTGACTGCTCGTAGGGCCTCAGTATGCTAGTCACGACGCTAGACCGGCCTAGGGAAGGTGATGAAGGTGGATTCTGATGCCTTGTGCTGCAAAGCATGGTCGATGATGATCACTTCCTGTTGCTGTAGCTTGACTATTATTTGCGAAAGAAAGTCACAACTCCAAAAAAGCTGCCAAAAAGGGGGCACGAAAAAGGCGATTGATTCGGTCATATCGACCACGGCTTAACATGGTGATCCGGCGCACATCGGCTTGGTTCGAGGAGATTGGCCCCGATCCACCATGTCTGCTCCACCCCAGCGAGTCCGACGGCTGTCGCACGGCGAGTCGCATTCGTGCTGGACGACGTCGAGACAAGCCACAGCAGGGCGGCGTACAATTTCATGTCTGCACAGCAACGACGCCCATGCGTCGAAAAACGAACAACGGCTCGGCGTAGTTGACAGAGACTCGATGACGCCCACACAGAATGGTACAGAGCGTCAGAAGGCCTGCTCCCAGACACAGGCACAAAGGCGTCGCCAACAATGCTGAGCCAAACGCCTCAGTGCATGCTGTTCGAACCGGCCTGAAATGTAAGATCATGCGTCGAGCACGAATAACGCGCGACGCGTCTGGAGAACGCGCAGGAAAGAACAACAACATGCAGATCCTTCGGTCAGAGACAACACGCCAGTCCGACAGGCTCGGCTGGGTCGTGACGCGCCCAAAAAAGGATTCCTTTGATCTCGTTCTGTGCGTCGTTCGGGTTCGAAAGAAAGGCGCTCCGACCCGAGTCAGGAAGATGCACGATTGAAGCAAACTGACTTGTCGGATATCAATTCGATCTGAGCTAGCTGAGTTGGTCTGACCGGGAAAGACAGACGTGCTGCTGCCGGCTCTGCAACGCTGATCGTGCCACCGCCGGCCGATGACCCGTCTTGCTGAATCGGAGCACTAGCTCAGCCGTGCTGTCGATAGGGCCGCTTGAGGACATCAAAGCCACTTCACAGACGAGGAGGGAACACAGGCGAGCCAGAGCAAGAGAGAGAGACCCTGCTTCCAGCTGCACCTCGGCTACGCCGAAGCCTGCTACCAGCCCTGAGTCGGCCCACTTCCGTCGTGCAAAGCATCTTCCCACGCTCAAGCACTACATCGGCTCCTTGTGTATAATCTCAGCACAAGCATCAGAGATCACGTTAGCGTCATCTGAAGACCTCCTAGCGGCAGTGTCAGCAAGTGGGTTGTGACAAACAAAGAGCAAAGCTTTTAAAAAACAAAAGGTGGCTAAAATGAGAACGCGTGCTTCGCCGCCTCTGTTCGGGTTCTGCTATCTCCTTGCCTTGCCTCGCTTTGCCTTGCCTCGAGGTCGGCAATTGCGCTCGGTTGGAGCTGCCGTGCGCTTTCTCGCTTCTCCGAAGGTGTGTGCCTGCTCGACGCTATGCGGTCTAAGAATGAGCGCAACACCCCAAGCTCTGATGATCGTCTTTGTCTTGTCAAGGGCGTAGTCATCTTCATTTCGTTCCTCACCCATGCGCTGCTGGCGACTCATTTCATCTTTCCGCAGTCACGCTCCTCACTCGCCTGAGTCGGTCCACACTCATTGTTGCCTCCAAGCTCACCACGACCACATCCGCGCATCCCCACCATCCTATTGTACTTCCTGCCCCCCTATCACCACCTTCTAAGCAGCATAGCTTCTGCTTTTGGTCGCTGCCATCACGCGACATCCCCGCAGCCGCTCGTGTCCGCTTCATCCAGGCTTTCCTTTGGCTGGCTCGGCGCGGTGCCTAAGTTTCTCCCATACATCCGAATAGAGCAACTCCTCACACGCACGACGCTCGACAGAAACAGCACGAGCTCCACACATTCAACCTAGCATCTTTATCATTGCCCACCAACGTCGCGACGACAATCGCGACCACAACCACCTTCAAGCGAACAAGCTAGCAGCACGAGTATGGCCGCTTTCTATTGATACCTGTACGACCCCGAGCGAGCCATACCAATTTCCTTGCAACCCGCACGATCCCCGGTCCAAATCTATCCCGCATCTACTGCACGCATCGCACAATGTCTGCCGTCGCTCCCCGCCCCGCCTCGATCGCCAACTCGTTCTACGAGTCCGACGGCCGGTCGAGCATCGACTACGGCCCGTTCACCGATCCCAACAGCAAGACCAGTGAGCTGGCTCGCGCCGTCGGTAGGGAGAGGGAAGGCCTCGTCCCCGCCTTTCGTCCGCCCAGCAACTGGACGCAACGCTCCAGCCACCACGACGTCGTCTGGTCCGGCGCTCACCAACACGCGCAGGACCCCAACGATGACCAATTCTCCGATGCCGAGAGCTGGGATGGAGAGACGCAGCCAAGCTCGGCTGCACCTACCAACGTCGACCACGACTCACTTAGCAGTGTCTACGGTCACGTGCGTCCCACCAGCATCGGCAGCGCCATCTTTGCTGGGCGTGGCGTCCAGTCCGATCGCAGGCGCAGAGAAGCACCGCCGCCCCTCCCCAATCTTCAGCAAGATAGCCACCACCTCGGCATCGACGCAGCAGGTCTGCTGAGCCCCACGTCACAGAGCATGGTCAGCCCGCGCAGTGACGCCAGCGACTTCGAGAGCAGCAGCCGGATCAGCGCCTATGACGGCAGCAGCGATGCAGCAGAACATGTTGATCCGTCTGAAGGGCTTGACGTCCAGGATAGCTCGCTCTCCACGGCTTCTGCGCAGGCAGCATTCGAGGATGGTGTCAAGACGGCCAGACAGCCACTTCCGTCTCGCTTTTCTTCCAAAGCCGCGCCTCTCCTCCCTGCAAAAGCATCCTCACGAGGTAGTACCGCAACCTCCCCCAGCCGAGACGGCTCTTCCTCGGACGCGGACACCAGCCTGACGCGTGCGAGCCCAAACAGGCTGCCAGACGGCACCTTGGTGCCAAAGATGCCTCCGATTCCACAAACGAACGATGCCAACCGGCTGCGCAAGCCCAGAGCACGTCGCGAAAGATCTCCCATCCTGTCCTTCGATGGCGGAGTAGCTGAAGAGGAAAAGATGCTCGGCGAGCTGCAAGACAAGCTGGCGGGCGACGCGCGCAGCAGAGTCAGCACGCTCGGTCCCAAGGTCAAGAGGAATGCGCCAGCACCCTGGGAGCTTGACGGAGACGATGGCGCCGCTGCCGTTAGTCGACCTTCCCTGCGTGACCAGCTGCGACCGAATGCCGAGACGTTTGAAAAGCCCTTCTCCCGCTTCAAATCCAGACCTTCGGTCGACGCCGGACTGCCAGGCACAAGGAGTCCCAATCCGTCGCACACGCCTTCGGGTCTCGCCCTCAGCTCCCATCCCTCGAACGCAGACTCGCTCGTGCAGGAAGCGCAGAAGGAGAACGACCCACACGCGACCTTCGCTTCCCAGAGATCGCGATCCAAGAGCGTCTCGAATAGCGCAGCTAGCATGTTGAAAGGCCTCGGACTTTCGGGAGCGGCGGCGCCAGCTTCCAAGAAGGGTAAGCTCACCAAGGCTTTGCGTTTGGTGGGTGCGGGCGGCGGTGGGCCCGCACAAGGCGAACGTCGACCCTTGCATCCAGCTTCGGCTCCACTGTCGGAGCTGAACACATTCACTGGCCTTACCCATGGACCTGCCTACGACGCCGTCCCTTCGCCTCGCTTTGGACATGAGCTGCCACACAGCGACTCGGCTCGCAATCTTTACGCAGGCAACACGATGCCGACTCCAGGCAAGACCCAGGCCGAGCACGTCCAGACGCTCATGTCGACCAACATCCAGTTCGGGAACACAGCTCGCTCTCCGACCATCCTATCGCCAACTCCCGCTCAAGGCCCGATGCCTTCGCCGCGCATGGGCGGTGTTCGCTCTCTTGCTTACAAGAAAGACACTCTGAGTCCGACAGACTCGTCCAGCTTCGCCAGCGAACAAAGCCATTATCTTCATTCGATGGAGCTCGCGCGGTCGCGGACTCCTCCGGCGCGCGAACACAGCATCACTTCACGCTCGGCGACATCCAGTGAGGGTCCCGCGCCGCGCAGCAGCAGCCTCGAGAGCGAGGCCATAGTGGAGTCGCTCACCACCGAGGCCGAATTGACGCCCGTCGGCAAGGCGTCCGCAGAGGCACTCGCTTCGCGACCTCGGCACTCGTCCCCACGTCCAACCCACCAAGCTGGGATGATGTCTACTTCTTCAAGCCAAGCTTCGGGCAGTCTGCCGCTTCCCGGCAATATCGAGGGCGTTGCGTACAAGCTCATCTCGCTTGAAGAAGCTCGTGAGCAGGCGCGTCGGAAGCAGTCCGAGTGGCTCGCATCTTCGGGCGCGAGCACGGCCGGCAAAACCTCGCCTAATCTTGCTTCGGGCGACTCCGCTCAAGATGAGCTGAGCATGCAGCGAGACCCTTCGAGCGACGGCCAGATCAAGAACAAGAAGAGCGGTTTCCTGCTGCGCAAATTGAAGAAGGAGAAGGGTTCGAGCGTCGAGTTAGACCCCGCGTCTTATTTCGCCTCGAGCACAAGCAGCAGGAACGTGTCTGCATCCAGCCATCCGCCGGTGCCATCTTTCTCTGTCACTAGCCTGGGCGAGGAGAGTGACGAGCTGAAGCCCTTGACTTCGATGAACAAGCCCGCCCTGCAGATTCGACCGATGTCGTCCATGTTCTCCGGCTTTTCACCTGACTTCCTCGACGCCTCGACTCTCGCAGAGGGTCACGGGCGAGATCCGGACAGCTCCTCTGCGGGATCTGCGGGCTTGCTCATGCCACAGAGCCCGGCCACGCAATCTTTTCGTACACCGTCTCCTGTCCTTTCGGAGTCAGGCCGTTTCCCTTCCAACTCCAGCTTCACGAGGCCGAAAGTCGCCGAGATCAAGCCGACACCACACGGAACCGTTTTGCCGGGACCTGCCGTGCCTGGCTCTGCCGAAAGCAACTGGAGCGCATTCGGCATTGCCAACGAGCGGAACCGCTTGCCCAGCCTTGACGCTGGGACCAGCAGCACAGACGAGCCATCCCTCTTCCACTCTCCCGTCATTTCGCCTCTCACGCCCACCTTCCACCACACTGTCGAGGCACCGGCTTCTGAGCATGGAACCCCGGCGCTCTGGACCGAGGATGCCGCCACCTTCTCGAACCCAGCAAGCCCGCAGATCCCAGATGAGGTGCGACAGCGGGCTCGAGACATCGAAGCGCAGATCCAGGAGCTCTGCAACGAGCTCAACGAGCTGCGCGTCAAGCACGTAGGGCAAGGCACTGCTCCCGTCTTCCGAGCGAGCGAGCTCGACGAGCGTCAGGCCGCGGCCGACTGCCCCAGCTGCGGCTGCGCTTGCGCCGAGCAGCGTCGACTACAGAGCGTCAACGAGGCTGCGGTCTTGAAGGGTGTCAGCGTGCTCGACCGAGGTCGCGCACTCAAGCCTTCTTCCAACGCTGGCAAGTTTGGCGGCTACACGAATCGTTGAGCGCGGCTCCTCTTCATTCCAAGGCATACACGCTACACTATCACTATACCAAATGTCAATCCTTCTGTGCAACCTGTGCTTTGCGAGTGAAGAAGATGCGATCGAGAGACGAGGCTGGCCCCGAACAACGAGCCCAGGAGAGACCGGCATTGTGCGGCGTTTCAACGGGCTGCACGTCCAAAGTCGCCGGCAGATGTCTGCCAGCGACCTTTCCTAGTGACGCTTAGGCCGTCTGGATCCAAGCAGAAGATGTGTGCGGTAGCTTGCGCAAGCCCCTGGTGGGCTTAGGGGATGGCGTGACCGACCACATACGAAGGACACTTGCCAACGAAGTCACAGCGTTGGGTGGGAGAATCGCCTCCCGGCGTTTCACAGGTGGGCGAAGGTTCAGGGTCCAGGGGTGAGTGTTGATCTTTCATTTCGTCATCACGCCTGCCCCTCAAGGCGACGTTGGCCTTATCTATCCCTCGCTCCATCTTTCCCCTCGTACCATCATCCACCTTCACCTCTATCTTCAGCGAAGAGCGAGACCATGTCGCGCCTCACAATGCGCTCCCACCTGTCGGAAGAGCAAGTCCATCCGGACCCCTCGACCACGGTTCCGCTCCTACCCGCCTCGGCGCCTCTGCCATACCAATCCACGCCCTTACACAAACCACCTCGCTGGTGGCCGCAATACCCCTCAGGGCTCGAACCGAACACCTGGGCGCGTCTTCGACATCTCTATCGCGAGGAGCTAGCCGAATTCTTCGGCACCCTTCTGATCCTCCTCTTTGGCGCAGGTGTCGAATGTCAGGTAGCGCTGCACTACCACACGGAGACACGCGATGCAGCGTACGGGTCGTACCTCTCGGCGCGTCTGGCTTGGGCTTCAGGCGTAGCGTTGGCGGTGTGGGTGTCTGGTGGGGTGAGTGGAGGCCACTGCAATCCCAGCGTCACCATTGCTTTGGCGTTGTTCCGAGGCTTCCCACGACGCAAAGTGGTCCCATTCATCATCGCTCAAACCCTCGGTGCGACGGTGGGCAGCCTGCTCGTCTACGCCAATAACATCACCAACATTGACCGGTTCAATTCGGGCTTACGCACCGTAAAGGGGCTGGGGAGTACGGCGGGGATGTTCTTCTCCATGCCAGCCCCCGAGTTGAGCTACCCACAAGCGATGTACTCCGAGTTCCTCGCCACCGCGGTTCTGCTCTTCGTCGTCTTCGCACTGGCTGACAGCGCCAACCTCAAGCCTCCTCAGGGAACCCAGCCGTTCGCCATGTTCATTACGCTGCTCGCCATCGGCAGCAGTTTAGGGTACAACACGGGTTATGCCATCAACGGGGCCAGGGACACCGGTCCGAGGATTGCGTTGTGGTTGGTAGGGTACGGCGCGGAGGTGTGGACCCACGATAGCTGGTACTGGGCTTGGAACCCGTGGCTGAGTAGTGTGCTGGGTGGAGTGGTGGGCGCAGCGACGTACGATGCCTTTTTGTATACGGGTGTGGATAGTCCGGTGAATCGGCCGCGGAGAGGAGGGGACGGCAGGGGAGACTATGAAGCGTTGGCACGAGGAGAGGAAGAGGAAGTGTAGAGCTCGGCCCGATAGAAAGATTGGCTGGCTAAGAGGTGTGGGGGCTCGAGTGCATCGAGCTCAGATGGAGGCAGTCGATCGGCTCGTCCAGATGCACTGCCTTTACCATCAGACCGTCCCGGATCGGCCCAGCCCTCAAATCAAACCCCTTGCACTGTTACTGGCATAGATGCGCAGAGGGACGAGCACAGCGCTCGCCGTTCCTCCGTCCTGTGTAGAGTGAAGCAGCTGAAGGTGGTCTGACGAGATGTGAGCATGATGGTGAGTAGGAGCGTCGCGGCCGATCTGACATGCTTAGAAATTTCCGCCTTTTGTGCGAGAACCCTAACCTTCAGGGTTCAAGACGGGCTCAGTTTCAGTCTGCTGCGCACTAACCATCATCCTCTCGGCCAACACCATCATCCTGGGCCATCCGTCATCACACAGCGTGGCTAGCCCATCAACTTTCGCCACTAACGGGCTACATAGTGCGCATCTCTTACCCGTTCGGCCGAACCGCGCACCCGCACCGTACCGTCTCGCCTCGCAGGCAAGATCCACCATGGCATCCCGTCCCCCGCCCTCATCCGCCGCTGCGGGTCCATCGCGCACCCTCACCCTCACCTCCGCACCCGCTGCACCGACCGATTCGGACGCGGGGATTCTTCGCTTGCGACCGGCGGCCTCTGCCTCATCGCGATCCCAATCACGCCGCGTAGTGTGGACCGACTCGACGGTGGACAACGAGCATCTGGGAAAGAAGAAGAGCAAGATCTGCTGCATCTACCACAAACCCAAGGCGTTTGACGAGTCGTCCGACGAGAGCTCGAGCGGGAGCGATTCCAGCGAGTCGGATTCGAGTGAGGAGGACGGAAGTGAGAGCAGTGCAGACGAGGGACCAAATGTCAGCCAGGGGTTGAGGGACAAGTTGAAACACAGGAAACACGGGCATCAGCATGAGCATGGAGAAGGCTGCGATGGACATGCAGGGAAGGCGAAGGGCAAGGCGAAGGGGAGGACAAAGAGTTCGGGTGGGACACAGACTATCACGACGACCAAAGAGGAGCAACAGGAGGAGCAAGGGGACAGCGATGACGAGAGGCAAAATGGCAGACCAAACGCTTACGAGCGCGGCACACGCTGACACTTCATCCTCATCCTTGACACACGCAATACACTCATCGCTGTTCACGCTCGACGCTTTGCAAGGAATGCTTTTCCATTGCCATTCGATGAGCAGGTCCCATCTCACGCTTCCTCTCCCCCTTGCCACGCGAGCAGAGCGTGCAATCAAGCAAAAGGATCGAAATCCTTCCAAGCGTCGGCACTCTTGGCCTTGTTGGTGTTGGGTACCGGCTTGTTGGGCTGCAGCACGCTTCCGCCCCACGACGCTGGTGCTGCGGCTGTGAGGGTTGGCAACGGTGCCGGCTTTGGCGCCAGCGCGAGTGCCGGAGCAGACTCGATCGCCGGCGGAGCGCCAAACATGTTGCTCGGTGGGGTGGTGGTGAAGCTCGAACCCGTAGCGGGTGGGAGGGAGATGTTGTAATTCGGCCCGCCTGTGGGAGCGGCGGACTGGAACGAAGGGATGGGCGAGATGGAAGAGGACGGCTGGAGGACGTTCGACCAGCTTGGTGTTGCGGCGGTGGGGGCGGATGTGAAGCTCGATGAGGGTGCGGCGGTGAGCGTCGTCGGGCGTGTGGTGTAGGATGGAGGTGGGGCTAGTGTCGGTGTTGCCGCTACTGGCGCTGTGTAGCTGCTGGTGCGTGAGGAAGACCCATTGAGCTTGGACGCTGTCAATGTCGATGTTGGTCTACCCGTGTGCGTCGGTGTCAGGCCGCCCACTGGCGTATGCACGTTCGACACGGCCGGCGAGATGTCGCTTGCAACACCAAAGCCTGCTCCCACTCCACCACTCGTGCCCATACCCGCAAAGTCGTCCGACAACCCGAATGGATCGTCCACCACACTCTTCTCGCCACCGCCGCTCGTCTTGGCCTGCCCGACCAGCGTCGCAAAGTCGATCTCCCCACCGGCGCCGATCCCGCTCGCTCCTCCCGCTCCACCTGCCCCGCGAGCCCCCTCTCCAGTATACGACTCCGTATGCTCCTGCATCCGCTTCACATCCCTCAAATGCGCCGTGTGCTCCTTCTCCACCCTCTCGCCCATCTCCTTGACCGCCTTCATAAACCTCCCAAACTGATCCGCGTTCAGCATCGGGCCCATGCTCATCACCCACAGCTGCGGGATGATGGCCGTGGCCAGCGTCTCCCTCCCCACCTTGCCCGACATGGCCTCGTGCACCGCCAGCGTGGCCACCATGACACTCGGCTCCTTGGTCTTGATCCGCGCGAGAATAGGAACCAGCTTGTCCGTCAACGTGTACTTGTCCAGGATGGCCACCATGGCGTGGAAGCAGATGAGACAGCTCACTTTGACGCTGAGCACCTTGGTCTTTGCGAACAGCGAGGCGAGTTTGGGAAACAGCACCTCTTTGACATGCGCGTATTCGAGGATCTCGGCTAGACGCGGGACGGTTCGCAGCGCTTTCTCTTGGACAAGCACGCTTTCCGCCTCGAGCGCCGCGTACAGCAGCGGCGTCACCTCCTCCCTAAACGTGGTCGGCGCCGTCTTGGGCACGAACAGCGAGTCGATCTGATCCAACAACAGCAGCATGCACTGTGGCGGATCCTGGATGGCGAACAGCGGCTTGAGCTTGGGCAGCACCGAAGTGGTGAATTCGAGTTGGGAGAGGTTTTTCGAAATGTGAAACACATTCGGCAGGATGAACGGCAAAAGCGAGCGATCTGTCATGAGCTCCAACACGGCGGGGAGCACTTTGCGGCGCAAGAGACGGTCCGAGAACTGCGGCAAGATCTTGAGCAGGCCTTTGAGGTACGAGACGCGTTCCTCCTTGGTTCGGCCCGCAAAGCTGTCCCGCTCCATGAACTTGAGTGTCGAGACGAGGATCGAGTTGAAGTAGCCCGCCTGCTGGAAGGAGGCGGCTGACAGGCGTGCGCCGGGGTATCGGGTGAGAAGGTTGGAGAGCAAGTCAAGAACATCTTTGCCCAGGCGCGACCAGCTCTGGCTGCCAATGGTGGTGCTGAGCTGGTCGGCGTTGCTGCGGAGGTTGGGTAGGGAGTTGCGATTGCGGAAGGGAGGACTGCCCTTATTGTGCACGGCGTAGACGATGCACCCGAGGCTGTACATGTCGTTTTCAGGACCGAGCTTCTCGTCGAGAGCATACTCGGGTGCCATGTAATCGAAGCTGCGACTCATTGCGGGTGGCAGGCTCGGGTCGTAGTCGGGAAACGTCCATGGTGTCGGTCCGCCTCCTCCTGGTTGCTCGAGCGGCGTCAAGAACGAGAATCCGGCCATCTTCCAATCCCCCTTGGCGTTGATCAGGATCGACTCTGGTGTCAGGTTCTGATGTACCATCTTAGCCATATGTAAGAACTCCAACCCTCTCGCGACCTGCAGTAGACCTTTCTGGATCTCCACCTCGTCGAGCTGCACATCTTGCCTGTGATCCGACACGAGTGCTTCTGAGAGCGAGGCGAACACCTGCTCTGTAGCGAACGTCACTTCGTTGCGCGATTCCTCCAGCGGCTCGACAACTTCGAGGATGCATGGATGGCGGAGGCGGGTGAGTGATGAAGCTTCCTTCTTGAGCTGGTCGGTGATGCGTTGTCGCACCTGGCCTCGTGTGGAGAAGGAGTGCGTCCATACCGAGACGACGTTCTTGGATGCGGATGCCGAGCCGGATGGTCCAGAAGCGGCGCCATTGGAGGGAGCAGAGGCCGAAGCGTTGCGAGTTGCTTTGTAGATCTTCCACAGGCCGCAGTGTGCTGGTCGCTGCGAATCTTCGATGGTGTAGTTGACGGCGATGTTGGTGCGACCAAAGTAGGAAGACGCCTGGCTGAGGAAGGACGCCATCTTGACTCACGGCAGCCCGATACCGATCGGAAGCGCTGTCGGTCAGTTCTGATAGCGAGTCGCTGATTGTTGTATGAGATGCGGTGGTGATGGTGTGCGTGATGGTTGATTGGGCATCACTCGATGAAGGGTCTGGAATTTCGGCGAGAGCAACACTTCGGATGCAGAGAGCCAAGGCGGGACGTGGCTGCAGCTCAGCTTTCTTGGAATTCCCAAGATAGGGTGTCTTCACGAAATCGCGACGCTCAAATTTACATGTCGACCTCTGGTCTTTCAAGTCATGCAGAGACTAGCGGAGAATGAGATTGACTTGAGATGCTTTTGTAGCTGATGCAAGGACACGAGACAGATGACGGGAGTTTGCAATGCGAATGCGGAAGGATGCTCGGGATATGGGGATGTTGAGGGTATCGCGATGGTGTTTTTGAAAGGGTTGCAGGAAGACGGAGGACATGGCTACTCCCAGCCATCGGTCTCTCCGAGAGCGAATACGTCGTCTGCTTGGGCATCGACCCCGGCGTCAGCAGCCGGGTCGGCAGCAGCTTCGGCATCTGCGCCATCGTCGACGCCGGCGACAGCGGCGAGGTTGAGCTGTCGGCCCGAGGCATCGACCACAGCGCCTCGTCGGCTCACTCCGATGCCGTAGCCGTGGGCCTTCCTGTCGTCGACCTTTTGCTGGCTGTGAGAAGACTCTTGCCATTTGGCTCGGCACCAGATGCAGGTGTGATCGTAGCCCCGAGTCTTGAACCAAGTCGCGAGGCAGTCTGTGTGCGTCGGACGGCCGCAGCTAGCCAGGCAGAATTCGAGGCCTTCGACGCTGCCGGGCTCGAGATCTTCGTAACAGACACCGCAGACGTCGCCTTCTTCGGGGAGCATTCGCTTGCCTTCCGGAGCGGTGCTTTCTTCGGTCACGCCTGATCCAGATGCCTGCTCCTCGTCGTTGGGCTGGTATCCGACTGCGGTCTCCCACGCTTTGCGCAGGTCGGGCTTGGCCACTGCCTGTTCCAGAGGATTGAGGAGAGCCTCCTCGAACACACGCTCAAGGTCCTCGGCGGAAAGGCGGACCTGAGTGTAGACCGGCAGATGACCCTTGAGGCGCAGGACCTTGATGTAGACGAAGAGCATATGCTTGCACACCTGGCGCCGCAGCCTGAAGTCCATGCAGCTGCAGTCGACCTGACGGTCGAGCACAACCTTGTAGACGTTGCCTGTGGATCCGCTGACGTCGAACTCCTCACGGTCATAGCCCGGAGCGCGGAAGCGGTGGATAAGGTACATGCGCTCGAGGCTGACCTTCATAATGCGCTTGAGCGTGTCTTCGTCGAGTCTGCCGAAGTGGCGATCCTTGCGCAATTGATCGAGTTTGTCGCGCTGTTGCTGCGCCATGCTGATCTTCTTGGGCTTAGCAGCCTCGGCGCTGGAGCTATCGCCTTTGCCTTTGGCTTTGCCCTTGCCAGCTGCAGCTTTCTTGACAGCGGGCTTCTTGTACTTTCGAGCCGGACCTTCTTCCAGCTCGTCCCGTTCATCGCTGTCGGTATGAGATCGCGAAGCACTGCTGATGGATCGCTTCCTCTTGAGGCTGCCGGTCACAGTGCGCCTGCTCGGGTGATTTGCGTTGAGGCCGAGGGCTTCGGTGAGCGGCAAGGGTGAGGCAGCTTTCGGAATCGGGGGTAGCTTGGTCCTGGTCGACTTCCGAGTGGCTTTTGTAGCTGGGGCCCTAGCCTTGGCCTTGGCCTTGGCTTTGAGGCCAGGGCCTACAGCATCGATGACCTCGAAGCCTTCGTCGTCCATTTGAGCTTGGTGTCAATGTTGTCAACAGAGACGCAAGTTGTGATTTAGCCCGAGGCGAGAGGTAATTCGTGGCAAGCGTTAGCAGAGTAGGGCGAGCTTGATCATGCGCTGAATTCGGGCGAGGAGAGGCGTCGCGAAGAGGAGGAGAGGGAAGCTCTGAGCGAGACGCCGGCCCAGCGCTGGTTTCGTATAGCTTTGGCAGCAGAGCGAAGCGCTCGAGCCCACTTGCTCAGATGCTGAGCAGCCTGAGAGACGAGAGTCAGGTTGAAGGCGGGCGCAAGGGTCGAAGCGACTCGAGCTGATCTTGCTGGCTGAGGTGAGAGGAAAAGGAAGAGAGGCAGCGCTTGACTCGTGGGAAGGGGAAGTGGCAAAATGGCGCTGATCAGGGTTTTGACAGATGTCCATGCACGGCGCTTCTGCAGGGCAGCTCAGCTTTTTGTGACGAAAAAGAAGACTCAGCCGCCAGACACGCTCAGCCCTTTCATGCAGGGTCTCGTTTTTGGTGGAGACGTCTTTCAAAGCGAAATCGTTGTTCCACCAAGCCCAAGTTGAAGCTGCTCTTTCACCAGTCACACAGCTAGAACCTTCGAAACCCACCGAAAGGAGCGATGCGGTGCGCGTGGGCTCGTGCGCCGATGTGACAGACCAAATGGAGTGAATGTGACCGCGAAAGAAGCCATGCCAGCCACAAGCGCAAATGTGACTTCAGAGAAGGAAAGCATACATGCAAAGACACTTCTTCTCGAGGGGGTATCAAGCTGAATTGCGGCGCTGTCGAGCGCGAACTACAAGGTGAGAGCAGGACGAAGCTTCAAGTCCGGCCGAGAAGGACGCCGTTGGTGCTCAAAAGGCAGCCAAGACCTCCTGCACGATCAATGGCACATCGTTGGCCTTCTGCAAGGCCCGCAATCTCGCCATCGACGCCTCTGGCATGTCGTACTGCTCGCCTTTGGATGAGGTCACACTCACCTCGTCGATGCGTCCACCAACATCCTTGAAGCGAAGGTTGACGTGAACCAGAGACTGATCGGGAAGCGCAATCGACTTTCGCTTGCGTCGCGAACCCGCTGCTTTGCCCGCTGCTTCCTGTTGTGACTGCTGAAGAATCGAGTCGAGCGGCAACTTGTATGTGATGCGGATCTCGGTCGGTGAGATGGCTTCAATCTCGTCGATGCCCAGCAAAGATCGCAGCAAGCTGATGGTGGCCGCATGACTGGCGCAGAGCCTCTCGGTCTCGAGATCTCGGCCACCGTCGACGCCCATGCCCAGCTTGGCCTCGCTGGCAAACTTTTCGGCCAGCGATCGTTCAGCGTTGATCCTGTCGAGCGCGCGCAACGACGAGACGAGGTCCTTCTTGGTCGCCTCGATCGCCTTCTTAACATCAGCAGTCTTGCCTTCGAGTGCGGTCATCTCCTCCACCTGCCCATCGAGATACTCTTCCGCCTCAGTGGTGGTCAAGGGTCCGTCTCGTCCTGCGATGGCAGCCACGTTGCCTCCCTTGCCATGGCTTTGAGCGCGAATCTTGGCCAACTCGAGCTCCATGTCGCCAATCTCCTTGATGAGCACTTCCGCCTCGCGACTATCTTGGTCCACCTCCTGCCACGGCTCGAACAGCTCGTCGGCTGCTGCATCCACTTCCTTCCTGAGACCGCGCACTTCCGCCTTCGCTTCGGTGAGCTGCGTCTTGAGCGTCTTGGCTACGCGTTCGCGTTCTGCGACCTCGGTGGCCGAGTAGACGGTGGCCTCCTTGCCGGATTCGAGATCATCCTGAATGTCGGCCATGAAGCGCATCTTGGTTTCCTGCTCGAGGTAGATGAACTTGAGCTTCTTGAAGTAGTCGAGCAAGAGCCTCTCTTCCTCCATGAGTCCCTCGGGCCATTCCTTGTGGACAGCCCAGTTGATGTCGAGCTCGCCTTCGCCAGCAAATTGCGACATGCTGCTACGTCTACGCTTTGCCGGTGATGCATTGTCTCCAAATAGCCGTCGTTGATTGCTGCGGTCTGCTTTGGACAGAAGCTGGTCTCGCAGTGTGTGCAGCGAGAGGTTGTCTGGCGAGATTTCGAATGCGCTCGTTGCCAGCTTGGTAGGCGACCGAGCCGAGAGCTGAGGCCCCAGCTCGGTGAGAATGGTCCTGGCTTGATGTATCATGACCTTGATCGCATCTGAGTTGAGATCGATGGATGTGTTGGTGCTGCTCTCGTCTGCGTCGTCACCTGCGCCCCCGAACTGAACCTTGCGAGAGTGCGTCGGTGCTGCAGCTTCCGAGGCGCGGCCGCGTGAGGCTCGCTTGGAGCTTGAACCAGCCATGACGAAGTCAAGATGCGTGATGCTGGAAGAAAGAGGGGGAGAGCAACTCTGAGGATGTGATGGTCTAAAGAACCTCGATTCCTGACGCGATGCAGTGTGTCCTGCGTTCAACGCCTCTCGAGACGCGCCTTGGAGACCAACACCAAATTTGGCAAAGCACACACGTGACCTAGCGGCTCAGCTGCGCATTTTTGGCTGCACTTCTCCACTCTCGGATTTTCGAGCTGCATGCGCAAGCACCTTTTGGCACCTTGCCATCTTACAGACACACTTCCAGGCAAGATGATTGTGATATGAAGGCAACCATAGAACATTCGCGGCCGATGAAAGAGTAATGAGCATGCGAAGAGATCGAGTGAGACGACTTTGGCGGTTCGAAATGTCTCCAAATGAGGTCGAAGATCTTCTTTTTGGCAATCGACCTTCTCTATCGCTCTCCCTTCCATCACCTTGCTATTCGAGTGGGCGTGGCCAATCTCGCTCCTTCACAGACTGTCACATCGCTCATCAACTCGCCGATCGCCTAGTCTCGCCAAAAAGCTTTTTCGATCCTTCCATGCGGCCATCATCTCTTTCGCTGCGTGACGATCGCACTCTTTCAGCAAGCAGACTGGCATGGAAGAGGATATCCTCGAGGCCACAAACGCGCTCTGTCTATCTCCTCGCAAGTCCAGGCACCACCTAGCGAGGTCCGGCTCGATCGAATCTATCAGTCGCAGCAAGCATCAACACGCCCCGTCCCCGAAAGCAATCAATCGCATCACAACTCTGTCGACCGGCCTTGAGAGAGTTGCTCTAGGCCCTGCCGACGTCATTGTCAATCTCCCGCACCTGAACGACACCGCTGCTCATGTGAATCCCATTCCGAGCATGCCGAGGGGAGTGAAACGGTCCAGGCCTGCGACAGAGCAAGCTGAATCGACTGGGCGCCCACCCTCTGCCTCCAAGCTTGGTCGATATGAGAAGGATGGGACCCGCTCGACGGCCCGCCAGATCATCATTATCTCCGATGACGACGATGATGACGACAAAGGTGCCGCAGACAACGCTCTCGAGGATCAGGAGGACGTAGAGGACGCCATTGAGGACCTCTTACCCAGCGACGTTTATCGACTGAGCATGGCCAAGCGTTTCACCTATAACAGCCCATCGAAGGCACGCTCTCTCCTGGAGCCAGAACAGGCCTCACCTTCGAAGCTCGAGGTGCCCAAAAGCGAAGGAAGAACGCCTGAAACCCTCGATCTGCCTTCTTCGTCCGACACGCCCCTGCATCAACTCAGGTCAGAAGCTGCCGCCTTGGCCGCAAGCTCCGTCGCCGCCGCAAAGATCTCTTCGCCTTCTCCCAAAAAGACAAAGCCGAAGAAGGGCAACCAAAAGACCACCATACAGCTCAAAAGGACCGTCGAAGCCGCAACCGAAGCTGGCATCGCACCTCTGGACCTCGAGAAGGTGCTCGCTGCCGGCTTCCGTCTGCTCACGCGCTGCTCCTTCTGCGCTGGCGCCTTTACCAAGTCAGCCTCGCCCAAAATCAAACAAGAGCACATGTCTCTGTGCGCTCCACTTCAAGGTATCAGGCTCGGCTCCACCGCCGTTGAGGCCATCGCGTCTGACATCAACAGCGCCGTCAGCCGCGATGAAGAGGACAAGAGAAGGGCTACAGACGAGCGTACCGTACTGCAAGATGTCATGCACGATGCGGACATCATCATGCACGAAGGGCGCGCAAGTCAGATCGCAACATCCCCCAAGAAGAGGGGCAGGGACAAGGTCATTACCAAGAAGTCGATCAAGCGCTCCACCAAACAAAAAGTGTTCGTCGCCCAAGATGACGCGACGCAGACCCTTCCGAATTCTGCTCCTCGTCCCGCCGCCAACCGTCTGCTGCCTGCTCGCAAAGCAATGTCGGCTGCTCGCGATGTCGCCAACCAGCTCCTCGGCGGCGCGATTTCTTCCCTGACAGACGCCAGCGAGACGAAGGACTCCAAAGAAGCGAATGCCGAGCTGGACGGCAACGACCAGCCCCTCGATGTGTCAACACTCGCCAACTTGCCGACCACTCCGAAGAAGGCAAGGAGAGGGCTCCTTCCGCAAGCCCATGATATCGGTCTCGCCGACATCGGTGAAGCGATCGACGAAGCGAACCATCTTCCCGTCGTCTCCGCCGAGCAAGTGTTTGCCTCGATCGCATCCTCAAGCCCGCACAAGAGCCCTGTCAAAGCGCTGCAAAAGTCCCGACAGAAGTCACGAGAGCACGACATGTCGTTCGAGACGAGCAGCTCAACGCAGAGCCCCGGAAGTCCAGGCCTACCGCAGACACAACCCTTCGCGCCTTCAAAGCTCGCGAAGCGCCGGCGAGCTCGAGGCAGCGAGACCAAAGTCCCACTATTTGGCGCCGAGACCACGACGCGGTCGCTGCTCGATCTCATTACCAGCAATCAAGCTGATGACAGTCGGGAAAGCTCTGCCGACTCCAAGCGGAAGGCAAATGACGACGACGCAATGTTCTCAAGCAGTGTTCACGTGAAAAGATCCAGAGCAGACGATCCCAGTCGCGATCATAAGATTCAAGCAAGCCAAAACGATCCGAACCATGCGCAGAACACACAGCAGCGTGGTCATGTCGCGCGGACCGACATCGACGGTATGGACATGGACGACCGGATGGCCAAGGCAGAAGTGTCCGCTCAGTCAGACGGCAAGGACCGTTTTGTGGCCCGCAAGACTCAAAAAGGACGATTCATCTCGGACATTACCTCCATCCCAAACGCTCGAAGCGCACTGGACCAGAACAAGCAGGGAGCGTCCTCTCCGCGTCAGCCGGAGGCAAATGATCGCGGTAGCCAACGACAGCTGCAAAGCGACGACGTGGAGAGCATGGACGTCGACAGCATCGACGACGACAATGAAAGCACCCAATCGTTCTACGATCTGCTGCAGCCATCCGAGGTCATGCACGAATCCATGCCATCGCCCACACGCAGTTTCTCGGATTCTTCGTCCGAGGATCTAGATGAACCAGACGCAACCCTGACAGCTTACAGGAGCAGAAGGATGCTTGATGCTCTTGGTGGTGCCTCGAACGCCATCGGGACTCGTCGCTCTGGACGCAGCTCTGGCAAGAATGCTCGCGGTCCAGCCTCATCTTCGCCCTCCTTGCCCCTCGCAACCCAGAACAAGCCGTTTCAGTCGGGCATCCGCGAATCATCGATCTCGAACTCGGACCCAGACCTTGTGCTCGTCACCGACTCCAGCAGCAACAGCAGTCCTCACTTGTAACATCTTTCGCCCCTATACATACTCGCATCTCCACCAGCCCTAGCATGCATATCGATATCATCCCGCTTCTCGCAAGTTCCAGGACATGTCTGTAACATCATCGCATTTCAATACCAGCCACTCTGGCGCTCCCTCACCCAGCAGCACGATCGCGCTTGAGCAACGGAATGAAATGATCGTCGCATGTCGCAGTTCTATGAAGGCACGCTAGAGCTCGTCGTGCACGTGCACATCTGTATCCACCTCGCCCTCTGCCTTCTCCTTTGGCACCTGCTGCGCCTCTCCGTCCTTCGTCAGCACCTGGCTCTTCGGCGCGACAACACTGCTCCCGACCCTCTTCTCCTCGACCAACCTCTGTGCGAGCCTTGCCACCTCGTCATCGTACACCGTCCACTCCGGGATCTGCCTCTTGGCCCGATCCAGCTTGGGCTCCTTGGTCTTGGGGTTCGAGCAAAGGTCGATCGTCTTGGCGTCCTTCAACCAGTCCTGGGAGCACCACGTTTCGCACCACAACCACTCCTTGTCCAACGTGTGAATTGGCAGGCTGGCCTGCATGTTGTTGGGCAGATCCTGGTCGAGGTTGCTCAACGAATTTGGATCTGCCGACAGGGCCTGGTACTGACCTCTGAGTCTGTCTCCCGCCGCGAAGCGCCTGAACCGGTGCAGATCCACGACGTACAGTGCCGAGATGTGGTACGTCCTTCCCCTGAGGTAGTCTTTCCAATACCCCTGTTTCCAGAACCGGAACCCATCCATGTCCTCACTATCATCGCCCATCGGCGGATACGCATACACCGCTCCACCCAAATCCAGATCCACCAACTCCTTCAGATCCGTCCGCACCACCTGATCCGCATCGACAAAGATGACCTTGCCCAGATCCAACGGGAACAGTGTATCGAGGAACAAGATCTTGTAGCCCCAAATGGTGCGTTGCTTCTCCGTCTGCGCGCGCAACCAGTGCGGCCACGCATACGTCACCAGCTCGTACTCGAACCCGTACTCCCTTGCCAGATGCGGGATGAACTCCCGGAATGAGGGCGAGAGGAAGTTTTCGATGAACCAGAACTTGACGCTGCTGTTGGTGTGGCGGAGGACCGAGAGGATCATGATGTACGTCATGCGTTCGTAGAGGTGGCCACTGGCGACGGTGAAGATGTTGATGTCTGCGTGCTTACGACCCACCGCCGTCGTGGCCCTGGGGGTGGTGGAGCCGGTCATGTGACGTGCAAGGGAGCCGAGTTTGGCTGTGGCCGAAGCAAATAGCTGTCCCGCCGCATCCGCCACCGTTTCAGGCTCGACGACCTTCTTCACGGGTCGCCCCTGCGCATCTAGCTCCTCCAACAACTCCTCCCGCTCCCTACCGCGTCGCTTGGCAACCCGCGGATAGATCGTCAGACCCGAAAGCGTGTCCAGCACAACATGCTCGCCCGTCACCCCAACCGACGGACTATCCCATCCGCTCCCACCCACACTCTGCATCTCGTACAGCTCGTCACTCCGTCCTGGTCGGATGCGCAACCCCCACACCCCTGGCTCGGCCTTGAACTGGAAGTACGCCAGGTTGGCCATGACGATGGTATCCAGGCTAGTACTTCCATCCGGTGTCTCGAGCAATAGCTGCAGTCCACGCGGTACACCGTTCGACTGATCCCTCGCATGACCTTCGATAAGGATATGCCTGAGCTCGTGTACCGCCTTTACACCTTTCCCCCTCGCGGCAGCTGGCACATCCGCAAGCCGCACATTGTCCAAATCATACACGGCTTCCATGGGCATGGTCAGCCACGGTGCGGGCGCATCCAACCCAAGCGTCAACACCGCCTCCTCGGGCATGCCGAAGAATCGGAGCTCTTCCGCAACCGCCCTTCCCTCCCTGAACTGCAGCCGAGGCGGAGCACTGAACCGGTAGAAGCGCTTCAATGGCAACTCGCGCAGCTTGATCTGCGGATTCAGAATCACGCGCATCCACACTCCTTTCATCGAGGACAACATGCGCATGATGCTGCTCCACCGCTGTGCGGCCTCGCTGAGCGGATCGAGGAGGAGCGTGACGCGTACGTCTGCAGTGGCACGATCCCCGATCTCGAACGCGTGCGCCGGCGTGCCGAGCTGCTCCGGTAGTCCGGACCGCGTGCCGGTTTTCGCGGCGAACATGCTGTCCGATTGGGCGTAGACGCCGTTCAGCACGGAGAGAGAGGCGAAGAGAAGGTTTTGGCGCTGCGCGGGAGGGAGGGTGCCGAAGGACGGGCGGAGGAGCGAGAGAGCCTGTGTGATGGAGGAGAGTTTTTGGCCTGCTTCGTACTCGACGAGGGCGGTGATGTCGCGCGCTTCCATGGTGGATACAGGAAGGTTGGTGACGAGGTGGCCGTCGACCAGGATGGATGGAGTGGTAAGGTCGAGATGAGTGGCGATGCGTGGAGCGATGGACGTCCAGAATTGTCGTGGTGGCGTGTGGTTGGACAGGTCGTGGGATAGGCCTAGGGTGTTGGCCAGCTGTGAAGCAGAGACGCTGTGGTCATCGTGAGCCTGTTGGAGCGCTGCAAGCATCGTCAACGGGGCGATCTTCTCGGCGCGGCTCTCAGCAAGGACCTGTTGTGCGATCGTCGAGATGGAGCTGCTGTGACCGCTGGTGGTCGACGCTGACGACGGAACGTGCAGCAGTCCAAGTCGGAACTTGGCATCGTCCTTCGCAAGCGCTTCAAAGGACCGTGTCAACAGGGCAAGACCCTCCGGGCTGTCCAAGTCTGCAAGCACCCAGACGGTCGAGTTCAGCGGTGCATCGCTTGCCCCTTCAGCTGGGTAGAAGAAGTTGAACAGCTTCTCCACCGACCCTTCTTCATTCTCCTCGTCCACCAGCGCGGAGAACAGGTCGACGGCACTGTGCTTCACGCCTCCTTCCTCGGCACTACCGCCACCACTCGACCCACCGACGAGCGCCGATCGGAACGACAACGCGCCTACCGAGTCGTAGAAGAACGTCTCCAGTCCAGGCGTACTGCTGCTGATCTGACCGTAGTAGATTTGCGGCGCGAGCACTTGTATCTGCTCCTGGATCGCCTGATGCATGATGTGGACGATCTGCGGGTGGAAGGGATGATGCTGACCGTTGACAAAGACGTGGCCGGTCGCGCTTTCTTCGCGAGTAGCTCGGAGACGTTTGATGTAGGCTCTGGCAAGGGTCTCACGTTGAGCGTAGGTGGGGTTGCTGCCGGCGAGAGCTTCGTCGAGTCTAGCTGCGAGGGAAGGGTCAATCGACTTGAGGGCAAACTTGGCTTCCTTGACGGCGAGCGAGGTGTCGATGGCATCTGCAGTGCCGGACCTGCTTGCCGCGGCCTTGCGGAAGACATCGGAGACGATCTGCGGGCTGGCCTCGTCGAGCAGGAACCAGATGAGGCGTGCCATGCGAGTCGAGTCGCTATTCGCGTCGTCTTCCAGTCCGCCGGGAACGAGGCCCCAATGCAGGCCGACACGTCCGAGACTCTGAATCACTGTATCAGACATGAAACGGCAGGTCTCTCTCTGCTTGAGATCGAGCACCAGAACCACATTGAACAGGTTGATCGATAGTCGCGGGAACTTGCCCGGCCACATGGGACGAAGCAAGTCCATCAGCTCGTTGGACCACTCGCTTGTCGCTTCGTCCTTCTCGAGATCGTTGAGCCAGGTGATAGCGCCCACATCGGCATCGATACCAGCGTCCTTGATCTCGATTCGATCACTGGCGTCGAAGATGGCCGAGCCGACATTGCCGTCTGCCCCCGCCATATAGGCGCGCCCGACCAGACTCGAGGAGATCAGATCGCCGGCTTCCGTCACGTTCAGACCTCCGCCTGCAAGCCGATGCTGCAATGCGTGATTCCACCTTCGCTCCTTGTGCAACGTCTCGAGTAGCGTGAGCGGCATGAAGTCCCGCGTCGGCGTGCTTTGACCGTTCAACCAGAGATCAGAGTGACCCGGCTCGATGCGCATGCTCGCCAGGTTGAGCACCGACTCGACGAGCTCTGCGGTTGCGTCGGGGTCGTCCCACTTGGTCGAGCTGGCAAGCGCGGCCGCGTGTGACGGAAAGTTCTGGGACAGCTCCTGCAGAGCACGCAGCGGGTCGGACGAGCCCATGATGAGGCGCGCTGCTTTGATGCCGAGATAAGCAATCTGGTCATCAGAGAGGGAAGACAGGGATGTCGTGCTTCCCACCTCGGCGCCGATGTGTTCTTGCAGCCATGCGGACTCCTCGGAAGCCTGACGAGCAGCGTCACCCTCCTCGCTTTGCGAATTGGCCGCGATGCCGACATCGCCGACGTTGCTGTCATCCTTGAGCTTCCGGTCGTCAATCACAAGGTAGTCGACCTTTTTGAGATCCAAGATGGCTCCGTAGCCTGAAAGTAGCGTGGTGTGTTCCGCATCGGCTGCTGGCGTCGACCCGGGTTCGGACTCGCTCTGTGAGCTGGGGGAAGGTCTCCAGCGAAGGGTGTATGTGAGGCCGGCATCTGTTTGACTTGCATGCTCTTCCAGGGCGACGAAGAGCTCGCGGAAGTTATCTGAGTACGGATCTGCGTACAAAACGAAGGATTGACCGGCCGCCGCACTTGCACTGCCAAGTGTGCGAGGATGGCCCAAGGACACCTCGCGACTCTGATTTCGTGTGGGCGAGACCGGCTTCGTCTTAATTGCCCTCTTCACGTCTTCAGCGGAGCATAGCACTCGGTCGCCATGATGCACCCAGCTGACGCACGAAGCGCCGCTTGAACTTTTCTGCCACGCCTCCTCCATCCCCATGGTCTGGTACAGTTGTACGAGGGCCTGAATCCTCGGACTGCTGTTGCTGAGCGCCAGGGACAAGTGCCACGTGTCCAATGCTTCTTCTGCATGCTCGGTCGAGGCTCCAAAGAGATGGTGCGCTTTGATGAGATCTTCGACGGTGTTGGCCAGCCATTCGTCGGAGGCGTTTCGCAGCTCAGCGGCAGAGTATTTGCTGGTAAGGAGCTCGATCAGCGGAAAGAAGCTGGATGGTCGCTGAGACCGCGCTGTCTCGAGCAGCTCGAGAAGGATGGGCGAGCCGTTGCTGGGGAGTCGGATCTTGGACCACGATGCTCGCAGTTGTACCTTGACCGGCGGCGAGTCGGCAAGGACCGTGTTTGTCGGAGAGGTGAGGGCGAAGGCTAGGGCGAGCCACGCCCAACCAAGGCCGAGCAAAGGTAATGCTCGCATCCTTGCGTGTGCCGCAGAAGGCAAGTGATGATCGTCAGCGGTCTGCCGGGATGGTCGGCTGCCTTCAAATGATGGTGTTATGTGGGTTCAGCGTGTTCAACAGCGGCTCGAAGAAATGGAGGTCGGACCACAGTAGTTGGCCTAAGCGTCGGACAGCGAAATTTCTCCACGTCAACTTTGGCAAAGTCTGAGACACACACTCCTCCTCACCAAGCCTTCGTTTCCAATGCTTCAACCTGCACAATACACATACAGAACAGCCGGACACAGCGGCTTTCCAGCAAAAGATAAGATGAGAGAAGTTCCATTTCGAAAAGCTTCCAGAGGTGTATCTAGCGACTCCGCACAGCAGAGAGACCATGACAAAGAAGAAGATGACAGAAAAGAAAGTGTGAGGTGACAAGGAGCAAGCATTGACGTGGAAAGATCTATGATCGGCCAGACGCAACATCCTTCCCTGCAACGAGACCAGCCCGCTGCGAAAGAAGGTGTTGGTGGCCGGCGTCGTCGTTCTCAGCTCCAAAGATCCGTTTAGACCCAGCTCCAGGTGATGGGGATCATGCCCTCAGCCTCGGTAGCAATCTGGGTGAAGGCGCCGTGGGAGAGATCAATCGACTGCTTGTTGACGCACGAGGGGCACTCGTCGGCGACGGTGATCACCACGCTTCGGCTCGGGTCATCAGCACGAGAGATCTTGATCTTCTTGCCACAGTTGGCACCGTTGGCGTACTGCTGCGTCTGCAGAGCACCGATCAGAGCCGAGTCAGGGTTCTTCTGTCCGCATGCACCGGCATTGCCGTTCTGATAGTAGTACGTCGCGTATCCTCCCGTGACACTTCCGCCGGACGACGGAGCGGAGGAGGTAGTTGCAGCGGGCGCAGCAGAGCTCGCGGTCGAGGAGGCGGTGGAGGAAGAGTCGGAAGACGAGGCAGACGACGACGAGGAACTGCTCTGGTCGTCATCCTTGGACGTGGACGTGGAGGTGGGCGAGGGAGTTGCTGAGCTGGACGAAGTGGGGTTGACGGTAGGGGAAGCGGCCTGCTGCTGCGTCGACTTAGCCGGGGTCGACGATTTCGTGGGAGTAGAAGAAGAGCCGGATGAGGCGTCGCTGCCATCATCGTCTTCGCAGTCATCGTCCTGCGTGCTGTCGGCTTCGGCCTCGGATCCGTCGTCATCGCAGTCGTCGTCGTCCTCGTTGTCGTCGTCGTCCTCATCGTCACAGTCGTCATCGTCGTCATTGTTGTTGTTGCTGGACGAACTACCGGAGGACGAAGAGCCCTTCTTGCCGGACGACGATGATCCGCCCTTCACAGCGTTGGAGGAGCCGGAACCCGACTTGGAAGCAGACTTGTGGTGGTGGTGGCGATGGCCAGACTTGTGCCCCGAGGTGGCGCCCGAAGACGAGCCCGTGCTGGCGACCGAGTAAGAGCCAGAGTCGGAACCGGCGTTGGAGTCGGAGCCCGAGTTCGAGTTGGAAGCCGAGACGGCGCCAGAGACGGAACCAGAAGCGGAGCCGGTGTTTGAGCCAGAAGAAGAAGCACCGGCGGTGTTGTCGTCTTCGCAGTCATCCTTGTTGTCGTTGGACGAAGAGGCGGCACCGGCGCTGACACCCGCGTCGTCGGAGCTGTTGTTGTTATCGGTCGCTTGAGCACTGGCGGCCGAGCTAGTGGAGCTAGCGCTGGCGCTGTCCGTGCTGGAGGCAGACGAGGTGCTAGAAGCTGCCGAGCTGGAGCTGGAGCTGGAACTGGTGCTGGTGGCAGTAGCGTCGTCCGTCTTGGTGTCAGCGGCTCCAGAGGAGGAGGAGGACGAGGTAGCCGAGGCTGAGCTCGAGCTCGAGCTACGCGTGCTGGTTGCGGTATCACTGGAAGTGGAAGAGGTAGCCGAAGCATGGCCAGAGTGAGTGCCCGACGACGACGACGACGACGAGGAGGTCGTTGCATCCTGGTGTTGGTGCGAGGCCGACGAGGAAGAAGTCGAAGTAGGGCTCGAGGCGTCAGAGCTGGATCTTGAGCTCGAAGCAGAAGCAGACGACGAGGCAGACGACGGAGCAGACGAAGAGGAACTGGACGAGGAAGAACCCGAGCTCGAACCCGCGTCGTTGTCCTTGTTGTCGCTCTGCGAGCTGGAGCTGGCGCCGGAGTCAGACTTGGAGTCGGTGCTGGAGTCGGTGCCAGACTGCGAGCCCGAGGCCGAACCCGACTGAGCACCCGAGTTGGTGCCAGCGCTGGTGGCAGACTGCGATGCGTCCTTGGAGCCTGCAGCTGAGTCGGAGGCAGAGCTGGACTGGTCGTTGGACTGGGTGCTGGGTTGAGCCGACGACTGATCGGCAGACTGAGCACCGGTCTGGGAGTCGGACTGGGACTGAGAGGTGGCGCCGGAGCTCGAGCTATCATTGGAGGCGGAACCAGCATCAGAGGCGGAAGCGGAAGAAGCGTCGGCCGACGAGGGAGCGGCGGCACTAGCGGCCGAGACGGACGAATCACCGGTACGTCGCACCTTGCGTTGCATGCGACGGTGATGGGAGTGAATGTTGAGGAACACGTCGCTGCCAGCAGCGGCGTGTCGCGAGTTGAGTTGATGAGCGTCAGCAGGCTGAACGCTGACAGAGGCAAGGGCAAGAGCCGCAAGGGCCATGCAGACGGTCTTGGCGATGGGAGCCATGGTGGATGATGCTACGCTGAGAGATCGAAGGTGCTGATGAAAGGTAGAAGCGAAGCAAGGAGGCGCGGTCTCTCGGGACTGGAGCGATGGTAGTGCAAGAGTGAGGCAGATGTCTTGTCAAAAGAATCGTGCCAGGTGCAAGAAGCGATGTTGATGTTGGATCAGGATGGACGAGGGCTTTGAGACTCGCAAAGGAAGAGGCAGAGAGATGTGGGAGGAAAGAAAGAGCAAAGTATCGAAAGAAGACCAGCAACTTTGATACGAGGAGTGCAAAGAACAGCTCTATGGAGAGGAGGGAAGAACGGTGGAAGGAAAGAGGATGAGGAAAGGACGGAAGGTGAGAAGTCAAGAACAACGATGGAAGGACGACAGCCGGAGGGAAGACAAGAAGGACGGACGCTGCCAAAGGGAAGCGGAAGCGAAAGCGGCCACCAGGACAGGCAGGCAAGAGGAGGATTGGCGATCAGGGCCGGGGACGAGAACGCTTGCACGTCCATCGGCTTGGCTTTGGAGGGCCGTGACAATGGTGACAGCAGCTCAGCTGCGCGAAGCACGCGGTTCTATGTGCCGTTGTGCAGCTACGCTAACGAGCCGTGATGCATGATCGCGCCGGCCTAGCCGCCGCCGAACAGGTTCTCTCGCAGACGTCTTGACTGTGCATCGTGATCAGGTTCGCAGCAATGCAGCAGCACAGGCTCACAAATTGCAGGCTGGAGGGATGTCGAGGATGCTTCTGCGGCATGGAACAAAGGGTCACTCGGATCGATGGAGGATGCCCGGCTGTCCAACACTGAGACACGGCCAGCTGTCAAGCGAGAGAAGAAGCAGCGCGGAATCGAGGGTCCGAAAGAGAAGAGCTAGCTGCACGTCCATCACGCTGGCCGAGTCGTAACGCGCCCAAGCCGAGCGACAGCAGACACAGCGTTCGAATTTGTCAAAGCGACCCTCCTCGGCCTTTTTGATGCACCTCGTCGATGCAGCTGTCACACGCTCGGCGTTGGTGCAAATCGACTCGGCCAGCAAGGCCAACACGCATGCAAAGCACTTCGCGCTCAGATGCAGCAGCCGCTTCCTTTGCCGTCTCGATGGCAAGCAGCGTCCGGCCAGCATGTCGCCGTTGTACCGCACACTGCACGTCACAGCCTCAAGCACGGTGTCACAGCCATGATCACAATCAAAGGGCCTGCTGGTTGCTTGCAACACAGTCTTGGCTTCGGCTTGGCTGCGTCCTCGATACAGCGCACAAGTCGAAACAAAGGGCCACGGACGGCACAGCGAAGACCTCCTTTTCGCTGCCCGAAACCGATTGACCTTGTTCGTCCTCGAGCTTGATGGATCGTGCGATTCTCGTTTCCCGATTCAGACCTATCGGGAGCGGCCGCAGTTTTTCTTCTCGAAAAGGGTCCAACGCTGGAAATTTCGGCAGAGACGGGCGCAGGGAGAAAATTTTCCTGCGGCAACAAGGCTCAGTTTTTTTGCACTGTGAAGGCGGGGCTGGGGCGAACGTATATAACCCTGCGATTTCCACGCCTCCCTCCTTCCTTTTCTTCAAGATCATAGTGAGTACCATCCCGACCCCTTACCCTGGCCTCCCCTTCCCTTCCCGCTTGCGATGGCTCGCGACTTCCTCGCGAGGCCCGCATCCACCGTCCGACCGCGCAAGGCTTGCCATCGCCCGCTTCTGCCACGCCATCCACCACTTTCCTCCTGCTTCTCGTCATGGAACGGCTCCACTGACGCTCTTCCCCACATCGACCATCCGTCTATCCCTCTTCTCGCCCTCGCAGCTTTACGGAATCACTTAATAAAGTCGATTTCCGATTCTACATGCTCAATTGCATGTCACCTTATTCAGTCTAGTAGATGAAACCCGAGCGTTTGCCGCCCTTTACGACAGTGAGGCTACATCAAGGGCCTTGTCGTTGCTCGCTCACCTTCAGGTGTCGAGCACGATTCTAGCCGCCCGCCGAGGACCTTTGCCCGACAAGCAACATGGCTTGCGACCTTAATTGGGAGCTTGTTCCTGAGCTTCGAGGGAGGGTTGGCCGCTCGTTTCTGATAGACCCTCGCATCTTTGCCAGGTAGTAGGCGGCATGCTGTTGCACAGCATCTGTAGGATTGGGACTTCAGGCTCTGATTCGTGTTCTCCGTATGCAATGATATGATCTTCACCTTTCATCTGTCCTTGCCCGTGCCTGTCTCATCGTCGTTTCCTTTGAAGAGATCGTGAAGTTGCAAATTTTGCTCAATATGGGTCTGCTCTGTCCGCCGTCGGAATCTCTACTCTTGAGTGGATGACCATCAAGTGGAAGCCAAAGTCCGACCTCGATGGAAGCCAAAGTTGCCCGCATCATATCCATTTGAGATGGGCGTGAGTTGACCGAAGAGGTGACGATTCCAGCCACATCCGGCCTTTTTTGGTCCGATTTTCTCAACCAGCGCCGCGTCTTTGCGAAATCAACACAAATTTGAGAGAGAACCCTTGATGCGTTGGCCTAGGCTTGGCCCTGCCAGGCTGACTACTCTGCCCGCGTGTCTCGTGCTTGGGCCGCCCGAATGATGGAGATCCCTTTCAGACGAAAGCGTGTGCTCTCTCTCGCTTCCAAGCAACACCGCTCGAGACGCTCGCCTTCTCATTTCGCCTCCGAGCCTCGACACGAACTCAGCTCATTCACCTCGCTCCTGCTTGCATTCCTAGACGAACAAAGCTTCACCACCTCAATCATCTCTAGACGCATACACGCAGCTCATAGCTAGCAGCTTCTTCGTTCACTTGTGTTTCGTCTTGCACAACGAGGCGTCACAGCAGATACGATCGACAGCCTTTCACCAACCAGAAAACGAGTTGAAGGCTTTCTCTTCCATACAGGAAGCGAGATCCACACCTGTACGTCGCTGTAAAGCTGACAAGGTCACCTTCACCCTCTCTCGTCCTTTTCGCAAAGACTGAGAAGGATCACGATTCACGCAGAACCCAGCAAGGATCCAGTCCAGCGGCAGCCGCTTCCTTTCGACGCAAATACCCTCAGCATCCCGAGAAATTGTATCACAATGCTCTCATCAGGCACCGGCTCGTCCATACGCAAGAAGCGCAACTTCAAGGGGCTGCAGCTCGTTGATTCACCGCTGGCCGGTCCAGGAGAAGCATCGGCCACAACACCATCACAAGCCACCGCAGAGGGCTCGGCAAAGTCGAATGCGTCCACGATCGGCAAGTCGGGGACATTGTCATCGGGCGGATCATTGTCATTGAGGGGCAATGGCGCGCTCGATGCAGAGGCAAATTCGGGAGCCAACTACCACAACAAGTTGACGCAGCAGCTTGCCAACTTGGAGCTCGGCGTCGAATACAAGCTCGATCTCAAGAACGAGGATCTCAAGACCCTCTCAGAGCTCGGCGCTGGAAACGGCGGCACCGTCACCAAGGTGCTGCACGAGAAGAGCGGGACGGTGATGGCCAAGAAGGTGGTCTTCATCGATGCCAAGCCCAGCGTACGCAAGCAGATCCTTCGCGAGCTGCAGATCCTGCACGAGTGCCATTCGCCCTACATTGTCTCGTTCTACGGCGCCTATCTCAACGAGCCGCACATCTGCATGTGCATGGAGTTTATGGAGAAGGACTCGCTGGATGGCATCTATAAGAAGTACGGGCCCATCTCGCCCGAGATCTGCGGCAAAGTCGCCGTCGTGGTGGCCCACGGCTTGACCTATCTCTACGACGTGCATCGCATCATTCATCGCGACGTCAAGCCGAGCAACATTCTGGTCAATGGTGCTGGTCAGATCAAAATTTGCGATTTCGGCGTCAGTGGCGAGCTGATCAACAGTATTGCAGACACGTTTGTCGGCACCAGCACGTACATGTCGCCGGAGCGTATCCAGGGTGATCAGTACAGCGTCAAGTCAGACGTCTGGAGTTTGGGTGTTTCGATTATCGAATTGGCATTGGGTCGCTTCCCTTTTGCAGAGAATGGAGACGACGACGACCTGTCGGATGAGGACGACGACTTCCTCAACGGAGACCTGGCAGGGACTTTATCTCCCACCAAACCAGCGCCAAAGCTGCCAGCGGTCAACAAGGAGAAACAGAAGCGCAGAAAGTCCAAGCCAGCCGGTGTCAGCCTGGAAGGCTCGAGCCATCAGATGTCCATCTTGGATCTCTTGCAGCACATTGTCAACGAGCCACCGCCGAAGCTGCCAGAGGGCAAGTTCCCCAAGCTCATGGAGGACTTTGTCCACCTTTGTTTGCTCAAAGACCCAGCGACGCGACCTACACCCAAGGACCTGACCAAGCATCAATACGTGATCGAGGCGGAAGCGGCCAAGGTAGACCTGCAGGCATGGGCAGACTCGATGAAGTAGACCCGCAGTTGGCGCTCGATTAGCATTTCGGCACTTCTCCATAGCATGCAACAATATCACACACATCATATCGACTGTTTCTTCCGCAGGTGTCGGCCGCTCCGAGCTTGCTGACTCTGTGTGTGACAAAAGCCAAAGGTCGATGCGAGTGCGCGGCCTTTCCGACTGGACTGAAACGCGAAGCTCGATGGCCAACAAGCCACACTCGAGCAGGTTGATCGGCTTGTCCGAGCTGGAACTCAGCCGAGCTTCGTCGAGAGCTTGACGGTAGAGTGTCGACGGCGTCGATAGCCAGAGAGCTTACCACCGACCAGATTCGGATTTAAGGAAATGACCTTGATTGCGGCTGCCAGACTAAGATCTTACCTTCTACGGTATATATTCAGGGTCCAGCTCGACTTCCAGCCCCGCATCCTCGGCTCCTTCGACACAAACGCTCATCGGTCTCTGTCCCCTACCTCTTCTTCTGTCAACCATGACCGAACACAGCGTCGCCATCCATGCGGGCAAGGATGGCAACTTCCGCCGTCAAGTCTCCTCCTTCCGCAATACGATCTCCAAAGTGGGACCTCACCAACCCGAAAAGGGCCGATACATCCTCTACTGCGCCCTCATCTGTCCCTGGGCGTCTCGCACCTTGCACGTCCGAGCGCTCAAACAGCTCGAAGATATCATCGATGTCGCCGTCGTACATTACACTTTGACGCCCAACGGATGGCCATTCGAGATCACTGACAAGGCCGAGACAGGAGACCCTCTCTATGGCTGCGAAAACACAAAGGAGCTCTACCTGAAGGCCGATCCCAACTACTCGGCCCGATACACAGTGCCCATCCTGTGGGACAAAAAGCTCGAGACGATTGTCAACAATGAGTCGTCCGAGATCATTCGCATCCTCTACACCGCTTTCGACGATTTGCTGCCAGAAGACAGCCCAGCCAAAGGCAAGACGTACTACCCCATCGATCAGCCCGAAGCCATCCGAAAGATCGACGAGCTCAACGAGTGGATCTACCCCAACATCAACAACGGCGTCTACAAGACGGGGTTCGCGACCACGCAAGAGGTGTACGACAAGGAAGTCGACAATCTCTTCTCATCGCTTGACCGGCTCGAGACGCTGCTGTCGGATGGAAGGGAGTACTTGGTTCCCGAGGTGGGGCTGAGCGATGCGGACATCCGTCTGTACCCAACGCTCGTCCGCTTCGATGTGGGCTACCATACGCTGTTCAGGTGTAACATCAAGATGATCCGACACGACTATCCGCACATCCATCGATACCTGCAGAGGCTTTACTGGGGCGAGAAGGCGTTTAGCGACTGGACCAACTTCGAACACATCAAGCGAGGGTACTCTCGTGTTGGAGGCAACGCGGGGATCGAGCCGAGGGGACCGTTGCCTCATATGTTGCCACTAGATGCTTAGGGGCGCAACCGTAGGACGACTTGATCTTTGGCCTGTGCGATTTCTCTACGAGTCTGTACGGTATGTTATGCTTTGAAGGACAGTCCAGTAACGCTCTCTGCCGCCTTGACTGTTGTTCCTGGCGCGACAGTGTTGCCACCCGCGCGGCGACCCATTTCGTCGGATCCAGCTCGGCAAGACCAACAATGGAGATGCTTTATGAGATAGGAAGGGGAGCCATACAGCGCGCGGAATGGTTGTCAAGATCCAGCTTTGTTTTCTCACGACCCTGACATCGGCTCGGTGACAGCGAGGGATCGACTCTGCAGAGCCACGAGGACACTAACGGCAGCATCAGTAAGGCAGGCAACAAGTGGACCCTGAACCTTGATTCGGTCGTCAACCGGCATTGCCTTGTTGCTGTGGGATTACCGCCACGTCAAAGATGGCCTTTCCGCTGACTGCTTGCTCGTTGGCACCGATGAGGTAGTGAGACTACACAACAGCGACGAGCTTACCAAATCGGCTGTGGCGCCCTGATTCAGCGCTTGAGCGTCAGAAAGGTGCTACGAGCTGCCAGGGCGATTTTGTGAGACAAAGCGTCTCTCCATCCTAGTCTTGATGGCATCATCGCAAGCGTCAGATGCTCTTGCCATGATTCGAGTGAAATCAGTCCCATTCGGATCACGTGGAACAGAGACGAGCTCCCACTCTGTGAGCTGCGGCACCTCATTTCGGCTAGCCGAATGCTTTCGAGATGATCACATGAAGCAGTACCCCTGTCGAGCGTGACGAGGCGAAGGGACACAGTGGGCGATGGCATGCTTCCGACCGACCATGCTGAATACAAGCAGCTCGCCTCGGTGGATGGTCGGATGAGAGAGCTGTCGAGATCTAATTCGAAACGGGTTTGACACTTGCGGGATCAGACGTGACGGCTCGCGGGCTGGCTCGGCGTTGTGCTTTGCTCAACGGCGGGCGAAAGTCGCTCTGGGTCAGTCAATTTGTCCGTCAGTCACGCGCAGCCTTGGACCCCTAAAAATCGAGCTAGCGAAATTAGTCAATAAAATATAAACAAATCAATCAAATCTGGAAAAAGCGAGCTCTGCTGAGCAGCAGGGCGAAATAGCTTTTTGAAATGTGTCACACACACAGGCGCAAGGCACAGCACAGAACATCACAGCGAAGCAACTCACACAGATCCAACTGTCCATATCGGGGTCACGATAGCATCACCAACGACCAACACCATCACCATCATCGCCATCGTTTGCATCCTCAACACCGCATCTTCACCGACCCTCCCTTGTCCTTGATCCGATCCGCCATCGCTCAACGCTCTTTTCATTGCCCACTCCTTCTCTTCTTCTCTCGCTCTCTCACTCCTCGGACACGATCGCAGAGCAGCCCTGGTCACGCCTTCTCTCCTTCCGCGACCCGTTGCTTTCTCTCGCGCGCCCTTTCTCTTGGCCCGGAGCCTCAGCGCCGTCTTACCTCGCTCGCTTGATTGTTCTCGAATCCAACAACTCCTCCGCTGCATCCACAGAGCCCGCAATCGCATTGTTCAGTCCACGCTCGGTCCTCCTCAACGCGCGCCTGCCGCTCACCTCCTGCGTGACCATTGCCATATAGCGCCATCCCGCATCAGCCTTCTTTCATACTCTGCCGAACCTCGTAGATTGGACTCGGATGCCCTGTGATGCTCCTCGTTCTGCTTTCGACCCCCTCATTCGTCTGATCGCGTCCGCCATCCTCCTCTCGTCGCTGCCTACCACTTCACACGCAGCACACGACGACAGTGCGACATGGCGTCGTCCGCTTCCGCCTATACTGGTGTTAGGACCACCGACAACCGCAGCAGCGCTATCAACAACCATCGCAACTCGGCACAGCGCTCCTTTCAACCAGCTGCAGAGTCGACCCACAGCGTAGAAAGCCCCTTTTCCTCCCGCTTCGAACGCGCCGCTGCCTCCTCACAACGCCCCAACATGGCGACATGGGCCAACGACGTACAGGCACAATCCAGTGCCAGCTTCGTCCCATCCTATGCAGACCACGATGACGACGACGACGACGACGACGACGAAGACGAGGACTACGAAGAGACGCAGTCCGAAGAACACGTCGTCGCGCTCCACGACTTCAACTCCAACAACGCCACCTGCCTCTCCTTCCAAGCAGGTCAAGTCATCAAAGTCTACAACCGCGACCCCTCCGGCTGGTGGGATGGCGAACTAGATGGCCAACGGGGCTGGTTTCCCAGCAATTATGTCGACCAGGAGGCGGTCTATGTCTCGGATGATGGTCAGAACGACAGCTATTCGTATGATCACGACAACGATGCGCTTCGCAACCCCACCACCAGCCAGACTTCGTCCGATTTCGACCATGCCGCCGGATATCCTTACACGGCGGAGAACTTTCCCCAGCGCGAGCGGTTCTTCTCGGCAAGCTCGACGCGATCGCCAACGCCCACCTCGACGCCGATGCCCGATCAAGGCGATGGAAGTGTATTGGATCCTATCCTGCACGCCATCTCGCTCCTGCGCAACGCCGTCCGCGCCCAGCGCGTGGCTCACTTTCAGCCATCCACCGCCTGCGTCATCTCTTCCGTGCGGTCCGTGCTTTCGGCCACCGACTGTTTGACGCGCGAGTCGCCCATCCTCAAAGCGAATCCGCATCTCGCTCGTGAGCGCAAAGCGATCTTGTCGGAGCTCAGCAAGCTCGTAGCCCAAGCGCGTACCGCGTCCGCGCCCATGGTCGACGACTCCTACCGACCGGCAGAGATGGATACCATGCTTGCATTGGCGGATCAGGTGCTGGTCAATGTGCGTAGCTTCCTTGCCGTCGCCGTCGACTGCGGCGTGCCTGTGCCCGAACGTCGCTCCTCCGTCTACGACGATCTGTACGCCCAGACCAGCACCGCTTCTTCCGCGATCCGTCAAGAGTTGGAAAAGACGCCTACCCCCGGCTACTCGCAGATTCGCGACTCGGGCGTGCGGACTTCGTACGCGTCAGCACGTCAGCTGCATTATGACGATCGCCACGATCCAGCTCAAAGCTACGCAGCCACGCGTCGTACCAACTCGCAACGACGCCAACCCTCGGAAGGCTCCGTCGATTCCTCGGACGGTGGCGCTCACGCTGTCGCACAGGCTCGCTCCATGACGCAGCGCCAGCTCGATGGACGTGCGGGCGTCGTAGCTGCTGCCGTGGCTCATCAGATCGGCATGGGACGCTCTCGATCCGATTCTAGCTCTGAGTCGCCCGAATCCATGTCAGGTCACGACACTGGCTCGCAGCACGGCTCAGTCGGCTCCAATGGCGAAGACGATGGCCCGCCTCATTCGGTCGAACGCACCGCTTACGAAGTCATGCAGCGCCTCAGCATCAATAACGACCAGCTGCTCTCCATCATTGCCGCCTTTATCGGCCACGTCCACACCCACACTTCCGAAAGTCATGCTTCGAGCTACGCCTACCTCATCGACATGACCCGAGAGGCGGTCGTCGGTGTGCGCAATCTCTTGCTCGTGGTCGAAGCTGTCAACAACAATGCCTTCCTCCAGCAGATTCGACCTCGCGAAACGGCCATTCTCTGGGAGACGCGCGAGAATCTGTACGAGGCCACCACGCAGCTCGTCACGGCGGCGCGCGTGGTGACGTCGGCTCCCTCCGTTTCCATCACAGCCGGCTCGGTCGCCGAGGCCGAAGACAAGTCTCGCCTCCTGCAGGCGGCCACGAGCGTCTTGCGGACGGGCGGCGAGTGTGTGGGAGCGGTGCGACTCTGTATCGATCGACTCGATCCCTCGTTCACCGTCGCGCTCCCCGAAGCGTCTCGAGCGCGCAACTCACGTGCTGCAGGGACCATGATCGCCTCGATGGGGCAGTATCAGGACGAGCCATCGCGCGAAGGTTCGCCCCAAGGTGTCGAAGCAGCAGGTGCAACGCAAGACCTTCGCCGAAAGAATACGCTGTCCTTCCTCGGCCGCAAAGCGACAAGCTTGTCGCTCCTCAAGCAAAACTACGAGCGTGACGAGCACCAGAATGGCTTCGACGACATTCAAGAGGACGAGCATAGCGAAGCCGACTACGTTGACCAGCGACATGGCTCGCACGCCGGGCAGACCACAGTCGCAGGCAGACCTCCATCGTCCTACACCGACCGCAACGCGCAGTATGCTCCCTCTCGTAACGAAGCCTCGAGAGCCGGCGATCGCAGCGGTTCTGGCATGGGTTCCTCCGTCGACCGTTACTCGCAGGATGCGGCCAGGACATCGCGATCCACCAGCCAATCCATCCGGTCCGAGGCGACGGGAGAGACCTCGGCCCGCCCCTCGTTCGAGCAACAGCAACAGCAGCAGCAGGCAGGCGCAGCGGTTCAAGATGCCCACACGACCGCTCAAACGGCTGCCAAGCAGCTGGCCGGTGGCGTCGTCGAACGCCAGTCGATGTACAGGGAACCGAGAGCCGCCCCTGTTTCCATCGAGTCTCGCTACATGGGCCCCGGCTACGATGCTTCCGACGTGGTTTGCAACTCGGAGGGTCAGGTCACCGGTGCCACTCTCAAGGCACTCGTGGAAAAGATGACGCCGCACGATGCCATGACCGAAGCGACGTTCTCGACCGCCTTTTTCCTGTGCTTCCGGATGTTCACTTCACCGCAAGAGCTGCTCGAGGCGCTGGTCGCGCGATTCGAGATGAAGCCTCCCGCCGATCTGCCCATGAGCGAGGCGGACGTGACCCGCTGGAACGATCGAAAGCTGGTGCCGGTCCGTCTGCGCGTGCTCAACCTGCTCAAGAGCTGGCTGGAGAATCACTGGAACCCCTCGACGGACCGAGTTATCCTGCAGCAGCTTATCCCGTTGGTGGAGCGCTGGGCCACGGCGAGTGCGACAGCTGGACCGGCGCACCGACTCGCGGAGCTGGCGCGCAAGCGGCTCGACGGAGGCACGCAAAAGACGACCGTCTTGGTGGGCAACAACCGCGGGCCTGGCAGTCTGCAGCGCGTCATCTCGTCGGAGCGCATCAAGACTGGACTTGGTCTGACCATGACCGAAGCTTCGCAGATGTACGCACCGTCGGCCTTTTCGAAAGGAGGTGCGCTGCCTCCGACGTCGGTGGTGTCCAAGACGCTGCTCTCGCATTTGCGCAACGAGCAGTTTGACCGGATCCACATCATCGACTTTGACCCGCTCGAGCTGGCTCGCCAGCTGACCATCATCGACAGCAAGTTGTACTGCGCGATCCAGCCGGAAGAGCTGCTGGGCTCCCGATACACCAAAGAGACCAAGGCGGCAGGCGGCATCCAAGATGTGCACGTCAAGAGCATGTCGTCCATGTCGACGAGGATCACGGGTTGGATCAGCGAGTGCATCTTGAACGAGGTGGACGCGAGAAAGAGGACGCAATTGCTGAAATACTTCATCAAGCTGGGCGATCGATGCGAGCAGCTCAACAACTTCCACACGCTCATGGCGATTCAGTGCGCGCTCAACTCGTCGACGATTGCGCGGCTCAAGAAGACGTGGGATGGCCTGTCGACCAAGTACCGCGCGATGATGGACCGACAACGAAGCGCAGTCGAGCACACGCGCAACTATGCCAGCTATCGCGAGCGGCTACGCAACACGACGCCACCTGCGATCCCGTTCTTGGGTCTGTTCTTGACGGATCTGACCTTCTGCCATGAAGGCAATGCGGCGACGCGACCGTGTCCGTCGAATCCGGAGAAGAAGCTGCTCAACTTTGACAAGTACGTCAAGATCAGCCGCATCATGGGCGAAGTGCAACGCTTCCAGGTGCCGTACAACTTGGTGGAGGTGCCCGAGATGCAAAACTTCCTCAAGCGCGCTCTGGATGACGTGCAAGGCGCGCAAGGAGGTCGAGGAGCGGATGACTTGTACCGTCGCAGCTTGTTGCTCGAGCCTCGAGCCGGCAGCAAATCCAATGCGGCAACGAATGCATCGGGAACAGCCTCGACGACGGGAAGCCTGTCGCTGCGTCAGAGCAGCCATGGCGCCGAGAACGGCAAGTCGGGCGGACTTGACATCTTCAACTGGCGCACCGACAAGGCGTGAGGCTGCAGCGAGAGAAGGAGTAGCGAGGAATGCTTTCATCTGTCCGGATGCTGCTTCATCGTCTCTAACAATCGTTCCTCTTTTGCGTAGCTCGTGTGAGTGCTCGAATGTGATTGAGGGCTAGCCATCTCGGGCATGGAGGGTCGATTCGGAAGATGATTCGTCGGTCAATTCACTCAACGGAGCTACCGGAACAGCTTGCTTGACATACCCTCGCGCAGAGCAAGCATGAGCGGCGGTAGTAGGTCACCGGCGAACCTCGAAGTGTCAAAGGGAACGATGCCGCCACTGCCGGACGGTGCCACGGAAAGATCCGCCCCGCCTCGTCGCCGAGTCAGAACAAAGACTGCCACCCGTGCATCCCCGTCACACCGCTACTCCTAGTCTGAGAAGTCGCGGCTCGGTCGATACCGCAGACAGATGTATACATGGGCCAAGCTGCTACCAAACGTGTTGATGATGGTCCGGCTCAGGTGCGTGTCGATGGGAGCACATCGGCGAATTTGCGTGGCTATGGAGCAAGGTTCTCGGCGGCTGGCTCGTCCGTCATTGAATACAAATTTGAGAAGGGGAAGTGTTTCGAAATTGCCTCGGTCCAATTGAATCGATTCAGTTTGAGGGTCTACGATCTTGAATCCGAATATCTCCACACCTTTGTCTTGTTGCTGCTGCGTCACTCAAAAGCAACACGGATCGAGCCGTCCGCGGTTTGAAGGCGCACACCGACTGAAATTCTTCTCAGTCACAGCGCCGGTTCGGCTCTGCTTGGCAGCAACAGCAGCGCAAAAACAGTGGACCGTGACCAAACCCTCACACTCTCCACACGTTTCTTCCATCCTCCTCCTCTTCCGCTTCTTCTTCTCCGTCCACTTCCATCATCACACTCGGAGGGCACATCTGCGAGATACACGGAGACGTCTCAACTTCACTCAAGGACGACACCGACACCGAACGACTTGATCGACTTCCCCCACGATGCTCGCTCGCTCCTTCGCTCAGTCTGGCGCACGCGCTGCCAGGAGCCTCGCGCTCCGAAGCGGTTCCGTCCGCATGGTCACCCCTGCCGTGGCACGACGAACGATTCTCACCTCGGCTGCGCACAAGTCGTTCGCCATTGGTGCCCACACCACTCTCTCTGCTCAGAGGTAAGTCTTGCAACCCTCTCTCAGAAGAGTGCTTGACCTCTTGTGTACCTACGAAGGACAATCCTGACTCTTGCTTTTCTATCACCTCTGTTGCTACCTTCACTCGTCTTATCGACCATCGACGATGCTCACCTTGGATCCAATCGACTCTTCGCTCGACTTTCTACTTCATCGCACAGGAACTTCTCGACCTCCACGAGCCGCAAGGAGATCGTCAAGGTGCCCCAGATGGCCGAGTCCATCACGGAGGGTACCTTGAAGCAGTGGAACAAGAAGGTCGGCGACTTTGTGCAGGCTGATGAGGAGGTGGCTACCATCGAAACGGACAAGATCGACGTCTCGGTCAACGCTCCTCAATCCGGTACCATTGTCGAGGTGTTCGCCCAGGAGGAGGACACCGTCGAGGTGGGCAAGGACCTCTTCAAGCTCGAGCCTGGTGAGGCTCCCTCTGGAGGCGCCAGCTCTGGCGGCGACAAGAAGGAAGAGAAGAAGGACGACAAGAAGGAGGAAAAGAAGGATGACAAGCCCCAGAAGGAGGAGAAGAAGGATGACAAGCCCAAGCAGGACGAGTCGAAGCAGTCGAAGCAGCCCGAGAAGAAGACGGACGACAAGAAGCCCGCACCCTCGGCTGATCCTTCGTCGCGTCCCTCGGCTCCTTCCTCCAAGTCTTCGTCCTCCTCCTCCTCCTCATCGTCTTCGCCTTCCAAGTCGTCGTCTTCGTCGTCTTCTTCCTCCTCCTCTTCTTCCTCTTCCGGCTCGAAACCTAGCGCTGGCAGCCGAGAGGAGAACCGCGTCAAGATGTCGCGCATGCGTCTGAGGATCGCCGAGCGATTGAAGCAATCGCAAAACACGGCCGCTTCGCTCACGACGTTCAACGAGATCGACATGTCGAACCTGATGGCGTTCCGCGCACGACACAAGGACCGCATCCTCAAGGAGAAGGGCGTCAAGCTGGGCTTCATGTCAGCTTTCGCCAAGGCGTCGGCTATGGCGCTCCAGGACGTGCCTGCTGCCAACGCTAGCATCGAGGGTGCCGGTCTGGGTGACACGATCGTCTACCGCGACTTTGTGGACCTGTCGGTCGCCGTCTCGACGGACAAGGGACTGGTGACGCCCGTGGTGCGCAACCTGGAGAGCATGTCGCTGATCGAGATCGAGCAGGCGATCGCCGATCTGGGCAAGAAGGCGCGCGACAACAAGCTGACGCTCGAGGACATGAGCGGCGGCACGTTCACCATCAGCAACGGTGGTGTCTTTGGCTCGCTGTTCGGCACGCCCATCCTGAACCTGCCCGGTTCGGCCATCTTGGGCATGCACGCCGTCAAGGACAAGGCGTGGGTGGTGAACGGCAAGGTGGAGATCCGCCCCATCATGGTGGTTGCGCTGACGTACGACCACCGATTGCTGGATGGCCGTGAAGCCGTGACGTTCCTGGTCAAGCTGAAGCAGTACATCGAGGACATGCCGAGCATGCTTCTTTAGTCAAACCTCAGATCGGCGATCGCGCCTTCGCCTTACCGTACCTAGGTCGCCATGCTAACTGGACTGCGCCACTTGTCTCGTCATACACACAAATAATGCTACTCTCGCGTCTGAATCTGGCTTGCTTTTGGTTTTGAGGTGTGTTTCGTGTTTCGTGCGGTACATGCTTGGTCGACAGAGCTCATCAGCGACCAAGGAGGCGGTCCTGTTTGCTTGTGAACGGATGCGTAGCTACCTTGTCAGGGCGCTGCAATCGACGGTGCTAAGAGGAGGAGGCGCTTAGCAGGGTGTCTCTCCCTTAGGGACGGGCGGCTATGCGAGATGGGCGTTGTTTCACGGCAGTGCAAGGGGTCGACCGAGCAGATGGGATTGCTGCTGCTCGTGATGCTGAGATCTGAACCGTCGCTTTGGGATTTGATCCGAAGACGCCCTGGAAATTTAAGCGCGTAAAAAAAGGCGACGGATGCGGGCCCCTGTTTTTGCTTGCTCTGCCTCTCTGCTGCCTCAAAAGTGCGCTTGCGCTGTTTTCTCGGCTAAGAAATTGTGAACCCAGCTGACCCTGTCTCACTTTTCTCGACGCCTTCTTGGTTTCCGGCTGATCTTGCCGACGAGCTCACCTGTGCAAAGGAGGACAACCATGATGCAGGTACGTTTGAGTTCAAGCTCAAGCAAACCGGGGCAGAGACCCTTGAATATGAGGGACAATGGTGCCTACAGGGCGCCCAATCGGCGAGGATGACAGGATCGACGGTTTGTCGGCCCCACACGACCTTGCACCCTGCAAAACTTTGCTTGTGGTGACGAACTTTCGATTCATCCGTAGAGCCTTCCACGACGCCTTAGCAGCGAAACAGCGATCTCAACATCGACCAGGATGGAGGATCAAGGTGCAGACAGCAGTCGTGGCTGGCTGGCGGTGTGTGAAATGTAAACTCCTTTTTCTCAAAAAGCAGGCGAGACAAGAAAGGAAAATTGGGCGTCAAGGGCTGCAGAGTTGCACCGCGAGCCACAGGCTCGGCTCACCGCCTGCCTGCCCACGCGCACAAGCTAAAATGATCTTTAACGCTCAGCCGTGCGCTCTTTGAGTTGGTGCTGCTGCTGCTGCTGCTGTGAAGCGCTGTGACAGTCTGAGAGTAAGCGAGCTTGAACCGCCTTTTTTTCTCCACTTTGTGGTCAGCATCGAGATAGGAGCCCTTTCTCATGCATGCATGGCGTTCTCGTTGCAGTCACGACTTGCTCAGCCTTCTAAGATGGGCAGACGGACTGAGCCATCTTGATCATGGTCTCACCAAGCTCATCGCATCCAGAGCAAGGCTCGTCAGAACCAGCTTTGGCTCCACAAGATTGACCCGCTGATGATCGACGGGCTGAGACACTTCTTGATCGTCCATCATCTCCTTTCCCTCTTGGACAGCCAGCGGCCTTTGCTCCTCGTCCTCTCACCCTTCCCTGTATCCGGTCATCGCCCTCCAGTCTTCATATCCAGCTAGCCGCCAGAACCCTCTCTCCACTCCGCTAGCTCAGCCCCGGCCTCGCTTCCAACTTAAGCTTTTCCTAGACGCCCACCACCACCACCCGAGCTTCATCGTGATATCAACCTTGCTGAGCAGCGGCTGCTTCCCTTTCACTTGACCGGCCTCAGCCCTCGTCAAGCGCCGAGCGTCATTGAGAGCCGATCAGACTCCTCACTTCACCTCAAGCTCTAATCATCGCTTAGCTATGCCGTGAAACAAGCGCCCGACGCCTCCCCCACCCATTAGCCCAATCGCCAAGCATGCACTTTCTGCAACTCCTCAAACCATCCCCGCAGCTGCCAACAATGGTCGAAAACACGCCGCGTCTCGCACCTGCACCTGTGCCTTCTTCCTCCCAGCTTCACTCGCTGCCGTATCATCTCCCACGTCGCCCATCAGCTCGTTGCTTCCGGCCAAACTCTGCTATCCACACGGACGACGACCCTTTCCTCTTGTCTACTCACCACAGTCAAGCGGCCTTCCATAACCATCGATCAGCTCACTATTCAAGTAGCGACCACCCCGGCGTCGGCGAATCACCACTACATCCTCAAGGTCACCAATCACCTTTAGCTCCAAGGTCTTCCAACGCAAACACTCGCCCCCCTTCTCCGTCACTCCGTCGCAGATCCTCAAAAGACCCCGCTCCTCCTTGGGCGAACTCTCCTTTATCCCATCAGCAGCACACGCCCTTCGACTTCACTGGTCCTCCAACTGCCGTCACATCGTGGCCAGCATCTATACCAGACATCGAGCCATCCTTGTCGGGATCATCGTCCCTGCATCGCCGACCCTCTCCATCAGCAGACGGCCCAGCACGCGAAGTGCCACTGTCTACATCAACCACGCTCTTGAGAAGGAAGAGCACCAAATCCAAGTCGCCCTTCCCGCCAGCCTCTTCCTCGACTGGCACCAGCAGCTCACTTCGAGACCGATCCGACTTGGGCAACGGTCTTTTCCGTAGATCCAGTCTTAGTCGTCGTATTGCCTCGATAGACTCGTCCAACGCAGCTACCTCCGCAAACATCGCAACGTCGAGCAGTATGGCCTCCGCAGTAGCGCCAGTCCACGCTGCCGCTGCAGGATCAGCAACAGCCACAACAGCAGCTATCGCCAACCCTGCCGACGCGTCGCCTAGTCGCTTTGCACGCATGTTCCGCAGAAAGTCCTTCTCGGGTCCAATCAAGGTGACCATCACGCCTGATCTCGTGTCACATCCCGTACCTGTGCTTCAAGGCTCGAGCTCTATGGTCGATGTCAAGTCGCGGCCTACTACCGTCGTCCCTGCTGACCGCAAAGACGCATCAGGAGCAGCCAAGGTCACGGATCGTGGACACAGCAAGATTTCGACGTTCGCTTTCCCGTCGCTCCCTGATGAGATCTCTCCGCGAGACCCGTCCATCGCAGATCGTTCCAACGCAAGAAAAGGCCGTCATTCTACCGCTCGGTCCGTACCTGTTGCATCGTTGCCCATCTCGGATCCGATCCCGCTTGCCACTTCTCAAGTCGCCAAACCAGACGATCCCGTAGCTCCACAACGCCGGCGCCGTCTGAGCCTGAACCTGGGCGAGAGGAGGAGGAGCAGGAGCTTCTCTATGATCAGTTCCATCTTTGGCGGCGGCTCTTCTCATCCAGAATCTTCCCAACCCGCGCCACCCCTTCCTGAGATGGCTGCGTCCCTCAGCAAGTTGTTCCCGACTCCAGGAGCGCCCACCAGCGAGTCAAAGGGAGCGACGTCCACGAGTCCCTCTCGCAGACCCTCGTTGCGGTCTCGTTTTGGCAAGACACGAAACGCTGCCCCGCGTCCCAGCACGCCCGAAATCGAAAGCTGGAAGCCGATCATGGAAGCCTCCGCTCTCGATGACACGTCGGCTGCCGACGTCAGCCACATCTCGCGAGCCAGCGCTGACAATCTGGTCCGACGGAGAAACTCCGAGTCGCCTGTCAAGACATCGCGTTCGGCAAGCGCTGTCAGGCGCAAGCCCGCTCCCGAAGTCAAGCAAGACGAGATTGACAGCAGCTCCAGCACTCCGGTTTACGGCAAGACCTACTGCACTCTCGAGGTGGATGACTCGCCCCGAGGTGGCAGTCCTGCGTCATCGTACCGTGCCCGTAACGCGTCGCAGACGGGATCGGACAGCGAGCCTGACATGGTCAAAGAGATCCTTGCCGATAGTCAATCCAGCACGTCGCCCGACGCACCTACCGGACGCAGGCAGAGCGATCCGGGCCAGATCGTCGGGCTCGGCCTCGTTGGCGCTCGCACCGGAAGCATAGATGCTTCTATCCCGAGCAATCATGCTCGTCGAGGTGCCGGCACTCAACCTCGAGCTGCTCCATCCAAGTCTGTGACCGCCAAGCAGAAGCTCGCATCCACCTCTTCCCCTTTGATTGGCGGAGCTCGCCGATCTCCCGGCACTCACAGTATCGCAGACATTGCGGATCGTCCTTGGTCTTTGATCAGTGCCGGCGAGGCTGACACACCGATCCTCAAGCTGCGCGAACTGTTCGTCAACACGAATGCTTCCGAAAAGGGCAGCGACGAGGATCACAATCACCATGGTCTCTTCTTCCGCCCTCTCACTGGAGCCGACAAGCAAGCGAATGTCGATACCGAAGCGATTGCCGCCGACAAGCTCGAAGCCACATCTGAAGCGGGCTCAGAGCACCTGGAGTCGAGCTCGCAGACCACCACGCACTCCGACACCAAGCACGAGATGACGTCGTCTCGCTCTTCCAGGTCCAGCGCGACCCACGCTGCTCGTGCTCTGGCAGCACAGCATAAGGCGATCGACTTGTCGGCCATCTCGGATGCTCCCTCGGAGGCCTCTCCAGCGAGCACCATTCGCGCGCGCCACGTTTCCCCGACGCTCGGCCAGCTGTTCGATCAGCCCGGTAGGGATGCTGACCGTGACGCTGATTCGGTCGGTCCGCTGCCTACGCGTGGTCGTCAGCATCGTCTTGAAGGCTCCACCGGCTCGACCTACAGCCAACTGACACCGCGACAGGCGCAACGAGCGAGCACAGCATCGCGGATGACGGCTCGCAGCAGCGGTCATTGGAGCGAGAGCCGCTTTTCTGAGGATGCCTCGAGCGTCTTGGAGGCCGAAGTGGGTCAGGCCAGACGAACCGAGGTGATCGCCCTTGGCAAGGGCCGAGTCCAGGACTGGGTCGGCGATGGCTTTGCTCGGCGAATGATCCCAACTGCCGAGGCTCCTACCTTGTCTCGCAGCAACACGCTGCCCAAGAAGCTTGCTGCTACTCGGGTCGACGGCAGAGAAACGCAGCGACAGCAGAAGCTCAATGACCAGCTCAGCCGCAAACTGCAGCAGCTGTCGGATGCGCAGGTCGAGACGCACTCAGCTCCCGAGCCGATGGTGGACCATTCCGTCCGAGTCGGTGATTCACGAGCCGCCAGTCTGGCAAAGCTTCAAGCGCCCTCAGCTCCCGTCAAGACGGAGAGCGCGGATCACTTTGCATCCAGGTTGATCCGCTCTCTGTCGAGCCGCTCTGCGAGACTCTCTGCATTCCACGACCGCCAGTCGACGGGGCCTGCAGAGCAGCCTATCATGGCAAGCAGTGTCCCCGCTGCGGTCTCGCCTTCTCCGTCGTTTGTGCCTCTGCTTAGTGCGCTGAACCTGACACCTCCGAAGGAGGCAGCGCCAGCTCGACCCGTTGACAGCAAAGAAGAGGAAAGCGCTAAGAAGGAGAGCAAGTCGCAGCGGACGCCACGCTCGTACGCGACTTCCGACGAAGCAGCTCGAGCCAAACAGCACGAGCTGCTCAAGAAGGAACAGCGACTGGCCGAAAAGGAACGCCGACGCCAAGCAGAGATGCAGGACAAGTACGCCAAGAAGAAGCAGAGCGACCCGCTGCTTGCCGCACGACTGGCACTGATGGGTCTTGAGCCTGCTGAAGCGATCCCTCAAGTCCAGACGACCAGTGAAGCAATGCTGCCAACATCGGTCTCGAAGACGTCGGTCTCGAGGACAAAGTTGGCGCGTCCTCCTGTTCCCGAGAGGCGAGTCTCGTCGCAGTCTCGCGCTCATCTCTCGGTTGCTCCTCCGGCTCTGATGCGCAACGACTGGGACAATGTGAGCGTCACCTCGTTCCACACGGCCATCGACGCTACCGTCCCCGACCCAGCTCAGCAGGAGGAGGGTACGGATGAGGGCCGCACCGAGCGAGCGGATCGGTCTAGCAGCCTGGAGTCATCGCTAGCTGAAGACTTTGACTTTCCTGCACCTCCGCAGCGGATCAAGGAACAGGCCTCTGACGACGACACGCTGCTCGGTCATGCGGGATCGCCCAAGTCACGTCGACAGGATGGCATGAGCGCATCGTCGACGATGCCAGCACTGAGCTCGCTCTTGGCCGCGCAGTCGATGCCGCTGCGAAGATCGCGTTCGACCGAGTACAGCAGCCGCGATCTGCGCAAGCTGGCGCGCGAACAGATGATGCAGGAGGTTATTGCGCACCCGAGTCCCAAGAGCTTGCGTCGACAGCTGCAAGGGAGCCCGCCTCGAGGGCTGGGCATTGAGTTGGCGGCGGATTCGAAGCGGTACTCGAGCGGCACAGCTACGCCTACTGGCATGGTGGCTGCTCCTATGCACGCGATCGCTGCCTAGACAGCACCCGTTGCTATTCGTTACATGTACTTTTAGTATACCATTGATAACCTTGGGAACTGCCCTCACAGATCACAGGACCGACGAGAACAATGTGTGAGAGAGAAGGTCGGATGAGAAGCATGCCCCTTGCGGCTGCGCGTCAAGGCTGTCAGGAGCACAAACGGGACGTGCCTGATCGGGCGTTTGAGTCGTGGCTTCTATCTGGACGCGACCGTGCATGGTGCATTACGCTGCTGTGCCTAGCCCCTATCTCTTTCTAATCCTGAAGCTGTATGGCCTCTTCGCGAGCTTGCTCATCTGCAAGAATGGAGAGAGGAGGTACGAGCGTCACTGCGAGATGAAGAAGCGAGCTGACAAGGCGATGGTGGTAGCCCGATCTCGTGTTGAAGGCGAGAGGAATATGAACGGAGGGCTTGACCGACACGCCTCGCGTCAAAGGCGACTTCGACGTGTTGCAAGGGTGATGAAAGGGACTTTGGCTTTTTTTCCCACGTCGGACAGCGAGGCGATTCAAATTGATTGGATTGGGCAGTGCCAGATTTGTATTGGTCAAGCAGTTGACAGCCGAGAAATTGTATCGAAATGAAGAAGCTAATGCAGGAGCATGCATCTGACTCGACAAGTGCCTTAGCAAAAAGTGTTGGACTGATGAAGGAGCGAGACAAGAAAGGGTTCCCAATCTGAAACTCACACTCACACACACACTTGAGGCAAAGGCGACTCTCGTTCAGAGCGACTCTCGCTTACTCGACGATCTGCACTCCTTCTCGGCTGTCCTCATCGAACGGAAGAGAGGCCGAACTGGAGGGGCATGCGTGAATTGGCTCGAGCAAGGGCTTGAGAATGCGTGACAAAGGCGTTGGAATGGTACATTGCAGGAGCGGCAACAGCAGCAGCAGCAGCAGCCGCCCACTTTTTGGTTGCTGCAGCCTTTCGTGCTCAGCCAGCTCTGAGGCGTGTCTGCCAAAAAGCGCGTGTGCGTGTCGGACCTTGGTGGTGGCCTTGCTCCTCCTCCTCTCCGTTCATCACTCTGCCTCGCATCCTTTTCCTTCTCCTTCGCATCCATCCATCCATTCATCTTCTTTTCCCTCATCAAGACTAGACGGCAACGGCAACCATCGCCCCCTCCGTAGCCTCGTCTCTTCCCTGCTTGTCTCATTCTTATCTCCCATCTTCTTCTTCCGGCCTCGCTCGCATTCTCATTTGGTCTTCTTCTTGTTCAGCATATCACCTTTTACCCTTGCATACCCAGCAACACCGACAATCTGCTTTCATCTCGTTGCCAACAATCGGTGCAAATCACACCCATTCACTCCGATCGACAAAGCATTCTCCCACCACTTCATTACTAAGACAAAGCAGTCACCTCTGTGAGGTTCTGCCACCGCGCTCGCCCTCGATTGCTGCTGGTCAACAAGCTTTGCCCCTCTCCTCTCCCACCCCACCTATACAGCTGCTGGCAGCTCAACACAAGCTTCGACTCCTGAGACATTAAAATTGTACTCTCGGTCCCTCTTCCTGACTTCCATGCCCAACTCGATCATACGCCGACGAAGCACTCGCACGCCTAGCATCGACTTTGTCGTGAGCTCTCCCATCTCCTCCTCCAACCGCAGCTCCATCAACAGCTCCGCCGCCATGTCCTCTCCCGAAGCATCGCGCAATCGCGGAGAGCAGATCCTTTCTGCAAAGAAGAAGCTCAAGAGCTATCGCGCAAAACAAGCCCTCATGGCTCAGAAGCAGAAGCGCAACTCGGCTACCTTCTCGCACTCGCGATTCGCTTCCGGCCTTCGCTCCATCGACGAACCTGTCGCCTCGTCGGCCGTCGCAGTCGCGCTCTCCAACCAGCTCGTCTCGCAAGCTTCCTCCTCGGCAGCAGCCATCCCCACCTCATCTCACACACGCACACCATCGCGATCCGGACACGCTCGCGGACACTCGCGGGCCGGAAGTATCTCCATCACTCCCAATGCATTGTTCTCGCAGGCACAAGCGATCGCCCTCAGCCCTGCTCCTGCCTCCGCGCCGGCACTGGCTCGTCCGATTTCCATCGTTGCTCCCCACGCTGGCCACGTCCGAAGCCACTCCCGAACCCACTCGAGGAACTATTCCCACTCGCGTCCCGTCAGCATCGCCATGCTCGGCGCCAAGAAAGACGAGCCCATTGTTCTTGCCATCGAGCACCGTGCCGAGCCTGACTTTGTCGAAACCCAAGATACCCAGCGTCAATCGCAGCAATTCCTCGACTCGTCTTCGCTTTTCGGAGGCTCGGCCTCTTCGTCGTCGTCCAACCTTCGTCCGAGTTCCAGCACACCCGCAAAACGCTTGAGCTATGTCTCGCCCGTCTCTCCAGCGCTCTTCGACCGACCTGCCTCGAACGCTATAGCGACCGGAGCCTCGCCTTCGCCTGCCGCGCCAGCAGCGCGTCACTCTAGGCGTCTCAGCCGACACGCTCGCACTCCAAGCGTCGCCACCAAACGCGAGAGCATGGAGATCATGGGCGGTGTTGGCGCCGGTCTCGGTCTCGATATCACCAACACGATCTCGCCTCTGCAATCCCTCGAGTCGTCCAGGCGTCGCAGCTCGCGCATGTCCAACCTCCCTTCAGCCAGCCTGCTCTTTGGCTCGTCTGAACCTGCTCCTACTCTTACTGCCTCCAACAGCAGCAGCAGCAGCAACGCTGTCAGGAACAGCGTGCGTGCCAGTGGTCAACAGTGGGACTGGAGGAAAGCCATCGCGGACGCCGTCAACGAAGCCGAGGAAGCGGGTGACGACCGTCTCACTGCTCTCGAGAAGCTCGAGGGTCGCGCATCGACTGCGCGCAACACACAGTCCACAGACCGTCCGGCCTCTGTCAATGCCGCGGCATCGCGTGCCTCGCGCCGTCTCTCTGGCCACATCAGGACCGAAAGCATTCAGATCCCCAACCTCGACGAAATCCATCAAAGCGAGCTCAACGAGCGAAGGGCTAGCTGGAATTCCCAAGCATTCGACGGCAGTGCCAACGCGCCTGCCTCTGCTTTCGGGTCGCCTTCTGTCCACGCAACAGTCTCGGATCGTCGAGAAAGCTGGGGTCGCAGCCTTGTTCCTCCATCGCCTTCTTCGATGCTTTCTGCTGGCTTTTCGTCTCCGGCCATGCCAAACGCATACCTTTCCAGCCCAGGCCGACCCGAGTCGATGATGCTGCCCGCAGAACCACCACAACCAGAAGGACTTGGAACACTGATGGAGGAAGAGGAGGAAGAGGATGCCACCTCACCGACCCGCGAGCGCACCAGTCTCGATATGCCCGCCGACGGTCGCACCGAAGCCGAGGAGGAGCTCCGCAAGCAGCGACGTGAAGAGGAGGACCAGACCGTCAAGCGCAACCGACGCGCGAGCCTGGCGCCCAAGCCTTTGAAGCTCAAGTCTCGCCCGCCCAGCCTCTACCTCGCGCCTTCGCACCGCGTTGGGCTGGTCAGCAGCCCTTCCATGCCGACCTTGCCCACTTCGCCACATGTCGCTTCATCGCTTGCAGACGAGGCTACACCAAGGGCGTCCATCGCAGCCCTTCCTGAGACGGCAGATGATGACGAGAGTCAAATCTTGGAGATGCCCGAAGACGCGGACGTGTCGATCGAGTTGCCCAGTCGCAGCACCACCTGCCCTGACTTTACCTCTCTCGCGGCTGGGTCCGCCGATGCCGCGGAGTCCGTCGTCGGATCTGGCGAGATCGAGGGAGCAGACTCTGGACCCTCTGTCGCAGACATGGCGAGTCAGGAGCAGCGCCAGCTTGAGGAGCTTCAGCAGCAGATTCTTCGCGCCCACCGCAACTCGGTCATCGCGCCTGCCGCTGCCACAGCCGATTCTGCTTCAGTGTCTTCCAGCGGCAGCATCTCACGACAAGGCATGCGCACCCTCCGCTTGGGCAGCCAAGCCAACCTCTCTTCCATCATGGAAGCTCCTTCCGCCAGCAGCCCCGTCATCGGCAATCCTGCATCCGCCACAGCCGCCACCGCCACGACGTCAGCACAGCGCCGTCGCAGCCTCATGATGGGCTCTCTCTCGACCGTGGCCAACTCTGGTTCGTCCTCCCGCGACAGTGACTTTGTTGCCGCCTTCAGCAACTCGACCGCTTCTTCGAGCCGCGCCGCTCGCCGGTCCTCCATCATGTACAAGCCATCGACCGCGTCCGTGGCCGAGACAGCCTCCCCGCACTCGGCGTCCGACTCGATCGCCAGCTTCGGTGGGGTGCCGCTCGCCGTCCACGACGAGCTCAAAGTCAGGGCCACCCGTGACGCAGCGCTCTTGGAGTCGACCAAGAAGCAAGTCGAGGTGCTCGAGCGCGAGCTGGCCAACGAGAGCGAGCGAAGTGCCCGGGAGAAGGCCGAGCTGGAGCAGTGGAACATGGACAAGGAGGAGCACCTCTTCGACCGTGCTCAGCGCGCAGAGACCGCCGCTCGTCAAGCCCAAGACGCCTTCACCGCAGCGCAGGCTGAGCTCGAGCAGACCAAGGAGCACATGGAAGACCTACAGGCTGAGCGCGAGGTGCTGCAAGACGATATCGAGGGCTGGCGCTCGCGCTGCCAGGACCTCGAGAAGACCTTGAAAAGCGAAAAGGTCAAGTCGGACGACAACCGCAAGCTTCGTGCGGCCGCACGTTTGCGCATCAAGCAGCTCACGGATGCGCTGGAGAAGAGCGGTGCCGGCGTGCCTGCGGATGAATTGGGCGTTCTCGCTGCGCTCGAGATGCCTCAGCTGGATGTGGCTGCGGCGCTCAAGAGCCCCAACCTGGGAGCTGCTAGCCCGGTGGTGACCCCTGCGCTCTCGCCTAGCCTGGCAGGCGAGGTGGCTCCCCCTCAGATTACGAAGCTGCTCGCCGACATGCGCCAGCAGATCTTCAACCTGGCTGGCAGCCTCGAGCACGAGCGCAAGCAGCACTTGCACGCACAAGAGGAAGTGGCTCGCTTGCAAGCCCAACAATCAGCCGTTCCAGAGGCCGAGCTCACCAAGGACACCGCCTCACCCGCCGCCATCGAGGAAACCAGCTTTGCCTCGGCCGACGACACCCCCGACCTGCCTGCCTCGGTCACCTCGAGCCCCGCCCGCCGCTCGAGCGTGCTCGGCAAGAACAAGCGCCACGTCTTTGCCTACGACTCGAGCATGGGCAGCTTCAACCAGTCCCAAAGCAGCGCTTCGCTCTCGATGACCACCATGACCGACGACACGGTGCACACAGACGCCGACGAGTCGGATGTGGAGGACTCGTTCTCGACCAAGCTGCCGTGGTCGTCTTCGACGGGCAGCACCAGCGAATTGGTTGGACTGGGAATGGGATTGGGCCGGCTGGACGAGATCGAGGAGGTATCTGAAGTGTCGGAGAGCGTCGCGGAGAGCAGCGGGACACTGAGCGCCGTTCCTGACAGCGCCGAAGCGTGGATCGACATCGAAGCAGGCGAACCGAGGCAGAGTATGGAGTCCGAGTCCGGCTTCAGTGCCAACTATCAAGATGCCGAAGGTGCGCCTCCTACCCCGGATCTGTGCCGCTCCATCGAGCCTGCATCCACCTCTGCCCCTGCGGTAGGGGATCGCAGCTCTTCGTCCACCAGCTCGGGGGACAGCCACGCAGCTCCGCCTACCCCCGACGCGCACCCGACGTCGCTCCCGCTCTCTCCTCGACCCGAGTTTCACCGCGAATGGTCCTTCTCCTGGGCCAAAGTGCGCTCGTCCAAGCAGACACCCACGTGGGAACCCGTGGAGGACTTCTTTGGCATCCTGTCTTCCGAGGACCCGCTGCCGGCGCTGTCCACTTCGGAGGAGGCGGTGGACCTGCCACCCATCTCGCTGGCCAACGGGCAGCTGCCTGCCAGCGCAAAGATTAATCGTCACGGTCAACCGGTGTTGCCCACCAGCACCACGAGAGCGAGTGTTTTCGGCAAACGACCGCCCGTTGCGCGCTCGGCGTATCTGCGGGAGAGCTTTGATGCGACATCACCGGGCATTCTCGCCAGCCACCATTCCAAGCCCAGCGCCTACAGGATGCATGAAGCCAAGAGTTCGGCCGCATCGAGCATCGCCTCGATCGGCTCGCGCGCGTTGAGCCGGATGAGTCTGCAGCACCTCACCGGCGCATTTAGCGGGTTGAGCGGGTATTTGACGCAGAACAACACCGCCGTTGCGGCGGCAAAGATGTGCTCGACGTTGGAGGACGAAGAGGAAGGCATGGCGGGCGGGTGGAGGTGGGGAAAGGAGGAGCTGCGGTTTGATGTGCACAGTGCATCTACCAAGACGAAGCAGGCGGGTTGGGCGGAGAAGGAGCTGGTCAAGGAAAGGAGGTATGTGAGCAAGGAGAGAGTGGGTCCACCCAAGGGAATGCCCGTGTGGATGCTCGACTTCTCCACTACTGCAACCGGCCACAGCGGTCCCGTGTTCAGCTTGTAACCCCCTCGCTCCAGTCACGAACGTACAGTAGACCGACAACAGACTCAGCAATCGCGACACCCTAGCTTCTCACATTGGGTCCAAATCGCAATGGTTTTCTCATGTTCACGCATTCACAATCACAGTCTGATGGCGCCGGCACGCGCGGATGTGTGTGAGGCTGAAGTGATTGTTCGATACAGACGCGCGACAGGTGGGTGTGTCAGAAAGCAGATCGGTTGGGAGAGGTGGCGTCTTGCGGCGTTATAGAAAGTGTCCGAGAGTCGTATCGATGCAGATGGGTGGTGATCTGAGGCGTCACGCGGGATGCGGAGTCGGAGACTGGATGGCGGGAAGGAAGGCAAGTGCGAGAGAGAGAAAATGTCCTTAGTTCGGTAACTCTTGATTCGTGATGATCGAGTGCTTGCTTGACGGTCGTGAAGAGCGGCGAAGGAAAGAAAGGCCGAGAGACGACGTTTGCTGCTGGTCCTGTCGCTTCGCGCGATCAACGCCTCGAGATGGGATTCGAGAGAAAGTAGTCACCCAGACTCTTGCGTCCAGGAGCGCTGTGCGGCGAGAACTCAGGAAGGCGTGAGACGAGGTCGTCCCCTTCGACCTTGATCCTGTCGGCGCTGCTTCTGTCGAATTCGGGGTCCGAGAACGACGTCCGGGGTGGCGAAGCGATCGAGCTCGTTCCTGAGGGAGCCCAGAAGTATGAGGCTCTTCGAGTCTGCCTTCCCGGTGCAGCTGTGAACGAGTTGTCCCCCGAAGAAGGCCTCGAAAAGGTCGAGATGGTCGCAGAGCGGCCTCTCGTGATCAAGGTCGGCTGGTCGACTTCCTGGCGAAGAAAGGAACGCATGGGCCGAATTGGGCTTGAGAGACGACGCATCGATGTCGGACTTGGGTGCGAGCTCTTCGTGCGTGGACTGTAGACACGAGGCATCTGGTAGATCTCTTCTTTGACGCGGATGCAGCTCTCGAAGCGAGGCAGGGCTGGCAGCAGCTCACTGCTTCGAGGTGTGCGTTGGTACTCCTCTAAAGCGCTCCAATCGTGAGCCGATCCTCTCCGAGGCACCGCGGTGGCAGTGGAGCTGGATGAGAGAGACCACAGCGAGGTCATCTGCATGATGCTGCTTTGAGCCAGTGAGGTGGGCTTCTCCAGGTCCGGGCAGTAGGCCCAGTAGTGCCCCTTACCCAGCTGACCAGGTTCACGCTCCAGCTTGACGAAGTAGGGCTGCGTCGAAAGATTGTGTCGGATCGTGTTCTGTGTTGGTGACGGAAGAGAGACTGAGCGATCAGCAAAGGCAGCCCAGACAACCTTGACGAGCCGGATAGCGTCGTCATCATACTCACCCTCCAGCCTTTCCCGCTCGATGAGGCGGCATAGAAGAGGAATTTGGCCTCGAGATCTTCGTAGAGCTCTTTGAGAGTGAGCTTACCCTCACGACGCTTTAATATGCATAGCTTGATGAGTTCGGTATAGGGATGAGGAGGGCGCGATGAGGGGCTGCCGCGGTCGAGACGCTCCCAGATCTTTTGAAAGTGCTGTGCTCGGAACCATCGTGAAGCGGTGATGCCGTCGGAGCTGTACAGAGCCTTAGTCAGCGCATCGCGTGGAGTGTGGACGAGTGGCACTGCATGACCATCGGAATGTCCGGATGAAGGTGGCGTCTGCAGCTCTGCAGAGTCATGCGGCTTGAGACCAAAGTGAACGGAAGTGAGCGAGGTATGAGACGCACTGAAGTTGTCGGTTGCGGTTGACGGCGCCGACGATTCGTGTCTGTGATTGTCGAGAGGCAAGACGACAATCGAGCCGCGCGAGCAGCCCGTCGACATGGAGTTGATCAAGTCGCGCGGCTGTGACAAGTACATGATGTGCAAGAAAGAAAGGGATGTGACGACGCCAAAGATTGTGTGACAAAGGGGGAGGTGTTAAATGATGGCTTGCTGCCGAGGGGAGAGAATGTGCAGAAGCAGACAGGTATCGTGTGGGCGTAGAGTGACGAGGCGGCATAGAGGCGCAGCGGCAAACATGCGGCGTGACTTCTTATAGGCTGGAGGCGCAAAAGGAGTGATTGTGACGGCGTTTCCGCTGCGTCATCAAAGCAAGCGATTGCGCCCCACCTTCTGCGGGCGACTGCGTCGCTTTCCATGCGAGGAGGGTTTCCCTCTACAAGACCGCCGGAATCGCCAGACTCAGACCCATCATGGCGTTCTTTGGCTCCTGTGTTCATCAACGGAAGCGCATCCCCACTTGTCCAGAAATGCCATTAGCAGAAAACAAAAGACCAACAATCGAGGTCGACTTCATTCGCTCCTGCAGTGCCAAGAGCTGCGGAAGAGCAAAAGGGGCGACAAGCAAGGCGCAATCTGTTTGTCCCTCTCATTTTGCCTCACAGTTGACGCTTCGAGATCAGGATTGCAAGATTTGCAGGTGGGACAGGTCAAAGCAAGCGCATTGTCCGTGCTGCAGATGTGACGTGTGACGACAAGCGTGAATGCGGGCGGTAGCGAGACTGCCTACGCGTATGTGTGCGCACAGGATAAGCGTGTTGCCGTCTTTCGGTTGCAACTTCGGTAATCTCAGGCTGGCGGATCAACAGCGGTTGAATTCAGAGCTTGGACAAGCTTTCCCACGCTCAGTGGGTGCGACTCGAGAATGTGCATAGCCATAGTTTCTCGTATCGGCAAGCTCATACTCCAGCAGGACGCCTGTCCCCTCCACCGGTGATGTGGCCAACAGCGGCAACGGCAGCAACGACGGTCGCACCTCGGAATGAAGATCAATCTCCATCTCGAAAGAATCAGCTGCCCGTATCTTGCTCCCGGCCTATGGATGGTCTCTCAGGAACTCGGAGTGCACAGCAGACATGAATAGGACCTATTTACGTTGTCAGCAGGCAAATGAGCTGATGTTCCCCATTGTCGGTGGTGTCGGGGAAAGCGCCGCTGTCAAGGCGAGACAAAAGAGAGCTGCGAACGGACGCATCATCTGGTAATTACCAATCAGATACGCAGCTCGCCCTTTGTTGCTGCAAAGATTAAGCTCGATGCACGAAGGGAAGCTGAACCTCGACATCGTCAACGGGTTACTGCGAAGAGCGACTGCACGACCGCTGCTGAGCCTCTTGCATCAGAAACGCCTCGCTGTCCGAAATGAACGTTTGACTCAACCTGCTCTCAACAAGGCCTAAATCGGTCCCAAGGGAGCTTGAACCTACGATGCCGAAGCTGCGCAGGAGTATCTCGAAAGAATGAAAACGCTGGCGACTTCCTGTCAGGCTATCAGTGTATTGATGAGACCGGTCAATTTCGAGGACCGCCCACCTCATAGACACCTCAGCGGTGTGGCTGGACGTGGGCAGCAGGCACCCGCGGTTCCTGGAAGTGGTTTGCGGCTCGCTCGCAACCAGCCGCTCTTCAATCAGCTTTGAGCGCAGATGAAATGCGGTCCGACGACCACATCGAGGTGCTGTTGCGCTTCTGCAGGGTTAGTATGCAATATTGGGCGCCCATTGTCTCCCCACAGTAACGCCTCCCGTCGGAAGAGAACAATGGCCATATCGTTCGAACGTCGTCTTGTTTTCGTCGCTGTACGGGAGTTCCTCGGTAGCTTTTCGCAAATCGGTCGACGTCACAAGCTGGCGGAATTGAGCAAGATTGAAATCGCATGCTTCCGCGGCGAGGTTTCGACCTTTCGAGGGGCAGGCATCAAGGGATGAGCTCCATGCTCTCTCTGCTGGCAACAGCGCCTCACCGTGATCTCTCGGAAGAGGAGTGACACTACACCTGCCAGAGGTGACTGATAGGGAGCATTCTTAGCCGGCCTTTTACGAATAACATCACGGCTTGCTGCAGCTGAGACGTGCGTGCAACAGCTGCGCAGCTTTCTGCTTGTCGACAACCATCGTCCAAGGCCCGTCAAAACAAACCGACACATGCATTCGGACTTGTTCGGGCCCGAGACGAGGCCTGCGCAGAACGTGCTCGCTCTTTGTTTGAGGCGGGAGCCGCACATTTGCGGCGTCAGACCGCAAGTCGCCGCGCTGTCGCGCACAAAGTTAGGCGTCTTCCCGACCGACATTGATACATCCGAAATGAAACGGTCAAGGTGGAATCCTCAACAGTTTCCGTTCCTTGCGCCTCACCCAAGGGTCATTCATTCATCTGCGCCCACCGCTGTCCGGCCTCTTCCTAGCCGACGACTCGGGACGGCCATTGCCGAACTAATCCTTGCGCTTCAACACAACACGTTCGCGGTCGATGCCTGATTGTCATGGAACTCGGACGATCCCACCAGCACCGCAAAAAGGAGCGAGCACACTCTACTCTTCGCCCACACGTCTTGTCCCACATCGATACCTTCATTGTTGATGCAAGCGAGATTACACGCACGACAACCCCGTTCCATCTGAGACCCGTACGGTAGCTCCTGCTCACACTGTACATGTCCGAAAGCGAATCTTCGGTCATGAACGAACAATCTCCCATCCCAATCGCTTGCCCGCCCAGAACGGAACCACCTGCACCTTGCTTGCGTCGGAATCAGGAACGTCACGGAACTCCGGGTGAACATAGACGGCCGGAACGGTTGCCGCGCTCGACCCGCCGCCTGCCCTGCGAAGCTTGATGCTACCTTGCGAGAGTTCTTGCTCGTCGTCATAGCCGTAGAACCTTCGGCCGTTGAGACTGACATAGTTGGCCAGCTGGTCGAGGGCGCCAAAGCCTTCCAGAAGCGTAGCGCAGAGCGGAACGAGGATCGATGAGGTGTACACGCCGGCTGCGCAGCCGCACGAGACGACGCCTGTCGGCTCGAGGTCATCGCCGCCCGACGCCGAGGCTTTTGTTCCCGGTGCGCCGTGCGTCACTGCCGAGGGGTACTTGTTGGCCAACGGGTGCGGGGCCGAATCCGAGCCGAGGAAGAAGCGTGGGTGGCCTGCGCGAAAAGCGAATGGAGAAACAAAATGGGGTCATTCGGGTCAGCTTCGTCCAGTCACTCGGTGTAAGCTTGTCGGTTATAACTCACCTTCGCGGATCACGTCGCGCAAAGCCTGTCGGTCGTCCGGATACTTTGCAACGGGCTTGCAAAAGTTCAACGGCTTTCCTGCCCAGTCATCCACAATCAGCTCGAGGTGATGCGGCGTAATGGTGCAGCCCACCGTCTCGCCACACTCCTTGACAGCCTCCACCGCCTTTCTTGTCGTCGCGTGCTCCAGGACGATCTTGAGCTTCGGAAACCGCTTGTGGATCTTGAACAGGTGGGTCAAGAACTTCTCCTCGGCATTCAGCACGCAGATGCCCGCGTCGGCGTTGGACGGCACCTCACCGTGGAGGTTGAGCACCATATCGTGCTTCTGCATCTCTTCGAAGATGGGGTAGTAGGTCTCGTAGTCCTCGATGCCGCTGTCCGAGTTGGTGGTGACGCCGCGCGGGTAGCTCTTGACGCCGCGGACGCCTTCTTTCGCGGCCTCGGCGATCTCAGCAGGTGTGAGGGCGGAGGAGAGGTAGAGCGTGCCGATGAACTTGGTTTGCGGTGCGAGGTTGCGAAGGGACTGGAGGTAGCCAGCGGCCTGCTGGGCCGAGGTGATGGGAGGCACGAGGTTGGGCATCACATAGGCGAGCGAGATGCCGCCTTCGGCAACGTGCGGTGTGACGAGCTGCGACATGGGCCCCTGTCGCAGGTGCACGTGGAAGTCGGCAGGCGCCGGAACGGTGATCTCTTGTGCTGACATCGTGATGGCCTTCGTCGAGATGTATGCAAGTAGTATCGAGTTGATCGAGTTCGGAAGGTAGGTAAGGATGTCGTCCGCGAGTCAAGAAGAACTGGCGCTCTCTGGCCTTTTTCACCCGCATTTTCCTGCGGTGCTTTTCTCCGCAAAAAACCAACATACGGAAATGCCCGTTCAACATGCCGTCCTCCTCAACACACTTTCGATTATGACAACAAGATAAACAGCTTCCACGGCGTCATCCTCTTCACATCGATATCGAATGATTGATTGCATGTTCTTCAGAGAGCACAAATGGCGAAATGCCGTTCCGTTTGCCGTTCAACCGAGGCGCAACCCGAGCACCAATCCAGCCATGAACGTAGCCCTAGGCTGGAAGTCGGCCATCAAAAAGTTGGTCGTCCTATTCCAGATCCTCTGCAGCGTACTTCCGCTGTACCCACTAACAGCACCTGTCTCTGGTCCAGCAGCGCTTCCGACCAGCTTATCGTACCTCGAATTGATCGCGTTCCAGTTGACGCTGCTCAGACGCTGGGAGTTCATGTACTGGAGCAGGATGTAACAGCCACCGAGGAGAAAGGCGATGAGTTTGAGGCCCTTTTTGATGAAGACGCCTGCGCAGACGCCGCAGATGGTGCCGAACGAGAGGCTGTAGATGTTGACGATGCTTTCGGGCTCTGTGGCGGCGGAGGTCGAGGTGCCGGTGGGAAGAGCGGGGGTGGAGGAGGTGGCGTAGGGACGCGCGGGCTCGCACTGGATCGGACGAGTCGCATTGAGACCGGCGAAGAAGACGAGGGCACCACCACCGAGCATGAGGCCAACGCGGGTAGGGGACGCAGAGGGTGGGCGCGAGGCGGCCACCACGCGCGGTCGGATGGAGTTGGAGGCCGACTCGAAACGCGTGCGTGGATCGATGCGCTTGCCGTAGTACGTGCGGACTTGCTGAGGCATGCGCATGTTGAGACCGATCCGAGCTTCAGCCATCGAGGCGGCCTGATGGAGTGTCGCAGCATGGACAGTCGACAAAGGGGAGCAGAGTACGAAGCGTTAGCGAGATATTCGAGGACACAAGTTATTCGTAGCAACACCATACTTACACGGCACGCTTGCGGCACAGCACGCATCATGGGGAGCGCGTTCATCTTGCTGGTTTGAAGGCGCTAGCAGTAGCTATGGGTGGCTGTTGCTACTAGAAGATGGATGGTGGTAGCAGCTCAACACCGTCTGTCAGCATACGCTCCCCTTTGTGTGCACCAAGCCTCCACATCCGCCGCCTCGGTCAGACGAAAGCAACTAAAAACGGAAACACGCGCCCGGGCCCCGCGGCCGGCCCAGCCCACCGGATCCCCACCCCAAAATGAAAATCTGTCACTCTAAACCACCAACCCGAAGACTTCAATCCACCATTGCTACTCCACCTCTCGATAAAACATACCTCAAACTTCGCCAGCGAGTTGCTGTTCATCTTGCGCGTCCAAGCATACCAAAAAAAGGCCAAAAAGACGACCAAAAAATTCTGCGGGTCACTGCGGGATTCGAACTCGCGACCACCTCTATTTTTTAGAGCCTCTTTTTGAACTCTTCTAGTGTGAAACACACCGGGTATTGCCCGAAAGAGGTATCCTACCACTGGACGAAGCAACCTCACTGTTGCGGCATTGGGAGTGTGGTGTGTAGATATACACTAAATCATGAGACAATGTTTGTTTCAATTAGACTGTGACGCCCGGATCCCTTCGGTCGCAGTGTCTGTCAAAACGCTTTCACCTGATGTCGCTCTCCTGCCATGCGTAGCTGTGTTCAGAGTGATGACAAGCATCTGTCATTGCAGAAGCAGCTCTTGCTCGAGGAAAGTCCGGTGTGCTCAGAGCCGAATGGTGATAGGATGTCAGACGGTTCGATCCCGGTCGATCCGCTCGAGTCTCCCTTGAGTCTCCTGTTTAGCATCCACCTCGTCCTCGTCGAACCCGAGCAGCGACTTGATCTTCAACCTTGCGCGCTCCACCACTCCTTGCCTACTTTCAAACTCCTTGTTCGGCGGCGGCTGTAGCAGCGGCAACCCGAGTCGCGCGCGCACCCTGTTCAGCGGGCCCTCTTCGACATTTCGATCCTGATCGCTGTACACTGCGCCTTTGCCTTTGCGACCGCTGATCTCTGCCCATGGCCCCTCCTGTTCTGCACCACGGAAGCGAAGACGCCCTTCAGCATCGCGCATCGCCTCCTCCGCGTCCTCGTCCCGCTCGATCAGATAGCCATCGCGCAACTCCTTGACCTGCGAATAGTGACCAGAGTACCACCACATCTTGATCTTCTGCCACGGACCCAATGGGTACCCATCCAGAAAGGGCGGTCGGAGCGACTCCAGTAGCTTGAACCGCTTCTGAGGCATCGAGGATCGTTGTAGCACCCCCTGCGCTTCTTCCTCGCGGGCGAGCGTGGCGTCCTCGCCGAGCTGCGAGCGGGTCCACATGATCCCCTGCTGCGACGTGTCTTTGTGCGCTACGAATCGAGCTAGACCGAACTTCTCAATTCGTCGCCGGAGGATGCCGAAGCTCACCTGCGACTCGATCTGCGCAGTGGTGAGGGTTTTGCAGTACGATCGCCAGCCAGCGGTCGTCTGCGGAGAGGGCATGAAACCGAAGCGCTCTTTGAACACCAGCCCTTCGGTGACAGCGAGAACCGTCGTGTGGTCGAGATTGCGTGTCCAGCTGCGCATCGCGCGGCCGTTCTTCGTGCGTCCCTTGAGACTCGTTTCCGTCTTGGTTCGAGGCGGCAGCAGGTCGAGCTCCACCTCGCTCTCCTCCATCACATAGCTCTCGGCGTTCTTCATGAGTCCTGAGGGCGCCCATTTGGGTAAGTTGCCGCGCTTGAGAATGAGACGGGTTGTGCAGAGGACCGGGATGGTGGAGGCGGTATCGAGATCGTCGAGCGTTACGGATGACGTGCTGGCTGAAGAAGAGCTGCTGCGGACGGGCCGGTACTCGATTCGTCGATCGAGAACGTCGACTGACAGAACGTGTGATGCGTTGGGGTTTGGGTAGCGCAGAAAGTAGGCGCGGACGCACGACGACCACGAATGGTCGTAGGACGATTGGTGGACGAAATCCTTCACCATGGTGGATCAGCTCTGCAACGTCGCCATTCGCCCTTTGATGATGCGTCTTGCTCGTACGTTGACACTACGGAGCACCAGTGGCCGGCCAGAGCTTGAGCGGCGTTCCTGTGCGTCCCCGTTGAGATCCAGAGATGATGAGCAGCAAGGTTGGTGGGGAAGCGAATGCGCAGCAAATAGGTTGGTCTTTGCGTTTCACGAAAAAGTGCAAAATGTGACAGACACAGATTCCAGCTTGACGCGCTTCCGCGGCTTTCTCACCGTCAAGACATTGGTCATACGCTCAATTGCGGCGTCACATACCAGTCCTCCTTTCAAGTTCGCCGGACATGCTTGTACCAAGAGGTGATCAGAACTGGACGAGAATGGTATTGCAGATAGTGTACATAGATGAGAACAGTGCGCGGGAACGGATGGAAGACAGAGGGGAGGGCTCTGCATCAAAGCAGGGCGCGAGTTTTTAAGGTGGAAGCGCCAGGAGAGCTGAGGAGATGAAGATGCAGCTGGACGAGCAGAGCGAGTACCCGAGTAAGCAGCACAACAGCCTGTCACCACAGATAGCTGCAAATGCTTGGTCGATTGAGGTCTTTGAGAGAGCGGATGCTTGCTCCAGCGGAAGGCGCGGCTGACTGCGTCGCTGCTCGTGCGAAGTCGAAGCTGATCAGGCGCCTTGCTGCCTGAACATGTGAGACTGACGATATTCTGATCGAGGATAATGTCTTTGAGATGTTCGAGATGGCTTTCGGAAGCGTTTGTACAAGGTGAATGTTCGCAGCGTGCAAGACAGGTCGATTCGTCCGATCATCGTGTCTTGACATTCTCCAACGCCTCTAGAGAAGTGACGCTGTTTCCGCGTACCACGACTGTTCCGCAGCGATCGCCATCTTGCCACGTGTTCATGTTGTTGGGCTCGGGGTGCACCTGCTCGATAGCGTCATCGACGACGAGGTTGAGGAACATGTCGAATCCGCGAAGGGTGCCTTGGATCTTGCGACCACCCTGGATATTGACAGCGATGCGCTTGTCGAGGAAGCGCTTGAGCTCTGGCTGCGATACTTTCGCCATCGTGAGGTTGTGTTGAAGACCTCAGTCGATGTGGACGGCAGAATGTGAGATGGTGGATCGAAGCATGTTCAGTGAGAAGCCTGAGGCGCGAGGAAGAATCTCAGGGTTCAGATCCGCAGATCTCGGCCCCGATGAATTTTCTTAAATGTGTCGAGCGTCTTGCTAACATTCCATAGCGAATTTCCGGACAGTGTACGATGACGAGCAGAGATGCCGGCGGCTTGCCGCTCGTGCCTATTTTGGACCTCGCTTGCACGCCTTCATGACCGGCGTCTTCTTGAGGAACCCTTTCGTGATCATCATCTCTGGCATTGATGTTCGGCGTCCTTATTGACGTCGGTCATACCTCGGGATCGGAGACACCGTACACCATCGTTTGATGTGTCTGAAACTTGCTAGTCGGTGGTACGTGCAGACCATGCGGTGAGAAATTGGCCATCAGCCTCTTTCCCGCGCGCCATGCGGCTATGGCTTTTGAGACTCAGACGCTTGCAACCACGCGATCAGCGACGTGCTTGGCAAGAGAGCCATATGGTTGCTGTGCGCAGTAGGCTTCTTTGCAGGACCTGCGATATCAGAGCACACGAAGCTCAGGAAGACATGCAAGCTGACCATGTGCGGGGGACAATCGCATGGCCGGGGGGCTGTGCTGCTGGCGGCTGCAATTTACCCGACATCTTATCTCAGTCTCGAACCCTGCGTGACGGCGCGGGCCAGAACGAATTCGCCGCCGGTCAATCCGCATGGACTTCGGCAGGCACTTTTCGCAGCCTACGAGGCAATCACCGCAAACGGCTTCGTTGTGCGCCCTCTCATGCTTCTCCAAGGCATCGGCATCTTGGAGCGCGGTACCACTGCTGCTCTCAGGCGGGAAAGTCGAGTGAATCCCTGCCACTGTCAGGCAGGAAACCGCCCTGAGCGGGACTCAAGAAAGTATATGTACGCAGACTCTCTCAGCTGCAAGAAGTCGTTTCAGCCTCAACGCCCTACCACCTAAGATTATGTCCCCTACGCCTTCGCAACACCAGCCAGAGACCACGCAAGTGGACCTCGCCTCCCGAGTCGATATCGAGGCAGAGCCGCTGCTCCAGCCCGAGACCAAGGAGCATGACGTCTCCGCATCCGCCAAGGGCGCTTTGAACGAGGACCACCTCGAGCTTCGTGTCGGTCAGGAAGAAGAGCGCCGCCGCAGCAGTCGGACCGCCCGCATTCTTTCGCGCGGACTGAGGGGCATCGCTCTTTTCCTCGTTGCTTTCTTGGCCGCCAATGGCTTCTGGGCGCTCCTTCGTCCCGAGCTGTATGGCCACAACGGTCTGATCTCGATGAACGGCAAACACCACGATCACCACAAGCACCACAAGTATCATCACCATCACCATCACGACAAGCCTGGTCACCCTCCTCACGGGCCTCCTGGTCGCGGACCCGAACACCCACCTCCTCCGCCTCCCCACGGTCCTCCCGGCCACGATCACCCTCACCCTCCTCCACCTCCTCCTGGTCCTCCTGGACACGACCACCCTCACCCTCCTCCGTCGCCTCCTCACAAGCCAGGTCATGGACCGGGGGGAGACCGCCCTGGACCTCCCCCGCCGCCTCCTCACGGACCTCCTGGCCACGGCCCTCCTCACCCACCGCCGCCTCCGCCCAGGGTGCAGGCTTGCTTTGACCTGGTGCCGGGAAAGTCACTCAGCATTAAATCACCGCTGCACTGGGCGGGGCAGGCGGTCGAGGTTGCGCCTGGTCTGGCCGGATCGAGCGTGACCTTTGTCTGGGACGGCAAGGTGGGCCCTCCCTCTCCGCCTCGGCGCGGTCCCCACCCAGGACCTCCCCACCCTCCTCACCCGAGTGACCAAACCGAGGCTCAGCAGAACGAGAAGCCCAGGAAGAAGCTCGGCGATGTGGTTTTCGAGATCGAGGTGCCTGCCGAAGACCAGTGGAAGACCGCCGGCATTTCCGCTAAGGAGCTGAGGCTCTGCTCGGTGCGAGGCCCCGCGGTTGGCGTCGACATCTTCAACGCTACCGGCATTCCTCCCCGCCACGCTCGTGTTGATCCTGCTTTCAACCAGGTCGCTCCCGGCTTCAACACCACCATCTACCTCCCCAGCCACTATGCTCGCTCCCCCGTGCGCATCGGCCATCCTTGAAGTATATCTCCCCGCACTTAACTTGTCAGGTCAATGAGACTACTTCTCTGTTCTTCCTCTGAATGGTCTTTGAAAGGTCTCTTAATGATCCTCGACCGGTCTGACAAGCGATCTCATGCTGGTTTTCGTGACAAGTGAAGCATTCATGCTGCGCAAGTGAGCTGGTCAGCGAGATGTCAAACCTTGTCGTCGACTGTCGCTTTGGGATGACTTTTTGTTCGGATTGTTAGACCTTGATCCCGCACGGTGCAGCAAGCTTGGATTGGAAGAAAGGGACGCGTCCTAACGCGTAAAGTGTGGCGAGCAAAGCGTGTTCCAAGCGAAAAAGTCACGAACGCTCAAGTCAATTTACGCGAAACATACTCCTCGTTGCACAGAGCACTTCATAACAGGGCAGGAGGAGGTGCGGGGATCATGCAAACCACATCGAACGCTCCTTTCTACATTCACACCCACCATCCTTGCGGCCAACATACCATTCGATCAGACAGCGTTCATATCTAGACACCATCCATATCAGCATCTACACAAACATACACTCAAGCATACCATCAGATCCTGTCAGCAACGTTTCGGAACATCATCACAGATCAACAATCATCTCTCGCTATCCATCCCCACATCAAAGCATCCTTGAAAGGCCACTTCATATTCGTCAAATAGCACTTTTACAATGTCGGCGCCAGCTATGGACCGAAGCGAGTCGGCACCAGTGTGTGCCGCCGCTTCGTCCTCCGCGACGCCCCTCCAGCCCCGCAGGGCCGTGATGCTCAAAGGCCCCTCGCTCACTTCCAAAACCTTCTTTGTGCCTCTGCCCGATACCCTGGATCAACTCGTAGCAAAGGCCGTCCAGCTCTTCCCCATCCCACCGGGCAAGGTACCCCACATCACCCTCGGAGCAGATGAGAGGGCCATCATCCTCGACGAGTCGTACGAGTTCATCCGCGACCGCGAGCTCCTCAACTTCCGCTGGTCTGCAGAGACGCCGCGTCGCAACCTCGCCAACCGTGTTCGATGGAACCAGCCTTCTTCCGCTACCGCACCGCTCAATCTCACAGCATCACCGCAGAGCACTGCTACAACCTCTGAAGAGATTCCCGTGACAGCAGCGGTAGCCAAGGCCTCGGACTCCCTCAAGGCGCAGACGCAGGGTTCCCCTACGTCACAGAGCGACATTGCTTCCAAGACGCGTGCCAACACCATCGCCAACCGCGATCCAAACACTCAGCTGAGCGAAGGCGCCGCTGCTAGGAAGGCACACGCAAAGCGAGTCCTGGCGGAACAGCAGCGCAAGCAGGAGGAGGAACACGAGGCAGATGCTCTCGGAGCTGCGCCTATCGTTCCGGATCTCGATCAAGAGGCAGCTCTCGAAGCTGACCCGGAGGCGGCTGCACAGGCTGTCCTCGAGTTGGCGGCCACGTCGGTAGCGCCAGACGCTGTCGAAGAGGCCATCGTTACCGCACCGACTGGGGAGGATGCAGCAGCAGTAACGCAAGACATGGACATCACCCTGGAGCAAGGCACTGGAGAGGAGATGCCGGATGTCGCCGCTCCCGAGATCACCCTCGCCCCGGTGCCAGCAACCATCACCATCAACTCGCCCCCACGCAAGAAGCACGTCGACAACGGCGGCCTCGATACCCCTCCTTCCAGTGGCAGTCGCTCTAACTCTCCCTTCCACAGCTCCGATCTGTCCCTTGGCAGCAACCACGCCCTTGACCATCGCATGCGCGTCGAGGCGGACGATGAGCCTTCCAGCTCGCCCATGTCCTCCCCAACGCGCGATGTCTCTTCGCGCTACAGAAATGCTTTGCCTGCCATGCCTCTGCGCGAGCTTGGCAAAATGGCCGCAGTGAACTCCATGGCATCCGAGCAACAGGCCGACGCTTCGGCTCCAGTAGTCGACAACGGAGTTGCTTCTGAGCCGATCAACAGTTCGTTCAGCGAGCCGATCGACGACGCGACGCCAGCAGAGGAAGAAATCGCAGTCAACTCCTCAGAGCCAGCACCAACCTCGCAAGACCTTCCCAGCAGCACCACCACCGCGATCACCAAACCCTCTACCCCAGCTACCGACCTCGAACTCAACCGAATCTACAGCTTCCTCTCGAACCTCGTCGCGCAGCTCCTCTCGCACAAGTCCAACTTTGCCTTCCAACGACCCGCCAGCGTCGAATTCGAGCAGTTCTCCACACGCACCTCTCGCGTCGTCGACCTGTTCACCATTCGGGACAGTCTCGCCACCCGTCGCTACGGTAGTGCGCACCTCGAAGGTCGCATCGCGGCCAACGCCGTCGTCACCGACTTCGAAGACGATCTCAATCTCCTCTATACCAACGCGCGGCGGTTCTACGGTATCCGTTCCACGCAAGCCGAGTGCGTCGAGCATCTGGAAAAGTTCAGCCGCAGTTTCTTGAACGAGTGGAAGCGGATGAAGAGTCCCGGATCGAGGGTGGAGAAGCAACCTTTCCTATCCTCGTCGCCGTTCGCGTCCTTTGGATCGGGGAAGAAGACGATGGGAAACATTTCGAACACGGTCGGGTTGATGAGGCGGGCGGACTTTGGGTTCAAGCGCAATGCGTCGTATGAAGCCACCCTCACGGCTGGGAAGCGACCAGCACCGCCGACGCGGACGACGAGCGAGGCGTTCGAGCGCGCACTGAGAGCGGCAACGTCGACCCCGCAGAGCGAGCGCGTCAAGCCTCGACAGGAAGTCGTCGCCCCCTTCGCCACCCGCTCAGTCATCGAGACCGCCTTCATGGCTCGTCCGGCTCCGTCGCCACAGGTCGAGATCTCGCCAAGTCCCGCCGTACGAACGCCTTCTGCAGTTGGAGGCAAGAGGAAGCGCATCGATCTCGCCCAAGAGTCCGATTCGCGATCGTCAACCGTGTCCCCACCACCCTCGCCCTCGCCCACCAAGCGACCCGTGGTGCAGCTCAAACCGTCCAAGTCGGCCAACCGACGGATGAACAAGAAGAAGCGCGCCGCTGCTGCTGCTGCTGCCGCAGCCGCAGCCGCCGTTGCCGCCGCAGCTGAGGTCACTGTCGAGGTGCCTCAGACTAAGCGCGTCCGAAGCAGGCGATCGCACGGCGACGCAGTGGAGGAGAAGCAGGTGGCGGAGCTGGTCGAGATGCCGGTGGAGCCGCCGGCGAAGCGAACGCGTGCGGCGAGGAGCGCTTCTCTCACGGTCAGCGTGGACATCGGAGGCTCGCCGAGAACGTTGCGCTCCAGCAGGGTGGAGGATTGTCAGGAGAGCAGCACGCCAACGAGGAGTCTGAAGAAGGGCAAGTCGGCGTCGAAGGTCGGCGCGGAGCTCAGCAGCCCGGTGCAGACGGCGGAGGTGACCATGGAGGAGGACGGATTTGAGGTCACGGGTAGCAGAAGACGCTCTTCTCGCCAGAGAAAGCCTGTCAACCTCGACTAGATCAGACAAATTGCACACGGAACACCAGAAAGACCAGAGAGAAAGTGTGACATTTTGTGAAAAAAATCTATCGTGACGATTGCGTCTAGTGAACAAACTGAACATCGAGTCGCTTGGAGCCCTCCTCCTTGGTGGTGAGCTTGTACTGCAACTGTTCGTCGGCGGACATGCTCTCCCAGATGCGTTTCTTCTGGTTGTTCCTCCAGATGTAGTATCCTTTGACCGCCCAAGAAAGGACGATGCCGAGTGCGGCGAGGGAGATGAGGGCCAGATTGCCCTTGGCGTAGTACGGCTTGTCTTCGTTGGTGTAGATCCTGGTCGCCAGAATGGAGCCCACTTGAACCGACATGTTGTACAGACACAGCGAGACGGCGCGGTTGCGCACCGAGTTGGAGTTCTGCGACACCCAACCGATCAGGAACGGATGACAGTAGGGTACGGACGTGAGACAGGTGATGAGCGCGTAGCGGATCCAGTTGTAGTGCGTCGTCGAGGAGTGTTTGAGCAGGTAGAGCGGGATGAGGAACGAGATGTTCCACACGTTGGAGAGCGACGCAAGGAAACCACGTTCGTTGAGCCGGGCCGAAAGCCACGTGTACCAGACGGTGTTGAAAGCGAAGAAGAACTGCGACGGAATGGCCAGCAAATTCGACTTGAGAGTGCTGAATCCGAGCTGCTTGAGGATGAGCGAGAGGTACGTGGTTGGCGGCGCATAAGGCTGGAAGACCACAACTGTACGACATGTCAAACAGTGCAAATGCGGGGAAAAAAATTGTCAGTCATCGGGAAACACCGAAGGAGAAACGCATGGTGATACTTACGACCAAGCAGATAGACGGGCCAGAGATCCTTCTCGCCGAGGGCCCTCCAGAGTGCGCGGGGCGTAAGACCCTCTCTGTTGTTCATGTCACCCTTGGAGGGGTCGTCACGGAGAACGCGGTTGACGAGAATCTTTTCTTCGCGCTCAGTGAACCATCCGTTCTTGCCGCGCAAAATACCTTTCGTGTTGGTAGGACTGGGCGAGAGCAGGAAGAAAGAGATGATGCCGATGATGCCTGTGATGAGGCCCTCGAAGCCGAAGAGGTACCTCCAGCCCGCGAGACCATTCAGACCGCGCAACTGAAGAATTGCGGCTGCCAAAAGCGATCCTACGATCTGACTGAGACCAAGTACGGTGTAAAACCAGCTCAGTCTCGTGTTCAGCTCTTTGCTTGTATACCAATATGACAGGTAGAGGATCTGGTCAGGTAAGAAGCCTCCCTGAGCAAGCCCTTGCAAGCAACGACAGATGAAGAAGCCAGCTTTGTTGGTGAGAGCGGCTTGCGAAGCAGAAATGACGGACCAGGAAACGATCTGGACGGGCACCCAAATATCTGCTCCGAGCTTCTTGGAAATGAGACCCGAGGGCAGCTCTGCACTCAAGAACGAGGCGAGGAAGACAATGTTACCGTTGTTAAAGTCGTTCTGGTTCATGCCGATGTCGGTGAGGAAGTTGTCGGCGAGGGCGCGGTTGATGTTCTTGCGGATGAGATCGAGCGACATGAACATGACCCAACTCCAAGCGAGGATGCGGTAGTCGATCTTGCGCACCAGCTTGGCCTCCTCTTCGGACGTCCATTCGAACGAGGGGTCGAATCGATGACGGTTTTCGTACTTGGTCGTCTCGTAAAGTTGGCGCCAGTGGTCGGCGACTTTCTCGTCTTGGAAGACGTGAGTGCGGCTGAGGGGCGCATTGACGTCGTCGATGAGCGACTCGGCATTGCTGTGGCTCGTCGGTGACCAGGTGAGATCGTCGTTAGACTTCTTGTCTTCATCGGCGAGGCTTGAGGAGGTCGAGTCGTGACGAGGCTGGTCGGTGGCGATGTCGACAGCTGCAGCGGGGGCGCTGATGCTGACGGGAGGAGCGTCTTTCGCAAGACGGGGAAGAGCACTCATTGCCGTGTTTGGTGGCCTGAAGGCGGCTGGCAGTGCAAGAGAAAAGTAGAGGGGGGACACGAACGACTTCGAGGGGGACGGGAGGACAAAGACCTTTCATCATGCTTTATAGACTTTAGCAGGTCAAGAAGAAATCAGAACATCTGAAGCGAACCGACAATGGCGCCAAAGGAACGGCAATCTTCCGTGCATATGAGCTAGTGTTCGCTAGCGGGCTGTCCATGTGGCGAGCGGCTTCGATGAGCCAGGCTTAGTGGCAAAGCTGACAGATGTACTGAAGCTGCCCTGAGCTGAACCACCTTGCTTGATAGCGCCAAGCGCTATCAGTGAGCACGGACTGGTCTGCCATTGCGAATCGAACCCTCAGCGGAGAAGCAAGTTCACTGTCGCCATTCACGGCCTCAGGCACGATCGGAACGGGTCTCGCAGAAGCGCTGCTTTTTTTCATGGCGGCGTGGTCGGCGCGAGATTCCAACTTGACCGGGATGATCGTTGAAAGGTCGGCGCGAGATTCAGACTTGACCGGGATGGTAGGCTTGGACACTAGAGTTGCGTGATGATTTCAGAGGGCGCCTGGGCGGAACGAAGTCGACGAAAGATAGGCCCCTGCCCCGCACGGCTTTAGCCTAGTAGCGCAACGCTATGCTCTTGAGCGGGAGGCCGAACGGATCATCAGAACAGGTTTACCCGATACTCGAGTGAAATCAATGCCAAGCCGAAGAGCAAGAGCCAGTAACCTTCTCGGTATTGCGGAGAGAGGAGAAAGGCCTTCTCGGCGCGAAAACTGCTGTGCAGATAAGACGTGATGGGGTTCTGGAACCGACCGTGCCCTGAAGCGGGAAAGAGATGCTCACATGCAGACAAAAGAACACATCCATTCGTGGAGACGCACAACCCAAGAAAAGGTGCCATGCTTGGCAGGTGTTTGCAAGAGCGGAGACGACGTGCGGCAACTGATACGGACAGCCGCCAAGGCGAGGATTCGCTATTTGACGTGCAGAGGCCTCGGTCTGACGTGCACCGGTCAAATTCGCACGCTCGAGCTCAAATCGCGAAGCGACAGCTCGGATGTCGTGATTTTGGCTCGGCGTCCACCACGCACCATTCTCATGGATTTTCGATGGCGAAGAGCCACTGACCTGTCTCATGGCAAGTTCGCCGACAATTCATGCCTTCTCACATCGCAGTGGAACGGCTATGTATACAGATCGGGTTGCATCGGTCACATCTCATGCTCTCAAGCAGAACGGATCGGCTCAACTTTGTCTGCCTCCAATCACACTGGCACGCGGCTACAACAGATACTTGTCGGCCGTGTATTGCAATGCATCCATTTCGATTGCTAGAGAACCAGCGTCCCGTACATGTGACAAAGCGATCCCTTGATGAGAAGCATAGCGAGGCGACGGGAGAATGTGTGAGAATGGTCCTGTTCCTGCGCCTTGGAGGTCCGTAAAGGGTAGGCGCGAGAACACGAGAAGACCTTGTCGTTTGCATTGAAAGTGCGGATCTGGTTCGTCGAGATAGAGGAATTAGAGGTGAATGGTATGCCCCTTGTTCCCACAATACGAGAACGTAATGAGTTGAAGAGAAGAAGAAGGGTGTAACCAGCTTGTGCCGCCATCATATCTTTTTCTTCCTGCACGCTGCCTGGCAAAAAATCTCAAATCCGAGACCCGCTTTCTCCTCAGATTGCACACGTGACGTTCCACAGCGCAGAGTCAAATTGCGCACAGGGCGATCACGCCGCTAGACCTGCATCCAAAAGTGCAACACGCTTTCCTCCCTTCCAACCCGCACGTTCATCATTTCCAGCACATCCATCCCTGTGCGCATCCACTCAACAACTGCTTGCAACCATGTCGAGCGCCGCTCCACCAGTAACGGCGCCCATCTCGGGTCCGCAATCAGCTCCCGTCGGTCAGCCGCCCGCGCCCTCCGCATCCTTGGTCGCGAAGTACCGAGGCGCGACCGTCGAGGATCTTCAAGTGCCTCCTGCCATCTCGGTGCCTCGCTCTACTCCCATCTCGTCCGCTCTGCGCGTCGCTCTCGACCATGACTACTCGCAACTGCCTCTCGTCAGCGAGAAGAACCGAAAGCTGCTCGGCTACGTCCAGAAGGATCGTCTCGAGGAGCAGCTCAAAAGCGGTAACGGCGACAAGTCGGTCGCTTCGATCATGACCAAGTTCTCGAGCGGTGCATCTCCTTCTTCGTCCTCTGCCGCCGCTGCCGCCACCTACACCGTCATCACCCCCGACACGGGTCTCGCAGAGCTCGAGGTGTTCCTCCAGTCGCACCCCTTCGCCTTCATCACCGACCCCGGCCGGGCGTTTGTCCTCGGCGTGGCCACGCAGGAGGATCTCACCAAGTACGTCTCCAGGCGAGGACTAGACGGCACTCGATCCGGCGCCGCAACACCTACTCAGACCAGCACCACCATTCCCGCCGTTGCTGGGGACGCCGACGAACCCATGCCCTCCACCTCTGCGGCCGCTCCTGCCGGCTCGTCAACACAAGCACCCGCCCTCTCCCGCCGCGAAGAGGAGGAAGCGAGAAAAGATCGCACGCTCGCCGAGTTCATGCAGCTGCTCGACGGCTATACACCCCTGATACCCGACCAGGTCACCGACTTCTACCTCGAAAAGGTCGGTTTCGAATGCCACGATGTGCGCCTCAAACGATTGTTGTCCCTGGCGGCGGAGAAGTTTGTGAGCGACATTGCGGCGGATGCATTCCAGTACGCGAGGATCAGGACGAATGCGGGGCCTGGTGGGCGTCCGCGTGGGCAGGTTGGTGCGGGCGGTGCTGCCGGTACTGGTGCAGGTGGTGCCGGTGCAGCGGGGGCACTGCCTGCGAACGTCAGGGATAGGTCAAGGACGGTTCTCACCATGGACGATCTGAGTGCGGCGCTCGGAGAGTACGGTATCAATGCTCGCCGCGCTGAGTACTTCCGCTAATCTCATCGTAATATGAACATTTCCAACCGTCAAGTATGCGCAGGCTGAAAGTCAGGGTCGCAGTACTGAACGCCTCTCTACGGAGTTTCCACTTTCATGTTGTGTCCTGTGAGGTTCACACGATCCTTGGCCAAGGGCTTGTTTCTTCTGCCCGGGAAAAGGTCCAGATGCTCGCGTTCCAGCACAACGGGCAGCTCGTCGATCGGCAAGTGAAGAGCGCGCATTGGACAACTCCCTCGCGTCTCGACCGTGTTGAACAAGTGCGCGTTTGGCAATGTGAGCTGTCCCTTTGCGGAGAATCGCACTTTCGGTACCTCTTCTGGTCAGGGCAAGTTGCGTCTTTCCAGCAGGAACGACACGGAACAGAATATATGAGGGAGCGCAGAGTGCTGCGGCCTCGATGCGCTGAATCGGGTGCATTACCTACGTCAAGTCCTGCTGGCTGTGCAGCAGCGGGCTGCTGCGCGACTCCTCCCTGTTCACCGATATCTGCTTCGTGAACCGTGGCGTCATGTGGGGCGTCTCACAAAGCGGGGTCTAGACAGTCCTGGGTGTTTTGTGCGGTATCAAGGTGCGGTCCCGCCTCTGCCTGATGTTCGGCGATGTCTCTGTCCGCTTCAACGTCTGCAGGGTCGAGGCCGCTGACAAACTCGATCCAGGCTGCCTTTTGTCGCGCAAAGTCGTTGTTTCCGATCTCATCTTACTGACGCAAGCCAGTTTTCGAGCCGAGTGTCAGGTTGTGATTGTTGCGCAGGTGGTCCACAAGGTCAAAAGGCCCGAACGTCTTGCTGGCAGTAAGGGCACTGACGGACTTCACGACGATCCGGGAAGAGATGGTTCTGGCAAATGTGCCTGACCATCTTGTGACGCTCTTTCCAGACATGGCCACGAAATGTCATGGGCTGACTTGGATCGAGAAGACAGAATCGACAGATGAGCCTTTCCTACATCTCGTCGCCGACTACTTCGGCCTCAATAGTGAACAGAAGATGCCTTTCGCTTTCCTCGTCTTCAGAGTCCTCGTCGCTGTCTAGCAGACGTGCAGCGACCGCTGCCGGAACGCGAAGGCAGTCACAAGCAGCACCATTGTTGCGTACCAGCAGGGTGGCGATGGATCAAGCTGATGCAATGGGACCTTCGCCCATCAGCGCTCGAACCGCGATGTCGTCCTCCCGCTCGTTTGCGAGCTCGGTAATGCGTCGGAGGCGAAGCAGTCGTCTTGTCTCGTGCACGCGGCTGGTGCGGATGTTGAGGTCGCTCTGAAGTCTGTCGCACACGTCGGACTCGAGATCTGCTGCGATGGCCTCGTCCAATGCTGCAACGGCCTCGGCCTGTTCCCTGAAAAGCCTTTGCAAGATCGGACTGCTTTCGATGCTGGCATGTCCGGACGCCTCGAGTCTGGATGCCAGATGCGGCAGAGCTCCAACGTGAAGGAGACCGTAATGGACGATCTTGGCTCGCGATCCTTTGCTCCGCTGAATGAGGCCTTGAACATCAATGACATTGCGCCTGTTGAGGTAGCTCGTGACCATTATGTCGGAGGAGAGGGAGTGGCCTGCCGACATCCTCTTGGCATTTTCCGACATGGAGGCTGCGTCAAGCCTTTGGATGACCATGCGTCTCAGCGAGTAAACTCGGCAGCCAGGGAGACCAGACACTGCTGACATCTTGACTGGAGCATCATTGACATGTTGATGTTGTACGACACGGCGTCCGACACCTTCCAAGAAGATGTTGACCTATTGCGCCTGCCTCCAACCTGCCTCCAACCGACTCAGACTCGTCGGCGGGCTCGACTTCGCCAGCAGGCTCGGAATTGCGCGATGGCCCAGGATTGCTGGCCGACTGGGTGCCCCTCGTCGATCTGCGAGGGCGTGCTGGTCGGGAACCCTCGGCGGCTCTAGAGGCCGTGCTCGACTCGAGCGCTGGCTCAGGGTTCTGCTCGAAAGCACATAAGACGCAGCGATCGACAATTTCTTCCTTGATCGGAATGGGGAGGTAGTCGTGCTCTTGAAAGTATGCCGGATCGGCTGTCTCGTCAGCGCGGGCCAGAGTGATGCCGCGGGCGAAGACCTCGTCTTGTTCTGCCATTGCTGCAAGGAGGAGGACTACGACCGTGCACGCAGGCCCACACCTTGTCGTGGAGCGGCTGGAATCGCCACTCGCTGGGGTCTGGTCGTGGGTCCTTCAGATTTCGGAACCTGATCTTATCTGCAGGTCACAAACAAAGGGCGTGCGGCCACTCAGGACGTTTCACGAGGGCTCTGGAGAAGCATCTGATCGCCATACACGCCGTGCACGATCAAGAATCCCAAGTCCTCATACTCTAAGACACCTCGCAGCGATAGCAATCGTGACAAATTGACAATGATTTGGTGTCTATACAGCAGGTGCGCCTTCAGCCGACCAGCCCATGACAAAGCTTTGAACTCTCTGTCTCGCCCTCCGCTTAAGCTTTGTCATCCACCCATCTCCCGTCTGGGCCGGCTGCACACTCCATCCGCCCAACCAGCCGCGTTTGACCACGTACATCTCGCCCGCCTTTGCCGCTTCGCCCTCCTTTCCTTTTCCTTTCGCGTCCTTCTTGGCATCAATCGCGCCTGCTTTGCCCGTGGGGAGCAGCTCGATGCGCGGCGAAGTGGGGTCGAGGAAGATATTGAAGCGCGTGGAGAAGTTCATCCGTGCATGTTGGGGTACCGCAGGAGGGTTGGTGTATGAGACCAGGTCGAGGGTATAGATGAGGATCATGGCGAGGCTACAGAACGTATCGAATATAGCTAGGTCAGTGATAGGGTCACTGAGAACCTGGTGTGGGTTAGGACTTACACGAGCGGTACGGTGCCGAGAAGGTAGAAGAGCATCGGGTCGTCGGCGCCCTTTCGCGTTCGTCTGGCGAGACCTTCGAGATTGAGGTCGATAGGGAAATCAGAGTCGTTCCATTCACCGTCGAGATAGATCTGGAAGGCTGACCAGTCGCGTGCGCACTTCCAAGCGAAGTGCAGCGTGAGGCACATGAGTATGGTGATGACGTGGAAGGCTACGCCTGAGACCAGGCGGTATCGCAGTCGAAGAAGGAGTGTGCTGCGGCAAGCAGGCGAGCTTGTCAGCTTGGCGTGCTCTGAGAGATGACCGGACTGGAAATGGATAACTTACAGCATGATCAAGACGAATAGCACGACGAGTTCCAGTCCGTCCGCCATGAGTGGCAGTAGGGTAAGGCTTCTGCCAATGTTGATGGTGGTGCAGGGCAGCGATGCGCCTTCGACGGTCACAGTAGCCAGCTCCTTCTGGTCCACCCATGAGGTCAGATCTGTCAACAAATTAGGTCAGCGGACATGCCTTGCCACCTTCATTCCTCAGAACGACTTACAAGAAGCAAAGTCGCAAGCGGCGACAACAGTCATCACGAGCGCGACCCCATTTGCCAGTCTCGCCCCATACGCCGTATACTTGATCCATCTCCCGCCCACAGCGATGCGCTTGCCGAGCAGACCGAAGACCTGAAACGTCGTCTCACACAGCATCATCGGTGCGCAGCTCACCAACCCGTTGGCCGCCACCAGCTCGATGAGGCTCGACTGCCAAGAAGTAGCGTCGAAGGATAGCACATGCAGGAGGTTGGAGAGATGCGCTCGGAGAGCAGACCAGATGGTGAGGCAGAAGACGAAGAGGAGCGTGGGCGTGAAGACAATTAAAATCTGCGGGAAACGCCGCCCGGCAATGGTGCGGAGGAGACCGATGACGAGGAAGATGAGGGCGATGAAGAACAGGACCATGCTCCTGCAAGAAGAACGAAAGGCGAAGGTCATGAGAGGGTCAGTATGATTGAGCAGTCGTTGACAAGCGAAAGGGCGCTTACGGTGCAAGGTCGTCTCCCCGAATTGTCAGTCCACCAATGAGAGCGGAAGTCCAAGCAAGCGAGGTTGCGCAGGGAGCGCCGACGGATTGCGCCTCGAAGGGTTCTCTGGGCGGCATTTTCGGGGTGATGTCTTCGACATGGATGAGAGAAGGCAAGAAGCCGCCATTGTGCCCCCCCTTGGGTCACGGATGCAGCGCTGTGCGCAAGGGAACGGCACACCAGAAGGGACAGAACATCTGCTCTCGAACGGGGCAGGATGGCTGAGCACGTTCAGCGTCAAGACCAACGAGAATGCACACGCGCGTCGGAACAAGGTTCGATCCCACTACCGACATTGTGAGTCGGCGCACATTGAAACCGACTTCATCAACGACCCGTAGAGACGCCATGCTCAAGGTTGGAAGCGCAGCAGCAGCTATTTCGAAATCTGTTAAGCCTCGGTCCCACCACGCAGCCGGCACACGTGACTGAAATCGGCTTTTCGCACGATTCGAGGCTCTGTGACTCCAAGCAGAGCGAAAAGGCTAATTTGGAAGAAAGGCGCATGCACCATCTTCTCCAAGGGTTCTTGCCTTCAACACCATCTATCGCATCATCCTTCGAGAACGTCCGCATCGCCTTCGCCACTTCTCACCTATCAGTAGGAGGGCAACCGACTCACTAGACCGCGCTTGGCTCTTTTACTGCGCTGTCAGACTCTTTCGATACACCCTTTCTGCATCGCAACGGCCTCGAGGACTGAGTCGACTGGCAACTACACACAGCAATGTCGGCACCACAACGATTGACAGGCGAGCCGACCGCAGAGACGGTGCTCGCCGCTCTCGATGCCGCACCCAACGGCAAGATCGCCGACACTCGTCTCATCGCACCCGAAGTCTCGACCGCTTCAGCGGACGCGGAAGCTGACCCGGCCAAGCGCTCGGAAGCCAACGAAGCCGTTTTCAAGGAGCGAGCGCGATGGCAGCTTGCCCTTTCCGACGTGCTCAAGTCGCTGCTCAGCAAGGAGATGGTAGTGACCGAAAAGCTGGAAGAAACAACATCCGCTCCCCTTCCTGACGGATTCGTGTTGCTCCAGAACGGCTCGCCAGAGATCCGACTCGTCAAGGCACTGCCCGACGCCGAGGGTTCCGGCAAGTCGATCGACGAGCTCAAGTCCCTTCTCGGCGCTGACGTGCTCAAAAACGGCCAATCCAACGCCTTCCGCAACAAGTGGGCCAAGAAACTCCCCGACGGCACCTTCGGTCGTACCGAAGCAACACTCGGCAAGTCGGACGCCGACCTTCGCGACGAGATTCAAGAGCAAATCGCCGAGATCCTCAAGACCGGCACGCTCGCCGCATCCGATGCGGACAAGAAGCTCGCCGAACTCCGCAAGCGCAAGCTGGTGGCCACGCGCAAGCTCGTCTTCTTCTCCATCGCCAAAGGCCCCTCCTTCTCGCTGACGGTGCAGAAACTCGAGACGGATCTGACGTTTGAGATGCTCCAATCGGGTTCGTGGGCCAGTGCGCCGTTCAAGAAGTACAACTTCAACGCCGAAGGTGCGGTTCCTGCCTCGGGGGCTTTGCATCCGCTGTTGAAGGTGAGGAGGGAGTTCCGCAATATCTTCTTCGAGATGGGTTTTACGGAGATGGCGACGGATCGATTCGTTGAATCGAGCTTCTGGTGTTTCGACTCGTTGTTCGTTCCTCAGCAGCATCCGGCGAGGGATGTGCAGGATACGTTCTTCATCAAGGACCCGCCCTATGCGACGCACATTCCGGAGGACTATCTGAAGCGCGTTACGCAGGTGCACCAAGAAGGCGGATTTGGATCGGTTGGGTATCGCTATCCTTTCGACCGCAAGGTGACGGAGAAGCTGGTGCTGCGCACGCACACGACGGCGGTATCCAGCGCAATGCTGTACAAGCTCGCCAACCAACCAGGAGGGTTCAAACCCGCCAAGCTCTTCTCCATCGACCGCGTGTTCAGGAACGAAGCCGTCGACGCCACCCACCTCGCCGAGTTCCACCAGGTCGAAGGCGTCGTCGCCGACTACAACATCACCTTGGGCGACCTGATCGGCTTCATGGAGGTGTTCTTCAAAAAGATGGGCGTCACGAATCTGCGTTTCAAGCCGGCCTACAATCCCTACACCGAACCGAGTCTCGAGATCTTCTCGTACCACCAGGGACTCAAAAAGTGGGTCGAGGTGGGCAACTCCGGCATGTTCCGGCCGGAGATGTTGCGGCCCATGGGGCTGCCAGAGGGCGTCAACGTGCTGGGTTGGGGATTGAGCCTCGAGAGACCGACGATGATCCGGTACGCCGTGAAGGACATCCGCGAGTTGGTCGGACACAAGGTGCCTATTAGCAGCGTGGAGAATGCTCCCGCGACGAGGTTCTAAGGTTGATGTGTAGACTAGATAATCGAGACGCGATGTTACAACGTATGTGATGATTAGCCCATGAGATCCTTTTGAAACATGTCGAGCACCAACGGATCCATCGTCTCCACCACACGGCTGAAGCCAGGGTTCGTCTGAGCGTGCGCCAACACCCGCCGAACATGCTCCCCAACCTCCACTGTCAGAGTCCCATCCGCCACCGCTACGCGCTGCGCCCTCGCCGCACCAGGCGAAACATCCTGCAACCAACCACCCTCGTCATCGTCGTCAAAGAACACATCGGCCAACTCCATCGATGCGATCGGCGAAGTGGGTCTCAGATATTTCCCCGTATCCAGCGGTCGTGACTCCTTGATCTCGGCCAACATCTCGGACCACACAGCAATCATCTCTGGCGTACACGCCACCACCGCCTGCACCACCTCCCCCGATTCAGGGTGCTGCTCCGAATGTGCGATCGCCGAATCGAGCATCGATGCGAGCCCCAACGCTGTCACGCGCCGCTTGCGGGCCGACGCCATGTTCTCGAACCGGCTGCAGATGTATTTGAGCAGTGCTGGAAAGACCGATGCTGGCGTCGGGTAGTCCGGACCGGAGATGTGGGTCCAACTTGCGCACACGAGTCGAACGAACGAATCTCCCGGACAATGATACGCGATCCGGCAGAGGAGCGCTACGAAATGCGTCGCGATCAGCGTGGCGTCCTGGAAATGCAACAGGGAACCGACGAGCGCAGCGGCGAGCCGGGTGGACTCGAGCGCGCCGATCCACCGGGTGCAGACCTCGGACCAGTTGGGCAGCGACACGAGCGCCTGGATGAGCGTGTCGAGCGCCGAAATGGGCGCTAGCACCATCGGGTTCGACGGGTCGGCAATGATGCCCCCGAAGGCCGTCAACAAGTCCTGCCCGTACGTCTGCAGCATCTCGAGCGGGTTGAGCAACGAGATCTCCTCCACGACGCGACACATTTCGACGCAGTAGTCCGGCTGAACGATCAGGTCTTTCGCCAGGTCGAGCAGCGAGAACAGCGGCTGGGTCATGGTGGGCGTCGAATGGAGGGCGCGGATCCAGAGCATCGAGATGGCGTCCTTGGCCAGCAGATGCGATACTTTCGGATGCAACGACTCGCGCACGATGGGCGAGACCATGTGATGCACCTTCTGCATCAGCGCGCCACTGCTGCCGGTGGCGGGGAGCATCTCGATCGCGCGCAGGACCTTGGAGATGAAGACGATGATCGAAGGACGCGCCTTGCAGTCCGGATCGTCCTGCTGCCAGAGCATGGGTACGAGATCAACGAGGGCGTCTGCGTGCGGCGCGATGCGAGGTCCCATGCGCTCGATAAGGATCGACAGCGCATCGGTGCATACTTTGATCGACTCCATCTCGTGCAGATCCGAGGCGGCAGCGAGAGTGGCGAGGTTTCGGAGGGCTTCGGGGAGGAATGGCTCGAACCCGTCTGCATCGAATTCGAGGGCGTCGGCGATGGCGGAGATGGATCGCGCTGCAGCGAGTCGGACGGCCACGTCGGTCTGGTCGGGGACATCTTCGAGCAGGTCGACAAGAAGTGCGTAGACGTCTAGGCGTGCTTCTCGCGGCACCTGCTCGGACCATTCCCACAGCAGCCAGGCGATTCTGCGACGGATCATGACCCACATGGGCGAAGTGACGCTGCCGAGGCGCGCCTCCGGGATGAGCTTGTTGGCGATGGCTTGGCCCATGAGCACATCCATGCTGGGACGATCGTCATCTTTGCCAGCGGGGCTGAGGTGTTCACGACAGCGTCCGACGGCTGCGTAGATCGCGTCTCGGGCCAATACGTCGTCCTGGTTATCGGTAGAGAGTTTGGACGATGCTTCGAAGTGCTGCCATAGGTGCTGGCCGACAAAGCCAACGGGCTTGGTGTGCTGTGCAAGCACCATCAGTGCGCGTTCCGCTGCGGGGCGAATGTCGAGTTCGTGATTCTCCTGCTCCTCCCCTACGGCCCATTCCTCTGGGTCTGCCTGCCAGCGCTCCAAATCGTCGCTGTTGAGGCGCATGAGTCGGCCTGCGAGAACGTCGGCGGCTTCCCTTGCAAAGTCGTGGGTGATGAAGAAGCCGCCTTCAGGGCGGTTACCCTTCCATTGCGTGAGCGAGTACTTGAGTAGTACGAGCGCTTGTACGACGAAGCGAGGTGGATAGTCGATGATGGCGGAGTGATTTGCATACTCGTCTCGCGGGACAGAAAGACTTTGGTCAGTTACGTCCTTGGCTTGCATCCAGTACCACGCCACGACCTCGGACCAGCCTTCCCAGAATGCGGCCTTTCCGTTGTCTCTTTGCACGAGTGATAAGAAGAATTTGCCGAAAGAGTAGAGATGCTTGGTAAGTGCTGTGACCAGCGCGGTCGAGACAGCGGACGAGGTGGAAGAGCCTTGCGAGCTGCGCAACGATCGCAGGTATGCCAGTCTAGTGTCTTTGAGCGTCTGCAAGCAGTGCGGCGTAGATCGAAAGAAAGCCTGAGCCATGTTGGCCGAGCTGCCCCCCTGAGCTGTGTTGGATCTCGAAATCATGCCAATGTCTGCCACAGCAAGGCGTGAGATGGCTTTGAGCAGCAGATGACTGGTGCGCACCTGTTCCGGCCGCAACGCTGTGTTGGACCATGTTGAGAGTGTAGCGAGATCGTCTCCTGTGCTGAGTGAAAACACCTCGGAGAAGTATTGCTGAAAGATAGGATGGAGCACTGGGAGTAGTTCGCGCGAAAGCTCGGTCATGCGCATCTTGCCAGCAAGGACCCGGACAGACTCGAGCTCCTTGAGCGTCTTTGAGCAGACATCGGCTGCACGCATGAGCACAGTGGTGTTGAGCTGGCGTGCATGTGCTATCGCGGGATCCTCGGGCTGGTCAAGTTGAGGCGGCGGACCCAGTGACGCGAGATTCGCATGTGCTTCGACCATGGCTTGCTGCAGTGTGGTGAACAGATCTGGCCAGTCTCGTGGATAATCGAGACGTGCAATTCGAGATATTGAGACCGATGCTTGAAGTGCAATGGTACGGTTTGGCTCGCGCAGACAGTGAAACAAGGCGTGGCGTATTGCCTGCTTGGTCTCTGCGGGGATGGTGACGGTGACGCGAGCCATGACCCTGCTTCTCCAGAACTTGTCGATGCCATTCTTGAATCGGATGATGGCGAGGATGCGGACAGAGTCGCGTTGCTCTTGTGTCGAGGTGCCCGATGAAGACGAGGAGGAAACTTGCAGTTCGGTGTCGAAAGCGATCTGGAGGAGTACGAGCCAGAAGTTGGGATCCTTCTCCCAATCCTCGAGCTGCGAATTGGCTCTCGAGAGCTGAGCGGGGTCTGAGGAGGATGCCAGAGTGAGCACCTGGACGAGTGCAGCCTTTGCGTCCGTCATGTTGACCTTCTCTCTGCTCGTGCGTGGTCAAGGTCGGAGAACTCGAACCCTCTTTGCCAAGACCTATGCGATGACTGTAGATGGATGAGAGATGAAGGTCGATAGGCTGATCCGATCAACGAGCCGTAAGAAGAACAACACTTTCCACAAAGTCACGCTCGCCTGGTCCGAGACCCGCCTTTCGTCAAGTCACGCAGCGTGGGAAAAAAAAGAGCTTAACTTTTTGGGCTTGCAGATGGCGTTCTGTGAAAACCTCCACCCGAGGTCAGGGTCCAGGTCAGCTGGTTCTCTCGGCTCAGCCTGGCTGCCCGTCGTACCACCATCTCTATCTGATGTAGCACCATCGCCAGCACTGTCGGCTGTCGGCTGTCGGATGTAGCTGCTTCGATCATGGCAGTATGAGGCAAGATGGCGCTCAACGCTGCACACATCCGGGCTCGAGCTCTGTCCCCCGATCCACCAAGTGCGAGGCCTAGCATCGAATCACGGCGTCGCTCAGCATCACCACCCTCAACTTACTCCATCCGAGCCGGGATCGGAAGCTCCTCGAGTTGCTTGCGCAACGCACCAGATGACAGCACCGAATGGTACGCACTGCGCACTGGAGAGTCGCTCGCTGCCAAGGCGCTTCGTATGCGCCACCGCTTTGTCAAGGCAACTTACCTCAGCGATCCTTCGCTTGCGGCCTCGCAGTCTGCATCGGTGGAGCAAGCTGTGCCCCCACACATCTTCCAAACACCGAACGAGGATGTCGAAGCGGCGAAACCCACTCTAGCTCAGCTCTACTCGGAGTTAGCGCAGGACATGGCTATACCACCGTCCGAGCGGTCTCACACCGGCTCAGCGTCCTCCACGGCAAGGGGACACGCGAGTCCGTCCCATCATGACGCTTTGGACCAGAAAATACATCGCGCTCATCGTCATGGCCATCCGTCTCAGTTGCGACACGAAACCGATTGGTTCATTTCAAAAGCCTTCGACAGACTCCGTCAACCACAACACGCTACTGCGTCAAGTGCTCGCACGGCCAGAATCGTGGCAGTCGAGCAACCCGTCGCGTCTTCGTCAGGCACTCGGCGTTGTCTGCGTTGTGGAGACGTCTTTCCTCAAGATGTCACGCCCGAGTACATGACACGACACCGTCAGAGCATTGGCCACCGACTCGGCTTGAACGCTCCAGTGTCATCCACATCAGCATCGGAAGCGCCCTCCCAAGCTCCATCTGAGGCTGTGACTCCTGCAGCTCGCTCTAGATCATCGAGTCAAGAACCCCACGCTCTTTTGGAGACTCCGATGCAGGACACTCCCAGACGTTTGACGAGGATACCGCGCAGACTCAGCAACGCGCCGCGCTGGAAGAAGATAGCGGGCGACAACGTCGGTCACAGCTTGCTCTCACGCATGGGATGGAAGGAAGGCATGGGTCTCGGCGTTCAGGAATGGAAGTGGCAGCAGCTTCGTCGTGAGAAGGAGAAGCGACTACGCTCTGCTGCCGTCCGGTCTCTGCTCCTGCGCCAAGGTTCCGGTGATCAACAAAGGGGATCCGAGCTGCAACCCTCGATGCCTTTTGCACTTGAGCTTCGGGATCGTGAGGAGCAACGCATCGCCGCTGAGGCATGGTTGTCCGGTCTGGTCGGACCAGAAGCCGAGTGGATCCAAACCATGATGCTGAACGAACGACAATTGCTGCAGCAGGCGTTGATATCGGGGCAAGTCACAATTAAGGACCTTCAGGAGGCGCTTTCGATCGATGCAGACGGCTTCTCGCCTGCCCTATTCGGCTCGCTTCAGCCGAACGAAGCCATGCCGATAGACGAAGCCCTGACGGAAGCGCAAGATGATGACGCCTTGCAAAGCGACGCTCTTCTCTACCCCGTCGAGGTCGAGCTGCGCAGTGATCGACGCGGCATCGGTGTCAAACGATCCTCGACTGACGCACTTTCCGGGGCCCATCAGCGTCGGCGTTCGCGAGCCGCAGAAGGAAGCGTCGAGATACGGAGACAGTCTCCAGGTTCGAACGAAACGCTTGCAAAGAGGATCCGACCAACATCAGCGGGTCGACCTTTCAGGTCACCGACCCGCTCGCGATCGCGTTCGGGCGCCGGAGCTAGCGGCCGTTCCGAAACGCAGGCCGAGCTCACACGAAGGCAACGTGAGCAAGCGTATCAGCGTGACAAGCGAGACTGGCTCGATCTGCGCGCTTCGCTTTCATGATCGCACCTTCTACGAAGACCCTTTAGCAGCAAGGCGCACATCCTTATACCCAGCTGCTACCTTCAAAGCACAGGCATTCCCTGACATCGATCGAAGCAGCGGTTACAACAGTCGAGCTGTATTGCAGTGTCGCCGTGCATTGAAATTCAATGTGATCTATACGAGCTTGGCAAGATTCTGAATGCCCTCGGTCTCGAGACGCATTCCCTTCCATTCGTCCTGTGGCTTGGCGCCCAGCACCTTGGTGTAGAAGGCGATTGACGGGCTGTGAATCGACCCGCAAGCAAAAGTCAGCCGCTGTCACACGATCAGTTCGGGGCTGAAGCAATACATACGCATTCCAAGTGAGCACGCTCCAGTCCATCCTTCCGCAGTCCTTCTCCAGCGCGACCTCGCCCAGTGCCTTGAAGAGCAGCTTCCCTACGCCCTTGTTTCGCAGCGTCGGGATGACAAAGAGATCCTCGAGGTAGAGCGAAGGCTTCGATGTCCAGGTGGAGAACGAGTAGAAGTAGAGTGCCATTCCGACCGACGTAACGGAAGAATCCTGGTGTTGCTCGGCGATCAGGACTTCCGCATAGCCCTTGTTGAACACGTTCTCCTCGAGCGTCTGAACGGTGGCTTTGACCGCGTCCGGCTCCTTTTCGTAGTCGGCGAGCTGCTGGATGAAGTCGAGGATGACAGGACAGTCCTCCTTCGTGCCGCGGCGGACGACGAACTCTTTGTCAGAAGAAGTGGCGAGTGTGGACATGGTTGAAAGCGGCGCCGGCGGTAACTATGTGATGGTATGAAAGGAAGACAAGTATGGATAGCCGAAGGATATGTGTTTGCATTCGGAGCGAGGCTGTCGAGCGTGGAAGAGTCATACATCGCTGCCCCGCGTTTTGGAAGCCGCTTGCCCCCACGCTGAGTGTCTTCCGCGGAGAGGGGTGCGTCAAAAAGCTCGGATTGCGGCCAAGCCAGCTGGCCAACGGATCCAATCTTCGCACGGTCATTTCACGTTTGTTACTTTGCCCATCTGTCCGTCCATACAACGTTCGTCTTCCGATCATCACGGACAATCGCACAGCGATTTCGACGGCGATGGGTGTCTCGAGCACAGCAAGATTGCCATCGCTAGGCGCACAGTCGATACCGCCGCTCTTCAGCCACCTGCAGCACACCTCGAACGCCAAGGTGGTCTCGAGATGGAGCATCACCGTGCGCTCCTTCCGCGCTGTGCCCGTCCCGACCAACGCATGGCCTTCGTCGGACCAGTATGACTCAGACTTCTTCGCCAATGAGGCTTCGGGGAGCAACGGTGCCAAAGCTGCATCTTCATCCACCACACAGGCCGCAACATCGGGCAGCAGCTCGCTTTCGAGCGGCGGAGCCGGATCATCCGCATCAGGCGCGCCACCATCGACCAAGCCGAGAACCATGTGGCAGGTGTGGATGTCCGACTTCCCAGGGACGGTGTTCGTGATCGTCGAAGACACAGGCAGGTCGTCACGTGCCAAGGTCTGGCGAGACTGGGAGCTGGCAACGAAGAAGTGGAAGAAGCAGAAGCGTCAAGAGATCGAGGCGAGACGGAAGAGGGATGCGCAGAAGCCGTCGGAACAGCACCTTTCATCAGGACGCACAGATGATGGGTCAGCTAACACAGAAGGAACGAAGCCCGAGGGCAATCCCACGTCGACGACGCAGGCTGATACCGCTGCCAAGGATGAGAACCAGTCGGAGCCTATGGACGTGGATGCCGCTGCATCGATAACAGATGCCGATGCGGCCGGAGCAAAGGTCGAAGCAGACGTGTCAGGACCGTCAGTCGCTCCCACCTCGGAGCAAGCGACAATCGCCACCTCGCTCTCGACAGAACAGTCCACAGACACGACCATGGTCGACAGTATCGATGACGACCCGATCGAGACCGCCGGACCGAAGCCTGCACTTCGCCTGCCCTCCCACACGCGCTACACCGTCTCTGCCCTCACCTCGTCCATGTCGGCCATGCTGACGAGCCTCAACCTCCCCCCACCGCACGGAGCCCCCGTCGGCACAGCGGGTCCTGGCGCCTGGGTCCCACGCGGCGCCGCCGTCTCGATCGAAGGCCTCATCCTCGAGATCAACAGTTCGTCCCTCAACGCGCTGCCTGGCATTTCTCCCGCGCTCACCTCCGTCTCCACCGCAGACGACGCCGTGAGCTCAAGCGGGGTGGACTGGCGCGTGAGAGTGGGCAGTGTCATGGGCGGCGGTGGGCGTAGCGCTGGAGCTATTGTCGAAGCAGAGTTCTTGCCAATCTCGACGCTTTTGCCGACATCCAAGTTCATGCACGATTTTCTGTACTCGCTCTTTCCACCTGGACTCGTACCCATGCCAGCGCCAGTTGCAGGGATGAACGCGCAAGGCGCGGCGGCTACGTCGCTGAACGGGAGCGTAACGGGCACTCCCAGAATGGGCAACGCCACGCTTGGTGCTGCCAACAACACGGCTGCAAGCACGACGGCAAACGCGTCCAGCGCCAGCTACACCATCGGTGGTGGAACAACAGGCGCGACACCGCCCAATCGCAACTTCAACATCCCAGTGGTATCGGATCAGCTGTGGGAAGAGGTGGTTCCGCGCTCGGGCGAAGGCTGGCGTCGACGCATTGCGAAGCGCTCTCATCAGATGAAGGTCGCTGCACGGGTACAACGCAGGCAGAGAAAGAACGCAACCACATCAACGCAGTCTGTCAACAAGACTCGAGTCGTGGCCCCGGAGACGAATGGCGATGATGCGTTTGGATGGCACACCTTCGGCTCGGACGAGGAGCCAGACGCAGAAGCGCACGCTAATGGCGACTGGCAGGACGACAACGACTTGTCTTCGTCCGAGTCAGAGACTGATCAAGTCCTCGTCACAGACTCTATTGCAGCAGCTGGAGGGCTGACAGGAACAGCAGTGACAATGCAGCAGGTGGACGAAGAAGACGATGACGATGATGACGATCGACCCCTCGGCGCACCTGCCTGGTCCAATGCCAACACTCGTACTTCGTCCGCGTCCAACTTGAACAGCGCGTCCGTCTCAGTAGCTGCGGCAGCGAAGAAGGAGGACACGGTGCAGCTCATCTTCCAGGGTCTTCGAGCGGATGAGAAGGATGCTGATGACGGTGCCGGGGCAGATGGGTGGAGTGGGATCGAAAGAGGGCGAAGGATTGCTTTCCAGTACGTACAGATGCTGCGCGCCGAAGGCATCATCTGAGCCTTTGCTCGTCAACGATCTGTCCAAGTCTCATTTCGCGTGTGATCCCACATTGCAAACGAGAGTCCTGAGACGATGAGCAAGAGTGATGACGACGAGAGAACCCTTCCAACTTGTCTATCGACTTGCTCACGATCTGACACTTCCGAAAAAAATCAACGCGGTTCTGGAAGACTGCCGAAGGCGCCGTCCGTGCATCCAATTTGGTGCATGCGTGGAAGCTTGCAGCCTTTCTTCTCCACCTTCATCCATCGCCCCTCCTCTCATCGTCAACATGAGCTCCGGCTACGAGCTGCATCAGAAGCTGCGCACCAAAACGGTGCGTCAGGTCAAGAAGAAGCAATACGATGAAGCCATCTCGACCCTCCACCAAGGCGCCCTGTCCCTCCTGTCCCAATCCGAGCAAGGGTCCGGATGCGACCTGGCGGTCTACATGATCGACGTGTACGGCATCAAGTCTCAACTTGTCGACTCGGAATCTCGCGATCGCATCACCGACATCCTCGCTCAAGCAGCACCCGACTTTTGGCGCAAGAAGGTGGTCGATGCCGCCGTAAAGTGGAGCGTCAAAGCCACGGGTGCGTCGACGGGCGACCCATTGCTTCGCCTCTTCGTCGCAAAGATGTATGCCAAAGACGGGGAGTACGAGCACGCGGAACCGCATTTCCTCGCGAGCTGTATCGAAACCGAACAGACCTATGCTGTCGAGAGCGCACCCAAGGCCTACGCAATCGCAATGGCATCCTGGCTGGGGAAGTTTGCACAACAAGCCTCGGAACAGCCGGGGGAGACGCGCAATCCAGATGCAATCCAGCGCATCGAAGCGGGTCGCTTCGCACTGCGGGCCACCATCCCCCTTCTCGCTAATCACGCCGTTCAACCCGCTATCGCTTTCCAAGAGACCTATCTCACCACCGTCACGAGCTCCCTCAAGAGCCTGCTGCTCCCTGTCACGCCCAATCCACGACCCTACACGCCACCGGGCGCATCAACCCCATCGAACGTCCAACTGTACCTAACGGCCAATCCGGACCTCAACTTCTCCCAGATGGCTGTGGCGCTCGTTTCCGAGTCGGCCAAGTTGCCGGCCAATCAGCGCAAACCCGATTGGTTGCGGAACGCGTGGATCAACCTCGTCCGCCAATATGAGAGGGAAGCCCCGGCGCTGACCCAGGAGGACGGCGTGAGGGGGGCAATCCCGCAGATCGGGGCGGATTGGTTTGGTTTGCAGCCCCCAAGGGCGCAGGGAAATGTGCTGTCGGATATGATGGCGGGGTTGTTTGGTGGGCCGACTGGGGCGGGTGCGGGGGGGAGGAAGGAGTCGTCGCAGATTGCGGGTGCGGGTGCGCCACCAAAGCCGCTTGCGAGTGGAAGTGCACAAGGGCAGCCAGCAGCAGCACCAGCGCCAACGACGGCAGTGGCCGACGACTTGGTCGACGACGAGATGGATTGAAGGAGCGTTGTTGGTATGACAGCCTCATCGGGCACATCTGCAATCGAACACTCTCTCTGCACCTGGTGATCCTTTTGAATGTTGTCGACTCTTGCCTGGATACCAAGTCTCCCAAACAGCCACGGGGCACGCTGAGCAGACACACACACACACAAACACATCATCTCGTTGATGCGAACCATTGTATGCATTGCAACAACCAAAACAGAACCCAGTAAAAGCGACATCAGGTCAAGCGAACGCATCCTGAATATCAGCCACGTCCGCCGTCTCTCCGCTCTGATCGTTGGTGAAAGTCAAGAAGTTCTGCGGTCGATGAATCTCGTCCCAAAAGCCGGCCGGTCGATCCAGTACGACCTTGTACTTGATGTTGCTGGACCACTGAGCGGACAGACTCAGGCCATAATTCCACGCGCCTTCGCTGGGGGTCAGCGTGGTACCCAGGATTCGATCGCTGAGCAAGAGCTGGACGCGATCCATCATGGTTCCTGCGTTAAATCCTCCTCCTCCAGCGGCGATTTCGGTGTCGGTCGCCTTGCGACCCCATTCGAAGCCCGCCACGGTGAGGTTGTAGGCGGAGAGGCTGACGGAGCCCGGGGTGAAGGCGCACGTTATGCCGATGGTCGATGCTCCCCACTCGGTGTGTGCCGCCATGGTGCGCGCGTGCATCGCCACATCCTGCGGTGGAAGGTGGGGCAGGTCCATGGAGGACGTCTTGATCCATCCCAGCGGTTCGAGGTCTTTAAGGATGAACTCGTGTTCCGGCAGCTCGTCCGGCAGCTCGACGCGATGGTTGGACCCACGCTGCGGAACCCACACGATGACCTTAATCTCCTTGATGCTCGGCGCGTCTGCAGGCGAAACACCGTACATGTACCCCGCCACCTGCGTCCGCAGATCCGCATTGACGATGAACGTCTTGAGAATGTTCTTCGGCATGACATAAGTCAGCGAACCCACGTCATCCTTGATGTCGTCGTTCGAGACGTACAGGTGCTGACAACGGAGAGGCAGGTTGGTGGCGGACAGAGCGCGAACACGCCAATCCGACTTGGAACTGAACACCTTGTTCTCGTACTGCGTCGTGGTGACCGTCTGGATCTCCTCGCCGTGCACGTTGACGGTTCGTACCTGCGTCGCCGTCACCTGCTGCGCCGCTTCCGCCGTCTTCTCCAGCTCCGCCATCTGCTGCCGCTGCACGGAGGGTGCCTGGATCGTCATACCCAGGATGATGTCGCGGATCTCGGACGACGTCAGCGAGTTGACATTGACATTGTTGCGCTTGCCAAAGTCGGCCAGGATGAGGTCACGGAGTTGAATTTCGACCTTGATCCACTCTTCGTCGGTCAGCGTCGGCCAGAGGTGATGCGGTTCCGTGACGACACCCGGGTGCGGACGGAGGATGATCTTGGCCTTCTCCTGGTTGACATGCAGCGATCGCAACAGCAGGATGAGTCGCGAAAAGGCAGTGAAACTGCTGACGTTGGACATCCAGTTGTCGTACGACGAGTAGAGCACCATCTGTGGCTGCGTCGCCTTGAGCACCAAGTCACCGATCGCCTCCAGCTTGAGGAACGACTGGAACGGCAGCTGCAGCTCAGATCCGACAATCGACAAGTTCGGAAAGTCGAGCGAGTGCGTCTCGAGCGGATCGAGCATGCCCTTGCGCGAGACGATGATGCGCTTGGGCTGCTCTTCGACAGGCAGACTGCGCACCAGTGCGATCGTCTCTTCGGCTGTCTTCCACTTGGCCAGCTGACCCAATCGCTTCTGACCTGCCCAAACCGAGGTGTGGATGATCTTGAGGAAGAGCTGGCCCGTTCGAGGGTTGAGAATGATGATGGCACCGTTGATCGGCTTGGTGACCAAGTTGCCCTCGAAGGTGCGGTGGATCGTCACTCGGTAGACGTTGGTGTCGTCGACGAACCAAATGATCTGGTTGCTGAAGAGCTCGGCGTAGTTGTTCGAGTTGAGGTACGGCTCGGTGGGCTCTGAGCTGTACAGCTGCAAGCTCTTGCGGACGCGTTCTCGCAGCACGTACAACGCAGGGTTTGCCTTCATGATCTTGGCCATCGCTTGCTGGATGAGCGGCTTGCTGCCGGGGAACCAGATACCGTACGCCGAATGGATGTTGTACGCCAAGTCGATACCGACCAAAGCACCCGTGGCGGATGGGTAGATGGAAGTGTTGTCGCTCGTGTAGTCGAGGAACTTGGCTCGACAGTAGCGCTCGATGTCGTGCGAGTCGTAGTCACCCCATCGAAGCTGCACGTCGACCCACCACTTGTTGCCGCTCGATCCGTCCATGACGTCTCGCGAGTCGGTCAGCAGCGAGGGTCGCGACATGGGCCACTTGTAGCTGGCAAACAGCAGAATATCTGAGCTGGAGGCGGTGAGCCTGTACGATTTTCGCGGGTGAATCGTCTCCTTCTGCACGGTCTCGATGGACAGAGCCTCGAGCTCTTGATCAAAGACCTGACACAAGTCCATCACCACCGACTCGTGGATCTTCTGCCACAAATGCGCGCGGAAGAGCTGAATGTACGAGATCTTGAGCGACGGCATCTTACCCGACATGAGCACACCGCACAAGTCGAGTTGCACCTGGAAACCGATGTAGACACTGCTGCGGTTGAGCGTCGGCGACCACCAGAGCGTGAAACGACGGTTGGGAATCTGCGAGAGACCGGATCGCTGGGCGTTGGTGAGACGCTTCTGCTGCATGCTCTCCTCGAACGAGGACGACTTCTCCCAGAAGAGACCTTCCCAGGTCGGGTGACCCGTGGCGGCAAAGAGCGAATGTTCGAGGATCGTCTCGACACCGCCGAGCGCTGCGATGGTATCCGTGCGCAGCTGGTTGAGATTGTGCAGCTTGCCGTCGTGGCGCTGGTTGGTCCATGCGAACGGCTGGGCTTTCGCGACCTGGTACTTCTTAAAGTCCTGGCGAACACGCCAGAGCTTGTCGTAGGACAGGATGGTGCGGTCTTTTTGGAAGAGCGTCGCAATACGAGGCAGACCACGATGGAACGAGTCTTCCAGATCCTCCAGCGTCAAACGGCGGTTCTGCTCGTTGGCCTCTTTGCGCTTCTGAGCGTACTCCTGCCAGACACGTGCGGAGTCCTCGAACTCGGACGCCCAGGGTGTGATGTATCGATAGAGCGCGGGCAGCAGCTGGTCCTCCTGATTGGACAGACCGGCACGGAAGTGCGTGATGCCGGTCGTCGTCTGTCGCGAGTACTTGAGATCCGAAGCTGGGATGAGCACATGACCCATGGAGAGCATGCCAAGACCACCGAGCTCCTTGGGCGAAGCGAGGATGTGGATGGGCCAACGAGAGGGCATCTTACTGTTGACACCCGATTTGATGCGGTTGATGACCTTGTTCTCGCTTCGAACCAGCAAATCGAGCATCTCCTCGGTGTTGACCACGGCTTCGCGGTAGTACGTCATCAGGGCAATGAGGCAGGTGTTCCACTTGTTGGCAATCTTACTGAAGGGCGCTGCACCGGCAGACATCAGCAAAGCGCGGACGCGGTTGCTGAAGTTGGCGATGCCCTCTTCAGAGATCCGCAGGAACGCCGTCGAAGTACGCTCACCCGAGCTGGCTTGAATAAGAGGCCAGACTCCGTCACGCGCGACATCGACATCTTCCTGTCGAGTCTTGGGCAGGATGCGCACTTCGAAGCCGAGCATCGAGAAGAGCAGGTTCGGGTTGTCCTTACTGTATACCGAGCAGAAGGTGTCTTCCCACTCGATCGTGGTGAGAGAGCGAGGCAAGCTGTTCTTGACCGTCCAGAAGACAGCGCGACCGAGGTTGACATCATGCTTGACGAGACGCATACGAGCGTCGCGCGGCCAGCACTTGCGATTGTTGTAGCCAATGACATTGCTGTTGTTGGGGTCCGGATTGGCGGTGAGGTAGCGCTGCACCAAGTCTCGGGCTTCCTCGGCAGAGAAGCGGTAGAGAATGTGGATGCGGTCGACGTATCGAGTGTATAGGCGCACCGGGTGACGGGACTCGGTCGCGGTATCGCGGTACTGGAAGAGCCCGTTGGGCATGTTGGGCGGCCCAGCCATCTCGTTGGCACGCTGCAGACCGAGGATGAGAAGATCGAGCACCAAGCCATAGTACTGAAAGACGAAGGCGCTGAACTGCAGACCGCGGATGAGACCATACGAGTTGACGTGCGACATGTCCTTGAAGACGATCGAGATGTTGTTCTTGGCTGTGATGTAGTCGGCCATGTTGTGATCCATGATCAATCGCAACAGTCGGTTCAGCAGCGTCAGGTCCATCTTTTCGAATACCTTGCTAAGCGTCGTCTCCATGAGGACATTGCATTGGCCCTCAGAGGTGTCCCAGATCTCGTGCGCGTTGTTGATACCGTTGCACCACTTGTACACAAGCAGAGGTGCAGGCTCCGAGTCGCTGGGCTTGATCCATGCAGGGAAGAGCTGGCGCTTGTCTGCCTCGTACGAGAGGTACTGGCTGAGGTATGCGTCGGTGATCTTTTCGATGGGCTCAATGTCGTAGGTGGGCGTCAACTTGCTGAAGGTGTCAAAGAACTCGAAGCCGGCTTCCTTGAATGCGCGCTGCGTAAGCATGAGTCGCTTGATGCGCGCCAAGGTCTCGTGTGGGTTGTCGAACGCCTGTTCGATGAGGGCGAGCTCTTCACGCTGGCTCTGGTTGAGACGGCCCTTGACTGAGTAGGCCTCCTTGAGCGAGTCCAGGGCGAGCACGAGATGCTTGACGTCGTGCTTGTTGTTGAGACTGGGGAAAGGAATGGGGCTAAAGCGACGCGCCTCGAGCCACTGCACAGTTGCGGTGAATGCGGCAACACCGACCTCGGAGGTGATGTAAGGACCGCTCTTGAGGTAGTCGGCCTGTCGCTCTTGCTCGGCACGCAGGAAAAGACGAGTCAGACGACCCTGGTTCTTGCGCACTGCCGTCTTATCGACAGTGGCGCCACGGGCAATTCGTGCACGCTGCTGGTGCGCAACCGAGGTCCACCAGTCGAACTTCTGCTTGACGTAGCGCAAGATGAGGTTCTCGATGGGAGCTGGCAGGTTCGGACTCCAAGGGGTGTTGCTACGACAAGCGCGCCATGCCTCCTGCAGATGGCTCATGATGGTCTTGATCTTGTTCTGTCGCATCCCTTCTGGCATGGCATCCAGGATGTCGTGCATGACACTGGCACGGAGTTCTAGGTCCATCGCCGACTCGACACGCTGCTTAGTGATCGATTGCGCACCCGACCGTCCTGCACGACCCTCAAACTGACGCGCTAGCAAGTTGCCGAGCCAACGTTCGAGCAGAGGGACGATGCCTCGCAGGAAGAAGATCCACACGCGCCAGGAAGGCGCCCAGAAGCCAACACCAGGGCCCTTGCCGACACCTGCCGCATTGAATCGGTAGTAGATGACGTGTTTGAGATCCTTGCAAGCTCGGATCTGGCGCATGGAGCGGTACTTGTACCTGTAGATACCCGAGAGGGTGGCGACGTGGTTGAACAGATACTGCAGACCGTCGGCGAGCTGGAAGGCATCAATAGATCCGAGGCGGAACTGCACATGTGCGTCGACGACGAGCTTCATGACACGACTCAACTCTCGCACCAGGTGGAAGGCGTTACCGAAACGACTCTTCTTTCGCTCCTTTGTTGTGAGCGTCTTGGTGGGTTTGAGGTTCATGTTGTAGTCGAGGTGGAGGTATGAAGCACCCTTGCGGTGGATGAGGAGGTTCATCATGTTGAACGACTGCTTTGCCACTTGTAGACCTGCCTCGAGCCAGTCGATCGACGTGTTTTGGAAGAACTTGGTGTTGTTGAGCTCGCGCAGCAGGTTGGTGCGCTTGTGAACCTTTTGCTTGGTGGTGTGGAGACTGTTGTAGACGTAGTTCTTGAGCAGCTTCTGGTAACTGACGCGCACCTTGACTGGTTGGTTCGGTGGGCAGTGTTCGAGGTACCAGGGCTGGATCAGTGGCACGTCGACTGCACGCCGTGTACGCCCGCTTCGCAGCGAGTATGGCTTTGGCGCCCACCAGAGAGCGATGGCGTCAGCGGTGAGCTCATTCTCGAGCGGTTCATCCTCGAGGAAAGGCTCGATCTCTTCCGGCAAAGAGAAAGCGACCTCGTCTGGCAGCTCGTCGTCGCCTTCGACATCGGGCCCAAAGACTTCATCCTCGTGACTCAAGACCGGGGTGCCGTCATCGTACTCCGAGCGGAACGCATTCGAGCTGGCCAAGGTACGGGCGGAGATGGGGTTGATCGCAGGGTCAAAGTAGAAAGCCTGGTCGATCTCGTCCGATCGAATGTAGATGTTTTTGGGCTCGTGGTAGGTGCCGATGTGGACTGCGCGCGGTCTGCTGTTGTAGAGGTGCGGGAAAGCAACCCGGTACTCAGTACGGATCTGCTGGCGGATGATGACTTTGCGGAAGTCGGTGAAGTCAGTGAAGTCGTCGTCGAATCCGTCGGTGTCCTTGAAGAGAGGCTCGAACTTGGGACCACCAGGGATGGCCATGTTGAGCGCCTTGGCTGTGAAGAAGGCCTTCTTGTCGAAGAGGTAGAACGGATTGCGATCGCCCGACGAGGACGCGTCGCTGAGCAATGTGCGTCCGAGACGATGCAAAGTCGCCATCTGCGGCAGATCGAGATTCCAAAAGCGGTAAGAGGAGCCATTGACGTGCTTGCGGTTGTCGATGAGCGGCTTGTGGTCGTAGAACCAGTCGATCACAGCGCCGTCCTCCTCTTCGTCCAATTCGAGCTGAATGGCTTCGAGTGGTTCGACGTCTAGCAGGTTGTCCGAGTAGTCGACGACAGGCTCCTCGTCGTCGAACGGTGGAAATCGCATACGCTTGAAATGACGTCGATCTCGCTTCTCTCTGCGCATGGCGATCCACATGGTCGCCCACTGAGCGTGGAAAACGGGCTCGATGACCTTTGGTACCTCGTTGATGAAGGTGATGGCGCCAGTGATGTGGTATAGAACGGGCACCTCTCGGATCTGCTCCCAAGGCATGGGTATATTCTCGAGCACCTTCATCATGGCATGGGGTAGGTACTTGAGCGCACCGAGGTGGACACGCTTGTCCTGACGGTACTTGCGGTTGGTCATGTCGCCGTGCTCTTTGATGATCTTTCGCAGCACCTCAGGCGGCATCTCTTGTTTGCCGGTGTCGACGAAGCCGGTCTTGCCTCTGCGGTCGCCAAAGCGGCGACTCTGTGTCTGCTGCCATTTGCGCGCTTTCGCCTGGAGTTGCTCCTGTGTGAGTGCGGCAGGTTCTCGATATGATGAGGAAGCAGCTGCCATGGCGGAGTGTGGCATTCCAGGAGGAGGGCCGCGCATGGCGGATGGTCCTGATGGAGGCGGACCTCGGTAGCCCGGTGGGCCCGACATGATCTGAAGGCTTGAGGGAGCCCGCTACGCGTTGTCACGGCTGATCTCTACGGAATCTGGCGGAACCAGGACGAGTAACCGTGTGATGAGGACTGTGGCTGCCGGATCTTGTTGTTTGCGTACGCCGATGAAGTAATCTTTCGCAGCTGAGCTTGGTGGTCGAGAAGGGTGGAACTCGCGATCGGTGGTGCCAAGCTGGCGTGAGCTGCGATATTAGCAGGCTCTCCTGATATGCGATCTGCTGCCGAGGTGATCAGTCTCGTGCAGGGTGTCGAAGGGGTGGAATGATGGGTCGATGAGGGTAGGTGGAATGATCGTCTCGACGACAGAGCTGAGCACCATCAAGAAGAGACAGAGCGCGCGCCACAAAAACCTCGAATTCCCATCTTCCGGAATCTGAGATTTTCGTTTGGACGATCTTCGATGGCAGGAGGGTCCTCAACTTAACATATTCGAAAGATTTGCTTGACGCTGCGCGGACCATGCACGTTGGTTGGTGTGGAGAAGAACTGAGCTCTCCTCCAAGGGTCCTGCCTTCAACCGCTACTACACCTGTCCACCGCAACCTGATCGCCTTCTCAACGCAAGCGCACACAAAGCTTCGCTGTAGCTTTCATTCACATACAAAGATTGACCTGCGACTCTTGCGACTCGACATTACCCCAGCAGCGTGCGCCATCCCCGGCAAGCCAAGTATCTTTTCCACGCTCGACGATGGCCTCGGCAAGCAGCTCATCGGTAGCCAGTGGGGGTGCGGCTCAGCACATCGACGTCGACGTCGAGGACGACGCTCGAGCCGGTAGCTCTTCCGAGGCGCTGGACGAGGACATGGCTGGAGACGCTACGCCAGCAGCAGACGACGCCGAGACACCTCAGAGCACGCACACCACGGGGCTACAGGATGGTTCGGACGCGGCAACGCCTTTCTACCAGAACAACAGCAACAAGAAGCAAAGCAGCAGCTCGAGACTAACGGACACTGCGCATGATGAGGACGACGACATGATGGAGCCTACTTTGCCCGGCGTCGAAGGAAGGGTAAGGAATGCGGTGTCGTGTTCCGCAGCCAGCGAGTTTTCCATGGGGAGCTCTCTGACTGTCCGGGCTGGCTCACACACTTGGTCTTGCATACTGATGAACTTGGATTGCCCTCTGTCCTTGACACAAATGCCTATGCGTCTTGCTTCATCCGTCTCTGTACCAGTTCTTGGACGAGAAGATCCGAGCGCGCTACATCCAAGGTGAGTACAAACGTGTAGCGCAGCGACCATCACGTCGACGGGATGATCGCCAGGAGCCCTGCTGACCAAGACTCTGCTTTCCTATTCCTCGATTCCTGTCACCTTACTCCTTGTCCCTCCTGTTGTCGGATCTTTTGCATGCTCGCAGAGATTGGCGATATCTTCGGATGAGGCTGGTTCGAGAGTCTCTGTTGTCGGGAATGCATCTTGTCTCTTTCGAACCGGTCGAATGTGTGACCAGTATGAAGATGCCTGGAGCATGCGCGCCTCGCCGATTGAGATGCAGGCAGGACCTCTCGGGTGAGGTGGTCGATGCACCATGCGCCTGGAAGCTGCCAAACGACCAGGGCCTTGAGACTCGTGGGATCGCGAGCCGGGTCCTCTCGCTCTCGCCTCTTCTGCGCATGGCTGACCAGGACCTGCTCTTGCGTAGCGACAAATAGGTTCTTGGACTGAGACCGCATCACGTGTTGTTTGTACCATTCTGCGGCTGGTTCGGATTGTGGTTCTCCTGCTGTGACAGGCCAGGTTGGGTCCCTGGATCTTCCTGCTCATCCGATCCTTCTCGAGCATGGTAGTGGGCGTGATGATGGTGATGATGGTGATGCATGTGTTGATGGCTGTGATGTGAGTCATGCACGGAGCCCGACTCGTCCGGGCGAACCGAAGCGAAGGATGAGGAGGTGAGGTTGGGGTTGTGCTGCATCATCTTGGCCCGGCGGTAGGCTTTGAGGGTCTCGACGTCAGACTCCTGCACTGACAAGCTCGTCGGTGGTCGTCGAATCATCTTGTATCCTGTGAATGTCGCCTCGTTGGTGATATGAGATGACGTGAGGATGGTGGTAGGTGGTGATGAGAGGCAGATGAGCTGATGATGCGCGTGCGTGAGTGTTGGTCAGACCCTGAATTTGGTGACCGCGTTTTCTATGATGCTTTTCGGTGGGTGCCCGATAAACGTCACTCGGGAAACTGTGGAGAGCCAACCTTCGCTTTCGACAAGCACATTCCAGGGTTCGTGCTTGTCAGGACAACACCCTTGTTCATCTCGTGACAATCGAGGCCTTCGCTGCTCCCACCACCATCGGAAGGCAACGCGCACGCTTCATTTCAGCGGTCGAGCCGACGCTCGTCTCAGAACTCTGACTCATCATCCATGACCAGCACAGCCATGTCCAGATCGATACAGGCTTAGGTCCGATTGCTTAACTATCTCGACCGCCGGCCACCAGCATGTCGGTGCCATACCGGGGGCAAGCTCAGCCGCAGGACCATCAGCAGCAGTATCACGACTACGATCCGTCACAGCAATACGGCCAGGATCCAGGCTATGCTCACTACGCCGGGCAACCCTTCCAGCAACAGCAAGGCTACTATCAACCGCCACAGCACTACCCCACATCGAATCCCTACGCAAATCATGGCCAGACATCCTTCAGTCCGTACTCGCAACATATGCAGCGCGCTGCTCCCTCGTACCATGCTCAATCGCAATCCTTCGCTTCACCGAATGATCTAGGCTACCAAACTGCACTCCCACAAGGCGGATATCTGGCGGGCAACGAGTATGGCCCGCCGAGCCACGTCATGCAGGGCTCTCTATCGTCCGGTCACAGTCCGGGATCCAGCACAGGCCGCTCGCGGCTCAGCACCCTCGTCTACCCGTCGCAAGGTCCGAGTCCAAGTCTAGAGTCGCAGGTCTCGCACCTCAGCCTTGTCGGGCCAACCGCGTCCTTACCTAGCAAGCCACTTCCCCACAGCACGAGCCATGCAGCTGCTCGCCACTCTCAGTCGCTTCCTTCAAATGCTCCTGTTACTGCTTCGGGCGAGCTTCGGTCTGGCATCTCGCTCCGATATCCGCCATTGCCTAGCGTTCCGGAACGATGTACGACACCACCTTCGCTGCGGTCCGAGGCAGATGCGGCGACCGAAGCTGGGACGGTGGACAAGTCGGTGCTGGACTACATTTCGTCTCTCCGCTCCATCATCGATGCCTACGAGAAGCGCGACGACCACCTACGCATGCGAACGGAAGCTGTCGGGTTCCAGCCAAAACAAGCCTGGGCGGCGTGGGAGTCGGCAGGTGCAGAGAACAGCAGTCACGACACTGCCAGCGCAGCTTTACCACCAGCCAACGCCGTTCTCGGCGTGCGACTGCTTCAACGGCTGGACAAGCTCCAACGGGAGAACGACGAGCTCGGAGCACTGCTGACGTCTGGCGCGCGCATCAATGCTGATGCCGCTGCCGGCACAGCAGAGACAGAGGAGCTGCGCAAAGAAGTGCACGACTGTCACCAGCTGATCGAGGCTATTGACAAAGCGTTGGTGGAGGCAGAAGGGCGGGCATCAGCATCAGAGAGAGCGCTCGAAGCTGCCTGTCGGACAAATTCGACTGCCATGGTGCCTGCCAAACCAGGGGCTACCTCGACAAAAGCTGCTGGCGCTGTTGCAGCTGCGACAGGCTCGGCGCAGGAAGCAAAGAAACCCTCCCCCAAACCCACAAACGCATCTGCGGCCAGGAGAGGCTCCAAGCCTGTCATCTCGTCGAGCAGTCCGAATGCAGGAGCTGGCGGAAAAGTTGCTTACCAACAGCGCAACTCCAAGCCGAATCAGCCGACTCCCAAGTCAGGCGGTGGCAGCGGTTCCAGTAGGACGACCCGGAACGATAAGTCGGCTGCTCAGACGGCTGACGGCAAGACCGGCAAGACACCTTCACCTTCGGCCGTAACAAAAGGCAAATGACAATCATCGCAAAGCAATGACAACCGATCAAACAGATAGGCATGTGAAGCAGCGTTGAAGCTATGCATTTCTCTATACTCTTTCGACGATCTATATCCTCGCCCTAATCCTCTCCCCATCCACACCTTTTCTCCAATCCGCACTGACCAGCTCCCCCACGAGATGTCCATACCTCTCTCTATTACTGCCCAACAGATCAAACGGATCATTGCGTATCCTTTCCCTGTTCTCCTCCAGCCACTGTGCCTTTCTCCTATACATGCCTGTTTGCTTTGCCTCCCGCTCCGCGTCCCATTTCCAGTCCCACATCTTGACCCTTTCCGGATCGGCCTGCTCCAGTTCGGCATACAGCTGTGCGCCAAAGTGCAGCTCGCTCGGGGGGCCTTCTTTCAGACTCCCGCCAAGAAGGTGGTAGCCGATGTAGGTGAGGGGGTCCTTCGGGTCGATGCGCGACCTTGCCTCTTCGGTGCGGGCAGACGTGAGACGGGACTGGTAGATGTACTCCAGACGATCGGTCTCGAACTGGAGCAACGAGGCGGTGGACGAGGGGAAGGGGATCTTGCCGCTCCACACAGCGACGATCCAGGCGCTGATCAGGTCGTTGAACGAAAACGGCATGGTCGAGATCACCAGTCCGACAAAGGCGAGGGATATGTTCTTGGCGTACAGCGCGTGGTTGTACGTGTGCGGTACGCGGGTTCCCCTCAACCATTCTGGCGTGAGGAGATCCACTTCCCCGGAGCCATTGGTGCGGGCGGCGTCAGTGAGAACGTGCAACCACGGGTACTTCTGCCCGTACCCAGTGCCGAGGATGATGTAGTCGACGTCGGTGATGATGCTTCCATCCAGCAGGGTCAGATCCACCTTGCTTTTCCCAGACGAGGTGCGCAGGTGGTAGTGCGTGATCATGCCCACATCCTTGATCCTCTCATCCGGCAAACTTGGGCATTTGTCCACCGGCTTGGTCTTTGCGGACCGATACACGGGGTTCTCGACCGAGTTGAACGGCGCCAGATGAGCAGCCACTTCATTTGCCGAGTTGTTGTTGCCCACCACGACGACCTTCTTGCCGACATACGGCATCGAGTCGCGATAGTGCTTGCAATGGTGTACGTGGCCTGCGTTTCTGGCCTCGTCCATGCCGGGAGCGTCCGGGTAGAAGGGTGTGTCGTACCAACCAGCGGCGACGATGACGCGGTCGAACCGGCGAGTCTCGACGGAAGGGGTGAAGGACACCGCTGCCGCACTTTCCACTGCGGGTGTGCTCCAGTGCTTGAGCGTCACCTCCCAGCCAGAGCCCTGGGGAAGCTCTTGTACGCGCAACACCTCTACCCCGCATCTGATGAAGTTCCTGTATGGCTGAGCGAACTGCCGCAAGTAGGTGTGCGTCTCCTGCAGGCTCGGAAACGTCTCCCCGTTCGATGGAGGCTCCATCTTCCTCCCTGAGAATTCGAGGAACTCGGGCAGGACGTTGCCCCTCAGGTTGAGGTATGCAGGTGATGGCCAGTGTGGGCGGCCTCGAGGGTCGAAGAGCGGCGACAAGCCTTGTACGCGGTCAGGCCCAAGCGTGCGTTCCAGATTGTACGTCTCGTCGGACCAGTACCACACCCCACCGACATCGTCACGGCGCTCGACCAGAAGTGCGGAAAAGAGCGGGTAGCTGCCGGCAGAGTCACGGCCCTGCTCTTCAGCGAGGTTGCGCAGGGTGACGAGCCCCGTGGCGCCGCCGCCGATGATGAGCACGCTTTCGGGGCCGGCTGCGCGCGTGCGCGGTTGAAGACGCGCCAAATCAGAAGAAGCCATGGAGGCGAGCCCCTGCGTACCGCTGGTGATGCTGATGGATGGTGGGCGATGGTGTTCAAGGAAGAAGATAAGAAAGATCTCGAGCGGGGTCTTTCGATGAAATATAGCTCGGCTAGACGTGGAAAGCACGTTTTTAAGGGTCGTTCTCGAAGAAATGGGAATTGCGCAATCACCCACAAACAGAACACGACCGGATAAGGCGGTTGGCGTGGGATGATACAGACGTCTTTCGGCTTTTCCGGTTCGTCGGGTCAATCTGATGGCGATGACCCGATGATACTGTATGGCTCTCGTGACTGATGCATCGGCCTTATGCCGAGGTCTCAAGAAGGAAAGCCGACATTGCACAGTTCTGTATCTCAGTCTGCGGTCGGAATACCATCAAGGGCTCAAGTCCAAGCAGTCTGCGCTCGCATATAGCCCAATTCTCTTGCCGCACATTAGAGACAAAGCAACGTAGAATCTGCGATGGATTGCAAGAACACACAAATCGGCTCAACACCTTACAACTCTGCCAACAACATCGTCCCCAAGCTCTGCACGATCTGGTCTCCCATCGTCTGCTCCACTGCGTCCTCCAAATGGCGCTTGGGGTCCTGCTTGCCGACGTGCCTCGTCTTGAGCTGATCCGCCGTCAGGGTGCTTTCCTCCTGCACCGACTTGTTGTACGCCTCGGACAAGGAGAGCATGCGCTCGATCGCCTTCCTGTTGTTCTCCTTGTGCTCTCCAAAGTCGCGCAACCTCAATCCTTCGGTCCAGTTGCGCTTGTGAAGGTTGTTGAGCATACTCTGTTCGAGCTCCGTCTTGCGGTATCCGATGGCGATCGAGTAGTAGTGTCGATTCAAGCCGTGAATGAGCGACTGGATGGAGGGCTTGTTGAGGTGGCCAATGTTGGAGGTGGTTTGGCGGGGTTCTTGGCCGAGCATGACGGTGGAAGGGTTGATGAGGCGGAAAGCGTCGATGACCACTTTGCCCTTGACCGACTGGATGGGGTCGACGACGACGGCTACCGCGCGCGGGTTGAGCTGCTCGAACGACTGTTGGGTGTTAATGTCGACGTTACTCAACCAGCACCCAAAACCGGGATGCGAGTGATACCAGCCAACGACCATTTCGGGGCGACCGGTTTGCTTGAGCATGTCCAGCATCTTGGTCTGGAACACAGGGTCGACGGCCTCGACCGAGACTCCGGTTCCTGATTGGGGCATGGCAAAGACATCGATGACCGAGACGGTGTAGTCGTCGATGAAGGATCCCAGCATCAGACCCATCACCTCCATGGGCACACCAGCTCGGCCGTGCTTGAGCATCTTGATGAGCGCTAGCGACGAGATGTACACCATCTCTGCATTGTCGTTCTGTGGTGCATCGCCGGGCGCTCCTCCTGCGCCAGGGCCACCGCCCATTCGCGCCTGCTGCATCATCGATTGAAAGTCCATGGCGGGCTACCTATGTTTGTGTCAGCGCGACTGCTCGGGGCTGCGAGATTGATCGTTGTTTGTGTGGAAGCAAGGCCTGCAGCGCAGAGTTGAGATTGGTACTCGAAAGCTATAGCGTGCTGGAAGGTCGACACTTGCTGAGCTGAGACGGAAGGTAGGGGTCTCGGAGAAGTTGATGTGTACGATCTTGATGATCACCTAGGAGGATGTGTCGTCGTGCGGGCTGAGCTCGATGATGCTACGAAGAGACGGTTGCGATGCTGGTGATTGATGCTGAAGTGTTGAGGAAAGATGACGGTGCGGAGCTGCAGGTGGAGAGCAACAGCTGCGAAATTGCGGCCAACGCGTCCACTCCAAAGCCGTGATCGCAGCTCGAAAGGCGATGCTTATGTAATCCAGCTGCCAATCCTCCACACGCGCTGTGGTGGCATCGCATGGCCAACAACCCAAAAGCCTTAAAATTAAGCAGGCGGGCGAGGCTCAGTCAGTCAGTCAGAGGACAATGCAGGGCTCAAATCCAATGATGCGGTCACCTCACCCTATCGTAAACACACCTCCGCACAGCCAAGGGACCCTCTTGGCATCCAGAGCTCGGCTGATCCTGATCCTTTGCCCGTCACCACCAACATTGCAATCATCAACGCTCATCTGCACCCCGCTCAAGCATCCTGATCAAACCTCGACGCTACCGCTGGCCTGCGTCACCTGTCGCTCCTATAAACACACGCATTCCCTGCACCATACCCGCTCGATAGCCTCAAATCAGTCGAAACGGTCTCATTGCGGTTTCAAAAGGGTCACCTCGACATAGAGGCTCTAGAAAACTCTTCTATTCGCTCCCAAAACTCTCAAGAAAGACAAACACACGCGCAGTCCGGACTGAATCATACACCATGTCGTCAGGTATCGGCTCGCTCTTCTCCTCGCTCTTCCTATACCTTCGATCGCTTCTGTTCTCAAAACACCTCGAGATATGCGTAGTCGGACTGCAAGCGGCGGGCAAGACCTCGCTGGTCAACCTGCTCTCTTCGGGCCAGTTCGCGGACGAGATGGTCCCGACCGTCGGCTTCAACATGCGTAAAGTACGTTCGGGCAACACCACTATCAAGGTGTGGGATATCGGTGGACAGCCAAGATTCCGCAGCATGTGGGAGAGGTATTGCAGAGGCGTGTCTGCCATCGTCTTTGTCATCGACTCGTCAGTACCGCTTCCGAGCGCCAAGAGCGAGTCAGGATCCACTTCCACCATCACACAAGCGCCAACCAGCACAAAGTCCGCATCCGCCCCTGCACCGGCAGCGTCCACAACAGCACCCAAGAAGGAGGATCCTGCATCCGCATCCGCATCTGCTCTGGCAGCTGGATCCAGCACACAGAGCCCATCAGCATGGGCCGTGGCGACGGAAGAATTGCACGCGCTCATTGAGCGACCGCACCTTGCAGGTGTACCGCTGCTCGTATTGGCCACCAAGAACGACATCAAGGGCGCAGCGAGGGTCGACGACGTCATTAATATCATGAAGCTCGACACCATTGCGAATCGCGAGGTGAGCTGCTATAGCATCAGCAGCAAGAACCAGGTCAACATTGATGTTACGCTGAAATGGCTCGTGGCGAGGAGTCCGGTAGGCAAGTAGTGCGCCGAGATACAGCATAAGCATGCCCTTATCCCTCCTTGGCTGTCGATCTACGAACCCACCGCTCTAGCCTCATGCTTTCTCTGTGTCATTGTGGAACCTGAAAGGATCACCTCTGTCAAGACTACCAGCATCCTGTTCTTTTGGCATATCAATACCCGTCACGTTGTTTCTTCGGCTTCTTTGTGTGATCAATGAATGTGCCGCATTGTCTTGCTAGCCGGCCTCTGTCCCGCTGCAGCCTTTTATGACGTGTTCTGACGTTGAGAAGAGTGACCTCGTAACCATTTAAGAGCTGTTGAGAGAGTCCGGAGAAGAGAGCGTGCTGCAAGGTGCGAATTCTGAAATTCACCGCGGATGCACGCTCGGACCCTGGACCGCGCCGAGCGCTCAACCAACACTCGCCGATCTTCCACGTCCCATCTTCTCATCATCATCCTCTTTCCCCTTTGGCGGAACACAATGCCGGTCGACGACGCGCACGCCGAGGCGCTCGCCTACAAAGCCTCCTCTGCCGCAGCCCTTACCTCGTCCTCCTCGACCTCCATCCAAGACCTCTACGCCCGCGCCCTTTCCGACCAAACGCAGCACTCCCAACGACAGGACGAGCAGTATCTTGCCCTTGCACCCACCTTCCTTTCCCTGCATCAGCAAGCGTCGTCCTCCAAACAACTCCTCACGTCCCTAGAAACGTTCCTATCGACCTTTCAATCGGACCTGTCGACGCTATCAACCCACATCTCGGCGCTGCAGAACACCTCACATGCGATCGACTCGCGGCTGGACGCTACGCGGGATGTCGAGATCCGTCTTGCGTCCTTTCTCACGGACATCGCGCTCTCCCCTCGCATCGTCGACCTGTTCTTCGATACAGACCCTGAGGCTCGACCCGATCTGTGGCTCAAAGCGGTTCGTCAGTTGGAGCGCGCGCTCGACGCAACCAACCCCACCACCCTCCCCACCGACACCGCCGACGTCCCCGCAGTACGCGAGGTGCGCACCGTCGCAGAGGCCTGTCGCAACGTCGTAGCCTCCAAATTGCGGTCCTTCCTCATCACCCCTCATGCCGCACTGCGTAGCTCGGTCACAACGAATCTGCAGGTGATTCAGACGAGCGTGCTCTTGCGGCACCACCGACCGCTGTATGCCTTTCTGAGCAGACACATGCCCCGAGCGGCGATCGATGTGCAACGGAGCTACGTCGGTGCAGCGAGGTTGTATTTCGAAACTGCCTTCCGGAGGTATGCGCGCAGTCTGGGGGTTGCGCGAAAGAGATGGAGCGAGGGGAGCAGTCCTTCGCTTATCACCGACGCCCTTCCATCATCTAGCAAAGCGTACGCGGGAACATCCATATCAAGTATGCAAAGTAGCATGGCCGCGCTCACCAAGAGTGTAGGCAGCAATGCGGGCACCGCCCCTTTCTATCCAACTTCAACAGGGAAAGCTGGCAGCGCGTCGGCGGGTGCCTCTGACGCCGACACAAGCAGCTCCGATTCATGGCTCTTTCCCTCCACCCGCCTGCAGTACGCGCGGCTCGAAAGCAACGCAGCCACCGTCCTAGGCTACCTCGCCGACGATCCCACGTTCAAGGCTTGTCCCGAAAACCTCTTTCGCTCTCTCTCGCTCGTGCTCGTCGACAATGTCTGTTCGGAATACACCTTCCTCGCGCGCTTCTTTGAGGGGGTCGGCAAAGACGGTTCCTCCCCCACGGGTGGAAAGAGCAGCGTGTCGACTCCGATGCACGAGGTGGGGCCGGAGGAAAGCGCGAGCATTACGGGTGATGAGATGATGGAGGAGCCCGAGTTGGACGCTACACCGGTGCAGTTGAGTTCGGCGGAACGCAAGCAGCTCAAAGGGCGAGGTGCGAGCGAGGAGATTTTTAAACAAATCATGGAGCCTTCGGTTTCGACGTGGTCGTCCTTCACGAAGAGTCTGCTCACGCCTGCCTCGGCGAAAGGTGCTGCGGGATTGGCGGCTACTGCGACCTCGGTCGTCTCCGCGGGAGGGGGTGGGATCGCCAGTCCCAGCGGGTACTTTTCGCTGCTGAGCATGTTGCAGCTGAACGATGCGGTGCTGGGGTTGCTCGAGTCGAGAGGTTGCGCTAACGCGTTGGTTGAAGGCGCACTGATGGGGTTCAAGATCCACGCCTACCCGCTGGTCAAGAAGTTTCTCGATGATCAAGTTGCCGCTCTCACCGCGCTCACCTCCGGTACCACCCCTTCAGCGACAGGAGGCATGTGGAGCGTCCTCAACACCTTCTCCTCCACCTCTGCTTCCGTGCCACCGCTCACGCCGACAACCGCAGAGGTCATCGTCATCCGCTACACAAGTTTGCTCACCAAAACCCTATGGCTCCTCCAAGACGCGCCTGATCAAGGCATTCTCTCCTCCCTCCAGCGACTTCGGGCCGAACTAGCTAAAACCATCACCACCACCAAAGCCTCACCCAACTGGTCCCAGCCGGACAAGGTGCGCACCATCAAGACGCTCATCAGCGCCATTGAGGCCGTCACCCAAGCCAGCGCGCTCGGTACACACCCCAAGGTCCAGAACGAGTACGCGTTCTGGAACGAAACGCTGCTCACTATCAGTGCGTAATCTCATGCTGGACGGGGTTCGACAGTGTGAGTGTGGCTGGCTGTATGAATTTGAGTTCCGTAATAATCAGGGTTCGTCAGGGAGAGCGCTCATATCGGAATCGTGTCTCAACATGGCCTGTCTCTGCGCCTCCTCTCGCGAATACTGCAGATCGGCGACGATGGCCGACGACCCCGGATGCGAGTGGTTGGGATGACCGGGGACGTGCAGTGGTCTTTCCTCTGCCTCCTCTGCCTCCTCCTCTGGCTGATCTCCTCCGCCTTCTTCGTCGATTCGTTCCTTCTGCTGCGCCTGCTGTTGCTGGCGAAACCCGAGACTGGCGCGGAGACTCATGCTCGGGTTGTACGGCGTCGTGACGCCTGTCCCGCCACTCGAGCCACTGGCCGCCTCGCTGCTGCTCCACCGACTACGCATGCTGTTGAGCGACGACACGTTGCGATCTAGGCTCTTGAACAGGCTCGGCTGGCCACCTGGTGTTTGCGGCGCTTGGTGTCCTGCTTCCAGCGAGTTGCTGTGACTGGAACCGCTCGACGAGCTGGCGACGTCCTCGTAGCTCGCCTCGCCAAGCCCACCGACCGGTAAGCCCGCCAGTTCTGCCGCCGCCTCTGCCTCGTTGGCTGCATCCAGCTCCTCGATGAGACTGCGCATCCACGGATCCTCCTTGAGTTGGATCGCCGAAGGTCGCTGGCGAGGATTGATGGTGAGACACTGGCGAATGAACTCGATCCCCATCGGCGAGAGCTGGCTCGAATCTGGCAGCGCGGGATGCTGTTCCGCCATGCCGATGTGAAACATGATCGCCCATTCGTTGTCAAAGTTGCTCCAAGGTCGTTTGCCGGTAGCGAACTCCAACACGACGCAGCCGAGAGACCAGATGTCTGCGGCAGACTGGGGGCCGTCCGAGTTGCCCTTGATCACCTCGGGCGACATGTACATCGGTGTACCCTGCAGACTAGCCATCGCTCCCGCAGGGCCGCCTTGCTTGCCGCCCTCTGCGGCACCTTGGGCGAGCATGCCGATGTTGCCCATGCCACCCGTCTTGCGCGAACGTTGAATGGTGCGGCTGTTCTTAGCCAGAATCTTGGCCGCGCCGAAATCGACGTACTTGAGCACACCCACGTGGTCCAGCAGGATGTTGTCCGGCTTAATATCGCGATGGATGATGCCTTGCGAATGCAGGTAGATGAGTCCTTCGAGCATCTGCAGCGTGTACACCTGGATGACCGTCTCGTCCTCGATGCGACCATGCTCGAGGAGCGCGGCGAGCGAACCTCCTTGGCAGTACTCCTCGAAGATGTAGACGCGATCGCGGTGAACCTCGATGCCGTAGTACTCGACAATGTTGGGATGGCTCAGCATCGACATGACCTCCATCTCGTCCTTGATCTGCTGATATAGACTTGGCGTCGAGGAGATGTCCTGGAAACGAATCTCTTTGACCGCCATGAGACCACCGCTGTCGAGATTGACAGCGAGGTAGACCGTGCCGAACGTACCGCCGCCGATGAACTGACCCTGCTGCCAGCGAATGGTGATCTTGGACGCCGACTGGGCGAGGAACTGCAAGCTGCGATCCTCGAGGCGCGTGTCATCGAGCACACGACCGATGAGACGCTGCTCGACATCCAACTCATGTCGCGCAGCATCCCACTCGAGCATCTTGGAGATCCAGCGCTCTTCGGTGGCCTGCATGGCTGCGTCGAGCTTATTGAAGAGGTTCTGGGCACCGATGCCTGGTCCAGCCAAGGCGGACCTCGCCTTCTCCAGCATCGAGATGGCGTGGTCAGTGCTCTGCACACGCAGCTGCTCAAAGTCCTCCGCCAGATTCTGCACCGCCTCCGAGCTTCCAGCAGTGATGCGGTTGCGCTCGACTTTTTCGCGCTCGAGCCGTTCACGATCTTCCTGTGCCTTGGCCACGCTGCTTCTGGCGCCGAGAATATCGAAGTGCGAGATCAACAGAGCCATACACGAGGCGACCTTGGCGCGAAGCAGAGCAAAATCTTGCTCGTTGAGGCGGAAGATGTTTTCGGTCGACGTGATGTGGTTGGCGTTGCCAAGGGCTGTGACGGCCCACTTGAACGTCTTGCGCTCGCTCGGCACGCAATCATCGCAGATGAAGGCGATCCAGTCGATGGCAAGGCGACCGAGGGCAAGCGTCATTTGGTCTCGCAATCGAGCCGACTCTATAAAGGGCAGCGCACGACGTCCGTGTTCCGCTGCCATCGAGTAGCAGTTCTGGATGAGTTCATCACAGCTGCCGCCAAGTCCGCCAATCGGAGCATCAGTGGTGGTCGACCGGGGTGTTCCGCTCTTGGCACGTGCACGCACGCCGAAACCACGGAGACGGCGACGAATCTCGGGCACTTTGCGGATGATGGTGTCGGAAAGCATGTAGACGCCCTTATTGATGTCCTCGAGGCCGGACTGGACCCGGCTCATGTGTGCCATCTGGTCGTTGAGCGTCTCCAGCGGGAAGGCGCCTTGACCGTCTTCGCTTCCGTCTTGACCGCCCTCCGCCGGAACGGCATGCTCGAAAATGCTTTGAAAGTGCCGCTTAGCCAGCTCGAGGCGTCCCTTGGGTCCATCTGCAATGAGGCGAACACGACGGTCGGCAAGCGAGATGTCGACGCGAGGCATGATGTGATGCATCACCTTGCCGGTCCACATGAACGGATCACGTGGACTGAGAAGCAGAATGTAGCGGGGACTTTCATCGGCGTCGTCATCGTTCTTGGTCGAGGTGGCACGAAGTCCGCTGGCGGTGGTCTGCTTTTCGAGCTGGTCTCGCAACGCAGTGGCGTTGCCGACTCCGGCTGCTGCCGTCGTATCCTCGCCCTCCTCACCATCGGCGTTGAGCGCAGTGGCGGTGGCCTCGGCAGCCATGGCCGAGTCTTCCTCGCCGGGTCGGACACGGTGCAGACACTTGCACACAAGCTCTTGGATCAGATCCGGCTTGTCTTGCAAGCTAGGCTCTGCAACGAGGTAGATGCCATCCTCCTCGAGCGCCTCGGTGTAGACCAAGAAGTAGTCATGATCGATGAGCGTCAACATGAAGGAGCTGAGCGTCATGCCACCCGGATGGTTCGGCTCGCTGTACTCGGCGACAGAGCGGTCGTCGGCTTCGAGGTAGTCGGACGAGGGGCGAAGAGTACCGAGATCGTACTCTGCTGCGTTGTCTAGTCGATTTCGAATGTCGCGTGCAAAACCCAGCAGCTTACGAGAACGGATTCGTACGCTGTCGAAGACGCTGTGGATCCACTTAGCTCGATCCTCGAGCGTGATGAAGCTCTTTCCGTGCGCTGTGCGACCAGTGGCAGCACCGGGCGCAGTCTGATCCGACTTTGCGAGGCCAACCGGGCCCGAGGTCGGGTTGGGCAAGCGCCGACCGTGCTGATCCTGCTGCGTCATGGTGGCGGTCAGTTCGCGATTGAAGTAGCGGGCGATACGATCGAAGAGCTTATTGACGAAGCGAGTGATGTTGGTCGCCACAATGATGTCTCCGCCCTCGATCGACTCGACGGCCGTGCTGAGGAAGCGCCACTCGGGCTCAAGAATCTCGGTCTCTTTGAAGTAAAGACTGGCCTTGAGTTTGAGACGCAAGAGCTTGAAGAAGAACTTGAGCGCACTTCGCAGCACGTCGTCGTAGCCGTCAGCGATGCATGGCTTGAGGTTCCAACCGCGCTCAGGATCGGCGACGATGGTGCTTTGGTAGTGAAGCTTGACTCGGCATGCCATGGCGAGTGCCGTTCGCAGATCGTCGGTGAGCGAGTCGACAATGAGCACACTCGGCTCCGCAAGCTTGCCCGCATAGTCGAGGCGGAAGCGCAATGCGCCCTGCATCAGACTTGTGGGAAAGTTGATGAGCGTGACAAGCTCCGGCTCGAACGGCGGAAGGCCCATCCGGGTGAACTCCTTATTGTATTTTAAGATGGTCTCCTTCGACTTGTTGATCAGCTGGTAGAGTCCGGCGAGGGTGCGTTTCTCGAAGGTCGATTGCAGCGAGCCTTCCTTTTGGATCCTCTCGACAAAGGTGCTCTCCTCGTCTGCAGCAGCACGGCCGGGGCGCTGCTGTTGCTCGCGCTTCTTGCGCTCGTCATCGTCGTCTCGGGCGCTGCTATGCGCATTGATCTCGAGGGTGTCGGATCCGGTCCATTTGCGAAGGATGTCGATCTGCAGACGTAGCGAGGTAGTGGTGTTATACCAACAGTAAATTGTGGCGAGCTTGGCTTGCACCTCTGCATCTCCCCACTCCGGGACGATCTCAATTGCCCGCTTGTTGGACGGGAATTGCTCCTCCGCGCTGTCGATGCGACCGAGAAGGGAGCCAATCTCGGCGAGGACCTTGTCCTTTTCTGCGAGGATGGCTGCTGCTTCCGGGTCGGCGTTGGGATTCTCGGGTCTGGGCGGATCAGAATCGCTGGTGTTTTCCTTGGCAAGAGAATCGGCTTCGCTGCTGTCGGCAGGCGTTGACAGGGAATGCGTGAAAGGAGCTGGACCGACACCACTGTCAGCACGCGCGATCTGTTCGGCACGGCAGTCGCGGATCTCTTGCACAAGGTCTTTGAGCATCTGACCGAAACCTTCCTTGAGACGTGTTTCCTCTTCGTCGATGGCGCCGCGTTGCGAGCCGCGGCCACGCAGTGTGGCACGAATGTCAAGCCAGCGCTGGTATCCAAGCTCTTGACGGGACAGGTCCGGAGTGTCCACTGAATTGATGCGTTTTGTTTCAGATTTGAGCACCTCCGAATTCAGCACGGATTCGAGCATGCTCTGCCACTCCAAGCGATGTCGAGGATCGAGAACGGGTGTCTCTTGCTCTCCGAGGTCGGCCGGAGTGTGGAGATCGAGGGGAAAGCTAGGACCTGGCGTAGCACTGACTGCGGCATGGGCATCATGGTGCGGATCGATCGGGTCTAGCGGCGCCGCCAGAGTGCGTGCTGAAGTCGAGGTACCTGTGGCCAGCAAGGTTGGGTTCTCGCCGTCCCAGTCATCGCTATCGTCACTGGCGCTCGCGCTGGACCAGTTGAGGGTACTGCCGCCGTTGGCCTGATGCGGTACCGACGCTTTCGCCTTGCCCTTGTCGTACGCCGAGCCGCTGCGAGAAAAGTAATCATTCTCGTCGACGACACCGACTGCTTCTGCATTGCGTACTCTGCGTGCCGCTACTGCATCCTCCTCAGCACTATCGACGGAATATTCATCCTCTCCTTCTTCTTCGTCGTCTAGATCAGCGAGAAGAGCTGCATCCTGTCGGCGTTGACGTTCGGCTCTTCGTTTTTCGACGTTGACCTGACGTGCTACGAGGCTGGTGGAGGGATCGTCAAAGTAATTGGGATCGCTCGAGACATCGCGATCTTCCGGCAGGGACTGAGCGAGACTGGTTGTTCGTGAGCGAGAGGTAGTGACATGTCGAAGGGAGGAGCTGGAGCGAGGCGCGCGACGGGGTTGGGTGCGTGTTCCCACGCCGGCTGCAGGTATGCGTTGATTGTGTGCGGAGTCGTCGGCTGATGTTGCTGCAGACGAGAACCCCTCATCCATACTACTGTCAGGGTCCCGAAACGATACGGTGGGGCCTCGTCGTTTGAGCGGAGATGGAGCCGTCGTATCACCACTGGCTTCTGTGTTGGCTGGATGCTGTTGCTCTTCCTCATTCTCGTCCTCTTCCAGGATGGGGTCTTCCTTTATAGGCGTGGGGAGAACGGCTGTGCTGCCGCTGGGATCCGCATCTCCATCGTGATTTGAGTCCGACATCTTGACTGCGGCGAATAGGCTGAGCGCATGTAGCTCAAGGAGTGGAAGTTGAAGCTTGTCTTCGGTGAACGCCGATGCTACAGCGAGGCGGAAGTGCTCTTGTTCCGACGAGGACTTCCTTAGGCAGACCGATAGATGGAGCGGGAGATGGGACCATCAAGTGTTGGGAGCGAGCGATGCAGCTGAGATAGCGAAGAATTGACGATCCATCACGATGAGCAGGAGGCAAGCTGTTCTGTGTCGGTCCTACCCAGTACGCTTGTCGCTTGCTTGATCGCTGCCGTCCGCTTGCAACGCCAAGGTGGTAGCTGGGTTGCGACCAAGGAGTGCCTTTGTCGAGTTTGGGGTCGTGATAGCGAAGGAGGGATGTGATCAAGGAAAGAGCGTTGTGATGGCTTCATCGGCGAGCTTGAATCCATCAGTCACATCTGTCACATTCAGAGAGTGATTTCTCTGACTGGACCCAAAAGGTGAATTCCGATGCCGCCATGCAGCCAACGCTCCGTCTCCGGACGGCGATCTGCGAGACTGCGAGAAACCTCCAAGGCACGGTGGCCCCGATTCGACACGCGTTTCCTTGGACCCTTGGCTGGCCTAAGCGTGAGAAACCAGGGAAGAGCCACCCGATACGACAGCGGGTCAGCCAACTGAAGATCAGAGACCAACACGAGAGTGAGAGTCGGCAACAGGCCGCCGCCGCCGTCTGCACAGGCCATTTTGGCGAGAGAGCGAGCGAGCGAGCTTGAGCCTAAAAGTCAGCTTCCGACAGGGTCCCGTGAGTTACCACATCTTCTCACGACGCTTTCTCAGTAGTCCCGCCTTTGAGGCTCTTTCTATCATCATCACATCGCAAGCTACACCAACCACCGGGCGACCCTCTCGACGCATGGCAACACCTCACACCACAATGCTTTCTCGCTAAGGGCCCGGATCGCTGCAGGATCCGACCATTGCATCGAAGATCATAGACGAGCAAGCACGACCAGCTGATCCGCACTTCCAGCGCCGCCATGTATTGGCCTACCGGTTGCCCGGAGAGGATTCACCTCTCGCCCTCAGGACTTCACCAATCTGCTACCTTTCTCCGCTTCGACAAGGATGCAGCACAGCAGCTGCCTACTACATCAGCAGGTCAACAAGATGGCGCGGACGAGCAGATCATCCACATCGCGCGCTCCCGCAACGGCATGATGTGGGCTGCCCTTAGCACAACAACCATCTCAATATGGTCATCACGTCCCGCGCAAGTCGTCGCCGCCCTCATCCGCACGCCACAGAGCATCGCCGACTACGGAAACAACACGCGCGTCGAATGGCGTCCAGATGGGAATGCACTCCTTGTCCAGACGGATCGCAGCTTCCTTCTGCTCTATACACTCGTCTATCCGCGACAAGGCTCGTCGATCTATAGCTACATCCCTCCTTCAGGTTCAGGGTCTCGTTCGCAGACAGATGAGCTGCTTGCGCCGAATCCGAGATCGTTGAGGAATGCTTTTGCTCCTGGAGCAGGCGAAAGTGCAGCCGCAGGTGACTTGGGTCTAGGTGGTCTGGCGGGAGAAGCTTGCGAGCTTCGATTTCGCCTTGTGCTCCGCATCGATGCAGGTCTGCGTTCTGCAACTTCGACCGAGACGCACATGCTTGTCAGCACCACGTCGCCTCCCGCCCTTCAATGCATTCGCTGGCCGAACGACGATCCAGATGCTCGGCAGCCCGATCCCAATGATCCTTTGGTTCGCACCCGCACAACTTTGACTGAGCAGCTGGACTGGTTCTTGATAGCGGAGAATCAGACAGAAGACGCAGACGCAAGGACAAGCTCAGTGGAGATCAGTCAAGTGACCTATTCTCGGCCGATGGACGTCTTTGTCTGGCTCACATCGGATGGCCGGGCCTACGTCGCAAATCTCGACCTGCTGGTGGACGACCCGGTCCCATGGACAGGTCGATGCTTCCACGGCGCGGCGAAGCAGCCGAAAAGGCGGTCTTCTACCATCGAACGCACAGCCGTTCCACCTGCTCAGCCCGCACCGGGCCTGGCCAAACAGGCGACTGAGGAAAAGGAGACGGCAGCTGCTCACACCGCAAACGGCATCTCTTCCGACAACAATCGTGGCTCAGTCGAAGGAGACTCGGCCGTTCCGAAGGGCGATGCCAACGGAAGCATCCCAGTCTCACCGATACCTGCGGATCTGCCACCAGAGCAGCGTGCCACAAGTGTCTCGATCAACGCCAAGTTCAGTCTCATCGCTCTCGGACTGGCTGACGGCACCGTAGCAGTGTATCACTATCGCGCTCCGGGCCGAACACCTTTGCTTTCGCAAACCTTATCCATCCGAGAAGCGCTGAAATCCACGGCCAGCTATCTCACCACAGGCGCAGTCCGCTCTCTGGCATGGACTAGCGATGGGTACGCGCTCGCCGTTGGCTGGCAGAAAGGCCTTTCAATCTGGTCGACTTACGGCAAGCTCATGGGCTGCACTCTGCGCGAAGATTGGGAGCTGGCTTCCAAAAACTTCTCCGACGCCTTCATGTTTGGCACCCGCGATCTCTTCTGGGGGCCCGGCAACACGGAGCTCTTCCTCCTCGCCCTGCCCAAGCATGACGCACCTGCGCCACTGAAAGCCGACAATCAGCTGTTCATCCTCCCTTTCTCCAAATCCGCCGTTGCAGGGCAGCACTCTCCGGACAATACCCGCTTCGCCTTCTACCAGACTGACGACAGCCTTCACGTTTACCGCGGCGCAGACCAGAACGACCTCACCGCCATCACGCCCGAGTCAGACGTGTGGCAGCACATCAAGATACCCCAGCCCTATCTGGCCGCCAATTGGCCCGTCCGGTACGCCGCCATTAGCAGCGACGGCAACCTCATCGCCGTAGCAGGCCGGCGCGGCTTAGCACACTACTCGAGCACATCTGGCCGCTGGAAGCTGCACAAGAGCGTCGCGCAGGAACAATCGTTTGTCGTGCGCGGCGGCATGCAGTGGTTCCAGCACGTGCTGATCGCAGCTTGCGACTCGGGAGGCGAGTATCAGTTGAGATTGTACTCGCGCGATGCAGAGCTGGATTCGTCGCATCTGCTCGATCTGCGCGTGCTGCCCAGCCCGGTGGTCCTAACGAGCTTGTTCGACAACAGCCTTCTCGTGTACACGGCGGACAACACGTTCTACCATTTCCTCATCGACCTTTCACAAGATCGGGTCCGTCTGCAGCTCTGCGGCTCAATCACGTTCGAAGGCGTCGTCGGCGAGCCAGCGAGGGTGCGCGGAATGAGCTGGATGATCCCCGAGAGCCAGCAGCGATTCGGCGATCCGATGGACGATCTCTCCGTGGCGACGATCATTTTCCTCATTGATGGCAAGCTGGTGCTTTTGCGGCCAAGAAAGGTCGATAGTCACCGACCCAGCAGGCTAGAGGACTTTGACGACCCCCGCCACGACAACGACGACGATGACGAGGAGGTGGCGTACGACAAGCAGATCCTCGCGGACAAGATCGAATACTACTGGACGCACCTTCAAGGCATCGGCACATTGGAAAACTCGCTGTGGGGTTACGACGGGACCGGGATCAAGCTGTGGCTTGATGCTCTGCGCATTCCGTCCTCCGCCCACCCAGATGAGTCGTTTTCCGACGACGAGGAAGGGTCAACCGACCTTCCGCCCGACCGCACCATCGAGTCCTCAGTATTCATGCCACTAGACTTCTACCCCTTGTGCGTGCTGCTCGAGAAAGGAATCGTCCTCGGCGTCGAATCCGAAGTCTCCCTTCGTCGATCTCTCGACTTTGCTCTGTGGCGGACGACCACCAACACCCACCTGTTCCTCCACCAGATCCTGCGCAACTACCTCGAAAAGCGCCTGCTCGAAGAAGCGGTGTTCTTCGCGGCGTCCTACCAGGATCTGGTGTACTTTGCGCATGCGCTCGAGATCTTGCTCCACGCAGTGCTGGAGGATGAGGCGGATGCGGGGTTGGGCGATGCTACCTACCTGCGCAAGGGGGCTGGTAGTGTGCTGTTCAAAGAGCGCAGCCCGAGCGCGCTGCTTGCCGATGTGGCGGAGGAATCTGCTGACGAGGCGCCGTCTCACGATTCGCTTCGCAGATCTCCGGTCGAATCGGGCATCCTACCTCTCGTAGTGGAGTTTCTGGATCACTTCCCAATCGCGCTCGAGGTGGTGGTTGGATGTGCACGGAAGACGGAGGTGGCGCGGTGGGCGTATCTGTTCGATGTGGTGGGTCCACCTCGGGCGTTGTTCCAGAAGTGCATCGCCGCAGACGACTTGCGGGTGGCAGGAATGTACCTGTTGGTGCTGCACAATCTCGAGCCGTTGGAAGTGTCGATTGCGCACACGGTGCAGCTGCTGCGCCTGGCGGTGCAGAGACACGACTGGTCGACGTGTCATGATCTGCTGCGGTTCGTCGCGACCATTGATCCTAGTGGTTCAGCGCTGCGGTTGGCGGTGGACGAAGCTGGGATCCTCACCGCCTCCGATGACTCGGAAGGGATAGTGGCGCCACGGATGATGCGGACGAACTCGGCCCCTCCCATCCCCGCAAAACTCGACACGATGGCAGAGGAGGACGAGGAGAGTCTCGATGCCAACCCGTTCGATCGACCCCTGCTCAAGACACAGCGTGCGAAATCGGCCACTTTGCCCATGCGCAACACGCCAGACGTCACGATCAACGGCATGGCCCTCACACCCAGTCTTGCTGCGTTGGGGATAGGGGGAAGGCAGAGACACGGAGTAGGTCTCAGTCTCAGTCGTGTCGGATTGCGCAGTTCGGATCGCATCTGGGATAAGGATGGGGAGAAGAGCGCGTCGACCAGTCCACGAGCTAGCATGGCCAGTCTGCGCCGACCCTCGAACGAGAGGCGCAACTCAGAGAGGTTGGATGAGAAGGATGAGGATGCGCTGGTTGGCGTCGGCTCACCCGATTTGTAGCAGCCTCAATACCAACTATCACACCTTGCAAGTTTGCTGGCGGCTCTAGAGGATCTGGCTTCGTCACAGTGTAGGCGTGCGTGAGACGCGAAAGTTCGTTATTGAAGCTGCGTTTCCACTATGCTACCCACCTTGTACCCTATGCTCCTGAAGTTCGTCCTTCGCAACCTACGCCAATGCCACGCCCTTCTTCCTCCACGCCATCCACTGCGCCACAATAATCAGATCAAAAACCAACGTTCCACCGCTGCCCAACAAAAACGGCAGACTCTCCTGGAGATACGCCCTACTGCCCTCACCGCTCGCGCTCGGATTGGTCAGAACGCTGATCGTATACAACAAGTTTCCGGTGAAGGCGGCGATGAAGAGGAGGATCGAGAGGCCGGCGACAGAGCGACGGATGTGGTTCTCCCAGATCTGCGGGATGCGCGAGGTGATGTACAGCAACGCGCACAGCCAGGCGCTGATTCGACCCACGAGGCGATTCCACGATGTGGCCTCATCGAACAGGGTCAGCAGCAGAGGTGAGGAGGGGGTGGGAATGACCGCAGCTGTGGAGGTGGCTGGTAGGGAGGTGATCATCATGATGCCGAGAAGGACCATGCCGATGCTGCGTCGCATCGAGGCAGGCGATTTGGTCCCGCTGCGCTTTTTGCTGCTTCCTGTAAGGCCGGAGTTGGTGGTCGTGGAGGTCATACCCAACGTGCTGCGGGACAGCTGCTTGGTGTGGGACCGTGATGACGAGGTGCGGTACATGCCCCTCTTCCTGCTCCCGTCCTTTGCGGAAGCGGACGGGTTCAGCGAGTCGACGGAGCGATGCAGCGGCGCAGCCGGGGACGATTCTCTTGTCGAGTCGTGTGTCCGTCGCTTTCTTGATTTTGGTTCGCCTTCTTGTGAAGCCTGGGCCGCCTCAATGGTGGTGTTCGCACGCTCGTGTTGCCCAAGCTGATGATGAGACTGAGACATCCTAACTGCGTCATCCTTTGGCGCCGAATCGGCCGACGCATGTCGGACAGTGCCATTGGACGAAGATTCGGAAGAGAATGGCGAAGACGCTGCATCGCGACGCGGAGCGGCACCTTCGTTGGGCGTTGCTGTGCCCGAGACGGGAGCCGTGTCGACTCGGTTGGCGGTGCGGACCATGTCGCGACCTCGAGGCTCGAGGGGTCCGCTTCCGGTGCTGCTCTCGGTGCTGACACTGGCTAGGCTGTCAATGCTTTTCGTCATAGCCTCCTGCGCCGCAGACTCGGAACCAGACTCGGCTTCGGATGCCGATTCCGTTTGGTCTCCATCGTCTCCTTGCTGCATCTTTGGCTTGGGTGATGTGTCCTCGTCGTCCGCATCTTTGCTCTCCCGCGTCGGACTCAATGCTGACGGGACAAAGTCGACTTGTCCTGCCGGGCCCTTCCTGCGAGCGCTCATCGATCGTGTAGCACGGGATTTGCGCGGGACTGAGCTGGAACCTTCTTGCACGGCTGGCATCGACTGTGTGGATGCTGCCAAGTCGGCCTGGAGCGCGTCTGGATGGGTGAGGTCGTTGCTGTTGACTCGCGACCGTGACCGTGACGATGGTTGAGAGTGGTTTGGTGAAGAAGAGGCCCTCGACTTGCTGCGATGCGAGTGTGGCTTGCGATGTGAAAAGTAGTCCTCGTCTGTTGCGTGATGCAGCATCGCCTCGCGTCTCCTAGCCGCCTCGTGTGCTAGTTGTGCGACCGACATGGCTGCATCAGAAAGGGCGCGGTAGTTGGCGACAGAACCGCTGCCAAAGCCAGGGACAGTGTCTGTAGAGCTCGTTCTGCTGATCGGAGGAGCATGACGAGATCTGGATCGAGATGACCCGAAGTGAGGGCGACGACGAGTTGCCTCCCCGTCGGCCGCATCGTCTGCTTTGTCGGTGGATGTCCGCGCTAATGGCGGGAGCGCGTCGTGCTGTGAATAGGCGTGTTGCGCGATGTGTCGATGCGGATTGACAAGCTGTTGAGAGTGCGACAAATTCCGCCGCCTGCTCGAGCTGCGTAGGTAGGAGTTATGACGACTTGCCCTGCCACCGAGCAGCTCACTTGTCTCGGAAAGCACCGAGTACGAGTTTGCTGGGTAGGGTGAAGTGAGACTGCCGGTACGCTGCCGCGATCGATTCTTTGTGCGCCGTGCCCGCTCTCTTCTTGACTTGAGCTTGTAGTACACGAATTGCACCATGATGCAGACATCGATGCAGCAAAAGTAGGTCGAGACGGCAATCTGAAATGGCAGCTGCTGGGTGAGGATGCAGCCAATAAGATTGGTGGCATCGCCGAGCATCCATTGTGTGAGAAAGACGGCAGAGAGGCCATCGACAGAGCCACGTCGGTAGTTTTCGTAGAGCTGCGGGGATTGCGCGAAGAGCCAAACGACGAATGAAAATGTGCCGGTGAGGTTTGACACCGTCTGCCGGTCGACGGTGGCCAGCCAGCCGACCATGACTGCGACCCGGTGCTCAAACGCGTCTAGAGCCGTTGTAAGCCCAGTAGAGTCGCCGACGATTCCGCTTTACAGCGTTGAGGGTGGTGAGACCTTACATGCGAAGTCCATCTGTGCGGGTCTACAGGGTTGAGGTGCGCTCGAGCCGCTCGAGATAAGCCGGTGATCTTGAGCCCAAGTGGGACGCTATCAAAGTTGGCGGCTCTAACCTCGACAGCCTCGAGCCGATTTCCGAGCAGCAAGGTTTCTTATCTACGAGGCGTGGGAGCTTGCTGAGTGATTCGGAGCCTATGCCGGATTGCTGGCTGAATCAGGGTCGAGGCGAGTCGGACGGTCCGTGGGCTAGTGGAGGATCCCTATAGTCTTGACCTTTACGATCTCCGAGGTGATCGAGTCTATGCAGGGGATGGGAACGATGTGATCTATGAGGCCGGGCGCGTTGGGATCCGAGCTTAGAATGTGGGGTATAGGATGGTTGTCGAGAGGATCCAAGAGAGGTGCAGCAATCGTGGATGGGCGGGTGAGTCGTGTGATTGGAGGCTGGTAGGATGCCGAGACGAACAATGGACTGCGTGATGTGGTGTGGAAGTGCTGTTGGATGCTGTCACACGGCCTTGTGCAGACGACGCGGTGCAAAGAGACTTGAGACTCGGCTGCGGTCTTGCTGCGAAAAGGGTCCAATGGGAGCTTGGCCGTTGCGAGGTGGTTTGCGGGTCAGTCATGCTGCTCTCAAGCCTTATCAGCTGAGAGGCGTCCTGTGCGTGGCTTAACGAGGCAAGACAAGCCGTGGCTTCGGTACATCCTCCTCCGTCCCACCCAGGCACACAAGCCGGCGAAAAGGCGAAAAGGCGAAAATCACGCCGCGGTCATCCATTAGCCCGATTTGAGAGGTACCGATGCTCGAACCAATTGTGTGTTTGATTTAGGTCTAACATGTCTTTCTCCCCTAGCCCGCGCTTTCTGCTCTCACCCTCCCTTCACTCACTCTTAGCCGCCTAGCTGAGCTCGTACATAGGCTTTGAGGTCATTCACCACCGTTCAGTGAGAAGACGCAGGCTCGGACATGGCCGGAAAGATGTACCCTGGCCTGAACCATTGCCGAGAGGCAGACTGTTGGGTGAGGCGCGTAGGATTTTCAATCTGTTGCTCGGTTCGGAGAAATTAATTCGCTGCTTCGCTTGTACAGCTCCCCCACGTCAATCTAGAAAATGTCTCCGTCAGTGGCGTCGCATGGCAAGCGGAATCCCCCACAGCCGCGTACCAATCCCTGCGTGTGATGCCTTCCAATTCGAGCTTAGGCGTTCCTCAGGCGCAGAGCCGACGAAAGTGGGATGCAATGAGCACATGGTCTGCCGCAACTTCCGAGTGGATTGAGCCGAAGACTCTCCGTGGCGAATCACCGCCCACCAAATTTCACGAAGCTTAAGCGAGATGGTGGACCTCATGCCCGAGAAATGTAGCCGACCTTGTGACCCCCGGTCATGTCGCCGGTCAATAGGTTCCCATAGGTCGGCTTGGAAGCACGGCGTCGGTTGTTGCGGCAGCTGTCGAACCCCAGGCAGCCAAGACCCAACCCCCGCACAGTGGCAACCCCACGCTTGCTGTGCATTCCCCCGCGGCGCCCCTCATTCGCTCCTCGTCCCCTCGCTGAGCTTTGTATAAGTAGCAGCCCTTGCGCGATGTTATCCTCTTCCCCTTCGTTTCTTCATCACCCCTGAACTCTCCTCCATCCCGACACGACCTTCAGCATGGGCGAAAAGATCCTTAAGGACGCGGATCTGCACCGCTCGACCGCAGCAAACCAAGACACACACGATGCCCACTCCGTCGAGCAAGTGACCGAGATCTCGGGCGTCTCAACAGCGGTGGCTGCGCTCGATCCCAACTCGGAAGAGTACAAAGTCATGGAGAAGCGTCTCGTTCGCAAGATTGATATCCGTCTCATGCCAATCCTCGTCTTGCTCTACATCCTGTAAGTGCGCAAGACCACCTCTGATCGCATGCTACAGCCGCTGACCACCTGTATGACCCCCCTTTCGATCGGAACCCTATCTGCTGAGTAGTAACTATCTAGATCGCAACAGCATTTCCACTGCACGAGACAACGGCCTGGTACGAGATCTGAACCTCCTCGACAAGGAGTACCAGACGGCGCTGAGTATCCTCTTTGTCGGATACATCACATTCCAGATCCCATCGAACATGCTCATGACCAGGCTCGGTAGGCCTTCGCTCTACATTCCAACGTTTGTTGCCTTGTGGGGTGTCGTCTCGGCTTGCACTGCTGCTGCCACCGGCTACCACTCTCTCCTCGCGGTCCGAATCTGCCTAGGTGTCGTCGAGGCGCCCTTCTTCCCGGGGGCACTTGCGCTTCTTGGTTACTTCTATAAGAAAGAAGAGATGGCAACACGGACGGCACTGCTCTTTTCTGGTAGCATCATTAGCAATGCCTTCTCAGGATTGATCTCGGCGGGTATCCTCAGTGGCATGGAAGGGAAGGCTGGTCTGCCATCGTGGCGCTGGCTCTTCATCCTCGAAGGCTCCATCACCGTAGCTATCGCCGGTATGGCGGTGTTCATCCTTCCGGACATGCCTGGCAACTCAAAGTTCTTGACCCCTGAGGAAAGGATCATCGCCGTCAACAGGTTGTCGGTCAACGCTGGGTCCACTCTGTCAACCGCGGACGAAGACGGAACGCCAATGCAGGGCTTCTTCATGGCTGTGAAGGATATCAAAACCTGGGTTCTGGCTTTCATGCTCACAGCCGTGACTGTTGGCGTCGGCTTCAACCAGTTCTTCCCGACCATTGTGGGCTCGCTCGGCTACTCTCACACCGTCACCCTGCTTCTGACCGCGCCCATCTGGTTCTTCGCCTTCCTCGCGTGTCTCGCCAACGGTCTCCACTCGGACCGCGTCCAGGAGCGCACCCTACACATCATCATTCCCCTCGTTTTCGGCATTGTTGGATTCATCATTGCCTCCACCACTACCAGCCTTGGAGCCCGCTTCTTTGCGCTGTTCATCGAGGCTTCTTCGTACGCCGGCTACACTTGCGTTCTCGGCTGGATCGCGCCCTCAATTCCTACCCCCAAGTATAAAAAGGCCGTCGCGCTCGCGCTCATCAACGCTTTCTCTCAGCTCGGCAACATCTCGGCGAGCTACGTCTGGCCCAAGAAGTGGGGCCCCAAGTATTGGCAGAGCAACACGATCAGCTCGGCCATGTTTGTCGCCTGCATCGTGCTGGTGCTGCTGCACAGGACTATGCTCAAGATGGAGAATGCCAAGCTGGACCAAATTAAGAACGATCTGCTCAGCGGTGGCAAGGGCATGTACGAGGAAGATGGCAAGGGTTTGGACCCAGAGTCGCATCTGGCGGTGGATGGCCAGTCGAAGAAGCAACAGACAAGGATTGCTATGGCCAAGAGCTCGTTCCGCTACATGTTGTAATCGCTACGTATCATTGTAATGGTATCTTGACTCGGACTCTGATGTGCGTGTGGATGTTTCCCTTCCAAGTGAGCTGTCTGAGAGGATCGTAGCGCAGAAGGCAGGGCAGGATATGCACGTCGTCGAGCTGTCAAAAAGCGGATCAGGAAAATCGCCCGATCCGTGCCTTCTTCAACGCCTTAGCTCCACCTCGAAAGAACAACACTTTTTGTTTCTTACCCTCATCACCTTTTCTACCGACCTCGTGCCTGCCCATCTTGGCCTTGTCATTCGATCATGTCGGTCTCCGCGGATCGTGCACCTCACATATAGCGCTCGTCTGCTCCAGCATCGTGCAGAGTGCCAATAGCCTCACCGACCATGTCGCTCGACCTGGACTGGAGTCTTCTGGACGACGAGCTGTCCGTCCGCTTCCTCGAGACCATCAATCGCGCACTCGAGTCGTCTTCCACCAGTCGGCCGTCTTTCCTCGGGGAGATCCGCTTCGAGAACCTGCAATTCGGCGCCGACCCACCCGACGTGGCTATCCGCTCGATCACCGACATCTGGCCGGACTTTGTTTCGATCGACGATCCGCCACTTCGTCGACGCGGCACACGACATGCCACACCAGCGAGCAATGCAACGACACTGGTCGAGTCGCCAACAGAGACGTTCGCCGCGGGCCATGGAGGAGAGATGCCGTTGAGGACGTATACACAATTCGACGATGCAGTGCCGCCGAATCGAATCCATGGGCCCGCGAGCGTGATTTCGGCGAGCGTGGCGGGCAGCGTGCCTGCGACACCCGGTATGGGGCTGGGTGGAGCGAACGGGTACTATCAGCAGTGGTCGACGGCGCTTGCTTCACGAGGGATCCGAGCGGCCGGGCTGGGTGGGTCCTCGTTACCACAAACGCAAGTGACCAGCCCGGTGGAGATTCCACCCTCGCCAGGATACTTTCAGCACTGGCAGCAACAACAGCAGTCGGGACCATCCCATCTCGGGTTGCCCTACTCGGCGAACAATTCAAGGCAGACGAGCTTCGATGCGACCTCTCTCCTTGGAGGCGGACCAGGTCCGCAGAGCAGTGTCAGCCAGATCGGTGCCAAGCGGGATAGCAATAGCCTTCACCCACCGCTCCCTGGCAATGGCCTGCACTGGAACGGCACGGGAGGTCGACCTTCGCTCCGCTCCACGCCAGCCGCATCGTACCGCTCACTTTCCGGCCAGATCTCGCCCAACGAGCCGCGCGAAGCTACCCCTGCACCCTCCTCCGCCTCCCAACTGCCTTCGCTGCAGATGCGATTGAGCCTGCATTGGCCAACGACGACGTTCCGCCTCACCGTCACCACCAGCATCCTGATCAACTATCCGAGTCCCGCATTCATGTCTCTTCCCCTCACACTGTGCATCACAGGCTTCTCCTTGACGTCAGGTCTGATTGTTGCACTCGAAGGCGAGCACCAGCGGGCACACATCTGCCTCGTCGAAGAAGACACGGATGTAAGCCCAGCAGAAGGGAAGAAGGTCAGTGCAGGGATGAGTGTTCTGCCTCAGCTGACGTTTGAGAGCGAGGTGGGCGAGCACGAGAAGCACGTGCTGAAGAATGTCGGGAAGGTGGAGAAGTTTGTTGCGGAGGTGATTCGGAAGGGGTTGGAGGACGAGCTGGTCTATCCGAACTACTACACGATCGATTTGCCAGGCTCCAAGGGAAGGACGTGATGTGGGACGGCGCTCTCAATCAACGATTGTGCTCCTAGATTTGTCACTGAGTACGTTTCACAAGTGTCGGCGTCTGGAAGTGTGGTATGATGTTGAGGAGAAGCTCTTGGTCTCGTGTGTGTGTGTCGGCCGAAAGGGATATACATAGCCTTCGAGCGAGAAAAGCGAAAACTTGTATCAGATAAGGCGCCCAGCACACAATGAGCCTATCAGCAGCGTGCCATTTGGCTGCTCGGCGAGTCATCCTCACTGCGATCGTCCTCTCAATGGCTTTCACTGACTGCAGACATGTTTCCGCTCACGCAATCCAGGTCAACGCTCATTAACAACGGTAACGAAGAGGCAAGAGGAGGCTCGAATTTCCAGTCTTGCGCCTCAAGAAGAAGCCCGGAGATAGGATGTGCTGTGCTGCTAAGCGAAAAATTTGGGCTGGAGCAGCAGAGGGATCGTCATTTTGGCAGTCAAGCGAGTCAAAAGTCGAGTCTTGTTTTTGTGAGCGTAATTCGGCCTCAGCTCATTTGCCACAGTCACAGCTCTCTCTGAGAAATTTCGGCGTTATCACGACCCCATGCTCAGCAACTCATTATCACCATTCCCACCATTCTTCGACCACTGCAACCACGTCTGATCCACGTTCAATACTTGCTCGAGCACTAGCACTACACATTCGCAATACTGCCCACGGCCTCTTGTCCAGCAACTGAAGGAACATCAAAGCAACGCGCAGACCAGTAGCACCGTCTTCGTCTACACTTCATCGCGACCTCTTCTTTCCGCTCTGACTATCACGCAGTATCGACACATAGGCAATCATGTCTCCTCCTGTAGCCACAGACGCCACCTTCTCGCACAACTCCAATGGCGTAGTCTCGTCCACCTCCGTAGATCCCACGGGCACCGTGCTCGTCATTGGTTCCATGACTTCCGCCCAGAGCGGCGCATACCAAAAGGCTGTCGAGGCATACTCTGGCCGTCAAGTTGAGATGCACATGGTCGATCGTCTCACTGATGGTGCCACCTCTCTCACCCCCAGCACCTACCCGATCGCTCATCTCACGGTCCCCTACTCGGATGCCGCCTCTCCCCTTCTCCTGTCCAGCGTTCATTCGGCCCTCCAGCCCAACGCCAAGATTATCGTCGAGGCGGCAGAGCTCGCGGACGCCACCACCGCGCAGAAGGTCAAGGCGGAGTTGACCATTGCTGGTTTCTCAAACATCGAGTTCGACAACGCTGGCGTCATGTCCGCGACCAAGCCGGCCACTGCTGCTTCGAGCTCCTTCTCCATCGGCTCTTCCTCCAGCACTTCGTCAGCGCTTCCTCTGCGAAGGAAGCTCGGCGGTAGCGCTGCGTCCGCCAAGAAGTCGCTGTGGGCCACTCAGCCCGCCTCATCCAATGACCTGATCGACCAGTCCTCCCTCCTTCGAGACGCCGACTTCGTCGCTACCACGGCGGTCAAGCGCCCCGACTGCGACGTGGGTCCTGGCCAAGGCAAGAAGAAGAAGGCGTGCAAGGGATGCACCTGCGGTCTCCGCGAACTCCAGGAAGAGGAAGACCGCGCGGCCGCATCCAACGTGGTGCAGCTCGACACGGAGGACATGGACATGCCTGGCGCCGACCCCGCGGCCAACGGAGGAAAGAGGACCGAGGTCACAGAGACCATCATTGGCAAGGACGGAAAGCCAAAGACGATCAAGCGTATTCAGGTGGACACCAAGGGCGCGACCAGCTCGTGCGGAAGCTGCTTCTTGGGCGATGCGTTCAGGTGCAGCAGCTGCCCGTACTTGGGACTGCCCGCGTTCGAGCCGGGTCAGAAGGTCGAGATTCCTGTTGGGATGGATGATGACATTTGAAGAGACATCAGATCGGAAGAAAGTAATATCATTGTCACGTCTCGTTGAGCCTTCGGTTGTGTCGACTGCACAAGCGGAGACGGATGGGCGACATCACTCAACTGAGCAAAACACGCGCAAACAAACTGAGCTCTTTCTTCTGTCACTGCATGGTTGACTCTGAGAGGGTATCAAGCTCGCCTTTCGTTTTCGGAGCTGCCGAAGGATACAGTCACTTTGGCCATCAGAACCCGCCCTTCCTCCTCCTGCCTGTATACCTGCTATCCAGCGGCACATCCTCTTTCCCTCTCTTTCTATTCAACTCCTTCTTCCTGACGATATACTCCTTTGCCGTCTCTCCTCCTCCGCGCTTGCCCTTCTTGCCGCCCTTCCTATCCCTATCCAATCTCCTCTTTTCGAATTTGACCGCGCCTGCCTTTGCCTCTCCCTCATGCTCGTGTGTCAGCCCCTGTGGTAGCTCCTGCTTTCCCTTTTGGCCGTTGGGACCCTCCAGCATCTCTCCACCCACCCACAACACCAGGTAGAACTTCTTGGCTTTCCTCGAATTCGGGTAGTCGACCACCAATCCACCGCCGAAGCCGGCTTTGGTTGCGAATTGCATGATGAACTTGACCTGATCGTCTGACTCGGGATAGAATTGGAACACCGCTCTTGCGCCTCTGCTCAAGCTAGAGTACAGGGTCGTGAAGAACCCTGCTAGCCTCTGCGCAGGATTGTGGGACGTGGCATCGGCATTGCAGAGCCACTGCAGCACGGAGATGCTGATGGCGCCGTCGAAGGAGCCTGCGCGGAAGCCACACCCTTGGCCCGCATCGGCAAGCAACAGGTCCCCCTCGGTCTCCTTTTCGAGCGCCACCTCCAGCATCGAGGGTGAAATGTCGAACCCGATCCATTCGTGACCGTGCTCGGTGATGATTTCGCCCGACAGACCGGAACCGCACCCGATGTCGAGGAGCAATGCGGGCCGACGATGTTCTGGCAGCATGAGCAGTTCGAGCGCTCGCTCGGTCATCTCTGCTTGAATGGTCTGCACTCGCGTGCTGTTTCGCAGGAGAAGGTCAGTGGATGCTGCTCAAGGTCCGAAGGAGGGAAGATGATCAGGGTACCTACTTTGCCGTATACTTGGCCGCCTCGGTGTCATTGTAGAAGATTTCTGGCGGTGCCAGATGCTCCGGTCGCGACATTGTGACTGATTCTTCTGCTCTGCTGCTGCTATAAGATCGTCGTGATGTTGCTGATGCTGCAAAAGCTGGCAGGTTCCTCGTGAGGTGTTGTTCGAACGAGAAAGTGTCTGTGTTCTTCTCAAAAATTTCCCGTTGGCTGCAGGCACAAACAGCCGAAATCCGAGTCCAGGGTCTTGCTTCAGACCAGCAGCCGACACCGGAAACCGGCCGAAAGGGCCAAAACTGGCACTTGGAGTGGAGGCATGACGCGCGAAGATTAAGGCTTCGAGGCTGCAGCTGCTCGCTGACTGCACGCTTACATACAGCCTAGTTTGACAAGCTCGACGTTGCCGACAAGACATTTGACTCGGACCATCAGTCCCTCCCTTGATATCCAGACGGGTTCGGCGAGGCAGATCCTTGCACAGTGGCACGAACAGCAAGAACAGAGGAAGGAAACGGAACAGAACGGCATTGAAAGCAATCACCCTGGTCTTCGGCTCAGCAGAACGGATCCGACATATCCATGCGCTAAGATAGACACCAGAGATCATGTTGGTCTCGGCGACGCGGGGCTTCCGCGCTACAAGCACATCACGGACACTCTTGTCTACATCAGCACCTCGTCTAGCATCCTTGCAGTCACGGTCCCACTTGACCTACCTTCGAGGACCGCACGCGCCTGGCCCACTTTCGACCTCGAGACCACCCACACTCGCTTCTCGCACCCTCGCATCCTTCGTCGGTCCCTCTGGCACCATCCCCGAGCCCAACGCGCTCCAAGTCACCGACCCGCTCCTCATCTACCGCGCCAAGGTCGCACGGGGCGAGCTCGAAGAAGACGAAGAGCAGCTCCGCGCGCTCGTCGAGCTGCGTCGCATCAACCGCACTTTACGCGATTACGTTCCGCCCGCACATCTCCTGGGAATTCTGCATCACGACACCCAGTCTGCCTCCTCTGCCGCCCTCGCCAGCGCTATCGACTCGCGGCTACGTCCGGGTGCAAAGGAGTTTCGCGATGAACCTTCAGCCAAACCGTCCGGCGAGAATATCGGAGAGCTCGTCCGTTGGCTTAGCGAGAGCGAGGGTCTTGCGGAATTGGGCACGCCAAAGGGGCTGCTCATCACCGGCACTCCGGGGACAGGAAAGAGCATGGTCATGGACATCTTCTTCGATTCGTTGCCTACAAAATACAAGTTCCGGCGCCACTACCACCATCTCCTGCTCGATCTGTACAAGATTATCTGGGAGGAAGCAGAGCGACGACGACTAGCGGTACGTCAGGGGACACCACGCGCCACAGCAACGCCCGAGATCGGGACCGGGGCGATATGGCAGCGCGATCCAGGGGCACCCAAGAGCGCATCGGCGTGGAGGCGCGCCTTGCGGGGGATGCCGTTCTTCCGACCCGACTCGCTCGCCGATGGCAACAGCGAGCAGCTGCAGTACATCCCAGGCCCAGACGGCGACGTGGTCAAGACGACACTCCCGCTGCATGCCGCCGCGCATCTGTTCCTCAATCACGGCCACATTTTGCTCTTTGACGAGATCCAGCTGGTGGACGTCGCCAGTGCTGGACTGTTGCGAAGGACGCTCGAGGCGTACTGGAGATTGGGTGGTGTGGTGATCGGAACGAGCAATCGGATCCCCAAAGATCTGTACGCGAGCAATGTGCAGCGTGGACAGCTGACGCAGTTCCTCGAGATCCTGCAGGAACGTTGTCCCAACCACGAGATGCGACGGAGTCGAGATTTTCGCCGGGAACCTTTCTATCGACAGGAATGGTTGGAGCGCAACCAGGAGGCTGATTCCGAGCATCCTACCGCGGAAGCCAGCGAACCAACACCGACCCAACCACAAACATCTTACTTCCTCCGCAACGAGGCTGACAAGTATGATTCCCTAGTCAGCAGCATCATCGCTGGTCGCACCTCCACACCTACCACCCTCAACGTCTACGGTCGGCGACTCCTGGTCCCACGTTCTATCCCAGCCAACGAAACCCACCCCTCCGTCTGCCGCTTCCACTTCTCCGAACTGTGCGATTCGCCCCTTGGGCCGGCAGACTACCTCACCCTCGCCTCGACGTATCACACGTTCATCCTCGAGGGCGTACCGCAGATGACGCTGATGCAGAAAAACCAAGCGCGCAGGATGATCACGTTGCTGGATGCGGTGTACGAGGCGGGGTGTCGGTTGGTCGTTCTGGCCGATGCGGGACCGGACGACTTGTTCTTCCCCGATGCGGAGGGGGCTGCTCGCCACGCGGCGCGTGGACCTGCTGCTGGACCTGGTGACGTTCGTCCCGAACTGCAATACACTGCTCACGAAGACGTCGTTGACATGTCCACTAAAGGCGGTCGATCACCCTTTCTCACCCCGCCTCCCGGGCAAGGCTATCCGGAAGAGGAGGAGCTAGCAAGACACAAGGCGGGACAAAGGGTCGATTTCAGCGCAGACGAATTCACATCCGAGTCCCTCATCATGGCCGAAACGCTCTCCGAAGCGATGCAGGATACCGAAGAGGGCTTTCGACCGAATATCTCGGCCTACTCGTCCGACCGACCCTCCCGTTCCCCCTCTTCCTTGCCCAAGGACGACAAGGTCGGTTTCAAGCATCTAGCCATCTTCAGTGGCGAAGATGAACGGTTTTCGTACCAACGCGCCGTGTCGCGGTTGTTTGAGATGAGTCATCCCGACTGGATGAGGCGGAAGGGGTGGCGGCCGTTCCTCGGGGGCGAAATGCAGGCTTGGGCCGGCACGAAGAAGGTCGAAGAAGCGGTAGGGAAAGTGGTGGTGGCGAATGAGTTGAATGAGGCACAACGGCATCTGGATCGGGCGGCGGAGGCGGCGGTCAAGCTGTCTTCCTCGTCAGCAGGAGCGTCCGCAGACTCTCCGGCAAGGTTCGTCGATCCCAGCGGTGATTTTGCCGAAGAAGCGTCGTACGAGACCGCCTCGTTCCCCGGGCGACGGGAGGCACAGACAAAGCTCGAGCGCGAAATGGAGCAGTGGTCCGCAAAACAGCAACAGGCAGCCCAGGAACAGCAAGGGAAGAACAAGTACGAAGCACCGGACTTCTCGCCCGGTCCGATCGGCAAGAAGCGCAATCGGGATCAGGGCCCACCGGTTCTATCCGAAGCGCACGTGTGGGGGGTTCGGGAGGACTGGGGCAAGAAAGCGGGTGCTTGGGGTCGAGGCTCCTCGATCTTTGCTGACGACACTCCTTCCAACGGAGACAAATCTGCTCATCCAACGAAACCACTTCGTCGGCCCAGTCCGTCTTCGAGCAGCAGCGGTGGTGGCAGCAAACGCAAGTTCAGCACCACCTCCCTGCGCAGCGCGCAGACGCTGAATCACTATACGACGCTCCAGATTCCCCGCAGTGCCACGCAGGCACAGATCAAAGCGCAGTTCTACAAGCTCTCCAAGGAACTTCATCCGGACGTCAACCCGTCTGAAGATGCCAAGAAGCGGTTTCAAGAGGTGTCGGAGGCGTATGCGACACTGGGTACGCCGGCCAATCGCAAGTCGTACGATCGGGCCTCTCAACCGTCGGCCGGTGGAGGGGGGTATGGCGATAATGTCGGTGGTGGGGGGTACCACTACAATGCGGAGGACAACGCCAACCGTCGAGCACGCGCGACGTACGCATGGGACTACCAACGTCGACGCAAAGCGCAGGAGACCTCATCCCAATCACAACGAGCCCACTCATCCATCTTCAATCGCGCCGAGACCATGGGCGCCGGTAGTGGGGATACGGCGTTCGAAACGCTAGCTGCGCAACAGCGCGCAAGGGAAGAAAGAAACCGCGCCAGACAAGCCGGCAGCGACGCGTGGAGCATGGAGGATAAGGCGTACCAGAACGATGTCAGCAATCCGTTTGTCAGGTTCGGACAGGTGGTCGTCATGTTGTATCTGGTGTACAAGGCCGGGACGATGTTTGTTGGTGGGGAGAGGAGGGAGAATAGAGCTGGGAGGAGGACGTGAGAGTTGCGCACGCTTCTGCAATGCAAGTGCGTCCGAACAGCCGCACAATGTGGACTGTGTTCGCTCGCAGCGACTCAAACTGACAGAGCATAATGCCACCCTTTCCTTTGATCCTTTGATGAGATCGTTCATACCACTCTCCATGGCCGATGTTGTGTGGTGACGAGAAACGGGCAGGATTTTGCGAGCGTGTGCAAATCCTCAACTCGACAGCGCCCAAAAAATGCTTCGGTGCACGTCCCTTTGGTGGTTGCCAACCTTCTCAACAGCGCGCGTTCTTCAACTCTTCCGTCGTGCTTATCCCCTTCATCCTTGTTTCGCCATCTGCACTCTCGCTCGGTGCAACGGACGCCACTGCCTCTCCAGCGTTCACAGCAACGTGGATCACAGTCCATCGTCGACCTGCGACATTCTCATTCGGTAGCTATACGGACGGCGCTGCGTCTCGGCGTGCTCTTCTCGATCGCTTCATAGGCATCTACAACTTTCGGTCGCATCGCCGCCAACGTTGGCATCGCAACAATGAAGCTCGCTCCGCTCTCCATCGTTTTGGGGTCTGCGCTGCTGCTCTCGACCAACCCCGTCGCAGCTTCGACGTACACACTGCTGCACCGCATCACGCCGTCGACCGATTGGACGCCACGTGCGACGCTCGAGCTGACCAACCTCACGGGCACGCTGCAAACCACACTGGATGACGCCCAGATCCGGTCCCTTCACGATCAGGCTTGGACTGCGAACGCAGGAGAGCGGTACTACCAGATCGCCTTGCACGAGGATGGCCGCGAGGTGGGGTATACGAGTGTCAAATTGTGTCTGTTGCGCCAAAGCCACGCGGAGTTGCCGAGCATGGATGACGAGGTGGTGCTCACCACCCGAGGCATGCAGGTGACGGGTCTTGGCTATCGTGTGCGCGACATCATCCTCGGTTCCGACGGCTGCCCCGTTGCATCGGACGCCAAGATGGCCCTGGTCCGCGAGCAAAGGCGCAAAGAACGTCAACGTCAACTTTCCCGACGTCGCTCGTCCACCCCACCTCCACCCCCACCGACAAACCCGACCCTGGCGCTCAACACAAAGTTGTCGGTGGTCAAGAGTGCTGCTGTGGGCAAAATCGCCCTGCGCGAAGCAGCCAAAACCAACGAAGACGGAACCATCCATGTTCCACCACCGGAGAAGACGTTTGTGCAAAAGTACTGGTATTATGCCATTCCGCTGGTCATTCTGCTCATCATGCCGGATGGGGGGGATGAGCGCGCCCAGGGAGCGGAGGGACATGCGAGTAGCGAGCATAGAGGCACTGGGATGGGGGCTAAGCAGCTCAAGTAGCGCGTCGAAGATGTGGCAGCTCAATGGCAGTGATAGTCTACCAGTACTGCGGTGTGCCTGTGACGGTGTGTCTGTGAAAAGCACGCGGAACTACGATACAGCTCGAGCATCGACACTGTTGACCGGGACGATGCTGGTGAGCGACTGCATTGTTCGACCGAATCTGGGCAGCAGGGCGCGACCAAGGACAGGAACCTGTGACGGCGGTGACGAGGGACGTTCCGGTTTCGAGGGGCGTTCCGGTTTCGAGGGGCGTTCCGGCTTCGAGGGTCGTTTCGGACAGGAGCGGCGAGCTGACGAGCGCTCTTCACATGACAACGAGACACGATCTTCAGACCTCAATCGGAAAAGAGGGCAGAGTAGCGACAGTGACATTGACTCGAGCCTGAACGGCAACAGAATGCCTCAACCGCACAGACTGCTCCAAAAACTTCCGGTCTTCGCTTCACAGCCCTGACAAGCCCGCCCTTGGTCAATCACCGTTCTGAGGAACGAACGTCAAACTGAAAAGCGGATAGAGTAGCGACAGTGACAATTGAAACGAATGTGCGAACAAACTACATGACGATGCAGCAGCAGGCGCTCTTGTCGACCTTGTCGTTGTCGTGCTGCCTTGCGGCTACTGCTTGAGGCTGACTGTCGGACGTCGACACGTGTGCAGCCTGTTCCTGCTCTTGTGCGGGCTGGAACGTTTGCATGGGGATGACCTCTTGCTGTGGCAGCTGTTGATGATGATCGCGCTGACTGCGACGGCTGCTGGCCCTGGAACGAGATCTCTCGCCGAGGGCTGTGTCTGTGGTTGGGCTGAGTGCGCTGCTTCCCGCCTGCAGGGCCGGTGCCGGACCGGGCGTCAGTAGGTCCTCCTCGGCCTCCTCGACCAGCCGCTGCTGCTGCTTCTCCTCTTCTTCTTGCAGCTTCTTTGCCTTCTGCATGGCCATCACGTCGCTCCTGCTGAGCGGCAGACCGTTCTTGTCCCACGTATCGATAAGACCCTCGTATCGACTGAGTCTGCCTTCCTTACCTGCCCTGAGAAATTGCTCCTGCTGCATCTTTCTCGCCACTGTCGGAATGATCTGATCTTCCCAGCTGTTGACGCTTTTGCTGCCAGGAGAGCCGCCAAATTCGCTCGCCGTCGCATCTCCTCCGAACGATGGTGGTGCGGAGGACTCGCGCATGCGCTGATCCGGTCGAGACAAGGATCGAAACGCGTCTGGTTGGATGTTGCGGTTGCGCGTGCTGGGAGAAGCATTGGAGGAAGGCGACGCGGGATCCGCCTGCTTGTGCGCCTGAAGCAGCTTTGCGGTTGGTGATGGCGTGGCGCCAAGTGGTCCGAACTCGTCCAACAAAGAGGGATCGTGGGCAGCAGCTTTTGCCGCCTTGCGCCTGGACAGAGAGCTGCTTCGCTGATGACCGCTGACGTTCCCGTTTACAATGTTTGCGGCTGGTGCCAAGGTCGGCATTGGTTCTTGCGGCGACGAATTCTGAGTCCGTCTGAGGCCACCAGCGTTGTCTGGGTCGATCACATCCAAGCCGGGTCGCGAAGGATTCGACTGTGTTCGCAGTCTCTTCATATGGAACGACGGCGGATCATGTCCAGAAGCAGCCTGGCCTTCAGGAATGGTGTCGATGCTGCTTTCCACGCCCGGCCTTGAGGCGTATCCGTGCGTGTCACTGGACGACGCTACTGAATCCCTGGACGCTTCCAACTGATTCGATTTTCGTTGAGCAGCAATCTGTCTGGCCTTCTCTCTCGCCCTTGCCGTCGCCTCGTTGAACACAATAGAGCTCCTTGAGTTGGCGCTATCCTGCGATTCGGCCAAGCCGAACGGAAAGCTGCTTGCTGCCAGGTCTTGTGATGTCTGCCTCGATGGAGCTCTGACGGATGCGAAGCGGTTGTGGAACTGATCGATGCTCGATTCGCGCTGATGCTGGTGGACGACTTCTCGAGAGATCCTGCGGTCCTGATAGTCGCGTGCATGGGCAAGGTTGCGAGGCTCGCGCCCGACAAGAGAGTCGCGAGATCGTGACCAGCCATTGTCGCTCTCCTGGATCCGGCTGATGCGTTTGGTGAGATCTTTGGATTCGGCTTCGAGCTTCTTGCGCAGAGCGGGCACCACTTGATCGTCCCACGGAACGTTGCTTTGCGATGTCGGAGGAACGGAGGAAGGACCCCATTCATCGATGGAGCGCAAGGACTCGTTGGTGTCTTGGCGGGTTGTGAGCGGCATGCGCATGCTGCGCGAGAGTGGGAGTGTTGCTGCCGCCATTGTGGGATGGATAGTCAAAATGGTCGCAGCGAGAGGGAAGCCCCCACTGGAGCAGTCTGGGAAGTGTCGAGCGGCTTCACTGAGCAGAGGTCATCTTATAGGTCGAGCTGTCTGCCGCTAGCTTCTGCCATCCGAATGCGTTGGAATGAAGGAGGGGCGACGTTCCCCTTAGTGCTGGATGAAGAGCGGGCTTCGGTGGCCAGTCTGAGGGGATATGGGCGCTTCGGATGGCTAGTCGGATGAAGTCCGTCGATCGATGTGGGATGTTCGAAGCAGGGCGTAGGAGAAACCGATGCTGTGCTGAGTCGAAATGTCGGCCTTGGTCCGATGCTTTTCGGCTGCCTGGCTGAGCTTGATCGTGGTTCGGTTGGAAGTGCTGCTGTGAGCTGCGACAGTGTTCGGATGGCTATTGAGACCCACAGCTCCAATCGCTAGTGCTTGAGGCCAGGGCAAGCAAGACCAAGGGTGATGCAGGTTCAGAAGCAGGTCGCCCACCAAGCCGCTTCCTTGAATCGAGTGTGCCGGTTATGCGGGTGGGATTGTTTGCTTGCTCGTGACGCCAAAAAACCCGCGGCAGCACAACGCTTTGTGATGAAAATGAAACACTCAGCCGTGTCAGCCATGCAACCAAAGCATGCACGGTTCGCTTGCCTCGCCTCGCCTTGCCTGAGCGGAATCTGAAACACACACACAACAACACTTTCCACGACCAACACCAACCCTTCGAACCCACATCCTGAGCCCCTTTCCTTGCCTCATTAGCTCGTTTCCCTCATCACTACACAATGGACTAGCAGCAAACAACGGAAGCGTGACATTGGGTCAGGGTAGACGCGCGGCAGAGACAATAGATCGCATCACACTACAGGGGCGATGTCAAATGAGTACACAGTAGCCCAGGGACGGCAGGGACGGCCCATCAAGCAAGCAGTCCTACACCCAAGCCAAGCACCACCGATGCCACCGTGCCTGCAAGTGCGACTGCAGCTCCCTTGTTCGAGCCCACAGCGCCGTTGCTGTTGTTGCCGTTGTTAGGGCGGCCAGTCTGACTGTTGGACACGGACGAAAGCGTCTGGGTCGGGCCGTTGGGTGTCGTGGTGGACGAGCTGCTGGGATCAGCGTTGGTGTTGGCCGTCACCTCGGCAGGCTGAGTGCCGTTGGGCTTGATCTCGAATGAGCTCGACGTGTAGTACACCTGAGGTCGGTCCAGCTCGTAGTTGCTGCTGTTAACGAACAGCAGGGTGTAAGTGCCGCTTGGGATTTGGTCGATGAAGATCTGAGCCGTGCCGTTCTGCAAGTTCCTCCGTCGATAGATGCGGTATGAATTGTCAGCGGATCCGTGACCTTGTTGTGACTGGAGGCATGCAGCTTGCTGTTATAACTTACCTCGGTGGTAAGCGCGTTGCCAACCTGAAAGTTGCCATTGAGCTGGCTGTTGTTCGAGTTCAGCAGCTGTACCGAAAAGAAGCTAGCGTCCGAAGAGTTGGCTTTCCAGTTCAGCGTGTTGGTGTAGTTGGTCTGTGAACGATGACGAGATCGGCAAATGCAATTATGCGAGACTGTTCAGTCAGTAGTCGCCCCTGTATGCCAGACCGTGGCAGGAGTCGTGTCACCTCTTACGTACCACCCAATAGCCACCATTGCTGTTCGGAAAGCTCATCTCGAAGGCCTGCGAAAGGCTGACGAGAGAGGCGAGCACCGTAAGTGCATTGGAGAAGAGCATCGTGCCGTCGTGGAGATCAGGATGTAGGGGAGAGGAGATGGTGGTGGAAGAGGACGAGATGTCAGAGGGCGGGACCAACAAAGAACACTGGATCGACAGGGTCCTGCCTTTCTCATTTCATGTCTCGTTCTTCCTCTCATGACTTGGCCGAATGCACTCCGCTAGCCGACCGCAACATGAGCGTTCACCAGGCTTGGAGCATTTTGGCTGGCCGAAAGCTTGGCGCAGCCACGGCAGGTGCTGCCGTTGCATGCTATCGAAATTTCTTCAGGCATCCCTGCTGTCACTTCATTTGCCTCCTGAGTGGCTGCCTTCATTCGACCGTCGATCTCGCTCGCTCGAACTTTCTTTTGCCCACCTCAATGAGAGCTTCAAGGATCAAGGTTGTCCGTGGCAATCGAGTACGGGTCGTCCCGGAGGACCGAAACTGCGGCCACGCGAACTACGCGCCAAGCCCAAATCTGTCATGTGTTGCTCTTTTCTCGGCTAACGAGATCTCGCGCTCCCGCGTCCAGACCCTTTCGAGCTCGGAGCGCTTCGGCAGCTAGCCGACCATTCGCTTCCTGGACCTCACGACCACGAGTCTCTTTCGAAATTGGCTGCAATGTGCCTGGTTCCGCTGTCTGTGCATATGCTGACAATGTCTGGAGCGCTCACGGCGCGATCGATTGAGTGGTAAGGAGCATGTTGTACAAGGATCGGCGAAGGCGTTCAGCTGCCGCTACTGGTAAGAAGGCGGACGACGAGGTGACTGTCCGTGTTGTCCGTAGGCGGACGGCGTGACAGGTGATGGGCCCATGGCAAATTGCATCTCGTCAAAGTTGCCTGACGAAGCAGCCTGCGGAGTGGTGACGCCCATCATGTTGGGCATCTGTGCTTGCGAGTGATGCGCATAGGAGCCCATGGCGTTCCCTGCACCGCCCGGCGTATTGGACGCCATGGATGCGTTTGCGCCTCCGATGTCATCCAGGAACTTTGAAAAGTAGTCGGTCCACGAGAGGTCCTCCAGCTGATGCTGCGCAGAGCCGGGATCATCCGTGTACAATGGCATGATACCGCGCGCATCCCCGAACGAGGCCGGATGGATTGTGGTCATCCGGTCCATCGTTGCATCCATCCCCGTGGCAAGATTCGCTCGAGGGGACGGGGCACCGTCCATCGGACGCATGCCAGCTGGATGGTTGCTTCCGTTGCCGCTGCTATAGACCCCTCCAGGAGCATGACCGGCTGCGCCGCTGGTCACAAATTGTCCAAAGGCCGCCGAGGTGATCTGCGTCTCGCTCACATTGCTGCCTTCGCTGATCGAGTTGCGACTGGGAGACATGGGCGCGCTCGGAATCGGCGACCAGCTGTGGATGTATGAAGCTGCCGAGATGGGATCGTTCGACAGGTGTCCTCCGCTTGCTGCACCTCCTGAGTCTCCATACTGTCCACTGACTCTTCTGTCCAGCCTCTCGTTTCGTGCGGCCATCCTCGCTGAAGGTGGCAAGGTCGGATCTGCACGAGGCTGCATCATGCCAGAAGCGGACTTCATGCCCGTCATGGTCGAAGGAACCACGCCCGACATGCGGAGATCGGCGCGTACCAGCATGCGACTGACCCTCTCGCGCTGATCCGAAGTCATGGTATGCATGGACCGCAGCGCAATGTCGCGCAGGATGCGATGTGCTCGACGGAAGAGACGCGAAAAGTAGCGATCGTCAAAGGCGGCAAAGATGCGCAGCGTCGATTCGACCAGATCATTGTCTTCGGCCAACTTGTCCACCTCGCGGCATTCGTGCCAAACGGTAATCATGAACGTCGCCGTGCTCATGAAGGCCTGCTGGAAGATGAAGACAAGATCGCTCATGTGGTCGCCCTCGTGCAGTGCAATGACGACGCGCAAGCATTCGCGGGCGTGGAAGACGCATTGCGGGTGAAGCATCTTGCGCAAGGCGCTGTGCTCGAGGAAAGGCTTGAGGATGTAGAGACGGATGTCGTGCGTGCCGCATTGCACCAATCCTGCCTGAAGACGGAATGGGCTCTCGATCGAGCGCAGATGGCTTGGAGTCTCGGCGACCCATTCTTCGAGCCGCTTGGACAGGATGACCATATCCTTATACTCGGGCATGGCTCTTTGCTTGGCGTTGCCGGGAAGCTTGCCGCGTCCGCTGCCGTCTTGACGCCAGCGTGGCGTGTAGAGGACATGCACAACATCTTGCACGATGACGTTGAGCTTGATCATGTGCACGAAGCCGCTCATGACGATGGGTTTGTCCGAAGCCGAACGCGGAGCAGGCGGCGGAATGGGTCCGCCGGACTCGTACTTGAAGAGAACGTCGTCGTCAATCTCGAGGGGCACTTTGACGTCGCAGTCCGAGAGCTTGAGCGCCAATGGACGACCCATGTTGATGGAGAAGATGCAATCCAGAATGAATGCACCCCAGAAGACTCGCCTTCGCAGCTCTTGCTCGTAGGGCGAAAAGCCTCTGTATGCCTTCTCCTGGTGCAGACCGATATCCTGCAGCGCACGAATGGCAACTCCGAGCACAGTCCAGCTGGCACCGGGGCCGATAGCACCATGCATGAAAGTTGCGGTCAAGATCATGACCTGAACGTTGATCAGACTTGCTGCGTACACTTGGTGGTAGAGGCGACTGGCGGCGGCAAAGTGGTCGCCTGCGGTGTCAGGGTCGCCGGAGTCCGCGAGCACGCGCGGATCGTTCGAAAAGCGTGAGGCGATGGCGAGGATGGTAAAGACAAAGCCTCTGAATGCAGAGTCCTTGTCGGCGCGGCCCGTGGCCAGGTCCCGTTCCAGAGACGGGCGATGGACGATGGGCATGAGAGGATGCAGCTGCTGGAAGAAGACGTCGAGCAGGTCTTTGATCAAATCGCGATCCGGGAGCGTGTAGCGTTCGAACCATTCTTCGGTCGCAGCATCGTCTCGACCAACGGCGACGGTGTTCTTGCGACGAAGCAGCTGGATCCACTCCTTCGAATTGGTGGGATAGAGAGGGCGAGGCGCCGATGCAGACGAGGCTTTGTCTCCGCTGTTGTGCCCGATGGCTCCAGCGGAGGGCATGGACGAGTTGGCTTTGGCGTGACGGGTGCCGAGGTGACGATGTGTCTCGTAGCTGATGCCAGCATGGTGACTGAGATTGTCGGAAGAGCGTTGTGCTCCAGCTCCAGGACTGGGTGGACGACTCTCGTCTCCGATGGTGTTGAAGAGCGTCATTGCGGAGGAGCGACCGAAGTAGCGCGGTCGACCATCTTCGACATCCGGCAGAAGAGCTTCCCTATCTTCGCGTTTGGATGCCTCTGCGGAACTGCCGGCATTGCCATTTCCGTCGCCTGCTGCATCCGCGTCGTCGGCGTCATGGCCATCGTGAGCGAATCGGACGCTGGCAGAGCGAGAGGGCAGCTCGTGGTCGTGACGAGATCGGCTCGCTTCACGGTGTCCGTCGTTTACTGCGAGCTCGTCATCTTCGTCGTCGTCATTCTTGCCGTTGCCAGAGTGGTCGTGCGACTCGAGAGACTGCCATGGATTGGCGTTCTGTGGTGGTGCACTGGACCCACTTGGGCCTGTGACATTGAGCTCGCCACGATCGAACTGCTGAGCTATATGCGGAGCTACGGAGCGAAGTGCGCTGAGGAGAGTTTCGACTTTGCTTTCGAGGATCTCGTATTTGCCTCTGGACCTGTCGGCATCGCTGCTGAAGGTGCAACGATAGTTGTAGGCAGTGCAATTGTTACAGGTGTTGTTTGGGTTGGGAAGACCTTCGCACTTGATCTTCTTGCGACGACAGGTGTCGCAAGCTACGACGACTCTTCTGCGCTTTTTGCCCTTTGATTCGGGTGGGCTTGCAGCATCGTCCGCCTTGCTGACTTTCGAGGCGGCTGCTGTTGAGGACGCTTTGGAGTCCGAGCTGGATTTCGAGCGCTTCTTCTGTGATGTTGCAGGAGAGCCGGAGGAGACTGCTGTTGTGCGCGGCGATGGTGCTGGGAGGGTGGAAGTGGATGGAGGAGCGGGTGAGTTGTCGAAGGAGATGCTGGATCGCCCGTTGCGCATCGAGACGAGCTCAAAGGCGACGTGCGCCTCGTCCTCGCTCTTGTATGACATTGCGATGACCCGAGAGAAGCTTACGAGAGCTGAGAAGAGTCAGCAACAGCGGGAGGAGCCGACGGATGGTCCGAAGCGTGGGAATGGTTGGCTATGTCATGTGATTACTGGACGAAAAGAGCGGAGCTGGTGGGCTTATGACTTCGATGGATTGTCGGCGGAGCCGGTTCACCTAGTGCGATAGGAGCGTTACAGGCGTCGTGTGTGCGCGGCCATCCAGCATGCAATGTGGGCGCGACGGATGTGACGGCAGTTGTCCGGATCGAGATCGAAGGCTATTTTAGAAACTGGCGCAGAGGTGACCACCGTTGCTGTGCCGTAGATGCTTCGGGAGAAGCTCTGTTGCAAGGATACGAGTGATGAAGATGGTTCAGACGGGGGACGTTGTGGAAGCAACACGGACAAGATGAGAAGCAAAGTGCAACGGCCTTTTGCGGGGTAAGCTCGCGGAGTCGCTTTCATCCTCCTGCAACCAGAAAGAAGCTCAGCTCGCCGTTTTGGGTGACAACTTTTTCATTTTGTGTTTTCTTGGCCCTCGATCTTCTATACTTCCTTCGCAAAGGGTCTCTATCTCCGGTCGAACACTCGGCGACAAGCCTGCATCATGCTCTGTCCACAAAGCCTACCCGAACGAATCAGTGACGAAGGAGGCAGCTTGTCAAAGAAGCGGAAGGCAGACATCAACTTCGGCTCAGACAAGTGGGTCGAGCGGATTCATGGCTCTACGCGATACCATCCAAAGATGTTTCCAGCGACCAAGACGCTCGAGGAGCTCTTCATGGACCCTTTTGGACCATGCTGGCGTCGTCTCAGATGCTGATTCTGAGCTTGAGGGTGATTCTGTTCTTGTTTGGAGCTCCAGAAGCAGGCTCCGCGAGACTCTGCCGGGATATCCGGTCTCGCCCGTTTCCTTTTCCTGTGCCGCTTCTCTCCACACGAGTTGGGAGCGGCTGATGCAGGGTCCAAACGAGGCAAAGCTCAGATCCCTTTTGCTGTTCCGTGTCGAAGTCTTGCCCTAGTCCGTCTTGCATCTTCCGCTCTTTCGTCTGTCATCACCGCTCAAAGACCAGCAAGAATGTCGTTGCGTATAATTGCCACTGGTGGGCATTCTGGGCTCGGATACGAAGCGCTCAAGACACTCTTCGCTTCTGTGAATCTAGCGTCGGGGTCCAGCCTGACCTTGCTGGTTCGAGACGAGAAAGCATCTCACGTTGAGCGAGCTCGTCGGGAGCTGACGCAGCAGTACAAGGCCGCCAAAGCTACAGCTGGATTATCTTCAGCTTCCGAGCTTACAGTCGAGGTCAGCAGTATGGACCTAGCTTCTCTGCCATCGGTTCGGAAAGCGGCTTCCGCGATCAAAGCTCAGCTCAGACAGACTCCACCAGCGCCATCAACAGGTACAGACATCTTTCTTCTCAATGCTGCTGTCGCCAAGTCATCTCGTGAGACTGTAGCGGATCAAGATCGCGCTTCGGGCAGTGCATCCTACCCTTCTGATCATCTGACGAGCGCAGACAGCCGCATCGAGACCACCGCCTGCGTCAACCACATCGCCCACCTCATCTTCATCTCCTCTCTCATCCTGACCATCGCAGAAAACGCGAAGAATGGTCGCAAAACACGCATCGTCTTCACTGGTAGTGCACTTCATCGCTCCGTCAAAGACCTCGCCGTTCTCGACGGCTACTTCTCCGCATCTTCGCACGCAAGTACTTCGCCATGGACGCTGCGAGAGACATACGCAGCGTCAAAGTTCCTGCAAATGCTCGGTGTGCGGGCCCTTCGTCGACGTATCGATGAAGCGCTTCAAGCTGCTTCGGTTCCAGCGGGGAGCGTTGAGGTTGTTGTGGTGCAGCCCGGCTTTGTGCCTCAGACAGCACTTTGTCGCGAGTCCGGCTTGATGACGCGGCTTGCCATGTCGTATGTGCTGCCGTGGGCGCCGTTCACCACGAGTCTCGAGGATGCCGGCAAGTACATCGCTGATGCGTGCACCATCGACTTACCCGCGTCCGAGGCAGGGACAAACAAACACGACGGCTTTCATTCTCAAGATACTGTCGTACGCTCAGCACTTCTGGAGGTGCATGCCAAGAAGCAGCGTTTCGGCACGCTCGATCCGCGTACGGGAGACATCGAGCTGCAGGACAAGTGGTGGCCTGCTGCATGCGAATTATCGTGATGTCACCCAGATCAGATAGTCGCTGGGTAAGGGCTCGGATTCAAGACTCAGTCGCCTTCCTCGATATCGTTGCCGCCCATGGTCTGCTCCTCTCTCGCCAACATTTGTGTTGCCAGCTCGATGCCCTCCAGTTCGCCTATTGTCGGTCCATCGTCTTCCGTCTCACCACTCTGGTCCTCCACCGTGCCCACTGCGTCGGTGCTCAGCACACTCGTGCCGCGCGGAGCAGGAGTGGCAGATCCTCGCATCGGACTAGGTGAGCCTCCCACTTCGCTTTCTGCCGGCGTCGCACCACGGAAGAGCGGGGTAGACCCCCTCCCGATGCTGGCGTTTCGGCTCGATCGCTCCGCTGGCTCGAGAGAAGTGAACCGCCCTTGCACTGATCCCGAGCGGTTGTTGGCAATGCCAGGAGTCATCGATCGTGGAGCAACCGAGAGCTGACGGATCTCGGTCGTCTTTTTCTCGCCAAAGAGCTCCGGGTGGGCTGCGAGAGTACGTTTGGATGGCTCGACCACGAGGACGAGGAGCTTGCCGAAGCTGTATACGCCAGGAGATGAGAAGGAAAGCAGGATCAGCTACGTGTCTCTGGACAGTCAGGAGTAAGGAGTGCTGGACATACATTCGAAAGCCAGCATACTTGACATGCAGCTTTGGTTTCATCTTTTCTTCGTCCTCTTCTGTTATGATGATGGGTGCGTCGTCCGCAGCATCGACGCCTTCGTGAAGCAGCGCAGTCGCGTCTGCTGTTGCATCATCAATCGCTAGCGCAGCTGCAGGATCCGGCTTGACGTCGACATCATCTTGAATGCGGACCCGCTTCGATCGTCGACTCCCTTCGCTTGCTGTGCTGCTGCCGGCCCTGCTTCTCCGTGTGCTTGTGCTCGCCGGCGGTGGCATCGAAAGAGCATCGTCTTCTGCTGCACCTCCTCTGAAAAGTGCACTGTCCTCTGCTCCTGACAATGTCGCCATGCTCGCATTCGACGATGAAGCTGCCATCTCCTGCGCCTCGGGAGAGTCTTTGATCCTCATAGGCTGATCGCTGCTCTCTCCATCCCTGACACCTGTTCCTGCCGCGACACTGGCCGCCCTCTCTGGCGCTGGCGTCGCCCTCGGAATCGGCGCATGCAGATTTCCATCGCCTTCTTCCTCCACCTTGACTTCGCCGAGAGTCGGATCGCTCGGAAAGATCAGACTCTTCTCCTTGAGCAGCACCGAATGTCGGTCGTCCATCCTCCTGAAGAAGTAGGCCACCTGGAAGTCGCGATCCGAGTAGACATCGACTCGCTCCTTCTTGCTCATGGCCGAGAGCTTGCCAGATGAGTCGGACTCTTTGCGAAGTTTCGGCATGATGCGAGTGCGAAGGATCGAAAGCACCTGGGTGAGGATCGCCGGGTTGAGGTTCATCCATTCCACATGGCGGTAGTCCAGGTAAAGAATGGTTTGGAGGACGACGTAGGGCGAGGCTCGAAGGTAGAAGACGTTGCGCTGGGTGAACTTCTTGCCCTGTATCGCGCTCATCTTGTCGCTGTGACAGCTCGCAATGCTATCGAGGATGTTGGTGAACAATGGAGCAACAGCAGAAGCAAGCCTTCATGAATGAACAGCTGAGCACCCTTGAAGTGGAGGCTTTGGGCTGCCCGATGCTGCAGCCGATCCATTTTTTGACTCCGTCCAAAAAGTCGGGAGACCCTTGTCCGAAGCCGAAGCAAAGGGGAGCACAGACCCTTCGCTCCTCCTTCTTCCCCTTCCACACCTCGTAAAATCAACAGGAGGATCAAACAAACGATGCCATCCTCGAAGCGATCCAAGAAGGTGGCCCCTTACGGCTTCTGGGAGTCGCCCATCTCGACCGACCTTCTCCTCCAGAAAGCAACGCCTCTATCCGAGGTGGTCGTGCCGGCCAACTCCGAGACGGGTCAAGATGTCGCCTGGATCGAGCTTCGAATGAGCGAGTCCGGTCGCTATGCCCTCATGCACTCGTCCGATCTTACCTCCGGAGACGCCACCGAGATCACTGCGGGCAAGTTCAGCTCTCGATCCGGAATCCACGAATATGGCGGTGGTGCGGCAGCGAGCCTCGCCGACGGAAGCTTTATCTTTTCCGACTACAACCCGAAAGCATTCGATGTGCTCAGAGCAAGGAAGGACGAGGAGCCTCAGGTGGTGACGCCGGAGAACGCGGCTCTCCGATATGCCGACTTTGGGCCCCATCCTACCGATGCGAACCTGTGCCTTGCCATCCAGGAAGATCACGCCGAGGACAAGCCTTTGACCGTCGTCAACTCGATCGTGCTGCTCGATCTCGCCTCGGCGCCGGCGAAGATCCATACCCTGCTGCAAGGCAAGAAAGCGGACGACACGTCCGATGCGAGTGGTCCGCACAATAGAGACTTTTACACTTTCGCACGCTTCTCGCCCAACGGCAGGTACGTCTGCTGGGTCAGCTGGAACCACCCGAGCATGCCCTGGTGGGACACGCAGGTGTGGGTGGCCAAGCTTGATCGCTCTGACCCCGCGTCACCCAAGCTTGTCTCGCCAACCCAGATAAAGGTGCCATCTGCCGAGGCGGGAAAGCAGCAGGTGCTCCAGCAACCCGTGTGGGCCATCCCTGCCAACCCCAGGGACGACGCAGCCAAGCTCTTCTTCGCCTGCGATGCGACTGGCTTCCTCAACCTCTACTCCACCACTGTATCTTCCGCTGGCGATGATCTCACTTTGACCGCGCCAGAGCCCGTCCTCCCTGAGCCAGTCAAACACGACTTCGTCGGTCCAGCATGGACATGCAACAACTCGGACTACATCCCTCTCTCCCCGGACCTCCTCATCGTCACCTACACCTCTGGAGCACGTGAGAACCTCGGTTTGATCAATCTCCGTCGTCCGCGTCTGATCCCGCTCACCACTCCCTTCGTCGCTCTCTCCCAACTCCGCCGACTCACCTCGACGTCGTTTGCGCTCCTCGCCACGCGACCGGACGAACCCTCCGCGCTCATCCGCATCGACCTTCGTGGCCTCGCTGCCAACAACTACGTCCTCCAGTCGTCGAACATTACGACCATCAAACGCTCCTCTACGCTCATCGCCGATGGCGTTATCGACAAGTCCTACCTTAGCGTCGCACGTGAGATTGACTTTCCTACCACCTTGCCGGATGGCACACCGGCCACGGGACACGCGATTATCTTTGAGCCCCAGAACGGCGACTACGTTGGTCCACGCGGCAAAGCCCCGCCGTGCGTGTTCAACATCCACGGTGGACCGAGTGCCAGCGCGGGGATGGGGTTCAATTTGCAGACGCAGTTCTGGACGAGTCGCGGATTTATGGTTTGCAGCGTGAACTATGGGGGTAGTACAGGGTACGGGAGGGAATTTTTGGAGAGACTGACGGGCGAGTGGGGGGTGACGGATGTGATGGATTGCGTGGCTGCTGCGAAGTACTTGGGGAGCAAGGCGAGTGTGGGACATAGTTTTGGGGAGTTAAGCGAGGCAGAGCAGAGGAAGGTGAGGGAAGAGCTTGCTCGATCGACGGAGGACGATGCGGTGGTGGAGGAGGAAGACCTGCCAGGGGGAGGAGTCAAGGTGACGATCCGCAACACCACGCCGGCCTGGTCGTGGTCGGACATTCTCTTGGCTGGTGCGTCTGTCGGCGCAGCATACTTTGGCATCACCTTCGCCCACACCGTCATGACCAACTACACGCACTGCATCCCGCCTCTCGTCCGGCCCACCACGACCTTTGCTCGACACGCGGTCAAAGCGGGCATCGCCGCGCTAAGCGTGCTGCCTTATGTGAGGAGCAAGCTCGGGCGGGTGACGAGCGAGTCGGTCTCGCTGTTGCCAGGGATGGGTGTTCAGCTGGCGACCACCCGTGGGCTGGTGCTGCACACAACGCTGTTCGAGCGCACCACCACGCGTTTGATTCTCGAAGACAGGGTGGTGGATATCTACGTGGGAGAAGGATATCGGTTCTTTAGCGTGATCGACTACCTTGCGCTAGCGACACGCACACAGACGGGTGCATCGATCGAGCGGGTCTTCCCTACGCTTCTTCCTCGTCTGGGCACCGTTCAACGGGTGTATCGCACCCTAGCGCCTCACATCCCCACCAACCACACCGAAAAGCGGGCTTCTGGGCAACGTAGAACCCTAGCCGATCCAAACGGGCTCTTGATTTCCGGCGGCAGCGCGGGAGGCTACACCGTTCTAGCGTGTCTCTGCTTCCACCCGACCATCTTCCACGGCGGCGTATCCCGCTATGGCATCTCTAGCCTCTCCCTCCTCGCAGCAGAGTCGCACAAGTTCGAATCGCAATACCCCTTCCAACTCATCGGCGGTACACCCGAATCCCATCCGCAGCTGTATCACGATCGATCCCCCCTCTACGCCGCCAGCCGCATCAAGGCGCCCGTGCTGCTGTTGCAGGGGAGCGAGGATAGGGTGGTCCCCCAGAGCCAGGCGGATGAGTTCGTAAGGGAGCTCAAGAAGGGTGGTGGTAAAGAAGGCGTCGATTGGAGGTACAAGGTGTACGAGGGGGAAGGTCATGGATTTAGGAAGGCTGAGAATGTCAAGGATTCACTCGAGGAGGAGCTGCGTTGGTGGCAGACACGGTGTTTGCGTCGCTAAAGTGCACACACTCGCAATCAATGTGAAGATCAGATGATGAAGATGGATTGTGTGAAGTGTTTAGGCGAACATGGATCCGCCGGTGACAGTGGCGCTGCGCATACCGGGGACACTGGATACGCGACTAGCTTTGACACGGTTGCCGACACCGCTGTTGACCGACTGACCGGGGATGGTTCCTCCTCCTGCGCCTAGGGTGAGCAGCGGATTGGCCTGTCCGATGACGGCTACGCTGGTTCGGGTGCGGCGTCGAATCGGGCCAGGACCGCCGGCGCTAGGACGAGGGAAGGCTTTTTTCACGGGCACGGCGCCGTCGGTGTCAACGGTGGCGGGGAAGACGGGGAACGAGGAGCCGTTGAGCAGTCGTGCGGCGGGAGCAGAGGCGGCTGTGTTGGTGGTTGCGCGGAGGGGTGGGCGCGGGTTGAGAGGTCTGAGCGGCGCAACGGGGGAGGCGTTGGAGATGTCGGCTTCGTCGGCGGATGTCCCGCTGGCCTCGCGAAGAGGGGAGAGCGTGGACGTGCTTGACACAGATCTTTTGGTCTCGGGGAATGCGCTTAGTCCTCTCGATGCTGTTCCGAGCGATGTGGATCTCGAGATCGGCTTGGCCGCAACCGAGGTCGCTGGCTTGACCAACTGCGCTGGTGTAGTGCGCCCATCAGAGACGTCCTCCCATTCAGCACCCGAGCTGCTACCCGCACTGTCTCCCGTCGTTGCGGAGTCCTCCGCAGCTGGACCGTGAGCAAGACCTTTGTCGTCGATCGATCCCTCACCCGCTTCGTCCGCCCAACGGAACTTTTTCTTCTCCTCGACCACGGGTAGGGCTACAGCAACTGGTCGGCTGGATCGGACTAAGCTCAGCCTCCGCGTCGCGCCGGCTGTGCTGACTCTGCGTGTGGCAGCCGTCTTTCGTGCTGGACTGCTGGTAGTGACCTGCGATCGGGCAGAGGAAGAAGAGGTAGGAGCCGCGAAGCTGGGTCGTGATGTCGAGGTGTTCAGGATGTTGCTTGGTTGAAGGGTGGAAGGGGAGCTCGCGACTTGCATGCTGGTCGAGCGAGCCAGGGGAGGCGCGATGGATGCTCGGCGAGAAGATGCGGCAGTGGCGCGGCTGAACCCAGTCGCTGAAGACGAGACGGATCGTGTCGAGCCGACCGGAGCAGCTGAGGAGCTCGTCGCGGAAGACGCTGAGCTGGCTGGCGCCGTAGCTGGTGATCGTCGCAAGGCTGAGCTGATCGCCGGCTTCGTCGTTCGTACTGCAGCTGTACTTGCTGTCGAAGGAGCAGCGGTAAATGCGGGCAAAGGCGCGGCTACGGGCAGCGCTGCTCCGCACATGGCCTCGAAGATCTTTTCGTTCTCCCCTGCAATGCTGCGCAGCTGTGATGCCAGCAAGGTGAGCGTTGATGAGATCTCTGCGGTGCCTTCACTGCTCGCGGTCTCGTTGGTTGCGGTAGCCCTGTACTCGAGCTCGCCGGCGACCTCTCGGAGTGCGATCGTGCTCCTCGTCGCTGCAGAGACCAGCTGCGTGGACTCCGTCGTTGAGCGTCGCAGCGCATCCAGAAGCCCAGTGAACTTGACCTTCGCCTTCTCCGCCTCGACCTCTGCCAGCATGGCGTTGCCCAGCGTTTGAACTGTCTCGGATGCCTCTGCATCAAACTTCTGATTGTGCGAAGCGGCGACGATGATGCCTCGCTGCATCTGCAGGCTATTGAGTAGGCTCCTTACACCAGCACACGTGGTCTCGTCCTTCAGCGCCGCTTCCTCGGCCGCGACCATCTTGCGCAGAACATCGCGTTCACCCTCGAGGTCGGATGGCAGCACCTCGTTTTTGCTGCTGAATCGCTGAAGGTCGGCTTCGACGACAGCCAAGCGTTTGCGCAGCTCCGCAAGCTTGGTCTCGGCAGCTGCCGTTGTAGCTTCGAAGCCTGCTTTGTCGGTTACGAGTCTGGTGACGTTGTCGGTGCTCTCGCGCATCCGCTTCTTGGCTTCGTCCACTTCTCGGCCCATCTCTGCACGTTTGCGCTTTTCTGCTGCGGACTCGAGCGTGCCTCGCTCGTCCAGCTTAGCGCGCAGTCGTTCGTTCTCCTCCTTGAGCTCGTGAATTGCCTGCACGTACTGAGCTACGTGACGATCGACGTTGATCATGTTGCGGCTGACCTTGGTGCGGATGTTCTTGGCTTGATTGGCGTACTTGAGCGCGTTGTGCGTCTCTTCGTAGTGAGCGCTGGATGGGCTGATGCAGACCACCATGACTGTTTTGCAGTTGCCACCGAGGGAGAACTTCAACAAGCGGGTGAGCTTGGAATTGCGGTAGGGGACGTGCTTAACCACGCCGCCCGACTGGCAGAGGGCGTTGATGCAGTTGCCGAGTGCGAGCAGCGACTTGTTGATGTTGGCGCCTTCTTTCATTCGCGCACCGTTGTTGCGCGTTGCAGAGGCACGCTCTGAGCCAGCGAGATCGATAATGTTGAGGGAGGCCGAGGTGGTCTGCTCCGTCATGCTGGCGGTGCGTGGCTTCTGAGTGACGTTGATCTGGAGCACGGCGTGGGATCGAGAACTGACTGCGTTTGCCTCGGTGGGACTCATAGTGCGTCGGAGGTTGCCTTCCTGCAGGTACTGGAGCACACTCTCTGGACTCTCCGGGATGAGCTCGGTGATGCCTACCACTGAAATACGGTTGTTCGCGTCTTCGCGAAGTGCCAGACCAGCACCCGGTGGTGTAGGCTCGGAGCTGAGCAGGTCGCGAATGGTCTCGTTATAGATCTCGAGATAAGAAAGGCGAATTTGGACGTCCGAGTCGTCGCGAGCGTCCTGGATGCGGGCGTAGAGCTCCTTCATGGTGAGAAAGATGAGGCCTGGGTCCTCAGGTGTGCCGCTGATCGTGTGCGTTTTACCGCATCCTGTCGCACCGTATGCGAAGACACTTGCGTTGTAGCCGTTCAGAATGCCATCGAGCAGCGGGCTGCAAGTCTCTCGAAAGACGTCGGTCTGAGATGCTGTCGAGTCGAATACGCGGTCGAAGGCATATCGAACGTCTTTGTTGCGCCTGGCACCGTGCGCTAATGGCCCGCTGCTGTAAAGTCGAGTGAGCGGGTTGGTGTCGGGAGGATCAAAGACGAGCACTTTTTGATCCATAGGCTTGACGATGGGTCGCACGAAGCGAGTCTTGAGTGTCGAGGTCGAGGCTACTGCTGAAGGTGGAAGCTTGTTTGGCGAAATGCCACCCGCGAGGCCCCCATCTCCGAGAAAGGGTGTGTGATCTTCATTCGGTGCAAGATGTGATGCCTCCTTCTCGCTGAAGGGACGTATTCGAACGCAAACGTTGATGGATGATTCCGTCATGGCGTTCACCTTTTCTGCGTCGGGAGATCAGTTCCTGACTACACGGTAAAGGGCGAGAATATGTCTCTTATCAGGCGAACGCGCGGGGATCCGGCCAATCCTATCCGTATCTCGGCCGCAAGGAGCAGAGGATCAGAGGAGCTGTTCGGTCTGCTCAGAGCAGTTGTTCAGAGCGACTTGAGCGTGGCGATAGTCGGGACCATGTGTCTGCGTTAATAGATATGCGCCGGGGCAGTGGAGAGATGCAGACTGAAAGCGAAAGGTCTTTCTGTACCTACTCTCTGTAAGATAAGGCAGGCGGAGAGTGTCGATAGATGTGAAGCGACGAAGAAGATACGTCGGCGTAGATGCGGGACATGTGACTGGGAGGAGCGGAAGTGTGATGAAAGTAGAGAGTGCGGAAGCCATTGATCTTGACATGCAAGCACGCCCTTTCTCAAATGTCACAACTTCATTTCACGCTCGTAAAAAGTCCAACATCAACCAACGCCTTCGCATGTCAGCGGCGAAGCCGATCGATTTCTCACTGAGCCGGCGTCTACCCGAATCATGCCAGATTGCTGCTTGCTCACAGTCAGACGCAGTCAAGTGTGACTGAGAACAGTCAGAGCATGGTATTGCAATGGCAGCGCAGCAAGTGAACCCTGACGGTCGAGAGCAACACAACCTCGAACATGCAGTGTCGAGCAACCCTGCCTGCCAGCCTGCCAAATTTGGTGAGCATCTCAACGCGTACCGCTTCCACCAAAATTGGGTGTCACGTGCCTTTCTAAATGTCTGAGAGTGTGAGATCGAAGCAGGACCCGAGCGCTCTTGCTTGGAAATCCGTGACGCCTGGTTGCAGCTCAGCTGAGCTTCGCCAAGCACCTTCCGCTCACCTGCAAAGTGGAGGCTTCTTTCATCATACACCTCGAGTTGGCAACCTCCAGCGCTCTTCTTCCGACCATCACATCTCGCAGCACCGGTTCGTCGCACCGTCCCAGCAGCTGTCAGACAGGCAACCCATCTGTCGTTTGCACTCGGAAGAGCAAGGCTATAGCAAGAAAATGAAGATCACATCGCGGCACATCGAAAAGGACGGGTCCGGCAGGATCACCATCATCCCGGAGGAAGAGTAAGTGAACAAGTCTCAGATGTTGCTTAACACTTGCCATGCGCACAAGCTGACGCCAATATCTGGCCTGCGATGATCTGACAGTGAGGACATGTACCACCTCTACAACCTGATCGAGCAAGGCGACCATGTGCGAGCAGCGGCCGTGCGTCGAGTGCAATCCGAATCGTCGACGGGCTCGATGGAGTCGCATCGAGTGAGGCTGAACCTCACGATCGAAGTGGTCAAGACAACTTTCGATGCGACAGGTTCGAGCGCGCCACCAGATCCGTCGGCAGCAGCGGCGGCAAATGCAGCGACATCTTCGACGGCGGCAGAGGAGGAGGTGAGCCGAGCTGCGGCAGTGGGCGGCTCAGGCGGTGAAGGAGCGACATTGCAAGTGGCAGGGAGGGTGGTGGAGGAGAACAAGCATGTCAAAATGGGAGCGTATCACACGCTGGATCTCGAGGTGAACCGAGCGCTCACCATCACCAAGCAGAGCTGGGACGCCGTGCATCTGGAGCGACTGGGCGAGAGTACCGATGTCAGCCAGCGCGCCGAAGTGGGAGCTGTCGTGCTCGGAGATGGCACCGCAGCTGTCTGCCTCTTGACGGGACACATGACCGTGGTACGACAGCGGATCGACGTTCCTATTCCTCGTAAACGGAAAGGACTTCCCGCGACAGCAGCCGACAAGGCCACGGCTCGCTTCTACGTTCAAGTCTACAACGCAGTGGTCAAGCTACTTCAGCTTCCGGCTCTGCGTCTAATCATCCTCGCATCACCCGGCTTCACGCGAGACTCGGTCTACGACTTTCTCTTTGAAGAAGCGACACGGCGTGGCGACAAGATCCTCATCGGCAGCGAAGCAAAGCGCAAGTTCCTCAAGATCCACTGCAGCTCGCCACACGTCCACTCGCTGATGGAAGTGCTGCGTAGTCCGGAAGTCAACGCACAGCTCAAGGACACCAAATTTGCACGGGAGGGTCAGTTGTTGGAACGCTTCATGAAGCAGCTTGCCAGCGACGAGCTGCGAGCATGGTACGGAGAGCAGCACGTACTGCTAGCTGCGTCGAGAGGTGCCATCGGCGTATTGCTCATCTCAGATGGGCTGTTCCGAGCCGCGGATCCAGCAAGGCGGAAGAAGTTCGTGGAGCTGGTGGAAGAGGTTCGTGCTCAGGGAGGCGAAGTGGCCATCTTCAGTTCGATGCATGAGAGCGGCCGTCAGCTCAATGCTCTGACGGGTATCGCAGCCATCTTGACCTATCCGCTGGACATCGAGGTGGTGGAAGAGGAGGAGGCGGAAGAGGCAAGGAACAAGCTCGAGCAGACGGCATAACAAGATATCACCGCTCTCAATCCAAAGCATTTCATCTCTCATCTCCCGCAACTCTCCGACGCATTGGTAATGCGCCGAGTGTTGAGCAAAGTCTGTCCGCCAGGAATCCCGCTGTGCCACCCTTGTTGCGTATGACACAAGGTTTGAGTGTCTGCTTTGTTCGCCCGAAACCAGTCACGTACCGCACAAAGCCAATGCATCGCTCACTAGCATGCTTGACATTATCACATTATCCTGCGATACTCGCCCGACGGACTCGATGATCGGTGAGGCACACGGGAGACTGAAGCGGGATGCGGATCTGCAGCCAGCCGCGAATCGAGCGACTGGGGTGTCAAGGTGAGGACACAGCGTGCAATCTGGGTTTGAGCGATGGCTGGAGACCATCACAGCAGCGTATCAGCGGGCTTGAGCGCATGATGGTTCGTGATAGCTCGGGGGTGTGTGTTCAGAAGTATGCGGGAAGTATATCATTGATGGCAAAGCGCAGATCTATGCGGAGGAAGCGAGCAGCTCGCCAAACTTCTTCTCGACGTCAGCCGAGCTCAGGCCGTCGAGCTCAACGTGCTTTTCGACACCGCGCTCTGTGATCATCAGTGATCGCAAGGACAATATGAGCGGAAGGTCAGTAACACGATCGCAATGATGATAGGGTGCTAAGTCGCACAAGCGACACGAGAAACACTTACCGAAACGGGCAAAGGCACGTGCGGGGGTTCCGCTAGCCTCTCGGACCAGGAAGGGGAGGTCGGGATTCGATGACTTGATGGGCTGGTAGTTGGTCTCGAGGAACTTCCTGTTATGTGTATTGTCGGCAGAACGAGCATCGCAATGAGAGGGTTGAGGGCTGTCAGTCGTTGCTCGCGATCATCTTTGAGCGGTCGGGTTTTCGGACTTACCTTGCTCCTGCAGAGGCCTGACCGGTCTGGCAGAGGTGAAGACGGACCTCCTTGAGCGCTTTGGGGAGTGCTTTTGTCAATTGTTTGGCCGACATGGTGTGAAGATGTGAGTGAGGATGATCGGTAGATGATAGCGAAGCAGCAAGTACGAGGGTCCCCAATGGCAGCGTTGAGATGCGAAGGTCGTCACAACCAGCTTCCGAAATGACAATTTGTCAGCATTAGAAGCGTAGTCTGCCGGAGGGCTTAACACTCTGAGATTGAAATTCGGCTAAAAGACCAACACTTCCAAAGCTGCACTGCGTTTCAGGCTGCGTACCAAGACGACTCTTCTCGACTGAGCCCGCTCTCGTTCTTTCCTTTCACCTAGCCGACCAACATCGAAGCGCCCGCTCACGCCGACCACTCGGGCTATATATCACATCAGCAACGATCACCATCTCCACCGTCTCTGGCTCATGGCAGCGTCGGCAGCCCTGGCGCCCTTTGAGGCCTCGATATGGAGTATCTGAGCCGACTCTCCGGCCTGGTGTCGACGCCTTCCAAAGCCGGTGCTGGCATCAGCGCAACGCCTCGCCTGCGCAAGAAGCCCTCCCTCCATCCTGTTGGTAGCGTCGACATCTTCCACGCCGACTGGCTCGCTGTCCAAGGCGAGCTCGAGAATCCGGACGAAAGGGCCCTCTTCCACGGCGTAGCAAGATCCGACCTGCCACGGCGCTTGCAACGCATCATCGACGCACTCGTCTTCGAAAGCAATCGCAGCAATGATGGCCATACAGGTCCGTGTATGGAGTATCTGCTCAAGTACGATATCCTTACCGAGCTGGTACATCTCTCGGTAGATGACCGACCCAAGGGAATCCGCGGAGAGACGATCCGCGCCCTCAAAGACCTCATCATTCTCATGGATGAGAAATTTCTCTCTCGACAAGCAGCCAACAAGCCCGTCTCTCAATTGATTCAGCTATGTCTCGACGAAGACGCCGTCCGCTATCAGCTGGATGATGACTCGTTCGATATGAGTGGCTCTAACGCACCTCCGTCTGCCGCCGAGGACAACGACTACGAAGAGGACCTCGTCGATCTCATGTGCCACATAGCAAGCCGCATTCGCAACACGCCAGACTTACTTCAAATCTTCTTCACAGACGAGTCTGTCGACGACGCGGACAACACCGAAGATGCACGCGGTCTCAAAGATGGCTCCATCATCGTCAGTCGCAAGTTGTTCGACAGCCTACTCTCGGATGATAGGCGAGGATGCGAAGCTTCGAAGATTGCTTTGACAGACCCAGAAGCCGACCCGGCCATGGAACGGCCGGCATCTCCAGCAGACTCCGTCGACTCTACCGCGACCATCCAGCCAGCAACAGCTCAAGCTCCTCGGAAGCAATCAAAACGACGGCTCAGGTTCCCTTTGTTCTCCTACTTGCTCAAGTTCGTCCACCGCGAAGGTCGAATCGGTGAGCTTGCCAGAGCTGGCCTTCTCTTCTTGATTTCGTTAGAAGGTGGGCATGCTCCGAACAGAAGCACCTCGCCTGGTGCGAAAGGGAGAAAACCAACCAAGCGCGTCTCGTTCGGCACCGAAGACGTTCGTCGCTCGCTGGCCGTCTTCATCGCCCACTCGGACTTTGCAGATGTTCTCGGCGCTGGTTTGGGCGCTGCTTATGGCTTGCTGCCGTCACGCATTCGACCAGTACCACGCTACGATCCGACAGAGATCGATGGCTCTTCTTCATCAACAAGCACTCGTGCGACGATCACATTAGCGAGCAGCATGACGTCTGAAGCCAGCAACGGAGCCTCTGAAGCATTGGCATCGGCAACGCAAAGCGACGACAGCGAGCTGCAAGCGCAACTGCGCTTGATGGTCGACCTGATGGAGTTCTGTCAGGACGTGCTCGACTCGCTCTGGCTTGCCTCTAAACACCTCACTGAAGCTGCCAATGCGGCCCCAATAGCATCTAACGACACAGACGAGAAGGCTGCCAGAAGGGAATTCTCGCCATCGCCTGCAGCTTCGCCCGACCTGGACCCGATGATCCGCAAGCTTGCCGGCGCCATCGCTATCGCCATTCGTGACACCTTCATTCGCAACGTGGTCTATCCTTCGCTGATGGAAAGCAGCGATTTCGATGGCAGTTCTGCTGCCGTGCTCAGCTACCTCGACGTCCTCATCATTGTGTTTCGGAGCGGACACATCCTGACAGACGTGGCTCTGGACTTTCTGCTCCCGGCCCCGCTGGACGAAGCAAATGGGTGCAGCTACGGACAGTCCATCGGTGTGCCTGTGGACGACTCGGACCGATACAGCGTCAAGGATCTCATCCTGGACAGCCTGGAAGATTCGAAGCGCCCGGCGACGCGCGTCGCAGCGTGGAGACTGGCGAGGAGTCTACTCGTGTGCCACGGCCTGCGCGCATCCGACGGATTGCTTCGGCTTCCGCCTCGCAAGCCTTTGGCATCAAGTACCGACGAATGGATGCCGAAAAGCCCAGCTGCCGAGATGGAAAGAGATGATCCGGAACACAGCAACATCGGCATGCACTTCCGCGAGATCGACGGGCTTTCTGCCCTGCTCGCTTCATTCGAATCCAAGGAGAGCAGCAAATCCATGCAAGCCTCGCTGAGCAACTATCTGCTTGATGCCGAGCAAGCTTTGCGCCAAGACAGCATGTTCTCTCTTGCTCTTGATCTCGGAGGCGGACAGATTTCTTTGGCCCGCAACGACCCTTTTGTGCAACAGCTCTTCGCTGATATCTCGTCCTTCTTCTCGCAGCCTGTCGAAGTCAACTTGGCAGCGAGCGGCGTTCTCTCTGCATTGGCTGCCTCGCCGATGAGGAGCGTGCAGGGGTGGCTCACACATCCGCCCAAAGGCGAGGCAGACGGACCAGAGCCTGGACTGCTGCAATTGCTCGCGGGCCTGGCGCAGCAGGTGACGGCGTACCGAATTGCTGTATCCGATTTCGACAGGTATCTGGCCGAGAGACGAAGAAGCCTGATGCTCACGGAGGATCTGTCTGCCGCACTGAACGTGGTCGAGCCGAGTGGAGAGGACGAAGGCGAAGCGGAGGCACCCACGTCGCTTGGCGCTTGCTTGACGCTACCACGTCTGCCCTCTCAGAGCAAAGGCAGCAGCAGTCGAAAGCAGACGCCCGCACAAGTCAGGGAAGCAGAAAGAAATTTCGGCATCGTCGAAGACAAGAGGGCCTCTCTTGCGCCCCTCTCGCCTCCTTCAGCACCAACAGCTCTTCCAGCAAACGCAGCCGAGACGGGTTCTCTCGGACGAAGCAGTGCCCTGGCCCGGCTTTTTGGCGGCCGCGCCACTCGCACACCCTCCCACCTCGGTAAGGCCTTCCCAACACCCTCTGTGCCGACCGTCGCTGACGCTCGTCCAGGCTCGGGCGAGCGCAGCGTCTCCGCATCAACCATCAATCCGTACGCAGACCACTTTCGCGAAACGGCCGCCGTCATCGTCAAGACCCAGATCGTTGCTGGTGCCGACGATTGGCGTCCGCCACCTGCAGCATCGTCGGCTAAGGATCAGGAGGGCAGAGCGACGCTCTCGAGTGTGCTGGACAACACTATCCTGCTGGAGGAGCTGATCAAGGAGCTATTGGCAATCGTGCAGGTGAGGAGGAGCTGGGGGATCGATCCCGTTTCCTTTCTGTAGGCCGACTTGCTATGCCGCAATTATACCCCCTTCCATTCTGGCATCGAGGATGAGCTAACCTGTCATGGAACAGCACCGAGCTCAGCATCGAAGAGGCCCTGAGGCGTGCTAGTGAGTGGAAGACGGTCGATAAGAGCGAGATTGGAATTTTCGAGTGTGTTAGGGCTGGATGCCTGTCTGCAGATCGGATTTCGGCCCTGCTGTGAATCTTCTTGCGCGGGGTCCACTTTGGAGAATCTTTTGACCTGCCCTTCCCTCTTCCTCCTTCTCACACACACAGATCTTCACCTTTCGCAGCATCGGCGTCATGTTCGCCCGCTCGCTTGTCCGACCGACGTTCCGCGCCACCGTCCTACCACTCCGCACAGCAGCGCTTCACACGACGCGCCCTACGCTCGAAGAAGCAGCGCTGAACCGGGCCGAGCGACTCAAGTCCCGCTTCTGGAAAACAGTCACTCTCCAACCTCCCACCTCCACGACTCCTGGCTTTCAAATCCTCCTCGACGGTCGATCGATCAAAACGCCCGGTGGACAAGCCATCATCATCCCCGCCAATCGCGAATTGCTAGCCACCTGCATCGCGCAGGAGTGGAGCGAACAGGGAAAGCTTCTCAAGCCACACACGCTCCCACTCACCAGTCTGGCAGCGAGGGCGCTCGAAGGCTGTTCTGATCCGGTGGAGCGAAAAGGGGTGGAGGAGTTTTTGTTGCGGTATTTGGAGAATGAGACGGTGTGTTTCCAGGAAGAACAGCCGGAGAGTCTGGTGAAGTTGCAGAAACGACACTGGGATCCACTGCTCCACCACGTCAACGAGGCGTACGGCACACAGGTGAGGCCCTTTGAGGGGTTGTTGGGCAACGCACACCCAAAAGGGACCGTAGAAACCTTCAAAACTCACCTAGAGAGGTTGGACGGCTTCGACCTGGCAGCCTTCGAACGCAGCGTCATGCTCACCAAAAGCTTCCTCATCTCGGTCGGACTCGTCTCGGGTCACTTGAGCGTAAAACAGGCCAGCGAGGCCGCCGAAGTCGAGGTCCAGAGCCAGATCGATCGTTGGGGAAGTGTCGAGGATAGTCATGATGTCGATCAGGCCGAGATGAGGAGGACGTTGGGAAGTGTGGCTGTTGCCACGGTGAGGAATTGATGCTCACAAATCAAAACTTGCACATGTGACCGCAGTGCGTGTGTGCCAGATTTGTGAACGATTGCATTGCGTGAGACATGCGATGAGACTTCACAGGTCAGCAGGGGGTCGTTTTCAACCAGCCGCCTTTGCGAGTCGATCCGAGATGCTCGGTCTCTTCGCTGCCAGGGCAGCTTTGGACGGCGAAGCATCCAGTTCGCCCGAATCGGTCGTGGTAGCCGTTTCCACGTCCGTATCCACCTTGGGCGTCACAGCCGAATCGACGCCGTCGACCTTGGTGTCCTCCACCTCGGCCTCCTCCTTCTTCACCGCCGTACCCGAAGGCGAAGGCGAGGCAGCAGGGCTAGGGCTGGGACCGTGTACGCCGTACTCGACGACCTCGAGCAGCACCGCGCGTCGGACCCACTTCCTCCGCCTCGTGTACCTCCCCATGCCAGACTTCTTGCTCATTTTGTCCCACGCATTGTCGCCGTACTGCCAGCCCTCGGTGTCAACGTCCCAGTCCTGCTCGTCGTCGCCCCCGACGCGATGTGCGGTGGTTCCCACATCGCTCACTGCATCCTCATCGACTTGCTTCTCAGCACCCGAGGTTCGGGCGCGGATGCGATTGAGTGCGTCACCGAGGTAGCCCTGTTTTGCCGCCGCCACTGCGTCCTTGTCGCCGAGCACGCTGGCCGATTTGATCGCCGCATCCTTCGCACTGCCCTTGTAGACGGTCGAAGACGGGTAGTAGCCACGCGAGGAGACGCCGGCGATCGACCATTCGGGGTCCACCCACTGCCATTTGATCGTGCGGCGGGTGAAGGCTTTCGGGTCCGAGGCGGTGGGTGCGGGCGTAAGCATGATCTTGGTGGCAGGCAAGCTGAACGAAGAAGGTGGCGAGACGGGATTGTTTGCCTCGTCGGACCACGACGGGCGTTCTTGGGGAAGCAACGCGGCAGTCCAATCGAGCCCCACCCACCAACGCTGGTTCTCGAAGATGGAGAATTGGTAGACGACGTCCTCGTGGCGAACGAACTCTTCTTTGGTGGAAGTGGGCTCCTTCTTGACCTTGCTGGCGCTGAGAAGCTCGGAGCCGTCGTCGTGGTAGAGACCGTGAGCCCATTCATCGTCGAGGTTGCCTTTGCCGTATGCATCGCGGACCGAGAGCTGACCGCTGAGCAGACGACCGGTGCCGCGGACGATGCGGCGGATGGTAGCACTCTTCCACACGGCTTGGCGATAAAGGGTACACCAGGGAGAGCACCAAGTGAGCGCGAGAGTGCCGACAAGGCAAACCAGACTGCGCATGGTGAGCGCACCGATAGGGTAGGGAGGAAGGAGCGTGATGTTGAAGTTGGTCAGTTGCTCCCATCGCACGCGGGCGGCGAGGGCTCGAAGGTGTGCGTAGATGATCGGAAGAGGTGTCTTTGCGACAAAGCCCGAGACATTGTTGTACTGAGTGTAGATCGGAGCTGCTTTGGTGTGGAAGAGAGCTACGCGGTTTTCGCCTACGAGCCTGAGAATGTGGTGGAAGACGAAGGCGTCGACTTTTCCGATGAACGCGAGGATTCCAGCGCCAGAGACGGGAAGCACCAAGCTAGGGAAGCCGTTTTCGCGCAGCGGCAGGAATGCAAGCAGCCATAGTGGCCAGGTGAGGATCAAGAACGCAGCCACCGCCTTGGTGTTCATAGGGCTCGGGTCCCACGAGATGAGCTGTACAGCTGGCACCAGCACATTTCTTCGCAAGGACGAGAAGAAGTCGGCAAGCTCGGAGAGCTCGAGCAGACTCGCATTGATTGTTGCTGCGGACACCTTGTCGTGCTTGTCGATGAGATTGGCCGGAGTATGTGTTCGAGGGCGAGCAAAGGCGAGCTGCCTTCGAACGCCAGAGTATCCGATCCAGCCGAGGATGACGAGTTGAGGCGCATAGCGCAGGAGCTCGTAGCCGAAAGCGCACATCAACCAGAACGAGACAAGCAGCAGTACGGAAGAGGAGGTGGAGCCCTTACCGCCCGTCCAGGTAGCGAGACGGATGAAGCGATGGAATGCATGGATGGCAGGGCCTAGCGCGGCCACGAGTCGGATGACGGGGCTGGGGATGCGTTCGAGGATTTCAGAGGAGGAGAGCGGCTCGAAGCTTGAGGACAGCGACGTTGCTGTTGAGAACGATGTGGAAGGAATGCGAGACGAGTTCGTGACGATTGAGGGTGGTTTTGGCGAGTCCTTCTCCTTTTTGACCGGAGTCGTGGTAGTCGATGTGGACGACATGCTGACAGATAGCAAGCGATGCGGCTAGCAAAGCTGCTTCTTGAGAGAAAGCCCGGATGGAATATTGAAGGAAGAGAACGATGTGATACTTGGTGACAGGAGGGAGGAAGCGTCGAAGAATGTGATGGTCCAAGAACAGCGTCGGCCAAAGCGAGCGTGACTGTGTGATGTCAGTCTGAGCGGCCGGATGAGCCGCTCGCTCTGCCTTTCTGATGCGGTCAATCCGTCTTTGCGTCTGTGCGTGAAAGCGCCCAGATGTGGAGACTTTTTCGAGACCAGTTCAAGTGTCGATCTGACACTTTTAAACAATTCGCGCACCAGCCAACACCGTGTCTCAAAAGTGTTGTTCTCTCGACCCTCCTTCCTGTCTCCTTCCACCAAGCCTACATCGCACAAGGTCGTCGACGCCGTGGACCCATCCTCGGGGCTCGTCACTATGGCAGTGCCGCTCGTCTTCCAGAGCCTCGGCACGCGCGTCGCCATCTTGGCCTGCTTCTGGGCTGCCCTCCTCGCAAGCATCCCATCTTGGCTTCGACTCACCACGATCCAGCGGTTACCATTACCGACACGCCAGGTGGAAGCGCTGCAACACTCGGGATCGTGTCCGGTCACATTTCAAGCCAGCCTTTCGGTATATGTTGATCCCGCGATACTGCCACAAGACGATGCAGAGGGACGCAGCGCCGATACGTTTCTGCAACAGGTCGAGCAGCTCATACAGCAGAGTCTCGAGATCAAGGCGGGTCTCCCGGCCGCTGCTTCTCTCGAGTGTACGCGGTGGAAGGTCGCTGCGCAATCGACAGTGGCTGTAGACAATGTAGCATCAGTCGAGCCAGAGACGGCCTCCTACGCGATATTGGTGCTGAGCGAAGCGCCGGCACCTGACAATCATGGTTGGATCCCAACGGTCTACCTTCCCGATGAAGATGAGCCGGCGTCGCTTCCACTAGTACCGGACACGATCAGCGCTGCTGTCATTGCTGAACTCCTCTCATTGCGGGGCGACAAAGCGCCTGCAAGCGCCGACGAGGCTTCGAACGCAGCAATCGCGGACATGGAACAAGATCCGCGCGTCATCCAGTACAGCAAGCACGTCCGACTCGTTTTCAGCGTCATGAATCAAGACACCGCGGACGGAGGCGCGTATGACAGCTCGCTCATCCATGCTCTGGCAAATGCGAATGATGACGCAGACAATCCGATCACCAAACTCAGAAGAGAGCTCAGCGACCTGCACGACTTCCATGTCGATACGCAGGTTCAGTGGTTCGCACCTTTGCATTTCCAGCCTACGCAGGAGATTTTCGAGGAAATTGTGGAGGGGGAGGTGGAAGAGGAGGTGATAGTGGATGAGGAGATTGAAGAGGAAGTGGAGGAGGAGGTCGAGGTCGATGACGAAGACGAGCCGTCGTTGACGGGGCGCGTCGCAGATGATTCAGAATCGGAGGCAGAGCCATCCGAGACATCATCGGAGGACAACGAACGAGAAGAAAGCGAAGTCGAAGGGCAGCTCCAATCCGCAGCAGCCAAAGCAAAACGCACAAAGCTAATCACCGTCAAGCGCAAACGCATCATTCAGGTTCCGGAGCTTCAGCGGGTCGTCAAGCAGACCCGCACTCGCCTGCCACCACGCTACGTCGTCGAATGGGACGACCTCAAAGTATTCGTCAACTCGGAAGAGTGGAGTCTCACCTCGACCGTCCCGCCCACCTCCTCCGCGGACGACTCGAGCCTCGGCCGACCGTACGACGTGCTCTCGCAGACGCACGATCTGCACTTCCTGCTGTACATCCCGAGCAAGTCGCATTCGCCGCTGCTGATCCGGGACACGGTAACGGGCGGGGTGAACGAAGCGTCCAATGCGTGGCTGATCCCTCAATGGGGCGGTGTGGTCATCCTCAACGTCGACGATGGGCGAAACGTTTCGAGCGGCTTGATCGATCCTTCGCTCGAAGCCGAGAAGGGCCGTATCCAGGATCTACCGCAAGACGACGTCCAGCAAGCGATCTCTCTCTTCGCGTATCAACTCGAGATCCTCCTTGGCCTGGGGGACGTACGTCTACCAGCCCGATCTCTGCATCGTCGAGTGCAGCTATCGACGCTGAAACAGCGACGCATCCTCGAATTGGCCCGGGAGAGCACCTCGGCGCTGCTCGCCATCACCCGCCTCGTCTCGCGCATCGAGAACCTCGGTGTAGGACCCGACGTCACGGCCGACACCAAAGCCGCATTGACCATTCTGGAGTCGCTCGCTGAACAAGATCTTGGGTTGGACGACATGCTGGCGCGGGTCAAAGAGGCACATGCTTTGAGCAACAGGGCTTTTTTCAACCCGGACATGCTCGGCCTGCTGTACTTCCCCGACGAGCACAAGTATGCGGTGTATACACCCTTGTTCGCCCCCCTGCTCGTGCCGTTGTTGGTAACGAGCGTCAAGCTGGCCAAGGAGGTAGCGGCGGGGAGGAAGAAGGTGGCCAAGGGCAAGGGGAGACGGTCCACTTGACCACTCATTTGTACAATACCAAACACACTTCGCAAAGCAAGACAGTCGCATGGCTATTTCCGGATGTGAGCGCGCAAGTGTGCAACGTGATGATCAATCGTACTGCTCCTCAACCTCCACCTCCTCAGCCCCACCGTCCTCCTTCTCCTCTTCGTCGCTCTCGTCATCGCTCCCCTTCTCCTTCTTGGCAATGAGCGCCTCGTACTCGGCATCGTACTCGTAGTCGTCGTCCTGCATGCGACGCTTGGACACAGCGAGCTTGGGCGCCGGCGGTTTTGGAGCACCGCGATGGTTCAGCAGCGAGGGAATGTTGGTTTTGCGTGTCAAGCCTGGTCGACGCGCCGCGCTGGAGGTGAGGATCTTGGTGAGGGACTTGCCGTAGAACGAGGACGGGCCGGAGGTGGATGGGGAGGAAAGTCGGGAAGAGGGAGTGGAGGGGTCGATGCGCTTAATGGCGACTGTGGTTGGTGTGGCGCGGGCGGGTGCGGATACGGAGGAGGAGGCCGAGGGTGTGGCAGGAGTGTCGGCGGGTTTCGAGGATGAGGCGGAAGGCTCGGAGGAGGGCGATAGTTCCGTGAGTTGCTCCTTCACTGCTCCTTTCTCTGCTTCTGCTTTGACTTCCTCTGCCTCCTCTTCCTTTTCAGCCTCTGACTCCTCTGCTACTGGCGATGCGGCTTTGCCAGCCCTGGTCGGCTTGCGCGATGCTGCGTCTTTCCTGCTCGACCGCCCCGTAGGTGCCTCGACTTCTTCCGCCTCGTTGTCCTCGATGTCACCTTCCAGATCGAATGTCTTTGACGGCTGCCCTTTTCCTTTGCCCTTGCCTTTCTTGCTCTTTGTCGTCTCTTCGAGCTGCTGCTTCTTCGGCGAAGGCGCACCCTTGCGTGACGATCGTCGTGGCGATGTGAGCTGCGGTGGTGTCATGATCCCGTCGTCGTGGTCGGAGGCGGCAGCATCGTCGTCGTCATCCTCCACGGTGATTGCTTTCGTCACTTTTGCCTTTTTGCGATCACGCGCTTTGAAGCCAACGTCTTCGTCTGTGAGGTCTGCATCTCCTTCGCCACGTGTTGCGCCCTTTGCGTTGCTCGATGAGCTTGGACCAGGCATGCCGCCATCATTAGCGCCATCCTCCTCGTCATCTGAGACCGCTATCGACCTGCGCTTGCTCGTACCCTTCTTCGAAGCAGCAGCGTCCTTCGATGCAGCTTTCGACCTCGAAGAGCTTGACGTCGCTGCATCCGCTGAGCTCTTCTTCGACTTCAGTGGTCGACCTTCGGAATCGCAGTTCGGCTTGTAGCTGACTTCCTTGCTACGGGCGCTTCGTGTCGGGCGACGAGAGGCTCTCTCCTCCTGCGCAGCGAGCTGTGCTGCAAACGCGGCATCGTCATCTACTTCCACGACGTCAGACGCATCTGACCCACGACGTCGCGATCGGGTACTCTGCGGAGAGTTTGCTTTTCTCTTCGAGCGGGTGCTGTCTCGTGGTGGCACGATCGATGGGGACGAAGCTGGGATCTCGACGTAGACGGTGGGCCCGTTATCGTCTCTTGGATCGGTGGACGCGTGAGACTCTCTGCCGGATCGCGAGGGCGAGCGGGAACGAGGTCGCTCGGGGGTGCTCGGCTCGTCAGCGTGGCCATCGTGTTCTCCGTCCTCTGCATCGCTGCTCGCCACGAATTCTCCCGGCTGCTGGTTGGAAGGGCCTACAAGGGCAGCCTTGCCTATTCGCCGCGAGCCAGATGGACTGTCGACCACATTCGCCTTCAAAGAGGGCCTCAGAGGAGAAGACCGCGTTCGCGAGGGCGAAGGAGCGTGACTGGTGGGAGGCGACGAGACCAGGTTGATCTCGGTGATGGTGGTGGGTGGAGCTGCTGAGCTGTCCATGTGTGAAGTGACGGACGATGAAGCCGCTGAAGGTGGCCAAGTAGCAGCGCCTACGATCAGCTCGTCGGATGAGGATGTGCTCGCAGCGTTATTGATCCAAGGTGCGGACATGGGCAGCAGGGGTTGGCCGCCTGCGCCGGTGAAAGGCATCTCGATTGAATGCGCTGAACTCGAAGACGGATCTTGCGGCTGAGGAAGCGGAGGTGCCAGACCTGTACGGGGCAGTTGACGCTGTCCGAAAGCTAGCGAGTGCACAAGCAGACTGGGTAAGGCGTTCGATGCTGGACGGAGATGATGGGGAAGCGAAGCGTAAGATGACGAGAGGAACGACAGATGGCTGAGCTTCTCGAGAAAAGTGTTACTTTCCTGAGTCGCTCTCGCGTTTCGCCACCCTCTTGACGCGTTGAGCTGGGATCGCCCTTCATCTCTGTGGAGACAAAAACGCTGAGCCTAAAACGCAGAGAAAACTCAGCCGCGGCGGTCCGAATCTGGGTGTTAGATCGCTGAATCTCAGAGACCAACACTTTCGCAGACAAACAGCTGTGGACACCTTTGTCAAGACTTCTGTCCGCCTCTGGAGTCATGATCATCTTTCGACAGTCTGAAAGAGAGCATTGATTTCATTGATCGTCGAACATCCTCGCAGACGACTGCGTCCTGGATGCGAGGCTCGCTTAGTCGCAGTGCTGACTTTGGGTTTGCACCTCGACCCAGCCCTTATCACCCCTATCCAAGGCATCGAGCTCTTTCATGTGCTCGTCCGAGAGCTCAAAGGACAGACATTCGGCGTTCTCGACTTGTCTCTGCGGGTTGCTGCTCTTGGGCAGAGCTACAATACCATGCTGCACGAGCCATCGCAGCATCACCTGTGCTTCCGTCTTGCCCGTCTCTCCAGCCACCTTCTTGAGCGTCTTGTCTCCGTAGTATTGACCTCTTGCGAGCGGGCAGTATGCTTGAACGATGATGGAGTGCTTTTCCGACGCAGCCCTCACATCCTTCTGAGCGAAGAAGGGGTGGCACTCGATCTGGTTGCAGACAGGCAGCACCTTCGGCTTGCTATCGATCAGCTCCTCAATGTGCTGAGGGCCAAAGTTGGATACGCCCAGGCTTCGAATCTTGCCCTCTTGCACCAACTCGGTGAGCGTCGCCCACGAGTCCAGTCGGAACTTCTTACCTCCATCGGGAGCGTGGAGAAGAACGAGGTCAAGGTAGTCGAGACCGCTCTTCTTGAGGCTATCTTCGATCGCAGAGCGCGTCTTGCTGCCGCCACCCATATCGTTGAGGTAAATCTTAGTGGTGTAGAACAGCTCGGAGCGAGGCACGCTGCTTTCGCGAACAGCTTGGCCACACTCGTCCTCGTTTCGGTAGTATCTCGCGGTATCGACGTGTCGGTAGCCTGCCTTGTTGAAGGCGTTCAGCAGAGCTTGCTTGCATTCGCTACCTCGCATGTCCCAGGCACCGATGCCAAAGCGGGGCATGGTGTGACCGTCGACCATTTTGATGGAAGAGGCGAGCGTGAGCTGTTCGCCTCGCTTGGGTGCAAACCGATCTGTCATGGTGTGCAGGTGACGTCTCAAGCAAGATGATGAGGTTCGGGAGGAGGAGGAAGCGAGAGAGCTCATGGACGAGACTGGAAAGTGTCGGGGTCGAGAGGATGTCGAGGATGGTCCGAGCCCTGGGACCTCCACAGCCTGTCACATTCGAAATTTAGCCGGCTATCGCCGTGGACAGTCACGGTCGGACCGATCTGTTGCCGCTCTGCTGATTATGCATCGCTTTCACTGTCGTGTATCACAGACGAGAGGAGTAGATGCATAGATGTGTGAACGCTCGAGTCTGCTTGTACATGTGAATATTCAGACCGATGATAGAAAGAGCCTTCAGCTGCTGACGAGAGGCAAATCGTAGATGGGACAGCTACAGCCTAACCGACAACGACCCAGGCACAGCTCCTGACGTGGGCACGAATCAGCCGTGTCAATGATCTCTGTGAAGTCCCGTTCCAGCTCCTTTCTCTTCAAAGAATGAATCGAGAGGAAGCGTGGCGCTTTGTTGAAGAATGGCACGAGCCGGTCATGGTGCCTCACGAGCTCGTCCTGTAGCGTGATTCCGAAGCAGTCGAGGTAGTGTCCTGCGACATACTCTTCGATATGTTCGATCAGAAGCGGTTCCGGGGATTGCAAACTGACAAGTCCGAGCGCCGATTCGAGGGGCGCTTCTCTTTGATACAAGAACGCGTTGTCGCTCTGCAAATCTGCCAGGTCGAGCTCGGGTTCCGTCTCCTCATCTTGGCGTGCGTCGTTCGATGGCCTCAAGCGAGTGGACAATATTTCCGAGATAGGGAATGAAGAGGCTCGAGCCGAGCCTGATGATGTCTCTTGCGGTACGTCTGCGCTGCTGCTTTGCGGCTTGGCGTGGTGAGCGCTTTCGACCGAGATCGTATCGCTCTTCGACGATTCCTCGACATCTGCGCCTTCGAGCCGTAGAGCTTCTGCAGATTTGCTTGGTGAAGACAAGCTCTCGCGTACTCGACCAAGCGACCTTCGCTTCAGAGGCGCAGATAAGCCGGGCCTCCGAGAGGTGGATGCTGGTCCTGTAAAGAGTCCCATGATTAGCGAAGCCTGTGTGCTCCTCTCGCACAGCACGCGCTCCTGTACATCGTCCGAGAAGGGATTGTGGCTTCAAGCTGTATGCACTCCTCCGGTAGAGTCCTGTTGGGAGCAGAGTCATGTCGACATGACGTGCTGTATGATGAGGAGAACAGAGAAGGCTCGGCATCGGGACCGTGCGTCTGCTCAAAGGGTCCAAGGCCGGCGACTTTTTTGACAGCCTTTTTTCTGGCCTTTTTTTTTTGTGGGCCTTTTTCCTCTGATTTCTCCAAATTTAATCTCCTTATTCCCTGTCGTAGCCGACCGAGCAGCTGCTGGCGAGCGAGGCATGCGCGACGACCCTGCATCTGAATTGTGCAGAACAACACATCGACACCAACGACTTTCCTTGGCGCGCCTGCCCGAGTCCTCTTCCCTTCTCACCATCATCGGAAGCGCTCCGATAGCGTCCACGTCAGCATCACAGGATGACTCATACCTACCACTGATTGTGCTCAACCGTCCCTTGCGCTTCACAATGGACAGGACCGAAGGACAACCACAAAGTCACCAGCAACCTTCGGGCGGCTCCGTGCTCTTGCAGCCATCGGCTCGGCCCATCATCCGTCGCATCGTCTCTGACCGAGATCATCCGTTCAGCACCCAGTCGCTTCCATCCAACGGAACGATCCGACCCAATCTCTGGAATGCCGTGCGTCAGCGCGTCAAAGTCACTTCCGCCCTCAAGACACCCGCTGACTCATCCAAACGTCGATCTCGCGCCTTTGAGGACGAGCGCAGATTTGACGATGAGGGCATCACATCCGACACGCTGCGCGGCGACATCGACCATCTGCTTGCACCAGGCCAATATGCCGAACAATGGCAGTCCCTCGCGCATCTCTTCGAAGCTGCAGACCAGGATCCCTCCGGCCAGTCCCGTTCCAAATTGCGGCCGAGTAGAAAGAGCAAGCGTCTCTCTGTCGCGCCGTCAGGACATACCAGGTCACCTTCACCTTCACGGATGTCTGCAGGTCCAAGCAACACTGGTCAGCCCGGGTCAACAGCAAGACCAGCTTCATACGTACGCAACACGCAAGAAGAGAATCCAGATGATTCCTTCGCAAGCTTTGTCGGCCCGTCCTCGTTCAAGGAGAGCTCAAGCTTCAAGCTGAGATCCCGCACGTCAAAGCTCACCACGTCATCGCACCCACGGAACTCTCCGAGTCAAGAGCAGGACTCGGCAACCTCAGCCTCGGGGTCATCCGCCGCGAAAGACCCTGTTCGATTCAGCGAGGAGCCATCGAGTATGCTGACCGATGATCCCGAACAGACTCCTCTTGGTGAAGACCCGCTTCTGTATTCGACACAAGAGCGTCTTCTGCAGAGCGACAGCGAGACCGACACCGACAGCGAGACTGATAGCGACGATGATGACCAACAAAAGAGGGCATCGCCAGCTCGAACATCCAATGGCAGCAAAAGCGGACTGCATCAGAATGGTGGACAAAGGCCGGCATCAGATGAAGGCCACGGAGCTGGATCGACACGAGTGCTACCCTCACTGCAGAGCAGGATGCGTTCACTGGGCTCTCACGCCAGCGGGTCAAATCTCACCTTGCTGCAGCGTAGCATCCTCAAATGCGCTCTTGCTTATCTGGTCGCGTCGCTCTTCACCTATTCGACCACTCTGAGCGCCTGGCTTGCAAGCTTCTTGCCCAACAATGATCCTGACGACGAGGTCCCCTTTTCGAACCTTCACATGATTGCGACGGTAGCCGTCTACTTTCACCCTGCCAAGACGCTGGGTGCCATGATCGAAGCCGACATATTTGCGCTCGGCGCTTTCATCTTCGCCATCTCGCTCGGCTTCTGCTCCATGGCAGTCGCCGTCTTCTTGCATGAGGTCGACCGCATTCTCATCTCTGACATCGTCAGCGTCCTCTTCTTCCTCGGCTTCGGCATGGCGCTGGTTGGCTACGCAAAGATCAAGGTCGCCAAGCCTCAATTCAACACGGCCTGCTCGCTCATCTCGATCATCGTATTCACGGTCATTGTCAAAGAGGGTTCGATGCATCTTGGCCACTTCTCGACCGAGAAGACATTCCAGGTGACGTTAGTCGTTCTGGTCGGCTCCTTCATCAGCAACGTCATCTGCTTCTACGTCTGGCCGCAGAGCGCCACCTCCAATCTGCAGGGCGACATTGTCCGCAATCTGCGAGGGTTCTCCACTCTCTTGCGTGTCCTCACCAAGACCTTCTTGCTCGAGGACCCTGCCAACTTTCACTTCAAGAGCGATCGCATCAAGCGCGCCATCGACGACCACCATGACAGCTTCACTTCGCTCAAGAAGAATCTAGAAGAGGCCAAGCTCGAATCGCTCTTCGACGTTCGGATGCGTGGCATGAGCGCCAAGTACGTCGAGGCTACCGATTCGCTCAATCGACTTGCCCAGCATCTCACCGGTCTTCGAAGCAGCTGCGGTCTGCAGCATCAGATCATGGCCACGCGCAGGGAAGCACAGCGACTAGCCAGAGAGGCTTCACAGGCAGAGTCTTCCACTCGGACAACCGTGAACGGAGCAAATGCACCTGCCAGCGTGCCTCAGACTAGATCTCGGCCAGCATCTACGCGGCTTGCCGACCTGTTCGAAGTGGACGCCGACCTCAACGACGTGGCAGATGGTGGAGCAGAAAAGGCTGGCTCCTCCGACCGCGCCACAGAGGCAACTGCATTCGAAGACTTTATCGCCAGCGTCGGTCCGCACATGCGAAGTCTCGTCTTTTCCTGCTGCCGCACTCTCCGTGGATTACGATCTACGTTTGTCGCACGCGATGCTTCGGATGCTGTGCTCAAGGTGCTCTTCCAAGATGCGAGCAACAACGGTAGCGCCACTGGCACTTGGCACGACTTTGGCGGTACGTCGAGCGGCGCTTATGTGCCCGGGACCAGCTTCGACGGTCTCCACAGCGACATCTCAAAGGCATTGCGAAGGTTTCAACACGAGCAAACGGTAGCCATTAAACGCATCTACACCATGGAGCCGAAGAAACTGGCGCAGCAGCTTGGCGATGACAGCTACGATGATACGTCAGGTCGAAGCGCCAAAGGCCAGCAGAACGGCTCGTTTGGAGTCAAGAGCCTCTTGCAAGACGACAAGGGAGACGAGGATGTCTTCCTCATCTTTTTCTTCGTCTTCAACCTCGAGGAATTTGCCAAGGAGTTGGAAGTGCTTATTGAAGCGCTCGAGGTGATCCGACAAGCGGAGGAACGAATCGCATTGGCGAGGCAAACATCACTATGGATGCGAGTCCGTCTCTTTGTTGGGACAATGGGCGCCATGACATCAGAATACGCCTCGATGCTAGGCTGGAGATGGAGCCAGGGTAGCAGAATGAAGAGCAGGCTCGGAAAGACTGTCAGAAGCGTGCCGGCAGCAAAGAAGATGACGACGCCACTGGACTTCCCATCAAACCGACGACATGCCGTCAACACGGATCAGACTCCGAGAGCTCTGACCTGGCAAGAGAAGCTGCAAAGAGTGGTCTGGCACATCGGCGAGTTCTTCCGTCAGCCTGACACAAAGTTCGCGATCAAGTCCGGTCTCGGAAGCGCTCTTCTGGCGAGCCCTGCTTTCTTCCCCTCGACACGCCCGATCTTCACCAAGTTCCAGGGCCAATGGGCGCTGGTCAGCTTCATGGTCGTGCTCTCGCCGACAGTCGGCCAGTCGAATCACATGAGCCTTCATCGCATCATGGGAACCATCCTCGGGGCGTGTGCTGCCATCGGCGTCTACAAGCTCTTCCCAGACAACGGGGTCGTGCTGCCGATCTTCGGAGTGCTGTTTTCGATCCCTTGCTTCCGCTATATCGTTGGCAAGCCTCAGCTCGCGTCGAGTGGTCGCTTCGTGCTGCTCACGTACAATCTGACGGCCCTGTACAGCTACAATCTGCGCAAGACCGAAGTCGAGGTGGAGCAGATTGCGTATCAGCGGACGGTCTCGGTCATCGTTGGTGTGCTGTGGGCCACAATCCTCAATCAGCTAGTCTGGCCCTTTGAAGCGCGTCGGCAGCTGGCACTGGGTGTATCGGACGTACTCTTCAAGTTGGCATGGCTCTACCAGCGATTAGTGCTGTCGTACTCCCGCGATCCTTCGCAGAAGCGATCGAGGCACCGTGGTCCAGGGGAAGATGGCGAGGACGAGGACGCAGACGACAGCTTTGAGCAGCACGGTGTGGACGGTCAGAACGACGAAGAGACAGCTCTGCTGGGCACCTTCGCAACGCAACATGGCGACGAATTCCAAGCGATCGAGTTGCACTTGCAGGTCTCGATCATCAAGTTGGAAGGCCTGCTCGCGCAGACCAAGCACGAGCCGCGGCTGAAAGGACCGTTTCCCGTCGCCACCTATCGGTCGATGCTGTCGTGCTGTCAGAACATCCTGGACAAGCTGCACAGCATGCGATGCGTGACCACGCGACAAGACTGGTACCGACACGTCCGACGCGACTTTGTGATCCCGGTCAACGCCGAGCGACGCGAGATGGTGGGCAACGTGTTGCTCTACTTTTACACGCTTGGATCAGCATTCCACCTCAAGAATCCGGTTCCGCCCTATTTCCCACCAGCGGGTCAGTGCCGGTTGCGACTGCTGGATCGGATCCGAGAGCTCCCTGTGGTCAAGAGGAGGGCGGTGCGCGGATCGAGTGCGTATCTGCTGTTTTACTCGTACGCACTGGCGATGAAGGATGTGATCGACCAGTTGGATGCGTTGGGCAGATTGACGCAACAGAACTTTGGCGTGTGGGGAGGCAGCGTCGACGACTTTGAGCGGCATTTTGTGTCGAGCGCCGAGTCGGTGGTGTCGAGCCCGTATGCGAGCAAGAAGCCTTCTCGGAGCAATCTCGGTGCGGCTGGATGACAGCGTTGCCTCGAAGACAAGGTTGCACGGTGGGACGTTCGAGCGTTTCATTTCGGCTCAAGCGCTATCGCAGGAGACAGGTGGGAAGGTTCCTTAATCTCAACAGCATTTCGACCTCGATGTGGAAGATTGACCGTTTCTCTTTGACATCGAGTGGGTCGCAATTGACTGCGCCACAGAAGTGTCGGAACGTGCACACGAAAAACGCTTCCCACGGCCCCGCCAACAGTCAAGCTCGAGCTCGAGCAGGCTTCAAGCCTGTGCTTGATTGAAAATGCTTTGTTGAGAGGGCGTAGGCCATCAAAGCCGACTCACAGACTGCAGCGCCGAGCGGCTCCAGACCAACGCGAGAACATCGAAGCGGAACGCTTCCGAATCAGTTGTGATTCTCGGCGGCGGCGGCGCTTGCGAGCCAGCAGCAACCAACTGCAGCCGAAGATGCTCGCTTGGAAATGACGGCAGCCAAAGTCGCTCGTTCATCTCGAGACCCTCTCGCCAAAGTCACGCGTTTTGGCAAGGTGGTGAGTTGCTCGGGGAAGCCGAAGCGCTGGCTCCAAGACAGTGCGCTTGCCGTTGCGGTTCCTTGACTCAATTGCAGGAAAGCCGATTCGGCAATCTCAAGTCCGGCTTCGCATCTCTGCTCTATTGTGCTCCCATTCATGTGCGGGTTCATGCTTATGCAACAGTATTGATGCAGACTCTGCAGCGGGCGAACTGCGGTCAGGATCTGGCCTTCGACCAATACACGGCTGCATCTGACATCTTGCCCCATTCGGTCGGCTTGGACTGCGGCTCCGCTCTCGCCTGGGACCGTCGTTGGCAAAGAAAGCTCACGCAAAGCACCGCTGACGAACAGATCAATGAAGTTTCGACCTTTCGTGCTGCCGTGGCGACCCACTTTTGCCTTCATTGACTGTCATCATTGGGCAGTATCAAGCTTTCGGTGGGGCCCTTTCACATTTCCTTCACGGCAGTTCCGCCGGTTGATAGCAAGCTGATTCGTTGGCGCCACAATGAGGAGGGTGTTTATTGCCTCCAAGCGCTCGAGGCGTGGGAACGCTTTGTCGCAGCTTCCGATGAGCAGCACCGGAAGCTTGCCGAACGTCTGATAGCGGAGAAGCAGCCGTTCTGGCTCCTTTCCGAAAGAACAAAGGCAAGCGCGGCACCCCTTCCGGTTCGCTCGCGAAGCTCATCCCACTTCCTACCTTCGCTGAGGTGTGAGCATGAGCCTAGGCGAGCCTCGCTGCTTCTGCCGCGTCGCCTTGCGCTTGGTCGAGTCGCTCGCCTGTCCGCAGCCGCCAAGCAGCAGGCGGCAGAGAGAGGTGGGCGCGAAAAAGAGGGTCCAATTGATTTGATTTTTTAGACTTTTCGTCCAGGCGCGACAGCCGTGTTGGCTCTTTTCTGGTTGGTTGGCTTCTAGACGAGTGTCCGCTCTGCAACGGGACCTTTGACTTTCTCAGACAGAGTTGGACCGCCGCCACTGTTCTGCTGCTGCATCTCGCGTCTGTGCAGCGTTCCTTCTGACATTTCTCCTCTCAAAGTCGTCTGCAGCTGCAGTCTGAGTCGGTTGTTCTCTCCTGCTCTCCTGCTCCCTTGACTTGGTGAGCTCGCTGCTCTGCTCTGTGCAGAACCCTGAAGTGGAAGCATTTCCTATTCGGCTGCCTTACTTGCAACCGACTCAGCTTTCCCCTTCCATCGCTTCCTAGGACCATCATCCGATCCGGCTCGCTTCTCAGCCATCTGCAAACGCTCGACGCTAGCGCCTTAGCTCACGCCCCTCGCTTACGCCACGCTCAACATCGGCTCGAATCGCGCGCAGCCGCTCGTCTCCATTTGCTTGTAAACCTGCTCCTCCCAGCACGCAGCCATCCATCTCAGACCTTGGGTCTCGAGCATCATCTTACGACTTTGGTCCGCAAGGTCGCCGGGCGATTCAGTGTGGTCACCGTTCCGCTGCAACACCCCCATCACCTTTCAGCATCCTTTTCGCTGTTACATAGCCGGCTGAACGTCTCACCCTTTCCACGAACGGGTTCTATATCCTCACAGCTCTCTATTTGGGGGGAGATCTCCATCATTTCCGGCCTTGCCACGAGCAAGATCGCGCTCGGCTCGAACGTGTCCCTGTATCCGGGCTTCTGGTCTCTTCAGTAGGCACATACACTCACTCATCCGAAAGTCGGAAGAACAAGGAAGCAGGTCACGAACGAGAAGCGAGCGTCTCAAGCAGCCGCACCTTTCAGGGCCATATTCACGCTCGACTCGGCCGTCTCTGAGAGAACATCGCTGCACACGGTCAACGGATATCGCTCCGCATTCGACGCTCCTTCCCCGCACGCCACAACAGCCGGCGATCCTTCCTCTGCCTTTGGCTCTCCGCTTGACGATCTTGTGCGGTACGCCTTCTCGCACTTGCATGGGTGCTCTGACGAACCCTTCTAGCGGATCATCGAGTCAGCACGTTCCACCGAATCACATCGATACCGTCCAGCATCATCTTCTTCAAGGTCACGATGCCACCTGCAAAGTGCGACGTCATTCCGAAGGAGCAATTCACGCCCTTTGCCGAGAGACGCGCTTGCTCGGGATGTCGCAAGATCAAATCACGCTGTATCTTCCCAGACGACTCCAACAACTGCACACGATGCATTCGCCTCAGCATTGAATGCGTCGTACCGTCGCATCATCGCGGCGTCAAGCTCGAGGGACAACGTTCCAAGTCGTCGTCCTCGGTGCCTCTTAAGCGCTCTAAGAGTCAATCGCGAGATTCGGCCAGCCCAAGTCCAAACGAAGAGACGGACGGATCGGCTTCGGCCTCGGTCAACCCCTTCTCGGTGCAAAGCTTGCTCGACACCACGTCGTCCGAACGCACAGCTTCGAAAGCGCTGCTCTCGTCCACCATGCATTCGCATCTTCAGGAAGAACCCGCCGTCAAAGTGTCCACACCGGCGGTGCGACGTCCGCTCATCGAGTCCGTCATCATTGCAAATCTCTTCGACGAAGATGAAGTAACAGAGCTCGTCCACTTCTATTACGAACGCTTGAATCCCATCATTGCGTTGCTCGACAGCCAGATCTACAACCTCAAATCGCTCAAGACCAACCCGGACTATCGCATCTTGCTAGCCGCGATCTGCACCGTCGCCTCCAAGTTCATCAAGGTCGACCGCTATCTCGACTCGCTCGAGTTCCTCAAGCCTGCTCTCTCGCGTATCGCCGCAGACGACATTCCTCCGCAGCTCGAGATCATTCAGTCGCTCTCCATCCTCGCTATGTGGAAGCATCCCAAGGACGGCAGCAGTTGGCGCAAAGTCAGACTCGCCATCACACAAGCATTCGAGCTTGGCTTGCACGAGCTTTTCGGACCCCAGAAGCGCTCCAAAGGCGGCCCGTCCCGATCCTACATCCAGTCACAGCGCACTCTGTTCCAGCTTTCTTGCTTCGAAGACGGCTACCGCGACCAACGTCACCTGCCACCTGCCATTGACCCGAGCTTGCTGCCTGACCCGCGCGAGTGGATCGACTCGCTTGGAGATATGGTGCAGGACATCGATGTGCGCCTCGCCGCCTCGCGGGAGAACGCCAACATCAAACGCGATCTCATCACCTCCCTCAAGCACTCCAACGCCAAGAGCCCGAACCCTTCGCAGATCAGTCGTGCCACCTGCCTCCGCAATGCGCGGCTGATCAAGATGGCCATCACGGCGCAGACATGTTCCAGCTCGGTCTGGATGAACCCGCCGGCGAGCGAGATTCCTTGCCAGCACTCTGGACGTCCTTGCTTGCTGTTTCACGACACCAACACGCTCTTCAACTACTATCGGGCGCTCTACTCCATCTACAGCTCACCGCTGCTCTCAGGCCCGTCTTTCGCCGACGACAGGCAAGCAGCATTCCAAAAGTGTTCGGAGCTCTCGGTGCAGCTATTCGAGCTTCTCAACGGCGCCTACGGTCAGGCTGGATACTATCGCTACGTGCACGACATTGTCATCCTGAACTTGGCCGTCTCAGCTGTTTGGATCTGCGACAACTGGCGTGCCATGCCGCAGGAGCTGGCCATGCAGGCATGTGCGGCGATTCGACAGGCTGCCGATGCCACCTCGCCCTCGTTGGAGGATTACCTAGAGCAGGGCTCCTACCTTGCCCGATTCCTGCGCTTCTGCTGCAAGAAGCTGCCATCCACCATGTCGATCAACGAGAACTCGCCTGTCAATGCCGAAGATCTCGTCATCTCGGAGGATGCCAAGTGGGCCATGGGCCTCAATCCCTTCACGCAGCTGCCCAATGCCTTCGGCAGCGTTCCCATCGCCTCGGGCTCGTCCTTCCGCCCGCCTTACTTGCCGTCAGCTTCACCCAACAACTCGAATGGCAGTGGCATGCAGGTGCCCAACTACGGAGGTCAATACCGCACCGGGAATGGCAACGGCGCACAGCACGGCTTGTATCACAACCACGGCAGTACGGGCAGCCAGGCATCCGGCTCGCCATCCCTGCTGTCCACTTCGTCGCCGCAGGGTCATCACGGCAGCATGGCTGCGAGCGGCAACGACCCGTCGCTGTTGTTCAACAATGGGCACAACCACGGTCACGGCCACAACCACAGCCACAGTCATGGCCAGAGTCATGGCCGTCAGTCGCATCATCAATCTGGCGGCGGCATGAACAACTCGACCGTTCAGTACTTGTCGGAGAGCCTTGTGCCACCCGCATACCCCATGAATTGGGACACGTACGACGACAATTCGATCATCACCTTCCTACAGTCGATCTCTAGCGCCTCCGCCTGAGTGCCGAAAACTCGCGCCGGCTGCCGTCTCACAACTTTTACACTATACCAGCAGCTTCTCGCTATCACACTCAAGCCAGCACTCGCGACCAATGTCACCCCTTAGCTATCGCTCTTATTTATGTATCACCCACGCACAAACACATTTAGAGCTTCTTCTCGCGCGTGCACCCATCATGCTGATTGTGATTGTCTCCTCGTAAAGAGATGAGATGAGGTGCATTGCTGAAGGGTGAGGAGGAATCGAAGCACGGAACACGTTTGTGCAGCGCCATGAAATTCGGATGTCGGAAATGTGGCTCGGGCCAGCAAAGCGCTGTTTGAGGTGATGTGTCTCTTTCTTCCTCCACTCTCTGTACCCTCACGCTCCACACAACCTCGCTTCTTCATACACCCTGACCTAGATTGTGGCACAGCTGTCCATACCGAGCGCGACTCTTCTAGCACCACAGACAATCGTACAGGGCATGCCCAGGCGGACTCGGCGCCGTGACAGCTCACGATGACCGCCATGCCCGGACCAAGTTCAAGGGCCGTTCAAAAATCGCGCAAGGCGAGCACGGATCACAACGAAAGGCAGCAACAACGCAGATGGATACAGCTCATCGAATCATGGCAGAGCTCTAGCAAAGAAGCTGAGTCGTTCGGTACGGTCTTTCGCGATGAGCTGGTAGAAGAGATCTCTCACCAAGCACAGGTTCTCTGCCGCATCATCAAGGACCGTTCTTGGCTTCTCGATGCTTTCCAGATGGCTATCGATGCTATTCTCTTCGTCAATCTAGATGGAGTCGCGTCAGAAGATGGCGCCGAGCTGTCCCGTATCGAGCAGCTCGGGCAACAGCTGCTCCAGCTTGCGATACACTCGGTCGCAGCGCCATACCTCAACAGTTTGAAGGCTCAAAACGCAGACGACACGCGCTTACGCACGGTGATGGACACAATGGCAGAGCTCGAACAATTTTCGAGACGACTGTCGATGTACGAGCGACAGCGCGGTCTCACGCAAAAGTTGACTCTGCCGACACTGCCACTGTCGTTGGTGCTGGAAGAACCAAGCAGGACCGTCTTGCTATGCCTGGCGTCTCTTCCTGAGGGCGCCGAGGCGATCGGACCGCTCCTGCAGAGCTTCCCTTGGCTCGTGTCCGAGTCTGCTCCCGTGCGGCTATCAATCCTCTCCCAACTGCTGACCACCAACGCAGGAAGCAAGGACGACTATGCTTCCCTGGCCGCATCTGGCCTCCTCATCGGCTGGAAGGGTGGTCGCGAATCTGGCATCTGGAAAACAGCGCAAGGAGCGCATCAGCTTTCTCCGCACGATGTAATCGCAGTCTACAGCGAGGCCATTCAGAGTCTAACCCAGATCGGCTCTGGGGCCCAGGCGGACGCGCTGATCGACCTGCTAACGGGAGAGTTGCAAGGACAGGAAGCACAGCAGGCTCTGTCGCAGCTTCGAGCAATAGCAGCGTCGTCCACACAATCTCGTGACAAGCAGCAAGACGAACACGACGCCGCCAAATTGGCTACAAGGCAACGCTTCGACCTCCTTTCTATTCAAGGCATAGCATCGAAGATGTCTTCGGTCGGTCAGAACAACGACGCCCGCAGGCAGCTTGCGAAGGAGCTGCTTTCGACGTCAGGCACTGGTTCGGCTGCTAATCGCGTGGCACAGCTCATCGACACCAACGATGGCGCCTCGGCCCGCAGCTTTGGTCTTGCTGTCGTGTCTCAAGCAGCAAGCTCGCCGGCTTCTGTCGGGATGGCCCATCTCACGGCCGCGATACTATACGCGAGGCCTGCGGTCGGACGCTTCCGCTTGGACCTCAACACGCCTCAGTCTCTGCTCAAGGAGGCCGATGCGGTTCTCGCTCAGCTCAATCAGAGACACAACGAACACACGGCTAGCTCCAACAGCTCACAGCTTGGTATCGCCCTACGCTCAGCGCTGCAGCTCGATTCGCAGAGCGCGGTGCCTGCGTGCCAGCTGCTAGCACTTCTGTTGAGCGGCCTGAGGGAGGACGACGCCAAATTGCTCAACGACGCTCAGCTGCATCTTGGCTGGTTGATATCCATCGCTGAATTGATAGAAGGACAGAGCCACAAGCCTTCCGATCTAGATCTGTGCTGGCTCGCCGCGTATGGCGGTCTTCACCAATCGGACGGCTCAACGCAAGCAAAGGAAGATACCGAGCAGCAGCAGACGACAGCTTTCGACTCGCTATTGGCATCCTTCGACGCAGCACATCCACCGCCGTCGTCGCTCGGCGGCCGTCCCGATCGCCCTGGCGTCACAGACCCCGCCTTGCTGCGCTTCCGAGCCGCCTGGGACGCCTTCTGCCATCGGCTGCTCGAGCTGACAGGCTCAGCCTCGCTCTCGGCACCCTTTGCACTCGTTCCAGAGAGCCACGCTGTCCAACGCCTGCTCTCGCAGATCCTCCGCACCGGCGACGTCGATCTCTTCCGCTCACTCTCCACCAGCAGAGCCTCAGCGACACTCTCACCTTCGCAACTCGAAGCCCTCGTCCTCGACGTGTCGACTGAGCTCTTTGACAAATCCAACGTCGCTTCCACACGAAGTCGCGATGTCCGGCTTTCGCTGGACGTTCTTTCTGCCCTTCCCGCCAACTCGGCTCGCGCCAAAGCCCAGAAGGACTTTATCGAAGCCGCCTGTCGACTGTCCTCGTTCAAAGTCAAATCCATCCTGCACCCTGGATCTCTGATGGAGCCTCTCGAGATCCGGTCGACGCCGGACAAGCTCGAGCTGGTTGCCCGTCTGTTAGCTACGCAAGGGGACGCGCATCGGTCGCCCGAACTCGTGCTGGATGTGGCGAACCGACTGTGCGGTCTGAGTCCGTCGGATCGGACGCTGGTGGAAGCGCGAACGCTGGCGATGCTGGCAGACGCCGCGACTGCAGCGGAGGACTTTGAAGACGCCTCGGGTTTCTGTCAGAGGCTGGTGGACAAGGTTGCTACCACCCGCACCCGACCTTCGGCAGCAGCGATCGTGGAGATTGCCTGGAAGACGTGTTTCCAGCTCTCCAAGCATCCAGCGTGGGAAGACACGCCGGAGCGGATCACGATGCTGGCGCACGCCATGACGATGTGTCCGCCGAACCAGTTGGGTGGGATGCTGCGGCAGTGGGCGACGTTGGATGCGCAGCTGGCGCGCGAGGTGGGTGAAGGAAAAATGTTTGCCAGTGCCAAAAAGGCGGCGTCTGCAGAGGGCGGGGTTGGGGGAGGAGGGTGGCTGGGTGGGAAAGGCGAGTATACGGCGGCAAGTGTAGGGGCGATGGTGGGGAGCGCGGCCAACATGCTCCCGTTGAGCTTTAGTCCGTTAAGTTACTTTGGTAATGCTGCTACGGGTACTGGTGCGGTGGTCCAGAGAGCGGGAGGGGTGGCGAAGGAGGGAGAAGTGGATGCGAGGACGGCCAAATTGTTTGATTTTGATGGTGTTTCGGGTGCTTCCGGTGAAGGTGGCGGGGGTGCTGGTGGAGCGGGAGGATATGTGGACCCGACAGAGAGGGCGGTCCGCGCGGCGAGGGCGGCGAGAGATTTCTTGGGGTGGAAGAGCGATCAGCCCGGATCGCAGCAGGACCAGAAGCAGCAGCAGGGAGGTGGCGGAGGTGGCGGGCTGGGCGGCTTTTCGTTGAGTCGCGGAGTGGGTTGGCTCATTGGTGACGGCGAGAAGCGTTGAGCTGCGCAATCGAATGTTGGACGCGAACCTGTTACATACAGTAGCTGTGACGAATGTGTTCCCTGAGGTGCGGTACAAATACAATCCTTGCTGGCGATGCTACGCTATCCTTCCCTCGACTCCCTCGTTGGGTATTGCCTTGCCCCCCTCCAACTCGTTCACCAACCACGCCCGCCCTTCGGCCTGTCTCTCACTGACCAGCCTCACCAACTCGCCTACCTCCCCTTGCAGCACCTTGCACTCCTCCACAGCTGCTCTGTACTCTTCATTGACCCCTCGCATCTCATCCTCCAACCTCCCTAGCTCCTGTTGCAATTCGACATCCCCGCCCAAACTCTCCTTGGTCGGCAGATGCTCGATGATCTCCCGGATCCCCGCCGCCTTCTCGACCAGGTCCGCCACGAGCTCCGAGATCGCCTCGTCCATCGCTTCTGGCTCGATCGCCTCCGTCTTGCCCAAGATGGTCAAGGGGATGGAGGAGGAGGGGAGCGGCGCATGCTTCGCTTTGCGTGATATGAAGGCGACCGAGGAGGACATGATTTTGAGTAAGAGATCGATGTCGCTGTCGAGCTGCGTGAGTAGGTCCATGTTGGCGAGGTCTCTGGAAGAGGATGCCCGATACGATGTAGGTTGTGCGCGAATGCGTTCCACGCTTTATGTGTTGGTCGTTTCGGCGCTCGAGTGTGATCGAATCGCGCAATTGATCGGGCGGTTCTTATAAGTAGGTTAGGATTGGAGATAGATCTGAATGAAGTCGTTGATCAGATGGCCGTGGTATCAGTGATGTCTGTTCTGGGTCAGGGATTGATTCTTTGCGCTGATGTGAGCTGTTTTGGCGAGAGATACAGTAGAGCAGCGAGGGCGGGAGAGCAGGTGGATGTTGTCGTTGTGTGGGGAACAACCACGGTCCGAAGATTGATCGTGTCGAAGTGTGGAGCGGAAAGATGACCGAGTTCCGAAGCGCTCCAAGTGTTCTTCTCGCCAAAGTCACACGCTCGCGTGCCAGCTGAAAGGGCCGCTGTTGGACCCTGAATTGCGTTCCCACGAAGTCAAAACTCGAAGCTGTCCCTTTCTTCTTGAACAAAGGGAAGCTCCCTTCTTCTCGAAGATTTGCATACGATCTACAAAGGGACTACGCAAACAGCACTGGCGAGAAAGCACAAGAGAGTGGCGAAGAGGGCGAGCAGTGTAAGTCCAGCACGTCCTGAGGAAGACTTTATATAACCTGCGTGCTCATCCGTCGAGCTTCCTTTCCCCTCCAACTTCTCCGTACTGCTCCCTGCCCGTTTGCGCACGATGACAGACCTCAAGGAAGCTTCCTCTTCGATCGATTCGAGCCTCGCTCAGGGAAGCATCGACGCCATGTCAGGTACCGCGAAGTCTTCGACCGCCTCGAGTGTCGATGGCGACCATGCCACCACTGCTTCGACTGAGCCTTCGGCGGCGGCGACTCCGACGGGCAAGCGCGGCAAATCCGATGCGACATCTGCTTCGTCACAGTCTTGGCTTTCGTGGCTGAGTGACAAGTACACGATCCAATACTCGATTCCACCAGCCTATGCGCCGGCCGCACTTCAAGTCGCCATCACGGCATTCCCCCTCGGCATCGTCTTTGGTCTTGTTCTGCCACGCGCATTCTCCTTCTTGACCAGCGTCTTGGACTCGAAAAGCGCTGCTTCTTGGCAAGATACACCCTGGTGGGCATTCCCGCAGCTTCACCTCTACCTCTTGGCGTGGGTGACCTTCCACATGCTCGAGTTCACCGTCACGGCCTCGTACAACCCCACGCGCCTCTTCTCGGACAGCTTCCTGCTCAACAACGGCGCCCACTACCACATCGCCCACCTCTTTTCGCTGCTCGAGTTCTCGCTCACCGCCTACCTCTACCCCGCCTCCAAGTCGACCTCGATCTTCACACTGGTCGGCATCGTGCTGATCATCTTTGGGCAGACGCTGCGGAGCATGGCCATGATTCACGCACACAACAACTTCAGCCACATCCTGGCGTTCAAGAAGCGCACAGATCACGAGCTGGTCACCACGGGCGTGTACGCGTGGACGAGGCACCCAAGCTATGTGGGATTCAGCTACTGGGCGGTGGGCACGCAGGTGATGCTCGGTAACAAGATTGCTGCGGTTGGGTTTGTAGGAACACTGTGGATGTTCTTCAGCAGGAGGATCAGGGCTGAGGAGAAGGCTTTGATCGAGTTCTTTGGTCAGAAGTATGTCGACTACAAGCAAAGGGTGGGCACGGGTCTGCCGTTTATCTAAGGAGGGCATGTCGGAGGGCCCGATTTGATAGAGTCATCTCCGTGAGAAGGGCCAAGACGGAAAGCGCCCATTAGCAAACAAGCATCTCGCATCATTGTATGTGTTTACTAGCGCCAAAGCGGAGTTCCGCGCACCCGATCATGCCGGCTAAGCGACGGCGGGCCAATGTGATAGCTCGATATGATTACAACGTGTGACCCTTGAGAAGAGAGAGGAGCTTAATCGGGCTTGGAAGAAGGGTGGTGGTAAGCGAGCACGGAAGAGCGGGTGTGACGGCAAATTGAGACACCACGCTCGGCAGGTGTATTCGGCGGATTCGCCGCTCGTCCATCACGGTTCCTTCGGAAGCGCTCCGTTAACGCTTTAGAGACAAGATCATGGCTCGAGGCTGCGGATCGGAAACGCATTGCAACCTCGATGTCACGACGCAGAGAGGCGATGGTGAGTGAGAGATCGCCTGCTGCTGCTGCCGATAGAACTCGGATCGTCGGATGAAAGGAGATCAGGATCAGCCCACCAACAGAGCGAGTGGTACATAATTTGGCGTCCATCCTTTGAGGCGCGCGTTGAACAATTGGCCCGCACCGCTCCCGTGTCCATTCTTCATGCGAAGGCCAGAATGAGGCGTTCTCGTTGTCTCGACACCCGCCATCGATGGCAAGAGAGCCTCAGAAGCCACCGTCTTGATGGAAGGCAGCAAAGCAAGTCAAGCGACACCGCGACAATTGGTTGTCACCAAACAGGCAACCTTTCGCTCGATGTGAAACCCGAAGAAAAGGGTCTCTCTGCACCATGCACAGCTTGCCGTCACCTCACTTGACGCCCAAAAGTTCACGCTTTGCATTTGTTTGCAATTTGACGCGCGCAGCTTTCTGCTGTTCCTGAGAAATGAGAAACATAAAAATAAATAAAAAAATCCGGAAAGCACGCCCGCTGCACAGCCGCTGCTGCGAGTTGCGATTTTCTCAGTGCTTGAGACGACTGATGAGGAAATCGGACTGCACCTCGAGGCATCCGATTTTCAAAGATTGAGCTGAGTGAGAGCGTGTCTCTCGTGCAAATTGGCGGCTGATGGAGGGCGGCGAATGATTGTTCTGCAAATCTGTCAAAATCGCAACTCCGTCCCTTTGCAAGGGGCAGCAACACCTGCACGACTTGGTTGCTTCGAAGTGACCATCTGATTGCCATCTCCTCATCGCATCGCACCGTATTGTGACCATCCTCACCTTTTCTTCATCGGCGCATCTTCTTTCACTTCCATCACGGCGTCATCCCTCACCAAAGAACGGGAGTCAAGTAGCTGCTCAGACACTACCACTGTCGACCCGGCGACGATCTCTTCATCTCTAGCCACGCGCCATCATCCTGCTTGATCTCGACCCAGATGGCGACGCTTCGCTGCTCATCGATGATCTGATCGCCCTCTCCTCGAGTCTCGGCTCGCCCTCATATACTTCATCTGATCGTCGGTGTTGTGACCAAGCGTGCACAGTTTCGGTCACAGCTTGTTCTGACACGATGGCACGCATCACCTACTCGCGCCGCAATGGCTCAGCATCGACCTCGAAGCTGCGGCTGCTCTGGTCCGTCCTGGTGCTGTCCTGCTCGTTTATCGCGTTCAGCTCAGCGCAGACTGTCACCGAGGTCGTGACCATCAGCACTGGCTCAGCTTCCCTCAATGCGCCAACGAGAACCCCCGCCCCAGCCGGGAGCGCCTCCGCCAGCAGAACCACGCCCCAGGTCACCAGCACGCAGATCCCTGATGTTCAACTCTCCGGTGCCCAGGTCCCTTTTCTAATCCAAAAGCCTATCCCGTCTCGCTACGATGAGCTCTCCAAAAAGGTCAATTCGCGCATGAAGGACGTCTACTTCACAGGATGTCCTACAGACCAGGTCAACTACGTCGATCCCAGCCTGCGTATCAACATTTCTGCCGTCTATACCCAGTTCGACACCGATCTCGGCAGCAATCGCCACTTGGCGGATCAGGACTCGTACAGCTCCGGCGTGCTCCGTATCGTTGCAGTTGGCGCAACCGACACCGTGGGCAGAACAGTCAACACCAACGTCACCCCTCAGCTCCTCAGCACCCTCTCGGTAGAGACCCAGTTCCTTACCTTCTCGCTCTTTCGCAACGACTCGTATCTTTGCGATAGCCTCTACCCCGTCGTCCCAGATCCCAATGGCACCGTCGTCAACAACGTCGTCATTCAGCCAGGCGGATGTCTCTACGGTCCTGGTCAGGTCTCGCTCGGCGTCGGCATCCCACTCAATGATACCTACAACCTCGGAACTCTCTGGACCCGCATCCGTCTCAGCGACACTTCCAGTCCGCCCCTCGACATTGCTTGCATCGAAGTGTATGCCAACCCTTATGACGATGCAAAGTGGTACTGGGAGCTCATCTTCTGGTTCCCCGTCGCTTTGACCATTGGCTACTTTGTCGTCATCGCTCTTGCCCGCGTCTTCTGCGCCTTCACAGCTCGTGCACGTGCGTTCAAGAACAAGGCGAGAGAGGGCAGTCAGCCCAACGTCATCAAGGACACCATCGCACCCACTCTCGTTTCGGCTATCTCGGGTCAGAAGCTTGCACTCAGCGCTGCACTCCTCCGCTTCGCCACGCCTGGATGTTGGGACATCATTCAGCATACCCAATTCGTCGCTGCCATCTCGATGGTTGCTGTACGATGGCCCGAATTCTCTTATGGCTTCTTCAAGCAGGCTGCCTGGTCAACCTTGACCGGCAACGTCACCATCGTCCGCCCTGCAGACCTCGACAGCCAATACAACTTGCTCAGGACCAATGCGACTCTGCCGTCAGGAGACGTCGGCACACAGTTCTCGAATCAGACTTCGCCGCTGTACATGAACGCACAGGCTCCTAATCGCTTCATGAACCTCGACGGCGCACGCGCTGGCATGGACGCCTACGCCCATGCTATCGGGCTTCGAACGCGCGACCTATTCGGCACTTGTCTCAGCATTTGGTTCCTCATCGTCGCCGCCATCGTCGCTCTTTCGCTCGTGGCCTGGATTGTCGATTCGTTCCACGACACCTTCCTGCGCTTGCAGAAGCGTCGCGAGGACGGATACAGCTTGAACGTCGCCCGCACACCTGGTGCCGCCGAGACCAAAGAGATGGCAGAGGCGGATGACGATCGTCCGCGTTCCTCACTCAGCCGTCGCGGAGGGTACCGCTTCCTGGGAACGGGCGGAAAGCGTCTGTTCGGGTCCAGCGACAACCTCTTCCATCTTCGCATGCTGCACGGCAACATCTTGCGCGCCATCACCCTTTATCACCTGCCCATCACCATCTTTACCACTTTCCACATGGCCAACGCCGACATCTTTTCCGCCACTTCGGTCGCTCTCGCCGGTCTTGCGTTTGCCATCCTCTCGGTCTTGGCTCCAGCCTACACAGTCTTTTGCATCAGCCGTGCGCCTACAGCCAAGCTCTACGACTCGATCGGCACGCTTTCCGCCTTTGGCCCGGTCTACAATAACTACAGCCCAGGATCGCAGCTGTTCTGCATCGTCGACTTCGCACGCACGTTCGTCTTGGGTGTCGTCATTGGCGCGGGTCAGATGAACGGCAGTGCTCAAGCCATCATCATCTTGGTCTTCGAGATCATGTTTGTGCTCGCCTGCAGTCTCTGGCTGCCATGGGGAGAGGGCGCCATGATGGGTCCCGTCAGCTTTGTCTCCAACGTCCTGCGCATCTTCACAGCGGTCTTGATCCTGCTGCTCAGCCCTTTGGTCAACTTCGGCCGTGCACCCAACGGCTGGCTCACGTACGTCGTCCTTCTCCTCCAGGCGATCCTCTACGTCTGCGCCGCCCTCATCTTGGTGGTCAAGATCGTCGAGGGCCTGGTGCGTCTAGCGTGGCGAGCCTCCTTCGACGAGCGTGCATCGACGCGACTTTCAGGTCTGGGAGGCGCGCTTCGCAAGATCAAGAAGAGGAAGGAGAGCAAGCTCCGTCTCAACAAGAAGGGTAACACAGCACTCAAGCGTCTCTCACGGACGCAACCGCCACTGGATCGCTCGGCGTCGGTGAACACGCAGACCATGATGCTCGCGACGCTTGGCAAGGAGAGCTACTCGGGCGAAAACACACCAGCGATGCCCTCGTCGCCACGCAAGCTCAGCAGCTCGATGCCGTCCACCATGTCGATGAATCGCATGCCCATGCACTCTCGTCAGGCGTCGTATGCTTCGTATCTGGACAGCCAGCTGCAGGGCCGCAAGTCGCCCGCGGACATGCTGGCCGATGGCAACAGTCCTTACTCGACCTATCTTCGAGGCGATCCACACGACGAAGGCTTCATCATGGCTGCACTACCACCCGCTCCTGGCAACGGCAGGCCAGTGTCACCAAGACCCGTGTCGCCGCCTCCGCATTTGCATCAATGGGGTGGACGGCAGTCGCCCCCGCCTGCACAGCAGTCTGGATTCGTGCGAATGGGCGGCGGTCGCGCTTCCGAAAATGCGCCGTACCAGGCGCTGCACGGTCACGGTCACGGTCACGGTCAACGTCCACTTGCCAGACCGCAGAGCAGCGGTAGCGTCGAGCGCATGTCACCAACGCATCAGTTCCATTCGCTGCCGCCCCAACGCCGTCCGCGACCTTTGTCACAAAGCGCCATGGTCGAGTCGTACTTTGACAATCGTCGACCATCTTTCGACCCGGACGCCGGCATTGGGCTATCGAGCACCGAAGCTGCCGCCCGCAACGCTACGATACGTCGCTACTCGCAGGGCGCACAGCTGCGCGCTAGTCAATCGATTGCTGGTATGATGGCGGTCGACGAAGAAGGACAGCCGATCCAGCCGGCCAGCAAGAAGCAGAAGGGCAAGTTCTGGAAACGAGGCGGCGCACGTAGCGATTCGGACAGCGACGACGATGATGACGGAGGGTATGGTGCAGATGGCGCTGCAGCCTTCCGATCGCGTGGTGGCTGGCGAGGACTTAACAAGATGAGTGCCGCCATGAACAGTGTAGCTGCGCGACTCGGAGGCGGCAAGTCGGGAGGAGGGATCGCAGAGGAAGGAAACACGAGCCTGGAGCCTCCCGCCTCGGAAGCGGATGTGTCTGGCACAAGGCAAGGTGGTGGATTCGAGGTGGTGCGTCCGCAACGACCGAGGCGTAGTCTACCAGGCGTAGACAGGGCGATGGACTCGACAGCGCTGGCAGCAGCGACGGCGAGCTCGAGGGCGGATGGTGCTGGACAGGCGCATCCGTCTCCCACGCCCACCGCCGTTCAGCGATTGAGCAGCACGGATGTGATGCCAGCCAGGAGTGGCAGCCGTGCCGGTCTATCCTCTGCTGCGGATGCGTATTCGATGCCTGCCTACGGATCGCACCAGCAGCAGCTGGACGAGTTTGACGCGTCCTCCGGCACACTTCCTCCCGGCGCTGGTCAGCAAGCGCTGCTCCTGCCGTATCGGGCCCCGTCTCGGCCAACATCGGCCATCATGTCCGCAAGCAACTCGAAGCCTCAAGTGAACGAGGACAGCTTCTGGGTCTCATCGAGCTCGCGGCCGCAGTCGCAGGCCTCGCGGCCGATCTCGTCGTCGTCGTCTCGCATGATGGCCGTCGCCCTCTCCTCAGGCGGTGAGACGCGCGACTCTCGCCAGCAGGTGTCGACCTCCTCGTCGCGTGGCAGGATCGCCGAGCCGATGCAGGCCGAAGTGGTCAATGCCGAAGAATCGTCGTCTTCGGCAGGAGGCACACCGCCTGTGGCCGCAGAGACGGCGACGGACCCGATGACGTTCTACGATGCTCAGGAGGAGGCGCCGATATTCGATGCGGATGGCAAGCTGATCACGTCTGCGATCAACTTTGATCGGCCAGCGTCGAGCACTGCGGCGCCGATGGCGATGCAAAGGTCTGGCAGTGGTGCGCCGCAAGTGTGGGATGCTGCTCAGGCGTATAGATGATGATGGAACTCACTCTTTCTCTCTCACACACAATCAGCTTCTGATGTGACTATTTCATACATTGCAGGATTCGTTCTATGGACAATACTATTGCTTCACTCGCTTGCTTTGCAGCCAAATCGTCCATGGTGAGCGGGCGGAAGCTTCCGGACTCGAGCGAAAGGAAGTTGGCCGTTCCGGTTGAGCTTTGCAAGCGAGGAAACCGAAAACGCGGATTCTGCAGGTTCAGCAAGCGCGACAAGCCACCTTCTTGGGCACCCGCGGCTCTCGCGTGGTGGACTGGACCCTGGCTGTTGGCCGAGCCAACTCTCTTTCACAGTTTCAGCAGCCAAAATTGTGCGTTTTCATGCGTGCCTTAGCGACGCCCTAGCCGGGTATGGATCAAAGCGCGCATTGAGGTGGCTTCCAGCCTTGCCCATGTGACCAGCTCAGAACGAGAGGGGGGGCGAGCGGTCCATATACAGTATCGTGGTGCGTTAGAATCGCAACTAAGGAGCGAGGGGCAAAGAGGTGGGCGACGAAGAAGCTTTCCAAAGGCAATGACCGGTTAGACCGATATCCTTTGTGTGCACTTGCCGGCCAAACGTCAAAAGACACCGACGAGGGCAAGCGAAGAAAGAGGCTTCTCGGCGGCTCTCCGGACACTCGTCTTCTACCGGCCAAAAAGAAGGAATCGAAAAATCTTGAGACAAGAAAGAATTTTTGGTGACCGTCCGTTGGCTGGGACCGGGCAAGTTGGAGACCGGTCACTTTGAGAGAGAAGCGGAAGCACAATCACGAGGCTCCCTCGTGAAACCACTGGCTAAGCCCTGACATCCCCGCGTTTCCTGGTTCGGAACGCAGAGCGACCGCTTTTCTCACGCCTTGTCAGTCATTGTCGGGTGCTCCCGTATTGGTCAGGCCTCTGTACGCTGCTGAGCATCTCAATCGGAAGAAGCGAAAGAAGAGCAGTGCGAGGCGTCTGTCGTGGGTGTCGGTGCTGAATCAGGAACACCTCGATCCTGGCACACCGGTCACCACGGGAGCGCCTCTCCAAAATCAACGGACGAGTCGGATCAGCTGTCCACTCGACTCAGCTACGCCTCTCGCCCACCCGTTACCACCGGAAAGCCAACCCACACTCACTATTGCGCTTGTCCTTGCCGCTTGTGGTCGAGATTGAGTGAACAGCAGCCGATGTGACCGAACTCGCGGCTCACCAAGCTCGGCGACTTGCCATTCAAACCTTCCGCTGCTGCGCTTTTGTTGCCGCTTGAGCCGATAGAGCCTGCCCACATCACACCGCTCCGTAGTCATCGGACCCACCTTCCCGTCGATTCACCACCACCACCTCTGCCTCATCACCCTTCTCCAGAGGCGATCATACCCCGTCGCAGCACCGACTCTGGAATACCCCTGGAATCATCCGACGTGTCTCGAGGGCTCTTTGATCCATCTCATCTCGATTGGCGGAATCCGTCCGACTCCATTGATTAAGCATCGTCGTTGTCCACTTTGTCCGCCGTCTTCTTTATCAAATCGATCCTGCAGCCCTCCTCATCCCTGCGTTTGCCCCCGACGGAACTGCATCGCAAGCACGAGCCGACCCGCACGGCACGATCAGCCCGCTTCATTTCGTCTGTCTCTGCACCTTCGAGTCACTCGCACCGTATCCCACCTCCTGTTCAGCACCGGGAATCTCAGTCGCCTTAGTCGACGACCACGTTCAGCGGGCCGGACATCTGTCTCGACATTCCGCTCCAGCAGCCTGTACACGCACTGTGTTGGAGTAGGAAGCCGGCTCTCTGTCACCCCGATCGCGCGCTTCTCTGCAATACCTCGGCGGCACAACGACATTGCTCATGAGCAGTCTGCTTGTGTAGTCTGCTAGCTTCCATCCGACCCCCGATTGGGCGCACCTCATTTCTCTGCATCGACATGGTAGCATACCGCTGACTCGCAAGTCCTTATCCCTCTCCGGCTTCCCCCGGGCTTACTTGACCGGCACAACCTCGAGCCCTTTCATACTTGGCCACTCCGTCGATCCTAGACACCGGCAACCTTCACATTCGCACGGATTCCCAGCATATCAGTCCCACCAAAATGAATAGTCTCGCCGACGCCGCAGCTCAAGCTTCCGCAGCGGCGGCCGAGGCTGCAGCGGCTGCACGGCTCTCGGCACCCGCTTCCTCATCCATCGAAGCTTTCGACCGATCCGCTTCCTCTCAACCCTCCTATCCCAGGTCGGAGGGCTCTCACTCCACCAAAGAAGCTGGTTTGCCAGCCTCTCCCCCCTCTGATGCAGGCTCCCAAGGAGACATGACCAAAACCAGCGCCGACACTCCCCTTCGTCGTGCTCTCCTTGACTCGGAAAAGCCCGAGAAGCGTGGCTCCAATCTTGCCTGCTTGAAGTGCCGCGCCATCAAGGTCAAATGCTCTCGTGCCAACGTCGACGACGAGCGCTGCAAACGTTGCAATCGTCTCGATCTCGACTGCGAGTTCAAGGAGCATCATCGAGGCAGGAAACCCAAAAAGAGACCACGGAGCGAAGCCGACAGCACAGGAGGCGACGAGGAGGACCAGCTGGAGGACGACGAAGCCGCTTCCCTGTCGGGTAAGGCTCTTACCGCTTCTCCGGTTCGTGCTAAGGTACGAGAGCTCTCCCGTTCCCCTCCGACCGCTGGTCCAACTAGCACCAACCACCAGGAGCAACATCAGGCGTACTCCAAGACGGAACACAATCGCTTCGAGGCCAACGAGCCCGCACCAAAACTGCCCAGCCCGAAAGGATCGGTGCACGGAAGATGGTTCGGTCCTTACCTTCAGCCTATCCCTTCCTTCCAGGACTCCCTCTTCCCTCGCAAAGCTGACTCGCGCTCTCAGCACCAGTCCAACGATCAAGCTCAACATGCTCAACCGTATCAGCACCGTTCCTTCCACCCAGATCGTAGCCGCGAGCTGCCACCACTGACCATGCCGTCCTTGTCGTCGTCGTCTTCGCATCGCAACAGTCTGAATACCATCGACCAAGGCTCTCGTCCCTCACTGTGGGACTCTGCACAGGGCAGCTCGCATCGTGTGCATCCTAGCACCGCGACTCTGTCAATGGCCTCCGACTTGCGCGACGACCCCGTGCGTCAGCATGTTATCAGCATGGACCAGGCTCACGAGCTCTTCGACTACTTCTTCGCAGAACTCAATCCTCCTCTCGCGCTCCTTGACGCCTCTCTGCATACCATCGACCACTGTCGTCAGAACGCCCCGATTTTGTTCTCAACCATCCTCTCGGTAGCTTCGCGCTTCTTCCTGCCGCAGCATCATCGACAGTGTCACCGTATCGCCAAGTCAATCCTCAACCTTGCGGCCGCAGAAGAGATCTGCTCCATGGATCATATCCAGTCTCTGATCCTCGTCATCACATGGAAGGATGCCGGAGACCGCACGATCGTGCGCAAAGCTTTCCGTGCGATCGGGTATGCCTACGAGCTGGGCCTTCACGCGACTTTCGAGTACGACGGGGCGGCTGAAGTCTCGGGAGGCAGTAGGGCCAACGAGAAAAGGTCCGACACTTTCTCGCTCCGCTCGCGCAAACGACTGGAGCGGGATCGTCAACGCACCTGGATCGTCCTCTGCCTCGTCCACGAACTGGTTCGTCGAGACGATCGCAATACCAAGCCCCGTCCACGCACCATCCCACTCGACGACTATCCAGACCCGTACCTCTGGATCAAGCAAGCAGGTGATGTGCTTCTGCCCATCGACTCGAGACTCTGCTGGTCGCTCGACATGTCCATCTCCACCATTGAGAACGAGCCTTTCCTCGACCTCATCAATCGATCCGAAGATGCGACTGCTTTCGGCGGCTTCTTCGATCGTTATCGAGGTCGGCTCGATATGCTCAGGAAGCGCTACTTTGATGTACGAGACGGCGTCTTCCATCCCAAGTTTCCTATGGACGAGTCAGCGGTCGCCGAGCTGCCCTACCTCGACGCTTTCCGTGACTTTTACATCTGCCAATCGACATGGCACTGGGCAGCGAAAGTAGCATCGCAGCGTCGTGCGAAGCGGAGCGAATTGGCGGAGCAGCAGGACAATGCTCGATCGGCATTCTGGTTTGCGCAGACGGTGGACGCAGCGATGCGAGGTATGCGCCTCTTTGCGTACAACGTGTGCAAGCCTGGCTACGTGCGCGTGGGTCACGACTATCTCGTCATCACGGCCAGCGAGATGATCAAGTGGTTCTATCTGTACCGCGACCACCTCGACGCGTCGACCGTGACCGTCGGTGTCGAGTATCTGCGTGCTACCCTGCGCGAGTGCTCTCAGCCACAGCGACTTCCCTCAGGCGAGATTGTGGACACGGAACGAGAAGCACCCGGCTATCTGGTGCGCTTCCTCGGCGCCATCTTTGACGCCGGCCTCAATCGAAGCTTTGAGAAGGCACAGAGCCGCTTGACGGCCAATGTGGAGCTTTCCGAGTCCAAGGTTGACCACCATTGGAGTGATGCCGGTCGGAACCGGGCGCATTCGGTCGCCGCAGCAGAGGGGCGCGGCGAGGCTGAGCAGGGTGGTAGCAGTGGCATCAGTGGGTCAGCTACACGTCGACCACCTTGGGGAAGCGCTCACACTTCTTACCAGCTGCAGACAGGAACCGCAGAAGCGGCAGATCGCTCGTCTCGGCGCGACGGCGCAGGTCCTCGGAAAGTACCCGGAGGCAGCCCGCCGTTCCGAGACATAGCTTCTGCAACAGCTCGCTACTCGACGGCGCCGTCTTTGCCTCGAGGTCGATCCGAGCTCGGTTCGAGCCGTATGGCGGCATCTTCCCCTGCTGGAGGCGTCACATCATACGAGCGCGGAGGTGGCGTCAACCCCGACAAGTCACAAGCTTCGCCAGCCACCTTCGGTGCTCAGCAAGACGTTGCCATGGGCGCGCCCTACAACGCGAACAACTCGGTGGCGCCTCACCCTGCGTACCTGGCTTCCCCTGGAGGTGCCTCTGGGACAGGCAACATGCATCAAGGGCTCGGCTCTGGCTTTGCCGTTCAGAACGCAAGCTCGCCGTGGTCCTCTGCTAGCACAGTGACACCTTCGTGGAGCAACAACAATCTCAACAGTGGCAGCATGTTGGCGTCAAGCAACGGCGGCGGGTTTGTCGACCTAGCCGCGGCTGCTACGGGAACTGACTTCAACGCTGCGATCGGTGGCCTTCCTGGTGCGTTCGCCAGCTCTGCTGCCACGAGTCAACCCAAGATGGGTGTCAACAATGCTGCCACCAACGTCGTACCTTTGGCAGCCGACATTGGCAAGAACTCGATCGAGGGATTGGCAGCTTGCCTCAACACGCGCGATCTGACGTACTGGCAGGATATCCTCGGATTTGATCTGGCCACGCCGGCTGTCTAGGCAGATGGCTGTCCCATGCAATTGCATGCTCATGATACCCAGGACCTTTCTCGCGTCCGATCCGCCTGCTGCGACGATCTCTGAGCAAACTACGAATGATGAGGACGAACGCTTGATGATTCAGGAAGGCTGAGATCTCGGGAAATTCCTGCAGGTCGACTTTGCCTGCCGCTGCAGGGCGTTTGACGGGGAACACGAGAGGTGGGACTGCATGTCAGGTGAGCTTTCAGACGCAAGTTCTCTTGCACAGGCCAGCAGGAAAGGCCAATTTTGCGGGGATTTAGAGAGGCAGGGTATTTTTAAGCTGGCGTTTCTGGGCGCGCCTGTCATGCAGGCTGACCTGCAAACAAAAAGAGACGGCGGGGCAATGTGGGTCGCGGCCGGTTCAGCTTTGTGGCACGTTGCTCTTCCGCTAGCACCTACATCATGCCACACTGAGAACCTTGTGTTACATGCTGACCGGGACCGCCCAAAGCCCCCCGGGCGGCCGTGGTCGACATGTGATACACTGGAGACGGGTCCCTGCTGGCTGGCGGGTCGACGCGGGGACAGCAGGGTGGTAGGGTTCGAGGGTTTACTGCAAGGTGCATCCTCGGCTATGTGTGCGGGCGTCCAAGGTTTCCACCCAGCCATACGCTCTTTACGCGAAACAACAGCTCAGTCTTGCTGCCACCCGTCTTGCAGCCAGCTCCATCCGTCTCGGCCTTGATCTCGTTCGTCTGTTGTGGTTCAAAGACATAGTTCATAATCGTACACAGCCTTGACTTGACAGAAAAGCCCATGCCCTGCTCACGACCAAACGGACGGATCTTCTTGAGCGCGAACAAAGCCGCACGCTTGGATCACACTCGGACTCGATCCGCTTTACGAAAAGGAACTGACGTGCAAAGGCCATCAGACTGTGAAGCGGAGAGCGAAATGGGGACGGAGCGGGGCGTGCATGGCTGCGTGAAATGACGGCTCGAGCAGCTGAGTGAGAGGCTCGTCGAATATGCACTGGACCAGTCTAGAGAGCTGACAGCCGCCTCCTTCGTCATTTTATTGATTTTGCGCCTTTTTCTCTCCGCGCTCTCCGCACGCAGAACGGAAGCAGAGGTGACGGAGTGAGTGAAAGCGCATGCCGCTGCTTGCTGCTGCTGCTGCCAGTCAGTGAATCGCAGGCAATCAACGGCCAATCAGCTTCCCCACTTTTACGTGTCCTCCCCTTCCCTCCCACACCTTCTTTCGTCATCCCCACATTCAGGCCCCTCGATCCTGATCGCCACAACCACCACCTCCTCCTCCTTTGTGACCGTGCCGATCATCTATATCGTCGAGGCCATCCGCTCGGTCTCCCCACATCGTGTCCTGACCCAAACTCGCATCCACCACGCTTGACATGACCGCTGCCGTCCTCAAGATGAACCAGGACCAGCCCTCTTCACGCATGTCCGTCTCGGGCAGCCGCAGGAGTATCCTTGCTGGCATCGGTGCTGACATCTCCAAGTACAGCGGCAGCAACGGCGCTGCCAACGGTGACAACGCTTCTGTCAACGGCGATGCATCCAGCTTCAACCAGCACCCCATTCCTGTCTCCAACACCGATGCGCTCCTTCGCAGGCGTGGCAGTTCCGTCGAGCCCGTCAGCCCCAAGTCCAGTGTCAAGGGACGTTCTCAGCGAAGCACTTCCATGGCTTCTCGCAGTCAAGGATCAAACGACGACGGCTACCTTGCCCCTGCTATTCCCGGCGCTGGAACAGGCACATTCGGTCGATCCAGAACTTTCTCCGCTGCCAGCCTCGGCCTCAAGAAGAGCAACTCCAACATGTCCCAGAGCGATGCTCGCTCCATCGACTCGCGTAAGGGCTCGTCTGGCAACAGCTTTGTCAACCTGATGCGCAACCGCAGCCGCAACTCGTCTTCCACCAACCTCACCGTGCCCGACCAAGCAGACTCTTCCTACGTCGAGAAAAGCTCTGACAGCAGGATGCGACGCTTTAGCACGGCATCGCGTAAGATGAGCCTCAAAGGACTCGGAACCCGCTCCAGCTCCAACTCGATTAGCAACGGCTTCTACGACGAGCCTCAGCAGCTGTCGCCGGAGACTTCCCAACCTGCTGTCTATCCCGCCGGTGCGCCCGTCGAGGGCTACAAGCCTGTCGCTGTGGCAAACGTCAACGGCGTCAACTCGGGCCGAAGCAGGAAATTCAGCAGATCCGCAAGTTCTAGCGCTGTTCCGCGCGTTTCCACGGACCAAGCCAATGGCAATGGCAACCGCGAAAGCTCGCCCGTCAGCCCGGCTGCAGACCCATACGCAAAGGCGGACGGTCTGTTGGCTCGTGCCAACTCCAGAAGGTCCACGAGCACTTCGCAACCTCGCGCCTCGACGCAGAACCGCTCGCGTGGGGCGTCCGCCCCTCCCGCTACCGAGACTACCGCTGACACCTCGGCCAGCAAGAAGGGCTTCTTCTCTTCCACCACCGCCAAGGTCACCGGGGCAGCCGGTGCTGGTGGTGCGGCATTCGCGGGCCTGGCTCGTAGAAAGTCGTCCCGCAGCGTCCAGGAGGACGAGGCCAATGGCAAGCCCAATGGTATGGCTGCCGCTCACTCGGACCAGGAGAGCAGCGAGAGCGAGGAGGAAGAGTCGTCGGAAGAGGAGCAGGCGCCACCCAAACGCAACGCTCAGCCCATCAAGGGTCGCAACGGCGCCGCTGCTGCTGCCGCTGGCTCCAGCGAGGACGACGACAGCGAGTCCGAGGAGGACAGCGAATCTTCTGAGGAAGAGTCCTCGGAAGAGGAGCAGGCACCAGCCAAACGCAATGCTCGGCCCGTCAAGGGCCGTGGCGGTGCCGCTGCTGCTGTCGTTGCTTCCAGTGACGACGAGGGCAGCGACGACAGCTCGGACGACGATTTCCAGGACGCTCCCCTCGCTGACATCTCCGAAGGCGAGGAAGACGAGGAGGACGATCATGACCACCGAGGCGCCAAGGCTGGTGCCGCTGGTGCGGTCGGTGCTGTTGTCGGTGCTGGTGCGGCGGCCAGCCACCGTCGCAAGAAGTCTGGCTCTGCCGGTCGAAACGTGCCCAACGGCGATGCTGGCCGGTCTAGCTACAAGCCAAAGGGTACCGCTGGCGCTACTCGTCGTGCCGGGCCGCCTACGGACACTTCCGCTCCCGGTCAGGCCTCTACCTCGTCCAACGACACGCGTGCTCGCTCCGACCTCACCCAATCCGTCAAGGACAAGGCCGCCCGTGTGGCCAAGCTCACCGCCGCCGACGTGGCCTGCGACTCCAAGCAGCTGCACGAGGACATTCAGATGGCCCACAAGGCACTCAACCTCTTCCTCAACTCGCGCATGATCGAAGCCGAGCGCATCGTCGAGGAGTATGCCGACAGCCGTCTCTACTACGCACTCGGTTACGCGCTCATCGCCACCATCAAGGGCTTCATGACGTTCGAGCCCGCGGATCTGGCCATCGCCATCTCGCTGTGCAAGGACGCCATGACCATCGCTCACTTGATGAGGAAGCCGACCAGCGCCGTCGGCAACTTTGGCCGCTTCGTTAGGGGTACCGGCCAGAGTCCGAGCGCGCTCGCAGGCATGAACGAGGTGCAGCGACACGCCGAGCTGGTTTACGCCGAGACCATGCTTCTGAAGGCGGTGTTGGGTATCGCGTACGCCGGTGACTTCTTCGCCTTTGTCTCGGAGGCGCTCAACATGAGGAACGCCTACGGCATCTACAGGTCGCTCCAGAAATACGTCGAGTGGACCGAGGAGAAGAACGAGTCGCTCGACGAGGACTTCAAGAGCGGTGTCTACCTGGGCAACGGTTTGATCAGTATGATCTTGGGTCTCGTGCCCGGCAAGGTGCTCAAGATCATGGAGGTGTTCGGCTACACCGGTGACACGGCCTGGGCCATGAAGACGCTCAGCAAGGCGGGCCAGTGGAGCGACAACCCCAAGCAGACCAAGCCAGGCATGCCTCTCAAGCAGGAAGGCGTGCGTCGTGCCGTCTGCGACATGTCGATGCTCGCTTACCACTTGGTCATCTCGACCTTCATTCCCGTCACTGGTGTCGACATCGAATTCGCCGACAAGATCCTGCACTACAACCTCAAGCGATTCCCCGAAGGTGTCTTCTTCCTCTACTTCTCGGGCCGACTCTACTCGACGCAGGCGCTGGCGGAGAAGGCCATCACGCAGTTCGAGACGGCGCGGGACGTCCAGAAGGAGTACGTGCAGCTCAAGCACATTTGCGTGTGGGACCTCTCGCTCTGCAACATGTCGCTCTGCAAATGGAAGGAGGCGCACGACCAGTTCACCATCCTCGCCGAGGAGAACAACTGGTCCAAGGCGGTGTACAACTACGGCCGTGCGTCCAACCTGTACGAGTCTGCCGAGGGTCGCGACAAGCGGGCGATGGAAGAGGCCGGAAAGATCTTCCACAAGGTCCCCTCGTTGACACAGAAGATTGCGGGCAAGTCGATCCCCATGGAGAAATTCGTGGCTCGCAAGTCGAAGAAGTTTGCCACCTACGGCCGACTCTTGCTGCCCGGTCTCGAATTCGCCTATGTCTACCACTGCCTGTCCAACGCGCCGCGCTACATCCTGGCCGACGAGGCGCTCGTGCTGGTCAGCGATGCGCTCGCCGAACTGCACGAGGTCGAGGACCCATCGCAGTACTACTCGGGCGACGAGTACTACGACGACCTGTGCCTGGCGCACTTCCTCCGTGGTGTTTGCCTCAAATTCATTGCTTGCCCCGAAAAGCACTCCAAGGTCCGACCCAAGGAGTCGCCCATCCCGGAGAAGGAGGCGGCGCAGCAGGCAGAGATCAGCTTCAAGACGGTGCTCGAGCACGGTCACCAGTTGAAGCTGGATCACTGGCTTGTGTACTTTGCGCACTACGAGCTCGGCAGGCTCTACGCCGGCACGGGCAGGACGAACGAGGCCAAGGAGCAGCTCAACTTGGTGCTCAGCCAGAAGAATCTGGAGGACAGGGGAAGGAAGGGCAAGTACAGCTTGCAGAACATGGTACACTTGAGGGCCAACGGTGCGCTCAATGGTATCGATGGGAGTGGCAAGTGAGGGCCGACGCTGGTAACAATAGAGGAGGTGACAGCATACACGCATACACTATATATACACACACGGTCGTTTCTCGGTTTCTCGGTCTCAAGTGCACCCGCCCACAGTTTCGGGATAGTTCCGCTAATACTCTGTCCATATGTACATACGAGATGAAGGAAGTCAGGTTATTCGTCTTATCCTTGGTGTGGTGTGAAGCGGTGAGGACGAGTTCTCATTGACGCAGCAGGGTCAATTACGAGCCTCGGGAAGTTTCGTGCGGTAAGAATTTCCGACCCCGGCACGTGACAGCGCCTTTTTTGTGAGCAAGTCGAACACTCCATCTCGCATCCCTTCTCGTTGCTGATCACCATCATCGCTCTACATCATCTATTACAGATCGCAACAATGAGGCCTGCAGCCACAACGCTCCTTCGCTCCAGTGTATGCGCTGCCTCTGCGTCCACCAGCGGCACACGCACAGCCATCGCCCTCCGAACTTTCGCAACCACAACCCGCACTTCCTCGGACTCGCCCTCTTCCGCACTAGACGAACTCTCCTCCTCCATCGAGAAGCTCGCTCGTCTTCGCGAATCCTCCTCCTCCACCAACCCTCCTTCACCTGGTACCGCTGGGGGCGTCTACAACCCGCAAGCGCGTACACCAGTCAAAGAACGCCAGACCGTCTCCGGCCGAGCCTTTATGAACGGTCACTACTACAACCCGTCTACGCTCGCGTACGAGTCGATCACGCAACGTCCACCCCGTCTTGCACGCCCCCTTCTCGGCCCCACAAAAGCAGAAGCAACCAAACAGGACCTCATCCACATCAACGGCTTGAAACCCGGCAAGCCGAGTCTGCACGATGATAGTTATAAGAACGCCGCGATCCTAGCGAATTACGTGAGCGAGATGGGTAAGATCTTGCCACGAGCGAGCACGGGGTTGACGAGGAAGAGTCAGAGAGGTGTGGGAAAGGCCGTGAGGAGAGCGAGGAGTATGGGGTTGCTGCCGGTGATGAGTCGGGGTGGGACACGGGCGAGCGGTGCGGGTTGGAAGTGAGGCAAGGAGGGAGAGGTGCGGCTCGGGTTCTGCTCTGATCACATTCTGGTTCGGTCGGCACCATCACCCCATCCGACCTTTTCGTGCCACCCCGGATCCCAGGGTTGTGTCGCTCGGGCTGCTCGGCTTTGCTTTCAATCGAGTACGTTTCCAGAGGAATCTTCGGTTTGTGTCGGTCGTTTTTCCAGATCAAGGTGTGATGTGTGGTCTTCCATTCCGTGTCTTTGTGATGCTTATTCCTGACCGTGCCTCTTGCGTGTCCTGGCCGTGTCCCTCTTGAAGCGAATCTGTCATTCATTTCCACGATCTTGAAGCAAATCTTCTTCTTCGTCCTCGTCATTCCTTGCTCTTCAACCTGGACGGCTTGTCCTTGATCGTCGCCAGCGCCTCTTCGGTCGTCACATGACCTAGCAATCCAAACTCGTCCTTGAGTAGCCGCACCCTCTCCTCTTCCGTCTCGATGATCTTGAACACCGTCTGTTCATCCCCGACTTTGACGATGAACTTGTCATCCACGATCATGCGCTGCTCTACCATGCTCGGGTGGTACGGATGAAGGTCCTCGTGAAGCCCATCTTGTTTGACCAACTCGCTCGATTTTTCGGCGTCAAAGTGCGAGGCCAGGCGGTAGGCGACGACGATGATCATGACCGCAAAGGGCACCGATCCGGGATGGCTCGTACCGTAATTGGCAGTATGGCAGTCGGAGAGGTTGCACTCGAACGGATGGAACGAGTAGCACTTTTCCCATTCGCGCCCTTTGTGGTTCTGCAGGATCCATGCCGTCTGTGTCACAGCGACGGCTTTCACCTCCGGATCCACTTCCTCAGACGAGTTGGGGTCAGGCTCGAGCGTTGATTTTGGCTGAACTCCCTTCACCAGACGGAAGCGGTCACTTCCGCGACCTCGCTCCTCCCACCCATCGCGCAAGAACATCGGCCGCAACGGCCCACTGCCAAATCCCACATCGCTGAGGTAGTACGCCCCTTTGCCGTCCACATGGCTCGGCAGATAGACCAGCGTTGCGCTGTGCGAGAAGCCCGTCCACTCGCCCGACATGGGCGAAAACACCCGACCTAGCACACCGACGTAGCGAAAGCCTAAGAAGGACAGCACCTCGCGATACAGCACGTTGATCTGCAGGCAGTAGCCCCCACCATGACGGTGCGTGATCAGGCGGGAGTAGATGTGAGCGAGTTGGGACGACATGCGTCCGTTGGGCTCGTACGAGAGTGAGAGTGATTCGAAGGGGAAGGTGAGCAGGAAGCGCATCTGGAGTGTGCTCAGTGTCGACAGTGTCGCGGCTGGGAGCGGGGCGGTTTTGGATGTCTGTGAAAGCGACGGAGAGGTGCGATAGCAAAGGATGTAGAGAGGGTCAATAAGAGGGGAAGGTGTAAGCGATGGGTTGCCGGGGGGAAGGGCTTACCTGCTCGTCCTCAAACCCGGGGAACGAGATGGTATGTAGCACCGCCCGAGCTTGAGTCTCGTCCAGCCACGAGGGCTGCTGCTTGGGGCGCATGGCGACCATCCTTGCTTGCGGTGGCGAGTGCGGGAGGGTGAAATAAGGTTTAGAGGCTGAGCTTAGGGTCAAATCGAGGCCGGCAGGTGACGAGATCGAAGAAGATCGACCTCCAGGATATGCTCCTTTTGGGCTTCCAATCCGAGCTTGTGTATGCGATATATAAGTAGTGGCGGCAGTCAAGGGGAGAGATGACGTTCAGAGATGGCCTCGCACTCTATACACAGGGAGCGCCAGGTCGGACAAGCCACGGGAGAGCCCCGCACATGCCGCTCCGCTCTCACGTGGCGTTCCGTCCTCTTTGAGGATCAGATCCGCGGACAGCTTCGAAAATCTGCCCGTGCACAGACAGGGTCCACTTCTTCCTTCTGTTCTTCCAGTTCCACACCATCGGTTCCGCCATGCCATGAACCCGAAACCGTTCTGGATCCTGCGCCATCACGGCTCTTCTCCCATCCGCTCGATTCACCACGCCCACTCTCTGCTGGCGATTGGCGACGATGGCGGTATCGTCTCGCTGGTGAACCTAGTCACCTTTCGACCGCGGTTTAAATGGATCGCTCACACCGACTCGATCCTTACCGTCCTCATCGTCGCGTCCGATCAAGTGGTCACACATGCACGCGACAACACGCTTAAGCTATGGCACCTACCTCCTACCCCTCCTTCGCTCGGACTAGCAGAGTCAAGCGTAGAGCCAGAGCTGATCCGCGAAATCGGCGTCAATGCACTCAACTTTGCCCGCTGCTCGCATCACGCTGGCCACATCGCAGTGCCACACACCCTCGACGCGGCCTACATCGACATCCTTGACCTTCACACGGGCAAAAGGGAATCGGAAGCGATAGGCAGACCGGACGTCAAGCCCACTTCCCGGCTGGCCATCGTCATGTCGCTTCACTTGATGAAGGACGACGTCGTCGTGGCCGGGTACGAAGATGGGTGGGTCAAAAAGTGGCGCGACGGCGAGCTGATGTGGAGTGCTCGATGCCATAGCGAGTCGGTGATGAGCGTGGCGGTATGCGAGAAGGAAAGCTTCGGCGTGAGCGTCGGCGCGGACGATAGGATCGCACGGTTCGATTTGGAATCGGGGACCGTGGATTGGACCCGGACGCGAACGCCGGGCAAGGCAAGCGTCGCCATCAGCCCAGATGGAAAGACCGTCGCTGTGGGCGGCTGGGACGGGTCGTGAGTACATTCAGCACCGTCAACCAGCACAAAGCAAGCCGCTGACCTGTTTCACATCTCTGCATCGCACACAGGCTAAAAGTCTACTCGACATCAACCCTGACAGAGCTCGGCTCGCTCAGCTACCACCGCGATACAGTCGAGTGTCTTGCTTTTGCACTGGCCAACCGCGGCGATCAAGCGGAGCAAGACGATTCGGATGACGACGCGGATTCCGGGAACGGTTCGACGGGCACACAGCTGGTGCTTGCGGCAGGTGGCAAGGATGGCAAGGTCTCGCTGTGGAAGTATCATTGATCATTGCCATCATGCCAAACTCCACCTTGTCTCACTGAAGACGCACACAATTCAGCCGACGGTTTGGGTCAGCACTGCAACTTGTCGGCAGCAAGCAGCCTTGTTTTTCGACAAGGAACAGCAATTGCAACGTGCAACAGCAAATGTGCAACAGGACACAGCATCTGCAAGAGCGATGGAGATCGATGCCGCCCGCTTACTTTCGATACCGCAACCGCTTAAAGTTGAAATGCAACTGCAGCACGCCCCGGTCGAAACTGTTCCTGAACCCTCGCTTGTGACTGTACTCCCACTCCCTGTTGACGATCCTGAACGCAATGTCCTCGTACGGCGGACCAGCGCTGAATCGCAGCAGCACCGTATCCTCCTCGCCCTTTTCCTTGATAATCTTGTACGTTGGGGCGATCGTCTTGTCGATGAGATCCGGATAAAAGATGTTGAATTTGTAGCCCTGCACCGTCTTGGGTGGCGGATTGTCCGAATCGTAATGGGTTTGATTGTATTTGTTCCAGTCGAAGCCGGTGTGGACGCGGTTGAAGAAGCGTGGCTTGCGCGGACGGTACTTGTCTTCCCATTGGTAGGTCTGATGGGTGAGCGGAGCTTCGTCGCCCCCATCCATGACCTCTTCGGTGACGTCGAGCGCTTTGGATGCCTCTTGCAGGAACATGCGCTCGGCGGGGTTGTCCGAGGTGCTCGCGCCATGCTCGTTGTGACGCGTTTTGGGGATGAAAAGCTGACCGGTGACGCGACGTCGAGCAGCGACCACCTCTTCGAGATGCTCGCGCACGGTCTTGATGGGCAGACGCCTGTCTTCGTAGCTGAGGTTGGCGGCGTCGATCGGCGCAGGCTCCATCTCGTCTGGATCGTAGAGTGCCTCGAGTTCCGCCTCTGCGTTCTTGCCCTCGCCATCGGCTTTGTCTTGAACATCAAGGGTGTCCTGTGCTTCGTCTTCGAGATCAGAATCGTCGCCAGTCTGGAGCAAAAGCTCCTTCTGCTGTCGCGACGCCTCGTCACGTTGCTTGCGTCGGAGGTACTCGAGTCGATTGGACAAGACAGCCTCGTGCATGTCGCGCAGTCTTGCTTTGGCTCGCCAAACGACGATCGCTTTGAGCACCCTCTCCCAGTATTCGACATCCACCGGTTCACCAGAAGCGAGCTTGGCGCGCACCTGATTTTGAAGCTGCTGAAGATCATCTGTCGATTTGGACGAAAGCATGCTGTTGATGCGTCCACGCTCCTCAGGATCCTGTCGAATTCCGAGAGCGGCTGTGGCGGTGCCCTCGGCCCTATCTTGATCTTCTTTGAGCTCTTCGAGCTTGTCATCGCATACGATGAGCATCGAACGCCAAAAGTCGAGGTTCGAGTCGTTCTTCTCGAGCTCCAGGTACATCTGAATGTCCTGATGCAATTCCTCCGTCTCCTCGAGTGTGAGATCTTCGAAGATGGTGTAGGGCTCGTCGAGGTCGATCTCGAGGCCAGCCTCGTCGTCGTCATCGTCCTGCTTGCCTTCTTGTTCGGAAATGACGTTGGGGTCCGCCCACTTGAGGTTGATGCTGAGCAAGTCGATGGGCTTAGCGCGGTTCTCTTTGACGCGGATGACAGCTCGGCGTTGGGCTTGTTCGAGATGGAAGTCATCTTCCTTGGCGACCCAGCTAGCCATCTGTGCTGACTCGGCGAGACGTGCCATCCTCGCCTCCTCTTCTTCTCGCAAAGCAGCCTGCTTCTCACGCTCGGCACGCTTAGCATTGAGCTTCTCGATCTCGAGCATAGCCTCCTCCCTTCGTTGAGCGTCACGTCTCTCAGCTTCTTCCCTTGTGAGCCCTCCTTTGCGTTCCTTCTCCTCCTTCTTTCCCCACTTGAACTTTTGACCAAGGTTGGCGTCGTTAAACGGATTGTCCTCGGCAGAATACATCATGAGCTCGGCAACGGCAGTGCGTTCCGCCGCGCCTTGCTCTTCGTCCAGGAAGCTTTCTTCGAGCTCCTTCAACTTCTCGGAGCGCTTGGCGGCTTTGCGGATCCGACGCTCCTCCGAGGTCTCCCGCCGCTTGGAGGACCGGTCGCTTCTGTGTTCCTTGTCACGATCCTGCCTAGAGCGACTCGAGCTTCCATGCTCCTCGTGTTTGTGCCTATGATGGTGGTCGCGGTCGGACCGGTCTCTTCGGTCGTCGTCACGATGTGATCGAGAGCTGTGAGATCGTCTGCTGTGATCATCCTCGCGATGTCGCTTTCGGCGGTCTGGAGAATGCTCCCTGTCGCGGCTACGGTGGTGGGGATCGTCGTCTGCGTCTGGTCGATGACGCCGTTTGTAGTCCGAGGGCTCGCGATCGTGATGCGAGGAGCTCGATCCTACATCGCGGTCGTGGGACCTTGACGAGGACGGCATCGTTGATCACTCAAGATTCAGAGGGACGACGATAGCGGGAGGCAAGGAGGTTTGATGGAACCAAAAAGTGGAGCTGAGAAGCTAAAATCGCGTCGGCAGTCGGGATTGTGCTTTTGGCTCGAGGCTGTGGGCGCAGCATCTTCCTGGCAAGAGGCGCGAATTTGATTGCATCCTTCTCAACACTATCATCCCACGGCGCTCAAGCTCTCTTTCCGTCACACCTGTCACATTCGTTCACAACACTCTTTCACGGACATGGCCGCACAAACCACCAGCAACTCTGCTGCTTCCTCGGCAGGCCGAAGCAACACCGCAGCTACGCCAGCCAACCAACTCGCCAACATTGCAAAGCTACTTGGATCTCACGTCACCTTCACCGTCGGCGAGAAACAGACCCGGACTCTCTCTGGCAAGCTCTGGGCGTATGATCCTACTCTCGGAGTCGTCGGTCTCGAATGCGAACCCACGACGCTGCCGTCGCACCTTTCGTCTGCACCTGCTGCGGCAGCCTCGGTAGCCCAAGCTTCTCAGACCTCTCGCAACCGCTTCGCACAGCCTTCCGCCGCCGTGGGCTTCACCATCGTCAAAGTGTCCGAGATCAAGAAGATCGAATTTCAGCAAACATCAGACTCGGCGAATGGAGCCGCGCCTGTCTCCAAGCCCAAGGCGGACAGCCTTACACAGATCTACCCGGTATCTCTCAAGGCGGCTCAGTTGCGCGAGGCTGATGCTGTCAAGCAGAGTCTCACCAAGGTCGCACGCACCGGAAAGGATGTTTCGCAGCTCGGACAGCAGATCTTCGACGCCTTGAGCAAGACTCTGCCATGCCGATGGCACGAATCGCACATCATCGTCATGGAAGAAGTGGTCATATCAGGTCCCGGCTACGATCCAGCTTCCACCAACGTTCCCGGCTACACACAAGAGCAACTTCAGTCGTTTATCGACGGTACCTACAAGGGCTCCGTACCAGAAGGCGCCCAATCCAAGGCCAACAGCTGGCAACGGGTCACAAAGGTGCTGCAAGGAGAAAGGCGTAAGATGAACGCAGCATGAAGATGGCGATCTCGCACACATGTCATCGTGCTCGCAATGCAACGATACGTAGACAGATCTTTGGTCATTCATTCGCCAACCTTGCTGACCAGACTTGACCACACGATTGAGACGGACGCGTTCAGCGCTCGCTTGAGGTGCTCTTGCTCGAAGCGCTCTCCAATTGCAAGGTTCCAGCATTCTCCTGCACAGCAGAGCACGCGCGAACTCACCACAAGGTTTTGAAGGAAGCAGTCAACTTGATTGAAGCGACGATTCTATCTTGCGTGCATGCAACTGTTCAAAGACCCTCCTCGTCATCACTCGCACCTGGCTCGGAAGCCATCATGGGTCGATATTCGGATCCTGCCCGGTTCAATCGCCGTTTGACATCCGATTCGTCCTCTCCGCTCGACCACCCTCGCCCGCCAAGCCAGCTGAGCAATACCGGAAGCAAGATCAAGCCGTGCAGAAGACCGCCGATGATCAGGCAAAGCCATGTCTTGGCGTAGTACAGCTTGAGCAGATCGGACTTGGTGAAGATGAGCACGCCGACGCCGATCAGCTTAGTCGAGAAGATGCCGTTGACCACCGCTCCTCCCACATCCGTAAGCGCAAGCCAAGCGCGCTCGTCCCTTTCCTTCTGCGACATGGGATGCGATCGAGGCAGAGCGCCTGGCGCACGCATGAAAGCGCGCGCGATATGTGCGCAGAACTCGACACCGATCGCTGCGCACACGCTCAGGTTGACCAGCGTCAGCGCATTGAACTGGATGCCCCAGAAGCCCATAGCCCCTGCCACCAGGAACACGGCGCTTGCTACGCTCAGCGTCACCACTGCGCCGGTACGCCAGCTGCCAAGCAGCACCGTGTTGATGGCAAAGATGGCAAGAGCAGCCGATCCGAGCACTTGAACAGCCATCGAGAGCAGATACGTGTACTGCTCAAAGAAGATGAAGAACAGACTGTACGGGAAGACTTTGTAGCCCACGCGGGCAGAGATGTCGTCCGAGATTCGCTGCGATTGCTCCAGTGCATCGATGAAGTCGGACTGCGACCTGAGCGGCGCAAAGTACGTTCGGAAGTGCGATGAGCGCACGGTATCCTTGCCAGTCTTGGGATCTGTTACGATGCTGAGTGCTGACGAGTACGCCGCTTGACCACCAAGCGGACAATCTTGATCGGTCGGGCTATGGAGCCACTGCTTGAGATAGCTGTAGAATTCATCCCCTTCGGGAAGACCATCCATCGTGATATTCCACGGAGGGTCTCGGCCCTCGAAGCATGGCTGACAAGCAAAGGGACTGTCCTGAGGGCCGCAAAAGACGGAGGGGTCCGATTTTTTGACGCGACAGCATCCATCGAGGATAGGGTTGAGCCACTGGAGAAAGTCGTCGACCCAAGAGCTGGCAGGTTCCGCGATCCACGAGACTTCCGGTCTTTGACGCTCGCCTTCCAGCGTGTTGGCCAACGATAGAGGTGCGCATGTTGTAAACCTCCCACAAAGATCTCTTTGACCTTGACGCTGAGAGACCTCTTCCCCGGATGCGACGAAATACAGAGGAGGACCGACATCGAGGAAGACGTCGATGGCGTCGAAGTACGGCCGGAGGTAGGACTTGGATGGAAGGGCCAGACGTTGATCCAGGCCCATCTCGATTCTGCGAACTCCGATGATGCTGATGACCGCGACCGCGCCAAACGCAATGACGACCAGGCGCTTGACATTGGATCGAAGCAAGATTGGGCCGTATCGATAGCGGATGAAAGCGTCGAGCATTCCTTCTTTGGGTCCAGCCGCAGTGTCGGTCTGGAGCTGAATTTGATGCTGATGCGGGGGCGTCTTGAGGCAAGGCAGGCAATCAATGCGGCCGCTCTCGACTCGATGAGCATCCAGCGTCATCGCCGCGATGAACACGGTGCAGTGAAGGATGGCGACGATGAACATGCTTCCCGCTGCGTAGAGAGCAAAATTCCTGACGGCAGGCATAGGCACCACTGCCCCGAGGAGGAACGCGACGATCTGGGTCGTCGCGCTGAGGAGGATGGAAGGGCCGACACGAGCCAAGCAGCGCGCTGCTCGCTCCTCAATCGAGTCGCGGCCGGTCGGGCTCGTTGAAATATGCGCCTCCATGAACAAATCATCCCGTGCCTCGATCTCGTCCGAGGGTGAATGCGCCGGATGGCTCGACGCGCCCATGTAAGGTGGAAGGGAGGCTGTTGAAGGGTCGGAACGAGTCATCCCAGCCTCGGCGCTTGTTGGCTCGAGTGCCTGCCGGTCCATCTCGTTGCACAGCAGGAAAATATTGTCCACGCCGACCGCCAGCAGCATGAAGGGGATGACTTCGGCGATGATCAGGGTAACTTTGACACCCATCGCGCTGAAGATGCCTACGGCGCAAGAGACCGAGCAGAGCACGATGATAATGCCGAAAAGACCTAGCGTGAATTTGGACGAGACGCAGTAGGTGTTGACAAGCGCCCTGCCACGACGAAGGACGCTTGTGAGTAGCTTCGAACGTCCATTCGTGGCATATCTTGAGTTTGCGCTCATCCGAGGGTAAGAGCCCGGCTCTACGATCGGCGTATCTTCTTCGTGGTCGTCCTCGATCACCGAGGCTTTGCCGCGCCTGCCTCCGAGGGTCAGAGCCACGTAGATGAACATGGTCAAGTAGGAGAGAATAACGATGCCGACGTCGGTGTTGCTGCTGCTTCCGATCTCGGTCTCGAGGCTGACTCCAGTGCTGAATGCAATTTGGATGCCTAGCTCTTGACGCCTTACCGAGAGAGGGTGGCGTTCTACTGTCAGGTTCTGCGCTTGCGAGCTGGTCAACGACCCAGCTGCGACCGCTTCGAGCAGGTTGAGCAGCTCTCGTTCCCACTCTTCGGCCAAGCTGACCAGGGTGGTGTTGAGACTGTTGTTGAGTACGTACGTCACGACAGCGGACCGTGCCTGGCTTGCCTCTGCATGCTCGGGTCTGCCTCCCAGCACAATATTTGGCTTCAGAGGCTGTCCGAACGTGGGCAGACACTCGGCAGGATTGCTACCGCATTGATCCAGAGCTTGGTCCCAACTATCCGCGTCCAGTCCATACCCGATGGGGTCGTCCTGGAAGTATCCTAGGATGCTTTGCACCACACAAGGCGTACCCGGACCTGCAGGGGCGAGGCAGACGTCCTGCAAGGTAACTCCCGAAGGCGATCTAAGCTCGCGGACCTCTTTCTCCAAATCAGCGAGCCACAGAAGGCGTTCCCAGGACAGGGCAGGCGGCAGAGCGTCTAGTTGAGCTGACGATGCGTTGTGTCGCAAGGTCGCGAGGCCCTGATATGACCTCTGGTCCATGAGGAAGATCTGCTGCGGCCGATAGAAAGGTCCAAACTCTTGGTCGAAGATATTTTTCTGCAATTTGGCTGTCGAGCCAGGCGCAACCCACAAACGGACCGGATCCACCTCGACCTCAAAGTCCTTCCAGCCGATGTTGGCAGCGCCGACGAAGACGGCTGCGAGCACGAACGTGAGCCAGGGGTGACTCGCGCAGAACAGACCTAGGCGGTAGAAGAACCGAGTCAAGAACTGATTCAGGGCGTATTTGCGTGGCTGAAGTGCGCCCAGAGCGGACAGATTGTCGTTGCGTTCCAATCCAATGCCGCGATAAGTGCCGTCCGGAGCAGAGCTCGAAGAGCTTGCTTCGCCAAAGTGTCCGAGTCCTCTGGAGCCACCAGAATTCGTCCTTTGAGTCTGCGTCCTGCTATTGATGCCATCCAGGGAGTCTTCAGACCCCATGCGGACCCGCTCGAACCCGCTGGACTCGCTGGAGAGGTTGAGACGGCCCGTTCCATTTGGCAAGGCAATGCCTCCGCGACGACCTCCGATCTTGCTTCTGATTGGCTTCCAGAACCAGAAGAGGAGGACAATAAGCGCGTAAAGAAGGATAGCCGTGAAGGAAAAGCAGGAGAGCGATCCGACGGAACAAGTCGACTTGGGCCCGTGCATGGGAGGCAGTTCGGGAAGGGCCGTGCAAGTGTCGGGGCAGTCGACGCAAGCGCAGCGCGACAACAGATCAAGATCGCTGCATTGTCTGGGGTTCCAGTCGAAGGGAATTGGTGGTGCAAGCGAGTCGTTCCGTAGAGGTGCTTGAGGCGGAGCATAAGCTCGTCGTATATCGTGATCCACGCTTTGGTCGGGAAAGTTGATCTGAAAGGGGCTTCCGAGCAGTGGCTTCTCGTCGCCGAGGAACTTGAGGAAAGCATTCGGAGTCTGGGCGCCGCCACCGATCAGATCCATGGCGAAGCCATTGCTGGCTCCAAACTTGACGTTCTTGCAGCTGTCGAAGAACTTCTGCTTCCATTCTGCTCCGATGAAGTACTCCACCGTCTTGACGGCTTCAGAGGGCTTGCCGTCGCTGCCCTTCACTTCTTGGGTTTCGACAACGTCGACGTACTGCGACTGATTCGGTGAACAGGTGAACGCGCAGAACAGCGACCGAAAGTTGTTGCGACAGGCCGGGCACGAGGAGATCAATGGTTCGGCCTGCTGAAGATTGGCCGAGAGGCTCTCCACCTGTGCTTGCGTGCAACACACCGGACCTTCGGCGAAGTCGGATCCACAAGTGGCTACCAGAAGCTCCCGGAAGCCTGGCTCTTTCGGCAAAGAGGCCTTTTCGTCCACGGAGCATGGCAGCTCTGGGCTGAAGATGCTCTTCTTGCCGCAGTTGCCTTTCATATGGCAGCGTCCCGGCGAACGCTGCGTGCCTTCGGGGTGATTCATGGCGCCTAGCCTGCTGCGAGCGTAGTGGCAAGCGAGCAGATCCGGTCCGACGATGATCGCGATGAGGCAGTGCTCAGAGATGGATGGTGGTAGTGGTGATCGAGAGCTAAAGTTAGGGGTCCACACCAGGGTCGCCCTCGGCTGCGGCCCGTGAGCTTGCCCCTGCGCTCACGGTGTGGAGGCATCGTGATGAGCCCTCTGTGCGTGAGACCCTTGACTGACGGCCACTTGCGGCGACACGCGCGCACATCGAATCGCGGTCAAGATCCCTTGCGTAAGAAAAGGTCTCCTAGGACGTATAAGACCCAAATTTTTGCTTGACATTCGCTGACTTGCTGCAGTTTAAGCCCTCATCATGGCCGAAAACAAGATGGAGTCGACACATCGACTTGCATCAGGGAAGTCTTCGCGCAGCACAGCCTGAGACGTGTGCCGTTCGCTCGATGTTGCGTTTTGTTTTGGGTCTTTTTGTCAAAAAACAAGATTCACGACTCTATAGATTGTCGTCGCACGCATTTGCCGTGTGCATAATGCAATTTCTGAGCGCTCGCTGCTCAGTTTCTCCAAAGAATATTAAATGTGAGATATGCGAGTCAACAAATTTAGCCAAGTATCGAGAAATGTCAGTCACTTGCGAGCAGGTGATTGCTTCCCTGCGGGCCTAACTTATGTGATTGTTCAAAAAGGGCATTTCATAAACTGAATGTCCCTTAAATTTGTGCGTCTGTCGTTCAAATTGTCAGATTCTGACTGTCCGAGAATCTGTGGGCCATTATTCTTCGCTTCTTTCAGAGAACTTGCAAAACTCACTGCATTTTGCGTAGAAGAATTGACTTCCAAGAAAACTTCGAGCTGCCTGCGTTGAGAATGATCGTCTTCGTCACTTTGGGCAGGGGCGATGGGAGCGACTACGGGATCGGTTCCAGTGCACTTCAAAGTCTGGGGAGCGTCATCGGCTGCCGGACATAAGCTGCACGGTGGAAGGACCGCAGGCGAAGAAGGGCGATGCGATCGCCTCATGGACATCTCTGGCAGAGATTCTCAATCGATTACAATGGGTGCATAGCGTGTAAAGTACAAAGCGAGGCTATCCTGGACAAGCGAACGATCGACGAAGCGGAAGCGATCATCAAGGATGCGCAGACGGGTTGCCAGGGCGTCTACATCTTGCGACGCAGCGTCCTGTGGCGATACAAACAAGGTAGTACCGAGCAACTTTTGGAGCGGACGCAGGAGATACTCTGGCGTGACAAGACGGTACGAGTCAGCGGTGCTCGCCACCCCTTTCTTGGAGGCTCGCCGATCTCCCGGGTCGCCGATATCGGCAAGAGCGATGAAGCCGTCCTGCATCATCTTTCGCACAGCCCATTCGAATAGCCGTCGGACCTTCTCTGCTTGTTGTTCGGTGGTTCCGAGTGAGACGCCGTTGGAACTGTCGCCAGATCGAGAAGTGTGACGATGCTGCAGACGAATGCGGACGAGGCGTCGAGCGAGTGCAGACAGGTCGGCGTCAGACTGGAGATCCGAGATGGTGAAAGCTTGACTGCGATACTGCTGGCTGATGTGCTGCTGAAGCTGGAGCTGAAAGTAGGCCTCCGTCAATTGTCGATCGGGGATTTTGCCATGTGTACGAAGCTGTCGAGAGCCAGACTCGGATGTATGCGACAGCCTGGAGTGCTCGCTGCTGGGGGAAGAGGGAATTTGCTGCGCTGGAGCCGAATCTGATTGGGATTGTGAAGAAGAGGCATGGCCCAAAAGTAATCTGCGAGCTTTGTCTGGCGAGAGGCGGCGCTTCGCAAAGTCGTCTTGCTCCGGTTCAAATTCGATCGCAGGAGCAGACACAGCCTTGCCGTCCTGCGAGAGATCAGATATGAGCTGACGCGCGGGTACATTTGCAGCGGTTCGATGCGGAGCTGGACGATGATGGGAAGGCACTGCCTTTTCAAGTGCAAGACGGTTCCAATCGAAGGACCGGCGATAGAGGCGTTTCTCGATCTCGATGGCATCGAGCTGGTGCTGACACTCCGCGTTGAAGTCCTCGCATCGTTGCAGTCGATGGGCGAAGAGAAATCTGTCGCCACTACGATCAATCTGAATCTTGCCAGTACACTTGACAATGTCGCCGACCTCGAAGCGCGGAAGCATGGGCGCAAGAAATCTGTTGGCCGTCTGAGAGTCCAATCGGCTGGCGGACGTTGAGGCCCTGCTCTGGGGCGGCATGGTGTAGCATTCGGGGATACCGCCAGAAGCGGTCGAGGTCGCGCCTGTCCCCGTAGCCGCCTGAAGTGGATGTGACCGGTTCTGGCGCAGACTTTTGCGCGTCTCGATGATCCGCAAGACAGAAGTGCCGTCGTCCACTGTCGAAGGGAGGCTCAACGATCAACCTGCATCAGCCGGGCTGATCAAATGAGAAACATTTAAAAGCACGAATAGGACTCACCTTCATAGCTGACCTGATCCTCCTTCGGCGTCACTCCTACGACCATGCCGCAGACTTTCGCGACGAGTCCGGGAACTTGATGATGCAGAAATAGTGTTTGACCTGATGCATACATGGCAAAACTTTCAGATAGTGAGTGTCGGCTGCTCAGCGGCCATGTCCTGACCTGCTTGGGTTTGCTCACCTCCAATCGCGCTCGATAGCTCCGACAGGGCCTTCATCCGCCGCACTTGCCGGCATGTGCATATGAGCACAGCATCAAGGCTTCGTTCCGCCCAATCGTACAGTTGGACAGCGTCGTTATCCGAGATTTGACGAAGAGACGAGCTCTTCATCCCGTGAGCTTGTGGAGCTAGAACGATGTTGATGTGTCCGCATTGATCGATGTAAACCATGGGTTATGAGGAGATGACCGCGAGGAGGGCAGCAGCATTTTCTCTGCGCTTAAGAGGTGACAGAGAAGCGTTCGGTGGCATCATGCAAAGGTCTCGATGTGGGGTGAGCGAAGGATGGCTAGCCTACGACGATGGCAGCTTGTCTCGAGACCAACACTTTCGTAAACTCAGTTTTCTCCACCTTTCCGACATCCGAACGCACCAGAAACAAAGCGCAGCGCGGTGCGGCACGGCTGCTGAGTCTAGCCAGAAAAAGTGTTGGTTGGAAACGCAGTCCGCGACGCGTCCCACGCAAAGGGAGACCCTTCTTTTTCTTTTGTCCCAGCTTCGAGCTCGAGACCGTCATATCTTCTGCCTTGTCGACTTTCAAGCTTGTCAGAGAGCCACCAACAGCCCCAATAACCGTCAAACACAATGAGCGACGCAACGTGAGTGACGACCAGCCGGCACAATCATCAATATGGACCCTCACCTGACTTTTGCCGTTGCCCCATCTATGTGCGCAGCGTGACCACCAACTCAGCCTCGACCGAGCAAGCCGCCGAATACGAACAGCCTTCAACGCTCGACAAGGGCAAAGGCAAGGCAAGGGCAATTGAGCCAGGTGAGTTAATTACGGTAAATGCTCAACCTGCTAGCCATAGATGAACGTATGCTGACGGGTCTTGTTCGCTTTGCGCTTTGGACATCAGAGGAGGACGATGAGGAGGATGAAGATGACGATGAGGAAGACGAAGAGGACGACTACAACATTGACGACGACGAGGTATGTGACGGAAGGCCGTCTTGCGGCAATTTGCGATGCAAACATGCTCTCAAAATACTGACCAGGATCTCTTACGATTTTACAGCTCGCCGAGCTGATCGAGGACGACGAGGAGCTGGCAGAGATCGACACCTCAAACATAGTGTGGACTGGGCGCCGACGCAACGCTCCTCTTGACTATAGTTCCGAAGAGGCGCTCAAACAGGCGGGTCTCGACTCGGGCGCCCCAGCAGGTGAACAGGAAGAGGACGATGCGGAGTTCCATGTGAGTACGAAGACCTGTTGGGCATACAAGCTAAGAGTCCTGTCAAAAGCTCACCATCAGCCTCATTTCCTATTGCGGCGGTCGGTCATGTAGGGCGAGGAGATGAACGACGAGTAGCGGCAGGTACTGTCAACACACCACGGGGCCAGTCGAAAGCTTGCTATGGAGGGTATAGGTACAAGTACAAAGGTAGACCACAGCACTTCGACGAGCTAGTCGTCGGGATCCGCTTCCTCAACTCCCATTCCGCCAAGGCCTTCGTGGACAAAGTCGTCCTCATCCATTTCCACGTCAGGATCCTCTTCGTAAGCCAGATCTGCCACTTGTCGTTCGGGATCAGGTTGGGGGACCTGTGCCAATCCACCTTCCTTCGAGCCACCCAAATCGGCTGCTGCAGCTACCTGGCCGGTGAATTCACTGATTTGCGCTGGATGCTCCGGATTTGAGTCGTGCGTTGCATCAACAATCGCTGCTGGATTGTCCTGTGCTCCTTCTGCAGCGTACGCGTTGACCTCGGTCGTCGGATAAATCGGCAAGTAGGTCTGCACTAGCGAGATGAGTTCTTCGATCTGATGCGGGTGGAAACGTTCTTCCAGCTCTTCGACGAGCGTGTGCAGCTCGACAATGCTTTGAGGAGCATGATTGACAATCTGGAGTCTTTCGGATCGGTTCAGGCCAAGGGCACCTCGTCTTGCTTCTGAGTCGTTGATCGAGTAGCCGCGAGCCTTGAGTTCGTCAAGGAAAGCGGCGATGTTGTCGGCCTCTTGATGTGCGCAGGGTTTTGTGGGCTCGCTGAGCGCAGAGATGGTCTGAGCGAGCAATCAATGTGGCATCAAATGGAAGATGTCGATTTTGTGGTCAGCACGACAGATTCCTCATCGTCTCTATTCGACTCGATTGCAAGTCACTTACCTCGTACTGAATCGTGCGCAGGTTCTCCGGCACTTTGGACAGCCAGACGTCGTCCTCCTCGCCTTGGGAAGCCGTAGCATTCCGTAGTGCATCCTCATCGTCCTCGTCGATCTGGGTGATCTGCGGCGCAACGGACCCTCGAGTCTTTTGCTCCGACTCCATCTCCTTGAGCACCTTCAGCACTTCAAAGTCGCTCAGCAGCGCCGAGCGCGCTTTGAGGATCCTCATACCGACGATCTTCTGGCTAGAGTGTTGAAGACCACTGCATGGGGCAGCTGCGTGTGAAGCGATAGGATGTAGAATGGACGAAAGGAAGATTGCAAGCCAAGTAAGAAATCAGGGTCAAGCTCGAAGAGGAAGAAAAAGTGCAATTACGTAAGCAGAGCAGCTCCTTGCAGAAAAAGTGGATGCAGCAACGCTGAAATTTTTGGTTTTGGACCCTCATTTGGCCGTCGAACCCTCCACAGCTGGCAAACTCAGAAGTTCTTCTGCCACCATCATAGCTAACTTATTCGTCCTCCCTCCCTGCCGACCAAGACGACATTGCCTCCTCCAGATCAACGGCTTGATCGTATCAGACTGTACCATCGTCAAGCACAGCGCTCAACCTAATTTCTTTCGAGCCAAGGAACGACCGTCTTGACAGCTTCGTTGGCCTTTGTTGCCCTCGCCACAGAGATGAAGATCAAGGCGCTGTCGCGGTCGCTCGACGTGCACGCACCTGCTCGACAAGGTGACCCTGCTCCACTCTCTAGGAATCTCGACCCGGCATTGCATCCGTTCGACAAGCCAAGAGAGTATACTCGCGCCCTCAATGCCGCCAAGCTGGACCGTCTCTTCGCCAAACCGTTCGTTGGCGCTCTTGAGGGCCACATTGATGGCATCTATTCGATTGCAAAGGACACCAACAGACTCAACGTCGTTGCATCCGGAAGTGGCGATGGAGAAATTCGTCTCTGGGATCTGGCGCGCCAAAAGCCCATCTACGTATACCCAAGGGCGCATTCTGGTATCATCCAGTCGATTTGCATCTCTCCCTTGACCTTCATGTCAACCACTGGCACCACGTCTGTAGGCCGCAGGATGCTTTCTTGCTCAACAGATCGCACTGTCAAAGTCTGGGATGCCGACCCTACACCCGATGGCCTCGGACAGACCACTTTCAATGTCATGGATGATGATGACGACGAGGACGACATGGACGCCGACATGACCACAGGCGGCAGCTTGAGACGAGGTGGTCTCCTCAGCACACGCGACAAGACTGTCCCGCCCAGCGAACCATTGACAGTGTACAGTGGCAAGGCTGCTTTCAACTCGTTGACTCACCACGCTTCGAGCGCCATTTTCGCCTCCGCATCTTCCTCGATCCAGACATGGGACCTCGAGCGTGGCGGATCTTCCGACCCTCTGCTTTCCATGACATGGGGCCCAGATGCCATCAATGTCGTCCGCTTCAATCTGAGCGAGCGCGAAGTTCTAGCAAGCGCAGGCAGCGATCGCGGCATCGTGCTCTACGATTTGCGCAGTGGCAAGCCCTTGACCAAGATGATCATGCAGATGCGAGCGAACGACATTGCATGGAGTCCAACAGAGCCCACTGTCTTCGCGGTGGCAAGCGAAGATCACAATGTCTACACATTCGACATGCGTCACCTCAACTCAGCGACACAGGTCTACAAGGATCACGTTGCCGCGGTCATGTCGGTCGACTTCTCGCCCACTGGCACGGAGCTCGTCACTGGCTCGTACGATCGAACCCTTCGTATCTGGGACTACGGCAAGGGCAATCACTCGCGCGATGTCTACCACACCAAGCGTATGCAGCGCATCTTTTCCACAGCATTCTCCATGGATGCCCGCTTCGTGCTCAGCGGCTCGGACGATGGCAATCTGCGAATTTGGAAGGCCAAGGCGAGCGAGAAGCTGGGCCTGCTCAGCGGCAGGGAGATGGCCAATCGCGAATACGCAGACAACCTGCGCAAGAAGTGGAGCGGTGTGGGCGATGTGGCCAAGATAGAGAAGCAGAGGCACGTGCCCAAGGCGATCAAGCAGGCGCAGAAGATGAAGAAGACCATGATCGATGCCAGGAAGAACAAGGAGGAGAACAGGAGGAGACACTCAAAAGCCGGAGACAAGAAGCCAAAAGCCGCGAGAAAGGAAGCCATCCTCTCGCAGCGCGATTAGGATCGAAGAGCCCTTTCCCTCAGTCTTTGCATTCCACCTGCATCATTGTATTTGTACCACTCTAAAGCATGTCGTTGCATGTCTTGACCCCGTCACACCGGCGCCTGCGAACAAGCCTACCTGAGCACACGGCAGACACTGAAGTTGGCGGGTCCTTCATCGCACCTCAGCGACCGAGACATGCTCCCGTCTGTCGGAACCACACATCAAACGAGGAAGACGCACACGCAGGGGGAAGGCGGGTGCTTGAAAGTAAATTATGGTTACAATTATTCCGTCGAACGAGAGGGAAGGAGATACAGCGTGACGACACGAAGGGGGATAGCAGAATACAACAGCCCTTGGCGCTTTTGACGGGAGCAAGGGCGAGAAAGAAAAGGTGGTCCATGCAGACCGAGATGTTTTGAGGATCCTCGCGACTAGACCTTTGACGAGCATAGATGGCGTAACGGATCCGAGATTAGTGGTATACAAACTCGAGTTGATGCAATCCGATGATAAGAGATTCATGAGCCCCTTAGGGAGCGGTGGCGGCCGATTGTGCCATCTCGGCCTTGGTCAAGAACCTGCCTCCAGGCCCTCTTGGCCTCCTGACAGCATGCCTATGCCTGCTCTCGTGAAGGTAGGGCTTCTTGCCGTCTTCGCTGTCGCCATCCTGACCCGCCTTCTCGCGGGTGTGCATGTAAGTGAGGAATTCCTTCTTCCTCTGCTCCTCGATCCTGGCTCGTGTTGCCCTCCTCTTGAGGATGCGCTGGTACTGTTTGGCGTTGACGTAGAGCGGCTCGTCTTCTGCTGGAGCCGACTCTTCCTGAATGGCGCGCGCGACTTCGGATTTGGAGTCGATGGCATCTTCATCTTGGACCGAGACGCTGAGACCAAGATTGGAGGGAGCCGAGTGGAGGGCGGAAGAGGCATGGTAGCCAAAGTCATCGGAGCCGACGATGGACTGTGCTCGGGAATTGGAAACAGAAGTGGGCAGAGGCGCAGCGGTGGTAGAGCCGTGATAGGGGCTCGCATGAGATGGCTCATTGATAATGCCGGGACCGAAGGATGACCAGAGGCGGTGTTCTGTGCCTGCCACATGTGGGGCCGAAAAGTCATCTGCATCGCCTGCGTTGATCCATGCGGTGATGTCGGTGTCCTCTGGATCGGCATGATAAGACGAGATGCTGTGATGGAAGTCGCTTACAGGACTGGTTGCTCGGGACAGAGCACTGGGGATACGTGGACGTGTGCGACTACGGCTAGAGGAGGAGAGGCGCGATCGCGGCTCTTCTTCAGCTCGTGTGCGCTTGCGAGCACGAGGGCGGACGTTGCCTCCGGATCCGGAGTCGTCGTCGAGACCTAATGCGCTGGCGGTAGCGGGATGAAGGAGATCCGAGGTGGAGTAAGGTGAGCCGATGTAGCCGGGCTCAGAGCGCATGGCAGCGGAATTGATTTCCCACGGATGCTTGTTGTTGGCCAAGCTGGAATGGCTCTCGGCCCCGCTGCTGTGAGTGGTAGCATTGGAGGGGATGCCGTGATAGGAATCGGCAGGCGAGTTGGCCCAGCTCAAACGGCCGCTGTTGGAGAAAGCGGCGACAGAGGCGCTTGAAGAGGAATGATGGTCTGCTCCGGGAGAGAAATGCTGCTGTGGAGTATGCGAAGAGTTGGAGTAGGTGTCGAGGTGATGTGTATGATGACTGGCGGATGGCGCATGATTGGAGTGGGACGAAGCTGGATGCTGAATGTAGAATGCACCAAAAGACAAAGGATTCTGAGCAATGCTGCTCGAGCCTGGCGTTCCAGCTCCAATGTGGCTAGCAGATGGCGAGCCTGTGTAGGGGATGTTGATGCCACCTGGTGAAGGAGGATGAGGTGAAGTGGACGCCGATGGATGGCCGATTGGATCGTAGAGATGCGAATAGGACTGCATCTTGTATGTTGGTGTGACACCGTATAGGCGCGCTTAGGCTGGGGACCTTCCAATTTGTTGCGAGAGTGCCGTGTCGCGCCGTGTGTAGTGATGGTGATGAATGATGACGATGGGGTGTGAGCGGAAGGATGCGATGATTGACATGACTGTGGTCGTGTGGCCCGATTTGCTCAGAGTGCGAGTCTGCTGCGATGAGAAAAGCGTTCTAAATTTCCATCAGACCCGCGATGAAAAAGCAAAAATTTCAGAAAGGAAAAACTCCACCTGCTGTTCAGCTGCAGGCGCTGTGTGTGACATTTGTGGAAGAGTTGAGACGAAATTTAGCCGCCCTCCTGCCTGTGTCGGTCGCTTGGTGCTGGTCCCTGCAGTCCAAAGATCTGCAATTCCACGCACGAGGCTGCAGAAAGAGAAACACGCCGCCTTCTCGGATGATCTCAGTCTCTCGTACGTTACACTACCATTCCGCCTTGTTGGCTCCAGACCTGCAAGCACAGCAACTCTAGTGCCCATATGGGCCGGCCACTGACCGAATGCTTCCGAGCATGGCTGAAGCAGGAGCATCACCAAGAATAGGCGCTTCTCTGGCCAGCTGCCATGTGCTTCGCCGCAGAAAACGGATCGAGACCCTGATTTTTCCGAGCATGTTTGATTTTGTTTTGTTTTCGAGAGTGAGCGAATTTTTTCTTCGCAGCGCTCCGAGCATGAACTGCAAAGTTGGCTAAGTTAGCGTACCGTTGCCATGGCAGCTTTAGCAGCGAGTCAAGACAGTCAGCTGTTCAGGGAAAACACGCGCTCGACTCGCCAAGACCCTCGCTTGGACAGCTGACTTTGACCTCTGACTCTCTCTGCGCCGTGACGGCCGATGCGTTCCGGTGCACTCACGGATCCAAGCCAAGGGTCCCGAGCGCTGCGCAACTCTATCAAATGACTGACCGCCTGACTGGTGCCTGTGCGTCCACTCGGACATGACGGCTGCCACTCGTCTAGGCTGCTGTTGCCCCTCGTCGGAGGGGGACAACCGCTTGCTAGCCTCGCCATCATGTCCAGGCCGTTCATCGCTACAGGATAGTCATGATGAGCATCCTTACTCTGCTTCTCCTTGCTTTGGCAGCACTCGCCGGTCGAGCCGCTTCGCAGTCGGCAGCAACTCCTCGCATCCTGCTCTACACCAAGACGGCCGGTTTCAGACACGAATCGCTTCCCATCGCCATTCGCACCATCACCTCGCTCGGAAATGGCTCGCTCACCCTCCCTCGCTCCGCCATCGACCCCTCCATTGCAGACGTGCGCTGGAACACTGTCAACACCGAAGATGAGACCCGCTTTCACAATTACACCTTCCTCTCCCAATTCAAGGCCATCGGCTTCGTCAGCACCACCGACCAGGATCCTCCCTTGAACGGCACCGTCCTCGACGACCAAGGTTTGCGAAACCTCGCTCGCTATGTCGAACAGGGAGGTGGCTTCTTCGGTGTCCACTCGGCGGCAGCCACGCTCTTTGGCGCTCCCTTCTACGGTCGACTCGTCGGCGCCTACTTTGACTACCACCCTCAGATTCAGAACATTACTGTAAGAGCAGTCGAAGGAGGTCATCCATCTACTTTCAGATTCCCGGCGGAAGGCCTGCGGATCTTTGAAGAGGTCTACAACTTTCGCTCCGATCCTAGGACTCTTCCGTCCCCAGCCAATGTGCTCGTCACCAACGCTTCCACCTATGAAGACCCTGGTGTCAACCCGCAAGGCTTCAGAAATGGTACCAATGGTCCCGCTCCCCTTCCGCTTGCCTGGTGGAGGCAAGGCGGCCTGCTCGACTCAACCTCGACAACCGATCCGAGCGTGAGAGGCGCGGGTGGCGCTAACATTCAGGCATCAGGTGGGCCGGGCAGATCATGGTACACGAGCTTAGGTCACGACTCGTCCACATGGCAGCTTGACCTCTTCCGTGGTCATATCGCCGGTGGAATCGCTTGGGTACTCGCATCGGACGCTTTTACACCTGCACAGAGCAGCAATACAAGCAGCAGCGCCGACACGTCCAGCACTGCTTCAGCTTCCCCTACTAATAGCAACAGCAACAGCAACGATGCAGGACGTCAGTGGATCACCAGTGTGCCTGCATCGATGCTGTTGGCGGTGTTGGCAGCTTTGCTTTTGATCATGTCGAATGTAGCGTAGAGACTCGAATTGATCCACCTCTCTCACGGTCCACTCGTTCCAGCTGTCCAAACATGCAAGATCGAAATGAGATTCGGGAAGCTGCAACAACCCATCTAATGATGAAGGCGGGACCAACAGAAATACACAAGCCAAAGTGGGCTTAAACCACCGAACCGCATGCACGCGACCTCGACGCCGCTTCTCTTTCGAGCTTTCTCCTCCACACGACTCGCATTTCTGAGATTTTTGTGACTGCGCACGGCGACTTCGGAAGCTTTATTCAAGTTTCGGTACTCGGTAGTGCAGCTTTTTTTTTGGGATCAGCACTTCACCTTCCTTCAGACCTTTGACTCACCCTATCCCCCATACTCTATCGACATCGACATGGGCAAGAAAGGCAAGCCCTCGGCTGGAAAGGCCGCCGCAAAGGCAGCCAAGAAGGAGAAGGCCGAGAAGCAGGCCACGCGCAAGCTCACAAAACAAGTAGCAAAGCAAAAGACTCAGGTCAACGGGAAATCTTCTTCGGGCAACACCAAACAGAACGGCAAGAAAGGCGCCGCAGCGGTCGACGACGATGAAGAGGATCTCGACGCGCTGCTAGCCAGATATAGGGAGCAGTGGGAGCAGGAGCATGTCGTGTCCGAAGAGAAGGTGGGTGGGCCACCGTCTCGCCGAGCCAACGCAACGTTCACGCCCTGTCCGCTAGGCAACGATCTGTACTTGTTCGGAGGCGAATACTTCAACGGCGAGCGAGTAGCCTTCTATCAGGACATGTACCGATACATACCCGAAAGGAACGAGTGGCGCACGTACGCCTCCAAGAACCAGCCTGGTCCTCGATCAGCGCATCAAGTCGCCGCAACACCGGCTCAAGGCGGCATGCTCTGGCTCTTTGGAGGCGAGTTCTCAGGCGCACGACAGAACGCATTTCACCACTACCGCGATCTCTGGGCGTTCAGTGTCGAATCCAAAGCATGGGAGCGTATCGATACCAAGCTTCGTCCCAGCGCCCGCAGTGGCCATCGCATGGCATTTTGGAAGCACTACCTCGTCCTCTTTGGCGGCTTCATCGACACGGGCGTCAAGACGCAATACCTCAACGATCTCTGGATCTTTGATACCCAGAATACCTTCAAATGGACCGAGATCAAGCAGAACGACCTTCGTCGACCACCACCACGTTCCGGCTTCTCCTTTATTCCTTGCCCGGAAGGCATCGTCTTGTACGGCGGATACTGCAAGAAGTATGTCAAGGGGCAACGCACACAAGGTGTGGCACTCGAGGACACATGGCTGCTGAAGATGGACGAAGATCTCACAAAACTCGACTGGGCGAAAAGGAGGAAAGTGGGATACGCACCCAATCCAGTTCGCAGTGGATGCACCATGGCGCTTTGGCAGTCGAAGAGCATGGGAATCTTGTTCGGAGGTGTAACAGATACAGAAGCCGACGAAGAGACCATGGAGAGTACTTTCCACAAGGATCTCTACGGCTATCAGCTTCCAGGTACAGGCAGGTGGATCAGTCTCAATCTCAAGCGACCCAAAAAGAAAGGCGGAGGAAGGAGGAAGAAGAAAACAAATCCCGCACAGCAACAACTGCAACAGCAGCAGCATTACAGAAACGACTCGGATGACGATGGCGACGAACATGACTACGGCTCGGACAACGATAACGGCGATGATGGAGCGCAAGACCTCACAGCTTCCACAGAGAAGCTACAGATCGAGCCAACTCCCCCGCCGCCACCATCACCAGAGGAGGAAGAGGAAGACGATCCAGACGATCCGCTCAAGACCGTCCCTCTCGAGCGGTACAACGTCATGCTGGCCGTCCAGCGCAACGTCCTCTACGTCTACGGTGGCATCTTTGAAGCCGGCAACCGCGAGTACACCCTGGATGACTTTTACACCCTCGACCTGTCCAAACTGGACCGCTTCACGTGTCTCAAAGAGTGCCCTATCGACGCGCTCGAATGGGACGAGTCCGAGTCGGAGGACGATTCCGACTCTGATTCTGGTTCGGACTCGGACTCCTCTTCGTCTGAATCGGAGGGTGAAGAGGGCGATGAGATCCCAGAAGGGTTCGAATTCGATTCGGACGACTCGGACGACGAAGAGGCGCGACGAGCAAAGATGTCTGCGGCCGAGAAGGATGCCCTTCGGGCCAAAGCGCAGGCGTTCATGGGCGTGTCCTCCGACTCGGCGCGGACCGAGCAGGAAATCATGTCCACGCCTCAACCGGGCGAGAAGCTTCGCGCCTTCTACGAGCGCACCAAGCAGCACTGGGCATCCACCGCACTCATCGAGAGCGACGGCAAGCTGCGTGGCAAGGAGATGCGCAAAAAAGGCTTCGCCCTCGCAGACCAACAGTATCAGGAGTACAAGCCGATCCTGGAGGAGATCGAGAGGATCCGGGCAGAGGCTGGATTGGATGAGAAGGAGGCAGCTGTCAACAAGGTCGGTGGAATCGGCGCCGGTAGCACGGGTGTTGATTCGAGGAATCGACGCTGAAGACACACGGAGAAGAAGAGAGCAATTCACACACGTGCCCACTTCGGGTCGACAGCATCATCAAACGTAAAGCTGACCGTGTCAGAGTGTGAAAGGCTGAGGTTTCTGAGAGACGGCATGAGGTGCGAGGAGCGAGACGGGGAACGAGGGAGAGCAAGACAAAGCACGGAAGAACTGAGATTGACGACGAGGTTGGAAATCTAGAGCTTGTGACGTGCGCCGCCGGCAATGCTTGCGAAGCGTTGTTGGGGTGCGCCAGATGTGAAGACCTTCTCCGCGCCTCTCAGTTCGGCCTGGTTGACGCCATCGACGCCGCTATACGCGTACGCTGCGTCGTTGAGCAGCTTCTTGGTGTAGAGCAGCGAGAAGGGGCTTGCGTTGGGCGGCAAGAACTTCTCCTGCACGTGCTTGAGGACGTCGTCGAAGAGGGGCGCGGTGGCGAGCTTGTCCTTGCCATCGAAACCAGCGGGTTTGGTGAAGAGTCGGGTGATGAAGCCGCTCTCCTTGAGTTCTGGTGCTGTCATCTTTCGGCCCTCGAGCAACGCTTCTGTCGCGCGACCGAGGCCCATCCTCTTGATGAAGGTGACGGAAGTCAGACCCTCAGCGACGAGGGCGAGCGACATGAAGGGGACGAAGAAGAAGAAGTCATCGTAGGCATAGACTAGGTCGCAATGGCTCGGGATGGCTGCTGACAGCCCGACTGCGGGACCGTTCAAGGCGGCGATCAGGATCTTGGGATGATTCCTTAGCGCAACTGCCAGCTTTCCCTGTCCATTCTGCGTCCTGGCCACGTAGAAGTCGCCGATCAGAGCTTTGCCCTCGGCAGTGTTGGGGTCCGCCTTGGCGACGTCAACGGGCAAGCTTCGCGAAGGATCCTTGACATCAGCTCCGGCCGAAAAGTAGCGTCCCTTGCCGGTGAAAATGGTGACGAGGATGTCGGGCTGCACGGCGATCCACTCGAGACAGGCGGTGATGGCCTTGTAGTCGGCTCCGCCGAGCGCGTTGAGCTTCTCAGGGGCGTTGAAGGTAATGACAGCGACGCGGTTCTCGCAGTCGGGTGGGAAGGAGAGTGCTACCGGTGCAGAGTTGGGGCTGAAGGGCGGCTGCGAGGTGAAAGTGAATGAAGACATCGTAAAATTGTGTTTCAGGGATAGACCAGGGGCGAGTGCGCTGAAAGGAGAGTAGTGAAGGAGCAGGAGGGAATGGAGGATGAGACTTCTTGATGTCTCGGCTTTTGTAGAAAGTGTGGGGTTGATGGCTCCGGTATTCCAATTCGAAGAAGAGCCGGATTGAATAGCCGAAGCGCTGGCACACGAGGGCCCAAGCTCTAAATTTTCTGGACGCTGGAAATCGTTGCGTTTATCCGGGCCGCACCTGTCAAGAAGTGTCGTTACAGATCGCTCATGCGAATCCCGGAACAGCTCTTCGCTTTCTCTTGGTCTTGATGAGTCTGTTGACGTGACGACGCTGCTTGATCACGGGTGGAGCCGTCAGCCGAGGTGCGGTCTTGGTCGTCTTGGCCCTCCTTCCTCGTCGCGTGCGGCTGGGTTTCTTGCGGAACACATCGTCTCGTGGAAGAGGGGCTTCCGCGGGAGCAATGATGCAATTCGCGGCGATGAGCATGTACTCGACCTCGATCTCGTCCTCCTCTTCCTCTTTTGCCGATTCAGCGGATTCGCTGGCATCTGCTTCCGTGTCAGGCACGTCAGCGTCATCATCCGTCAGGTCTACGATTGTTTCGGCTTCGACCTTGACTATTGGGTGCGGGTCATCCTCATATTTAGGCAAAGAGTTCGTGAGCTTGTGGAAGAGCGAACCAAGCTTATGGAGTACGCCTCTTCGAGCGATGCTATCGATACGAGACTCCGCCATCGCGGCTGGACCCGCGACTTCTGAACTGTCGCTTGGCGGGAGACCTTGGGAATCAGGATCCGCAAGCAGCTCGTCCTCTGAAAGTGCCCGCAAAGTGCGATCAGGACTCGATGTTTGATAAGCTGAAGGGACTGACTTGAGGAGCACTCGGAGGAGCTCGTCGCTGTCAAGGAGAGGGAGATCGCTATTGGAGAAGGTCGGTTCGAGGTAGGTGGTAGTGAGCGTGGGCATCGTTGAGCACTGGTTGCGGATCTTGATCAAGCTCAGTTGTGACGAAAAAGAAGGTTGCGAACTCTTGCTTGTAGCGGGAGCAAGTCAGGTTTGATTGACTTTCTGAAAAGTACGCCAAGAAGACGACAGGACTAAGGTTTGCCAACGGACTTGCACAAAGCTGCGGACAAAGCATTGATCTCGCACCGACAATACCTTCCGCACATCGTGTCAATCAAAGCCTCATCACACAAAGGGGCCCCAAGGCGTGGCCGAACTGTGCGGAAAGAGATTGTCGTTTCCGCATCCCGCACAAAGCTATAAGATCTCGCTCTGCTGCATCGACCTTTCTTCTCCTGACTCCACCTTTCATCAGCTCCCGTCTTCCCCTCTCTCATCCTCTCTCCTCTCTCCTCTCTCCTCTTCCACATCCCTTCGCTTCTCGTACACCATCGACTACAGTGTTGAAGACCATCATCGACACTACATCGTTCCTGCTCAAGCCTCGTAGAGGCACAAGGGCTCGCCGGAACCATGCAGTCCACCTCCGTCACCCCACCTCCCAACCCCACCCCGCCCGCAGCAGACATGGACGAGGATGATGACGAGATCGTCTTCGTCAGCGATAACCTGCGCACTCCCTCCAAGAACAAGGCCGGTCCATCCGCTCCCTCCGGCGCCACCCCTTCGCCTGCCAAGAAGCGCCGTGTGGCCAAAATGGAAGATGACGACACCGTTGCGACCCCCAAGAAGCGCCGCTTGGCCAAGATCGAAGACGACGAGACCCTCGAGACCCCCAAGAAGCGCGGCAAGAAACGCGAGCGCACCGAGGAGGACGAGTTGACCGACGAAGGACTCGTCAGCGACGAGCTCAAGGTCGCAGCTGGTGTCAAGGACGAGAAGAAAGTCGCTGGTGCGTCTGCTTCGCCTGCAGGCGGCTCGCCTACGAAGAAGGTATGCATCCGCCAAAGGTCCTCGCAGATCATCGACGCCGATGTCGAACAGCTGACTTCATCCATTTTCAATCTGTCCCCGTCCGCGTTCAACAGCGGGAGCGTCGAAACTTCACTCTCGAAGAGGACAAACTCATCATCCAGCAGTGGGTTCCTTCCCTCCGCTCGTATGCCATCAACGGCGTGGACCCGTCATAAACTGACGCCTTCTTGCACTGCGATCTCGGTCGAGCAGGATCATGGACAACTTCGACTCGCTTCCCATCCAGAAGGCCACCAATCGAACCCAGCCGACCGTCATGTATCGTTGTAAGCATCCCTCGTCAAGTGAAGATCGAGACGTCTCGACCCGGAGCAATACTGACGGTACGGTGTCATCCCTCCTTGGTGTTCAGTCAAAACGCTCCTCAAGACGGCTCTGCGCGGCACCCACGGCGACGAGCACGCCGTCTTGCCTAGCGATGCTTAGTCCTTACTCCGGTCTGCATCGATGCGGTAGATGAGGCTCCTCCGCTCATCAGCGAGTCGCAGCCTTGCACACCAGGTTCGTCACCATCCTCGTAGCATCTTTATGGGGGTATCTGTGGTATTCGAGTTCGTCCGACGATCAGAATGTCTGCAAAGCGCAACACCCAAAAAAAAAGCAAGATCTCGTCAGCGTCACCTTTCCTCATAATCCTCCTCATCTTCGTAGCCCTCCCGTCAATGTATATCTCCACCATCTGCTAGCGATGTGCACTTACCTTCTTATGAATGATGTCCGGATCCTCGTTGTACTCCTCTGCGCTCACCCACATGCGCTTGAACGTACTCAACCCTGCCAAGATACTCCCCCCAATCCATGTCGCATACTTCCTCTCTGGTGGCGCAAAGATCTTGATCTTCATCTCGCGCACCGCCAACCTCTTGACCTCGGCCAACATTCGATCGCCAAAGCCCTTGGTCAACGTCGTGCCTCCGGACAGCACGATGTTCGAGAACAGATTCTTGCGCAGATCGAGATCGGTGCGGTTGATGGAATCGACGACGACCTGGTGGATGCCGGGGAACTCGTGACCGATGAGTTCTGGGTTGAACAGGATCTCTGGTGCGCGGAATCGTTCGGGACCCAAGCGGAGAGTGTTTCCATCGGGCAGCTTGAACTCTTCGTGCGACTGGACGTCCTTTTCCTCTTTGACGGGGTTGAGCGCTACGTAGCAGGTCTTCTCCTTGATGATCCGAACGAGTTCCTTTTCGGCTGATGTGTGGAGGTGGTAGCCTGCTTTGCGGAGGTGCGTTTGGAGGTTCTCGGTGACATCCCGCCCCGCGACGTCCACACGTCGTATCGCGTTGGGCATCGAGAACCCTTCGTAGACCGGCACCGCATGTGTCACTCCATCGCCCGAATCCAGCACAATCCCCGTTGTCCTGCCCGAAGAATACAGACTCAACACCGCCTGAATGCTCGTAAACAGCGCTGGGACGTTGAACGTCTCGAAAAAGATCTGCGCTGCCATGTCGCGATTGCTCCTTGGGTTCAGTGGTGCCTCGGTGAGCAGCACGGGGTGCTCCTCCGAAAGTGTCTCGAGCTCGTCCGAGTAGACATGATTCCAGATGCGTTCCATGTCCTCCCAGTCCGTGACAATGCCGTGCTCCATGGGGTACTTGATCTTGAGCAGCCCGCGGAGCTCTTGTGCTTTGCGCCCAATGAAGAGGTCCCCTTCAATTGCACCTGCCATCACTCGTGGGTGCTTGGGTCGACCCACGAAGCTCGGGAAGAAGCATTTCGGCGCATCTTGCCCAGCAAAGCCGGCCTTGATCGAGCCAGAGCCGTTGTCAATGACTACGGGCTGGTTCGTAAGGACGTCGTCGAACTCGTTGCCCGCCATGCTGTGCTATGTGATTTCGCCTGGGCTGCGCTTGCGCTGACGATGCAATATACGACTATCCGTAGGCCGAAGTGCGAGAGATCGACGTGGTGTGCTGAAGGTCAACGGTTGTGGCGTGAGATGGCCGCAATGAGTGTGATGTGGAAGAAGCAAGGAGTGCAGAGTGACACTTTGAAAAGGTGTTGGTTTGAGCTCGCGTGTCTGTTGCTCTTTTGTGTTGGTCACAGACTGACTGCGCGCACTGACACGAGACACACTCAAATTTCAACTCACTTTGACCGCGTCACACTCACCGACTTCCGAGATGGCTTCTCCAATCTTCTCAATGTCTTTGTCTTTGCGAGAGACGGCACGCTGTTTTCATGAGCTGCAGCAGAGATCTCAACCGAGAAACAGGATGGCCTACTGAAGATTGACAAAGCATCCTCCATCGACCAGCACCGAGCTGCCAGTCATGAACTTGGCAAGGTCCGAAGCCAAGAATAACACGGGCCCTGCAATGTCATCTGGCCTTCCGAGCCTCCTCAGCGGATGCCTATTGACCATCCTTTCCCTCTTCGCTTCATCCCTGAGATCCTCCTCATTGATCGCCGTCTCGATCGTCCCCGGTAGCACGCTGTTGCACCGGATCCCAAGCGGGCCTAATCCGATAGCAGCCGACTCCATCATGCTCTTCAACCCGGCCTTCGTTGGCGTGTAGTGACTCTGGAACTCTCCCCCGACCAGCGCCGAGATGGAGGCGATCGCGATGATGGATCCGCCTCGCGGACTCTGACGCGACATGAGTCGTGCTGCGGCCTGCGTGGCAAAGAACGCACCGTTCAAATTGACGTCCTGCACCTTGCGCCAGGTGGCCGCTTCCATCTCGAGGAAGCCCATGAAGGGGCAGATGCCCGCGTTGGAGACAAACACGTCGAGCCGACCAAACTCCTTTTCGGCTGCGTCGGCGATGCTCTGTCCAACGGCAGCATCGGAGATGTCGCCGGGTACGAGGACGGCTTCGGCGCCGAGCTGCGCTAGTTCTGTCTGCAACGATTGCGCTTCAGTGGTGGTAGCTGCATCTCCGAGGTAATGGACGATGATGCCTGCTGCTCCGTGAGCAGCGCATGCGAGAGCGCAGGCACGGCCGATGCCCCGAGATGCACCTGTGATGGCGACGATTTTCCCGGGAAGCAGGTTTGAACCTGCTATTCCCGGGTTAGAGGCCGCTGCTGGTGCTGCGTTGCTGGTGCTCATTTTAGCCTGCTTTATGCGGATGAGGTCGCTGCTTGTTCGAGACTTGATACTTCGCTGTGATCTCTGGTATGTCGCATGCGATGAGCATGCACCGGCTGACCCTCTTGATTCCAAACAAACTCGCCGCCGAGCTGCTTGAAGTCGCCTCCCTTGAGCGCCTGCGTGCCGGACTTGAGGATCTCGCCGATGCTGCTAAACAAGTTTTGCGTGTAGCTCCCCGTGTGATGCGAGCCGATCTTCTCTTTCGATGGATCACCCGTGGACAAATTCCTCCTCGTCACACCGAGCGCGTGGTAGAGACGCAGCTGCGGGTCCGCGTAGAATGTGAACGGTGGATTGTTGACCGAGTTTCTGTATGCGGTGAGTCCGGATGCTTCGCCGGGGCCAACGATGACGGTCAACACGCGCGATGGATCGGTGAGGATGTTGGATGCTGCGACGGCCCGAACGTACTCCTTGCACATGCCACAGTGGAAGTGGCGCGTGAAGATAAGGACGAGAGGAAGCTGTTTCGCCTTGGCCTGGTCCTGGATGGAGGAGAAATCGACCTGGTTGCCCTGGTTGTCGAGGACGTAGGCTGCGTTGGCGGCTGAGAGCTGCTCGGAGGTGGGAAGTGCGTCGTCCTGGCTGGAAGATGTGGTGGACATGATGGAGGTTCGTGGACGGGAGGCGATGGAGTGTGGGGTGGGAGGAGCAAAGCGTGGGGGAGTTGGGGGGGGATGAAACTCCGAGTGGGAAGGGAGAGCGCGGTGAATTTATAAGCGTGCGAGCACCGAGCTCCCGGCACAATCAGCCAGGGGCAGACAGGGAAAAGTGGCCGGCGAGCGTGGACAATGCAGCTGGCACGGCGCTTACTGTCGTGGAATGACAAGCACAGTCTCACGACCCTTAGCGCAACAACAAGATGAAGCTCATCTGGGCTCATATCCCGGAATAGAATGGGACGCACTCGTCAGTCGTGGTCGACGACCGCCTCCTTTCGGGCACCACCAGGAACGGCGAGTCAATGAGCTTGCGAACCGACTTCGATGGACTAGCGAGCAGTCGAGAGCTGATTGTCAAACGGACGAGCAGAGGTATCAGTTTCAACTTCATTGAGCATGCGTTGTTTCTAATGAATGGGCGAGAACTCGAGCGGCTGTGCGTAGGAAGTGGCAGGTGAGGTGTCAGTGTGTGTGTCTCCGAGGTCGAACAAAGCTTCATCACAAATGTTGCACTTACCGTCCGTGGCTGCCTCCAAGCGAGCCAGTCGCTCGTCTCTGTCGGCAAGAGGCCCATGCTCCAGCACTTGTAAAGTCCCAGTGTGATGCCCGCCAGCTGGCAGGCGATGAAAAGAAGCTTGGGTAGCAACAGGCTTTGTCCGGGCGAAGAAAGGCGATCGAAAGCTGTGTCAGAAGTCAGATGGAAGGGTCGGGTCAGCATCCGTCTCCGTGGCATATAACGAAAGACCGTCGGAAAGCTTACCGTTGTTCATGCTCGAGATGCCTCTCAACGGGCCAGTGATGAGCATGCCTACCGCCATCATACTGAAGATCTGTACACCCGATCCGGACATGTACAGCATGATCGCGTTCATGGGTAGCGACTTTGCTGGCGAGTATGCTAGCTCCCATGCCTTTGCCATCTTGAGTGCTGCTGGATCTGCACGTTTCTGTGCTACCGCCGACGAGGACTTCGACTTGGACTGCTTCTGCGAGTGGGTTCGGCAAAGGGTGAGGGCGAAGGTGAGCGACTTCGACTGAAATGCTGTCCAGCGCAACAGCACCGAGCTTACCTTACTGACGGCGTCTGGGTCTGTGAAACCAATGGGATCCGGCAAGTCTGATGCTTTCGATCTGCAGTCGTGGCAACAAGATTGAGGGAAAGAGAGCTTCGGTCAGCGTGACCATTCCCTCACAAACCATTGAGCGGCGCTACTCACTTCGATGTGCTTGCATAGTTGACGCGGAATGCCGAAAGCGGCTGTTGTTGAGTCTTCGACATAGCAGCTGTATATGATACCTGCCCGCTTCGCGATGCAGTGTTGCTGATGGTCGATGGCAGAGTGTTGGAAGAAGCTGGCGGCGTGATGCAGGAACACGGTCAGTGCGCGGTGTGTCTTTCTAAGGGTCTCTCAATATCTCGCGCGACTAAAATTCGCCCAGTCAGGCCACTCACCCCTGCTCAGCCGCGTCTTCGATATCTGTCCAAGCTGCTCCTCAACGCTGCCGAACGCTTCGTCACGAAGGCCTCATCGCTGGCGACCTCACCGAACGATACACGTCTGTATTACCAGTGAACGTGTAGACTTTGCGTGTATGTCAAATGTTCGTGCGTGCTACGGTCTCACTCGTCGTGATGACCTTTTTACATGTCTCGGACAGCCACAAGATGAAAGATATCGAAACTGTCTGGTGTCGTTTTGTATTGTTCAAGAGATGCGAAGCGATGCTATCGACACAACGATTTATGCGGCAACGGCGCTGGCGGCCTGGTGAGCGATGTGAGCCTTCTGCTCGCTCGAAGCATGGGTGCCGTTGACACGCGAAGCCTCGGCCTTGCGCTCCCTGAGGAGAGCCTCGGGATCAGCGCCAAGGTCACCGGCATCAGCGTAGGCGTCGAGACCGACACCGTCGCCGCGGCCGGTCTTCCTGACGTAAGCCTTGTGCACAGCGAGCGACTTGATGAACTCGTCCTCCGAGATGTCGTTGGCAAAAACGCACTTGCCCAATGGCTTAGCGAGAACGAATCGCTGCAGACCGTCACGGGTCTTCTTGATCGCCTCGTTACCCTCGAGGATGAGGGCATCCGTGAGCAGAGGGTGGTCGACCGAGAGACCAACGCTCTTGGCCAGACCGAACCACTCGTCACGGTCAGCGTCCGAGATGTAGCCGCGCATGTGGGCGAGGGTGATGGACCAGGCCATGTCGATGGTCACGGCGTGACCGTGACGCAGAGGAGGGAAGGGAGCAAGCTCAAGGGTGGGCGAGATCGAGTGACCGTTGGCGATCACACGGTCAAGACCGATCTCGTGCAGGTTGGGCGACTCGAGGTCGAGCATGCCCTTGATGGCGTTGCGGCAGATGGTGTCCGCAGCCTCCTTGAGCTCCTTGGCACCGGGACCGGTGGCGTTACGGCCGTAGGCGGTGTTGACGAGGTCCTCACCGTACTTGACGAGCAGACCCCAGGTGTACTTGTCAGTGCAGTGGAGGATCTTGATGAGCTCGGCGGTACCGTTGCGGGTCTGGCCGATGGGAAGCGTCTTGAGGAAGTCAAAGTCGAGGAAGGTGTGCATGGGAGCGTGGTAAGCACCCAGACGGTTCTTGAGCTTCTTGTGGTTGATGCCGACCTTGATCGAGATGGCAGCGTCGATCAGGGCAATGAGGGTGGTGCCGACACGGATGTAGTTGGTCGATCGGCGGTACGAGGCGCAGGCGTAGCCGAGCACATCGGAGGCGAGACCACCACCGACAATCAGAACGGGCTCCTTGCGGATCAGACCGAACTGGTCCATGGCATCGACAAAGCCGAGCATGGTGTCCATGGTCTTGTGAAGCTCGCCGCCCTTGAAGACGTGGAGAGTGGGCTTGATGTTGTGGGCGTTGAAGTCTGTGGAGGAGCAAGTGGCAGCAAGAAGAAGCAAGGTCAGTCTCTCGTTCTCTCGTCATCGTGTCTTCTCACAGCGACACACCTGCCCGTGTCGTTTTCACGCTGCGGCAGCAAACTGTGAAGAGAATGAGTGCTACTTACAAGCCCTGATCGAGTCACCGTAGATCTCGTTGAGGTTCTCGTCAAGAACGCAGAGAACGCGGCCCCACTTCTGGTAGTAGGAAGCGAGGTCCTCCTTCTTCTGGTCGAAGACGTTGTCGACGAACGAGTAGGTGTACTTGAGGTCCTCGTAGCCCTGAATGCTGTAGCCGGGGCCAGTAGCGTTCGCGGTAGCGGGCACCTCAGTAACGGTAGCCCGCATGTCGGAAGAAATAGCACCACCGCAGCAAGCCATTTTGACGAAGTTGTGTGTGGGTGAAGGGAGCGTGGAAGCTGAGCAAGGAAAGGATGCGGTTGAGCGAATGTGCTTGTCAATGAAGACGAAGAGAGTTGAAGCTCGGATGAGAGAGTGACTGGTTGGTGGTAGACCAGAAGAAAGAGGAGGACGAGTACGAGCTTGTCTTTATAGCAGGGGCACGATCAGGGTGGCTCATGCAGATCTTCTCACGACATTTGTTCAGCCGTCGACGGGGAGGGTGGAGGCATTTGACTGGCAGGTAGCAGGCGGTGTATGCTACTCGCGGGCATTCGACCAGTGTGTCGATATTCAGCCTGGCTGCGATGTGTAAGCGGATGCTCGCCTAGTTCGGGCAGGTCAAGCTAGGGACTGGCACGTTGAAGGGGTTGTCAACCTAGGTCCATCGAGGGATGGGCAGGGTTCACGAGAGGCACAATGGCACAGGTTGAACCTTCCCGGCACGCTCAGCTAAGAGCTCAGTCAGGGCGGCAGAGCAGGCGAGGAGCATACAAGAGCGGGCGAGGAGCACATGAGCAGAGTGAGGGATCGTCAGAGCGGAAGAGGAGTGGAGAGGCTTGATGGCGAATACGTAAACTTTTTGGAAGGAATGGCTGTCGAATAGGGCCGTGCACCGGAGAGGACCCTATTTCCTGGAGAAGGATCTTCTTGTTTGCTTCTGTTGCTGCTGTGGCTGCCGCGCCGATGGACGCAGTTGAACGGTGGTACGAGGTCTAGCAAGCCACCCGTAGATCAAGCAAGGACAGGCGGGAGAAGAGCAGAGACCCTTGCCCTGTTTTCCGCAGACGTGATGCAGTGCTTACCTCAAGCTGCGATCTCGTGCGCCTCTGTGCATGTCAACCAGCGCGGGCTTGCACATGTGCAACCCGACGCCCTGGCTTCCTGATCCACTTGCGCTCGCTGCTATCACTGCCGCTCCCGCTTTCGCTCGCGAGCATGGAGTATGAGATCCCAGGCAAAGCTCATTCTCATGCCTCTGTGCCGGCTCGGTTCAGCTACTGAGCAAAAATGGAAGCTGTCGGCGAAGACCTGCTAGAGTAAGGAGGAGGGGAGATGTAGCTTTCGATCTAAGACTGGCTCTCGGCAACTGCAAATAGCGGCAACACATTACTGAGTCTTGCAGCCGATTCAGGGTCCTTTGAGCAAGAAGATCAATTGTCTTGACACGAGGCTTGTGAGGCCAGGCAGCACAGGGTGCTTCGACTTGAACGAGGGGGCAAGTGACTTGGCGAGGAGGGGTGAAACACTCGCTTTGGCTCATGGCGTAAGACTTGGAAAGTGCAATACAAACGGAGGCGGAAGCAGCTGTCATTCCTCAGCCAAATGCCGGCTGTGAAGGCGGAAGGCATGTAGGCAGTGTCGACGAACTCGAGACCTAGAGGTGAGCGCACTCCATTGTCGCCATTCTGGGCAAAGCTGACGAGGAGCTTGGGAACCAGACGAAAGAGAGGATGAGCTTGACGCGGCCAACCTCGAGTCTCGAGAGTCCAACGTCGATCCAAGCCTGCAGATGGCTCACGCAAGCAAATGGCGGCCAATAGGTGCAGGCACTAGGTCAGTGTTGCCGCTGACTGGCTCGAGAAGGAATGCAAATCGAACAAAAGAAAATGAAAAAATAAAGTAAAATTGGATGCGAATTTGGACATGGGGAATTTCTTCCTTGACAACGGCTCTGCAGTTGACAGACGGAGAGAAGCGACTTTAGAAGCCTAGCCTTTAGGTGGCGCCTGTTTCCGGTCTGTCGTGTGAGAGCTCGAGCCAGGTAGTAAGGCCGATACGTACGCTAGTCGAAGATGGGTCAGTACAGCGCAAGGCAGATGTCGGTGTGGACCGAACAAGCACAGCTCGCGACCAGGCCGGCAGAGGAAACCAGAGTGCAGGCCGGAAAGCCCGAGGGTGCACTGAGCTGCTAAGCTAGCCTCACGTTTTGCGTGAGAATAAGACAACGCGCCAAGACGGGGCGAGCCGATGCCTTCTCACTTTCTCGTCTCTCGGCGTGACCGGTTCTACACCACTCATCCAAAGCGGTCCCCCCGACGCAGACCTCTCAATAGCGAATGAAAGTAAGAGCGAGCACATGACCTTTTTTCATGTTCGCCCGTTCATCAAGAGCTTTAACTGGATGTTGTGCCTCTCAATGGGTCGATGAAAGAGAAGTCATGCCGTTCTGCAGCTTCTGTTGGTCCCTCTCCACGCCGTAAAGACACAAAGAGAGAAGGGAGATGAGGGCCATGTCAATCAAAATAGCAAACAAAGGCGGACGGAGATGGAAGACAGGTCAGGGTCCTCGTTTGGATACAGGCTGCATGCAGATTCGGTGCATCGTGCATCATCGAGCAGGCTGCACGCCTGAGACACCTTCTCCGGACCCGTCTTGATTGAAATTGCTTCATCTCACGACATCAAGCGCGAGAATGCATCCCGTTGGCACAGCCCTGTGCACAGAGCATCTCTCGAGGGCGATCAGGTCCGTGCGCTTTCTTCCTGAGACTGCATTTCTTCCATTTTGGCCATCCCGAGTCTCGAAAGCGCATCAACCCGAGCGAAGTTGTGATATTTTGGCTTATACGGCACAGCTTTCAGCCTTTGCAGAAGGGGTGGACGGAGAGAGACACAGCGAGACACGCCCTTATTCATCTTGCAGCACGACGAGCAAAAAAAGTGTAGCGAGGGCTAGGGCGGAAGCGAGGCGAGGCCGCGAGGGCGACATCAGCCTGAGCTGCAAAGCAACCCGCGACCTTCGCTGTTGTGGCGCTTCCCTGGTCTGACAGCCGGCGCGCCGGGCGCCGTCTCCGATCTTGGCTTAGGAAAGCATGCAGAAATTGACAGCCGTGAACCCCACGTTTTTGTTTCGTGGCTCGTCGATCCTTCGCCTCTCGCTCGCTCCTGTGCTCTTCGCTCTAAGAATTGCTATGAATTCGCTTCAGCTCATCTCAGAGCTTCTTCATGCTCATAGAATGGGTCGAGGGGACGGCAGCTATGCCGAGTGATGACTCGTGTTGTGTGGAGGGAATCTGCTCGTTGCGAACGGGACTCCGGACCCCGCAGGCACGGACATTTTTCCAGCACGCGGTACAGAGCGAGATCGACGCAAAGCGCATCAGGCACGGTCCATGCGAGGACAGTCGGCAGAACCACGCACGACGGGTCCATTGCCGCAAGCGCAAAGCGTTGCAACGCCGCCTCATGCAGGTGAGCATCGCCAGGAGCAGCCATTCGCCGTCCTGCGCGTCGTCGGTGCGGGCTCACGCGCTGACAAAAGGCTGCATAACATACCCGGCCTGCCCGTTTCTTCGATGAGACCCTGAGAAAGGATCGGAATGGCACTCCGATTCCTACTTTTTCGCCAGTCTGGTCTCAATCGGCACAACAGTCGGCCGGATTGCCCGGTCTAACAGCGACAACTTTGTGAGGCTTCTCGAGTCGTACTGCGCTTTTCGCAGCCTTCATTTTGCAGCATCATTTCTCTGTCAAGACGTTCGGATACGTTGAATTGCGCTCACCACCAACCTTTGCTAGCGATGAAGCTGTCCACCTTGTCCTTCTGCTGTCGCACAATCTGCAGCGCATAGTCGCTGTCGTAGACATCGTACCATCCGGGAGCCTCGTGCGGCGGGTCGCCAGCCCACCACATGCCAAACTCATTCTGCCTCTGCTTCTCTGGCCTGTAGATCCCCCCGTATGCCCAGGGAGCAGTGCCAATGAAGCTGCCCGTCGTGCGCATGAAGCTTTTCACCGCCAACCCGATGATATGGCTGAAGTACTCGTCCTTGTTCCTGGTCGTTGCCTTGCTCGCATACTGGTACTGTCCGGCGGTGACGTTGTTCTGCCAGTTATCGCGCGCCATGCCGAACTCCTCCAGGAAGACCGGCTTGCCGATTTGGTGGCCCCACCGGGAGGCGTTGCCGACGAACTCACTCGCAAACTCCTTCGCCTGCACCAGGTTGGCGCGGGAGGAATTGAGCATGTCGTACACCTCCCAGTTCTGCACCCAGCAGTGGATCGTGCCGTAGTCGACGTTCTTCGGCGAATGAACGGCCTTCCAGTACCACTCGCCTTGCTTGCCTTCGAAGCCCGTCGAGATGAGCTGGTGCGGGGCTAGCGAGCGGATGTAGGTCGAGATACGGTCTATCCAGGCTAGCAGCGGGTCGGACGGGTTGGGCGCGTACTGCAGCTTGTATGGACCTAGGAGGTTGGCCTGATTGGCAGGCTGAGGCTCGTTCGCCAGCTGCCACGTCATGATCGTCGCATCCTCCTTGTACAGTCGACCGTTGACCGTGTTGCGCCGGTGGATGACCTTGTAAATGTGCGCTTTGAACATCTTCTCCGCGGCAGCGTCGGTGTAGATGCGATTTCCGTAGGCAGCGTAGTCGTTGAAGCTGCCGGTGGTGGTATAGTTGCCCCAACCTCTGCCGGGTGCACCGCCCCGCTGAGGGGCAGCAGTGAAGTTCCAGCTAGGGGGATAGTCGTACGTCTCATTGCCATTGGCCCAGCTGACATACTGCGCGAACCCACCAGACCACTGCCACTGGTCATTGAGCGTCATCGTCGCCCGCATGCCGCGCTTGGCCATCTCCGCCAGACACCTGTCCAGCCCGACAAAGATCTTCTCGTTGTATACGCCGGGCGAAGGCTGTAGTGGCGGATCCACGCGGAACGGCTGTGGCGTAGGTGCGCCCTCGGAACCAGACATGATGCGCAGGTGATTGATGCCCGCCGCCGCCATCTGGTCCAGCTCTTGGATGAAGCGGTGGTACGAGCCGCCAGCGTCAGAGTCCGCCGCCAGGTTCATGCAGGCCCAGTAGTTCATGCCCGTTAGATAGTGCGAATTGTGCAATGAGTCTCGCAGTCGAAGTTTGTCGACGCGGATGAAGTCGTGAGCTGCCACGGGCGTCGGCGTGCGACGAGTCGAGAGGGCATCTGTGGGAGCGGCTGCCGCCGGCACTGCAGTGAGCAAGCTCGCGAGGCTTACAGCCACGGTCGCCAAAGAGGCGCTTTCGAGAAGCCTCATCTTGATGTCAGTACGGGAGAGGTTCGTGGAGACGAAGCAAGTAGGTGTCGGAACAGCGACGCTGACTATATATGCGCTCGACACCCCTCATTGAGAACCCTCGAGGCACGTATACATGCTCAACTTTGAGTCAAAACCACGGGAATCACAAACAGAGGGGCCGAGCAGCTCACGAGACCAACACTGTTCTGAGCAAAGTTCGCCGCGTTGCTGTCAGGCGCGGCGCTTGGCGAGTCTTTCGAGAAGCGCTGCCCTTGTATGCACGGGGATTTCGCCGGAACGCGACCGCATCTGATTCTTCTCCACGACCTTAGTACAGACCAAAATTGCACCGAACACTGCTCCTTGCTGTCCGCTTGGATGGCGATCAGGAGGCATCATAGAGCAGATTCCTCGACGTGGGGGCGAAAGCAAGATTCCCGGCGCTAGACTTTGGAGCGTCGATTGACCGGTCATCCTCGCTAAAGCTTATTTTTGGACGCCGGGTGGAGACGCTGCGAAATTCGCCGACGGCCGACGCCCCGCATTTGCCGCCTGAAAGACGTCAGGGCACATCCTCTCACACAGGAGCACGAGTCGGGTGGAAAAGGGGCTGCCAGATTGCTGGTGCAGCCATGATTGATGGCAAGGAATCAACGAGCGTGGACAGCGCCTAACTCAGAAATCGCCGATATCGTCGTCGGATAGGATCAAATGCTCCGCCTCCTCTTCCTGATCCTCCTTTGTCGGCGATGCCTTCCTCTTCGTCGCTTGCTTCTCCTGTACCGATCGCTGCTCTGGCAGCTGTTCGTCGTCGTCCTCCACTACGACGCCAGTCTCATGCTCGTCCAGGGTTCTAGACGCGATATCTGCTACCCCGGCGTATTCGAAGCGCATCCTGGCCAGCTCGTGCACCTTGCTGTCCACACCAGAGGGTTGAATCTTTGCGAGAAGTGGAAGAACCTCAGTGACGAGCGTCACCGGGTTGCTGTGGAGGAGCGTGGCTCGTGTCGCCTCTTCGCCAAGCCCCGCATCTGTTCTCTCGACCTCGTCTAGGGAGGTAGGCTGATTGAACTTGGTCCTCTGGAACCGACCTCCGCCCGCGTCTTCCCTCTCGACACGGCCCGCGCCGCCAGTCGAGGACGCCTTGATATCCTCGACATCCTGCAACAAGACCCTGAGCTTCTTTTGCACGTCCCACCAGGTCGCCTTGCCCAGCTTCTGCCCGTTTCGAGGCACCGGGCTGGGCAGATGTAGCAGCGTGCCCCTCGTCGATATGAGAAAAGAGTAGTAGGCTGAGAGCGATGAATGGCGGTACTGCTCGTGCAGAGGTGTCAGCACATCGGCTGTGCTGAACGCCTCGAGGATGTCTTCGCACTGTTCGACCTCGGTGCAGAATTGCGGAAAGTTTTGATGCAGATAAAGCTGGAAGACGGAAGAGTCGACAGGCAAGTCGGCCCAGAGTTGATCGGGTGCCACACGTGAAGTCCGCCGGTCCAGATGCGAGAAATGCTCTGGTAGTTCGCGGAGGCTGCCCTCGTTGGAAGGAGCCTGAACGATGGACCGCATGGCGCGTGTCAATCGCGCCTCGAGCTCGACCCTGTCGATGAGATCGTCGCCACCGCCTTCGTCTTCGTCGCTGTCGATGGATTCGTTTGCGATAGCCCTGCCGTTCGTCCCGCCTCCGTCATCGTTCGGATCACCCTGCCGCTTGTTGTACAGCACCTTGCCCAAGGCATGAAACAGAGCAAGAGAGCTCTCCCTCCCCGACACTAACGGCATCAACTTCCGCATGGCTTTTCTCGTATCTTCTGCCTTTCGGGCGCCCTTTTGCTTTGTAATCGCCTCGAAATGCTTGCTGTTTGCTCCGACGAACTGCAGACAGTTGACTGCAGCCCTGAGATCGCCATTCGAGTCTTCAGCGATGGCCTGCAGCAGCTCAAGCCACATTTTCGAGCTGGCTTTGCCTCTTGACGAAGGTGCTAGCTCGACAGCTCTTTTCAGACCCTTGAGAACGATTGTTGGTGCGACCGGATTGAATCTGACCTCAGTGTAAGCGGGATGCTTTCGGATGCCCTCACCAAGGGCCGTGCGAGTGTCCATGATGGATGCGATCCTGTCTCTCCAGGTGTTGCCGGACGAGTCGCCAGCCCATCTGTCCTCGTCCTCCCTTGGCGTGCTCTCTGTGACGATCAAGATGATGGGCACGTTGGCGAATCCTCGAGACGAAAGCTGCATCGACTGCTGGATGTACTGCTCGATGGACGCCTGGAAGAGCTGCTTGGTGGGCAGATGGTGCAAGTTGGGCATGTCCTCCAGCAAGATCACTCTGCGCCGGTTGGTGGGCTGTGCGGAGTCGATGGTGAGCGATGAACTGGATGCATCTTCGTCAGAGGCATGGAAGTCCAATGTGGGAAACTTGGCCGCTTTGGAGAGGAAGTCGGTGAACCGTTCGATGAAGGAGGAGCCGGGCGCGTTGGGGTCGAACGACGGCTGGTCATTATGCCATTCGAGGATGTCAAAGTCGAGATCTGATGCGGAAGCCAGCGCACGGATTGTCGCTGACTTGCCGGCTCCAGCTGGACCAGTCAAGGCAAGGACTTTGCGATACTTATCCAAAGCGGGCTTGGAGGAGAAGGCCTCTTCCAGCCAGCCACGCACCTGGGCTACCTTCTTGGGATGGATGGCCAGCTCGTCGGCACCTTTGGGCGCCAATCTCTCGGACCAGAGACTGCTGGCCTCATCAACCTCGCTCTCCTCCTCGACTATAGTCGGCTGCTCCTCCTTCTGTTTTCCCTTTTCGACAGCTGTTGGCAGCGGAGGTGGTATCGTGGCTGCCGAAGTGGCCCCTGGCAAGCCAAAAGAAGGTGTGATGCTGAGCGGTCTAGAAGCGAATGGCCTTGCTGTCGATGAGGTGGAATGCAGCGAAAAGTCGAGCTTATTCTGTTTGAGCTTGCCCTTGCTCGACGAGGATGAGGAGGATGTGTTCGAGTTGCTGGAGAGGGTCCGTTGGAAGGTCCTCTTGGGTGGCATTCTGACTGCTGCTGCAACTTGGACAATGACAGCAGGCGGTCCTGCGTCTTGTGTGCAGCAGCGTCGATGCTTGTTGAGCGGAAGCAAGTGGTGGTGCCACCAGCTTCTTTGTGATATGAAATAGCCGCAAGATGGACCCGCACAATGGCTGAGTCGGCCGGATTGCATTTTGGTGTTGGTTTCCTGAGACGCGAATCCAAAAAGTGTTGTTCTCCTTGTTGAAAAAACAGGGCAGCACAGCGCAGTGCACAATTTCTTACGGTCTGAGTGTGAGAAGAATATTCTTGGCAGCAGATGGCTTTGTGTCGGTCCAAAAAACAAAGCTCGGACCACGTTTGCCGCTGTGCTCGCCTGCAAGCGCCTCAGTTCTAAATTTTTCTTGATTTTGCGCAGAACTGCACACTCCGCCACGTCCTCCAATCTTCCTTCTCAAACTCATCCTTCATCTTCCTCTTCTTCATTTATACCCCATCGAGCCTCTGCCAGATAGTCCGACCGACTGTCTCAAGGCTACACACATAACTCAATATGGACGCCCTCGTTCAAGTCTTCACTCACTCGTTGGATCCTAATCCCAACTCTCGAAAAGCCGCCGAGCTCGAGCTAAAGAAAGTCGAGGCCCAAGATGGCATGCTATCCTCCGTCTTTCAGATTGTCGCTGCCACCCAAGTCGATATCTCAGTAAGGCAAGCTGCTGCCGTCTACTTCAAGAATCGCGTCCGCCGGCATTGGGACGCGACACCTGTGCGTGGCGCTCCAACGGCAGTAGTCATCCCACAAGGCGACAGGGACGCCATCAAGGCCAACATCCTCCAGACGCTTGTCGACGCTCCGACACAAATTCGTGTCCACGTCGCAAACGCACTCGGCACCATCGCGAGATGTGACTTTCCCGACCAGTGGCCCACACTCATGGATCAGATCGGACAGCTGCTTCAGAGCCAGGAGCCACAGCAGGTCTACGGTGGTCTGCGCGCGCTTCTAGAAGTCGTGCGAGCCTACAGGTGGAACAACGGTGTCAAGATGATGGAGCAGCTTGCACCAGTTACTTTGCCACTCATCCTGCAGACTGGCAGGAATCTGCTCGACTCAGACAACGCCTCATCTGCACAGGTCGGCGAGATTCTCTATGTCATCCTCAAGGTCTACAAGACGTCCATGCACGCAGAACTGACTAAGCACCAGCAATCGCACGAATCCATCGTACCATGGGGCACCTTCCTGCTGCAAGTCGTACAGAAGGAGATCGACCCTTCGCAGCTGCCCTCGGACGACGACGCCAAGGAGGTCGCTCCCTGGTGGAAGGCAAAGAAGTGGGCGTTCCACTCGCTCAACAAGCTCTTCTCCCGCTACGGAAACCCATCGCAACTGCCCTCGGACATGAAGAACTACAAGCCCTTCGCCGACAACTTCGTCCAGACCTTCGCTCCCGAGATCCTCAAAGTATACCTCCGCATCGCTGACGCCAACAGCCAGGGCAAGATGTGGATCTCCAAGAAAGCCTTCTACTTCCTCTGCATGTTCTTCACCGAATGCGTCAAGCCCAAGGCCACCTGGGCGCTGCTCAAGCCGCACGTCCTTCAACTCACACAGTCGTTCATCTTCCCGCGCCTCTGCTTCAGCGAGGAAGACGACGAGCTGTGGGAGCTCGATGCCGTCGATTTCGTCCGTGCCAACCTCGACCCTTTCGAAGAGATCGGCTCCATCTCTGGCTCAGCAGCCACGTTCGTCCAGACCGTCGCCTCCAAGCGAACTAAGACGTCGTTCATGCCTCTGCTCGAGTTCGTCACCTCGGTGGTCAACGCCTATCCCGCGCAGAGGAGCGCCAAGGAGAAAGACGGAGCGTTCCACCTCTGCCGTGCGATGGATCTCACCATGGTTAACCACGAAAAGGTGTCTGGCATGCTCGACTCGTTCTTTGCGCAGCACGTGATCCCAGAGATGAAGAGCGAGCACAAGTTCCTTCGATACCGCGCCTGCGACCTGGTCAAGGCGTTCGACCTTCAAGGCGTGCAGTGGAGCGATAATGCGACGCTCGAAGCCGCTTTCCGCGGTGTTATGGACTGCATCGGCGACGCCGAATTGCCCGTCCGTGTGGTGGCTGCCGAAGCCATCGGCTCGCTCATCGATCACGACGAGGTGCACGCCGCCATGGCGCCCAACGCAGCGCGTCTCATGCAGGAGCTCCTCAAGCTGTCCGACGAGACGGACCTCGACATTCTCTCTCCGACCAAATCCAAAGTCGTCGCCAACTTTGGCGAAGAACTGCTTCCCTTCTCGATCCAGCTCACCGAGCAGATGGCCGAGTCGTACCTGCGTCTGGTCAACGAGAACCTCGAGAGCGCGGACCGCGATCCGGACGGAACCATGGAGCTCAACGTGGACAACCACGAGGACGACAAGTTGTTCGCCGCCATGGGCTGCCTCAACACCATCTTCCAGATCATCGCCTCCGCCGAGTCCAAACCGGACATCCTCGAAAAGCTCGAAAGTGTCGTTCTGCCCATCGTCGCCTTCACGTTGGAAAAGGACTGCGTCGAGCTGTTCGACGACTGCCTCGAGTTGACCGACACGCTGACGTACTACCAGAAGAAGGTCAGCCCGGGCATGTGGCACATCTTTACGTTGATCTACAAGAGCTTCAAGGGACCAGGGATTGATTATTTGAGCGAGATGCTGCCGACGATCGACAACTGCGTCTCGTACGGTGTCGAGGTGGTGCAGGCGTCGGCGGAGTACAAGTCGATGTTGGTGGATATCTTTTTGACGGCGATGACGTCGGATCAGTTGGGCATGACGGATCAGGTGGCGGCGTGCAAGTTGGCGGATGTGATTCTGTTGTTGTTGCGCGGTGGGGTGGACGAGGCGTTGGCGCGCATTGTGCAGGCTGTGCTGCCACACACGGTGGATGAGGAGAAGATCAAGGCGGACGTGCGCAAATGGTCGATCATCGTGGTGCTCGATGCGCTGGTCTACAACGCGGGGGCGACGCTGCAGGTGCTCGAAGCAGCGAACGCCACCACGGCGCTGTTCGGCGCGATCACGTCGTTGCTGCCCAAGCTGACACGCGTGCACGAGAAGAAGGTCGCCTCGTCGGCCATCATCCAACTGCTCGCGCTCGAACCTGCCTCGCTGCCCCCGGCGCTGCAGAACAACCTCGCGCCCTTCCTCGTCGCCCTCGCCACCCAGCTCGACGGTCTTCCGGAAGCCATCAAGAAGCGCAACGAGCTGCTCGAGGCCTTCGAGAACGACGAAGACGAGGAGGACGAAGACGAAACCTCCTTCGCCTCGTCCTCCGCGCCCAACGTCGACACGTCCGGCTTTGAGGACGTCGACGACGACAAGGACGTGGTGGACGAAGACAACGAGTATCTCGAGATGTTTGCGCGCGAGCGGGCCAAGCTGCGCGCGCGAGCCAACGGCGAGGAGCTCGAAGACGATGATGAGGAGGACGACTTTGAGGAGGATGACGAGGAGGACGAGCTGAGCTACGAGAGCCCCATGGATGCCGTGCCGGTGTTCGAGCAGTTCAGGGCGCTCTTGTCGAGCTATCAGACGCAAAGGCCGGAGGTATGGGAGAGGATCACGAGCCAGTTGACGCCGGATCAGATGCAGTTGATTCAGCAGGCGAGCCAGGGCAAGGATGAGCGCGTCAAGACGTTGTAGTAGCACGCACTCTGTATGCCGATGTCAATGCTATTGCTTGATTAGAGTTCCACCGCGGTCTTTCCGTATGAAGTCTGAGCTTAACTTTCGCAGACTGCAGGAACGGTCAAGACTGTGCCAGCTGATCGACGACCTGCTGCTGCCTCTCCTCTCCCAGCGGGAATGCCAGTCCGTCCTCGCCCTGATCCACCCCGCTCACCAACCCGCGCAACGAGATATCATACACAATCTCCTCGATCTTCTTGACATCATACTGCAACGTCACACACCAATCACGAGAATCAGTGTCAGCGATCCGCTCCTTCCTCTGTGCTATGAGACCGCCGTTAAACGTACCTTTATACTATCGAAGCGCTTCCGCAGACTATCATTCTTGAGATTCAACAGCTGAAAACCCGCATGGACCTGCTTGACGAAGCTGGCCAGCCGGACGGGGGTGCGGAAGTCGCCGAGGGTGACGCTGTTGACGGCGAGGCGGGGGAGGTCGTTGATGGTGTTGATGAGCGCATGCAGGTAGTCCTCTGTCACGAGTTGTATTTTGGACGGTGGAAGGCTGGTGAGGCCGAGGATGTGGGCCGCTTGGTGCTTCGTCAGCAGCTCGCCGGTCGTAAGTAGCACGATGAGGATCAGGGAGGAGGTAAGGTTCTTGAGCGGATAGGAGAAGTCGTCGCACCACTGTCCACATCATCGTGATCAAGGGTGTCAGCCTTTGGTCTTTACTTTGGATAAGGGTGGTGCACTTACACGGTAGAACCCGTCCTCGGGGACCATCCTCGCCAAGTCGGCAACTTTCCCCCTCACCTCGTCCCACAACCCCGTCGTCCGCTCCACCACCCGCCCAAACTCGACCCCTTTCACCGAATGTACGCCATTCAACACCGACGATATCGACCGATACAACCGATCCAGCTCCTTGGACTTTTCGCGAATGGCATCCGACAGCTCACGCTCCTGCTCGAGCTGCGCGAAGAGCGGTTCGAATTCGGCAGCTATGCGGTCTTGGGGCGAAGCGAGGGTGGTGCTCTCCACGAGCGAGGTCTGGGTGGTCATGCTGGAAGAACTTTAGTGCTTGCCTTCTTTGCAGAAAAGGCAGGCCAAGATGAAGTAGGTCAGGTCGAAGCAGAGGACCCTCCTGCAGGTGCTGTCCTAAGCTGCCGTTGCTGAGCGGAGCCTGTCACTTTTTTTGAGCGGTTCTTCTTGTTTGCCTTCGAGGAGGCACACAGGTGGAGGTCGAGGAGGGCTGTATTATGTAAGCATTACCACCTGTCAAAGGGCTGGAATTTTTTGCCTCGAACCCTGGGAAATTCGTCAACCCCGCGCCACGAGAAGCTTTTTTGTGTGAGAAGTTTTCCTGTGCAGCGCTCGCCATCAACTCTCGGCCTTGCCTCCCCTCCTCCCCTCAACATTCACCATCGACACACCGCAGCAGATACCTGTGGTCTATAGGCAAGCAACGATGCCATCCAGGACGAAGCCCAGCCCGGCCGCCGCGCCAGCAAAAGCGGTCATTGCGACCCCCTCGACCTCCCAGATCGGCGTCTCGAACAGCAACCTCGACTCTGCCCAGGTTCTACAGGCCTTCCGCGCCCTGTCCGCGCACACCTCGCGTCGCACCACCGTCCCTTCCTCGGCACTCCCCCTCGACGGCGCGTCTGGCAACCTTCGCGATCCGTCCAACGCCGTCTACGTCCAGCTCACCCTCAACACCCTTTCGCCTACATCGCACGTCAAGCCGGTGCGCATCAACCTGCCGCACGCGCTTCACACCCCCGGTGAGGTGTCCGTTTGTTTGCTGGTCAAAGACCCGCAGCGCGAGTACAAGGACTTGCTCGTGGCGCAAAAGATCAAGTGCATCTCTCGTGTTGTCGGTGTCACCAAGTTGAAGGGCAAGTTCAAACCCTTCGATGCACGAAGGGCGTTGGTGCAGGAGCATGACATGTTTCTTGCCGACAGCCGGATTGTTCCCACCCTTCCGAATTTGTGTGGGAAAGTCTTCTTTGATGCCAAGAAGAACCCGCTCACCGTCAACCTCACCAAGCCCTCCCGGCTGGAGGAGGAGCTGGAAGGTGCTATCAAGGCAACCACCTTCACCCAAAACAAGGGAAGCTGTACGACGATCAAGATCGGTTACATGGCCAAACACACTCCGGAGGAGTTGACGGAGAACCTGCTGGCTGCGATGCCCGCCGTGCTCAGCCGCGTCAAGGGCGGATGGGAGAACGTGCACAATGTGGATGTCAAGACGGGCAATTCGGCTGCGTTGCCGGTGTGGAACCAGAAGTTGGGGGTTAAGACGCACGCCACTCCCTCGGTGGAGAAGGTCGCAACGCCCGCGACACCTGCCAAGCGCGTGGCTGAGATCCAGGAGGATGCAACACCCTCCAAGAAGAGCCCGGTGAAGAAGGTCCAACTCGCCGAAACCGCAGCGGTCAAAACACCAAGCCCGAGAAAGACCCGAGCTGCCGCCGCCGCAAAGGCCAACATCGCCGTCGAGGCTGCTGCTACCGCAACGCCCTCCAAGACCCCCGCAAAGGGTACCCCAAAGAAGATCGCTTCCAGCGTCTCGAGGAGCGCCCGCAATGTCAAGTAGTCTTGCTCATGTAGATACGTGTCCTCGTTGCATTTTTTCTCCAAGTCATCTGTTCTATTCATTTGCTACTCTCTGTGAGAAGTGTGTTGTTTGACAATGAGGTCTGCTTTTGCAGCACGAGCAAGTGTGTCAGCGCCGGGCGAGGGCGCAACGTCCAGGCCTGCCTGTCGCGTCCCTTCCCGCTCGGCTTTGTTGATGCAGTCACAACGGGTCGAGGTCTATCCGCCCGGCTGTGCGGTCTCACTTCCCACAGCGCGTTCGGTTCATCGCAGCTTGCTTCGCAAATCGTCACAGAATGTGTCAATCTGTTGGATTCAGAACAAGCATATGCCACCACCAAACGGCAGTGACAGAGAAAGAATGGACAAGGAAGAAACAAAGAGGGTGCGAATACGATCGACGAGGTATTGTGTTTGAACATGTGTATATGTGATTTGCGAGCAAGCTGCTTGTTCTTGGAATGTATGACGGGGGCTCTTGTGGCGGCGGTACGTGAAACCGGTGCCTCTTGCTGACACGGCCCCACCTGTTCCCGGTTTTACAAGTCGAGACCGCTTCAGAACATCACATAGGTGATGGCGAAAACAGCAAAGGCGATTCCGGCGACAATGTGGATGGGCACACCGTCGGCAGAGGCAGTCTGCGTGTTGCCGGACGAGCCTCTGGCCTTTTCGAGCTCCTTCCTGAGCTTGGTCACCTCCGCTTGCAACTCGGACTGCGAGAGGCTCGACACGTCCTTACCGCCAGACGAAGTAGAGCTGCCGCCGCCAGTGACACCGTTGACAGCGCTTGCACCGGCATTCTTGGTAGCAACAGCCGCGGCACCTGCACCAGCAGCAGCAGCACCACCAGCGGCAAAGAGCGCCTCCTTGGCCTTGACAGGGTACGAGCCGTCGGTCTTGGCAGATGCGTTCTGAGCAGCAGCGATGGGGTTGTACGACTGGTAGCTCTCGTCACCGTTGGGCGAACCTCGGACGGTGCTGTACTTGTCGTCGCCGTTGATCTGGCTCTGGTTGCCCTCGTCCTCCTCGGCGAGCGGCGCTGTGGTAGCGGGCAAGTATGCACATCGGATCTTTTGCTCGTGGATTGCCGACTTGTTCTCCTTCTCGATCTGGGGCCAGATCTCCTGCAGCGAGGCGGTCTCGAAGTCGGGCGTGATGATGGTGGACTGAACCAGGAACTTGTCTCGGCACTTGGCAGACGAAGGGGGCTCCTCCTTCATAGGCTGGAGGAGGACCTGGACCTCGACCTTCTCTCCTGGCTCGATACGGCCCGAGTTGGGACGCACGCAGTACTGCTTGGGAGCGGTGGTCTTGACCTTGAAGGCAACAGGCTGGTTGTTGGGGTTAGAGACCGTCAAGGTGCGCTTGACGAGCTGGGTCAAAGGGCCTGTAATGAGAGTCGACAGCAGAGTACAGAAGCATCAGATATGAGGTCAGCAAGCTTCTCAAGGGCTCTGACCAAAGAGATGCGCCATTCATCTACTTACGAGGGAAGCCCAGCTGGACGTGAGGGCTGAGTCTGTTCGTAGGAAGTGCGGCAATGTGGATAAGAAACGGGAAACGTCAGCGATTGTGATCATTGCAGGCCCGCCTGATCAGCATTGCGGCTCGTCTCTGTGGAGTGGCGTGATCAGCGGGTTCGAACCGCCGACCCTTGAGCTGCAGCGATGATAACAGACGCCTCCTGAAAGATTGACTGCCGCAAATGCATTGACCTGGACACCTATGAAGATGTGAGTTGTACGCACTCGACAGACATGGCGACCGATCAGAGCTGTTGAGCGTTTGCGGATTGACGAGAATTGAGACAGCAACGATTCGACGCTAAAAATCGACCGAAGACGACGCTTGCCTCCTGATTTGGCTAGAAGCGGTAAGACGAAGTTGCGGCGTAAGCGATGGGGATAAGCTTGATGGGTCCTGGCAACCGGAGCGATTGTTGGTGGGTTGATGACGATGAGCCAAGACGAGCTGCGAAATCTTTGGGAAGAAAGATGCAACAATCAATGGCGGAGAGGTTGGTGGGAGGGAAAGGTAGATGGCGCGGAAGGATGATGACGATGGAAGACGAGAGTGCGGGGAAGTATTCGAGGCGACTGCGGTTCACAGCGTCTGTCTGAGCAGAGAGAGCCGTGCAAGCGGGCGGCGAGAGTGAAATGAAAGAGGAAGGGTAGCACGCAGTATGCGGTTCACAACTTACAGAGTGTCGGCTAAGTTTACAGTAGCAGCTCAGCAGGGCGTCGAGAGTGTGTGGTGCAAGGTGTGACCAAAGAGCGGTTCCCGGCTTGAGGTCATGACGACTCGAAACAAAAGAGGGAGGGAGGAACAGGAACCGGTGACAGCTCGACAGGCACCGGGCGCCGCTCGCTCAGTCGGTCAGTCAGTCACACGGCGTGGGCTGGTTGGAGGTGTGTCCACCCAAATGACGCCTCCTTCAGTTGGTGAATGCAGCCAGCAGTATTTGTATTGTCATGAAGCGTCAGGTTGTATTCGACCTCACCTCGAAATGAAATCGCCTCCACCCAACTTGTGTCTTGAGAAGAAAATCCCGCCTACGCCCAGACGCCCTCGCTTGATACGCAATTTCAATTCTCTCTGTCTCGCCTTTTCTTCTCAGCCAAGCGTCCAGAGTTGGCCCGAGCCACTCACAGCGGTGACGCACGTCGCTCTCGAAGCGTGGGCCTGGAACGTGAAAAGTCACGGGCAAGATACATAGCCTTCCCCCGATCGGGCCTCGTCGCGATCGCGATAAGGTTGCTGCACATCTCTTGCTCACTCGCCAGCCTCACACGACATCAGTCCTAGGCTCAGTCTGTGGTCTTGGTGACAGAATCGATTGCGGCATCACGGCCAGAGCTGCTGAACAGCTCGAATGCGAAGTGAACGAGAGGGGTAATCGATGACGGACGAGAAACGGAACATGCTTCGAATCAGAAGAACACTGCCTACGACGACTTGAACTTGGAGTTGCCTTCGGCGTCGAGGTACTTGCTGAACGCAGCGCGCCATGCCTCTTGACCGTGGTTCTCGATGATATCACCGTGAAGCATGATGATACGGCGGAAGTCCCACTTGGCCACATTAGAGGCTGCCTCCGCAAAGTTCTTCTTCCTCTCTTGCGTCGAGCCGCCTTTCTCGACACCAGGGATGGGGCTCGCAACACCCGCCGTGCCGAGGAAGGTCTTGTGGAACGAAGCGTAGGGGTTGAAAAGCTTGGAGAACCAGATGATGCCTGGGATCCAAGACGTAGCCTTACCGGCTGGCGTGTTGCGGTACTGCTGGTGGCATGGGAGGTTGAACAGCAGGTCGGCCGTGATGAGCGTCTTGCTGTCCTTGTGCAGGAACGCGACATCCTTGTTGGCAAAGGTGGCGAAGTACTGGGGCACCAGCTCCGACTCGTAGCCGTATTGTGTGTCGGGAGGGTCCTTGCCATAGATGCCGCTGAACTTGACATCTGGTCGCTTCTCCTCGTGACCATCGGTGCCGACCACCTTGGCGGATGGGTATGCTGCGTGGAAGTCCTTGAGGAAAAGGTGGTGCACGTTGTCTGGCGCCACGAGGTAGGCTACCTCACCCATCGAATCGATCTTGGCCTTGGTAGGCTGGTCCAAGGGCGTAGAGGGAACCACCCACAGACGACCATCGCGCAATTTGATGGCGATGCTGCGACCACCGATGGGCAGGATGCCGAAGCGGCTGAAGGGGTAGTCGAACGTGGTGATCCCCGGGGTGACCTCCTGGATGTAGACGGGCGTCTTGGGCTCGGTGCCCGAAGGGCCTGGCTTTGACGAAGTTGCCATGGTGTCGATGCTACAACACTTGGAGGAGTGTGACCTTTGCGAGACAATGACGCTGGACGAAGAGGCTTGCGCAAGGTAGGCTTGGCGACGAGCAAGGCAGGCTAGGTCTGCTGCAACGAAGTTCAGGCCGAGAGAGCGTGAATGTGCCAGAGAAGTTGAAGGGCGTGACCGGGTCAGGAGGAAGGTTGCAGATGCGGATGGTTTCATGCAACGCTTTGGTGGGTCGGGAGGGTATATGAAGGTTGACAAGCAAGCTTGGACACGGTGGATGGGAGGATAGCAGCACTTTTGTCAACCAAGCTTACCACGATGAAAGCTGTGCCGTCTCTCGGATGGAACTAGCCGAAAGAGTCAGCACCGTAGTAGCATCCCAATCGGCTAAGCTCTCTCCACGGCACCATCACGTATCGAATGATGTGACTTTAGACTCACTTTTTTTTCTGGAAATCATTGCGCCGCCGACTTGATTGTCTCGCTCTTCTCTCGCCCCAGTTCGGCTATCCAAGATTTCAGGCACGCTTTCCTCAGCTTCCATTTCACTACTTTGTCGGACTTTTGCAAACGTGATGTGACGTGCAAACACACAAACGCCCACATGCATCACATCGCAACTGGTCAGAACAGGTACATTGGAGCAAAAGGCTTCCCGAGACGATCACCGCATCCATCTTGCTCAGCCCCGACTTGGCAATCATCACCAGGGCGATGCCGAGCTCTTGTTAAACTGGTGTCGAAGCGACGGCACCGAGCACAAGGGTTTCTGGCTCATCCGAGTTCGCTTCTGCATGGTGCCTTCTGCAGGCGAAGAAAAGCAAATCATGTCATTTTGGCACTCACTGCCGCCTATCTGCGGGTATCGGGTCTCTACATCGCCGATACGGACCAGACTTCGGCTTCGATGTGAGAGACTGAACCCGACCCGTCCCGAATGATCCTTCCTGTCCCGAGCCGAAAGAAGATCTTGTCTGCAGCTGCAGCCTGAAGAGCATCTGACGGCTCACGCGACATTCACATATTCGATGCAGAAGAGCAAGCTAGGTGAGCTAAGGGTGCAGCCGTCAAGCCTCGATTTTTCTCCACATCTACGCGGTGCGCTGCTGCAGTCTTGGACCAATTCAGGGTCCTTCGGAATGAAGCGCCGATCTGTCAAGCCTGCAGCAGAACTGGAACGAGAGTGGCCCAAGCTTGGTCATCCGCGTTCTTCTCAACGCTGAATCACGGTTGCACGCCCCTCAACGGCAGCCCGATAGAGCAATTCTTCCTCTCTCACCACCAACACCATATAGACCAATCTCCCCTTACTCGGAGGCCGCGCCGACCCATCCACCATGGCGCAGCAACTCCCCAACCGCGTCCAATCGACGCTCTCGACGCTCCTCCTCCTCCTCCTTTCCCTCCTCTTCGCACCCATCTCCTTCCTCATCTCGCTCTTCTTCTCCCTCACCCACTCGGCATCCCACACCGCATCCAACATCAACTCGAACCGATACTCGGTCTCGCGCCATGCCAACGGTCACGACCTGCCCACCCTCTCGCGGCGCACCGTCCTCGTCAACGGTGCGCGCATGCAGAAGTCGCTCACCATCTGCCGCACCTTCGCGCGCAACGGATGGAACGTCGTGCTCGTCGAAGAGCAGGGGTGGGGCAATCTTGCTGCTACTCGCTTCAGCAACTCTGTCACCAAGTTTCACCTCATTCCGTCCTCGTCGCTGCCAGCGAGCTCGACGGCGGAGAAGGGCGAGCACGCTGTCACTCCCTACATCGAAGCGCTGGTGCGGGTCGCATTGGAGGAGAAGGTGGATCTTTTCTTTCCTTGCTCCGGAGCCGGTAGCACCGGTGCGGATGCGGTCGCGGCGCAGATCCTGCAGGAGAAGACCAAGGGCAGGGTACGAAGCATGATCCAGACACCCGAACTCGTCGAAGCGTTGCACGAGAAGGATCGCTTCATCGCGCTGCTTCAGCGTCTCGACATGGCCGCGCCACGCAGCGAGATCGTGTTCTCGGTCGACGAAGCGATTGCAAAGCTGCAGAGCGACGGGTACCCACGATCGATCCTCAAATGCGCCGCTGAGCTGGATGACATCGGCCGGGCCGATATGACACTCTACCCGCTGCTAGACGCAAGGACAAATCGACCGGACTGGGACAAGACTCGCCATCGCCTTTCGAATCTCTCCATCCCGTTGTGCGTACGGACGCCATATATATTGCAAGAGTTCATCGGGGATCGACCCGCAGCACCGGGGGCAAGGGACGGCGGGAAAGCCTCGGAATGGTGTACCCACGCAACGGTGGTCGACGGCCAACTGACCGCCTTCGTCTGCTGTCCGAGCAACGACATGCTCATGACGTACTATCCGGCGTCGCATACCATTGTCGGCGAGCTGGCGTTGCGTTGGACGTCGACCTTCCTGTACCGGCTAGCGAAGCTGGGTGCTACCTCCAATCGGTCCTCTGTGCCGTTGAGCCCTTTGACACGGGACACGCAGTGGAACCGCGATACGCTGGTCGGCAAGTACGCCCCCGTCGAAGCCGGCATTACCGGTCAATTCAGTATGGACTTCATCTATCAGCCCGCTACCGGCGATACAGAAGCGCGACTCGTGGCGATCGAGTGCAACCCGCGCGTTCACACCGCCATCTGCCTGCTCGTTGGTAACCCCGCACTGGGCGAGGCGCTCGTCCCTGCCTCGCAAGCTCACTCTCTCAAAGTGACAGGTCCCTCGATAAAGGAAGCCGAGACGATGGACGAGCTGTCCTACCTCTCGGCCCTCTCGCTGCCGGTGATGGAGCGTCCACCGGAGACGCAGCTGGCGACGCAGGCCGATTTAGATGCGCTAACCGCCCTTCCGCCGACCTGGGCATCCAGCCGCGTCCGCTTCTACCACGCCAAGTCGCTCCTTCAGAAGGCCTATGTGGGTGATGCGACGCTGCCCCAGAGTTGGATCGGGCACGATTTGCCTGCTCGCATCCTGCCTGCGGCGCAGCTGCTCTCGGCTGCATGGGTGCAATCCATCATGCGCCTGGTGCATCCGCTTTGGTCCAACAGTGAGGCACCAGTCGGGCAGGTCATCTCGATTCCAACCACGGCCGAGGGGAAGACGGGCGTGGCGGCATACGATCTAGCCGCATCGGCACCGCTCCCGCCATTCACAGATCCGAGCTTCGCAAAGGACGACCCGTGGCCCTTTTTCGCACTCTACCATCTCCAATGGCCCCAGCTGCTCCTCTGGCAGCTCGTGGTGCGTGGCAAGAAGTGGTCCCGGATCAATGTCTCGACTGCACGCATCTTTGAGTGCTAGATACACCACCCACTTGACCAGTGATAAAAAATCGGATTGCAATGCAAGATAGATCATGGATGATCGTCACTGAATGTGAGCCATGCCCTGAAAGCTCCTTCCGTCGCTCACGTTGGAATGACTGCTCCCTTGTCTGCTTTTACCCTTCCTCCTTCCCTCGTCCTCCTGGAACGCGCCGCGGACGTACTCGTCCACCAGACCCTCGCGCTCGACCTGCAGCAACTGCGCCAAGGTGGACCTGTAGAACCGCTCCAGCTCTTCCCTGTCCGCGCAAAACCGCGTCAGTTCCAGCCGCAACTTGTCCGCGTCTGGTCCCTCCTGCTTAGCGTGCTGCCTGCCGCTCCCATGCGCATGACTGTTGAACAGCCGGTTGTTGAGCCAAAGGAACCCATCCAGTCCGCCCAGCACCTGCACGAATGCTACGCCGGAGCGATGGACGAACTGGCTGTACTCGAACTCGTTCGGTCGGCTGCTGTAGGTGAGCTCGACATCGCGTGGATAGCGGGTGCTGGCCTCTTGGTCGAGCACGAAGCCAAATTTGCGTAGGAGGGCGTATTCGAACCACAGCTCGCCCAGTGTGCCCCGCGGTAGGCGCGCACTGTACATCTCCGGGCTGGGTGGGGGAAGGGCCATCTCGATCTGCATGGGCGCTTGGAACGGGTTGTGCAGCGAGACGTCCTTGATCTGGCCGATGGGGGCCTCGATGAGGCGCAGACCGTAGCGCTCGAGTGTGCGGGTCCACATTTGCACCGTGTCTTCGATGAAGCGTGCCGACGTGGAGAGCCAGTGGATCTGGAAGTTGAAGCCATTGGCGGGATTGTGTGCGATGTCGTGGTGGAGGAACGCTACTTCGGCGCGATCCGAGCGACGACCGGAATCAACATCGATGACGATGCTTCGCGACAGCTGCACTTTCTTCTTCCTCTTGGAGGAATTGCCGCCCGCTGCGCCGGAAGACATCGTCAAAGAGGGCGGATGAGGATGGTGCACAGATGAGCTGCGCGAATGTCCGCCTGCAGAAGCCCTCGAAGATGTGGCTGCGCCTGCGTTTGAGCCCCTCTCTCCACCGCTGCTGCTGGTCACCTCGCTCGAAGGAAGCCTCTTGCCCTCGCCCGAGTTCAGCCCGGACTGGGTGCTGCTCGAATGGACCAAGGGCCTGATCGGATTTTCTTTGTCCGCGAAAGAACCTCTCTGGCTGTCAGTGCCCCTGAACCACCCCTTCGGCCCTCTCGTACCAGCATACTCACTCTTGAGCCTGTAGAAGTAGTGTCCGTCCAAGAAGCCGTGTACCTTGTGCACGTGCTCAAACAATCCCTCTTCCATCAATTTGATGCCCCATTCCACGGCGTCCTCCCTTGCCCGCACATCTGCATACTCGCTGCACATCCATGAGACCATATCGGCTCCCGTGAACGTGTCCGAGTACAGCATCCTGTGCCAGATCCTGTCATTGATGACGAGCCCGCCGGATCGCATATCCTTTGCCACCGCGTCGATCGCACGACCAGCGAGTGTTTTGTGCAGGCGCTTCTTGGACGCCGACTGCGCACGCTGCTTAGCATTCTCTTCAGCGAGCTGCTTCATGAAGTCTTCGTCCTGCAGTGACATGGCAGGATCGAGCGAGGTGGGCAAGAATCGCTGAACGTGGATCTGATCACGCTCCTCTTTGCTGCGCACAAAGCGAGCACGGTGGAAGAGGTCCGCCAGCTTGTCCGTTCCAATGAGGCGAATCTCTTCGTCGTCCAAATCTTCACCCGTCGGCGCTTTCATCGGCGGCGGCGAGCCCTCAGAGGGCACCAAGACGAATCGCGTTCGCCAATACCGCAGGGACTCGACAAATTTCTCGTCGACGTATCCGGCGATCAGCGAGTCCAGGTAGGTCCAATTGTAGGTAGACGAATCCGGATAATTGAACCGCGCCGTGACCGTCTGATAGCCGGGCAAGTGTCGTGGCCAGATACAGCACTGATAATCAACCGGATCAGTCGAGTAGTCCGTGTTGCGAACGTATCTCTTGACATTGATCGCTGACGTGGACCTGTCGTAGGAGATGCGGTGAATCTGATTCGTGACGCTGAGGAAGATCGGGTTGCCCGTCGCTAGATTGCCAGGCTGGAGGAGTTCGGACGGCCATCGCAGCGTGAAGTGCTTCGGATCAATGAGCTTGCGACTCGACACAGCGCGCGTCTGCTTGCTTGCTGGGACGATGAATTGATAACCCTGAGCCAGACGGTGATAGGCCATCTCGCGAAGGACTGCGAGGGCCGGGTGCGTGGAGCTCGACTTCTTAAGCAGGAATGAGGCGGTTTCTGCCGAGATCGACGTCGTGTGAGGATGCTCGCTCCACATGGCCGCCAGATCGCTCTCCGTCGGCAGATACAGCGTGGTCAATGGCAGACATGCTGGCGTAGTCATCGACCGCCACTTGACAGCGTGGTGGTTCAGTCGTCTCGGGAACAGGTGCTGCCATCGAAGCAGCTGCGATGTTTTGTTCTTGAGATTCTTGCTCGGATTGGACGGATTGACCAGGGTCTGCTTTTCGACCTGCGCTCGTTGTGCGTAGCGCTGGCGAGCTTCCTCTTCTTCCAGCTGCTGCTCGTACGCGTCCTGATCGCGGAGGATCTTTTCCTCCGCTTCCTGCTCCTGTCGTGTCCGTGGTGTCTGTTGCGCAGGGATTTTGATGGGAGCGGGACTGGACGCCTCGTGGACAGAAAGCAGCGATGTTGAGCGACCCATGGCGCTGGACAGAGGCGGCCTCCGTGCCGGGCTTCTGCCTTTGCTCGATCCGCCGGCCTGCTGACGCAGTTGAGCGCTCAGCACCTCTTGCATACTACGTGTGGCAGGCGTCGAGAAGTCCTTGCCTCCGTCTTCATGGCTGCTGACCGCAACATGTTCGGAGCTCGTGGCTTGTGACGGCGTCGAGCCGGTCAACGTCTTCCACAGCCAGCTGTAGCCTTTCGGCTTATACTGCACAGGAGATTTGAGCGAGCTGACACTGTCATCGGCTTCGCTTCGCTTGCTTGTCCCGCCGTCTGCATCCTCCTCTTCGTCAAACACGTGCGAAGTCGCGGACAAGACCGCATCAGTCGAGGCGACCAGAGCTTTGGCCTTGCCGATCGGTTCCAGCGGCAAGAAACCTCGCGAGAAGGTGTTGACCGATCGAATGGATCCAGGCCGCGATTGTGGTCTGCTGAACGAAGTAACAATCTGCGAGACGGGTCTCGCCAGCGGAGGTCTTGTATGCGATTCTTCGAGCACCGTGAAGCGGCCCTTGTCCGGTGATGTTGTTGCCGAACCATCTCGTTCCGACTCTTCGTCACGGAACAAGGCTTCACGACCCAGCTTGGACGTCCGCGTGGGCAGACCGGGTGTTGGCCTGCTAGTGACTGCTTTACCAGGCGAGATCGAGGATGCAGCGGAGTTGGCGTTCGTCGTTGGTGCGCCTCCGTATCCCGAGCTTGGATTGCGGCGCAGACCGGGCCTGTGAATCTCGCTACCGGCAGGACTGTCAACATTCACACTTGCGCCGGACGCGAGTAGCTTCGCAGAACGTGGCTTGATCGCGGGCGGAACGTCTTTGAAGACGTCACCATCGAAGCGCTCTCGTGCGATTCGCCTCTGCTGCTTCGGCGAGAGTCCGCCTAGCGCCAGATCCGAGAGCTCGCTGTTTCGTGGTTCCGACTGGAACCCTGAGCTAACGGGACCGATATACCGTGGCAAGTAGAATGAAGACTGAACCGACGAAGACTTATTCGCTTGCTTGAGGTCGAGGTAAGGGATGGCGATGTCCGAGATTTGGTTCTCCATAATGCCCATCATTTGCACTTCGTACATCTTGCAACGAGGTACGAAACGGTCGGCACGGAAAGGCTTGTCCTGCTGCAGATTGTAGAACGAGCAGTCAATCCAGTGCGGCATAGAGTAGAAGTCTTCCTCGTCCTCCACTGGCTTCTTGGAATCGAAGTACAGCGGGTCTGGAGGGTTCGCTGCAGCCAAGGTCGCTGCAGTCAGGCGTGACGAGGAGTGACGTGATAGCAGAGGAGGCTGACCGGGTCGGTGCACAGTCATCCCTGGCCCTGCACCAGGAGCAGGTCGACGTTGAGTACGGCTGTTACCGGCGTTCTGCTTGAGCTCGCTTGGATCCGGCCAATGAGATTTGAAGTGGAACAGGGGCACCGAATGAAGCGGCATCTTGGTGAGGCATACCAAGTCCAAGCCGGTACCGTTCTCGATCATGCGCTCGGTTGTGACACGCAGGAGCTTCTTGTCGACGTCAAAGTGACCCGTACCTGCCGTGACAAAGACCATGGACAGACCTGTGCGGTTGAGATCCCGGTCGATGTAGTGCTCGTCGAACGGATTCAAGGCAAGATTGATGGCTTCCAGCAGATTGCCCTCGTACGAGTAGGAGAGACGTCCTGCCATGTGAACGCGATCGCGGATGAGCTCGGCGTGGAGCTCCTCGTGAGATGCGGCTGGGCCTGAGATGGGCCGACGCAGGAGCAATATGTCGTGCTGGAATCGGAAAAACTCTTCCTTGAGCGTCGTCATGACCGCATCCCAGTTGCAGTTGGACTCAAGATCGACCACGACCTTGTAATGGTCGATGTAATACCTACCTCGCTGATCCTGACGTATTGGACCCTCGAGCATATGCAGTTCTGTCTCGTCGTAGTGCACTCGTGCAAACAAAATGACAGTGAGAATGTGGTTGGTTGGTACTGCTCTCCATCGCCTGAGCAGCTCCGGAATGAAGCCCTGGAGTGCCTTTTCGTAGTAGATCTCTCCATCTTCGTCGAACTCCCACATCTCCCGTGCCAATTGAATGAAGAGGTTGTACTTTGCTGATTCGGATCGGAAGATGGCTTTGGTTGATGCGGACACATAGCCGCTGGTGACCTTCTTCTCCTTGATAAAGATGCGACCGATGGTAGCCCGAACGCTGCCGGCCAGGGTGACCTTTTGTCCACAGTAGACGCATGTATCCTCGAGATTCTGGAAGACTCTCCACATTTCCGCACGACCGACATACTGATCTCGGAAGTAGAGCTCGACGTGGTCGATGGTGTAGTCGTCCTTGGACACTCTCGAGAGAACAGCTTCCGCACGATTGTAGAAGCCATAGTTGTTGGCGATGTTCTTGGATACGCTGATCTGCAGCTGCGGCTGGCGGGCAACGAAGTCAGCATCGGCCGTCGCCTGTGCAGCACGAAAGACGAAGGTGGCTTTGGTGGAGAACTTGCGCCGTCGATCTTTTGGACCGAAGGGGATGTTGTTGTGTGGCAGTCTCGAGCCCGCAGGAAGAGTGAGCTGAAGGAGGTCAGATTCTGTGACGCGGGGCAGCGAGTACTCTGGATTGAGCACAACTTCGTTTCGGGAGAAATTGGGCGGGTCATGCGTCCACAGTGTGATAGGGCGGTCGTTGATTTGTGGACGCTGATGGCGGGAGGATGACGAGGAGGAATGACGACGATCGCTGGCGCTGGCGAAGCGGTCGACACTGAGCGACGTCGCCCTGCTCGAGGGATGTTGCGATGCCATCATGGCAACTTCGGTCCTGCAGCTGGGACGCTGAGCTGCTTGCCCGACTCGTTCTGATCAGCAGGCAACTCTGTGCTCAGCGGAGGAGGGTGGGACTCGATGAAGGTTCCATGACGAGAATAGGAGAAGTGATCGATGCGGCTGAGCGAGGCAATTGAGTTCGGAACGGCTGAGTCGGAGGCTCCGTCGAAGCTGACTCCGTGACTGTATGCGAAGAGGCACTTGCTCGGCGCCCTTCGTCAGCGTTCGGGAAGATTCCGAAAGGGCGTGGGAACAGCTCGCCTTGCTCCGCACTGTCGTCGGTCTGGAGCCGTGTCCGAGCCGATTGAGGCGTGGGGTGGGGGTGTGAAAGTAGGAAGGAGAGCTGAAGCTTCTCGTGCGGTCACTCCGCTCGAGTCTCGAACAGTGTGAGTGCAAGGACCCCAGACTAGAGTCACACAATCACAAGGGTCGCCTGCAGGTCCCTTCTCGGCAAATTGAGCTCCGCCCGATAGGCGCGCTTCTGTCACTTTTTCGACCCGATCCGCACACACCACAGCCCGCACAGCGTGAAGTGTGTCTGTCAAGCGAGAAACACACTTTCTTCCTACACGCTCTTCACCATCACACGTTCCCCGGCTGGTCAACGTAACGGAGGCGTCGGCGACGACGGAAACAACGACAAGTACCATCAGGCTCAAGGCGACGACAACGCTGCCTTTCATCACTTCACCATGGCAGTAGCCTACTCCGCCGCGGGAGCTTCTTCCGCTACGGGACCACGTCTCGCCTCGGGCGCACCCAACAACCCCAACGGTGCCGTCTTCCAACTACCTCCCAAAGCGCGTCTCTACCTCCCTGGCTGGCTCCACTACCTCTTATCGCGGATCCTCGCCGCTGCAACCCGTCTCACCTTCTCCACCTCCGTCAGCGAGAACCTCGACCGCTTCCGAGCATGGTCGCCGTCCATAGGCGAACGCTTCAAGTACGGCTTCCTTCTCTTCATCGCCGTCTTCTCGCTCTTGATCATGGAGTCGCCGGCGTTTCCCTACAAACTCATAATCCCAGCACTCTACGGTACTACACTCCTGTTCCCGGTGACGTCGCAGTTCTTCCTGCCCGCAGCACCCATCTTCGCGTGGCTCATCCTGTTCTACTCGTCCAAGTACATCCCTGCCTCGTTGCGCCCGCACATCTGGGTGTCAGTGCTGCCGACGCTAGAGACCATCTGGTACGGTGCCAACATCTCCGACATTCTCACACAATTCGGTCACCCGATACTCGACGTCTTGGCATGGATGCCATATGGCGTGATTCACTTCGCAGCGCCCTTCTTCGTAGCCGCGTTCCTGTTCACCTTTGCCCCACCAGGGACGGTCAAGGTGTTTGGCCAGGCATTTGGATTCATGATGCTGATCGGCGTCATGATTCAAATTGTCTTTCCGTGCGCACCGCCCTGGTACGAGCTGAGAGAAGGGCTCATACCTGCGAACTACGGGATGAGAGGGAGCTCCGCCGGGTTGGCGAGGATCGATGCTTTGTTCCACGGGCACGGCTACACTTTAACCTTCAGTTCCGCTCCTGTGGTCTTTGGAGCATTCCCCTCGCTGCACGCAGGCAATGCGACCATGAAGGCCCTTTTCTGCAGTTACTTCTTTCCTCTCGCTGTCAAGGTGGGGCGCTTGAGGATCGACACGAGGATATTCTATTGGACTTACTGCTTTTGGCTGTACTGGTGCACAATGTATCTGATGCACCACTACCTGATCGATCTGGTGGCCGGAGCATGCCTGGCGACGGTCTGCTTCTACTTCTTCCTCACCGACGAACTCCGCGAGGCCATGGAACAGCAATACCCTTACCGCAACTCTGCACCCGCCCCACCCAGCGCAGCGCCACCGAGCAACAGACCGGACCAAGGTTTCGCCTCGACAGCTGCCGCAGGACAAGGTTCCATCGCATTGGACACATTACGCAGCAACGGTGGCGCGCCGTACGTCTCTGGACAGGGCGGCGCCAATGGCGATGAAGAGTCACAGAAGGGCAAGCCCGAGGTCATCTTCTCGATCGACGACTCGGCCACTGACAACGGTGATATTGCAGGCTCAACAGCAGACGAAGACAAGAGGAGGAAGGACGCTGCCGCTCTGCTGGCCAGGACCAAGTCACCGCTGCAGAGGGTCAGGTCTCCCGCTGTGGAGAGGATGCGCGAAGACGCTTGATGACACGGAAGGTGACGGAGCGACTTCTAGCACAGCCTGTACTCTAGACATCTCACTCACGCAAACAATACGTTGGCTTTGGACACACATGCGCACGCACAACGCGAGTGGATGGGTCGGCTCAAGCCCGAAAGCGTTGTTGCGGGAGCGCTGTTATTTGAACGGTCCGGGTCAGTCGCACGTCGAACGTCTTTGCTGCACCAGCGAAATTCATTTGGCAGGTGAGGCTTCCGATCTCGCTTCGGTGTTGGCTCACTGGGAGAAACCGCTTTGAGTGGGTCACGGTCTGCAACTGGCCTCTGCTGGTTGGGCCACCGTGCTCGTCTGTCAACCTGTGTGAAGACGCTGAGCGTTCCCAGAAGCTTGACGTTGCACCGGCGCCCCGGACCCTCCTTGTCGCCCTCGCTGCCCCTCGCTCACCACCCTCATCCACTGCTCGCAACCCTTGCCTCTCGCTTGCCGTCACGCTCACCAACACTCCCGGAGCAAGGCGAAATATCTCCTCCTCCTCATTTTCCCTCACAACGATCGCCACCCGACGCCCCTCGTTCACTCAAACGCAGACAAGATTGACAGTCAAAAGAATCATTAACCAGCGCTACCTACAGTGCAATACAAACATGTGCAATCAAAGATCAACATCGTCGGAGCTACCCCAGTCAAACGCAGACGAGCGCCAACCGCTCTCGCGCTTCTCCTTCCTCTCCTGCTTCTTCGACTCTTTGCTGAGCTTGTCGGCCTCGGACTTGAGTTTTCCGCCCTTACCCTTGGCTTCGCCCTCCAAGCCCTTGACGCCCTTGCGCACCTCGTCGACCGCCTCGCTAGCACCCTCGCGCAGCTCCTGCGCCCCCTGCTTGACCTGCCTCACCCCCTGACGCACCGAGTCCTCAATGTACTTGTACTCCTCCAGCTTCTCCTTGGCGTAACGGAGGGGACCACCCTTGCCAGGGAGGAGTTGCTTGGAGTAGGAAGCGCCAATGGCGAGCTTGAACTCGTTGTGCGGACCTTGGACGCGGAAGCCCTCGGCGAGACCCACTTCGGTCCGGGGCTGCTTCGACTTGCTTCCGTAGGGCTCGAAGGCATCCGTCTCGGGAGCAAAGATCGCTTTGAGGTAAGCCTTCGGCGACACACCCTGACCCTGCTGCACCGCCGTCTTGCTGTAGCTGTTGATGACCTTGGCCCTCTGTTGAGCAGCCCACAGGCTACGATCCTGGTTCTGCAACCACGACTTGATCTGCTCCTCCAGCAGCTGCTGGAACACCCTCTTGAGCACCGGACGCACAAACGGCATGAGGAAAAAGTTGAGGAACCAGTGCTTGGTCTTCCTCACTTTCACCTTGAAGCTCGACATGTCGACACTAACACGGTTGACCTTGTAGAAGCTCTCCTGGTCGTCCTCATCCGCGTTCTCGAGCTTGACCACGAAGCTGGTGCCGTTGTGGCCGCCGAGGTCGAGGTCGAGGAAGCCGTAGTCCTCCCAGCCCACCCAGCCGGTCTTCTTGTTGATGTAGTACGCCACGTCGGCCGCCTTGACGCGCAGCCCTTCGATCTCGAGGTAGAGATAAGCGTCAAAGTTGCTGCCGAACGACGAGCGACGTTGGTCGAGCGTGAGGTCGTTGCGGTTGACGACGCGGATGCGATCCGGCACAAACGACGCCGTCGAAGCGGTCAACGAGAGGTCGTCGATCACCACATCCGCCTCGCGCGAGACAAACTCGATACGAGGGAACGGGATCGATTGAATCTCGTTGATGATGCGCGGCACAAAGACCTCGACCGTGTCGCGCACCAGACCACCCGCTTGGCTGCGCAGATCGTTGAACAGGTTGATCAACCCCTGACCGGGCCCGCTGCCAAAAATGCGGTCAAAGTCGAAAAAGTTGAGATCCGACCCGAGCTTTTCGATTCGCTGGCCGAGCTCGCGCAGCTCGGGATCTTCTTCGAGCCCTTCGACAAAGGTGGCGATCTCGTCGAGCGTCTGGTCAAAGTCGCCGCGCAGCTTGGAGAGCTGCTTGTTGGCCTCCTTGCCCGTAGCATTGAAGAGCTTCTGGGCTCGGTCGTACAGATCGGACGCCATGCGATTGGAGCGGTTGGTCTGGATGAAACCATCCTCGTTGAGAGCACGGTTGATAAAGTCCTTGACATCCTCGACAAAGTCGCGCAGCTCCTTGCTCTCCTTGGAAGCTTCGTTGTCGTAGATCTGCTTGGCGTGCTCGAGGAGACCCGTGACCGACTTTTCGACCGGCTCGAGCGATCGACCGGCAAAGGTCTCGAGGATGTCCTTGAGCTGGTGGAACGCCTCGCGCATGTTCTCGTTGGCCTCGGCTTCGGGCGTGTCAATATCAATATCGGTCTGCTCCTTGGCCTTCTCGGCGACATCCTGGACAATGTCGGTCCACTTGTTGGCAATGGCGTACAGACCGTTGAGGGCGTCCTTGAATTCGGGGTCGCGCTCGACGGCGTCGACAATTTGCTTGACACGCTCCAGGAACTCGTCCTTGACGTCGTCGGGGGTCTTTTCGTCGAGGTAGCCGATGGCCTGCTTGGCCGAGTCCTGGAGGTTGTCCTGGGCCTGCTTGGCGCCACGCTTGGCCGACTCTTTGGCGTTCTCGAGGTCCTTCTTGCTAGGAGCGCGGATGTCGACAGCGTCGCCTCGCTTCTTGCGCTCCTCTTCGCTAGGGCGAAGCTTGCCCTCGGCACCGCCGGCCTTCTGCGCTGCCGTGGCAGCAGCATCGGCGGTCAGATCACGGAGGAGGAACTGGATATCGGCGAGAAGATCGCGGAAGGCCTTGGAGGTGATCAAAAGCTGAGCCATCTGCTTCACCTCTCCGAGCGCCTTGTTGGCGTCCTTCTTGGCCTCGTCCAGCAGGCGACCGTCGGCGCCGACCGAAGAGGCAGAGGGAAGACTGGCCGAGATGCCACCTTCGTCGGTCACATTGATGGAAGCCTGGGACGTCTGGTAGATGAATTTCTGGATCTTGTCGTCGCCGTTCTTGCTCTCGCCGATGCGCTCGATGCAGGCGAGGATGCCCTTGATGTCTTGAAGCACCTTGGCACCTTGCTGGCTGAGCTTGGTGGAGCCAGCGACGTTGCGTTCATCGAGGACGGGGCTGGACATGACGGCCTCGATGAACTGGTTGATCTGCTTCTGCGAGGGCAGCTTGCCGGCCTTGATGGCGCCGACCATCTGGGCGATGTGGGCGAGCGTCTGACGAGAAGGAGCGATCTGACGAGCGGAACCCTCGATGTCATCCGGGTTGACGCCATAGTGGCGGGCGGTGGCCTTGGCATCGCGAGCGGCATTGCTGCTGTACTGCTCGACGCGCTGACGCGCCTGCTGGGCGTTGGTAGGAAGGAGGGGCTCACGTTCGGACGACATGATCAAAAGGAGTGACGCAGATGTGATGTGAGGTGGTTAGGATGATGTGGTAGGCTCTCGTTGACGGGGCTCGCAAGATGTGTAAGGGGCAAGCTCGAAAAGGAGCAAGCGAGCGAGCGTTACGGTGAGGCCGACGGATGGATGAAGTGACAAAGAGAGAGCAGGTGAGAAGACTTGTTGGTTTTTGAGGACAGCGACGGGGAGGGCTTAAGTAGTCTCGAGGGCGGGCTCAGTCTGGAGCGACGAGGATGATGGCCGGCTGCATTGGGCACAGTCTCTATTCAGCCTCAAGGGTCGCAGTGGAGTCGACCCTGGGGGTGGGTGAGCTGTCAGTGGCAGCAGCCGAGTGGTGAACCTCTGTGGAAAAGCATGACTGTTCAGGCTCAGTTGGAGAGGGCATCGAGCGAGTGACGCTGAGGCTGCTCTTGCTTTGACTCTAGCTCAACACTCTGAGCGTGGCACCTCAGCTGAGTTCGGCAAAGGAGCGATGGTCAAGGGTCTGGTGTGGGGGACAGGCCGAGACTCGCCTGGAGCTGGAGCTGCAAAGGGTGAGTCAAGGGTCGTCATCGCAGCACGGACTCGAATCAATCTCAGGGTTCTGGCCCTCAGAGACACGTTCGCGTTCATATTTTTGGCTCCTCGCATGCAGGGCTGACAGCCAACCCACTCTTTTGTGCAGGCAGGAACAATGAAATCTATTTTCGGCATCATCCTCACCTTACTGTCCCGCTCGACTGGCTTCTCTACAGTATTCTGTTCGCGGCTCAGTCTATATTTTCTTCCCACAGATACAGCTGCAAGTTGAGCTTCACGCTACCAGACTTTGCTGCAGACAAAGGCAGAGCAGAGACGTCAAGCAGTTGCAAAGTCTCGTCAAGGTTGAGCTAGAGCATGACATGTGGAGGCAAAAGCGTGTCAAATGGACTCGAGAAAGGAGCAACCAACACAGAGTACGCGATGACGACGTTCTGCCGCTGCGGTGCCAAGAGAGCCAGGGCACGTCCATCTCGATCAGTGCGACCCTTTCCCAGTTCTCCGGTCCACATCGCAACCGAAACACCACTCTTCAACCCCGCTCCTTTTGCTTCAATCCTAGACCCTGTCGACTCGAGAGATCCGGTCCAGACGGCAGTAGGGGGTCTGGACAAAGCCGGATGTGTGCGAGGTCACGCGAGCTGGGCTACTTCTCGCACAATTCAGAGCGCCATGGACATACTGTTGCTCGGATGCATCATCTCGCACACAGCCACATCGCTCGGGAAAGCACGTTTGTGGCGCTCGATGCTTGTCAGTAGCCTACAATCGGGGCGGCTGGTTGAGCCTCTCGGTGGATCACAAGCTTCGGGAAGCATGCGGATGAGTGAGCAACGATCCCGTTGGCGAGCGATTTTCCCAATCATGTTACGTTTCACAAGCTTACAGTTTCGGAAATTTCGGTCGGTTCTCGGCGCTGTCAAACGGACAAGTGAGTGGACCCTGACGTTCCTGCTTTCTTCTTCTCTCCCTCCGCTCATCGTCCAGGATGTCCGCCCTCGGTAGCGGCGACAGTGCCGACAACATCGCATCATCGTCTCAAGGCAACAATGCAAACTCCGACGAGATCACCTTCGAGCCTTACACAGGCGAACATCAGATGCCGTCCATCATCCAGCTCATCGAAAAGGAGCTGTCGGAACCATACATCGTCTACACCTACCGCTACTTTGTCAATCAATGGCCTTCGCTGTGCTTCCTCGCCTTTGCGGGAAGAGAAGCGATCGGAGTCATCGTATGCAAACTCGATCGGCATCTCAAGGGCTCGAGGCTGATGCGTGGGTACATCGCCATGATCTCAGTCAAGTACGAGTACCGGGGGAAAGGACTGGGCAAGAGGCTTGTAAGGAGGGCAGTGGACGAGATGGTCAGCAAGGGCGCACAGGAGGTCGTGCTCGAGACCGAGGCGGATAACCAAGGTGCACTGGCGCTGTATGAACGACTGGGCTTCATCAGGGAGAAGCGGTTGCACCGCTTCTACTTGAACGGTAAGTACGACGAGTTCGTAGCAGTGACAGAGAAAGAGAGTATGCTGACACTCGTATGACACACTTCGGCTTACAGGCAAGGACTCGTTCAGATTGATACTGCCAATACCGGAGAAGATGCAGCAGCCGATATCGCCCGAACTCGAGATGCCTCCACCCACAGGTCTCGTTCAACCACCATACCCGTCGTCATCATCGGAAGAGCCCCTCGCATTCGCTCCCTCCGCCTCGTACTCAGCATATACCCACGACCACATCCTTTGATACCACTCATGATCAATTCAGACACTTTTGCATCTCAACATTTTACCCAGTTGCTTGCCGTCGTTCAGTTCTCGTACACCGCAGTGTAGACCACCTTTGGCCCCGGCGCAGATTCCTCGGCACCCGTCCGCTTCCCACATCACTCCTTCTTCCGCAGGCCAGCCTCCCTCCAGGCAGGCTAACACCCCTCGAGCCAACGCGACGACTTCCTCCCACGTGGCTTGTGCGAACCGAGCATCGCGCGGTTCCCCGGGCGGATCTCCATCGAAGTGTTGCTGCGTTGGAGCGCGGTCGGTCGAGCGGGAGGCGGTGTCTCGGCGTGGCGCACGACGAGCGGGGATGCAGGTCGATGCGACGTTTTGCTAGCTGAGCACGCTGGGATGGGCGAGAGAGCTTCCGGTCGGTTTGGTGGGCGGAAGTCCAGTGCGTCCGTGTGATTCCCTGTTGGGATCTGACCAACGTTGCCCGTCGAGGCAGATCTCGCCAAGCCAAGCTGAAGTGGCCCCGCAGGTTGTCCAAGTGGGCTCACCTGCGAACGCTGCAGCGCCGATACGTGAAGCGATGCCACAGGTTCCGCTTGTGAAGTTGGAGAAGTGGGCCCACCGCACATCGTCCAATGGGCTTCCCGACTCTCACTCCCTTTTACGCATAGGGACGTCGCCTTGCTGGGAGGCGAGCTCTGCGGAGTGGTGCGGTAGCTCTCACCGCTGTCAGAGTCCGAGTCGATCGCTGATTCAAGCAGGATGCTGGGTCGATCGAAGAATTTGCCGTTCCAGCTCGCATCGAGCGCGCTGCCTGGGCTGTACGGAAACGGCGCCGCGTCCTGCACTCCATCTGTTGCCAACGTGAAGCCGCGGAAGAACGGAGAGAGGAAGCCGGGCGAGCAACTTGGCACAGTCAAAAAGGAACCCGAGTCCAACGCATCCGGGGATGAAGCCAGAGCTCGCTCCACCACCGACAGCCGCGCGGGATCCGTCTCGATCCACAATCGCGCCGATCGACGCGCCGGCTTGGTCGTCTTGAAAGTTGGCACGTCGAGATGCGCAAGGTACTCGTCAATCTGCGAAATGATCCATTGCGGATCGACCTTGGCTTCGGAGCTTGGAGCGACAGAAAGGTTCGTGCACGCGGTCGAAGGTGTGTACGTCAGATCGAGATAGGACTCAGAAGTCCCAGGTGTCCTCTGAACGCTCGTTGAGGCGCTTGGAATGGCGACATTCTGAAGACGACGTGTCCTCTGACGACTCGTGTCGATGAACAGCCCAAGCGCGATGGCTTTGTCAGTCATGCTGTCAATAGTGAGCAGAGACGGCAGCTGACGACGATGGTGTTACGGGGTCAGCTCGAAGCACAGGAAAGCTAGGAAGAAGAGGCGTGGAGGATCGCCTTCACCATGCGGCATCTGGTGTACCGGGTCGAGTCCCCGTCGGTGGGTCAGCCCGCTTCATTTGCGAGCATCGAGACGTCGTGTTCAGATCATTCGGCTTGTTAAGCAAAGCTGACAAGCAGAGTCTCGATGAAATGCCGCACATACCCGTTGCGGCTGATCAATCTTACGTCGACGTTGAGATGCAATAGAGTACATAGCACGGATCGCCTTCATTTTGCCTTCTCGACGCCCGTCAGCCTTCGACGGAGGTGAAAGCCACTTCACTGAGCAGCAACGCCCCATCCAGCGCCCCTCTCTTCCCACAGCTCGCTCAGGATCGCCAGCCTTGTCGGCAGCGAGGACAGCTTCTCGGTCGCCACGTTGGCGATTGACACGCGCAGTCGTGAGCCGGAAGACTCGGGCGAAGTCGCGTCGGCGTCAGCGGGCATGAAGAAGGCGCCCGGCAGCACGACCACACCCACCAGCTCGGCGAGGGCTTGAGCGACCTTGTCCGAGGGCACGGTCGTGAACGGGTGACGCAGGAAGACGTAGTATGCGCCGGCGGACTCGACGTGCCAGCCCCACTGCTCGGGTGACTTGGCCTGGCTCGCGTCCTGGCCGAAGAAGGGAGGGACCGGCTCTGAGAGGGCTTCAATGAATGCCCGTCTGCGGACGCGAAGCTCATTCGCGACGGATGCTCGCCATGCGAGCTGCTGCGGGTCTTCCATGGCCCATGCTACGGCTCGCTGCGTGTCGGTGCGTGGAGGAGCCACCTGGAAGTTGTCAAGCGCTTTGGCGGTGGGCCCAAAAACAAGCTTGTCTGCGCCCGAAGCGTCCTTGATCTTCTGCTGCAGGAAGGCAGAGTGCGCAACGAAGCCACCGAGACGGTGTCCAGGGATAGCATAGCTCTTGGAGAAGCTGAAGAGCTGGATGATGGTGCTGCGCCAGTCCCAATTCGAGTCCCAGCTGCTTTCAGCCAGACCTGGTGGCGCATCCTCGAAGAGATCGTGCGGACGCGCAAAGTCGTGGGGCAATGCAGGCGTCGGAGCGGAAGCAGAGGGTTTGGAAGGGTCGTTGAGGTCGTTGCCCGTCAAGAGAAAGTCGCGGTAGGTTTCGTCGAGAATGAGGGCAACTCGATACTCCTTGCACAGCACAGCAACGTTGCGGATTAGCTCGGGCGGGTAGATGGCACCAGTCGGGTTGTTGGGCGTTACGAGCACGACACCCTTGATCGTCTTTACCGATGCTCGACTGTCGCTCGCTAGCAAGGCGCGGATCATTTGCACGTCGGGAAAGTAGTCTGGCGGTTTGGTGTGAACAGCCGCAACCTGAATGCCAAATGCAGTCATGGTCATCTGATGATTGAAGTACCACGGGTCGCAAATGATGAGTGCGTCTCCCGGAGCGGCGATCGACGTGGCCACAGCGGTGAAGGCGAGGTTGCATCCTGCAGTGATGCCGACATTGTCCTCAGTGATCTGGTTCCTGTCGCCCTTGCCCGGGGTGCGGTAGACTCTGTTGATGTCTCTGGCCACCGCTTGACGGAGCTTGGGGTCGCCAAAGACGGGGCCGTAGCCATGAGAATGACCTGCTGGTGAAGAAGCGTTTTCTGGCCTTGACTCGAATTGAATGCGCTCGAGCAACGCTGCTGTTGGTGGGTCACCGGGAACGCCTTGAGCTAGGTTGAGCAAAGGGAACTCGGACAGCACACCCGCCGCAACCAAAGGCGATGAGCTGGAAGGATACGACTGCGCCCATTTGGCACCGATCTGTACTGGAGGATCGATGGTGAGGATATGGAGAAAGGGGTTGAAGTCGTAGCTGGGCCCCGTAGAAAAAGACATTCTGAGGCTTGATGCCGTCTTTTGAGCTTTGTGCAAGTAAGAACGAAGAGGTCTGGCTGATGTGACTGCAAAGAAGGCAGTGACAGATGGCCGCATACGCTTGATGGGCGGTAGAACTGATGGCTGAGCCGTCTGTATGCGACCAGAGGTGATGTGGTTGTGGAGATGGAAGATGATCTTGACGCCATGATGAGACTGTGGGGCAACAATGATTCTGCGGCGACTTGAGCGGCATATTTTCTATCGTAATTTCGGACATGCTCGGCGCGTGCCTTGTGTGATCATAAAGAGGAGCATTTGATTGAGTTGACAGAACCTCTTTGCCTACAAGCCTGATAGGTGTGGTCCGTGGCATCGCTATCGCGATGACTCACAAGAGTCTCTGTAGCCCTTCACACCATCACGCGGGCTCTGAAGTGGCTGAGTAACTACGGCCTGCTGCTGGCTTCCGAATCACCGCTGTGCTCAGAAAAGGGGCCAAACACGCTCGGCTGTCGACCAAAACGCTCTATTTGAGTGGACCCTTAAGAGGGCGACTTTTAATGTTGCCTTGCCTTGCTCTTCGTCATTGAAGGCGCTGAGCTTGATCATGCTCACAACACGGATGTAGTGTCGAACGCCGGGGGAAGCAGAACGCCATTCGATCCATCAGGGGGGCATCAGCAGGAAGAGAAGGAGACCGAATCGGCCGCGAACGAGCCGTGGGATGCGCCTCGCATTCTTGAGCCCCTGAAGGAGGTGCATGTGTCAATAGGGGGAGGTCTGAGCTTGGCTGTCAGGCTATGCTTAACGTTCGACAGCTCCTGATCACCCAGGGATACATATACGAGCCCTGAGCCCCACTCAAGCTACAGACGCTTCGGCCTCGCCTTCACGAATCACGACCAATCACGAATTGTTACGACCACAGACGCTCGCCAAACCCAAGGCATACCCAAGCATCCTCTTTCTACCGTCCAGTCTCGGCGCAATCGCAAGCATGGGCTCGGTCTTTTCATGCCTCGCATCGACCTTCATCTACCTCGGCGAATTCTTGGAGAACGTCTTCTTGGCCCTTGGCGAGATTGGAGCCGTGCTGGTACGCGGCGTCTTTGGCATCATTGTCAACCTCTGCGATCTGCTAGCAGCGGTGAGCTGTTGCTACCGAGTACCGTGGTCTGAGCGACCGGACCGATCCTTCTTTAGCTACTCGACCAACACTGCAGCTGTGGTCACGAATCAGAGTGCTCTCGCATCTGTCGGAGGCAAGCAAGTGCTGTCGAGCGTGTTGACCAAGGAGGGCAGACAGCTGCGCAAGCAGATCAAGGCTGCTAGAAAAAAGGAAGTTGCGCTCAAGCAGGAACAAGATGCAGCTGCCAAGAGCGCTCAAAGCGCAGACGAGCAGAGCAAGAACGGGGCCAAGCCGGACCAGGAGGAGGCCACTGTCACCACCAAAGCCTAGGATGAGAAGCAATCTCGACCCGATCTCGCAAGATGGGAGCACTTGGTGTCCGGCTCACCTCGACTGGACAGCATCCTGCAGAACCGGCGTCCACGGCGTCTAGATTGTAGTCTACTGTGCGCCATCAGCTGAGCCAAGAGAAATGGCATGCTTCGGCGAATCTCGCAACCTTGTGGAAATCATTTCGAGGTGGTGCAGATCAGCCACATGTGTTGCTGATGCATCTCACCGAGCCATGTTGACGGACAGAATTCGCCGAGAAGACACATCACCGGGAGGCGAAGCGAATCGAGCCAGAACTGCGTCTCGGAAAATCTTGTTCCTAGAAGCGCTACAGAACGGCAGAACTCGCTTTAGAAGCGACACACTAAGCAGGGCAGCAGACCCTTGAAGTTCACCCGAACGCGAGCTGACGTTGACTTGCTTACTTGCTCATGTTGCTAGTGAATCAGTCTGATTGGACATGGAAGCGATGCCAAACTGAGTCTATACCCGGTTGATGCGCGCAAAGCAAGATCGATTGCTTGCTTGCAAAGAGGAGAGCAACAGCATGTCAGGTATCGACAGGCGGCTTTGAGCAGGATGGCAACGTGCCTATCACCGATGCATCTTGTCGGCTGTGACTCGCTCATTTCTTCAGAGACAGGATCGGCAGTGTGGTTTGGTGGTGACAGCAGCCAAAGTGCCGTCATTTCCTTGTGCTTTCAACCACGATCGGACCGCCTTTCCGCTCAAAATTTCGCTTTCCGACATGTCGCGCTCAAGCCTTCCCACAGAGAGAAAGTCCAAGCGCCTTGACCAAGGGTCTATCCACCCTATCGTCCTCAGACGACGTAATCGAATCCCCTGCCAAGCGCCTATGATGAACGAGTGAACATGTGAACAGTCCCAAGTCCGAAATCAAGTCTGTCCGTTCCGAGTGAGAGCAGCACCCTCTTCGGCTATACTTGCAGTCGCACAACCCAAGCCTCTCTCATTCTCAATTTCTTTACTCGCACCTATCTTCTCGACCTCTCCCTACCCTATCCCTCGTCCCTTCTTACACACTCGTCGAGAGTTGTACCCCTCGCACAACCACCATCACCCTGGATCTTGACTGCTCTGGGCGTTGTTTGTTGTCGTCACAATGTTCCGTAGATCCCTCACGCAAGCGCCTCGCGCTGGCGTGCGATTCGCGTCCACCTCGTCCACCACCGCTTCAAGGCGAGCGTTTTCAAATCGATCCGCTCTCGTAGCTGTGGCGCTCGCCGGTGGTGCTGCCACTGCATACACCTTAGCTATGCCCAGCATCTACGCCGATGCTCCCGATACTGTACCAGGTGACACTCGTCCTCATCCTCTCTGGTCGCCCCCTACCCGTGCTCAGATGCTCGACGCCCTCAAGCGCTCATCCGCAAGCAGCCTGCGACCCAAGTCGTCCAAGGCCAAGTCGGACAACGCCAGTCTCTTGCCTCTTGCCAAAGACGCCAAATCCAGCAGTCCCAGCCCCGCTGCTTCCGCCCAGTCTGGCGGCGCTGCTGCCTCCCGCAGCGGTGACGAGGACGACGAAGGATTTGACATCCTCGTGGTCGGTGGTGGCGCTACTGGTGCTGGTGTTGCCGTCGACGCCGCTACCCGTGGTCTCAGCGTTGCCATGGTCGAACGGGACGATTTTGGCGCCGGTACCTCCTCCAAGTCCACCAAGCTCGTTCACGGTGGTGTCCGATACCTCCAGAAGGCCGTCTTTGAGCTCGACTACGAACAGTACAAGATGGTCAGGGAGGCGCTTCACGAGCGAAAGACCTTCCTCAAGATCGCGCCTTACCTCTCCGACCACCTGCCCATCATGCTGCCCGTCTACAAGTACTGGCAGATTCCTTACTACTGGGCTGGTACCAAGATGTATGACATCCTCGCCGGTTCCGAAAACATGGAGAGCTCCTACGTGCTCGGCAAGGGCAAAGCGCTCGAAGCCTTCCCCATGCTCAAGGCCAACGGTCTCGCCGGTGCCGTCGTCTATTATGACGGACAGCACAACGACACTCGTATGAACGTCGCCCTTGCCATGACCGCAGTGCACCACGGTGCTGTGGTTGCCAACCACACCGAGGTGGTGGCCATCCACAAGAAGCCCGTCGCTGGCAAGGCGGATCAGATCTCCGGCGCTCGAGTCCGCGACGTGCTCACCGGTGAAGAGTGGGACGTCAAGTGCAAGTGTCTTATCAACGCGACTGGTCCCTTCTCCGACACTTTGCGAAAGCTCGACGCTCCTACCGCACAGGAGATTGTTGCTGCATCGTCCGGTGTCCACATCACCCTCCCTGGTTACTTTTCGCCGCGCGACATGGGTCTCATCGACCCTCAGACCTCGGACGGCCGAGTCATCTTCTTCTTGCCGTGGCAGGGCAACACCATCGCCGGCACCACCGACACGGCTGCTCCTGTCGAGGCGCATCCTCGCCCCAAGGAGGAGGAGATCCAGTGGATTCTCGACGAGGTGCGCAACTACCTCAGCCCCGATATCAAGGTTCGACGTGGCGACGTGCTCAGCGCGTGGTCCGGTCTGCGCCCCTTGGTCAAGGACCCCGCTGCCACCGACACGCAGTCGCTGGTGCGAAACCACATGATCAACGTCTCCGAGTCCGGTCTGCTCACCATCGCGGGTGGCAAGTGGACCACCTACCGTGAGATGGCCGAGCAGACCGTTGATCGTGCCATTGACGAGTTCAAGCTCAAGCCGCAGCGTGGATGCGTCACCAAGAACACCAGGCTGTTGGGCAGCCACGGCTGGACCAAGACCATGTACGTCAAGCTCCTGCAGCGTTTCGGTCTCGAGACAGAGGTGGCACGTCACCTTGCCAGCACTTACGGTGACCGAGCGTGGAGCGTGTGCTCGATCGCCGAGCCTACTGGTCAGCGATGGCCAGTGCACGGCAAGCGCATCGACCAGCTGTACCCATACATCGAAGCCGAGATCCGCTACGCTTGCCGAAGCGAGTACGCTGCCACTGCACAGGACTTCATCGCACGCCGAACGCGACTCTCATTCCTCAACGCCGAGGCGACGGTGGATGCGTTGCCTCGCGTGATCGATGTGATGGGCGAGGAGCTGGGCTGGGATGAGAAGCGCAAGAAGCAGGAGTGGGCGGACAGCGTCGACTTTATGTCGAGCATGGGTCTCCAACCTGCCCGCGTTCAGCAGCTCAAGGAGACGTCGCTCGACCAGATGCGCAAGCTTCGCGAGGGCCAGCAGAAGGCGCTCAAGGTATCGTCGCTCGGTGCTGCATCGCTCGACGAGAAGGACGCGCTCGCCGTCGCCGCGCGCGCCTCGTTCACCCCGGAGGAGATGGAGGAGCTCCGCACCAAGTTCAAGCTGCTCGACGTCAACAAGGACGGCAAGCTCGACTCGAAGGATCTCAAGGAGGTGCTCCAACGTATTGGGTATGATGAGGTCGACGACTCCACCCTGCGCGGCATTGTGAGCGAGGTCGACTTCACCAAGACCGGCGCACTCCACTTTGAGGATTTCCTGGACGTCTTTGCCGCACTCAAGGATGCGAGGTTGGAGAACGCTTTCACGCACATTCTGAGCGAGATGGACTCGCAAGGTCTGCAGCCCCCTGCACATGATCCTGTGGGACCCGCTGCGAAGGAGAAGTCGCAGCGAAGGGATGCTAGCCGCACCATTCCCGTCGAGAAGAGCGGCGGTGGATGGTAGATCTTTTTCACTCGCTAGGAACACACAAACACACACACGAAAACCAGAAGCTTTGTCACGCTGTAGCATTTGGAATGCAACGATCATTCACTGTAGCCTGGTTCGACGGTGATGATAGCTTGCATTACGAAGTCAGGCGGTGAGCATAGTGTGTGTTGCTCAAAGAAGGTGGGTGCGAGAAGCTATCGAGCAAGGCAGTTGGCAGCGCGCAGTGTTATCGGCCGTGTGTCGAGAGCTGAACGACATGCGTAACAGCAGCAGCTCGCCCCTTTCCTCGCTGCACCAAGAACGACGCTTGGGCCAAATTCTTGGAAAGTGGAAATTTGAGTGAGGGAGCGAGCCAACGCTTGGATCACACACGAATCGCACCAAAATCGATTCGACTCCGTCACCGCTTCAAGGCTGCCAGAAATTCGCTTTGCCAAGCTGAGCTGCTGCTGATACTGCTGCTCTCGCTGATCTCCACTTTTCTAGCAAGAGCTCTCATCCTTCTTCCCACCCCTGCTATCCACATCCCTGATCTCGTCGCATTCATCAACTTCCTACTGCAGCTCATCAGAAAAGCAGACTCGAGCATATCAGCATCAGCGTCAGCTCAACCGCCGAGACCGCTGCACCTTATCTCGACTTGGACACTGACTCAGGAGCACCAGGCAATTCGACACCTCTCACCTGGGCCGAACAGCCTCCCGCCTTCATCACCATGTCGGACCCTCGCATGAGCGACAAGGAGCTCTTTGACCTCAACGCTCAAGCTGCTACCAAGAACTACAGCGTCGACCCTCGTCTCGACTACCGCACTGTATCCGCTATCAACGGTCCCCTGGTCGTCCTCGAAAATGTCAAGTTCCCTTCCTACAACGAGATTGTCTCGCTCACCCTCCCCGACGGCTCTCGCCGTGGTGGTCAGGTGCTCGAAGTCTCTGGCAACAAGGCCATCGTCCAGGTCTTCGAGGGTACTTCTGGCATTGACGTCCGCGACACCCACATCGAGTTCACCGGCTCGTCCATGAAGCTGCCCGTATCCGAAGACATGCAAGGTCGAATCTTCAATGGTTCGGGTGCGCCCATCGACAAGGGACCTCGAGTGTTCGCCGAAGACTACCTCGACATCAACGGCTCGCCCATCAACCCCTTCTCCCGCGTCTACCCCGAGGAAATGATCCAAACGGGTATCTCGACCATCGACACGATGAACTCGATCGCCCGAGGTCAAAAGATCCCCATCTTCTCCGCCGCCGGTCTGCCGCACAACGAGATCGCCGCGCAGATCTGTCGTCAGGCCGGTCTGGTCAAGCGACCCGGCGCCGGCAAGGGCGTGCACGACGACCACGAGGACAACTTCTCCATCGTCTTTGGTGCTATGGGTGTCAACATGGAGACGGCACGCTTCTTCAAGCAGGACTTTGAGGAGAACGGATCGCTGGATCGTGTCACCCTCTTCCTCAACTTGGCCAACGATCCGACGATCGAGCGAATCATCACCCCGCGTCTGGCGCTGACGACGGCCGAGTACTACGCGTACCAGCTGGAGAAGCACGTGCTCGTCGTTCTCACCGACATGACGTCGTACGCTGATGCGCTGCGTGAAGTCTCCGCTGCGCGAGAAGAGGTTCCCGGTCGTCGTGGTTATCCTGGTTACATGTACACGGATTTGTCGACCATCTACGAGCGAGCTGGTCGAGTTGCGGGCCGCAACGGCTCCATTACGCAGATTCCAATTCTGACCATGCCCAACGAGGACATGACGCACCCCATCCCCGATTTGACCGGATACATCACCGAGGGCCAGATCTACGTCGATCGTCAGCTGCACAATCGACAGATCTACCCGCCTATCAACGTGCTCCCCTCGTTGTCGCGACTGATGAAGTCCGCCATTGGCGCCAAGCACACGCGTGGCGATCACTCCGATGTGTCGAACCAGATGTACGCCGCTTACGCCACCGGAAGGGATGCTGCGGCGATGAAGGCCGTCGTCGGTGAAGAAGCCCTCAGCAGCGAAGACAAACTCGCCATTGAATTCATGGAGAACTTCGAGAACAAGTTCATCAAACAGGGCGCTTATGAGAAGAGACACATCTTCGACTCGTTGGATATCGGGTGGGATCTGTTGAGGATTTTCCCCAAGGAGCAGTTGAACCGCATCTCGCCCAAGGTGATCAAGGAGTACTACTCGAGGCGCGCCAAGAAGGAGGGTAAGGAGGAGGAGGAGGGCAAGGGGAACAAGGATACGAGGGACAACAGCGAGGATAAGAAGAAGGACGATAAGAAGGATGACAAGAAGAAGGATGATAAGCTCGTGGATGACGAGTAGACCGTCGTTGGCGTTTGACGGATTTTGGACTCGCTTTTTCTTGGTTTCGTTTGTTCCTTCATGCTGTTCTCGTTTTGTGACTCAATTCCATAAACTGACCGCAATCATCCCTTGTTGACGAAGTGCGCTTCTGTGTCTCTGATCTCAACCACTCATCGGCGCTGGAACAAACGAATGAGATGCAAACGATACAAGTACAAACCTCCTCCCTTGTTTACAACTGATTCCGCTTCTTCGCAGTATTCATATACGGCCGGAGCACCCACTCTGTATCCGCCTCCCCTTGATCCAGCGTACCCTGTTTGATCTCGTACACCCTGGCCTCGAACCTCGGACCCACCTCTGCCAGTTGGACCTCCCTATGGCTCGTCTTGACGTAGACATGATGTCTGAAGGAAATAAAATCATCCTTGTTGACCCAGCTCATGACTCTGGTGCTCTCCTCTTTGGGGACGGGGAAGAGGAACTTGAGTGCGCTCTGCACTCGCGCGCCGAGTTTGCTGTTGAAGTTTTCGAAGATAAGGTACGGGTATTGTTCCGAGACGGTACTCGACTGAGCGCCGACTTCGTGGCGGAGTACGACGTTGTGCAGTGTAAAGAGCAAAGTTGGACCATGAGGAAAGTGGCTCACCACCATGGCGTCGGGTACACCTCGATGTTCGTGCAACACCACCATATCCGTTATCCCATTGCTCCGTGCTGCCGCTGCAAGATCGCTCACCGTATACCCACCACGATTCAACCGCGTACTGTTGGGAAACAACAACCGCACCTCCTTGGCAAACTGCGTCAACCTCGAACTTGGATCTCTACTCGTAGTGACCAACACCCGTGGATCGTAGGTTCCAGCGCGCGAGTACTCATCGTCGATACTGCTCCCCGGCACATCCTGCGCTGCATCCAGCGACAAATCCCGCCCGAGCTCTTCGGCTTCTTTCCCCCGAAGCGATGGTGGGAGAGGTTTTCCGGATGCGAGCGCTTCCCGGATCTGTTGCTTGCGCTCGTAGATCTGTTTTTCTTTGCTCTCGAGCGCCTTTTTGTAGATGTACTCGCGTCGCTCGCGCGTTTGCCGGCGGAGCATGGTAGGCGCTTTGTGGGTGGGACGGGACGAATAGGGTTAGTTTGACGAGAAGACCTGTGAGGATTGGGCTACTACGTGACCGTGGAGAGGGGCTGTTGACCGGCTTGTGTTTGATGTGATACCCGTCGAGGTGATACCCGTCGAGAAAAAGCTGGGAGAGTCGCAAAGGTATGAAGAGGTATGGTGTGGGTGCGAGTGGAAGATGTGCGGCAACAAATTCAAGGTCTTCTTCTGTGCCAAAGGGAAATTTTGAGAGCTCAGCCTGAGGCGGCGAAATTTTAGATCCGAAATCCGAGCCAACAAAAGGCTCTGATGAAATCCTGACAAACCGGGTCAGAGGCAAGAAAAGGGTCAGGCGAGTGGGCTTCTTCCAATAGTTGCTCGAGTTGAAGGTCGAATCTGTCACTGCAACCGTCACTCTCTATCCTATCGACATCGCCCAGCACCACACGCAAGAAGACACGCGCTCGATCGTCCGCAGCTTGATCTCCACAGAGCTCACGTAGAGACCCGTTCCGCAGCATCCATCAACGAGCGCTCCTAGCAGCAATCGATTATCCTTCCTCTGATTGATTCGTCAGATCTACCCTTGGACCCAAACCCATCACAGCCCACTCCGAGCGGACCACTTTCACATCATCAGCATGTTCTTCACAGCCATCCGTCTTGGCTCGCGCACAACCTATCGTGGATCTCGCGGTTCCGGCTCGGGCGCCTCGACCCGCACCACTTCGTTCTCCTCGCCCAAATCCCGCAACGCCTCTTTGGCCGCCTTGGAAACAGGTACGATCTTCAAACGGTCCCAACGCGGCCTTTATGACGGTCGAACCATCCAGTCGGGACATAACGTGCCGAAATCGCGCCAAAAGACCGCTCGAACCTGGTCGCCCAACGTCCAATCCAAGAGGCTGTGGTCGGATACCTTTGGAGAGTTCTTCAAGGCAAAGGTTAGTACGAGTGCCTTGAGGTCAATGGACAAGATGGGTGGGCTGGATTACTATTTGGCGAATACGAGGGGTGAGAAGCTAGGCGAATGGGGGAGGGGATTGCGGGAAAAGTTGGCGGTGAGGTTGAGACAGAACAGACTGCAGGCTCAGGCGGAGGCCGGATCGGACAGGGTGGGCAAGAATGCGAGTGCGTAGACCGCGCAACTTCAAGACAATACATTCAGTAACCTCACACGAGCCAAGGATTGTGCACATGACCGGCAAGACTGTATTGAAGCGGCATTCAGGCAGCTACAGCGTGGGCGTTCCAGGCGTAGGCGTTGCTCCGGCCGACCGACGGTCTGTGGAATTGCTTTCTAGCCGACGCAGGTACTCCTCCATCTTATCTGCTCCAGATCGCGTCTTGTGCAGCGTGCGGGTGGTCAGTCTCGGCGCGCCCTCTGCTGGGGAAGACCCGCGCTCTATTGCAGCTGCAGATCGAGTCGGTGAGGCAGACGCGTTGTGCCGCACAATGCGTGCTGCACCGCTTCGTGACGAGTGCGACGCCGATGTTTGGCTTGAGTATTCGTCCTGCGTCGAGGCGGTCAGTGTTGAGACGAACGAGGTGTGGGACGATGCTGCTGAGGAAGGACGTGCGAAGATGGGGCCCTCGTCGTCGGTCGAGTCGATGTGAGGTTCCACATCGCTGTTTGCAATTGCATCAGCGCCTGAACTAGAGTGCCCCGCAAAGGTCGAGATGCCTCTGACCGTGCCGAGCTGTGCGGTGGTGCCAGCAAATCTGGGTTCCTGGCGATGCCGTGGGCTCCGGTGAGAACTCATCATCGACAGTCCGCTCAGTTCGGACTTGAACGAGCCGCTAGAGGACGCGATAGACGGTGTTGGGGAGCCTTTGCCGCGCGATGGGCCTCTGTAGCCATGGGCTGAGCCGAGCAGATCTTCGGACGAGCCGATGCCCTGATCGCCACCGGTGATGTCGCCCCTGAAACGAGACGACGGCTTCTCGCCCGTCCACGTCTTCGACGTTTGCACCACTTCGAATGGGATGCGATATGCGTCCAGCCACGCTTCTGTCGCGCGACCATCGGTGCGATTCAGATAGCTGGGCTTGTCCGTGGTGGCCGTCTGCGATTCGAGCATCTTGTCGTGCAGATGGGCGGGCGGATAGGCGATGGCGATTGCAAAGTCGGTATTGGCTTCCGTGGTGCTGTGACAGTAGAGACAGACGCTGAGAAGCTCGCGGAGGTAGCGTGGTGCTTCTGCCGCATTGAAGAGGTCCTTTGTCGCTGTCGACGGTCCGCTTGCGTCCTCAAAGTCGTGCCTCGCATCGTGTGCGACGGACTGGCGTTCGGCTAGGGTCGTCTCTCTTACCTTGGCGATCTGAGCTGGTGTGGCGCGGAAGTGCTCCTTCTGAGCAAAGATGCCAGGAACTGGCTCGGTGAGCATCGCATTGCCGTCTTGGGTCGAGATGGCAATCTTGTCCTCGAGCCACCGCGTTGCCTTTCTCGCTGCAAGGTTGATTGGCTCGTCGCCTTTCTTGAGCAAGTCGAGTGTGTTTATGGCTTCGAGAGGGATGATGACGCAAGTGGATCCGTCTCGGCTCCAGTTATGAACACTGCGCAGCGAGAAGATGAGCACGCTGGCATCTACGAGGCGGATAGCGGTGGCCGTCTTGGGCTTTGCATCGGAAGTACGACCTGTGGTGGCCTCCTCCTTTGGATTCACACCAGAACCGGTGACAGCTCGAGGCTTGGACTGATCGTGTCGCGTGATTGTGGCGCCATGAAGGGCAATTGGGCTGCTTCTCGTCTTGTGCACGCCGCGCGGGTAGGTGATCTTGCTGACGTCCTGCTCGAGCTTGTCGACCTTGTCTTGGAGGAACATGACGCCCATCGCGTGAGAGAGACGCGCCTGACGCTCAGTCCTCTGTTGCGTCGTCTCGTCCGGCATGATGGTATGGTGCGCGGGATGGCTCGAAGTGGGAGCACGAGTGTTGCTTGGCGGTTCAGAGGTGGATCCCTGCAGATGAAGGTTTCAAGGCCGGGGAAAACATGTTGCGGAGAGCAACAGCGGCAGCGGCGGCTACTTCGACCGGCTTCAGTTTCCGCGCATCATGATGAGGTTCTTCGTACGTCTGTGATAGCGTGAGGTCTTGCAGAAGCGGATGGAGATCGATGGGCCTCGCTGTTCATCCAAGTGCGATCTAGAATGGTCTTGAGAACGCTGCGGGGAGAAACGGTCCAGTCAGTGCGCGTCGTGGGACTGTGAGAGTCCGTCCAAAACCGAGCCGATCCGAGCGATCAGATATGAGCTGAGCCTGACCCAAAGCTTGATATGAAGGGGTTGACTCGACGTCGAACAAGGTGTTGTTGCATGTCTCGAGCTGCAGCATCCTTAAAGCCGCGGACCGAATTTGGCCCACAAATTTCGGGCTGAGCTCAGTTGAGCGGCGTAACACAGCCTCACTTTTTAGGCAATTCGTACGATTTGCAGCGAATCGGCGATCAGTGCTCCATCGTGTTTCAGGAAGAAAGGCAGCGACGTGGCTCAGATGGCACGAGCCAGCAGCGGGGCCAATCTGGTAACATCAAAGGCTTTCCGTCTGGCCTGCCAGATCCCGTATGGACTGTCGATCAGCCTCGTATCTACTGTCGTGTCACTGCATACTTTGTTTCGATGAACTCGCCTTGTCGTTGAATCAGACAAGCTCGCATTTGCAAGGTGATGTTGAAGAAGCAAGGCGTGAGAGCGGTTGGAGAGGCATAGAAAAGGCGATAATTGGCTGAGATGGCCTGCGCGTTGATTTCTGGCACGCACTGCACAGCACAGCGCCGAAATTGCGCTCAGTCTGAGTTCTGAGCTGCGACTGCGACGTGTTCCTGTTCGGCCAGCAACCAAAGCACGCGGAGCCGTGCGTTTGGTGAATTGACTTGCGATCTTCCAACGAGCAGCGACGACATCAGCTTCTCTTCTCATCCACACCCTCTGCCTAGCCTTGGCTTGCATCCTTCTCGATCGATCCCCCAATTTTATAGGCTCGTCGAAGGCAGGCGCTCGTGGCCATCACTCAACTCATCTCCTCTACCTCCGCAGCAAGCGAATTTGGCCATCATGAACGTCGATGATGTCGAGGATCGCGATGGCGTCCGCCTCTCCTGGAACGTCTGGCCTTCGTCCAAAATCGAGGCGACCAGGACCGTAGTCCCCATCAGCGCTCTCTACACCCCTCTCAAGGAGCGCGAGGACCTTCCTCCTGTCCTCTACGAACCCGTCACTTGCAAGCCTCCTTGCCGTGCCGTTCTCAACCCGTATTGCCAGATCGACGTTCGCGGCAAGCTTTGGATCTGCCCCTTCTGTCTTTCGCGCAATGCTTTCCCACCTCACTACAAGGACATCAGCAGCACCAACCTGCCCGCCGAGCTCCTTCCCAAGTACACCACCATCGAGTACACCCTCAGCCGACCTGCACAGATTCCGCCCATCTTCCTCTACGTCGTCGACACCTGCATGGACGATGACGACCTCAAGGCTCTGCGCGAATCGCTCGTCGTCAGCTTGAGCTTGCTGCCTCCCAATGCTCTCGTTGGTCTCATCACCTACGGTACCATGGCTCAGGTTCACGAGCTCGGCTACGATGCATGCCCTAAATCGTACGTCTTCAGGGGCACCAAGGAATACGCGCCCAAGGCGATCCAGGACATGCTCGGCCTCAACCCCGGCGCTCGTCCCATGGGCCCTGGCGCACCTGGTGCTCCCGGCGGACCCTCGCAGGCTCCTCGTCCACCCAACGCGCCCGCACAGATGGGCGCATCGCGCTTCCTCTTGCCCGTCTCGCAGTGCGAGTTCCAGCTCACCCAGATCCTCGAGCAGCTGCAAAAGGATCCTTGGCCTGTCGCCAACGACAAGCGAAGCCAGCGTTGCACTGGTGTCGCTCTTAGCGTAGCCGTCGGCATGCTCGAGACCACCTTCCCCAACACCGGTGCTCGCGTTATGCTCTTCTGCGGTGGTCCCGCGACGGAAGGACCCGGTATGGTCGTCTCCACCGAGCTGCGTGAGCGTATTCGATCGCACCACGACATCGACAAGGACAACGCCAAGTACTACAAGCGCGCCATCAAATTCTACGAGGCAATGGCCAAGCGTGCGGCAGGCAACGGTCACACCATCGACGTGTTTGCCGGCTGTCTCGACCAGGTGGGTCTGCTCGAGATGAAGAGTCTCGCCAATCTCACCAACGGTCACATCATCCTCGCCGATAGCTTCCAGATGGGAATCTTCAAGCAAAGTTTCAACCGCATCTTCGTCAAGGACGACCAGGGCCACCTGCAGATGGGCTTCAACGCTACTCTCGACGTCCAGTGCACCAAGGAGCTCAAGGTCTCGGGTCTCATCGGCCACGCCGTCTCTGCCAACAAGAAGTCTGGCTGCGTCGGCGAGACCGAGATTGGTATCGGCCAGACCTCGGCATGGAAGCTGTGCTCGCTGACACCACGCACCTCGGCTGGTATCTACTTCGAGGTGGTCACACCAGCAGGACAGCCTATGCAGCCTGGCTCGCGAGGTCTCATTCAATTTGTCACCCACTACCAGCATGCCTCCGGCCAGTACCGACTTCGTGTTACCACCATCGCACGGAACTTTGCCGAGGGCGGATCCGGTCAGATCGCCGCCTCGTTCGACCAGGAGGCAGCTGCTGTGCTCATGGCTAGGATTGCCGTCTTCAAGGCTGAGATCGACGATAGCCCCGACGTTCTGCGCTGGCTCGACCGCATGCTCATCCGACTTTGCCAGAAGTTTGCCGATTACCGCAAGGACGACCCCACCTCGTTCCGACTGGGCGAGAACTTCAGCATCTACCCGCAGTTCATGTTCCACCTTCGTCGATCGCAGTTCCTGCAGGTGTTCAACAACTCACCCGACGAGACGGCCTTCTACCGTCACGTTCTCAACACGGAGGATGTCAACAATTCGCTGATTATGATTCAGCCGACTCTCATGTCGTATGGCTTCGAAGGACCACCGCAACCGGTGCTGCTCGACTCGGTGTCGATCCGACCGGACGTGGTGCTGTTGCTGGACACGTTCTTCCACATTCTCATATTCCACGGCGAGACGGTGGCGCAATGGAGAAAAGCGGGCTATCAGGATCAAGAAGGATACGAAAACTTCAAGGAGGTGCTCGAAAACCCCAAGGCGGACGCGCAGGATCTGCTGGCGGACCGCTTCCCCATCCCGCGATACATTGTGTGCGACCAGAACGGCTCGCAGGCGCGTTTCCTGCTGTCCAAGCTCAACCCGTCGACGACGCACATGAGCGGCGGCATGTATGGCTCGTCCGGTGGAAGCGGCGCTGCGATCTTTACGGACGACGTGTCGTTGCAGGTGTTCATGGAGCACTTGAAGCGGTTGGCCGTGGGCGCTTCGTCCAACTAGAGTTCGAGGCTCTTTTCTTTCTTTTCCGCCTTTCTTTGTCGAGTGTACACGCTCTGCGTTCGAAATACCAAGCTTTTGTTGTCTGTCGCACGGTGTGGGTGTCTGGTAGATGATGCTGAATGGTGCAGGTGAATCCTTTGTACATTTGGTCTAGTGTATCGGGCTACGAGGTGGGATGTTTAGCGGCTGACCATCTTGTCGAGCAGATCTTTTGCCTCGTTGATTTCTGCACAAGCAAAAGACGAAGTGTCAGCACCATCGTCATCATCTGTACTTGCTTCGATCCTCGAAGAGTTGGACTTACTGGAAGCGAGGTATGGTGCTCCACCACGATCCGGGTGGTTGGCGATCATCATGCGCCTGTGCGCCTCCTTGAGCTTTGCCTTTGTCAGCGCGGTCTCTCTCAAGCCGAGGATCTGCGCGGCTTCCTTCTTGTCCATCTTGCCGTTGAAGCCGCCCTTGATCCACTTGCCGCCAGGTGCACCGGCGCCGGCCTTGGAGCCGAACAGAAGGTTGGCAGTGAGACCGGCAATGACGAGGCCGGCGCCGATCATGATGGGCGTCGCGATGGGGTTAGGCAGTGTGTGGCGGAAGAGCAGCGAGGAGTTGGGGCGGAACGGAGTTGAGAGAGAGCGAGATGCTGATGCTCTCGAGGCTGCATTTGTGCGTGCTGGTGAGACTGTCGAGCTCGAGGAGATGCATCGTACCGCTGGACGCAAAGACTGGAGGCTGGATGATGAGGCGGTGGAGGTGCTCGAGAGGGCTGCTCGTGCCAGCGCACGCGTTGCTGTTGGTGCAATCATGTCTGGACAGAGGTCCTGAGCGACGAGACAGAGGAGAGTGGTGATTGATGAATCGAGAGGTTGAGATGGCGGTGATGTGCTCAGCCAACGACTTGAAAGGGTGAATTCGGCAAGCAGACTCGAGCTTTCTTCCCCTCATGACCAAAAAAGCACACGCACGAAATCTCGAAAATTCAATCCGAGTTGGCAAACCATTGATCTGACAGCCTTAAAAAACTCGCCCGTCAGCTCCACACACGGCGTAGCCAAGAAGGCGGTCGCTACGTAACTCTGCGTCCTGAGAAGAAATTCGCCGAAACAGCGAGCTGCAACGCTGAAAAATAGAGCTCTGTGGCTTTGGTACCCACACCGGCGAGGTCGTCTTACGCTCGCTCACATTGACACGGCAAAGCTTGAGCATACTGTCGTTGAAAGACGCCGTCGTGCCTGTGTCGAGGATCACCCTTGTCTGGCTCGCAAGACCGGGCAGTTGCTTGTGATGAAGCGAAGGGCCGCTCCTGCAGGCGAAAGAAAGGTGGAGCAACACGGCGCTCAGACCACTTTCGACATTACATGTGACTAAGGCCTGAAAGTGACCAGCTCAGATGGTGTCTTGGGAGCTTGTCAGCGCGTCCAGATCAGGCTGAAAGGATGCTTGCGAGGTGTTGAATGTGACTGAGAGTGACTGATGACGACTGAGATTTCGGATGATGCGAGAAGAAAGACGACCAGACCCTGTCGAAGGTCGCTTCCACCTTCTCGGATGAGCCGTATGTCATTCCTCGGAAGCAGCCATTGTTGTGCATCTCGAACTTCACATCCAACCATCATCACCACCTTTTGTACACATCAATCGAACCTCGATCCCGCTGTCGACTCAAACGCCCTGCCGCTCCCTCGCAAAGCCATCACCAGCACGGCATCACGCACGGCATCACGCACGGCACCAACCTCTCCCACTGTCCCTCGGCAATCTTCGAGTCAGCCTGGGGCTATCACTGGTTCTTCCTCGATTTCCCTAACTGGATCCCACTCCCGTCTTACCTTCAATGACATCCTAGTCGAATCGAAAGAGCGACCCCAAGCTCTTTCCTCTCACAGCGCGAGGCACCATGCCGAACCTACCTTCCAGCTCCTTCGCCTCGGAGGCTCCCTCCACCTCCTCAGGGCGAAGAGGCTCAGAACAGCTACCCTATGCTCAGATAGCGATCAACAGCGCAGACGCTCCGCGTAGAGCGTCCTTAGGCAATGCCATGTCGGTAGGCAGCGCCAACGACATGCTCAGAGCCGCTTCTGCTATGGCCGCTCAGGCTAGCTCAGGTGCGGAAGGTCTGCAAGCTGTCAGCTCTGCTCTCCTCAACCAGGCCAAAGCCCAGGCATCCGCAACCGCCCAAATATTACATGCTAGTACCACTGCCGGCGCAAGCGATCCCCAGTCCACTCCCATGGCCCGCAACTGGTCCGACTCGGCGGGCTACTCAGCAGCAATGAGCAGACACATTGCCTCCACTATCGAAACTCAGATGACCAAGCCGCAGTCTTCCTCCCGACGACCACAGACCGCCGCGTCCCGCAGTACTGCTATCGATACAGAGACTGCATCCCCAGACTCGACCGATCCCGAAGCTCAGATGGGTCGCATCGCTGCACAAGCTGCGGCTCGAGAGGCTCAGACCCAATGGCGAACTCAATTGGCATTACGCCGTTCATCAGTGCAGACAGAATTAACAGCAACCACAGGCGAGCCCTCCGCGTCCTCACATGCACCTGCAGCGTCAGCTCCTGCCAACGCTGGAAGAGCTTCGCAATCCGGTCCACGTCCAGGCTCCGTCAGCACAGCGCCCGACACCAATGCACGATCAAGAGCGGCCGCAGACACGTCGGATATGTCTATCACCGAATACCTTCGCTTCCTTGGCCTCAATCACATCGAAATGCCCTCTGAAGGGGTCGAGCAATCTTTTGGTCGCGAAGCTAGCTCTTCGTCTCGATACTGGGATGCGACAAATCCCCACATGGGCTTCAGTCTCTCGGGCGTGCCCAGTATGCCTTTAATGCCCAACCCACCATTGCAGATGCTACCACCTCCCGTCTCGCCTTCTTTCCGCAGGAAACAATCCCGTGGTCGCTCTTGGCTTGGACATGCTTCCAATGCCTCGGTCAGCTCTACCGATTCAATCGATACCAGCAAAGACTTTGAACCGAACGTCATGTCGCCCTTTCCATATCCATTTCAGGTGGTCCAGACCCCAGGAGGCACGGCAAGAGCAGGCTGGTGGGTGCCCGTCTCCGAGGTGGCGCCGGATAAGAGAGCCAAAGCAGTCAAGATCGGCGAAGATCTACCAGCATCCTCGACCTTTGCCCTCAATCAGGCGTCCTCGCTCGAGGATGCACCAGAGAGTACCTCGATTCCGGCACACGCCGATCATGACGACGCCGAAGCTCAGCTATTGTTCCAGCCGACATATCGGGACTTCACTCAAGACGAATACTCGACCCTCGCCACCGCTGCGGCCTATGCGACCGCAGCACTCACCAGCATAGCATCAACACCGGGCGGCGAGTCACAGCCAAGCTCGCTGAGATCGCTGACGGCATCGGAGCAGGAAGCAATCGCCAATCAGCTGAGGGCATGGGCAGGTCTGGAAGGCCCAAACGCCCAGGCGGAAGCTCGAAGGGCGCTCGAAGAACGCCAAACACATCTCTTCAATCAAGCATTCCATCACGACCTGCCAGACGATCGCGATCGTCGCGGGCCAGAGTCTGGTGTAGATGATCAGTATGGCCAGCTGCATCGACCTGAGGAAGCAACTCGCTTCTTTCCTCCTGACTTTGCGAGCCACTACCGCACGCAGCTCCAAGCGCTTGCCGAAGGTTACTACGCTCGCCTGCACAATGAGAATCTGGCGCAAGCACATTTCGCACAGCCTCCCGCCAAGAAAGCCCACATCGGCGAGCATCGCGCAAATGACGACGCCACTGGCAAAAGAGATGAACACAAGACACCCACACCGAGGACACCGCATCTGGATATGGTTGGCATCGAGGGTCTCAGCGATATCGAGCCTCCGGTACGCACTCCGACTCTGCGTCCAGGCGCACGAGATCCAGTCGAGCTGTTGAACGCTGCCTCGACTGCTGCCGGCCACGATGTCTCCTCTCCCGAAGTGCGAGACCAATTGCTTCAGTACGCCCATGGACTCTACACACAGGGGCCTCCGCAGCCAGATGCCTCTGCCAAAGGCACCGACAAGCTGCATCCCACCCTCTTGCCGCTCCTGCACACCCTGCATAAGCTTCACCCTACGCATCTTCCGGTTTTGCTGCTGCTCTCGTGTGCCTACTATGCCGCCGACAATTTTGCAGGCTCACTTTGGTACAATCGGCTTATCCTGCGCATCGACCCCAACTACGTCGAGAGCATGAGCAACATTGGAACCACCTTACGGGCATTGGGTCGATACCGAGAGGCAGAGAGCTGGTGGTGGAGAGCCATTCGACTTCGTCCCGGCTACTGGGATGCGTACGAGAACCTTTTGGGCGTGATGTGCTCCACGCATCCTCCGCCAGCGCAAAGTCAAGCCGGCTCCCAGTCGAGCTCGAATGAGTCGCCGCCTGCGCAACCACGTTTCGAGGAAGCACTGCATCTGTGCGAGCACGTCGAGTCTCACGTCGTAGGCGAACAGAACACGCCAGGAGTCTCTTTGCCCCTCTGCCTTCCGCCGAATCTACCCTTGACACAGACACCTCGACTCCAAAATTTGTTCTACGCCAAGGGCAACCTCAAGTTCGTCCTGCCGGAATCAGGCGCAGTACCAGCTGCGGCAGAGTACCAGAAGGCTGTCGAGGTCGTGCTGTCTCGCGATGCAGCAAATTGCTACAGTCTACGCGATCTAGTGGTTGCGACGTGTGCCGTGGGACTGCTATCGATGGGCGCTATGCTTCCCGGCACTGCTGCAGCAGCTGCTGCTCTCGAGATAGCAGTGGCTTTGGGCATCAATTCGACGAATCCAGAACATGCTGCCATTTTGGCCAGCGGTGCCTTCAACCGCTTCTGTCCTGGAGGCATCCTTGCCCTGGTCAAAGTGTCCGGCGAGGTTGTGGTCAGCACGTTGCTTCGCCTCGGCAACGGACAGCTTCCTATGCTGTTGCTTCTGCCCGAAGCCGCGACACAGCTCTGCAAAGTCATCTTCGCGGAGACAACCGGCAACTTGCCTGCGTTGGTCCAATCACCACTACCTTCCAAGCCACAGAATCCGGCGACTCTGCAGCAAGCGCAGAAGCAGGCCGCGCAGACTGCTTCCACCATCCTCTTGACACTCGCCAAATTGTTCCAGGACGCCACCGCCAGCCCGATGGCCGGCCCACACGGGCCGTTGACGCTAGGAGGCATCCCGCCATCCACTTCGTTGCTGCTGCCGCTCTACTATCTCTCGATATCGATGCATGCGTCCGCTTCGACTTGCAACAATCTCGGTATTCTGCTGTCGTCGATTCCAGTCGTCACCACTGTGATCAACGCAGCAGGTCAGCCTCAGCAGCTCAACGGGCAAGCACTGGCGATGCAGTACTACACGCAAGGTCTTCAGCTCGACCCCAAGCATCCTCACATCTACACCAATCTCGGTTCTCTCCTGAAAGATCTTGGACACCTAAACGAAGCGATCAAGATGTACCAGAAGGCGGTCGAGTGCAACCCCAACTTTGACGTCGCCCTCGCCAACCTCGGTAACGCGATCAAAGATCAGGGGCGCACCCAGGACTCCGTCGTCTACTACCGTCGAGCGGTCCAGGTCAATCCTCACTTTCCCGAAGCGCTCTGCGGCCTTGTCAATGCGCTGCTCGCGGTGTGCGATTGGCCAGAGGTGTACACCGACAAGCGAGCCGTCGCGAAGCAGCAGCAGCAATGCAGTAGCGGTAGTCAAGCGGTTGGAGTTGCGACCTCGCCTGGTGGCTGGATGGTCAACGTCTCGGACTTGGTGTCCAAGCAGCTCAGTGATGGCTGTCAGTACGGTGCCGGTGCATTCCAGACTGTGGGCCCACTCGAAAACTGGGTCCAGGCAATCGTCCAGTCCATGGGGGACACTCGTGCGGCAGCAGCACAGATCTGGACTCAGCGTCTGCAGTCATTCTACCAACCCGCCTTCGACCGAGTCGCAAATCAGGTCTGCGAAGGTGGCTATCTGATTCACCTGGTCGAGAGGATGATGCGCCGATCACAGCGGAGGTGGTACGTCGATACCTACGGTGCTGGAGCGCTGCAGGCGGCAACAGAGCTGCCCAGAGTTTCGGTCACCGATGCACGCGGCGTTAGCTATGCCCGACCAAAGCTCCCATCCTGCTTGGTCACGCCAGCGACACCCACCGTGCTGCCTTTCCACACATTCACATATCCGCTCTCACCGCGACAAATCCGTCTCATCTGCCATCGCAATGCGTTGAGGATCTCCCAGAGCACCCTGACGCAGATGTGGGTGCCCGATGTGGTGTACCCGCCTCCGTCACCGCCGGCGCCCAAGATCAACATCGGCTACGTGTCGTCTGACTTTAACAACCATCCGCTCGCGCACCTGATGCAATCGGTCTTTGGCTTCCACGATCTGTCGCGCTTCAACATCTTTCTTTACGCGACGACGCCATCAGATGGAAGCCCGTACCGCCTAAAGATCGAACGCGAAGCCCAGCATTTCGCAGATGTGTCGACATGGTCGAACCAGCAGGTGGTCGAGCGTATCGTCATGGACAACATCCATGTGCTAATGAACCTCAACGGGTACACGAAGGGAGCACGTAACGAGATCTTTGCCGCACGGCCGTGCCCAGTGCAGATGGAGTTCATGGGCTTTGCCGGCAGCATGGCGTCGTACTGGACCGATTGGGTGGTCGCGGACCCCATCGTCTGTCCTTCCGAAATGACGTGCGTCGACAGATGGCGCCAGCAAAAGCATTCCGCAGCAATCACAGGTTCGTCGCTCCAGCAGCGTCCGACCGACTTGATGGCAGACGTGGATCCCGAAGAGGCTTCCGATGACTGGGTCTATCCCGACCGGTTCATCTACATGCCGCACTCGTACTTTGTCAACGATCACAAGCAGGGATTCCGCGAGACCGTTTCCAACGAGACCATCGAGCTCGCCACCAAAGGCACCGAGGGCGAACCACTCGCAAAGAAGGCCGACAGCTCTCCCACAGACGAGCAGCGGTGGGCGAGCGAAGAGCTCAAACGCTACGCGATGCGACGCGAGCTCTTCCCCACCCTCCCAGACGACTATGTGGTCTTTGCAGACTTCAACCAGCTGTACAAGTGCGATCCGATGCTGTTCCGGTTGTGGCTGCGCATCCTCCAGCGCGTGCCCAAGTCGATCCTGTGGCTGCTACGCTTTCCGGCAGCCGGAGAGCACCATCTGCTGCGCGAGGCACGACAGTATGCAGGCGACGAAGTGGCTTCCCGCGTTATTTTCACCGATGTTGCGCCCAAGCACATCCACATCCATCGCGGTAGAATCGCCGACCTGTTCCTCGACACCACCGAGTGCAACGCGCATACCACCGCAGCCGATATCCTGTGGTCAGGCACGCCGGTGCTGACTTGGCCGAGACACATGCACAAGATGTGTTCGCGCGTCGCAGCGTCCATCGTCCACGCCACCGGGTTTGGCGACGAAATGACGGTGAACAGCGAGCAGGAGTACGAGGATCGGGCGGTGCAATTCGCCGAGTCTCTGTCGTACACTTATTTGGACGAGAAGGGGAATGAGGTGGTGGGTGTGGTGGACGAGACCAAGGTGCGGTTCGCCAACGAGCTCGAAGCGGATCCTCGTAGTGTTGCTGCTCAGCCGCATAGTACGGGTGCTGCGACGTCTGCGGCCGCTGCAGGAGGCACGGGCTCGAGCAGTTCTCAAGGACATCAGAACGGCGCGTCTCACAGTCGTGGTGACAGCAGCACCTCGAACTCCCCACGCAAGACCACCTCAAGCGGCACCGGCCCCAGCGCAACGCCCAAGTCCTCACCCGGCAAGCACGCCGACGAGGCCTCCGAGACGTCAGCAGCCAAACGTGCGCGCTCCGCCTCAGTCCTACCGGGCTCCCCCGCCCCGGCCCCAACCGGCGTCTCGCAAGCCGCCGCCGCCAAACATTCAGACGCGACCGTTTCGACCAACGCCACCCTTGCCTCCGCCCTTCCTCCCCGCCACACCATCCGTCTGCCCCCCTCTCCGACCTACCCAGGCGCCATCACGCGTCGGTCCACCGTTGAGGATGCGAAAAGCCTGGCGAGCCTGCGCAAACGCCTCTTCCTCTCGCGCGAACAGTCGGCGCTCTTCGATACCAGAGCGTGGGTGCGGGATTTGGAGAAGGGGTATGTCGAGGCGTGGACGCGGTGGGTGTTGGGCGTGGATTGCGAGGACAGTGCTGAGTGCGAAGGTCTCAACAGAGACACCGAGATCGGGAGAAGGGTCGAGAGGAGCGGACACATCTGGGTGCGCGATCTGTGAGCGCTTCAGGGTGGGATGCGACGGCGCTCTTCAGACGGGCGTTGGAGTGATGATCTTGAATGGCAAGTCTGCGAATGAGCCTACCAGTGTGATTGAGAAACATGGCAGTGTGAGTGCGGACAGCAGTGTGACACGTGAAGACCTCCTTTGTATGCTCGACGAGGCGCCTAAGATTACTCCTCGTCGCTACCCATCAACTCGGCCAACTCGGCCTCCTCCTCGGCTGTCATCTGGGGTGCGCCTAGCGGCTCCTCCTCGCCCTTCTTCCTAGGTGCAACGGGTGGGAGCGAATTCTGATCCCACTCCTCCCCGCCATGCGTCTTTGCGTCTATCGTGGGACGTACCATCTCTGGCTTTGGCAAAGACGCCACTTGGTGCAGGGGCCATCGTCGTACCGACCCGTCGAGGCTGGCGGATACGATCCATGCTTCTGCTTCCCCTTGGATTGGGGGCAGATCGGATTTCGATGTGGAAGGGGGGCGAAGCCAGAGGGCTAGAGTGGTGATTTCGTGCCAGTGCGCTTCCACTTCGTGCACCTCCCCTTCCTCCCGTGCGGCGGAGAGCGTGGTGGATGCGGTCGGTGATGGGTACACGCGGACATGCTCGTCGCTTCCCCCTGTCACCACTGCCCCCGCGTACTGCTCGAATTGAGCCGCTGGCGGGAGGTAGAGCGAGAGCGGTAGCACGGCCTTAACAAAGTCCTCATGCATCACCTTGACATAGGGCGTCGTCACCGCATCTTGCGTTCCGAGCAGGGGTGTTGATGTTGAACCTCCCGCTTTGACCGACGCCACCGGCTGAAGGGCGGGAGAGAGTCGATAGCCAGCCGCACTCTTGTCTCCACTCGCACCCCACAGTTCCGCGACCAGACGATATCGCGATCCGTCAAGATCCTCCTTGACCTCGCTCACAAAGGCATCCGAGCCCAAGCTGGCAGTGTCGCCCTCCACCTCCTCCCGCCGCCATCCCACCTTGAGATCGTAGACGCTCGTCGAAAAGCCGGTGATCTCGCGCAGCACCTCGAGTCGTTGAGTGGAAGGGTGGAGCGAGCATTCGAGCACGCGACCCATCGAGTCCGCGCTATACAGCCGCGTGATGCCGTCCAATCCGACGAGAGAGGCAAGCGCGTTGATCGGTCGCGAATGATGTTTCGACTGATGCACGCACTTGAGCGTTCCCGCAGAAGGGGAGAGGAGGGGGGTGGCGTCCCACAGCATGACGCTCTTATCGCTCCCCGCGGTTGCGATGTAGGTCTTTGCCCCCGCGACAAAGACGTGGATGGCCTTGATGAAGTCCACCATGGCATTCTCTACCACGACTATCGGATCCACATTCCTCCCTGCCTGACCCGTCTCTTGGGGGATGCGATACACTCTTATCGCCCGATCCCACGATCCCGTCACCAACAGTCTCCCCCCCTCTGCATCGAGGAAGTCGAAAGAAGGAACGGGCGCCTTTGCTCCCCTATACACCGCCACCGTACATCCACTCTTCATCTCCACCTGCCTCACCACACCCCCCGCCTCACTCGTCCACACGCACCCATCGGCAACCCGCAACGAGAGCACGCGAAATCGCCCCCCGTCCGCACCCGACCCTTCCACCGCCAGATCCGCCGCGTTTGCCACCACCGCCGACTCGAAGGATGGATTGAGGTGGATCGGATGGCCGTACCGTGCGCGCGCGTCGGCGCTGCTGGCAGAGGAGACAAGGCCCGAGGTGAGAACTGCTTTCCGTGCTCGGTAGGCGCCGAGCGCTTCCGAGTGCGAGGTTTGGAAGAGCGTCGCGTTGGACGTTGTCTGCATCGTGACTCGTCCTCTTCGTGCGTCGTAGAGTTGCGAGACCGTAAGAAGGGGTGCTGAATGGATGCGTTTGCTGTGCGCTCGCTGGGTTGATGGCGACGGCCCTTGATGGTGTAGTGCCAAAGGTCAAGCGCAGCAAATGTGACACTTTGAAGATGCACACTTTTGGACTGGTGCAGTGTTGGACTTTCTCCAGACGCGTCCTCCCTTTCTTCTTACCGCGCGAGACACTTTACACGTCCTCTTGCCGCTCCTGTCTCACTCACACATCATCCCTCATGACACTCCCCTCAAAACGCTTGCTCATAGCTCTGCACTCGAGCAAATGGCCTAAAACACTCAACAGTCGATCGATGAGCGTCACACAATTCAAAGAACAGGGATAAAAGGCTAAATCTTTTTGGGAGGGGCTATTGTTGTAACACGAAAAATCGGCAAAGTAGCGAAACTCTTCTACAGGACTTGAGTCACACGGAGATGATCTCCGGTTCGTGGGGATCCAGCATCGCTTACTTCTTGAGGAAAGCCTCGAGCGAGTCCATGGACATGGACTTGGGGCGCTCGATGGGCATGCCGAGGTATCGGTCGGCGACCAGCTGGGGGAGGGCACCGATGGCACGCGAGATACCGAAGATGACCGTGTAGTAGGTGAACTCGGTGAGGCCGTACTGGTAAAGCACGCAGCCGGAGGCGGCGTCGACGTTGGGGAAGGGGTTCTTGGTCTTGCCGTGCTCCTTGAGGACGCCGGGGGCGACCTGCGAGACCTTCTGGACGAGCTGGACGATGGAGCTGTCGCGCAGCTCGGGGCGGGTATCGCAGAACTTGCTGAGCGCGGTGAAACGCGGGTCGGGCTGACGCAGAACGGCGTGACCGTAACCGGGCACGACACGGCCCGACTTGAGCGTGGACCAGAGGTACTCCTTGATCTGCTCGTCCGAGGCGTTCTCGCCAACGGCCTCCTGCATGGCAAGAGCCCAGCCGAGAACCTCCTGGTTGGCAAGACCGTGCAGGGGACCGGCGAGACCGAGAAGGGCAGCCGAGTACGAGAGGTAAGGGTCCGAGAGCGCCGAGCCGACCAGGTGGGCAGTGTGGGCCGAGACGTTACCACCCTCGTGGTCACCGTGGATGGCAATGTAGAGACGGAGGTAGTCGGTCATACCCTGGTTGTCGCCGTAGCCGATCATGTTGGAGTAGTTGCCGATCAAGTCGAGGTTCGAGTCGATGGTCTGCTTGCCGTCACCGCGGCCGAAGACGTTGTAGTAGATACGAGCGGCAATGGCGGGGAGCTTGGCAATGAGGTCGATCGAGTCGTCAAGGACGGGGGCCCAGTACTCGGTCTTCTTGATGCCCTTGGCGTAGGCAGCGGCGAACTTGCTGTCGTGGTTGAGGGCAGCGACGGCAGCGGCGAACTGAGTCATAGGGTGGAGGGTCTTGGGGAACGAGTCGATGATCTTCTCGACGTGGGCGGGGAGAGCACCCTGGGCAGCGAGCTCGGCGGAGAGACCCTTGACCTCCTCCTTGGAGGGGACGTTGCCGGTCAACAGGAGCCAGAGCATGGACTCGGGGACTGTGAGCGCGAGCAGAAAGAGGAAAAAAGCGTCAGCAATCAAATTTTCGCGAAGTTATCGGCTGCAAGAGAGCAGAAGCTGGTGCTACAGCGTTTATCGTAATACTCACGGATCTCGTTACCGTTGAGGCCAAGGTCAGCGGCGGTGGGGAGAACCTTCTGGGAGTCGGGAATGGACTTGCCGTGGAAGGTGATACCGGTCTCAGAGTCGAGAACGGAGCCCTCCCAGAGCATGACCTTGAGACCACGCATACCACCGAGAAGGTGCTGAAGCTGGATCTCGCCGAGCTTGGACTCGCCGTGCTCAGCCTTGAGCTTCTTGAGCTGCTCCTGCTTGGCGGGGATGATCTCGGCGACGGCATCCTTGAGGGTCTTGGTGGAGGCGAATCGGACGGAACCGGCGCCGGCGGCGGCAGCGAACTGACGGGCAGGGGCAGCGGCCCTGAGAGCGAGACGAGGGACGGTGAGCGACAACATCTTTGGAGAGTGACGGGATCAGGGATGTGGATGATGGTGAAGGAGAGGAAGAGAGGGGGGAAGAAAACGACAAGTGACGATGTTCGCTCTCCTCTCACACGCGGCACAGCGATAGACGATTGGCCAGAGCGGGCGAGCGGATGTTGCGATGAAATCGACAGGAAGCGCACGCCGGGCGGAATGGCCGACGAATCTTTCTCGCCCGCTCACTCACACACTCACGGACGGGTGCAGCGAAAAAGAAGAAAAAGGTCCAAGCGAGCAAGGCAGACCGGCAGAAGAAGCAGACACGCGACGGAGACAAAATGACGATATGATCCACTTGAAAATCATTCTCAGCCAGCCCAGATCCCAGCGGAGCAGCGCGGGAGCCGATCCCATCAAGAAGAAAAAATATCACAATCACATGCAGGCGACCCAACTTGACTTTTGGTCCAGCACCACGCCCAACTTGGCAGGCAACACCACCATCTCATACCCTCGAATGATACCAGCCTCGACACATGAGACGTCCGACTTCAGATCCAGCTTGTCCAAAGGTGAAGACTCTTTTGGGCCTTCTACTGAGAGGAAAACAGTGGCCGACTGTGTTGTGATGGGTTGGCCTACCCAAACTCGTCCGTCTGCTGCTGGCTCTTGCATCGATTATCGGATTTCACGTCCGAGTCGGCCTTCCGTGACCGTTGGCGCTCCTTGTCGCCTTTCTTCCGCCTTTCGCCTCGTCCGACAAGCTCAATCTCGCTGACAAGCGTCTCAATCGACTTGCTGTTCGAAGCTCGGAGGCGTTCCGACGATCATCTGAGCCAGCGATCCATAAAATGTGACTTTGTAGAGAGCATCAGGAAGACACGGCTGGTAGAAGAATCTCTCCGCCCCAAACTCACGCTTGCAGATTTCATGCACCCTCGCCAGGCCCTTTTTTCGGATCAACCGGCTCTTCTGAAAGAGACCGGCCGGCGCTCGTTTGATTTGCATGCTCCTTTCCTCGCAGCATCCCGTCGGCTCTCGATGCTGGCAGAGCGTCCTCGAAACGAGCCGTTGGTGCTGTGTGAGCTCTGCAGTCTGTATTCTTGATGGAATGATAATCTAGAGTTCACCATCTCAAAGCGAGTAGCGACGTCAAAGAGTCGCTCAAGCACGCCCTAGCCGGGCGAAGGCGGCCATGCTTCTTGCCAAGACGACCAACTGGTAGGTCCTGAAGCAGCCGTCGGTGATCCATCCTAATAGCCAAGAATGCGGGGTCCTAAAGAGAACCAGCGAGACTCCGCAAGCTCGATGAAGACGTCCGTATGGGGAAGCCGGCAAGCAAACCCCGCCGAGTACCGACTGGAGCGGGTCATTCACCTCGCTACCTTGGTCCAGACCTGTTTCGTGGAAGGGATGGCGATCTCATGTCGAGCATTGCAAGGCCGATTTGATCCGCGTTGGTCCGAGTCGATTTTGTGATATTTGTTAGACCCAGCTGGTCGCTTATGTCACGCTTAGGTACTTCAACTTCGCACGCCAGCTATGACGGCAACGCTGTTGCGGGGGACACGTGGATTCCACTTGCCGAAGTGATGCCATCTTCTTGCTTCCGCTCGACCACCTGTACCTCCAACGACGCAGGCGAGGGCAGCGACGCAGGTCAACGACGGCCCTTGGTACGACGCTGCGCAATCGGCACCACCATGAATCGTCGTGCAGGAGCCACTGACCGGCACGCACTCCTCGCGGGGGGCGCCTACCCGTCCTCCTCCTCGCTCTCCGCCTACCGCTCCTCTTCACCCTACGACTCGAACCCTTACCCTTCCACCTCGACCAACGGCTCTTCCACCTACAACAGCGCCGACTTTGTCGGTGCGCCCAAGAAGGAGCCCACCGAATCGTATGGGAACAACATCTTCGGTCGAGCCGCCTCGTCCTACGTCGCAACACGCACAGCCGAGGACCTTGAGGAGCAGAACGACCAGCGTCTCGACGGTCTCACCGCCCGAGTATCCATGTTGAAAGAGATCACGCTCAACATCGGGACCGAGGTACGCGAGGGGACCAAAGACCTCGGCGTACTAGGCGAGGCGTTCGAGAACACCTCGGCCTTCCTGGGTGGCACGTTCAAGAGGATGAACAAGATGGCCAAGAAGCAGGGCGGATGGTTTTGCAACATGATGCTGTTTCTCCTCTTTGTCACTTGGTTATTTGTAAGTTGGGTTGTGGCGAGACAACTTGATGGGTGGGTCGGAGTACTGACTGCTTTGCGTTCGGCGTCTTGCATTTCAACAGGTCTTCCTCTGGTGGTGGCGAAGGTAGCTCACCTCGCAACCGCATCTCACCCTCGGTTCCCGTCCAGCATCGCCCTCATACCATATTCTCTAGGTCCGAATCCAGCAGCAAATGTATTTGTACCGTCTCAATCCAGCATCACATTTCAACGACAGATGCCGTTGGCGAGCTCACCTTCTGGCCTGCCATCGAGAGTCGAACCTATTTGATCGTTGACGAGCCCAAAGAAGAGCCGATTGAAGAAAGACGGAGAGAAGACAAAGAGAGAATCTACATATCGCAAAATGCAAGCGAAGGACAGTGAAGACGAAGAAGCGGCGGGCAGGGTCCAGAGGAGCCATCGATCCTCCTCGCCCTTCGCACAATGACAGAACACAACGACAACACAGCGCAACGACTCCTCGCCCTAACCTGCGAGCACTTTAGGCCCGAACAGCGCCAAATCCCAAGGATTGGGCTGCTTGCTCCTGTACATCTGCAAGCCGTGAATCCTGCCTTCGCTCAACGTCCCACTAGGACTCAACTTTTTGAACGCGCTCTTCGTCAGATCGACTTGGTTTTCGCCACAGCCGGCGCACTTGTCGATCACCCTGACCAACACACAGCGATTGTTGGCGTTCTGATTGCACAGCTTGACGAATTCGCCACACTGCGGGCCATCGGTCCAGTGTTTGACGACCGCTCCGATGTGGGAGGAGTTTTCGGGTTGCCAGTCGCCACCGCCGTTGCCGCACTGGGGGTTGAGCAGATCGTGCGAGGCGTACCACGTGATTAGCACCTTCTTTGCCCAGAGGGTGTCGGTGAGAGCAGGGCCGATGGTGAAGAGTTTGCGGGAAGAGGAGGTGCGGTGTTTCGAATGACGGTGGTGGTGCTTGGTCCGACGAAGGGCCGCACGGGATTCGAGCTCGGAGGGAGAGTAGTCGTCATCGTCTTCGTCACCGTAGACCGAGTTGATGTAGCGCAGGGGTTGACCGTCGTCGTCCAGGTCCGCGGCGGAGGTCAGCGCGTCCGTGGAGACCGGCAGGGTCGAGGACGCCTTTGCGGTGACACTCATGGCGACGATGGCCAATGTGCCAATGATGGCATTGAAGAGATTGATGCGCACCATGGTTGCGGTTGGCCGAGATGCAAAATGGTGTATCAGCTCGAGAAGAAGAAGATAGGGCTGATACAGGGGTGTATGCGTCAAGAAACGGTAGAGGCTGGAGCAAAGAGCTTGTGGGGACGACTGTGGTGGTCACGGGTATCGACGAGATCGGGTATTGGGACGAAAAGTAAGAGGAGCGAGAGCGTAACAAAGGTGGAGCGAGAGCGTAACAAAGGTGGAGCGAGAGCGTAACAAAGGTGGAGCGAGAGCGTAACAAAGGTGGAGCGATGGAGAATGGGGAGGGTCGAAAGGTCAACTTGGAGAGACGATAGATAATACAGGAACGTGCCGGGTGGCGAGGTCTGGGCTAGTGAGAGATTGGCAGCGTGAGCTCGTGACGAGGACCCTTGAGCGAACCGCACGTGCGGCGCTACGGCGGCGGCAAAGTCACTGGCGATATGAGTGCTAGACACGGGACGGCTGCAGAAGGCGCAACCAGAGGGCTGCAGCAAGAGTGGTGCCTGATCGACAAGCCACGCAGCCAGCCTCGATTTGACGACTGCATGTATTTGATCTGCATCAAAGGCTGCTGTCGTGCAACCATGTGTATCGTTTCGGCGCTGGGACCCGTCGGCAGCGATATACGGGGACGATACAAACACACTCCGAGCGCTGGGATTCAATAGAATGGCTCATGCAGACACTCAATTCCAGCTCAGAACGTCCTGCCAATCGAATCAGAAACGTTCCGTCCGAGTTGCCGAGACTGTAAAGGCGCTAAGGCATCGTAACAATGAGACCGCAGACAGTCCAGAAGCATCTTTGCGGGCGGGTCACGAGATGATCATTGTTCGTGAGTCTGTGCGACACGAAGTGTTGCCGTCCGGGGATTGTCGAGGACGTCTGGGCTGGAGTGACGCCACTGCATCGCAATGGCAGCGACATACATCACTCCCAAAAGATACAGGAGGAGACGTTGTGCAACAGCAAGGTTGAGGAATGCAACCATGTCTGTGCTGCGTGGTACGCGCTTTTTGACGTGCCTGCAGGTGATGTATGTTTCGGGTGCAGAGGTTCACAGAATGAGTGTGACATGTCAGCCCGCCGCCACGCTCCGTTGTAAACTTCGCGCTGCATTGCTGTGCAGATCCTTCGGCGTACATCATTTACGCTTGGATCCCGTCGCTTGGCATGCAATGCGCTCGAGCTGCTCTCTTACCTTTGCTAGCGCCGCGGTTGATGCGCGCAGCGTCGATCAGTGCGCCCCTCAGACCCTGCGTAGCATGCAGATCCTTCTTCCGTGGAACATCTCTGGTCTGTGCGGAAAGTGGTTGCGAGATTGCAGCGTCTGACGGCTCCGCTCGGGCCCTTGCACACGCTGATGAACCTCAGGCTCCGATTTGGCTGCATGATCGAATTACAGCTGATCACCTTTGCACGTCGCCCGGCTTGCGAACGATCCACACCCGCTGGCGCATGAACGCCTGCGAATTCGGAACATCGACGAAAAGCGTGCGGTACTGCAGAGTACCATCTTGGTCCTTGACCAGCTCTGCATGCACCTCGCCCGTGGACCACGTGCCGGGTTCGGAGGAGCGGCGAGACTTTGGTGCGGTCGGGGAGGTAAGGGTCGAGGTGATGGCCTCTGTTGAGCTTCGTACCACACTGCCGATGCCGCCGAGGGCCGAGCTCCATGTTCGGCTCAGCACGTTATCCGATGGAGCATTCGCTTCTGCTCCGGATGATGAGGTGCTGGCGATAGAGCCGGCTTCTTTGTCGCCGTCAGCATCGTAATGCGACCCGAGGTCGACGCCGAGTTGCTCGCCGAGCCATTCTCCACCCTCCATGATCTTGCGACCTGTCCACTTGCCTGCCTCGACGATCTCATACCGTGCCGTGTCCCAGATCGACCACTCCTCTCCCTTCTCCCGCGCTCCGATCCAGAATCGCAACAGCATCTTTTCCTCGCCTGTTCGCTCGTCCGTGAACGAGACCGAAGGCACCGAGCGGGACCGTCTCCTGTCCTTGACCGAGGGCGGGTTGAGCGGTGAGAAGTCGCTCGATCCACTCTCAACTGTGGGAGATGTGCGGAATCGATACGGCATCAAAAGGTGGTTGCCGATCTCTGCGCTCTTCTGTACGCGCTTGCATGCGTCTGCGTAGATCACGGTGGGGCTGTTCTTGGCGAAGAGCTCGCTGGTGAGTGCATAGATGAGCACAAACGTCAGAGCGCCTCCGCCGAAGATGAGGGTTGCTCGAGATGACTGGACAGTGGCACGTGCTACCTTTTGGCCCGTCTTCAGCTGCGACCATGGTTTGCCCTGCCCTGTGGCTCGATCTATGAGCGTGGGCTGCGAGCTGAGACCACCGCCTGCAGAGAGTCCCGCCACGCCTAGGGGGATGCCACCTCCTCTTGATCCTGAGGCAGCGTCTAGCGCAGCTTCTGCGGTTGCATTGAAACGTGGGCGAGGTTGAGCTTCCGAGAGTGACGAAGAGGTTGACGAGGAGGTGGAGGCGCGCAGCTCGTCGAGGATCTGTCGCTGGTTGAAGGCTGCTTTCGACCCTTTAAGGCTGCTCGAGCTCGACTTGCCTTTGTCATCATTCCAGACCGTCGAGACATGGTAGCGACGATAGACGAACTTTTGAACATTGCTGGCCGATGCTGCTCGAGCCGAAAGTGCAAGCGGAAGTGAAGCTGTGCCAAGGAGGCGCAATGTCGGAGCCGTCATCGAGTGCGCCGCGGTCATGGTGGTGATACTGATCCGTGAGTGCGAAGGTAGACTTCCCCGGCGATTTTATGTGCTGGAGTCGGGCGCCTCGCTCTGTACTATCGACACGAAGAGCCGAGATCGTAGACAAGGAACAAGGAGGAAGAATGGTTTGAGCGTCGTTGAGAAGAGAGCTTTCTTTCTGACGCCGTGTGCCGAGCCAAATATTTCCGGCCGGCTCAAGCTTTGCTCCACACTGAGCGAGTGGGCCTGAGCGCTAAGCCAAAATTATGGCTGAGTTGGCGGGGCATGGACCCTGAATGCTGTGAATGCAGCTTGGCTGTCATAAAAGGCCAGCCTCCCTCCTCCTCGACCTTATCTGCCAGCTCCAGCATCCTTCGAAGAGCACTGATCAAGCATCCTCACTCATACAGCAGCTCTGATCGCTCCTTCTCACTCTCTCAGCGTCTCGAGCGATCTCTCCGCGTGTGCCTTCAGCCAGCCTTTACCTCCGCACCATCTACGGGAGCAGACCTGGGCCAACCGCCCTTGGACGCGAGTCAAGATGGGCATGACACACAAGGAATATCTCAGCGGCCAGCGCATCTTTGGTTGTAAGGACTGCAAGACTCACCTGACCACGATCGAGAATCTGGTCAGCCGCGCGTTCAACGGGCAGCATGGTCGAGCCTACCTCTTCGATTCGGTCACCAACATCAATCTAGGCAAGGCAGAGGATCGCCACATGACGACGGGGCTACACACGGTGCGAGATATCGCCTGCGTCAAATGCAAGACTACGCTCGGGTGGAAGTACGACAAGGCGTACGTGGCTGCCGAGAAGTACAAGGAGGGCAAATTCATCCTCGAGAAGGAGCTTACGGTCGACGTTCACTAGCTGCCTAGTGGGCCGTCAGAATCCATTACCCCACTCAACTGTCGACGATTTACCTTCAGCAGCCCTTGGACCAACACAAGTAGCACAGCAGGCAAGCCACGTTACGCACGATGACCGAAGAAGGTCCTCGCTTTGGAACGACGCGCTTCTGCCGTTTGGATGCTTGCAGCGAGCTCGGCGCTGCCGCAGAGCGCAAGAGCTGTGAGGCCCGCAGGCCAAGCAGCAAAATCACCGCGCCCGACGTCCCGTCTACACACTTTCCTTCAAAGGTTACGGTCATCGCTCCTTCGACTCGCAACGATCTCTCGTCAGCAGAGGAAACACAAGACCCGCCTAATCAACGCTTTCGCCCCTCTTGTTTCAGTCGGCTTCGAGGATCGACGCTCCCGAAAGGCCAGACAAAAGCAGCAGCCGGAAGATTGCAACGATGACGCTCGATCAGTTCCTGCCACCCAAGAGTCCTCTGCAACTGCCGCTCGTCTCAGAGGCATCCTGTAATTTACACTGATCCTCAACCCCCTCGGAGCGGCATCATCTACTCGCCTGTATTGGCTTCATATGGTCACACTGGAAGTTTGAAATCGAACGCTGTTTCCACCAGCTCGAGCGAGTGAGGTTGGATGGAGTGAGAATGCAGCGGCTCAGGGACGGAATCGGCTATGGGATACGGCCAGGAATGGCCGCACACGCTGCACTGCCGCTCGCCTGACCTGCATGCTCGATGTGCTGCGAGTGAGGGCGTAGGTGTGCAAGGAAGGCACGATCTGACAGGTGCTGCTGATTATAGCAGGCTAGCGTCCAAGCGAAAAAGGGGTCAAGGCTTGTTCGGCAGCGGGAAGAGTCTTGAACCATGCAGCAGCGCAGAGACGAGTCTTTGTCTTGCAGCAGCCCCCGAAAGAAGGGCAGAATCAAGGATCGACGACGAGCATTTCGCCAATTCAAATCGGATGCATGTCTTGAAATGGGATCGACAGGGCTGTCAAGCTTTTCAATCAATCCCGGCTTGGCAGCGTGGGACAGCATTTGAAATGCAACGGAGAGGAGAACGAATTTCCAAACACACACACATGAAGGGTGAAAATTCAAGACTGACACTGGTCAGATGCCTGACTCGCGTCACGACAGCAGATCAACACTCAGACAGTCCAACGCCGACGTGCCCCTTTGACAGCCTCGTCCTTGAGCAGACTGGGAAATCCTCTCGCCGTTTGCATGCCACTCTACCAGCAGGCAGCGGCAGCATGATGGTCGTCGTCTGATGGTGAGAACCATCTCCACCATCATCATCACCACCAACTCTTACCCCTCTCCCTCCCCTTGCCTCGCGACCCGTGTCCGGAACTCGTCTCCTCCTCTCTTGTACAGCTCAGACCCTCTCTTTCCCATCCTTTCATTTGCTCGTCAGCATCCTCGTGTTCGTCCACCGCCCGCACGCAATTCTATCCTCCTACGCGACCAAAGCACCACCACCAACACTCTTCATTCATCGCACCGCAATCATGAAGACCTTCTCCCTTTCCGCCGCCGCTGGCTCGCTCGCCGCCACGCTCCTCCTCCTCGGCTCGTCGGTAGCACCGGTTGCTGCCCAGTCCGCGGTCGCCAACGTCTCCGCCATCCCCTCCGACGTCTCGTCCGGCTGTCAGACATTCCTCTCCACCCTCAACTCGGACGCGCAGCTCAACGCGTGCACCAAGCCTCTCCTCACCGCTACCCAGTACTACGCGTCCAACTCAACCGATGCTGCCTCGCAGCTCGACCCTACGCTCGCCGACCTCTGCTCGAGCAACACCGGTTGCGACGCGGACATCATCCGTCAGCGACTGGACCAGTTCTGGCAGGCGTGCCACACAGACCTTCAGTCCGCCAACGCCGTCGTCCAGGCCATGTACGATAACCTGTACATGATCACTCCCTTGATCAACAGCATCTGCAGCAAGGATGACACCAACGAGTACTGTCTCAAGACGATTGCCAAGGCTGCGGCGTCCTCGTCTCGCACGCCCTCGCGTAGGTCTGTTGAGGATGACGAGGAGGAGGAGGAGGCGCCAGAAACGGTGGCTCAGCTCGACCGCAGGCAGTCGGCCGCTACCACCGGCCTTTACAACGAAACCCAATCCACCGGCGCAGCAAACACCAACGCCGCCTTCCTCTTCATCTCGTCCACATCCCCCAAGAGCATCCTCTGCTCCAAGTGCTCCCAGCAGATCCTCGCCAGCTACATCCGTTTCGAAACTTCGATTCCGTACGCCATCGGTCTGAGGACGTCGGCGATCCTCGCACCCCAGAGCGACATCTACAAGGCGGCCAAGACGGATTGTGGATTGGACTTTGTGGCGCAGGTCAACAAGATTGCTAACACCACCCAGTTTGCTGCTGTTGTCAGTGGAGCGAGCTTTGCGGGTGCCGGGCGCGGCATGGCTGCTCTGGCCACGCTCGCTGCATCGGCGGTCGTTGCGCTCGTTGCTCTCTGAGGAAGACACTTCGTGGAAGTGGGATGCGCGCTGCTGGCACGTTGTCATCCCCACCGAATGTCGTCCCTTTGCCAATCCATCGCTCTCTTTTGCACTGTTTCTTTCACACTTCGCTTCGCACTTCGGAACTCTTTCATCACGCAGGCTCGATCTCGATCGCCTCACCCCGCTTCGTTTTCTTTCGGTTGCTTCGTCCTTGTCCACTTGCTCTTATGTGTAATGGTTAACTTCAACCGTGTCTCTCTTCAGTGTGACTGATTCGTTGAGACTTGGAGGTGAAGGCTAGGTTGACACACCTGTACAAGCGAGCACCCCGTCATAGAGGCCCGAGACCAACAGTGTCCCAGTTCCGTCCTCCTCGTACGTATGATAGTAGGAACTCGCGCTGCTGGCCAGTCGCACCTCTTCTTTACCCATGACCACCGGCTCCCCTGTCGTCTGGAACAGCGTCCTCACATTCCACTCTTCGCTACTCGACAGGCTCATCTGCTGTGACGGTAGCGGGGCGTCGTCGACCCTCTCCTTGCCAGCTGAGGGGCGAATGCCGACGCTCCAACTCGGACTGGTCCTCCTCATCGGGTCGCGGGCCATAGCCATGAGTTTGAACGGTGCCGGATGACCCGTTGCCAGCAGCATTTCTTCTCCCTTTCCGGTGGAGAGAGCGAGGTTGTCAGGACGAAACGGCAGATGGACCTTTGTGCGCAGCTGCAGGTTCCAGTTGGGGTGGATGTCGTACATGAAAACGCCTGGGTAGGTTGTCGAGGCGACGATGAGAGTGTCATGGGTGACGACGAGACCGTTTGCGAAGGGCACGCCTTTCGCTACGACCCTCGCGTCGACGACTTCGCCCTCGTCGCCGTCGAGGGAGAAGTGAACGTGACTCACCCAGCCCAATGGCAGACCGAGCAGCGTTTCCGCTTGTGCTAGTCGCGCTGCCACCCATCGCACGCTCGCCGGTCTCGCCAAGCGCCGAAGCACCCAGCTCGGAGTGACGCGGGGCAGAACGTGCTCAAGCAGCGGCACCAGATGTGTACTCCATGGGCCCGGACGCCGCGCGAACAGGTGGTCGTTGCTGATCACAAAGCTGGACCCGTCGAGCGCGTGAATCGAGTTGGGCGTGTGCGTTGCGAGCGGATGCACGATGCTTCTTTGCCACCTCGCCTGCCACCTTCCCTCCCCCGAAGGCGGGGACAGGCGGAAGAGCTCCACGCTCGAAGACTCGCTGCGATGGTTCACCACGAACAGGGTCAATCCCGTCGAGGTGCGGTGGACGGACAGGCCGAGTGGGTGAAATGTGCTGTTCGGGGGGAAGTCCACCAGGTCCACCGGCACAGCGCCTGCTCGTGGTGAGGAGGGCGATGTGGGGTAGGTGTATGTGAACAGCTGACCACGAGGTAAGGGATCGGTCAGGGGACCCATGACGGTGTTCCACTGCGCTCGGCCCGCATCACAGCTGATGAGCGCCGTCGCCGTCTCGCCGTCGCCGCGAGGGATGAACTCGATGTCTTCGCAAAAGCGGAAAGAAGGCCCGCCACGGACGTTGAAGCATTCTGTCTGGCTCGATGTCGAGTTTCGTACCCAAAAGGCAGGCATGCGTGAGCCTGGGCCGAAGGCGCTCAGCAACCACCGCAGGTTGAGCAAGATCGGCGCAAGGAGGATAGCGAGGAGACCAAGCTTGATCGCTCGATACGTTGAGCTTGCGGACGAGACTGGGCCGTCTTGAGGTCGACCTTGAAGTTGGTCCGCAACGCGCTGCTTGTCCAGATCTGCGGACGGCATCCTCTCAGGGAAGGGGTGACCTTGTCTAGTGGTGGTCGGATCTCAACATTGACCATCGCGGTTCTTCTCGGATTGCGCGCTGGCTCATGCGCACAAATCAACGTCCGTACACGCTTGTTCACACTAGACACCTCACGCGCAACAGTTTCTGGGTCAATGTGCAGATGGATTGCTTTTTTGGGAACGACCCCCAAGCCGATATGTAGGGTGGAGAGGGGTAGTATCGTACATGCGAGGGAAGTCGTAGAGGTTGCCTACGGTGACCACCGCGAGGCGGAGAGGGGATGATAGGAGATGCTGCTGTCGTCAACGGGCGACGACGAGCAGATGCATAGTATGCAGGCGACAAGAAGCTGACTGTCTCAGAAGAGAAGAGCCGGTGTGCCGAGTGTGATGATGGGTGGGGCGATGACAAGAGAATGTGCGCGAGACTGTAGAGAAACAAGTACTAAGAAACAAGAGAGCAGAAAGGAACAACAAACCAATGCTGAACCCATTTACTTCTTCTCCTCGGCCTCGTTCTCGACAGCGATGATGGCAGCACGCTTCTCGAGGACACGCTGAGCACGGCGCTCGCGCATGGCCTTGTTGCGCATACGACGAGCCTCCATCTGGTCGGACAGGTGCTTGGATCGGGCAGCCTCGGCCTTGGCCTTGTGGATGTGCTCCATGAGGACACGCTTGTTCTTGAAAACGTTACCCTTGGACTTGAGGTAGAGCTCGTGGTACAGGTGCTTGTCAATCTTGCCAGACTCGCGGTACTTGCGCAAGAGACGGCGGAGGACACGCTGGCGTCGCATCCACATGACCTTGGTGGGCATACGGGCCTCCGAGGAACCCTTGCGGTGACCCTGTCCGGTACCACGGCCGGCACGCTTGGCAGCGGCGGTGGCGCGGGCACGCGATCGCGAGCCGCCGACGACGGGCTTGCGGATGATCTGACCGTCGCGGATGAGCTTGCGGATGTTGGCACGCGAGTTGGCGTTGCCAATGTCGTTCTGCTCGGCGGGGTCGAGCCAGACCTTGCGCTTACCGCATCCGAGGACCGAGGCCGCGAGACGCTTCTGTGTTCGAAGGTTGACCATCTTGATGACTGTGGGTGGTGATGATGATGGAAGAGCGGAGAAAGAAAAGGTCAGATATGTGTGCGCCAAATATTGCAAGGGACTCCGTATCTGCGTGCTCCGAGACTCCTGCTGTTGATGAAGGTGATTGTGTTGGTCGATGGTCGATGTCGCTAGGTCTGCCGACGAGTCGAGATTGCATAGCAGGCGCCGTGCGAATGCGCAAAGCGGTACATGAAAGCAAATGCAAAGCTGGTTGTTGCCGGGTCGACGAGCCCCTAAGGGGGGCCTCTTTAGATGACCAGCAAGCAAAGCCGAGTGTGCTATCCCCTATCCGTCCCGTGGCATCTGCATGTGCTCGCGACTGTCTTCCTGCTTTGCCTCTGCCGACGAACCGAAAGCAGCTTCCTAAAACCGAGCGAGACGTCTCTGGACAGCGATCTCGCGATGCACCGAGCCGCGTCACGAGGTAGCCCTAGCAGCTGGGTCTAGCCATAAGAGATGAAAGTCCGTCCTTGCAATGCGATGCGTACCATTTCAGATGTCAGGTGTAAAGCGAATGGCGATGATATGATGGCTGAGAGGCGTGGACGGCTGGAGATGCTATGTTTGGCAAGACGACGAGTGTTGCCTGAGGTCGGACGTCAAAGCAGTGGCGATTGCAAATTGTGCTGATGCTGATGCTGTGTGGAGTTGCGAACGCCGTCGATATTGCTGATTGCGCGCTGTATATTCTCTTCGTCGATAGCAGGAGTCCCGAGCAGAGACGTTTGCGATATGCTAGACACTTACGTTCTTAGGACTTGAGGGGTCTTGATGATGATGACGAGGAGAGGAAGAGAGGTGACGACCAAACCTCAAAGTCTGGCTGAGTGACTGGCTGTCTGGCCAACTCTCGCTCGAGCTCAACGCTTTTGGCCACTGCGCCAGTCTCCGAGCTGCCAGAAAACCAAGACTGCTGAGCTGCTGCCTAAAAAAGTCCCGTCTTCAACTTTTCGCCTGCTCGTGGCCCTTTTGGCGCGCATCCTTCGTTGGCTACGCCAAAAGCCTCGAGATAGCCTGTCTGCTGCCTTGTTTTGCGTCACAGCCTTGCGGCCGCTCTCTGCAAAAGTCTCGATTGCGGCATCCAAGCCTGAAATCTCGAGTCGGGCTACCCTGCCAGTCAACATGGATTGTATTTCGACAATTTGAATCCAAGCTTGGAAAGAACACCTCGGCCGAGGTTAAAGATCACGTTTGGAAGACATTTTGTAATCCACCTTGCTATGGCAAATTTCACGTCAGGCGCGCGTGATGCTTTCGCCTTGTGCTGCCTCGCTTGCGATTGTGCTGAGTCTCAGAGAGCTCTTATGCCTGCTAGGCTCAGAAGACAGCTACGATACTGGCTCGGCAGCCTTGGTTTTCCCAGGCCGGTCAAGTGGGTTGCAGACGAGTGTCTTGCCTAGCTGCCGGCAGAATTCGAACTTTGACTGCGCTGAGCTGGCTCGAATCTGGAGAGTGACTGCTGCTGAGTCTCTGGTACCGAAATTTGCTCAGCCTCGACTCAGGATTTTTGCGCGCGCAATCACAGGCAGCAGAGCGCAGTCAGTGGCGGGTTGGGCTGGTCACAGGCTGCTGGTCAGTCAATTCGTAAACCTTAGTCGACCAACCAGCTTAGCCAGCCAAGAGAACATCGATATTGGCGCCACTCGCGATCATCCTTCTTTCCCTCCAGTAACACACTCACATCTACATACATCAAAATGGTAAGCTTCCCATTTCGCAAACGCGGGTCAACAGTCTCGTAGTGTAGCGGTACCAGCAGCTGGCAGCAGAGTCCTGGACAGCACCGTGCGATCAATGGGGCGAATCGACCTCGACAGCTCACCGAGGAGGATAGTGGCAATCAGCATGGCACGTCGACGAGCTATATCTTCAGACATGATGTCTCAACGTCCTTCGACAGCGCACTGCTTACCAAACGGCAGTCGAGACGAGCATCGCCACCAAGGTTCACACGCAAACGAACGAGTTTATGACGTTGCAGCCCAGCCAGAACGGCGATCGCCACCTGCTATCAGCAGCATCAGCCAGTCATTGCAGGTCTTCTTTGGGCGGCGCATCCTGCATCTGCGTCGTTCGTCGTTCAACACAGGCCATTGCATGTCCATCGCAAGTGTAGGCTCTCATCAGCACGCACCACAGACGGGCCATCTCAACAGCCAAGCATCGCAGCAAACCGCAATACGGAGCGTCGACGTCTCTGTGTGCGTATGTCCCCGCCCGCGCTTACGCAGTGGGTTGCGCGACGTGCGCATCCGAGATCGCGGACTCGGAGGTTTAGCTCCACCCGTATCTCCTTGCAGTAGCTCCATGTTCCACCGCTGCATCGTCGCTACCATGGGACAGACGTTTGTTCTCAATTCCTCCCACATCCGTCTTCGCGGTTCAGCGTAAACAGCCACAAGGTTCGACACTCATCGCATTCGACTGCTCCGCTCCAGCCGCGACATCGATCATACCGCAGTATCATACCGCAGTGGCGCTTCGACCATCACACCATGCCATCTTATGGCATCCACCGCTCGTGCCTGGCTTCCAAGCCACCATACATCACCTTTGCATCGCAAAGAAGCTCGACACATGCACCAACCTGTTCTTTCGATGGTCGTGCCGACGACCTCATTCCTGCACCACCTACACCCTGCTGTCAGCCGATCACACTACGCTACGAGACTTTGCTCCGCCACTGATCTGATCACAGCGAGCACATCCACTGACTATTCCCCCCTCTATCGTATTGACTCCTCCGCAGACTCTCGCCGTCGACCTCCTCAACCCCTCCGCCGAGCAGCAGGCTCGTTCGCACAAGCTCAAGCGACTGGTACAGAACCCCAACTCGTTCTTCATGGACGTCAAGTGCCCCGGTTGCTTCGCCATCACCACCGTCTTCTCGCACGCCCAGACCGTTGTTGTCTGCGGCTCGTGCGCCCAGGTGCTCTCGCAGCCCACCGGTGGTAAGGCCCGCTTGACCGAGGGCTGCTCTTTCCGCAAGAAGGCGTAAATCGGTTGTTCACCGACTTTGCGTTCCGATCCAGCAGCTTTCCCGTCTCCCAGCATGTAGCACCACATATCGAAAAAAGGGTCATCCGCCCGCAACCCAGGAGGTACACACTCGTGTATCTTTGAATCATCCATCGGCTTCTTGTACCATGGCTATTCATTTGCATTGCGTCCTCACCAGAAGGCGCAGCATTCATTCCCCCCCTCTTTCGCATGAAGCATGATCCGCTCCTGTGATTCTCTCGCAATTCATTGCACTTGTCAAAACACGATCGGTTCGAGGATGTTATTTTGAGGTCTGATATGATGATGCAGTTTGATGCGATTGTCCGGTCTGATGTGAGCACGGTGAGACAGCGAGCACGATGAGAAGCGATTCTATGCAAAACAACTGACACGAGGCCGAGACTGTGGAAGGCTACGCCAGTGAGTGAGGTAGGAGTGTCACACGGTCCACCCGCCCCTCGGCCGCACCTCGTACCCCTCCGACCCGCGGCGCACCAACACCCGAGCGCCGCCGACCTTTGCGTCCTCCTCGTCGTCCTCTTCGTCGTCCTCTTCCTCTTCCTCCACAACGCCATACTGGAAAGCGTCCTCGTTGTCGTGGAAGCCATTTCCATACGCGTACGGTCGATCGTGCGCATCGACGCCGTAGTAGTCGGCATCGAAGCCGTCCAGCGCGGCGAGCTGATCTGCGTCTGGTTCCGCCATCATCCGTGGCCCTGTGGGGTATGCAACAACGTCGTCGTCCGAATCGCTCTCCTCATCCCCTTCGCCCTCTTCGTTCGCACTTTGCTCCTCCCGTTCTTCATGTGCATATGCCGCTCCGCGATAGCGTAGACCAGCATTGGACGGGCGCAGATTGGGATTGAACCCAGACCCGTAGGTGAATGGGCTACTGGACGACGCGCCCGGTGGAGCCGAGAAAAGTTCGGGTGCGTACGTTGTCTTGGTCGGATCTTTGGGTGGCCATCTGTACTGCGCGCCTGGGTCTGTGGGTGCGAAGAAGGATGGGGGGCGGGTCAGTGAACGGATCTTCGGTTGGTTGTGGCATCGGCTTGAACTGGATGATGAAGGAAGGGGAAAGGGAGGGGCACGTACCAGTTGAGCAGATGTACCCCTTCCTCTCACCCCGCTTCTCCCTCTTGCACACCGTCGCCGGCCTGATCGTGCCGAGCCTGCATCGCATGCCACCGCTCCCACCTCAGCCGATGCATCACGCTCGCCTCGAGCTCGGCATCCACGTAGCTCTCCTCGTCCTCCTCCTCCATCATCTCCATCCCTCCATCCTGCAGCGCAGTCTGGATCTTCCATCTACGACTTTTGATGCTCCTCACACTGATAGAGCGGTACTTACCGAGCCCATTTGCCACGTCGTACTCCAATCCCTCACCTACACCCCCTCTCCCTGGGAGGCACCACATCAACGGGCTGCTCCCTAACACCTCCCTTACATTCCGCCATACACCCAGGTCGTAGGGATACTTGATCTTCCGCACCCTCCCCCGCCTTACCATCGTTGCCACTCTCTCCTTCTCCCAACTCTCAATGGTCGTCTGGTTCACCGCTGCGCAGTAAAAGTGATACGCGCTAAAACAGCCAACCAACACCCACACGGGTATGCACAAAGCGTAGTTGATCACCAACCACACCACCTCGCTCGTCCCTGGCTCTCTCCAATACCCATAGCTGTTCCACCAGTCACCTACGCGGCCTGAGATCATCGCCAGATGAAACGTGCACGTCACGTCGACGGCAAAGAGGAACCGTAGGAAGGAGGCGTAGTTGTGGAACCCGACGCAGTTGGCAAGCCAGGGACAGTGGTGGTCCATGCGCAGCACGCACCGGTTGCACGTCTTGCAGTGGTGCGATCGGGGAGGTTTGTAGGCCGAACAGGTTTTGCAGTAGCGTGGACGGTAGATGTGCTGTTTGAGCTCCATGATCGCAGAAGAGGAGGGGTCGAGGGCGGACCAGTCCGGCTCCCATCCAGAGGACACACCGCCAGGGTCCGTGGTGACGCACAGGTAGTAGTTGTAGAAGATCAGGCCCAGGCCGAGGTTGAATGGGATCAGCACGGAAAGGAGGGTGGGAAGGGTGAAGGACGGCGTCTTGTGGTAGTACGGCAGCATGATGAAGAGTTGAGAGGTGTAGCCGAGGATGGAGATGAGGAGCGTGGTGAGCGTTACCCAGATGACCTCGGACCATTTGAGCGGCGTGCGTCGTTTGCCGTTGGGTATTGACGGGCCACTCGAGCCGGATGAGGAGAGATCGATGGATCCGTCGGCTGGCTGCGCGGCCTCGTCTCTGTGAGATAGCAGTGGTTGACCCTCCTTTGAGAGAGAGTGCGCTTCGACCTCGCCATCGCTCTCAGAGTTGGGGTAAGCGCCGTCGTCGAGGTCTGCCTTCGACGCGCTTGCTGGGCAGCCTTTCGCGCGCAGAGTCGAGATCGTCTCTGCGCGACCGTTTGATGAAGACATTGCTTGCGACATTGTGCGGGATCGCACCGTACCGTGAGGGACCTCGAGAAGGAAGCAGCTGCTTGGGTCCGTTCTTCAGACGGCCATGGCAAGCCCGAAGTCGTATCCTGTCCGGTCAGGCCTGCTAAGTTGTGAAGGGCGCCTGCGCACAGCCGTCCGAGCCAGCCGCGTGGTGCTCGATGATGGTGGTGGGGCAGAGCAAAGCCGACAGGCAAGCAAGGATGCCAACTTAACGTTCCAAAGCGGAAAGATTTCGCCGAGAGACCCTTGGCTGCACAGCCGAGCCAAATTTAGCTCAGAAGTGTTACTTTGGCGCGCTCATGCCAAGGTGCTTGCTGAGAGTCGTCACAAAGGCTCGAGCTCGCTCTTTGACCCTCCCAGTCTGACGACCTGGATCGCCTTTCGGCTTCTTCCGTCTCGACAGCTCATCACTCAGCACAAGAGGCCCAGCCTGTCACTTTTTGTTCTTAGAGAGATCAGATACGCGGAAAGGGAGCCTATATACAGGAAGGAAAGCATGCCCAACCAACGCTGAGCGAGTAACATTTCTTGCGAGCAGTTCACATCAGTCCGAAGGGATCGGCTTGAGCGGTGATTCGCATGCGAGATGGAGCGTGATGCGGCGATCCACCGACTTCCTCACATGACTACGCAGCACGAGTTCTGCTTCTTGGCCGTCTTGTAGAACATCTTGCTCTGTTCGCTCAGCGTGCCGGACTTTTCGACGAGCTTGTCGAGGTCCTCGCCGCGCTGGAGGACCGAGTCAATGGTCTTGTGCTGTTGGCCGTCGATCGAAGATTGCGGTCACACCATGAAAGAAGTTGTCAGCAGTGGCTCTCGTCATCCTGTCACTAGATTTCCTGAAATGGACGTATGTTGCACTTACCAGCACGATCTTGGTCTCATCCAGCTCCTGTTGAACCTTCATAATGGTATCCGCCTGTCTGGGATCCTGGTATCTCTTGACGTAGTCGACGCTTTGCGGGAAGGCGCTCAGTCCCAGCAGCGGCTCGCCCTTTGGCGGTGCAGTGGCAGACCCGGTGGTGATCGCATTGACCTTGGCCTCCCACTGCGACTTTGGCACCTTGATGACGAATTCGTCGAGGGTCTTGTTGAGGAGCGAGTGGGCGACGCGCGCGGGGTACTCGGTGTCGGTGATGAGGACGCCCGCGAGCCCATCGGATGCCGGGCGCGCGTGTACGTGCGCAACATACGAGTTCTCTTGGACGGATTGACGCTGTGTCGGTTGTGTTCGCTCCGCTACCGTCTACGTTCACAATGGTCGAGCAAAAAGGATAGCAGATTGAGTCAGTGAGCAGGATGCACTTCGAGGTTTGCATGAGTAAAGATGGCCGGACTTACCCTCGCCATGAATCCCATCATGTCCTGCACCGTTCCACGCTGGAAGAAGCCAAACGAGCCGAGCTCCCACGCTGTCGTCAGCGGTACCGCACCAGCACCGGGTGGGCTGGCCAGGATGAGCAAGCCGTAGATCTGCATCTTGGATGTGAAGCGAGTCGATGCCTGGAGCTAGATGCGTCGGATGAAACCTTGTCAGCGAGAGTCCGTTCCAAGGAAGTGAGCGGTCTTAAGCAAAGAGGATGCAAGCAGCTTCGACGTCGTGGATGGAGTTGGAGAGGAGAGAGTGGAGGATGATGCTGAATGGGTGGATTTCAACACACGCCCGCCGCTTGCTGCGAGCGTGCATGCAACACTCCGTCGATCTGGCAAACAACCGAGCGGGGGCTGAGACAAGAAGGCAGCACAAAGGCTGTCGAAATCTAAAATTTAAAGGGGCGATTTCAGCGGCCAGAGTCGCTGACTGGCAAGCTCACGACCCTTGCGATCTGCATGCATGCTTTGAACCTTCTCATAACCACACCGGTCCATCTATCATGACCCACCTTGGATCGACATCATGTATCTGCACACGAGCAACCAACGTGTACGTTGAGCACAGCATGGACCCGCTTAGCAGAGCACATTGAAGTTGCCATTGAGAACTGATTGACGACGCGCGTGTCACTCTTCCCCACCCTCCTCACCCTCCACCACCCGCCTGAGGAACCCAAACACGGCGCCAGCCCTGCGTCGATCGCTCGGCTCGCCCTCCTCCTCGCCTTGCTGAGTCCGCTTGAGCAGACTCTTCTTCGCCTTGCCCGCAGCATCGCCTCCTGGCACCTTCGAAATCTTAATCCTGCCTGCACCCACGCTGATGCCCGCAACGCCGATCCGGGTCAGCTCCAGCGCGTCCAACGGAATCGACGTGTGCGTCGACAAGTAGTGGTTCAACGCTGGCAGCAGTGGTTCGTCGAGCGCAAGCCCGTCCAGCAGGCTCATGCACACCTCCCACGGCACGGTCAACGTCAGCGAGGTCAAATCGGGTGCTGGGCCGGACATCGTCTTGCCCTTGCCCGCGACTTTGAGCGGGAACCCAAAGACGAGCTCCACAGGCTTGACAGCGCTATCCGCGGCCCGCTGCTCCTGAGTGCGCTCGACAGCGTCCTGGATGCCCATCTCGGTGCGCGTCTGACGCACGATGAGTTCGACCAGCGATTCGAGCCGCGATCCACGGAGGCGCGATGAGATGGCAGCAACACCACCCGCCGAGGAGATACGACAGTCGAAGCGTTTCTGGATCCAGTCGAGCGCGTGACCAAGCACCACAGGACCCACGTTGACCGAGGTGGCGAGCAACGGATCGGCGCCGGACGCAACCGACGACGGTGCCTTGGTCGCGATCAGCGGGTATCTGCGAGAGGTACGGGATCGCTCGTCGCGAGTCGTCGATGCAGGGACGAAGACGATGTGGCACAGCTCGGCGGGTGTCGCTTCCTGCGCGGAGCGTGAACGCAGCGAGGCGATCTTGTTCTTGTCCTGCTCGGCTGCTGGTTTGCCTAGCTCGATCTCGATTGCCCATGGACGCGCTCTTGCCTCGCCGGATCGGTTCGATGCTTGCAGAGCACCTGTGAACTCGGCGTCCTCCAGGAAGCCGATGCGGACGTGCCCAACTTTATCGATATCTGCTCGACGCCTGCGTTCTGGAGGTCGGAGGTCGCCGCTACCAGGATCCCGCGCATCGATCGTGGTGCCGCCAGATTCGAGGAATCCAAACCCGTCACTGAGCCGCAAGTTGATATAGTGCTGGAGCTCGTTTCTCAGCATCTGGAAGAGCGGTCGAGATACCTCTTGAATCGAAGCCGGTAGCGAAGAGAAGTGAAGCGGAGACACCGTGTGAAGCCGCAATGTTCGGTCGAGCAGGACGCGTTCTGCATACGCCCACTTGATGTCATCCTGGACCGCGCTGGCGGCCGACTCGCGTGCGCGTCTGCGAACGTTCGAGGCGGCCGAACCAGAGTCGGTGGCAGAGTCTTCCCCGGATCGACGCGAGGCTGATCCGATGGATGGCGAAGGGCGGACATTGGAGCGCGGCCTCTTTGACGGTACCTTGCTGGTCGCTGGTGGTCGCTTCTGTGCGCCGCCTGCGCGCGAAGCCGAGATGCCTTGGTCGAGCTGGCTGCGAGAGGAGGACGATGACATGGTGCTGATGTGAAGATGCTACAATTCGATATAGCTGACTCGCTAGGTTTTACCGACTGAAGGCGACGATCGAAGCTGTCACGCCTGATGAATAGCCCCGGCGACGTGCGTGCAATGAGATGGAGGGATGAGGGGCTCGGGAAGCGCGCTCTTGGTAGTGCAACCTGAGCAGGCGTTCGTGTCTGACGAGGCGGCAGCGGATAGTCTGGATGTCCCGAGCCGAGTCGTGCTTTGGGGTTGGCTGTTAAGTGTATCGATGATGGTGATAGTGAAGAAGGTCGAAGCATCAAGTCGAGAAGACAAGTCCAAGACGAAAAGCACAACACTCAATCCTCCACCACCAAATTCGCGTGTCTTGGTTGACTTGCAGCAGCTGCAGACGGCAGAATCTCAAAATTGGAGGAGGCAGCACCCTGAAAAGCAAGGCGCGTCGACGCGACCAGCTGGCTTTCTCTGGCGTGACCGACACAAATAGTCATCCAAGCATCAATCAAACACCTGCCCTCATGATGCTCACCAGAAATCACTTGCACGTCTTTGCTCAAGCTCAGTGGGTAAGCCGAGGCAGCAGTCACATGCGCACACAGAATATAGGGAAAGAGAAATGGTCCATTCAATTGATGCTTTGTGCAAAAGGTAATGCAAAAGTGAGGAGGAGAGCGCAGGGAGAAAGCTATTTGACAGAGAGAGAGAGGGGGGCAGAGCAGCATCGGCTCCGACGTCCGATGTCAGACGTCGGGAGAGCCTACATAGTACAGAACTCTAGAGGATAGTGACAGTGAGAATGTTCAAAGACATTAGCGACAAGGAAATTTGGGAACGAGAAATGCAGGACGAAGCCGGGAGGCGCGAGAGGTATGCTGGTTGGGAATTTTGGGGGGATGCGCTCAGAGCGATTTGCAGAACGAGCAGTTCAGGTCGATCGTTGATGAGAAGACCGCTGGCAGGATGATCAGAGCCAGGAAGACCGCGAACGAAAAGACGAAGAGGATCAGGTACCTCCAGACAATCGACCTTCGCTGCTTTCGCTGACGAAGCGAGAAGATGGGCGCGTGGATCTGCTTCGACGGTCGCAGCCAGAAGAGCGCCGTCGAGTGCAGCCTGTCAAAGTACGGGATCAGGCATGGCAGCGAGAGACCGAAGAGCAGAATGTGGGCTGTCAAGAAGTCGGCAGAGAAGAGCGACATCTCGATGATCTTGACCACAAACTCTCGTGCGGGCTGGCTGAAGGCGTGACCACCGAGGCCACGGCCGTACCATCGACCGGTCCACCAAGCACGGTTGGTCTCGTCGTGCTTGAGCTCTCGCGAAAGCACCAGGGCGATGAGGATCTTGAAGATGGCACGCTGGATCGCGATGACCGCGATAACACCCAGCACGGCGTGCGAGGCGTTCCACAGCTCGAGGAACCACAGGAACTCGAAGGCGACAATGACACCGACGACGGCGAGCACGTGGGCAATCGAGGCCATGATTGAACCAAACTTGGCACAGCAGTTGTTGAGCGCCGGGCCGAGGAACATGCTGATCAGGAAGAGCACCAGCAGGATGGCGGCGTTCCACACGATGGGACCGAGGGCGATGATGGCGATGCGCACAATCGCACCCTGGGGCGGGTCTCCTTGCTGGTGGAAACTCTTGACGAAGGCGTAGGCGACCACAAAGATGACGGCAAGGCAGATGGGGAAGATGACCTCGGCGAACAGGATGGTCCTCCAGCCTGCACGAGGCACGTCTCCGGCCAGCTTCTCGCTTGGGTGTCCGAGACGCTTCTTCTTGTAACCGGTGACCTTGGTTCGGCTGAGACGGCAATAGCCGATCCACGAGTTGGCGTGGCTGCGGCTGTTACCACGCGACATCCAGCGCAGGAACTCGCGGTAGTCGATGATGAAGTCCGAAGCAGAGAACTGGTGAGGGTTGAACAGGAAGGGAGCGATGCAGAGGGCCAAGATCGAGATCCAGAAGTAGATCAGGTGTGGGATCCAAAGCGTGAGAGTAATGTAGAGCAGCAACAGCAACAGGCGCATGCCCGAGTAGATCGAAGGACCAGCGAATCGGCTGTAGAGCAGCGCGAAGCTTTGACGCGTGGTGGCGAAACCTCGTCCAGTGGCGATGTAGCGAGCACCACCGAAGGTCAAGTTGCTGATGATCGAGTGAGAGTACGTCATGGTCGAGAACACCTCGAAGATGGGACTGAGACTCATGAAGTGCTTCGCCAGACGGACAAAGGCCGAGATAGCGCCTCGCTCCGAGAGCTCCTGCAAGAACAGCGGCAAGAAGGCGATCATGAAGACGAGGAAGATGCTGATGATGGTACGCTTGATCCAGAGGAAGACCGGGTTGAGGTAGTAGCAACCGCCCGTGCCCACGATGTACTCGCTGTTGGTGGTGGCGCACACACGCAGCTGCGAGTTGAGCGTACCGATGAACACCATGGTGAACATGAAGAGCTGCACCGAGAGAATGACGAGAATGTTGTTGATGTGGAAACCGGGGTGGCCGTAGTAGAACGTGAGGAAGCGATCGGCAGGCAGCTGCGTGCCGAGGTAGTAGTACTCTCGCGACAGCATCTGCTCACCCATTCCGTTACCGAGCTTGGTGGTGAAGTTGAGAATGGTACCGAAACCAAGATCACGACCCTTACCGCACTGGTAGTACTCGACGTGCTTGATGCGACCACCGCGACCGAATGCGTTCATGCCTGCATAGATATCCTCGTTCAAGTGAAGACCCTTTTGCGCCTTGGACACACCACCGCGCGTGGTCATGAAGATGGTGTTGAGGAAATCCGGGTGACCATAATGGAGCTTACCACCAATCTGGGCAAGACCACGACCGGCCATGGTACCGAACGTCTGCTCCTTGCCGGCAGCGACGTCACCGAGGATACCGATGTTCTCGGAGAAAATGTACTCTCGTGCACCGAGAATTGCGACGGGCGCCTTGGCGAACTCCTGATGTCCGGATCCGTACGGGTTCTGGTTCGAGACGTTGAATGACTCGAACTCACCGAGCACGCTGCGCACCTTGAGGCATTCTTCGAGGTAGTTGTCCTGGTTGGCATCGATGAGCTGCACGTACTCGCCGCGGTTGAAGATGATGGCGTGGTTCTGGTTGTCCGACTTGCCGTCACCGAGGATAGGGTTACCGGGCAGCTCGACGCGGAACTTGGGGCGACGCTTTCCGTTGGGCAGGATCTCAGAGTGACCGTCGACGAGCGCCGAGAACCATCGCGACTCGCCGCCCTCCTTGCGAGGAGCCTCCTCGTCGAGGTAGGCAATCTGCAGGTCGGGGTAGGCGCGAAGCAAGAATTCGGCGTTCTCCTGTTCCTCCTTGTTGAACTTGGAGTATCGCTGCATGGAAATGACAAACTTGAACTTGCGGCGCGACATGCGTTCGAGCTCGCGCTCGAGCTTCTCGGTGTTGCCGCCGAACAGCTGAACGACCTCGGGGTTCTCGACGCGGTAGAGCAGCTTGATGGCCTTGGAGTAGTTCATGAAACCAGAAACGGTACGGTAGAGGGTCTGAGCACGCAGCGACGACCAAATGCGCGTTCGCAGCGTGTACTCGGGCGCAGCCGACTTGAAACCGATGCAGTAGAAGGGAAGGTCGTCCGCCTTGGCCGAGTTCTTGGTGCCGGACTTTTCGTCGCTGTCACCACCGAAGGGCGAGTTGCCTCCAAAGCCTTGCGACTCTTCGGCGAGAATCTTGGTGTCCTTGACGAAGTTGTCCCATTCGACGGGGTGGAGCTGCTTGAGGTACTCGAGCAGCGTGACACGCGTGTTCTGGTCCTCCTCGCGAATGATCTCACGAAGCGAAAGCAGGATCTTCTCCGAGTAGTGGGGAACGAGGACGGTGAAGGTGGGCATGGCGTCGATGGGTAGTGGCTCGGGGAGGGCTGTGGTGAGCGACTGGGCGAAGAAGCTGATACGGCGCTCAGCCTCGGAGCCCTTGGGGAAGAACTCGGGCTTGACTCCCTTGTCGGTCTGGCTGATGAAGAAGGTCGGGGCACGGAGGGTGCGCTTTCCGTTCTCACCGGCGGGCACCTGGTGGTAGAGGAGCTTCTGGACGTGGTCGATCGAGAGCAAATGCTCGCGGTACATCGAGATGATGACGGCGTTCCAGACCTGCGAGACGAGCACCTTGGGCTTGTACTTGATCTCCATGTCGGCGGTGGCGAGCAGCTTGGCGTAGATGCGCTTGGGCAATCGCTGGAAGATGTCGGACCAGGGCGTCCAGATCGAGAGACCCATGTGGAAGGACCAACCGATGGAGAAGACCGTGTTCCAGATGACGTACCACAAGAAAGTGTCGAGGAAGAAGAGACTGAGATCCATGATGGTCATGAAGGTCAAGGCGAAGGCAGGCTGGTTGGAGCAGAGCGCGGTGCCGAAGTACTTGTCGCTGCAACCCTGCACCTTCATGGTGATCATGACGGCGAGCGGGTCACGGAACGAGAGGGTCAAGAAGAAGTACGACTCAGTGAGCTTGCATCCGAAGACGAGCGTCCAGAGCAGGATCGAGACGGCACGGTGGCTCTTGACGAGAGGGGCGTACGAGGCGGTGAAGGTCTGGTTGGCCAGGTACTTGCGCGCCTTGCCTGCGACACGGTCACCGAACATACGGCCCGAGGGCACAATCGAGAAGAGCGCAGTGATGCAGCCAGCGAGAGCCAGGTGGACGATGGCAACAATGTTGGCGACGTTGCCGCTGTTGTTGAAGCCAAAGACGTAGACGGCAGGAGCGATCGTGATGGCAAGGCAGATAGCAAGGAAGATCATGCGGCGCATCAAGTGGCTCGTGTTGTTCCAGGTGGTAGGGATGTACGAGAACTCGGCCATGGTGGCAGCAATCATGATGAAGGACGAGATGGCACCACCGAGGCCGGCTGCTGAGAGCGACTCGGCCGTGGTGGGGTTTCGAGAGCGAGCGTAGATCTTGGGGGCGTTGTACGCCGTGTAGTAGAAGAAGACCGAAATATGCAGAATCCAGATACGGTTGAAGTTGACGAGAAGGTGGAAGAATGAACGCTTCTCCTTGTACGTCTTGAAGAAGACGCGGGGCCAGTCGATCTTGTCAAACTTCATGAAACGCTGACTTGGCGGCACGTCGACGAGGCGCGTCTTGTCGTTCAGGATGATCCTGCCGATGCCCTCGGGGTACCAGAAGAGCTGGTTGACGTCGTCGTATCCGATGGTCTTGTCGTGGTCCTTCTCCTTCTTGACGAACTTGCCGTCAACCACCTCGAAGACCTGGTCGCGGAGGAAGCGGTAGAGGGGCTTGACGACCGCGCGGAGGTAGAGTCCTTCGGGGACGGGCTCCATGCGGTTCTGGCACTCTGGCGAGCGGTAGTAGTCGTCTGCGCACTTGAAGATGAAGCAAAGACATTCGGGCACGAAACGCACTTGGCCACCTTCACCCCAGCAGAGCAGGTAGAGGGCGACCTGCCTTGTGCGGTCGTAGTCGCTCATCTTGAGCATGGCGTCACGCCAGCGGGCCGAAGCGGACTGGAGCGACTTTGCGCTGGCGGACTGCAGCTTGGCAGCAGCACTGGCAGCGGCGTTCTTGCCTCGCTTGGCCATGCTGGCTGCGCGCGCGAGACCGGGGTTCTGCACTTTGCCAATGGCGTCGTCGAGGTCGAGCTGAGCAGCAAAGTACCATTTACGGTAGTTGGCGTGTTCGCCACCGATGTAGTCTGCGTGGATGGTCATGAGAGCCTGCTGCGGGGTCATGCGACTCGAGCGCGAATCGAGCATGATCATGAGGTGGTCGTACATGTTGCGCATGTTGTCGCGCTGGAAACCGAACTTGTTGGCGAGATCGATGAAGATGTCCTCGATCTCCTCTTTCGAGAGAGGAATGTTGTGCTCAGCGGTCCAGGCCGGGTAGGGCTCGCGCTGACGGTATCCACCGCCAGCACCAGCATCAGGGTAAGGGCTGGAGATGCCCGAGGGAGCGTACGAGCCCTGACCGAACTGACTGCCGGGACCGGGTGTGTAGCCTCGCTGGGCGGACTCGGAGGAGTAGGCATAGTTGTCCTTGTAGGCGCCGCCCTCGTACGAGTCGGCATCGTAGCCGTGGCCGCCGATGAGGTCGGCCTCTGAGCGCTCGGAAGCGTATGTGTCTCTGCGTTCGTTGGGGAAGTAGCTGGCTTCACTGCTCTGATCGTCGTGGTACGCAGCGCCTGCGAAAGGGTTGTTGGGCGGCAGCTGGTGCTGGCCAGCGCCATTTTGGGACGACATCCCGGGCGATGAGGTATGGATGGAAGTTGTCGGTTGTGCTGGTGGGTGTTGAAATTGAAGCGATCGACAATCAAGGCGGTTGATGAAGATGTTGAAGCTAGGTGTCGATGCTTGCAAGTTCGTCAAGGAGCATGCATGAACACTTCAGCGAGATACGAAGCTGTTGTTGACCGTGATCGTCAATGTCACGAAGACCGTTGCTTGCCACTGTTGACTCCTGTGTGTGACCGCGTCTCTGTGGTGAGTCTCGTCGACGCGACCCGATAGCTTGAATTGTGCTATCGCTGTAGTGCAGATGGTGTCGATCGAAACAGGCGCCGAGAAGATGACGAGGTGGGTGGAGAAGAGTGAAGATGGCGAGGTCGAACTACGGAGCGAAGAACGAGCGATAGCCAAAGGCGTGTGTGGACGGAGTGAAGGAGAGCGTCGGCGCAGAGAGGGGGGCGTGGTGTCGAGGCAGCGAGAGAGGACAGACCGACCGCAGGCAGGACAGCACAGCACAGCGCAGCACAGCACGGCGCAGGGCCCAGGCGAGGCCAGGAAAACTGACAGCGAAACGAGAGAGATGCGCAGAGATCGCAGCAGCAGCGCGCCTGCAGGTTTCGCGAGGAGCAGGCGGCAGCAGTCAGAGGGGGATGCGTCAGGAGTACTCGAAAATCTCGAAATTTGAACCGATTTTCAGAAAAGCACAGCCTGGACTGGGCACGCCGAGCGCTGCGCGTCTCATCTGCGGCCGTGTCGCAGTGTTTTTTCTCTCTCTTTTTTGTTTTCTGAAATTCCTGTCTCAGAGCGCAGGATCAGGGTCAAGAAACTTTTTGAAAATTGTCGGGTGTGCGTGTGGAACCACGAGGATGCTGTGCTTCCGCCCATACCAAGCTTGTCTGTGTGCTCGTCTCCACCCTCGTTGACTGCCGCGCTTTCCTGGCAGCGATCCTTGCAAACAAAGGGGTCGGTAGAAGTCGCTGCTGGTCTGACGATGCTGAAACGAAATTCGTGCAGAGCCAACATGCTTGATCGAGCCATCAAGAAACTCGACGATGTGAGAGATGATGCACAAGCTCAGGGGCGCCAGTCAGCAACACAACCTCGATTGTGCAGAATCGACTCCGAACAAGCAGCTGCTGGTGTTGCTTGCTTCACCGAGGAGCAGCGATGTGAGCAGCACGCAAGGCAAGGCAAGGCAAGGCAAGTCGGTGGTGCTGCAGCCGCTCATTACAAATTGTATTCAGGTCTTGAACTCTTGGGAAGCGAGAACTCTTGGTCTTCTGCACGATCAGAATGCCGATCGGCAGCCAGAAACACTGCTCGAGTGCCCTCGAGGCGATCTGGATGATTTGACGTCGCCTTTTCTCCGATGCTGTTTTCAAACAAAGATCTATTTCCATACTTGTAGGCTATGGAAATTTGAAGTTGAGCTTCTCGCCTTTGTAATGGACCATTTAGGCTGTCAAGCGTCGGCTTTCGTCTTCGCGCGTCGTCACATCACATGAAGCGACCGACCGAGCGAAGATCGAGCCAAGCCAAAACAATGGCAACGCGGTACAGTATCGAAACTTCCTCGACGGGAACCCTGGTCACTTGCACGTGCTGCCGCCATCGACCCTGTTTTACCTGTAAGCTAGCCTTTGGGCTGCTCGGTCGAGCCATAGTTGCTGCACAATCATCGCTCAAGATTAGGAAGGACAAACACAGAGGTGGTCGGCAGAGTCTTGGCCGGCCAAGGAAGAGAAAGAAGCTCGGAGCGTGCAGCCTGTGCGTCGGTTCGACCAGCTCGTCTCCGAACGATTCAAAGACCGTCGGCAGTGCGTCACTTGGGTGGGTGAATTTAATCAAACTTGGTGCGCCATGATCTGGTTGGGACCGGCGATAGAGAACCCTTGGCATGGCTTGGTCGCTTGGCAGATCGAGGGGCAGCACGTTCGGCAAAGCAGGACACCAAACAGATGGAGTTGAGTTGTGCAGGTTGGCCATGTTACGTCGAATGATACCGTTGACGGACTCAATAGGCTCGTCTCTCCAGAACGCCTCTCGACCTGTTCACCTGCTTGTGATGGTCGTAGGCTGTCCGTCCCGTGGCAGGTCTGACTGTTGCTCGCTCTCGCTTCGTGATAATGCTTGGTCGACCAGTCCTTGTAACGGCAGCTCACTGAAGCGACGTGCGATCGACGCTGCATTTCGGTGGACTGCTTCCATTGTGCCAGCAAACACGCCGCTTAAGATCGTACGTACTTAGCGTGCAATCACATGCAGCGAGCCCTTTCGAGGGTCAGTGCGGTGGGGGATCGACAAAGGACCCTTCATCATGCAGCCGCCATCAGCCGAGGCCGCGATCGAACTCGGCCTCGAGGCTATCGCACGAGTCTAGTACCACACCTGTTCTGGCTCTTGTGCTGCGGCGAGGCACCCACTCTTCGTTCCATCCTTCCCGTATGCGATAGTTACTTGAAGGGGGCCGGCTTATGCCGGGATAGGCGTGTCTGCAGCGTCACCATGGACTCGATCATGATGGGCGGCCGAAAAGGCTGTTTTTCTGTGCCTCAATTTTTCGCTACCATTTCCTAGCGCCTTTTTTGACAGCATGCCAAATGCAAGATTGGCAAGGGCACTGTCACGAAATGAAACGCAAGGTGGCACCTCGACGATCTGACAAGGCATCTCGGATCCGCTGAATGATCACAGTGGCTGATCAGAGACGAAGGCAAGGTCTTTCAACGTCAGCATGGTGTTTGAGCGCCAAGCGTCTGGATCGTCAGCTCCAGCCGACAGCGCCAAGACATGTGCTGCGTGTGTTTTTCGCAGCCGACATCAAACCGTTCGCGCCAAGCTTGTCGCCATCGTATGTCCCAGGCCTGACACTTGGCTATCAGCTGATGAAGCAGATCATCATTTTTGCCTCCGACGAGATCACACTAGCGCTCAAGTCAGAGCACAGCCTTCGCTTGGACGAGCAAGTGTATTGACTCTTGGCAGAGGCTGGCTTTCAGAAAGCTCGGAGCGAGACAGAAGCAGCGGCCGCGATGGCGTTTGATGCTCTGTTCTCGGAAGAGGGCTTCCGAATGAGCCAGGCGAGCGAAAGCCGTGTCGAATCAAAACAAGCCAGAGTTCAGGCCAATGATGATGCTAAAGACCTTGTGGAAGCGACTGCAATCCTGCTCCTCGGTCATCCGCTGCAAGGTGCATCACCAAGAGAGAGTCGCGCGCTGGCCAAAGCAGAGCCCACCTATCCGACAAAGGCAAAATCCGGTCTTTCAAAATTCAGAGCTTGCTCGGCGCTCGCGACCGAACCAACACGCTGTCGAAGGCCACTCAGCCGAGTGTTGTGATCTGCGAGCTCAGCTTTGGCGGAACGAGCGCTTTTCTTCACCACCGCGGCCTCGGATGAGCCGCCGTGCTGCCGTAAGCCGGAGCGCATCCAGACGGAGGTGATCGAAGCCAATCTGAAGGTCATCGCGTGCTGGGCCGCGGGAATGTCCGTTCAAGCTTGAAGAGCAGGAGGACCCTGATCGACCGTGCTTCTGAGCTGCGTGTTCCCCTGGCGTGAGGCGGCCATCTAGGAACCACAGACCATCGGAACGCCTCCTGCGGCTCACTTGCAGATCTGAAGCATGCTTTGTCAATGCATCGCATAACCCGACAGCCTCATTGAACGCTGTCTGCAGGCCGAATCTTTCCAAGAGAAGACTAGCGCATCTCACGCCACTTTGACGTGCAGCTTCAGAGGCGTGTAAAGTGCAGCGTCACACAGCATCTGACCGCGGGGCTTGGCGTTCCAATTGTTCGCTCTCTTCCGCCGTTCTCCTGTGCATCCCCCTGCTGCGTCCGCGTCCACGCCCTTGGGTCCGACTAGCCGCCCTTTGCCGTCCGTTCACTAGTAAGCACTCCTTCTCATCCCTCCACCATCATCGTCAAGCTTCGAGGTCATCCCCAACCATGGCGCGCCATCCACTCAGACCGCTGGGTTTCCTCTTCGCCCTCCTCGGCCTCATCGCCCTGCTGGCACAACCCTCCTCCGCGATCCCCTCCGTCACCCGACGCGGCAAGTACCTCTACCAAGGCTCCAACCGTTTCTACGTCAAGGGTGTCGCCTACCAAGAGCCCGCTCCCGTAGCAGCCTCGACCGCGGCCAACGATGCCAACGGCGGCTTCCCCGAGCCGGACAGCTTCACCGATCCCCTAGCTCTCCCCGACGCATGCACGCGCGACGTTGCCAACTTCCGCGACCTCGGCATCAACACCATCCGCGTCTACTCGGTCAATGCGAGCCTCAATCACGATTCGTGCATGTCCACCTTCAGCAACGCAGGCATCTACGTCATCCTCGACCTTGCCTTGCCGCTGAATGGTTCCATCAACCGCGCGGAGCCTAGCTGGGACGTGGGTCTGCTCAATCTGTATGCGACGACGATCGACGTCTTTACGCGGTACGACAATCTGCTTGCTGTCAACATCGCCAACGAAGTTGTCACGCAGTCATCCAACGCCGACTCCGCACCATTCATCAAGGCTGCCGTGCGCGACGTCAAGGCCTACCTTCAATCAAAGAACTCCAACGTCCTCGTATCGTACTCCTCCACAGATGGCGCCAACGGTGTCAACCAGTGGCGAGATCAGCTGGCGTACTACCTCACCTGCGGCTCCGCTGCGACCAGCATCGACCTGTACGGCCTCAACTCGTACAGCTGGTGTGGGCAGAGCTCGTACGCCCAGTCGGGTTACAACTTGCTCACCTCGGATCTGGCCGATCTGCCTGTGCCGGCGTATCTCGCTGAGTTTGGGTGTGTCGAGGGTGTGGGTACGGGCAATCGACCCTGGACCGAGGTGGCTGCGTTGTACTCTAGCCCCATGACGGATACGTTTAGTGGTGGTGTGGCGTTCAGCTACTTTCCGCAGAGTTCTGGGCTCGACTACGGTCTGGTGTCGGTCTCTGGTAACAGCGTGTCGACGCGGGGGGACTGGACGGCGTTGAAGAACGCTTTTGCCGCCACTTCGTCCGCTCCGACCTCCGCCCCCGCCGGTGCGAGTAGCAACCCTAGCTACCCCACCTGCAGGGGGAACACCGCCAACTTCCCTGCGTCGACCACTCTGCCGCCAACCCCCAACCCCGAGCTGTGCGACTGCATCGAGTCCAGCGCCTTCTCCTGCGCGCTGACAACGGACGCGTTCAACTCGCCCAACATCATCGGCGTCCTCACCGGCCAAGCATGCATGTATCTCGGCGAGCAAGGTGGGTCCTGCGCGTCCATTCTTGCGGATGGTCAGACGGGCACGTACGGCAACTACTCGGGTTGTTCCGCGGGCCAAAGGTTGGAGTGGGCCATGTCGAGGTATTACGAGGTGACTGGGTTTAATGCTGTTAGCTGCGACTTTGCGGGCAATGGCACGGTGCGGGCGCCCCCGCCGGGCAACCAGACGAGCATCAGGAATGCGTACCAGACGTGTTTGGGTCAGAATCCGGTTGGGGTGACGACGCCGAGGCCGGACGTGAGTGGGAGTGTCAATAGCACGGCTACGGGTGCTGCGCCTACGACGTCCCAGACGGGGACGGGTGGAAACGCGAACTCTGCAACGAGTGGGGCGGGCGTGATGGGTGGGATGTTGATGGCGTTGGCACTGGCCGTTGCTGGTTGGTGCATCGTCTAAGAATGGTAAACTACCTTTCGCTGGCCTCCCGCCCAACACAGCCGTCGCGACGGCGAACGCTTCTCGGACACTCTGCTATGTATACCATCTCTGGAACAATGTTTTCTCAACAACGCTCGCCAGCTGATGCGGCTGTCTCGTGTGCTGCTCTGAATGCGCGTGAGCGAAAGGTCATTGTCCATTGAAGTGAATGTGCAGAAGTGTCTGTGATCGTTTCCCTCCATCAAGTGGTGCTACCGCCACTGCTGACGGTGAGCCCGTTGCCCTTGCAGCTGCTAAACACGGGCAAGCAGCTGAGGTACCTGCACCACGTGCATGCCTTGGTTGGATCTGGCGAGTTGTAAAAGTTGCTTGCCAACCCGGCAAAGAAGCCTACCGCCAACCCCAGCGCAACGATCCTCAGCACCCACGTTATCACCCTATGCCTCTTCGTCGCATGAATGGCAGGTGCGAACACCAAGCCGCCCAAAAGACCCACACAGAACCCGCCGATATGGGCAAAGTTGTCCAACCCGGGCAACAAGCCCAATGCTAAACCTACGATCGCAAAGACGACGGAGGTGGCCAGTCGCATCTTCGCCCGGTACTCGTAGCGCCAGTTGTAACATAGATCCACCAACTCGATGGAGATGCACGTGTAGATCGCCCCGCTCGCCCCCAATGCTGGTTGACCGATCAACCCGAAGTTGCCCCCCAAGAGATTGCCACCTATTCCACCGGCAAAATAGACGATCGTATACGCCACCGAACCGATCAGCTTCTCGATCTGCGCACACAGCGTCAGCTGCACGAGCAGGTTGAAGAAGATATGCACGAATCCAGCGTGGACGAAGATCGCACTGACAAAGCGATAACTCTGGTTCGGATTCGAGGCGTCTTTCAGCCCGCAGATCTGCGATATGGGACACAGCTGCGAGGGCGTAAAGAGGTTCGAGGCAGAGGTTGAATCGCGCAGGCAGGGGAGCTGTTCCGAGGTGGGCAGAGCAGGGACGTTGCGCATGCAGGGCACGAACCGCGCGCCGAACGAGATGAGGAATTCCGCAGAGGGACCGAGCATCGGGCTGATGGAAGGGCGCGTTTGGACCGCTTGCCCCGTTTCAGAGGCCGCTTTGACAAGCTCGATGACGAAGACGATGACGAGCGCGACGGCGACGATATATGTGACGTATGGCCAGTTTTGTCGGCCGATGCCCTGGCGACGTCGTTCGATCTGGTCGCGCAGCTTGTCTTCGTCGGACAGATGGCGGTTGGAAGACCGGGAGAATTTGGCGAAGAGCCCGCCTTTGGCTTCTTCGTCTCCAGCTGGCGGATAAGACTGATCCATCTGATTCGACCAGAGTGCTTCATCTCCGCGTTTGAGCTGCTGTGCTTCATCATGCTCGTCCTCTGCATAGCCCATGGGTCCGGCGTGGTGCTTGAGCGGCAGCGCGGTGGTGCTGGTGTCGTATCGAGCGTGGTCGTAGCCACGGTCCATCGAATGCTCGTTGTAGTAAGGGCTCGGATCATCGTAGTGGCTAGAATAGGGCGCTGACTTCTGCTGCAAGTAGTGCGCTCGGGAGTTGCGGTCCGCTCCCGCGTCCGAGTAAGCAGGGGCGTGATCAGGATCGGTGTTTTTGCTAATGCCAACGCAGCTGATGCTGTCGTGGGGTGCTAGTGTGTCTGCTCTGTCAAGGATAGATGGACCCGCGAGCGCTCGATCTTCGGAGTAGTAAGGATCGTGCTGGAGGTATGAGTGACGTGCGGCGGCGGTTACGGTGGGGTGCGGCGGCGGCGCAGTGCTGAAGGCTTCGAAGGGATCGGTATACATAGAGGGAGAATCGACACCCATGTGGCTAGCAGGGAGGACAGCTCGATGGGCGTCTGTGGTGGTGTCGTTACTCGCAGGGTGAAGATTGGAGGCTCCGGCAGGTGAGATCATGTACTCGACTCGATCGTGTTCCGTGTTGCCGTACGGCGATGGGTCCCAAGCCGAGCTGTGGTAGCTGTGCTGCGCTGCATTTTCGCCAGGGTATCGACTCATGGTGGCGCCGACCAGAGTGTGCCCGTCTGCTTGCTACCTTTGCAAGACTGAGTCAAGGCAACGGCGGGATGGTGGTGAGAAGAGGAAGACAGGCTGCAGATTGAAGGTAAGTGTTGGTCTCGAGCGGATCAAGTAGTGTTGCTCCACAAATTTGGCTCAAAACTGCGCAAGCGGGGTCGCTTCGCTGGCGGCAGAGCTTCATGTGATAGCTTGACCCACAGTCGACTGCATGCAATCACATTGTCACTTTCGACTCTGCAGTTCATTGTAGATGCCCCTCGGCGTTCAAAGAGCTCCGTCTGGCGCTTGTCTATATCCTAAAATGTGTCGATAGAGGGTGAACCAACGCAAGGACATGTCCGTCCAATGCGATAACTTGCCCGCATCAAGATGTTAGCTCTCCTGCCTCACATCTCGGCGGCAAAAACAGGGTCGCGTGCAGCAGTCACGCGCTCTGAAAGTGGAGTCAAAAGCCAAAAAAGTTCGACAAGAAAGCACGGACATCATCTTTCGAGCTTCCCACCAGGGTCTCCCTCACTGGCAGCATCGCTTTTCAGCATTCGGAAGGACTGGGCTCCTCCCTTGGCACTACAAAGACCCATCGAAGCATCAGACGGATTGCGCCTGACTTGCGCAACGATTCCTCCTGAGAAGCGGAACGACAAAGCCATCGTTGGCCTTCAGTGTTCAGCATGCCGGCCACTCGACCCTCGACTGCGGCTTCCTCGTCCGCATCGCCATCACTCGCAGCGTCACGACAGGGCTCCTCCAGTCCACTCGCATCTCAGCAGCATGACAGCGACGACGACGACGGCAATGGCGTGCAAATGATCCTCAGGATCAAACGCAAGCGCAACCAAGACCCGGTCGATGCGCTGATCATCCAGCAGAATGAGCGCAGGAGCAAGCGCAGGTCGATAGTGCTGCCCAACGACGGTGCCGATGAGCAAGGAGGGTCCAGTCAAGGCGCGGCTTCCGATGCCACCAATGCAGCGAGCAAGCAACGTGGCGTGTTTCGTTTGGCAGAGACAGTCTCGCTCGGATCGTTCTCAGATCCTGTCGCAGCACGGAAGCTTCACCAACGCATATCGGCGCTGAGCAGAGCGAGTCCAGCGGGTCCCAGCACAAAGCCGCTGCAGCCCTCGAAGCTAGCTCAGAGCGTCTCGTCGCCGTCGCTGCAAGGTTTGCGACCGCTGGATGCATCTACGAAGGACACCGATCAGACGCGGGCCCACCGCTCGCTCGGCAACTCGGTTTCGTCGCTCAGCGCTTCGACGGAGGGATTGTCGTCAGCGACACCTGCCTCGAGGATCAAGGCGCTGGCATCCGAACAGATTGATCGGGACAAAGACCGTCGGTCTCGCAGCGGCACACCTGTCGGCATCCGATTCAAGGTCATCGCAAAGGAGCATGCAGGCGGCAAAGGGCTACGACGATCTGGCAGCTCAGCAAGTCTACGAAAGATGCGCTCTACGGCGGAACCGAATCGTCCCTGGCACACACCAGCAGGACCACCCGTGATCCGGTCCAAGAAGGAGAAGGAAGCAGAAGCCATCTTTGGACGCATCATCGATGCCGAGACCGAGTCCAGCAATGCTGCGCAGGCATCGAGCTCGAGAGCCAAAGCAGAAAAGCAGAAAGCACCAACACAAGAGGATCATGAGATGGCCGGGCTGGACGCCAAGTTTGCCGAGATGCTGGGTGACTATCTGCGGTCCAACAACATTGAGCCATCGCAGGACATAGATCAGATAGCTCAGGGAGCTTCGGCAGCAGGCGTCAGCGAAGAGGATGTGGTCGCAGGTCACGAAGACCAGGTTGCAGAAGAAGACGATGACGAGGATGACTACGTCTACGATGTTTACTATCGAGACATGCTGCCCACCAAAGCAGGACCTCAAGGATCCGCAGAGACAGGGCTCGAGCCGGCACAGGTGGCAGGGCGTGGGAAAGGGTCGTCCGCTGCTGCTGTGCCTGACTCGATGGCGTTGCCTCGAGTGCTCGGCGGTGAGGTGGTCCCACCCGAATCGGCTACTCACACCCCCAACTGGTTCCCTGGGCTCGACGTTGCTGGGCCCAATGCTGTCGTCGCATCATTGGAAGGATTCGAAGACAGCAACGACGAGCTGGAGCAGGCGGATGAGGAAGGCTTTGAGAGCTTTGATGAAGGCGAAGACGAGGACAGCAACGACGAGGGCTTCTACCGCAACGACTATCCCGAGCAAGAGCTTCCCGAAGCGGACGAGGTCGACTTCGACTACGATGACGACGATGTCGATGAGGATGAGCACGACTCGTACTCACTATCTGACGGTAGCTTCTGAGGTACAATCGTCCTCCCCGAGACAATGTCAGGTGGAAACATTGTCTTGTCAAAAGCGGAGGGAAGCGGGCGAAGTGTGTGCAGTGCATGTACAGTGAGACAACTGGAGCGGCTCCATGCGGCAACCTCGTGGTCTCCGCCGAGATGGAAGTTCCCACGATGCTTCTTCGGACTTAAGCTGCCAGTGCTGCTGCCGCTGCTCGTGCTGACTGGCCTCGAAGATCTTCATGCGACTGCAACCCGAGCACACGAAAGAAGCAAGAAGAGGAGCGAGCGGAGTTGGAGTGGGCCCCTCGCATCAACGTTTTAGTTTGGCTGTTTCCCCATGAGGGGCACTTTGACCGGTAATCAGGCAGCTGCAGCATGTAGCCGAAAGGGGCCGGGCTCGATTGATCGATCAGAAGATTGATTCCCGACTCGGATGCACCTCGCCATCATCCAGTCCGATCCTTAAGCGAGAAGGATATCGCGGTCAACAGCTGAGCAGCCGAGGCCCATTCGGGAAGGATGGAAGGGGTCTATGTGACACCTGATGCAGACCCATGTGAACATTGGGAAGCGCTTCTCGCTGTGCCGGACGGAATGACGCCGGATCGTTGTGATTTGTTCCAAACTCTGGTGGTGCCCAGCTTTGCAAGTCCGCCAGAGGAGCATGCTCACTGTTGAGGAGGGTACAGACAGGACGGAGCGCAGGGGCAAGGGCCATGTTTCGGACCTGCATCGAGCTGTTTCTGCATCTTCTCACGCTCGGCGTTCATCCTTCCGCAGAAACGAGACTGTGTTCAAGGGCGCTTGTGCAAAGACACGATGATCTACTGTAAGCTTGACAGTTGGTCGGAGAAGAAGATGAGAGCCAAGGCAGGGAGCGGAGAGTCAAGAGAGGTATTCTTTAGATCAAGGCTCTATTGTACGCCCTCCTTTTTCCCAGGCTAGATTGTATTGGCAATTTCAAATCATAGCATCACGACGCTCAACCAGAAAAGGCGTGGCTTCATTATATGCAATCAACGCTTTATCCTAGCGAGGCTGTCCTTGTTGCCCAAAGACCAACCCTGTATCGCTTCGAGGCCCATGCTGGCGCTGGTGATGATGTCTGTGGCTCACGCTATTGACCATGGCAATCCCACATATCACCAACCCGCTGATTCTCGTTGATAATATAACTCAACTGCAACGCCAAGGGGGGCATCGATCCTCAACCCACATCGCCATACCGCCTACCAGCCAACCGTCGTGGGGTGTGACATTCTATTGACCGGCAGCTACGGGGTCTGGCTTTTGCGTACTTGCTGCTCTGTGGGCGGCGATTTTGACATGCGTAGATTGGGGACCATCACATCACAGCGCAGCACCCTCTTCTATAATACTTGGGATAAATAAATTGTCCAAAATTGGTAGGCCCGCGCGTCGTTGGCCTGTTGGGCACAGTGCTTTTAGGCTGTGTTGGCCGTGCGTGTGGTATTTTATTTTTTCCGCTTGCGTCGTCGCTGAGGCCAAATTGACATGCCTGTGCGACACTCACACTCAGTCACTCGGTCACTCACCCTCTCATTCAGCTTCCGCTCGTTTGCTTGTTCCACACTCATCCAACATTCATCTTGCTCATCCAACCTTTCGCCACCATCGTCACCACCTTGACCACTCTCTCGGCTTCCGCTTCCCACCACCACCACCCACCCTACGCCATCCGATCACGATCGCCATAGCTGCGACATTTCTGCTCACTGCGTCTTCTCGTCAGAGCAGCGTAGTCCCTTATACCCTTCTCGGCCCAAGCTTCCGACCGCTTCACGCACGCAGTCGCTGTCTCACTGCTTACCTAGGAGCTCGTCTCGTCCGCCATTCGAGCTGCTCCCTAAGCGTTGCATCTCGCGCCCATTCAACCGCAGCTCAACTCGAGCCGCCCTGCGCACCTCGAACCAAGTCACGGACCCGCACGCGACCATTGCATCTCGCGCTTTGACCAGCATCGCGCGCCTCGAGCTGCCTCGGAAGCATCACATCGGCGCAGCATTGTCCTGACGCTTCGCCTTCTGCATCGGCGCAGCGTTTCATCTGGCCAGCCTCGCTGCTCACGGACCCATCCTACAACGCGGTCCGCGCTCTTTCACGCACCCGCAATCGCTACGCCTCTTGCGTTCGCATTCACGACTTGTTGTTGCCGCTCATCAGTCGGCATCTTGCAACTCCACGTTCGCTCTCCTCTGCACCAGCTACGGTCCATCGCGGTCACGTATCAAAAGCGCACGAGGACCTACCCACATCGCACCTCGTCGCGATAGTTTCAGCAGCATCGTACTAGCCACGAGCATCAGCACCATCATCGCAGCTTCACCAGCAGCGACAGCACACATTGCCCACCATGAGCGGCAAAATGATGATCTACAAGCTCGTCGTCTTGGGAGACGGAGGTGTGGGCAAGACGGCGCTCACCATCCAACTGTGTCTCAACCACTTTGTCGAGACGTACGATCCGACGATCGAGGATTCGTATCGCAAGCAGACGGTCATTGACGATCAACCGTGCATGCTCGAGGTGCTCGACACGGCGGGTCAAGAAGAGTATACCGCACTGCGGGACCAGTGGATCCGCGAAGGCGAGGGGTTCCTGTTGGTCTACTCGATCTCGGCGCGCGCGACGTTCGAGCGCGTCGAGCGCTTCCGTAGCCAGATCTCGCGCGTCAAGGACCAGGAACCACATACCGTCCCCATCATGCTCGTCGGGAATAAGTGCGACAAGGTCAACGAACGCGAGGTGTCGAGAGAGGAAGGTCAGGCACTGGCACACCGGTTGGGATGCAAGTTCATCGAGAGCAGCGCAAAGACGTGTGTCAATGTCGAGAGGGCGTACTATACGGTGGTGCGGATGATCCGGGAGCAGAGGGAGGGGACGGTCACGCAGAAGAAGGAGAAGAAGAAGAGCCGGTGCACCATTCTTTGATCGCACCTCGCGTCGCGAAATCTCCTTTGCCAGCGGAACACGCTCCGCAGCAGCACACACATGGATAGTTCTCCCCCGCACGCATCCTCCCCATCCGACGATACCAGCATCTACCTTCCCCATAGGGCGCAGTCGCAAACCGACCACGTTTGGCGAACAGCCCCATCCTACATGTCAAATACACTCTTTCTCACGTTCTCTGATGCATCGTTACTCGGTCTTTCGTGTGGTGCGGGTTGTGGCCGGTTCCGCGTCTTCGGATTCTGGTCGTCGTCGACTACTTTGTGGCCGTCGTAAATTTGGATTTCTGGGGCTGTGCGTCCGTCTGTCGTAGCGGCTGAGACGAGCTGAGGTCTCACGCGGCGGGCAAGGGGCGTCGCATCTCGGGCAGGGTCTCACACAAGATGCTCAGACGACGGAAGCACACACAGAGATGTCAGTGGATTTTTTTTTGGTATTGACGAAGGAGCCGCAGGGGGCTCGACTAGGTTGGATGGGAGGCTGGGAGGTCCAGGTGCCAGCCTGTTGCGATGCGAGATGTTGACTTGATGCTTGCATGGAGGTGCTTGCTTGGGATCTTGATGTTGTGATGATATCTTGATTTCTGGGTGGTGGTCGACGCTTGTTGCTGACCTTGATGCTGGATGATTGGAGGTACTGCTTGATTCTCGTGGCAGCGGTGCTGCTCGATTCGATGTTGAGATGCGCGTTCTGGAGGGCCGACCGCTTGGGATCTTGTGGGCCGCTCTTGGGTGATATTGTTGGTGAGGCGGCGCTTTGGCGGAGGATCGATGAGAGGGATGCGCCCGACGTGGGCGAGATGGACGGGACGAGGGCTTGAGGATGGATCAGGCGACCAATCGACGAGGTGATGTGCGAGGACGGCGAGGCGGACGAGAACGTCATGATGGACGAGACGACGGGACACATGGGCGAGGGGAAGGTCGGGCGCTGGACTAGACGAAGGCTGAGGTGGAAGAATCGGGCGAGGGTGACGAGCCGATGACCCAAAGAAGGGACGTCGCAGAGCAAGGGAGAGGAAGGAAAGGTGGATCGACGACGACGAGACGTTCGTGAAGACGTCTCGACGTCGATTTGGGCCACCGTTCCGCCTACCACATGCCCGGCGGCGCCTTGTTCTTAGGCCATCTGCTGCCTCCCTTTTTCAGATGATCCCACCACTCCTTCGGCGGCATGTTTGCGCCCTTCGGATCACCTGTACCAGTATAGAAGTACCCGCAAAGCTCCTTCTCCTTGCCGTGAATCGCCTTGCAGTGTCGGTTGCAGTCGCGCTTGTTGAGATACATCCGGCCCAGCGTGATGCACTCCGGGATGCCGCAGTGCCACTCCCAGTAGCGGATCGGCTCGTGCGTCTTGATGTGCGCCGTGAGGTTGTGTCGCGTCGTGCAGCTTTTATCGCAGGTGGGGTCGGGGCACGGGGGCTTTTCCTCGGGGGCGACTTTGGGCTTGGCGCGCCGCTTGTTGGGCGCCTTGGTGGCGGCAGCAGCGGCTGGAGATTTGGCAGCGGCGGGTCGCCTGCCTCGGCGCTTGGGGGCCGGACCGGATGAAACGGGTGCAGGAGCGGTGGTATGGGCCGGCATCGCACCAGCGAGATGGGGGATCGCGCTGCCTGAGCTGTGATAGTCCGTGGGGATTGGCGTAGGCGTTGGCGCCGAGACACGGGCGGAGCTGTCCAGCTGCTGATGCTGTTGCTGATGCTCTAAATGCTGCTGCTGCTGCAAGAAGATCTGGTCGAAGAGGCTGCTGCGGCTCGATGTGGCCTCGATCTCGGACATGATGCGCTCCACCGCAGCTCTACTCTGCTGGATCTCTCTCTGTCGCTGCTCGAGCGCTTTCTGGTGTGACTTGGCGGCCTGCTGCACCTTGTTCGACGCTTTTGTGGCCGTTGTCTTCGTGGTCGGTGCCTTCGTAGGTGCTGTGCGCTTGCGTGCGCGAGGAGCCTTAGTCGAGGGGACGACGGGTGTAGTGGGAGGAGGCGCTATGAAACGAGGGGCTACAGTGGCAATCGACGCGGGAACGTGGGTGTCCCTGGGGCGGAAGGTGTGGTTGAGCCTTTGCTGGGAGATATCATCAAGTCCGACTTGAAGTCCGACTTGAGTGAACCCGGACGCCGCGACGAGACGGTCGGCTGTGTTGAGCAAGGGGACTGACAGGCTTTGGTGTCCGAAGTTGTGGTCGGGGATCCAGCCGAGGTCGTGAGGAATCATTTGGTGAAGAGGCTGGAAGGTGGGGATGAGGGGCTGGATAGTGCTTGCGAATGGCTGCGCGAGGGTGTGAGCTGGAAGCGCGAAGGGGTTGCTGGCATGCACTCCAGCATCGACTGCAGAGAACACGTTGGCTGCGTCGAACATGCGCGTGTCCACGCTCGAGGTGTTACTTCCTGTCGACTGCGAGCTGCCTCTAGACATAGCTGGAGTACTCGACGACCCGTCGACGGTCAACGGGCTCGACAGGTAAAGAGGCGAGCCTTCGGCCTTGATCGCCTGCTCGCGGGACTCGCCAGTGGAGGGAAGCGAATTGACTCCATTCTCGAGCGCAATGGTGGACCCGTTCAAGTAGGTCATGTCGAACGGATCACGACCGACGACCTCATTCATCAGACCCAACGAGTCAGGGATCAAAGCTGACTCATTGGCCCGGAGAGGCGCAGTCACAAAGCCTTCAGACGACCACGGGTTCTGTACGGGAAAATGGCCATTGATCAACGTATCGAAGTTTGCGGGGTCGCTGAACAGTTCCTCGAAGCCTCCTGGGGTCGTCTCGACGCTGAAGGTGCCACTGAGCGATAAGTCGGTCGCGAACGTTGACGGGTGCTCCGGCATGTAGGCATAGCTCGTTTGGATCTCGTCGATATTGAACGGATCGCGAGCCGTGCCGGTAGAATCATGAGCTAGATGAGGCCACTGACTGGGAACCGTCAGCGGCGTGGCGAGGACATTGTGGTAACCATCGGACGTAGGCTGCTGGGAGGACGGCGGCGCGTCGAGCGAAGCTACCCCGGGAGCATGATCAACGGCTGCCGAGGGCGGATGGTTGAGACGGTCCACCGCCTTCGCGACCAGGCTCGGCTCGGACGCGTTGCCAACGTGCGGGGAAGCGACCGGGGGAAAAGAGGAGGTATCATGGGGTGGAGTGCTCCAGGGAGAGAACTCGAGGTAAGAAAACATAGGTGAAGATACAGCGGATTGCAGGGGGAGCTCAGCTTCCAGCCTGCGAGGGTGGATTCCAGGAGCTTGGAATGGGGAAAGGAGAGTGGGAAGGAGTGTTGAAAAGATCGTTGGATTGAGTCTTGAGGTTTCGGCGGTGAAAGAAGTGCTTTCAGTGGTGAAAGAGAGCTCTTGATCAGACCCTTTTATGCGTAGCGACGTCCACCCAAATCGAATCCACCTTTCGACTCGGCACTTCACCTGCCAAGTACCCGAGTCACGCTCATTCGGGTAGCCCTTCGGGGCACAGACCTGCTGTGTTGAGCGAGAACTCCGTGCGACTCAGCCGAATCAAAGGGACAACTTCTCCTCTGCGTGTGATCTCAGAGTGTTTACACGGATGCAGATGAAGGCGTACGTCACAAGCGATTGGATCTGTGACATTTGCAGAGCTACTCGTGCCGATTATTGACGTGTTAAGGTTCGACTACGTCAGCCCACGGGGCTGAAATGCGTCGGCTGTGTTCGGCCGGGCCTGCGACCTGTTCTGGCTCAAGTCACATCGAGATTGAACGGGGCCTTATGCTCCCGTTCAATTTCGAGCTGACATCAATCGGACAGCACCTGCTTCGATTGACGTCGGGAAGCGGAACTTTCTCGCTGCTTCCCGTTGAAGTCGGTGCCGAGCATGGCAAGACGGCGGATGACGGTGTCTCTTCGAGACTAACGAGCGTGTTAGGCTTCTTCCCAACTTCTCTTCTTCTTTCTGTGAGACTAACGAAGGCATCAGGCTTCCTCCTTGTCCCATCAGTCCGGTCGGCCACAGCTTTGGAGCAACTGCCAACCTCTGAGAGCTGCGAACGTGTCTTCAGCTCTTTGTTCTCTGCCCAAATGCTAATCAATGAAACGCGGATGTTGCAAGGAGCCAGCTTGACAACGGTGAGCTTGAATCCTCGGCTAGTGTTCTTCAAGCTCTCCTTTGACGTCCCACTCAACCTTGCCGTGAAAGCCTACCACGTTTGCAGCCTGCCGAATGCGGCAGCTTCATAAGTGATAGCGCGTAGTGCAGGCGCCACCCGCTGAGCACATTCCTCGAAGTATAACCTTATCCCTACCTTGCCGGTCGACTACGCCCACACAAGGGGTTGCATGAACGCAACCTATCTTCCCAAAAAGCATTGCATCGTGACTCGAGCGAGGCGAACAAGGTTGCATGAGTCACACTGTTGATACTGGGTGAGATATTCAGCAATCAGCCGAAGCTTGATGTTTGGGATCCCTTAGGTGGAGCTAGCGGACTCGCTTGACTCGTGTGGTGTAAACAAGCATCACGTTTGACAGGTCATTGTTGGCCAGCTTGACAGCTCGCGGAACGGAGCTAGCAGGTGGCCTGCCGACAACTTCTCGAACGGACCACAGGCTGTCGTACAGTTTCCCGCACACATCATCTGTCAAGCCCACAATCACCCACACGTTCAAATGCACAATCGCCCAGAACATTTTTTGTGCGTCAAGAACAATGCTTGTGAAACTAGCAAGTGCCCAGAGGGACAAATGTCAACCGACAAACGTAGACAACAGACAACCGACAAACTTCCAAATCGACAAACGTCCAGATTGACAAGCGTCCGTTCAAAATCGACAATCGTCGGTCGAAAGCTGCATCTAGCCGAGCTGTGCTCCCACTCTTCATCTTCTCATCCGTCGGAAAGAATCCTCCCACTTCTCGCCAACACGCTCGCACAACTCCGTTGATCGTTTGACCCAGAATCGATTTGCCAAGAGGTTCCGAGTCAAATCGTTGCGCAGCCTTGGGAGAGCAACGTGCACCTCTTGGAGTCCTTGGAACAGTCTTTGGAAAGCCTTGGGGCAACTTTGATCTCGGCACAACCCCGGGGCTTCCTGCCGAGCTCCCCTGCAAGTCACAGTCTTGGGCACTCCTTGCAAGCTCTCCCTGCACAGTCTTGGGCACTCCTGGCAAGCTCCCTGCACAGTCTTGAAACGTCTGGCATTGCGCCACCTCTGAGCGTCACCTCTTAGTGTCACCTCTTGGCACAGAGTCGTGGACAAAGGGCCATTCACCAACAACCAAACTCGGAACCCCCTGACAATGCACCGATGTGGAAGCCGACAGTGCTGCTACTTGGTCGTCCTGCCTTCGAGAATGTCCAGCGCCTGTCTGAGCTGAATCCTGGCCGTTTCGAGATCCTCAAAATCGACGGCGCTCGCTGCTCCTTTGGCGAGCTTCTGAACGCGTGATGAGAGCTTTGCGTCGAGCGATTCGGGGAAGACCGTTGGCGGTGCGACTGGTGGAGGCGGAGCGACTGGTTGAGGCGGTACGAGGGCGGTCGGGATTATCGGGCGCGGCGCGGTCGGCTGCGGCTGTGCCGCGAACGAGGGCGGAGCAGGCGGAGCAGAAGGGAAAGCACCGCCGCCCAGGTGTGCGCCAGGCGTCGTTGGCAGGCTCGGTGCGGTGGGCGAGCGCGGTGGATCGATGCGTTCGATTGCTGGATGGCTGCCGCTGAGCCCACCGCTGCCGGTCGTGGGAAGTCGGTCCATGGGTACAGACGGCAGTGTCGACGTCGCACCCGAGTCTCCCGGCTCATCCGTCGGAGCAGATGCACCCCAAAAAGATGCGGGTGCAGCTCCCGGTCCACCCGAAGCTTCCAACCCAGGACTCGAGCCAAGCATGTGGTCGTGCGCACTGATGGGCGGTGCATCAAGACCGCCCCTTTGTGGTGGAGTGGGAAGCGGGCGTCCAGGACTCGAGCCAGTGAAGCTCGTCGACCGTGGAAGCTCCGTGGAAGAGCTTCGTGATAGTTTGTCGGCCGTGGGCTTGCTGCCGCTCCTCCACATCTCGTCGCCGTCCACAGAAGCGTTGTCGAGCGGATGAGGCTCTGCATGTACGCTTGGTGGGATCTGCAAGGCTTTGTTGTCGCTCGTTGAGCTTGCTCCTCGAGCCAGCTCCGGCGTATTTGCCGTTGCACCTTCCTGTGGAGCTGCAGTGGTCAACTTGGCCATCTCTCTCGCCAGATACTCTGCCTCCTCCTTGCTGTCCGTCGCTGGTCCCATCGCGGTCTCGAGCTTCGCCTCTTCCTCCTTTGCATCGCCTCCTGCCGGTCCCGCTGTGGGCTTTCTCCCCTCCTTGAACGCCTTTGCAATGTCGGCTGCTTTCCACTTGGCATACTTGATCTTCTCCGCCGTCTCGGGCTCGAGGGTGCCAAAGATCTTGAGCAGCTCCAAGAAGTGACTCGCAGCCAGGAACTTTCGTGGAGTTTGCCTCGTCGCCTTGCCGGCACGGTCCTCGTTGTCGGCGCCGACGAATACCTTGAGCGCAAAGTTCTCCACGTAGGCTGCGCTGGCAGCGTCGTTGGTGACAGCGTCGTTGTCGGCGAGTTTGGCCTTGAGCGATTCCAGCGTATCCATGAGCGTTAGCAGGTACATCTTGGCGGCTGTATCGGTGGTGGGCGAGGAAATGCCGAGCTGAGCGGCGTAGTAGCAGCACCAGTAGGCGATGACGGCATCAGCGGTGCGAAGCTCGTTAGCGCGCTGCACGAAGGGGAGCACCGTCTTGAGCTCCGGCGGCGGATTGGGAAGCGGCTCGTCCATCTTGCTGCAATACGAATGACCAAAGGTGCTCGAGGCGATCTGTTTGATGTTCGATCCGATGATGCTGCGGATGGAAAGGATAGCCGGAACTGCATGAGTGACGCGAAGTGTGTGTGTGCAATTCGAGGCTGCAGCTGGACAGTGCACGCGTCTGTTGCTCTCGACTCGGCCCAAAATTAGTTCGGCTATGCCAGCTGCGAGACCCTGAATCGCTTTCTTCCTCGACCAACACCTACCACCGTTCACGGACTCGCCCAACATCAATGGCACAGCTTATACATCTGCGGATTTGTCTGTGCAATGCTGTGTGTTTCAGCGCACATTCGCCCTCCCTCAATCTCATTCGAGCTCAAGCGCCTAGGTTTGGTGACAACAAATCGAATTCTGATAGAGGTACAAGGGTCCACATGAAAAGATAGCAACAGGGGAGCAACATCGAAAGGGTGGGGATGGGTGAGACTAGGAGCTGATGCGGCGCACCGTCTTGCGTTCGCGTTCGCCGGCAGTCTTGACGATGCCCTCGCTCTCGAGCGTCCTTACGAGCTCATAGAGTTCGTTGGGATCGACAGCGCCGGACGACTGGTCGTTGAGGGCCTTTGCCAGGTCGGTGTACCTGACGGCCTTGGTGGGTTGAGTGCCCGACGGGCCCGAGGGCGAGGTGGCGCGGGTGGAGGAGAGGCTTCCCATCTCATCGAGGAGCTGGAGGAACTCTCGGCGCAGATCACCCGCGAGCTTGCGCTGGTGGTACGATCGACCTGTGTTGATGAGATCCAAGTCGATGAGGCCGGTGCGCGGGTCGGTGGCTGAGGACTTGGCTGCCTCGCGGATGAGTCGCGCCGCTTCCTCGACATCGTCCACGATGACCTCGTCGGCGAATCGCATCCGAGCATGGGCTTCCGAGAGACGGATCATGGACTCCAGCTGTCGGGTGGTGGCGGTGATGCGGCGCTCGGCATTGCGCGGGTCTTCACCAACCTTGCGCAGCTCGACGTAGCGCGCTGCCAACGCGTCACCCGCCTCCTTGGTGAGGATCGGCGAGATGCGATTCCTCGCGTAGGAGATGTACGCAGTCAACGTCTCGATTGGCAGCACATCCTTGCCGCCCGTATCCGGCTTGTCCTCGAGATACAAGCTGACCAGATGGCGGGCGAGGCGTCGATCGTTCGCCTCATCGATCTTGTCCAGCACGAGGTAGACCAGGTCGAATCGACTGATGAGCGTTGGCGGCAGATCGATGTTCTTGGTGATGGGCAGGTTGATGTTGTACCTCGAGCCGGTTGGGTTGGCGGCGGCGAGGATGGACGCACGCGCGTTGAGGGTCGTGATGATGCCCGCTTTGGCAATGCTCAGCGTCTGCTGCTCCATCACTTCGTGCAAAACACTTCGGGTGGCTTCCGACATCTTGTCGAACTCGTCGATGCAGCAGACACCGCCGTCGGAGAGAACGAGCGCGCCAGACTCGAGGACCAGCTGCTTGGTGTCCGGATCACGCGTGACGTAGGCAGTGAGACCGACAGCCGAAGAGCCCTTGCCCGAGGCGTAGACTCCACGTGGGGCGATCTTGTGCACGTACTGCAGGATCTGCGATTTGGCGATACCAGGATCACCGACCATGAGCACGTTGATGTCACCACGGTAGCGAGGACCACCACCGCCACCACCCGTGCTGATCGTCTTGTTGGTACCACCGAAGAGCTGGAGCAGAATGCCCTTCTTGACGTCGTCCATCTCGTAGATGCTTGGCGCCAGACTGCGCGAGAGCACCTCGTAGACGTCGTTCCGACTCGCGATGGTGCGCAGCTTGTCCTCGAGGTCCTGGCTGCGAGGCTCGTCGGTGTCGAAGTCGCTTGGCACCTCGACGTCTTCGTCGTCCTCCTCGCCGCCAACGCCTACGGCCTGGGCGCCGGGACCGGCCGCCTGTTCCGCAGCATCGCGCGTCGAAAGGTCGACACCGAGCCGCTTACCGTTGGTGCGCTTGATGTGGAGGATGTCAACAAACGTCTTGTAGAGACTCTTGAGACTACGTTGGCGCGGGTTGACGCGGACGGGAGTGCTGCGGAAGATGCCCGTGATCTCGACTCGATCGCCTGGCTTGGAGACGTCTACCAGCTCGTCGTATGCACACATACTGACCGTGTGGGGCGTCTGACCGTCCGGAACCACATCCGGGGTCTCCTGGATGCGCACCACCTGTCGATCCGAGAACTCGCATCGGTTGTGGATGAGCGACATGGAGCCCTGCAGGTTGCACACCGGTCGCGGGCATCGGTCGGGCTCGGCAATGCGACCGCGGTCGATCTCCACAGGTACGGTGTGGTTGCAGACGAGACATCGGAAGAAAGCCTGCTTCATCTCGGGGATGATGGGTGTAGCGCGAATAACGAGACCGCGCACCGTGACGAGCTTGTCAATGTCGGACGGGTTGAGATCGCGCATGTTGATCGCCTCGGCACCGTAAGGGCGCACCTTGTAGAGCTTGGTCTCCATAAGCTCGATCTCGGCGAGACCCATGTCGCCGCCCATGCCGTCGCGCCCCTCCTTCTGGTCCTCGTAGGCCATCTCGAGCATCTCATCCTTCAGAACCTGGTCCATGATGGGCACCATCTCCTGCGGATAGCGGATGAGTTGCATCTTGAGCCGCTTCGACGGTGGGTAAGCCTCGAGATCCGAGATGCGCAGATTGAGGTTGGTCTGGTCGGTGATGCGCATGCGACGCAGGTAGCCTTCGTAGACGAGGCGCTCGCCTTCGGCGGGGTTGCCGGTAGCAGCGGGGGAAAGGGGCTCGCCGAGCTTCTTGGCGTGTGCCCAACGGTACTTGAGACGGAAGCCGCGAAGGAAGGAACGGAACATCTCCATGGTCTCGCCGATCGACACGTTGGTGCCCCAAATGACCTTGGACACGCCGTCCTGGCCCGGGGCAGCAGCGTCGCTGGAGACGCCCTGCTGTGAGAAGCTCAACGCATCGCTATGACCGTCGGCGGTAGGCTGACTGCCACCAAAAACAGAAGAGGCACGGGTGGGTGCACCATCGCCTTGGCTGGCGCTGTCGATACCGTTGTTGATACGGTTTCTCCTCGAGAACGATGGCGAGGAGAGGGCAACGGAAGAGTGGATCTCTCCACGACGCTGGTGGCGAGGGGTGGTGCCGCCAGAGCTGGGAAAGAAGAGGGGCTCGTCGAGACGGCTGATGCCGCTGCTGCTGGAGGGCAGACGGTTCTCTGCATTCTGACTGCGTCGTGCGGCAGCAAGAGGTGTCCTCTGGCCCCTTGAGGATCGAGCTGACGGCGATGATGTTGGGAAGTGCAATGGAGATGAAGCTGCGTAGAGAAAACGGAAAGGGTATGAGTTAACAACGTCTAAGCTGTGATAGTGCTGGGCTGCTTAAGAAAGACTCACCTCCTAGCGAGCTCTGTGGCGCCCTGACGCTGGACGCCTGGCTTTTGAGGGGACTGCTGGAAGGGAAAGCGAGTGGCGACGAAGCGCCCGCTGTGTTCCTGTTGGAGAGTGATGCTGGGGCGAGAGGCGTTCGCTGGTCTGCGTCGCGCATCTCGGCGTCACTGGGTGGACCGCCGGGGGTCGACATTGTGAGAGGGGAGCGGTTGTTCGACCGTGCTTGTTGTGAGGTGTGGAACGTGTGTTCGGAGATGACCGCGAGTCCTGAGCTCTTCTATGATGGTGTGATCGTTCCGGTCGAAGCTCGTGTACGAGAGGTATGCTGGGAGTGATGGTGAGGAGACGGCAAGACTCGCTTTGCTTGCATCTGTTACAATCTCTTGCGCAGACTGAAAGGAAAGCGCACCCAATACAAAACACAGCGCCCTTGTCCCTCGGCGCACTCGTCGAGAGAGTGTTGAACTCTTTCCTGCTCAGAGCCTTCTTCTCGTCTGTGCTCTGAGCCTGCCCTTTCGCTCAGACTCTGTGTAAATACTGAGCGCGCCTCCTTCGTTCTGCTGTTCAAGTGCCCATCCATCCATCCAACGACGGACGACACAGCTGCAGTGCCTCTCTGTTGCTTGCTTGCTTCCATTTTCCACTAGGCTCTCTCTGAACGCGTCTGGTGCGCTTGGCCTGTTCGACGCGTAAATGAATTCTGCAATTTACGCGACACGTCTTTCTCAGCTCAAGAGTGTTTTGAGTCGCGCTGGCTGGAGGACGACGCGCCCCGTCCTGTCAGGCGCCAGCCGCTTGCTGCCTTGTGCATGTGTTGACCTCAGAGAGAGGCGCTGCGGTCTTGCACATGCATGATGAAGCGCACCAACATGATGCTAAGGTCTGCTATGATTGACCTACTACGAACATGACGATGCGAATGGTACGGAAAAATGATAAGACGAGGCATGCTGGAAGAGATATGGCTCCAAACTTGTATGCGACAGCATCTGAGTAAGGATTGCCTTGACGACCTCAGCGAAGAGTGCGAACGTTCAAGCCGCTACCAGCACCGTGTGATCCGAATCCGCCCGTGGCCTTGGCCCCCTTGGTCGACTCCACCGGCTTCTCGAAGATCCTCCACAGCTTGAGCTCCTCATCGTCACTGACCGTAGCCAGCACCTCTCCGTCCGGACTCAAGCTCGAGTGCAGAACCCTCTTCTCGTGCGCCTCGATCTCCGCCACCTTGGTTCCCGATGGATGCGACCAGATGTTGAGCAGTCCCTTGCTTGATTCGGTCGTGCCCAATCCGTGCGTCGAGACGATCTCGCGGTAGTGCGGTGCCCAATGAAGCGAAGTGATCTGGGCGCCCGTCGAGATGGTCATGGTGCGCGAGTTCTGCGTCGTGTTCCAGAAGTGGATGTTGCGATCGCTCGTGCCACCGCCTGTCGCGAGCAAGCTGAGGTTGTGCGGGCACCACGCGAGCGCTTTCACCGCAGCTTGGTGGTTCTCCTTGCGCATCTTGGCCACAGAGGTGCGACGATCCCACACCTTGACCACATTGTCGTTGCCGCCAGAGGCCATGAGAGCGCTATCGGAACGCCACTCCATGCCGCAGACCGGTCCGTGGTGCGCCTTCTCGAGTGTGCGAGTGACAGCATCTCGCTCTCGCACATCGTACTCGCGGATGATACCGCTCTGGAAGCCGGCGTTGAGCGTGCCGTCGGGTGCCCAGGCACAGACGTTAACCGAGGCGTGGTCGGCTCCACCGTCACCGCTCGGCTTGAGCGTTCGCATGCGTGTGCTGCTCGCCACATCCCAGATCTGCACAAAGCCACCTTCGAGACCGACAGCAAGGATGTTGCCGTCCGCATCCCACCGCAAACCGGTGATCAGTCCTCCACCACCCACCTTTTCCGCCATTGTCGATGTGTCCAGCAAAGCACTTGCGTCTCCCGTGTTGCCATTCCAGATCCACAACCCGGTCTGCAGTGCTACTGCCACCATGTTGGTCGAAGACCAGTCGAGAAGGTTGTAGTAGAAGTCGCCGACCATGCTCGGTGCATCCAAGGTTCTCTCTGGTGTTGTCGGAATCCTTCTGCGACCTGCACTTTGCAGGCTGCTCGGCATGGTAGATTTGGGCTTGGTCATGGCGTATCGGCTTCGGACGTCTGGGTTGGCCAGCGAGCTTGGCGGTGCAGCAGAGAACGAAAGGATCCTCTGCCCCATCTCAGAAGAGACTGAGTCCTCGAAAGATGGTTGTCCATCGAGATCGGTCGGATTAGCATTGGCCGCTGCGATGTTGGCCGCGATGTTCGGATCGGTCGCATCGCCGGTCATCGAGCGAATCGTGTCTCCATCGCTGTCATGAGCATGCGGGGTGGTCGACCGTTTGAGTTCTCGGTTTGGAATGTACCGGTCCCCACGAGATATGCTAGCTGCCACCTTTGGCTTCAGAGCTTTGTCTGGACCCTGCCAGTCCCTTGTGATGCCGACCTTGAGGTCCGCTGACGAGGAGGGCACCGAGTCAAGGCGATCTTTCCGAGACAGGCCCAGTCTTGCAGAGTTGTTCTTCAGCCCGCTGCTCTTGGTAGGCGAAGTGCCGAGCTTCATGTCGCGCAGATTGGCCGACACATCCTTGAGAGGCGAGTCCATCGCCACGCCGCTGTATCCACGCCCCGCCATATCGACGCTACTCCGGTTCACCGAGCTATTTACTTGTTGGAATGAGCCGCTGGTTTCGGATCTCCACCGCTGCGTCGTGTGTTTGAGGAAGTATCGATGGAGCAGCAGGTCTTGAGGTGCTAGTCGTCGATCTTGTCTTCGAGTGTCGGAATGAAGGTGAACGTGTGAGCAGGAGGGAGGCGAGTCGCTTCCATCACTGACATGTCACACAGCTCAAGCTGAGCACCGCTCTCCCACCTGAACCTCCTAGAAGCTGCAGGTCCACCAAATTTCTACAGAGCCAAAAAAGACCAACACCTCGCGACTTGACCGTCACGTGCAAATCCCCGCCTATCGGGAAACCTAACAAAATATAGAAAATCGCTTGACCATCGAGCGACTCGAGCCCTTGAGGCTGAATCTCAGCCGATGCTCACGAGATGTCCCGCCTCCTTACAAAGCTCTTTGACAGCAGATCATCGACAGACGCTCCTTTCGAGGTCATGAGGGCATGAAGAGGTGACGTGCGATTGATCGATGACAAATACATTGGATAGAGAAGCCTAGGCGAATAGATATTGGGGTGCACATCATTGACGCGCTGCTTGGCCCTGCTGGTAGTTCGCCTGCGCATTCGGCTGCATGGGTCGCAAACCACCGCTGGGGCTTGCAAAGGCATAGGAAGCATTCGGTCCGGGGGCAAATCGCTGCGACTGAGGCGTCATGGCTGGACCAGCCCCCGGCGCATATCCTGGCTGCATGCGGGCATTCGGTGACATGGCCGCTTGACGCATTGCCGGCGACGACATGTCTCGCTGATCGGCGCCCGCGCTGGGAACAGGCTCTGCACGAAGTGGATCGACATCGTGACGGTCCTGCTTGTGGTCGTACGTGCGAGTGGCAGCAAAACGCTCCAGAGCGCCGCGGCCACGATCCTCGACGTGACCCGCACCGGGCCCACCCCTGCGCGAGGACTTCTTGGCTTTGGAACCGCTGCCGTCGACGAGGCGGATCGTGACATCGTCGCGCAACACCAATGGCGTCTCGGAGATAACACTTCCCCCTTTCGTCACCTTGACCACATTCGCATCGAGTGCACCCCAGAAGCCATCGCGAACATCACCGAGCAGATCAGGGTCGATGGCGCCGCTGCTGGCAGAGAAGGCGCGCAGCTTGCTGGCATCCGGAATGACGCTGTCAACAGCGTTGGACGTAAGGTCAACAGCGCGAGGCTGCAAAGCGACGAGCGCGCCGAGAGATTCCAGCAGGAGCGCTGCGGTCGCCTCCTCCTCCGCACTTGGAGCCACAATTTCGGTTGCGGATTTGCTCGACCGGCCAGATGGACGATACGACCGTCGAAGTCGAGCCCATTGGAATTCTTGCAAGCGATGCAACAGCATCATGTTGAAGCGCAGGTGCGACGTGACGAGCTCGTCCTGATCAAGCTTGGTGAGGCTCTTGCTGACGCTGCCTTGGTCGACGTCTTCTATTAAGGTCCGCAGGACCTCCGCCAGGCCGTCACTCGAGATCGCGTCCATGGAAATATCACCATCAGCGTCGACACTAGCGAGCGGCTTGGTCGCCGTCGAGTAAGGCGTTGGCTCCACAGGCGCATCTCCATCATGATCGTCCTCCTCGTACTCCTCTTCCTCGTCGTACAGCGAGAATGGCTTCTCGCCCCATGCCATGGTGACCGAGCGCTGCGCTCGCACAGAACTTCGCCAGAGATTGCTGCTGGTAGCGTAGCTGATCGAAGATGTCGACGAGTCGTAGGTAGGCGCGAACGAGGCATAGTTTCCGTAGTTGAGGAAAGTGACCGGTTGAGGTCGGCCTTGCTGCTTTGCTCGTTTGGAGTCCGAGCGATGATGACGGTGGCCGCTTCTGCCTAGCCTCTGACCAAGGGTGGGAGCAGGTACCAGACCTTGACGCTTGAGCGCGCGCATCTGCTCCTCGCTCTGTGCACTGATTTGGACGAGATCTGCCTGAGCGGCATCCAATTGGCTGAGCTGATCTTTGTCCAGCGGAATGGCTTTGGTGAAGTAGTCGCTTCGAGGCAGTCGCATGTGCAGAGCATATCTGTTCGTCGAAGGATCCACGACGGGAGAGCCGACGGGCTTGATTCTGGCTGGGCTGTCGCCGTCGACCGCACCGTTTGCCGAGCCCTTTCTCCCAGCATTCTTTGCTTCCGCCAATCTCGCCCGGTCTTCCACGATGGATGCCAGGATCTGACCTTTGAGCGCATCGGTGCTGGTGTCTGCCTGACGTTGTCGTGATGCAAGTTGGTCCACGAGTCCGAGAACGAGCGTGAGGCTGGTTAGCCTTTCCATGTCTTTGGCGACCTCTTCGGACGCTGTGGCGCTTTGACCCGCTCGCAAGTGTTGTGAGACGGCCTCCTTGGCCATAAGCGGCTGACGTAGACTTTGCAGATGCGACCTGAGCTCACGCACGCTCGTGCCAGGACGCAGCATGTCTCGAAGCGTGGGCTTGGCGTCTGTCGAGCCATTGGTGCTGCGAAGCTTGCCTTTGGCGGGGGCTCGCGCGGCCGTGGTCAGGTCCGAGAAGTTTAAGGCAGCGAGAATGGTCGCAAGCTTCTGAGCATCGTCTTCGCCTAGTACGAGTTCCTGAGCTTTGTGTGCTGCCGCATCGAGGTCGACGTCCGCGGTCTTGGGCGCGTGTACTGACTTGGCGGAGGGGCCAGGCAAGCCGAGAAGGGACTGGATGTGCTTGGGTAGCTGTTGCTTTTGTGTTGTCGAGGGCTCTGCCTCTCCCTCTGCATCAGCTCCATTGTCCTCGTCGGAGAGATCAGAGGATGCCTTGTTCATGTCATCGGCGCTGGCATCAGGTGCTGCCTCGGCCATGTGCTCGTCGGTGCCGTTGACATCGGCGGAAGGATCTGATGGCTCGTCTGCACGCTTCCGCTTGCGATCCAGCTTGCTGGGAGAAGTGGATGGCGATGCGACGGAGGGTTCCGGCGTAGTGCCAGATGCATCGGCATTCCTCGCACTGCGGGTGGATCTGCGCAATGGAGAGGCCATGATGACGAGAGGATGGCAGATGGAGGGATCTACGCCGGATCGACGCGTCGCGGTGGGATGGCGGATGGAGTCGGATGCTGCTGGTGGTGTCTCCAGCTGCACTCGCCGAGAGGTCTGCTGCTGAAGCCCGCTACAGCAGGAGGAATGGCGACGAGAAGTGTTGAAAATGCTGCTGAGGGTGCAGAAGAACACAAACGCGCTCAAAGTGGAGCGCGTAGGCGTAAATGAGAAGGGACCGCGGAAGAAATTCGCTCAGAGCGGGCGTGCTTTCTTGTTGAGAAGGACCAATCACTTGTTGAGCTAGCGTGAAGGCGCGGGATAGCAGCTGTGCAGGGTGGAAGGGGGATGAGATGGAACGGAGCGGATGTCGACGAGGATGGGAAAGCATTCAGCTCATTCCTGAGTTGCGAGCGAGAAGCGTGTCCACAGAGAGAGAGAGCCACGAAGACCCAAAGCCTTCTTTCATCTGAAAATGATTAATTTAAATGGTTAAAAAAACAAATTCGAATCGCACGAGACAGCTGCCCGAGATGCGTGCTGCAGAGAGACTGCAGCCTGGACCCACCACAAAGCAGACTCGTTTATCCGCGCTTCCACTCCCCCATCTGCGTGTCAAGAAGGGCCATCCCTTGACCATCTGTCAAACGCCTGATCACTTGCTGCGACATTAAAAGCGCTCCAAGACTTCGGACTTATCGTCAGCCCGCTTCAGAGCTTGCTGCTCCCCACTTGCCGCGCCCCCGTAAGCTTGCCGCAGCCATGCTTTTTTGAGGCAACGTGACCTGTCGCGAACCTCATCAGGCGGACTCGCAAGCGCTTGCAGCTTCATTTGCCATCACAATACCTATGATTAAGATTCAAGACACCCGCAACATCGCTCATGAGCAGACTGCGTCAATGTCGTCACTAGCCGAACAATGGCATCTGGGATCATTGAATGTGAGGCAGACAAGGCTCCCTGACGAATTGCCAGGTGCCGCTCAACAGATGCCAAGGCCTGCTCAGTTGACGTGCCCATAGTACCTAATTCCTCAAGCAGAAACGTTGACGGTGGGGCTCGGCAGAATGTCGCACTGGATTGAGGAGGATCTTGCTGCAGTGACGATGCGAAGCGACAGTCTCTCGGCTCGCCTGCAGACCCCCAAAAAAGACGAAGTCGAAGTCGAACAAATCAGAGACAACGACGCTGCGCTTCTTCTGACGGCGGAAGTAGCCTGAGCGGTTGACAACTGCTCGCTCCGCGCATTTCTCCGAAGCATTGGGAGACTCATCCTGAATTTGCCCAAGTGTGCAATGCCGACATGGAATGCATTGAAACGTCAGAGCAAGCGGACACGAGCGTCGAGATGTGGCGCGGGTCGGATGTGTCTAACATGGGGCGCCTACATTGCCACAAAGGCTCGTTACTCGTACCGGCGAGCATAGTGGAGAGTGTGAATCCTATAAAGAGTGGGGCCGCTCGACCGCCACTTGCCCCGGATCCCTTCTGTCGTGCCAAGTTTGGCCGAGACCTGCCTTTCGATGTCTATTCTCGTAGCTTTGTAGGATCCTGCCACCCGCAAGCTTTGTGCGGAACCTGACCTTGCTTCCTCCGCAGTATCGTTGTGAGTGGTCGTCTTACACGGACCATCTCCTCGTCCAACAGATGCTGACCTTCTTGCTTCCCACTCTTCTTGAGCTTGCATTCGTTGAACAGATTCTCCCTTCCCCGCTCCATATCACGCTTCGTTCCGATTCGACATCGTATCACTCGCCGTCTGACGTACTCGTCGCCAACCGTGTTGGCCACCATGACCCAGTACTGGAATAACGCTCATTTCGCCGCCAGCCCAAAGAACGTCCCGTATACTCTGCCGAAGCCGTCCACCTTCGGAGCCAAGCACAGCGGCCAAGAGAGTCGCTCGTTTACTTCGTCCCACAGCTTCTTCGACTTCACTGATGCTTGGCGGGAGAGGATTCGTCAATCCGATCGACGCCCCGATGACGTCGTCCGGACGAACAGCCAACTCGAGGTGAGCGACATCAGCCGCTTTCTGCAGAACCCGACCGGGCCTACCAATGCTTGGCCCGTAGCTAGTCAGGGCTTCAGCACTCGCCGCTCTTGGTTGGATGGTAACGATATTTTCTCCTCCTCGTCTCCTACTTCGGAGGTGAGCGACCCGAGCAACACCCGCGCTTCACAGTCGATCAGCCCTCGTACCAGTATCGGATCTCAAGACTGGGAGTTCTGCCCGACCTGGAGCCTCAACAACGCTGCCAAGGACTTCGTCCCCACCAAAAAAGCTGAGACCGCGGGCGAGTGCTTCAGCTTCTCGTCTCAGAGTCAGGCCATGTCCAACAACCCGTTCGTACTGGGCAGTGGATCTTACCCTACACCTCAGTCGACCTACGCTGCTCATCAGCAGCGCACCGACTTCAATGCATTCAGACATACTCAAGCCGTGTCACCTCCTCGCGCTTTGACTTCGTACAACAAGCCTTACATCAACAGCCAGGGTTTTGAGTCACAGCCAGCACCTCAGGCTCCCATCGGAAGTCGAGCCCCTCGCTTGATCTCGAGCAACCCTTTTCCAACCGCGTATACTCCTACGTTCGGATCGAGCTGTGTGCAGCACTCGCAAGTCCAGTCCGAACAGCGCTGGCAGATCGATAGCCAGCCGCGTCCGTCCTTCTTTCCGGTCCCATCGCCTCCCGCTCCTGCTCCCGTCCTCGGAAGTTGGAACGCCCCTCGTGCCGTCGTTGCCCCTCCCCGCCTTGACGCCGGCCACGGACACTGGAATGGCTCGAGTGGCACGACGCATGAGCCTCGAGGTCCCTCTCCATTCAACCACAAGACCGAGCTGTACAAGACCGAGCTTTGCCGCAACTGGGAGGAGAAGGGATTCTGCTACTATGGAGAGTGCGTTTCACCTTGCTTCCAGCTCATACCGATCATGGAGATGCTGACTCGACGTTTTGTCATTCGCTCGAACAGTCGCTGCCAGTTTGCCCACGGAGAACACGACCTCCGTCCCATCCAGCGCGATCCTCGTTGGAAGACGAGGCAGTGCAAGGCGTTCAAGGAGTACGCAGCGCTTTGGCGAACATACAACCCATGGTTCTTGTCGCTAAGACTCTTTCCCTCCTTCCGCTTGTCGTGTGCTGCCAGGAACGGCTCGTGCCATTTCGCTAAGCGATGCTGGTAAGTCTCGCTACTCACGCTCACGCCGTCGACACCGGCTGACGTCGTCTATTCTGCTTCTACGCGTTTCGGCAGCTTCCGCCACGACCAGGGCACACAGGTCGCTTCTGCGGCATCCGCCAATCTGCCCCGCCGCAGCTGTCTCCTGCACCGAGTGGGCGTCAAGACGGCCTTCAACCGCTGGTCCTGACAAAGAAAGTCCCGAACGCGTGCTCCATTCCGACGCATGATGATGCTCACATCTCCTTCGACTCCACTCAGGCAAAGGTCATCATCAAATCAAGGCTTACACGCCCACGAAAACAAAATCAGTCAAAGTCACTGCGCACTACTCGTGAATCAAACAAGTTGCATCTATTCGGGTATGATTGCGTGACATGCTAAAACAATACTGAATGGACCCGCTCTAGTAGTCGGTCTGAGTGGTCTGATCGCGCACGACAGGTGTAGCGCGAGGGTAGACGTACTTCTCATTGTACTCTGTGAGCACCGCTGCCTGCACCACGCCTTTGTCCTTGACGAGCTGCTGATACTGATGCAGGATGAGGTGGACTGGTGCGGACACTGCCAAGATGAGAAACGCAAAGACGACCCACGACAGCGCGCCCATCTGAATCAGCGCCGCCGCAGGGTAGATCACCGCATGCGCAGGCGAGAACGTCGCAAACAAATTGGCCGTGTACGGGCTCGGATCCCACATTAGCAGCTGCCGAATGCCGTGTTTGGAATGCACACTCGTGCTGGTCGGCTCGTTGGCCTTTGGTTGCGAGTAGAACTTGTACGTTCTTCGTTTCGTGAAGAAGAGGTAGGCGTTGGCACAGCTCGTGATGAAGATGACGAGGAAGAGCGCGCTGGATGCAAAGCGAAAGAAGCGATCCGAGGCTTGATAGACGGCGCTTTTGCGGGAGTGGCGCGTCAGGGCGTCTGCCATGGCGTGTTCGTCTCCCGTGTGGCTGACGAGGTACTCGTAGGCGATGGCGGGGTTTTGCGCTCGTCGGTAGGAGGGCTTGTTCATGAACCACGAGCCTAGGGTCGAGTCGGGAGACAGCAAGAGGGCGAATAGAGAGAGGCAATGGAGAAAGATGCCAAGGACGTTGCCGGCTTGGTCCGCAAAGAGCTGCTCCTCGATGTCGAGGACGTACGAGGTGACTCGATCGTATGCGTCGACCGGCCATTGCTGAATGCGCTCCAGAAGAGGTCGTTTGCGGACGAAGCGCTTTCGTTTCGTCTGACCAGCGAGAGGCGGAGTTGAGAGTCCATCTTCGGGTGCTTGCGGTCCAGCTAGCGCTGAGCTCTCAACGTTCCCGTCGAGGTCTGGAGTGCTTGCAGAGCTGGCGATGTGCTGACTGCTCAGACGAGGAGCAGTGCGGACGAGAGGAGAGCCTGGCAGTGACGACGGCGTTCCACCTCGAATGGATGTTGACGCCGATCCGACTCTTTGCAATGGCGAGTCGATGCCGCTAGCACGCCCTCGAGAGGCTCGAGAAGCACGCCAGCCTGGCTGGCCGAATGCTACACCCTTGCGGTAGGCTGGTGAACCTGGCGAAGGCGCCGGGGAGGTCGAATAGCTTGTCATCTCGAGTGATGGAGAGACGAAGCTGATGCGTGAGATGGCTCGAGCTCCTTGTGTTTTGGCTGGTGGCGGCGAGGATGCGGGCGGGCGAGTCTGTCAGCGCTGCGGATGAGCTTTGACAGCGCCTTGTGATGTCAAAGAGGCAATCAACGTGGGAGGCTGAGCTGCTAGTTCAGGGTCCAAGACCAACCAACGCTTCAGAAGATCACACGCGTCGGCGTCGATTTTCCTGACGATGTCGGATCTTACAGTCGCACACCGACACGCGATTTTTGAGCGTCTGCAGAGCCAGATTTTTGATTTGTTGCACGCTGCGGAAGTTGTAGAAAAGTTTGTGCAAGGCGAGCCAACTTCTTCCTTCTCTTCTTCGAACAAAAATCCAAGAAGGTAGGTCACCAGAAGCTCGTCTCTGGCGCTGCTCTACAGCTGCACAGGATCGTCTCAGCGACAAGACATGGTGCTGACAACGACCACGTCCTTCATCGCGCACCAACCACAACAGACACAAAAGTTCGAGCTTGGACTTTTTCTCCGTGCCAAGTTCGCGTTCCCGTCTTCAAGAGTAACAGGAGGAGTTGGTCCAACGAGGCCTTCCCTCCCGTCCTGTCTGCTCCTCGTGGCAGATGGGATGGGTCGCTAGCATCTGCTGATACCGGCGAGGCCTGGTCCACCGCATTCTTCGCTCGTCGTTGATGACTACGTAATGACCCGAGGATGGCGATGGTGAGTCTCTTCGTGAGAATCCCGACACACATCGTCCCAGGATCTAGGTCATCACGGTGGTGGATCGGGTCGTTTGCAAGTCGGCAGCGGTCTCGACCGATATTCTTCGTTGTTTCGCGCTCAGTGTTTCGTTCGCGAGCTGTTCTCGCCCCTGGACGGGATGGGGATGGCTACGCAAGGTAAGTGTTCCGTTTCCTTGCTCCTGGAGCTATATTGTCAGAGATGCTCCCCTCTCTGCTGTGGTCTGCTTGCCATCTCGTCGCTGCAACAGTGACGAGGTAGGCTATCGGTCAGAAGGTAAGTCTTGCATCCCATCGCGACGCATACAGGGCAACGCATTCGACGGCCGGCGACACGACGACAGCGATGATGAGCAACCAGTGTCGCCCCAGACTGCAATTCTATTGAAGAGTGACTATAGCATACAGCCAAACATGCGTCACTGAGCTGTCGTCGTCGTTCGCAGGCCGTTGGAGTTGCCTTGCGTATAGGTCTCGCGTCATCTTCTTCCTGAAGAATCGTTCGCTGAACATTCCCGCATCCTCTTTCTGCATGATTGACTACCGTAGAATGTCACCTGGATAACAATGCCATACTCTGCTCTGCCTGCCTCGAGACTGACGCTGCTGCGAGTGAGGTGTGTGATGAGAAAGTCGGTCTACGCTCACCATACGAACGCTCAGCTGGGTTGTCAGATCGGGATCTCACATCGGTCGATTTGCCTGCGGATTCGGTTTGGCGTGCGATTTATAATTCTGGCCTGAGTCGAGACAAAATGGGCAGCTGCACGGCCTCAGCTTAAAGCGCGTGGGCGAGCAAGCGAGCGAGCGCCGCCTTGCTGGCTCAATCACGAATTCAGGCGCGCCGCCGCTGTGTGTTGCTTGCACTGAGAGAGACACACACGCCCGGAAGCGGTCTCTCGCTATCCTCTTTTCCACTTCCATCACGCATCGTCTCTCCTTTCTTTGCTCGCCTACATCCGCGAATGGACGCACGCTAGTCAGCTACTTCTACCGTTCAACAAGAAGGGCTCCTCCGTCTCACACTTTGGCTCTCGCCTTCCTCTACAGTATCTGCTCGAGTCGCCGCATCTTCGTTCTTCTGCAGACGTCCGACCATTAGGAAAGAACTCCTATCCACGCACGGCTCTTTCCAACCGAATCGTTTCTCTGGGCATCGACACAATGGCTGCGGAGTCCAACTACGACTACCTCTTCAAGGTGGTGCTTATCGGTGACAGTGGCACCGGTAAATCCAACCTTCTCTCGCGTTTCACCCGCAACGAGTTCAGCCTCGAGTCCAAGTCGACCATCGGTGTCGAGTTCGCGACCCGAAGCATCTCGGTCGACGGCAAGACGGTCAAGGCGCAGATTTGGGACACGGCAGGACAGGAGCGATACCGTGCCATCACCTCTGCATACTATCGAGGCGCCGTCGGTGCCTTGCTGGTCTATGACATTGCTAAGCACCCTACCTACGTCAACGTGTCGAGGTGGCTCAAGGAGCTGCGCGACCACGCGGACAGCAACATTGTCATCATGCTCGTCGGCAACAAGAGCGATTTGCGACATCTCCGCGCTGTGCCCACCGAGGAGGCCAAGGCCTTTGCTGGTAAGTATACTCGCATCGCATCGCGTCCCTGCGGTCAGCGCTGTCGGGCCTACCTGGACATAGAGCTCAAATCAGGGAAGAGGGCCGACAAAGGCCGCTTTCCAGAGCCGGCTCTTTGTTCTTTGGGCGAGCCTCTGCGCACCAGTCTGGCGGTCCACAGCATCAGGGGTCGCCTAGTTCAAACCGACCAGTACGCTGACTCCCCCTCTTCCCGCTTCTTTGACCAACGCGCAACGTCAACCCTGATCATCTCATCGCAGCCGAGAACAACCTCTCGTTCATCGAGACTTCGGCGCTCGACGCTTCCAACGTAGAACAAGCTTTCCAGAACATCCTCACAGGTAAGCAAAACGCTGCGGGCTTCACTTTCGATGCTGCCGGGGAACCTAAACAATTGACAATCTGGTTGCTGACGCTCCCTTGTTTCCCCCCTTTGTGGCTTCCTTTCACGCAACCTCCGTCTCTGAACAGAAATCTACCGCATCGTATCCAACAAGGCACTGCAGTCGTCGGACGACGTCATCAAGCCCTCGGGCGGAGAGACGATCACAGTTCAGCCCAGCGCCGACGACGGTGGACAAACCAAGAAGAACGGATGCTGCTGAGCGTGCTCTCAGACCATCTTCTCGTTGCAACTCGGTTACACTCAGCCTTCCGAAACACGTCTGCCCTGTGATGGCCCTACCCTGTACAATCTTATACTTTCTGGCATCAAACGCTGTTCTCGCTTTACAACTGCCTCGCTTTGCCTGATCTGAAAGCCTTCCGTGTATTGCTCCTATGGTCTGCGAGACTCTGCCGCTTTCAATCAGTTTTGCAGACGGACATTGTGAAGCCGTCCCGATCATCTGCCTGATATGCATGCCCACGCGACTCAGCCTTTCTCTGTCTTTCCCAACAGAGGGTTGATAAATTAATCATTTTTTTAATGATTTCTTTGACAGGCTGCGCTGAAGTGACAGAAAAGTCACCGTTGCGCGGCCTGTTGTGGAGGAAAAGGAAGGACCGCGTCACCTTTGATGAAAGTGACACTTGGCCAATCGTCCCCACCATCCATCCCAAGGCATATATACATCAGAGAAGCATCTGACGACCGTCCAGTCAGCGTCCCAGCATAGCCTTTACACACTGACAATCGCACAGCCTCGAAAGCCCGGCACTAGAAGGTCTTCACCGGCTACCCTCGCCCAGCGTCCTCACCTCCGAGAACGCCAACTCAGCCTTTTCAACACCTATCCACGCCGTGCAGCTCTTTCGTAGATCGACAGCACCATGGACGATGACGACATTCTCGAGGTCGACAGCCCCATGGAGCCCGCTGTCGACATCGACGAGGACGAAGATGAGGAAATGCCCGTCTTGAATCTCGACGGAACCATCACAGAGCGAAGCCCGCAGGCCAAGAAGAACAAGGGCGAGAACAGGAATCTACTTCTCGACTATCCAAACAGCTTGCCATACACCTGCGAGACGCTCGAAGAGTTCGACGCTCGTCTCGACCACATCATTCGCCGCCTCGTCGATTGCATACGCACCAAGGACTACGACATTGGCCTCATCCAATGGAACCACCGGCTGCAATGTCTTCTCTCCCTCAAATACCCCATCGTGCGCAAGACACGAGCGAGGCTGGCTCGGCTCTACTACGAGCTCGCCGTCCTCCCCGGTCTCACCACACGATGTGTCGAGCTGGCTGCCAACATGTGCATCACCCTCATTGAGAACAAGAAGAAGTGCGACATCAGAGACCTGGTCCTGCCATGGCGACCGCTCTACAACATCCTTGAAAAGGAGCTCTTCCCCAAACGCAGAAGAACGGGTCTCACCAACATTGCCGACGTCCTTCTCGACCTCGCAGAAACAGCACAGCGTTTCTTCCCAGCTAGCGAGGCCGACGAGATGCTGCGCACCTTCCTGCCCAAGATGGACGGCTCCAATCTCAACTCAGTCATCGCAACTCAAGCCTTCCTCGTGCACTTTCTTCCCATCAGCCACCCGCAACGATGGCTTCCCACCATGTTCCGTCTTTGGGAAAGTTTCAACTCGTCCCTCTTCGATGATCAGATGCTGGACCTGCTCGCTCGCATGGCCGAAATGCACGTCACGGATCCTTCCATCAGCTCAGCATCGTCCGCACGCAAGGCTGGCTCCCTAGCCGAGGCAACAGTACGACCAGAAGTACAGAACCCTGAAGCCAACCCTGCTTCAAAGGCGGATGGCGACGCACGAATGAACGAGGACGCATCGCTACGGATTCCGGAAAACGCAGACTCGACGCCCTCGTCAGGCACGACCAGTCCATCGAGCAAGGCCGGACTCTTCAGCGACATCGGCATCTTCACAGAGCAGCAATATTCGCTCATCATGACCAAGTGTCTGAAATCGGCTGGGCTGCCAGTGGGCTCCTCCAAAGCAGCGAATGCCGCACTCATGGCGCAATCCGCTAGCGTCCGCAGCGGTCCGGACGCTGCGGCATCGAACTCGACGCTCAAGATGAAGAAGCCGACCGATCGTCTCCGCTCCTTTGCTGTCATCATCGCCTACTCGATCGCGAAGGACGGACCGAGTGCCGGCGAGTCAGCATCAGCTTCCTACATCCCGACTCCCACCAACGGCTCTTCACCAAGCAAGCCCCTCACGACGTACCCTGCAGGATCCAAGGCGCTTGACCATCTCGCCAAGTTCGTTCAGGCCACCGAGAGCTACTTCCATCCTTCCAATTGGGGTATGTGGCAGATGTCACTCTCCAACTTGGTCCAGCAGATCATGTTCGAGTTCCTCAAGCGCGCCAAGGAGGAGGAAAGGCCGCAGTGCAAGACCTCAGAACAGTATCGCTTGACGTCCGAGATTAAGACAGAGATCGTCTCAATCCTGCGCACTGTCTGTCTGCTCTCCATGTTTTCCAAGGACCCGATCACTATCGCAGCATCGCAAGCCAGCTTGAAGAGGATGGCAATCTTGGCGCCGGAGATGGTGTTCCCAGCCGTGCTCGATCGGGCCTTCAACTCGCTCGAGGCGCTCGAGACCACACACCGCACCAACGCGGTCATCACGGCACTGTCGACGCTGTCGCCCGTCTTCACTTCTCGTCAGCTCTACCGTGCTGGTGGTAAACATCTGCTGCCGCTGCTGCAGCTCTGCATTCCAGGCATCGACCTCAACGACCCCATGAAGACCATGAGCACCTGCATGTTCGTGCTCTTGTCAACACTCTCTATCCGCATCGACGATTTGACCAGGCCAGAAGTCTATGCCGACGACGAAGAAGCATTCGAGGCGCTTCCGGACCAACCAAAGTTGCGAGTGGATGCTCCTGAGCCTTCTGCACTCACCGACGAGGACATGATGTCCGCATCGCCGGAGCAAGAGGACTACCAACTGCGCATCAGCACCGCCGACTTTGACGCCTGGGTGTCGGCCTTCTTCCAGAGGGTCTTGTCGCTCTTCGAGACGTTGCCGGAGGAAGGCAAGGGAGGCCGCACAGGCGGCAAGTCCGAGGAACAGGTCATCAACATGATCATGGCTGCATCTGATGGCGTCTGTCGAGCTATGAGCCCGTATCTGCTGCAGAGATCTTTCGACAAGATCGCAGACTACTGTGCTACCACTGTCTCAGCCACGTCGGTCCGCGTCATCGGCTCGCTGGTCGGCTGCTTTGCGCGTGCCGACTGCAAGATGGTGCTCAAACGCTTGGTGCCGCAATGCATCAGAAACATCCGGACCGAGATCGAGAGTGGTGCCAGCTCGACTCGCACTACCAGCACGAGTCTCCCCGCGCAGGGTGACGCCGCGCTGCACTGGAACCTCAGCGTGCTGACGGGGGCTCTCAACGGACCCAGCGAGCACCTGCTGGAGTACAAGGACGACTTGATCTCCGTGCTGCAGCTCATCACGGAGCACTGCAAGAGCGAGAGGGGCTACTCGTTCGGCACCAAGCTGGTGCAGAAGATCATCTCGTCATTGACATCCATCTATCCAAGGGAGCAGCGCTTTGTCAACCAAGACACGTGGGAGAGCGAGGCCTTTGCCAAGCGCTCTCATCTCTTTTGGGGCAAGGTGTACGACGAGAAGAGCGTCAAGATCAATTGGCATGTGCCCGTGGAGGCCGAGATCAGCATGGCCTTGGAACTCCTCGACCGCGTCGTAGTCCCAGCACTAGACAAAGTTGAAGCGCTTCAAGCAGATGGTCTCACGAGGGACAAGGCATGGTCGAACGACTTTTGTCGCTATCTTATGGTGGTCCGTATGGCTCTCATCGGGATGCCCAGCCTTATCGAAGAGGACGAGGTTGGAGGCGGAGAGCTGGCCATGGACCTTGGCGATGAGGTCCCAGAGTTCATCGAGGTTCCTCCCCGCTTCCGTTCGCACTTCTGCCTTACGGACCGCCAGGATCCTCGATACCAGAAGGTGGCTGCTCTCAAGCTGCGTTGTGGAGAGATCCTGAACCTCGCGGCCCGAAGCACGCAGACATCTGGTGCAGAGGATCAGATTGACTGCGTCAAGATCCTGGTCCGCACCATCCGCACGTACCTCACCTGCTACAGCTACAATGGCGAGGACTACAAAGCCCACATGCGCTCGCTCAGCTTCTTCCGCAATATCGCCAAGCTTTACGCCAAGCAGAAGGCCTTCCCTCGCGTGCTCTTCATCCGCCGCGCTGCATTCTACAACACCAGCCGAGCGAGGCTCAACAGCTTCCACCGAAAGCGTACGCCCTTGAAGGACCAGCTCATCCTGCAGATTCTCGATTTCTGCATGTCCAACTACGTCGGCATCAGACAGACAGCGCAGAACACGCTCGACGCCATTGGCGGCGTGTACGACGGCACCTGGATCCTGTGCTTGCCCAAGCTCTTGGAGGCCATGAAGCCGGGTGTGCCGGACGACAAGATGAAGGGTGCCTTGTACGTGCTCGGCAGCAAGGGCGCTTCGTACCTCTGCATCACGGACGCTCGCTTCAGTTCAGAGTACATCATGACCCTGCTCGACGCACAGCATCACTCAAAGCCGTCCATCCAGAAGCTCGTGCGTGGCATCATCAACGACTTTATCATTCGGTTCGCCGAGCCCTCAACGCTGACGGCCAAGGTCGACTCGCCCGCGCTCAACGAAGCAGCAGATATTCTGGAACGAGCGCTGCCCGCCTACCTGCAGACTCCCGATGCCAAGCTCATCGAAGCGGTTGCCGCCAAGCGACGTCTCCGCCTAGATAGAATCGACGGCCTGCATCAAGAGCTGACACGCAAGGCATTGGAATTTGCCAAGAAAGAAACTACGCACTGGGCCTTCTCCATCTTCGCGGCAAGGCTGCTCAGGGCGCTGGTGCGCAAGGACAGGCCTCAAGTCGAAGACTCGGCGACGTACCTGGCAGAGCAGATGATCTCTGAGAACCCCAAGATGCGCCACTGTGCCCAAGCCGCCGTCACCAAGATCCTCTACTACGTCAAACTGCGTACGCTCGCGCCTACCGACGAGGATCTTTTGCTCGGTCAGGGCAAGAACCCGCTCAAGCATTCCGAGAAGCTGCCAACTCCCGTATCGAATGAGTGGACTCAGGAGTACATTGCATCATTCGCCGAGCCCTTGACGCCGAGCAGCAAGCTGCGAGACAAGCCATCGCAGGGATGGCTGGTCTGGGGCGAGGACGAGGACTTCTACGATCCACCTCCCGCTGACGGCGTCGTCTTCGACTGGGACGCCAACTCCGCGTCCTGCATCGCTGCGGTGCGCTCTACGCTCATGCAGGAGGCTTGGTGGCAGTCCTTCTCTCGTCACCTGTCGCAGGAGAAGGATCGAGACTACCCCGGAAGCGATTCGGTCACCTTGCTCAAGTCGATCTTCCAGATCTTTGGTGTCGAACTGCTGCCCTTCATCCAGACCACTGTGGAGCAGTACATCGCCGAGAAGGACCGACACCGTCATCGCGCCGCCTCAGAGCTGGTCTGCGGTGTCTACCGTGGCTCGAAGCACTGGAACATGAAGGACCAGGCGACGCTGTGGGCGTGGCTCGAGACTTTGCTGCCCAAGATCTTCGAAGGCTGCACGCCCGACAGCCAGCCCGCGTGGCAGTCGTGCATCGAGTACATGCTTCAAGCTCGTGATCCACGTCGAGCGCTCCCGCTTGTGCGGTACATCGTGCAGGCGGCTCGCGACAACATCGGCAAAGACAACAGCACCGCCAGCCCGTGGGAGCAGGCCAAAGCGCAGAACCTGCTGCGCGGGGCGATGATCTCGATGAACCTGCAGTTCGCGCCGTTCGGTGCGGACGACTTCATCCGCATCTACTCGGACAACTTTGACAACCACTTCCAGGAGGTGCGCAGCGTCATCAGCGAGGGTCTGGCGGACCTGGAGCTTCTGCAGGTGAATCCGTCGTTCGGCAGCGTTGAGCTGATGCTAGATGCATGTAGTACAGGGCACGGGTCGTTGCTGTCGCGTCCGGAGCTGTACAGTGATCGACTGGCGACGCTCTCAAAGCAGCTAGCTGCGTGGCGAGCGGAGCGGAAGCCCACCGCCGAGGGCACATCGCAGTACGACCGAGCGGCGATGACGGCGCTCCTGTGGATCTCGACAACCATGGGTGACCACCGCAACAGCGCGCTGGCGGGCGAAGTGATCCGCTACATCCCGGACATCTTTGCGATGCTCGAGCTGCACGACAACAAGGAACTCTCGATCCTCGCCCGTGCGGTGCTCACCAAGATCTCGACCTACCCGTTCACCTCGGAGTACGCCGCGCGCCTCATCGATACGCTGCTACAGGTGACACGTTCGTCGACCGACTCGTGGCGCGCCCGACTCGACTCGCTACCCGTACTGCAGGTCATCTACTTCCAGAACCTGTTCTACCTGGATGATGCGTTGGTGGGTTCGATTGTCGATCTGCTGCTCGAGCTGCTCAGCGATCGACATCTGGAGGTGCGCGAGATGGCCGCAACGACGCTCTCTGGCATCGTGCGCTGCTCCCAACGTCGACTGATAAAGACGCTCAAGGACCGCTTCACCCGCGTAGTTGCCGGCACCAGAGTGCCCAAGCGCGGAGAGAAGGAGTACGATGCCCAGCTGTTGAAGCTCCATTCCGGCATTCTGGGGGCTAGTGCACTGCTCGCAGCTTTCCCGTACGACGTGCCGGATTGGATGCCCAGTTTGATCGTCGACACGGTCGCCCAGCACACGGACGATCCGGTGCCGATCAGCACGACGGTAAGAAAGTGCGCGGCGGATTTCAAGAGGACCCATCAGGATACGTGGTCCGAGGACGCCAAGAAGTTCGGCGACCGATTGGGCGAGGTCAATGACTTTACGTTGGGTCGGTCGGATTACTTTGCTTAGACTTGATAGTCAGGTGATGCAATGAAGATCCATGATACAATTGAATGCAGTGTATGAGCGGTCACTCGGTATAGCGGTACATCTTGGCTACGATGAGGGCGGTGAGCGTGTTGGTCATTGCAAAGATCCAGAAGACCGCCCCGCCCGTATGCCCTTCGTCGAAGCGCGCTAGGAAGTTCTTGATGGGCAGGAACGCCGATCCAACGACAAAGTTGGCGGTCCAATTGAGGGTGAGTCCCAGACTGGTCGCACTGGACACTGCTCTGCTCGGCACCAGTTCGGGTAGAATGACAAACGGTACGGGTCCCAACCCAAAACTGAATCCAGCGACCATTATCACCATGCACACAGCGCTGACGATCTTGTATCCGGACACAATGCCCGCACCGAGCAGCGCGGAGGAGACGGCCATGGTGAGCGCGGACAGCAGCATGAGCCGCCGCCGCCCAACGCGATGCTCGTCGATGAGGTAGATGGGTGGGAAGGTGAGGAGGATGTTGATGAGCGTGATGAGGAGGCCGATGGAGGGGGCCAAGGTGGGAAGGATCGAACCAAGTATGCCGACGCTGTAGTATAGCACGGCGTTGATGCCGCTGAGCTGCTGGCCGAGCTGAGTGAGGATGATCAGGATGGCTCCTGGGCGAAGTTGTGGGTCGGAGAACAGGCCAGCGAGACCCACTTGGTCGTCCGTGGTGGTAGGTGGGGCGTCAGAAGGCTCTTCGTCGGACAGCAGACCTTGACGCTCCTCATCGCCGCTCCCTGCAAACGACCCTCGAGAGGCTTTGAAGCTTTGCACCTCGGAAGTGGACCAGAGCAAAGAGCGAACCTCGTCAGCCGCATCCCGCGCAAACCCACCCCCACTCCGCCCCTCCCCCTCCAACCACCCTGGCGACTCCAACCCAACTACCGTCGACATCACCAGCTGCACCACCGACACGATCCCCGATACCGCAGGTACGCTTCTCCACCACGTCCCATCGCTTCCCAGCGAACTCGCACCTATCGCTTGGGCCACAAAGATGCCGAGCACAATGCTGAACTGGTTCAACACGCCGATCGACCCCTTGAGCGCCACGGGCGAGATCTCGTTGATAAAGATGGGGACGATCACGACGCCTATCCCCGATCCTATGCCCTGGATGAATCTTCCCAGTCCAAGTCCAACCAGCGAGGAAGAGATGGCGAGGATGACACTGCCGAGGATGCCCGCCGCCGCGGACCACGAGATGCACGTCCGCCGCCCCCAGCCAAGCGATTTGGAGACGGGCGAGATGAGGAACGACGACGCGAGACCGCCGAGCGTGAACAGCGACGTCACCAGGCCGAACTGTGATTCCGTCAAAGGAATGCAGCCTGTGGCGATGGGTGAGAGGGTTGATGAGGAAGGATCGCGGCGCTGACACGTGAGGATGGGTTGGAGCGCATTGAGCTCCGAAATGCCGTAGCCGTAGTTGGCTGCCGAGAAGAGGATCCATAGGAGGACGAGGCGGAAGCGGACGGTCGTCGCGGGTTGCTTGGCGCCAGAGCCACCGTCGGATACCGCGTTGGCGGATGTAGTGGTTGCGGGCATGATGCCGCGTTGAGGATGATAAGGTCAGGAGAGAAAGGCGATGTTGGACGAGATGAGCTGCAGCTTGTTGCGCAAGTGTGGAGAAGTCGCTTCAGGGTCCATTCCCGCTCCAGCTCTTGAAGCACAGACCGCCCATTTCAGCCACATTTTAAATTTCAGCTGACTTGTCCACCAACCATCATCGTCCACTTCGATCGCATCCCCAACATGAGTCGACGCAACCGCAAAGACGTCGATGACCTGCTCGCGGATCTGGACAATCTAGGCACCGAGCCGCCCGCCAAGCCCGCGCGCAAATCTGCCGACAAACCTTCGCTCTCCTCCTCCACCTCGACCGACGGCCTCCGCAAAGGTCCCGATGACGCACAGAGTCTGCTCGACGACCTCGACAGCCTAGTGCAAAGCCGAACGAGTGCGAGCAGTCGTGCTTCGTTGCGCAAGAAGAGTGGCACCAGTGGAGCAGCTACGCCTACCGCACCAGCACCGGCGACGCCCAAGACCGAGATGGCGCCCACATCGCCCTCCCCCGCACCTGCGCCTGCGCCCACCGTCTTTGTCCCCGCAGACAAGAGTCCCGAGCCCACTTTGTCCGCCTCGAGCAGTGGCGGCGGATGGGCAGGATGGGGCAGCTCGCTCTTCACCCAAGCCACAAAGCTAGCCGACCAAGCGCGACAGGAGTTCGAAAAGCGTGCGCCAACCCAGGCCGAGCAGGCGCGCGAACTCGGCAGTCAGATCGGCAGCAAGGGATGGGACCTTGCGAAGAACGTACGTGGCTTTGTCGCGGAAGCGAATCTGGAAAAGTGGAGCGAGGAGGTGACCAAGGTGGGCAAGCGTGGGTGGACGGACATCATCAACACGGTGGCACCGCCCATCAGCGCGCACGAGATCATCCAGGTCACGCTGAGTCACGACATGGTTGGTTATGATGGGATTTCGGATGTGACGTACCAGACGCTGGCCAAGGTTATGGAGCAGGTGGAGAGCGCCGGGACGGGTCAGCAGTTGGTGGTCAACAAGGCGAGGACCGAGACGCCCGCTGCGATGCCAAAGGGTGGGGAGGGAGAGAGGGAGTTGAATGCCGTCGAGGGTTTTGCGGCCGCGTTCAAGCTGGCTAGGGTCAATTTGGAGGAGTGCATCAAGCAGCATGAGGTGACTCCGCCGGTGAAGGAGACCAAGGAGAGCGCAGCGTTGCCCATCACGACGTGCCCGGTGTTCGTGCGGATCCAGGCGTGTTTGGCGGGCCTGCCGGGCGCAGACGATGCGGAGGGCGAGGACAAGGAAAAATCGCTGTTCTTCCTGGTGCTGCTGCGAGACCCGCAGCATGGGTTGAGCCACAAGACGGTCTCTCAGGCCGTGCCTACTTCGTGGTGTAAGTGCAGTGCCTCTCACAGTTCAGATGGAAAGGGCGTAACAGTTGCTGACTTCTGCTCTCCCTTTTTGTCTCTCTCACACAGTGGACGTCGCGTTCGAGGAGAACGAGTGGGTGGAAGAATCGCTCGTCGACGTGCTCTCGAACGCGCTCACGATCGTCGGGCAGGACTATGTTCAGGGTCGAATGTCAGGCCGCACAAAGTCGTCCAAGGAGGGTGTGGTGGATCTGGCGAACGAGGATAAGGCAGGAGAGACAACGTCGTAGTACCGTTCGCCTTCGCTCGACAGCCGTCCCTCTGATGTGCTGACTTTCATGGGGTCTTAATGTCGGAAAAGATCCAAGTCCTTTCCACTCTGACCATGACCAGTCGCGAGAGAGAGGCCAAGACACAGTTCCGCACGATGTCTGCTGAGAAGTTTGCTGAAGAAAGCAGGTGACATTCGATTGCTACAGGTGGCACGAGTCGGTTGAACGGCAAACTACTGCTTCTTGCCGATGATCTGGGTCGAGATGATCTCCTCGCCGTTGACGTGGTACTTGATGTCAACCTGATATCGTCGAGATGAGCAAGATGTGCGGCTGTTAGTTAATCGTTTCTCATCCCAGCGATGTGCCAAGTGGAATACTTACGTGACCGCCAGTCTTGACGTCGATCTTCTCGATCTTGCCCGACTTGACGTCGCCGCCGAAAGGTCGGTCTGTACCGTCAGCATCGATTCCGAAAGCAACCAGATTCGTGTCAGCGCAGCTTCCAGCAACACAGCTGCCGTCTCGCTATGCCACTTACATTCAATAACGTCACCAACGAAGTACTGAGCCATTTTGCTGATAGAAAGTGTGGTTGAAAGAGGGATGGTGTTGTGGATGGAAGAAGAACGTTGCGAAGCGAATCAAGGGTTCTGTTGATGCTGAAAGATCGACTCGATCGATAAAATAAATTCTGCCATGGCAGGGCAGCGTCACAGCACAGTGGGTGCATGGGCCATATCGTCACTTTGCAGGGCCGCGAAGCGGTCCGGTCTTTCCACCCTTATCGAGGGGTTTCTGTCGTGCGGCTTGCGAAAATCGTGTCTGCAGTCTAACAAAGCCTGAAAATCAAGCCTTCCTGATGGGGTCAACCCTTGGTTTGGCGACAAAGACAGCGTCTGCGCTACCCAGACCGATTAGCTCGACTCTGCCAGGATCGAGCTGAGGGGTTCGAAGGGAAAGCTTGTAGCCTGCCTCCCCGCAATCTACGGATGGACCTCCTGAGTAGGTGGTCCGTAGTTGACTAAAGCGTGGGATCACCCACACCAAAATCGTAGCACCCAGCTCAACCTTGCGAATGGCCCTTTCCCAAGCTAGCTCTGTGCCTCAGTTTGGAGCGTGTAGTAAGGTATGAAGCGCTTATACGACGCAATGGACCCGATTTCACGCTGCCAGCATGCGCTTGAGGACCGTGCTTATTGTCTTGAGCCCGCTTTCCCGACCGCCAAAGGCGGCTGGCGGCCCGCATGCAGTCCTGGACGCGTGCGTGCTTTGCAATCTGCATGAGACTAGCAAGGGTAGTCTTCAGGAGAAAGGGATCGTGCCCCTGATCCACTTTAGCTTCCCCACTGCAGAGATCATATGCGTATGAGGTCGTCGCACGGCGGAACCCCTCTAGTGTCCCACTGTGCGGGCCGCTGCAGCCGCTGCCGTCATGAAGGATGTGAAAGCTTGGACGACAGAGGAGAAGCGAGGTGGGCATGTTCGGGACCTGCACGCTGTACTGTCGTTGCTGCCATCGGTCCTTCTTGGCATATATATCACCTTTTTAGGAGACGGCACTTACGTCTGTACAACCCCACGATCCCGTCATCCCGTCGAACAAACAAGAAGCCAAGATCTGGCGTTCAGCGACCATGCATCTGACCGACGACGCCCAGAGCTGCTTTGCAGCCGTCAAAAGGTAAGCTCTTGGCCCTCCTGACCGTTTTCAGCTCTCGCGCTGATCGCTGACACCGCTTCAAAGCCGCACAGCTTCTTCTCCAAGAAGACCACCATTCCACACCCACAGGACGACCCGTTCTACTTCACCTGCTCCCCTGAATTTGCCACCCTCTCCGCCGGCACCATCCTGCGCTCGCGCGAGGTGGAAATCATCTACTTCCCTGGCTTTGACCATCTCTCCGCCTGGCAAGTTGCCTACAAGACAACTGCCCAGGATGGCACCGCCCCGCTCGTTTCCGTCGCTACGATCCTGCGACCGTCCAACGCGGCCCCGGATGCCGATGGTCGCTATCGCATCGTCGCCTATGGCGCCAAGTGCGATTCGGCGGGTCAAAACTTCCGTACGAGCTACGCGCTTCGTGCGGGCAACGACGACACCCTGGGTGCGGCGAGCGAGCAAATCTTCCTCGGCCCACTGCTGGATCGTGGCTGGATCGTCATCGTTCCGGATTACGAGAGCGAGACGTGCGCCTTCGGCGCCGGAAACCAGTCCGGATACGCGTTTCTGGACGCCATCAGGGCAGGATTGAGCTTTGCACCCATGGGAGTGCCCAAGGACGACACGGGGGTGTTCAGGGCGAAAGTCAACATGTGGGGGTACTCCGGTGGTGCTCTGGCGGTTGGCTGGGCTGCACAGCTGCAGAGTGAATACGCGCCTGATCTGACGAGGTATGTGGTAGGCGCGAGCATGGGCGGTCTACCCAGCAACCTCGGGGCGATCGCCAAGTGGACCAATAAGGGCGTTGCTGCAGGCCTCATCGTGGGCGTCATGCAGGGTCTCGCGAATGCCTACCCAACACTTCAGGCGTGGCTCAACGAGCATGCTAATGCGACAGGTAAAGCCGCCCTCGCCATGGCCTCAGTCAAAAGCTTTGGAGTGATCATGCAGAGCAACTTCGAAAAGGATGTGCTCGGCACGTACTTCGACACTACCGACCTCCTAGCTGAATCGCTACCCGCCGACATTGTCGCGCAGAACACATTGGCAGCGGGCGAACAGTGGCCGAGGACGCCATGCCAGATCTACCAGTCGCTGCACGACGAGGTGGTGCCACACGAGACCACCGACACGCTCGTCGCCGCGTGGAGCAAGCACGGCGCCTGCATCGATTATACCAAGGACGAGCTGTCGGCTCATGTCGTGCTGTGCTTTACCGGCTGCGCAATGGCGGTGAGGTGGATGCAGGATCGGTTCGATGGGAAGAAGACGGTTGCTGAACCGGGAAAGCCGAACGAAGAGACGGTGCTGACGAGTCTGGACACGAGCGATGCGACGGAGACGCTCGGCAAGGAGCGGCAGGCCGAGATGCAGGATGTCCTCCAGAAGCAGTATGTCGAGCCAGGTCGGATCTGGTGGACGTGAACGAAGGTCTTGTTGTCGTTGGTATTCCCATGTTGCCGAAGACGTCGCTGGGCCGAGGTGTCCAACAGCGCCTCTGCGAAGGGCTCTCGCCGTCGGCTTTGCTTTGTTTGTTACGATCCATGCCTTGATATGCCTCTGGTATGCCAACCGTCAATCTCAGCTTCCCACACACAACCGCATCGACCGAGGGAGTGAGCTTTGACCTTGCCGACTTCAACCCGGCAAGTGCCAGAGCTTTGCGTTGCAGGCCCGGAACGCACCTGCCCAGATGCCGGTCCTCTCTGCTCGTCGAGATCACCATGCATCGCATGCTAAAGCAGCTTGGCAGCGGTTTTTCTCATGCCGACTTTGCCGGCTCGACCGGTGAGGCTGAGCCGTGCTGATCAGAGTCAGATCGAAGAGGCTGCGGCTGAGCTGTCTGCAAACGGCGCACTGTTCGACGCTTGCAGCAGGCGAGGACTTGGCAGAGACGCCCAGTGACGTCATCGAAAAGGCCTCTTCCGTCAAATCACAGAAATATCGGGCGGCCCGATGCCACTGTCCGAAACGCTTTTTCGGTCAGCACCGACGACGTCTGTGATGCTGAGACGAGCTTCCGTCGGAGGATTGCAAAGGCAGAAGATTCCCGACGCCGTTCCCGAAGGTTCTCACGCTAGCGGCTGTGCCGCATTGTTCCTGTATGGGCGGCGCGAGCGAGCCGCCAGACGATGTTCGATTCTAGTCGCCGAGGAGGTCGAGCATCGTAAGCGTCGGCGTCTGAGCCGTCTTCTACGAGGATGCATGCAGGCCGGCCTCGGCAGAATAAACCCTTTTTGTTCCTCCGCACAGCTTCAGTGGGGTCGACTTTCGTGGCGCGAAGCTTGGAATTTGAGGGTGCTGCAGAGTGAGGCTCGGCAATGGCGCCGCGGGAAGGTTCGCGAGCCGCAGTCGTGGCATTGGCTGGTTGGAGCAGAAGCTCGCCTGCTGAAGCGTCAGGAACTTCGGTTCTTGCCGTGCTGCTAGCTAGCCTCGTAGGGTCAGGGCGCAGGTCTTGACTCGTCGCCTTGCCGCAGTCAGTATGATAATAACATGAAGACAGGATCTCTGGGGGCTTCGCATTCTGGCCGCTGTAATTACGCCGAAATCGTCCGCGATTTCTCGGGATGAAAGCGTGGCTTGAAGGGCTCAATCCTCGAGTCCACAGAGGGATGCTCGTGCGACCCAGAGAGCGGTACTTGGCAAGGGTCGACAACCCTATGGTTCCCCCGCTTCCCCGCAATGACAAGCTCAGGCGAAGATCGAAGCTTGTTTTGAGCTCGAGAGAGATGACAAGCTTTTGCTCATGTCATACGCCCTTGGAAGGCAATCCCGAAGCACCTAGCGTGCAAAAGCGAGTGGATAAGCGAGCTGCTCCGTAGCAACCACGATGCTGGCGAAGCGTTCCTAGCTGGCCAGGGTGCAAGACCCGCTAAAAGGCGTGGCGAGCCTAAGCTTTTGCGGGGAGAATTGAGCTCGTTTCCGATGGCCATCTCTGAGTCTGATTGTTCTCCCGTCGCTTCCATCTACGCTCCGCAACGCCCTTCTCCTTGAGCTTTTGTTCGATCGATCGACTCGAACGACCCGTCAAGGCGTTGAACCCTGGTACCACTGTATACTGGGAGCGCCAAGACTGAGTGATGTCGGTGTGCGTGGGGGGCCGATTGTGGAACATTTCGACAGTGTCGCCCGCCTGCCCATGGCGGAGCAGCGGGCGGGCTTTGCAACGATCGGACGAAGCGGCCATCGTAACCACGGCGAGGCGAGGCGGAGTGGGAAACGAGCGAGCCAAAGTCAAGCATCAACGATGTCATTTCGCCTCTCAAAACTCTCCGTTTTTCCAAGTCCGCTTGACGGAAAGATTATTGAATTGGCGGAAAAAGCGGCGAATTTTGACTGGCCTCGTGCCTGTTCGATTTCTCGGATTCGCCGATTTCAAATACGACTTAAGTTAGCTCGACCTCGTTGATCCTCGATCCAGGGTTCGGCTGAGACCGATCGAAGCTCAAGCATGTGAGGCGCCAGGAACTGAGCTAACTTAGTTGCGTCGATTTGGCCCACCATGAGGCTGACCAGAGAAGACACGCCAGCGAATGAAGGAGGACGACGACTCTTCGGCATGTGGCGTAGAAGCAACGCAAGGAGAATTTGTGCAAACGTCGCGCGCGCCGGGCGCTCGCTGTCTTTGATCGCCGGCATGAGGGTTAGGCAGGACAATGCAGCGGCAGGTGAAGGAGCATCAGCAGGCATAGGCGCGCGTCGAAGCCAGGTTTAACCCCGCTTTGTGGGTCAGCTGGGCACATGTCTCCCATCCTACAGCGGCACAAAGTCGGTCAAAACGAAGAACCCTCCTGGTGTCTCAAAACAAAGAGGGAAATAGGTGGGCTCGACAGCCGTCATAGATCGACATGGGTTGATTCTCCGCACTTTGCCTGCCTGCCCGCCTGCCCATTACGGCGTCGTCCGTCGGCTTTGTCCCTCTGAGTCTTGGCCGTGCTTTGCCCTTGTTGGATCTTGAGCGAATGCAGCTGTTGGTGACCCTTAGAGATCAACTCGGGTTGGCCGACGACCCTCTTGGCGAATCACAATGGGCGTCTGTGATGCGGATAGGGAAAACGACCGACTCTGAGCTGTCACGCTGCGGGAAGGTGATAGGCGCGCACTTTGTCCAAGAACGGCGAGTTGGGCGGGCGGCAATGTTGATGCCCCGCTCTGCTCTTGCCCCCTCACTCGTACCCTTTTGCGCTGAAGTGGGTTCGGCTAAATGAAGCTTTGCAGGGGGAGGTGCAGCATCGTTTGACACTGTCCCACGGATCGTGCATCGTCACCGCCCTTCTGGCTTGTTGACCGTCCAGCCGCCGCGAGCCGTTTCATCTTTTGCAAGCACCCCTCTTGGCACACACCCCTTGTGATCCCCTCGAGCCCTTTCCGGCTTCGGCTGCAGAACACGACGGCCGTCCCCACCCTCTGCCTCCCTTTGCGTCTGCGTCTAGCGCCCCTTTCATTCAGAAGGGGCGCAACAGCTGCACACTCGCTCATCCTCTATATAAACACCGTCGCCTCGTGACAAACACACCTTCTGCACCCACCTTCACCATCCCGCGACGCTCCAGCAAGCAACAAGAAGACGCTTTCCCGCCCCGTTCTTCGAGTCTCTCCGCACACTCTTCGGATCTCTCCTCCGTCCCCGCTACCATCCGCACATTCACTCCTCTAACCCCTTTCTAGCCGCAACCATGGGTATGGCTGGTATGAAGGAGGGACGCCCCGAAACCGATGGCGTCCCCACCTTCCTCGGCATGCGAGGAATCAGGCTCAACTGGGCCATTGGTTTCGCCGCCTCCGCCGGTTTCTTGCTCTTCGGTTACGACCAGGGTGTGCTCGGCTCGCTCTACACGCTTCCCTCTTGGGTCGCTCAGTTCCCCGAGATCAACACCAACCCCGGTTCCGGTAACGGCGAGACTTCCACCGCTGCCGTCCTCCAAGGTCTCGTCACTGGTGTCTACGAGCTCGGCTGCTTTGCCGGTGCCATCTCGATGCTCTATTTTGGTAACTTGCTCGGTCGTAGGGCCAACATTTGGATCGGTTCCATCATCATGGCTGTCGGTGCCATTGGATGCACCGCTTCCTACAGCTTGGCACAGCTCTTCGTCTTCCGCGTCATCCTCGGAATCGGCAACGGAATGCACACGGCGACCATTCCGGTTTGGCAATCGGAGTGCTCGCCTCCTCACAAGCGAGGTATGCTCATCATGGTCGAGGGTGCCATGATCACCGGTGGTATCGCCATGGCCTACTGGATCGACTTTGGCTGTTTCTTCTTGGAGCCCAGCTCGGCCTCGTGGCGACTGCCCTTGGCCCTCCAGCTGGTTCTCATCTTCCCTACTTTCGTCACTGCTTTCCTTCCCGAGTCGCCTCGTTGGCTCATGCTCAAGGGTCGCGAGGAGGACGCTCGAATTGTGGTTGCGGCCCTTGATAACGTCCCTGTCGATGACCCCATGGTCGGCAAGAAGCTCAAGGAAATCGCAAAGTCGCTCGAGGCCGCCAAGACGACCCGTATCTCGGACCTCTTCACCAACGGTCCTGAGCGCAACTTCCACCGAACCGTGCTTGGCTTCATGTCGCAAATGTTCCAGCAGATCTCGGGTATCAACCTCATCACCTACTACATTGGCAAGACGCTCCAGGAGAACCTCGGCTTCTCGGACATCAACTCGCGTATCCTCGCTGCTGCCAACGGAACCGAGTACTTCATCGCTTCGTGGCTCGCCGTCTTCTTCATCGAGAAGATGGGTCGTCGTCCGCTCATGCTGGGCGGTGCCGCCGGTCAGACCATCTGCATGATCATCCTTGCCGTCATGGCCATCGAGTCGATCCAGAACTCGGGTCCGGCTCCCAACGTTGTCTCGGTCGTCTTCTACTTCCTCTTCAACACCTCGTTCGCCTGGGGTTGGCTCGGAATGACCTGGCTGTACCCTGCCGAGATCACGCCCCTTGCCATCCGTGCGCAGGCGAACGGTATCTCGACCAGTGCCAACTGGATCTTCAATTTCCTCGTCGTCATGGTCACCCCCGTCATGTTTGTCAACATCGGAGGTCAGGGCACCTACGGCGTCTTTGCCGGCCTCAACTTTGTCATTCTCGTCGTGACTTTCTTCATCTTCCCCGAGACGGCCGGTCGCTCGCTCGAGGAGATGTCGGCCATCTTTGCCCACTCGAGCAAGGTCAACCCGTACGACGTGGTTCGCAAGGAGAAGGTCACCCCTCGTCGCTACGACAAGCACGGCAACCTCATCAGCGACGACGTCGACATTGTCGAGGACCTCAACGGCGGCAACGATCTCGAGAAGAACAACAGCGGTGCGCACAAGGACCACACCAATGTGGCCACCGAGGACGCCACCGCTACGCCCACCAGCGAGGGCAGCTCGGGCGAGCACTCGCCTCGTTCGTGAAAGCACCGCTACGTTTGATGTAGATATGTACTTTTCTGTTCCTCTTCTCACGACGCGGCAATGACGTCCTATACCACCGCCCCGATGCGTGTATGCCTTTCCGAATTCGAATGCTTTCGAACCCTTGTCTCATTCCAGTATGCGATTGTGCGAAGTGAGCTTGAGAAGCTGCTGTGGAAGAAAGGTCCATGTGAGGTGGTTGAGACGCCGTGGAGAACAGTGACATGCTACACGCTTGGCGAATAACACACGAACGCACAAACTCAAACCACACGGAAAGCGATGCGGATCATCCATTTGTATTCACCACGACCCATCCGTCAGACTACCACAGTCCGGAACTGGACGAGAAACCACCGTAACCTGCAGCGCCAAACTGGTCAATAGGACCAGCGCTGGCGCCTGCTGTGGGGTCGTACTCATCGATCGGCTGCTGCTGCTGCTGCTGTTGCTGTGCCTGCTGCTGCGCACGTTGCTGAGCCGTGAACTTGGACGGATTGAACACGCTCGCCGCAGGTCGCAGGACGCTACCGGTGACGCTGGGCGTGGTTGCCGAGGGCCACTTTGGCGAGTCGTTCTGCCCGTACGCGCGAGCGTTGTAGAACTGGTTCCGGTTGGACGAGAACGTGGCGCTATCGTCCAGCACGCCCAGGCCGTCCATGCCACTCGTCTTGCCACCAGACGTACCACTGGCGCTGGTGGGGAAGAGCGAGTAGCTCGCCACGTTGCTGCCGAGGTTGGCAGCGTGATTGCGCATGCCGCTGTACGGCGAACCGGGAGCGGAACGGGCCGAGGTAGCCTGCGAAGAGTACTGGTTGTACGACGAACGGTTGGGCGTCATCGACCCGCGATCGTAGCTCGACATGGCGTACAGAGCGTCGGTGGTCATGCTCGAGACGTTGCCGGCAGCAGAGCTGCCGTAGCCGCCGCCGTAGGCTCCGAAAGCACTTGAGCCCAGTCCGTTACCACCTTCTTGCTGCCGCTCTCGCGGCGAGTAGGAGGACGTCTGGTGGTTGCCATAAGCTCCGCCATTCAGGGACGAGTAGGCGTTCGAGGCCTGCTGCGATGCCGTCTGGTACTGCTGACCCGTCTCGCGAGCACGTGCCGCAGCAGCGGCGGAAGCGTCCATACCCAGACCAGGACTTCGCGAGGTGGGATCGAAGCCATTAGATCGGCTTGTCACCGGCGAAAGGTCGCGCGAGCTCGAGTTCATCTCATGCTGACTGCGCCCGTACTGTTGGTACCGGTTGAATGTCGAAGATGCCCACGAATCGCCGCCCTCTCGCTGAGCCCTCGCCCGGCCGTCATCGGCACGGAGATCGTGCACGCTCATAGGCAAGGCCGAAGGCAAAAAGTCGTCGCCAATGTCCCTGAGCGAGTTCTGCGTCTCGCCGGCGTGCGAGTTGGTTGCCAGCGACCACACGCTCTTGATGTGATCGCGATCGGCCAAGTTCGACGAGCGAGTCTCGAGGACAGGGAAGGTGAGCGAGCTCTGGCCCCAAGTGCCTTGCGTCGACATGCTAGGCGAGGGCAGCATCGAGCCTCCGCTGGCGGGTGTCTGAGCTTGAGATGCTCGGGTGGAGCCAGGAATGACAAATGGCGATAGGCTGCCTCGCGCGCCTCCTGCATCGGCCTTGATCTCGCTGTTGACCATGAACGACACAGGCGAAGGCGTGTTGACTTTGCGGTCTTCGTAGAAGGCAACTGCGGCGTTGTTGGCTCCGGATCGACCCTTGATTCGGTAGCCGCCGGCAGAGTTGTGCGAATCAAATGCGTCTGCGGAGTAGCCGTTCTGCGGATAGTCGAGAGGACCCAGCGAGCCAGGCGCTTGTGCTGCGGCGGATGCTGTTGCATTGCGAGCAGTTCGGCTGCGGTCATCGTACGCAGACTGGGGCACTCCCGACATGAGCACTTCACCAATGATGGCATCCGTTGTGGGATCAAAGTTCTGTGCTCGGCGATTTGCCGCTGGCAGGGCAGCCTGCATAGCGTCTGTACCGTGAGGCTGGATGACGGTGGCGTGATGGCCAGGGAGGCGTACCTGAATCTGACTGGCTGGAAGAGTGCTCGAAGCCTGAGCGTCGGTTGCAGATCCATTGCTGAGCCCTGTCGCTCTCTGACCCTCGGACCAGTAAGGCGTCAAATCGAAACGAGCCTGCTTCCTGGATCCAGCGCCCTGCGAGGCGATCTGCGATACGATCGAAGGGAGTCCGCGAGGCAGAACGCGTGTTGGAAGCTTGACCGGCGCGATCACAGTACCGCGATAGAAGCGCTTCGGAAAGAGCTGATCGTCGCGCGAAAGCGTCTTGATAGAGAGATGAACCAGGGGCGGATCCCAGGTGAGAGGATACACAGCTCGGCCTGGCGCTTTCATGGCTGCCATCCTGGCGAACAGCTGCTTCTGCTGATAGCGGTTGAGCTTGGGTTGAGGACGTGAGCCTTTCAACTGCACCACGAAGCGGTTCCATGCGGGTGGTGCGTCCTGCGCGGCCTCCGAACGTGTCTCGAGAGCTTCCTTGCGGACGACAGGATACAGTCGCACTGGAACAGGGGCCAGCACAGGCTCTGCCACCTTGATTGGTGCAGGAGGCGAGGCTCGGGGCAGTCGTGCTTGCGCTGCCGTCTCTCTTGGCTTCGAGAGGGACGCCTTGCTGGCAGTTCGGTCTTGTACCGAGGGGACCGTTCTCTGCGTCGCTGCGATACCATTCTGAGCTGGCGCGGCCTGGTGACCGCGAGTCTCAGTAGGCTGAGGCGCAGGAGGCGACTTGACGGGCCTTGCAAGGATAGTCTTGGGTGCTTCGACGGCTCCCAGTCTTGATGCAAGATCCCTAGGTCGTGCTTGACCGTCCCCATAGGGCAGACCAGATGTGGCCGCAAGGTCGAGGACATTTGCGCCTCTTTGCTGGTGCGGGCTCGAAGCCTGCTCTCGCTGATCTCGTCGAATGGCGAGGCGATCGTCTTCGGGGATTGGTCTTTGCTGCGACGATACGACCCTGCCGTTGCGGTTCTGCTCGAGAGGACTCGTGACGGTCGGACCAGCAGTAGGACCCGTCGGCATCGTCGTGGTCTGTTGCTGGCGTGACCTCGGCGCAGCATTGTCCCCTGCAACACGCTCTGGACGCGCGGTCCTCCATGAAGCTGCGCTGTCTGCCGGTCCAGTCTTCCTCGACACGTCGGCGCTGACGGCGGTGGTGGCGTTGGCTGCTTCTGCTGCTCGCCTTTCGGCTTCCCTCTGCGTCTCGGCTTCTTTCTGCTGCTGGGCTGCCCTGATTCTCTCCTCGATGGCAAGAGCCTTTTGACGTGCGCGTTCAATCTGAGCGAGTCTCGCCTGCTCCTCCTCCTCACGTCGCTTTCGAGCACGCTCGATGGAAGCGTGAACGTCCTCCTCAGATACTGCCGCAGTCCGTTCGGGCGCAGCCTGCACTTGGTGCTGAGAGTCCATTGCGTCGGCGGGTGGCTGGCTTCTGGTCTGGGCAGCCGCTTTGGGTCCCCACGGCGCTCTGCCCTGGCCGGCTTCGCCCATCTGGGGCCTCGACTGAGACTGATGAGGAACCGGCTGATTTGCTACAGGGGGCGCTGCTGGCTGCGCAGCAGGATCGCGCGGTCGTCGTGTCTCCTCGTACGAGTGAGATGTCTTACGACCTGCTGGATCAGCCGATTGAGCAGGAACGGCAGCGGCAGGACGCAGGTTCTGTGCGAGGTGTGGAGGCAAAGGCCTGTTCGTTTGCGCGGTGGCATGACCGTCGCCGGAGCCTGCGACGAGGAGGTGGGGAGGCAGAGGGCGACCATTGCTGCTGGGAGGCGCCGCAGCTGCTGGCTGAATCGGCGCTGCGTTTCTTTCGCGGATCGCATGTGGAGCAGCCCGCGGCACGTCTGGCTGCTGCTGTTGCTGCTGCGACTGTTGCTGCTGCTGCTGCTGTTGCTGCTGTTGATGCTGTTGATGCTGTTGTGGAGCAAGATGCAAGTCAGCAGGTCTCGCCGCTTCGAGAGCTACTGGGGCCGCTGCAGTGGTCTGTTGTGGCTCAGCAGACGGAGCTGGTCTGGAAGGAGCACTTGCTGGCGGTGTCGATCCTGGGTTGAGCGAAGCCTGACGCTGAGCAAGCGGTCCCCAAGCTCTCACAGCTTGCGTCGAAGCGGCCTGCATGGCTGGCGGAGCCCCACCTTGATCCTGTCGTCCACCATAAGGCGCCGCGCCAGGACCTGGCCGGCGTTCTCGGCCGTACGAGAATCCTGGCGGGTCTCTGCTCTCGATTGGCGACCGCAACGAGACGGAGGCTCCCGTGGTAGGGATGATGACCTTTTCGGCTCGTTGCTCGGAGCGCGAGGGACGGCTTGCGGCCTGCACTGGTTCGCTCGCAGCAGGAGCGGCCATCTCGCGGTTCTTCATGGGACCCCATGCGGGCGGCGTGGCAGCCGCCGGTGGTCTCGCACGATCCATGGGAGCGGTGGGCGTGGGCCGTGCCGCATTGCGCTGCGGCCAGCTGCGGTCGTGACTGACATCCTTGAAGCGCTCGTCCTTGGTGACAGGGGGGCCGTCGTCCTCGTTGCCTCTTGAGCCGTCGTTGGAGGTTGGGATCTTGTACTGCGTTCCGTCTCCAAACTCGACCACCTCGCCAAGGAAGCCGCCATCCTCGTCTTCCATCTCGTCCCAGTGCTTGCCGGAACCAAGAGAAGCGCCTCGGAAGCGGTCGAGCGCCTGGAGAGCCGCCTGCTGTCTGGCGGCCTCGCGTGCGGCGGCGGCTGCTGCCTTCTCCTCCTGCTCCTGCTTTGCTCGCGCGGCTTCGGCGGCGGTGGGGAAGTCGGAAAGGGTGTTGACGCGATTGGAACTGGGATTGGGAGACAGACCTGACTTGACGCCAGCCCAAGGAGCACGGCTGACATTGGCTGGACTGGGAGCTCGCAGCGATGAGCCGAGCGCTGCGTTGCGAAGACCAGGGCTAGCTCTGCCGTGGCCGGAGCCAGAATCGAGGCCAGCGGAGCCTGGTCGGGGCGAGTCCCTGCCCATGCTGACGAGTCGCGGCGAAGCAGTGGCACCGACTGTGGAAGCTGCTGCCGAGCTGACGGACACTTGCGAAGCTGGCTGGTTGGCTGGTCTAGGACTTTGGGTAGCTTCCGCCGGTGCAGAGTCCGTGGCGGTGGCTACATTGGCGGATGTTGATACATCGGCGTTGGCTGTGGAGGCGGGGGTGGGCTCACCGGCTGGCGTAGGCTGAGAAGAGGAGGTGGGTTTGGACGTCGGCGTTGCCGGTTTGCTGGTTGCCCATCCTGCTGGCTGAGGCTTAGGCACGCTGGACAGCTTGGCAGATGTCAGACGAGACGAAGCTGAGGGCGATGAAAGGCGGTGCGAGGGCAGCGGCGAGACGGAGGTGCCGAGCTTGAGATTGGCTGGCGAAACAGCTGCAGGGGCGGGCACGGCCTTTCCAAGGAAGCGCTTGTTGACATTGAGCGAGGTGAACTTCTTGGCCGGTGCTCCTGCCGCCTGAGATGTAGAAGACGATGTTGCTGAGTTGAGTGGTGCGCCATCGTCAGCGTGCGCGATCTCTGCACCGTGCTCATTGCGATCCTGAACAGCAGTCAAAGCCTCGACGTCTTGCTCGGATCCCGACGCAGCGATTGTGGGCTCGGATACTTGGTCATTGGATTCAGATGCAGGAGTTTGTTGAATCGGCTCTGTTGAAGTTGGGTCTGTCTGTTGCCCTCGGTGCGTCTGGGCTACTTCGGAAGAGGGTTGGTCCGCATTACTGGGCACTTGTTGGTCAGATGGAGGAGGACTGGTGGCAGCCACCTCTCCTGCCTTTTCCTCGCTCATATGTGGGTGCGTTCTGAAGACGTCGAAAGTTGACCAATGGTCATCAAACCGAGCTGCGAGCCGGTGAAAAGAATGAGAGCAGGGTTGTCCAGATTATCGAGATGCGTAGGTCCAAAGAGAGATAGCTCGAGTGAGTGGCGGTGTGAGATGCAGCAGCCTGGGCTGTGTCGATGGTGTTCCGGATACGATGCAGCCACAAGATTTGAGGCCAGGGTCACTGATTCTCTGTGCGACACGCGCAGAAGGCCGACTTGAAAGGATCGGCGCGCTCTGTTCGGCAGTCGTTGGCGAGTCGGAAGGAGTGTGCGGAAAGAGCCGGGGGTTGCTCGAGCGGAGTAGGGGATAGTGTGGATGGAAGATATGCTGGCTGAGCAGCCTGGATGACGAGGAGAAAGAGCGATTGAGCGAGTCGCTTTGCGCATCTGGGCGACTTTGTCAGAAGGCCTTTTGGGGTCCTGTCCGCCTGACCAGACAGAGGGCTAGCCTTGCCCGCACATATTGGCTCGCTCGCGCGTGTCAGACTGTGACTGAGACCCTCACAGGCGGGCTCAGCTGGAAAAAGAATACGAAGGGCAGCAGTCGGCCAAGCTCGACCGACCAAAATGGAATTGCAGCTGGGCAGCCTGACAGGTCCCACAATTTTCGACTTGCTTTTGCTGCTGTCTGCTGCCTCCTTTTTCCTTTTCTGTCCCTCTTCGCGCGTCTTCAACGCGGCTCGCCCTTGCCTTGACGGAACCGATCATCAGCCACTTGCACCCTCCTCTCAAAGCCAAATCGAAATCGGGGTTTGAGTCAAGACACGCCAGGGTCCTCGAGAAGCTTTGACCCACCAGCCAAGTCAAACCTCCACCTCGCTCGAGCGCTGGTGTAAGGACCGGCTTTCATCACTCCCCCTCGACCAAGCTCGACCATCTTGAAAAGCTTCGAGTTGGGACTGCAAGAGGTGCAGGGACAGCATAGACGCCATGGCGGCGCTGCAGCAGCATGTAGCGTCCATCAAGAACGCCTACTATACCCAGGACTCTCGGTCTCTTCTCGCTGCCTTCCGCCTGGACCCAACCATCTTTTCTGCTCTGCGGGCCGACTTGAATAAGGATCCTCGTCGCGATCTCTCCACCTGGGTACTCAACCAGATCCCAGTATCAGCCGCACCAACTGACTCGGACCGCTTCCAGACGCTAGTATCCGACTTTCTCTCCTACATTCGCGATCATGCCCCCCTGCAATACGCCTCACCAACCAGCGAGCCTCCCTACCCAACCGACTGGGAACGAGCCTACGATGCGTGGGCGCTCGTCTACTCGCGCGCCTCCACCTTCTTCTCCCTCCCCGACACCACCTGGTTCATACCTACCCTTCGCTTCTTCGCCTCCAGCCTCGTCACGCTCGCCATGGCGGTAGACCAACGCACCGATGCAGTGCAGAAGCGAAAGACCACCGATGCAGCAGGACGACTTTCCAAGGCAGCCGGTATGGCGGGTAACGATCGATCGCAGGCATTGGGTTCCGAGACCAAACGCGCCGCCGTCCTCATGCTCGCCAATCTCAGCTTCAAGGCGTACTTCAAGCTCAACAATACAAGGCTGTGTGAGACGGTGCTGGGCAGTGTCGAGAACGCTTTGAAGGTGAATCGCACTTATGCGAGGAACAGTGGCATCAACGATGAATCGGGAGAACAGTGCTATTCCAAGGCCGATCGTGTCACCTATAGGTACTACTTGGGTCGCTTGCGTCTCTTCCAGCACAATATCAGGGCTGTAAGTGCCAATTCAGCTTCAATCGCCTTACTCGCAGCAGCGACGTGATCCTAATTCTTCTCTTCATGTGTCTTGACCGTCATCAGGCTTCGACACATCTACGATGGGCATTTGACAACTGCACTCTACGTAATCTGCGGAACAAGCGGGCCATCTTGATCCCACTCGTAGCGACATACCTCATCTTGGGTCGATATCCCTCGCCGGCCTTGCTGGACGCAGCCAATCTATCGCCCGTCTACGCTGGCCTGACGCACTACCTCAAAACTGGCCAAGCGGCATCGGCACTGGACGAACTGGACCAGCACATGGACTGGTTCCGAGTGCGCGGGCTCTACCTGATCCTTCGCGAGAAGCTGCAGATCAGTCTCTGGCGCAATTTGGCGCGCAAATGTCTGCTGCTCTCGCAAGGGTCCTCACCGGCCACATCGGCGCCTCCGACGATGCGTCTCGACGTTCTGCTTGCCGCAGCACGGGTGGCCTGGCGCGATGACTCGCTGCAGCTGGAGGACGTCGAGGCGATCGTGGCGAGTATGATCGATCAAGGCTTCATCAAGGGTTATGTGTTGCACTCGAAAGGCGTGCTGGTGTTGCAAAAGGGCCCGCACATGGGTTTCCCGCCAATATGGAGCGTCTTTGATGCGCGCTAGCGACTCACAGATGCACGCAATCGAAGGCTACCAGAAGATGCGTGTGATGGATGATGCGTGTGACGGTACAAGTACAATGATGAAGATGCTGACACGAAAGGCGGCTCAGTAGTCGTCGTCTGAGCCCTCTTGACTTCGGGCAAAGCCGAGCGACGGACCGCTGCGACTTCTCGCACGGAGAGCCGACACGGCGTCCTCGCGAACACCGCCTCCACGGAAAGCCTGGCGCGCGGTCGGCTGCTCCGTCTGACGAGCCTGCTTGCCACCCTTGGCCTTATCGCCCTTATTGACCAAGTGGTAGAACTCTCCCCCGGGCAAGAACGCAGGGTCGTTGAGTCCCAGCGGATCGTCCTCGTTCTTCTTCGTCTTTGCGCCGTTGCCCTTTGTAGTCGTCTTCACAGTACCCTTCTTGGCAAGCGTCCGCTTCTTGAAAGCTCGCGCCTTCGCATTCGGCAGCGAGACGGAGGGGTCGAGTGGGTCAGGTCGGGCGACCGTATCGAGCGGCTCTTCGGGTGAGTTTTCGTCTTGGTCGTCGAAGCTCGTCTTGTGGCTGGTGCTGGTGTTGAGAGCTCGCAGCACGGTGCCGTCGCTGGTGCGCTTCATCGGCATGCCGTCTCGCCCTTTGACGACGCCACCTGCTCGCTGCTTCTTGCGCTGCAGTCGTCTTTCCTTTTGCAGCTTGACCACTTCGTCTGCTTCCTCCTCGGCTGAGCGCTTCTTCAGGATGGATCTCGGTGCTGCGACCGGTCGAGCGAAGACTTCGGCGAAGAGCGAGGGGTCGAGCCGATTCGATGGGCCAGGTTCGTCTGCTTCGCTGTCGCTTTCCTCCACGGCAGCGTCGACGATGGGCTCTGGTGCATGGGTCGCCTTCAGGCTGAGCTCAGCTGCTTCTGCCTCCTCCTGCTTCTGCTTTTGCTTCTCCAACCTCTTCTTCTCGGACACAGCCTGACGTTGTGCCTTCTCGGCCTTCTCCTGCGCCTTGAGCTTGGCCGAATCCTGCGAAGCCTGCCGACGTGAAGTCTTGTTGCTCACCACCTCGATGGGTGCATCGTCGTCCTCCTCTTCTTGATCCGAAGCACCGTGGGCCGTCGCAGCTTCCGGCGCTTGTCGTGTGGCCTGAACGTCGTCCTCGTCATCATCGTCGAACGAGACGTGGTTCGAAGCAGGCTTTGCTTCAGCGAGCGCTTTGGAGATCTGCTGCTCCTGCAGCTTTTGAGCTTGTCGCTGCCTGCGTGCTGCCACCATCGTTGCTGTGCGTTGGCGGTGATGCTTCGGTGGTGGAGAGGTTCGAGGAGGTTTCGCTGCAAGGGTTCGAAGAAGTCTTCCAAAAAAGCAAATTTGGCTTAGTCACGCTGAGAGGTACGCGAGCTCGACTCGGGTTGCGGAAATTCACGCGTCGATGCGAAAGCGGACAGAGAGGCGCAGAGGGCGGCCGAGCGCTTCGAAAGCGGAGAACAGAGAGACTTGGACCTGGTCAATCCGTCCGTGCCGCACATGGAATGGAAGAGGCCAACCAAACCTTTCTCACACACCATACCCATCATCGTCCTCCTTCACATCTTGACCACGTCTCTCGCAGTCACACTGACACGCTCATCAACTCTTCCCGCGCTCCATCCGATAAAGTCCGGAAGTCTGAGCCTGCTGCGCTTGCTCACGGACCCTGGCGCATCCGCACCCGCACCCGCACCTACCCATCCGCCTCGTTCGCAAGCTTGCCGTACCACCACGCGGACATTCATCTGAGCACACCTCGCACATCTCTTCGCCATGTCGCAGCTTGGCTCAACAGAGCCGGCATCGGCCTCGCTCGATACCAAGCCATCGCTACCTCCAGCCAAAGTGCCCACCGACGACGAAGCGGAGGAGGGCGAGATTCTCGACGAGGAAGAAGGCGAGATCTCGGAGAGTCGACCCGATGATGCTGATACTTCCGTCTCCACACCCGCACCGCCCACATCCGCTATCACTCCTCAGACCGTGGAGCAGCCACCGGAGCAGGCTCCCAGCGCACAGGTGCTCGCTGCGCCAGCGGCGGCCGTTGAGAGTATCCAGCAGGAAGATGAGGCGCAGTCCGCACCAGCAGCCTCCGTCGAGGACGTGACACAGCCAACCACGCAGGCATCGCAACCCACAGAGCAAACAGAGGCAGCGGCCGAAGTGGCCCAGCTTTCTGCCGCGGACGCCTCCGCACCCGCCGCTGAGCCGACCACTGACGCAGCAGTCACCGACCCCGTCCCTGACGCGGTCATCACTCCCGCACCCAGACCAGCAGAACTCCCGACACAACCCCAAGAGCCCGTCGAAACGACCACAGCTCCGCCAGAGAACGCCGACCCAGTCACACCCAAGCTCACCGAGGCACAAGCACCCCTTTCTGACGCACCGGTTGCTGCGCCGTCAAACACACAAGATCAGGCCATGGAAGATGCACCCGCTGCTGCCAAAGATCTCGCTTCGACCGAGCCGCAAGCCGATGCTGTTACCGCTGAGGTAGCTCCGACAGCGGACGAGCCGGCAGACATGGATGTCGACGAAAAAATCGTCATCCAAGCACCGCCCACCAACGAAGCGGTAGAGTTCACCGCGGACGTCGGGCAAGACGCCATGCAGGTGGACAGCACCGTTCATACGCCTGCTCTGCCCTCGGATGGGCCCGAGACCCCTGCTGCGCCCACTGCCGCTCTCCCGGCCGAGGAACGCGACGAACCTGCAGCTTCCGTGGATGAGTCGGCGATCGTCAAGAGCGAGCCTCAGTCAGAGGCGCAGGAGCAGCCACAGCTGGACACTGTAAAGGACGTAGAAGTACCCCTCGCAGGACCGGTCGATGCCCAGCCACAAAGCGTCGAGGAGCAGGCACAGAAGGAAGAAGCAACCACGACCACACTCGATGCCCATCCCGAACCACAACAAGAGCAAGCAGCGCCCTCTGCGCCACTCGAAGGCGACGCACCTTCCACTTTGGACAGACCGCGATCCGAAGAGGTCCCATCTCGCTCCACCGTCGAGCGGCCCGAGCGATCGGCATCTCGCCCCGCCGAGTCGCGCTCCACGAACCGCAACTCAGCCGCGCCCAGCTCCATCCCCGGCCGGGTCGAGCGGGAGCGCACCAAAGACCGTTCCCATCCTCCATCCGAGCGATCTCAGGACCGAGAACAACGGGCGCGCGAAAAGGACCGTCGTCGGGAACTGGAGCGGCTCGAGCGCGAGCGCGAACGCGAGCGTGAGCGCATCCGCGAATCCGAGCGCGATCGAGAGATGATGATCGCGCGGGAGAACGAGGAGGCGCGGCTGATCTGGCTGAGTCTACCTGGCAACGATCATCCGCAGTACTATACGGATACGGACTCGGACTCGTGTTATGGGGGAGGTGGGGCGTTTGGGGTGGATTTGACGGATGAGGAGGATAAAGATTTGGATCCGCCGCTGCCGAGGACGGCGCAGGAGTTTTATCCGCCGCCGACGTATGGCGAGAGGAACTTTGATGATTTGGGTTATGGCGGCAAGCGGAAGAGGGGGGATGATGGGGATGGGACTTCGTCGCGTCGCTCTCGACACGGGGCTGTTCCTGCTGCTGAGAGGTTCGCGCCGTCGACCGCGCCACGCGACGCTCACCCGTCGACCATGATCAACATCGACGACTTTCCCATCCCGGACTCGGACGTTCGCGGTTCGCCCTCCGACCGTCCCTTCACCAGCCAAATCTCCCGTCCCCTCATCCCCGCCCACACCCCTTCCCACCACGAAGACGACGACTCCGCCTCGTCCTCCGACGAAGAGTCCTCCCGCATCGCTTCTGAGCGCAAGCGTCGACACGGCCATCGCAGTGGCAACCGGGGTAACAAGCTCTCCCGCGAAAAGGGCGCCCGCTGGATCCGCCGCGGCAAGCTCGGCGGGTTCACCGAGATGCGCATGGAGAAAGAAATCGGCGATCGCGTGCGGCATCGCGTCGAGGCGATGCAGAAGGACAACGTGCGTGCGCTGCTGTCTGCTATGCCTGCGGAGGATAAGGCGATGCTCTCCCAGTTCCCGGTGTTGAAATCCGGGTTGATGCGGGATGGAGGAGAAGGGTTGAGGGACGGGAAGGGTCGACTGTTGGCATCGGACATCTCGGAGGCCGCGCGGATCGATGCGGTTTTAGGGCTGGATGGGGGCAAGGTGGAGCGGGAGGAGCATCTGACGTCGACGTCACTGGCTCCGACTTTGCTCAAACCGGCGATCACGCCGAGACAGGTGTTGACGAGTCATACGTTGAGGCATACGTTTAGGAACCCGCACATTGCGGCGTTGGGCAAGACTGCGTTGGATCTGATCGAGAGCGAAGGGGTGGTGGGGAGGGCGGTGGGGAGGTGTTGGGCTGCGATGGAGCGAGGTGGGTGGAACGAGGATCCTGAACCCAAAGGTGATGAGGCCGACGAGGACGGTGCTGCGAATGGGATGGATGTCGAAGAGGACGAGGGGGCAGGTACGCTGTTCGGCTCGCCCATCGACAACCCGGCGCTGTCGCACCTCGATCGGCTGTTCGTCACCAAACAGGGCCTCGCCATTCCAAGGCTTGACGATGTTGGACAGCCCATCTTTGTGCCCCCTTCACCAGCGACCCAGGCCGCCCGCACGCAAGCCGGTGTGTCCGAGGAAGCGGCCCACGAGGCGGTGATCGAGACGACCCTGCTGCCGGCCCCCGAGCAACGCTCTATTGTGCTAGCAGCGCTCGAGTGCCTGCACGACCTCGCCGCCGACTCGCGCGAGTACGTGGAACGTCTCGAGGAGGTGCGCTCGAGACTCGCTGCGGTCAAGAGGAGACGGGCGCAGGTGTGGAATGCCGTCCGACAGTGGGCGCTGGACAAGGACGTGGAGGCGGAGCAGGGGAGCGGGGCGAGGCTGGGCGAAACGGTCGCTGTGGCTGTTGCCAACGGCGGCTCGCCGAGGAAGAGGAAGTAGATGACAGGCTGTATCAGTATGCTTTCAGCAATCTCATGTTGTACGCTGCATTCGTTTGACGTGAGACGGTGTGTGCCGCACACGTGGAAGCAGGGACACATGAAGGGCTTGCAGATGGTCGTTTCATGTGGGCTGCTCGAGGCTTGCATAGAAGCAATGACAGAACAGAGCGTGATCGAGCATGGAGCGGGCCTGCATGGAAAGAAAGCAGCGAGATGAAGATCTGTGTGGGCAACAAGCGCTGTTGCTCCTGCATGCACGGTTGCCTGCCTGCCACCGTACAGCGTACAGCGGCACGGCGAAGCGCGCATCTGCTGCGGCACAGCATGTGCATCGATCACATGTCACAAGCAGGGCTGCGATCACCCTATAACGCTCGAACTGCACTTCGCAGGCGCTGACCTGTCAAACAGCAGGACACTGCAGGTGCGAGAAACGTCTGTTGTTTTCTGCAGGGTTTTTTGTGCATAATTTCGAGGCTCATTTTTTCGGTACATTCGATTAAAGCTGTCAACAAAAAAGGTGTGACCCTGCCTTGTCGATCACGCACGGAAAAGAACGCAAAAGCGAGGCCGCACTGACCAGCTGCTGCCACGCCTGCAGGTTCGGGTGTGACCCGCGTCGCATTGCATCAAGACCGCGGATTTAGCCGAAATTTGTGACTGCGTGAAATGCAAATGCGTGATTCGTGGTGGAACAAAAGGGTTGGCGGCGAGATGGCTGCCCGCCCTGCCCGTGCCGGCAGCGATGACCCGTCCATGCCGAGCCAAGTGCGGTGACAGCACATGCAGGGGTCACAATGACCAGCTCGTTGGTGTGGTCGCAGCACGTATGGGGGACCTCGGTCAAAGGGGCAGCCGGGCTGTGCTCTTATTGATGCAGGAAAGATCAGCTTCGGGAAGAGGCGTGTGGTCGATCAGGTGGGCCACGGCCGCATCCGAAGCTCGGCCACCAAGTCGCTCCAGGTGTCATGGCCTTTTGTCATTATGGTGTGCCGACGGAGGGAATCGTTCCGCCCTAGTGTATGACTGAGCCTGATTCGGCTCGAGCGAGAGAATAGCGACACCAATCTCGCTCTTCGGCTGCTGTTTTGGAGATTTCACGCTGGGTTCAGTTGGATCCGCAAAAGAATCAAGGGATTCAGGAGCTTCCGAGATCACTGACTTGTGAGTCATGGACAGCCGAGTGCTAGGGTGGGAATGTCCGTCCGCGTTTGGATGGGCACGCGATAACGCACGCGGTCCCAGGTGCCTTGTCGGGCGGGTCAGACCGTGTTTCCGATCAACCAGCTCTCACGTTGCAAGCTTTGCAACTTCATTTCTCTTGCAGGAGAAGCAGATGTTCGACACCGTGCTCTTTGCATTGGCATCCTGCCTTTTGTGGGTCGAGAAAGGTTCATCTCGGCCGCGTGCCGTGGAAAGACCTCCCTGTGTCTCTCTGAGGCGAGTGGGAGCTTCATTGTGCTAGTACAGAGCTGGCTGCTGGCTGCACTCCGCAAAGCTCGCACCTATTTTCCGCCGACCTGACCAGTGAAGGCAATCGCAGCCGAATCTTTTAGGCGCTAGTCCACGCTTTTGCTTCTCGTTGAAGCCTCTCTACCGCGTCTCGGCGACAAGCAGTGAGTTCTTTGTCTGGCAATTGTGGTTGGCCCGCGTGGACTTTGCGGAGTGTATCTGCAACAGAGCTAGGCGAGTCAGCTCGGTCCTGGCTGACTTTGACAAGCGAAGTAAAAGGAGCAGCAGGAAGGAGAAGCGGGCCGAGAAGGGCGAGCGAGCGACAAGGGCCAAATCCGCAGGAAATCTGATCGGTTGCGTGCTGACCAGACAGTTACCGGTCAACGTCGGAGCATGCAGGGTCGAGTCCAAAAAGCACCCAATTGCATGAGTGCGTCTTCTTAAGCGTCAGGAAAAGTCGCAGGGGCTGCGGCACAGTTCTGGTCGCGAACCAATTCGTTTTGGATTCCGGGCCGCGTTATCCTCGACCCGAACGAGCAGCAATAGCAGCAGCGAGATAAGGCATGGGGACAGCCGTGGCAGATCGCATGAGAGGAGCCCTAGCGCTCTTCGGCTCTTGTTGTTCGAGTCGGCGGAGATTTGCGAGACCAAAACCACTTCTTCTTCGCTCGTCTCAGGAGCGGGACTGCGGAGCAGTAGAGCCGAATCAATTCGATCAGTTAGTCCGTTCGTCGCTCGCGATAAAGTCCGATCATGGCCCTGACCGCGACCCCGACTGCCGCTCCTGTTGGTCGTTCGTTTTCCATGGCCGTGACAAGGATGCTCTGCCTCTAAAGCTGTTCATCGTAGAACTCGCGGTGTGTAGCATCATGGGATGCCTTAGAAGGCATGGACGCAAAATCCAAGGCTGGGGCAACCAGCTCGGTCTCGGCTAGTCCGGCTTACTTTTTAGTTGACTGGACGAGGGGTCGGCTGGAGCAGCGAATCAGACTCAGACAAACAGAGTTGAAACCAAAAAATTTCTTCTTTCTTCCTCTCGTACAAAGGATCCGCCGTAAAAGCCTTTTTGGGAAAGGTAAAAACGAAAGCGATAGGCAGCGGGAAGAGCGGCTCGGCGCCAAGGCGTAGCCAAATTGCAACTTTCGGCCAGCCAGCACACCGCTGTCGCCTTGGGACAAGAAGTGACCGGCCACGGCCAACTTGGCACCGACGAATAGAGTGCTAGCCATAGACTTCGATCACAAGGTCGTTGCCTGGTTCTTTGCTTGTCAGGCTGGCTCGGTCCTTCTCCTGCTTGAGGAGCACAAGAGGCAGCCCATTGTCGACGCCACGATACAGCTGCGAGGGCGTAGTCGATGACGGAAAGGGGCGTTCACAGACAGGTTGCTGGCAGATCTGAAAGGATCGAAAGGCTTGAATGGTCGGGCTGAAAGTGCGTGTGACTGCAACTCGTGCTGGTGTTCAACTTTAGCCACAAGAAAGGCAGGCGTGTGACTTTAGAGAAACTTGTATTCAAAGCGAAGAGTTCAGGGTTCAAATTTGTAACTTTTGGGCGTTTTTAGAGGCGGAGGAGAGACGACCGGTTCGGTACGCAACTCAGACTACAACTTCGGCTGGAGATGACTATCTGACACATTCACCCTCGTTTTTCAGTGTGCTCTCTCGTTTCACGCTCACCGCGCTAGCCACACGGCCAGCTGCGTGGGTCTGTCGAGGAGCGAAATGTCCGGGACAAGACCGTATGCTGACTGTTGGCCTTCAGATCGGACGAGAGAGAGCTCTCGGAAGCGGCCGAAGGGGCAAAGGGAGGGGGCCAAGGTTGAGGCTCTGTAGCGACTGAGACAGGCATGGTGAGTTATATTCAGGCAGAGCAGACCATCGTGGCTCGCCCTTTTGCACTCTGCACAGACTTTTGGACGTAGATCCTTCGCCATGAGAGCTCGAGCTAGCTAGTGCGTGCATGCGTGGCGTGCGTGGGTGCGTACGCGTGCCCAGGTCCGTGTGGCAATGCCATCGTTGGCACACCGTCTGCGGCTTTGCGCTACAACGGAAGAGAGAAAGCGAGCTAGGCCAACGCACAGATTTACGAGGCAGAGTGACAGACAAGTTGACCGCTGCAGGGCCTTATTTGCTCTGTGCTTCAGTCCAACACTTTGCGGCAGACAAGCAGCGGCAGCGGGAGCGGCGTAGTCGAGCCGAAAGCGAGCGAGCCTTTTTGCTCCTGGCCGAGCCACCCTCAAAAATTCTTCTTCCTCAAGCCCCTCTTGGCTTCGTGGCAAATCAATGCAGTGCAGAGCACACGCAAGGCAGATCAGCCGTGACAGCAGCCCCTCTTGGGTTTTTGGCCTCTTCTTGACCGTGTCAAACTTTATCCTCTCTGCGCTGAAGGATTCGCCTTTTTTTTTTCTTCTTCTTGTCCTTCTTTCAATTTTGAACTCTGACTGATGAAGTGACCATCTGATTTGACTGACGGACCGAGTGACAGTTCCTTGTGGCTCTGGCTTTTTCTTCTTCTTGTCGCTGCACCTGCAGCTGGTTGCTGCTGCTTTGCACCTGCGCCTGCGCCTGCGGCTGCCCTGCGCTGCTGCTTTGCTGCTTCTTTCTGCGTTTTTTGACGCTCCTCGTGCTTCTTCCCTCCCCTTGGGCTGGCCTTCCTCTTCGCTGCTGCTGCTGCCACCGACAAGCAAAAGGGCCATCTGCAACCTGCGTGTCTGTTTCTCCGGTCGCACCCACTTCGCTCCCCCTCTTCCTTTCACTTCTTCCATTCTGCAACGATCCCATCGTCCGCATCCCCTCTCGGTCGTTCTATCTTCAATCGTCTTTGTCCCTTCATCGTCGAAGGCGCATCTCGACACGTACATTTCGTCGTGGTCAGCATCTGGCTCTCGATCCTCGCGGTACCGCTTCTCTTCAAGACTCGATCGAATCTGCCGTCGACGACGCGACTCGGAAGGCCATCGCATCTTCTTCTCTTCCCTTTCAACACTTCTTGACGTGTTCCTTCGACTCGAAGGTCTCCACCCTGTTTGGACGATCGAGCGCTGACCCAGTGTCTGCGACTTCTTGTGACACTTTCCGACACACCATCTCGGCTTGGATCACCCCATCCTCTGCATCGCAGCTCGAGCATTCGGTCTGCTTTGCTTCTCATCCCCGGATAAAGTCAGTTTCGTTGGCCTTGTCAGGAACAGCCTCTCAGGATCACCCTGTTGTCAGGACAGGCCCCAGACTCCTTGCGTAGCCGATTGTGCATTTAGCCATTCGTCTCCTTTCTTTGGTCGCACTAGCTTGCATAGCTCATCTCCTCAGGCAGGATACTCATTAGTTCTCGCCTATCTCACGCACCGTTAGGAATCCCCGTCTCCCCGCGTCGCAAAAAGGCATCCGTTCCTCCTTCCTCCTGCATCCTTTCTACATCATGTCAACCGCTTCTCCCCTCCACCACGGACACAGCAATGGCAGCTACGCCAACTCGCCCGCTCCTGCCGGCGTGACCGGCAGAGACGCTGGCGTCACCGCAGCTGCCGTCGCTGACTCGGCCGTTCGATCCGGCTCGGTGCCTGCGTCCGCTTCTGGCAGCGCTCCCGGCTCCGCCTCCGGCTCCCTGTACGGCGAAGGTCACGCCCACCACGCTGCTCACCACCACCACTCGGGTCACCACGCCCATTCACATGGAACGCTGGCCAGCCCGGGGGTCAATGGTGGACACAGCTCTAGCTGGTCTCCTTACGGCTACCCCTCGGCTCCCGTTTACGGTGGCAGCCCCAGCCCTTACGGCCACAATGCCTACTCACAGTACGCTAGCGGCTACGGCTATGCCAACGGCGCGACTCACCACGTCGCCACTGCTCCCACCACGCCTTCTGCCACCGGTACCACCTACCATGCTGGCGTCAACGGCATGATGATGCACCACGGACAGCACGCTGGCTACGGCTACGGCAGCCACCACCTCGGATCGCACACTCCTACTCACACTCACAGCCACTCGTCCGCCTACTTTATGAACGGCGACGGCTCTCACAGCCACCTCAATGGCTCGACGCACCTCTCCTCGCCCTCGTACGCATCTGCGCCCCAATACTCGACCCAGCTGCCCCTTGCTGGCCGACACCGCGTCACCACCACGCTCTGGGAAGACGAAGGCACGCTCTGCTTCCAGGTCGACGCTCGTGGCGTCTGCGTGGCCCGCAGACACGACAACAACATGATCAACGGCACCAAGCTGCTCAATGTCTGCGGCATGTCGCGTGGCAAGCGTGACGGTATCCTCAAAAACGAAAAGGAGCGCATCGTGGTCAAGGTTGGCGCTATGCACCTTAAGGGTGTCTGGATCTCGTTCGCGCGTGCCAAGCAGCTGGCAGAGCAGAACGGCATCGCCGACGCGCTCTACCCGCTGTTTGAGCCTAACATCCAGTCGTTCCTCTACCACCCGGACAACTACCCCAGGACTGCGGCTGTCATTGCTGCCGCTCAAGAGCGACAGGCTCAGCGCCAACGCGCTCCTGGCATGCCAAGCCCCGGTGCCAACGGCACTTCGCAAGCACCTCCCCTCATGCGTGCCAACACCACCCCTTCCAACGCTGACACTTCGGGGTTTGGTAGTGGGTTGAGCAGCAGCACCAGCTGGGCCGGCTCCCACGACCAGGGGCACACTTCTGCCCCGACCACCACGCAGCCTTCGCCCTCTTCCATGCACAACGGCACAACCATGCACATGAGCCTTTCGGGCCACGGTACTTCGTCGCCCACGTACTCATCGCAGCAGCAGTACCCCATGACGGCCGCGCAACAGCTTGCTCGTCCACCCGCCGGCGATCGACGTCAATCGGCTCCCATCACGCTCAACGGTGTCAACCACGCCGGTCACGCAGACTACAGCGCTACCAACATGGCGGCTGCCAACGGCGGTCTGGTCAACGGAGCTCGCAAGGTGTCTGGCTTGAAGCGCTCCTGGAACGATGCCGAGGACCTCAACGGTTCTGCTACGGCCTCGCCCTCGGAACGCGACATGCAGCGAAGTGGCAGCGGTGGCTCGAATGGCTACAAGTTTGAGGGCGACGAATCGCACAGCCCCGACACCTCGGATGACCGTTCGGCCAAGAGGAACAAAGGCATGCCTCAGCGCGGTGGCGCTGCTGCTGGTACCATGCCTGCCATGTCGAACGGCATGCTCATGGGCGTCGGCAACGGCAACGGCATTCACCACGAGTGAAACCTTGTCAAGAATCAAGCAGAGGAAGCTCCCCCTTCAGGAACAAGTCAAACAAGCGCTCGTTCACTCCGAACCCCATACCAGCATCTGCATCCCTATCAACGCACTTACTCCCATCCACCCAACACTAATCAACGGAAAGCTGGCCCCATAAGCTCCCTCCTCCTTCGTCCAACATCATCATCATCATCGTCACCTTCAATCATAGTCACCATCATCTCATCGTCACTTCGTCAAAACAATATGAGCTCGCGCTCGCCTTGTGTCAAATACAAAAAATCTGGTTTTCGATCTGTTCTTCATCTGTCGCGTGCTGCACTGTGACGGTGAGATTGTGAGAAGCTAAGCGGTTCCTGCGCGGTTGAGGCGGGCCGTGTTGAGGCGGGCTGCACGTCACGCGGCCATCAGCTCAGACAGATGGTCCAGCCGTTGTTCAGCTCGCGATCACACATTGACCATCCGTCTCAGCAGGTCGCTGCACAAACGAAAGATCAGAAGAAAAGTGATCGACTGCGCGCCCCATCGAGGGGAATGCAGGTCGGGATCAGGTATCATATTGGCGCACTTTCCGCTCCGGTTTCCTCTTTCCACTTGCACTTTCCGCTTGCTTCTTCCGCTTGCTCTCTTGCCTCCCCCTCCCTCCCTGAGTCTGCTTGGTCTGCCGTTCCGGGTCGGTCATCGCTGGAGACTCCTCCACAGCGCGCTCTGCTGAAAATGCCATCCGTCATCGGGGACGCTGAACACGTGATCCAGCAGTCGTTGCGCCGTAGGTCGTTTGGCAGGATCGACCTCGAAGCAGTTCTTCAGGAAATGCGCCGCTTGCTTGCTCAGCTTGACATCCGATGGGATCGGAGGCGCCTTGCGTTCCGCACCGATCTTGAACATCGCTTGCACCGCCTCGTCGTCGCTCCACGGTCGACGACCGGCAAACATCTCCAACACGACGCAGCCGAGAGACCAAATGTCGATCTTGGCACTGTACCCCTTTTTGCTGAGCGAAACCACTTCGGGCGCCATCCAGAAGATTGATCCTTGCAAAGACATGTTTTCGACATTGCCGTAGATGTCGTCCGACCGACGTACCGTGCCAAAATCGGAGATCTTGCAGATGCCCTCGAAATCGACCAGGATGTTGTCCGCTTTCAGATCGCGATGCAGGATGCCCTTGCTGTGCAGATACGCCAAGCCGGACAGGATCTGATGCAGGAACGACTTGATCGTGGGCTCTTCGAACTTGCCGTGCTTGCGCAGGCAGCTGCCGACCGACCCACCGGGAACGTACTCCAGAAAAATACTCAGGAATGTCGTCGTCTCTTCGAAGCCGAGGTACGAGACGATGTGCGGGTGGTCCAGGTCTTTGAGTGTTTCGATCTCGGACTTGAGCGCGGCGACGACGGATTTTTGGCGCGAGTCTTCGCGGTCGCTGGCGGTTCGGGGCAATTCGACTTGCTTGACCGCAATCATCTCACCCGTGGTTGCGTTGAGCGCCAGGTAGACGCGGCCGTAAGTGCCCTTGCCGATCAGGTCACCCTTGACCCATTTGAACACGGGTTTGGGCGACGCCGTGTCCGAGGACGGCGACTCGGCTTGCGTTGCCGATGCAGGCGCAGTCAGCTCTTGTCCGGGCGTCATCTCGACCACTTTGGTGCCCCATAGCTTGGTGCTTCGTCGACGAAGGAGGCCGTCGCCCGTTCCGGATCCCGGTGCTGCGGGTCTCCTGTCCATGATCTTCTTGCGGTCCTGTGCGACGAGTCGGATCGACTTCTTGTGACGGCTGCGTTGGCCGAACGCCTGCTGCGGTCCAAGGGACGACACGCTCGGCGGGCTGGAGGCAATCTCGGCGGGGCCGTCCGACCGCGGACTGTTGACCATGGGGCTCTCGGGGACAGCCGCCGTGTCCAGCAGAGGCTTGTCGAGGTCGTGCTTCGGGAAGAAGTCATCCAGGTTCTCGTACAGCTGCTCCGGCGGGGGACGGAACGCCCAGTCGTCGTCTCTGCGTGCGAACGAGTTGCTGCGCGTGATGCCGCCGCTGTTGATCGCCGAGGAGAGATGCGAAGAGCTGGTCCGAGGAGAGCTGCTCGTGGGCGGCAGATCCGAACTGACAATCGTCGGACCCGTGGCAGGATCGATCGTCAGCTTCAACTCGGGCCTCGTTGACAAACCAGACGATGTCTGAAGCAGGGTGCCCTCGCCCGGCAGCAGGGTGCCGTGACTCTCCGAGGACTGCTCGTCATCTCCGCCCAGCCGCAAGGGCAGACGCGGTGCGTTGACGTCCGAGTCCAGTGGCTGCGCCCATGTCCCAGACTCGCTCTCGTCGTCATCAAAGTTGCCAAAGGATGCGACCGTGCCATTCTCCTCCGGCGCCAAACTCGGGCTCGAGGCGCGCGGTGGCCCAAATCTGGACGACGAGGAGCCTTCCGTGGTTTGCGGTCGTGTCGGTCCTGGCGTGCCCGAATCCGCTCTGACCGTATCGCCATCGCCGCCACTGCTACCGCTGATGGCAGTGCCAGACACCGTGCCCTCGGCATTCGGATCGATGGAACGCCAAAGCTGGGCCCATTCGCCAGCACGCAACGTGTCCTCGTCCTCCGACTTACGCACGTGCTCGCCGAGCGCGCTGTAGGCGTTCGAGGAAACTGGACGGGACGGATCGGTCGGCGTCGTGGCTGACGAGTCCGGGAGACGAGGCAGAGGGCGAACGTGCTCAAGTTCGTCGTCGGCCAGCTCTCGCTCTGCATTGCCAAAGGAGGACCGGGGCTCGCCATTGGCAGGTTTGGCCGAGATGGGTCCACTCTGGGAACTTCTCGCCGAGGTTGGGGCACTGAACGAGTCCTCGATCGAGGTGCGACTATTGCGGCCCTCAATGGATGGGCGCCGGTGCTGAGAGCTACCTTGACTGGAGAAGGACGAGCCAGATGAGCGCTCGGATGTGTTCGTTCGCACAGGTGGATCTCGCCGATGACTTTCGGGACCCGACATGGCGCCTGCCGAATGGGGCTGCTGCTGCTGGTACTGCTGCTGAAATGTCGGTCCGCGTCCTGCCGACGAGCTTGCGGACTGTGGCCTCGCTTGTGGACTGGCAAGGCCTGGAGGGGAAGCAGCGTAGCTGTCGTGTGCGCTGCGCAATGGCTGTGTCGGAGCTTGGTTGTGAGGATAAGGGTGATGGTGCGGTCGCGGCGAGGGCTGGTGATGCGGGTTCGGTACCGCAGATCCGTTGTAGCTCGGACGCTTCTGCATTTGAGGAGCTCCCGGTGCATTGGCGTAGTTCGGCATGCCCGTGTACTGACTCTGCTGAGCAGGCTGGCGCGGATCGCGAGGGCCATAAGAAGGACCCGGCGGGTGGGCATGGCCGGTTGGGTAGGGATGGCCTGGCGATCCCATCGGAGTATGACTACGAATCACTTCCTGTGTTCGCAAAGTCTGCTGCACCGTCATACCAGGCTCCAAGCGGCCGGCCTGCATCTGGAACTCGGAAACCTGTCGTGAGCTTGACGCGGGGAAGTAGCGCGTGGCGAAAGGGTCTTCGCGCGTCCGATACGGAGAAGCCACCGCTGGGTTGGGTGGACCGTAGGGTCTGTAGGCAGGATGTTGATGCATGGGCGGTGGCTGATCATGGTAAGAGTACGGACGCGGCGTGAGCGAAGCCTGCATTGCGCTGGCACTCATTCGAGGATCATGGCCGTGATACGTGTTGAAGTTCGGGCCCGGACCAGCAGCTCGCGTTCCAAATTCGTTGCCATACCCTGGACCCATGGGCCGAGACACGGCTTGCCCGTATGGCTGGGTTGCATAAGCCGGCTGTCCGGCGTAAGAGGGAGGTGCGCTGAACTGAGGGCGGCCCATCATGTTGGGAGGACGCGCTTGCATCAATGGAGCAGAGGGCGGAGGCTGACCGTGGAAGCGAGTTTCCCCTTGTCCTTGGCCAGCATAAGCATTCGGCAGAGGCGGCGATCGCATCTGAGGGGTACTCGACATCCTCATTGGACCATGGTCCTCCATGTGGTGACCGCTGGGAATGGCCGCCTGCGCACTGCGATTCCGCTGCAACAGACGAGGATCAGGCCCCGGGACGGGCTCTACGGTCGCTCGTCCGCTGGGCAGCATTTCCGAGCTGTATTGTCTGTGCGAAGAAGCACCCTCTCGAGCGCCTGGGCCAGCAGGAGCTGCGGTAGAAGGTCTCAAGATGGCTGGTGCTGGATATCGGCCGTCCCGATCCATGCCGGCCTGCTTGCGTACTTCAGCCTGCGTCGTCATCGAAGGCACGTGGGCAGTGGGCTGCACGGCTCGATGCAGATCGTCCATGCTCTTTGCGTTGTGCAAGGTCAAGGCTGGCGTCCCCTGCTGTCTCGCAAGCCCGCGAGCGCCGTCGTCGGACCGCTCTTGCCTGTGGCCAGAGCTGTTCGCTGCAGATGCGTTAGAGGATCGCTCGCCGTAGAATTCCGAGTCGGGACGGGATGTCTCAGCGTCATGGTGACTCTGACGGCGGCCTCCGCTGGCAGCAGAGCCTGGAGCCGTAGGGACGTTCGCAGAGATCGAGCTGGAGCGCTGGGTGACCACTACAGAAGGGGCTCCCTCGCTCGCTGAGCCACCCTGCTTTCCGGACGACTCATTTGCCGAGCTGTCGCCCGAGGACGCAATGGACCTACGATCTTGCAGTGCACCTTGGGATCCAGCATTCGAGCCAGATTGCGTTGGCGAGCGCAAATCATCCATCGGCGGAGCACTCGGCAGAGCTCGTCTGGCCGTAGCTTTAGATCGCGTCAGGCTGCTTGCTGAATTGCGATTGGATCCCTCGTGGCTCCCGTCCGCGCCGAACATCTCGGGATGAACCAAAGCATCGCTCATTGAGCTCTTCGAGGACTGACTCTCCGTTCGGAAGTGCTGGCTCGTGGCCGAGCCATTGCCGGACGTCCTGCGAACGTCGTTGAGCGCCCTTGGCGACACAGCAACCGAAGTTGGAGGTGGCATGGCTCGCACCGTCGAATTGGACGGCGGCGCTGTTTGCTGCACCAAGAACTTGAGCGTGCCACGATCATCGCCCATCTGTAAGCACAGGACGAGCAGGACATCGTCACTGACCACAGGACCGGACGCTTCCGATTGACCGATCTCGGTGCGGAACAATTGGAAGCTGGCGTGATCTGCGTCGTAAAGGTGGAGCTTGGCAAACATCCTTTCCTTGATCGCGTCCGCCGAGTCGACGCCCGAGATGTCCACAACCGAGAATCGCTCGTTGTCGTCGGTGACTTGAATCAAAACACGTTCGAACGCGCTCGAGACCCTTCGTTGCGCGGCGGAACTTCTTGACCCACTGGCTACTCTGGGCGAATCGCCAGAGGTCGAGCCCAGACCTTGCGAGCGTGGCGACTCTGCAGCAAGATACGGGAGCTCCTCCCTCTCTTCTTGCTGAGCCGCGCTGGGAGACGGCAGTTGCGCGGAAACGGAGGAATATGCAGGGGCCGACGGCGCAGGCTGCGACGTGGTCAAGTTCGCTGGTGTCTCTCCACTCGGCGTCGCCGGGGTACGGCATTCGGACTCGGTGGTTGTCGACAGTGCGGGGGACGGCTGAGATGTGAACGATTCGGACGGCGACCTTCGGGTGGTTTCGAGCGTCTCGACCAAGTCAGGATCCAGTCCGAGGTGAGGCGAGGTTTGACTGGCAGAGCAACGGGCGTGCGAAGCTGAGGTGGGGTGCTGCTCCGAGGTGGCCGTGCGCGTGTGGTGGACCTTACGTCCGATACGCTCCCAGACGTTGCCAACATGTTCCAAGACGCTGCTAGGCCTCCTTGCTTTGCTCGCGGAGCTCTCTGCGTCCTGAGACCTGAAATTGGTGGAGATCGACAGATTGCCTGGAGAAGAAGGACGCAAAGAGGCAAAAAAGCCTCCGCTGCTCGGTGGCTTGCTGGACAAAGTGGGTGAGATGGGCGCAGTGGAGGAAGCAGGTGGGCTGGTCGCAAGTGTACCACCAGAGGACTGACGCGTGGTCTGGATATCACGGTTCGAATCGAGCGGCATCGGCGGCGACCGTGAGCTGGCAAGTAGGGCCGATTCGATGGGCGCACCCGTGAAGGTGATGGTTGGACTGGTGGCAGATGAGCGATTTGGCGGTTTGAAGTAGTGTTTTGTGAAGTAGGATGGCGACATGGAGCGTTCTGGGCTCGTGGTGTGGCCGTGATGAGAGAGGATCGAAGCTGCGTCTGCCGAGGCAGTCTCGGAGGGCGTGTCGCCGTTTGCGGCTGGAGCAGTAGCGTTGGAACTGGTGGAGCGTAGCTTGGCCATGTCCGGTGCCGCGGCGGTTGTTGAGCTGCGAAGAGGGTGCTGTTCCTCCGGCGACTTGGCATTTGCATTCCAGTTGAGATAGGAATCGGTGCTAGAATGCAATTGCCATTTGGAGTCATGGTCCGCGGCGCTGGGACTCGTGACGAGCGAGTCGGGATGGAACGACATGCTGGTGTCTATGCAATTGAGATGGAGGAGCCAAAGTTAGGGGCCCATGGGTCGCCTGTCCACGGAGAACACGGGGCGGACTGCGCCCCTGGGATGTTGGATGTCCTGTTTCCAGCAGCTCGGGCTAGCTCACGTGCTTTCGGTCGCCTCTAGAGCTGTGTATGTAACGACGGCATTCGTGAGCGCAGATTGGGGTTGACGATAAGGCGTCTGTGAGATTGGTTGCCGGTGATGTCAGCGCGAGGCTGGAAGAGAGGCAACGACTGTGAGGATGGCCAACGCGAGCTATTCCAAATGACCGCCAGTCGCGACGGCAAAGGGGAGGTGTTGCGATGCAGAAGATATGCGAAGTAGCTCAGACGGCTGACAGAATCAGAAGCACTCTGCCGAGGGAATGAGGCCTAGATTGTGAAGGCAAAGCGGCGGTGACGAAAGATATGCAGCCTCGGAAGAAGGAAGCTCGACTGAAAGATGCGCAGAGCTCGAGTGCCTTGCGGTTCGAGGCGTCCTTGTCGCAGTGAGCAGGAGAGACAGAATGTGCAGCGGAAGTGGAGATCCCGTTGGCGCTTCCGACCACGATGGAAAGCTGGGCGACGTCTGTGTGGGCTGGGCGTATGCGGCGGCTGCGATGGTGACTCGTCGTTGCGTCGTAAGGGAATCAAAGTGGTTGATCACGGCGATGGCGGCATAGAGAGCAGTCGAGAAGCAGACGACGAAGACGTTGAGATGGCCGAAAGCAGCTATGAGTAGCAGCTGAGTCCTATTCACCCGCAATGGAAGGGCAAGACGATGATGATGGAGGAGAATGAAGACGAGCAAAAGCGTGGGTGTGTGGATGAGCTGAGACTGACAGGCTGCCGAACGCACGCACGCACGCTCAACGCACACTTGCCCGCCTCACTCCAACTTAATCACTCCAGCGTCCAGTGCCGCTTTGATGATATCGCGGTCTGCAGGCGGCTCAGCTTTGGTCGCGATTCTAAAACAATTTTCCAATTCCGGCTACGCCTTCGAGAAATCGAAGCCTGTCACAGAGCCAGAAAGCTGACCCTCGATGATCGTCTTCAGGTGTCATCCTCCAGCCTCTTGTTTTCAGCTCTCACTGCTCTGAACAGGACACTCGTCCCACAATCTATCTGTCGGCAATGGTGGACAGGGTATATAAATGAAGCATGGCATCGATGAGGGTACGAATATGCCGAGAAGTTGTGTAGGTGAGGATCGTCACGGTGCTAACTTAGCGGAGACTGTGCAGCATTGTCACGCGTTTCTGAGCACGCAGGTCGAGCTGTTCCTGGCCTGCTTGGGCAAGTCGTCGTCCGATCTTGTCTGCATGGCGCTCGCAGAGACGCTGACCACCCACCATGTAGTAGTCCGCCAGCTGTTCGAGGCATTCTCCGCTCTTGGAGCTGCTGTACTGACAGCTGAAGCAGTGTGGATGGAAGCGGTCGCCCGTGTCCGTCTGGCGGCAGTCGCCCTCGATGCCGCCATCGCACTCGCGGCATACGCTGCCGTTCAAGCGATGGTAGTGACGCGAACAGTACGGCTGGTTGTTGAAGACGTAGAAGGTGCCATCCGTGAAGGGAGCCTCGCAAGCCGCGCACGAAAAGCAGCTTCGGTGGAAGACGCCGCGAAGCGCACCGTCCGACGACTTGACAGCCCCCTTTTCGACGATGAGGTTGCACTTGCGGCACTTGGGCAGGTAGAGCTCCTTCCAGTCTCGCGCGCAGAGCAGCTTGCCGTCGCGCTCGACAAACGGCGTTCGACTCGACGAAAGCGAGCAATCGCAGACGCAGCACCGTTTCGCCGCCCTCTCCTTCTTCTTCTTGTCCTTCAACTTGAGAGCTTGCAGATGCCTCGAGCGCTCCTTCTCGCGCAAACGTTGCAGCTCCAGCTCGAGCACCTGCTCCCGATCCGACTTGGATGCGTCCGTCGCTGCCCTGGGTCGCGGGGCGCTGCTGTCCCCCTTGCTTGGAAGGTCCGTCAGTGTTCGGTTCAGCCATTCCGGGCTTTCCGTCAGATCCTTCATCATCTCTTCAATTCCGCTCAGGTCGACACGACCGCGTTGGCGAGTCGGCTTCGACGATGCGTAATCGGTCGCGCTTTTCGTCGACGTCGTTTTGACGTCCTCTTCGAAACGCTCGTAACTCGAGCTAGGCGTGATGTCGGCAGTGAGCGCTCCGGCGAGCTTCCGAGTCGAGCCCGTTCGCCCGGACAACCCAGTGCCGCTCGATGAGGCCGACGAGAAGGAATCCATCTTGACGTGCTGGACGTCCGATGGACCGAGCGCGCGGACACGCGGCAGCGTCGAAAAGGGACCCGGCGGACTCTTGGCCGATTTGGACCTCGAAAGATCTTCCACCGGGGCGCTCTGCTTCGACAGGTCCGACGTCGTCGCTGCTCTTGGCAATGGTGAGGCCATGAAGTCTTTCTTCTTGGCCGCCCTCTGCTCTTCGATCATCTTTCGCCGTGCCGCTGCTGCGTCGGCTTGCGAGTCGCTCGACGAGCGCTGAATCGAGGGAGGTGGGAGCGGCGAGGCAGAGCCTGGCTGTAAACGCGCATCGACTGCGTCAGACGGGCTAGACGACGTGAATGGCGAAGAATGGTTTGCCGCTGGAGCGCCAAATCTGCGGACGGTGCGTGCCTTTGGCGTTTCCTCCTCGTCGTCGTTGACCCGACGGGAATCGCTCTGCACTGCAGTCTGAAAGAGAGCGGGACTTACGGGCGCAGACCCACCGACGAGACTGTCATATCGATCAAAGAAGAAGGGCGAGCGTGGCGTAGCGAGAGGCGGAGACGAAGTGGTTGAGGAGAGCGTGGAGCTGCTCAGGGAGCTCGGCAATTGAATTGACAGGAGTGGGGGTCTGGACGAAGTCGTAGACTGGCAAGAATGACTGGCAAGCTCCTCGAAGTCGAGCTTCTCACCGCAGTCGGCGCATTTCGCCTTGGGCAGCTCGGGCTCGAGAACCGTCGCGCGCGCGATGGTGAATGACGCGTCTGTAGAGGTATCGCCCACTGTCGCCGAGGTCGAATCAAAGATGAACTCTTCGTAGTCGTCCTCGTAGATGGTGCACCGCTCTGCCACTTTGGTATGTGCCATCGGTGTCGAGCGGCTGGATCCCTGTGCATCTACAGGCCTGAGGTGCCCGTTGCGAGAATACTGGGAGTCGCCGCTGTGAGCATAGGCTAGACTTGCCGTGGAATCGCTGGTCGAAGACTCGAGACTGTCGGAGCGCAGTACCCCTCTGCTGCCTGCCTCTCTAAGCGCCGAAGAGGAAGGAGCAGCAGCTGCTACCCTAGATTGAGGCTGGTTCAGACTGCTGTGATGATCATTCCGTTCGAGCTGACGGTAACTCTGTTGAGGAGATCTGTACCCTGTCCTCTGCCACTCATCGCTCGACACTGTCGGTAGAGGCAGAGTTGCCTGCCGTGGAGACGGACTTTGATAGTAGCCCTGGCTAGAGCCAGGTGTTGCGGCAGACGAAAGTCCGTATTGATTGCGTGCATCGTATCCTTGAGGGAAGGCACGATCAAGCGAGGGCTTGACGTCGCGACCGTACGCGCCGTCTTGAGAGCCACGGTGAGGGTACGGCTTCGGCTGGTACACGTCTTGCATGAACCTGCGAGCGCCGAAGCCTGCAAGGTTGTCTGCCCCGCTGATACCGGCTGATGCGGCCACAGACCTCTTCGGATGGTAGTGGGTCATGGTGTTGGGTGTCGAGTTGTCTGACTGGAGCGCGAGCTCACGAATGGAAGCGCTCCTGGACAGAACAAGTCTCTAGAGATGCAGCAGATGTTGGCTCGAGATATCCGTTGGTGGATGACGAAAGAAGGTGGCAGTGGATAGGCAGGCTGACAAACGTGGTACGGGAGTGACTCAGGTCGACATCATAATCGAGATGAAGGTGTGCGGTGTGGAATGGCTTGTTGGAGGCGCCGAGCGAGGCTGGAGATGCGAACCAAGCACTTGGATCCTGGGCGGGGCAAAGATGAATCTTGGTGACCATGTGACGAAAGAAGAGGACCATGCGTGGGGGGACGACGAGGCTGACGCTAGAGTATAGATGAAGACGATGGATCGACAGAATCAAGACTGTCGATGCTGACGGGTGGGATGCAGAAGCAGGCGCAAGCGGGTGGTTGAGATGAGATGATGCTTCAATCAATGAGGCGGCATGGCGCTCGCAGCCGATCTGGCATAGGGTGAGGCGTTGATGAGGTCGATTCCAGCTCGAAGTGGTGGATGCTGGGTGAGTAGAGACAGGATCTGCTTTGGAACGGGAGGGGGGTGAGAGAGAGTGGGCGTTTTCGTTGTTCGTCACACAAGAGCGGCACAGGTTCGAGGTCAAGACACAAAGGACGAAACCGGCGCTGGACGTGCGTGGAGCGGCATGCACCTCCAAACCTTGGAATGTTACGCAGCTCCGTGCCGAGGCGGCGTGGCGGGTGGGATCTGCGTCCGTGCCGACTTGTAAGGGGCCTACTGATGCCAACCCACACGACGTCGGCCAATTCGCCAGAAGAGGGTGGTTCGCGTGCCTGTCTGTTGGAGCTAGAACACGCGCCGTCTTGCTGCACCGTCGCGCATATCAACTCCGACCGTTCGGCAGTCGATTGTGCATGCTCGGACAGTCGAGCCGGACAGGCGCCTCTGTTTTTCCGTGGTTTGCCAGCGCGACGACGAGAAATCGCCTCGACCGAGCGAGCACATTTCGACAGGGTCAGTCAGGCACCGAAGCTCCCCTCGATTCCGAGTCCGGCACCGACAGCTTCCAAAGAGGCGCAACGTCTCGGCAGACCTTGACATCGACGATCGACGGTGGGGTCATATCATCTATCTTTCCAAACGAGGCGCAACACAGCAGCCGCGATAGTTGAGCTCTGTCAGATTTTTTAAAAAGGGATCCAGCAGCCATGACCTGCCACCAGCGCGCAGAGATGCTCCATTCAAAGCCTTCACGGGGGATTGACCTGGATCGGACTGCGGTCGTCCGTTGAGCCCGCTTTCAGATCTGGAGGTAGATTGCAATGTGAGGATCGTCGCCTCGTTCCTGACGAATTTGAGGGAGGAGCCCCAAAGTCGTATCCAAGTGCCAAGCAATCGACCTCGGTGACGGTTGCATGGCGCTTTTGACGCGTCGCATTTTCATTTCACCATCAGAAGTGCAGCAAGCCAACGCCACTAACCGGCGACCGCTCTGGATACTGTATCGGGTGCACCGAAGATTGATCTGAGGTGAGCGTGATGACAGACAAGGAACTGTAGATCTACTGCGGCCCACTGTACGCCCCGATCCGATGGCTTCTCGCCTCAAAGGTGACCGCGTCCCTCCTCTTCGAGTGCCTTGCGGACGGCGTCAATCACCTTGGAGTGCACCTCCTTACGCGATGCCACCACACCACGGTTCTCACGCAACGTTCGTCCGACGCCAAAGTTGAGACTCTTGCCGCGGATGTCCGACACCTTGCCTCCAGCCTCTTCCACAAGCAACGATCCCGAAGCGTGATCCCAGATCTTTTCTTGGTAGCTGCCGTCGCCAACAGGCAAGCGCAGGTAAACGTCACCATCGCCTCTCGAGATGCTAGCGTACTTAGCCTGGCTGTCCATGCGAACGGAAGGAGCGGTGATGCCGAGCAGCTCTGCAATCCTGGCGTTGGTGCCGTGCGAAGAGTGGCCTGCCTCGACCGACTCGCAGAAGGATGCCTCGGAGAGCGAGCTGATCTGACGCATGGTAATCTTCTCTTCCTTGCCACCCTGGATGGGACGCTGGAAGGCGCCCTGTCCTCGCACTGCAATGAAGAGCGTGCCGAGATCACTTCGCTTCTCGCCGGCACCGAACTCGCCTTCCTTGGGTTTGGCGGACGAAGCATCGTGCGGCAAGTTGGGGCAACCCATCACACCCACCTGGACCAGACCGTCGACCATGAAGGCGAGGCAGACAGCGTACTGGCCACCTCGCAGGAAGCCCTTGGTGCCGTCGATGGGGTCGAGTGCCCAGCAACGGCCCTCGGCGCCTCCTTCTGCGCTGCCTCTGTCAATAGCTGCGAGGAGCTCCTTCTCTGTCAGCTCGCGGTCGCCCAATGCTTGCGTGCTGGGCTTGGACTCGGCTTCGGCAACAGCAGGGCATTCCTGAGCAGAGTTCTTGAGCGCCTCGTTGGCAAGACCAAAGATCTGCTTGCGCAGAGCCTCCGACTCGGGCTTCTGCAGATCTTTCGAGTCCTCTTCGCCCACAATGGGGTCTTCCGGGAAATGCGAGCCGAGAATAGCGTTGACCACCGCCTGCGCCGAGTAATCGCCTACGGTCACGGGCGACTTGTCCTTCTTGGTGACGGTGTCGGCGGTGACGAGGTTGCGAAAGACCTTGTCTGTGAGCGAGCAGGCGCGCTCGACTGCTGAGATGGCAATGGATCGCTCAAGAGCGTACTGTGCTGAAGACGACGACGACATGATGTTGATGTGACGGGATTTCGAGGCGTGCTTGTAGGCGAATGGAGATGATCGAGAGAGTCGTCCAGCGATCCGTATTAGGTGCAAGGTCATGCACTCTCGCTTATGAAGCTTTGTGGTACTTGGGGTGACGGTGAGTTTGAGTCAGGTCGGGTTGACTTGGAGCTCTGTGGTCGATGGCGACGAGAGGTGGGCCAAGGTGTGATTCCGACCTTGACTTAGCAAGCTTTCAAGCAAGATCTTCTGAAACGCACGAGCCGCCGTGAGTCAGCGACACAGAAAAGGGCATTGTTAGACCCGCGATGTGAAATCTGGAAAGAGTGCAGATCGGCGATTTCACTTCTTAGCCGCAGATCGGGTTCCGATAGCAAACGCTTCAGGGCGTAGAGGGCGCATCTCGGTTGCTTGACATCCACGAAGAAGCATCGGAGTCTAATGTGCTGATCACAGTGGTGCCTGACGATCGAGAGCTAAACTCATGAGGCCGCGTCACCAGCATGCAGAGCTACGTGGAGGTCCAAGCTGTCATGCGTGGGCAGCAGGTAGTGCTTGAGCTATGCATCAGCGGAGAACAAAGATGCCGCCGTTCTGCAAGCGGCAAGCCACTTCGGAAACGTGACCTCGAGCGTGCATATCGACGTGGAGGACAAGAATGTTCTGGACCGGCACGAGCCATCACGCGATGCTTTCAATATGGGGACCAAGCGGGGGGCTGTGCGAGTCGGAGTCGACTTCAAGCCTTCACGGAACGGTCTCATCCGTGTTTGAAGGTACGTGGAGGCAAAGGGCGTCGACTGCGAGGAGGAACAATGGTGGCTGGTCGAGTCACCAGCTCGCTCTGCAGGAGGCAAGCGAGGAGCGCAACGTAATAAGCTATCGCTTGACACGCAGCGCGGCGAGATATCTGATAAGTTTGACATGCAATCGCGGCTGTCCCTCCGCGGGAATCGCAGCCTCCTCGCGTAGAGTGCTTAGGCGAGAGTCGATGGCGCGGGAGCGGTAATTTGGAATTGAGTCCGATTTGCCCATCCTCGACCGACAGAACCATCACACATCACTTGGCTCGGAGGGCAGCCGTCCGAGTCTGATCTGAGCTGCTTCTGTCGCCGTACTTGACAGCCAAATAGCGATGCACTTGAACGGTAAAAGCGGGATGAATGGCGATCCGGAACGACGGCCATTGCATCGAAAGTCGAGTCACCACTCGCTTTGTCGAGGCGAAATGAAGTTGCGAAAGCTTTAATTTTTCTGGCTTGCCCTCCGCCTTCCGGAGTGTTCGCCGCTTCTTTGCGCGTGTCGCGTTAATCGGATTAGCCGGTCTCCTTTAGCCAACTTTTTTCCGATTTTTGTTCCATGGGGAACCCTGTAGAAGGGTTCACACTACTCTGCGGCTTTTTCTCTCGGTTCGAAATCTTGTCTCCGTGGACTTGATTTCGATTATGGCCGAGCTGTCAGTGATGTTCCCCCATACATTTACAGTCCGCCATCGTGCGGCAGTGCCATGATGACGTGTTCCGATGCTGGTTCCGTCGTCCAAACGTGGTCTGCATAGGACGGAGGAGGGACACCAATATGGCTCTCGAGCCCACGCTTAGCGAAGGACAATGTCAGCAAGTCGAAAGAGGGTTTCATCTCATGATAAGCTTAAGCCAAAAGTCAAACGGTGAAAGAGGCGCGGACTGGTCAGGCAATCAGACCGGAACATGGAAGAGTCCGATGAGGGATGACTATGACTGTGTGACTGTGGTGACTGTGGTGACTAGGATTCAGGTGATGCGAGTTGTGGCAGCCTTGCGTGATAACGCATAGCAAGGGTCTCTCCGGCTCGGCTGCTCCCCTGTGGCTAGACCCTTACAGGCTTATTTTTCCTTAAGATTTTATTTTTGCCTCCACTCAGAACCCTGAAGTGTTGGTTGGCGTGGAGTCGAGAAAAGTCGGGCAGCGCGCCAGTATAGCCAGCCAATTTCCGGTTATCAAGAAAATTGCCACCCATATATGTATGGGACGGCCCCACCCGAACCCACCGGATTCGATTCTCCTTCCCCTCCCTCTTCGCATTCACATCCGTTTGGCTCGTCTACAATTGCTAGCTCACAGCCAAATCGCACCTTGCTCTCTCACCATCATCACCGTGAGCATCGTCGCTCATTACCCTCATCGTGACCACGCCTACTATCAGCGCTTCTGTCCTTCACCCTCCTTCATCACCACCACCACCCCCACCTTCCACCCTGTCTTCACCACTCGATCGCTCGTCCCCAGATCGCAACGCCTTCATGTCTGCATTCACTTCTCTTTCGCCTGGCGTCACCTCGTACGGTTCGCCACCTTATCAGCTCGACAGCTCCACCAAGCCCTTCGACGCCTCCAACCCATCCGACCGCATCGGCGAGCTCCAGAAATTCCTCCTAGGAAGCGACTGGTCTTCGCTCTCGTCGCTGAGACCTTCAGCCGCACCAGTCTTTGCCGTCGCCGACGTGCCCACCTCGTGGCCAGCATCCATGGCCAATCTGCCACTCGTCTCATCTTCAGTTGAGACCATCAAGCCCTCCACCATGCTCAACGCTACCACCGTCGATGCCCCAGCTGCTGTGGACCCAGCCCCTGCCGCCACGTCGACATCGACGACTGACTCGATGTCCACGTCGGCTGCTTGGATGAGCACCTATCCATCACCGCTGACGCCTCCTCACCGTCAGTCCTTCGACACCTGCTACAGTGACTCGGTGGGCTCGCCCGACTCCGAGCGCGATTTCCACGCATCGCCCTCGACCTTTGACGATCTGGACTTCGAATTTGGCGCCGCCGACACTTTCGCTTTCCCGCTCTTCAACGACCAGTCCTTCGAAGATCCTGTCGAGTCAGACGTCGAGGATCCCGTCAGCGTTTCTGCGTCCCAACTACAGAGCGTCAAGCTCGAGGCCGATCAGCACGACTCGCAGGAGACCGAGACCGACTTTGATGCCAGCCAGTCTACGGTCATGCCAACTCAAAGTCAGGTCAAGGTCGAGGACGACGTTTACCGTTCACCTTCCACCCTCGACGCTGCCTTCAAGACCGAGGTCGAGTCTGCCAAGTTCGAGCCTAAGGACGAGCTCGATCTGTGGACTGCTGAGGACCGCAAGCCTTACTTCAGCGACGACGACGACGTCAAGGATGTCAAGCCCAGCACGCTCGCCGAGGCCTACGCCTTTGGACACGATCTGTCCCAGGCCGTCAAAGTGCCGTTCAGCCACGATGATCTGCAGAAGGCTTCGCAAGTCGGTCCTATGCGTCCCGCACGCAGCACTCGGGATCGTCGCGCTTCGCCCGTCAAGGCTTTCATCGACTCCGCCTCTGCCAGCCCAGCCCCCTTCGTCGACCCCGTCACCAACACCAAGCGCTGGCAGTGCGACGCATGCGGCAAACTCTTCGATCGCGCCTACAACCTCAAGACGCACCGATATACGCACGAAGACCCCGAGACCCGTGCTCGACCGTTCGTCTGCTTCGATGCCGACTGTCAGAAGCAGTTTGCTCGAAAGCACGACATGCAGCGCCACTACGAGAACGTCCACTGTGGCGAATCAAGAAGTAAAAGGGGCGGCTCCGTTAAGCGGGGCCGCGCTGGCGACATGGGTTAGACCCTAGCGTCGGCGTACCTACCTATTTTGAATGAATCTTATCGCAACAGTAAGTGTCACCATGCGTTGGCACAGTTTCCTTTCTCCGACATGGTCCTTACCGCTTCATCTTCACCCTGCGCCTCTCCCGATAGCCACTCAATCTTGCACCTTGGAACAGTTCGCTGTCTTCGCACCCGCCTGGCGCTCACCGTCACGCCGGTCGTCGATGCCACTGTTGACTCTCTTTATAATTCGAGCGGGCCGCCGCTTCCAGAGCGTCGATTCACCCCATTCCGGATCGTCGAACTCTCCAAGCGATAGCTTCGTAGCGCACCTTTGCGCTCCTCAAGCCATCATTCATGAAGCAACATCACGACGCCGACGGGTCCCTGGACCCATCGCTCACGTCGTCACGATGCTCTCATCGCTACTGCAGCATTTGCCTGACGCAATGCTCCCCGCTATGGATCCCGTCACTCGCTTCGGAGGATCGCCGCCACTCTCAATTAGGGCCGGGAGACTGACTTGCTACCCCTATTCTCGCTGGGTTCGCTCTTTCAGCCCACCTGCGCCGCGTTTCAAATCGAGCTCGGCATTCTTTCCTCCTTGGCCGTTTCCCTCCCACGAAGACGAATAGGCCAGACGGCGTCCTCACGCCTCTCACCTGTCTACGCTTCGTTGTTTCCAGTAGCCTTTTTCTCCCTGGCCCGCTCTCACGCTCGCTGACGAATCAGTTCGGGACCGACTACTCACGGTCGTCCTGTGTCCTATTCATCGCCGAGTTCCACTACGGCGAGACTCCCACGCGACTGGGCAGATTCGGTTCTTCCTTTTCGTGTCTCGAGTCTCTTGCTCCTTTTGCTCATGGCCCTCGATCTTCGTGCCACTGCTCTCGCTTTCGCATCGGCTCTGCACAAAGCATTGATACTCTCGCCCTTCACAGACCACAAAACAAACATCAGCCCTCCTTTGATCCTTTTCCCGTTCCTATTCGTCTGTAGCTTGCTCTGCTTGCCACGGTTGTGTCTTTCTTCAGCTGCTCTCACGTTTCGAATCTCAATTCTCGTTCAGTTCGAGACCTCGGTGTATGTGTGTCCCTGTGTTCTCGTGAGAGAAAGTTTCGTGATCCCGATGAAGAATGAGTGAGCTTGCTACCGCACCCTGCCTTACTGTATTTACGAGGTGCAGATATGGTGGTCGGTCCTTTTCGGCGGGCGGCGGCATGAGCGGTGCGGTCCAGAAGGGTTTACAGCCAAATTTGTTGGACGCAGGAAATGACGGACCGAGAGATTTTTCTTTGCCGAAAAAATTGAGAAGTTGTGGGTGTGACGTCTTTGGTCGAACCCTTGGTTCATCTTTGTCGCTCTACACCCTCTTTACCACCTACACCATCATCGCTGCTTCAACGAGGACGACAGGGATCACCATTCTGATCAAGGAAGCAAAGCGGGCTCGGCAAGAGATCAAATTCATGCAGGCAGCATAGACAGAATCAGCACACCAGAGTCTTGCGGAACGCATCAGATCCAACTTCTCCTCCAGGCGACTCGTAGATCCCCATCGCACACCCGTCCGATCGCAACCGGAAAGCATAGAACAATGTCACAATCAATAGCATCCTCCTCACGGCGGCAGTCCGCGCCGGCACCAGCACCCAAGAAGTACCCTTTCTACCTCGGCGGGTGCGCCGCGTCCATCGCAGCACTCTTCACGCACCCGCTCGATCTGACCAAAACGCGCATGCAAACGGCCTCTTCGCGGCAGGGCATGTTCTCGCTGCTCCTCTCCACGTTCCGCACGGAAGGTCCACGGGGACTATACGTCGGTCTCTCCGCATCTTTGTTGCGACAAATGACGTACAGCGTCACGCGATTCGGGGCGTATGACTGGCTCAAAGCGCGCACGCTCGATTCCAACGGTGGAAAACCACTGGGACCGTTGCAGATGGCCCTGTGTGCGTCGGCGGCGGGTGCGGCGGGTGGGTTGGCCGGCAACCCCGCTGACATCCTACTCGTGAGGATGACCAGCGATGTCAATCGTAAACCTGCCGATCGATATGGGTATCCGAACGCCATTTCGGGCCTGGCACGGATGACAAAGGAGGAGGGCGTGGGGAGTTTGTTCCGCGGATTGGGACCGAATACCGTGCGTGCGGTGCTGATGAACGCCAGTCAGCTCGCTACGTACGATGTGTTCAAGAACCTCCTCCTCTCCTCGAACCTCTTTAGCGAAGGCACAGCGTTGCATTTCAGCGCGAGTTTCATGGCCGGTACGGTGGCCACGACCGTATGCAGTCCCGCAGATGTCATCAAGAGCAGGGTGATGAACGCCGCAGGATCTGGAGAGGGAGTGTTGAAGGCGCTCAGGGGAGACTTGAGGAAAGAGGGCGTCGGGTTCTTGTTCAGGGGATGGACGCCGGCGTGGATGAGGCTGAGCCCGAATACGATTATCGTCTTCGTGGTGCTCGAGAAGTTGAGGTTGTTGGTGGATTGGAAGCGCGAGAAGACGGGGACCGTGGGGGAAGTGCAGAAGGCGTAGGTGCGGGCATACTTAGATAGCGGGCATCGTTCGACAGCGGCATCATAAGGCAGCGACATCCTTAGCATCTTTAAATAGACACATATGATTCGTCTTGCACACATCGTAGAGGCCACAGTGTGTTCATTCGAAGCTGTTTCTGGTGCAGCAAGGCTCCTGGAAGCCGTTAGGTTGAGATGCAACGCTACAGGGGAAGGCAGATCGCCGATCGAGACATATCGGGAGGCAGAAAATTCGAACGCAGCTCTCCACTTCTTCGCAGCAACACCTTAGTCAACGTCCGCACAATTTTGACACATCGAGCGTCTCATCACAGCTCCACCACCACCGCAAGAGTTCATAATCAACATGTCTGGTCAAGGATCATATCTGTACGTACAACGGTGGAGTGGGCTGGGCTGATAGGACGTGGAGGATCGCAGCACGGGTAGCAGGGAGGACTAGGCCTCATCGGACCCTCCAGCAAAGGTGCTCAGCACAGCCGGCATCGTGGCGCAACAACCCTCGCAGCCGATGTCCAACACTCCGCATCGACACCTCAGCCCCTCGCACTGGGATGAATAGATCCGTTTTGTAGCAAGATACTGACACACTTTTTCTCTTCTCAAACTCGGCATGCTCGCAGCTCGGCACAGAAGGGCTTCCTCTCGTCGGGCAACGGCCGTCCAGCGCCGAAGCAGCAGAACTTCCTCGTGCGCTTCATCAACCAACAGATTCTTGCGCCCGAACACCGCCCCGGCAATTTGTCCATTGTTTGGGGTCTCACCGTCTTCACCGCCGGCATCGTTGTTGCGAGGAAGTTCGGCGATCTCATCACGCCCGTTTTCTAAGTTGGACCCACAGACACTACGCACCGCTCCAACGCAATCTAGCCACCGTTTCAACGAGGTTCGCAGCATGTAGCAAGACTGGCTCGAGAGGAATTATTGAATCAGCGGTGCCGCACAGAGGAGGGGGGAAGAAGGTGGCACCGGCCCTTATCGACTCGAATTGTCTGGACTGGGCAGGCGGTCGGCAGCTTCGTTTGCGATGAGGGGTCGCTTTGATCTGCACCCAGTCCTCTCGGGGTCGATGAGCTGCGCAAGCTCATCAGTCCCGAAGTCGGCGTTCCTTGCATCATCGCCCCAGCTCGCCAACTTTTGCTCACACACAGACAAGGACGCAGCCACGACCGCGAGCATGAGCATGGATGACAGGGAAGAACCGATTTTGTGATTGAATGCGGACGAACTGACTTTGCGGTGAACAACAGGTAATGCGAGACGATGGGAGAGTGGATGCTGATAGGATGATCGAAAGAGGGAGATGCGTGCTTGAGACCACTTCTCGATGGGCCGTAGCTATCTTTGACACTACACGCAGTGAGGAAGACCAGGTTGAAGCTCGGCTGGCCAGGTTCGCTTCACTTGCGACCCCCGTTCTTGCCCTTCTTTTTGTGAGACGACTTCTTGGCGCCGCCGCTGCTGGCGGCCTCACCAGTGGGAAGAACCAGCTGGTCGTCCTTCTTGAGCGCCTGGTAGAGGGAAGGCTTTTCGGTCTCGGTGGTGGGTGCCTTCTCGGTCACCTGCTGGGTGAGAATGTCAAACTCTTTGGCCTGAGCTGGAGCAGAGCCGTCCTCTGCGGGGCCGACGACGACCTTGGCGTGCGGCACAGGCTCGGCCGGAGCGGACTCGGCCTTGCGTTTGCGGTTCTCGGCTGCGTCGTCAGCGGTGGGGGCTGGCTTGTCGTTCTCGGTCTTTTCGGTGGAGGGTTGCTCGTGTTTCTGCTCCCCCTTCTTGTCGTCAGCGGTGCCCTGTGCTCCCGACACTTTCTCCTTGGGTGACTTGGGGCCTGCTTCGTCGGGTTTGGCTGCCGATTGAGGCTTAGGAGAGGCCGGTTTGTCCTGCGTGGGCTTCTCAGAATGCTCCTTTGCGGCGCTGCGAGTCTCCGACGCTTTGTTGGAGCTCTTGCCCTTGTCCGCCTGAGCGCTTTCGGCAAAGACCGAGGGATACGGCAGCTGAAGCTGTTGAGGAAGAGCGAGGTTGAAAACGACCGTGGCAGTGCGGGCAAGCTCTTCGACGGCCCTCAGCGGGCCATGCGAGACGCGCGATACAATGTGGACGCTGCGCTGGCTGGCGTGTTCAGCTGCGTGGACGCCGGTGTCGAAGCCCTTGACCAGGCTCGAAGGCAGACGAGGCTGTACCTTGTGGCGGTAGGCCTGAAGTGCATGATGTCCGTATCGGTGCTCGACTGTCTCGAGTTTGGCATGGAACCAAAAGGCGACATTTGACAGCACGAGGAAAATCGCCGTGAACAACGGCACGAGAAGCGAGCTGTACAGCTTGCCTACGATAGGAATGGATTGAATGAGCTGGTCCAGAGGCCATTCGTCCTTCCATTGGGTGCAGTACAGTGTTTGTTTCTCCCCTTCCTCCGCATTGAAAGTAAGCACCAGCTTGGTGGGCACGGCAAATTCGAAGAGCGGGAAGAAGGCAGGTCGGATGAAGCGAGTGGCCTGTACGACGGCAGTTGAGCTGGCCGCGTCCCAGTGAACATCTCGGTCTTCGATCTTGGCTGCCGAGCCAAAGTTGAGGGCATTGAGCAAGTACGCGGCATGCTTGAGCTGACTTGCGCCCGTGATCTTGAGGCCTCGTCCTTGATAGGTGCTGGCTGAGGCGAAGTGAGAGTTGATGACCGAGTTGAACATGACCGGATCTCTGCACAGCAGGTCGCGGACGACCTCTGCAGGCATACGTTGTCGAGACGAAGGGACAGGGTCTCAGCTACATAGTTCACTGCCACTATCTAAAAGGTTTTGTACTTACGCTTCACCTCCTGGTCGGCTTTGGACGCATTCATGGTGGCAATGCTGGCTCCTTGGTCGGAAGATAAGCGATTGTGTGCTCTTTGGGGACAGCCTGGCTTGTGACTCAATGGCGATGATCAGTCGGTGAAGGTGATGGTTTAGAGGGAGGAAGCTCTCGCCTCACTTGTCTAGGTTCTGAGGAGTGATTCAGCAGAGAGCAACACTGGAACAGCGAAGCGTCGGCTAGCGCGCCAGAACGCTTCGAGACTTGTTGCTCAAACTCAGACGTCAGAAGCCAGCCGAACAGGCGTAGCCGACCTCGCTGTGCCAGAGGTGGTGACAAGCGGGTTGCATCGGATTATTGCACGGTCAGCTGCGCCCCGTGCATTTCACACGCGGTTCTTCCGCAGCTGTCATGCTTCGCGCACGCTCCTTCATAGAGTCACGTCCGTCACCGTGCTTGCATGTAAGCCAGCTTGGGCATTGTTAGCGGCGCATGTCGGAATCGAGCCGATATGACAATCTAGCCCCGCATCATTGTTGCTCTGTTTGCGCTCAGATGCACACTCAGCATGGGAACCAAAGACGTCCGATGACGAACTGACTTTGAAATTTTGGTCAGTGCGAAGATTAAGCTTCTGAAACGAGTCTTAAATTCAGGGCTTGGCCGTTAGTCTCTGACAGAAAAGGCAGAAAGGAAATTCAAGCCACAAAACAGCCGCTAAGCCTTGGCCATGAAGCCAACACTGGCTGGTCAGAAGCATAAGACATGCTGAAAGCGACAGAGTCTGTTATCATCTTGGAATTGCGAGATCATGTCAGGTCGACAGAATCGTCCTCGTCGCCGTGAACGACGGCAGATGATGGTGGCAATTGATAGCCGGCGTGGACGCTGTCGATCCTCGCTTCCTTCGATACGTCCAGCTGGTCTCTTCGTTGCTGAATCGGCTTCTTCTCGCTGGTGACAGCGTCTCCTACAAATGCATCGCCCTCCTTCCAATCTGAATAGCTCATCTCGTCATTTCCAGGTGCTGAAGTATCCCCGCCTGCACCATCGCCGCCATCGAGTTCCGTGTCTTGCAGAAGACCTCCCATCGCCCGTTGCCTCGCCCACAGATCCTCGGCCACATCCAAGCGGCGACACTTGGCAATGTTGCGCAGCATCTGCATCTCGCGTCGACGATGCAGCTGTCGGCGGAGGCTCTGCGTCAGGAATGTCTCGAGCGTCTGCAACGGCCAGTCCTTGGGCACGAGCTCCAGCACCTCGCGATTGTCCAGGTGGAGAGCCTGCGTGTTGAGCAGGTGTGCTGTCGCGATACGGAATTTTTCTTCGGCACCATTGGCCATGTAGACCGAGAGCAGCTGCTTCAGAAGCTCCTCTTTGCGTTGTGTAGCAGAGAGCTCTCGCTGTGCCGTTGCCTTGGCGTGTGCCTTGACGCGCTGCGCATAGGTGCGGCTCAACATTGCAGCGAACGGCTGCAAATCCTTGTGGTCCTCGGCGATCGAGGTGGCCAGCATCGGTGAGAGCACTTCGCCGTCTTGGGAGCAGTACGCTTCAGCACTGTTGGCGTCTCGGAGCTTGACCGCAAGCAAGGACAAGGCTTCGGAGTCGCGCCCGAGCTTGCCAAAGATGATGGCCTTCTCGTAGTCGAGTGCCTCTAGCGGCGCAATCATGTCCAGCAGCGATCGATGATCCAGCACCGTCGAGCCTTGCAGCAGCATCGCCAGCTTGAGGCGATCCAGCTCTCTCGGCGAACCATCGCTAGCGAGCGCGAGATGAGCAAAGAAGGATTCCGCATACGAGCCATGTGTATACTCTTGTGCCACGGCATCCATTTTCTGGCGGTAAGCGTCATCGTTGAGGTGCTGCTCGACACGGCGGAGCAGTGCTAAAGCCAGATCGCGATGCATCTGCTCGTCTTGTACTTTGGATGTCGATAGTGCGACGGCCTCGAGGTACTTTGTCGCCGCATCCGCATCGATGTCGCGCAACTCGTCGATCGTCGCTTTCTGTGTTTGGATGACCTCCAGTTCCTGCGCCTTGCTCCGTACAGTCGACTTCTGCGACGAGTCTGCTGCAGGTATCGCTGTTTGCTTGGTGAGAATACGAATGCCAGCCTCCGGGTCCTTGCGCACAAGCCAACGACCGTATGTCGACAGCAAATTGGGATCGTTCTGTTCCTTGAGCAGCGTCGCCACTTTGGACAATGCTGCTGGCACGTCTGGTGACTTCTTGAGGGTGTCGGTAAGCTTTCCATCGACAAGGGCAGTCCAGATCTTCAAGGCACCCTCGACGTCGCCGGAAAGCTCGTGGTGTTCAGCGAGTAGGCTGTAGAAGTGCTTCGACTCGAGGACGTTCCGGACCTGCGCGGGCTCGCAAGCATGCTTGGACGAAAGGAAGGCCGCGAGCTCAGCTTCGACCGCAGCGTCCTCCCGCTCGACCGTACCGCGTCGCTCTGCAATCATTTGAAGGTATGCCGAGTCAACACGAGAATTGACGTTAGCCACCATCTGCTCGTCCATCAAGGTTCCGGCCCAGAAAGGCGAATCAACCGCGCTTTGAGCGGCTGAAGCAGCGGCTGAATCCAAGCGCCACGCTTCCAGCAACGATCGCAGCATCTCGTCGGATCTTTGCAGCAGCTCTTGCTTGAGCTGAAGCAGGGTGTCGTCAGTCGTCACGTCCATGGCTGGGGAGTAGTTGAGGGCGAGATTTGCGTCAACTATCTGCTCTATATTCCGCAGCCTCTCGCCATCGTCGTGCTTCAGCTTGTCGAGGCTGGCGAGCACGACGGCAGGCATGACAGCTTCCTTCTGGGATAGCGGCTCTTGCTGCAAAGATGGGAAGAGCGCCAGAAACAAGCGCGGATCCAGGTGGGCGTGGCGCAGGATGTTGCCAGCTGCGACGAAATCGGTTCGATACAGCAGCTCAATACCCAGCAGTGCATGTGCGGACGAAGCCTCGAGCGAGACGCGCGAGACTTGAGCCCCCTCTTGCGTCGCCTTTCTACGAGATCTATACGATTCCAGATCCTGCCGCAAGGTGCGGAGTCGGCCGTGATGCAATTGTTGTATGGCCCAGCTCAAGAGAGGGTCTTGCTGCACGGCAGATGTCGAGTTGCGGCCGCATAGAAGAATTTGGCGCTGCGACGAGGAAGCTGCCCCCGCGTGCTCCACCGCGCGTCGCAGTACCGGCACATCCGGGCTGCTAAGCTGGCTCAGAGATACCTTGACGGAGTCCAGATCGTCTCTGGGCGCTTCTCCCGACCCAGACTCGCCCTTTTTTTGCGACGGCAAGAAAAGAGACGGATCTTGCACTGGCTGTAAAAATCGTGGATCTAGGCCAGGGGGTAGCTGGATCGTTTGGACCTTGTCGACCGAGTCTTGGCCGAAGTCATGGATCTCGACAGTGTCATTCCGCAGCAACGAGACGAGATGCTTGCCGTCGTATGTGACCGAACGAGGATGAGAAGGCCACTCGAGCAACTTTGGTGCCGGCTCGCCTGAGGGCTTGACGAAGACACCGAGGGTGATGGAGCCGCTGTGAGAGGTGACGAGGAACTCGCACTTGACGGGTGCAGATGTGGAAGTGGAGCGGTCGACGACTGGCGAGAGGCTTCCTTCTCTGCTTTTGGGTGGTTGCACGGGAACAGTGACGATGCTTGGCCTGACTTGAGCAGAGGGAGACTCGCCCGTCTGACTGATGGGCAGGTGCAAGGGAGTAATGTGGCCGGTGGACAGATTGACGAGGCTGTACTCGGTGGCGTTGGCGATACAAAGAGTGTCAGCGAAGCGGCGAGCAAAGATGGCGCCTCCTGGGAGAGCAATTTCCTTGACGGTGGCCCACTGAAGACCGGAACGGCCCTCTGCACCAATCTTGCCGAGGATGATGTTCTTTCTTCGCACGATGCAGATGCTGATCATGCCAGCCGCGTCCGTGCCTGAGCCATGCTCAGCTTCTTCGTCGTCCAGAATGACGGTGCTGACCGCTCTTGTGGATGGCAAGCTTCGTATTGGCGACCATTCGGGGAGTGAGAAGAAGGAGACCACTCCCTCGCAGAGCACTGCAGCAGCATTGAAATGCCGCAGCAGCACGATTCTTTCGACTGGCTTTGCGTGGCTGGAGATCGATCGACTGTGCTTCAAGCTGTACTTGATTGTCGAGTGTGTATCTGATGAGGATTGTGCTGAGTTGACGGCGCGTGCTGAGCTGATTTGGAAAGAATGAATCAGCCCGTTGGATGTGCCGATGTAGAGAAAGGCGCCATCCGATTCTGAGCAGCGAATGGCCCACTGCGAGCTCTCTTGGATCGCAGCTGGCGACTCCGAGTTGATGTTGTCTGCGCTGACATCGTTCGGAAGGGTCGGAAAGAGGAGTGGTGCCAACGAGTAGGGAGGCACGGGCTCGCGCGAGCCACTCGCGTGTTTCGAAGCCATGGTGAGTGACGTGGTGTGCCGCAGATGGACGAGATCTGAGTCTGCGTGACGAGCGCGTCAAGAACGTGTGAGCTCGGTCATTGATCCGAAAGCTTCGTCACTGCGCAAAGTGATTGCGAAGGGCGATGTTTCAGTCAGGAAGAAAGGTACGCAAAGGCCATCCTCAGATTCAAGCTTGGATGAAGGCCGTGCTCTCAAAATCAGAAAAGGGTCCAACACACACTCACACGCTCAGACGTCTTTGTTCGGACGTCGGTCGGCAGTTGGGTTGGCCGATAGGTGAGAAGCCTGCGTGGTGACTGCGATGAGCAGGCCGTGATGGAAATTCAGATCGAGCTCACAGGCGGAGACTCAAAAGCAGCCTCTCAGCGTTGAAACGCGTCTCTCTGCTTCCCCCGCCCTGTCTGGCTCGGAAATTAACTCCACAGGCTGGCTGTGACAAGAGCTGAGCTGCATAGGCGAGGCTAGAACCCTGGCCAAGCTGGGTACGATCAACAGAGCGCCTGAGCGCATCCCATCTGAACATCCTCCTTTCTCTCGCTCACACCGACTAACCCCGTCTCATCTCCATCGACTCATCGCAACTCTTCTCACATCAGACATCGAATCGGCGTGGCGCATCCGCACAGCCGATAGCAGGTCGACATCCGCATTTCTCGGCAAAACAGGCTAAAGCTCATCACAGGGCGACCTAACTCTCTCGGAAAACAGAGCACAGGATCACAAGGGACAAGGAGATCGAGCCTCTCTCGCAATTTTCGCCGCAGCATCTACCTAACAGCGGCATCTTCTGGCCAGTGCTTCCGCACCACCTTCCACCAGCGTCCAAAATCTGACGCATCACCTTCAAAATGGCCAACTCGGACTTCTTGAACAAAGCGATCGAGATCGTTCAAAAGGCGATCGACGAAGATGTCAAGCAGAACTACCAAGAAGCGTACAAGCTCTACCAGAACAGCTTGGACTACTTCATGATGGCCATGAAGTACGAGAAGAACGACAAGCTCAAGGATCTCATCCGAAAAAAGTTCACAGAGTACCTCGACAGAGCCGAGAAGCTCAAGGAGCACCTCGCAAAGAGCTCGGAGGATCGTGGCAGAGCCGCCGTGGGAGCGAACGGTGCGGAGAAGGGCGTCGGCGGCAGTACGGGTGGCAAGAAGGACGGCGACGACGACGATGTCGATCCCGAAACCAAGAAGCTACGAGCAGGTCTGTCGAGTGCAGTCCTGTCAGAGACGCCCAACGTGCGATGGGACGACGTCGCGGGTCTGCACACCGCAAAAGAAGCGCTCAAGGAAGCCGTCATCCTGCCCATCAAGTTCCCGCAGATGTTCACGGGCAAGAGGACGCCATGGCGTGGTATCCTCATGTACGGTCCCCCCGGTACCGGAAAGTCGTTCCTGGCCAAGGCCGTCGCCACCGAGGCCAAGTCGACCTTCTTCAGTGTCTCGAGTTCGGACTTGGTCAGCAAGTGGATGGGAGAGTCGGAACGTCTCGTTAAGCAGCTCTTTCAGATGGCACGCGAGGCCAAGCCATCCATCATCTTTATCGACGAGGTCGACTCGCTCTGCGGCACAAGAGGCGAAGGCGAGTCGGAGGCATCGAGGAGAATCAAGACCGAGTTCTTGGTGCAGATGAACGGTGTCGGCAACGACGAGACGGGCGTGCTGGTGCTCGGTGCCACCAACATTCCATGGGCGTTGGATCTCGCCATCAAGCGTCGTTTCGAGAAGCGCATCTACATTCCGCTGCCGGATCTCGAGGCGAGGAAGCGCATGTTCGAGCTCAACGTCGGCGAGACACCATGCGCCTTGGACAGCAAGGACTACCGCAAGCTTGCCTCGCAGACGGAAGGCTACTCTGGATCCGATATCAGCGTCTTGGTTCGTGATGCGCTCATGCAGCCCGTGCGCAAGGTGACGGGAGCTACCCACTTCAAGAAGGTCATGGCACCCGCCGCTCGCAAGAAGAAGCAGGAGAAGGCCAAGAACGGCACTGCAGACACGGGCGCGCACGGTGACGCTGCCCAACAGGATGGAGACGAAGCAGCCGTGGAGGACGAGGTGCAAGAGATGAAGGAGTACCTCACACCCTGCTCTCCAGGGGACCCTGATGCCGTCGAGATGACATGGGACGACATCGAGGGCGAGCAGCTCCTGGAACCCAAGCTGGTGATGAACGACTTCTTGCGGGCCATCCAGGCGGTGCGTCCCACCGTCACCAAGGCAGACATCGAGAAGCACATCGAGTTCACCAACGAGGCTGGTCTTGAATGATCGCGCGGTGCTGGAAGACTAGAGTCTCGTTTTCACCTATTGGTCCTCCTTTGTCACTGCCGCTAATAGACTCTTCACTTCGACCTGACCGCCTGAGCACGACTTCCTGAGCAAGCGTAGTGGACTGTGGATCGTCTCGAAGTGTGTAGGAGCTTGACGAATTGGACCAGACAGCGCAGATCTTCGGGACGTGTCGCTCGACTCGCGAATTCCGAAATTTTGGCTCGAGCTGAGAAGACAGCATGTGACACGAGCACAGATCTTCTTCTCACCACACAGTTCGACCGTCTTCAACATCATATCACACTTGCTGCGAGCAGATCGGGCACCTCGCAATCATGTCAGAGGCGTCGAGCTCGGGCTCCTCGGAGCAGCAGGCCATCCAGGCGGTCATGCAGGCCCTCAACACCCTCTACACTGACCCAAACAACCAGGCCAAAGCATCTGCCAACACTTGGCTTCAGAACTTTCAGCAGACCTCCGAGGCATGGCAGACGGCCAACTCGTTGCTACTCGCATCCGAACTGCCCATCGAGCCTCGTCTGTTCGCTGCCCAGACGTTCCGCACCAAGATTATCTTCGACCTGGACCAAGTTCCAGCGCCTCAAAGGATAGCGCTCCGCGACACGCTCCTCACAGCACTATCGGCCTATGCAACAGGTCCGCGCGTGATCCAGACACAGCTCAGTCTAGCTCTTGCTGGTCTTGCTCTCCAGCTCGACGAGTCGCAATGGCCGACGGTCGTCCCGGGCATGATCGAAAGATTCGGCGCTAGTCCAGAGACGGTTCCGGTCTTGCTTGAGTTCCTCACTGTGCTGCCAGAGGAAGTCATCACCAATCACCGCATCCCTATCGACAACGACTTCTACAACACTCGATGTCATTTCCTGCTCTCAGCGGCAGCGCCCGAGATTCTCAAGCTACTCTCGATGTATGTTCAGGCGACAGGCTTGACATCGCAGATCCAGACGGGGATCTTCCAATGCTTGCGGTCCTGGCTCAAGAGTGGGGAGGTGTCAGCTGGACAGATGGCCGACACGCCACTCTTCGAGTTGTCGTTCGACGCGCTCGCCTCGGACGAGCTCTTCGATGTGGCGACGGATGTCGTCTGCGATCTCATTAATGAGACGCAGGAGGTCGAGGAGAACATGCAAGTCGTCCAGCGCGTTCTTGCTCGCCTGCAACCTCTGCGGCAGGAGATCTCCGCAGCCGGCGAGGACGAAGACAAGGTGCGCGGCCTCTGTCGCATCTTCGTACAAGCGGGCGAGGCATATCATCGCATCATCTTGCGCCACCAGGACGAGCTCTTTCCGGTCGTCGAGGCCATCGCGGAATGCACCGCCTACCACGATCTCGACATTGTGCAGATCACCTTTCGCTTCTGGTATCTGCTCTCTGGACCGCTGGGGTATGCGTATGGCGAACCGCAGGCAGAAAGATTCTATCCGGTCTACGAGAGGCTGCTCGAGGTCATCATTCGCCATCTCCGCTTCCCTGACGACCCAGATGCGCTTACGGGCCAGGAGCGCGACGACTTCCGATCCTTCCGCCACTTTATGGGCGACACCCTCAAGGACTGCTGTCACGTCCTCGGCTCGCGGCAGTGTCTGTCCAAGTCACTGCGTCTCATTCAAACGACCCTTTCGCAGTCAACACCGGAAACGCTCAAGTGGCAAGACGTAGAAGCACCACTGTTTAGCATGCGTGCTATGGGCGCCAAGGCAGACCCGCGCGATGACGAAGTGCTGCCTCACATCATCAATATCATCCCCACGCTTCCGGATCATCCCAAGATCAAGTACGCCGGGCTCCTCGTTCTCTCGAGATACACCGAATGGATCGAGATGCACCCCGAGCAGATCCCTGCGCAGCTCTCCTACATCAGCGCAGGTCTCGAACATGCTGGAAGCGACGTGACAGCCGCCGCAGCGCAAGCCATGAACTTCCTGTGTCAGGACTGCCACCGTCACCTCGTTCCATATCTTCCGCAGCTCTACGACTTTTTCCGCTCCGTCAACGACAAGCTCGGCGCTGACGACCTTGTGTCCATCTCGGAAGGAATTGCGTACGTGATCGCCGGCATGCAGCCCACCGAGGCACCGCAGGCGCTCATGCAGTTCTCTCAGCCTCTGCTCGAGTCGCTCAGTCAAGTTCTGAGCATCCCAAACCCGAACAAGGATCAATTGCGCCGGGCAGCCGACCGAATGGAGCAGCTGGAAAAGATGCTTGCCGTCTTTGGCTCTTCCTTCTCGCATCACCTTGCGGAACAATGCTCGAAGACGTGCGAGGAAGCGTACTCGGTGGTCGATCGCGTGCTGGCATCGCACGGCAACGTCTTCTTCATCTCGGAGCGAGCATGCGCATTGCTCCGACGTGGGCTCTCTTTCTTCGGCCCGCGAGCGGCGCCGAGTCTGATCGCGGTCCTGGAACGACTGGCATCATGCTTCGAGCAGACGGGCAACCCAGGCTACGTGTGGATCGTTGGCAAGTGCATCGATCAGTTTGGACGGGATGGCAACATGGCCACCAGCGCGGCACTCCGAGGAGCCTTCGAACGGATCACCAGCAAGGTGGTGCAGCAGATGGAGAACACGATGCCCGCCGAGATGGGCGACGTGCTGGACGACTACATCCACACGTGTCTGACGGTGCTCAACAATGTTCCTTCGATGCTGTTGCTGTCGCCGCAATTTGCGCAGGTGTTCCGCGCGATACTCGCTGCCTTGACGCTTCTCAAAACCGAGATCGTGGGAACAGCGTTGGATCTTGTGCTGGGCATCGTGGGGCATGACTCGTTGATGATGCCCGTGACGGCGTCTCAACCCGGAACGCCCCTGGCTGCCCCAAGCGCCCTCAATGCAGACGGCACCCCTTCGATGGATGACATGGGCAGCTATGCCGCCGCCATCCGACACGCGATAGGCCAGCAGGGCTTCCAGCTCGCCTCCGTCTTGCTTAACGGCTTGGCGACGCAGTTCAGCCCTGAGGTGATGCCGGTCGCCATCACGACACTCAAGGTGCTCTCTTCCGGATTTGCCGGCGAGATGGCGGCTTGGGTGCCAGGAATCGTGGAGCAGCTGCCCACAAGCTACGTGCCAGACAAGGACAAGATCGCTTTCACCAACCGCTACCTTGCCGCCATCAACGGTGGCAAGCGCATGGACGAGATCAAGCAAGCTCTCAATGGTCTCTACTCTGCGTCGCGGCAGGCAAGGGAGAGGAATCGGGTGGATCGAGACGGTGGCCCAGGCGCAATGCTGGATCGTTAGGAGATGTAAACATGCAGCTTACAACAATATCATCTCAAAGACGATGTCAGCCTCCTTCACGATTGATGATGATGAGCTTGCTGACAATTTCAGCTCCGCGGTGAATCCGGCGATTGCGCGCGTTTTGAGTGGGCTCTGAAGGCCAAGCCAGAAAGTCATGCGGCATGAGAGAGAGATGCGCGCTCGGGCCGGTCAGCTCGATTTCCTCCACACACCCAAATCATGGCGCAGCTCACTCCTCTCTGTGGCTCACATTCCATCTGATCCGTTGCGTGTGATAATGACTACGGCCACGAAGGGCGATGCTGCAGGAGGGAGCAACACTAGCATGCAGCAGACCCTTCGTGTCAGTGAGTGAGGTACTGTACATACAGTAGAGCGAACTATTTTTGGTCTGGCTCGAACAGAAAAGGCGAGCTGCAAGGCTATGCTCAAAAATGCCCAATTACGCATGACCCTGACCGTCTTTGGTCCTTCCCGGCCCGGATGGTCATCTCCATCACCTTCCCCACACTCACTTGGACATTCGTCACTGTGACGAACCTTAAGCGTGATCCACCAGCATCCTCTGCGAGCGCATCACCGTCACCTATTTTGTTCATCCTCCGGAAGCATCTCAGCAGCCACCCATCATCCTTGCCCGTCACGACTTGGTGGCGTCTCTGCAGGAGCGTCTCAGAAACCCCAAGCAAGCAAGTCTCTCGAGCATTGCGAGTACTTCGCAATCAGTCTTGACTCGGATCTTCCCTATCTTCCCTCTGAAAAGCTGCCCTCGATCCTCTCACATTCGACCACCGCCCCCTTTTCGCCGGCATCCGGCGTCTGACTGGCCGCCATGGGCAACCCCATCCCCGTCAACCTCGAGCAGGAATGCCGCAAAGCCACCAAGATCCTCAACGAATTCGTCGACCCGGTCAACGGCCTCGACAAGATCGTCCCCATCAGCGTCCTCTCCAAAGCCAAAGGTTTTGCCATCTTCACCGTCTTTCGCATCGGCTTCCTCCTCTCCGCCCGCGCCGGCTCTGGCGTCGTAGTGGCCAAAGCTGACGATGGTCGGTGGTCCGCCCCTGCTGCGATTGGCATCGGCGGTCTCGGTGGCGGCTTCAATGCCGGTGCTGAAGTGACTGATTTCCTCATTGTTCTCAACTCGAAATCGGCCGTTCGATCGTTTATGGCCACGGGCTCGCTGCAGCTTGGTGGCAACATGTCGGTCGCCGTCGGCCCGCTGGGCAGGTCTGCAGAGGCAAGTGGGAGCGTCAACACTAAGGGTCGGGTCGCTGCGATGTTCTCGTACTCCAAGTCGAAAGGTCTGTACGGAGGCATCTCGGTGGAGGGCACAGTGCTGGTCAACCGCGAGGACGCCAACGTCAAAGCGTACGGTCAGTATGCCAAAAACCCCAAGCAGATCCTCTCTGGTGCCGTCGATCGACCGCCCTGGGCCTCCGGGCTCGTTCAGACCATCGAACGCTTCACACTCGCCAACACGCCCAGCAAGGACCTCGACGGCGAGTACTTCAACTACGACGACACGAGCAGCTTTCACGGCCGCGGATACGGCGGGAGTGGCGGAGGCCGAGGCGAGGAGAGCTACGATACGGTGGACAGTCGCGATCTCGAGAAGCTTTCGCGGCCTGGTGGGCAACGTCGATCATCACGCAGCAGCCAGCTGGAGGACCTCCCTGATCGCTTTGACGACATTGGCCTCCGAGACCGGGACCGCGATCGCGATTCGTTCGAGGACCGAGACCGCCGTCGCAAGGACGACGACTATGACAACCGCTCCCACGGCACCTACGGCTTTGGCACATCAGCCGGGATCAGCAACACGCCTCCTCGTGCCAGCTCGGCTGCCTCGCAACGCATGTCGGCCATCCGCACGCGCTCCGGTAGCATCGCCTCCAACCTCAGCTTTGGCAGCAAGAAGAAGCTCGATCGTTCCGGCCCCACGCCGCCGCCGGACTGGGATGCGATCCCAGGTCAAAGTAATGGTGGCGCGTGGGGCAAGTCGAATAACATGGACATGATGGACTCGCTCGACCGCGAGCTCCAGGGTGGCAGCCCGTCGGCGACGCGCAAGTCCAGCTACGGCCCCTCAGGCAGCGGCCACAACGGCGATGATCGGGCCCGGAGTGGAAGCCTGAGCAACACACGGGGAAGCTCCAACACCCCCGCTGGCTGGTCCCAGTTCAGTTCGGATGCTCACGATGACCTCTTTGGTGACAAGACTCAACAGACCAGGGATCCGTTCGAGGACCTCGCGTCCACGAGCCCCTATGGGAGCGGCAGCAGCAACGGTCACTCTCGCACCAAGTCCGCGTACGATGGTGCCGCCCCGCCTCCATCCAAGACCGGATCCAGGTTCGGCCGCTTCCGCACCCCTAGCCCGGGTAGCAGCGCCTTTGGAAGGAAGAAGACTCCAACCATTCCGGAGGACGACACGAACGGCTACGGCGATCGGCAGAACGTCTCGCTTATCAGCCCGTCGGCGCTGGATGAGTACCGGAACGGCGATAGTAGGGTTAGGAAGGACAGCTTTTCGCTGGCGAGCGAGAATGCCAGCGTGCCCGTGATCGAGCGGGTCATTGCGCTGTACGACTTCGAGGCGCAGGAGGAGGGCGATTTGGGCTTCCAGAAGGGCCAGGTGATTGCCGTGACGAAGAAGACCGATAGCACGGACGATTGGTGGCAGGGGCGGGTCGAGGCCGGAGTCAGCTCCAGCAAGACAGGAATCTTTCCAAGAAATTACACGGCCCCTCTCTGATAGCGTTGCGCCCACACGACGACGGCGAGGTCATGACGATGATTGCGGTTGAAGGGGGACGTTGGGGGGACGCTGGGAGGTGATGGCCTGGGCTTGTATGTACCAGCCGCAGTCTTTCGGTGCCGCCCGTCCGTCTCCCGATTTCCGCTCGCCTGCCCGCTTCCCAGTCTTCCTACTCGTCCTCCTCTCGCCCGGATTCACTGGCTGGTTCACCCACACACTTCAAGCAGGCAACCTCCCATCCTCCCACCGTCCCCTCACGGAGCCTCACATACCCTCTTCGCGTACCCTCACACTTTGCCTTGTCTTCGCACTGTCTGTAATGCATTTTTTCTTGGCCTAGCTCACAATTCGCTTTGGCTGAGCCACACAAATCGCTCTGGCTGGTCCCGCTTCGACGACAGGGCGCGTGCGAGACTCTGCGAGCAACGTCTTGCAGACACTGCTTGTTCACAAACGCAGGGTCAGCCAGACGCTCGCTCACCGAGATCGCTGGATCGCTTCGAATGCCATAGACAATCGTGAAACTCCGCCTGAAGCGTCTCGCAGACCACTGCTCCTGGAGAGACGCCATCTGTGAGCCTTCGCCTGACCCAGCGCAAGCACTGCTCGAGCGCGAACGCGGAGCCCGCCACACTTCGACCTGTTCAGCTCGCCGGGCCCGCACCGAGTGCATCGCGCCGCTTTGCCGTGCGCAGACACTGCTTTCTCACAAATGCGAGGTCAAGCCAAACACTGATCAGCCTCAATGCCTCATGCCGTCGGCCACTACGCACACACACAGCGCTCTACACGCTTGTAAACAGATGCTAATGAAATTTCAGCGTGATCAAGAGACATCGGTCTACGAACGCGATCCACTTGTTGCGGGCCTCTAAGCCAAACCAGCCTCCTGCATAGCCTTCTTCATGAGGGCGCCGATCTTTGCGGGCGAATCGGCGACGATAGCGCCGGCATCCGTGAGAGCCTTGACCTTGTCATCGGCACCACCCTTGCCACCGGCGATGATGGCGCCGGCGTGACCCATCCTCCTGCCGGGAGGGGCGGTGCGGCCGGCGATGAAGGCGACGACGGGCTTGGGGTTTTTCCTCGTCTTGTTGTACTGAGCGAGATACTCGGCGGCGTCCTCCTCCATGGATCCGCCGATCTCGCCGATGAGCACGATGCCTTCGGACTTGTCGTGGTCGAGCAGCAGCTTGACCAGGTCGAGCGTGGTGGAGCCGGGGAAGGGGTCACCGCCGATACCGACGCAGATGCTTTGGCCGAGGCCGACCTGGGTGGTCTGGTTGACCGCCTCGTACGTGAGCGTACCCGAACGCGAGACGATACCGATGCGTCCCGGGGTGTGAATGTGACCGGGCATGATACCGATCTTGCAACCCTCGGGGTTGATGATACCGGGGCAGTTAGGCCCAACCAGTCGGGAAGCAGACTGCGAGCGCAACGCCGCAGCAACGCGAATCTCGTCCTTCTGCGGAATACCCTCAGTGATGGCCACGATCAGCGGGACCTCGTTCTCGATCGCCTCGATGATGGCGTCCGCCGCACCGGGAGGGGGGACGTACAGCACGGAAGCGTGCGGCTTGGTCTCACGAACCGCCTCCTTGACCGACCCAAACACGGGCAGACCCAAATGCGTCTGACCAGCCTTCTTGGGCGAAACACCCCCGACGAGCTTGGTACCGTACTCGAGCGCCTGTTGACAGTGGAACGTGCCCGTCTTGCCGGTGAAACCCTGGCAGATGACGCGCGAGTCCTTGTTGATGAGCAGGTTCTTGATCGTGTCCTCGTACGAGGCGCGCGCGGCGGAGGAGGAGAAGCCGCGTGCGAGCGGGCGCGAAAGCGAGGCGGCAGCGTGCTTGAACATGATGCTATGAGATAAGAGGGTGAGAGGTGGTGGACAGCAAGAAGAAAGGGTCGATGCGATTGAGAAGATCACACACAGGCTGGGTCCGCTTGGCCGAACGTGTCGGCGCCTGTTGGACTCGGGATACGGCCGCTTCCTTCCGTAGCGTCACGACCTTTTCTCAACGCTTTTTTGCTGTCCGCACAGGCCCTTTTTTCCCAAGCTTTGGCCAAGCTGTCCTTCAAAGACAGCAAGCTTTCTACTTCAGCCCTGAGACGCTTACAGCAGACCGAACCTGTCAGGATTGTCTTTGACCTCAGAATGCCTTTTCACACCATGTAAGGCAGCAAACCACGGCTCTCAAGGAGAAGCAGCCCTGGTCGTTCCGGCCAGAGCGTCGGCCAACCAAGAGACGGCAAAGCTCGTTCGGCGGAGAGTTCCGTCTGCTCAGACGGCGAATTTTGAGCTTTGCTTTGTGGCCTTTTCCGCAATTTCCTCGTTCGTGATCGATGCGCAGACCGGGCGGAAATTTTTGACCGGCACAACGGTGTTAAAGTATTCAGCTCATGGCCCCTCAACATCGTCATGGTCTGTCACTCGCAAGACTGCTTGCGATCTTTGCTGTGCGGATCTGTATTGATGATGCTGTGCAGATGTACATCCATGCTGCGGTACTAGAGAAGCGACTGAAAAGTGTGATGCGGTGACAGAGAGAATTACTCCTCATCGTCCTCATCCGTCCCCTCCTCGGCTTCGAGATCGAACATGCCGTTGGGACCTCCACGTCCTTCCTCCTCGTCGTACTCCTCCTCGTCTTCGTCATCTTCCATATCGCTTGCTCCTTCCTCTTCGAGATCGCTCTCGTCCGGTAGCTCCTCTTCATCGTCTTCTTCCTCGTCCTCCTCGTCCTCATCTTCCTCATCGTCTTCATCCTCGTCTTCCTCGATGTCCTCAATGTCTTCATCATCCTCGTCCTCATCATCATCGCCATCCGAGTCGGCAGAAGTGTTACCGTCCGACATGCGACCGTTCTTGACGCGTCGACGTCGGCGCACTGGCCCCTCCTCATCGCTGTCATCCTCGTCCTCATCATCGTCGCTGCCATCAGCCCCAAGGGCGATATCCTGTACATCTCCGTCTTCATCATCGTCGCCCCTCACTAAAACACCATCCTCTCCATCGACAGCCATATCGTCCGAATCCGAATCGTCCGACTCTTCGACCCACTTCTTGCCCTTCCTCCTCTCCTTATCCGCGCCATTCTTCTGCGGAACATCGCCCTGTGTCTTCTTGCCGAACTTGACGCCCTGCACGCGAACGGCGTTTCCACTGGCCTGCGACACATATGCCGCCCTCGCCTCGATCTGAGACAGCACGAGCTCCAATCGTCCGTTGAGCGCGAGCAACCGCTCGTGCGTCGCAAGACGCGTCGTCAGTGTAGCATGCAACCCGGACATGCGGCTGACCAGGTTGGGCAACGACATGAGGTAGCCCATGTGGTTGAGCAACGTAGCGCGGATCCACTCCATCAATCCACGCGCCTTTTGACTGCCCATACTGCCCTTGCTCACGTGCGTACCGCCAACACCGTTGAGTCGCCCCACGCACTCCTCGAGCAGCTTGACCGCGAGGGGACCCGAGATCTTGCGCACCGTGTTGCGGATGAGGATCGCATCGTTGTGGTTGAGACAGCTGGTGAGCAGCGAGGTGTCGCCCGAGTGCAACGCTTGCGAGAGGGACGAGGCGAGCGAGGCTTCGTTGGTCAGGGATTGCTGCTTTTTGGTCGGTACGTCGGCGTCGTCCTCGTCGGCATCGGCGCCTGCTTGGGTAGGGTCAGAGAAGCCGAGCTCTTTCAATCGTTGGGCGAGCGTGGGTTCCAGGTCAGCTCCACGGGCGGAGGTGGAAGGTACAAAGCCTCCGTCTTCGAGGCCGGCTGCCACGACGGCATCGTCAATGTCCTGAGGTCGCAATGGCGCGTCGGTGTATCTCTGCGTCTCAGCGGCACCTCCCGTAAGCTGAGCCTCGTCCGTGTCAGCAGCGAGGAGGCCGCCGTTGGTGGAGCTCTGCTTGCCTCCGGCTGTTGGCAAGAGCAGCGTCTTTTGCAGCTGAGCATCCTTGCCACTGACCACGGTGGTCTCGTCGATGGAAACCTTTGCGCCGCGGATGAGACGCGCGAGCCTGAGCTTATCCGAGACGAGCCTGGCGTCGATCCACTCGACGGGCGCACTGCTTTCGGTCGGCGACTGTGCCAGCAACTCGAGCGACGGCAAGGCAGCCGACTTCTTCTTTGACGGTGACGCCTCCGACTTGGACTCTGCTGGGAGACCATAGATTCGTACGCTTCCGGTCTGCGTGACGATGGTGATGAGTGTGCGCGTGCTTTGCGAAGAGGTGGCAAAGCTGACCGAGAGAGCTCGTACAGGACCATCAAGTGCGGCAGTAGCAAAGGCGCGCCCTGCAACAGCTTTGCCTGCTTTCGAGTCGAACGTCCATGCGCTGACCATGCGGTCGCCTTCGGCAGCGGACACGAACGAGGTGTCGTTGAGCCATTCGAGGTGGGTGACGGGCGATGCGTGACCGGTGAAGGTGGCACGGACGCTGTTGTCCGACTGATCAGCATCCGTCAAGCCGATGCTGTGATGCGCAGAAAGCACAAGATTGCTGCGCGCTGAGAGGAGCTGAACTGCGGACTTGGTGTCGGGGCGGAAGGATGAGAAGGGACGCAGCGGGCTTGGCTGATCACCGAGCTTGACGTCTGCTAGCGCAAACGACGAGACCCAGCCATTCTTGGAGCAAGCGAAGAGCGTCTTCTTGGACTCGGAGTAGGATATTGATACAATGCCGGCGCTGGCGGCAGAAGCGGTGCTGCTTCCCGAAGCAGAGGAAGCGTCGAGGATGGCGACCGACTGAGCGAGCGCAGGGCTCAACAGATGGACCTGACCCGAGCTGAGACCAAGCGCGAGCAACAGCTGCGATGAGCCAGAGGTACCAACGTCTTCGCTCGACTCGGCATCGTGCTTTCTTCGCTTGGCTGACTTGGAAGACTGGGACGAGAGACGCACCCACTGCGAAGAGAGGCACTCTGCGCCGCCCAGCGAAGCGAGGAGGAAGTCAGTGACGAGCTGTGAGCTCGACGCTGCCGATGCGGAAGCATTGTAGATGCGCAGTCGTTGTTGGTGGACCTGGTTGCTGATGTGGGCGAAGAGCGTGTGATCCGGAGCCGGGGAGAAGGAGCAGGAGGCAGTCGATGCGGTGACAGAGCCCGAGGATGGGAGCAAGGGCTGGTTGAGCTCGGAGGTGGACGCAGGCCGGGACCTGGCAGGTTTCGGCGTCTTGTTCTTTGCCATCTTTGCGGGGGTCGTACAGGAGCCAGAGGATGGTTGACGAGACGGTACGAGGCGAGCAGATGCAATGATGGCAGCTGAATGATTCAAAGGGTGGAGCGGCTTGGAACCCTAACTTTTCGTTTTCTTCGCTGATGAGAAATTCTTCTCGAGCTGCAGCTCTCATTTCGAAAAAATCCAGTGCGGATCATGACACATGCTTATGTGTGCGACCGTTCTGGCTCAACGTGCGAGCCGCACCCTAATTTTCCTTTTGGCAGAAGAGCTGGCCTGTTCGCTGCTTGCTTTCTGCTGTCAAAAGGTTGCTGCGCGTTGGGGTTGGTGTTGCAGTCCTTTCGAGTCGCGAGATTGACACTTTGATGCACAGCAAAGAACCAAGCTTAGGTGTGAGCCAGACCTCTGGCCTCGACCTTCCTCTCACAGCTGCGCTCAACGAAACCACGACGACTAGACCATAGCGACTGACATCACTTTAAGCAGACACGCATACATCCACGTCCACGCAGCGCATCGTCTTGCTGCCGTCGTCCACTCTCACCTCAAGCACGCCAGTCGCGGTTATCGCACGCCACAGACTCGCAATTCCTACACATACCGCTCGCATACCCTGCAGTCCAGTCGAGACGCCAACCATACCACGATGAACTACGTTCAGCTCGAAAAGCTCGGCGAGGGCACATACGCCACCGTGTACAAGGGCCGATCAAGGCTCAACAACGAGATTGTTGCGCTCAAGGAGATCCACCTCGACGCTGAAGAGGGCACACCCTCGACAGCGATCCGCGAAATCTCGCTCATGAAGGAGCTGCGCCACACCAACATTGTGCGCCTCTACGATGTCATCCACACAGAGTCCAAGCTGATGCTCGTCTTCGAGTTCATGGAGCAAGACTTGAAAAAGTACATGGAGATTCACGGCCACCGCTGCGCGCTCGATCCCGTTACCGTCCGCTCCTTCATGTTCCAGCTACTCAAGGGCACTGCATTCTGCCACGAGAACCGAGTACTACACCGCGATCTCAAGCCTCAAAATCTTCTCATCAACAAGCGCGGCGAGCTCAAGCTGGCCGATTTTGGTCTTGCCCGTGCCTTTGGTATCCCTGTCAACACCTTCTCGAACGAGGTCGTTACCTTGTGGTACCGTGCACCCGATGTGCTGCTTGGCTCGCGAACCTACTCGACGTCGATTGATATCTGGAGTGCAGGATGCATCATGGCCGAGATGATCTCGGGTCTTCCTCTCTTCCGTGGACGCGACAACAATGACCAGCTCAACCAGATTCTCCGCATCCTGGGTACACCGGACGACAACACCATGAAGAGGCTCGTCAACGACTCGCCCGAGATCCAAGTGCGACCGTTCCCTCGGGTGCCAAGAGTCCCCTTCCAGAACATGTTCCCCAAGGCGCATCCCTTGGCGATCGACTTGCTCGACAAGCTGCTCAAGTTCGACCCAACACAGCGCATTTCGGCCGACGAAGCACTCCGACACCCCTACTTTACCACATCAGCTGCCATCGCTGGTCTTCCGCACCCGCAAAGCAACAGCCAGTTGAATATGGGCAACGGCGGTGCTCCTCAGCAGGGCTCGTATCAGCAAGGCGTCCCCGGCCAGCAGGTCAACTGAGGCAGTCAGCCACTTTGCACTTCAATGAAGCCCGTCTCGCATTTCATGATGGACCCGCACTTCCTTCTGGTTCGGACACTCACACAACATTTCCGCAACGCTTTCCGCAGATTCTCTTCTCTTCTCTGTCCTATTCTCCCCTCCCTCGTCTCCGTGTCTCTTAATTGTAACAGTATGCATTGCCACTTTGACCTATTCTAGCAACTTCCAAGGTCGACCTTCGTGTGAACGTGTATGGCGTGAAGCACCACTGCTCTGAATGGCCGCCTTGACGAGGTGAAGCATGACAACTATTGCGGAAGTCGGAGAGTCGTTGACCAACTACACGCGAGTGTGCGCGAGAGCGACGAGGAAGCGGTGTGCTGCCTTTGAATTTTCTCAAAAATGGCCGGCTCTTGGGTTTTTGAGTTCTTCCGAAGATCATCGAAAGGACCCTTTCAACCCATCACATCCTCTCTTCCACCTCGTCACATCGTCACATCCATCCCACTCATCATAGCTAGTCACGACAAGCCAGACCATCTTGCGACGGACTCAGCCTCCTGTCCAGCACTTCACCTCAGCCAGCACATTGAGCAGATCTCTTGTCGACAACAGCTATCTACTCCCATGCAGTCCTAGTCGTCCGCCTAATATCTGGCACACAGCATCAGCATTGGCGGTGCTGGCCCGCTTCAAGCCCCATGCGCAATGCTTCACGGCTTTGCAGAGGGCTGTCGGAAGCTGCGCAGTCAATAGAGAGGCCATACATCCCTCGACATGTTCCGCTGCCCTCTTCCAGCTACAGTGCAACTGGCCCGACCTCGGCCAGGACATCTCCTCCGGCAGCTTTTGACAAGGGACACTTTGCGGGCGCCGATCTACGAGGAGAAGATGATGCTTTTCGATCTCCCAGGAAGGCTGACTCTCTCCGCGCTGGTCTGACAAGACATCAACTTGCGTCTCCAATCGCATCCCAACACAGCACACAAGCACAAGTTCCGTCTGCCGTTCTCTCACCAGAGGAAGCAAAGGAGGTTCGACAACCACTGCCTGCATCATCTACGGACATCAGAGACCCTCCGTCAATACCAATGTCCGCCTCAGGCGCTATAAAGATCTATGCTCAGCGACGAAATCACCGCCAACATGCTTCGACTCCACTCGCGAATCCCCCGCCAGAGCTTGTCTCGAAGGCCAAGCAGCGAAGGCCCAGCACGAAGCGACTCAGCTCAGAAGGCAGTCATCGGCAATCACCTCATCCAAAATCTCCCATGTCATACAGCCTCATGAATCATGTCAGAGCAACATATCCAGCTTTGACAGATCCTCAGGCAAGCTTGCTTTTGGAGACCTTCTCTCGCATCCAGTCCCCCTCATCACAAGTCCCGAGCGCCGTCATTTCGTGGTACGAAGATCGTGTGTGGACGGTCGAGCGCCAATCGGAAGGTACCGAAAGGACTGAAAGCGCTCAAAGCATCTCAATGCTGATGCGATATGCCTACCAAAGGAACGATCTACGGTCTTTGCTTCGGATGGAAAGTCGCGCTGCTCGCTTCCGACCCTCCGACCCTCAATCTAGCGCCGGCACGCTGGCACCCGCGGCGGTTTCAAAGCTACCAGAATTGGCCAACGTCGACGATGTCCCCACCTGGCCCGCCCGGGATGAGAATCCAAAGGCGCTAGCGTACAACCTCAAGGTAGCGTTCGCTGCGAGGCAGGGTGACTGGGTCAAAGTCGAAGAGCTCCTCGACAACGCGGATCTGCTTTCTTCGGCTCCGACCAAGCCGAACCGGGATCATCGAGGCACTCCCAAGCGTCGTTCAGGGATGACACTGGACGCAATCGGATGGGGCAGCCTCCTCCGCCACGGGCTCGGCAATGTGCAAAAGCTCGATGTCGCCGGACTCTCGACCGCTGCTGGCGCAGACGCATCATCAGAAGAACCGAGGTCTCGAAGCCATGACTTGACTGCATCGACGCACCCAAACGACCAGTCTTCAGACGATCCAGACGACAAGTTAAAGAAAGCGAAGGAGGAAGCGCAGCAAATGCAGGCCAAGCTCTCAGTGACAAAGCGCTTATTGCCAAATCTCCTACGTTCTATGAGCAGATCAGCCAGCGTAGCTCGATCGTCCAATCTGGCAGGCGATGAGAGCAAGGCCCCTGCGGAGGTAGCAGAGTCATCGACGCCGAGCTGGCTTCTCCAGTCGGTCCTCGCGCAACTCGCAGAGCGAGGCGAAACGGCGTCCGCGATTCGAATCGTGCAGCTCGCTCTGTCAGAGGCGTCGCCCTCCCTCGGCAACAACGCAGCCGACCGTAGAACAGCTACTCACGTCCTCAATCTAGCCCTCCAAGCGTGCGGACATAACGGCAGAATCAGGATCGCGGAGACTCTGCGCATCTTCAACAGCCTCACGTCGTCACAGCTCGGGCACGACATCTCTGGATCTACCGTCCTTATCCAACCCAGAGTGCTATCAGATTTCAAGAAGCCCAGGGAAGATGCGAAAAACGAGCTGACATCTGTCATCGTTCCGAACGAAGAGTCTCTCGTGCTGCTCCTCAAGAAGGTGTGCCACCCGCTCTTCCGTGCCTCGTGGACGCGTAGGTTGGTCGACGATTTCGAGCGGCTCTTTCCCCAAGTCAGTGTGTCCGGAAGGACATTTCGGATGATCTTGGCAAACTGTCTTGCTCCCGCTCCCGCTCCCGCTTTGGCAGGTGTGCCGGCCTCGATGCCGGCTGTCCGGGAGCGCGTGGTCGCAAGCGGTCGCCGCGGACGTCGGCTGCGTCAGGCAGCAGCGACCAACAATACCGCCTCTGCTTCACCTGATGTCACCGTTGCAACCGCGAGGGAACCCAGGCTGAAAGTCTCGATTCTGTCCCAGACCCTGGAGACCATCCTCACACGCTTCGCCCACTTCACCGCCGCACACGACCCGTCTCGCCGTCTCCATCTGTCAACCACCAACAGGCTTCGGTTCGAGCACACGCTGCTGCGCGCCAAGCGCATGCTCCTCGTCAAGCGGGCGGCGCATCAGGAAGCTCTCCGCTCCATCGCCGCCGTGGGCAAGAGAAAGCGAATGACGACGCATCACACGCACGCAATCACCCAGATCAACATCGCCCTCGACCGCATCGCTGCAGTCCAGCGTCTCGGTCGATGCGAAGAAGCGCACTGGAAGCGACACGCCCGCACAAGCACAGCCGATCAAAGATGACGACCAAAACTCAATGCATTGTTTTCAACAGTATGGGGGTATGATGTGTGCTACAACTCCTCCTCTCCATCGCTCATGCTGCTCCCGCGTCCCCTCTTCTCCCTCTTCTGCACCGCGTACTGCGTTCCACCGACCAACCAAGCCAAATCCCTCTCCAACCGGTTCCGTACCTCATCCATAGCTTTGCGGATGAGCATCTCCTCCGCCTTCTGCTCCTCCCTCTTGACCGTACCCGTAGCCTCCAATGCCCTAGCCCAAGTGAGCACCATTTCCTGGGAAAACATTCTCCCATCTCCATTCACCGCCTTGTCCAGACGGTGCAGGAGCGTCGTCCACTGCTTGAGGATGGCGGGCATGAGGACAGTCATGAGCGCATCTGGTGACGAGGGCTGCGCAAATTCGGTGCCCAGCATATAGGCGAGGTTGCTGTGCTTGCCGTACGCATCGGTTGCGACCATCTTGCTGGGCGTGGTGGGCGTCGAACCACCCGCGCCGAACCCGAACGACGTCTGCTGGCTAGAAGCGGTAAAGAGGTTGAAGGCGAGACTCGACTTTGTCACCGACGGCAGAAGCGCTTCGATGCGGAGAACACGACTCGTGATCATGAGAAGGAACGTAAACGTCGTAGCCGGGTGCACCTCTTCCCGGTCGGCTTGCAGTCGTGGGTCCCGCTCTCGCAGTCGTTGCTCGCGGTCGGAATCGAGTTCGGTGACGAAGAAGGGAAGGTAGCCAAGTGCAGCGTCGACAAACGCAGCGATGGGCGCACGAAGTCGCGACCAGGTGTATTCGTGCCTGGCAGTGGAACCGTCTGCGACGAAGGGTATCGCGGAGCGAATCGCCTTTTCCAGCTCGTCGAGGGAGCTCTCGACGGAATCTAGCGAGGGTGTGGGGAGAAGCGATAGGATCTGCGCCGGCAGTGTAGCATCGGTCGACTGCAGAAGCAGAGACGAGAGCATCGAAAGCAGAGAAGGCTTGTCCATGGATGCAAGCATCTTGCCAATGTCGACGTCGATACCTGACATGCCCACTCGATTTGAAAGACCGAGAGCTTGTCGTTTCGATGCGGAGTGAGAGGGAGTGAAGAGAGCGTTGTTCTGAGAGTGGGTGGGTGTCGATGGTGAGAAGGCGGATGATGTCGAAACTGATGCTGCTTGGTGCGCCGAGTAAGTCAATGGCTCGGCGTTCTTGAGTCCAAACCCAAGACCGGCCCGCATTCGCTTTGGCAGGACGACCCGCTTGTGTTCGTGCGGAGGAGCGAAGGAATCCGAACCAAGCCGAGATCTTTGTACGTGACCCATGTCATCGTCCTCGTCGAAGTCGTCATCGTCATCATCTAGGTCACGTCTGCGTTTGGCGTCGGATCGCCTCGAAGGACTGGTGGCAGGCAGCTGTGATGTGGATGCTGATGCGGAGCCAAAGCCAAAGATGGGCGAAGCTGCGGAAGTGCTGGCGGCTGGCGAGGAGACAGAAACATTGTTGCCTCCAAACGAGGAACCGAAGCCAAAGCCGAAACCGAGTGGACTTGGCGCATGGTGAACAGGAGCGCTGTTGAAGGGGATTTGGTGACTAGGCCCGGCGGCCACGGCGGGCGAGGATGACCGTGAAGGCGAGGCGGACATGATGGAGAACACGCCTGGTGCGGACATGGCGTCGGGCAGAACTCCACAAGACTATGTGTTGGTGCTGAGCTGGCGGTCAGGAATGGTCGACGAGATGCCTTGCCTGAACTCGTGGGTAGCAATCTGAATCCTGCTCGCCGGCCTAATGCTCGTCCCGGCAGTGATCGAGCGACGGACGAGGCCTGATGAAGATGCGGCCGCTTATGCTGTTTAGGTGCGGAGGCAGTGGTGGTGGTGATAAGGTGGACGTGAGATGACAAGAGCCAAGGAGACGAATTGCTGAGCGTGTGTTGATTAGCGGCTGGATCGCCGCCACTGCAGGTCAGTCAAATTTGGCGTTGGATCACAATCCCAACCCGCCCACCCGCAAGCGGTTTCAAAAATTGTGACTTTGCGAAAAGGATGGGCGTGCTTGCGTGTTGGCTACAGTAGCGGCACCTTTCAGAAATCACAAAATCACAACCCTGGCTGAGTTTGAGGCTGCAGGCTTTGTGGAGCTGCCACGCAAGCCATGCTCGGATTTTCGAGAGATGTTAGCTCGCGTCTGCAACGCCATCTGAGAGGGAAAATCGAGGTCTCTTGTGATGGTGCACAGACCTGTCAATGCTCATTGCTTCGCAACTTTGCATGAGCATGATCATTGTTTAACGACATTGCTTTCGATCAACGAATCTCGGGATGGCCTTACATATCTGGAGCACGGTGAGTCACGGCGTCGGTGTCCGAAGGTGCATCTGCGCGGAAGCTGGTGTTGCCCATCGAGTCCTGCACGCTGGGCTGGAATTGTCCCCCTGATCCTGACCTCGCCTGCTCGGTCGAAGAGAAGCCTTGGCCCGTCTGGTTCTCCTTCGAGAACTGGTCACCGCCAGAAGCAGAAAGGCCGTAGCCGCCTTGGTCGATGGTCTCGCCTGTCTCGCGTTGCTGGTCTGCTCCCGTGGGGTTGGGGTGGGCGGAGGACTGGTCGGTGAAGTTGTTGTCCGATGCCAGACGGTCGTCGCCGACTGAAAGAGGCCGGGCTCCCGTAGCGTCTGGAAGAGATTGAGTCGGATCGGAAGTGCAGCGAGAAGCGATGATCAGCCACATGTGCCACGATGAAGGGTACACCTCAAGCTTCCGAGCTTGTCCACTGCAACTGATCGAACTTACTGCTGCTGTTGTTGGCTTGACTGATGTTAGACGACATTCTGAAGAGTGTGATGGGGATGGAAGATGAGATACGGTCAGAAGAGATGCCTTGAAGTGTTGCAAAGATACACGCGGAGACAAGGCTGGTCTGAGCGCGCTACAGATCAGGTCTACAAGGTCGCGGCCAGCTGTCGGCATGGCATTCGCGAACCAGAGACACAGAGAACTAGCCATCCGCTTGGCGGCGCCTCAAACGTCGCTCAGGGTCTTGACAACGACCATATCAAGGATCTACGTCATGAGACCGCTCCTCGCTTTATGCACAAAGCAGCGTGACTCAGCTGTCATCCGAGTCGCTTATTTTACCCGACGGCAAATTATGGATGCCGAACCAAACCTTAGCAACTTTACCACCACATCATCCACCTCATCATTCTTGATGCTCGACGGTGGCGACTGCTGCGTTGATACAGGTGAATTGCAATGCGAGGCAAAGAGTAGTGCGAAGAGTCTAGAGATACAGATTGCGTGTAGAGGACGATACAGATGGAATGCAGAAGAGGGGCGACGTTGCCGGGCGAGGGAAGTCGCGCTCGTGGCCGTTCGCAATGAAGAATCACTGCGTCTGGGATCGGCCACGGAAGATGGAGCGGAAGCCCGAGAGTGAGGAGCGCTTCGAAGACGTCTTGAGCTTGGGCTTGCCTCTCGCCGTGAAAGTGACTTGCGTTTCAGGACTTTCGTCGTCGACGATGTCAGCTCGGACGGTGGGCTTGGAAGAGGGTGGGAGCGCTCCTTGGAAAGGGTCGCGGAAGACCACTCTGCTCGGTGAGGGCTTGCAGCTCGTGCTGCTCAGGGAAGCAGCCTCTATGGCATCCGAAACAGCGTCGACTACCTTCTTGGGGCTGATTGATGCCTCAGCTAGCCCGCCGACGTCGTGCGTGGGAGTGCGTCCGTCCATGCCGTCGTCCTCGGAAGCATCCTCACGCACCGTGTCCATCGATCGTCCGCCAAGCTTGCTGTCCTGCCTACGGCTTGAAGCAGCTCGTTTCAGGACCTGATCGCGATCCCCGAAGGCTGATGCACGTGGAGTGTCGTTCTCCAGGCTCATCTGAGGAACCGAAGTGTCCTGTTCCGCTGAGAGATCAGTGTTGATCTTGGGCAGCATGGGAGGCGAAGCGTGATCGGCTCCGGGGGAGAGCGGCGGGCTCATAGAAGCCGAGCTCGCAACACTCGAGATGGACGAAGTGCGACCGTCGCGCGCTCTCGTATGATCGTCCGAGCCTGCTTCGGATCTGCACAGACTTGACTCGCTCCCTGCTCCAGGTGACGGGACCGATCCACTCTCGCTGGGACGTCGCGCAGTATTTGCCGTGATGGACTCCTGTGGCAGGTCTTGTCGCAACAGATAGATCGATCGCTCGAAGGGTGTGAGCTGGTGAAGTCGCAAGGTGTCGATAATCTCGTCGACCACCTCATCGTTGTCCACGACGTCGTCTACTGAGGACCCTGGGCTGCCAGGAAGACTAGTGAGTGAGCTGACAGAACCTCGGTGTCGGGCCAGCGCTGACCGCTCTTGACGAATGGTCATCCAGTTGCGGATGACAGCCACGAGTACCCGAAGGCTGATGCTCATCGTTCCCTCGGGAGGAATGCGTGTAGCTTCGCCCTCTTTTGCGGCGGAGTGCGTCTCGTAGCAAACACCTTTGGCATCGGGCGAGGATAGGTTGAAAGGCCAGGCATAGAGAGTCTCTGTGGGCACGTAGAGCAAGGTCACGATAAGGCAGACATCCTTCCTCCCGGTATCGGAAGACGGACGCTGATGCGCTTTGGCGATTCCGACGACAGACCACTGCTGCGGTCGGTAGCCGGCGAGGGCGAAGAGGTCGGAAGTGGGCGAGTCCGATGCGGCCTCACTTGACGGAGACGATGGCGTCGAAGACGAAGGGCTTGTGCGTGATGATGAAGGCTTCTTCAGGATGCTCCTAGGCGGTTGCACTTCAGGGCGAGAGCTTGCGAGGACGAAGCCTTCGCGGCCACGTCCTTGAAGCATGGCTGTAGGTCGGATTTGGTCTGCGCTTCGTCCTCTGGGGTGCTGAATGTTCTCTGTCTGGGAGATCTAGATACCACGTTCGAGGTTTATGTATCTGATGCGGCGGCGTGGGGCGATGAAGCGCCGTGGGCTCGCCGTTTTTCGTTGTTAGTGGTGGTCTTCGCAGAAGCGAGCCGGGCGCCCTGCGGGTGCTAACGGGTCCCGCTGGTCTGTGCCTGTGCGGGCGTGATGGGCCCGGGATGATGTCACGTCCCTGCAAGGTGGTGGGCTAGATGGCTTGGACGAGCGTGAAAGATACGGGAACAAGTGGCAGTGGGAGCAGGAATGTGGGAACGTTGCGCTTGGGTCGATGTCTGTGATAGGCGGAAGTGAGTGCGAGGATTGTGGGAGGCCTAGGTGTCCAGGTATTATAAGGACACATTGCCAATTTAAGGTAGAGGTCAGGGCTGGTCTGAAGAGCAGCATGTCTTCGTATGCAGGACTCAGGCACGCTCATGACCGAAGTGTTCCTTCGTGAAAGAGATTCGACCGGAGAGTAGCGCATGAGCGGAGCGTCGCTGATCTCGGTCTTTTCCAGGCCCGCGTTGACGGGAGGCGACACTAGCAGCTCAGCGGCGGAGGTAGCATGAGCCGTGCCAGGAACATCAGACGGGAAGCAGAGTCAAGAATAGCTGGTTGACCGATAGCTCGGCTGGCGCTCTGTCCAAAAGATGACAGGATCGTCAGCAACAAACTCGGGAAGCGTTTTTGCAACTCAGACCCTGCTCGACAGAAGCTTTGGCGTCCTGGACGATCTTTTTTAGTCGTAGGCACTTGACACCGCCGGCCCCTGCCAAGCGAATCGCCGCATCCTTTCAGGGGTCTGTCAGCATCAACTTGGGATACTATCCTGCTAGTCTGATTCTCACGCGAAGGAAGACGCAAGCGGGCGGCTCTAAGGAATTGGACCATGGCAGCTAGCTCGGTACAAAATGGGACCAAGCTCTCTTGGACTGGATAAAGAGCAACATGAACGGGTGACGCCGGGTCAAGCCACTCGAGACGAGTCGAGAAGAGCGATCAGTCCAACTGCCACCCACACACACGCTAGTTTGGGCTGCTCTCGATAGACTGCAGACAAAGCAAGCGCGCAGTTGGTCGACTGGGTTCGGAAGATCCTTGGATGCTCTCTAGCGCAAGCACAATCTCTCGGAGAGGGCTCGGGGCAGCTTGACCAAACTCACGACGCCACCGAAAGATGTGCTGGTCTCATAGATCAGCAAGACGAGGTGAAGGTGCGACTGCCAAGACAACGTGAGTCGATCTACCGCATCCTGGCTCGGTGAACTACAGCTTTGAGTATCAAGCACGCGCGGTTCCTCATGCGATTCATCCTATTCATCCCGCTCCCGCGCCGCGTGATTCTCTCTGGTGTGGCTCTGGAGGTCTGTTGTGGTCAAATGGCCGGCCAAAAGGTACTGACCTGTACTGCCTGTTGTCGGCCTCAATGTTGACGTTGCTTTGCCAACACGTTGCTTGTTCGGCGTCTTGAGTTTATTGACCGAGAAATTTTGGCGAGAAGCCCGGCGCAGAGCGATTCGACCTCCGCTCTGCTTGCATCAAACCATGCAACCTGCGACATGGCCACGTTGTTCTTGGACCCTTTTGCGTCCTGTGATGGGCAGCTTCGTTCTCGGTGTTCTCCTTGACAAGGATGGCCAGCTGTAAAGTCCGGCTCGGATACGGGCGACGGTCCCGTCGTGCGATGAGACCAAAGCGAGATTCGTGTCGACAGGCTGAGCGCCAGCCTGCTCGCAGCTATGCCAAGGACGCGATGGCATCCGCTTGATCAAGAGGTGTCACAGACGATAAATGTCCCGTTGCGGTGTCAGCTGCGGGTGTTACGGCACCTCTTGCGCTAAGGTCCGGTGGCGAGACGGTCCTTTGGGTACAGGGCAGGAATGTCGTGCTCGTGCGGTGCAAGCGAGACGGCTAAGGGCGCACAAACACGCCTAATCTTGCTGCTGCAGCTGCTAAGCGAGATGTCACTTCGGCTTCGATGGCAAAAGAACCATGGTGCAATATGAGGCGAGCTACTACGTTGTCCCGAGTCTAAGGCTTCCTACGAGACTACCAAAGAGCGCTACGCGCCGAGACAGAGCTCACTGTCGCTCTTACTTGACAAAGCCGGAGCATGCCAACACGACCTAAGGGAAAGCCTGACCTTTGGCTACTGTTCTAGTGGTATCGAGGTCCTTGAGTCAAGGACCGGCAAATTTTTCAAATGTGTTAGAGCGGACCTTTGAGGAAACTGACTTGCCGGCCGACTTTGAAGCGCGTCTCGGGTGTGGCTGCAACGCGTGTCAAAAGTTCAACGCGTAAATGAACTGGGCGCGTGCTCTTCTCCATCGCGTTAATTGCACGAGCGGCCTCAAAGGGGGATCGTAGTGATGTTCTTCGCATCTGCGCCAAGGGAGTGTTGCTCAGTGTTTTTCTCTGCCAAACTCGAGGGAACGGAAGAAAGGGTCGAGCGGCCAAGCGACTCGAAGCGCAGTTTGCAAGCAAAGTGCTCGGCAGGCCATCTTGCGTTCTCCTCATCATCACATCCATCCCTTTTATTCGCGCACGCCTCTTCGCATTCCACAGCGCCCATCATCAACACCCTCATTCCCAACGACCACCTGCGCACAACATCGTCTCGTTTCCCAGAGGTCTACTAGATCCGCACTCGTCATCGAACGTCCGCACGAGGGACAGCACATCGGCCTTTGCGCCAATCCACCCTAGCCAACACCTCCGCCAGGTCGTATCACCTCGGTCAAGATGAGTCAGTCATACGACGACAGCAACAACCTCGACATCCCCGTCTTCCAGGACGATCTGCTCAGGGACAGGCAGCGAGTCTTCTCCGAGTTCCTTTCCAAGGATGAATACCAAGATGCCGTTCGTCGCATGTTGAGGATGGACGCACGCCGTCTCATCATCAACATTGACGACCTCCGATCCTATAACCGAGAATTCGCCACTGGTCTCCTCAACGAGCCCAACGAGTATCTTCCCGCCTTTGATGCCGCCCTCCATGTGCTGGTGGAGGTGGCACACAACCCGCTCAAGGAAGACATCAAGGGCAAGCAATACTACATCGGACTGCGTGGAAGTTTCGGTGACCACCACGTCAACCCACGAACCCTCCGCAGTGTTCACATCGGCAAGATGATGAGTTTGGAAGGCATCGTCACCCGCTGCTCCCTCGTTCGCCCCAAGATCCTCAAATCCGTTCACTACTGCGAGGCGACGCTCAAGTTCCATCAACGCGAGTACCGTGACGCCACCATGTACGGCACGCTTCCTCCTTCCTCCACCGTATACCCCACCGAGGACGAGAACGGCAACAGGCTCACTACCGAGTACGGCCACAGTCTCTTCCGCGACCACCAGATGATCTCGATCCAGGAGATGCCTGAGCGTGCTCCTCCAGGTCAGTTGCCACGAAGCATCGACGTGGTCATGGACGATGACATGGTCGACCGTTGTAAGCCCGGTGATCGCATCCAGCTCGTCGGCATGTACAGATCGCTCGGCAACCGTGCTGGCGTCAGCTCTTCCTCCACCTTCCGCACCCTCATGATCGGCAACAACCTCAACCTCCTCTCTTCAAAAGCTGGCGGAGGAATCGCACAGGCGCACATCACCGACACCGACATTCGTAACATCAACAAGATTGCCAAGCGCAAGAATGTTTTCAACCTTCTTTCGCAATCATTGGCGCCGTCGATCTACGGCCACGAGTACATCAAGAAGGCAGTTCTTCTGCTATTGCTCGGAGGCGAGGAGAAGAACCTGCCCAACGGCACTCACATTCGTGGAGACATCAACATTCTCATGGTCGGTGACCCGTCTACCGCCAAATCGCAGATGCTCCGATTCGTGCTCAACACGGCCCCGCTCGCCATTGCCACCACCGGTCGTGGCTCGAGTGGTGTTGGTCTCACGGCCGCAGTCACCACAGACAAGGAAACGGGCGAGCGTCGTCTTGAGGCCGGTGCCATGGTGCTCGCTGACCGCGGTGTCATCTGCATCGACGAGTTTGACAAGATGAGCGACGTCGACCGAGTCGCCATTCACGAAGTCATGGAGCAGCAGACCGTCACCATTGCCAAGGCCGGTATCCACACCAGTCTTAACGCTCGATGCTCGGTTGTCGCGGCAGCCAACCCGATCTACGGCCAGTACGATGTGCACAAGGACCCTCACAAGAACATTGCCCTTCCAGACTCGCTTCTGTCTCGTTTCGATTTGCTTTTCGTCGTCACCGATGACGTGGACGAGCAGCGCGACCGAATGATCTCGGAACACGTCCTGCGAATGCACCGATACCTCCAGCCGGGTCTTGAAGAAGGCACACCCGCCGTTGACAATCTGGATCAGGCACTCGATGTCGGCGCGCCCGAAGGCACCGATGCTGACGGCGCCGCCATGCTGGGCGACACCTCGCCGTTCGAAAAGTACAACCCTCTGCTGCACTCTGGTGTCACGGCTTCCGGCCGCGGGAGCGACAAGAAGGAGGTGCTCTCGATTGCCTTCATCAAGAAGTACATCCAGTACGCCAAGTCGCGTGTCCACCCCGTGCTGACCAAGGGCGCCGCCGAGTGGATCGTCAACGTCTACTCGAACCTGCGCAACGACGAGCTCTCGGGCAACCAGAAGCGCACGTCGCCACTCACAGCGCGTACGCTCGAGACATTGATCCGTCTTGCAACAGCACACGCCAAGAGCCGACTAAGCAACAAGGTCGAGGAGCGCGACGCCGAGGCTGCCGAGGAGATTCTTCGCTTTGCGCTCTTCAAGGAGGTGCTAGGTGGCCGACGAGGCATGAGCAAGCGTCGTCGTACCGGCAACAGCCCCATGAGCGACGACGAGCAGGATGATGACGATGATGACAGCGGAGACGAGGCTGCCCCGGCCGATCCCAACCAGGGCTACCGCAACGGGCGCTCTGCTCGGGGTGGCCGTGGTGGCCGTCGCGGCAGCCAACGCTACGGCGAGGACGAGCACAGCAGCGACGAGGACGATGATCAGAACCTTCCGTCATCGCAGCGGTCCAACCGCTCCAATGGTGCCTACGCCACCCGTGCAGCGGCGACCACACGTCCTCGCGCCAAGCCGGCCATGGTGGGCCCCGGAGGCATGGACGAGGAGACATTCGATGACGAAGACGCGATCGAGGCCATGCGCTCGCTCGAGGTGGAAGTGGTCATTCCTTCTCAGCCCATCGCGGCAAGCTCATCGACAGGCATGTCGGCACACAGGGCAGAGGCGTTCAAGGAGGCACTCTCCGACTTGCTCTTCTCGTCCGATGGCCGATTGGCCGAGTCCGACGCCATCGCACTCGACGACCTCTTGCCTGTCATGAACGAAGGTCGCCGCACAGAGGATCTGTTCGACAGCAACGAAGCTCGCCAGGTGCTCGACCAGATGAACCGCGAAAACAGCATCATGTTTGCCGGAGACATGTTGTACAGACTCTGATTCGCCCTATACCCTCTCGGTGCTCTGTCCGACTCCGTGCCCCTGCCACTCCCGCCTGCTTCCTCTCTGTACTTTCTACGTCTTGTCACGCTGTACTTCTCTTTGCTAGGTTTCTCGATTCTGTCACCCAATCCCATTACAGTTCGGATCTATATAGCGTGCTGTGACACAAGCATTTGCTTCCTGTTGGACCTTTTTTCGACCATCGTTGGCGGTCCCAGTCAATACGGCACGGTCAAAGCCAGACATTTTGAAACTGTCATGCTGGGTCGGAACGCAAGACGGCAGCTACTGCGTTTCGGCCGTTGCTGCGAGTGCCCACTTTGCGAGAAGCGGTGAAGCAGGCGCACCAATGGTCATTGGCTTGTCTTTGGTACCTCTTCGACGATTGATTGACCTTTCGAATGATCGCCGCTAGTCCATTGCCAGGTTTCGTGCAGGCGCAAGCGGCCGTCGGGTAGCACCTCGGGCACAGTCTTGCACATGCCGGTCATCAGAGTGCCTTGCTGGTTGAGGTGCTGGTAGCGCATATCCAGGTGGCCTGAAGGGTCTGCCTTGGCGATCAGCATTCCCTGTCGTATGTCGCCGCCGGCGTAGTTGGCCGTCACCAGATCTTCGGTCTGCTGATAATGAAAGATGGTCTCTTGACCTACTTCTCCAGTCTCGCTATTGGTGACCGACCGGAACTTGCGGTTGTGGTAGCTAATCGATGCTGCCATCTTCAACGCGTGCGGCTGAAGCGACGAAGACGCAGAGGGATCGGCTTGCGATGATGCGCGCGAGAATGTGATTGACGAGGTGATGTTGTTCTCGGGTATGAAGTGCAGCCCGTTCTTAACTCCACATCTGTGCAGATCGGTGGGCGTCAGGGCGCGTCCAGATCGCGTGGAAAGCTCTCTCTCGACTCTCTCCCAAAATGCGGGGTCCACCTCCTCAAAGCTTTATTCCACACCTCGACGCTATCCACCACTCTGCGGACTACGACTACAGATCAGTACCTCTACCATCATCTCAGCAGCGGTCCATAACAGCTGAAGACGACCGACATGACGATGGCGCTCCCACCCATCCTCGGAGGGCCATCCCCCTCGCAGCAGACGCCCATGCAGCTGGACCTCGATCGTCCGGAGCGAGCCATTGCCCAACTTAAGGCCATCCGCAACTCGGTCATTGGGTCTAGAACCAAGAAGTCGAATCTCGTCCACACCGGCGTCATCGAGCAGCTCGTCCAGCTCCTACGCATCGATCTCAACTCGACGCCCTTTGCATCAGACCTCGTCAGCCTCTCTGCGACCATCGTCGCATCGCTCGCCAACACGCCGGCACAGTCTACACTACTCCAGCTCATGCGCTCTGGTACTCATGATGCTCTTCTATGTTGTCTGCGCAATGTCAGTCGAGAGCTCAGCCGGGCCAAACAACACATCCTCGACCAGACAGAGGGCGGCTTGGATGCATTGCGGCTTGTCGAATCTCTACTTAGGGCGCTGCGGTCGATCTTGCTGTCTGTAGCGGATCAGCTCTCTGCAAGCCCGAGATGGGGTATCGGCTCGACCTGGGGCACCAAAGCTGCAGCATCTGGAGTAGCCATCGCTCGCGCCGGCTCGAACACTGCTGCGACCAAGATCTTTGGCAAAAGCAGCCGCGACTCCTTCTCGGCTACGTCAGGCCCTCTCTCCGACATCCTGATGAACAGTGCCAGCCAAGACAACTTGCGCGCGAAAGCAAACGATACGGTGGTCGAAACAGAAGTGGAACAGCAACGCGAACTGCGTTACCTTTCCAGACTCTTTCTTGCTCAGGTGTATGATCCAATCAACTTGCCTATTCTGCTGGGTCCGCTCTGCATGTGCGCCATACCTCAGCAGCAAGGCTCGACATCCGCAGCGTCTTCTCCTCGACCATCTCAGGCTCGTCTCGCGGACGCTGCTCCATCGATTGCGACAGAACAGCGCCAGGCGTTCCGAGCATCTTCATCAAGCGCATCGACAGGAACCAGTGTCCACGTCGAGACCCTCCCCATGACTGTCAAGACCAAGATTCTCAGCGTTGTCGAGATGATCTGCGCTATCCTTGCAGCGACGATCTTCATCCCTGGCTGCAACACTGACCCAGGCGCTGACCGGCCAACATCACTAGCAGAGCAGATCGCCCATCGTCGCGCCCGGATACTGGACTTCATCGCGTCCGACAGTCCCTTCGCGCCGGGCTCCACGAGTGCCGAAGCCTCATCGCGTGGTCGCTCCGAAGGTGTCCCCGTCAGCCGGCTGCCATCCGGCCTGCAAGCCGAAGTGATCCGCAAAGGTTCCCGCTCCCGATCGCGCATGAAGGACGCCGACAACCCCAACCTACCGCCGTGGGAAGAGGACGAGCCGCGCTCCGAATCCGACCTTACCGTCTCGGGCCCGCCATGCCTCTTCACCGTTCTGCTCGCCACTGCCGAGAGCGGCTTCGTCAAAGCTCAGGAGGCAGCACTCTTCTGCCTCGCCGAGATCACCCGTGACGAGCCCCGAGCGTCCCACCGTCTGTTCGGCTACGCCGCCCCGTCTGGCACCATCCCCACCACTCTCCTGCTCAACTTGCGCCAGTCGAGCAACCCCAACGTCCGCCTCGCCGCCTTCAGCTGTCTCGCCAACATCGTCAAGGTGCAGCCTTTCTCCGCGAAGACGCACCAGTGCGTGTTGGAAGTGCTGATGGAGCTGCTGGACACGCCTTCTGGACCCCGGGCTGGGTCGGTGAGCCAAGGCGCGAGTACAGTGGAGACCCAGATCCAAGCTGCCTTTTCGATCGCCCGCCTCGTCGCTGATAACGTGACACTGCAGACGTTGGCAACGGAGAGCTTTGGCGCGCTGCAGAAGCTGGCGACGCTGCTCGACCAGGCGTGCAATCGATCTCAGCCGCCCAGCGGCAAGGCGGAACGGGGTAGTACAACGACGATTCTGGGCAGCATTGCGGTCAGCACGCCTCGACACGATGCGACGTTGGGAGTGGCTCCGCCTGCGGTGGACGAGTCGGCGATCCGACTCCGCGAGGCATGCCTGACAGCGCTAGCAGCGCTGACGTTCCAGCACGACGAACCGCGTCGCAAACTCATCGACACCGTCTCGCCGTCGGTGCTGACCATGGTTGTGTCGAGCATCGGCTTCCCAGCCCTAGGCGTGCGGGTGGCGGCGTGCCGTCTGGCCCGTGCGCTGTCCAGGAGCTTGTCCATCCTGCGCACCTCCATCGTCGACGCTGGCGTCGCACCTAAGCTCGTATCCCTGCTGCAAGACCCCGAAGAGGAGGAGGTGGTCAAAATCGAAGCTACCGCAGCGATCTGCAATCTCGTGCTCGACTTTAGTCCTATGAAGAAGCTCATCCTCGAGCTTGGTGGGGTGGACAGTCTGGTGTCGCTCGCACACACGGGTGGGTCTGCCCCTTCTACGCGCGATGCGGAACGATACTTCACTCTTTCCGCTTCCGCCTCCATGCCTCCCCCATCCTCCAGTTCACACCTCTCCGGCTCCCAACAGCTACGTCTGCATGCACTGTGGGGGTTGAAAAACCTGCTCTCTCACTCGGATACCCCGCTCAAGACGCAGGTGATGGGCAAGTTGTCGTTCGACTTCATCGCAGGGTTGTGCGAAAGCCCGGTGATGCCATTCAAAGAGCAGGCGCTGAACATCCTCCGCAATGCCGCAGCGACCAAGGAGGCCGATGTGACGTTTATGGTCTCCGGCATGGGGGGCGGGTCGGTGTTGATGGGGTTGTTGGAGAAGTGTATCTGGGAAGGAAAGGAGGCGGGTGAACAGGGAGCAGCGGTGATTGAGCAGGCCGCATTTGTGCTAGTTAATGTGGCAACGGGAGACGAGGAGTGTAGGAGGAGCGTGGTGAGGGCTCCAAATGTGTTGGACGCGCTGGTGTTCTTCTGCAACCACCCGTGGAAGGATGTTCGCGTAGCGGCTGCGAGGTGCGTCGGGAACCTGCTGTCCAGATCCAAGACGGAGGGTAAAGGCGACGGAGAGGATCTGCACGAGGAGGCCAAGGCGAGACTCATCAGATTCGGTCTGGACGGGAAGATGAGGGAGATGGCGCAGTCGGATGTCGAACTGGATGTGAGGGAGAGGGCCCGGTCGGCACTGAACAAGTTTGGGTTGGAGGCGTAGCACGCTCGAGGACGTCGCAATCTCATCATGAACCGTGGTCGCCTTTTCGACACATGTCTCCAACTCATCGCTTGTTGTCTTCCTCGAAACCGTCTGTGAGCGACACACTGTCAACAACACACCCCCTTCACACGGCCACGTCGTGTCTACAGATCATATTAAGTCCACAAGCGCAACAACCTTACTTCTTGTCCTTGCCCTCCTCCTTCGGCTTGGGCGGGGTCAACTTGAACGCGTTGGGCTTGTAGCTCTCACCCTCACCCACCTGCTCCCACGGAGAGTTGGCTTCAAAGTTCCTAAACGCCTGGGTCAACTGCAGGGGTTCGCTGACCACTCTCTTCTTCTCCTCGTCGTACCTGACCTCGGTATAGCCCGTCAACGGGAAGTCCTTTCGGAGCGGATGACCTTCGAACCCGTAATCCGTCAAAATCCGCCTCAGATCGGGGTGACCGATGAAAAACACGCCGTACATGTCCCAGATCTCGCGCTCGTACCAGTCGGCGGAACGGAAGACCGCCGTCGCACTCGGAACGGGATGCACTTCGTCGGCGTAGGTCTTGACGCGAATGCGCGCGTTGTACTGAACGGACAGGAGATGGTAGACCACCTCGAAGCGTTGCGATCGAGTGGGGTAGTCGGCACCCGAGATGTCCATGCATGCGCGGAACTGCGTCTGCGTGTGATCGCGCAGGAAGGTGAGGGTGGGGATAACGGCATCCGGAGCGACGTAGAGCGTCAGTTCGTCCTTGACCACGCTGAATTGCTGGATGAAGCGCGGCAGACCTGCGCCAATCGAACGGAGAGAAAGAGAGTTAGTATCACGCTCGTTTCACAGAGAGAAGAGGGTTGAGAGACGTACAAGAAGTGATGTAGCTGCCAAAATCGTGCAGTGGGCCAGCGACGTCCTTCCACTGGTCGGCAGGGTTGACGCCCGCAGACTCGAAGAAGGGGCTGACGGAGTTGACGCGGTCGCCCTTGCCATCGCCCTGGATCGTGGGTCGAGCGGAGAATTTGGGGATAGCGGACGAGAAGGCGCGAAGGCTGATGGGAGCCGCAGACGCTCTCAAGCTCGACGACGTGGCGTTCCTCGCCGAGACGGCGCGCAAGAAAGTGCTGGATGCGAGTGATCGAGCTGCCATATTCGCGCTATAAGACGATCGTGCGTGGAAACAACGATCGAATACGTGGTGTGGGATGGTGTGAGAAGCGTGGTGGTATCGACGAGAAAGAGGTGGAGAAGGAGTTGGATGACAAATTGGCAGTTGACTGGTGCGCCGCTGCGAACGAGGACGATCGTTTCAAGCCTTCGCACGCTCAGATCGGCTCCGAGGGGAATATCGTATTGACGGCCGAATGGTGCTCGGACTCTAACATATTAAATCGAGCCAAAATTACAGCTCGGGTCACGGCCACCAGTTGGCGAGAAGGGTCGAAGTTCTTGCTGCATGTTTCTCACCTGATCAGGTTCATATCCCCCAGCTGCGCATCCTTGGCAAGCAGTACTCGCAGAACAGCAGCGAAGCTTCCGTCGAACGCATTCGAATCTGTATCCAGACGTTCGAAGGCTCCGACTTACTCCTTTAACGATCGCCGCACCATGGCAAAAGGACGAGGATCCCGCGCCTCGAACGGCTCGACCGCATCGGAGAGGCACACATCACCATCCGCATCCTCCAACGGTGTTGGCGCCTCAACATCTCAGCAGGGAGTTGCGGAGGTCACGGACCCGTCATCCATCGCATCCTCATCCAGAGACCCGTTCTCCTATCACACCGTCTCACTAGCGCCTACCGATGCGCTCCCCTACTACGACCGGGAGCTGGAGCTTCAACCCGGCCTTCGAGCCCGCGTTGATGCTCTCATCACCGCCGAACAGTCCACACTCCCTCCTCTCGACTCCACCCGCCTTCCACCGGCGTACGAGCTGTTCCGTGGGCGGCCCGATCTTCGTGCGGAGCTCGACCGCGTCTCGTCCGGCCAGCCGTCTCGCGCGCTCGATACCCAGCGGTACACCCTCCCCGCACCCACCGACGGCGACTCTGCCTCCATCGAAGAGTGGCAACGCGCCGTAGACTCGGCCTATGCCCAGCTGGGCCACATGGATGTGAGACTGAAAAACATCGAACTGCTCAAACGCTTCGGCCCCAACGCTTGGCGCTTATCCAATTTCAATCAGGAACAACAGATCAGAACGCTCAGCGAGGAACTGGAGAGAGTCAAGGCAGAGACCAACGAGGTGAATAGAATAAGGCAGAAGGATCAGACTGAAGCAGGGGCGAAATTGGCAGGGATGGAAAAGAGGTGGACGGATCATATCGGGAGAGGGCTGCAGTTGGAGGTGGCCAATGTGACGATCAGGGAGGAGGTGGAGGTGTTGAGAGGGAAGAAGAGGCGGTTGGAGGGGGTGTTGGCGGAGATGGAGTGATGTGGTTGCCTCGAAAGGGTGATGACACGCCCTGGGCAGCGGACGGTGCCAGGCTGCTGTTTCTTCTCTACCTTCCCGGCTACCATCGTTGCTACTTGTATTTGTACCTTTGCATAACGTATCCTTACGATCCTTGTCGCTCGCTATGAGCCTGTGTCCAAAGCGGTGTTGGGCTCATCTCTGTGTGTGAACCAGGGTTGCGCCAAAGCGCAGGAAGAAGTGAGCGAAGCCTCACCGCTGGGCAGACGCTTTTTCCGCGTTCCGAGAATTGGCTCCTGACACATGCAAAAAGGGCGTAAAAGCGACACTTTCGCCTCGCCCTCCTTGACATTCCCACCTTCGCTCCACCACACAACGTCGACGAGCCCAGCCTTTCGAGATGGCGTCAGCAATTCAAGATCAAGACCCCAGCTCGTCGTCGTCCTCGGAAGCATCGACGAGCTACAAGTCGAGACTGCCGGACAAGAAGACGTTCATCGCAACGCTTTCCGGCGGCGCCTTTGTCGTTGGTCTCACGGGTGCGACCATCTATGGGTTGCGCAAGGCAAAGTTGCAGGCGTTGAAGGAGGCACAGAAGCTAGCGGAGGTATCACAGAGTGGATCGCTTGCGAGAGCGACAGCGTCGGCAGGCGGTGCGCGCGCGGCGGTGCCAGCTTCGTTGTCGCGGACCGACAGGCAGGCAGAGGCGAGAAGAGTAGAAGAGTTGAGCGAAGCGGAAGCCGGCGGTTCCACGAGTGCGATGGGATTGTTTCGTCAGATGAATGCTGCCATCTTGAACCCGTCAAAAAGGGCAAGCGTTGCAACAGAGGTGGGAGGGACGAGAGCACCAACGTCCGTGTTTGACGACGAGACGGGCGCTCTACCTAGTGTGCTTCGTAGGCGAGCGCCAGCTCCGTCTGTATCGTCGACATCGCGATCTGTACCACCATCACCGATCCTTGCATCGAGCCCATCTTCAGCTACATCATCGTCAGCAGCAACTCTCTCAAACCCCACCGACCCAAAAATCGACTACAGCGAGATGGACTCCACACTCGACTTCCTCGGCCTGTCTAGTCCTGTGCCCCTCGAAGAGCAGCGTCGGATGAAAGCCCTCGACGAGGCTGTCAGCAACGAAGACCCACCTCGAGGCTTCTTCCAATCCCCAGTTGGTCTCTCACTCAAAGCGTTCTTCATCGCCACATCCATCGTGACCTTTTCCACGCTCGCCACTCTCGAACTCACCAAATGGGCGCTAGGTGTCAAGACGATGGACGAATTCGTAATCGCCATGACGAAGATCATCCCTAGCCGGGCACGCGGCGAGGGAGCGCAGGAGGGTGCTGCCCCGCACATGCGCGTTCAGCGGGATGCATGCGAGTCGACCAGCGCAGCAAGTGAAGCGGCAGCAGCGCCAAAATCGGTCGATCAAGCTCTGACGGATCTGAGCAACGCCACGAGCTTCGAAGAATGGGTCTCGACCCTGCGCAATCAGCTCGACAGCGAACGCGATTTCGAAGTCTCGCGTCGTTTCGCCCATCTTAACCCCAGCAACAGCAACGACTCCACCTCCTCTTCACGTGGGTACGTCGCCCACTCCGTGTTGGAGAAGGAGGACGGCTCGCTCTTCGCCATCTCCCCCCTCCTACCAGGCACAGCCTTCGCCATGGGGTTGATCTCGGGCATGCTGACGAGCGGCAAACGAGCAGGGCTCGTGTTCATGGCGGAGAATGCCCATCGTCTGCCGGATACCGTGCAGGGTTGGTACTTCTACAGCAAGACCAAGAACTACAAGGTTCTGCTGGGCGCGGCGAAGGGCGGACTGCGACAGGGTGTCAGGCTGGGACTGTGGACGACTGGGTTCTGCTTTGCCGAGCGCGCGGCGGAATTGACCAGATCGGCGGTTCAAGAGCAGTTGGGGACGAGAGAGGGAGAGAGGAAGAGGGTGGTCGGCCACTGGACGGACGGTGCGATCGCAGGAGTGGGGACGGCAGCGGTAGCGACAGGGCTGTATAGGCTGCCAAGGGCGAGCGCCGTCAGGGTGTTCCAGCTGGGACTGCTGGCGGGCGCAAGCACGGGCGGCATCAGAGATCTGCAGGAGAGACTGGTCAAGGAGGACATTGGTGGTGTTGCCAGTCATACCTAGTCGGCGGAGAAAGCAATAGCATACGGCATTGCGACACAAAGTTGATGCGGAAGAATGAGTGTGATTGCGATGCAGGGAACCGAAAGGACGATGCTTGGCTCGACTCGATCGGATGCAGGAGACAAGAATCGGACCGACAAGGCTGCTGTCCTTGCCTATGCAGGACGAACAGGACGTTCCTCGGCAGTGAACTGGAGCACCTTGCCCGTGCGCAGATACTGGTCGGCAGCATCGTTCGGCACGTACGACTCGGTGAGCTTCTCCTGCCTCTGCTTCCTTTTGAGCTCCGTGTTGACGCCATAGAGTTTGTCGCGAGCCTCGATCTGCTTGCTTGGCACTCCGTCGTACTTGGGGTCGATGGGCATCATCAATCGAGGCGGGCCCAGCGGCACGTCACTGGTTGGAGGATGCCAGGTGTGACTGTCGTGGGTTCGTTTTTCGGGTCGAATATGTATGCATGCAAGCGAAAGTGAGACATTTGTAGCTTTCTTTCTTGTGGACTCCGACGATGCCGAACCACTTACATTGCTTTTCCGTAGAGCTTCTTGACCTTGGCCAAGACCGCGAGCTCTGCAGCATCAGGCACGGCGCCGCCTGTTGCACCGTCGCCGGCGACGGCCTTGACTGCGTCCTCGGCGGTCTTGACGGCTGCAGCTGCGCTTTCGGCGACGACGCCAGCCCTTAGGCCGATAAGAGCCAGGGTGCCATTCATGACCTCGTGCACGTGAGAGTGCCAGTACTTCTTCTCGTCCTCCGGTAGGGCTAGGAACTTGGATTCGGAGATCATGTACTCGACTCCGATGAGCTTGGCATCCGCACGGTCCGAGTCGTAGATGAGACATTGAAAGTGGTCGCCCGTGAGGTTGCAGGCACAGTAGTGGACTGAGGGGACAATGTCGCCTCGCTCGTCGGCGACGACGTGAAAGGCGTGCAGCGATTGGTGGATCTTGTCGACGGGCGCAAAGACGTTGACCATGTTGGGCGAGCTTGCTTGGGATGAGCTGGTGTTGGTGGTCTGGTCCGAGGCTCAAATGGCATTGAACCCCTCACATTCTTAAGTCACTCCAGCAACGACTGAGCCATGTTACCCGCCATCTCATGCTCAGTCAGCATGATCATGGGTCTTGATCCCATCCGTACAGTCATCAGAGGCACAATGTGATCTTAGCGCAGAAGAAGGATGAGTAATACGTTCGCTACGAGAAGACCCTGACCGGTCCCCTAGCCATGCAAAAGAAAGTTTAAATCTCGAGCGCATCCTCGTGGTGAGCGGTCGAGAACTACTAGTCTATTGTGTTCGGGTGCTGCATGCTCGATTGTTGCCAGCTCCGATGGCTCACATGCCGGACGCTGATTCCTCGATGGCGAGGTTGCCGAGAGTGACCAGCAACGCGGACGAACCCGGCGGCAGGTTCTGAGGAGGTGAGGCTAGGCCTGCGACGGCAGAGACACGACTGTGAAAGCGCCTGCACAGTCGCGTTGTCCAGCAGCGAGCTCACTTAATGCGATGATTGTGAGAAACATTTTGCATGCTATTGTCTTTGCTCCCCTGGTGTCCTTGGTGATACTGATGAGGACAATGAAGACGCAGGCAATGCGGGCCTTGCTAAGTTCATCCGGAACCACGCCGTCAAAGCGGCCATGTGCTGGGAGCAAGGCTGCGTCGTGGATAGCAAACCAAAGAAGCTTCGAATGATGCGGTTGTGAGCAGCCGAAGCACAACGCTGCGTGAGTACTTTGATACTGCAGACGAGAGCTGCATCGCATGGTCATCGACAGCTTTGAAGCGCCGCACCAATCCACGAATTCGGTGCGAACTGCAGAGAGAAGCGGCGTCGAGCTTTGTTCTGCGGTACTCGTGCTCGCTTGCATGCATGCATTGGCATCGATCGTGATTTGCTCTGACCATGTTTGCGTGGAAGCGAGCGTCTCACATGAACCTCATCGATGTCTCAGACGTGTTTCTCGTTGCGCACCGCTCGTTTGCTCGCAAAGTGTGCCTGATGGATGATGATGGAGGCCTTGCCTTTACTGTAGCTTGTCAGGGAAATCGCGGGCGACTTCCGGCGCTTTGTCAAAATTCAGTTTCTGGCGGTTTTCTGGTCTGGACCCTTTCGAGGCTCAAAAAGGCTCAGTCGCTTCTCCTCTCTCTCTCCCCTAGCCAGACCGGCTTTTTGCCTCTTTGCCGGGACAAGCAGGGCTCAGCGCAGAAGCGAGCCAGAGAGGAACCGATTTGTCGGTGAGTGAATCGACTGCAGTCACACTACTGCACCCCTTCGATTCTCCGCAGATCTCGATTGAGACTAGGCTCCCTCTGCATCTCAACCCGCCCGACCAAGAGCCGATGCGAAACTTGACTTTGCTCTCTCTGTCTCTCTCTCTCACACCATCACTTGCTCCTTCTCTCTGCTTCTCCCATCCTCATTGCATCGCCTTGACATATCCGCAACACTCTTCTTGCCACACTCGACCACCACCGCCCGACCTATTAGATTCGACGACACCCGCCCCTGATGCTCTCGCTCATCTCTTAAGATGCCTTCGCATGGCACTCCTCGTCCACACATCGACCCACCATCAATTCCTTACTCAACCATGTCGGCTCGTTCCTTCTCACCGCCAGCGCCGATGCGTCGGTCTTACTACGACTATCCTCACCACGCCCAGCCTCACCACCTCCCCCACCCTGATCATCGCCGCCCATCACATCATCATGCTCCTCTTGCCGAGTTGCATTCGCACCATGGTCGCGTCGACATCATATCTCCCGCCTCCACCTCCGCCCACTCTGCTGCTGCTCCGTATGCCCATCAGCCCACTTCCGCTACACTACCTCCCTCGGTACAGCGACCCATGCACCAACTTGTCCCGGAACAGCAACTCCAACTCGCCAATATCCATCGCTTCACTCCTTCTTGCTCGAGATGTCGCCAAAAGAAGCTCAAGTGCGACACCAACTTACCATGCAATCAGTGCATTGCAAAGGGCGTGCACGACGATTGCCGCAAGGATTCCAGAGTACCTCGAGGCAGGAAGCGTCCCAAACTCGCACCCACGAGCTCTTCTGAAAAGCCCGAGGATGAGATCGCTTCGCTTCGCAGCCGCGTCAAAGAGCTCGAGCAGATGCTAGCAAGAGGCAATCCAGCACGCGATCCACCTCAGCCTCCTTCACCTTCCGCCAGCCGACACCCTTCCGACAAGCAAGCGCTCTCCTCACGCAAACTCGGAACAAGTTCGCGTGCTTCTCACACCACAGCACCCTCGGATGCCGGCCACAGCCGCTCACGCGACCGTTACAGTCCCACATCGCCTTCCTTCGATTCAGACGAAGAGGAGCCGGGCGAGACAGAGACTTCGCTCGTCGCCCTCGAGAAGCTCGCTGCCTCGGATCCTCGCGTCAGCGAGCCCGGTCACGGCAAAGCCATGCACAAGCACATCAACAGCGTGCTCCCCAGTCGCATCTCTCGTAGCGCCACAAATGTCCACCCTGGCACCATCAACGAGCGTATCGACATCCTCGCCACCGCAAAGCGTCTCTTGCCCGAAAAGCATATCGTCGATGCGCTTATCCATACCTTCAACCTTCGCTGCCACAACCTGGTCGGGCGCATCGTCCACATGCCTTCTTTCAGCAAAGACGTCGACTTTCTTGTTCAAGCCTCTGTTGAAGAATTGCTCACCTCGCCACTAGACATGCACGACCTCGCTCGCGCCCTCATCATCCTGCGTCTCGGCATGCGCTTCTACCCTTGGAAAGGCGGCATGTTCACTGACGACACTACACCAGAGTTCATTGCCATCAACGCGCTCAAGAACAGGGGCGATGATGTCTCGTTGCAATGGCTCAATGTTGCAAAGAGAGCTCTGGCTGTGGATCGCACCTTCAGCCTCGCCTCGCTCAAAGCGATCCAGACAGCTCTTCTCATGATCCTCGATGGACGCGACTCTGCGGCGTATCTTCGCATGCTCCTGCGCATCTCGATTCAGACTGCCCTCGACATGGGCCTGCATCGTCTCGGCAATGCCATGCCCTCCTCCAACAACCTCGAGGACGACATTGTGCAGCTCGAGTCCGGTGTGCGCATCTGGTGGTACCTCGTTGTCAAAGATTGGTGTTCAGCGCAACGCGAAGGCGCCTACACCATCCATCCGTCTCAGATGACCACGCGCAAACCGCTCCACACCACCGACGACCGACTCTCCGACGGGCGCACCGACGAGATCTCGCGCGACCAGCACTGCGAGACCTCCTACACGCTGTGTCAAATCGAACTCGCCAACATCATCCGCGAATCCATCGACCTGCGCAACGAGCAGTCCACCCTCGGAGGCGCCTACGACGTCATCTCGCCCAACAACAAGAAGCTGCTCCACGTCAAGCTCGAGACGTTCCTTTCCGATCTTCCTCCGTTCTACCGGCTGGAGAGCACCGAGATGCGCCCGGGCGTGCTGGCGGTCCAACGCAGCCTGTTGCATCAGCAGACGTTTGATGTGTTGCTCAAGCTCAATCGACGGAGTCTATCGTCGTACAGCGAGCGGGCGACGTGTGCGTTGCTGGCCGAGCAGATCGTTTCGACGCAAAAGTTGCTCAGGAGCGTGTGTCCGGTGATCGATGGGTTCTGGGTCAACTTCCTGCATCTGTTCGGGGCGACGTTGACACTGACGATTTCCTTGTTGCTGGACGAGGAGATGGAGGGGGAGACGCGGGGGAGGAGGAGGGACAAGGTGGAGGGGGCGCTGACGACGATGCGCGAGACTCCGGGGTCCGACCGGGGGAGTCGCATTATCGAGACGCTGCTGGAAGAGGAGCAGCGGCAGTGGGAGGCGGGTTCGGGGCGCAAGTCGCTCGACCTGGCCGCGCTGACCCGGCGGATTATCGCTCAGACTGCGGAGCTTCCAGACTTGCCCGGACGATTCGACGGCGAAGCGTCGAGCAGCGACGCGCGGGCCCAGACGCTGCTCTGGGATCTGACACCAGACGAATCGGTCATTCCTGCTTTTGCCTCGTCTTGGGGCGCCACCGCGCTGCTCGACCCAACGGACCCGACGGGAATTCTGACATTGCTGCCGCAGCCCGCGGCGCACTCGGCGAGTGCGAGCGGCTCGGTGTTCACGCAAAATCAGGACCGACCTGCGCGCTCGTACGAGCACAGCCTGCGACCGTGGCAGGAGCCATCGCGTGGCGAAGCGGACGAGAACAACTTGTGGGGATGGGTGTTCGACCAGGCTGCGCTGGTGGGTGGACCCGAACCGCCCGTTGAAGGTGCGCCGGTCGCACGGAAGGCGAGTATCGATGCTCCCCTGCCGGCAGGTTCGCCATCGAAAGGCCTCGCCCAGATCGGACAGGGTGAGAATGGACGTCGCACATCGAAAAGTCCTACCGAACACTCCGGCCTGTCGCAGGCAAGGTACGCCCCCCAACCCGCTTACCGTAGCCCATCGGTGCTGTCCCCACCCCAACCGCTCGCCGCCCACGTGCCAGAAGAGGCACGCTCCAAACCAACCGGCCCTTACGCCCAACCCCGATTCTGGCCCGCTAACCACCACTAACACTATTCAGACGCTCTAATTACGCCACCGTGATCCTGTGTACTACTCTTATGTATTTCTACTCTTACCAATATGACTCTACGATAGTCTCGCACTCGATTCTCACGCGTGGATAGGTCAATGAATGGGGCATCTGAATTCGTAGATGGAGAACTTAATGATTGTTGCTGGCGCCGCTCTTTGTAATCGCCACAGCAGCGAGCACTGCTACGCCCAAGAACCCGATGGCCGCCGGCAGCGCGAGATCCTTCGGGAGTACGCCGAAGAGCAGCTCTTCATCGCGCTTCTTCTTGCTGCTGCTCTTGTGGGGCTCGTCGTCGACGTGGGCGTCCTTCTCCTCCTCCTCGGCGAGGCTGGGCAGTTGGGCTTCTGCAGAGGGGCGCTTCTTCGCCGGCACCGCAGACGTGGTGCGCGTAGCCCCCGACCATCCTCGTCCACCTTGCAGTTGCAGCACGACCCGATCCCGCCCTTGCTTGCGTGCGGTCTTGACCGAATCCTGCACATCCCCGTCGGCGGTGATCAGCACTACATCGTCCTCGTCGTCCGTGTAGGACAGTTGGAAGTCGTTTGGATCCGGAATTTCGGCTGCGGGTGTGGTGGGGACTGCGTCCCCGTTGGCTTCGCCAATGTCGTACGCTGCAACCGAGGGAGCGGGGTCGAAGAACGGATCACCGCCGAGTTTGATGCACACAATCTCGCGGATGGTCTCGTAACTGTCGTAGCGGGCTTGGAAGCGATGCGTCCTTCCGGACGGTGTGACGAATTTGAACAGATACGTTCCGTCATCCGCCTCAACGGCCGCGGAGGAAGGGACACCGACAGCGCTCGCCCCGTCATCGCCGTTGACCGGTTGGCCGACCGCACTGGCCGAGTCGTTCGGGTAGAGGTCCGAGGCGACGTCCATCGGGTTACCGTTGATCTTGCTGGGCGTAGGTGGCTCGAATTGGGATTCCGAGGGACGGTGACTGCCGGATACGGCGGACTCGTCATCGCCCGTCGTAGAGGTCGTTTGACCGAACGAGTTCCAAAAGCGGTTCCACATGGGTCCACCAGCGGCTCCGTCGGCTCCAGCTTGCTCGTCGTTCATGCTGTTGATCTGCTCGAGCGTCGCGTAGGTGAGCTTGAGAACGTCGACGATGCCGACGAGCCGGCTGTCGACGTCGACGACGGGGAGGTTGAGGTAGCGTCCGTCGTGCATCTTGCGCAGCGCCTCTTGGATTGTGAGGGAAGGAGGGGCGGTGTCGGGGTGAGGAGTCATGACGCGGACGACGGAGCACGTCTTGGGGTCAAGACCGGCAGCGATGACACGGAGGACGACATCTTTGGAGGTGAAGATGCCGGCGATCTTGCCGGAAACCGCGCCGGCGCCACCGAATTGACCTGGACCGGAGCCGGTCGACTCCATGACACAGACGGCGGTGGTGTGGTGCTCCTTCATGAGCTTTGCTGCCTCGCGGACGGTGGTGCGGACACCGACACAGCAGGGGAGCGTTCGTGAGTCGAGGATGGAAGAAAGATCGGGAATGCTCATCTTCTGTCGCAGCGCTTCGATGTACGACAGCATGGCCTGTTGAGGACCGGCAGAGCCGCCCCACTCGCTCTGAACACCTTCGAGAGCGTTGTAAAGCTTCTGGGACGAGCCGTGCGCGCGCTCGAGCTTCTCGAGGGCTTCGTAGAAGACCTTGGCGATGTCGAGCAGACCGACGACATCGCCATCCTCGTTGCAGACGGGCAAGTGACGGAATCCGCGGGTGACCATGGTGTTGAGCGCCTCGGTGGCCGAGGTGGTGTCGCGGGTGACCATGGGTGAGCGGGTCATGATAGCCGAAACAGGCGTGTTGCGTGCGTCCAGACCAGCAGAGACGACGCGGAAGGCCAGATCCTTGGCGGTAAAGATACCGGCGAGGTGCTCATCCTCATCGACGACGAGTACGCAGTCGGTGCGCTTGGCTGCACACAGCTGACTGGCATCAGCGACGCTGATCGACTGTGGGACCGTCAGCGCGGGCAGAGGTCGAAGCGCGGAGACCGTTCCGGCGGCAGCAGCAGGGGGCCTCGTGGTGCGCTTGGATCGTCGGGAGGACATGGGAGTGGAAGGCTTGCCCGACTTGCGCTGGAGCTCGCCTTCGATCTTCTTGCGGATGGCCTCGTCGCGCTTCGACTGGCGCTTGCGCGTGTCGGTAGCAAAGGCGCTGCCGGCGCCGCTCATGGTGGACATGGTGTTGGAGCGTGGGAGGTTGGTAGAGGTCTGCAAGGGGCTAGGAGATTGATCCTCTTGACGAGAGGGGAGCGGAATACGCGACATCCACGGCGAGTTCGAGGTGGGTGTTAGTGGTGAGGAGGGAGAGGGCAGATGGGGAATGACAATAGCACGATAGCGCGGAGAGTGTAGGACTGTACGGAGCTGGAAAGCCAGGAGAGCGGGCGTGTGCGTGTGTTGTGGTTGCGATTGTGATTGCGGACGAGCAAGCAAGGCGCTGCGGCTCAGTAAAGTGTGACATTTTGTGAGTGTTATTTTGGCCGCTGGGCTGGCTGCCTTTCAACAGGGACAAGCAACACTCACTGCTCAACTGCCCGTGTTCTCCCAGAGGCGGAGAGGCTAACCTTACTCAGTCTTTGTGTTGATCTCTCGCTTGCTCTCTCGCCGAACAAAGTCACGTGTAAATTTCGCATCCTAACCTTACGTAGGTGTAACACTCCAACATTTTTCGCTCGCTTCTCTTAAGCGAATTGCTCAGCACCGTCTTGCCAACTTTCGTGAACCCTTTCCTTCTTCATCAGTCACCTACATCTCGCCAGCATCACACTAACGCCCTCCTTAGTGCATAGTGCATAACTCGCACGCCAATCGTCATCATGGGTGTCGTCGAGAAGATCAAGGAGCTCGAAGATGAGGTCGCCAGGACGCAGAAGAACAAGGCCACAGAGTAAGTCCCGTCATACCATGCCGTAGCAAGTATCATCTTGTGCCATTTTGCTGACGATCGAATCCCACTGCTGCCTTTCGCACACAGATATCACTTGGGTCAGCTCAGAGCCAAGATCGCCAAGCTCCGTCATGAGCTCCTCGAGCCGCAAAAGAAGTCGGGCAAGCCAGGCGAGGGCTTCGATGTCATGAAATCCGGCGATGCCCGTGTCGCTCTCATCGGTTTCCCTTCGGTCGGAAAGTCGAGTTTCCTCTCCAAGGTCACAGACACCAAGTCGGAAGCAGCAGCATACGAATTCACTACGCTCACATGTCAGCCAGGTGTGCTCGAGTACGAAGGGGCCAAGATTCAGATCCTCGATTTGCCCGGTATCATCGAGGGAGCCTCCGAGGGCAAAGGTCGAGGTCGACAAGTCGTCGCTGTTGCCAAAACGGCCGATATGATCATCATCATGCTCGATGCCACCAAGCCGGAGACCCATCGAGCGTTGCTGGAGAAGGAGCTGGAGGCAGTCGGTATCCGACTTAACAAGACCAAGCCAGACGTAGGTTTGCGTAAGAAGAACACCGGAGGCATCGTCATCACCAAGGCCATGGGCTTGACATTGACCAAGATCGACGAAAAGATGATCCGCTCCATCTTGCAAGGCTACAAGATGCACAACGTTGATGTCATGCTCAGAGAGGATATTACCGTTGACGAGTTCATCGACGTCGTGCTCGGCAACCGCAACTACGTGCCATGTCTCTACGTCTACAACAAGATCGACTCGATCAGCATGGAGCAGATGGACAAACTGGCGAGGCAGCCCAACTCGGTCGTCATCTCGGTCGAGAAGGATCTCAACATTGACTTCCTGAAGGACATCATGTGGGACAAGCTCGGCATCAACCGCATCTACACCAAGAAGCGCGGAGAGAGGCCCGACCTTTCGGACCCCTTGTGCGTGCGCAAGGGTGCCACCATCGAGCACGTATGTCACCAAGTACACAGAGCCCTCGCAGAAAAGTTCAAGTACGCCCTTGTGTACGGAAAGAGCAGCAAGTTCCCCACCTCGCAGAAGGTCGGACTCAATCACGTTGTCGCAGCCGACGACGTGGTCAGCATCTTTACCAAGTGAGCCGCCGCCTGGCCCCCTCGTCTCTTTCGCTTGTTGTTATCATTGTATTCTAGTGTTCATTCATATATCCTCGCACGTATCGTCGTTCTCCATCACGGCTGTCGCTTTGTCTCCTGTTGGGCTTGCATGAGGGTCATCGCTAAGTGGAGGATGGTAACACTCAAACTGCGCAAGGAGGAAAGAGAGAAGGAAAAAAATAATTAACGCCAAAATGATGGTCCAAAAAAGACGCAGCCTGCCGAGCGCAGAAATGCAGTCTGCGCTCAGTCAAAAACCACAACCGAACCCGAGTTTTTGTTTGCTGCTCAGCTTCGTTCATCCGCAACTTCTCCTTTGTCCACGACCACCACCATCTCCCTTGCTACTTCTTTTACCTCGGCTTATACGCCTTCAAGAACACGATCACATCGCTTGTTCTTGCGAGCTACACACGTCAGACCGGGTCGGCAGCTAGATCCAGCCCTTTGTCATTGCAGATCCGAGCATCTGCAACTGCATCCGCGTCCCATCCTACTCAGCGCCGGGCCATCCAGCACGATCGCCTCAGCTTCTTCGTTTCATTGTGTCGGCAGTACAGTGATACTCGGCTCAGCCGCTTTTCGGCCCTTCGTCTAGCAATCGAGATCGTCACCGACCTTCTGCACACCTAATTCACCTCACATCATGCCTCACAGAGGGGCAGGACGTGGTGGCCACACCATCGCTGGAGCAGCACTCCGTGGCGCTGGCCTGGTCATGGACGGAGACGTCGGAATGCGAGATGCTGCCGGCCCGAGTCGAAGCAGAGCAGGAGGAGCTGGCGGCAGAAAAGGTTCGCGCAACGGTGGTGCAGACCCAGCGAATACCAACGGTTCTGGAGGCTCTCTAGCACGCCGCCTTGCACGACAGCAGCGTGCCGATCCGCTCGGTAATCGTCCGCCTGCAAAAGGCAGGAAAGCGGCCGTCAATGTCAATGATGGCCTTCGAGCCGGCAACACCGCCTCCGTCCTCAAAAGCATCTCTTCATCAAGATCTCAGGGCGGCGGGCGCATTCCGGGCGGAGGCGTCACAGTCTTCTCAGGCACAGACATGCCCAAGACTCAGAATGTCATTTCCCTCGTCAAACGCTTCCTCCATTCGCGGTGGAACCCGCAAGCAAAGTTCCTCAACCTCGAGAACATGCGCGCGGACCCCATCCTCGAAGCGGAAGGCATCAAGCCACCAGGCGTTGGTGGCTCGCCAAGGGAGCTCGGCAATGTCATCTGGAAGATCTGCTCAGAAACGTATCCGGACGTCATCACGATATCGCTGGCAAACAACGGCTTTCGCAGCTTGGGACCTGTTAGCTCATTGCCAGCCTTCTTTCCCAATCTGCAAAACCTCTCTCTCGAAGGGAACGAGCTCAAGTGGACCAAAGATCTTGACGTCTTCGCGTCCAGGAGGAGCAAGCTGACCAACCTCAAGGAGCTGTTGCTGACGGGCAACCCCGTTCACGCGAGTGCAATCGCTGCAGGTAACGAGGAGGGATATCGTCGCGAAGTGCTGTCCAAGTTCAGCACACTGACCCTGCTCGATCAGAAGCCCGTCACGCCAACCGAATCGGGCTTTGCTAATTTGCCATCTTCCGTCAAGTCGAAGAAGGTCGATGCGGACGCAGCGCAGGTGCCTCTTCGCAACTTCCCGGTCCCCAACAAACCGGGCTTTATCGACGCGGAGGCCGGCGCCATCATGCCCAACTTTCTTTCCAAATACTTCACACTCTACGACACGGACAGGAACCAGCTCAGCGAAGCGTACGCTCCCTTGGCTCAGTTCTCTCTCTGCCTCAACGTCATTCCACCGCCGAGGGCACGTGCGGCCGGCTTCCTGCACACCATGCCCAATCAAAAGGACCTCTCGTTCAATCGCTATCAGGACATCGGCAACCGCAATCTGATGCGTGTCCACGCACCCAAGATGCGCAACCAGTCGCTTCATCACGGCGTCGGCTCCATCCTGGCCGCTCTCCGAAAGCTTCCCAAGACTTCGCATCCTCTCAACGATGCGTCCAAGTTCGTCGTTGATTCCTGGGTGCTGCCGAACAATGTCATCGGCGCCAGGCTCAAGAACGAGGAGCGTCCCGAGGCGCTGCTCTTCATCAACGTGCACGGCGAGTTTGCTGAAGCACCGACGCAAGGCATCCGCTCGTTCGATCGCACCTTTGCAGTAGCACCCACGCCGCCCGACAGTCCAGCAGCAGCTGCTGGATGGCCCTGCGTCATCTTGTCGGACCAGCTGGTCGTCCGCCATTACTCCAGTCCTTCTGCTTGGGCTGCCGACAGCTTGCCAACCGGCGAAGTGACGGCTGAACAGACGCAGGCTTTGCAAGCAGCGCAACAAGGCGGACAGGCAGCAGTCGTGCCGCCTCAGGCAGCTCCTCAAACAGCCCCTCCGACCGGGCCCGCAGCCACGAATGGCGCCGCTCTGCCGCCTCATCTCCAGAACCAGGCTCCGGCAGCAGGCATCAATGAACAGCAGCACACCATGTCTCTGCAACTTGCCACGCAGACCGGACTCATCTATCCATTTGCAGTGCAGTGCCTGCAAGAGAACGGCTGGGACTACAACCTCGCCTTCACCAACTTCCAAAATCTCAAAGCGAGCAACGCGATCCCTCCGCAGGCATTCGCTCAAGCTGTATAAACAGCAACACCTTCCCCTTTCCTCCCCTAATCTTGAACTCTGTTCCTCACACCATGTCTAGACTACCACACCGTAGTACAGCGGCAAAAAAGCGCTTGTCTGCGTTTTACTGCAATTTAATAGCTGCGGGCGCACGTCTGGCAAAAGAAGAAGCTCTTCGCATCTACTCTCCAACTTCCGATTGTGGTCTGTGCTGTACTGTGTCTTGGAATGCTGGTGGGCTGGTACGGGATGGTGTAACACAACCCGTTGTGTACGAAGAACGCCGATCGTCGACCGAGATGAAGTCGACCATGGCGCCTTTTGAAGTGGTGGCGAGTGATGACGAAGAAAGCATATGAAGTGGGTGATTTGGTGAAGCAGGCAAGCTGGCACGAAGAGTCGTTTCGAGAGCTTTGCAATCGTCTTTGTCGTCATCACCATCATCCTTCTGCGTGCCTTCTTTACCAAGATGACTACGTTTGCTCGATTGGTCGCTTGGCTCTTGCTCGCCACGTTCTTCTCGTTCGTCGTGGTTAGCGCCGAAGATGGTCAGCTTCGCCAGCAGAAGCGGCCGCATCACCGACAGACTCCAGTCGGATCTTCACCTCAAGCCCATCCTCCTTCGCCCAAAGCGCCCTTGCAGAAGCCCTCGCGCCTGCACCGCGTCCGCAAGCCCCCTACCGCACCTTTCAGCGGCGTCAACACCGTCGCAAAGCGGGGCATCCCCGGTCGACCCGGCGACATCGAATGGATGGGCTTCTACGGCTCCCTCCTCGCCGTCCCCACCATGCTCTCCATCCTTGGCATCCAGACCAACTACAATCTTGAGAAAAGCTATTTCAACTCGCAGCTCAATGCGCAGTACTACAAGCAGTCGAGGGAGTTGTTGCGGGCTCATGCGCTGAAGTTGACGAGAGATCAGGAGATGAAGTTTGCCAAAGCGGGGTACAGGTGGCCCGGGATGATCTGGGATGCGGATGGGAACATGAGGGTGCCTGGTTCTGAAGGGAGCGCGGTTGGCGTGCCAACGCAGGAGATGGCATCGAACCAAGATCGGGGCTCGAGTCAGGTGGCGAACGGCGCTAGTGACGCAAGGGCTGAAGGCAGCGCACAAGGCGTTGGTCAAGGTGGACCCGGCACAGTGCTTGGACCAGGTGAAGGAGGCTCAGGGTATGGAGCCGGTGCTGGCAGACAGGAAGCGGAGAAGCCCATCGAGGCTGCAGGCGCTCAAGGAGCGGGAGGTCCAGGAGCCGACGCAGCGGCAATCGGACGAGCAGGAGGCAATGCTCAAGATGCACCGTCTTCTTAGCTAAACCGCTCAAGATGGTGCTGGCACCGCTTAAGTCATGTCAAGATGTTCACCTTTTTGTCGGTCGTTTCAACATGTCTCTTCCGTTTCGCAGTACACATCACACATCATCATGAGTGGCCGTATGGAGATGCACAAGGGGCGTGAACTCTGTATCAAAAGAGCGTGAGAATGTACGAGGCGAGGTACGAAGAGCGAAAGGAACAACGAGTAGAGAAAGCAAGCACTCCAAGCCCCCTCCTCAAGGCAAGATCGGCGGCTTGGAACGAACAGGTCCAGGCTCGCCATCATAGTAAGCGACGTCGACCGAGTCCTTCTCGTCCTCGACCTGCTCCAGCACCCTCTCCCATTCCAATCTCACCCCGTTGACGTTGAAGATCACCTCGTTGTCATCCGTCACCGTAAGATTGAGATTGATCTTGGTGTTGTGGAAGTGGACGCCGACGATGCTGCTGAGAGCGTGTTGGGTCCAAGTGAAGCCCCCACCGACGCCGTTGTTGGGATCACCACCGTCGAAGCCAGCGTGCAGCTGGCCGTTTTTCCAGTCAAGACCGCAGCCCATGCCGATTTGATCTTTCGACATGGATGGGAAGTGGCCCTGGACAGAGGAGCCTAGCGCACCTTGAGTTTGACCGATGTGCTTGGCCTTGGTCTGCGTCCACGTCACGTTGTAGAGGCTGACCGTGAGAAAGTCGGGGATCACCGCGGCCTTGGCTTGACAGAATGCCACGGCGAGCGTGAAAGCGAAGAGGACGGCGGGAAGCTTCATCGTGAACGTCTGTGTGAGAACTGAGAAGTCGGTTGAGGGTGGAATCTGAGAGCCAGGAGCAGTCTGTTTGGGAGCCACTAGTTATGTAGCCAGCAAACTGGACTCGAGAGGGCTCATGTGGCGGCTCGGGTCAACGCGTACCAGGCCGGACAACGGAACTTCGTGAGGGAATGAAGCGCGACTCGTATGTGGATCTCTTGGCGGGATCAGGGGGCCTAAAGAGACGTGTGTATATGTATGAAGATTAGCAAGCAAGCGGGGATCGCACCTCGATTTCGCCACCGCTGCCCTATGCCCCACCTCACTTTGCACCGAAGCAACGACGCAAGTCGACAACGAGATGATGGCGACCCGCCCCGTCCCATATCCTCCCACGACTCCACAAACATGATCACCTTCATCTAACAGATTCAGCGCTCGCTCGCGCCACTCAGGAAACCTCATATCAGTCATGATGACAGGATCGCAAATGGGGTCATCCGGCCCGAGAGTGAAGACCAGAGGGATGAGAAGGTGACGTGGGAATTTCTGGCATCCGTGTGGGACCGACGCAGAGACGGAGAGCAGGGCCACTTCGTCCCCTCTGAACGCGACGTATGACGCGCGTGACGGCTAAGCGAGAAGGAGAGACCAACAGCGGCTCAGTCGAAAAGTAACAGACAGGTGGAGGAAAAAATCAGGGCAGCACAGCGCAGCATTTGCATTCCGAGCATCTTTTCTCAGAGCAAAGACACGCTCTTGCATGCATGTGCTCAAACTCAGCCCTGTCCTCCGCCCACTGCAGCGCCAACCATCTTCTCAGTGTCTCATGACGAGCTCGCAAAGCGGAATCGGTCGCCAGCACAGCTTCTCGCAGGTCTCTGCTCCGACTCGGCATCATTCTCCAGCACCCAAGTCAGATGCAACCCTCGAGGATCCGGCTCGAGTCAAAACGCTCGCCGATCTTGTCCACAAAGCTCTGACATTATCGCATACCTCGCTACCAGCAGAGCTGCCATCATGGCTCCTAGCGCCTCCAAGACCAACACAGCCTCTGAAGGCTCCACCTCGCAAGCTCGCAGCAGCAAAGGTACAGGAGCTGCTGGCGAGTCTAGTGCCAAGGGCGCTCAAACCAGGCCGGCATACCTTCAAGAGCTCTCCGAATCCCAATACGCTGCTGCGACTCACCCGCCAACATCATGTCTTCAGATCTTGGCCGGTCCAGGCTCGGGCAAGACACGCGTGCTCACCTCTCGTGTCGCTTGGCTGATCCTCGAAGACGCCAACAAGCTCAAGCCAGAGGACGTTCTGGTCGTCACCTTCACCAACAAAGCAGCCAACGAGATGAAGATGCGCCTCATCAAGCTCATAGGCAAGGAACGAGTCGACAATCTTGTCATCGGAACCTTCCATTCGGTCTGCGCTAGGTACCTGCGCAAGTACGGCAAGCTGATCGAGCTGCCGAACAACTTTACCATCATCGACTCCGACGACGCCAAGCGCATGTACAAGTCGATCCTCAAGGAGCTCAAGCCGGACCTCGAGAAGGAAGGCATGGGTACTCTCAAGCCGGAAGTATGCATGTCCGAGATCTCGAAGGCGAAAGCAAAGGAGATCGATCCTGTGAGGTATCGGGAGCTGGCACAGCAGGAAGCAGCCAAGGGCAAGCCTTCTCGAGCGCCAATAGGTCGTCAAGTTGCCGGATCAGCTGCTTTCAAGACGGTCATAGCCAACATTTACATGATGTACCAGCAGCAGCTTGTCGATGCGAATGCTTTGGACTTTGACGACCTCCTCGTCTACGGAGTCCAGCTCTTCCGCCACCAGAACCAGGTGGTGCGCAACATTCGGCACGTGCTCGTGGACGAGTTCCAGGATACCAACATCACCCAGTACGAGCTGATGCGACTCGTAGCAAAGGCGTCGCAAGCGGTCAGCATCGTCGGCGACCCGGATCAAAGTATCTATGGCTGGCGAAGCGCCGAGATCGGCAATCTCGACAAGATGACCAAGGAATTCAAGGGCACGCAACAGGCACGACTGGAAGAGAATTATCGAAGCACAGGATCCATCTTGGAACTCGCGCTCAAGGTCGTTCAGCAAGACACATCGCGTGTTGACAAGGATCTCTACACCTCGCATCCTCGCGGGCTGCCTGTCGTGCTCAAGTGTCAAGGCTCGGCTCAGCTGGAAGGTGCCTACATAGCATCCGAAGTCAAGCGTCTGGTCGCTCATTCCGGAGGTATGCTCGACTACAACGACTTTGTGATCCTGCTTCGATTCAACTACCTCTCGCGTGCCATCGAAGCCGAGCTGCAATCCAGAGGCATCGACTCCCGAATGATGGGTGGACACAAGTTCTTTGACCGTATGGAAGTCAAGGATCTGCTTGCCTACTTGGCTCTGGCCGACAATCCGGGCTTCACGCCGGCCTTCATCCGTGTCGTCAATGTCCCCAAGAGGGGCATTGGCGAGAAGAGCGTCACCGACCTGCTCAACATGGCCAAAGCGGAAGGCTGCAAACCGATGGAGCTTGCCGAGCGCGTGGTCAAAGGCGGCAAGAATCCCGGCGTCAAGCCAGGCATGAAGAAGGGCCTCAAGGAGCTGGTCGAGGCTGTGACTGCCGTGCGAGAAGCGGCGAGCTCGGGCACGCCGGTTGCTGAGCTGATCCAGCTGCTCATCGAAAAGATCAACTACGAGAACTACCTCAAGGCGCAACCCGACTACGACGCACGATGGGGCAACGTGCAGGAACTCATCTCTTTCTCCATCATCGTTGCTGCGAACACGACGAATTCTGACACTGGTGCGCCGTCGGTGCCCATCGAAGAGATTCTCTCTCATACGCTTTCGAATCAGGAAGGCGCCGACAAGGGTCGAGCACAGGAGAGTGATGATGAGGACGAGTTCGAGGATGTCAAGGTCGAGGCGGAAGTAAGCAATCCCAAGACTGAGAAGTCGCAACAAGCCTCACAACAAAACGCCACGAGGGAGAAGGATTCAAGCAAGGCTGCCGGATCATCACCATCGAAGAAGAGGGAAGTGATCGACCTCTGCGATTCAGGCGAAGAGGATCAGCCATCGACAACCAAAGCCAAGGCCAAGCCTGGTCCGCAGAAGAAGCGCCGAACCACAAAGAAGGAGTCGTCAGCCGACGCCGAAGACAATGAGGCCGATGACGATGTCAAGCCCGAATCGTCCCTTCTCAAACAGCTTGACGAAATCGAGGAGAAAGTCAATCAGGATCAGGCGAGCGACGATGGCGACGACGACGCAGAGGAGACCAAGACACCGCTCCGGGTCTTCCTGGAAGCATCGATCCTGGCCACCGACATGGACGCCGAAGCGGACAAGACAGACGAAAAGAAGAAGCCGAAAGTGACCATCTCGACCTGCCACGCAGCAAAAGGTCTCGAATGGCCGGTCGTCTTCATTCCCGCCATCGAAGAAGGCTGCTTCCCATCCTTCCGGTGCGAGAAGCCCGAAGAGATTGCGGAAGAGCGTCGTCTGCTCTACGTCGCCATGACGCGAGCCGAGACGATGCTCTACCTCACCCACGCCACAGCCCGAATGCAGGGCGGCGAAACGCAGGACAAGATCCTCAGCAATTTCGTTTCCTCTGTTGCGCCAAAAAAGGATGGCGGTTCCTCCGAGGCGAAGAACGCGATCCAATTCTGCACCACTCGACCCAAACTTGACATCGACGCCGTGACGACCATCGCCAAGGTGACGGGCAAGCCGATGCCTTCCGAGGCGCAGATCAAAGCATCCATCGCGACATGGGAGAAATCGTCGGGCAAAGAAGTGCAGAATGTCGACCAGATGAACAGCGGTCGGATCAGCGGTTTCGGCGCGTACTCGAGCTACGGCGGTGCAGGTGGGTACACGACCTCTGGCGTCCACAGCGGCGCTACGGGCGGCTGGAACTCGCACATGGGCTTCGGTCTGTATAGCGACGACAACTTACGCTCTTCTTCCCCTGCTGGTCGGCACCAAGTACAGGACAGTGATGCGATGAGACGGTCGCTGGGGTTCACGCCGCCGACGCTGGGCAGCTTTTCTTCGGCGACGGACGACGATGCGACGCCTACTGCGTATGGCGGGTTTCAGCGGGCGTCTTCGCTTGGTGGGGGAGCTGGTGGGTTGGGTGCGTACTCCAATCGTAGTCTCGGAATGGGAGGGGCGGGAGGGAGACAGAAGCAGCCGCTGGTACCGCCTTCTCGGCAGCCCGTGGCGACACCGCCTGCTCCACCGTCTTTTACGGATGCGGTCCGCCTCAGAGCCCGCCCGGAAGACTCGGTTGCATTGGCTAGAGCAGACGGCACGGCACCGCGTCCACGTGCGGACCTCAATAGTTTCCAGCAGGCTCACACGCAAGGGATCAGCAGCATGCTCAACATGCTTCCGCCGTCGTCGTCCGGAGGAGGAGGTTCGAGGAGCTCGCCCATCGTCGTTGGCGGCGACTCGCCGAGTGATTCTGGGACTGGAGGTGTGAGAAACGGTGGTCAAGGGACAGGCAAAAGGAGACTGGGGATGATGAGACGGTTTTGAGCAGTGTTTCGGCAGGAATGTCAACCATGGGCACATCGTCTTTCGCGCTCTATTGTGAACAGTGTTTCGTCTATGATATGATGAGAAGGTCGAAGAGTGAGAGGCGTTTCCGCGGACAAGAACGGTGGACCCTGAAGAAGAACGCGGAAATTCGCCGAAGAGCACGCCGAGGTCTGACCCACACCGGCAAAACCGGTTGACCTTGCACATCATCCTCGTGCGACCTTGCGCTCAGCTACCTCTTTGGAGTCACACCACACGCTCTGTCTTCGTGCGTACCTTCGTTTGTACATATAGCCAGGATCTGCTTATCCATGGATTCTGCCTCTCACACTAGTTCGCCAACGATGACCGTCCCTGCCGAACCAGAGGCGATCCTCTCCCCGCGCTCGGAGATCCCACCTGCCGCCTCCCCCCTCTCCGCCCCTTTGCACCACGTCACACCTCTCCTCTTCTCCCCTTCCCTCTCGGCGCGCACGGGTCACAATATATATCTCAAGCTCGACATCGATCAACCCTCGGGGTCGTTCAAGCTTCGGGGCGTGGGAGCGATCTGTCAATCCGCCCTTGCCGCTTCGGGTGACACGCATCTGGTCTCGTCTTCCGGCGGGAATGCGGGGTTGGCGGTGGCTTATGCGGCGAGTAGGGCAGGGGTGGGGTGTACGATCTTTGTCCCGGCGTCGACCGAGACCGACGTAGTGGAGCGGTTGAGGAAGGAGGGAGCAAGAGTCGTTATCGGGGGCGACGCCTGGGATGTAGCTGATGCTGCCGCACGGGAAGAGGTTCGGGAGACAGGAGGGACGTACGTTCATCCGTTTGAAGGCGAGGTGCTGGTGAATGGGCACAGTAGTGTGGTGGACGAGATCTATGATCAGATGCCCGAGGGGGAGCGGGTGGACGTGCTGGTGAGCAGTGTGGGCGGGGGCGGGTTGCTGCGAGGCATCATCCAAGGGGTGACTCGTCAGGGTGGGAAGAAACCCGTGTTGGTGGGTGTACAGAATTTTGGCGTGGACTCGTTCAATCGTTCGCTAGACCAATGGAGCGCGTGCGGTGAGGAGGGCGTAGTGACGCTAGAGAGGATCGAGAGCAAGTGCACCTCGATGGGCACCAAAAAGTGCTCCGCTGCCACGCTACGCGACGCCATCGAGTTCCAGAAGGACGGAGGGAGGTTGGTGAGCCTCACAGTGACCGACGAGCTGAGTGCGTCCGCATGCTGGCAGTTCGCCGAGGAGAAGCTGCCAGATGGGAGGAAGAGGATGGTCGAGTTGAGCTGCGCAAGCGCTCTGACGACGGTGTACCACCCGTGGGTGCTGGAGAGGGTGTTGGATGGGCTAGAGGGCGAAAAGGGGAGGAAGTTGAATGTTGTTATCGAGGTGTGCGGTGGGAGTAAGGTCAACCAAGCTATGCTGAAGGAGTACAAGGAGAAGAACGGGAAGATGGAAGGTAGAGATAGGATCCGGGTCAACGGTGTTGACTTTCCCGCTTCGTCTGCGTAGACATGCCCATTCATAGAACTGGAATTGCGGCAAAGGAACATAAAATCACAGACACAGACACAAAGTCAATGCGTGAGGACGCACGGCAAGTGTTCGTTCCGTTGATGCTGCGTGAGTGGTGTTGACATGTGTGAAGCGGCTATCGACCCAACTCGGCCAAAATCTCGGCCTGCCTCTGCTTGGACACCCTCGCAAAGCCCTGCAGCTGCATGCTGAACTGGGCATTGCCAGCAGTGAGCGCCCTCAGCTTGGACGAGTACTTGACAAGATTCGCCAGTGGCACCACCGCATGAATCTCCGCCTTGCCCTGTCCGCCCTTACCATCAACACCCTTCCCGCCGGACCCGGACGAGGCGGCGGAGCTCTGCAGCTCAAACCTGTTCGTCGTCGGGTTGGGAATGTACACCTCCTCCTCTTCTCCCGTGGATTTCTCTGTATCCGAATCGGACGAGAGATGTACGACATCCTCCACCAGTCCGCCCTGCTCGGCCGTGATATCGTTGATCACTTTACCAAGATGCGCCTCGGGCACCACGATGCGTGTCGTCATCATGGGCTCCATCAGCGTCGTCAGCGGTGTCGGCGTCGACGTCGCCATTCCGGTTTCGGGATTGACCTTGGGCTCGGTGCGCAACACCTTGCGCACGTGATGCGATAGCAGGTAGGACACGGCAGCCGAGGACGAAAGCTCGCCGAACAGCTCCACGTTGGAGATGCTGATGCGGAGGTTCATGACCGGGTTCGAAGTGAGCGGCCCACGGGAGAGCGCGGCTACCATGCCTGTTTTGAACATTGTGCTGAGCGTGATGAGGTCGATGCCAGGGGGCAGGTTGGTAGGGGATGTGATGGACGAGTACTTGGAGCTGGGAGCGGGTGTTTTGGCGGTGTTCTTGCCACGCGTATGCCGAGGCGTCTCCGCGACGAACGCTTCAATGTCGCCCTCGTCCTCCGCACTTGCCTTCTCCTTCCTCCCCTCTACCTGCCCTGCAGCATCGCCAGCAGGCGCAAAGGAGACATCAACGACGTTGCCTCCGTACACAGCGGCATCCGCCCCACTCGCCAAGTGCATCTCGTCCTCTCCCAGCGCTCTCACCTTGATCTTCGCACCGATCTTGATCTTTTTGCCCGCCAAGTCCCTCTCCACCGTCTCCTCGACCTCTCTCCCCCCCAACCCCTCATCCAGCGTTTCGCGATAGGACACCCTCACAGCGCCCATCCGCGCGTTGACGCCGAACTCGTTCGCCAATCGATCCTTCGCAATCTCGAGATGCAGCTCGCCCATGCCACTGAGCACGGTTTGACCCGTGGTGCCCTCTCCTGATTCGTCCAGTCGCAGCGACGGGTCGGTACGAATGAGCAGGTTGAGCGCATCGCTCACCGCGTCGACATCCGATTTGCTTGCCGGTTCTAATGACATGCTGAACACGGGTGGTGGAATGTGCACCCGCTTCAATCGCAGCGTCTTGACCTCGTTCGCGTCCATCCCACCCTTGGCACCCGTACCAGCTTTGGCGGTGCCTGCAGAGGAGACGTCGACGAGCGTATCGCCGGTTCGCGTGTCGCGCAGACCGAGGATGACGCCGATCTGGCCCGCACGCAGCGTGTCTGTTTCGGTGTAGCTGTCGGCGAACGGGAAGAGGACGCGGGAGAGACGCTCGCGAGCACCCGTGGTGGTGTTGAACAGGACGGTGGAGCGGTGGAGAGTGCCCGAGTAGACGCGGACGAAGGTGGTGGGACCGCGCCGCTTGTCGTGCACCACTTTGAAGGCTAGTGCTGTGGTGCGGCGGTCGATGAGCGAGATGGGGACTTGCTTACCGTCCGGGGTAGCATCCTGCTGCTCGGCTTGGGTTTTGGACGGGGAGGCGGTCGAAGCGACCGTGCCAATGACGGAAGGCTTATCCGCTGGACTGGGCAGATAATCCGCAATGGCGTCGAGCAGCGGCTGCACACCGATATTCTTGCCCGCCGAGCCGCAGAGCACGGGCAGGATCGTCCCTGCTAACGTCTGCCTTCGTATCGCCGCCTTGAGCGAGGCAGCCGGCATCTTGCCGTGCGGCTCCTCGTTCGACCCCGTCGGCAGACCAAACAGCTCTTCCAGCAACTGATCATCCAATGAAGCAAGACACTCGACCAACGCATGTCTCGCCTGCTTTGCCTCCTCCCACAGTTCATCTCCCTCTCTCAGCTCCGTTCTTGTGACAATCTCTCCAGCCTTTCCTGAGAAGCGCAGCGTCTGCATCTCGACCAGGTCTACCACGCCTGCTATCCCCGGCTCGTTCCCCTCCACAGCCAGGGGCAGCTGCAGCAGCAACGGCCTTTTATGCATCCCGCTCCTCATCACACTCTTGAGCGACTGGACCATCGAGCTGCCCATGCGATCGAGTTTGTTGACGAACAGAATGGACGCCTTGACATCGTACCTCGCTGCTTGGGCCCATACGTTTTCGGTTTGACTCTCGACTCCTTCGACGCCATCGAGGACGACGACTGCGCCATCGACGACGCGCAGTGCGCGCTCGACCTCGATGCCGAAGTCAATGTGACCAGGGGTGTCGACGAGGGTGATGCCCACACGGGACGGGGAGGTAGGGGAGGTCCACCAGACGGGACCCACGGCGGCGGATTGGATGGTGATGCCACGCTGCCGCTCCGCTTCAAGAAAGTCGGTGACGGTTGAGCCGGTGTCTACGTCGCCTGGGATGGAAGCGGTGGAAGAGTTGGAGGAGAGGGCGTTGGTGAGGTGAAGAAGACGTTCCGTGAGGGTCGTTTTGCCCGCATCGATGTGTGCGATGATCGAAATGTTGCGTAGGTGCGAGATGGGGTGGCGTTCCGCATGTGGGGTGAGGGGATCTGCTGCTTGCCATTGTGAGGTCGAGCTGAAGGTGCGAATGCTAACCAGCGCCGAAGAAGGATGCAACTGGGTCTGCCGGGATGCCGATGCTTGCAAGGAGGACGCTGTGTGGAGGGCCGATCTTGGTCTGCTCAGCACCGCCGGCGAGCTGAGCCGACGAGCGCCTGCGGCGGGGCTCAAGAGCCGCCTCGTACAGCGACGTGCCAGACTCATGTCTTGAGTCAGCTTCCGGGCTAGATGGTCGTTGGCAGTGCTGAAAGACGTCAAAGGGGCATGAAAGTGTCACACGAGGACATGTGCATTCTTCTCAACTCGCCCAAATTTTTGGCTCCGACTTCCGCAATTTCAGTCAGCCTCGTGAGCATCATCATTCACATCGATCCCAATCACAAGCTCACACGTGGAGCAAGCATCGTACATGACTTCGATTATAGAGTCGTTCTAATGCTGTGACGCCTCGCCCTGCCTCCACTGCACGGGCGGCGGTGCGGTGCCGGCGCCCCGTGGCGGGTTCTCGACTGTAACGTAGCGTCGCTTCTTGGGCGATTTGAGCGCGGTCCCTGCACTCGGTGCTACCGGCTCAGAGACCTGCTCCACAAAGTGCGACTTCGGCGTCTCCTTCGTGGACTCTGTTACCGTACTCGATGCAGCGGGTTTAGAGACCTCTGGCTCGACCGACTGCGAGGCGACTGGCTTCGGTGTCTCCTTCGTTGGCTCTGACGATGTCGCCTCCTTTGTTGGCTCTGAGACCGCCGCCACCTTCTCGGATGGCATCGTTGAAGCGCCCGCAATGGCAGGCGCTGCGACCTTCTCTTCCTCTTCTTCGTCCTGAGCTTCCGCCTTCTCCTCCGCTTCTTCTAGTCTATCATTCTCCGCAGCGACCGCAACGCCGGAGCCCAGACCAGAAGCGATCACGCCGGCGCCCGAAGCTGGCTCGACGTGACGTTCCGGATCGGCGGTTTGATGGCCGCCCACACCAGCGACCGTCCTCACCGCCTCCCTCGGCGTCGCATCCACTCCTTCTTCTCTGGAACTCGCAGCTGTCTTGTCTGTGCTACCCTCACCGCGGACCTGCGCCTCTTCATCCGAGCGGTGTTGTGTAGCGTAGTCATCCCGAAATTGCGATGCGGACTTCTCCCGGCCCAATCCACCCCCTTCCTCCTCGTCATCCGACTCGTCGAGCAGCGACTTCTTACTGTAGAGCTCCCCAGCGATCTTCGTATCCAGTGCGATCTCCACTCCTCTCCCCGTAACGCGCTCCGGCTCATGCCCGAGACTCGCCAGTACGCCATCCGCATCGGCCGTCGGCGCATCCAGAATCTTCAACTCCAACGGGCTGAACCACCTCGGCACAACCCAGTACCGCACCGGTATCAGCAGCGTGATGATCACCGGGAAGCCGATACCGGCAATCGTAGCGGAGATGGCAATGCACATCGCCGCGAACAGCCACTGAATTCCCACGAACAGCGCGATCTTACTCCGCCGGATGGAGTTGAGCGGTTCGTCGGGGGGAGAGAGGCGTCGATCGCGAAAGATGGCGAGCGTGCGAAGAGTGATAGCGTTGCGCTCGATGGATGCCCAGCCTACGAGGATGAAAATTCCCGCGAAGACGGCTCGGGGCATCGTGCCGAGGACAACGAGGAGTGGACGCGTCATGGTGCCAAGGGTGAGAAGGCCGATGATGAGGTGCGAGAGACGATTCTCGACCACGCGAACGTTGACAATGTGTTGCTGTTTCACGGTGCGTGTTCGGGCGCCGCGTCGGGCCTCGCGAGCGATGCGTTTGGTTTCATCCGGCTTTTCGACCTGTTTGTACACCGAGAGGGTTTCCGTATGCACCGGTGCTTGGGGTACGAGACCGTTCGGAGCGGGCAGTCCGAGGAAGCCAGAGACCAATGTCGTAATGCCAAGCAGAAAGAAGTCCCAATGGAAACCGGCGGGTTTTCGAACAGGATAGTTGCGCGCTTGCGCCATGACGCTCGACACGTTGTGATCGAAGTAGAAGAGCAACATGATGAGGAAACCCAACGGTGCACCGACAAAGACGTACTTGAGCTCGATGTTCCAGAAGTCGATGAACCAGGATCGGTCCAGGGTAGGATAGAAGGCGCGGGTGATGGGCACGCGCTCCACTGGCACCAAAGCGAGCGAGTTCTTGGGGAAATGACTGAAGCCCGTCCAAAAGATGCAGCCCGCTGCAAAGGCGTAGCCGGCAACAAAGTTGCGCATCTTGAAGGGGAGGTAGGTGGTGTTGCCTACCTTGGCGACGAGGTAGACGGAGATGGTGAATAGGATGGCGATGGTGACCGAGAGCCAGCCGGTCGCATTGTCGAGCGGAAGGGGTTCAAACTCTTCGATGAGCAATTCGATGCCCTTTTGGATGTAGATGATGCCCACGTAGAAGCCGAATGTCTCGGAAGTCATGTCGGTGATGAACCGAGTAAAATCGCACACGTTGAAGATGGCGACAACGAAATGAAAGCCGGCAGCCCAGATCAAGGACCACGCCTGGATGCGCAGGTAGTCGAGACGGTCAAAGCCGTAGTAGCCGACAAAGATGTTGTACTGTGTGTAGTTGACGAGGTTGATGAGACCAGTGACGCCGACAAACGTCAACGGCTGGACGGAGAAGATGGCGAACACGATAGCAGCGAGGGCGGAGGCGAGGATGACCTCGTTGACGCCGTACGAGCCGCCCGTGCGGTAGTTCATGTCGAGGACGTAGGCGATGGCAGGCATGAGGTTGATGAAGTACATGCGGACGACACTGTTGGCGACGGTCCACCAATTGCGGGGCTCGAAGCCTTCCACCCAGTCGCTGAGGAGGTACGGTTTGCGTCGTCGGAGATCGTACCACATGCCGCGGAAGGGCATCAGCTCGTACGCCCACGAACGTTGCGACCATGGCTTGTCGCCGTCAAACAGCGGGTAGGTGTCGGGGGCACGACTCTTCCTGCGCTTCTGTGACGAAGGATCGATCGTGTTAGATGTTGGTCTCTTTGCATCGCTGTCCTTGTCTGAGCGTGATATCTTGCCAGTCGCTTTTCTATTTGAGAGTCCATTGTTAGACACGTGCTGCGAGGACGAGTCCACGGTGACGGACCCTGCATCGTGGGAGGTATGTGCTGTGCTGGAGGCGCTGCGAGAACGCTGTGGCTGTACCGAGCTGAGTGGCGGCACGGAGCCGGGGTCGATCGAGTTCATGTCTAGGCTTCCTTTCTATGGTGTGCGTGTCCGGACGAGTGCGAGGTGGTGGTGGTTTGAGGTGATATGGCGCTGCTATGAGGCCTGGGGATGGAGCCGAGTCATCAAAGGTGAGGTAGCCTTCGAGGGGTGCTCTATTTGTAGATGGTGGCGTGAGGCGCAGTGTCGAGGATGAAGGTGACTATGCGTGATGAGGGTGGTTTGCAACGAAGGACCGTTCAACAGCATGATGAGCAGTACATTGCCGTTTGGGTTAGGCTTGTTATGCACGCACAGCAAACAAACACAGACCAAAATCAAATTTCAATTAGCAAGCAAGGCACGACCCCGACCCCGATGGCGAAAAACCCCACCGGATCGGAGGCCTTGTTTCACCTCTTTGTTGCAGCAGTGTGTCCTGTCGCTGCACTACAAGGTCGGTATCGGAAGACGAACGGGCTATCAATTGACCGGCATGAAGGATTCATGCTACAGCATAGTTACGTACCATCAGCTCGACTTAGTTTGGTGGTCCTTTCAATCTGCTCCTTTTTACATTTCGTCTGGCGTGGCTGCGAATCAAAGATCGGCATTCTGCATGCAGAATTGGTCAAGCTGTGTTTGACAGGTCCTCATCAAGTCTGAGCTTGTGTATGGTGAAGCATGAGAGTGTATGCAACCAAGTCTGGGGCTGATGGAGTTGAGTCTCTCGGATAGCCTCACGCACTCGCAGACGCCGCTCGCTACGACCTGACAGGAACGCTCTCTGCTTCTCGAAGCAATCTGCAGGCACGATGACGGCATCATCTGCGAAAAGTTCCGCTCAGGGGCGCGCAACAAAACCAAAATTGGCGAGAGAACCCTTTGGCCGCTTGGTAGGCTTGGTAGTGGTACAGCTCGCTTACGATATCGGAACAGCTTCGCGCTTCGTATGGGCTCCCGTCACCGATCCCGATCCTACCGGCACTCGACCCCGGTCAGCATCATGTGTGACAGTCGTCTCCAGCACGAACAGACGTTGTAGCATAGCTTGGAACGTGTCGAGTAGATAAAGCAATGGTCGAACAAACGAACAAAATCGGAACTGATGCAATAGAAATCGATAAAGCGACGGGGTCGGGACGAAAACACACCTGCGAGAGCAAGGCTGTTCGAAGTGGGAGCAGTCTACTTGCGACCCTTCCTATAATCCTGGTCGCCCTTTCGGTCCCACGTGGGCTCCTCCTTCTCCTCGGGCTGCGTCTCGTCCCACAGCCCGCTCTTTGCGATCTTGGCTCTGAGCTTTTCGCGGCGCTTCTCGTCGTCGTTGCCCGTACCTTGGGTCTCCGCCTGCGACTGGCCCGCCTTTCTCTTGCGACCGTTCCCGACGGACGAAGAGGGCAGAGGAGCGCTGGCAATATCCATCGACTCGCCTTCCATCTTCCTCGCCGAAGCCGAGCTTGCGCTGACATCCGACGCCGACTCTTGCAACTTGGCCTCTGCCAGCTCCTCTTGTTGACGCGCATAACCGCTTCGTTTCCAAAAGATGGGTTTTTGACCCTTGAGCGCCTTGCGCATGGGCTTCGCGAACACGCCAAGGTTCTCTGCCCGCTCCTTGTCAGGATCGTTCTCCTTATCGTAGTAGTACCAGCACTCGAGCGGGTTACCGGACGCATCCTTGCCTGCACGCTGGATGACGCCGAACATGGCCGATGATTGAAGCACCACCTCGAGATGCTCCCGCCACGCCTTGCGGGCGATCGAGGCCCATTTTTCGTTGGATTCCGACGCGGTGGGCCAGCCATCGACGATGCAGCCGTGCTGGAGGGTGGCGGAACCGGGAAGCGCGCGCTTGGACGGACTGAAGGCGACCGAGTGTTCACCAGCTTCGCCTTTCATCAGCCCAGGCGTGGTGGTTAGCACCGAACGGACCGCTTCCGAGGCACTGATCGTCGCGGTGCGGTGGAAGACGATCGCGCCGGCGAGGAGACCAGGTAGATCGTAGGTGGGTGCCAGCTGGCGGACGCAGTTGCGGGCAAGCATTTGCAGGTCTTGCACGGACGCGCCGGGGAGGGGCGAGGACGGAGCGGGACTGTTGCTCGCCGACCTGCGTGCGGCGTTGCGGACACTGGTGACAGGGGCAGGGGGAGGCATACGCGTCTGCGACTCGGTCAGAGCTTCGGTCACTGCTTGCTTGCTTGCGGACGCACTGCCTGTGGTCTCGGTTCGTTTTCGTGGCGCTTGCGGGGTGGTTGTCGCAGGTTGGGTCGCGAGGGCAGAGTCGCCGATCTGCTGGTCTACGATGCCAGAATCAAGGTCCGAGAGGGAGCTGCTGTCCGACACATCGTCCACGACGTCGGCAAGAGGCTTGCGAGTCACGAGCACTGCATTCTGGGGCGCAGGTCGAGCCGCAGGCACATAGTCCTCGTCGTCGCTCTCGTCTTCATCGTCATCATCTTCGTCCATCGCGCCGAGTCCGTTGCCGCCGGTCTCCTGATCGCTATCGCCAGCTCGTACCTGGCGGATGTTGAGAGGTCCAGCTACAAGTCCACCACCTCGGCGGTTGACAGGTGTGGGAGAGCTGGTGACGTCGTCTTCGTCGTCGAGCAGCCCTCGTCCTGACGTCTTCGCCAAAGCGGAGCGCTTGCTAGGAGACATCATGACAAGCATGCCGGTTGGAGAGCTAGCAGGGGGCGAGCTCGAAGCAATCTGTGTCTCGCTGCTCGGCAGGTCCTCAATAATCACCCTCTTCTTGACGGGCGACGTGACGCGTTGACTCCACTCCTCGACGCGAGCCTGCATCGACTTGACCGGGGAAGGCTGCAGATCTGAAGTCGAAGGAATGTGCTCGAAGCGACACTTGACGCCGAAGAAGTCGATCATCGACTTGCCAGATACGAGACGCAGGACCTGTCCCTCACGACGACGCTTGCCGTCGACAATAAGACCGTTCTGGCCAACGATACGGACGATGAAGGTTCCGTTCGAGCTCCTAGTTTCAGTGGGAGGGTCGTTCCTGGAAGCTTTGGGAGAGACGGCCTTCTTATTGGAAGCAGGGCGCGCAACGAAGGGGATCCACTCGACGATGGCGTGGATGCGCGAGACGTGACGAGCCTCGTTGGGAAGGTTGACGCGCAGGATTCTCTTGGATCCCAGACCTTGCATGGAGGCAGGGATGTCGGCAGCCGAGGCAGCACGGGAGGCGTGCGGCAGCCCTGAGGGCTTGGATCGGCCAATTACCAGGCTGACGCTCTTGCTGCCGAACAGCAGATTGGGCACGGCATCGGCATCTGAGTCGCGCTCTGGGTTCGAGATCAGTCCGAGAATCTGAGTGTTGGGAGCGTGCTGTTCGGAGGCGGGTGTGGGTGCTAGCTCAACGCTGGTGTTGGTCTGGTCGAGGATGGTACTGCGCACGGGCGTGACTGAGGCTGAAAAAGGTCGCTGCTGCTTGACAGGCGAGAAGCCGAGCGCCTGCTGACGCGTTGGCGCGACGGGAGACGAATGAAAGACGGACGAGGCGGGAGGTGAAGAAGGAGGGGGAGTGGCGCCCGCCTGCTCCCTTGCCTGCTGGAACGCGATTGCCTTGGAGCCGACTATGTTGAGGTCGAGCGGTGCAAACGGTCGCGTCTTGACCGATTCGAGCAGTTTGCCTGCCTTGAGTGCCTTCACCGGGGACGAGCCGGGCATCGGAGGGTCCGACGAAGGCGCTGGCGTGGGAAGATCGTGCATCATCTTTGGCGGATCGATGCGAATGCTGACTGTGCTGGTGGTGTCTCGTCTACGGTCAAGTCGGTTCCTACTTCTAAGCCTGGCGAGTAGGACAATCACGTCGATCGATGTTCTGGATGCTGATGCCGACGCGTCACAACACTGCTGCTTTGAGAGCTACAACAAGTGAAGAGACCGACGTCTTCTTGAGGCTGATCTATAAGATGGTGGAGTGGGTGACGGGAGAAGAAGGAGCAGAGTCAACTCGAACAAAGGCCTGGCTCACCCTCTCTTCTTCACACACAACTGCCTGCACAGGGGTGCTCAGGCGTGTTCGAAGCTCGTGTCTCTTGCTCTCGGTCGCGAGTCGAGTACGCCCTACACGTCTTTCCTCTGGCTGCCTCGCGGGCTTCACCAAGAAGAACCCTGAACACGCACTTTTTGACGTGTGAGGCAGCGGCCGCACCAAAAAAAGTGACACGCTCGCCTCACGCGAACCGCGACTTGGCGTAAAGACGTAATTTTTCCTCCACACAGGCAGGCGACGTGACAAATTCGCGCTTTCACCATCAAACCGCAGCTTTAACAGTCACATATTCTTCGCCTCACCATCAGCCAGAGTCGTTGCTTTCACTGTGATGACGTCTCAGACAACCGGTCGACACAACGACCGAAGCTATAATTAGACAAAGAGCGTGCTATTCACAACCAGATTGATAAGCGAGAGAAGCGAAAGAAGTTAGGAGCTACTGCTGCTGTCGCGGTGGCTGAGCGCCGGAGATCCCCATTTGACCTTGCTGCTCGCTCCAAGCCTGCAAAGCCGCGTTCGGGTCGGGCGAATTCAGAATCTGATGCGCAAGACCGCCATACTGAGCCATCAACTGCTGCTGCTGCTGTGGTGTCATCTGACTCCACTGCTGCATGGCCTGCTGCACCTCGGGTGAGTCACCAGACACGTTACCGCTTTGGTCCAGTGGCAGTCGCACCGGCTTATCCTTTTTCTCTTCTCCTCCATCGCCGTAGCGAAATGGCATTCCGGTCTTGGGATTGACCTGCTCGCCCGAGCCCGAGTCGTAGTAAGCGTTGGTACTCTGGTCAACCATGATCAGATCGCCGGTGAGCGGATTGAACAGCTGACCGTTGGCGCCCGTGCTGATCGCGTTGCCCACCGAGCTCGCCGCCTCGCCCGCCGAGTGGAATTTGCTGTTGTAGTCGTCTTGGAGGACTTGGAGCTTTTTCTGATGGATGCTGTGCAGGTAGAGGGCTGTGATGAGCACGGTTCCTGCGACAGCCATGGTGCCGGATGCCGACATGGAGGGGAGGAGGCTGCCGAGAGCTTTCATCTGGCGCTTCTGGAGCGGCGCAGCAGCGTCGTGTTCGACGTCTTCCTTCACAGCAGCGACCAGTTCGGCTGGCATCGAATTAGTATCGTGCAAGGATCGCTTTTGCTGTCCGGCTCCGCCACTGGAGGCCATGCTCTGCCCAGCAGCAGCAGCCTCCTCCGCCGTGCAAGCGTGGATGCCGGACATGTCGTTCATGTCGACACGCGCGTACGTCGACTTGTTCCACAGCACGCCGCGGAAGTCCCGCATGATCGGTTGGCCGTAGACGTCGCAGGCGCTGGTGGGTACGAGACCGTACTCGTTGTCCGGCGTCGTGTTGGGTCGATTGGGGTGAGCGTACGCGCTGAGACCCATGACAAGCGCTGCTAGCGCTCCGATGCCAAGTGCTCCTTTGCCCAGCGTCTTGAACATGCTCGGCTTCTTGACGACGTCCAAGGCGGTAGCGCCGGATGACTCACGAAGCAGCGCTTCCTTCGCTTGCTCTCGAAGGGCGGGACTCGCGGCCCTGTGTGTCAAAAGAAGTGTGACGGTCAGGCTCGCAGGTCCATGTTGGGAATTATAAGGAGAATTGGTACTCACTTGTAGGCAGCCGTGGAATACTGGCGCTTTTCGAGCTGTAGATGCACAAGACGGTCACAGCCGATAAAAGAAGAGGATGAAGTTAGAACATGTTATTGAAGGAAAGTGGAAGGAAGAAGCGAGCTAATCGACATGAGAGGCTCGATGGCCAGCGAAGACCTTCTTCAGTGAGGTAAAGGGTCGAAGAGACATCATACCTTTCGGTGTCGAAGGCTGCGCTTCCGCATCTGGCCACCGCGAGCACCTGCGCCAGCGCCAGTGCCGGCAGGAGCTCCGCCACCAGATTGACCATTAGCGCCAGCAGAAGGACCCCCAGCACCAGCTTGACCTTGGCCGGAAGCGCCGTTACCGCCGCCATTGTCCATCAGCTGGTCTCCACGGTAGATGATCTTGCCAGTCTTGGGATCACTGACGTCGCCCGTCTGCGAGTTGATAAAGTAGCCAGTCTGGTCATCGATGTAGAATCGGACGCCCTTGGGGCTGGTGACGTACCACATCTGTGTGCTCTTGTCCCATACCGGCTTTGGGTTGCTACCGCCCTGGCTGGGTGCACCGCCACCCTGCTCAGGCTGGCCAGCTCCGTTCTGAGACTGAGGAGCGTTGCCGTCAGCGCCGCTTTGAGTGTTGCTGTCGGGACCGGGGCCATTAGCGGCGCCGTCAGCAGGAGCTTGAGCGCCAGGAGCGGAGCCAGCACCAGCATCAGCCTGCTGATCGCCGCTGTTGCGGCTCACAGGCTGGCTACCGGCTGCGTCATTGGCGCCTGAAGACGAAGGCGCAGTGTTGCCTCCCCCACCCTGGGCAGGAGGCTGCCAGCCCTTCGGCGGGGGGACCTCAGCGTAGTTCTGTGCGGGATCGAGCACGTGCGTCTGCCCCTCCTTGTCGACCAGCCAGACGAGGTTCGAGTTGGGCACCCTGTACGGTCCCTCGGCGATATCGCTGTCAGCTGCAGCACCGGCGCCTCCAGCCGCTGCCTGACCCTGAGGAGCGCCATCGACGGGCATGCTTCCCTGTGCGGCGCCGCCGTTGGCCTGAAGCGCGGCCTGGTCTTGCGCATTGTACGCCGTGGTCGAGTCGGAAGGCTTGGTGTCGAACAGCTTGGTCAGGCCGTAGCCACCAGCGAGACCACCGCCGACAGCGAGAGCCATGGCGCCAGTACCCCAGCCACGCTTCGCCGACTTGCCCGCAGCAGCAGCACCAGCAGCGCCACCAGCAGCGTGCTCAGCCATCATCTGCTTGGCCTGCAGCTCCTCCATCATCATGATCTGCTGCTGGTGATCCACCTGGTTCTTCTTGAGCTTCTTGAGCTTGTCCGAGATCTTGTCGAGCTTCTCGGTCAGAGCGGGATCACGTGCGGGAGAAGGCGCCGGATAGGGAGCCGAGTAGCGAGGAGGCTCGTGAGCTTCGAACGGGTTCGAGTAGCGGGGCGGCTCGAAAGCGGGGCGAGGATAGGGATGAGCCTCGGGGATGTGTGGACGGACGTTGGCGTTCGAAGTCGATGCGTAGTGACTGCCGATAGCCTCGGTGCCTTTCTCACCGCCGTTGGCGGTGCCTTTGAGAAGGCTGGCGAGGTTCTCGCCGATCTCGGCCACGGCGCCCGACTCGCCGCGCTTGATGAGTGCAGCTGTAAACGGAGGGTATCTGCTACGTCCGGGGACGGCGAGGTCGTGCTTGAAGCGGATCTTCTTGTCGTTCTTCTGAGAGCGCTTCTGCTCAGTGGCGCCGAAGCGCTGGTGTTTGCTCCAGCGTAGAGCATCGTCGTCGACGACAGCCTGCGAGGCAGATGCAGCCACCGAGATGGCGCCAAACACAATGGCGCAGAGAAGAGCTACCTTCATTGCGCTAGCCGGTCCTCTGCTCTACAGGTGTCCAGAGAGTTGGCAAAGGGGGAAAAGTGCCGATCGTGAATCACAGTAAAGAGCGTGTTGGTCCACTGCTTGGCAAGCAGACGTGATTACTAAGGGGATGAAGGAGAGGCAAGTACTCCTGAGGCGGTCTGGGGAGCAGGAAAAAGAAGAGGTCGAGGCAGAGACTGGTTTAAGTACGGTGCGCGGTAAGCCGGACTGGTGGGGATGCTGAGAGTCGAGATCAACGTCCTTTGCAACAATGCCGCCTCTCTGCGTTGCAACTGTCCAGATTTCATTACAGTAAGACGGGGTGACGGAGGCGGTGGGGGACGATCCCTCTCTTTGTCGATGGTGGTGCGAGTTTCATGTCAACCAATGAGGCAGCTCATTCTGTGACAACGCCCGCCGATGCTGGGCCGAGCAGGTCAATATATGTACGGGAAAGTGGGTCGAGCTGTTGGTGGCAACGAATCGCTTTCATTTCGTTAGTGGGTATCAAATGGAGCAGCGATGGTCGCCGATAGACCGTTGACCTCGGGCGGACTCGAGCAGGGCTGCTATAGTGGGCGCGGCGTCCGAGGCGTCTCTGAGGAGCACGCTGATGGACAGAGGTTGATGGCATACCGTGCCGACGAAGTCTGAAGAAGTGCTGCGTCTAGGTCAACGGAGATGTTCGATGCTTGCTGAAGGTTCAAAGCGATGCTCTGACATGCATGGTCATGAGGTGGGCTTTGATGCTTCTTGAGGATGCCAAGCTTCATGCAGCCAATCCTTGACATCCTTGATCTTGCGGTCCTTCTTCTTGCGGTACATGCCGTACCGATTGACCACTTCCATGACATATTTGGCTTTGGTGACGTTGATCTGGCTCGTGTCGAGACCCCTCTCCTGCAGTCGGCGGATGAACTCCTCGAAATGCTGGGACGACGAACGATAGTGACCGCTCCAAGGATATATGGAGACGATGACGCCATCCTTTATTTTGAGGACGCCAGCGACGGTGACGAGCGACCCTGCGAGCAATGAGGAATGCTGGAAGCGGCCACGCTGCTTGATGCCGATGTACAGATTGTAGGAAAGATCGGTCACAAAGATCCACGTATCGGCTTTTCGGCGACGGATGAGAGCATCTGGGCGGGAGGCAGACTCCTTCGCCTCCGCTTCTTGGTCCTCTTTGGCTTCGGAGTCACCCTTGACGATCTGCTGCCGATCGGCTGAAGCATACAGCCCCAACTTCTGCTTGATGAGATACTTGGGACCCAAGTTGGCTTTCTCGAGAAGCTTTTCCTTTCGAGTCTGTTGCTTTTCGTCTGGGTGCGCTTTGGGCGGTCTGGACCTCGATGTTCCCGCCACAGCCGAGACCGTTTCGGGCGTCGGTGACGCCTCCGATGGGAGCTCCTCGTCTGATGAGCTCGAGTCGGAAGTGAAGCTGTCGGAGGAGCCGGTCGAGTTGGTTCTGCGATACTTGATCTTGTCATCGCGGACCACTTCGCATACATCGCCGGTAGCAATGGCGTCCTGCCACTCCTGTGATTGACGCAGCGCTACACCCCTGCCTTTGCCAAGGTCGCCATGATCATACTTGGACGTGCTGACGAGCTGACCTGTGCGACACCAGCGTAAGCGACCTTTGCCCCCGTGCGGCTTGAGACGGGCTCGGAGATCCTCCAATTGGGTCTGAGCTGGAACATCTGCATCTTGGTCGTTGTCGATGTAGGTCATGTAATTGCGCCGTTGGTCAGCGGTCAGGTAGCTGATGCGCTCGGCCTCAAGCTTGGATCGAGGACATTCCTCCAAGCTGAGATCTTTGCCGTCGCCTTCGTCGAGCCATTGAAGAAAGTTCTGCTTTGTGTCGGCCTTGAGGTTCCAGTATCGATGGTAGTGCTTTAGGTTGCTCCCGTAGCGATGTTTGGGATCGAGCATCTCGAGCCAATTCTGATCCTCCATGCGCTTGGTCAAGACTTTGGATTCACGAATGAACTCCTCCTTTTCTGCTTCGTTCTTGAACGAGAAGGGGAGCTTGTCGAAGAAACTTGTGCCGCGCAGCTGTGAGGTGAGCGAGTCGACGGACGCCGGAGGGGACTGCGGCGGAGAAGTTGGTTTCTTGAACAGACGGGACGAAGACGCTGCTTGCCCCTTGACGGCTGGTTCTGGGGCAGCATCCTGCTTGCCTAGCTGTTCGGCCATGAGACCGGCCCTGCGCCAGCGCGACGAGGCGTCATTCTTGTCTCCTCGACGTTGCTCCTCGAGCGTTTTCTCCAAGCGATCTGTGCGCACAGCTGAGCGGATGCGGTCTACGGCATCGATGCGCGCAAAGTCCTCGACGGCGTGAGGAGTAGCCTCGCCCTTGCTGCTAGGCGTTGACGTGGGCGAGGCGGCGCTGGTCTTGGTCTCTGGCGTCGATGTCATTGTTGTGAGTGTGATTGCCAGCCTAAGTAGACTTACGTCCAGCGCATTCTCGAGCCAAGCAAGGGTGCGATCTTGATAGTTGTAGCGGCACGCCGTTCATGTGTGGTAGACAGATGGCCAAGACAGACGGCCGGCGGACAGATGATATTTGGTACCGTAGTCTATGCAGATGGATGGGAAGCACGATAGCAACTCGCCGGCCACACAGCCAAGCGAAGCCGAATCTCGAGCAACCGGCAACAACGGGCGTCATACTTTCGACTGGCTCCTGCCGGCTGCTCGAAGCTTGTTTGTCTCACAGCACAGCACAGCCGGTCGCTGATTTGGCCGTGCCGTGCCTGCTGTAGCCACGTGGGGACGCCATGGCCAGTGCAAATTTCCTGTTGTGTTACGCCGAGCAAAGGATGGCACTGGCAGAAAAACAAATCTTTTGTGATGAGAAGAAAAGGATCCGAGCCGACGATGTGACGGTGTGACTGGAGCGTTTGAGCGTGTGACTGATGACTCGTAGCTTCGGTAAAACGCCGAAGCTGTGACGGTCCCAGAAGGATTCGAGGTGCGAGAGAGGTGACCAAAGCTGCAAGGAGCAGCCAGCAGCTTTGCTTCTTGTCTCTTTTCATATCTCTCCGTCACTCGATCGATATCATTCACAATCATGTCGACGTCGACAGCCAACCTGCAGGCGAGCCTGGATCGATGGTCCGCCAGACTCACGTCCTTGCCCAGCATTGCTCTGCCCACCGACTACCCTAGACCAGCCACCTCTCAATTGGTCCAAGCGCTTTCGTCGTCAACGCTCTCCTCGGCCACAAGAAAGGATCTCGTTCGTCTCGCGCTCCACCACGAGCTCGACCTTCACCCTGCTGAGCATGCGAGCGATGACGATGACGACAATGCGAGCCCTACGCCCTTCCACCTCCTTCTGGCCGCTTTCTGCGTGCTGCTCCACCGATACACTGGCGACACGGATCTTGTCATCGGCTCGTCAAATCCCTACACCGGCGAGCCTTTGATCCTCAGGATCCCCATCGAGCCCAACGACCCCTTCTGGCAGATCGTCCGACGCATCCAGCAGGTCGAGAAGGAAGCGGCGGCCGATGCCATCCCATATGACGAGATCGTCAAGCGAGTCGAAGCAGAGCGTGTCGAGCGCGAGGGTCCCCTTCCAGAGGGTGTTCAGAGCGCACCCATCTTTCGCGTTCGCTTCTTCGACGAGACAGGCGGCAAAGCTCGTAACTTCATGCAATCCACCTCGCTCACCACCGATCTCACCGTCTTCTTGACTAAGCCAGGCGCCACTCCCGGCGACGACTCGGTCTCCCAGACACCGGCCGAATCTGCAACGCCCTCAGCAGGCGCAAGTGCGACCCACACCTTCCGTGACTCGCTCGTACCCAACATCGCGGTCCACCTTTCCTACAACTCGTTGATCTTCTCCTCACAGCGCATGCAACTCGTCCTGTCTCAGCTCTCCCAGCTGATCTGTGTCGCTGCCGCCAACCCTGCTTCGCCCGTCGGTAGTCTGCCCATTCGAACACAGCAAGAAAATGCTTTCCTTCCTGATCCCACCAAGGATCTTGAATGGTGTGGCTTCAGGGGCGCCATCACCCAGATCTTCGAACGCAACGCACGAGCTCACCCAGACCGCAGGTGCATTGTCGAGTCGCTTTCGGACGAGTCTGGATCTCTCTCGGAACCCGCTGCACCAGCGAGTCGTGTTCGCGAGATCACTTATGCTCAGCTAGACCGTGCCTCAAATGTCGTTGCCCACCACCTTCTGCAAGCAGGCGTTCAGCGCGAAGAAGTCGTCACCACATACGCCCACCGTGGCGTCGACCTCGTCGTCGCTGTTCTTGGTACGCTCAAGGCAGGAGCTACCTTCAGCGTCATCGACCCTGCCTATCCTCCCTCTCGTCAGAATGTTTACCTGCAGGTCGCCAAGCCGCGTGCGCTGATCGTCCTCGCTAAAGCTGGTACCTTGCAACCCATCGTGCGCAAATGTATCCAAGAGGAGCTTGAGCTGCGCACCGAGATTCCGGCTCTCGAGCTGCTCGACGATGGCTCCGTCCGAGGTGGCGCAGCCTCGCAAGGTGGCCAAGACATTCTCGCCAAGCAACAGTCTCTGGCAGGCGAGAGCACAAATGTCATTCTCGGCCCCGACAGTGTCGGCACACTGTCCTTCACCTCAGGATCCACCGGTATCCCCAAGGGTGTCAAGGGCCGACACTTTTCGCTCACCCACTTCTTCCCGTGGATGGGCGAGCGTTTCGGTCTGGGTGCTCACGAACGATTCACCATGCTTTCCGGCATCGCCCACGACCCCATCCAGCGAGACATCTTCACTCCGCTCTTCTTCGGCGCTGAATTGCACATCCCTACTTCGGAAGACATCGGCACACCTGGACGCCTTGCGGAATGGATGGCTGCCTCCAAGGCTACCGTCACACATTTGACGCCTGCCATGGGTCAGCTGCTCAGTGCTCAGGCCACGGCTCTGATCCCGTCGTTGCGAAACGCATTCTTCGTCGGAGACGTCTTGACAAAGCGTGACTGCACGCGTCTGCAAGCTCTGGCTGCCAACGTCTGCATCATCAACATGTACGGCACCACCGAAACGCAACGCGCCGTCAGCTACTTTGCCATCCCACCTGTTAGCACCTCCACCACCTTCTTGCAGACGCAGAAGGATATCATGCCGGCTGGTCAGGGCATGATCAACGTTCAGCTTCTTGTCGTCAACCGCAACGAGCGTACCGCAACCTGTGCAGTGGGTGAGGTTGGCGAGATCTACGTGCGAAGTGGTGGTCTCGCTGAAGGATATCTTGGTCCTCCCGAGGTCACCGCCGAGAAGTTCATGCCCAATTTCTTGGCACCGAACCTCAGCTTCCCAGACACCATCAAGGAGAAGCCCGAGGGTCAGTTCTGGAAGGGCATCCGTGATCGCATGTACAAGACGGGTGACTTGGGACGATATCTCCCCGACGGTACCGTCGAGTGCACTGGCCGTGCCGATGACCAGATCAAGATCCGAGGCTTCCGCATCGAGCTCGGCGAGATCGACACGCACCTCTCGCGACACCCGCACGTTCGTGAGAATGTCACCTTGGTGCGCCGTGACAAGGACGAGGAGAAGGTGCTGGTTTCGTACTTTGTGCCTGGCCCTGGGGCTGCCGACTTCGAGGAGCTCGTCACTGACGATGACGGAGTCGACGCTGCTGCTAGTGGCAAGGCGGCTCGCGACGCCATGCTCGTCAAGGGTATGCGTCGCTACCGCAAGCTCATCAAGGACATCCGCGATCACCTCAAGAGGAAGCTGCCGGCCTACTCGGTTCCCACGCTGTTCGTGCCGCTCCACAAGATGCCTCTCAACCCGAACGGCAAGATCGACAAGCCCGCTCTTCCGTTCCCGGATACTGCGATGGTAGCGGCTGCTGGGTCCAGTTCCTCCGCAACCAAGAGCAACGGAGACGTTGAAGCTGCTCAGTCGTCAGCAACGCCCACCGAGCGCTCTGTGGTCGAGCTATGGTCGCGACTACTGCCCAACGCTCCCTCGCCGATCCCGCTCGACGAAAGCTTCTTCGACCTGGGTGGTCACTCGATCCTTGCTACTCGTCTCGTGTTCGAGATGCGCAAGCAGTTTGTCATCAACGTGCCCCTCGGTGTCGTGTTCGACGCTCCCACGATTCGGGGTCTAGCCAAGGCTGTCGACCAGCTGCGCCAGTCTGACCTCGGTCTCGGCGCTGCCCACGACAGCGCGCCGCCTACCTCTACCAAGCTCTCGGACGAGGCCAACCTGGACGAGAACTACGGAGCTGATGTGACCACGCTCACTCCCAGCCTGCCTGAGTCGTTCGCCGGCGACAAGGTTCGCAGCGCCGCCGAAGGACCTCGCACCGTCTTGGTCACTGGTGTGACCGGTTTCCTCGGCGCCTTCGTCCTCTACGACCTGCTGACCAAGCGTTCCTCAAGCGTCGCCAAAGTCTACGCACACGTTCGAGCCAAGTCCGAGGCCAACGCGCTCGAGCGTCTGCGCGAGGGATGCAAGGGACGTGGTATCTGGGACGACCGATGGGTGAGCGAGGGCAAGCTCGAGGTGGTTCTCGGCGATCTTGCCGCTCCTCAGCGCCTGGGCATGTCCGAGGAAGTCTACGACAAGCTCGCGGACGAGGTCGACGACATCCTGCACAATGGTGCGCTCGTCCACTGGGTCTACCCGTACAGCAAGCTGCGTGCTGCCAACGTCGGCTCCACCATCTGTGCCATCAAGCTCTGCAATGCCGGCAAAAAGGCGAAGACGCTGACGTTCGTCTCGAGCACTTCTGCCCTCGACACAGACCACTACATCCACCTGTCCGACTCGATCTTGCACGGACAGGACCCTGCGCAGGCCGGCCCAGACGCGCTTCACGGTGTGCCCGAGACGGACGACATCGAGGCCAACGCCAAGGGTCTCACCACTGGCTACGGACAATCCAAGTGGGTGGCCGAGAAGCTCATTATGATCGCCGCCTCTCGTGGTCTCAAAGCCTCCATCGTCCGACCAGGCTACGTCGTCGGTGACTCGACCACCGCTGTGACCAACACGGACGATTTCCTCTGGCGACTCGTCAAGGGTTCGATCCAGCTCGGTCTGATTCCGGACATGCACAACTCGATCAACATGGTCCCCGTCGACCACGTTGCGCGCATCGCCACCCTCGCCTGTCTCAACAACGCCAAAGAGCTGCAAACGATCAACCGCACGCCGGGGACGCACGCCAAGGTCTTCCACGTGACGAACCACCCGAGCATCCGATTCAACGACATGCTGGGTCAGCTGAGTCGGTACGGATGGAAAGTGGAGCAGACCGAGTACGTGCAGTGGCGCGCGAGGCTGGAGGAGCATGTGCTCACCAGCAGCTCTGGCTCGGTCGAAGATAACGCGCTGTTCCCGCTGTTGCACTTTGTGCTGGACGACCTGCCGACGAGCACCAAGTCGCCCGAATTGGACGACCGACATACGCAGGCGATCCTGGATGCTGCGGGAGAGGGCAAGACACAGGGCACGGTGATGGGCGTCGATCGATCGCTCGTTGGCACGTACCTCGCGTGGCTGTTGGCCGTTGGATTTTTGCCTCCGCCGTCGGGTGGTGCGGAACCGCTGCCGAAGCTCGCCAACATCGGGGCTGAGATGAAGGCGATTGGTCGCGGGTCTGCCAATTAGATCAAGAACTCTACCTCAGCTACACATGAGGTTTACAATACGACTTATTAGCGAGAGGATGTGCGATCGTGCACGACCGACAGAGAGACGGACATGGCGAAACCATGGTCCGGGCGGCTTGCGTTCAGTGAGCTGACTGCTGTGTCAAAGAGGTGCAGGCGCCGCTAGATGGAAACGCGACGCCGGCTATTCGGGAAGGGTCCTGCACCGCGATGAGAGATAAGGTTCTGCAGGTTGCTCCCAGCCGTCCTTTTCCACTATCATACAGCTCTTTTCGACATCGGTCAAGCCCAAGCCAGCATCTCTGCACGAGACCCTTGATGAGAGCAGTGGACGAATGGTGGATGCATCCCTTGACGGGCGGTCATCTCCGGGGTTGATCCGCGTGTGCCTTTTTTGATAGCGAGCCCGAAATCCTGGACCCTGGCGAAACGGATCGTCGGAAGTGCAGGGATTGAAGCGCGTTGATAGGCAGCTCCGGCCGCACGAGCCATGTCCTCCTCTTCAACCCGCCATACCCTCTCTTCAACCCCTCTATCATCCATACCACACTCATTCATCATCTCATCGACGCTACTGATCATGTCAGTCTCACCAGCATCGACAGTCTCACCAGACGTAGCATACCTGCGCACGCTCCCCGCCGTCCGCGAGCGATGCTACAAAATCTTCTCCACGGCAACATCCACGCCTTCTGGCCTTCGATACTTCACCTACGATCCCACGCTTGAGGACGCTGTCGCGGACTACTGTATCGCCATCATCGAACGCGATTTTGGCACCAACTACTCGTCCATCCCACCCCACGGGCGGTGGCGTCACTTTGACGTGGGCTCCATTCCGCGCATCACCACTTTACTCAGCTCCTGGGCGGGCATCCGACGTACCCCACGCCCGGAAGTGCATCCGATGGCCGAACGCATCGTCCACCGAGTCGAAGCGGCACGTCGACTGGTGGATCTGTTCATGGTCAGCGTCCTCCTCGATGCGGGCGCGGGCGCAACGTGGAAGTACGAAGAAAAGAAAACCGGTCTTTCCTACGGTAGGAGCGAAGGACTCGCAGTGGCCAGTCTGGACATGTTCATCGAGGGTCGATTCTGCGGTGAGCAGGAAGAAAGGGAGGTGGATGCAAGACACAAAGTGGATGCGGCAGGGTTGAAGAATTTGTCGCCGGAGGTGTTGGCGATCGATATGCAGGTTCATCCGACGGAGAATCCCATGACGGGGCTGGAGGGGAGGGCCAATTTGCTCGTTCGACTGGGGGAGGCGCTGGAGAGTGATGTTCACGGGATATTCACGGGTCCCACCGACACTCCTGTTCCAGCGACAGAGCGCCGTCCTGGGTTCCTGGTAGACTACCTCGCCTCCCACCCCACGACAAAAACCGCCATTGGCGTCACCGAAGTCTCCTACCCCGTCCTGTGGGAGGCACTCATGTACGGCCTGGCCCCCATCTGGCCTGCCTCCCGGACCCACCTGGATGGTGTTGCTATGGGCGACGTCTGGCCTAACCCCACACTCGCCACTTTGGCAAACAAGCCCCTTGGGAGCGCAGAAAGCATGGTTCCCTTCCACAAGCTCTCCCAATGGATGTGCTACTCGCTCATGGAGGCGATGGAGCAGACGCTCGGATGGCGCTTCGTCGATGCGCAGCATGGAACGGGTTTGCCGGAGTATCGCAATGGTGGGTTGTTCGTCGATTTGGGCGTGCTGACCCCAACACAGGCGCTGTTGGATGCAAGCACGGGGAAGGAGGGTGAACTGCCGGAGTTGCCCGCCGAGCATCCGGCCATTGTTGAGTGGCGCGCGATGACCGTTGTGCTGCTCGATCGGACGGCGGAGAGGATCAGGGCGAAGCTGGGAGTAGGGGAGGAGGTGCTGAATCTCAAACAGGTGCTGGAGGCGGCGACGTGGAAGGGCGGACGTGAGGTGGCCAAGGAGAAGAGACCCGACACTGGAGGTCCCCCGATCAACGTTGTTAGCGACGGAACAGTGTTCTAACCCACGCAGCATCACACTTCACTCGAACGTGTCTATAGAACATTGCATTGCATCATTTCCCCTCTTCACTTTCTCTCCCGAACAAACAGCACCAACCAAACCAAGCTCGCCGCGGTAAACGCCACGAACAGCGCTGCGAGCGTGACAATGTCCGGCAACCAGAACGCCTGACTGTTGAATCCGAAGCTGCTAATGATGCTGGCAGCGGGGACCTCGATGTCGATGCCGTACTTGTGTTCCTTCAGACTCAAGTTGCGGAGTTCGTTGACGATGAGGGCTTCGTAGGCGGCGTGGAAGAAGGACAGATGTTGGAGCCAGCGCAGGTACCAAGGGATGCGATCGCGGTTGATGAGCAGTCCGGCGAAGAGGAGCGAGAACAACATTGTTAGTGATCCCACTAGGTTCGCAAGGCCGGTGTCTTCGACCGCGATGGAGATGAAGAACACCGCCGAGGAGGCAGAGAGCGAGAAAAGGACGAGGGTGAGGATGAACTTCCAAAACTCGGCCACACCGGGGACCAGCCCAACGAGGAAGTAGACGCATCCACCGAATAGAAACGGCGGCACCACCCGCAACGGCAGGATGTCGAACAGCAGCTTGGACGTGAAATACGTCAAGGGACTGTAATAGCCGTTGCTGCGCTCGCGTACGAACAACGCACGTTCGTTGGCGAACACACCTAGAGAGGTGAGGCACGAGAAACCGAACAGCGAGAGGATGAAAAAGAAGAGTCCGAGACGATTCTGGAAACCAGATATGTCGTTGGTGACGCCGTGGTAGAGGACACCGCAGAAGAGGGCGAGGACAATGGCGAGGCCGAAGTGCGCGAACATCAGGATCGGGTCTCGGTAGAGGTTCTTGAAGGCTCGGCCGGAGAGGATCTTGAACTGCGTCCACAAACCGGCTTTCTTGTAGGAGCGCAGGAGCGAGCTCTCGTTGGCCAGGTCGGGGAGGTCGTTGATGACGCCACCTTCCGCACGGCCGAGGAAGGCATCCAGCTCCTTCTTCGTTTCGTTCGAAATGTCGGATTCGGCGAATGAGTTGACCAGGTGGACGAGTTTGCCGCTGCTGAGCGCTGGCATCCAGACGTCACCGCCGTTGGACTGCCCGTTGGCGAAAGCGTTGCGCAAGCCATCGGCGATACGACTCGTCTTCTTGCGCAGACTGCCACGCGATAGACCGTCTCCCACTATCGAGTTGGGCCTTGTTCGCAATTCGGTAGATTCGTCTCTGGAGTTGGTGCCAGTCGTGACGATGCTGGTGTCGTTGCGTGAATGTCCTCCTTCGACATCGTCCTCCGTGTTGTCCCCCGCCGTATATGCTCGACGAGCAGTGAGATCGATCAAAAAGTCGGCGATGTTGAACCCAGGTGGGCAAGGATGGCCGACCTGATCAAAGTAGTCGCTGCAGCGGTTGAAGGGACCGGAGTAGACCACTCGGCCTTCTGCCAGCAACAACAGTTTGTCGAAAAGCGCTACGATATTGGATCGCGGCTGGTGGATGGAGAAGATGACGGTACGCTTGTAGGTCTTGGCGAGCGTCACGAGTGACTGAACCACATTGAAGGCATTGTACGCATCCAAGCCCGAGGTGGGCTCGTCGCAGAAGAGGATGCTTGGACTGGTGACCAGCTCGCAGGCGATCGACACACGGCGCTTTTCACCACCACTGATGCCGCGGCCTTCCTTGCTTCCGCCTGCAGTGAAGGCCGAACCGCCGATGCGGCTGTCCCTGATGCCGAGGATGCCGAGCTCTTGCATGGTCTCGAGGGTGCGGAACTTTTTGGCTTCGAGCGACATGTCTCTTGGCAGACGGAGTAGCGCGGAGTAGAGGACCGTCTCGTAGACGGTCAGCGTCTCCATGAGTAGGTCCTCTTGGTCGACAAAGCCGACGACGCGCTTGTACTCCTGATTCGACATCTTTCTGCCGTTGATCAGGACCGTACCAGAGGTGGTGCCACGCTTCTCGCGGCGTGCGAGAATATCGAGGAAGGTCGTCTTACCCGCACCACTAGCGCCGACGATGGCCATGACCTCGCCTTGCTTGACGGAGCCCGTGATGCCGTCGAGCAAGGCCTTGGAACCGATGCGGTAGCCGACGTTCTCCCAGTGAAGCGCCGCAGGAATATGATCCTTCATCAGGTCGGCTTCCTCTTCCGGTAGCCTGACGTTGCCGAGCCGTACCTCGTCGTCTTTGTAATGTCGTCCGAGCAGCCACAGCACACTGACAGAGATAATCACCAGCAAGATGGCGGTAATGGCGCTGATGGCCACCCACAAGACTGGCTTGTCGGGTGTGATGGGCACTTGATAGCCCGGCACCTGACTGTAGTGGATGCACTCTCCCGACTTGCAAGTGATGAAGATGGCTTCGTCACCAAAGACGTCCGAAATCAGCTGGTTCATGCCAGGCTCCTCGAAGCGACATTTCCTCGCCCCGTCCGCATCGGTCTTGCAAGACATCTTTCCTGGGCCCTTGATCTCTTCCGTCAAGAACTCCGAGATGTCGACACTCCCCGACTCGCCGCAGAGCATACGATCCGGAATGCACTTGCAGCTGACCTTCTTGCAGTCGTACGAGGTGCGGTTGGACGCCTTGCCGATCTCGACTGTCTCTTGACAGTCGTCTAGCCCACAGTAGAAAGACTCGCGACCTCCGATCCAGAACTGAAAATTGCAGCTAGCATCGCTCTTGTCACAACTGAAGGTGACTTGAGGTGGACGGCCGGGTAGCATGTCGACGATCTTCTGGTTAGTCACGTCGCACTGTTGAAAGCTCTGTTGGATAGTGGCGCCGCCGTCGTAGCAGGTGCCATTCTCGCCGAGACGCTCGCCACCCATCAGGAAGTTGGCACAGGCAGCGTCCTTGTTGCAGACGTTGCAGTTGAGAGACTCCCAGCCCTCGGAGCACTGGCACGACTTGTCATCGCCTGGTTCGCCCTTGGGGAATCGCTTCGAGCCATCCGCAGGAGAACCGCAGAGAGGAGAGAGACAGTCAGGTCCACCGAATCCGACAGGACAGCTGCAGAGACCGTCGTACTGGTTGCATTCGCCGTACTGGTAGCATTCGTATGCTGGAAGCTGGCAGTTGAAGCAGTCGGGTGCTGGACATGGTGGGCAGCTGGGCGGTCGATCTGGCGAGCCAGGATTGGATCCGTTGCTGAAGATGGATTGGTATGTTGCTAAGTAGCGGCGGTCGAGAGCTGGAGCCATGCCACGGACACTGCTAGATGCATTCGCCGCTGTTGAAAGGAGCGACCCAATGAGAAGGGCAGAGAGCAGCATGAGCCATGATATTGACGATGAATGCCTTGCCCGCGCTGGCCGACATGTAGGTTTCGCTCCCATCTTGTTCAGAAGCCGCAATGACGGGATGGTAAACGAGTGTGGTGCAAAGGCTTGATCTCGCTATCAGTGCATCGAGGATTTGGTGAGGTGTGAGATGACTGGTCGAGGGATGTGAATGGCGGTAGTAATGGTGCAAGAGACGTGGTGCTGGCTTCGACGCCTGAAACCGAAGAGTTGGGTCTCGAGTGGACCCTGTTGAAGCCCTCAAGTGAAGCTCGCTTGTGCCCTCTCGTGCAGCTGAACAAGCAGATGCTCAGCTCGATCCGCACAAGCCAGCAGCTCAGAAAGCGCGCCAAAAAGGCTCTCCGTCCGATGCGTCAGCTCTGGTGGAGGTAGCTGAATCGGGCGATTTGGCCTTTGGACCAATATCGGTGATGATTTTTTCAGTTCTTCCTGACGCTCGAGGTTTGAGCTTTCCTCCTCACCAGGCTTGAACCCGTCCTTCATCGCATCCAGGGGCACCTGGCAGCAATTTTTACCACACGGCAGTCATGACCGAGCACGATCTTTCAGCCCTGGACGGCCTCCTCGCTGACATCGACATCGAAGAGAGAGGCGACGAGGATCCGCGAGCTGCCAAGCTCCAAGCACTCTTCGAGCAGGCCAAAGCATCATACACGGCCAAGATCGACATTCCCACCTGGTACATCGCGTCCACTTCCAGCACCGCTCCCTTCAACATCGATACATTCGCTGTGCCAAATCCATCCAAGTTGCTCGCACAGCGCAAAGCTGACCGAACAGGATCCACAAATCAGGAGTGGACCGTTAACTACCTCTACACCCAAGGTTATTTCGAGAAGTGTCTCTCCTACGTGACCTCGTTTGCGCTGTCCATGGGCATCGAGTTCCCGTTTGGCGAAATGGAGCCGGTGATAGAGTACGATAGCTCGCAAGTGGCACTCAGGCGGTCGAAGCAGGAGAGGGAGCTGAGCAAGAACTGGGGCATCATCAAGGACGTCGTCGATGCTGGGGTGCGGTCGCTACTCGCCCTGCTGCGAAACGGGTCGACGTCTACGAGGATAGAGGCATGGGCGCCGAATGCGGACGGAAAGACGTTCAGCTGGGACAAGGTCAGACTGGGCACGCTGGCCGGAGGCTTTTTGCCCTTCTGCATGCGAGAAGTGCGTGTTGGAGCAGGCGACACTCGTTCGGGATACTCGGGCATGGTGGTCGCTGCCGATCAGGGTGGACTCGCAGTGGATATGGACAAGCTGAGAGTGCAGAATTGGACCGTGACGCATGGCTTGGCCCTCACGGTCGGTGACCTCGCCCTCGAAGTGGGTCTCTACCGCACCGCCATCGAGGCGCACACTCTCTTCCTTGCCGCTCGAGGTCAGATGTGGCGCGTGCTCCTTGCTCTGGCCAACGAACTCTCTTGCTATCTCACCTCTCTCGAGGGTAAAGCGAAAGAGGGGAGTTTGGAAGCGCTCAAAGTGGTCGTCAAGGCCTCGGTCGTGTCGGCGATGCAAGCCGTTCCACGATCACGCCGACTCGACATCGCCAGATCCGTCCTTGTCGAGCACCGCGTCATTCCCTCTTCCTGGATCGACAAGGTCCTCGTTCCAGACCATGTCGAAGCCAGCCCGTTCCAGAACGAAGACGATCTGCTGTTCAACGGTCTTCTGCAGCCTGCCGATGCACAGGCCAAAGATGGCCCGTCAATAGTGCCAGAGGAAATCGGCATTGCCCTCGTCAAAGTCGTCTTTGCCAAGAAGAGCGGCCTCTTTGCTATGTACGAGAAGTTCCCGACGTACATGCGCGAGTACACGCAGCGATTGGCGGCTGCGGCTGCACCCGATGCTGCTTGGGAGGGCGACTTTGACGCCGCTGAGGAGGACGACACAGAAAATGGCCCACGAAGCGTTCGCACACTCTGATTCGCATCTGTACAATACACACATATATACCCATGCACCATCGCAATGCAACAAGTCTATAAGGACGCTTCTAGAATACATTCCTCCAAGCATATTATCGGATGAGATACCTGATCTCCCCGAGCTCGAATCCCGCCTTTTTGACTACGTCCGCTCTCAGACTCGCCTCTTCCGCCGCCAAATGGGGCAGCAAGACTCCCTTTAGCCCCTGCACCAGCTTATCCATCTTTTCGTAGTCAAACACCTCCTCCAACTCTGCAGCATTCTTAAGTTTGCCACTTCGCAACGCCTTGCTGACCTCTGCAATGTAGGCCTCGAGGCTTTCGAGTGCGTGGTGCATCTGTTCGTGCTCCTTGGTGTGTTGAGAGGAGTGAGCAAATTGGGGCAGCTTCTTGGCGAGGGTTGGGAAGATGAAGCGCTCTTCGATCGCGTGGTGCGTCTCGAGCGAGGAACAGAGCGAGGACGAGATGTAGAGAAGCTGTGCTAGGTTGGTGACCTTGTTCTTGGGTGGTGAGGGTGATGTGGGTGCAAGTGTGAGGAGGAGAGTGGAGATCTGCGAGATGGAATGGCGGAAATGCTCGTGGAAGGGAAGCATGCCGTGGTACAGGCAGTCCCAAGGATCGGCGCCGCCCATCGTGTGTGCGAAGGTGTGCTGTGGTCGGACTTGGTGGTGCTGAAGATTCGCTTGTGGAAGAGTTGCCGAGGGTGCAAAAGTGGGTCGCTGCGAGGCTGCCTGCTGACCGTTGAGGAGGCGTAGTGAGGAAGAGAGGGATGAGGTCGTGGCAATCCGTCGAATCGAAGCCGGTACTTGTAGGTGAACCGAAGACCCTGCGAGAAGGAGCAAGCTCAGCCCGAGCTGGCAGTATCGTCGTTGAGTGAGATGCGGCACTTTGACAGAGAAGCCGGAGCAAATAGTCCCTAGGAAGGGCCGAGACTGGATACTGGCTGTGATGACAATGTGGTGGAAGGACGACAAGGTGTAGACCACGATTCTGCTACGACCTTGTTCGCTGTATGGCCGGGTAAATCTTCTGGACCCTTCAAATCCGCCACTTCTCACTGGCGGTTTTCTGAAAATCACGGATTTAAGCTTTCTCCGACGCAGGTCGCTGCACAGAGAAACGGCAGCGCCTCTCCAAAGCAAGTCCTGGTCGCAACGGCTGGCCATGCTGCGCTTCATCTTCACAGCTCAGCCCGCACGCGAAGCACACAGAATGTGAAGTAGATAGAAACAGATGGCTTACTAGAAATACAGCAGGTGTCTAGTGACACACGAACGAGCTATGCTGGTGTGGGGGGTCGAGGGTCCAGAGCGTCACGCCACGGGAGTTCGGTCAAACCGCCGGCTCTGCACCAGTCTATCCGCCTCTTCGATCTCCTCCTCGTCAATCAATAGTCCGTCGATCCAATTCAGCTTCGCACACGCCATTGCCAGCAGGCCTCGATGCAGCACCCTCCGCTCGTAGAACAGCTTCGGCAGCGTCTTGACAAACCTAGCATCGGCAGCCAAGAACAGACTCGAGTAGCTCGCGCCGTCCTTCGCAGCCCTCCTCGCCGTCTCCTTCTCCAGCGCATCCTTGGCGAGAGTTGCATTCGGGTCGATCGCGTAGTCGGCAAGAGGCGGCTGACGCTTGTGGAAGTACGACTTCTCCAGCAAGTCGATCTGTTCTCGTTGCACCTGTGCTTCCCGTCTTCGTTCTCGTGCAGCCAGGTCCGGTTGCACAATTTGCGCGTTCGGGACAGGCGGAAGCCACGATGCGGCCAGAGCATCCATGTCCGCGCTACCGTCATCGCCTCGGGAGACGGGCGTTGCGGAAGGTGCGATCAGTGGGGCGTAAAGACCGAGCGTGCACGGATTGGTGCGGCAGTCGAGCACTTGCAGCTCGGAAAGCCCGCGAACAGCTGTGATGATCGACTTGCTCTTCTTGACGCGGCATCCCACCAGACTCAGGCGCTTGAGTCTCTGCATGCCAGAAAGACTGGGCAGCGTGGAGATCAGGTTGTGGTCCAGGTTGAGCGAGCGCAGGTTTGGCGCAACCTCGGCCAGGTCTTCTGGCAGCTGCATCAGCTGACAGGCGGACAGCTCCAAGTAGACTAGATTGAGGAAACGCAGTGGCTGGCTCAGCGCCGGTAGCGACGAGGGCGGTGCTGTGATCGGCTTGCGAGCTTCTTGGATGGCAGTTGTCGTCGAAATGCCCTGCGGGAAGGCATTGCCAGAGAGGAAAAGGCGGCGAACGTCTCGTAGCTGGTCTGCAGGCCAGGTGATGGCCGCCTCTGCCTGTTGTCGCATGCTGAGATTGTCGAGACTTTCCAACAGGTCCAAGTTCTGGATGCGGTCCAGGTCGCAATAGTCGGCATACAGGGTGCGCAGCCGTTTTGCCGGTGCCACGTCGAGGGTCTGCAGATGTACATTCCCACTGACGCGCAGAACACGCAGCCTCGGCATGACAGGCGACAGATCCACCATGTTGAGATCGTTGTGGTCGACGTTGAGCGATTTCAGGCGGCGCATGAGAGACAAGCCCCGGATCGAGATGAGCTGGTTGTGCGATGCGTCTAGCGTTTCCAAGCCTGCCCACTGTGTCGTAGCCAGGTTGATACCCTTGAGGCGGTTGCCGGACAAGCTGACGTGCGCCAAGCTGCGAATCTTGTCGATGCCATCGAGAGAGCTGATCGCGTTGCCATCCGCTTTGAGCGTGTGCAGGTGTTTGAGACAGCTGAGGTGCGTCAGCGAATCGATTTGGTTGCCACTGATGTCCAGCTCTTCGAGATGCAGCAGGTGGCCGAACGAAGCCATGGACGTGAGACGGTTGTGAGAAACATTGAGCACTCGGACCGAGGTCGGGATACCGGTCAAATAGCACAGTTCGTTGGTCTGCAAGTCAATCTCCTCGAGTGCTGGGAGGAACTCCTTCAAGCGCACGCATGACTCCAGACGACGACGGCTCAAGTTGATGCTCTGCAGCTCGTCCCAGCCAGGCTCCCACGGCTCGACATCCGTGATGGCTTCGAGCACCTTGTCGTGCGCAAAGTTGAACGACGCGTCGGTCAGCAGCGTCATATCGGGATAGCCGTGCAGCTCGTCGTACGTCTCTTCGTCCTGCTGCCAGCTGTGGTCGTCTTGGTCACCCTCGTCGTGTCTTGTCTTGCGGGGTCGACGCAGGGTGCGGTAAGACCAGTGAGAACGGTTGGCGTCCAGGTCTCGCATGTTGGAAGATGTCAGAGCGCCCGGAGTCAAGACGGCGGATTCGTTGCCGAGAGTCAAGTCGGCGAGCATCTTGAGTGCGCTCGAGATCGCCTGCGTGCGTCCATCCTCACCGCCTGTGTCAACGTCCTGTTCTAGTGTCGATCGAGGTCGCTGACCCGCTATTTTGGCGCGAGAAGCAAGAGCCAAACCTACATCGCGCGCTCGCGTCGCCGACGGCGGGTCCGCGAAGCTAATGGTTCGATTCGGTGTTCCGCCACCTACAGCAGAGTTGCTCGATGTGCTCTGGGAACCACCGTCGAGACGGGCCGCTGCATCGCTGCGGAAGACGGCGGGCTGCTTGAGGATCGATTTCGGCGTCGATACGAAGGGGCCTGAAGCTCTCGGAGTCGGTGTGCCAAATTGCTCTCGAGCCAGTCGACGATCGGGCGTCGCATATACATTAGCGTTTGCGTTATCGCGGGGTCGCTTGGTGCCTGCATTTTGCGCTAGATGTTCTTCAAAGTCAAGCTCGCCTCGACCATCGGTCGACGGCTGACTCACCCCGGAATGGCGACTGCTGACGGTCGAGTCTGGACTGTAAGTGACCACGTTCCGCAGCGAAGAGCCTGATCTTGGCGCAGTGCTAGCCGGCAAAGCTCGGGCAACCTGCCCAACCAGCGCATTCGGTGTGACGCTCTTGTTTTGGGAGTTGCTAGAGGCAGCGCTGGGGATGGTCGACGGTAGACTCTCGCTCTGCGTTGAGGGAGTCCGGGCTGAGACCATATCCGTCGCCGGCGGCTCTTGCGGCGTTGAACTTTGAGCTGCTCCCGTCGCGTGACGGGCCTCTCGGATCGAGCCAATCAGCTGCGATCTACCGGGCTTCGGAGTCAAGTCTTTGTCTTCGTTGACGACATTGGAAGCTGACGCCGGAGGCTGCTCGCTCTGACCGAAGCTTTCGAAGTCTTGGAAAGGATCGCTTGAATCACTCAGCCTGCCATCGGCTGCGCTGACATTGTTTGACGACAGGCCGTCGAGTCGTTGCTGGAACGAGTTGGTGCGGGCTCCATGCTGCGTTCGAGCTTGCTGCTCCTCAAGAGACTCGGAGAAGACGTCTTGACTCCTCGAGAGCTCGGCCGAGGCTTCCGGGATCGTGGGAGGAATGGGCGTCTTGACCATCGGCCTGCCGTCTACAAAGTCGTTGCGAGAACTCGCCGCTGAGCGCAGATCCTCTTGCGATGATCGGGATCGCGGCACCTTTTCCCATCGATGCAAATCCTTATTGAACGTGAGCTTGCCTCGACCCAGGCTTTCGATCTCCTGATCGGGAATCTGGCTGATGTTGAACAGACTACCGGTCCGGGTGATGGTCGCGCCTTTTCCACCCAGATCAGAGATGGTCATTTGAGAGCCAATGTCACCTGAGACGGTCCTCGCGCCGCTACGGTCGACCAGGGTGTTGGAGGAGGCGGTGCGGTCGCCCCGTTTGGCCGGCGGCTCGGGCACTTCCGCGCTCGCGACCTGGGGCTGCGTGGGCAGAGCTAGCAAGGACGACGCGCGAGCCATCGACGCACGTTCGGGGACGTTGTTGCGCAGCTCGACAGCTGAGGCGATGTTGCGCAACACTCGAGCTGGATCCGGCAAAGGTGGATCAGGAATGCGCTCCGAGTCGTACAGGACGATGCCATCCTGGAAGCGGCGTGTGTTGCCATCTTGTTGAGCCTGAGCCCGTTGCGGATCGTCCACGACGCTGTCGTCGAATTCTGATTCGTCTTCGGAAGAGTCGGCGCCATTGGATTGGCGCTGCGCAGCGATAGCATCTAATGTTGGCTCATGCAACGTGATCAACTGGGGCCTCTGTACAGTCTGCTGCACGTCGGCGAACGTTGCCTGCTCCACCACATTGCTTGCCTTGGCAGGAGTGTAAAGTTGCCGACGTCGAGCGATACGTTCTTCGAGTTGACGAATCTGCTCATCGCGGTAGGCAATGGCTTCTTCGGCGAGCTTGCCATCCTGCGCGCCGGGTCCATCCGATTCTTGCTGCACCTCATCTTCTGCGATCGCAGCCGCACTGATGCGACGAAGCAATTTGCGGGGAGACTCGCCCTCCTTGGCAAGGGCAGCGATCCGTCGAGACAAGGACGCTCGAGACTTGAGCGTAGAAGACATGGGAATGTCATACGAGCTGGACTCGGTGATGAAGGACGATTCGAGAGGTAACCTGCGAGACGAGAGGCGCTGAGGGCTTCCTTGTTCGAGCACAGAAGGAACTACATCTTGGCGAACTGAGGCTGGCTGCTGTTCTGACGGTCGTTTCCTGTGACCTAGGCCGATGGATCGACGGCGCCTGGGTGGCGATGAAGGTGGAGGGGTTGGTGAAGACGCCGCTTTACCTTGATGGAAGGAGAGCTCTTGTGCGCTTTTCGCGCCATTGCCAGACGACTCGTCCTCCTCGGTCGCCCACTCTGGCGATGTGCTCCGTCCAGACTGAACGCGGACGGCGTCCTGAAGCGCGCTCATGAAGCTGGCCGATTCTTTGACATAGTCGACAACAGGCTGATGTGTCGAGGCTGGAGCCTCTGCTGCTACATCGCTGGCGCCGAGCATGGGCATGGACATAAGATCGCCCGTCATGACCTTGCGGGGCTTGACGTCGAGCCGAAGCCGTTTGCGTTCGCGTTCGACATCAGCGGCTCGGGGGGGCTGTGGCGCTGCCGTCGGCGTCCTCTCGCTGACGATGTCTTCCAGCCTGGCACGAGTAGCGGCATCATCGTAGTCGAACTTGAAGAGACGCATGGGTGTGTGTGGCGTCGGAGGGCCGGAGAGAAGACCGAGATCAGCTGCAGCCGAGGCGGGCCGGGCAAGAGCTGTAGCTTGCAAGCCATTTGGATGGAGAGTCTGCATGTTCTGCAACGACTTGGACGGAATCATTCCGCGAGCTGGTTGCAGTCGATCTTGCATCGCTGCATGAGGGGTTTGGAAGGTGAAGGGAGTACTCGGCAGCCCAATGCTCAGGGTGGGGCGAGGCGTCGCGCTATCGCGAGCTGGCGTCCCGGCTGCTGGATGCACGGCGGCTCCTTGCTCGTCAGCGGGTGGTGAGGGAGCCTGGTGCTGAATTGCGTCCACGTCGTGTGTCAGTGTTCCCTGCGCCACGACAAGCTCTCCTTGCTGGTCGCTGGATGGTTCTGCCGGTATTGTAAATGGTGTCACAGCTGACATGATGTTTGGCATGGGTTTTCCGGGCGGCGTCGGCGTCTTGAACATGGTCTGCAGTCGCATGGGAGTGAACATGTCGCCGCCGAGCGCTGTGATGCCCTTTTTGGCCTGACCGTTCTGTCCCTTGGCAGGGCTTTGCCAGACTGGACGCAAAATAGGTGGGAGGGAGGAAGCGTCTGCTTTATGTATAAATGTGCCCACAGCCCCGGACGCATCCGAGGCAGCCTTGGGAGATTCAGCTTGCCGTTGCGACATGGCGGTGGTTTGCTGAGCCGTCTGCATGTTGGTGATGCGCGAATTCTCGGCGAGTGAACCGCGGGCGCTCGCAAAGTCATCGGGCGCCGAGTCGTTGGAGGGCGAATCAGAGTCAGAGTCGGACTCAGACTCGGACCAGATGGTGCTGTCGCCTTCTTGGTTCTCTGCGTTGGAGCGACGGACACGGTCGCGACGGGATTGATGGCTGGGCAAGCGAAGGGAAGGCGTGGAGGGTCCAGCTTGGAAGGCGCTGTTGACGGCCAATGACCTGGGCGTGGGAGCGCCAGCACCTGACGGTCTCCCTTTGAGCAAAGCGCGACGAGCCTGATGACGGGCTGCCGAGAAAGCAGGATTGGGAAGCGCATCGGACAGGGCTGCAGAGAGGGAAGGTCGCGATACTGCAGATGGCGTCGCCATTACACCGTTTGATGCTGTCGAGCGTGATGGTGAGCGGGGTCGGCCCGGCTGAGGTTTCGTCATAGAAGCTTCGGGTGCGTTGGCCTTGACAGATTTGGCAGTGTCAGCGGGCGCTGCACCATCGTCTTGAGCTGCCTGAACCTCCTCTTCCGGCCACGATTCGTCCAGATCATCCGTCATCCAATCTGGACGAATTATTGAAGCAACACGTGGCGGAGCTGCTGCACTGGGTTGCACTGCGGCAGCTGCGGCGGGAACAGATGGCGCAGGAGCTGTCGGTGGGGGGTCTTGAGCAGACTCGTCCCAGATGGAGCTGACCGTCTCGTCCAGCTCTACGGCGTCATTGTGGTCTGGCGGTGTCCCTGCCGTCTTTCCTTGCACACTGGAGAAGTTGGAGTCGACGGACGGCGGTTTCCTGGGATATGCGCGGACATCGTGAAGCTGAAGTGTAGGTCGCTCTGTTGCTGTGCTGGCTGCTGAAAGGGGACGCGTTTCTGCTTGCGAATGGAGGTCGAGGGATGAGGCCGATTCTTGAATCCCGGCCGACGCCGAGACAAAGGAGGTGAGCTGTTCCGTTTCCATGATGTATGGCGTTGTGCAGTAAAGAGCGTGAGAAGAGAAGAAGCAGTGATGTCGACTATGGTAGCAACGCCATTGGAGGCCACGCTGTTGCTTGATGGAACGTTCGCTGAGGTGCCAGTGGTGATTCTGCCTTGGAAGGACGCGACGATTGGGTATACGAAGGCTGATAGCGATGGCTCCGCGGTTCGTGTAGTGAACGCGCCGGGAAAAGAGAGTGTAGAGAAGCGGGAGAAGCAATGGAGTGAGGACACGGTGCGGAGCTGCAACTGACGAGGCTCGTCACGATCCGCCAAAGCCTGACCCACTCGCAGCTGCTGAGCGCGAAGTGTAAAGAGCAACGCCGAGACAGGCAGCAACCAACACACCTCGAAATTCACTGCCAAGCTGCAGCCCACTTGGTCGACCCTGCATTTCTCTGTCTAGCTAACGCGCTGTAAAGCCTCTTCCAAATTGCTGCTCTGTCAGCACGTGATCTCCAATCGAACAAACGCGTTCGTGTGAGCTCAAAGCCTTGCCGACGCTATTTTCCATAAAAATCGTAAAATCCGGTTTGCTGCTGCCCGGCCCAGCCAACGTGGCGCAGCAAAGCGAGTCAGCTGCAGCAGCCAAAGTGACACTCACGGTGGAAGTTGACGATGCGAGAGCGTCAGGCGTAGCTTAACTTAATCCATCCATCACTGTGAATGATATCACAACCTCTTGTCCACTTTTCACCATCACATATAGATCAGCTCCCTTCGACAAGCCAATATACCCGCTCCGGCATCACACTTGGCATACGCGCACATCATCGCATCGCCAATCACGGCCCATTCGTATCAGCAACACATTCCGTCGCGTAGACACATACGGCCACACGAGGCTCAAGCCATTAGCCCGCATCGCAAACACATCGAGGGTGCATAGCGCATCCGATCTCGACCAATATGGACGCGGCAGCTTTGGCATCGCTGCTGTCCGACTCGACGCAAAAGCTCATCGGCTTGCACGCTCAGATTGGACATCCTCCCGAAGCGCTGCAAGGAGCATTGGATGCACTCCACCAGGCTCTCAAAACAGCCGTGGACGATCAGATCGGCAAAGTGCAGCGAGAGGCGCACGACCTCAGTGCGGAATGCTCCCGGATTGAAGCCGACAATGCACACATCAAGAGGGCGCTCGGCGACAAATCCACCAGTCCAGCCCTGCAGAATGCCATCGGACAACGGATGGTCTCGGCCGCATCGCCGACGGCTTCCGCTTCAGCATCAGCATCCACAGGCTCACAGCCACTCTTGCAGCGTCGATCACAACTACAAACCGAGCAGACGCGTTTGAAAGCCTCTTACATTGCCAAAGAGGCGCTGCTGGACCGACTCTCATCCAAGCTGCAGACCTACGTCCCACTGCTTGGCAACTTTGTCCAGATTCCACAAGACAGCACACAACATGCAGCAGGCACACTCGACGCCGCTCCAGCGTCCACCTTCCGCGACGTCTCTCAACCAAGGATGGCCTTGTTCGAAGCAGAAATCATCCGTTGCTCCAAAGAAGTCAACGCTAGATCCGAACGCCTCCAAACCAACTTGCTCGAAATCGTACAGCTTTGGTCCGAGCTCTTCCTTGAGCCCGCCAAGCCAGCAGCACTCACCGATGATCGCGTCTTTGAAGCAGAGCAGGTCGGCGACGAGGTCGACTGTGGCGGCAGCACCCTCCGCTTTGATCGAGCCGTTCTCACTCATCTCCAGTTGGAGCCCATCTACGACGACGAGACGCGCAAATTCATCGGCGAGTTTGTCAGCACCGAGCAGCCTGAACGCAGAGATGCGGCTTCCTCCCGAAACACGCAAGCCATCGATGATCTGCTTTCGGAAACACCGACACGCGCATCCCTTGGTGGTCAACCAGCCAGGGATAGCGGCGATCTTGCATTGCAACTCTCATCCAGCAAGTCGGCATCCACGTCAGCTGCGCTATCCCACCTTCTCGAGCCGTCCGAGCTCAACTTGGCACGAGCAGCGGCAAAGCTCCAATGGCTCGAGGCAGAAAAGCAGCGACGCGAGATGCTCATCCAGGAGCTCTACGATGAGCTCAGCGAGCTCTGGGCCAAGTTCGATGTGCCAGAGGAAGAGATGGACGCATTCGTCATGGATCACAGGGGCAGCACCATGGACGTCATCGAGGCATACCAAGCTGAACTCGAAAAGATGAAGCAGCTCAAGGCGCAACACATGTCGCTTTTCATCACAAAGACACGAGAACGCATCGCTACTCTGTGGGACTCGCTCTTCCTCACCGACGAGGAGCGCCAAGCCTCCTTCCCTTCCTTCTTCATCGACGTCTCTGCCGATGCCGACCCCAACCTCGACGAGCCTCTCCCCACGGATGAGATCCTGGCTTCTCACGAGCAGATGATCGACTTGCTCACAGAGCAGGTCCGAGTCAAGGCACCCGTTCTCAAGGTCATTGGTCGCTATCGCGAACTTCTCGATGAGGCGAGGCAGCTCGAGGAATCCGCCATGGATGGCTCTCGCTTGCTCGGTCGTGGCAACCGCGGCGACCCCGGTCGTCTTTTGCGCGAGGAAAAGATGCGTAAGCGCGTCAAGATCCAGAAACCCAAGATCGAAGCCGAGCTGCTCAAGGTCATTCCCGCGTGGGAAGAGGAGCATGGGGAACCATTCACCATCAATGGCGATCGCTACCTCGATGAGCTCTTGGAACAGGTGGAAGGGTCTAAGGAGAATGCAAACCGCAAGAGATCGAGAACCGTGTCAGCCTCGCAGCCCAGCGCACCGCCCGTCAGCGCCCCTGCTAGTGTGAGACGTGGTCCTCTCGGTCCTTCCGCCGTTTCGAATCGAGGCGTCGCAGCAACACCGATGCGATCTCAGACTCCTCACTCAGGCACGATCAAGAAGCAGCGCGTCGCAGCGACCCCAGCAACAGTAGCAGCGCCAGCGTCGCGGATGCCCTCATCAGTAAGGCAAGGAGTGGTGCCAGCATCAGTCTCGAGGATAGCATCGGCCCGGGCACCCATGTCAGCAGCACCAAAAGCGCATTATGCCGCCAGCAACGCCAGTGTCTCCCGACCTCCTTCGTCCATGGGTGGCAACTATCGATCCGCAAGCACCATGTCGTACACCGCCGGCACTAGTAGCCCATCCCGCATCCCAGGTCCAGGTCAGCAACCCGCACCTCGACCATTTGGCGCCGCTGCAATCAACCCAGGCTACGCATCAGCCTATGGCGCACGCAGTATGACGACCGCCTCGGTGGGCCTTGCTGCCAAAACAGTCAAAGCGCAACGCGAAAGCTTTCGACCGCGCCCTTCGCTCGTAGCAAAAGTGGGTCGCACCGCCACCGTCGTTGGAGTAGCTGGCACAGCACGGACAGGGACCGCACCGATCTCGCCAGGCAGAGCGAGTAAGTGGGGCGAGATGGGACCTCCGCGTTGGCCCGCGGCAGGACAGCCAGCACACGGTCAACGCGATGTCTCTTGCATGTCGGTCAGCTCCATCCATACCGATGTCACCACCGTGATCCACGCAACGGCCGCACCGGTGACCCGGGCTGCTGAGCCTGTCAGGAAAGCGAGGCGTGCGCCGTCCATGTCGCTCGAGGCGTGTCTCGCCAACTTGGCTGCCACCTCGACACAAGGCAAGGCTCGATTGGGCGACGCAGGTAGGGATCTCGGCATCTCGTCCATCCGCAGCGTCTCGTCGTCGGACGACATTGTCAATCAGACAGGTGACGTGGATGACGTCGACAGCTCGGCGCGAGTACGAGGATGGAAGGACGGTCTGCGCATTGCCGGTGCTGTTGTGGACGAAGATGCGGAAGACGCCGTCGCCACACTGCCACGGTCGGGAAGCAGCAATTGGGAGCTTATGGGCGAAGGTGAGCCAGGATCGGCTTACCACGCGCATGCCGCCATGGCTGCGTGAGCCATTAGTGCCGACCGCAGCTAGATATGGTAGCCTTCAACTTATACCCGGGCGCGCCTCAGGACTACACAATACACACATACCTGCTACACTGTCGTTTCCTTGCGCTGCTGTATTTTAGTTTCGAATAGACTCTCAGCCACCAAAGGCTTGTCATCCTCGTCTGCGTGTGCCAGCTGTCAAGATGAGGAAGGTGACAGCTGTGGCCTTCAAGAGCTCCAAGCTGACCGTGCGCAAAAGGGCGACACAGCAAATCCGATATCCGAGGCCACGCGAGCGCAGCTCTAATTCGGTTTTGGCGGTTTGGTTCACCTCGACCCTTTTCTCAGTATTGCATTGACCTTGTCTTCCACCACACCAGCCAGCTGAGCTTGACGTCGCCACGATGAAGAGCGTCAGTCGCTCAAGAGCACGGACGCTTGTTACGGCGCTTTCGACATGGCCAACGACCGCATCTGCTGCTCCTGCTTGCAGCAGTCTGCGTTCCCAACAGCGAGAGTACTCGGCATCGTCCCTACCACCCCAAGCTCGCCGACATGGCCGCTCTTACAAGGGCAAAGAGCGCTCCCTCCCGGCACTCGACACCTACTACCGCTCCAATTCGACCATCCTCTCACTGCGCGGCGTCCGTCACCTCACCAGCTCCGCCGCACCCACCCGTCTCGGCATGGACTCCGAAGCGGACCTCGGGCGGCACTTCTACCTCAACAAAGTGCTCGAGCAATGGGCGGCCAAACCTGCCACGCGAATGACTCTCCGCCAACTCATCTTCTTCGGTCGCACCCTCGGTCGTGATCGCGAGAAAATCCTCAAATCCGCCAACTACGTCCGACAGGAACTCCCCGTTCGCATCGCCCATCGAATTCGCGATCTCCAAGCGCTCCCCTTCGTCGTCATGACCAACACGCATCTGGAGGACGTTTACCAAAAGTATTGGTCTGCATTCGAAACCTTTCGCCGGTTCCCTCATATCAAGAACATGGATGACAACGAGCGATTTGTCAACCTCCTCAGGGGTCTGCTGGATGATCATCTGACCATCATTCCGAGTTTGACCATCGGTATTGTGGAAAGTAGCCACCATTTGCAGCCCCAGCAGCTGGATAAGTTTATGGAACGCATGTTGCGATCGAGGATATCGAGGCGGGTGTTGGCGGAACAGCACATTGCATTGAGCGAAGCACTGGATGATCCGTTTCACTTTTTCAACGAACCAGGCCGACCGGGACACGAGGACGAGAGCGAGGACGCTGTCGGTGATCACGTCGGCATCATCTACACCCGACTCAGTGTGGCCAGCGTGGTGAACAAGGGCGTCAAGTTGCTGACGCAGATGTTTGCCGATGTGCAAGGTGTCACGGCGGACCGGATACCGAGGGTGGTGGTGGATGGGGATTTGAAGGCGAGGTTCGCGTACATTCCAGAGCATCTGGAGTATATCGTGTTCGAGCTGCTGAAGAATGCGATTCGGGCGACGATCCGGGCGCACGTTGGGGAGGACGAGGCGGGTACGGTGAGGGTGACGATTGTCGAAGGACCACCGGAGGAGGATCTGATCATCAGGATCTCGGATAGTGGCGGTGGGTTGCCGGATCTCATTCATCAGCTGGCGACGCCTACGAGGCCAGCGACTGCGCAACCCGTGGCCTCGACTGGGTTCGCGAGCACACCCTCGCCTACCGCGAATGGTGAGGAGCCGGCGTATCCGATCCCCTTCCCTGACATGGGGCATATTGGAGGTTACCCGCCGCGTGGTTCGCGAGCGAGGCTGTTGCATCCGGACGACGAGTCGATCCCTGTGACGCTGAGCGACGAGACAATGCCTCACGAGTTCGCGTCGCGAACCGAACCGGTGAGCTTCGCCGAACCGTGGGCTGAACCACCCTCCTCCTCTCGCCAGACCGTCCGTGGCGGTGTCGGGTCCGCCGGCGGCACGGGCGGCTCAACACCACCCAACGAGTTCGGCACCGTCGGCACCTCCACCTCTTCTACGGACACCTACTCGGATCCCCTCATCGATGCGCTGTGCTCCTTCAGCAACGTTCGAAAGCGACTCGAGATCGAGGCTCGATCGCCATCCCTCCCGCTCTCCCCACCCTCTTCCCCTGAACCAACAACGCCGGCGCACCTCACCCACGCCGGTCTCGGCACACGCTCGCGCTTCGACGCGCTCAAAACCATCGGCAAGTTCAAAGGCACCGTGCACGAGCAAACCAAGCCCCACGCTATGGAAGGCACCGGCCCTGCCGCACTCCACACCGTCCAAGTCGAAACAGGCCTCGGACTGCCCATGGCCAAAGTGTACTGCGACTTTTTCGGTGGCAGTCTCAGTTTCAGGAGTCTGGACGGACATAGTACGGATATCTATGTGCGCTTGCCGAAGCTCGGGACGAATAAGGAGACCATCGAGGAGATCGTGCTCTGATTGCTGGGAATAAGAGTACAGAGGTTAGGGAGAGGATTCGAGACGTCGTTGATGCACGCGCTCCAACTTGTCCAGCACGTCCTCGCGCTCGCGCACCAGATGGAACAGTGTCAGTTCGAGTCTGTAGTCAATGGACAAAGTGGTTAGTCTCTCTCTCTCTCTTTCTTGTATGACGAATGGTGCAACTCACTCTCGCTTGCGCTGCGAATGCGCCTTGACCAGCGCCCTCGATGTGTTGGCATCCGACTGCCTGATCTCCGCGTCCTGACCTTGGTGCTGGTGCAGTACGGGTGACGGGGCCGCCGGCGTGGGGGGCAGCGACTGAGCAGGGTCAATCGTCTTGGCGTCTTTGAGATCGTGCAAGCGCATGCCGGCGTAGTAGCTCGCAGGGACAATGGCGAGCGCGGCGAAGGCGGCGATCCAGTTGCGTGTTGGCACGCGCGGGCGAGGACCGTTGGCACCGGGTGGAGGTTGCTGATGCAGGATTGCTGAGGTGTGCATCGTGCGTTGGGGGAAGCTCGTTGTCGGAGGTGCAGGTTTTGATGGTGATACGCGAGAGAACGGGCTGAGGAAAGTCCTCGCTGAAAAGGTAGGTAGGGAGGACGCCGTGCCGGTGAGACGGTTACGCAGCTGGGTTGCAGCACCGCTGACCGCTGGAAGGGTGTCAGATACGCGGGACTCGATATAGCACGCAAGCGATGCAGATACTTCTCCCTCCTTGAGTTTTGATTTGCTCTCCGGGAGCATCTCGTCCAGCTGCGCGCCGGACCGTGTCAGTGTGAGACCGGCCGGTGTTGCGGCGTCGTACGGGATCTTCCTACTGCGCCGCGATTGGGATTGAATGCCTGCTTCGCGGACACCGAATTCGAGTCCCTTGATCATGACGTTCCAGCCGTCGCGCAGGTTGGTCGAGATCCACATTATCGGTCTGCTGCTGAGGATTCCAGTGAACAAGGAGGCGATGCGGGGTGGTAATGGTCGGACGAGGGTCGCGATGAGGATGGCGCCGAGGGTTGGCTGACCGGGGATTGCTGACGGAACACGGTCGCCGGTGTATGCGAACTGTGCAACGTTGTCTTCTGACGGCGCTGCGATTGCCTTCTCGGACTGAGTGTATGATGTTACAGCGATCTTCTGCCAGTCTGTCGGTGGATGAGAGGCAGCCTTGCGCAAGGATATTAAGCCAGGTGCGCCTGGTTGGAAGCCTTTGCGAATGAGGTATCGAGTCACCTTGATCTCCAGCTTGCGCAAGATGGCATTGATTCGTCCTTCGTACGTCCAGATTCCGGTGGTTAGCACAGAGATGCACTGCGGTGGTGGGATCTTTTCTGATGCCGATATCGGTGCGTCGGACGTAGAGTGCGGCTTGTCGAGTCCGAGTCTCCTCCGTCTGCGATACAGTTCGTCGTTCATGCGATGAGCGACTACCACGTCTGTCATGGTCCGGTCTCCCACCAACAGAATGCTCCCGTTTCCTGCCTTGTCTTCTGGTACCTGACTACTGAGCACCCTTCGCCTCTCCTTCAAGTACCTTTTGGCCTCTCCGCTGGGCCCGGCTTCGATCGACGCGGATCCGGGCGGCATGTGTTGTGCCTGAGCCAAGGTCGTCTCGCGATCGTAAGACAACGCCACGAAGTATTGCAGCGCTTCCCTTGCACACCCCTTCGCTGGCTTCTTGTCCTTATGACACAGGACGGGGACGTTCAACGCTCGACTCAGCGACTCGGCTCCGAGCCCGGAAGGATCGCTTGAGGAGCCGCTCGAGTTGCTGACAATGAGAATGTTCTCGCGCCCAAATACGTGCTGACATCGTTGCCAAGCTTCTGTGATCGACGGCTCGAGCACGTCGGAATGCGGTGCTGTGAGGCAGTTGTCCTTGTCGAACACGAGAAATCGTACACCGTTTGCGTGGAGCGCCTCCCAGTCGAGGTGTCGAATGTCGGGGACCTGGACGTGCGGAACCACCAGAGATGGGCGGAAGATGACGGCAAAGACGGCAGCCACTCCAGCTAGGTTGGCCATGATGATCGACTTGTGCCAAGTGGTCGAGCAAGATTGTGAACCGACTTGCTGGACGATGTCGGTTGTGACAAGACAAGACCCTTGATCGCGGACGCTCGAGAGCAATAGCGCTTCGACGACGTCGGAAGTCGGCTTTTGTTTCAGCCTTTTCTTCCTGAATTTTTGGCTGCTTTTTGTGGAGAAATTTTTTGGTGCTTTTCTCTCCATCTGGAGAAACTACTTCTCCCCTCTCGCCTACTGTACGCTTCGCATATCATATCAAGGTCAGCGAGCTTGCACCTTTCACCTCGGCGACGTTGCAGACATGTCGGCAGGAGATCCTGCAACCAAGGCTGGGCCTTCAGGCTCGGCATCGAAAGACGTCAAGGCAAAGCGATCAAGGAAGCGACAGAGAAACAAGAAACGCACCACCGAAGTTGAGGACAGCAGCAGCAGCAGCAGCAGTAGCGACGACAGCGACGATGAAGACGACAAGCAGGTCAAGGCGGCACCGATTGTCGCAGCATCAACGCCGATAAAGAAGACGAAAGCGGATGCAGACTCGGACTCTGATGGTTCTGACTCTGAGAAGAGTGATGGTGGAGAGGAAGATGCTAAACGCAAGAGGAAGCGAAAACGCAAAGTCAAGACCGAGACCAAAGACAAGACCGCCAAGCCCGCCACTCCCTCTGCATCAGTCAAATCAGCTCCGTCGACGGCTAAGTCCGTGGCACTGTCGCCAGACCAAGTCGGACCTGATCCGAATACCGACCTGCGGCTGAGTGATCAAGCAAAGCAAGCCATTTCCTATGCTCAAGTCTACACTACGGCAAAGTCAGAATGGAAGTTCAACAAGGCCAAGCAGAATTGGCTCTTGCGCAACGCACTTTCGGTTCCTCCTTCCGATTATGATGCAAGCTTGGCACGCAAGCAAGCCGACGGCAACGGCACCGAAAACAGCACAGCCGAAGAGGCTGACGAAGAAGCGGAAGAGGGCGACAACTTTGTCCCCAACGACTTTGTGCCAGTGGTGACGGCGTATCTTAGCAGCGTCATGGGCGGTGCTCGTCAGAGGATGATCGAGTCTCTCAAGGAAGCTGTCAATGCACCTGCTATCACCGTGGCGCCAACACAGCCTGAAGGCACCGACGACGCCGCCGCCACCACTTCTTCCACCAACGTCGCAGCGGACGGCGTAGCCGCGAACGGCGCAGTCACAAAGTCGGTCTCATTCGGCAACTTGGCTCTTGAGGCGGAAAAGACGGAAGAGGCGACCGCCGAAGCAGGCCTTCCTGAAGGTACCGATCCTCGATCTGTGGAGCCGCGCAGGACCCGAGCGACACAGATGCTCAAGCAGATGGGCGAGTCACTCTGATCAAATATCATCTCTTTCACATCAGTCACAAAGCTCGTCTAGCATCCGACTGTCACCACTCGACCAATGTGAAGCGATGAGAGGAACAGCTCCTTGCTGTCTTTCACGCTCTCACCTTCGTGACCGGCGTGGCGGACGTCACCGTTTCCGTCACAGTGCCATCTCTGGACTGAGTTCGCTTCCACAATTTTCGCTAACCATAAGAAGCATCGTCGGTCCTGAGCTACCTTCCATCCTCCCTCATCTTCGACATTCACGGCGGTCAGACGCATCACCGCCATGACGCTTCCTACTCCGCTCAATCTCCCGTCACGACCCTCCACCGGCCTCGGCGAAGCGGTCAGCCACCTGCAGCAAGAGATGAAAGCTTACAAAGAGGAGATCGCTCAGCTCACGACCGATACCGAGGCCGCCGCCGACCGAATTGCCCTGGTGCTGGGCCGCTATCGATCTCAGACTCAGGCTGTCTTCGCAAAGAGCCCACATGACACTCACGATTCAGAGCTCAGCGTGACAGCGCTGGAGCAGACCTTTGATGCGTTTCACGAGCTCCAATCACTACCACGTGACAAGGGTCATCAGACGAGCGGTCGACAGATCGTCAAGCCCTCTTTCCTCAACGATACGAAGCTCGATACTGCAGAGAATATGGCAAAGTCGCCTCTTGTCCCTTCTTCGCTAACCACTATAGCCGCCGTCCAGTCGTCCTACGAGCAATCACGCACATTCTTGTCTGTAATTGCCGCGTTGAAGGAAGAGGCAAGTCGAAAGAGGCAATGCGAGATCGTCGAGGTAAGCACCAGCTTTGATAGGCTTTGGCGAGTTCCGCTACTAGGCAGCTGATGCAAATCGACTTTGCGTCTGTAGAAGAGATTTACCATCCTCCTCGGGCAGATAGCAGAGTCAACGACGCCTGAAGCCTGCTGGCTGATCGCCCAACAGATGGTTGCCTATCTGCGCTTCGTCAATCTTGGTAGGTTCTAGCGTGCCCATAACCGTTCTACGACGCATGCCGACACGTTTGGCTGATAGAGTGCCCTGCGTTTACGCGGTTCCTGCTCATTCAGATCGAGTAAGGCACTCTCTTCACGATCAGGCTCAGCAAGTCTCACAGCGCTGCATAGCTTGGTGGGAAGGCCCGAGTGTCTTTGTCGAGCGAGCCCTGACGAGATACTCTTTGGTACACGAGGTCACGAACGACCCTCTCTTTGATGGCATTGTCGCTCTCGTGCTCATCCACTTTGGCGTCTTTGACGTCGAGGCAAGTAAATCAGTCGCAGACGACGGCTCGCATTCGGAGATCGAAGGCCTCACCACTCTGCAGAAGCTAGCACGCCGAGTTAAGCTTGGATCGAGATTCATCTCACCGCCTGTAAAGGACCAAAGCAGCATCTCTCCTTCGCAGGCGCTCTCGATCGATGTGCTGGCCGCTTTTGTCGAGCTTTGCTCGCATGGTGTTCTCGGTAGCGCCATCCTCCATGATGTGCTGTCCCTCTTTGCTCTCGGCGACGTCGATCGCGACTTTGCCCTGGTGGAGAGTGACATGGAACTTCTTCGCACATTTCTCAACAAAAGACTCCTTCCGCATACCACTTTCGTGCGCGACACATTCGGTGTGCACGATCCCATTCGTCAGATCATCAGCATGCTCAAGGCGATGGACAAGCTCAAACAAGCCAACAGCCCTGGCACGGCGTCACACGGGAACGTTCCAACTAGGCCACTGACCCAGTTCGACATCGAGGACTCGGAATGGATCCCTCTTGAAAGACTGCCGAGCTCGTCGGTGCAGAAGTGGCCGAAGCAATCTCGGAGTCAAACGTTGAGGTGGTTTGCTCGCAAACGGAGCCACAGCCAAGAAAGCGACACCTTTGAAGCTCCAAAAGCTGTCAACATGATCGATATCCTCAACGGCTATAGTCCCGCACACCCTTGATGCGTTATGAACGATTGAATTCTTCAGTCGAAACTCCTCTGGCCCCTTACTTCTGCTCGCTGAGCACCTTTCGAACTATCCTCTCCACCATGCCTTCCAACGCCTGCGACGAGGCTGGTCCGACTGCAGTGCCAACAGCCTCCCTTCCAGCATCCACGCTGTTGGCAGCCTCAGCGTGCTCCTCCGCATCCCTCTCGAGCGAGCCTAGCACCGCGCGATGTACGTATTTGCCCACCATGTCGAGCTCCACATTGACCGTGTCACCAGGCTTCTTCTTGCTCAGTCCAATCACCTCCTGCGTATGCGCGATGAGCATGACTGAGAACTCGACGATCTCCTTCTTGGGCGTCTGTGCATCTTCTCGAACATCGCCTGCTGTGGAGTTGGAGGGCAGCAGTCCGCCTGTCGCTGGTGAAACCTCGATCAGAGTCAATGACGCGCCGTCAAGCGTGACGTAGCCTTTCGGGATCAGATAGGGTGAAAGCGTTGAGGGCAGAGGAAGCGACTCTGGCTTGCGCTGCAGTCTCAATGTGATCGTGAGTGCGTTGCCGTTCGGAACGACGGAGCGAATGAGGGCGGTGGTGTCAACGTGGCCCTGAACAAAGTGTCCGCCGAATCGGGTGTGTGCGTCCATGGCGCGCTCGCAGTTGACGCCATCTCCCACCTTGAGCTCGCCCAGGTTGGTCTTCTTGAGCGTCTCAGGAGCGACGCCGATCTTGAAGAAGCCGCCCTGGTTGGATTCGGAAGCGTCGAACTCGGTGACGGTGAGACAGGTGCCGTTGACTGCGATGCTGTCGCCAATGTGGCAGTCTTTGAGAATGGCGGCGGTCTTGCCAATGGTCATCGAGTAGCCACCACCACCTGACTTGGAGGCATCCTGGGGCGAAATGTCGATGATGGGAGCCAGAAGCTCGACTGTGTTGGAGGACACGGCGAAGGAAGGGGGTCAGTCGTTGACCGTGACAGGTCGAAGGAAGTCGCTCCAGCGAACATACCGATACCCGTGAACATCTTTGCAGTTCAGACCTGATAGTAGGAGGCGGTTCGTTAAGCTTCTGATGGTTCAGATGATGGTCAAGACGGAGGTCGTATCACAGACGAGCTTATGTCAGTTGACCGCGGCCTGCAACCGGCTGGACGGCTTTTAGAACGGAGCGGAGGTATGCCACATGGACCTTCTCAACTCCACCTTTTCTTCTGCCGTATTCCGCACGATAAGAAGAACTTCGGTCAAATTCCGTGCTTGGCTTGTGCATTTAGACTCATCAAGCACATCATGCACAGTGACTCGTCCCGCCTTCCTTACTACTCCACCATCCCCACCCCACAATCACCCATCGAGTCCGCAAGCATGTCAGCAACACAAGGAATCAACGTAGCCATCATCGGCGTCGGTCTGGTCGGCACCTCGGTCATCCAGCAGCTCACCACCGTCGCTGGTCTCTCGTCCAAGCTGCACATCGTTGCCCTGCAAAACAGCAAGAAGACGCTCTTCAGCACTCCCACCTCGCCGCTCTCGCTCGCTGGTGCCGATTGGAAGTCTCTGCTCGCCAACAGCTCCACCTCTGCTCTTGCACTTCCCGACCTCGTCCAAGAGCTCCAGAAGATCACGCGCGATTCGGGCCGACACACCGCCGTGGTGGACAACACCTCCGACGAAAAAGTGGCCGCCTTCTACCCCGAGTTCCTCGCTGCTGGTCTGAGCGTGGTGACGCCCAACAAGAAGGCTTTCTCGGGCCCTATCGAGCTGTACAACGACATCCTCAAATACAAGTCGAACGACGTGGCTGGTTCCAAAGGTCCGTTGGTGTACCAGGAGTCGACGGTGGGTGCGGGCCTGCCGATCATCTCCTCCCTCACCGACTTGATCGCCACCGGCGACGAGATCACCAAGATCGAAGGCGTCTTCTCGGGAACGCTCTCGTACATTTTCAACGAGTTCTCGACGCCCAAGGGTGGCGACAAGAAGTTTTCCGACATTGTCAAGTTTGCCAAAGAGAACGGGTACACGGAGCCGCACCCGAATGACGATCTCTCCGGCAGTGATGTGGCTAGGAAGCTCGCTATCCTCTCCCGACTCGTGCCGGAGCTCAAAGATGCGCTGCCACAGGGATACCTCAGCGTGCCTACCCACTCGCTCACCCCGGCACCCCTCGCAGACGTCGCTTCCGGCGAAGAATATGTCCAGCGTCTCCCCGAATTCGACGCAGACTACGACAAGCTCAACAAGGAGGCTTTCGATCAGGGCTCCGTGCTGAGGTACGTCGGCGTCATCGACGTCAAGAAGGGCGAGATCAAGGCGAGCCTCGAGACGTATCCCGCGACGCATCCTTTTGCATCGAGTCTGAGCGGCTCGGACAACATTATTGCCTTCCACACCAAGAGGTACTCTGCCAGGCCGCTGTTGGTTCAGGGCTCGGGTGCCGGGGCTGATGTCACTGCTATGGGTGTCGTTGCTGATCTGATCAAGATCGCTGAGCGTCGATCGTGATCGGTACCGATGGAATTTATCGCTAGGACCAACATGTACAACACCAGCGCGAAATGTTGTGCATGTATGCAAATTGATTGACTGCGTGTGAAGTGAATGGAGATACGACGGTGTTCAGTCGAACACAACCTTCTTGCCCTGAGGCTTGACCTGCGCCATGAGCTCCTTCTGCTTCTGCTTTGCTATCCATGACGGGTGCATCTCTTGCGACTTGACCGTCGTTGCTGCCGGTGCTTTGTTCGCTGGCCCACTCCCGCCACCCGTCTCCCTGGCCACGGCCACTGGCACCGGTTGCACCCTTGGCACGTACGCCACCCGGGGCTGCTTCGGCAGCGGCGCGACCTTGCCTCCCCAACCACCATCCACCTTCTTCGGTGCTTGGAACGCCGGCGGTCGCTGTCTGCCCCCCATCGCCCCCGGCGGCCTTGTCGTTGCGCGCTCCAGCTTGGCCGCCTTCTGCTTCTCCTTCAGCTTGAGGTGGTTGGCGTTCTTTCCGTACTTCTTCTCGTACAAGGCTTTACGGGCGCGCTGACCCATACGATTCTTGCGCTCCTTCTTGCCGGAAGGGTCGTCAGCGAGATCGGCTTCCGCATCCGAGTACTCGTCGTCGGAGCGAGCGGGGATGAAGCCAGAGCTGAGGGAGGGGAGGAAAGTTGATTTGGACTTCTTCTTGCGCGGTCGGTCCGAGGTCGATGAGGAAGAGGAGGCGTCTGAGTCGGATTCGGAGTCGTCAGAGCCCGAGCCGGATGCGTCACTGTCATCGTCATCGCTAGAAGCATTGTCGGTGGATACGTCCGAGTCTTGGGTGCGCTTGCGCTTGGGTTTCGCCGGTGCTTCGTCCTCGGATTCCGACTCGGGTGCAGAGTCGGATCCGATCAGGTCGTCCCACAGCGAGAGGTCGCCGAGCGCTTTGACTTTCTGCCTGCCTATCCTGGCCAGCTCCTCTTCGTCTGCTTCTCCCTCTTCATCGTCTTCGTCGTCCTCGTCGACTGGCACCCTGCGCGGTGCGTCTTCGTCTGATTCCGACTCGTCTTCCGATCCTGACCATTCGCGCTCGTCTTCATCCTCTTCTTCATCCATCTCCTGCTTCGCTTTGCCTTTGCCCTTGACGTCGAGTTCCTCTTTGCTCTTGCTAAATATCGGCTCGATACCAGCTAGCTTCTTAAGCTCGTCGACAAACCTCCCAACTTCATCAGCGAGCACCTTCGAGCTCGTGATCTTCGCCTTTGCCTTCTCCGCCGCTTTGTCTCCGTCCCCCACAATGGGATCCCTAAGCACTTCTTCTCCGAGCAGATCCTCTTCCTTGACCATCTGAAAGTACATCCACTCCTCCTCATCCGCGCCCTCCATCTCGGCCGGCCTCGGCAGCAGCTTCGCCTTGACCATCTTGGTCACCAACGCGCGACCCGCCAGCAGTGCGGTATCGATGACCTTCAGCGCCACTAGCTGCTTCTCTGCAAGCTTGGCTTGCTCTGCGAGAGACGCCTTCTTGCGTAGACCCTTGAGCTTCTTGACAAGCTTCTGGAGCTCGAACGTCTTGCTCTTCTTTGCGGTCGCGCGGAGGGTTTTGGCGACGTGATGGAGCTTTGTCCTTGCTTTGACGACGTCAATAGTAGGTCGTGCTGAATCTTCATCATCATCAGAGTCGGGAGTGGCTGCATTCCCGTCCATATCTTCGTCATCGTCGCTGTCGATTCCATGGTTCGAAGCTTGGTCTTCGTCTGAGTTGTCGGCGGTGATGACTTCCTCCACCTCTAGCGCCGAGCGACTCGACGATGCTTCCGACGCGGACGACGCCGATAGAGAGGGTGAGGGCTGTTTGGCTCTCGATCGTGCTTTGGATCCCATACTGGGTGTGAAGGGCCTGTGACGAAGCGGAAAGCAACGGTGAGTGGTTCCGTCGAAAGAAGAAGCTCGAGAGTTCAGGGTGCAGCTCGAGGAAAGATTTCAAAATTTTGGCTCGGAAGACGGCCTTGAAATCTCGACACTAGCTTTAACACCTCGAAAAAATGCGGCGAAATGGCCGGTGACTTTCCACCGTTCGGCCGCGCTTCCCCGCATTCCTCCTTCGCTCCCTTATCTTCAGGTCCTGCTACCACCATATCGCAGTATACACAACAGCATCGTCAAGATGCTAGCAAAGCCGCTTCTTCGAACTGTCACGCCGCTCAAGTATGCTGTCCGGCCGTCGTTGCCGCCGAGTTCGGCCCGTTGGTTCACCGCAGGAAAGCTCCAGATCAACGCAGATCGAATGATGAAGACGCTTCACGACACATGTGAATGGGGCGCCGCTCATCGCTATGGCAGTGGACCTTTCGAGACCGGAATGGCACGTCTCACGCTCGACGAGAACGATGCAACCGTTCGACGATGGCTGACCGGCGAAGCCAAGAAGCTCGGTTGCTCGGTGACGGTCGATCAAATGGGCAACACGTTCATGATTCGCGAAGGCAAGCACTCGGGTCCACCCACTGCAATGGGCAGTCACCTCGATACGCAGCCGACCGGCGGAAGATATGACGGGATCTTAGGGATCATGGCTGGCCTCGAAGCTTTGCGCACCATGAACGACCACAACGTTCAAACCGAGTATCCGGTCGCACTGATCAATTGGACGAACGAAGAAGGCGCGAGGTATCCGCAATCGATCGTGGGCTCCGGTGTCTGGTGCGGCGATGTACAGCTCGAGAAAGCTTGGGCCCTTCAAGACGTCAAAGATTCCAGCTTGACAATGAAGAGCGAGCTCTCCAAGATCGGATTCTTGGGCGAGACAAAGTGTAGCCACACAGCAACGCCGCTAGCGGCCCATTTCGAGCTGCATATCGAACAAGGACCGATCCTGGAGGCGACCGGAAAGAAGGTCGGCATCGTGCAAGGTGGTCAGGCGTACAAGTGGTTCGATATCAATGTGAAGGGTAGGGAGTGTCATACGGGGTCTACGCCGTTTGATACCAGGTCGGATGCGATGCTGTGTGCAGCTAGGATCATCGTGGAGAGCAACAAGATTGCCAAGGAGCACAAAGGACTGGCCAGTACTGGCATCCTTCGTCTCTCACCTGGCAGCGTCAACACCTGTCCCGGTCACGTCTTCTTCACGCTCGACGTGCGTCATCCTTCCACCGACGCTCTCGCCGCTCTGTGCTCGGAGATCGAAGCAGCTGCACGTCGAATCGCCGCAGAAGACAGCGAAAAGGGCTGTGGGCTCGACTGGCTCGAAACGTTCCATAGCCCAGCAATCACCTTCCACCCCGACTGCATCGCCAGCGTCCGCAAAGCCGCCGAGGCCAACTATGGCGCCGAGCAGGGAATCGACATCTACAGCGGTGCGGGGCATGACACGTGTTCGACCAGCAAGGTGTGCCCTTCAAGCATGATCTTCATCACCAGCAAGGACGGCATCTCGCACAACCCGAGAGAATACTCAAGCCCGGAAGACTGGTAAGTGCATCCACCCCAAGTCATATAGAGGCGAACATCGACTGACACACATTCGGCCGTGGATTGCCGCCTTTGCCACACGTTGACAGCGCCATCGGTGCGCAGGTGTTGATGGACGCTGCGCTGTCGTACGATTCACAGCGCCAAGGCTGATACGCACCGAATCAATCACATGTGGGTCAAAGCCGGGCTGATGCGTTGCGTGAAAGTGGCGCGATGTGATTGAGATGTGCTTGGTGACGAGGCAACGTAGTTAGACCAAGGCGAGGCACTGTCCTGCACCGAAGTAGCTCCGAGGTGAGCCGGTCGCTGGCGTAGGTGCTATGCGGCGCTGCATCTCCGATCCAACCCACCGTGGGAATACGCGCCGTTGCTGCGCTCTTCAGCGCCGCCCGAGCTCGAGGCTGACGGCGCAAATCCGCTGCTGTCTTGCGCAGGCCTGCGGTGTTGGACGGTTGAACGAGTCTGTGCCATAGTCCACAACGCTTTGGTACAGTTGTCGTCGCACTCGCGTTGAGCAATGGCATTGTTCTGTCGGTACGCAGCTGTCAAATGCAAGCGCCACTCATGCAAACCGTACAAGTCAGCTCGAGTCCATTGTGACTGCGCAAAAGGGTCCTGCACCAAAGAATGGCTCTTGAGCCAAGGTTATAGTTTGCTGCGTGGTTTCCCACGAGCCGGGTTACAACAAGCGCAGGAATTCATCTGCAGACCAACATCCGTTGCTTGACAGAAGTGGTGCTGTTGCTTTGACAGCCCGACTGCCGCGTTTGCCGAGAATGGCGACTTTGTCAAGACCGCACAAATGTGATGGCTGTGACTGTGACTGGTAAGCAACACAGCGACAGGCCGTCACAGCCGCGTGCGTGTCTCGGCAAGGAAGGAGGGTCCAGCACAGTCGGAGTGCCAAAAGAGACTTTGGGTTGTGTTGCTTCTCGCGCCCGTCAAAAGCTTCCCCGCAGCGAGGCAACGGGTCAGTCTGCGCACGGGACCTAGCCTCGTTGAGAGTATAAAGCTCAGCATCTTCTTGCTTGGGAGAAGCTCCTCCTCGTGCTCGTGTCCGACATCTCCTCTCAACTGACTTTAAGCATAAAGCTCAACTGAGATCGCAGCTTGCTCTGCCCTGGAAGCTCTGCGCCCGTCTCCCTCCCCGAATCACATTGCTCCATCTAGATTTCGAATTGCCCAACTTCATTGGCCCGCCCATCATGGCCACTCCCTTCACAGACACCGGCGTCAAAGCCGACGACTTCAAGGAGTTCGACTATGTCGTCGTCGGCGGTGGCACTGCCGGCCTCGCCGTCGCTGCGAGACTGTCCGAGGACTCTTCCGTCACGGTCGGCGTCATCGAAGCTGGCCTGTGGCGCCCCGAGGACCCCAAGATCAACTACCCCGCCTTCATCGGCCAGTCGCTCATGAACCCCGACTACGACTGGTGCCTCGAGACCGAGCCGCAGCAATACTCGAACGGGCGCAAGTACACCTGGCCGCGTGGCAAGGTGCTCGGAGGCAGCAGTGCGCTCAACTTCCTCGTCTGGCAGCGCGGCTACAAGGGCGAGTACGACGACATTCGCAAGCTCGGCAACGAGGGCTGGTCGTGGGACGACTATGCCACCTTCTCGCGCAAGACAGCGACCCTCGACTATCCTTCCACCGAACTACAGAAGGCCAACCTGGCTACGTGCGACGAAGAGCTGCACGGCAAGGACGGTCCTATTCAGACGTCGTACAGCAAGTGGTACACGGAAGCGCAGAAGCCGTGGTTCGACGCACTCAAGAGCCTTGGCGTGTCCAACGTCTCGGATGGCCTCGGCGGCAGTAACACCGGATTCTGGGTCTCGCCCGTCACTGTCGACACCAAGACAAGCGTCCGTTCGTACTCGGCCAATGCCTACTTTGCTCCCAACGCTGACCGCAGCAATCTCAAAGTGATCACGGGTGCCCAAGCTTCCAAGATCATCTTTGCCGATGAGAAGTCAGGTAGCGGCGATCTCGTGGCTTCAGGTGTTGAGTTCACCGTCGACGGTCAGACCTACACGGTCAAAGCGCGCAAGGAGGTCGTCGTGAGTGGTGGCACGGTCAACAGCCCCCATCTCCTTGAGCTGTCCGGCATCGGCAAAGCGGACATCCTCAAGGCTGCCGGAGTCGAGCAGCGCCTCGAGCTCGACGTGGGCGAGAACGTCCAGGACCACATCTACTGCACCAGCTCGTTCAAGCTCAAGCCTGGCTACATCACGTGGGACAAGATGCGCCAGGATGACTTTGCCAAGGCCGCCATGGAGCAGTACCACGCTGAAGGAGAGGATCGCGGCATCATCGCCTCCGCCTTCTCCGGCTTCGCCTACGTGCCCCTCAAGCAGTACCTCTCCGCCGACGAAATTGCCAAGATCAAGGACGACGTGGCCGCTGTCGACTGGTCGAAGCACTCCAAGGGTGTGCAAGAGACGGTCAAAATGCAGCTTGCGCGCATCGAAGATGAGCAGTGCCCTTTCACGGAGTTCATCTTTGCTCCTGGCTTCTTCGCCACCGCCTCACCGCCCGCTGACGGCCAGGAGTACTACAGCATCCTCTCCTGTCTTCAGCAGCCCTTTTCGCGCGGTACCATCCACATTGCTAGCGCCGATGCCAAGCAGCCGCCCAAGATCAACGCCGACTACTTTAGCGTCGATGCGGACCTCGAGATCCTCTCCAAGGCGGTCAAGTACAGCGAGACGATCAGCACCACTTCCCCGCTCAAGGACATTACTGTCGCTCGCCAGGACCCGGATCCGGAAAAGTACAGCTCCGATGCAGACTTCAGGGAGTTTACCAAGGACCAGTCGGTGACGGAGTACCACCCTATCGGAAGCTGCTCCATGATGCCCAAGGAGAAGGGCGGTGTTGTCGATGCACGCTTGAAGGTGTATGGCACGGCCAACGTGAGAGTGGCGGACGCGAGTGTGATTCCGATCCATGTCAGCTCGCACATTGTGGCCACGGTGTACGCGATCGGGGAGAAGGCGGCTCATATGATCAAGGAGGATGCCGCCAAGAAGAACTAGATTCTGGCCTCAGTAGATAGAAGTGCTTCGTTTAATGTCATCCACTGCTCATGCTATTCCTCGACCGTGTTGAGCACTTGAATCTGGCGCTCGGACTTAGTCGGACTCAGTGCCTTCGTACCATCAAGGGGGATGACAGGCGGAGTGCATTACCGGAGTGCCCTCACCGTCATGCGAAGAACGTTTGACGCAAGGCGGTACCTGATGAGCTCGTTCTGCAGCAACACACTCGCCAAACCAGATCTCGGCGAACGCTCTCTCGGCGGTCATGCTCAGACGGCGACTGGGTGAGGATCGGCAATGCTTTGATACCGTAGAACTTTTTGGAAGGCGAGCAGCCCAAGTGGAGGCGCGAGCGGATATTTTTGGGTTCGTAGGCAGTAGAGCAGAGCCTGCCCCTGCGCCAAATGTGTGTAATAACGCAGCTCGAAGACCGCTAAGGTCCGTGCACTTTGTGCGTTCTTCGAGATCGGCCGCCGGAGACTGGCTGGACGTATATAAGTCGGGTGGTCGTTCCTCGCTGCGATACTTCCTAAGTTCACGTTCTTACACATCAAAACCGTAAGTCTTCTATCTCAACGATTCTAGCGTATCCTGCCAGTCATGCGACGTCGACTCTCAGCATCGTCAAGGTCTCTTGCTCCGAGTAGCAGGACCGCCGCGCCTTCTGCAGCATCCGCAGTACACTTGGGCCAACGAGCTGCGACCTCGGCAGCATCGACGACGACGGCGGTGGCAGGAGGCACCACGAGCAAAGCTTTGATGGGCGCACCTTCGGTCTCTGGATTTGACATGCTAAACACACCGCCCTTTGCTTCTGCTTCACCCCTTCTTTTCTCTCGATCAACGATGGTCAAACCGGACGCCTCTGCCACCGCAATCCATCCCCCTTCTGCCACACGCAGTCACATATCACACAGAACACTCGCAACCATGGCTGCCAACACGAACCAGGCTTGCTGCACTATCCCTCCCGTCAAGTCGGACTAGTGAGTATCGCTTCCTTGCATCAGTGCCTAGGCAACTCAGAACCTTTTGTAGCGTGCCTAGCTGCTGACACAAAATCACCGCTTCTGTCTAATACAGCTCCCCCAAGGGTTCTATGGAGAAGATCGGCGGTCTCGACACCTATGTCATCGGCCCCAAGGATGCCAAGAAGGCCATCGTTGTCGTCTACGACATCTTTGGCTTCCACAATGCCACCAAGCAGGGTGCTGATCTGCTCGCCGACTCGACCAAGGCTCGAGTGATCATGCCCGACTTTTTCCGCGGCAAGCCCTTCCCTCAGACCTCGTACCCTCCCGACACCGACGAAAAGAAGCAGGAGTTCCAGAACTTCTTTGGCAACGCCGGTGATTTCAAGGCACGCAAGCCCGAACTCGAAGCCATTGCTGACGAGCTGAAGAAGGATGGCGCATCCAAAGTTGGCCTCGTCGGCTTCTGCTGGGGTGGTAAGCTGTCCGTCCTCGCCGGCGGTGAAGGTACCAAGTTCACCTCGGTCGCTCAGGTCCACCCCGCCATGGTCGACGCTAAGGACGCCGAAGGCCTCACCGTGCCCATCGCCAACTTCCCCTCCAAGGACGAGCCCAAGGAAGACGTCGACGCCTTCGAGGCCGAGGTGCAGAAGAAACCGTTTGCAAAGGACAGCGTCTACAAACACTACCCGGACAGCCACCACGGTTGGGCCGCCGCTAGGGCTGATCTGAGCGACAAGGGAAACCTTGAGAACTTCCAGGACGTCTACCAGCGTCTGTCGGACTTCTTCAACAAAACCCTTGCTTGAACAACGGAAGGAAGTGGAAGCGTTGAAATATCATAGTTCATTCCGTACTCTGATGTTGGCCTGATGGAGTTGTCTGCTTAGATTCAATTGAGCGGCGTATGACGGTCCCCTTGATCTGTAGTTGTGGTATGGGCATGAGAGGTGGTGCTACTTCGGCTCAACTCGGTGCACAGATGTACTTCTTGATGATCATATCACCGAACCACCTGTTGCGAGCCGGGATGAGCCAGCACAGCACGACTCACGCACACGGCGTCCAAGCAACACTCCCACCTCGGTATGAAGTCGAGGAAAAGGTGGGAAGCTCGAGCGCTGCGTTGCTGCTTTGATGTCAACCGTGTTGGGGCCCACTTGTGTTTGAGATGAGGGCCAACAAAAAGCCACAAGTGTCTGTTGCATCCTTCAGCTGCGACTGGACCCACTCACTATGGGGCTGTGTGCTTCGTCCTGCATAAAGCTATGCTTCGGTCCTTTTTGTTCTTGGTCACGCTGTTCCGCCATCCGTTGTTTCTTGACTGCGAGTCCTGAGCTTCCTCTCCACCCTACCATTAAGGCAAGAAGACTGCGATCGGAATCGACGTCAAGATGGGCATGCAGGACGCAGCCAGGCCATCTTGCAAAGAGATCCTGGCTACTGAGCGGAAGCAGCATGGTGCATACGATCCTGTGCGTCTGGCAAAGCTCTTGCCGCCTCAGCTGCGCTTGCAGAGGCGCTGTCAGAAGTCCGATCAAATGCACACCGCACCTGCCTCGCACCGCCGATTACTCTTCTGGAAGCGATACGACGAAGATCCTTCGTCGCCGGCGAATGCAGCCGACCCTCCACCTCGGTCGTTCAACCTGCCACCTGCTCCAGCCGTTTCTGGAGCCGTACCATCACTTCCCCCTACTTCTGCGGACGACGATGATTCTGCCACTTCCGTGCCTTCGAGCGTGCCGCAGATCAACTATGGGGATGCGACACCTGCGCCTGCACCTTCGCCTTCCGACACGGGTCCAACGCATAACGACACAGCTTCGACTCAGCCCTCGTACAGGGGCTTGAACCAGACAGATAGGTCGGCCGGCAGCGGCGCCGCTTCTGACTTTGACGGCAGTGATACGACGCATAGCACGGCTGGGGTGATTGCTGGCGTCGTGGTCTCGGCGGTTGTCCTTTTGGCTCTTGCGTGCCTTGTCCAGCGATACAGGCGGGGCTTTTCGAGCTTCTTTTGGCGAGGTTCACGGCTGAAGGGGCAGAGGAAGCGGCAAAGGCTGGGCTCAAGCGACAAGGAACCCGCAAACTCTATCTCAAGTCCTGAACAGAAGCCGTTTGGCGATGGATTCCCTTACGTGTCACCATCCCGAGCCGGGGCATCCCCCATGCTTTCCCACCAAGTTGATGAGACGACACCGTCCAGCGAGGAGAGCAGCGGCCAGGCAGCTACGAACAGCCTCCTCTCGGTACCACATGTACCTCAACTATCACACCAACCTTCGCTGGATTCGATCGCCGAGGTGCGAGAGCCTGCCTCCGGCACATCATCCCACTTTCGCCTCTCCCAGCCCAAACGGGACAGTCTCACGACACCAAAACGACTCACGTGGGGCGGTCGTCCACATCATCCCTCGCGCACCTCCTTGACCTCGTGTCCATCCGCATGGTCCTCACCGGACAGTCACAAGATCACCTCCAAGCTCTCGCCCACCCGCCCGTCGAGCGCGGGAATCGAGATGACGCGTCAAGGTTCGCAACTCGTCATTCGCCCCAAAGCCAGCTCGAGCTCGCTGCGGCTGAGTGCGCGCAAGCCACGTGACGACACCATCTGCATCGAAACCGACGGCATTGTCGAGATGCAGGAGCTGAGGTCCAAGTTCAGTCACAGCAGTTTGAAGACGCAGCGCGAGTCGAATGTCACGGCAGTGTCGCCCGCAGGAAGCTTCAGTTTTGAGATTCGGGACGCGATACGGTTGGGCGCGCCGCTCACGTTGGGCGGAACAATATTGGCGCGAGCAAATGGGGAGAAGCTACACGAGGCGAAGGAGGCGGATAGTAGCACACAGACCAGAGTGGCCGACGACGAGCCGACTTTTGTGAGGGATCTAGATTGGGATGTTAGCGAGTGCTCGTTTGCTGACCGGCCCAATTGGACAGGTCCACGGCTGTCGAGTGTCAAGGCAGAGGACCCGACTGGCAGGAAGGACCAGGAGTAGGCTCCATGGAGATGCAATCACGTCTGTCTGGGCTACCACCCTAATGCCATGTCTCACATGACCCTTCTACTGCCAACAGGGTCCAGCTTGCCAACATGTGCGCCGACGTTGTCAGTGCCAACACGACAGGTGGTGACAAGCAGCCTGGTGGTGACCAAAGGTAGCGGGGTTACCGCTGATAGGCCTGAGCGACGACCACCTGCGTCTGCGGCCCAAATTTCGACGTTTCACGAGCGAATTTCGAGGCGGCAACTGGTCACAATTCAAAATGCATGCATCTGTTTGTATGTGGGTCGAGAGCAATTGTATTTACATAGATCCAAATTCTAATCTTCCCACCCATTTGACCAGGCACGCAGCTGGGACCTTGTTTCGTCACTCGCGCTCGCTTGAAGAGCTGACCCGTTTGGCAGTGACCATCATCTATCGACGTTGTTGACAGGAGCAAGAGAGATAGCATCCTGCAGCGACCTTCTTGGGACAAGCTTTGATCCCGTTTCGACGGTATACGACAAGGCCCAAGCTCGGCCATATGACAGCAGCAGTTGTTGACTCAGTTACGGACGGGCGTTGAGCTGATGTGGTAACCGTGCCTCTCCGCGCGCGCGTTTCGGTTCGGATTGGCTTCTCCGCATTCACACATCTTACGAGGATCTTCTCCCGCTACGCCACAGTGTGACGGCAGCAATTTCGGAAAATTTCAAGTACCGCTCAGCCAAGTGCGAGTGCGATTGACGCTCTTCCGTAGCCGACAAGCCAAGACGCATCATTGGATTGTTTGCTTCCTCAGCCGGCCCCGCTTGTACGACCTGCTGCTAGCCGGTGTGCATGGATGGACAGCGACGCAGCGGCTACTCTCTCTCACATGCACACACGCCAAAGTCCGTCACCGTAGCCGCACTCGTTCGTCACATTTCACGCTTTCGCCCCCGCTTTGTGTCCCCGCTTCTGCTTTGCCAATCACAGCTGCTTCCCCATATATCATTTGCTTCGTGCCACTTCCTTGTTCACCACCAACCACCCCACCTTTCCGTCCCCCCATCCATCCTTCACTAGATCGATCAACATGGGCTCCATCAACTATGACGACTCGGATGTGCTCGACGTGCTCATCGTCGGTGCCGGTATCTCGGGTATCAACGCCGCCTACCGTCTCCACGACGAGCTTCCCGACAAGAAGTACTTGATTCTCGAGAACCGAGAGCAGCTCGGTGGCACCTGGGATCTCTTCAAGTACCCCGGTATTCGATCCGACTCGGACCTTCACACTTTCGGTTACGCCTTCAAGGAGTGGACCGGTGCCGACATTGCTGGCGGTGCCGAGATCCTCGCCTACCTCAAGAAGGTCGCCGAGGACAACGGAATTGCTGAGAGGATCCGATACAAGTCCAAGGTCGAGGCAGCTGACTGGTCCACCGAGGAGCGATGCTGGTTCGTCACCGTCAACCAGGATGGCGAGCAGAAGAACTACCGCGCCCGCTTCCTCTACACCTGCACCGGCTACTACGACTACAACAAGGTCCTCCACGCAGAGATCCCTGGTATCAAGAACTTCAAGGGCAAGGTCGTCCACCCGCAGTTCTGGGACCTCAAGGAGGACGACTACCGCGGCAAGCGTGTAGCCGTCATTGGCTCCGGTGCCACTGCCATCACCCTAATCCCCTCCATGGCCAACGTCACCAAGGACATCACCCTCGTCCAGCGTTCGCCTACCTACATTCTCTCGCTCGAAAAGTACGACCCCATCGCCAAAGTCATCCGCGCCATCTTGCCAAAGAGGATGGCCGCGTTTGTCATTCGCCAGAAGAACATCGCGCGCATCTACGCCTCGTTCCACATCTTCCGTACCTTCCCCGGTGTCGCCAAGGCAATCCTTGGCCGTCTCACCAAGAGCCAGCTTCCTAGCGATATCCCGCTCGACCCCCACTTCAAGCCCAACTACAACCCATGGGACCAGCGTCTGTGCATCTGCCCCGACGGTGACTTCTACACGACGCTGCGCGAGGGCAAGGCGCACATTGCCACTGGTCACATCGACCAGGTGACGAGCAACGAGATCATCCTCAAGAACGGCGAGCGCATCCCATGCGACATCATCGTCACTGCTACCGGTCTCAAGCTCTCGGTTGGTGGTCACATCAAGACGACCGTTGACAAGAAGACCGTCGACCCCAGCGAGCGCTTCGTTTGGAAGGGAAGCATGATCGAGGGCCTGCCCAACTACGCCCTCTCGATCGGCTACACCAACGCCTCGTGGACCCTGGGCTCGGACTGCACCGCCCAGTACGTGGTGCGTCTGATCAAGCACATGGACAAGTACCACAAGAGCTCGGTCGTGCCCAAGCCCTCCAACCGAGACCAGCTCACCCAGCGTCCTTTGCTGGATCTTAACTCGACCTACGTCAAGAAGGCCGAGAAGGACCTGCCCAAGGCCGCCACCTCGGGTCCCTGGAGGATGCGCACCAACTACTGGTACGACCTCGTTCAAGCCAAGTACGGTGGCTACGATGATCTTGTTTTCGCCTAGATGCGTCAGATAGTATACACGCTCGCTTCATATCTTTGCACTCGTTTTGTTGTTCCCTTGGCTTAATGTAGATCTGATACCAGGGTTCTCCGCTTATGTGCAGCGTGTTGAGACGATTTCAGTGTGCCAGACACGTCTTGGGCGCCTTTTTCACCGAAGTGCAGGGCTTACTGTTGAGGCGCATCAGAATGCTCATCTGGCCGCCTGTCAGTCGACACGCCCGTCTCTGGCACTCGATGCGATGCTATCCTTTCCATACACTTGCCACTTGCTCTCGCCGACCTTCGATCCTCTCATGCAACACCCAGCTCGTCCTGTCAACGAGGAACGGTGGTCCGACGATGCTCACTGATTGCCGCATCGACACACTCATCTCGCAGCCTCGCAAACGGCATCACATCCAAACTGTATCACGAAGAGTGATCCTTGCATTGCGATGCTCTACTTCCTCTCCCAGACCTTCCGCCCGGCCACCCAGGTCTGCTTGACCTCCCCGGTGACCCGATCCAGCACGACGAGATCGGCATCGCCCCCCGCCCTCAAGAACCCCTTCGTCCGCTCCAGCCCGAGCATCTTTGCCGCGTTCCCGCTCGCGCACAGTGCCGCGGTGTGCAACGGCACGCTCGCGTACCGGGCCAGATTCGTGACGCAGTCGCTGATGGGAACCACGCTCCCTGCGAGCGTGTCTGTCCCTTCAAGCGTAACCTTGTTACCGAGCTTTGTAACGTTCTGACCCTCACGCCAGGGGTAGACGCCGTCGGGTTTGGTGGGGTCCATCCAAGGCATTGCGTCGCTGACCAGCACACAGCCGTTTGGGTGGGCGCTGTACGCCATTCGAACGGAACACGGGTGCGAATGGAACCCGTCTGCGATGAGACCGTAGTACGGTCTTCCCTTTCGGCTCTCGTCGGTGTGAGTGGGAGCGGTAGACTTGGCGACGGGAAGGGGTTGATCGAGATCGCTATCGCCGAGCAGACCGATCACACCTGGATCGCGATGGTTGAATGACCCCATGGCGTTGAAGAGGTGGGTGATGAATCGTGCTCCTGCCTGGTTGGCCGCTTGAGCCGTGTCGATCCCGGATGCCGTGTGACCGATGGAGACCGTCACCCCGCGCTTGACCAGCTCGGGAATGGCTGGCAGGATCCCCTCGACCTCGGGGGCCAGGGTGAGCAACTTCACTGCCGGGTTTGGCATATCCAGTCCATCCACTCCCGCGCCGTACACCTCCTCCAGCGTCCGCACGCCCTCCGGTGCGTCCCGAATGAGACTCGAGCAATGTGCGCCCTTCTTATGCGGCGACAAAAAGGGTCCTTCGCAATGCCACCCTAAACTGCTCGCCTGCCCTGCCCGGCTTCTTGGCGCCAACAACGGCAGGATCTCCCGATACCGTTCTGCATTCTGCGTGATGATCGTCGGTACAAAGGACGTTACGCCCGTCTCGAGGATTCTCTGCGCAAACAGATCCAACGCATCGAGGTAGGTTTTCGCATCGCCGTCGTATTCCGAGAAATCGACGCCGTAACCGCCGTTGATCTGAACATCGATGAAGCCGGGAACGAGATAGTCCCCACCGAGGTCGATGGTGGAGGTGAAAGCGAGGGAGGAGGAGAAGAAGGCGGATTGACCATCGACGATCTTGCCTGCGGCTGGGTCGACGTGGAGCGAGTAGGTGGTGGGGTCGGATGGAAGCGAGCCGTCCGGTCGCAGCGCGAGACAGTTGGTGAACCGCAGCAGGCCTTCGCTGGCCGAGGAGGTGGTTGAGGTCGGCATCGTCGTAGGCTTCCTCTCTTGTGGGATGGTGGTGGTAGTGGTCGTCGTCGTCTCGTTTCAGTCTGTTCCAAAGATGCAATGAGTTTTATTCAAAAGACCTTCTCCCAGGTTGCCGTGGTTGCCGTGCGAAGTCCTTGACCCAAAAAAGCAGCCGGTCCCGCCGTCCCTTTGGGCATGGTGGAGGCGTTCGAGGGTCCGGCGAGAAGAGCGAAACGTGTGAGCGCCACTCTACACAGGTGGGGACCGTGGTCGGCTATACTTTGCAAGGCCTCGGTCGATTCGCGCCGAGCAGGCCATCGGTGGGCTCGGACCGACGCGCCTTCCCCGCTCCTCAGGGGAAAAAAATCCGCGCGGAATTGGACACCTTTGCCTTTGGGTTGCTATCTGACGGCCTGGCTGGTAAAGCGACCTTGCCCGGACAACTTGATTCTGTCATCGGATGCTGCCTGTAGGAGGATATACAATGGAGCGCGATCTCAAGCTCGTCCTGCGAGTAGGAGGGGACGAAGGCGACTGCTGAATGCCAGCCCTTTCGATCGCAGGCGCAACTGTGATGACGGGCAACGCCAGAAACGTGCCCAGCTCCCAAGAAGGGTGGATGCGTTAGCTTGGGATGCCGGCGTGGCGCCGAGTGATGCCGTCCATCCTTTCGTAACATCAAAATTTGACGCCTGCGATAAGCTGTCCCCCCCCGTTCCCTTGGCTGCAGGTTGTGAAACGTGACAGGCTTGGACGTGCGCTACGCCGAATGAGTGAGACTTTGAGCTTCTGCTTCCAACGCTATCAGCAGCATACACTTCGATCCTCGTCGGTACCACCATACGCAGCTCCATCCTCTCCATCTACGCTATCAGCATCGCCACCACAGCACACAAGGGAACCAGCAGCAATGTTGGCCTCATCATCAACGATCTCGCGCCTGGACGCGCCACACACGAAACACACAGCGCTCCTTCTCCGTGGAACGCGCGATGGCGATCTAGCCGCAACCCTTTCATCCACCTCTTCCTCGTCCGCCACACCACGCGCCGAGAGAAAAGCGCTCTTCACCTGGTCCGATCTGCTCGACATCGTTAGCAGCGGCAACCTCCAGAGTCTCTCACGCCACCCCGATGATTTGGCAGAATACTTTGCCTGGATGGACAGTGTCAAGTCCTCCTACGGGAGCGTCACGTCTTTTCTGCTGAGGGAACGATTTACTGCGACGAAACTGCTCGAAGTCGCATCCTCTTCAAAGGCTTCGCACGGCTCAATAGCCTCGAGTGAGGACGAGGTGCGATTTAGAAGCGCCTTCAAGGTGGGCATCGAGTGTCAGATCCTTACCAACGACTGGCCGTACAGCGTGCCCTCGACCGTGTCGCATCAGGTGGTGTGGAGCTACCGACCGATCCTCCACTCGTCTCTCGTCGCTGATTCGCCACTAGCGAGCCAGGCTTGGAGTATCATCGCGAAGCGCGGGCTGTGCGGCACCCTCACCTCCACCGGGCTCACCATCCCCAGTCTCGATCAGCACGCGGCACATCTACCCGAACTCAAACTCGCAACACTGTCGCAAATAGAGACGGAGCAGCTGGAAAGAGCGTTAAGAACGGCGTGTAGGGATCTCACCGAGTTCATTGCGCATCACTGGGATCTGAGGAGAAACGAGGTGGCCTTCTTTGCCAACCCTCCGAGTCTGCAGAGCGTGCCGAGTCTCGCCCACTTTCATGTTCTGGTGAGGCCGATCGCTTAGCGTGATACGTAGCATCTGGCCCCCGTTCAACGATCCTGTAGCATACTAGAAGCAATTCCATCTCGCAACGTTTCGGCATTCATCCAGTCCGTGTCAGTACGCATGCGCATACCGGCGGGAAAGCCGTTCCCGACCCCCTTTGCCGTGCTGGTGAGACCGAGTAGACAGAAACGAGCCGGAGAGATTCCGGAGAGCCCAGGATCATTTGGCAAGCTTAGCCTACCAGCAGCGACGTACCACTGTGGCCTCATGCTCCATCTGCGAAGCGTGGTGGATAGACACCTCGCAACGTCTCACCCTGAAGTTCTTTTCAGCTTGTGCACCTTCTGGGGAACCCATTCGAAGGCATGCCGCCTTCTCGTTTCATCACCTTTGTGAAGCACCGTCTGCGAAGCCCAAAATCAACCCGTTCACACCATACAGCGTCTCACCGCACAACCGCCGCCTCAAACCACGAAGCATCGCCACACGAACACACACGGCGCATCCGGTTTGACAAAAAGTCCATTTCTTCCCTCAAAATCACTTCTTGACCTCGCCCAAGAAGCGCAATGCGAGGTACTCAACCGCCTCGTGTGCGGGGCTCTTGGTCACATGCACCCTCTTAAATGCTTCCCTTCCGCTTTCCTTCTTCCACATGTCGACCAACAGATCGAGGAACTTGCTGTTGCTCCACAGCCCACCTCCTAGCACGAGGGTACTACTTTCGGGCCTGATCCTGTCTGCCGGGCAGCAGAGTTTCGAAATGCTATCCATGCACTCCCTCACGGCCTGTTGGAGCAATTGCACCGCCAACTCGGCGCCCGACCTGCCCTGGTGGGCAAACGCATACTCGAACACCACCCGTGTCGTCTCGGCCAGCCAGCGTTTGCGTGCGTCTTCGGCGTGGAAGAAGTTGCCTCCCGTCGCACAGACGCGGTCGCGATACGCGGCGGGGATCAGCTCGATCGGCGTCTCCACATCGAGCGCCTTCATGATGGCCGTCTCGAAATCGGTGACGGGCAGGGGGTGGAACTGACGCTCCTCTTCGCGAGTGAGCATGAGCTGGATGGTGGAGAGACCTATTGACCAACCACTGCCGCGGTCGCCCAGGAGGTAGCCCCAACCGCCGGTTTTGGAGACGGTGGTGAGACCGGGTAGGTCTTCGTTCTCCCCCGCGGCCGTGGTGCGGGCTGAAGTGGTGCGTTGGAAGGCAAAGCCTGCACTGCCAGTGCCGGCGATGAGGCAGACACACGATTGGGTGGAGGCATCGCGAAGCATAGGTGCAGAGAGGAGGACCGCATCGTTGGTGATCCAGATGGGCGTTGAGTCGTCGATCAGGTGGTAATCCTGCAGCAGCGACGAGAGCTGCTGACGATAAGTGCCGATGACTGCTGACGAGGAAAGACCGGCGGATCCGATCCACAACGCTCGTACACGGGGTCGACGAACACCCGTTTGACTGGGTGAAGGCCTTGGTGGCCGAGAAATGGGATCTTGATCGCCGTCTGCTGACGAAGAGTCGTTGTCGGACAGAGAGAGAGGTGGGGTGGTGATGCCTTCAACTTGACCTGCTTCGATGAGGTCGAAGAAGGTGCCGAAGCCGGCTGATATCAATGCGTCGCGGACGGCTCGTAGGATGACATGGCTGGCTGCTTCGAGGCCGAGCGTCGCACAGTTGCCGCAACCTGCTTGACCCGTGAAGGTCTCCTTGGAGTCGACGGACGCAGCGACGGCGAGCGTTTTTGTTCCTCCTGCATCAACGCAGAGGACGACGTCGCCAGCCTGCGCTGGCTCCAGTGGTGATGATGATGGACCTGCGTCCATGGTCGCTAGAAGCTGTGTGAGATGCTGATGGAGCAAGCGTGGCGATGATGACAGAAGGTTGTATGCTGGGATGCTGCTAAAGGACGAAGCAAGAGACAACAGAGATGATGCGTATGCGAGACTAAATTGAGGATCGGTAGTATATGAAGCGAAGGCGTCAACAGATCATGAGAGCGGGGCAAGGGCGGAGGCTGCGAGGTCGTGATGGTCGGTAGATATGATGCGTCGATCTGAGGGGTTCGCGTGGGAAAGGTCGATTGTTGGTAGGGAGAACGAAAGACCGCACCGAGCGATGCGTTGCAATATGGTGCAGAGGATCGACAGGGTGAGACGCCAGCCTAGTAGTCGACTGCGGTCCGGAGGGCGAGGGCCGATCTAGGCAGAGGAGGGCAAGCCGAGAGCACCAAGATGGAGAGGCGGTGGTAAGGCACGCCGGCGAAATGGAAGCAACAGCGATAGGCGACGCCGGAAGCGACGAACGGGTTGGGTGAGGACGTGTTCGAACAATCAGGCCTGCCAAGGGCCGAGCGTTGTGGGTGACGATAGATGGTTGAAGGGGAGGGAGGCAGAGAGAGAAAGTGTGTGTAGTGTGAGCGTGTGTATGTGCTTGGGGGCTTGGGTGGCTGCTGCTGCTCCAGTGACGCCGCTCCGTGTTCGATTGGGCTTCTCCGCTCTTGCATGTCGCCGGCCTAGCTGACTGAGTGAGCGATTGAGCGAGTGTGCCTGGCTGCCTGGCTGGCTGCCTGACACGCAAGGAACTCAGAAATTGAATTTAAATTTGTGCATCGGCGGCCGGAGCGACCGAGATGAAAATTACTCGCGTCCTGCAGCCAACAACGCCCGGCAAGCGTGGTCCGTAGAAACAAGGCCCCGCTTGCTGACCGCATCATCGCCATGTTGCGAGTCCAGCCTTGATTCGTCGCCTTTCCTCCATTCATCTTCGTACTCGAGTCCACAGTTTCTCGAATGGAGGTCAGTTAGCATTTGAGCGGGTCCCAGCCGGAGCAAGGCGATCCAGGTACGATGTGCTCGGCTGCTTCTCGGTCCAACCTTGCGGGGCACGGCGAATTCTTTCGGATGGCGTGCCGTCCCGCTTTGACAAGATCACACTTTGGTACCCACGCTCAGGGTCGGACCGTCCGACCCATGACCCTTTGCTCAGTGCAAAGCCGCCTCTTGGCAGCGATGTAAGCGAGAGAATAGGCTCAGGCTTCGGATCAGGCACCCGGTGCAGAAAACGGCACAGCAGATAGCACAATTTGTATTCTCGCTGTTTTCGGCGGATGTTCCTTTTTGGACCTGCGTCGCACCGGCCAACTTTGATTCAGCTCGGTCCGATCGCCGCCGACCCCCACCGAGCTTTTTATCGCTGGCTTGTCCAGCTGTGCTTTTGTCACCCGCTCCACGCTGCGATCTGATTGCTGCCTCGTGGCCCGTCCGCTCATGCTGGCTCGGTCAGTAAGCCGGTGGGGCCATGGTGGCTTGATGACACCGGCGGGCATTTTGTTGGTCAACGTGGCGCCGAGACCCGTACTCCAACTCGATAGGGTTCGAGCCTGGTCAGCTGGACCCCAATGTATATAGTGTTTGGCAGAGCTGGGACTGGTCTCGTTGCGACTACCTTCTTGCTTCTCACGACTACCTTGAACACCATCCGCAAATCTACACCTCGACATCGTTCAAAATGCGCTACATCATCCGCGATGACAAGGCTGCCGTTGGCAAATACGTAAGTACCATTTTGGCCCACTTCTTCCGTATACGTCGAGCGAGATCCCTAACTCTCCTCTTCACACTCTCTATCTATGCTCCTGCAGGTCGCCGAGTACGTAGCCAAGCGAATCAATGCGCACTTTGCGCACACCGACCAGCCCTTTGTTCTCGGCTGTCCTACCGGTTCCTCGCCGCTCGAGACCTACAAGCAGCTGATTGCGATCCACCGCGAGGGCCGAATCAGCTTCAAGAACGTCATCACCTTCAACATGGACGAGTACGTCTCGCTGCCCACCTCGCACCCCGAGTCGTACCACTCGTTTATGTGGAACAACTTTTTCAGCCACATCGACATTCAGCCGCAGAACGTACACATCTTGAACGGCAACGCGCAGGATCTGGTGGGCGAGTGCGAGGAGTACGAGCGCAAGATCCAGGCTGTGGGCGGCATCGATCTGTTCATGGCGGGTGTGGGGAGTGATGGACACATTGCGTTTAACGAACCAGGCAGCTCGCTGGCTAGCAGGACCAGGATCAAGACGCTCGCATACGATACCGTGTTGGACAACTCGAGGTTCTTCGACAACGACCCGTTGAAGGTGCCCCGCATGGCGCTGACGGTGGGAGTGCAGACCGTCATGGACGCCAGGGAGATTCTGGTGATTATTGTTGGTCAGCACAAGGCACATGCGTTGGCAAAGTGCGTAGAGGAGGGCGTCAACCACATGAACACCGTTTCGTGCATCCAGCTGCACCCCAACTCGCTGCTGGTCTCGGACGAGGAGGCGACCAGCGAGCTGCGCGTCCGCACCGTGCGCTACTTCAAGGGTATTGAGCGCGCCCAGGAGGATATCGAGAAGCTCTACGGTCTGCACGGCCACAAGAAGACCCCTTCCGGTAGCGGCGTGCCCCTCGTCAACGGCCTCAGCGGATCGCACTAGACGCGTCTCTCTTCTTTGTACATACTCATACCACTTAGCGATTCCTCGGTATCATCTTACTTGTCACGACCTTGCACTGTCTAGTGAAAGTGGCCTCGGAATTGTATTCGCTACCTACACAGTCGCCTGCACACTCGCCAGCAGATCCGTGACAGCCAGAGCAGCCTCCATAGCCGGATGCCTCATCACCTCGCACACGGGCTCCGAGTCACCCTGGCCCGGCAAAGTGATCTGTGTATCGCATGCGGCTAGGTCGGTCAGATACTGCTGCATGAACCTCCCTACCGTGTGCACAATGTCGTCCGACTGCCCTTGAACGAGCAGACCGAGTCGATGATGCAAACTGTCGATCCTGCACAGCTCCAGTAGAAAGACGGCACAGCGGGCGATCCAAAAAAGATAGATCGAAGGCAGCGCTGCCAGACTTCCGACAAAACCTGCGTTCGGGTTGAGCAAGAGTTGCAAGCTGTCCAGGCATGCGGTTTGACAAGCCTGAGAGCGCGAGACGTAAGCGGCTGTCGTCATTCCGACGTCGTCTTGCGCTGTCATGGCTGCCGATCTTTCTTCGTAGATTCGGCATGCTCGAGACAGGACATGCGCTTTAGCGAGGGTGTAGTGCAGATCCAGCGTGTGATCGTACGTATCTCGTCTGTCTGGATTCGTCGCCAGAAGCGCCCGCGTTGTGCACCAGCTGGCAGTGAGGTCGCGCGTCATTTGAACCAGCTCTTCGGGATTGCGACACTCCAGCCTAGCTCGAGCGATCAAGAACGCCACTCGAGCATAGAATACCAGCACAGCGTCCTGCTTGGTCATCGAGCCAGAGCTGCTCTCCGCCATCAGAGCCTGACTATACTGAGCTGGATCGACAACCTGCATGATTGGCACTTTGTCGTGAATCTCGCACTGGTGCAATTCGGCAAGAAAGGCGGTCAGCCACACTCTGACCCGGTCGTGGATCGAGACGTGTCGAACAGGTGGAAGGATGGCGACCATCTCTCCGACCGTCAAGCCAGCATGCGGACCCGTCTCGTAGCTGTACTTTTCGCTCCACCATCGAGCAGCACGTGCTACTTTCCAGGCGTCTTCCGAGCCATCGTAGGCACTCCAGATGCACGCACCGACGACTTCTTCGGTGCCGATGCCGCTTTCTGGGTTGAAGTCGTCTTCTGCGGTCGTCGGGGCGTAGGGTAGGGTGCGGTCGAGGATGTCGGCTCGCAGCTGCAGCTGACGGGCACGAAGGTCGGAAGAGGGAGAGTGAAGGGAGGCAACGCATGCGATGGCCGAAAGGATGACGGGAGTCAGCTCGGCAGACGCAGGAAAGTCGGGCAAGCCAAATCCGAATGGCTCGATGGTCTTGGCATAGAGACTCAAGAGACATCGGGCTTCGTGCATGGACAGTAGTCCCAAGCGTATGGCATCCAGACGTGGATCGTTGCTACCGAGACTTGGATCTGGGAAGCGATACTGGCTTGGGCGTGCAAGCAGGGGCGCTTTTGGAGGCGCTAGACGATTCAGACCGTCGCTTCTAAAAGGACGGATTGGAGATGGCAGCGAGCAATGAATGCTCAGTAGCGCTTGGTCACGCGTGCTTGGCTCCGGCGCAACATGGGCTGCCGCGTTGTTTGCCAGATCGATTGCTGGCGTGGCCAGCCCTATGAGATGATGGCTTCCCTCGACAGCGGAAACGCGCCTTTCACTTCTGTCAACGTGGGGCACAGGGTATCTCGTAGTATCCTGTGATAGCGGACCGAGCCGAGCCGGCCTCCGCGATCCCGTCAACTGAGCTGGACTGCTGGAACATGCGTGGCTCGAGGAAGTGGGACGGCCGTTCGTGACAGAAGTGGGACCCCGAATTGGAGACGCTGTCAGGATCGATGGACCAGCGTAAGGCGTCTGGCTACTTGGAGTCACCTCTTCCCAATTTTCGGCTGCCATTCGTCTTCGCTTTGATGGGGAGGCCAAGTTCTCTTGCTGAACGAGCGCGTCGATGGCTGAGACGAGCCTGGTAAGCGTCTCGTCGGTCTTTGCACGCCACTCGTCGTCACGAAAGGCGCTACCGAGCTCCTTTGGCTTGAAAACACATTCGTAACCGCCGTTCTTGCAGCGCTTGCAAGGAGCCAAGCCATCGTGATCGCACTTGACCTTGGAGCGACGGCAGCTGGAGCATGCCCCTGCGAGCTTGTTCGAAGCACCGCTGCTGGCCTCGGGCGAGTGATGGCGTCGGGAGGAGGTGGGTTGAGGAGCGCTCGAGCTAGAAGCAGCTGAAGAAGCCGATATTGTTCGCCGTTGGATGCTCTGGGAATCGCTCGTCATCTTTGACGTTTCGGAGCGGAGCTTGATAGATGAGTTTGTTGGTGGAAGCCGGCTGGTCTAGATTCAAGAGATGACGCCCCTTATACGATCGAGCGACTTGGGCGCCCTTCCAAACAGGAGGCTATGCGAGCTAGCAGCTACTTTCGGCTACTTGCGTAGTCGCTCTCTGGTCCGAAGCTTAGGAGTGTTGATCATCGGCTCCAGGCGACGTCCGAGCAGGCAGATTTCCTTCTCGAAGGCGAGGCTGAGTCTGATATGGTGGTCGGGAGTCAGCAACCTAAGTCATACGCCTGAGGCTGACTTTGCTTGACTCGGATGTGTGGCCGAGCTGGGCTTTGTTTTTCAGAAGCTTCACATCGAGTCTACACTGCTGATTGTGGGTTGAAACAGTGGTGCCGAAGCCAGTTCATGTGGGAGTGGTGATACAACAGCAAGCTGAGTCTCACGGCTTGGCCATGACAAGCATCGGCGAATTCGCCGAATCCGACTGCACCCCTGCGCAAAATATCTTAAGCTGTTACGTCGACGCAGCCTTCGGGTATCACTTTTTGCGGCCGGCGATTTGCGACAAGACTGAGCTTGTTGGTCTCGATGCTGTCTGTACCTCAGGCACCGAGCATCCGGAGCAGCTTGGCTTCGAGCACACAAAAGCTAACTTAGCACTCAAAACTCCCAGCGCTTCGTCTGTATGATCAGGAGACGGCCGACAGTATCAGACGAGGCAGCAGCCGTTGCCTTCTGCAGACCGGATGGGCTGAGCGGCAAACTCACGTTCTGTCTAGCACTGGAAGGTGGTAGCATCCCGTCGAATCTCTCTGCTCCGACTCATCTTGTGGGTCCGTCACAGAGTCAACACTGCCTCGCCTCAGTTGTGTGATGAAGATGTCACAAACAAGACCGTTTCACAAGTGCATCAGAGTGCTGCTGTCAACGAACCTCGTGCGGCATTCTCTGTTTGCCACCAGCGCGGGGTGTTGGTGTGATTTTAGCGCGTGAGAGTGGTTCTGCTGCGTCTTCTGCCTCCCAAAAAAGCATCAAAAAAAAAACAGCTTGTGCACGGCGGAAAACAAATTTCTCCGCTCTCGATGAGACCCTGCATGACGGCTCCATGGTGCGCTTGTGCGTCGGTGCCTGCCCCCCGCTGCTGGAAGTCACACAGAACGCGTGGCTCAGTTTGGTCTTTGCCCCTGCAGATCATTCACGCTCATCCACCGACGTAGTGGAGGAGGAGGAAGAGGGTCTTCTTTCCTCGTTGATCAAGAGGTTTGTCGATTCGGCCATCCTTCTTCCTCTCCTCCCATCATCATCTCCTTCGTCTTTCGATCTTACTCTCGAGAGATCAAGATGAGTGGCCTTCCTCCCGGATCTTTCGTGCAAGGTGGCGATCCACCCAGCTACACCAATTCCACTTCTACCGACGCAGCTCCCGTGCCGCCTCCAATCTCGACCACCGCGCCTGTCTCCGCTCAGGCGCTGTCCCCTACGCCCTTGTCTCCTGAAGAAGCCAAGGAGGTCGAAGAAGAGCTCGAGGAAGCGCAGAGTCTCAGCGAGGCCGCGCTTTCCATCCCCGACTCCGAGGCAGCTGACAACGACGCCGTCTCCCTCTACCAGCCCGCCAACGAAGCTGTCCCAGGCGATGCAGGTGTCGTAGCCAGTCAGGGCGTCGTCGCCAACAACGGCGGTGCAAGCTTTAACTGGGAGGGTGTTCTCGGTCACTCTGCTCAGGGACTTGGCGCAGCCAATGCAGCCTCCTCGGCCGGCTTCTCCTTCGCCCGCACCGCCACTACCTTTGGTCTCCAATTCGCCAAGCGCCTCACCCAAGGCCTCGTTGCAGTGCCCGCTCTGCTCGCAGATGGCGCTCTCACAGGTTCTGCGCCGGGCGATACGTCTGGCAACCCTTCGATCGCCAAGGCTGCTCATGCAGGCATCGCCACTTTCTTCGACGCCATCTCGCTCGTCGCCGTTGGCGGTATCGATCTGACCAGTGCCGTCACCAGCGCTAGTCTTGGTGCTGCTGGCTCAGGCGTTGAAGGAGTCAGAAGGGCTCTCGGCTCCGAGGTGCTTCGCAGCTTGGCCGAGTTCTCCAAGCTCGTCAAGCGTGAATGGAACGCCGACGACGACTCACTTCCACCCGGCGGCATCCCAGCCTACTCGATCATCACCCTCACCAAGGCTCTCACCACTTGGGTCAACATTCAGATCATCACGCGTAGCTACTACGAGCAGCGCATGCTCAAAGGTCTTCGTGAGATCAACACCGACAAGCTCAAGGCAGAAGTCGAGGGACTGAGGCAGACGCATCACGTCGACACTACCAGCGCTCCTCTTCGTCCCATCACTGCAGGCTCGCAAGGGCAGAGCTCCGCAGGTCAGAGTCAGTCTGACGTTCGCATCACCTCAAATCAGACCTTCACGGGCGAGCTGTCAGGCAATGTCATTGGCGCCGAGATCGGTCACAAAGATGGATCCAGTTCTCGATTGCCCGGTTCGGACGAGCCCGCCAGAGCCCTCACGGATGCGGAGGCAGTACACAACTTGCAGCGCTACTCGAAGCTCGTTCTCGGTGTCTACGGTGGTATCGCTCTGTATTGGCTCAACTCGATGCCACCAGGAGACCACAGCCTGTTCGGCGAGACCACCTTCGACACAGCCAAATCTAGTCAGACCGCCCCTGCACCCGGCAGCACCATCTTCAGCGCCGAGGAAGAGTTCATCCGCAGAGACCAAGCCGAATTCCTCGAAGCCGCCTCGCAAATGGAGCTCGAAGACGAAGACGAGGACCTCATCACAGCCACCGAGACTGCCAGAGCCAACGCCAACAAGCAGGTCATCGCCGTCAACGGAGACGGCAAGGGACACGCTACATCGTACAACCTCTGGGATGTCATCTCGGGCACCCACGATGAGGACCTCTTCCACCACACGGCCGGCCTGGAGCGTGGCGCTGCTGCAGAAGGGAGCTACGCAAATGACCGAAGGACCGTCTCCAATGGCACGCCGTCCAAGGACAAAGCTCGACCCAGCAAGCCCCGATTCTACGTCGTCACAGATCATCCGCGCAAGACGATCATCCTTGTGCTCCGAGGTACGCTCTGCGTGGGCGATGTTGCAGCCGATCTCACCTGTGAATCCGTTCCCTTCATTTTCGACCCTGAAGTCAAAGCAAATCTGGACGCGAAGTACCCAACACCCACCGCAGCGGACGGCAAAACGTCTTTCGTCGGAGAGGAAGCGCACGGTGATTTGTGTCACGAAGGCATGTACATTACTGCGCACGAGATCGGCGCACCTGGTCGCTCCGTCCACCGAGCCGTCTCCTCCGCACTAGCCGCCAACCCCGGCTACTCAATCGACGTCACGGGTCACTCTCTTGGCGCCGGTGTCGCAAGTGTGCTCGCCATGATGTGGGCGGACCCCACTACGGGTCTCACCACCCCTTCGTCGGGTTTGCCCTCCGGTCGCCGCCTGCACGCATACTGCTTCGCCGTGCCCTGCGTCACCAGCTCGCCCCTCGGTCGCAAGGTCGGCTCGATCATCACCTCGTACACCTACTCGTTCGACTTGGTATGTCGTCTGTCGCTAGGCTCGATCCAGGACATCCGCAACTGCTCCGCCTGGCTATGCTACGAGGACAAGCAGGCGGCACATGGCGATCGCACCATGAACGCGCTCATGAAGCGTGCGTTCGAGTACCAGTCGGGTCGACTCGAACAGTCGAAGCGCGCCGAAGTGGAACACGAAATGCTCGTCCTGCGAAAGACGTTGGAGGCCAACATGCACAACACGCACCTCTTCCCACCTGGAAAAGTGCTCTATGCGCTCAAGGAGGGAGATGACATCGTCGAGAAGAGCGAGGAAACCGAAGCTGACATCGGTCGAGGTATCAGCACGAACAAGAGGCAGAGACTGTTCACCGTCAACAACGATGACGAGTCGGCACTGAGGAATGTCTTCGGACAGATGATCTTCTCGAGGACCATGCTCAGCGCTCACATGCCCAACATGTACGATGCCAGTTTGCACGACTTGACCCGCTAGATTTGAACTTGCATGTATCCCGTCTACCTACCAATCATGTACTCTTAGCTGCATTTTGACATTGGAAGACTCCTACACACATATTTCTGTGCTTGCAATCCCGTTGTGTGACTGAGCTTAGTCCTCTCTGAGCATCACACACGTTCAGAGTCATTATGCTCAAAGTCTTACGATTCCGTTGCGTGACTGATATCCAGACTGATCCGGTGAATACAAGCCGAAGCTTCGACCCGATCGATCAGAGCTGCCCGTTGCACCACGCGACCAACTTCTTCTCTCCCTCTCCCATCCCTTCCTTCGTCTCCAACTTTTCCAGTCCCAAGCTGGCCCTAGCCATCTGGCCCTCGACCATCTGCGGCGTTCCCCTGCCTCTGAACGCACTCTCGCCCTCACCTCCGGGGAAATCAGGGGGCGGCCTGCCCTCTTCGAAACACCTCTTCTGCTCCAGCACGTACTTCCAGTTGACCACGGTCGTCGGGATGGCGGGGATGTACAGCACGCTGCTGTCTCCCTTCCCTGCGTGTTTGCTCTCGACAGAGTGCACGGCGTCGCAGTGCCACAGCACCATGTCTCCCGGCCTCACCTCTGGGATGGAGGTCATGGTGTGGTCGAGTGCGAGGTGAGGATGAGTCGCGGGGGTCAACTCGATGTTGTGACCCAGAGAACAACCCGGGAACTTCCTGGATTCTCCATCAAACGCCCAGTTGTCCGCCCCCAAGAACTCTTCTTCTGTCGCGCAGGCCTCCCGCGGTTTGACGGGTGTGAAGAACGGACGCAGCACAATGTACGCCGTGCTCTCCTTCAAGAACGGCAACACTTTCAGCGTTCCCTCCCCCCTCCTGGTATGGGACATGCTCAACCACCCCTGCAGCGGTCGAAAAACACCACACTGCCCAGGACCGTCGTACATGTCCGTCCTTGCTGTCATACGTTCACCCCGTGCACCGAGGGACCACGGGTCGTGACTCTCCCACTGTCCTCCTTCGCGCGTAATGTTGTCCCAGAGCGCGCGGAACTCCCCACACTCCCACCGCTCCACGCCGCCACCATCGATATGCGCGCCTAGCGCAAACTGCGCGTCTCCCGGCTGGCGAATTCGCAGTCGATCCACATAGTTCAGTGGGTGTTCCAACGAGCAGGTGCGCTCGACACTTGTTTCCGTCGAAGAATTGTGGAAGAGCTGGAGGAACTGCTTGCACGTAGCGAGAAGGTTGGGGTGCGATCGGGCGAGGAGCTGGGGTGGCGTCCAGTAGAGTTCGTACACCTGTGGGTTGTCTGCTGGGAAACCCTTGGCGCGGTTCTCCCGGGCGTAGGTGCGAATCTCTTCTTTCCAGCCCAACACGGTTGACTCGGGGATGACGTTGCGGATGACTGCGACGCCACGTTGCTTGATGGCGTCAAAGGTGGTGCTGTCCGTCCACGTGTCGAGCTTGCCAACTTTTCCAGTGGGAAAGTCGACCGTGGGGATGCACGCCCCACCGAGACGCTTGGTTTCGGCGACGCGGGAGGAGAGCGAGGAGAGGACGGATCGCCAGGTGCGTTGCAGATGCTCGGCGTGCGCGGGTGACGTGATGAGCGACTGCTTGAGCGAGGCGAAGCGGTCGGGGAGGGCATCTTCCAGGGTTCCGCCCGAGAGAGAGGCGAACACGGAAGCGATGGTGCCTTCCTCCTTGCCTGACTTTTTGGCGATCGGAGGAGGTGGAGCGGTGGAAGAAGGATTGACGGTGTCGAGCGATGGTCGAAGGGCGCGAGTGGAAGCGACGAGGGTTCTGCGTGCGACCGGCGGGATGAGCGGCGCTCGTGGCGCGATGCGCAGGGCGGTGCGCAGCATGGTGACGGTCAAGGCGGTATGAACGAGTCAGGTGATTGCTGAGAGACCCGACTGTGGTGAAATTAGCGAGAGGCTGCTCGTCAACCGTGCAAGCTCGACGATGAGGATGAAGGTGGTGTGCGAATGTTGACGTGTTCTAGTAGCAGATGGCCCGGAGGTCGACCTCGAGCCGGAAGTGAATCGTCGCGCGCGTTCTTATACCTGACCGTCAGGCTGGTCGTTGATGGTCGACAGCTGCCGTGTTGGTAGCTCGACAACAACCCACCCGGGTCCACGGGTCGACCGGTCAACCTCATCGAAAGTGCGGGGTGATTCTCCTCACTGCCCGCTGTACTCGGCGCAACCCCGGCCAATCTGCCTCGTTTTACTGCAAAGCCGTGTTTTCCCTCGCGATAAATGAAATTTCGGTGACTTTTGGCACCGATGATGCCCGAGGCCAGGGTGGTGCCTTCAGGCTTGGTTCTCCCCCACACTGAAAAGGCATCTCTGGAAGTCCGAAGAGTTGCTCACGTGCAACAGCGAGCCGCCCTTCTCGCCCGCGCCTTCAAGCACTATCCTTCCCGACACGAGGCCACACTGCTTGGGCATAGTATCACAATGAATTCGAAACAAGTAGAGAAATACACGGCGCTTCGACTCCTACGACGACTGCTCACGACGAACAACAGTGGCGGTATACATCTGCGAAGGGTGCGTCACCGAGGGCAGATATTGCAACGGCCAATCCGCCGTCTGACCCTGCGCCTTGGTACCCCATCCGAAATCGTACCTGTCGATCACGGCAGCGACCATGCTCAGAGCCTCGTAGTTGGCCAACGTCATTCCCAGGCAGAGACGAGGACCGCCGTTAAAGACGTGGAACTTCCACTGGCCGTAGTTCTTGAGACTGCGGGTCTCGGTGCCGTCCACCTCCTTGGTGGTCTCGATGAAGCGGTACGGGTTGAATTCGCAGCAGTCGGGACCCCACACGTCGGGGTTGCGCGCAATGACCCAGTCGGACCACGAAAGCAGTTCGCCGGCATAGATCTTGATGGGCGGCAAACCAGCAGCAGTGGGACCCTGGGGCACAATCACGTCGTCCTTGATGGCGCGCTTGCCATTCTTGGGCACCGGCGGGTGCAGACGGATGGCTTCGTTGAAGCAGGCCTGCGTAAAGACGAGATCCTTGGCAGCGTCGTAGTCGAGCTTGCGGATGCTGCCGTCTGTCTCGGCGAGCACACTGCGCACCTCTTTGCGGATCTCTTCAACATACTGCGGCTGCTTCATCAGCTCGTAGAAGAGCCACGAGAGACCTTGGGCTGTGGTGTCGCGACCGGCAATGATAAAGTTGAGCACCACCGAGATGAGATCGTCGCGGTCGGTGGTGACGTCCATGAACAGGTCGAGCAGGTCCTTGCCCTCTTTGCCGTCCGAGGTCTTCTTCTCCTTCTGAATGCCGGCCTCCCTCTCGCGAAGACGCTCGTCGATGATGGTGCGTGAAAAGTCGTTGATCTTCTTGACCATCTTTGCATTCTTCTTGCCTTCGGACGAGAAGCGGTCGACAAGCTGCCACATGGGCGTGCGGAAGCGCTTGTCGATGACCATCTGGACAAAGTCAAAAGCGCTCGAGAACTCGACCTCGTGATGAAGGCAGTCCGGGTCGGAACTAAGACAGTCGATATCGGAGCCAAACGCCATCTTGCCGAAAGAGGAGAGTGTGTAGCGGAAGAAGAGGTCCGGCAGCAACAAGGTGGCAGGGTCGTTACGCGACTTGCCCTGTGTCAGACCGTCGAGAATGCCGACGACGCTGTCAAGCTCGCGGTGGACCACCGTCTGCACCCAGGTGCGGAATTGATAGACGGAGAAGATGTGCGAGGCCATCTTTCGCTGCGCCTTCCAGACATGGCCGTCCGAATTGAAGATGCCGTTTTGGCCGAGCAAGTCGGCGAAGCGCTTTTTGAACTCGACACCCTTTTCAAAGTTGTCAAAGTTGGTCTTCTGTACGTACTCGATGTACTCGGGGCGATGAACGATGTGCATCTGACCAGCGCCGGTGCCTGCGACCGAGACTGAAAACCCGATGGGATGCTTGCGTGCATTCTCGAGGAACCAGTCGAGAATGGCATTGGTGTTCTTCATGGCAGACAGCGTGTGTCCGATGAGAGGGCGCGCAGGTGGGTAGTAGAGCTCTTTCCGCGGTGGCTTGGAGAAGAGCGTGCGGTTGTGATATTTGATGGTGAGGAAGAGCAGCGTGAGTGCGAGCAGCGGCAGAGCCAGCCCGGTACGGTCGAGTATGGCATTGACGGCGTCGACAAGTTGCTGCACATATGCGTTGTCCGAGCGCAGCTCAATGTGCTTGGCTGCCGAGCTGGCGGCGCTGAAAGAGGAGAAAGCCGGCATGCTTGAGTTGGAAGTGGGATGAGACGATCGCTATGAACTTTGTGATTGAGTGCCAAAGGAGTGGCTCCGCTTTGAGCGGCTTGGGCGTGTGTGCCTTCCGGTCACAGATCGAAGCGACGATGTCGCTGACGGTGCTTGTTGTCGACGTTGACAGCAGGAAAGGGAAGGCAAGGCTTAGGCCATTGATGGACGTGCGATAGCAAGAGAGGTCCGAGGGCGAGTGACCAAAATGCATGGGCTCGGGCCAAGTTGAGTTGAGCGTGGCCGTTATATCACAGTTTTAGCCATGACTGAGCCATGATCAAGGAGCGCCGATGTGACGACGTCGAAGGGATGCATTTCTTTTGCGAGCTCGTCTCCCGACAGGGTCATGTGTGCAGCTAAAAGCACAGGGCGGAGTCAGCGTCCCGAATGCTCGGCAGGTGCATCAACACAGAAGAGTGACAGTGAGACCGAGTGACAGGCGAGGTGGTGCCCGCGAAACGCGCTTTCTCTCCGCTGAGAATTTTAGCCGATGGGCACCACCACTTAGTCGCCCAGGCCATGAGCGTGCGATATGCCAGGTGAGCAATTTGAGCGTTCTCACCTAGGCGCACAACGTGAGGGCGCGATGAAAGCATATCTCTGCCGCTCAATTAGCTTAGGAGAGTCTCTCGAGCCAATGAGGGTGGCATGATTGGCCAGCATAGCTGCCGTCGAAAATGCGGGGTTTATGATAAAAAGCACGTTCTCCGTACACCCAGCTGCAAGCCAGTTTAAGGTTACCGCCCCGCCTTCTTCGCAGCCTCTCTTCGATCGAAACATGACTTGAGGAGCGGTTTGCCGTCACACTGATCACAATTTGACGCTTCAGGTCGCCAGAGACCCCTGACCTTCAACCAGAACCAGAAGAAGCGTATCGCCAAGATTGCGTGGTCACCTCTTCTCTACTACACTGATCAGACAGACATCCTCCATGGAGATAGACGCAGTCTTCCCGGGCCGGTGTGTGCATGTGATCAACTCTGTTCCGCGGAAACGCTTTCAACAGCAAGGTGAATGAACGCGAGCTTCAGGCAGGGGTTAAGGTGAACGCCCTGCTTTCCAGGCTAACAGGCTTGCAACCTGCAGGCAGCATCGACAGGAAGGTTGACAATATGCTCCACGTGGCCAAGTGTCCACCCTTGACGTTCACGTCAAAGCGACTCGAACTTTCTCCTTAGCTTCTCGATCCAGCTATCGGCCATCTGGATCGGGCCTTCGTAACCCGTCACCAGCCGATACGACTTGTTCTCCTCGTAGCTCTCCACGTTGAGCTCTCCTTCCGTGAATGCGACCGACGCGATGATGTTTTCTGGCGTTGCGATTCTGCCTGGCATGAGCGGGTGTCGGAGATCGGTGAGGTGCGCCCAGCCGCTCTCCCTCGTCGAAGCCTCGAATTTCAGCAGATCGTCGTTCGGAACGACTTCGTTCTTGAGCACGTCGTGCATGATCTTCCAGCCGGCCGGGTTGATGCGTATCCTGTCCGGATTGGCACGCACAAAGTCGGCGGGATCGGCGTCTTGTGATGACGACGTATCGGTGGGCAGCACAAAGGCGATCACAGCGTCTTCGGATGTGGACGGTTCGGGAAGGAAGGAGATGGCCCATCCTTCGACAGTAGTGGCCGGCTCCTTCTCGCCTCGGGAGTAGCTGATCTGCGTCGGATGGTAGTAAAGACCAGTTTGAGGTTCTGGATCCTTGACTGTGGTGCGACCTGAGCCGTTAGCGCGGGACGAGCTGGAGGCGAAGCTACGGATGTCTCCTACAGAGAAAGCTGCGGCTGTCCTCAAGGGAGTGCCTGGGATTCTCGAAACTTCTGCTATCCTCGAAGAGTTGGAACATTGCCGCGAGGCAGACGCTACAGCTTTAGAAGCGCTTCTGACAGCGCGTGTCTGCAAGCGACTTGAAGCCGCCAAAGAGCTTCGACGTAGGGCTGAGACTGCCGATGTGCTCATCGTGCTGAGGCTTCCTGCCACCGTGAAGGTACTTGTTCGAAGAGGTTGATGAGAAGGAACGCTCATCCAAGACGTTTGAGAAGATCTTCAACGATGAAGTGGAGGCTTTGAAATCACTTTTTTCTCGCAGCAGCGGGGCAGCGCAGAAGCGTCCGACACTTCCGATATCCGAGGCACGTACAGCTGCCATGCTCATGACAATCCTCACGCAGCACTGCCCTGACAATCGTTACACATTCCGGTTCACATCAACGCGATCGATACGTTGCTTTGGATCAGCAGGTCCCATCTGGGACGGCAGGCATGTAGAAGACTACTTCACAAAGACAAGGCATCTGCCGTGGCGTTGCGTAAAATTCAGGTTCAAACGTACCCGGTTTACAAAGCATCATGACAGGGGCGAAGGGAGATGAGGAGGACGTAGACGAGGGCAGAGAAAGAGCAGTCGTATGCTGGCTAAGGGTGAGCCTGATCAGAGCATGAAAGCCCCGGCGAAAGCGGCGACGAATGTGCAGGCCGCCATGCCGACGGCGAAGCCAGGGATCTGAACCGAACCACCCAGAGCGGCGTTGGAAGCGCCGGAGCTGGTTCGCGACGAAGCAGCCGATGAAGCAGCCGATGAGAGGCTGCTAGAGAAGCTCGAGGCAGCGCTGCTGATCGAGGCCGTGTTGGTGAGCGAGCTCGCGACCGAGCTGAAGGCCGAGTTGCTAGCGCCGCCGTTGAAAACGATCGACGAGGCAAGCGAAAGGTACGAGTAGGCCATGCTCTCCTGCGAAGCGAGGGCCGACGACTGCTCAGGAGGCAGAGAAACGCCGCTCAGCGATCCAAACTGCGAGGTAATGAAAGCCGAGAGCGACGAGATGGCAGCGGGGTTCGTGTACTGCGAGATGTCGTAGGGGTTAAAGGCTGAGGGAGGTTAGAGAGAAAGGCATGAGAGGACGTCAGCATCGTGCCATTAGGATCAAAGACGGTCGTCATCTACTTACACTGCCTCTTCTCGACATGAGGAGCGGGCGTGGGCTGGACGCTAGCCTGAACGGCAGCGAAGGCAACCAGCACGACCAAGAGCAACGATGCGAAGACCTTCATGATTTTTTGTTGACGAACGGGTGATGAAGGGAAGGTTAGGGGTCGATCGAAGGAGGCAGGCCTGGCTCAGGACTCAGGAATGCTCATCATTATATACTACGGAAGCGCCTAGGCATGCAGCAGGTCGAAGTTCAAGAGGCCTGCGCAGGAACGGTGCCGCGCTTGGCTATGCAGCTTGCTCGCCCGTCCTACCGCTTCGCCGTATAGACCGAGTCGAGTGGCATGGCCTGTGCGTCTAGAAAGGGCGCTGGCCACACAAGCCACGATCTATGCCTGTAGGGCGACATGATGCAACGGGACCGCAAGATATGGGGAAGTCGCTCTGACAGGCACGGGACGGGCTCGCTTACCGCGTAGCGCGTGGCGCACCGACCTCATTTTAGCCGTGTTCGACAGGACACACGACTTGCAGTCGTTGCGCACCTGCGCTATAGAATCCCATATTTGCTTGTTGTCTGAGCCTGAAACTTCTTTGTCGCTTGACCAGCTTCGGCGGGCACTTGGACAGAGAGCAACGCTGCCCTTCGCAACACCGGCAGAAAAAGAAAGTGACATGGCTCACCCCACCTGACCCCCTGACCTCGACCGCGCTAGTGGAGCCTGAAGACGCAACTCCGCTGCCGGTCACTCCCACAACCACTCGTCGAGACCAAGACCGACACAAATAGCAATCGGAATGATCGTCGGTCATTCAAGTCGGAACCTCAAAGGGACGGGATGTGAGCCGGAACTCCATCGCTTTGCCGTCGACAATGGCCCAGATCGCATTCAGTCAATTTCGCTTGTCTGGCTTTGTCTCGCTCGTCACAGGTTCTGCGTGACTTTGAGATGAGTGCGGGCGTAATCAAAAGCCACAGCGAAAGCGAAAACAAGACACGAACAGGCCGCTGGACAGCTTTCAGACAGCTTCGACACAATGGAACAAGATGCCATTCTACCGTTTTGAGCCTCCGCTTGGCACGGTTCCTGGCGTGAGTGCACCAGCGCACGTCCTTTTCACGCGTGATGCAGGAGGCATGCAGACGCTCACACAATGAAGTCGTGCCTGGACCGTCACCGTGCGATTTTTGGTGCCCTTCCATCAACGACGATCCATCCTCGAAGGTCGGCTAGGGCCTGACTCGAGGTCTATTCCTTCGCTTGCAGTCGCTTCGGATCTGCAAGGCTTCGAGCCGATTCGGTACCACGGTAGCGAGGCTGAATTCTTCGGAATGCGGATACTTGCCGGCTGCGACCTTTGAGAGAGTCTTCCGTCGGAAGGGTGTTGCAGATAGAGGCTTGTATACAGCCAAAAGGTGCTAGAGCATCTTTATTGCTGTGGAATGTATACAGTCTGCACCCTTGTCCTAACATCTGCGGCCACAGAACCTTGAAAGCACCGCATCCCGTCCGATCTGCGAAGTTAAGCAAGGTATCGCCTAGTCAGTACTGCGGTGGGGGACCACGCGGGAATCCTAGGTGCTGCAGTTCTTTTTTGTTCTTTTCTGTTTATTTATTGGACTGGCCTCGGTTGACTTAATCCTACACAGCTGATTGCACATCGTCTTACTTCTCACATCACGATCTGTTCCTCAGGTCAAACAGCTGTGGCCTGACGACCAGCGATGTAGCATGGCAATGGCTTCCGTGCGTGATAGAACTGGATTGTATGACTGCGGTGGCCGGAGCTTTGATCTATGCGCATGTTACAGACTCAGAGCTTCAGGTGACCCTTGTTGAGGAGGTACTCGGTGATGATCCTGACGGCGTCCTCGATGGAAGTCTTGTCTGCATCGATGTGGATCTCCGGGTTCTCTGGCTTCTCGTATGGAGCCGAGATGCCGGTGAACTCCTTGATCTCTCCAGCCTTGGCCTTCTTGTACAGACCCTTGGGGTCTCTGCTCTCGCAGGTGTCGATGCTGGCATCAACAAACACCTCGATGAAGGGCAGCTTGGGCACGTGAGCCTCGTGGAGCTTCCTTGCGATGTCCCTGTCCGCCTTGTAGGGCGAGATGAACGACGTGATCGTGATAGCGGTGGAGGAGGCGAAGAGGAGCGAGACCTCCGAGATGCGGCGAATGTTCTCCTCACGGTCCTTGGGCGAGAAACCGAGATCCTTGTTCAGGCCGAAGCGGATGTTGTCGCCGTCCAGACGGTAAGCCGACTTCTTGAGCGAGAGAAGGTGCTGCTCGAGGGCGGTCGCGATGGTCGACTTGCCCGAGGCAGAGAGACCCGTCAGCCAGAGCGTCAGCCCCTGCTGCGAGAGAAGCTCAGATCGCTCCTCGTACGAAACGTGACCCGGATGGAAGGTGATGTTGGTAGCCATCTTGTCGAATCTATGTTTGGATCCAGCGATGTGTATGGTATGGTGTGAGAGAGAGTGGCTCGAAGAGGATCCGGTGTTGCTTTCAAGCTGCCAAGAAGATTTGCGGATTTGCTCGGAATGTTTCTTCTCAGTCAGACAGCTGCAGCTCTGCGTCTGTGCGGCCATGACGCTTTGCAGCTTGAACGCCGCGGCTCATCACGCCATCGCTTTCCGTGCTTTCCGAGGAAAAAGAGCGTCCCTCACACTATGTCAATCTCACATTGCTGAATTTTCTTCGAGCCGGCGTAAAAGCGCTCTGCGCCGACAACTGCCTCCACAGCTTCCCCACACAGAACGCAGGGACCTTCTGATACCTGGCTTGGTGTTGACCGACCCTGACGCAACAACAGACCCCACCAACGTCCAGAGCTCACACTTCGGGATCGGTACACGAGTCGGTCGCTACTCTCCTCGAGCCCACGCCTGATCGCATCTAAACAGCACAATGCTACGAAGTGCTGGCCCACGGCGCCTCTTGCAGGCTTGTCCGAGCTTTGCAAGCAAAGGTCGACTCGGAACAACGACTTCGGCTGCATCACCACGAGCCTTCACATGGACCCCACGACGCAGCTCAAGCTTGGAAGAGTGGACGCAGACGATCAAAGCCCAGACCAACACGATGTACGACACGGCCGATCTGAACAAGGCGCGTCAGCTCATGCTCGTCCTGCCCGATCTCTCGGGGGCCCCTTCCAGCGTGACTTCCTCTCGCGAGCTCGTTGACAAGCACACCGGCGAGCAGGCCTTGGCGTTGAAGGCTGGATCCCCGATGGCTCTCGGATCAGAGCTGGTGTTGTTCAACCCGCTTCTCAGCGAAAGCACCCTAGGAACAGACGGGACCGAAAGGACCTTTGGACCGCCGGGAGGGTTGGATCAGCGCATGTGGGCCAGCGGTTCGTTCGAATTTGAGCAGGGCAAGAGTCTCCTTGTAGGCCAAGATGTGCAGTGCGAGGTGGCTGTCGAGAGTGTACAGCCAAAGGAGGGTGCAAAGACAGGGATGATGGTGCTGGTGACACGGAAGCTGGTTTACTCGACATCTGAGGGGGTGGTGCTGACGGAGAGAAGAACACACGTATACAGAAAGCAACGACCCGCACAACAGCGCAAGTACGTCCCTCCGCCCGCAGACAAGACACCCAAGGCCAATGACGGTAAGCATGCTCAGACGGCGAACTTGATAGACGAGGTCCAGTGGCTAATATGTAGGCTCGCTGCTCATTTTGCACAACACAGTCGAGGAGAAGCCTTCCAACTTCGGCTTCGACTACTATGCTACACGCGCGGCCTTGTTCCGCTACTCTGCTGCCACCTTCAACGCGCACCGCATCCATTTGGACCCGGAGTACTGTCGCAACGAAGAGGGTCATGCAGGTAAGCATGAAGGACCCTTGCTTGCAAAGAAAGCCTGTCGAGCTGACACGTCACCTTGCCTTGCTTGACAGACTGCCTGGTACACGGCCCACTGACAGCAACGTTGCTGCTCAACTTGATCGACACGGCAGCGCGCGAGACTTCTGCACAGGTGAAGAAGTTCGAGTATCGAGCCACATCTCCGTTGACAGTGGAGCAGACGGTGCGACTGCGTGGTGCATGGGAAGGCGAGGACAAGAAGAAAGCATCACTGTGGGCGCTGAACGAAGCTGGCACCGCATGTATGACGGCCAAGGCCACACTCTTCTGATCGTATATCGGCGAAGACAGGGAACAGCGAATAGATTAGCAGAGTACAATATCAGATCCTACAGTCAAGGAAGCGGGGAAGTGAAGGGTGATCAGATCTTGGCATCATCCTTGTCAAAGTTGATCGACACGCTGTTGACGCAGTGGCGCTCGTTGGTCGGGTTGTTGAAACCCTCGCCCTTGAACACGTGTCCCAGATGGCCGCCACAGCTCTTGCAAGTGATCTCGATCCTCTCCATGCCCCAGCTGATATCTGAGTGGCGGTCGATGGCGCCTGGGATGGCGTCGAAGAAGGCCGGCCAGCCGCAGCCCGAGTCGAACTTGGTGCTGGCCTTGTACAGCGGCGAGTCGCAGCCTGCACATGTGTATACTCCATCCTTGGGATAGTGCTTGTTGTATTTGCCCGTACCGGCCATCTCGGTTCCCTTCTCGCGGAGGATGCGGAACTGCTCAGGGTTGAGCTTGGTACGCCACTCGGAGTTGGACATGCCCTTGGGGAACGACTCGGGAGCGGCCTGTTGCGACGATGCTGTAGATCCCATTTTGAATGATGGAGCGACGGTGGACGAGAAGAGGCGAGAGTGAAGGAGGGTCGGACCACTCGAAAAGGCGTTGATAGCGCTAGTGGGGTTCCAGTATCCAGAGGAGATGGCAGCGACGGAAGCGACGACGGCACCTGTGCTGAGCAGAGTGTTGCGAGTGGAAGGAAGCGTGTTGAGAAGCGCTTTAGTTTGACGGCTAGAGCGAGCTAGAGCCATCAGTTGAGGATATCCTGTTTGTGGTCTTGTTGATGATGGAAAGGAAGGGTGGTGCTGAATGTCGTGTGCGCCACTTTGATAGCCTTCGTAAGCAGGCTACTGCGCTTTGGATTGCCGGATGTCGCTGTGTCGTTGGTCCGCGCTCAGCTCCAAATTTTGAAGCGGCAAAGCCTCCACAGAGAGCTTTGCATCGAAAATTCGGTCGGAACAACCTCGATGTCGATCTCACAAACTTGAATATTTCGAACGTCACGGATTGAACGCGTGCAACGCGTAAAGTGTGACAGCCGAAATTTGGGCGTAGCAGAGCGTGACTGAAAGAAGGGTCTTTCCAACGACCTCAAGTGGCGGAGCTCTACTTCGCTCTTGCTTCGTAGCCACACCACCATCCCGCACCTAGGGTTTGCGGTCCACCCGCACCGGCAACCTCGACAATGATGTTCTCACCTCCCTCTTCACCGTCCGTGCTGGCTAGCACTTCGCGGCACAACATCATCCAGCCGCAGCAACTCAATCAGGACCGTCGGCAGAAGTCGCTCCGATTGTTTCTGGGCCACCAATCAGACAACGAAGCCGCATCGGATGACGATTTCGACGCCTTCCAGCATGCGGAAGACGACAGCGATAGCGATATCGACCTCCTCAGCATGCCAAGGGGATCGAGTTCAAGCCGCACGCTGCAGCCTGGCCGGCTACAACCCCGACGATCAGCTAACAATAATCAGCACAGCCCAGCGAGAGCATTCGCATCGCTTCGTGCATACGATCAGGATGAAGACGCTCTAGATTCGCTGTTCTCGCCATCTAAGGGAACTGCGAAGCGTTCGAGGATGGGCAAGAGCCCGAGAAAGGTTGCCAGCCTTCCAGCGGCCGCCACGACGAAACAGCAAGCTGCCGCCTCCGCTGCGATACCCGCCACACCAACCAAGCGTCAAAAGGGCTTCCTCATTCAAGGCAACGTGACGCCCTCCCGAGCCTTCAGCATCTTCAAGGCGGCCAAACAGCGCAGTCAACAACGTCAGCAGCATGGTCTCATGACCCCGCCGACCTCGTCGCCTCTGCGTCCTATCATCCTGAACAGCTTTGACCAAGGCTATCGCCATGTAGAAGCAAGCCCCTCTCGATGTCGAGCTGCCTACGCCTGCAGCCAACAGCTATCTTCTTCGCCCTCTCGATCATCGAATGATCAGTCCTATTACCCCACGCAGAGCAGTCAGCATCGCTCAGATTTCGGCGCATCACCGTTGCGGAGAGCCATTGCCCCTTCCGCATTCTCAGAAGATAGATGCATCAGCTCTTCCTTTTCTCAATCATTGCACAGACTGCGATTAGGACAATCGCTTCGAAGCAGCAGCGGTCTGTCGAGCGTTCCTCATCGATTCTCCGCAACGCGCCCTCCTGTCTTCGACGCAACTTCCTTCTTGGAGACATTCGTGTCGCCTGGTTTCTGCGTGGCTCAGATCCCGCGCAGCGCCGACGACGAGATCCTATCGCACCCCGTTTGCGCCACCTACAGTTACTCATCGCGGGCGGTCAACCCTTCCGCCCAATGGCTCGCCGTGGGAGATGACGAAGGTCGCATCACGCTTCTCAACACCTTGCCGTGGCAGGACATCTCGGCTGAGCATACCTCATCGAATCCACAGTGGCAAGCATCATCCACTTCGGCCGTCTTTGAGCTGGCCTGGCGCTTCGACGATCGCAGCATCCTCTCTGGAGCGAGCGACTTCTCCATCCGCAGCTGGGATACCGAGTACCAGAAGTGCACAGCCATGTTTCAAGGACATAGAGGCAGTCCGAGAACCATCGTCTACGACCCGACAACAAATGGTGATGGCGGGTGCGGCATGGTCTTTGCCAGTGCTGCGCGAGACGGGACGATCCGAATCTGGGATGCTAGGACAAGCTCGCGCCATGTTGTGGTTGGCGACGACGGCGAAGAGGACTGCATTGGTATTCGGCCTGTCCTGACGATTGACGCCGCACACAGCGCGGGGCCAGCTAGTACGGCGACGAGTAGCGGCAAAGGTAGAAAGTTCACCCGCAACGGTGCTGCCTCTGTTGTGAGCAGGCCAGCCACGAAGCGCCTCAAGCGTCAGCCCCTGCCTGCTGGCATCACCGCCTTGTCCTACCTCCCGGACGGCGAGGGCCACAAACTTCTCAGTGGAGGCTCGGCGAACGGCATCATCAAATGCTGGGATCTTCGCCATGTCCGCCAATCTCAACCTTCAGCTGCTGTTTTGCAGGTCGACACTCAGGCAGCCCTCCGCGAACCTATCATGTCAACTTGGGACACTCCGGACGTTTCTCTCCTCGCGCCTTCTAGCCGTTTTGCCAGAGCCCATGGCATTTCGCAGATCATCGCTTCCTCGACTTCGCTTTACGCATCCTGCACTGGCGGCAAGATCTATTCTCTGCCACTGTCCACCTTCCTCGACTCGCACCTCAACCCCAGCGAGGTGCAGACCTTGTACGACCCGGTTCAATGCCAGAACACGCTCTTCTCGCGCATGGCCTTGTTCGACGATCGCTTCCTTGCGGTGGCCTGCAACACCGGCAACGTGGCGTTGTGGGACGTCAGCATCTCTCGAGACCCCAAGGAGCAAAGCGCACCGGTCAGGGGACCGGAAATCGACTCGGAGGAAGAAACGAGGGCGGCACAGAGCATGGACATGGGATTCGCCAAGAGGTCGCAGCAGCCGGGAATGGCCATCCTTGCCGAGGGACACGCCAAAAATGCAGAGGTCAATGCAGTTGCCTGGGCCAATGGTCCCAACGGGCCCACTTTGAGCTCGTGTGGCGACGACGCCATGATCCGCACATGGCATGCCGATCGTGTGGCTCGCGACGGAATCACCCAAGCTGCCCAGGAGTAGCATCCTCGCCGGCTCCAACCGTTGCACCGCATGTTTGGTGCGCATAAGCAGCATAAGCCAGCATTCACAACAGCATCATCATCATCAAGCATCTTTCTTATCGCATTTCTTATACCAATCCCAATCATAGCATTGTTGCATCCCCTTCGCGCGGACTGAAGGGTGGCTCAATTCTATGATTCTATGGCGTTTGCGAGTCCCAAATGTGCAAAGACGAATCGTAGAACGAGCAACTGTATACTTTTCTGCCCTGTCCGTCTACGCCATCGTCTGAATCTCTCTGCCAGTCGCATCCGTATGCAAGCGACTCGTGCCCATCGAACCGGGTCACCACCTCGAACTCCTTCCCTCGCAACGCCGCTCCTCCCGCTCCATCCTCACCCAATTCGTCCAGCCGGAGCACCTTGAAACCGTCATGCATGCATCCGACCAACAGAACGCTAGGATCGACCGGATGCCACTTGACCCTCCACACCCCGCCTCCGACGACGGTCTCGCTGAGCGCCCTCGTCGGCATCCTCGCATCCCAAAGTCTCAGCTTGCCATCATAACTCCCTACGGCCCAGATGTGCTGATGCAGATGGTGCGATTGCAGACTCGTTACGCCGCCGTCGAAGGGCTTGGTGCAGGCGAATGTCGGGTGGGGAACGGTCGACGGCGCTACCGGCGAGCGCATATCCCAGCCTTTGAGAGTAAGGTCGTCGCCGCCGGACCAGACGGTGGTGGGTGTGAAACAGTCGAATGCGGCGATCCACGCTTCGAAGTCGTGTGCGGACCAGGTGGTGAGTCCGCGCGGTTTGTTGGGGCGGTCGGCATTGAGAGCAGCGTGCGCCGCGAGTAGGGTCGCGTCGCGCTCGTCTGCGCTGCTGCGGTCCCAGTCGTCATCGCTCTCCGAAGCGTCGTCGTTGGACGAAGCTGGCTTGTGTATTGATGTTTGTGCCAGGTCCGACGTTACTTCGTCTACAGAGACGGTCGACAGCGCAGCTTCGACGCTCGGCAAGTAGGCCAGCGACCCGTCGCTTTGAGACACGATCATGGATGTGTCCGTAGCGAGATTCGACATGTTGTAGCCGCCAGCATGACCTCCGGTGCGGTCCGAAAAGTCGAGACTCAAACAGAGCGCATTGCGATCGTTGAACTGCAGCTCGCCGATCGAATGCAGTCTCGACGACGATCCGTCCCCTTGCAAGCGATGTAACGTGATGTGGCCTTTTGCGTTCGCTACGCCCAGCATCCGTCTTACACCCGACCCAGCCTGGGTGAGCGACCACTTCATGTCCAGGATGGCGGGCGTTTCGATCACGTCCACCTTGTCGCACTCGACCTTTCCTTCGTTCGTTGCGCTGGAGGCGTAGTACAGGCTGCACGTTCCACGCCTTGTGTACGCCGGACTCGCAGAGGTGCTCCCGTCTGTATCGTCGCCATCGTCGCTGTGGTCGTTGTTCTCGTCGTTGTCATCGGTCCGCGCAGGCCGGGTGGAGGAAGAGGACGAGGATTGCGCCTGATCCTGCTCGTGCTTATCCACCTGGTACGTGGCCAGGGCGAAGAGCCCGCTGCAGCCAGGCACTGACTCGACCGAGTCCGCGCATAGACCGGTCGAGGTCGAGAAGAGGGATGCAGCCCCCGCCATGCTGGTCTAAACGGTCTCCTTGAGAGACAGCAGTGATGGAGAAGTCAAGAAGCAGTTGCAAGGTGTCCAAAAAAACCGGCAAGGTGGACGCCGCGATTTTCGCCGAGACAATAATTTCATCTTTCCAAAAGTCAAGCTTGAAAAGAAGGTCGAGAAAAACAGGTTAAGGCTCTATCACGGCACACACACTGTGAACGTCTTGATGGTGATGTGAAACGGATGTGGTATATCATCGGCGAACGCTGCTGCGCCTAGCTCATGACAAGTCCGATCTCCTTGCTGATGCCACTGCGGATCCATCCTTCGACAAACGCCTGTCCCGTAAACAGCAGCACCGAAAGCGTCCAAGCTATGGACACGTACCTGTCGTACCACATGCTGTAGTATTTCCCATCTGCACTCTTGCTCTTCCTGTACTTCTCCACGTACTTCGCGACCGCACCCTCGATGACGACAGCAACGCCGTTGAGGAAGAAGAAGCTGAACTCGCCCGCACCCGAGATGGGCGGAACAAATTGCAGCGGGCTCAACCTGAACCACCCCGTCCCAGCTAGCGAGGGCAAGTTCCTCAGCTCGTGACCCATGCCTTTAGCGTGATTCCTGTCGAGCCAGATGTTCGTGACGGGGACAGCAATCCTTCCACCGAGCGCGGCGCGTTCCGACACGGCGTGGATGATTCCTGAAGCCGTAAATGCGCCGAGAACCTTGGCCCAGTCCGCACGACCGCGCTCGAGAGCACGCATCGGGTCCGGATGGTACGAGGGCCAGATCTCCCTCCTTGCCTGTTTGCGTTTCGGGTCATTCAACTTGCCTTCCACGAGATCTTGCAGCAGGTAGGCGACGTAGGTAAACGGCAGGATGCCGTACACTCCGAAAGGGCGACCGAAGAGTCGGTGCCAGGCATAGCTCCAGAATCGCCTCACCGTGGTGGCCTGCGTGAATCCGGCCGGGTTGAGCAGGGGGAAGAAATCGACGTTGCGCAGCGAGAGCTGCTCGTGCTGCTGCGTTCGCGCTTGGAACGCTGCAGGCGACTCGTCCTCGGTTTCCGTCTCTGCTTCCGACTCTTCTCCTTTGCCGCTGCGAAGAGCGCCGACGCGACCCCCTTTGTTGGCCTGCTTAAGCGCCTTCGGCTGAAGGTGCGAAGCGGGACCACTTGCATCGTGCAGGATCGGCAGCGCAACCGCACTCGTCAGCGTATACCCAAAGTCAAACATCGTATAGAGCGAAATCCCCGTCGCTGCGACGAAAAGCACCCTCCTCACCGGGTCCAGATCCAAAATGCTCGGGCTGACCGCCGACATGTGCTTGGGGTGCATATGGTGAATGATCCAAGTACACCCGACGAGGATGGGAAAGAGTTTGAAGAAGGCTCTACGCAGCTGGGCCGAGCTGGGTGGTTGCCAGGGGTGCGAGTCATGACGCACATCAGCCGAAGCAAAGTCCCACCCGATGCCGCGCATGCTGATCATCAGGTCGAGCGCCCACCATGCGCGTTCGAACGAGAGGACTTGTTTGGGAAGCGGTTCGGTCTTCCACTCTTCGTTCTTGGCTGCGCTATAGGGGTGCGTGATGTTCGCCCGCTTACCCTCAGGAGTTTTGGAGGAGGTGGCGATGAAGATGCGACGGGGAATGCGCGGGTAGGAGAGGAAGAAAACGTCGAGCACGCGAGAGGCACCGTAGAAGCCGACGAGCCCGAGCTGGTAGGTCAGCACCGCGCTGCCGGGGTAGTAGTACTTGAAGGGGAGCGAGGCGAAGGTGTAGACGGAGATGGCGGCGAGGACTGTCCTAGCAGCCGATGCTGCTCGTCGAATCGTCACGGAGAAGCTCTTCGAAGACAGCGGCGGCAACAGGAAGAGCGCCATGTAGTAGGTCAATGGTGGGACAACGGCTGCCCAGATAGGCAGTGGCCTTGACGTCGGGCTTGGGACGAAAAGGTGGTGTGTAGCATGGCTGGTGTATGCCGACATCTCTCTGGTCGCTCCTGAGGTCCAGCCGAAGAGTCGTGAGATGGTGTCTGGCACGAAGCGGTCAACCATCTTGGGAGACGAGACCTATATACGAGGACCTGACCTCGGAAGCAACGAGGCGAGAAGATTGACCGATCAAGGGTCGAGATCCAGACCGTTTGCTGAGCAAAGAAGCTTCAAGGTGAGCAGGCGAGGGAGCAAGGTCGGACGCGGTGCTGTTCCGAGAGGAGCGGACTTCAAGAACGGACGGACGCCGTCTGACACACTTGACACTCACGACCAGACCAGAGGATCTCTGAGACCGCACGCCGTGGAGGATGCAGCCTCATTGCAAACAACTTGGCGAGTTGCAGCAGCGGAGAGCGAAAGGCGCAGCTCCGAATGGGATAAGCTCAAACCGAAACTGCCTCATTTCGGAAGGCTGTCTTCATTCAGCTGACCAGTTCATACCTGTCAAACCAAGGCGTTGAGGGGTGCAAGGATCGGATCGCCTAAGCGAAGTATGACGTCCTGCCAATCTTGACACCATCTCCGATTCCACTTGTCCCGATCTGAGCCCGTATCGGCAGAGGGTCCAAAAACTTTGTCCGCCAAAAAAAGGTTGGAAATTTTGCCATTTCTTCTGAAGACGCAGCTCAAATTCGCTAGACACGACAGACGGCACACCTTGTCATCCCCCACATCTACTCGTCCCACAGATATACACACAATGACGACAAGTACAACGGAAAAGGCGCTCGAAGACCGCGCCAAGTCGCTTCACAAGAAGGAGAAGAAGGCTGCCGCCAAAGCCGCCGCCGCCGCTGCAGCTGCCGGTGCCTCGGCCTCGACCAGCCTCGAAGGCTCGCCTTCCCCCGCTTCGCCTCCCAAGAAGGAAAAGAAGGACAAGAAAGACAAGAAGAGATCCGCAGATGATGGTGACATCTCCGTAGTGGACGACGAGAAGGCGGCCAAGAAGCGCAGGAAGGAGGAAAAGAAGGCCAAGAAAGCGGCGGCCAAGGCGAGCGCTGCGACCTCGATCGAGTCGACGCCTGCCGCCACCCCTGCTCCTGTTGCTTCGACATCCGCAGCATCCTTCACGCCGACCAACCCTGCCGCGGCACGAGCGTTCCTCGAGACGAACAACATCACCATCGAGGCACCTGAGGAGTCAAATGAGCGCCCGCCGCTGCCCATGGTCGACTTCCGCGAGCTGGAGGGAAAGATCGATGCGGCCGTCAAGAAGACGCTCGATGCACAAGGTTTCACCACTCCGACACCTATTCAGGCTTGCTGCTGGCCTGTACTGCTGCAGAACAAGGATGTGGTCGGTATCGCAGAGACGGGGTCAGGAAAGACATTCGCATTCGGTCTGCCGGCGCTGCAACATCTGGTGACCAAGCACAAGGTGCTCAAGGGCGACAAGAAGAAGAGCAAGGGCGCACAGGTCAATGTGCTCGTGGTCGCACCGACGCGAGAGCTGGCGATCCAGACCGAGGAGAACATGGCCAAGCTGGGCAAGTCGATGGGTATTGGTATGATTTGCCTGTACGGAGGTGTCTCGAAGCAGGAGCAGGTGCGACTGCTCAACCAGACGCCCACGGTGCGCATCGTGGTCGGCACACCTGGTCGTGTTCTCGATATGGCGAGGGACGGCTCGCTGGATCTCTCGGGCGTCTCTTTCCTGGTACTGGACGAGGCGGATCGAATGCTCGACAAAGGCTTCGAGCCCGACATTCGTGCCATTATCGGCATGTGCAAGTCGCGCGAGGAGGGCCGTCACACATCCATGTTCTCGGCGACATGGCCACCTGCGGTTCGCGGTCTCGCCGAGTCATTCATGAACGGTCCTGTCCGCGTTACTGTTGGTTCCGATGAGCTCTCTGCCAACCGTCGTGTCCATCAGACGGTCGAGGTTCTCGCCGATGGCTATGCTAAGGAGCGCCGACTCAACGACTTCCTGCGCTCCGTCAACGCCCAGCGCTCCAAGGACAAGATCCTCATCTTTGCGCTGTACAAGAAGGAAGCGCAGCGTATCGAGCAGACGCTCCGTCGTGGTGGCTTCTCCGTCTCCGGTATCCACGGTGACCTGGGCCAGAACGAACGCATCGCCTCTTTGGAACGATTCAAGACGGCCGAAACCCCTTTGCTCGTCGCCACCGATGTCGCCGCCCGCGGTCTCGACATCCCCAATGTCGAGCACGTTATCAACTACACCTTTCCACTCACCATCGAGGACTACGTCCACCGCATCGGCCGAACCGGTCGTGGCGGTAAGACGGGCAAGAGTCTCACGTTCTTTACCGAGATGGACAAGGCGCATGCGGGCGAGCTGATCCGGGTGCTCAAGGACGCCGATCAGAAGGTGCCCGACGAGCTCACCAAGTTCCCCACCACCATCAAGAAGAAGACTCACTCGAGCTACGGTGATCACTTCAAGGAGCTCGTGCCTGGCAAGGCCAAGAAGATTACTTTCGACGATTAGATGCTCAGCACGTTTAGGACCATTTGATTGTCATTCAAGTCCAGATGGTCGAGTTTGTCGTGCTGAGCCTGTCAGCGATGAGATCTGAGGTGAGGCTGGAGGGTCTTGATCATGATCGATAGAGGTGTTGCACATGCTTTGAGCCAAGGTCGTTGACTTCATGACAGAGAGGGTTGTCGTAGGCGGTTGTGGAGGTTGTGATGTGATATGACGCGCTTCCTTCGTTGCACAAAGGCGGACAAGCGAGGAGGACCCTGAATCAGCATCATCTTTGCGCTGCAGAAGCACGTTTGACAGGTCGGCCAATTTCTCATGCATGCCGGCTTAGCGTAAGGCGAGCCCCAATCTGCCGGGGTCCATCGCAATCGGTCGAGTTGTTCGACCGGGTCGTGTTTCTTCTTGTTGGTCGCCGTGCTGGAAGATACACAAGCTTGACTTCGTATTACTGCTTTCCGACACACAACCATAAAGCAGCATCAATTTTGCCCTGTCCGCGACGTAGAAGCGACCAGACTGCGAGTACAGCATCCATCACCTCATCACAAATCAATATGGCTCCCAACGTCGCCATCATCCAAGGCACCGGTAGTGGTAAGTTTCGTCGCCTAGTGATCCATCGTCGCCACAGGCCATATGAGTCTGACCTCGATCTCCATCTCGCACTCTGGCAGGTATCGGTGCTCAAATCGCCCGTCAATATCTCTCGCGCACCTCACTGCAGGTCGTCGCTCTCTCCCGCGATGCATCTCGAGCCAAGAACGCGATCCTCTCCGATTCCTCCGACCTCGACTCCTCCCGCCTGCACACCATCTCCCTCGACATCACCTCCGAAGACTCCTACGCATCCGCCGCCTCCGAGATCTCTTCCAAATACGGCAAATCGTGCCTCAAGACGCTGTGGAACATCAACGGCATCCTGCACGCCGAGAAGAACCTCTCCCAAATCTCGCTCGAGCAGGTGCACCAGATGTTTGCCGTCAACACTTTCTCCCATTTGCTGGGGTTCAAGCATTTCGTGCCCCTCATCCCGAGAGGGAGCGATGCGAAGGCGGTTCAGGAGGGAAAGGCGGAGAACCTCGCCGAGGGTGTGTTGCCCGGTGATCTGAGCGTGATCGCTAGTCTGAGTGCCAAGGTGGGAAGTATCGGAGATAATCAGAAGGGTGGATGGTACAGTTATAGGGCTAGCAAGGCCGCGTTGAACCAGCTGATCAAGACGCTGAGTAAGGAGCTCGAGTTGAGGTCGGTACCCGCCATTTCGGTGGGCTTGCACCCAGGCACCGTCAGGAGCAACCTCAGTAAGGACTTCACCGGCGGTGAGGGCAGCGACAAGCCGCTGGACAGGAGCAAGGGCCAGTTCGAGGCCAGCGAGGCAGCAAAGAATCTGGTGGACGTCGTAAGTGGGCTCAAGAAGGCCGACAATGGCAGCTTCAGGGACTACAAGAACGACATCATCCCTTGGTAGACGGATGTAAGCGGTTCGAGAAGAATGCTCAATATCAATGACTCTCGCATGACAAGAGCCATCACGACGAGAAAGTTGCACGGAAAAAGCCGACGCGAAGCGTTTGACGGGTCTGAACGATGCTATGAAGGACCGAGCCAGCACACAGCCCTCGAAATTGAAGACGCCACACATGTGCGAGGCTCAAAAGTAGCCGACGATGCCACCTCAGTCTGGCAGATCAGCCTGAGAGCCCGCGAAGAGCAGTCAAAGATAGTGATTGAAGTGAAGCCATCACCTGGTATACGTATATGCAAAGTTCGAAAGCAGTATAGAAAAGCCTAATCCCACCAGGCCAGCTAACAGCATCCGTTCATCTTGCCCTCGAAGACCTCCTTGATCTTGATCGCCGCCCCAGCCCTCCTCTGCGGTCTCGGGTCCATATCTGCAAAGCTAAACCTGCTTCCGCTGCCGACCCTTCTCAACGCCCTATCGCCGTACGACACGCCCGAGCCGGCCTTCTCGGGGTCCAACTTGCCCGACTCGATGGCCAACAGGATGCTTCTCGCCGCGAGCGCGAATGGTGCTTCGACATTCTCGCCCGTCATCGAGCTGGTTTCCAAGAACAGCACGCCATTCTCATTGGCCCACTTGCTCGCCTCTAGATAGCCCACTTCCCTTTCGTCCTCGCCTCTGTCCGTCTTGTTGCCGACGAGCACGACGACCAGATCGGGGCTGGCTAGCGCCCTCGCATCCGTCAGCCAGCGGGAAAGCGGTTCGAAGGTGGATCGCTTTGTGATGTCGTATACCAACAGTGCCCCCGCTGCCCCGCGGTAGTAGGACCGTGTGACGGAACGGAACCGCTCCTGCCCCGCCGTGTCCCAGAGTTGAAGCTTGACAGACTTGTTGCCGATCTTGACGAGGCGACTGGAGAACTCGACCCCGATCGTGTGCGCTGATTGCTCCTTGAACTGGTTGTGGATGAAGTGGTGGAGGAGGCACGATTTGCCCGTGCCTGCTTCGCCGATGATGATGAATTTCAGCAGGAAGTCGTACGCCGCGGACATTTCGAGGGATGCGTGGTCGGCCATGTTTGCGGTATGAGCCTGTGAGGGATTGGGATAGTGAGTTCGACGGTGTACTTGGCCAGCGAGCTTTGGTGGCGGTGCGCGTGCGCAGGAAGGTGTCGCTTGCGCTGTGCGGACGGGTTCAAGTAGTCCCGGTCCGCTGTGTTCGGGAGTGTTAGGCAATGACTGGCGTTCAGAGAGAGGCCTGTGCCCGACCGTGTGTAGGAGCGATCTGTGCAGGCCCTCGGCAGGCTCCTATGCAGTCGACAAGTTGAGTGGCAGATAGACTCTGACCTTTGGACGCCGTTCAGGATTGACGAATCGTGCTTTCGGTATGAGGCAGTAATGTAGACAGAATCGTATGTGGTGGTGGTACTTTCGACAGTCGTTCGTTGCGAAAGGTGGTGGACGCCGAGAAGGATGTCTTGAGGGCAAGGTGTTTGTGTGTGGAGTGGGGAGGTCGCTTACATGCGTGCGTGCAGGAGGTGCAGGGCCAAAAGATAACGCTGCGGAACTCGGTCAAGGGCGGTGCGTGAGAAAGGGCGCTGTGCTGCGCTGTGTTTCAACCGCGCGAGATGTCTGCAGTTCTGCAACTCGGATTTCTCGACTTGAGATCTTCTTTTTCAACGAGATGGTCCTTGCATCTTGACAAGGCGTTCCACTCGGCTGCTCACTAGCAAGCCTCTAGACGGACCCGAAAGACCACCGCAACGATGCCATCGCAAGAGGAGTACGAGGCGACGCTCGCGGAAGAGCTCGAGGTGCTCGAAAGTATCTACATCGACGAGCTCGAAAAGATCTCGACCGAGCAACTGCGCATTCGCATCGAGCCAGAAGAGGACGTACTCCCCCTGCTCTTCTCGATTGGCCTCGAACCAGGACAGACGCCAACAGAAAGCGTCGAAGAGGGCTCTCCATCACCCATCGTGCTTTCGCTTGATATTCAATACACTACCGAATACCCCGATGCGCCACCAAACATGTCCATTCGCGTCTTGCGCGATACCAAAGGCGTTCTTGGGCCAGCGACCGACGATGACGATGATGACTCCGAAGATGCAGCATGCTCAGATCGACCCGCTGTAACAGAGCTGCAAGCAGGACTCGATGAAGTAGCGCAAGAATCGCTCGGCATGGCCATGGTCTTCACGCTAGCCTCCCATCTTCGTGAAAGTGTCACCACACTCATCCAGCAACGCGTACAAGAGATCGAATCGGCAGCAAGCGCAAAGCGCGAAGCAGAGATCGAGGCCGAAGCCGAGAAATTCCGCGGCACCGCAGTCACACCCGAGAAGTTCGCCGAGTGGAGGGTCAAGTTCTTGCAAGAGATGGCCGAGAAGGACAAGAAGGAGGAGGATGCAAAGCTGTTGAAGCTGTCTGCGAGAGAGAGGGAAGAGTACAAGAAGAGCAAGGTCAAGCCAAGTGGCAAGCAGCTCTTCGAGAAGGGCGGAACACTGGATGATGACGACGCTGCCGAGGAAGGTGCACAGGAGGTGGACTGGAGCTTGTATACGAGGGAACAGAGAGAGAAGGAGAGGAGAGAGCAGGAGGAGCAAGACGAGCTCCGGAGTCGGACCGATGGGCTCGCCTTTGACGACGATGACGATGCGTGATGGCGCACTGCTGCACTGCTTTCCGTAGGGGATCTCACGCCTTTGTATAGAGCTGCCGCTCAGTCTCACATCACAACCTGTACTACTATGCATTACTCGCAACGACACTCGTAACCCACCTTATTGAACAGTCATGTGGTGTGCAAATCGAGCTTCTTCATTGACAACGCCGGGACCGACAGCCGTCTGCAGTCTCTCCTATGTCGCACAGGCTGGCATGAGCATCAAGACTTGACTGGTACCGGCGGCCTCGGCTACCGTCGTCTTGACTCGCTGCTGCCGGTCTTGGAACGCGCTTCTTTGCAATTCTCAGCCCATTTTGGGATCGACGCCGCGTCGCTGTTGGACCCTCTTTCGACGCTTCCTTCCCCCGCACTTGCCACTCTTTCACATCCCCTTCCGACAACCATCCTCGACCCTCGAAAGACGCGACCGCCGGCGTTCGCATCTCTCTTCATCTCTTCGTCCATCCGTCGCCCTTTCTTGCTCCATCTACTAGACTCGCTCCGATTCAGACGAGATGGCCGCCGCAACAACCACACCGATCGCGGTGCATCGCCCGCGGACCCTCGTGTCGGCGTGGCTCTTCCTCAGCTCCTTTGTCGTCGCCTGGGATATCGGCTACATTCTGCTGCGACCAAGAAGTATGCTCGGCGGTGACCTGCATTGGATCTGGTCACCCTACTCACTCTACATGAACGTCGACTACATCTACGGTCTGCCCTCGTGGGACAGCAAGGATGGCTTCCCCGCCGCCCAGTCGCTCATGAACGTCGGCGAGAGCATTCTCAACCTGTTCTACATCTATCTCGTACACGTCAAGGCGACGCCCTCCTCACTGGCTGTGGCACCCATCTGGGGTCTGACTGCGGTCGTCATGACGCTCTCCAAGACAATCCTTTACGTTCTCAACGTAAGTTACCGTGTTCCCTTTGTGAATGTGTACTCTAAAGCTGACCCTTCCCTTGACTCGTGGTGGCCATAGGACTACTGCTGTGGATGGTGCAAGACGGGACACAACGACTGGTACACGCTTATCGTCTATTGGATCCTCCCCAATGGTCTCTGGATCCTCTTCCCCTCCATCATCGCTTTCGTGTTCATCCGAGAACTGTCTACGACGCTCAAGGTCGCGGCTGGAGTACAAGGTGCGATCAATCATACTCCCCTGCAGCCCATCGCCGCCGCCACGACGGCCGGTGAAGGAACAAGTGAAAAGACGTCAGGGTTGGGCTCTAATCCGTATCTGGTTGATCATTCGCAGCTCCCGAGCTGGGCACAGGACAACGCGTGGATCGTCAAGGGCTACCGTCGCCCCGGAGGAACACACCAAGAGGAAAGGCTAAAAAGCTTTGACCACGGAACCGTGTACAAGTGCTGGCGTAGCGTCTGGCTCTATTGGCACAACGAATCTGGTAAGCATGCAGCAACATCGATCCGTGAGGTCTTGCGGCCCCGACTGACGTTTTCGCTTCTTTTGTTCGTCTTGATGATACAGTCAACATTCACACGCATCTGTGGGGTGCTGTCTTGTCTGTCGGCCTTTCTGCTAGTCACCTGCTCCAGCATTTCGACCTTTTTCCCGCCTTCGTCCGCCCTCTTTCGCACCATCGCTTCTTCTATCCGTCCAGCCTGACGTTTACCACCTTGTCCGGCAAAGTGCTCCGTCTCGCCTCCGCCTCTTACCCATTCACTCCGACTTCCATTCCCGTCCGCTCCGATCTCCCCTCAACATCGACAAGCTTCCTCGGTCGTGCGCTCTCCCTCCTCACCTCATCCGCCGCTCCAGCTTCCACCATCACCACCAAGCTGACCAACCTCACCATCCGCGGTCCTGACACACTCGACATCTTGGGCTTTACCACCTTCTTCATCGGCGCCATCATCTGCCTCGGCTTCTCCGCGACCTTCCACACGGTCCAGTGTCACTCCCAACGTCTTGCCAAGCAGTGCAACAAGCTCGACTACGTCGGCATTGTCGTCATGATCGTTGGCTCCTTCCTCCCTGCCTTGCACTACGGGTTCTACTGTCATCCGCATTTCCAACTGGCCTATTCTGTTGCGATCACCTCCCTCGGTGCGCTAGCGATGTATGTTGTGATTGCGCCTTCGTATGCTACGCCGGAGTATCGATTCCATCGCACCTGCGTGTTTCTCGTCCTGGGTCTGTCGGCGGTCATCCCCGTCGCTCACGTGCTGCAGCTCTACGGCTACCGAACCATGACCCAAACCATGGGCTTGCGGTTCCTCATCCTCTCCGGAGCGCTCTACGTCGTAGGTGCCTGCCTCTACGCTGCGAGGATCCCGGAACGATTTGCACCCGGCAGGTTCGATTTGTTTGGAGCAAGTCATCAGATCTTTCACTTTCTCATCCTCGGCGCTGCCGCAGCTCACTATGTGAGTATTAGGAGAGCCTATGCGTTCTGGCACACCGTCGAGGCGTTGGGTGCTGATGGTGGGAGAGCTGGTGTCTGCGCTGCGTTGCAGGGGTAGTGTACAATTAGGATGGGCTTTTGATAATGATACAGGATGCTATGGCGATGGCGATGATGATGATGTGTGGAAGCCGCAGTGTGGATATGGAGTCGATCAGGTTTGAGATGACCGCGGACGGGGCGGCCAGGATCGATTCTGTTGCGGTGAGGGAAGGGCCCCGAGAAGCAGCTGAAGTTGAAACCGGCAGTTGTCTTGGCCGGTGCGGAGAGCTCTGCGATGCGACCAAGTAGTCCAGCTTCGACGTCAGGTCATCCACCTTGGTGTGCAGCTGCTGCACCTCGTCGCTGCGCCCTTCTGTGGGTCGCGCGTGGCGAAACCCAACCGCCTTTGATGCTTCGTCAGTCTCTTCATCGAGAGCACCAGCATGTTGAGGGTCCGTGCCCTGCGCATCCGAAGAGGAAAGATGGGGGAGCGAGAGCAGCGTCATGTGGTGCAAGCTCGCCATCTTTGCTCTGAGGATGGACTCGAGTCTGGCCACCATCTTGTCCGGATCATCCGCGGTGTACGGGACGAGCATCTCGCCGAGCGTGATCTCCTTCGACCGCTGATCCGCCAGCTCTTCCTGCCGTAGCGGGGAAAGCACTCCTTCGTCTTGCAGTGGCTGTGTTGACGAAGGCGAGGTTGAACTTTGCGCCTCTGCGTTCAGAGGCGAGATCAGCTGCATCCACTCCAGAGTATCCGTGGGTGTCGGGGGCACTACTAAATCCCTCAAATCATCCAACAGTGCCCTGACCCTCCCGTCCCTCCCCTCGCCTTCACCATCCAGCGTCTCCCTGACATCCCACCACACACCCCACAGCAGAGCACACCACCGAATCAACGCCTCTCTCATCCTCTCCTCCCGTCTCCCCCTCCTTTCTCGCTCCTCCTTCTCCACCCGCCCCCTCAGCTCGCCGCTCACCAGCGTCCTGACCACCTGGCCACGGGGCAACATTTCCAACCCTCCGAACCGCACCTCTCTCTGCGTGATTGCATCGGTACTATACCTCTCCGGCGCAACACACTCAGGAGGGATGGTCCAATTGTGACTCAACCCTTCGGAAAATTCGTCTAGGCTCCAAGCAAGGGACGTTTTGGGGTCCAATATCGCAGCTAGGGAGGGTAGGAGGGTGAGGTCGGAGGCAATACGTCGTGCGACGGGAAGGGTGACCCAGAAGTCGTCGAAGGGTTCCAGGCCCGCCAAGCTGAGGTCGAAAGAGGTCGGGGGGAGGGCGAACCGGAGAAGACCTTGGATCGGCGTGAGACCGGAGGAGAGGAAGATCGGGGACAGGGTGATGTACGGCGTACGGTGTTCCGGATCGAGGATGCGGGTGATGGTGAAGGTGCCGCTGGGAGAGGTGAGGGTCGTTTCCAGACACGGGCAGAGGGCTGCGTTGGGTCGACGAGAGAGGCGGAGGACGAAGCGCAGCGGTGAGGATCTTCTTGTGGACAGCCGGGTCCAGAGGCCGGACGATGTCGAGGCGGGCTCGGAGAAGGGATTCGTGAGCGCATGTGCCATCTCGGATGGTGGGCCTTAGCGGTTTGGGCGTAACATCGCAATGGCGGCTCGTGCTGATGTTCGCCACTGCTTGATGACGGTGTGAGAGAAGCAAGTGGTGGTTTGAAACTCAAGACGTGCATATAAGAAAGAGGGTCCAAGCGGAGCTGCAGCTGTCAAAAAGGTCGCGCTGCGTTTTCACGATCTTGCAAAATGCTGAACCATACGAGAGCTACTCTCTCTCCCTCGAAGCAAATGCGCCATGCTGCCGCCCACTGAGCTTAGATCTGAAGAAAGAGCTGCTGCTTCACGATCCGACGAAGACAGCTGGGCGGATGCTATCACTTGCACTTCACAGAAGTCAGTGCGATGAGACAAAATGCTATTGGGTGTGATAATGCTACATGAATGCTAGATGCGATCATACGATCGTCTTCTCGGTCGACTGGGTCGGTGCAGGCGTCATCTTCTTGCTGTGAACATCCTCCTGCTTCTCCATCTCGCTGCCCTCCACGGCCTGCGACTCCTCGTCGACAATCTTGGACGCGTCGACCTCGGTCCTCCTGAAGTAGACGCGCTTGCCCCACTTGTACAGCTCGATACCGCCAACGAACAGACCCGTGCAGATGAAGATGATCGCCCATTCGTAACCCAGGCCTGTGTGGAGGAAGACGATGTCGTTGAGCCCGGGGATGTAGACGATGGGGAAAACGCTGAAGAAGCCACCGACGACGCAGATGAACAAAAACTTGTTGGCACCCCAGGTGTCCTTGAACCACTGGTTGTACCAGGTGCCTCCCTCGCGCATGTTGAAGAAGCTTCGGCGGACATCGACGACCTCCCATGCCAAGAGCAGGGAGAACCACGTCATGACGGCAAAGGTCGAGGCGCGGGCGCGGAAGACGAGATCGCACACATCGCTGTGTTCCGAATTGCAGTTGATGCCCAGCTCGCCGTTGCCAAAGCCGAACTCGACGAGAGTGAAGGTGGCCAAGCAGAGGACGGCCATCCAGAGACCATAGACGGCGAGGTCGATGAGCATCTCGGGGCTGAAGACGCCCCACTTGTTGGATCGGGGCTTGCGACGCATCACGTCCATGGAGGCTATCTCCATGCCCAGACCCATAGCGGGAAGACCAGAGGTGACCATGATGATGTACAGAATCTCCACGGGCGAGAGAGGGAAGACCGACAGTCCAGTCTCGTCCTTGAATGCCAATCCGATGAGAAGCACCGATGCCTGGGCGACATTCTGTGCCAACAGGTGGCAGACGAATTTCGAAATGTTGTCGGCCATTCGTCGACCTTCCTCGATGGCGTTGCCGATCGACGCAAAGTTGTCGTCCACCAGCACAATGTCCGAAGCATCCTTGGCAACGTCCGATCCGTTCATGCCCATGGCAATACCGACGTCGGACATCTTGAGCGAAGGGGAGTCGTTGACGCCGTCACCGGTCATGGCGCAGAACTTGCCGCGGCGGTGGAGCGCCTCGATCATGCGGACCTTGGTCTGGGGGGCGCAACGGGCGATGACGAGGGGAAGTTGCGGAAGAGCATCGATCTCGGCTTCAGAGAGCTTGTCGAATTGCGAGGCGGTCATGACCATGCTGTCCATTTCGGCTTTGCTGTAGCGCGTCGTGTTGCGGGGAACAATGCCAACGTCGAGAGCGATGGCCTTGGCGGTACCAGGATGGTCACCGGTGAGCATGCGGACCGTGATGCCCGCCTCCTTGCACTTGCGCACCGCACCCGCGGTCTCGGGGCGAGGAGGGTCGTAGAGACCAACAAGACCGAGGAAGATCATGTTGGACTCGACGTCCTTGCGCTCGAGCTCCTCGTCGAGGTCCTCTTCGGCGGCGGTGAGCTTACGATGAGCGAGTGCGAGGACACGCAGACCCTGGCTGGCCAGCGCCTCCATGTTCTCCAACACCTGCTTCTCAAACTCCTCGTTGAAATCGATCTTGCCATCAGCGGTCTGGGCGGACGTGCACGACTCGAGTACGCGCTCGACAGCACCCTTCATCATGGCGTAGCTCTCGCGCGCCTGGTTGTCGGTGTAGGTGACCGCCATGCGCTTGACCGAGCTGTCGAAGGGGTATTCGGTAATCTGCGTCCACTTGGCAGCGGAACGGTCCTTCTCGGTCACCTCCTTGTCGGCGTCGTTGCCCTTGGTGAGCTTCAAGCGACCCCATGCGAAGCGTGTGACAAAGGTCTGGATGGCGCACTCGGTAGGGTCGCCGTGGGCCGTCCAGGCGTGCGTCTCCTTGTCCTTGAACACAGTGGCGAGGTTGCAGAGCGAGGCGACGTTCATAAAGTTTTCGAAGTGCTCGTTGCCCTTGACCTTGTCGGACTTGCCGGAGCGCGCGACGACCTCGCCGTCGTTCTCGGTGCTGTTGGTCGTCTTGGCATTGCGAGGTTCGACATCGTTGACGGACACCTCGCCGAGGGTGGGGTTGAACGGCTCGTTGGTCTCGGAAACGCTGTAGGTGCCCGATGCGGGGACCCACGCCTTGCGGACCACCATCTTGCCTTGGGTGAGGGTGCCGGTCTTGTCGGAGCAAATGTCGTTGATGGATCCGAGAGCTTCAAGCGACTCGAGCTTGCGGACAATGACATTCTTCTTGACCATTGCCTTGCTGCCCATGGCCATGGTGATGGTGAGGACGGCAGTGAGCGAAGCGGGAATCATAGAGACACCGGTGGCGACCGCGTAGATGATGACCTCGTTGTCGGTCCAGTTGTTGGAGAGGAAGACGATGATCGCAAAAAGCACAGCGACGAAGAAGAGCGACACGGCGAGCTGCGAAAGACGTCGCTGGAGCGGAGTGCCCTTGTTGGTGCCGAGGAAGTTGTTGATCTTGTCCCAGACGGTAAGAGCACCAGCTTGGACGTAGTGGTGGGGGAGCGCCTTGCCGTAGGCGTTACGCTTGACGTCTCGGATCTTCTGTGCCTTGGCAGCTCCTCGGAGGGCGTCGGCGATCTTGCCGATCTCGGTGTTCATGCCGGTACCAACGACAATCCCGCGGGCACGGCCCTTGGACACGGTGGACGAGGTGAAGGCCATGTTGAGACGGTCGCCGACACCGATGTCCTCGGCTTGAGAGTAGATCTGGTTGTGGTCCTTGGCCACGGGAAGCGACTCGCCCGTGAGGAGAGCCTCGTCGGTCTCGAAATTCATCGAGTCGATCAGTCGGCAATCAGCGGGGACAGTGTCACCGGTAGTGAGCTCGATAATATCACCTGGGACCACCTCGTTGGCCGAGATAGTCTCGCCATCACCGTTTCGGAGGACGCGGGCAGTAGGAGAAGCGAGGTTGCGAAGTGCGTTCATGGTCTTCTCAGCCGAGAGCTCCTGGAAAAAGCCGACGACGATGTTGATGCCGACGACACCAGCGAGCACACCGCCTTCGATCCACGATTGAATGCCAAAGGAGACACCCATGGCAAGGATCAGGACCAAGGTCATGGCGTTAGCAATTTGGTGCAGCATGATCGTCCAAATGCTAATTTCGTCGCCGCCCTCGAGCTGGTTGGGACCGTACTCTTGGCGTCGCGCCTCGATCTCCTTCTTGTTGAGACCGTGTTCGGCATCTTCGACGCCCAGAGCACGCAGGACACTGGTGTAGTGGTGCTGCCATGCTCCCTCGAGCGCCTCGTCGATCGAAATGTCCGGACCTTGGACGGTGTCGCTGCGTGGGAAGAACTTTTCTTCCTTCTTGGCCACCATTTTGACGGATGCGAAAGAAATTGCTTGTAGATTATTTGATGTGTGAAGCGGGGGCAATGCCGCCTATTGCAGACAGGTAGGTCGACCAGCAAGCTGAATGATGCTCACGGAAGTCTTGTTGACAGTGTAGCTGGATCCCTTGAGCTGATAAGGGAAGCGAGCGTACGTGTGGGGGAGAGGAGGGAAGGGAGGCACATAGATATGTGAGGGGTTTCGATCGTCGATCGCGATGATTCGGTGGTGGGAGAAGAAGGAGGATGAAGAAGCCGCCGGACACTCGAGGTTATATACCTTCCACGTGAAGATGCTGAGTCGGATGACCACCTATCTCGCAGCGATTGCGAAGCCCTGGAAAGAGCCGTTAGCGTTCGCCAAGACCGCAGGCTGCCGACGTCAGATAAGGGGGGCCAAGGCAGTAGCGCAGTGTCGGAGTTTAGAGAAGAAGTGGTCATCTTGGCCTTGATCGCGAGCAAAGGCCATTCGAGTGATCTTGTGCCGTGGAGCAAGAGGGCTCAAAGCCACGCGCGAGCTCGTACCGAAGGAGTGACAGGGAATGCCAAGACTGCGGCTTGCGGCATCATTATTGACGCTCGCAGATAACACTGGCGCCGGTAACTAACTGCGCTCAGATGGGGCATCTGCAACCTCATCAAATGCAATGAGGTACAAAGACATAAAGGCGCTTCAGCGGTGTCCTTGAGCTCTGTGCATCAGCAAAAATCGCTCAAGGCAGAATGAACCAACAAGGCGTCACCAGGGTCCAAGACGGCGGGGCGGCAATGGTAGCGTCGGAAGCGAGCGGAACTGTGCCAGTGCGTCATCATGGCACTGACGCCGAAGGGACTCTAGCCAAGAGCCGAGCGAGGTACGATGCATGACAAGGCGGAAAACAACGGTCATCTGAAGCCGAAGAGGGTATGGAAGCTTGGGTCGAGACTTCGGGAAGGCGGAACACCAGTCACAGTTGGTCGCGGCGCTCGTTAACGTTCCGCTTCCATCTCGACAAGCTGAGGAACAGGTAGGCACCGGAAGAGAGAGACGGACGCATTGAAGGCCAAGAGCTGACGGCACAGTTCGAACTTTACGGGTCACCTAGTCGTATTGCCTTGTTGGACAGTGATGACTGTGGATTTCCTGCCGCATTCTTGATGCCAAGATGTGCCAAGACATGCTGTCTCTTGCTCTCTCCTCATGCCCGAAATAGGTGCCGGAAAGCGACGCAAGCCTGACGTGAGTCTTGGCGTGTGGAGAAGAGCTGGCAGAATTAGGCTATCACACTGCTCGAGTGCGGTGTTTGCGCGCGTGGCTTCCATTTCTCGGAGAATAAGTTTTCTCGCGTCAAGACAAGTTCCAACATCGGTGTTGAACGTTTCTGTTGCCGTATGATGCTGGCCTTGCACCGTCTAACCCGGATCTGTCTGCGTCAAGGCAACACAGACGTGTGTTCCGAGACGTTGACAAGATGCCATTTTGCCAGAGAATACGCCGGAGAGGTGGCCGACTTGTAGAACCGATTGACAGAGGGCGCCATGACTGAGGTTGTTGTACACCGAATCCCTACGAGCGCCCTGCTTCAGAAGGGTCGAAAGGATACGGAATCATGGAGACCGGTGACCACCGGCCCACACTGCTACGACGGAGAACACCGAGGCGCGGCCTGCCTGCCGACGTAAAGCAGCTGCCCTGTCGAGCATGCCAAGAAGGTACCGTCCTCACGTGGCATAGCCGACCTCGACCAGCCATCGAAGCTCCGATCGGCTAAGATCAGTGCCTGTAGAGACAGTCGTCCCCGTAAGGACACGCATCCCCTCTAGCTACTGTGGGGCACTTGCGCCGTTTGAGGATGGCCCTCAGTCGCTCCTTGTGAAGCAGAGGGAGGGGTTCGTGCGAATACTTGCATCTCTCGCCTTCGTGGCAACCTTGCGATGTCAGGTGGTGGAACAGGCACGGCGTCGACGCCAGTTGCTTGGTCTCGACAGCCACTGCCTCGTCCACATCGTGCTTGCGTTGAGCCAGATCGTACAGCGACAGTTTGCCGTTCCGGAAGAGGTAATCGAGGTCGATCGCCCGATGCGCGTACTGCTTGTAATAGTTCGACTCGACTGCGTAGCCGGGCACCTGGACCAGGTGCACTTTCTTCTCTAGCAAGCCCATTTCTCTGATCGCCCTGAGCTCCTCCATATACCCAAAATCGTCCAGTCCGCCCAAATAGGCTTTGAAGCAGTCGGGGTCTTGGATCGCATCTGCCAACGCTGCTTTGACGCGAAGGTCGGCTGCCTGATCGCCGCGTCCCACGTTGACAACGTAGTTGTGCAGGCTGCTGTCAGAGAGCCCCTGCCAGAAGTCGATAAAGGCTCCTCTCCGAACAATTCGAGTGCCTTCAAGAACTGTGGTGAGTGCATGGAGCGCACAGAAGGCACGCACGCGCAGGTCGAGCATGTGCGGAACGAGTTGGTGCTTGTGCGCGATCTTATTACGCAGCTCTTCGTAGACAAATCTTCCGCCGTCGTAGCCTTGGGTCATGTGGCGCGGATCGAAGAGCAGGTTGTCTGCATCCAGGATGAGAACGATGTACTGACGGCGCCCTTGCGTGAGGGCCTGTCTGAGGAACGATGGACGCTTAGGTGCTTCCTGTGCGGGCGTGTCGTCCAGGACTTGCTGATTTGGGCGCCAGGCGGTGTGGGATTGGTAGAATCCTGACAGATCATCCAGATCGGCATTCTGGATGTCTGCGAGCGTCGGCCGCGTGAATTGCGGTTGTGGCTCTTGTGGTGGGGCACTGACTAGCTCTGAAAAAGGGTCCGATACGAATGCAAGTGCGTCCGATGCTGGTGCTGCCGTTTCGCTTGAACCCTCGATCTCGCCTTCACGCCGTTCTCTCTCCGCTATTGTCGTTACCGGAGTCCGAGTCGTCTTCGCGGAGAAGTAGGAGCGAAGCTGGTCTTGCATCAAAGCGAACGAGTCTTCTGGCTCGCTCTCGGCTTCAGCAGCTTCTTCCGATTCTTGTGTCTCTGGTGCAGCGTCCTGCGGTACCAACGTGTCGCGTTGTTTCGGCAGGTTTGCGCCCTTGTCGTCTACAGTTGAAAAGTCCGTGGCTTTCTCTTTGCCCTTTCGAGACGGTCGTGCGGCCGTTTTCGCTTGCAAGTGTGACCGATCGTCTGACCCCTGCGACTGTGACTCCATCTTTCCAGCTGGCTTGCGTCTCATGTGTTTCCTCTCCTTGCTGCTCTGGCCAAGTTGTTCTCTTGGGACCCATTTACCGTTGTTCGGTGCGTCTTGCTTGCTTGGCAGCCTTTCTGACTCTACTGTCTCTTTTGGTTGGTATTTCCGGTCACGTCGCGCGTCTGATCCCCATTTGGATACTGCAAGCTCATCCGTCGACGTCGAGAGCATCCGTGTTGATGGTTGCCAGCAGGACGGGCTGCGGATCACGGCCTGGGAGCTGCTGCTGCTGGAAGCAACAGCGTAGATCGCAGCCCTACTAAGCCTGCTGGAGCTCGCTGCCCACATAGCGTCCGGCGCAATCCCCTTATAATCGCGATGCTGTCGAACGAGTGTGAAGATGAAGATGGACAAGGTCTCACTTTTCCTCCGCTGCAAGCTCCCTTTCTTCTTCCGCAAATTGGGCAAGCCGACATCCGAGACCGCATCAGCGTGTTGGACCCTGAAAGCTGAGTTGATGCAAGAACAACACTCGTGTCTTGCTTTCCAGCTACATACCACCCACCCTCGCATTCTCGGCATGCTAGATTCACAGACATAGAGAAGCGGAAACTCGCTTCTATTGCTTCATCTCTCAAACATGGACAAGGGAAAGGCTCGGCAGCTCGATGCCGAGACAGTTCCACCACGAGATCGACTCCAAGACTCACCGCTCACCTACAACCAGCTCGTCTCCGGCATCATCGACTTCCTCGAAGTTGCGTTCCACACCATCCTATGTATGCGCTCCGTATACCCGTACGACGTATTTGCGAGACGTAAGAAGTATAGCCATCCTTGCTACCAATCGCGGCATCCAGGGCTCAACGAGTACATCTCACGCGTGCTTACGGCGCTCAGGGGCGAAATAGAGAAGAGTACCATCAGCAAGGTCATCCTTGTCATTCGGCCCAACGTCGTCGTTGAGCCCGCGGGCTTCGCTGGAAGCGGATCATCGGTGGGGGTAAGCTCGAGCGATGGAGGAGCGGGAAATCCTGCCGATGCGTACGAGCGTTTCGTCTTCAGCCTAGACTACATTCTGCCATCGACGTTGATAGATCCGCGGGATCGAGATCTGGCGATATCCAGCAACGTCACGAGCAGCGAGCTCGAGATGATCTTCCGAGGCTTCATGCAGAAGCTAATGGTCGTTGACGGTATTCTGTACGATATGCCTTTGGCACCGGGGGCAAAGGGCAACGATGGCGATGCTACAGCTGCAGAGCTGACCTTCGCGGTGGTTCTCGAGATGGCAGACGAAGACACATCGCCCTCTGGCAAGGATCGCAACGAAGCGACAACCGGTGACTGGATTCCTGCAGATGCGGAGAACCTCGGTCGAACCCATAGAAAAGATACACGCGCAGCCGACAACGGTCATGCTGCCGACTCAACACCGAAGATCCGGCCTATCAAAACGCTCGATTCGGGCGTCATCAATCTCATGCTCTACGTCGAAGAGGACATCTACGCGAAGTCGGGCAAGACTCGCCCTCCACGCAGCTCACCGTCGAAACGCAACACCGTCCGCCCGACCTCTGCACAGCCCACACGCACGCACGGGGTGGAAGACGACCTCCTCCACTCCAAGGCAACGCAGATCGACGTCTCGTCCGTCACAGCGGCGGCAGGCAATGCGAGGGAGCTCAAGAACCGAGCGCGTCGCTTGGACGCCGAACGCGATCTAGACCAGCCAGCTCTGGCCGAAGCCGAGGCTGAGCCGGACATCGCGCAGGCGAAGAGCAAACGGAAGCGCGCGAGGATGGTGCTCGGCGAGACGAGGGCGGCAGAGTCGGCGTCCGAGTCGTCCGAGTCCGCGCCGAGCTCGCCTAGTGGAAGCAGCCAGAGTGTCAGGGATGATTTCGGCGGTCAGCTCAGTGGTGGGTTCTGAAGATTGCTATGCTGTGTTCTATGCTATGCTCTATCTATCATGCGTGGACAGTGTCGTCTTCAGACTGTCAGTGTTGGTGGACGGTCTGTGACGATGGCTGATGAGAAGTTCGTTGACTCGCAGCAGGAACGCTCTACTCGGGGCAGCACGAGGATTAGCACTGACTAGCCACTGAAGTCGTCGTTTTGTTGTGTCTTTGCTAATTGCCTCTCTGTGCCTGGTGCACTCTTGCGACTCGGGGTTTAGTCGGCGTTGATCGTCAAAGCATGACGCCAGGATGGCCACGACGAGGCTACCAGAGAGATCCTTGCCATCCTGGCAACAAACCAGCACCGTTCTGTGCGCTTCCGATGAAGCAGGAGCTGCAGTCAGGGTGCGATGTGCCGCCTCGATGACTGGCGGAAAGGTGATGCGAATGGTAGAGAGGCCCTTCTTGTTGGGCATCATGTGCAGCGAAAGGACCTTAGATTGAGGAGCCGAAAGGCTGAGGGCGGTCAGCGACGCTACGAGATCGAGTGTAGTGCTGCTTGTATCAGCAGGCTGGCTCGTGAAGTGTATGATCAGGTCGTACCGCTCCTTTTCTTCATCCGTGAAGACGTGAACTGCAGCTCTCGAGCCGATGAAGACGCCTGTGTCACCGACCTCGGTGTCACCACCGCTTCCATTTGCAGCTGTCTGATTGCCGATCTCTTGCGAAGCATTCTCGGATCTGCCAAGCGGTGTGAACCAGTGTCCACCCAAGTTCGCCTCGCTAGCTGCGTCGTCCGCGACGATCCGATCCACCAAGCTTTCGATCTGGGCCTTGTCGCAAGCTAGGAGCTCGTCGTGGTGCTTCCAGAACATGTCCGGCGTCAGACCTCTGGCCCAGTTCTCGTGGTCGTCGCCTGCACCTTGCACGTAGACAAACCCACCCTTTGATCCTTCGATCCCAACCGATTCATCGCGGCCCAGATTCGCCGAGTCCGAAACGAAGTGCGATGCCGACACCAGCACTATCGGGGTGAAGTCCCTGAGGTCGGCTTGCATCGAAGTTGAGATTCCTTCGAGGTCCGTCTGAGGCGTGACGAAGATCGGCTTGAGCGGCTTTCCCAGTCGTGGCACATCGAGATCCGAGTTGAGTAGTGTGTCAACAAAGCCGTCTATCCTGGCCTCGATCTGATCGTGCTCTGTGGGCGGTATCATCCATGACGGCGTCACGAGTGCGTACCCTCCCAAGCCATGGGCGGGACTACCGTACTTTCGATTCGATGCCCTGTTCAGCACAGTGCACCATATTGGTATTGTCTTGCTCAGCGCGTCCGGCATGCTTTTTCCTCTACGTGTTGAGTCGACAACAATCGCACCGCCAGCATCAACAATGCTTGGAACGAGATACAGGTTGGACCGCTTCAAGCTAAACCCCCACTGGTGTGTATGCCCGTCGGTCGACTTGAAGTACGACACGGCCGACGTGATACGAGGATCGGTGTACCATGCTCCACATCGAAGATTGGCCGTAAGCAGAAGTGACGGAAAGAACGAGTGCACCTTGCGGATGAAGGCGGCATCTTGAGCGATCGAGTGGAGCTTGTTGTAGATGTGCCGGGATTCGCGCTTGATGCGGTCGCTGTGCTGCCAGTCTTGACGCGAGGCCGAGGCGCAGGAGACGCCTCCTCCCGGAAGATTGGCGATCTCCATGTCAACATGTTGCATGTGGTTCGCTGCCAGAGGCTCAAGGTACCGCAATGGAAAGGAGGTGTAGAAGGAAGCTCCAAAAAGGCTCGAGCTCGAGAAGCACAAAAAAAGAAGGTTGAGGACCCTGAATTTCCTTTGCGTCGTGCAGCAAAGTGATGGTGCCTGAAGCGGTAACTCAAATGCTTCTCAAACCATCACTATGGACGTCGACGCTCGAGCTTTGGTGTGTCGAGTCAAGGCAAAGTCCCTAGCTTCCAGCAACGACAGTCGATGAGCTATCGAGACGCTCACACGGCACCTCAGGCAAGTCTCACGGATAGAAATGATTCCGCTCCTTACCTCCTACTAAAGCTCGTCCCGCATCCACCAAACTAAACAAGCACCCTCCGCTCTTCGACATCAGTGAGATCGGCACTGCAACGACCCACACGGACAGTCGAACACTGGTCAAAGTCGGTCTTCGTGAGACGGGACTGGTAAATTGAGTGTTCTGTATTGATCAAACGTCGATAATTGTTTGCTGCTTAGAGTTTAGCGGAGTCCTTGAACTCGCCGATGTGGTACTCAGCGGCGACCTTCTCGAGGATCTTCTCGCTGTGGTAGGTCCAGAAGGCCTCAGTGGAGTCCTTGCCGCAGTTCTTGAGCAAGATCTTCTTTCCGCCCGGGTGCTGTTTGTAGTTTCGAAGATGATAGATATGACCAAGTCGAAGTTGTGAGACAAGGACACGGTAGTGGAGATTGTCAGTACGAGCCTGTCCTTTGACGCCACGTCTGACATGTAGGGTCAGAGTTAGGGGCACCACTTACGTCGTCAAGAAACTTGGTGACGTCGTACACCTTGCCTTCGACGACGGTCCAAGCCGACTCCTCTGTAGAAGCCAATGTGGAAAAGTTTGATCGAGATCGTCGCATTGCATTGCGAGGGCGAGGGCAAGTGAGAGGAAGTGGTCAGCAGGCGTACGAGAGTCAGGACGTGCTCGACCACTGAGCCAAGGTAAGCTTAGCTGTGCGGTGGGACTTACCGGACTTGTGGTTCTTGAGCTCGTTGGCGTCGATCTGCTTGCCCATGATGTACAGCTTTCTACTTTGCGGTATCGGATTGTTTCGTGAGATGAGAATGCAGAGGAATGCCAAAGCGAACGCTAGAGGAAGTCCGCGCGGTATGATGGTAGTTGCTATCAGCCAAGCATCAAGGATAACGGCGGATCAAGGGTTCTCTGTGGGGATCGAGCTACAGTATCCACCGGCAGTGCGCGCTTAGCCTGGAGCCGTGAGCCGGAAATGTGAAATGCAAGAGTGGATCGTCTGCCAATGCCAAATTTGGATTTCCAAACAACGCATTTGCCATTGGTCAGGCTCTACCGGCAGCTTATGCCTTCTCGGCCGAAATACGATTGCACACTCACCAGAGCAGAGCCGTTGCGCATTGGTTGCCTTGATGGTGTCGACATTTGGTATGATGTCTGACCATATCGTACAAGAAAGCAAAGCATCGGAGCAGCAGAGGCCAAAATCTAAAGAGGCGCCAGCACGCCCCACCTCCAAATCCACTCGCCTGCCTCCTCTACCATATCTTCCGTGACTTCGTGACCCACGCCTGGTCTGCGATGAATTTTCAACCCTGGCATCTCGCCTCGGTTCCCTGTTGGCTCGCCCACCACGAGTCCCTTCAAGAAGTCTTCGTTCCAGTCCCAGTGCACCAGCTTGTCGTTGGCACCGCTGAGCACGCAGATCTTCTTGCCCCAGAAGGGATTCTTTCGTGCATCGAAGCTGTCGTAAGCCGTGTTGGCTGGATCGATCTGCGCAACGAGCGCTTTCAGGCTGGACGGCACGTATGGTGGGCCGTTGGTCACAAACGATGTCTTGGTGCGCGAGTTCAACAGCCGCGAAAAGTCAGGCATGCCGATGAAAGGAACACCGATCTTGATGCGTGGGTCGTTGGCGAGGACGTGCCAGGTCGCATGCCCACCCAGCGACTTGCCTGTGATGACGAATTCGGCAACCGTCCTGTCATCCTGCGGGAAGAGGTAGGCAGGGAGGAAGTCGACGAGGAACGAGGCATCGCGTGCATCACCCACGATCATTCCGTAGAGGTCCATGGCATGACGCGTGTTGCCCTGCTTCCACGCTTTCTGACCTTGAGGATTGGTTGTACGCTGTCCATGATTGCGAGCGTCGAAGCTCACGACGAGGTGATCGCGCTGTATCGACGAGGTCGCGACGAGGCCCTCGTTCTGCTCGTTCTGATGAGCCACCTTGTCGCGCGAGATGCGGTCGTAGAGTTGACGGACAATCTTCTCCTCGTTGTCGGCAGAACCGCCTCGCCCATGCATGTGGATGATCAGACAGACCGGAGGCGGTGGTGGTGCACTAGCCCGAGATGGAGCGGGTGTGAGCTCGTTCAGACCAAACACGTTGACGGGGAGCCCGGCAATGTCGACAACGACTTTGGAAATATCGTTGCCGTACTTGTGCGAGGCTGGCGGCAAAGGCTCATCGTCCTCGTCGTCGTCCTTCGGAGCTGCACCCTTCGCAGGTCGAGAGGATGCGCGCTTCTGCACATCGGGCACCTCTGGAACTTGAGGTTGTACTTCGCCGGTTGAAGGGCCCGCCGCTGCTGCCGAAGACGAGGCGAGTTGCCTCCTGCTTTTCTTCTTGCCGATACCGAAGACCATGTTGTCGTGTTGTGAATGGCAGTGGCGTAGATGATGGAAGTGAGAACCATAGACTTCGACCAAGCTCGGGCCTTGCCTCTTCAGGGGCTCTGAAACCTTGATACTGAGTGCCAAGAGCGGGGTCCAAAGTGTCAAACCAGCGGCTCGTGTGCCATGCGCAGGCGATCCACCTCGCATGTGCCATTTCGCCGAGCTCAATGCCGAGACTCAAAACAGAGCTCCAATCGTGGCGCCAAAAGCTGATATGTGTTAAGCCCGCGTTTCCGTTCGCCGTCTCGAAAAATGAAAAGTGGAGATTTTCACTCGGATGGCCTGCAGACGGTGACGTGAAGCAGCAACGAAACAAAGCTCGAGTTGAACGCACGTTCCACCTTCTGATTTGAAAAACAGGTCTGCTTTCTTCCTCCTCCGCTCGACACACGTCACCGCCCGTCCTCGTCCTGCCATCCTTTCTTCCCGTCTGCCACCACCCTCAACCCTTTTCCGGACCATCTTCAACATCACATTGTGCCATCATGGGTAAAGGCTCTCTTCTGCCCATCTTGGGCCTCGCACTCGCCGGCTTGCTCGCTGGTGCCGCATCCGAATACACTGCTTTCTTCCTCACCAAGGATGGCTCCTTCCGCGCCACTGTCGAAGCGTGCAATCTTCCGGCTCGACAAAAGCTCAAGACCGATCTGACCCACGGCGCAGCTCCGCTCCTCGATAACACGCTTTGTGCCACCATGGGCTTCTTCAAGCTGAGCATGCAGAAGCGACTCAACGTCGGTCTCTTTGCCATCATGATTGCCTTCACCCTGCCTCTCTCCTACCGACTCTGCTTCCAGGCCGTCTCGCCGAACCGCAAGTCGACCTTCAACGCCGGCATCTTCCTCGTCCTGCTCAACACCGTCGGTGCTGCGCTGGGCCTCGGACCCTGGTCGTGCATCTTCTTCTCGCTCGTCTACCTTCCCGCGGCGTACAGCTCCATGAAGACCTCCAAGGCGTCCGTCCTCCCCGTCCCCACACCCGCATGGAACATCTACGTCGCCAACCTGCTTCACGTCGGCATTGGCGCCGTCGCAGCCATCACGGTCTTTGGCGACTCGGCCAGCGCGCTCTGGCACCACGCTGCGCTCCTGATCCAATTCGCCGGTCTCGCCTACCTCCCCATCGCATGGGTGAGCTTCCGCACGCCCAAGGTGAACGACGAGGCCAAATCCCGCAGTATCATCCGTCGCTTCGACGCTGAGGGGGTCAGTTACGCCTTCGAACGCACTTGGTCGTACTACCGCAAGATGGCGGCGTTTTCCACGGTGATCTACTGGTACGGGCTCAACCGTGTCATCCGCGGCGTCTTCTTCCAGGGTGAGACGTTGGATGCTGTATCGTTCTTCTGGTTTGGAGACATTGCCGGTGCTGTGGCAGCGACAGTGTTGCTGGTGGTGGCGGAGAAGACGACGTTTAGGAGCAAGGCGGCGATTCATCCGGTGACGGGAGAACCAAGGTCGCCGTTGGAGATCGAGTGCGATAAAGCCATCGCAAAGGCGCCGGCGGGTTCGCCGTGGTTGGAGAAGACGACGATGGGTTTCATTGTGGCGAGTCTCGTCGGTGGGCCTGGGTTTGCCGCCAGCATGTGGTGGTGCAGCGGCGAGGAGGAGTTGGGTTGGAAGGCGCGCAAGTCGTGGAGGGAGACCGTGGCTGTCGAGGGTAAGAAGACCAAGTAAGGCGGCACCAATCAAAGGTCCACGGCTTTGCTGCTCTACCATGTCCATTCTGTAGATAGTCGCTGCTCAATCTGTATCTTTACGACGGGCTTCAAATCACCGAGCGGTAGGCTGTGAAGAGGACGTGGTCGCATTCTTGAATGGTCGCATTACTTCTTCTAGCGTGGTGTGCTCGTGTAGGCACCAATAGAGTCCATCCAGTCACCACTGGTGCCAAAGAGCCCTATCACCTCCCCCCTTGCATCAGCCGGCTCGAGCACCTTCAACGACCCACCCGTAGTATTGCCTCTCATCCCGCTACTCCTCCCACTCTTGAACACCACCTCGATCGCATCGATCCACTGGCCCGCCCTGACATTGAGCCTCTGCACCTTATCGCCGTACTCGACCTTCATCCGATATGGCGATCCGCCGCATGGACCGAACTGACACACTGCCCCGGTGGAATAGTGCAGCTTCAACCCGTCCAGGCTCATACCACTGAAGATCTCGATCGCGACCAGCGTCCCTGGTGGCGCATCATCACGTGCGTGCGGGAAGATGAGATCCCACTGCTGGCCCCGGCGGTTGATCTGGCCGAGCGAGAGGGTGCGAAAGACGTCACGCGATGGGTCGATGCCGGGGATTTGGAGCGATCGCGCGACACCATGCTCGCGAAACCCGTCCAACTCGGCTTGGCGCATGTTGCAGCCAAGAGCAGTGAGTTTGACGTGCGACGAGGTGTGTTGCATCACATCGAAGCCGACGAGGTTGCTGAGGTATGCCGCGTCGATCAGGGTCTCCTTCGGTGGGAGCTGCGCAGGTGAGGAGGCAGAGGGAAGGTACAGCCACTCGATGTGCGTCTTGTACTGCCCGTTGACTTCGATTTCAATCGCGCCGATGCCGGATGCGCACTTGACGAGCGCACCGCGTGGGGTGCCTGTCCACGAGGGTTCGTTCTCGTTCCATTGGCTCCACGACGCGGGTCTTGATTCGAGGTAGGGCAGTGGCGGATCGGAGGGGATGTGGAAGCAGGGATGCCATCGAGCACGCACGGCTTGCGCTCGGTGGATGTGGTTGTGCTTGTCGTCATTGCCGGCGTGAATCGGGGCGAAGAAGCGGCCCGACGGGAGACCATTTCTCTTGCACCCGGGCTCTCGTGTCATGAAGGCGCGATTCCACTCCACGTACCCTCTAGCCATCAGCCCAGACGGCCAGTGAGGGTTGTTCAGCGCATGACCTGCTTCGTGGAAGAACGCACCAGAGCCAATGTTGAGCGTCTGCCATGCGGTAGGGCATTCATTGAGGTCGTTGACACAGCACGCGTCTGTAGGCTCCGTGTCGAGGAACGCGGAGGTGATCTCACCCAAGGACGACGGAGCGGCCCACAGCCAGTGACTGCCCATCACACCATGCGAAAGACCACCTGGTCCACCAGCACCCAGAGCAGCATGTCCGCGGATCAGCCGCATCTTGGGATCGTACATCGTGTCCAGCGTCAGCACGGCCACCGGCGACCAGTGGAGCTGTCGAGGCGTGGACGGATCGTGGAGTGCTTCAGCAGCGAAAGCATGCATTGCCCCAGCGTTGCCCGCGCCCTGCTTCTGCTGTGCATTATTCGGATCTCTAAATTCTTGAAGTGTATGCCGCGACTTGAGCAGATGGATGCGCGGGAGCAACTCCAAGGAACGCTCGCCTTTTGCAAATGCTTCCTCGTCGTCCAATTGAAACGCCCTTCGGCCCATGCCGTGTCGTCGCATCTGCTCGGCGTGGAATGCCTGCCACAGATAGGCCTGCAAAGCAATTCGCCGCTTGACCTCTACCAAGCCGCCTAATCTGAACGCTTCGCGTCGTGGCCCGGGAGGTGTGTCAACAATCGCGCGATCTGTTTCGGCCACAGCGTCCGTACCGGAGCCCAGATCGAGCTTGTCCATGGCTCTATTGAGGAAGCGAGAGACCTTGTCTCCCTTGGCAGAGGGGCTGGAGGGTTGCTGACCTGGTTTAACTGGGACAGTGGGTGGCTTGCGGCCTCCATTGATCCACACCGGTGAGTCGCACGCTGCCACGATTGCGAGATGCAGCGGAGGCGCTCCTTTCGGTCTGTCGTAGCTGATCGGTATCGTCTCTTTTCCTTCCTGGTCAGGAGTCTTCCATTCGAAAGCCAACTTGTTAGGGCCGACAGTGAGAGGCACCAGCGCCTTGAAATGGCCCTGGTTGATCTCCCAGCTCTGCGCCTTGAAGCCGGATGCGGCATCGTTGATGACAGTGATTGTTCCATCTTGATTGCCTTGCACCGTTCCCTCGACAACCAGCAGACGTGTGAAGACTCTCTCGCCAGACGTCAGGTTGGTGAGCGTCAGAGCAGATGGTGAGTAAGAGGGTGGAGCTCGTGGCGCACCAGGCTTGCCAATCGACTGTGGGCGCGGTGGGATCGGCGGACGCGGTGGTGTTGACGGCTCATTCTTGACGTAAGATCCAGGTCTAGGAGGAACCGCAGGAGGTGGCGGGACCATGCTTGTAGCGACTTACAGGCCGATGGCCCGTCTGCGTTTGGGACTGCTGAGAAGTGCAATGACGGCGCACGACGTGAGGAAGCTGCAGAATCGGAAGAACGCTTGTCTTGAGACAGCCCTTTCTTGGTCGTCTGTTCTCGAGGAGCTGAAGATGCGCCTGAGGTTTGGCAGTGGCATGGCGAGAGAAGGGTAGGGCTTGGCAACGATGATGGTGCGAGGGACAGTTGCCCTGAGCGCGCTGTTCAAGACCCTATCGGCTAAATTTGACATCCACGGAGTTGATCAAGAAATTTTTGGTGACTTGTTCTTCGTCTTGCCTTCCACCACCTCAACATATCCTGGACATCGTGATGGCGGGCAATCATGATGACGACGACAGAGCCTCAATAGCATCATCAAGCTCTACAAGTAGCGAGGCCGATGGGCGCCCGCATTCGCCAACGTCGCTATTCGAAGATTCGCTCTTCTCGCTCTTCTCCCACCACCAACCCGCACACGGCGACCCTGGAGACACATGCAAGTACACGCACCGTAATCTTCCGCCTCGCTATACTTCTTCGTCACGGCGCCCGGCAACACTCCGCTATAAGATTGCCGAAAACAGCGGCACCAACACCAAGCTCTTTGCCCACCATCAATGGGACGCCGGTCTATACCTGGCCGATCTTATTGCAGAACAGAGCGTCGACCATGACGCTTCGGACGTAGTGCTGGGCAAGCGGAGAGAGAAGACATTCGTGGACGTGCGGGACAAGGCAGTGGTCGAGCTGGGCGCAGGAACGGGGCTGCCCGGGCTGGTAGCCTGTGTGATGGGTGCAGACCGAACAGTGGTCACGGACTATCCTGACCCGCACGTCATTGACAATCTCGAACGCAACCTCGACCTTGCCCTTCTACCACGGAAGAGCAGCAAGGAGAAAGACCCACATCGGCACTATCTGGAAGCGCGGAAGCGGGTGCAAGTACTCGGCCTTGGATGGGGCAATGCGGACGAGGAAGAGCGCGTCCTCACTGCCGCTTCGTCGTCCTCCAATCCAGATACGAAGGCAGGATACGACCTCGTACTGGCCGCCGACGTACTCTGGGTGTCTTCCGCACATCCTCTCCTGATTCATTCGATACGAAAGCTGCTCAAGCGCGACCGAGATGCGAGATGTGTGCTCATCGCAGGCTTCCACACGGGTCGTCCTGCAGTTCGGCGTTTCTTCTTCCAGCTCGCACAGCCCGCGGACCAACACGATGCGTCGCTGAAAGAAGAGCGTAAAGCAGGCATCCTCCCAGATTGGCAAGAGACCGCATTCGGTGGACTGTGGGAGCGCAACGTCGAAGGGGTCGAACGTGCGTGGGCCGGCGCATCGATGCCCAGCAAAGCGGTCTACGACGTAAATGGAGCCGTCAAAGACGCCGATGCAGGTCAAGAGGAAGAAGAGATGGGTGACATCAGCGGTCGTGGGAGCTGGGTGGTCGTTGCCTCATTACGCTGGGCCGACTTGGACTAGGTCGAATGGACGCACCCACACACTCGATACGGCACATCCGTGTATATATAGGACTAGATTAAAGCGACATCATACATAAAGGAGAAACGAACACGCGTCGACTGCGACTCTAAGCATCATCATCGCGCTTCTTGTCCTCCGCCTCACGGATCGCCTTGCTGCCATCCTTAGTCTCGTCGAAGTTGTAGAAGGGCAAGTCGAGCAGGATGGTCGATTTGACGGCCTTTGGCAGTCGCTTGTAGAATCCGTTGGGCATTGGAAACAGCAACGAAGTTCGTTCGCGGAAGGCCTTCATCCTTTCCCACGGATCGCTCTCCCTCTGGTCGTTCCAGGGCTCGAGACCCTCGGACTGCTTGTCGGGCCCATGCGACATGAGGAAGTACTTTTGCTGCGTCGGCTTCTCTGCAAGCGGAATACCGGAGAGGAAGAGCAGGAGAGCCATGGTGATGAGGGGCGAGAAGATGGAGCCGTAGAGCGCATCGTGACCTCCCCTGTTCGCTTCGGTGGTGTTGCCGAGGGAAAGCAGCCAGACACCCCACCAAAGTATGATCTCGCCAAAGTAGTTGGGACGGCGAGAGTACTTCCAGACGCCTGCATCGGTGATGGCACCCTTGGGCGCCTTGGTGACCGACTTGAACCTGTACTTCTGAATATCGGCGAGTGCCTCCCATACGAAGCCAATGGCAAAGAAGATGATGCCGACGACATCCTTGCCGTTACCGAAGCGTGCGTTGCCGCCGCCATTGGCAGGATCGCTCGAGTTGGGCGAGTTGAGAACGGTGACAGGCATGGTGATGGTCCACACCCACACCAGCTGGAAGGTCCAGAATCCTAGGAAGCTGAGCGGCTTGGATCGCATCTCGTCGAATCGTGTATCGCCGCCCATCTTGATCATGCGGAAGAGCTGGAATGCGCCGAGACGGACACCCCACATGATGACGAAGATGCTCGCAATGACATTGCGGGCGTAGTAGAAATCACCGCAGCAGAGCGTGAAGATGGCGAGGAAGATGGCGTTGGCTGCGGACCAGAAGTCGGTGATGGTGTCAATCTGGAGGCCGAATGCGATGGCAAAGCCGAGAAGCTGCCAGCCTAGGGAGATGAGGAAGGTGATGGCCAGGTAGTAGTTGTCTAGGACGTGGACGACCATGTTGGCGAAAGGTGTACCTTTTTGCGGGGTCGGCTGTAGGTGAAAGTGGTGATGTTCGGTGAAGAACACTCGCTGGTGGAGTCGTTGCGTCTCTCTGATGGTAGTATTTCGTTCGCAGTGGTGAGCAAGGGTCGAGGTATATGAAGGAAAGACGGTGGTACAAAGTGATTCAGCACCTTTGGTAAGGGTGCTGCTCGCTGCGAGCTCTTCGCTCAACGTCACAGCCAAGCCGAGAGCACCAAAGCATGCCGAATCAGGTGGAGGCGAATCCGCCAAATTCGGCTTTGTCACGGCTCTCTGGAAATTTCCAAGGTCTTTCCGCGGGAATCCCTTTGCGCGCGTCGTCCAAGGTCTCATCATGACTGCCAAGCTTAGACACGGCTGCCCAATCGTCTTGATTGTCATGCGTCGCGATGATGTCGGCCAGTCATCTCGCAATCTCATGCGTCGCCGAAGGCATGTGGTGTCCGGACTTACAGAAGCCAGGATTTGCTAAGCTGCATGAGCCCACGGGATTCGGGATGCGTTTCTAGAAAAGTCGGAAAGCGGACGGGTTCATCAAGCGATGACGCACTTCAACTACCGCCTCCAGATCTCAGCCGTCCCGAGAATTGACCGGTGCCTTACTGACGACCTTGCTCCCTCCATCCCCCCTTGACCGGACGGGCTTGAGTCACGTATGATGGCACTCAAACGCCACTTGGAACGCGTTACGCAGCATGAACGCGGAGGCAACGCTTCTCAACCTCCATCCCGGAAGCCGAGGCCAACGAAGATACGACTCCACCTTGGTCTCCTTTTGATCATATGACGAGTGTTGATGTCAGAGGAAATCAAGCGACGCTTCGAGACTCCAGTGTACATAACCTTCCCTTGATGACCCCGTTGATCTGTAGACTCGGATAGCTTGATGGGGGAAGGAAGCTGAGTCTCCGCCATGGTCAGTAGCGCAGCTGCGACGGCCTAACAAAGGTATTAAATTCGAGATTGAGAACAACACACTCTACGCGCTCTGTTGCAGGCTAGCGCGTTTGACAAGTGTTGCTCTGCCTGACCAAGTCGGCCGGCTCAGCAAGACGGGAAGGTGAGTGAGCAACATGCGCAGGGTCTTGATGAAGCAGCGCCCATTGTTTGCACTTCACTTCTTCCCCTCTCTGGCTGGTGAAGCTCCCTCGATCTCAACCTCACCATCTTGAACGCCTGCCGTCTCTAGCAGACAAGATGAACACAAGCTACGCGATGCCTTCCAGGCGTCATGCCCGAGCACCCCTACAAACTCGCCCACGCCCCACATCTGGCTCGTATCAGCACCCTGCATCACCATATCATCAACCCGCCGCATCGACGTCAAACATGCCCCCTCCTTCATCAACACCTTCCAGCAAGAAGCGCGAGTGGTCATCTACAATAACTCGAAGCGGGTCAGCCTCGATGCCTTTGAACTTTCAAGAGGCCTCATCTTCCGCTGCGTCTCCGTCCCAACACCAGCTTCCAAACACGGAATTCAGCTTCCAGTCAAATATGGGCTTTCCCAGCAGTACTTCGACTGCATCGATGGCCTCGCTCTCATCCATGCCCTCCTCGAGTAGCACAAGCTCCTTTGCAAGTTTCCACCACCACCAGACACCCATGACTGCCAGCCCGTCGAGCTTTCGCACTGCTACTGCTGCAGACGAAAGCGCCGTTTCTGCCCGCAGCACCATCTTCTCGCGCGGCAATCGGTCTGCTTCCGCTGCCTTACGAGAGTCGTCTCACGCGTTGAATATCCCGGATATACCCGAGAATCCACCACGGAAGCGACGTCGAGGTCTAGCAGGCGCAATTGTGGACACAGCCCTCAACGCGGCGCTCTATACGGGTGCCGCAGCGCTCACCGCTTACTCGCTGTGGTCGTCTTGGGGTCATTCAGCGGACAACGAAGATCAAAGGCACCATCCTAGTGATGGACCTCAGGCCGATATGGGGCACGTCATCTCGCCAAACAAGCGCTCAGAAGCTAGCAACGGTATGAAGGCGCTGCCTGGCACACTCGAAGAGCCTCCACCGCCCTACTACGAGCACCATGCGGCTACATCGACGCATCAGCAGGCCTTCACACCGCAATCGAACGCAGCTCGCCAGAGAAAAGTCTTCGTGTCTTCGAGACGCAACGGACGAAGGTCAGAATACGCAGGCCCACGGACGCAGAAGCAAAGCCCGTCGCGAAAAGCAATGCCCCATACATCTGGTAGTCCAGCTCCGTCCTCCAGCTTTTTCAGCCCTAGGCTCGACCTTGCTGCGCCTAATAGCACAGGTACCCGCACTACATTTGGAAACACTGGCGGCATTAGCGATCACAGTGCGGAAGAGGACGAGGAGGAAGACGAGAACGACGAGATGCTCTCGCGCTTCGAAGCCAAGATGGCCGCTCTCATCGCCGAGGGGCAAGCCGCCCTCAACTCGACACCTGTCCTGCAGGACTCTGATCTACGGGACATCGACACACCCTCGCCCAGCCTGGGCATCGGCATGAGCACGCCGCGGTCCAACGCTCCGCCCCTCTCCTCGCGCCCATCTCAGCGCTTCGACAGCCCTTTCGCCACCGCCTCGCCCTTCTCGCACCAGCAGACTCTCGACGCATCGCCAAGCCTGATCCGCTCCAATTCGCATCCCAATCAGCTTCTGTCTGAAAACGCCAACGTCTCCTTCCTCCCCGAGCCGGTCAAGCGTACGTTCGCTACGCCGACAACGCAAGGCGCACAGGGGCTGAGACACTCCCGCTCCGTGTTCGATTTCAACTCGCACGGCCCAGCTGAGCAGTCTCCATTCGCACCTGGCCGCAGCGACTCGCCGAGCGGCAACAGCAGCCCTTCGCTCCGAGCGGCTGGGAGGAGGGTCACGGACTTTGGAGGTGTTGCGCATACGAATGGCGCCTCGTCCCCCGCCGGTGCAAGCAGCCAGCTCAGCCGCATCCCAAGACATGTTCCTCGCAAATCGATGGTCGAACCACGTCCATGATGTTCGCCTCTCGAACCCTCTTCATTATGCTCCATCGCGATCCCTCTACGCAACCTCTCATGCTCTTTATTCGCGCACCTGCGCATCCCAAACAAACCTATCTACCGTTCATCGCGCGTTCGGTCCGCCCGAGATCTCAACCCGAATTCGCGCCCCCAAACAAGCAGAGGCTGATCACACCACACTCTCGTCATCCGCACAGGTCGTGTCTCTGCATCCTTTTCAACACCAATACCATTGCTAACGCTGACTCTCTACTCATCTCGAACGTAGTTTCCGGGAAAGACGCCCTGATGACCGCCCACGATACCGGTCCACCAGTCGTCGGTCGACGCGGTTCGCTCGACGACCTCGATGCGGTCGCCTGCGCGGAAGGTGAGGTCGCCGTCTGCCTGGGCGGTGTAATCGTACAGGGCGACGACGTAGGTTTTTGCGGGTGCGGGTTTTTTCCCGGGTGGGGGTGGGGGAGCTCTCTTGGCTACAGCGCTACCCGTCGCCGCACCGGTTGAGTAGGCGGGTGGAGCAGTGTGACCTGCTGAACCGGTGCTGAGGATCGATCCGGACCGACTCGGTGCACCACCTGCCAACCCGCCGATCCTTGACCCGCTCGGGCTCAACCCTCCAGATCCACTGCTCGCCCGGTTCTGCGCGAGAATCTTCGCACTCGGCATGGCACCCCGGCGAATGCTCAGGTTCTCCAACCGTTCACTGGCATCCGTCAACTGCGCCATGTACGTATTCTCCACCACGGCAATCGAGTTGTTCGTCAGGTCGTACTTGCCCTCTGCAAAGCTCTGCAGCCTTTCCATCGTCAAGTAAAAGACATTCAGCTGCATGTAGTAAAAGCTGTGGAAGAGGGGGGTCATGAAGGCGCTGGCCAACTCGAAGAACCTTGGAAGTTCCTCTTTGAGTGCGTTGTTGTAGTACTCGTAGTCGGCGGCGGCGGTTTCGTAGTCCTGTTCGACCTTGAAGAGGTTCTGCTCGTCCTTGAGCGATTTCTCCTTTTTGTCCTTGAGCTTGGAGTACGAGTTGTTGTGACGGTCGAAATCGACGAGCTTGTGATCGCGCTTGGTGATGTTTTTGCGAATGGCCTTGATGATGGTCTGAAAATCCTTGGTGGGCGAGATGACGCGCGATTCGATCAGCTCGATCTCGGGCGTCAGAGTGTCCTTGAGCTCATCCATCAGCTGCCCGTAGTGGGCGAGGTTGGTCATGGTCGCTTGCGCATTGGGATGCTTGCGCTCCAGGTCGTACTCCGATCCTAGCGGCTGGAAGAGCGTATCGAAATGACGACCAAAGTTCGAGCCGGAGAGCAGCATGTTCTTGACAGCATCACGGAAGGACGATGCGTCTTTCAGGAGCTTCTCGGTGAGCTTCTCGAGCGAGGTGAAGCGCATGTTGAGCGAGTCGAACGCGGAATCGGAGGATTTGGCCGCCATACCGATGCGCGAGGTCATCAGATGCGGCGTGCGCTTCATGGCTTTGGCGAGGCCCTTCATGTTTGGCGAGGTGGTGGCTCAGATCTCGTCGACCTGGCTGTGAAGGATGTAGGAGTCGAGCTGGGATGGATTCCGTCGAGTAGGATGGTCGTCGAGATGATGTTGAAGGTGGAACGGGCGTGCAATGAAGAGAGGTGGATGGGACTTTGGTGGCCCGTTCCTCTCACACAGCCTTCTTGGCCGTAAGCGTGGCCGTTGAGAGACCGCTCAGACGCTGCGACTTTCCGTCATCGTCTTGGCTTTTGCCTATTTCTCGTGCGCAGATCTGTGTTTTTTGGGAAAGGACGTTTTTCCAGGGGTCTAACATCTTCGGAAAGAAACGGCGCCTTCCATGGCCGGCTGAAGGTGGTGCATACATGGCGACGCAAGCATTTCACACTGCAAGACTGCATCCATCTGCTGCAGAAGCGCACCGAAGACAGCGCGGGACAACCAGTTCCGGATGGGTGGAAGTCGAGACAGAAGGGACTCGCTCCAGTATCACATGGGCAATGGTGTCGCTAAGTTGCGCTTGTCAGGGTCCAGCTGCTCCTTTCTGTCTCACCACACGCACCTACCCCGCAGAAAGAGGGCCTACCACGACTGATCTCGACCGGTCAGAGCGCAACACGAGCATTCTCGTCCCTCGCACACACCCATCCGCACGATATAGGTGTCGGACTAGGGCTGCCGAAGACAATGGTGGCACCAACCCGCACAATCTGCGCGAGGATGCTGGCGACAATGGCAGCGTGGGGCCGAGGTGGCTTAAGCGCGCGAATTTCTGCCGGCTCCCGGCCAGATGCCCTCCGGTTAAGCTTCCGGCCCAGAAGTCTCTCGCTCACCCCGCATTTTCCGAGCCAACCTCAAAGCATATCAACCCCCTCCCTCCCCAGACTTCGCTTCTTCTCCTCCTCATCTTCCCTTCCTCAACCCATCGTCCACATCCTCGGCGATCCCAAACTTGACACCATGTCCAACAACGGCGTTGACTTCAACAAGACTGTAGGGCACGATGCGGGCACCCAGCCTGTGGCCTGGAACCGTCGCGACCTGCTCACCTACGCCGTCAGCATCGGCGTTGGGCCCAAAGACCTCGACTACGCGTACGAGCGCGAGTCGGGTTTCCGTGCTTTCCCCACCTACCCGGTCGTCCTCGGTCTCAAGGGTACATCGCAGGATACCACTGTGTTCTCGGAGATGGTCTCTTCTCGTTCGGCCGTGCCAGGCTTCCCCTCTCTCGACCTCAACACCATCGTTCACGGTGAGCAGAGCATCGAAATGCACGCCCCGATCCCAGTCATCTCTGGCGAAGGTTGGAAGCTTGAAAAGCGCATCTGCGGCGTACACGATCGACCCAACGGTCTGATCATGGAGACTGAAGTGCGACTCATCAGCCCCGTTGGCCGCAATCACGCCACCATGATCGGTAGCAGCTTCTACCGAGGTGGTTCCCAGGGTACGGGCTTTAGCAAGTCGATCACCACCAAACCGCCTACGCCCAAAGCGCCGAGTCGCGAACCCGACTTTGTGCTGAGCGAAAAGACCACCTTGCAACAAGCCATGCTCTACCGGCTCTCCGGCGACTACAATCCTATCCACATCGACGGTGGGCTGGGCGAGAAGGTCGGTCTTGGAGGTACGATCCTCCATGGCCTCTGCTCCTACGGCTTTGCAGCCCGTGCAGTCCTCAAGTCCGTCGACAAGAACGATGGCATCCCCGCCAACACGACGGGTGACAAGACCAGGTTTGAACTCGAAGCCTTTGCCGTACGATTCACCTCCCCCGTCAAACCCGGCGACGAACTCGAAACCAAGGTCTGGTTGCTGGGTGAAAAGGACGGAAAGAAGGAGATCGCCTTTGAACAGTTTGTCAAGAACACGGGCAAGAAGAGCCTCGGCGCGGGTTACGCTAGAGTTGTCAAGGTCGCTAATGAGGACGTGGCCCGGTTCGCAAAGCTCTAGTCGCACAACGCTCCTTGTCATTGAATGAAACACGATGGAATGATCTCCATAACAGCCAGTTTGGTGGGAGAAGCGTGTTGCAAAGAGTTGAAAAGTGTGTGTTCTGATCGCTCAACTTTCTAGAATTACACTGATCCCATGCTTCCATGCGGTCAGAACACCACCCGCTCGCGCATGTCCATGGGTCGGATCCAAATCAATCCCGGTCGGCTCCTCGCCCTGACAATCGCCCACGGACTGGTCGTCTCGATCTTGTTGCCCTTCTCGTCCGTGGTCGGCGCCGGCGCTTTCGGGATGCTCGGTCGGCCATCGGCGTCCATCACACTTGCCAGCAGCCTCGCCTTGACCCTCGCCGACTCTGCCGGTCCCGCACAGCGCGAGATGAGCTCCTTGGCATGTTCCGCCGTCCCCTCAGTCTCGATGACGATCTTGCCACACCAGCCCAGATCCACGCCCTCGATCGGTGTGACGTTGATGACAGCCCGATAGAGCCATTTGGAGATCCTGTACCTCGCGCCTTGCGGTGAGAATGTCTCCACCTGATCCTGGACCAGTCGCATGCTCCCTACGATCTGGTCGCGCCACGGCAGCACGTCCAGGTACACCACCGGCTGGCTGGCGTCCGTCGACCGTACGATGTTGTGGTAGTAGCTAGGGGCGAACGCAAACGCGTTGAGCCACGCAGGAAGGTGACCTGCACGATCGAACATGAACGAGAGATCTCGTAGGTATCGGCCGTCGAAGATGTACTTTCCCTCGTTGCGCTCTTCGCCGACCGCGCAGTCCCACACAACATCTCCTTTCTTGAGATGTGGCCAGACGCCGGCGATGAAGAGTTCACGTTCACACCGCGCGAGCTCCGTGTCACTCAGCCAGGCGCCTGTTTCCGTCGAGGGCACCCATACGCGGAAGAAACCTGCGCGACCAGGCTTCCAGGGCGACGAGATGGCCACTACGGTCGGGTCTGTCTCGCGAGCAGGAGGTCGATAGTTGACCTGCATCCGCAAGCGCGTCAGCACCCGATCGTAGCCTCGTGTAGTCGAGCGGGCTAGTCTGGGATAGCGAGGATCCATCTTATGCGGCGCACGCGCATATTCGGCTCCCACCAGAGCGTACTCGGATCGCAGGTCGAAGCTGAGGAGGAACGCCTCGCAGTCGCTGAAGCTCAAGGGCAGCGGATCCTTCTCGACCAGCTCGCCCTTGATCTCGGTTGGCGACCAAGCTTCGTAGCCAATGCGCGAGAGGAAGCGCGAGAGAACAATTTCGCGACCGGCAAGTTGGCCGAGCGCGAAGCGAATCGACTGAGATGTCTGACGCAACGCTTTGACGTCGGCGTAGTCGAGGTGGCTGATCAAGCGCGCGATGACGTCCGGGGTCGTGGCCGACCACACGAGCTCGCCGAGATCGCTGTACATGACCTCGTCGAAGTCGGTGGCTCCCTTGTCCGCAGTTGTATCGCGAGGAACACGCACATAGCGACGATGGTCGATGGTGAGCGAGGGATCAGCGAGGCCGTGGGCGCACCAGCCGCGTCCGTATGTGATGCCGCCTTCGCGATACGGGCCATTCGGTTGCACGATCTGGTGTTCTCCAGAATGGTCGACCTCATCCTCGTCCTCGCCGTCCGTAGCGGCAAACGTGGCCGTGAGAAGCGAGGTGGAGGGCGGGATGATAGTGTACGTCGCAGCTGGAGTAACTGGCAGTCGTCCGCGGGCACCCACCTTGACAGCCTGTCGGAAGCGATCTGATTTGTATGGCGCGATCTTCTCTGCCGGATGAGCCGCCGTCGGGGTTGCATCGCCGTTGGTGCCCATCGCGAACTTGACATGGCCGTGACCGCCGTTCGAAGATGACTGCCGGGCCAAGTCGGCGGTGGATCCGTTGGGCGCTGCCAGAGATAGCGCCTGCTCGTCGGCGGGCGTGGCAGGCGCATCCGAGCTGCCGTCGGTGCTGGAAAGCCCGTCGATGTTGGAGATGGATCGAGCCATGGAGCCCGTGTTAGAGTCATTGGTGGCGCTCTTTGCCTCCGCATCGAGTTCGTCGTCAGCGCCGGCATCCACAAACACCTCGGAAGCGTCGTCGGAGGCGGCGTCGTCTTGGTAGACGTCATCGTCTTCGTCCTCATCCGACTGCTGCGCATCTGGGTCCGTCTCGCCAGGCGCAAATCCGGCAGCGAGGGCACGCTGAGCACGACGATCTTCGCGACGTCCTGCGCGTCTGGCCTCGCGATCCTCTTCCTCGACTTGTCGCTTGGCCTCCACCAATGCTTGGTATGCTTCAATGAGTTTGCGCTCCTTCTCGAGCACAGCCTCGCGCTCAGCCCGGATCACCGCTTCCTTGGCCAGTCTTTCCGCCTCGATAGCCGCTTCCTTCGCCAGCCTCTCGGCCTCGATGGCCTCTTCGGCGGCGATGCGTTCTGCTTCGATACGAGCCTCCTCGGCGAGCCGTTCTGCTTCGATCCGCGCCTCCTCTGCGCGCTTGGCTTCCTCGATGGCCGCGAGACGTTTCTCCTCCTTGCGCTTGGCTTTTCTCTCCTGCTTTTCCTTCTCCTTCTGAGCTCGCTCTGCTGCTGCTGCCTCTTCGGCCTCGATGCGTCGCTTCCGCGCTTCCTCGCGGAGCTGCTTCTGACGTTCCATCTCTTCCCGCTCGGCCTGTTCGCGTGCGAGACGCCTTGCGATGCGCTCGGCACGCCGCTTCTCTTCCGCCTCTCGTTCGAGACGGTCCCTCTCCTCAGCTTCGGCCAAGAGCCTCTCGCGCTCAGCTCGCCTCGCTTCCCTCTCCATCTGCCGCCTTGCTTCACGCTCAATCTGCCTCTTCCTCTCCTCCTCCTGCTCTTGTTCGAACGCTAGAGCGGCGAGTCGTTCGCGTTCGGCGCGCTCGACCCGTCTCCTTGCCCGTCTCTCTTCGTCGGTCTGCAGACGTCGCTCCTCCTCGCGGGCCTGCTGGCGGTGATGCACCTCGAGACGGTCTGCCTCCATCTGCCTGTCGCGGTTGCGCTCCCATTCGCGCGCCTCTAGCTCGTCGTCCTCGTCGGCCGTGTGGAAGCCGTCGTTGTCGTCGGTGGATCTGCGCCTGTTCCTGGGTCGACGCGGCGCTGCACCGTTGCCAAATATCATGTAGCCGGCTTCTTCTGTAGGTGACTGCTGATCGTAGCCGCGATTGTAGGATCTGTGATCCTGATCATAGGGCGAGACCGGGCGCCGTGACCCGGCAGCAGCGGAAAGCATGTGATGGGCAGAAGTAGACGGAATGGGAGGCATGTCTTTCCACTCGATCTCGCCGCGAGCATTGCGCACTGTCAGGCGCTCGCTGCTCTTGGTCCGCGAGATCTTCTTTGTGGAAGTAGTTTGGATGCTTGCATTGCTGTCCTTGGGCTTGCGCGAGGAGGACGAGTGGGCAAAGAGGCTTGGCTCGACTGGCGGACTCTCGGCGGAAGGGGAGGGGAAGTCAGGATCGTAGGTTGCAGGATAGAATGGTGTGCTGGATTTGTACGTGTTGCCGAGCAAAGGACCATAGCTGGGAATCGTAGATAGAGCAGGCTGGGCTTCACGTGGTCGCTTTGTGGATTCGAGGATGGTCGAGGTGGATGACTTGGGCGGGCCTTTGGAGCCGAAGGGTGCCCTGGACTTGTTGAAGGACGCCTGCGGTGGGTAGTGTCGTTCCATCATGATGTCTGCTGTGGGTCCGCTTTCCGCGGTATGGGAGGGGTCGTTATAGTGAGTGATGTGGTTGAGAATTGAGGTGGTAGTGTGTCGCTGTCGTCGTCGTCTGTCACAGCTCGGACTGGCTCATGGTCGAGGCTTTAGGCAAGGTCGAAGCGATTAGAAGCCTCGGAGGCGGGTATAGATGATGGGCGGTCTATAGCTTGTGGTCCCAGAGCTGGTGTGCTTTGGTGAAGAAGGTGGAGAGCGGGATGATCGTGAGAAAGCTGAGCTGTGACCAATGTCGGGGAAAGGGCAAAGAGCATCACAGACGCAAGGCTGAATCGACGATCTTTGTTGAAAGAGTGTGTGTGAAGCGAGGCGAGGCGAGCTGAGGTTTCTGACTTGTTGTTGATTTTCCGGGGTCGTCTGTCGATCTCAAACCTTGGCGACAGCGGTAACTCAACCCTCAGGGCGGCGGCAGCAGCCGGCCTTGGCCTGGTTTCAAGCCGCAGAGTTGGCAACAGCAGCAGCAGCAGGCGGAAGACGAAATTAGAAATCGCTCACTCACCCGCCTTGGTTTTCAGGGGGATTTTCCATTCCTCAGCTGGGCTTAGCCGAGGCTGCTGCAGGCTTCCAGCTGATCTGCTGCAGTGGATCGTGTTTTGGCGAGGTTTGGAGCTGAGTTTGGCCCGCTGCGCTTGGTCCGATCCGCTCTTGTTCCAGCGCATCCCCACGAGAGAAAAGGAACCGGGCTGGGTTCCGACAGTGATCAAGCTAAGCGAGGCATTCCTTCGCTCCTTGCGATGGCCAGGCGTGGGAATCTCGAACGGACGATGTCATCTTGATCGTCGGGAAGCGCCGGTCGTTCGCGGATGCCATCCGAATCGCGAGCTTAGGACATCGGAACCGCCGATCTTGCTGCAGTGCAGGAGGAAGATCGTCACTCTGTGTGTGAGCAGCAGCTAGGCTATTCGCCAGTGCCAAGCTCGTGCCCTTTTGTCCAGTCAGTCTCCTCTTCACGGGACGATGCACGATACAATGGCGAGCTGCACTGTGTCAGAGTTTGCTGCAGGGTGTAGCGCAGCGGAGTTTCGCCTGACTTGAGTTATGCGGGGGACCTTACCGCTGCAAATAAAGCGCTGTGCTGTGTCACTGTTCCCACGCGCGTGGGGGCTGACATCGCACAACCTTGTTCAGCTTTAAGCTCTGGCAAACAACCACCACTCTTTTGTGTGCATTGCAAGCGACGTGGGAAGACACGGACTTATGAAGACCTCTTTGATCTGACACTGATGACCCCTTTGGCGAATGACAGGTCCTGAACCGTCCGCATTACTTTACCTCCCTGTGAGAGTTCTATCGAACCCGCATCGGTCGTCGTCTTGCTGGTCTGTCTAGTATCCGAGTCGTGAGTGATGCCAAGAGCCAGACGTCTTGCAGCCCTTCGTACACGCTCTCGAAAACCTGGCGGGCTGTCTAGCGCCCTCCAAAGTGGGTGAGCTGGCGTCGTACTGTCGCCATTCGCAGTGTCGCTCTGAGTGCCGTTGTCTGAGCCCGCATCGCTTTCTTCGTCCCCCGTCAACCCTTGTTGCTGCGAGCCTCTGCTTATAGACGCGCTATCCAGCACTTCTCGCAGTCGATCCTGGACCTCTTCCAGCGTTCCGCCTCCACCTCGTCTTGCGACGCCTAGCAAGACCCCTTCGACGAACGTCTCTACGTCCACCTTGACCTCCGCACCGTCCTTGGCGGCGACACCTGAGCAAGATCCGAGGTCATTGAGACTGCCCGCATCGGCAGTGAAGGATACAACCACCCTGCCCGGACGAGTGCTGCGACATCGATCCGAGCAGTATTTGATCCCGCTCCAGTCCTTGGCCCACTTGGCCCGCGGCGTAATTACTCGACCGCACGTTAAGCACGCCTTTGGGCTGAGATCGGACAGCGACACCTTGCTCGAGCAGGCTTCTTCGTGATCTGAGCTTTGCGCAGCCTCAGCAGCGGCGATGGCTCGAGCCGACTTGCGTGCCATGAGTGGAGGAGCGCTGGTGTGGATGTGACCAGTGATCGGGATGTGTCGCCTTTCGAGAATCGCCAATTGGCTGGATCGGCTGAGTGACTTCAGCTGCGTCAATACAGATCGCAACATGCAGTCACAGGTCAAGTCTCGCCGTCAAACACGACCTCGAACATGCATGGCAGAGCAAGCGTTGGACGGGGGAAGCTTAGGAGAAGATGCTTGATCGGCAATGCACACCAAAAATTACGCGGCGTCAGAAATCGCCGGTGTGACGCACAGACGTCAGGTCGCACAAGTCAAGTGGAGTTTGGGTGCTTCTGACACAAGAAGCCGCCGGAGATAGCCAAACAGCATATAACGGTGGTCGACTGGAGCAAACCCCCTTCCCTTCCACAACACACATTCCATCCCTCTTCCCTCTCCCTGGAAAGTTGTCCCAAAATGGCAGCCGATATCCCCTCGTTCACGCTCAACACGGGCGCCAAGATTCCCTCGGTCGGCATGGGTTGCTGGCAAGGTCAACCCGGTGCGGGCAAGGACAACGAGCTCGTCGACGCTCTTGTCAAGGCCATCAATGTGGGCTACCGTCACCTTGGTAAGTTGCCTTTCTCTAACAAGCTGTACCACATGAAGGCGCATCTGTGATCTGATTCTAACCTCACTCTTATCGGCATGATCTCCCATTCCTAGATACCGCGACTGGATATGCAAACGAGCGCGAAGTTGGCGAAGCGATCCGCAAATCCGGCGTTCCGCGCTCCGACATCTTCCTCACCACCAAGCTGCGACCCGGCGGAGTGAACGACCCTGTCAAAGAATTTGAGGAATCGTTCAACAAGCTCGATGTCGAGTACATCGACCTGTGGCTTCTGCACTGGCCTCAGGGCTTCACCTCGAGCGAGGGCAACTTTGGCGGTGGCGACGTGTGCGGCTTGGAGCACCAAAAGCACCTTGGTCCCACCTTCAACGAGACGTGGGCCAAGATGGAGGACATCTTCCTCAACTCGCACAAGGGCAAAGTCAAGGCGATTGGCGTGAGCAACTTCAGTATCAAGAACCTGGAGATTCTGCTCCAGACGGCCAAGGTCGTTCCTGCGGTCAACCAGATCGAGCAGTCGCCTTTGCTGCCGGAACACAAGCTCAACGAGTACTGCAAGCAGAAGGGCATTCATATCACGGCCTACAGCCCGCTGGGCCAGATGAGCTCGGCAGTGCACGACGACGAGACGCTCAACGAGATCGCCAAGAAGCACGATGTTACCGCTGCTACCGTGGCGCTCAGCTGGGCTGTGCAGAAGGGCACCTCGGTCGCCCCCAAGTCGACCAACGAGAAGCGCATGAAGCAGAACATCACGCTCATCAAGCTCAGCGACGAGGAGATGAAGCAGGTGGACCACATCTCGGATGACCCTAAGAAGCACACCAGGCTCAACTACCTTGTGTTCGACAAGGACACCCACAAAATCCTCGGTTGGACCATGGAGGAGATGGGCTGGGATGTTGGATTCCTTCAGGAGCCTGGAAAGTCGACGAAGAAGGTGGGCGAGTAGACTTTTCACTTGTATCGCGAAAGCAAGGATCTCAAGGAAATGCAATGAAACGATTCGGCGCTCGAACAGCGAGTCGCCCACAGACACCTTTTGACTGAGTTGCGTTGCTTATGAATGACTTGATTAGAGAGCTTGATCCTTACAGCAAGGCCCTCAACGTCTGTTCTGCGACCCACTTGCTTCCCTTCGGCAGCGTCTCGAATCCGTGTACCGAACCGGGCTCGACGCAGACATACCTCTTCCACCCGCCCTCCTCCAGATCCCCGATCGACTTGTTCCCCTCCTCGGCGCAGTTCCAGACAACGGTGTCCTTGAGCTCTTTCGACCTCGTCACCTCGATCCCCTTGCCCAGCCCCTGCTCTTCCACATTGTACAGCATCTTGACATCCCTCGGCGTCTCCCCTGCCGAGGTGCTGTGCTTGCCCATGTGCACCCTATCGATCGACTGTGCGTCAAACACGAAGTTGTCCGTATCCAGCTGTGCCTCACCGCCTTTGACCTTGTCGATGTATTGCATGCCCTTCAGACCCTGGACCGATGCCTTGGTGGAGTCCGGCACGAGGAAGTACGTATGCAGTAGTGCGTGGAAGGGCATCTCCCCTTGGCCTTCGACGTAGTTGACCCGCAGCTCGTTCTTGAGCTCCTGCGGCGACAGCGTGACCGTGTACTGCAGAACCGTCTCGTAGGGCCATACAGCGGCGATATCCGGCTTGTCCGCGGTACGCAGCTCGAGGGTGACGCTCACCTTGTCCTCCTCGTCCACGGTGGGGGCGTTAGAGGAGACAGACCAGTCGTGAATGCGTGCAAATCCGTGCTTGTCGAGCGCCTTGACGACTTCGGGTGCATCAGCGTGCTGACTGGGGGGACCAAAGACGGGAAAGACGATCGGAATGCCGCCTCGAATCGCAGCACTGCCGTCGAGCGCCGCTTTGGAGGAGAGGAAGAGCCGCTCCTTGCCGCCGGCCGTCCTCCACGAGGTGACGGTCGCACCGAAGAGGTAGATCTCGGTGGAGGCGCCGGACTTGGGCAGCTCGAGCTTGATCGTCTTGCTGTTGTGAGTGACCGGCATGATGTCGAGACAAAATGTGATGGTAGCCGGGGAAAGATCTTTGGCAACGATAGCACTAGCAAGCAGCTTGACACAGTCAGCACGAGGACCTGAGCTTATCGGACCGGCTCCGTGGCCTGAGCGTAATCTGACACATATCTGAATCGCCGATTCTTCACCACCCGATACCAACGATTCGCGGTCTTTTTCGAAATTCGCCTTGTTCAGAGAAAGTCTAAAGACGACAAACAACACCTCACCCAAACCAACACCTCTCTGAGCCTCGCGTCTCGAAATTTGAAATGGGCGCTTTGAACCCGAGTGATGCCCGTAGCCCCTGAGCGTTTGTTTTGAATTCGCATCAGCCCAACTGGACAGCTCTCGATGGCTTTCGGGCAATACACCTCTGTTCAGGTGGCAGCATGTCATGATCATCCTTGAGAGATCAGCATGCTGGTCATAGATTGGGGCCAAAGCAAGTGAGAAACCGCTGTCGTTGCGGTGAAACGGAGCAGAGGCAATGCACAGTAGATCAGAGTGGTGCATATGCATGCACGGCGCTCTCGAAGTCTCTTTAGAACCACGCTCTCTTGCCTAATTTGGCAGCCCGTCATGCGGTACGAGGTGACGCTATCTCACTGTCCACTTTCTACTTCCTCCAGGCATCGGAGTTCCGATCTTGTCCCCTCCCTTTGTCGCCGCAAAGACCGCGTCGCTTCCCCCGAGGCAATGACGAAGAGATAGAGTTCCGCTGTCTGTGTGTTGATGAAATGAGTGCTTAGAGTGCGGCTTAGCCGCTGTCCGCCGTGTCCATCTCCATCTCTGTCTCCGCTTGGCGTTGTCTCCCCCTCACCACCATCTCCCCCCGTCATCACCTCCCACCCGCCACAAGATCGCCATCATGACCGCCAAAGCCTCCTCATCCGGATCCATGTCGACACCACCACCCAAGAAGAAGCGCGGCTTCTTCAGCTGTCGTTCCAAGCACGCTCTCGACTCCCTCCCGCGCAACGCCCGTGGCGACAACGCAGCGATCAACCGGCTCCAGGCGCGAGACATCTTTCAGCGCGAAGCGGACGACTTCTTCGCCTCGCCCTCTACCGCCTTCACGCCGCTGACCGAGGAGAAGGGCCTGCTCAAGCTCGCCGAGCACAACCGCACCGAATCGACGCTCCCACCACCCTCCCCGACGGTGCCTATCAAGCCGCTGTTCGCACAAGAGGTGCGCGAAGGCGAAGAGGACATCGTAGGAGAGCTCGAGCTGCAATATCGACAAGAAGAGGTAAACGAGAAGGAGGAAGCGCGAGATGTGCTGCCCGACGACGTGGTGTCCCCCACAGACGCACCGGGCGTGGGAAGGAGTATGAGCCTGTCCAGCAAGACAGGTCGCATCAAACGCTCACTCAGTCTCAAGCGTAGTGCGAGTACTGCGAGCGCGAAACTCATCGCGCGCGCACCGCCCGTGAGCTCGGTCGACTTTGCTGACCTACCCGTCGAGTCTGGCAGCTCGTCGGAGGAGGACGAGGAGAACGTCGGTGTGGGGTCCATGGCTTCCATCCGCAAGGCGAGGGGACGACACGCGGTGGGGCACCAGCCTGCCGTACCCGATATCAGCGAGGACGACTTTTTGGCGTTCGACAACGTTCCCATCCCACCCAAGGCGAGTCCGGGCAAGACCGAGAAGCCGGCGCTGGCAGTCTCGATCCCGGAATCCGACAGCATGCGAGCCGTCGCAGCGGTGCTCGAGACGTCGAGCGATTCGGCGCGCTTCCGCACCGGGCCCTCGGTGGGCACGCCGCGGATGGAATCGCCATCCTCGTCGCGCATCGCCCATCGGGCCCAGATTCGCAGCGAGAACGACGACGAAGATACGGTGCCGGAGCTGCGCACGCCGGTTCGCTCTGGCACTACACGAGGGTTCTGGGACACCACCCTCGATCGGGACGAGTCCTTCAGCACTTCACGAGGAATCCCTTTCCAGTACGTGACCAACCTTTCCCGTCCTGTGTCGATCGCATCTCTCCGCTCGCTGGCGACGCCATCGACACCACCGCGCACATCCTCCCGACCCACCTCGCCAAACGGCACCTACCACGGTCTTCGCTCCACCAAGAGCTTCTCCACATCGCCGCTCAAGCAGGCCACCTTCAACGGCTTCCCTCGCACCTTCTTCCCAGCCTCGACGTTCAACGCCACGCCTCGTCGGGCGAACGCGGCCGAAGAGCAGGATGTGGAGCGTCAACTCGCCGGTCACGCCGCTACGCCCTCCCACGCATGTTCCAACTGTGGCGTCGTCGAGCCGCGCGACTTTGCCTCTTTCGTTGGCAAAGGCAAAGCCTCCCGTCATACGTCGGTCAAGCAGCAAACGCTGCACAAGTCCACCTCCACCCCGCAAGCTGCCGCCACGGGCTCGTTGCGGAAGAGCAAGAGCGCAATGCTCAAATCGGACGGCCCTGGAGAGGGGACGTTGAAGCGATGGGGTCTCGCAGAGGCCTTCAAGGCAGGCGAGGGCATGGGCAGCATCCGCACCAAGAAGATGGTCCCCGGACCAGGAGGGGGTTACATCACCGATACGGCGAATATGAGGTGGTGCAGCGCGCTGGATGAGATCAAGAAGGCGTTGAAGGAGGACGGTGACGAGCAAGAGGAGGAGGAGGAGGAGGAGAGGGTGCAGAAGGAGACCCAGAGCGTGATCTCCGAGAGGAGCGAGAGGATGGCTAGGTACGGCGTAGCTATGTAAGAGAACGACGATAGACAGTAGACCATGGACACTTTTCTCGCAACTGTAGAACACATCGACTCGCAAACCAAGAGTGTGACCGGAAAGGAAAGTGGTATTGAGAAACCAAGCTATAGCAGCATAGAAGTGAATGAAACCCGTAAAGACAAATACAGCGGTCGACGAAGAACCGGAGGGGGATGGGGGGGATAGGGAGTGATTTTTTTGAATCTACTGAGCACTGCCAACCACATGCCTAGGCTCGTCGCCGCTGCCGGTCGAGTTCTTCTCGTCGTTGACCTCGCTCGACGCGCGCGCCTCGACGTCGTCGCTGTTACCGTACATGGCGGCCCGCTCGTGCTCGAGCTGGTCCTGCCTCTCCTGCGCCAACCTCTGCGTCTCCCTCCTGCCCTCGAGGTAGAACTCGATCTCGGCATCCGTCATCTGCCAGAACTTCATGTTTCCAGCCATGACCTTGCGCATCCAGGGCGGGACGATGGCCATGAAGCCCGTGGTGGTTTCGTCGTTGGCCGAGACCATGCGGGCACCCCACGGCTCCTTGATAGTGTCCCATCCATCGGGCTTGACGCGACCCGCGGTGGCCTTGAGGATGAGCCAAGGAATAGCATTGAGCGCAATGTAGCAGCAGATACCCGCGATCAGACCGTAGGCGATGTTGAAGAAGAGCGGGATACCGACAATGGTGACAAAGGCAGGGATGGCGTCGCCGACGTAGGACCAGTTGACCTGCGCCGTGTTGGACGCCATCATGGATCCGACGATGACCAGCGTCGAGCCCGTCGCCCAGGCAGGGAACGAGGCGAAGATGGGAGCAAAGAAGAGCGAGAGGAAGAACATGAACGCCGTCGTGAGACCCGTAATACCGGTGCGACCGCCCTCGGCGATACCCGAAGCCGACTCGACAAAGGCCGTGTTGGGCGAGCAGCCGACCAGCGAACCGATCGAAATAGCAACCGCATCCGAAAGGTAGGCAGCCGACGAACCCTCAAAGTCACCCGTGCGGGCGTCCATGAGACCGGCGTGGCTGGCCATGGCGTACAGCGTACCGGTGGTGTCGAGCAGGTCGATGTAGAGGAACGAGATGAGCGCATACCACACCTTGCCGTTGCTGTAGCCGGACCAGTCGATGTTCTTGGGGCCGAGCATGCCGAGTCCGTTCCAGTTGGCGACCTGCTTGAAGTAGTTGAATGCGTCGTCGCCGGCCTCGGTGTGCGGGAAGAGGGTGACGGCGGTGTTGCGGGGCCACGAGACGATGGAAACAAGGAGAATGCCGATGAGGAAAGCACCCTTGACGCGGTAGATGAGCATGAGAGCGGTGAAGATGCCGCCGAGCATGACACCGAGCCACAGAGTGGGGGCCTGGAGCTTGTGGCTGAGACAGTAGCCGGTGTCGGGGTCCTGGTACTGAGCAGGGCAGCCGGCGAGACCGACGAGATCAGCAGCGTTGCCACCAATGACGCCAAGACCGTTGGGACCGAGACCGATGAAGGCGAGGAAGATACCAATACCGGCACCGGTGCTCAGCTTGATGCTGTGAGGCAACAGGCGAGCGAGCCACTGTCGAATACCGAAGAGCGAAAGCAGGAAGAAGATCCAGCCCTCGAGCCAGACAGCCGAAAGGGCCTGGCTGTAAGGGATGATACCCGTGCCAGCGACGCCGACGATGGTGAAGGCAAAGTAGGCGTTGACACCGAGACCGGGAGCGAGACCCAAAGGCATGTTGGCGAAAAGAGCCATGAGCAGCGTACCGACACAAGCGGCGATGGCAGTGGCGAAGACATAGTCACGGTTGAGCACGGCGACGCACTGGTTGTAGGCGGCGTCGTTGGCGCAGACGGGATCAGCGGCGGTCTTGGCGCACTCGCAGGGACCACCGGACGAGCTGAGGATGCTGGCGTTGACCGAGAGAATGTAAGCCATGGCAGCAAAGGTGACGAGACCGGCTCGAATCTCGGTGAGGAAACGCGAGCCAGGTCGCGAGAGTGGGTGTCCCGATCCATCGAGGCGGAAGTAGTAGCCGACGGGCGAGGTGGCCACCGCCCTGTTGAGGCTGTTGACGAGCGCAGGGATTCCCATTGTGGCTGAAGAAGGCCGATGCGTCGACGTTGAGGGTCTGGTGTCGAAGCGAGTAGGACGTGGGACGGAAGATGCTCTAGACAGTTCCCGTGGAGAAGCTGGAGCAGGAAGTCAACCGGGACGCTCGATGTCGGTCAAGACTCGAGGAGGAAAGAGGATGGGCCCGTGAAGGGGAGGGTATAGAGGTGAGGGGGAGGTGGGGAAGCGGAGACAAGATCGTAGGGAAGAAGAAGATGCGAGGTTATTATAAAAGACAAGAGACAAGGGATGGTCGTGGCAAGGCGCAGACAGGCAAGCAACCTCATTCGTTGGTGAGGGGCAGAGATATGAAGAATCACTGCCAGACGACCTCTGCGCAAGGGAACCCTTGGTTGTCCTACCCGTCACACGCTACTTCATCAACTGTAGATCCACATGCACACGCACGAGCTCTGATTGTGCGCCAAACGGGAACAGGTTAGTTCGGGACCCACGGCCTCTCGTGCTCGACCATGCAGCGAGGCACGCCAGGGACAGAGTCAAGGTTAGCTTTTGGTTTGTTTGCCACTATCGTCAGGGTCGAGAGCCGGTAGTGTCGGGCAAACGAGCGGCGAAAGCCGTGTTGAGCATCTGAGCGGAGCTTGTCGTGACAGGTTGTGCGAGAAACTTTTCAAGCTTGTGATAAGAATTTTTTTCAACTCAGACCGACGGAATGGAGAGACAGCGCCATCACCCACGAAAAAGAAGCTTTTCTTCTCATCGACCTTCGAGTCGGCTGTCATTACTGCCCTCGAGCCTCGTCGTCACCGTTCATGTAGGCAACAGCCGTGCTCAGGATGATGAAGCGAGGGCGTCAGGTGGGAGTGTCCTGAGCCAAGACAAAGATGAAGGAAGTCGACGCTCGAAAGCCAGATCCGTTCGAGTTGAGCCGGACGGAAAAAGTTTCTGCTCTCGCACAGACGCGGCTGCATCAAATGTCTGAAATGCTTAAATTTTAATCTTTTTAATCTCCATTGCTTGACAGCGGCGATGTTGCCCTTGTTCGGTTTGTGAGCCGGTCTTCGCAGAAAGGTTGTACAAGATGCTCATACTTCTGACCCAGTCCTACGCTCGATCAAGGCAACGACTCAACCTTGCAGATGGCCTGGGGCGAGGCACAGAGGAGCATCCCGCCAGAACCCTTCTCTTGCACCTCGGCAACAGGCCTTGAGGTTGTGGTGCTGCCTTTGAGAGCCGGCAAGTGTCAAGCGACTGGCCCCCTCTGTAGAGCGCTCTTTGAAATGGGCAATTTTTCATACGAAAAGCGCGCTCGAGATAAGCGAACCAGACGGGTGCATGACTAGCATGCGCTCGCTCCTTTGGGCCGCCGTTTGGCCATTGTTCGTCGCGAATGGACGTGCCCCTGTTGGTCATCGGCAGCCTTGCGCCATTGTCAGGTCATAAGCACATTGACGTCTGACACGATTGACAATGGTCATGAGGAGAAGCGGAGGCACCCAACCTTGAGAAGTCGCGACGAGCAACGTTGAAAACTTGAGATGCCTTTTCGGCCGAAATCGCTGTCTGCTGCGGGACGGCATCGTCTCTGTGCTCTTGTCGCCTGACACCACGGATGAAGTGCAGGTCTGGGAAGCATTGTCGTCATCATTCATCAGGGGCGTCAGCATCACACCCCACATTGAAGGAGATGCTCGCCAACGACAGGATGTTGTGCGTTTGATTGACGTTCCCACAGGCCGGGTAACCAATGGCGACCCGCCAAGGCCACGCGACGCTCGGCCATCTCCGAGATTTTATCTCTGACAGCCCGTCCCTCGATCAGAGGAGCAGCCATCGTGAGGGCTCGGTCCTGCTGTCACAGCAAAGTCCGCCTCCCCGAGATGGTCATGCGTCTCGCGATACAGATAAGCGTTGCAACTTCTTATCAGCGCATCGTTACCCCGCAATCGAGAATCTCTGAGCCTATCTTTATCCCCCCCCCCTGGCGTTCGCCTTGTGGTATTCTTTCTCGGTCGTCTCCGAAGAGGTCGGGGCTCTCGATCTTGGCGTGGCTCCGCGATCGCAGACACAGCGTGCGGACCGGCGATGCTCGCGTGACACAAGATTCGTGGATCAAGCTCCCGCTCGGACATAGCCGAAGTCGTCGCTCATCTGAATCTCGTCCTCTACGAAGTCTGTGCATCGAGGCAAGCCAAGCAGAGCTCACAGACAACACTGCACTCGATCGGGCGGCATAATCCACGGGATCAAGATTGCATACCCCCGAGTGACCCTTCCACTACGCCCGTTCCTTACCCATGTCATCCGCCGTCTTGGGCAGCATCTCGATCTGTTCCTCGTCGTCCTCGCGCGCTCCATCGTCAGCTTCTGATGTCGACAGCGGCACGTGATGCCCTCTCCCATCGTCTGTCCGCGCGCCACTTCCACCGCTGGCAAATAGTCCCTTGATCTTGGCCAGAAAAGGGCTGTTCGAGACCCACCCTGCCCTACTCTGTGTCAGATAGTACACCGGCACACCAGCGCTGATGAAGAGGAACGCTGCTAGCCCTTCCATTGGCGCGCTGCCGACCGGCATCAGCAGCAGAAACAGCGCTACCGCAGCAAACAAGATCGGTGTGGCGAGCCAGGTCTTGTACGGTCGGTTGAGATTGGGCTCCTTGATGCGGAGAGCGAGCAGGCCGAGCACGGAGGCGAGATAGAAGGTCCAGCTGCAGACGCCGTAAAAGTTGACCAGGGACGCAAAGCCGGAGCCGAAGAGGACGAATGCGGTGATGAGCACCAGTTGCAGCACCAACGCCGCTACGGGTGTGCCTGTCCTCCTGTTCAGATCGCCCAGCCGTTCTGGCAGGTACCCCTCTCGTGATGCGGCAAGAATGAGTCTCGCCGTGGTGTAGATTTGCCCATTAAGCGCACCAAAGCACGAAAAGGCCACGAGGAAGGCGAAGACGATGCCGCCCCCAGTGCCAAAGATCGCGCTGCCAAAGTCGAGTGCTACCGTGTTCGTCCGCTTCACCAGATCCGCCGGCAGCACCACGAAGTACGACACGACCGCCGAGAGGAAGATCAAGATGACCGTTGCGAGACTGATGTGAATCACCCGGGGCAGATCCTGTTCAACGCGCTTCATCTCTCCTGCTACGAAGCAGGATTGGTCCCATCCGTCGAACGCCCACAACCCGCTATACAACGCCAGCGCATATGACGATGGCGACGTCGAGCTGCCTGCGAACAGATTGCCCAAGCTCGAAAAGGCCTGCTGCGAGCTCGGGCTTGTTTTGCCTCTCGCTGCTTGTACGATGGCCAAGATGGGCACAGCGGTGAGAGCGAGCAGCTTGACGATGGTCGTCGCGATCTGGGTGCGCGTGCCGAGCTTGTTCGAAAAGGCATGTGCGCCTGTGATCAGCGCTGCAATGGATACAGCAAGCAGCTTGATGGACCATCCTGGAATACCGTCCAAACCTGTCTCGTGCGGATGGTCCGTTGCTTTGCCCGTAGCATGAAAGAGAATTCTGGCGATGTACTCTCCAAAGATAGTGGCGATAATAGCGCCTGCGCCTGGCTTGAGCGCTGTCAGTGCTGACCATGTGTACAGGAACGCCGAGAGAGGACCGAACGAGTAGTTGAGATACGCCTGCGAGCCGCCGTTGAGCGGAATCGATGCGCCGAGCTCGGCAAACGACGAGGCGCCCGTCCACGCCAGGAACCCTGACAGCAGCCAGATGACAATCGAGGCGCCAATGCTGCCGGTGTTGAGCGTCACCACACCCGGCGACGAGAAGATGCCCGATCCAATCTGCACGCCAATAGTGAGAGCGATGCCGTCGATCAGCGTCACTCGCCTCTCTGATAGTCGGTCGCGTGTCCTCCCATGACGACCATACCGTGACGATGAGCTGCCTCTCGATGTGGAGCCGTTGCCTCTCGCTGCCGCCGAAAGCGAGCCTTCCCTCTCTCCGTAGTCGCCTGCGAACGTCTCGTCGCCATCTCCGCTCAGACTGAGCGGCAGCAGATGATCTCTGTAGCCGAAAGAGAGGCTCTCTACACTTGCTCGAGCTATTGAGCCTAATGTGGGCTGCTTCGATGTTGTCGACTCAAGATCGTCCAATTCTGCATGAGCGAATTTTGGCGCTGGTAGCGTGTTGCGGTCCTCAAAGACGACGAAATCATCTTCATCTTCGTCCTCTTCCGGCAAAGGGATGCTATCCGAGCTTGATTTCCGGCGAGCTGCTTTGTTGAAGTCTATTGAGGGTCGGATCGCGTGTGAATGTAGGGAGGCGGGTTCGTCGGGGACGCCAGCTAGCGCGATGGCCGCGCCTACCGGGTCGGATGACATGTTGCTGGAGACTGCCTAGCGCATTGCTCCGGATGGGCAGCTGAAGTATGAGTAGTCGACACGACGGTGGTTGAGGACGCGATGAAAACAGGTGATGCTCTTGGTGTTGGTCTTGCTGCAGTCTTGACCGTGGCTCGTGTGTTGGCAGGCGTGGACAGCCGACTCCCGAGCCCGAACTCGATTTTTTGACGGTCAAAAAAGTAAGGTTCCCACCAAAAGCTCCACAAACAAGAAGGGTTCTTTCTGCTCGTCCTTCCACTCGCACCCTCCCCTTGCCATCAGCTAGCATCGAGACAAGATGGTCCCGACGGCAACAGGATCGGCGAGCAAGCCACGAGGTCCGATCAAGTCGGAACGCAATCGAGCTGCTGCAGCAGGGACATCTTATGCGACTGGGCCGGCCTCCTGGTCCAGTTCGGCGTTCCACAAGAAACGTGCTCACGGCAAGAGCAATCATGCCGGCAACGACGCAGTTGCTTCAGGAAGCAGTCACGGAAGAACTCCCTCCGAACGCACTCCGATACCGCATACAAATGGAAACAAGCAGGGTGCATCAAGGTCAGATGCTATAGCTTCAACGGTAGCTGAACAGAACGACAACACCGACGAAGACGACGACGATGAAGAGGACGAGGATGAGGAAGAAATTGTCCGCTCTAAGACAGCACTGTCCTTGGCTGGGCACCCACTGCCTCCCCTTGCCTCCCTCGTCGATGCGCTGTCTCGGTTCCCGTACCTTCAACGACTCGACCTGTCGTCCATCGAGCCATCAGAATCTTCGCCAAAAGGTCTCGAGACGTTGACCTGGCTGGCAAAAGCCGTCTTTCGCAGCAAAGCATCCAACAAGGGCAAGGCGCGTGCCTTTGGCGATAACCTCACCTGGCTAAACCTTTCATCGAATGCCAATCTGACCTCTGAGGCGTGCATCGGACTGGAAGCGCTCGAGGAGCTCTGCGTGCTCACCCTCTCGCACTGCGCCCTCACATCGCTGCCACCCTCCATCAACCCGCTGCGCAACCTGAAGGCGCTAGTGCTCAACAACAACGCCATTGCTAGCCTCCCGAAAGCATTCCCGCATCTGCCCGAGCTCAACTCGCTCATCCTCTCGCACAACGAGATTGCCTCGCTTCCCGCGTCTTTGCCAGCCTCACTACCGGCGCTGAAGAAGCTCTCCTTGGGACACAACCAGCTCAAAGGCGCTGAAAGTCTGCCGGATTTCTCGCTCTGTCTAGCGCTGCGAGAGGTGCGGCTGAACGACAATCCGGAGCTCGGCGGTCTTCCGGCGCACGTGAAGAACTGGGGCAAGGGTGCGGATGGCAAGACGGCACCCGGACTCGAGCTGCTCGAGTTGAAGGATTGCGGGTTGGACACCTGGGTGTCGCTGTCGACACTGGTAGAGGTGGAGGACGAGAAGGAGTCTCAGCCGAGATTGCGGAGGAAAGGGCTGACGCAGCTGCTCTTGAAAGGGAACGGTGTGGCGGAAGAAGAGGGATACAAGGAGAGGATTCTCCAGGTGCATCCCACGCTGCGGGTGCTCGATAACGAGCGATTGCAGCCGAGGGTCAAGCCTTCTGACAGAGACGAGGCCGAGATCGATGACGCTGAAGGGAGGAAGAGTAAAGGTGGCAAGAGGAACGACAAGGCATCGCGAGGCAAGCGCAATGCCGAGGCGAACAACAGCGAAGCAGAAGAGGATGATGATGAAGCTGCTCAGATGGCCGCGGACATGCGAGCTCTTCGACGAGGCAGGCCGCAACCTCAGCCAGAGAGTGACGACGATGACGGCGACGGCGACGGAGATGGGTACGAAGCGGCTGCGCAGATGGCCGCCGAGATGCGGGCGCTACGTCGAGGACATGCGGCGCCCGGCAAGTCGTCGAAGACGAAGCAGGACACCTCCAGATCGGACAAGCAGCAAAAGACCACGAGACCGGAAAAGCAGAAGACCAGCAAGGGTCACACCAAGAAGACCGCTGACGCTGCCGAGGAAGACGACCGCTCCAAGCCCAAGCACAAACGAGGCGCTCGCGCCGGTAAGAAGGTCAACAAGACCTCCGATTCTGACACCGTCAAGTCCAAGGAGACCAAGAAGACCACGGACAGCACCGACAAAAGCCGCGGCTTTTTCGAAGAAGTCGATGCAGCAGCTGAGAAAGAGCGACTGGCGCCCATCTACGAGCTCTCCAAGAAGCGCGCCAAGATCGCCTCTGGTCGCACGGAAGTCGCGGAAGGCGTTCTCGAAGATGCCACTTCCACACTCTCGAAGGCTCGACAGAAAGAGAGCAAAGGCCGAACAGAGCTCGACACGTTTGACGACGCCGCGCCTGCCCAAGCAGCAAAGACGCAGGTCAAGAAGAAGACGCAGAAGGAGGACGTGGTGGAGAAGCCGAAGGTCAACACAAGCGTGGCCGGTATCGTTGACTTGCGCAAACAGGCGAAGGGCAAATCGGACGGCGACAAGGGCAAGAAGCGAAAGGCGAACGAGCAGGACGATGGCGGAAAGAAGAAGGCTAAGGCAGGTCTGCCATTCGTGGCGAAGACGGCTGAGGCAGGGAAGACAGGAGCGGCGGACTCGTTTGGCTCCGGTTCAGATGCTTGGGGTGCAGGTGGTGCTTGGGCTTAGAAGCCATCGAAGTAATCGTATTCCTACTCTGTCATCATGTGTATGTCCAACCCCCAAAAGCGGTGAGAGAGCATGAGGAGTTGATGCTACCCAAAGATGATACCTCTGCACACCTTTTCCATCATGAGTGATGTCGGTCTCTTTGATTGCAAAAAGCTACTCCCAAAAGTGAAGCACGAAATTGTGGACGCAAAAAGAATGGTGACAAGAGTGGGATTCGAACCCACGCCCGAAGACTGCGATGGAGATGAATTCTCCTGTAGAACTTGTTCCTGAACACAGCGCCTTAGACCACTCGGCCATCTTGCCTGACGGATTAACTATGCGGCAAACGCGTTTATATTGCAGCAACTCTCAGCTTTGCCTCCACATGTCATCTCGAGCCAAATTGAGGTGATGACGGGCTTTGAACTTCGTGCAGCGGGCGAGCATGAGTAAGGAAGTCGTCAGGTTTTCTGTTCGACGGGGTCTCGCTCAGCCGGGGGCGTTGACTTTTCTGAAACCCGTAAGCGAGCATGAGCGAGATTTGACTAAACAATGCTCTGCGTGGCTTTGGGGAGCGCGATTTCTCAGGGTGCGGAGCCACCACGTCATGTTGCCGCTGACGCCGATCCACTTTTGCCTATTGTTGTACCACTCTTCAGCATCTCCGTGACAAACCGTCGTCTTTGGCTCACGCTCATGTTGGCGACGATCGCATATTCTTCTCCTACACGACGCATCTCGAAACGAGCGACAGCAAGGTCTTTTTCGCTCCTGCTTCTCGCTGCCAGTGCAAGTCTTGTTCAGGGAACCACGGCGATCAGGTTTACACATCACAAAGCAGCAGCCGCGAAAGGAGCTGTCAACAACGGCATCACGTCGCGCAACGCAAGCTTCGCTTCGGACCGCAGAGGAAGCGGTGGCAGTGGCGGCTCAGCTGGGTGGGGCTCATCGGTTGATAACCCGTTCAAGATGGAGCGCCCTCTCAACGTGTTTGGTCGCCCCTTGACGCAGTGCGGCACGGACCCCATGACGGGCTTCTACAGAGATGGCGTAAGTGGTCAGCGTGGTAAGGTGAACATGGTCCAAAGTGACGATGCTGACTATAATCCCACCTATCTACCTGCCTTTGCCCGCAGTTTTGCAACACAGGTCCCGCTGACGGCGGCTCGCACACGGTAGCGGCGGTGGTCTCGCAGAAGTGGCTCGACTATTCCGCTTCGAAGGGCAACGATCTACGACCGATCCTCTCACAAGGCTGCTCGTGGTGCCTTTGTGTGTCAAGGTGGAAGCAGAGCCTGGACGCGTTCAAGCGCGGAGAGCTGCCCAAGGAAGGCGTGCCAAAGGTCAAGCTGGAGGCTACACATCAGCGAGCGTTGGATGTCGTGTCTTTAGATGATCTCAAGCCTTTTGCGCTGGAGGAAGGTGGTGGACGCTCGGCGCTGGATCCTGCTATGGGTGGTCCGATTCGTTGATCTCGCTCTTGGTGCCTCTGTCCATACACGTAGACCTAAACTCCTCGAATGCAAGATGCGATATGGAACCACTCGGCCCGTGACGAGTACTGCTACAGATTGAGATGCGTGATGTTGTACAATGCGTGCCTTGTGACGATGACTGTGTCGGGAGCGAGATTTACGACTCTTCGTCAATCTGCTTCCATATTTGCTCGGTCTTCCTGCGGCCCTCTCTTGACTCTTTCACGTGGTTTGCCTGCCGTTCGACTCGCTGCGGATAGAGGGTAAGGGTGTCAGAAGAAGGGGAGGATGGAAAGGTAACGCTGTCGAGAGATGTGGCTTACCTCCTGCCGAAGACACATGTTGAGGTCATGCTTGATGCCGTTGCAGCCGCCTGTGATCTTGTGCCACATTCCCTTGGCATGGCACTCATTGAGAGCTTGAATGAGATGCGCGCAGTCTATAGTGCAGGTAGGTGGACAGTCAGAGAATTCAAGCGCGATGTGAGTGAGTTGCCAGCCGCCGTCTCGTCTTCCGACAACATGCAAGGTACTTACGTTGCAACTTGCTCTCGCCGACCAGATGCTGCAGTTACGACAGTGTGGGACCAAGAAGGGTTGATCAGCTCGACATTCTTCGCATACTTTCTGGCAGGGGCATATCAGAACATTTCTGTGCCGTAGTCTACAACTTACTGGATGCATAGCGGCTGAATCGTTGGGCTACTGACGAGCTCGATGCTGACAAGGAGGAGACCCTGACTTCGAAAGCTGAGGATATGAGGTCAGACAAGCTTTAGGCGGAACTCGGGGTGACCCCTGGCAAAAATTTAGAAGTGTGTCTGGCCGCGAAGCTAACATCTTGACTTTTGGCCAAAGTGTTGGTCTTTTCTGTCACACACGTCACACGGCACGCGCTCGCTCTTCAGGAGCAAATTTGAGTCAGGGGCTGCGTGTGAGACACCGTGCTGCGCAGTCTTAATTTCGGATCGTGCTGAACGGAATCAACATCTAAAGAGAGGTCTGGCCTCCTCGTTTGCCCTCCTCATCCGGGGCTGCGCTTGAATAGAATCTGCTTCTTGGATCGAGGACGCCGAGATCACACGCAGCAAGACGGTGGAGCTTGCTGTGCAGATAGATGCATGAACTCCAAGATCTCTTCATCACTTTCTCCCACCTTCATCCCTGCTCCCATCGCCGCCGTCATCCTATCACGATTCCCTTACGACTTCGCTTGTTTCCTACTACGACTGGCCCAGCCATCACCTGAAGACAGCTGAACGACGACCACACATCTCTAACGAATCTTACGCCAGTGCGAGACTCGCTGTGTCCGGTTACCCTGACGCTGTACACCACCCCCTGCTCTCTCGAAGCTAAGAAGAGCTCAAGATCGCTACCATGCCCGACTTCATGTCGATCAAGAAAGTCTGGGGCAAGCTCGACTCGGGCAAAGCAGACCAGCCCAAGCCACCTGCAGCGTATAGTCAAGGCATCGGCAATGCTCCCGCCACCCGACCCGCCACGATGAACGCCCCGGATCAGCGTGTTGCCAAGGTCAACCTCTTCCTTCGTGCGTTCCAGACCTTTTTCGCTCTGGTGACGCTCCTCATCGCCATCTGGATGGCTGCTTTCCAGGCCAAATGGGTGGGCGGTCCCTCTGGTCTCACGGGCCTGCTCCTCTTCCTTGCTGCAGCCAGCTTCTTCGCATCGACTGTCTTCCTCGTGGTGCCCATCATCTGCGAACGATCAGGACATAAGAAGATGAAGGGCCTCACCAGCGCCTTGTCTGAAGCACGGGTGGGTCTGGTCAGCAACGGCGCATTTGCCTTTTTGCTCATCATTCTCGCCACGACGCAGACCATCTCGGCCTACATTTCACCGGGCTGCAAGGACCCTTCCAAGGACCCGAACGCAGCTGGCAAGGACCGCACCGAATTTGTCGAGAAGCTCGATGGCTGGTGTCGCACCAAGCGTGCCGAGGCCGCCTTTTGCTGGTTTCTGTGGATCTCGTGGGGCCTCTCGTTGCTGCTCTTCCTTCGTCAGTGGAAGCTGGAACGCAAGAACGGACCCCGCATTCCGCCTTTCGTGCACCCCAGGGAGGACTCGGCTTTTGAGCCCATCGACGATTTGGATGACGACGACGTCTACGACGAGATGAAAGAATCGGCAAGGTACGGCGACGGCGGTGACGGCAAGTACGTTGCACCACCAAAAGCTCCAGCACAAGCACCACAGATGCCTGCATACGATCGACGAGGTGCCAACCCACTGGCCGACATTGAAGCTAGATACGGCATGTCTCAAACGGCCTTCTCGGATCCGTTCGCTGACGAGCGAAAGGCAGCGCCCGCCTACAGCCGTCCTTCGTACGACAACAATGCGTATGGCCCTCCCGGTGTGCCTGGTGGCTATGCTGCAGCACCATACAACAATGCAAACCAACAGCCCTACTCCGGACGCCCTGGTCCACCACAGCTGCCCAACTTAAGCTACGGTCACCGATAGCGCGTTCCGTGCCGAAACCGAACCATTCGCCTTCTGCTGTATTTGTTGTAGCTGTATCTTCTCCACTTCTCTTTTCACCGTTGCCCGGCTTGTCGATAATTGGTAATGAAACCGTCATGAAGACAGATGCATAGGAATCCGATTCGTGTGGACGATTTCATCTGTGAGCTGCTCGCTGGCCTGTCGGAGCAAGAGCTCTGTGACGGGTAGGTTCAGATCCCTCGGGAAATCCGGCGGGCGGCAGTTTCACGATCGGAAGCCTATTCATCTGCAGGGATGGAATGCCAAGACGTCTGCATCGTGCAACCTCGACACGAGTCGTCGGTCCGCGGACATTCCCCCTGCTCGGATAGGATGCAAGCCACCGGGCTGAGCCGAATGTGGTTCGCTGATGTTCGGGGTATGCAGTTCAAAGTTCAGTATCCAAGCTGTCAGAAGGCGCGGGAAAGCTACTTTTTATTTTGCGGAAGACCCTGTTCCGATGTCGGTCCACAAGCAAAACCCTGGTTCCTGAGCAAGGGGTGCACAAGACACGAGGTGCACTGCACTCCTTGCCGCGTTATCTCGCCGCCAGCTATCTCGTTTGCCGAGGTATCGTCCCTGCTTGTCGGCGTGGGCGTGGTCTGCACCTTAGAAAGTGACACTTTCCGTTGGATCACAGACGTGATAGAGCTATGCGCGATTCACACCCCGACCCGCTAAAGCTCAATCGAGGCTGAGCATTCTTCAAGACACTCAGCCACGCTCCTTCTTTGCTATCGTTGACATCCTCTGGTAGCTGGCTTGGGGCAAGCCTGTCCACTATCCCGTCTTGATTCCCCCACACCACCTCTTGCCCGCCAGAGATTCTCAATTACCACCGTTGGGTGGTCTATTTATAAGAACGCGATTCCTTCATTCCAGATCGAGGTTGGCCCCACGCAGCAAGGCATCGTCGTCTTCGTCCTAGCTATACTAAGATGGCCGCCTGCAACGATGGTGTCTTCACACCAGTCTCAGACTGCCGCTTCTTCGACTTCACCATCGCGTTCTCCAACAGCATCTTCGTCATCCTGCCATCCTGCATCGCCATCGTACTCACCATCGCACGACTCGTGCGCATCCGCAACAAGCCCGACATTCCGACGGCCTCCGCACAACCTCACCTTTCGCTCTTGCGGTCATGCGCACCTCACTCGGATCCAATCAGCCTCTTTGGAGCCGCAGCGTACGTCAGCAATGCTGTGCTCAGCCTCGTGCTTGTCGCCCTCTTGGCCGCACCCTCTTCTCGCGCCCTTCGCCATGCCATGGACGACCGAACGGGAATGCCTAGCGTAGTCGTTCCATTCCTAGCCTCGGTGCTGGCCGTCCCGCTTTCCGTTGCAGAACGGAGAAAGACGCGCGGTGGAAGTATGGTCCTGCCGCTCTGGCTGCTCCTCACTCTGCTCTTCGAAGCCTGCCGCATACGAACCTTCAACGCTGTTTCCGCTATCCGTCACTCGTCCTTCTTCTACATCTACGTGCTCAGCTTTGCCTGCAAGGCCTTGATGCTCACTGTTGAAAACGCCAAGGGCATCCGCAGCATCGACGTCAACTCGACTCACGAATCGCGCGCCAGCTTCTTTTCGCGCCTCCTCTTCCTCTGGGTCTTTCCTCTGCTGTGGAAAGGTTTCCGCAAGCCTCTCGAGCTGGAGGATCTCGATTCGCTCAAGCCTGAATTCTATGGACGCTCTCTCGCCAACAGCTTCATTGCGAGCTGGTCTGGTGTGCCCGTCGAGAAGCAGAATGACAGCACAAGCGACGAGGATCGGTCCGACGCCGGCATGGACCTCAAGCACAAAGTATCACGATCCAGCAGCGAAGCTTACCCTCTCGAAAAGCTCCCATCGCAGCACTCCCATGCTCTCGATTCGTCAACGAGTCCACCTCCGCTTTACGACAACAGACCTTTCCCGAAGAGGAGCGCCAACCGTAGTCTAGTGTGGGCGACTCTACGCGCGTTTCCGCTTGCGGCGCTACTCCCGGTGCCCTGGAAGCTGCTGCTGACCGCAGCCGAACTTGCTCAGCCCTTGCTGGTCTCGACCACACTTGCCTTCGTGCAATCGTACTCTGATGCCAACAAGGGCGACTCTGCAATCGCTCAGCCGGTCGTCTACGGCTGGGGTCTCGTCGGTGCCTACGCCTTTGTCTACCTTGGCCAGACGTTGGCCACAGGCCAATACTGGTACGCAAGTTCGCAGCTTCAAGTGCGGATCAGAGGAGCGTACGTCGAGGCTATCTTTCGCAAGGGTCTCGGGCTCCATGTGCGGACTGCGCGGACCAGTGGCGGTGGCAAAGCAGCAAACCTCATGAGCGTTGACAGCGAGCGTGTCGTCAAGGCCATCGATGTGATCCATTCGCTGTGGAGTGGCGCCATCACCATCGCCGTCGGTGTCTACCTCCTCTACACTCAACTCGGCCTCGTCTTCTTCGCTCCGATGATCTCTGTGCTCGCCTGCTTGCTCATGACGCCGGTGGCGAGTCGTGGAATGGGAACGAAGCAGGGCGCATGGAGCGCTCTGACCGATAAGCGCGTCAACCTCACAAACAGCATCACGTCCGATATCAAGGGCGTAAAATTCTCCGCCTACGAGGACATCTTGCACGCCAAAGTCTGTAAGACCCGTGCCGAGGAGCTGGTCAAGCGTGCCAGTATGATGAAGCAACTGACGGGCGTCGTCGTGTACACGAACGCCACCGTCGAGATTCTGGGTTTGAGTACCTTCGTCACCCTGATTGTCGTCGACAGGCTCAGTGGCTCCAACCGCTTCAACCTCAACACGGTCTTCACAACTCTCACGATCTTTGGTATCCTACAAGCGCCTCTCTTGGCGATCGGACAACAGTTTTCTTTTTGCTTGCAAGCATGGTCAAGCATGAAGAGGATTCAAGACTTCCTTGATGCCGAAGACAGACCTGAAATTCAAGGTGCCGTGGATGCTGGCGTCGCTGCCACCGCAGCTAGTGCTGCGGTAAGCGACTCAGAAAGCTCCTCGGCAGGCTACGCTGCCAAGTTTTTCAATGCAGATCTCGGTTGGGCCGACAAGGTGGTGCTCAGCAATGTCAGCCTTGAGATTCCGGCTGGCTCTCTGACCATGATCTGCGGCCGTCTCGGACACGGAAAATCAACCCTCCTGCAAGCCATCCTCGGCGAATCGGACGTACTTGCCGGGCATCAGCAGTTGCCGCTCCTTGCAGACCGTGTTGCCTATGTCAGCCAAGACGTTTGGCTTCAGGAGAAGCGTACCATTCGCGAAAACGTCATCTTCGCTACCGGCGAGTACGATGAAGAACGATACCTCACCGCTCTTCGAGCATGCGCTCTCACCGAAGACATCGACAGCTTGCAAGAGGGTGATGCTACCACCGCCAGCGCACTCAGCGGAGGCCAACGACAGCGCGTCGCTGTAGCGCGAGCCGTCTACAGTGATGCTGAAGCTTTCGTTTTCGACGACATCACCAGTGCCTTAGACGCCGAATGCGCTGCACACATGTGGCGTTCTCTGATGGGTCCGGCAGGCTTGTTGAAGGGTAAGACTGTCGTCATGGCGACCAACGCAGTTCACCTTCTGCATCATGCTCAATTCGTCATTCGAATCGATGACGGGCACATCGCCGAGCAAGGTCGATACGAGGACCTGTCAATGAAGGGCAAGGATGCGATCTCGCGCGCCAGTCTTGACTCGCAACGGGCGATGCCATCCAAGGATCAGGCCAAAGACAAAGCAGTCAAGACAGGAGCACCCGAAAAACAAGAAGCCGTCATGACTGGAACCGTCGGCTTCAAGGTGTACTACATGTGGTTCAAAGCTGCCGGTCTCGGCAAGGTGGCCGTATCCTTCACTTTTTTCCTCCTGTGTGCCGGCGCCGCCCTGGCTCCTTCATACTATCTTCAAGCGTGGGCCGAGGCTCAACAGCGACACCGTTTCCGCGACTGGGGTAGCTGGCTCGCTGGTCTTTGTGGCCTCATGCCGTTGAACGCCATTTTCCTCACGATCGGCTTCTGGATTGTCAGTGTCAACTGTGCCATCTCGGCAGGTAACCGTCTGCACAGTGCTCAGCTTCGGGGCGTCCTATCAGCGCCGATCGCCTTCTTCCACAAATGGAGTGCGGGTCAGATCACCAACCGCTTTTCGCAGGATCTGTTCAACCTCGATCAAAATTTTATCAACTCGCTAACGAACACGGTGGGAATCGTCTTTGCTCTGCTCGGTGCTCTGATCGCTATGATCATCCCGGCCCCTTATCTGGCTGCTCTCGCCGTAGGACTGATCGCCATCGCCTGGGGCATGCAGAGGCTCTACATTCCGTCGTCACGACAATTGCGTCGTCTCGAGATGGCAGCAAAGAGCCCGCTCTATTCCCTCTTCTCCGAGACCTCGTCGCCGGCAGGTCTAGCCACAGTGCGAGGACTCAAGCGTGAGGCGTGGCTTCTGGAGCTCAACACTCAATCCTTGGACATCTCGCAAACGCCCTACTACCATCTGTTTGTCGTCCGCAGATGGCTTCAGACCTGGCTCCTCGCGCTGACCACGATCATCAACGTCACGCTGGTCCTGCTGGTTGTTGTACTTCGCCATTCTTCGCGAGCCGGTTTGCTCGGTGTGGCCTTGGTACAGGCAACTGAGATCGGACTGCTGCTCAACCACACCGTCATCAGCTTCACCGAGGTCGAAATTGCTGGCGTGGCTCTGGAACGCGTTCGCGAATTCTGCGAGCTGGAGCCTGAGCGCGATGCTGCAGCTGCGGCTGCGAAGCAGGACGGCAAAGGAAGCAACAGCAGCGAAGCAACAGATGCAGCTGCGATTCGAGGCGACATCGAATTTGATGCCGTGACGGTGTCGTACTCCGCCGAGCTCGAGCCTGCCGTCAAGGAGCTCAGCTTCAACCTTCCTGCCGGCAAGCGGCTCGGGCTCGTGGGTCGATCCGGCTCCGGCAAATCAACGACGCTTCTGGCGCTGTTCCGCATGATCGACATGCGTAGCGGTACCATCAAGATCGATGGCAAGAGCATCGCCGACATCCCAGCCCGCCAGCTCCGCTCGCAGATGACCATCGTCCCGCAAAATCCGCTGGTGCTTGCCGCTACTATCCGTGAGAATCTCGACCCCGAAGGCGTCTGCACGGAGGATCAACTCTGGGACGCCCTGCACAAGTGTCACCTGGCCGAGTTCGTCAACAAGCAGGAGAACAAGCTGGACGAGATGCTGCTAACCGGCGAATCTTTCATCAGTTCCGGTCAGAAGCAGCTCCTCTCTTTGGCTCGCGCGCTGCTCCGCAAGCGCAAGATCCTCGTCCTGGACGAGGCCACCAGCGCCATGGACGTCGAGACGGACGCTGCCGTGCAGAGCATCCTCAAGACCCAATTCGCCGACTGCACCGTCATCGCTGTCGCCCACCGGATCGCGACGATCATCGATTTCGACCAGATCATCTGCATGTCCGCTGGTCGGGCGATCGAATCCGGCAGCCCCGAAGAGCTCCTCCATCAGCGAGGGGAATTCTTCGCTCTTGCGGCCGAGCAAAAGTGTGTATGAACTGCATTCCATCTTCTGAAATACAATCGTCCATCTCCGTGTATCGACAGTGCGAGTGGGGTCACTTCTTCTTCTTCCCACCCTTGCCCTTGCCCGCCACGCCGGCCTTTGCCTTCTTATCCGCCTTCTGCACAGCGGCGTACCGATCGAGTGTCTGCCACTTGACCTCCTCCCACTTTGCCTCCTGCGCCCCCACATCCAATCCCAATCGCGACCACTCCCCTTTCACTTGTGCTCTTAGCTGCTCTGCGATCACCTTGCACTCCGCAGCGGGTTTGTTACCGAACTCCTTCTCGCTGCCCAATCCTTCCGCGAGGTACGCCTGGAATTCGTCCCTCCACACCTCGGGTGCGTACTTCCTCAACCCCAAATCCGTCTCTATCACCTTCCTATTTTGCGGAGAGAGCGAGTCGTACTGCGTGTCGACTTCCGAGCGGTATGTAGGGGAGAGGAAGTACAGTGCGTGCAGGAGTTCGTGTGGTAGTGTGGAATGGGCTTGGCTTGCGACGCACGAGATGAGGTAGCTCACCTCCCCTCCTTCACCCGAACGGGAGACAGCGCCTTCGTTCACCGCTATGGCGTTGTGCGTCACGAGCAAGTCGAGCAGGTCGTTCTCTTCGCCCGAACAGTGCTCTGCCCACCATCGAGGAAGGTCACTGGAGGAGGTAGATTCATGCATCGCCTCCAACCACTCCCGCACGGCAGAAAGGGGCAAGTTGAACCCCTGGTAGTTGCGACAGATGCGCTCGTCCGCCGCTTGCTGCAGCGAAAGATAGGCTTTGGAGGTCGAGGAGGATTCGTAGAAGGCTTCCATCCGCGCGAGGGCCGAGTGCTGGAGCGCGGCCGTGGGGAAGAGGAGCGTGAGAATGGGTGGAGAGAGGATGTGCCCGAAGAGAGGGTCGTGATCGGGCTCCGTGGGGGCTACGGATGTGGGCGTCATTGCGCCTGAGGTGGGGTTGCTGGTCGAGATGGCGAAGCCGGCGGCTGCGAGGGCGTTGGACAGGGCGGAAGGGTCGGACTTGGGTGGGTCCAGGATTGATAGTGCAGAGAGATGCTGTTCGGTGTCTGCGACGGGATCGGCTGGTCCGGATTTCTGTTGAGCGGCCGACGCGTTGGTGTCAGCTCGAGCGGATGAAGACGTCGCAGGAGCTGTAGTGTAGTCGGCGCTTGCATCCCCACGAGCGTGAACACCGAGTCCCAAGCCAGCCAGCTCCTCCAACAGCACGTTTCGTCGTCTTGCCAATGCCAGCTCCGCCTCCAGCTTTCTTACTCGCTCCTCCAGCTGCTCGTACGTCGGCTTGCCTGTCTCCGCACTCCCTCCAACCGACACTTCAGCCCTTGCTGTCGATGCAGCAGGTGGCGAAGGCACGCGCTCAGGCGACGGACTGCAAACCATCTCATTGATCCTCAACTTCTGCTGCCCATCCTTCGCGCTCCTTCCCCTCTCCGGTGTCGACACGCTGTTTGCCGGACCGACCCCGTTCGGTCCGCGCACCAGCTCGACGGGCCCATTAGCGATGCGGTTGTGCGAGACGAGCAGCGAGGCAGGGTCTGTGTGGTCCGACGCTCGGATGTCGTCCCAAATCTTCTTCTTGTCGAAGGCCGCTAGGCCGGCGCTGAAGTCGAATTCTTCGGAGAGAGCGGGGCTGTCGCTGCGCGCAATGGGTTGCTTCTTTTTAGCTGATTTGGAGGGGGCTGAGGCGGAGGCGGGTTTCGGGCGCGGCGAGCGGGAGGGCGTGGAGGAGCGGGATGCTGCAGGGTCGGATGCTTGCAGAGAAGCCAGCAGAGATGTAGCGTGCGAGCCTGCGCTGCTGGGGGCTGTGTTCGGTTGGCTGTGAGAGACGATGGCAGGATCGACGTATGGCGCAGCAGCGGGTTGGGCGGCCGACTCTTGCGGTTTCTTCTGCTTGCCCTGCGAAGTCACCGGCGTTGCTGTATGCGAGCGAGCAGAGCTGCTCGAGTCTGCGGTTCCATTTGATGTTGTCTCTGCGGACTTGCAAGCAGCGAGATCCGCAATGTCGGTTCGTTTGAGCACGGTCTGCGACCCATCTTGCTTCTGAACCGTGAGCGTGTTGGTTGCCTGGTCGATGGATAGGATCTTGGCTTGAAGCGTCGAGCCTGGTTGTGAGTGCAGGGTGAGCTTCACTTGTAGCCCGATATATGACAACATGCTGGGCGTCTTGTCAATACGGCAAGGATGTTTGGTGGTATGTGGTCGACTTGGAAGAAAGGGTTTGATAGTCGGTTGAAGGTGAAGAGTGCTAAAAATTTGTCTATGATTGTTAGGTTGAAAAGCTGGACGGCCTTCTCCAGCGAGCTTTGTGGAGAAGGAACGCACAGGACAACGGCGACTTGTACGAGCCAACTCACGTCATCATTCACCTCGACATTAGCGCACACGACCACTCCACCCACCCGCTTCTAGACCACCACACATGACGGCAAGGAGCATCTCGACTCTTGCTCGACTGCCCACGCTTGCGACCACAGCGCTCCGTTTCTCCAGGACAGCATCATCAGCGCCTCCTGCACACTTCTCTACAGCACCCCTCCTGCGTCAGACCAAAACCATCTCCGCCTCCACCATGTCGTCACAGTCCGCCAAAGTGCTCAAGACGATCCCACTCGAGGACTCGGATGCCAAATGGGTGGGCCTGCGCGCTATCGAGTGGGTGGACCCCTCTGGCAAGCAGCGCAAGTGGGAGTCCGCCGACCGCAAGACCCGCAAGGGTGACGTAGACGCCGTTGCCATCATGACCATCATCCACCGCCCGTCGTCCGAGCCGCACATCCTGCTCATCTCGCAATACCGACCGCCTGTCGGCAAGAGTTGCATCGAGATGCCTGCCGGGCTGATCGACGAGGGCGAGGAAGGTGACGAAGGGACGAACAGGGCAGCGCTGCGAGAGCTCGAAGAGGAAACAGGGTATGGGACGGACAAGGAAGGTGGCAAGGTCAAGATCGAGGAGACATCGCCAACGATGTTCAATGACCCAGGACTGACCGGTGCGAATATGAAGATGGTGGTGGTCAACATCGAGTTGAAGGACGATGCGCCCGAGCCGGTGGCCAAGCCCGAGGAGGGAGAGTTCATCGAGAAGTATCTGGTGCCCGTGAAAGGCCTCTACAAGAGTCTGAAGGACTTCCAAGCGAAAGGCTATGCTGTTGATGCTCGACTAGCGCATCTTGCGATTGGGCTCGAAATTGGTTCTGGCAAGATGGGTCGTTTGTAGAATAGCGGAACACGTTCACGATGATCCGGCCTGATTGCCTCTAATTGTGGTTGCGATTCCACGGTCGTACTAGTACATGTTGCTGAGTGATGGTGTTGTCGTTCGAAGTTCTCTCTATTGAGGTGCGCACTGCATTCCAGGTCCTTGTCCTCCCATATCGTCATAGTCCTCCCATCCGTCGTCGTCCATATGCCCTTGGCCGGGGATGCGCGCGCGATTGCTGCCAAACTGCTCGATCTTAGCTGAGGAGGGCTCGACCTGGTCCTCGATTGTTTCGGATGATGTCTCGAGGTCGGGTCTTGGTGGTGGCAATGCGTTCTGAAGCGCTTGCCTGACAGCCGGATCTGCTCCGAGCTGTGCATCGGTAGGAAAGTCGACCTCCCATCGGATATACAGATCTCCCTTGGTCTGGTTGCGATCGCGGTACTGGGGCATGCCCTCGCCCTTGATCACCTCTACGTCGCCCGGTCGAGTGATCTTTGAGCGAGTCACTTTGATATGTCTGCCGTCCAGGTGTGTCAAGACTGTCCTTGAGAAGCCGAGCAATGCTTCCACCAGTGTCAATCGGACGGTCGTCAGAAGATCCAGACCCTTGACCTCGAACGCATCGTCCTTTTGCATCTTGAGCTCGATCAGGATATCTCCTGCCTTGACACCTGGCTCCTGGTCTGCAGCCTCCTTGAAGACGATCCGTTGCCCATCGATCATGCCCTTCTCAATCTCGACGTCGAGCTTCGCCTTTGCCTTGGTGGTCTTGTCGCCCTTGCACTTCTTGCATCGGTCCTTGTCGCGGACCTTCTTGCCCTCGCCGCGGCAGTCTGCGCACTCGACGTACGACTGCGAGATCATGCCATTGCCCATACTGCGTTGTTGCAGGACAGAGCCTTTGCCGGAGCACGTGACGCACTCCTTCTCGCTGAGCCCTGGTTTGGCACCCGACCCCTGGCACTGGGTGCAGATGACGTTTTTGGTAAGGTTGAAATGTGCCGTCTTGCCCTTGTACAGGTCAGCCAGGGTCACAGCATACTCGATGACTGCATCTTCGCCCTTTGTTCGACGAGGTCGACGCCCACGAGGCATGCCGCCCATCCCACTCATACCGCCCATGCCCATGCCGCCGCCAAACATGCTCGCGAGGAAGTCGTCCATGTCTGGTGGCATCCCGCCAGGGCCTCCTGGCCCACCTGGGCCATCGTCGCCGTATCTATCGTAAGCCGCTCTCGAGTCCGGATCGGAGAGGGTCTCATATGCATGGTTGATCTCGGCGAACTTCTCGTTGGCTACTGCGGGATCGATCTCTGGGTTCTTGTCCGGATGATTCGCCAGGGATTGCTTGCGGTAAGCCTTCTTGATGTCGGCCGACGAGGCATCGGGTGCCACGCCGAGCACATCGTATAGGTGTGTTGACTCGACCATGATTCTATGACTGGCGGCTTCTGCTGTGTCTGAGACGTCGAAGCTGGTGGAGGGAACGATTGGTTAGATATGTGACGGTTCGAGGGTCTTGATCCTTTCTTCCTGTGCTCAGTCGTCACCAAGCTCAAAATTCTTCGCAGTTGCAGATCTACAGAAAAACCGACACACGACACTGCGATGTGGAGGACTTTCAAGCCTCCGATTTCCGAGCTTCAGACTACGCCAAAGCTGAACCGCATGCTTCGAACAGGTTTGTGATAGCGCTGGTCTGTTTAGCTGCTAGGATACAACACGGACCACAGCTTGCTGTTGCTGCCGAGAGCAAACCCGAATGTACGCTGCTTCATGTCGACGCCGAGCTTGAGCAGATCAATCACGTCGTCCAGCAGATGTGCTTGACCAACCACGGCTCCGGGATGCGACGTGAAGCTCGAGGCAAGGATATGTACGTGCAGATGATAGTAGCTCGGCTGGTAGTGCAAGAAGCACCGCACATTACCTTCCGCCCCTCCATCCCTCCCTGTCAGCCCAAACTTTTCGTACGCCACTCTACTCGCTTCCGCCTTGATACCCTCTAGCATCTCCACATGCTCCTTCGTCAGATCCCTGATACTCCTCAGCTCTCTATTGTGTACGATCGCCTGTATGTAGAGACTCGACGTCGTCTTCTGATCCCACTTGAGATCTGGTACGATGATAAACCCTTTCTTCGGATCCGGATCCTCGTACAGGATGCTGTCCGCCTCCTTCTTGTGTTCGAGAATGTTGTACACCCACTGAATGCGTGAGGGCGGAAATGACTCGATCCAGGGCAAGACCTTTTCTCGGTACATCTCGGGTGTCTCGTAGACCATGATCTTGCGCTGTGCAGAGTACTTGTCGATGTGCGTCTGCGTCGCCGGTCGAATCAGTGTGATCTTGACGTCCGGGTCGGTGGTTGTAGCCTGAGCTGGGTCAGGTCGCTGAAACCATGCCAAGATCCATGTGTAGATGTCGTTCTGGCCGAGATCGGAGAGGGTGGAGAAGATGGCATTGCTGGGGCCCTCGAGCTGCTCGTAGAAGCTTTCTGAGAAGTGTGTCTTCTCTACAATGAGGATCGCTTGTTCGGTGTTCGAGGTGCCATCGTCAGCGGCGATTCGGAACTCTCCAAGCAGGTTTGCAGACTTGAGCTTAGGATCCTGATCGAGCACCCTTGCCAGCTTGAAGCCGTCCAGTAGGCTGCTGCTGCTCGAAGGGGTCGCCATGTTGGACCTGTGTTGGTTGCGGGAGAGGGTGAGGAACACTTGAAACTTCGCGCAGGGTCCTTCAACGAGAAGTCGCCTTCTCTGCTCCGACTTCCGCAGTTTTCTTCTTTCCTCCACTTTGGTAATCCGCTTCCTGTCCAACACAGCTCCCTTTCTCTCGTTTCTACCACACAACATCGACACCGAATCAAGATGGGCTCGTCATCGTCCAAGCCAGCGCGCAAGCTCGGGTCAGAGGTCGCATCCTCCGTCTCGAGGGCTGTGCCTTCCGCAGCCAAGCCTTCGGCGAATCCTGCCCCTGCACCTCCGACAGGAAAGACCCGTGTGCCTCCGACCGAGTACGGAGCCTCGACCGCCAAGCAAGGATCCCAATACGCTCCCTCAGCCTCGACTCGACGAGAACAGGAAACACAGCGACAGCAGAGTCAAGCTAGCGAGACCAAGTCGGCCGACATCATGCGCGATGCCTACGATCCACAGTTCCTCCAGAACCTGTCGAGGTTAGGCCAGGTCAAGGTGCCTAAGAACGCGACCAACTACCAGCCCGTACGTATCCCTCTTTCCTCGCGAAGTGCTTCGCTGTGATGCTGACTTGAACCTTGCGATGATGGGATGTAGACGGATCAAATGCTGCGCATCCTCGAAGCGCGGGAGCGGGCCAACCTGGACAACGTCTCGTCTGCCGACGTCCTCTCCTCCCCCTCCCCCTCTTCTACTCGTCAATCCAAAGGCCCACCTCGCATCCCAGCACACACAATAACCCTCCTCCTCGACGACAGAAAACACTGCGAGACCCGAAAAGACCTCGACCGTCTGGCGCTGGAATACGATCTGCCGCTGGAAACCATCGAATCGCTCGCCAAGTTCTACAACTCACCGACGATGGGCGAGGAGGTGCGCGACGAAGAGGGGGGCAAGCAGGAGGACCAGGCGAACAGACAGGACGAGCGGGCTCCACCCAAGGTCAGAGGTGTATGGGTCACGCCTAAGCTGCAGAACCAGATCAGCGCGTGAATGTAGGAATGCAGTGACACGATGGTATAGCGTGGTTGTGTGTGTGTCTATAGGAGCGGGGCGATGCCTGTTGCTAAGTCTACGGGGTTGTGGATGTCTAGTGAGGTGATCACATACTCCAATCCACCGCTTTCGTCCTGAGCCAGGTGTTTCGGAAGTGCCAGGTGACTCGGCAGACAGAACTCGGTGGCTTTAGCTTCGCGCGTCGAAGTGCCGAGCCAGACCCTCGTCTCCGGCTTGTCGACTTGCTGCACCCACACGTTGCAGTACATGCTCTCAAGGAAGGCACCCGGTGCGATCCAGCTGAGGATCGATGCGCGCAGCCACTTGGACTGCTTGTCGTACGACGTTGAGTCAAACATATCAGTTGCTGGGCGTATCTGCAACGACGCGGGTTCCTTCTCGGGAGAGCGAGATGCTCGACGAAGCTGCAGCGCTCCAATGCGCACCTGTGTCGTGGTTTGAGATTTCAGCGTAGCCGTAACGCCGAGCGTGAGCAGCGCGATGTCCTGACCCAAAGCTTCTGATGGGACCGTGACACTCGCTGCCTTCCATCCGTTGCCGAGGTCCTCGTACTTGGTGTCCGCTGCGATGCCAGCCAGGGTCGAGGTAGATGTTTCGAGCAGTGGCTGGATGATTACGCCACCAGCGCCACTGGCATCGAACACGACGATGTACTGCCATCCGTTTCGGTCCGTAGCGTCTTTGACCTGAGCTGAGATGGCCGATGAGCAGAGTGGTATCCGCAGTGACTGCACCTCGGTCGAACCAGCCTCGTTGGCGAGGGAGACGACGAAAGAAGCATTGCCAGCCCAGACTCGGTCGTGATCGTAGTGCCACAAGGGAACGTGCGCTTGTTGTGACGTTGTTTTCGGCCCCTTTCGATCTTGCCATTCGGCGAAGAACAGGTCTGGCTTGGGCATGCTGACTCCCATATCGGTGAATCCCGCTGTTGCGTCTGCCTTTCCGCTAGCAGAGGCCACGTTCGACCAATCGTATACGAGCTCGCCACCGTCGAACCATTTCGTTCCCGATCCGAAACTGAAGTTGGTGTAGAAGCCGTTTGCGCTTGCTCGTCGACAACATCGATCGTCGGCTAGGTTGGAGCGGTTCAAGTACGCCTGCACCGGCTTGACGGCGTCTTCGTGCAATGTGATGCGGTGTGGAGATCCCCCGGCAGCATTGCTTGGAATACCTGTCCAGAAGGCAGAGTCGACATGCCACCAGTCCGACCAGGTTCGTTTCTGAGGCAGGTTCAGAGCGAGACCAGCGTTTTCCTCCTCCCACGTCCAACCTGGCGCAAACAGGGCCACGCTCAAGCCGAGTGCATCCTCGACGACTCCACTGCGCTGCGGTCCAATCATGTCGAGGGACTTCCACGAATTCAAGCCGCCCCAGCAGTTGCGGCCGAACACGTCGATGCCAACGTAGACATCGCTTCTCGCGCGGTCGACGCTGTCCGCCATCGCCGCCGAGAGGAGCAGCTGCGGATGAAAGCCGCCATCGTTTGGACCTGTGAGTCCGTATCCACGCAGCTGCAGTGTTTGCGGGTCTTGGTCGTCTGGATCTATCAACCGACCTGGTGGGAGCGGCTGCACCGGCTTTGCCCATGTGTAATTGGTGAAGAAGGTATTGGCAGCTTGAAAGTACGAGATGTTGTGTTCGTTGAGCGCATCTTGCCAGGCGAGCTGGCCGTAGGGATAGACGACCGAGTCGTACCAGACCACTTCCCACTCGTCTGGATCTTTGCCCGCCGTGATGTAGCTGCGTCGGCCTTCTTCTCGCAAGTAATGCACCCAGCCACGGAGACGTTCAGCATTCCACTGTCGCTCCATCGTCTTTGACTGATCGTTCATATGTGCTGGCCATGGGTTTCCGGAACATCCAACCCCGAGATCTAGGGCGACCTCGACGTTGATCAGGTAGCCCGAAAAGCCGCGTGCCGCTGCAAGCTCGATCAAGTCGATGGCGTATTGCGGAGAAAAGGCGGGTTCCTTGAAGCGAGGAACCTCTTTCCGCTCCGGTCCACGAAAAAGCTTTGCCAAATCAGGAATGCTTTCCTGCCACTCGAATAGCAGCGTGCCCAGCACCTTTGTGCCCGTGCGAGCGGCAGCTCTGATCCACCCGTTGGGCGGGATGCTGACACGTTTGTGCGAAAAGTAGATGAAAGTGTCGACGAGATGCATGTGCTCTAGAGAGTAGCCTTGACATTGAGGGTCCTCGTTGTAGCCGCCCTGGAAATCATGACAAACGAGCAGTTTGGGCTTCGACTTGGCGCTGCCCGACGAGTGACTGGAGGAGGGTATAGGGGGGCCGATGTGCTCGCTGGGAGACTCGAAGTCGTCATCGTTCCAGCTTCCAAGTTCCATCTCGTACCAGAAGTGAAGATCATCTAGCGAGTCAAAGTAGTCCGGCCTCGGTAGCGCCTCTGGATCCAGGTGCTGGCATAGGGTCGATGACGGCGACTGCAAGTCCAGCTGCACATCGGATTGAACAGCGGCTGGGATAGGTGACGCCAATCCACTGTCGTCGACGTCCTGGAGCACAAAGGCTTGCGGCATCTTTAAGTCCCGAGAAGTTCCGACGTCCGACAAGACGGGGCAGAGATGGCTTTCAACGCCGCATCATATCAGTTGATGCTGATGATGAAGGTCAGAAGAACAACACCTCGAAGGATTCAGGGTCCAACACAGGCTGCAGGCTCGTGGCGATCCGTAAGTTTCCCGTCAAGATGTTAGAGCGTTGGAGTGGAGTCGTGGACCGGGAAAGCGGCCAAAAAGGTAGCCGTGTGAAAGGAAAGGACAGCCGCAAGCCATGCGAATCCTCCCTCGCTTGCCTCGTACAAACCAGCCCGGCCCAGCTTTGACCCCGCATTGCGCCCAAACTTGCTGAGTCTGCATAGAAAGAAAGCGAAACATGATCGTGAGCGGTCACCTTTTGTGCTTCAAAGTGTCCACCTGTTCGCCTCCTTCATTTCCACCATCTACGCATCCATCTCGATTCCGGTCACTTGCTGCAAAGATGGCTGGCACTTCGGACGACATCGCCCCCAAGGCGGAGGGCATCCTCTCGCACATGAACAACGATCACAAGGTAAGCTTTGATCTCGAGAACGTCATCCGGTCTAAACCATTTGAAATCTTACTGACCCTCGGCCTCGCTCGACATCTGATCTCCTTACGACTCGACAGGACTCGCTCGCCTACCTCGCGACGCACTATGGCGACCTCGCTCAGCCTCTCAAGCCCAACCAAGTCGTCATGACCGCCATCGACAAGAAGCACCTCGAGATCGCCTACACGACCAAAAAGGGGGCTGAGCCTGGCAAGGGCAAGCCGGGCTCTCGCACCGTCCATGTCCCCTTCCGCCCTTACCTCGCTGGCTACTCGGAGGTGCGCACCCGTCTTGTTGACATGTCGGCTGTCTCTGAGAAAGTCATCACCACTCGCAAGCCCGACATCATCTACCGCGCACCCAAGTTCTTGATCAACCTTCAATTCGTGCTGATCATCGCGTACTTTGCGCTGCGCTCGGACACGCTCGCTTCGCACGGCATCACCCAATCCATCGTACCCTCGGACAGGCTGGCCCACTGGAACGATCTGCGCAACGTCCGACTCGGCGGCCCCGCCAAGATGGACAAGTTCATGAAGAGCATCGCTCGGGCTCACGTGGTGGAGGGTGCGCTCATGGCCGCACTCTGCTGGTGGAAGGGCGCGACCAAGCTCGTCGCCGCAAGGTGGATCGCGACTACCACCTTTTTGGGTATCCCCTCTTGGATCGCCTTTTTCGCCCTCAACTCGCACAAGAAGGCGCTCAGGAGGGCCATTCACATTGATGCGGATAAGAAGCGCAAGTAGCCCCACGCACTTAGATGTGGAATCGTCCGGAATTGCAACGCTTCTTTCTTAAGGCTTGAACTCGTATCCTCCGACGCGGTTGGCGACGTTGATCTTGAGCTGTTCGAGCAGATTACCCGATTGATCCTCCAGCCCGCAGTGCATCACATCTCCATCCTTGACCTCCCCCACACCCGACGGGGTGCCTGTCAACAACAGGTCTCCCTCTTCGAGCGTCATGATCGACGTTACGTGCTCGATCAGTTCCGGGATGCCAAAGATCATATCGCTCGTAGGCCCGTTCTGTTTGATCTGGTCGTTGACCTTGAGCCAGAGCTTGAGCTTGCTTGGGTCGCGAACGCGGCTCTTGTCGATGAAGCCCGAGGTAGGAGTGAACGTGTCGAAGCCTTTCGCGGCGGACCAGGGAAGACCTTTGGATTTCACCTTGTCCTGCAGGTTGCGCGCCGTCATGTCGATCGATAGGGTGTAGCCTGCGACGTGCGACATGGCGTCTGCAGCATGAACATCGCGGATGGAGGACGAACCGATGACAACACCCAGCTCGACTTCGTAGTGCGCAACAATGCCTTTGGGAATCTCGACCGTGCTGTTGTTAGTGATGTACGAGGTGGTCGGTTTGAGGAAGAAAAAGGGCTCGGTAGGGACGGCGTTGTTGAGCTCCTTGGCGTGGGCTGCGTAGTTGCGGCCGATCCTGTTGCAAGCGGTAGCAAGCGATGGGAGGAGGAGGTGAAGCAGTGTGGTCAGTATCGACAACATGAGAAGGCTCGGACGACCTAGCCCCAACACTTACGCAACGATCTTTTTGCCTCTTGTCAGGAACGATGATGCCATCTTGAATGTGTGTAGGCAGCTCGGAGCAATGGTATCGTCGTAAAGGAAGTGGTTCGTATGCCAATCGAATCTCTTGTTCTTGAAGTCAACGTGGGGGATAACTTAGTTGGCCCTCGTGACTCTGCTGGACAGGAAGCTCAAAGTGCAAAGCCGACAATTCCAGCAGGCTTCTGAGGAGCTTCCCGTCCGTGCATTTTCCGAGCAATCGGGCCGCCGATTTGAGCCATTTCGCACGCTGCAAGCCGCTGAGATGGTGTCATTCAGAAGATAGATTGCCGACCCCGCATACCGAGCTCGCTTTGACCAGGGAGCACCTTCCACTCACACCATCATCAGAGGAATCAGCAAAGATGGCAAACGCACACATCAACACAGCGCTCAACGCCTTCTTTGGCGCGTCCAAGTACGCCGTCGTCGGTGCTAGCAAGGACCCTTCGAAGTTTGGAAACAAGGTGAGTGTACCCGCTGCCGCCCTTGGCTGCTTGCAGACTTGACTGATCTTCCTCGTCTGTTTCGAATCGAGCAGGTCCTGAAGTGGTATCAAGCACAGAAGCTGGACGCAACACCCATTCATCCCAAGGAACCCGAGATCGAGAACATCGCAACGCAACCCGATGTGGCCCACTTCCTCGAAAAGGCAGGCACGAGCGCCGAGAACGTCGCCATCTCGGTCGTCACACCGCCCAGGATCAGTCTGGCTGTCGTGCAGAAGGGGCTGCAAGAACAGGGCGTGTCGACTTTCTGGCTGCAGGTAAGTTTAGCTTCAATCTCACCAGCATAGTGATGGCACGCAGCTGACCAACTCATTCGCTTTCCGTGAACATTCAGCCCGGTGCGGAAGACGCCGATCTGATCAGCTGGGTCAAGTCGCAGCCAGATTTGATTCAGGACCGAGTCATCTACGGTGGGCCGTGTATTCTGGTATCTGGCCGTCAGCTCGCTGCGGACAAGGGCAAGCTTTAGCACGTAATCAAAGTACACAGCTCTCACTCTGAAACGAACAGCATACCGTGGGGTGCGCCAACACGCACTCGAGCACAAGCTAGAGACGTTCTGTGGGTCTCGGATGTGGGTTTGCCTTCGTGGATGCGATTGCGAGCAAGCTTCTCTACATGGCATTGCCGTTCTCGTCGACGGTCGAAAAGGTATACGTCGACTTCCAGTGGTATGGTCTATCGGGACCGTAAATCTGGTTCCTTCCCCATCGCGGGTTGTTGATCCCATCAATATAATCCTCCATCTCGAGCACGACACACTCGTGATTGTCGTACACGACCTGACCGATATCCTCGCCGACCTTGCCGCCGTGCACCTGCTTCCGGGGGATGCTTCCCTTGGCGGGGCTGTTGATGCCGTCGCACGTATACACCTGAACCGCCGGCTGATCGGTGACGACAGAGAGCTTGATGCCGGACTTCAAGCTGTACATCTCTACGGCAGGCTTGGCCTTGTTGTATCCAGGAGGGTTGGACATGATGAAGCACGAATCCCATCCCTGGCATCCAGCTCCGCAGACACCTTCCGTGTTGTTGAAATTCTTCGAGAAAGGCGTGGGGGATTGGAAGTCGTACGGCGTGTCCTCGACCGAAGGCAGCGGACCGGTGGGGATGAGGATGCTGTCCGTCTTGACGTACTTGTTCGCATATGGCATGTGAAGCACGTAGTCCAGCGCAGAGGCGGTCTCGTTGAAAGCGTCCAGATTCCAGTAGACATGCGACGAGAGAAGGATCGGCGTCTCTTTCGTCGCGGTGGCATTGAGCTCAATGTGCCACGTCGCATTCCTGCCGAGCACAAAGCGCGTCGTCGTCTTGACTTGACCAGGGAAGCCCTGGAATCCGTCCGGATCCGTGTGCTCCAGCACAAGCCCGTGGGCGCTCAGAGAGGCGATGGTGTAGTTGCTACGATCATATCCAATGTCTCCGCCGTGCAGCGAGTCGAGGCCGTTCTCGTTCTTGGGTACGTGGTAGGTCTGACCGTTGAGCTCAAAGGTGCCGTTCTTGATGCGGTTGGCGTATCGACCGACGATGGGGCCAAAGTTCGGGTGAATGGGATCGGTAGACCAGTTGGTCGTGTTGTCGTAGCCGAGCACCACATCTCTCCATCCACCCCAGCGGTCTTTGACCCACAGCTCGGTGATGCTGGATCCATACGGCTGGAAGGTGGCGCGGATCGAGTCGTCGGGAGCGCGCAGCTCGATGCGATTGTGCGGATAGATGGCGGGCAAGGCCTGAGGGCACTGCGAGCCGGGCACCGTCGATCCTGCTCCGAGAATCAGCTGCGAATCCTCGGTCTGAGAGCTGTAGAGGCAAGGATAGCTGCCAATCGTACCATCGTTGACGAAGCCCGGCGTCTCTCGTGGTGCAGAAGCAGACGAACTTGTGGTGGATGCGGTGCTGTTCGAGGAGTCAATGACTGCGGACTGCCAGAGCTCGGTCTTGGCAACTGGTGTTGGACTTGCCAGAGCTGCCGATGAGGCAAGGAGCTGGAGGGCCAGCGGCAAGAGCTTCTTGAACGTCATTGTGCTGTCGCAGCGGGTCACTGAAGGGTGCCTACCTGACCACCGGACGGAGCGGGAGAAGGGTGACCGCTAGTGGTAGGGGGAAAGGAGGCGGCGATGCGATAGTGGAGGCAAGGCGACTCAGATGCGCGGATCAAACGTTGGCGTGCGAAAATCTGGGAAGGTGAGCGGAGTTGGCGGAGGGATAGGATCGACAGAATGCGGGGTATGCATTATATACAGCAGAGAAATCGAAGGCATCGGAAGCTTCCTTCGACCCGCAGCTCAGCTCTGGTCAAGATCTCCGCACAAAGCTATGCTGCGCAAGGGTCTGTGGGGGCGCGGCTGCAGATCACAGGAGTCGGCAGCAGCCCATGCGCCGAACAAGAGATTTGCGGGGCGGATCCCACATCACCGGTGCAACAGGTGACATGGCTGCATGCTGAACAGCAGCCGATGGGGCAAATGGTCGCTTGGCAGCAAGCCGTCGGCTTGATGAGCAGTCAGGCTGCACTACATTGACGAAGCGCGAACCAAGGCCCAAGCAGCATTCAGTAGCGGACTGAGATTGCCTGAGATTGCCGAACAGGGTCTGACCAGACTTTGCCGGTCATTTCTGGCTCAGAAGCAGGCCAAGAAGCGGATCAGGCCGTAGCAAAGTCAGGGGTCCGGAGCACAGAGAGCTGAGAGAAAGACGATCGTTTCGCGAGACGATGTCAGAGGCGAGGCTCGGCTAGCTATGATGTCGAGGTCCAAAAGAAAGCCGAGAGAGAGGGGCGCGCCCCCCGGAATACGCTGCAGGGTATGCTACCCCACATCCTTGCATTCCAAAACGCCTTGGTCAGCGACCCTCTCACCGCTGCCGCGGATGAAGGCTGCAGGTCAAAGCGATTGAAGCCGTATGAAGAAGATGGAATTCGTCTCGGCTGTCAACGACCGATCTTTGACGTGCCGTTTCGGTGCGAGCGAGTGCATTGTGGGGTCACTGAACATGACGCACGGCTTGTGCACGCATGCTTGTTCGGTGATCTCGAGAAAGCTCCCTCGTGCATTCGGTGATCTGCTCAACAAGCGGCTTATATGCAGCCCTTCTCGCATGTCTCCGCAGCCGGCGTTCTCAGCAGTCATCAAGATGCCGCCGGCCTCTTTCCGGCCGCCCTCATATAACGTTAAAAGGTACTCTAAATGTCTAGTTGTACAGACCCTTCTCGAGGTGTGGCATTGGTAGGAATGGAGGAGTCTATGAGAACGAAACGCAAGGCGATCATCAGTCGTGCTCTTCCCCATCGTCTTCATCGGGCAGCACCTCTGACGAGCGACGCTGATATCGCTTCCAGTTGGACGTGATTCCACAGAGCAGCCACATGAGACCGAGGAGCAACTCCATCCCGGACAGCACGATCAAAGAACGCTGCACTGCGATGTGCCTGTCGCTCTTGGTGAGCTTGGTAGCTACTTTGAGGATGACCTGCGATACGGCCGCGCCACCAAGAAGTCCAAACATGCTCAGCAGTTTGTACTGATTCGAGCCGGTCAGATGCAGCGTGGGCAGATGCAGGTCCGAAGTCACCGATGTCAACGTCTGCGTGAACACCACCGTGTTCGAAAAGGGGGTCCCGAGACTGGTCGAGTAGGTAGCTTGGCAGCCCAGATTAGATGCTAGCACCATGATGACCACCCAGTCCAGAGCCCCGCTGAGGCGGACAGCAGGATATCGTGTGCCGAGCAAGATGATCAGCAACGTCGTAACACATCGGTAGACCGACATACACACGATCGTCAGGCGCCTCGTGCGATCCGTGGAGAGACGATGGATGATGTTGCCGGTGATCTGGCAGCCGATTGCAAAGCCCAGCAAGCTGCTCACGCTCTCCTGGAGCTTGTCGCGCACAGCATCGGCGCTACCGTCCGTGTTGGAGTCCGATGGCAGCAAGAAGTCGAAGGTATTGATGATGATCTGCACGAGATTGCCTGTCTGAAAGCCAACCCAGATCTTGGTGAGCGTGTAGGTGCTGGCATCTGCCAGTCCGGTGATCAAGCATTGCAGGAGCAAGGGTGGTAGGTATGCTAGTGGTAGAGAGTCGGCAGAGTCCAAGGCGGGGAGTGGCGAGAGCGCGTGGCTCTTGAAGAAGCCGAAGAACGATGGGGATGGTGCTGAAGTAGACTTCCTTCGTCCGGCGTGAGATGGCAGCAGCGGTGACCTTTCATCGTCTTGCGCATTCGGTCCGGCACCGTTGTCGTTCGATCTAGGTCGTTGATGGGTAGACATCGTATGGACACTTTCCTTATCCCTTCCGCGCAGCTTCCGGTACTCTATGGCTGATGATGAGACTATCGACCTCAAGCAGGAGGGATCGAGGATGAAGACGATGAAGTTGGTCGGGTTGATACAGGCGGTTAGGGTAAGCATCAAGACGCCGTTTGCGCTGCGCAGAATTTCGATGACAACCGAGGTGGAGCAAAAAGTGACGTCTGGACCCTGAAGTCATGACCGCGCCATCCGTCTTTCCGGGATCACATCAGAGCTTCGATGACCTCTCTTACCGTAACCTCAGCCATACCTTTGGCTCGCATTACAGACCATGAGGTCGGTCTCGAGGCTCAGCATCTTGCTGATGGCCTGGTGCTGCCTATCGCTGATCCATATACGCTTTGCAATAGCCCGTCAGGCACCCTTCGCGGTATCGACATCAACAGGCACGACGGACGCGACCGACTCGCCTCCGCCATGCTATCCGTTTTGCTCCACTGCCGGCGATGGAAGCTCGAGTTCGGTCTCCGAGATGGAGACATCACGCTACCGTGACCGCTTAGGAACGCTGAAATGGGTCGACCCACGCATTGGCACCAATGGACCCGATCCATCAGAGTACGGCGGGATGGTGCCTTCCGTGGCCCTGCCTTTCGCTGGCGTTCGCACGGTTCCGATGACGCGGGAGAATCTCGTCTCCGGATGCGCCTACCACGACAATGATACCCACAATATTGGCTTTCTTGCCAGTCGTCAGCCTGCCATCTGGATGGGAGACTACGGCTTTGCAACCGTCTTTGCGGGGCACGGCGTCGTCAAGCTCGCGAAGCATGACAGGAGTCTCAAGTTCGAACGCTCGCAGGAGTACGTGGCGCCATTCAAGTATGCCGTCAAAATGGGTAACTCAAGCTCAGAAGAGATCTTTGCCGAACTGGTCGGTAAAAGCCGGGCTGCCATGGTGCAGTACACTTTCTCCCCGGCTGGCAATGGCAGCACGAGTAAGGGCGAGACCGTTCCCGATTCGCCCCATAAAGCTGTACAATCGATTACTGACAACAACAGCTCTCACTGGGGACCTTTCATCGGAGTGCAAGCCTCGCGAGAGCAATGGCGCGGGGGCGTTCGTATCAATGTCGAGAAGGGCGAGATTTCGGGGTACAACACCGAACGTATGGACTATCGCCTAGGTCCGCACGAGGCATCTGGGTTTCGAGGATACTTCGTGTATCGCATCGAACATCAACGCAACGCAGGTGAGGAATGGCTCACTGGGTTTTCTAGCGACGGAGTCGGCACAGCACACACAAACGCCACGGGCATCGCACTGCATCCGGGTGAGTGTGCTCGCTGGAACGAGCTTGGTGTCTACGCATTCGTCCGCTTCCCCGTCGATACGACCCGAGTCCGTGTCCGTTTTGGGCTGAGTCTCATTTCGGAAGAGCAAGCTCGCTACAACCTGGACGTCGAGATACCGAATGGCACCGCGATGGAAGAGGTCGTAGACGAGCTGATCGATGCATGGAAGAGCAAGACGGACAGGATCCGGGTAGAAGGCGGCACAGAAGCTCAAAAGCGCATCCTCTACACCGGCATCTTTCACGCATCGCAGTATCCAGCCGAGCATGCCGAGCCAATCCCTCACAGTGATGGTGGCAGCCACAGCAACGGTAACATGTCAACTCTACGATACGACAAAGAGGACAAGCACACATACCACTACTACTCTGGCTACACCGACAGCGTCCACAAGGTCAAAGAGGGACTACAGCGCTACCAGTCCTGGTCTATCTGGGACATCTACCGTGCTCAATGGAATCTTCTTATCCTCTTCGAGCCGGAGCGGGTGGTGGACATGGTCCGTTCGCTCCTCGACATCTACGACGAATCTGGCTTCTTGCCCATGTGGTCGACACTGGCAGAAACCAACATCATGATCTCCACGCATGCCGACTCTCTGATCGCAGAGGCGGCCGTCAAAGGTGTCAAAGGCTTTAACATGGACAAAGCATGGCAGGCAGTCCTCAAGGACGGCACAATTCCACCAGAAAGGGAGTTCGAGCTTCGATACGAAGACCGAGAAGAGTACACGCCGTTGGAGGTGCGCGCTGGGCTGACGTTCTACAACGAGTCAGGCTATGTGCCTCTGGACGGCTGGTCGGAGTCCACCTCTCGCACTCTCGATTATGCCTACGACGATCACGCCATTGCTGTGTTGGCGGATATGCTGGGCAAGGAGTCTGAAGCCGAGTTCTTTCACAGCCGTAGCAAGAACTATCGTCACGTCTTCGATCACGGTCAGGGCCTCATGGCAGCTCGGCTGAAGAATGGCACCTTCCTCGTCCAGCCGCTACCGGACCCACGTGGTCGCCAGGAAGGATTCACGGAAGGCAATAGCTTCGACTACTCTTTCGATGTGGTTCAAGACGTACCTGGGCTGGCGGAGCTCGTGGGAGGCAGGGACAAGCTGGTCGCCTTGCTCGATCGACACTTTGGAGAGGGGCACAACGATCAATCCAACGAGCCATCGCACCACATCCCGTATCTCTACTCGCTACTAGGCGCGGCATCCAAGACGCAGCGTCTAGTGAGGGACATCTCACACGAAGGCTACAGCGACCAGCCTGATGGATACGCCGGCAACGAGGACTGCGGTCAACAGAGCGCATGGTACATCTTCAGCGCGATGGGTTTGTATCCTGTCAATCCAGTGTCAGGCGAATACGTCGTCTCGTCGCCGTTCTTCGAGCGCATGGACATTTCGATACCGGCGAGAGTGGAAGAAGGCAAGCAGGGAAGGGCTGCCCATCTGCGCATCGAAGCGCCAGGCTCAGACGATAAGCATGTCTATGTGGCAAACCTGACGGTCAACGGACGTTCGATAGAGCAGCCAAAGCTGAAATGGTCGGATCTCTTAGCAGGTGGAACGTGGAAATTCGGGCTCGCAAAGACACCCCAGCAGTGGGGCAACGACCCCTCGCCCCTTCACGCATGACATTAGGAACGGAATCGCAATCACTTGGACAACCCTCGCTGACCGTTTGGTTCAGCTGAGTGTCTTTCGCCACGGGTGTCGTGACAGATGAGCCAGGCTTGCCCTGCGCTTTGTACTGTTTTGACAGACAAGAGCTTACATCTGCGGCCATAGAACCTTGAAAGCACCGCATCCCGTCCGATCTGCGAAGTTAAGCAAGGTATCGCCTAGTCAGTACTGCGGTGGGGGACCACGCGGGAATCCTGGGTGCTGCAGTTCTTCTTTTTGCCCTCAGTCATGCAATAACGAACGAGAGTCGACGGTTGTCAGAACAGCAAGCTCTGCCTGAAATGCACCCTCCTTGCATGGCCGTGGTGAGCTTGGCTTTGTTACCTCCGTTGGGGGGACATGCATCTCGCCAGGCTTGTTGCACGCCTGCGCTGTCTCACAGCAGAGACCAAGGAACGGGAACAGCGAATATATTGCGGATGCACTAGATCAAGGCCTCGATGGGAGCCGCAGAAAGCACAACAAGGAGGAAGAATGATCGTACGTCTCCAAAGCGAGCTCCAGCTTGTCCGTGTCGAATGTGTGTCCGGCGTACTCTTTGTTGTTGACGCCTTTGATCCTGATAACGAAACACATTCGTTGGCACGGTGCTAGCTTCCAAAATTGACGCCAATGAGCCAATGTTGGTTGCGCCTTCGCCAGTTCTGCGTGTTGGCGGAGAAGTCGGTGACGCGCAAGTTCTTTCGGCGATTGTCAAGCGGATTGTCGTTGATGTGGTCTACGACGCTGGAATCGCGCCTGTACACGTGTTTGAGCTAACGAGAGAGCTGCTAGTGTTGGCAGTCAGTTCAAACTTGGGCTTGACCGTGAATGCTGTTGAAGCTGAGGCGCATGGCGACGATCTTCTTCCAGGACTTGTCGTCCAACAAGACCTTCTGTTTAATTCCGTCGACCGTCATCGAGACAAAAGCTACACCGCCCTCCCTCTAAATCACCGCGATTGTGAGCAGTTTCGCCTTCTCTCTCCATTCCTTGTCCTTCCGCTCACTCTCTGCCGCAACCTCCGCCATCAACCGCTTGCAGGGCGCCTGAGGCCAAGGCCTTGCTGCAGCCGTCCTAGAGAATAGCGACTGCTTGCGCGAGCCGGTCTTGCATGTTGCGGCGCTTCTGAGCCCTCTGGAAGCAGAGGAGGAATACTACGAGACGGAAAAGCTGGCTGGCCTGAACTTGGCGAGAGGACTCGATCTTGCGCAATCGCAATGCTACCGCCAACGTTCATTTCGTGACGCCAAGCTTCGACTCTTTCGATGGTGACAGTCATGCAAAGCTCAATTTTTGCGGCTTCTCTGGGGTTCATGACACCGGGACATGGTCTCAAGGTCAGACTTGGTGGACGTCGCTACCGGTTCTTTGCTTCGCGAGAGATGGCGGCGATCACCCCTTCCGTCGATGCATTGCCGAGGTGAGCACGACTCCCAAATCGATTCCGAGAAGAAATTTGTGCAACCCTGCCGAAGCGCGGAGATCTGATCTGCATGTGGAGCGGTGAGAAGAAATTGCGCTTGGTTGGTGCGTTCCATCTTCCTTCCCACTCACCATTACCCCTTGACGACGTCTCTTACACCATGTCAGCCGCTCCCATCCCAGTTTGCGTCGTCGGCTTCGGCAACTCGGCGCGCACCTTCCACCTTCCCTTCGTCGCCGCTCTGCCTCAACTGTTCACCCTCCACTCGATCCAGCAGCGTCCTCGTACCTCGTCCAACTCCTCGTCTCCGGACGCCTCGAAGCTGTACCCCAACATCCTCATCCTCCCTGATTTCGATGCCGTCCTCACATCTCTCCCCGCTAACGGCCTGATCATCGTGACCACCACCAACGACACCCACTTCCCGTTTGCCAAGCGTGCCCTCGAGTCGGGCTTCAACGTGCTCGTCGAGAAGCCCGTCACGACCGACGAATCCAACGTGCAGATCCTCATCGACCTGCAGCGCAAGACGGGTCGTCTCTGTGCCGTCTACCAGAACCGCCGCTTCGACGGCGACTTCTTGACCATCCAGAGTCTTCTCAGTGACAAAGGGGCCGAGCCGTCCGCGCTCGGTGTTCCCACCTTCTTCGAATCGCGCTTTGACCGCTTCCGCCCGTACGCCAAGGGTGGTTGGCGCGAAGAGGTTGATCCTGACGCCCAAGGTGGTGGCATCCTGTGGGATCTCGGTGCGCACCTCATCGATCAGGCGCTGTTCCTATTCGGCCCGCCACAGAGCGTCACGGGCTTCGTGCGCAACCAGCGCAACCAAGGCCCCGCTGCGGTGGACGACGACTGGCTGGCCATCCTCAACTACCCCGAGTCCGCACCGCTGCCACCGTCCAGCCCAGCGTCTGGGTCGAAGATCGGCGGGCTGCGCGTGTCGTTGGGCGCAACATGCCTGTCGTCGCACGTCGATGCCGAGCAGCCGCGCTTCCGGGTCGAAGGCACTCGGGGGAGCTACGAGAAGCGCGGCACAGATCCACAGGAGAACCAGCTCAAGCTCGGTTGGACCCCTACTAGCCATCCCGAGGAGTTTGGTGTGTACGACGAGAGCGAGCCGGACAGCATCCGTCTCGGGCGGCTCACGACGATGGTCCGATCGGACGAAGACCTTTCCATCCCCGCAGCGGGGAGTGGCGCGCCCAAGCAGCCCGGTTTGAGCGTCGCCAACATCCCCACCCTGCCAGGGAGGTATATCGATCTGTTTGCCAACGTCGCAGAGTGCATCAATGCGGGCAAGCAGGCTGAAGCGCAGGGTGGGGACGCGGCGGAGGCGGTGAGCAAGGTCTCGCTCGTCGGCGTCGAGAGGACGTTGGATGCGGTTAAGCTCATCAAGCTGATCCGAGAGAGCAGTAAGCAGGGTCAGACGCTGCAGTGGTCGTAAACTCGAAATGCATTTCCTATGATGGGGTCTGGTATCGTGATTGTGTATCGTGACTGGTCGTAAGTGATCGTTATCATAGCTGTCCGTGATTGTGTTTTTCGCTGCGCATCACTCTCCCTTGACACGCTTCTTGTACGCCTCTGGAGACTCGAACTTCTTCCCGAGGCTCCACATGCCGATCTTCTTCTTTCTCGCCTTCGTTTCTGCCCTCTCTAGTGCGTTGAGTCCGGTGGTTGACTTGCGCCACACTTTGGCCCACCACGTCGCATGTCCATAATCCGCACCCGCCGACCGGTACACCGTCGCCAGACCCGCTTTGACCATAGCCAAGGAAACGTTGGTCTTGCCCAAGAAGTATGGTGCGTCCCACACGTAGGGCGTGGCTACGAGACGTTTGTACTGGTCGATGTGCGAGGGGTAGAGCCAGACGAGTCTGCTCATCTGATCAGCGCTGCTCGTCGGATAACTGTTGTTCGTCGTCTGACTGCTGCTCGAGTGTAGGCGGGAGAAGAACGAGCTCTTGGGCGGAGTCAGGTTGTCCGGTGAAGAAGCCGACTGCACCATACCGGTCAAGAACTGTTTCGCTTCCTTGGAATAGGGCTGTGCCGGTTTGCCAAAGTGACCGCTTTCCGGCGCATCGACACCTGCGATGCGCACCGATATGGTCTCCCTTACGAGCTTCGATCGGCCATCGTTGCCCTTGCGTCGACTCGTCTTGGGCGGCCAGGGGTAGAACCAGTCGCGGAGGTAGGGTATCCCTGGCGTATGGTGGAATCGGAATCCGTCCGCATCGCCTACTGTTACTACTCGACCGACGAGCACTTTGCGGTAGCGAAGGACGGCTGGCGTGACGTACTCAGCGTTAGGTATGCGACGGAAGTAGCGCCACCAGAGGACGGCGCAGAGGGAGGTGGTGGAGATGCCGGCGATTGCAGCGCCGATGGGGTTGGTGAGGATGGTGGCAGCGATGCCGGATGACTGCTCGACCACGGATCGTATTGTGAACGTTCTTTCGTCAAGGAATGTCGGTTGTGGATCTGAGTCTGTCGATCTTTGTGTCTGTATCCTTGAGGGTTGATCGTCTGACGCAAGGGTGATGCGAGAGGAAGAGGCAGCGACGTTTGATGTTGACGGCGTCCGCAGTGTGGGTGTTGACCGATTCGAGGCTGGATCTGGTGTCGGCCATAAAGACACCATATCTGCTGCGTTTCCAGCTGCTACGAGTCTACGCAGCAGATCGTCTAGAGGATGCGTAGGAAGGATGGTGAGATTGAGATGGAAGGATGTGTCGAGGTCTCATCAAAGTGGAGTTTGCTGGGCTCTTCCAAAAACACAAAACACCGCCAAAAATATCGCACCCTAAAATCAACACACAGCCGCGCTGCAAGGCGGTGACGACAGAGACCAACACTCGAGACCATCACGCGTGTCGAAATTCGGGCTTGCATATTCACGGCGTCCCCATTCCCCACTCCACCCATCCGTCAATGGACTCGTTCAACGTCAGCAGCTGAGCCGTGCTTATCTTAATGGCATCGCGGTCTATGTTGCAGATCTCTGTGTATCGCATTTGGGTCTACGAGAGTCTACGGCGTCATCGCTTGGCATCGAACACCGTTCCAAGCATCAATCCAGCTTCCTACCGCCAGCCTTGGGCGGACCATGAGTGCTGACCGAGAACGGCTCGAACGAAGGCGCAATGTTGGCCGACGACGACGAATGCAATCCGATCTTCTCACCGTCCCTCTTCTTCTGCTCCGCCAGCGCCTTGTCGCCGTTCCAGTAGTACATGACCTGCGCTGCAATCACCGCATTGAACACGCCAGCCAGTCCGAAGCCCCACAGCAGCAGCTTGTCGTCCGTCTCGGTCATGGTCGTAAAGATGCGTGCGATGGTGCCGAGGAGCTGGGCGAAGACGACAAAGCTGCTCAGCTGACCGCGACTCTTTTCACGGTACAGCTCTGCCATCTGCGGCACCTTGGATGCGAGCGAGATGGGGATCGTGCATGCTTGCAAGAATGTCAGCGTTTGTGCAGGGATGATGGAGGGCGTGGCGAGGGCGAGCGATCCGATGCCCATGAGTGCCGCTGCGAAGGTGATCTTGGTCGAGTGGGCTGATGGGTCAACGCGGCCTGTTTTTCCATCCGCCGTGTATGCGATGACGAGCAGCAAGATGATCATGTTCTGCACCGTCAAGCTGGCGTTCTCGCCATAGGTCGAAAAGGGAAGACGAGATCGAACCGCGTAGGCGAGCGAAATGGCATACGCCATCACCTCGAGCGTGTACATCGACAGCGAGATGCCGCGTGCACTCCGATTGTTGACAATGTTGAGGATCTGCGGCACCTTCATGATGCTACCAAACACGACGATGCCCAAGCCGAGCGCTTTCGAGATGGCATACTTGAGACAGTGGGTCGAGCTGAGGTCGACATTGTAGACGAGCGTCGTGTAGCATTCTTGTCCGATGAGCGCGATAGCCGGTCGCTGGACGAACACCGGCAAGTTGTGTGTCACCGACTGAATGGCTGACTGCATGTTTGGCCAGCGTTGGTCGGTGGTGTTGCTGCGAATGAGTGAGCGGTAAGGATGGTGAGAAGGGGAAGCTGAGTTGGATGACCAATGCGGTCTTGCATATCCGCCGCCTTCTTGCTCCAACGCAGGCTGACGTGTAAAGACCGCAATTCAGCCTGAAAAATGGCCAAAAAAGAAAGTAGCTTCTGTCGGTTTCGATCCGACGACCTTTGGGTTACACCGCTTTGCAGCGGAAAGGTAAATTTTCATAGACTGGTATGAGCCCAACGCGCTACCTACTGCGCTAAGAAGCTGCTTGCGATTCTAAGATTGCCGAGTATTGCGTACATCACCTTTCTATGATACACCCCGGCCAAGTTTGTCGCTAAAAGTCATCATGCGAATCATTGCAGCTTCTCATCCCGCCATGACCCCGAATTGACTCAGCTCTTTTCGATTCCCGTCAAACAGCATGAACAGCCTAGCAAGAAGAACTTTCACTCAGATTGGCGACGAATCCGATGCCCAAGACCTGCCGCAGCAGATGGGTCAAAGCGCAGGAGCGAAGTACGACCGTGCGGGTCGGGAACGGCGGTCTTGGCTGGTCTCATCGCTGGCCAACTTCCCGTGTCGGCCAAAGCATACATCTCACCGGCAGGGTACACGGGTCTCGTGACGTCCATCTGCTGACTCAAGATCCCGCTAGCCTCTTGTCACATGCCAGAAAGTCGCCGAGGGAGACGACGGCAGCCAGCGGTGAGAAGGACGCCACGTGGTCGCAAGGATAACCGCTCCCGTGTCAAGAAGATCGCCGTTGCTGCCTTCTTCTAGCCACAAACTTTGGCTATCGAGATCCCGCAGCCTCACTGAGCGCCGGGCGTGACAACACATCAGGCCACTTTGAAAGACACCGTTGCACTGACATCCGTTGTTCAGCTGCTGCGGCAAATATGACTCAAACCACAAAAGCCGTGATTCCGCTGACAACGCTGAACTCGTGGTCGACCTTGCGAGGAGCCAAGGAGGTTCAGTCAGCACGGCTGCTCGGGCCTGGCTACCAGCGGCGATCCAGATCCCATGACCGGTCGACTCCCAACAGGAGTCTGCTTTAGCCGGTCAGACTGCGGATTACGGAGCCTGTTTTGATCGCTTCAGAGCCTGCCATCTCGCCAACAAGGACGAAGCTCAGCGCTGCATCAGTCTGCACGACTTCATCATCGAAGCCGCAGCATCTTGCAAGGAGCGGACGGACCAACAGCGAACGGACCAACGGCATGTTGCATGGCTGCGACAAAGCGGGAGACGTCGAAGAACTGCGACGGCGACTATCGTCGAAGGATCAACACCGTTGCAGCGCCAGGTAGCTTCGCCATGTAGCTCCAAAGAGCGCCTTCAAGCCATCCGAAAAGCATATAAGGAACGAGCAAGCCACCCCCCCCCCCCCCCCCCCCCC